AGCTCGGCTGAATCGTCGTCCTCTTCGGCCGCTTCAACCAGCTCGGCTGAATCGTCGTCCTCTTCGGCTGCTTCAACCAGCTCGGCTGGATCGTCGTCCACCTCGGCCGCTTCGACCAGTTCTGCTGAGTCGTCGTCGACCTCAGCTTCTTCAAGCTCTGCGGAGTCGTCTTCCACCTCGGCAGCTTCGACTTCTTCCGCTGCTTCGACCACGTCGGCTGCCTCGACTACCTCTGCTGAGTCAACGACGTCTGCCTCGTCCAGCACTAGCTCTGGTGGCTTCACCCCTGCGCCCGAGGCCTCTGGTTTCGCCGTTAGTGTTGATATCCCTGCAGGCAGCAGCAGGAAGCGACAGGCCGTGGTGACCCGATACCTCAACTTCAAATCCGATGGCGTGGGTACGCTCGGTCCTGCGGAAGATGCTGACACGTTCTCGATCGACGTCGACTCTCATCTTCTAGTTGGTGTCAACTTCATTGGTGCGGTGGATTCGGAAGATGCGCTGCTCACTGCCTACGCCACTCCACCCGCCTTTAGCATCTGGTTGAGAGATGCGTTCGGCAATCTGGCCCTTAGCGAGCGCAAATTGTGTTTGACGGATGACGACAACGTCCTTGTCGTCGACCCCGACACTGAGTGTGCAATCCCCCTCACGTTCTCGCAAGCCGCACCTCCGGTCCAGACATCATCTACCACTACCACGGTCCCCGCCACGACCACCACGACGCCTCCGGCCACGACCACTCCCCCCACGACGACGACCGCGGAGCCAACTTCGACCACAGAAGAGCCTACGACCACGACCACTTCGGCCGACCCATCGGGTGATCTCGAAGATGACCCGGCTCCCACCGGTCCGGTGCGCCGTGGAGTCCGATACGGCGGTCGTACCTACTACCACCACCGCCGTCACTAGGCGACGACGAGTAAACCGGGGTGATAATGATGATGTGAATGTGTGTCACGGAATGTGATCGCCCGGGAGAGGCACGGGTTTGTTTTCCTATCTGTCAATGCGATGTGTTTTTCTTCTTTTCTAGTATGGCGCCGGGACGGGCTTCGTGGATGATTCCAGCGAGAAGCATCTTGAGCTACGGGCGGGAACTACTATTATTATCCTCATCCAGCAACAATGGAAAATTTTATCATTCTCATATGGACATTGTTATAGATGGACTTTGTGGTCTTTTGGGAGGAGGGAATGCACGGCAGAGCTTAGGGATGACTGACTGACCATCCTCCCAATGACATGATTTGTTGCATCTGAATTTTCCCTTCGTTCTCTCCCCAGCCTTTCTCTGTGTTCCGTTTTCATGTGACCTCGACTCCTGGGCAGGTGGCAGGGACGGGGGAGGGGGCGCTGTCGACAGCACGGAGTACAGCCCCTGAAAATGCCGCGGCGAGGGCCTCCTCCATCCAAGTCGCGCGTTCGTGAGTCTTTCTTGGTCTGAGCTCTTTGTCTAATTTTGTTCAGGGACGTTGGACAGTAAGGGGGGGCGGGCTTGACGGTGATGGTGAAGGACAAGTAGAAAGCTGTCAGGGCGTTCAGTTGCGTGGGCTTACCAGGCTGGCCTTTCTCTTTCGGTTCGTCGGCGGCTGTTAGCTCGCACGTCACCCAACGGCCGACGCCTCTCCATATTTTATTTAGCTGAGGGACGGAGGACCACATTTGGTTGGGTCCCTTCGTAACGAGGCCGTGCGCGTGGACGTCCCATGTGGCGGCGTCTCCTGTTTTCTGTCCGAAATTCCTCGAATCACACACGTGTCATTTGAAGGCTGATTTTCCGTGTATTGCGCTTGTATTTGCACCCACTCTAGAAAAGAAAAGAAAGGGCTCGAGCGTGGTGGTGCGTCGACCGCCCTCCTGTACCTACCCACACGAGGCTGGCTACCTTAGTTTAGTTACTAGGTATCACTGGCCACTTGGCCACGGTGGGAGGTACCCGCGTCTCTGTGTTTTCGGTACTGTAGGTGGTGTCCGTGTCGACAGATGGACCTTGGACCATGGACCACGGGTGGTTTTCAAGCCACCCTCATCTTACTCGGTACGACAAGATCAAAAATTCAACCGAGATCTGGTGTCTGTCTCGCTGTATGTACGTACAAATGTGTTCCCAAGGTTGCCCATGAATCGGTATCTACTACTCCCATGAGTGAGAGAGGCCGTTCTCTTACCGAGTCCCAGTGTATGGGTGTTCGCTACCGTGACGGTTCGAGCCGTCGAACCGGCCGTTGAAGAGTGAAAACCAACACAAAAAACCCCAACGGCGACAACAACTATCTATCAGAGCGAGTGTTGTTGTTGTTGTTGTCCAATCCTCACCTCATCCCCATGTCCTTCTTCTGAATTAAAGTTACAGGTTCTTCGCACAGTACTGTAATGAGCACGTTTATTTTTGGTGGCTTCTGTCTGCCGATCCCTTCTTCTTTAGCACAGGAAAACAACAACTCGTCGTTGTTTTCGCGGTGGTACGTGATGCGCCGGTCTTCGAGAGCACAGAACCGCCGATCATGGGCTCGTGTGTACTGGATGTGGGTGTATCCAGTTCGCAAGTACCCAGCATCTACCGCATCTGCTGTAGTGAACCTGTCAACCTTGGTCCTGACTCCTGACAGCGCCGAAAAACTCTGACAGCACAAAGGCCGCGTTTCTTTCGTGCGGTTGACGTCCAGCCACCGATCTCGAAAGGAGAGGCACTAGGACACTAGACACAAGAAATCTCTCGTCTCGGTTCACTGGGTACCCGACAGTCGTGGTCAATGTGAACAGCAATAGCTATGTATGTATGTACCTTGGGTGTATTCAGGTGGCCTGGAGGTACTTGACTCAGTACTGGAGTGAGCCTCGATGAAGACATACTGCTCTTGAAAGCCTACTGTTTTCCCACTGTGCGCGACTCTAGATCATGTCATACCCACAAACAACGCACAGTAATCAACCGCAACATCAACAACCCCCACCACAATCAAACGACAGTAACGCTCCGAGCAGTGGTGCGATGGAGAACGATATGGCGACATCAATGGTGACTGGCAAGCGGACAGACTGATCGGCGGTGCAAACAATCTCAGTGCCTCACCACCATCACCACAATCAAGGTTCAATGGTGCTCAAACTGCTTCTGGTGTCCGTGAGAACGGTAAACGAAATCACATCCATTGTTCCCTCCCTCTTGTCGAGCCAACTGCCACAAAGTCAAACTATGTACTGTAGGTAGGTATGTGGCCATTGTTCCTTTCAAAATCTCAATCATCACCCGGTACGAGTTAGAACAGCAAGTACGAGTAGGTACGGCTGCATCTCCCGCCGTCGCTTGAGGCTTAAGATTGTCTTCCCCGAGAGTGGATTATCGTTTTGGCCTTTTGCAATATTGTACACGGACCGAGAGTAGCTGCGCCATGTCCGTGATCAAGGCCATTGTTTTCTCGGGATACGCGAGAGTGCTGACCGAAAAGGGCCCATCTAATCTTTCTATTTCCACATTGCTTGTTGTTGCTTGCTCGACATGATCAACAAGAGTCTTGGTATCGATCTCGAGGTCCAAACTAATAATCGCAACACGAAAGAAGGCTCGGCGTTCCTTGTTGCTCAAAGGCCTGTCGACCTACCAAGAATTCTTCTCTGTCTTGACGAAATACGCCACCATCGATGGATGGACGCAGGTTGGTCTTAGTCATATGTTCCAGCCCAGGAAGAGCCTTCGATGTCGGATAGGTAGTAGGTAGGTGGGTTTCTGTGGGTGAGTATCTCAAACAACACTGTTAGGGACACATCAGTGTGACCCATAGGAGAAGGCGATTCTCCCTTGCATAGCTCTTGCTTGTGACGATGCCTACCGCTAACGATCCATCTTCTCAAATGCTGTGACCACCCATCTTCTTGCGATGCATTCTTGTCATCCTCTTTCTGCTTTGGGCGAAGAGGGAATCAAAGGCCAGGTCTCGATCGCTGCACTGGTTCAATGCTCTTCATCATGAGTTGGGTTTTCTGGGCTTGGGATTCATTCGGGAGCTGAGGACGAAGAGGCGTCTCCCCCAGTCGCTGTCATTGTGTCGGCGTGTCGCTGATGACTGAGGTAGCAGAGACATCGAGATACTGGGCACGAATAGATCATCAAGGTCAATCCAGGTCGGCGCAAGGGAAACACACCGTGTATGCCCAGCATGCGCAACCCCCAGTGCCGGCAAAGACTCGGAATCGTGGTGCGGTCATTGGCTGGCGAGTCTCCGATGCGCGGTTTTCGTTTTTCGGCGACTAAAGAAGCTCCAGCGTCCGAATTTGCCCGTCGCCGCCTCAACCTCGTCAAATTATCAGTTCAATCCCTTTTCCCAAAGATTTTCCTAAGTTCATCCTCGTCGTCGCATCTCTAGACACTTGCTTGTCTCTAGTATAGATCTCATTCTCTGTCCTGCATCTCCGCTCATTCGCAATGGCTGCTACTCTCCCTCCGTCCTCTACTGGCTCGACCAAGCTCGATGCCGCAGTGCAGGTTGCAAAGGCCAACGAGCCTCAGAAGCTCTCTGGTTTCGGCCTCTACAGCAGATTCGTACGTTAGCTTGATTCCCTCGTCGACGCCATCGCTGACCGCTCCCTCCAGGCCTTCGCTGGTGCTGTCTGCTGCGCCGTCACCCACGGTGGCCTCACTCCCGTCGATGTGTAAGTTGCCAGCGCGAAGCTTCTCCCTCTGCACGTACGATCGGGCCCTAACAATCTCCTCACTCCAGCGTCAAGACGAGAATCCAGCTCGACCCCGTCACATACAACAATGGCATGATCGGAGGCTTCCGAAAAGTCATTGCAAATGAGGGCGCAGGCGCTCTGCTCACCGGTGTTGGCCCTACCTTTGCAGGTTACTTCCTGCAAGGTGCCTTCAAGTTCGGCGGATACGAGTTCTTCAAGCAACAGTTCATCAACCAGCTTGGCTACGAAACCGCCGCCAACAACCGAACCGCCGTCTACCTCGCCTCCTCCGCCGCCGCCGAGTTCTTCGCCGATATTGCCCTCTGCCCTCTCGAAGCCACCCGTATTCGTCTCGTGTCGGAGCCCACCTTCGCCTCTGGTCTCGTGTCTGGTTTCAGCAAGATTGCAAAGACCGAGGGTTTCGGTGCTTTCTACAGCGGTTTTGGTCCCATCTTGTTCAAGCAGGTTCCCTACACCATGGCCAAGTTCGTCGTCTACGAGAAGGTCGCTGAGGCCGTCTACCGATCCGTCGACAAGAACACTGCCTCGGACGGAACCAAGACCATCATCAACTTGGGATCTGGTTTGATTGCCGGTTTCGCTGCTGCCATTGTCTCCCAACCCGCCGATACCATGCTGTCCAAGATCAACAAGACCAAGGGTCTCCCCGGTGAGAGCACCACTAGCCGACTGGTCAAGATCGCCAAGGAACTCGGTCTCCGTGGTAGCTACGCTGGTATTGGTGCTCGTTTGTTCATGGTTGGTACCTTGACTGCTGGTCAATTCGCCATCTACGGTGACATCAAGCGTGTCCTTGGAGCCGTAAGTTATATCTCTATCCCCTCTGTTTTTGGTCGTTCCTTGTCCTGACACATGATATTTAGACTGGTGGTGTTGAAATTGCCAAATAAACGATTGACTCACGAAATTTCGACCCATTTTTTTTGACCCTCCCTTCATCTTCGAAGATTTTCATGCCGCCAACGCTACTCCCCTTTGTGATTGGGACGCAATTTGCGAGCATAGAAGAAAGGTCGAGGACAAAAGCATATTCTAGAGCTTTATTTCTGAATAGATGTTGCTGCTGGTGATGGTGATGGTGGACGTGGACATCATCACTTTGGGATGAAGATGGGACTTCTGGTATGCGCATGTTTATAGAGACAAGAGAGCTTTTATGATGCAGAAAAGAAAGATCTGCACAAAGGCATGCAAAAGTTGCTGCTTTCACCTGGCAGACTGCATGACAAGCCGACTTTTTTTGTTCAAGATAGATAAACGGGGATTAATGTACCAACAAAATTAATGGCACAAGTCAACTCTACCTGTATGGTTTCTGATTGTATGGGATTTGAATTCATGTGTGATTGACTGGTTAGAGTGATTGACTGATCACTGTTGATCTCGTTACTTCTACACCTACGAGTGAGTGAGTGAGTGAGTGAGTGAGTGAGTGAGTGAGTAGTAAGTAGTACCCCGGTATCCTCAGTACGGCTTCATGATATCAAGGGATGAAGAGGTATACGTACCTCCCGTCAAAAAGGCAGTGCAAAATTGGTAGTCTGTGGGTTCGTTCATCAACTCCAAGGCAAGATAGATACATCATATATCATGTATGACAGTTAAAAAGAAAAAGAAGGATACTCGCGAAATGTCATGTTTCCTGTGGGGTGTCTATGTCTTCTTTCTTCTGAAAGCAAACAGAGCATCATCTTTGCCCGCGAAACTCGGCAGAGGCACCGCGGCGACCTTTTCCCACCCGGGCCTGTGTTCGCTCATGTACTCGTCCATCACCACGTCTTTGAACCCGGTGTATCCGTTGCCGTTCTGCGTGCCGGCCACGACGATCACGTCGCCCGTGTAGGCGTCGAGGACCTTGCGCGTGAACTCTCCACCGCCGCCGCCGCCGCCGACAATGGGATAGACGAGCAGCAGCACGGCGTCGGGACACCCGGACCGTCGCCGTAGGTACTGTACTCCGTCCGCGACGACCGTGTCCGAGATCCACGTGGTTCGCCAGCGAGATTGACCATTGTCGACGGCGGCGACGACGGCGGCGGTGGTGGCGGTGGGGGGAACAGCGTCACTGCCACCACCACCACCACCGTCGCCGTCGAGCAGCATCAACCGTCGCAGCATGAACGTCCAGTACCCGTTCCCGCTTCCCATGTCGATCACGCCGCCACGCCGACCGGCGGCGAGCTTCTTGATGATCTGTAGCGCCTCGTACGACGGCACCACGCAGCCGAAATGGTGCATGTACACCGGCAACATGTGATGTGAGGCCTTGACGAGACTCGTGGTGGCGTTGGGACCGGCATATTCCAACGCTAGACATGAGTATGCCCAGAAATCCAAAGCTGGGTTCTGCAGGTGGCCAGCGGGATTCCCATTACGAGAAGGGGAACTGACTCCGCCGGAGGACTGTTGAGACTGTGTCGCAGAAGAGGTTTTCGAAGACGTTCTCGACGACACTTTCACCTTTGGCACAGCAATTGAAGGATCCAGATAGCGTTTACTCAATAAGTACTCGGCAATTGACGCACGTAACGATCCCTTCTTCGCATTCGCCGATAGGGACTTGAGACTATTTGCCGCCGACTTTGTCGGGTCAAAGATTGAAACGTATGCTTGAATGTCGGTTGCAGGAGGGTACCCTGTTATTTGGAGCGATGGGAACCCAGGATGAACGACGACCGAATCTTGTTGTTCTTCGTGCTGCTGCTTCTTCTGCTTACTGCTTTTGTCGTCTGGATTGTCCGATGATATCCTGGTTGCGGGCTGGACATACCACGCATGTAACCCGTTTGCTCTCCCGGCGTGGATGGCCGCTTCGACCTGCGCCAGATTCACCGACGCCGAGGCATGGTATGTAAAGTTGTCGTCGGGCGGGAGCTCGAAGGCCGTCGCGATGGCTGCTCGGAATTCATTGGCGTTGAGATGTGTGTGGATTTTCTGCCATGTCTCTGAACTTGTGGGGGACGTGTCGAAGAGATGCTCCGGGGACCACGTTTTGGATCCTTCGGTCGCCGGACCCGGTATAGAGGGCATTTGAATCCTTGATGGCGTTGTTTTGTACAGTAGAACACTTTGTACTCTGTAGGTCGGTAGGTATTATGGAGTGTTTGAAAAGAATGAAAGAGATCCAATTTTACCGTGATACCCTCCTCTCCCCTCACATGTCATCGCTGAATACTCGCTACTCGCTCGTAGGACTATACCTCACCTCACCTTAGGTAATAGTTAATCACAGGTTTGCCCGCTATATGAAGGCGACGATTGGCGGAAGAGAGTAGAAGGGACGGAGGACAGATCTATTGCCGACTATGAGTCGTCGTGATCAAATACTCAGGTACCTCTACGAGGAACCCCTACCATGGTCCACAGTCCTGCCTCGCGCCAGGAAACCAGAATACCTGCTCCTGTGTTCTCTCACATCAAACTGGTAAGCACCTTTTCGAACCCCACAATCGTGTCCTCGTTCTCCCTCAAACTACTCGTTGCTTTGTCGGGGAAACAAAGTTTATCGCTGTCCAGCAGCTCGTTTGAGCCTCGGATGTCCGGGCAAAGTAGCCACAACCCCTCCATCTGGTTTGCCGAGACACACTTTGGTGACTGACCAAGTGAAGTTCATAGAGGACATGGTACCTCAAGAAATGGTACCTTCATTATCTGTTATATAAGGAATGAATCGCAAATCAATACCTTCGACGGATGGTTCACCCGAGGATGAATGAGACATGGAAGGCTCGTCCTCCTCAAAGCCAGCGAAAGTTCCTCCTCAGACCAAACGAGGCATCAACGAGAGTCGCGCCGAGAGGAAACGGGTCCAAGATCGTCTCGCGCAAAGAGCGACCCGAGAACGGACCAGGAGCCGCATTGCATTTCTCGAACAACGGCTCAAGAGCCTCGAAGCCGCAGACCGACAAGGGGAGATCGTCAGCCTGACACGCATCATCGAAGACCTTCGCAATGAGAACCACCGTCTGCGCGATGCCTTGCTCAAGATGCGCTCGACCATTGACGAAACCATAGCTTCGACAAGTGGCACGTCTTCATCTACCTCGCCACTCTTTGAGAGCGCCGCCACGCCAACCGCCGCACACTGCAATTCGCCGCCGTCTCACCAAAGGCGTCATCCGTCGGGAGGAGACGGCGGTTCACAAGACCACCGACTCGAGACGTCCCCGTCGGCGTCGTTTGAATTCAACCCGGACACACTGCTTCAAATGTTCGAGACGGCAGGGTCCACCTTCAACGCATGGGGCCAGATGGCGACGACGTCCTCGTCTGCGTCTCCATTCGACTTCCGCGTCGCGACGCCGCCAGAGGTTGTCAACAACATCGCACCCGACGTCGACAAGTGGCACGTGTCCAACGGGGCCTTCATAAACGCCCTGACCGAGATCAGGAAGCGCAATCCGGCCGACCAGGAACTGGACCTGCACGTGCCGTTCAAAGCGGCCATCTGGGGCTGGAACAACGTCGGGCCCGAAGCACAACATCCAGTGTGGCTTGCACTGCGCCAGGTCGATCAAAGGGTGTTTGGGACCTGGAAGTCGAAAGCACAGAGGATCGCCCTGATGTACGTCTGCCAGACGCTGATGCAGTACCGTGAGAATCCCACCGCGGATAACCTCGGTCGTGTACCTGAATTCTTGCGACCAAGGTAAAGTTTGAACCCTAGTATCCCTGAAGACTAGTCTCTCGAGACACTCACGTTGTCGTTTCAAAGCAGTACGGCTTTGGTGTGAACAGAAGAAAGAAAAGAATTAGCCACTGACTGACGTTACCTTGCGTTGCCATCGCAGACCATCACAAGAAAAGATTCAACACCCTGCCGTGATTGACTTTTTGATCTGGTATGTTATCGGATGCTCTTACTGCCTATTATCCGTTGCCCATTTCCCATCAGTCACTTTTCTTCCTTCCGCCTTTTCTTCTCTTTTCGCGAAGCACCGCCTCCAAATTCGACACACTTATAAGATGCATAATTGGACATTCGTACTTACTCTTCTTTTTTCTTTCTTTCTTTCTGTATGATAGGCCCGCCCTCCGCGATCGTCTCGTGTTTGAATACAAAAAGTACACCTCGACCGGAATCTTTTCGAAAGCCTTTGTCGAAAACTTCAACTTCTACTGGCCTTATCCCGCCAGAGACATTTTCATCTACGACCCTGCCACCGACGGCTACGACGTCTCTCCCATGTTCCTCAGACATGTATACGACCTCAAGAACTGGACCATGAAGCCCGCTTTCTTCAAGCAGTTTCCCGAGATGGAGAATGACATTCCCGTCTTTACGGAGCCGAGTGATGATGATGAAGTGTCTGGCGAGTCGTGGACGATATGAATGTAATGTTGATGAAGATTATCATAGCTGGAAAACAAATCAAAAAAGGGTCAAACAAGCTGTTAGTGGGGAGAACTTGCCCCTCGACTTGGATATGGGTTGAAAAGGGATGGGCACCTCGCAAACCTTCTAATAAGTACAAGTTGTATACAGATCTGTGAAGATGGATCGAGACGCTTATCACTGTACGGACGAACCTCGCACATGACTTCCTTCTAGCCTTCTCAGTTATAGCCTCGGGTCTCCAAGATCGGACAGATAGTGGTCGGGCCGGGTACATATAGCGCCTCAGATCGGGAGAAGAGGTTGGTTACTACCTGTACCTAAGGGGTTTTCGAGAGCGGGAGATCGGGCGACCTTCCTATTCCTGAGCGTAGAGATCGGGAATGTCGTGCAATTTGCCGATCAGTTTTGGGTGACACGGAGTATCGCCTTTCAGATTGAAGCCTCAGTGACGGTGAGCTCCGTATGCTCCAGACGGGGCTCAGGCTGTCCCCTCTTCCATGAGTTGCTGAGGATGTGTGGACGCTGGATTCGAACCGCCGGGGTCAAGGTGGGTGTCGACATTTGCATCTTCCATCTTCACGAGACGCACTGATTTCTGGTGTGCAATCACCATAATGTCGTCGTCGTCGACGGAAGTCGTGGCTGCTCCAATACCAGGGCTTAATCTCAGACGAGCTGCTACCGCGTAAGCCAGCTCCTTGCATCGAATGGCTCGAAAGGAACTTCTAAACCGCCCCTAGATGCCAACGATGCCGGAAGCGCAAGACAAAATGCCTGGGTGGGAAACCGTGTAGATCGTGTACTTTGGCAAGACAGGAGTGTCTGTACTTCGAGACTTCTAAGAGGAAGATCTTGGTCTCCCAAAGGTTCGTACCCTCCACGACGACATGGTTGGCCGCAAGACAGGGGGTGACCCTCTCAAAAGCTATATTCTCGAGCTGGAAGCTCGCGCCAATGCAGACAAGCCGGTGATGGGGCGGAGAGGCGCGGAAGTCCATCACCAGGAATCTATAGACGATGAAAGGGTCGCGATACCTGGACAAGCCGAAACGCCAGGGGCTTGCTCTTCAAGTTCAGGGTGGGATGCTGACGATATCGATGACAATCCGATCACGGAAGAAACAACTCAGCTGGTGAACAGTCCTGGTGGCGAACGACGTAAAGCTGCTTTTATTGCCTCCCAGAACAAGTCACCGCTGCTGACGGTTTGACAGAATACCTGGGCGTCTCGTCATCCTTGAGCCTTGGATTACGATTTCGCGACTTCATCGACACGCTTCGAAACAGCCTGGATCAGGGTGTCGAGCCTGATGCCTCGAGTCACAGACTCATGGCCCTTCCCGCGGCTCAACATAAGCTACAGAGGTCCAGCCCAGACACAGTCGTGCTGCCTCCCTTCGCACAGGCAAAACGTCTCTTTGCTGCTCAATATGCCTATTTCGGAACCACGTTTTTCTTGTGCGATCAGGCCAAGTTTGAGAAAAGCTTGAACAAGACGTACCATGGGGAACTTGACTTGATGTGCCAAAAGGACTGTCTGGATTATTGCCAGGTCTTGATCATTCTCGCATTCGGCCAGTTGTACTCTATCAATCAATGGACCAGTAACGATGGTCCTCCCGGATTCGAATATTTCCAGCGGGCTATCACCTTGCTTCCTGACTTGCATGCACAAGGATCCACGACTTTTGTCGAAGTCCTTGCTTTGGCAGCATGGTTCTTCCAGAATCTCAATCGTCGCGATGCTGCCTTCCTCTACGTAAGTTATTCTTCGTGCCCCAACACCCAACACACGTCCCTCGTTCGGAGAAGGTCTAAGCACGCAAATAAGATTGGCCTGGCATTACGCATGGCGATTACACTAGGTCTGCATCAAGAAGTCAAAGATCCCAACTGTGATCCTGCCGCCCGGGAATACAGGCGCAGACTGTGGTGGTCTGTCTACAGCATGGACAGGTAAGGGGAGACAAAGAGGTTCCGCCCGTGGAGCTTTTGCCCCCTCGTCGACACTGACAATCGCATGGCAGAATTCTCTGTATCAAACTCGGCAATCCACCCATGGTTGAAGACGAGGACATAGGCGTGTTTTTGCCTTCGTGTCTGGTAAATTCTTCTTTCTTCTTTCTTCTTTTCATTACGAATGAACGGAAAGATGTGCCAAACCGCTCATCCATATATCAGGGGGATGAACCAGAGACGTGCTCGGCCGTCGCGTTACGACACTACACCCAGCTGTCTACGATTCTCGGCAAAATAGCGAAAAGTATGCCGTACCCTCCCTAACCCCCCCAGTGGATGATGCATTCTGTACCCGTCCCCTGGCTGCCTGCCCATAACACCCCTCCCCAATCCGTCTGACTGAAAGTCACAGCATTGTATCGACGAGTCCACACGCCACAGCATCATAATCTCGTGCGCACGATGCGGTCGATTCTGGCCGATCTCTCGAAATGGGACAACAATCTGCCGGCACACTTGCGTTTCGACCTTTCGAAGACCGATCATCATCAGCCCATCTCTCGCGAGGCCGTGTCAATCTATCTCCACTATTCGCAGTGTATCAACATGGCGGCACGACCGCTCGTGTTCCACGTCGTACGGACCCGGCTTCAGAGCCAGGAGACCGTCGACAGTAACACGGACTGGAAAGCCGGCTTGTCTCCGTCGACAGTCACCATAGTTACCGCGTGTATTGCCGCCGCCCGCAACACCGTCACTGTCATGACTCGTGCCGCAAAGCAGAACTTGATAGGTGTGTGCTTCCTCCTTCTCCCGTCCCTATCCTCCTTCTCCCGTCCCTATCCTTCTTCTATTTCCCTGGCCCTTTCCCCCTTTTTTCCCCTTGTTCCCCGTACCCCCAGAAAAGACGGACGTGCGAGTGCAAGAGATCCAAACCAAAACATTGCTCATCATCTGATTGTTCTCTTCCTCTTCCTCTTTGAAGCCACCTACGGGTACCAAGACACTGAGCACGCTTTCTCCGCGGCTCTGATCCTCGTAATGATCAATATCGCTCTCCCCTACCAAGAGTACGACCGCAAATTCATGTGGATGGCGCTCGAAGTTTTGGAGGGCATGGCCGACAAAGGGTCCGACCATGTAGCGTACTTGCACAGTCTACTCATGAGCCTCTGTACGGCCATGAGACTGGGGCCTGAGCAGAAGGAGACATGTATAGACGATACTGCTCCTCCCCGAGCCCACATGCAGCCGCCTCGCCCCTTGAGCGAAGTTTCTGCCGCCCTGCCGCACTTCGATTCGGGGTCGGACCTCGGCGATCTACAGGCCGTGGATGATTTGATGAAGGGCTGCGAAAACATCACGGTGGATCCGAATTTCTGGTGGGAAGGCTACGGTATGCTGGACATTAACAAGATCTAAAACCGCTCGTGATCAAAAGCCGATCGATGTAACCACATTTTATCCTATCCGGTACAAGTGGATGATGTCGGATACAGCGGTCTCTCTTCGGTGTAGGGTGTAGCCACTGAAGGTGATCTCTACTCCGTAACCTTGGGCGGCAGCGATCTTCTTCGGCACCGAAACCGATGGCATCACAATTCGAGCCTTGACGCCAATGTCTCTGGGAGCCAGGGCAAACGGCCTGTGCATGATTACTGATTACCAGATGAGTGCGTCCGACGCCTCGTTCACTCCAATCCTTGGAGGCCTCAAAATCCTTCAAAACTTCTTCTTGATGGCGAAGCAGAGAATTAAAACCTCCCCTGGCCTTGAATGCGCCAATTCCTCTGAAGGCTTTCGCATTTGACGAAGAAATGAAATCGTGGATTTGAGGGGGTTTCGTCCTTCCCATTCGCTGCCTTTGAGGGCCATCTCTGTTTGCGGCTGGCTCGCGATGGAACCGATAGAATGTCAAGTAAGGGCTGGTGTGACGTGAACATGGCCAGTAATCCTCCTCTGGGCCCCCTTGACCGAGTCTCTCGTCAAAGATGGACTTGAACTGATATCCGCAATGTTTTAACCTCTACGATCACTGCGGTCGAGGAAATTCAATTCTATAACGAAGAGACACCATGTAAGCCTGAACTCCGGAACTATCCTGAGCAGGCAGTGTACAACTACGCGGTTACTTAGTAGTAGAGACCCCGAAGAGGAAAGCGCCTGATTGAGACGCGGGCAGGAGACCGGGTATCGAGCAGTGATGACCCCAACATCCTTCGGCAGGTCACAAAGGTGTACGGCCTCTCTGGTTGGGAAGTCTACAACGACCGACACAATCCATAGTCGGCTTCTGATCGGAACGCTGATCGGATCAACCGCCGACTTTCCAATGGGATACCATTCCTCGAAAACTCCAAAAAACCACACCTATCGCCGATGCGATCACTCGAGACTCAGATCTTTGACTCGGTCCAGGTTGTATCAGTCATGAGCAGCGACTGACAGTCCCAAGGTACCACAGTTTGGTACTTGAAATTGTCCAATATCAGCTTCGAAATGCCTTCCCCGGCTCCAAAAGGCATTCGCATCGCCATCGACCGAGGTGGGACCTTTACCGATTTTTGGGCAAGTATCCCCGGTCGCAAGGAAGACGTGGTCTTCAAACTTCTCTCGGTATGTCCGGACCTCTATCCAGACGCTCCCACCGAGGGGGTCAGGCGGATCCTGGAAATTGCCGGCCAAAAGACAATCCCTCTCGGTGAAACATTGGACATCAGTGACGTAGAGAGTATACGAATGGGCACAACGGTCGCAACCAATGCTTTACTGGAACGCAAAGGGAAGAAGGTAGCCCTGCTGCTCACAAAGGGGTTTGGAGACCTTCTCGTCATCGGTAACCAAGCTCGCCCTAAAATCTTCGATCTAGCTGTGAGAAAGATGGAACAGCTCTACCAAAAGGCGGTCGAAATTGATGAGCGCGTCACAGTGGAGGGAGCCACCGAAGATCCCGAATCATCACAACTCATTGACTTGAATGATCCCGGCCTTGTCGTCGGTCTCTCTGGAGAATATATCAGAATTCTGAAGAAGCCTGAGTACGACATTGTTCGGAGAGATCTGCAGAGCCTTTGGGATCAGGGATATCGCAGTCTCGCAATAGCCCTCATGCATTCCTACGCCTACCCCGAACACGAGGCCAGGGTCACGCAGATCGCCAGAGCCATTGGCTTTGATATTGCCGTCTCGTCCGAATTGCAACCCATGATCAAGGTCGTCAACAGAGCGCAATCTGCAACGGCTGATGCATACCTGTCGCCAGTGATCCGAGAATACCTTGCCAGTTTCACGCAGGGGTTCAAGGGCGCCTTTCAAAATTCTCAAGACTCGAACAAGTTGTTGCTCTCGCAGTCTGATGGAGGGCTCACGACCTTTCAGAACTTCACTGGGCTTCGTGCCGTCCTCTCGGGGCCCGCAGGTGGCGTGGTAGGAATGGCCAAGACGTGTTGGAATGAATCAGATGGTACACCGGTGATTGGTTTTGACATGGGAGGTACCAGTACCGATGTCTCTAGGTTTGGAGGCAGATATGAACACATGTTCGAGAGCACCACCGCCGAGGTCACTATTCAAAGCCCCCAACTGGACATCAATACAGTCGCAGCTGGTGGGGGGTCGATGCTGTTCTGGAGAAACGGCCTCTTTGCGGTTGGTCCAGATTCTGCTGGTGCCTTTCCTGGCCCTGCATGCTACGGCAAAGGTGGACCGTTGACTATCAGTAAGTCTGAATATGTTCCGATGCGAGGCATTTGCTGATGTGCTCTCCAGCGGATGCGAATCTATTTCTCGGCCGCATATTGAGCGATTACTTCCCCAATCAGCTTGACCATGAGGTGGTGAAGGCCAAGTTTCTCGAACTGACGGAGTTAGTCAACTCTGAAAAGTCTGGGGACGAACCATTGACGCCTGAAGAGGTGGCCCTCGGCTTCCTCCAGGTTGCTAACGCTGCCATGACCAGGCCTATCAGGACCTTGAGTGAAGGGCGCGGATTTGAGACAGCGTCTCATAACTTGGCTTGCTTTGGTGGCGCTGGAGGCCAGCATGCTACGGCAGTCGCCCGAGATTTAGGCATCAAAAGGGTTCTCATACACCGTCTCTCCAGTATCCTCTCGGCATACGGGATGGCGCTGGCTGACGTCGTAGTCGATTTACAAGAGCCCGAATCTGTCGCATTTGAACCCGGCACGATTCCTCATATCAAGGGGCGTTTAGATAGCCTACGCCGGAAGGCCCTCGAGCGACTTCTGCCTCAAGGTTTCACGGAGGAACAATGCGTTCACCAGAACTTCCTCAACATGAGATATGAGGGTAGCGACACCGCCCTGATGGTCCCCGAGCCGGACGACATCAAAGACTTTGCCGAGGCTTTCTTCCGCGCCCATCTGCAAGAATTTGGTTTCACGCAGTACCGTCGGGTATTGATTGACGACATCCGTGTCCGGAGCGTGGGACGAGGCCTTGATGTACAAGTTTCCGATCCGTTCGAGCAACTGAAAGATCAGGAACATATCCGTGTCGGCCAGTCCGAGGCCGCGTCGACACGATCGGTCTATTTCGAAAATATAGGCTGGACCGACACACTTGTCTTTCACCTCGCAGAGTTGCCCAAAAAGGCCAAGGTGGATGGCCCTGCTATCATTATCGACTCAACGCAGACCATCGTCCTTGACCCTGCCAGTCAGGCTAGAATTCTGGATGAGTACATCGTCATCGAGCTCGTCGATGCCGAGAAGAAAACAGTCAACAGTGAGGTCGTGGATCCGATTGCGCTATCGGTTTTCGGACACAGATTTATGAGCGTAGCTGAACAGGTATGTGAAGTGAACATGGTCCATTCCTTCCGCTGACATATGCAGATGGGTATCGTGATGCAGAAGACGTCCATATCTACCAACATCAAGGATCGACTCGATTACTCTTGTGCCATCTTTTCTGCAGATGGCGGATTGACTGCCAATGCGCCTCATATCCCAGCGCATTTGGGGTCAATGGCGACCGCTATCGCCTATCAGGCGAGCAAATATGCCGAGAAGGGATCTCTGAGGCCTGGTGATGTGTTGCTGTCCAACCATCCGTGCGCCGGTGGAACCCATTTGCCCGATCTCACCGTCACCACACCAGTTTTCGATGAAGCCGGAGAAGAGATACTGTTTTTCGTGGCCAACCGAGGCCATCATGCCGACATCGGTGGCATTGCGGCGGGTTCCATGCCTGGGAATTCGACCGAGCTGTGGCAGGAAGGCGCCGCCATCGAATCCTTCAAGCTCGTCAAGGAGGGCGTCTTCGACGAAGATGGTCTTCGAGAGCTCCTCATCGACATCCCCGCGTCGTATCCAGGGTGCAGTGGCACCCGAACCTGGAGAGACAACGTCGCAGATCTGAAAGCAGGAATTGCGGCCAATACCCGCGGTACTCAGCTTTTGCAGGCTCTTATCAAAGAGTACAGCTGGGATGTCGTCAAATTCTACATGAAGTCGATTCAGAAGAACGCAGAAGAGAGCGTGCGCGAGCTCCTCAAGGTCCTCAGCAAGCGCTTCCGCGGTCTTCCTCTGTCCGCCGTCGACTACCTTGACGATGGTACCGAGCTCAGATTGAAGGTCACCATCGACAGTGAGACAGGATCAGCCAAGTTTGACTTCACAGGGACTGGGCCCGAAGCGCTGAACAACCTGAATTCACCACCGGCAGTGATACACAGTGGTATCATTTACAGCCTTCGTTCAATGATGCAGTCCGACATCCCACTCAATCAAGGATGTCTCGCCCCGATCGAAGTCATCTGCCCTCCAAACACGATCCTGTCACCGAGTTTGACCGCTGCGACGGTCGGCTCCAATGTGGAGACGGCTCAACGGGTCATCGATGTCATCTTCAAAGCGTTCCAGGTCACCGCCGCCAGCCAGGGGACATGCAACAACCTGACCTTCGGCTACGGTGGCACCGATGCCCAGGGCAAATTTACAAAAGGCTTCGGCTATTATGAGACAATCGCAGGCGGCACTGGTGCAGGGGCCGATTGGGTTGGCCAGAGCGGCGTTCACGTCAATTCTTCGAACACCAGAATGACGGACCCGGAGGTCTTTGAGAAACGCTACCCAGTTCTGCTGCGAGAATTCTCCATCCGCAAGGGCAGCGGCGGTGATGGGCTGAATCGGGGTGGTGACGGTTGCGTTCGCGACATTGAACTTCGCCGGAAAATGACAGTCAACATACTGTCTGAGCGCCGCGTAGTGGCGCCCTATGGGCTGAACGGTGGTGAGCCGGGGAAGAAGGGTGTCAATCTCTGGGTGAAAAAGGAGGCGGACCGGTCGACCAAGGTCATCAGCATGGGAGGAAGATCAACGGCACTGATGAACATAGGCGACCGAGTCATCATCAAGACCCCTGGCGGTGGTGGCTACGGGACACCACCTTCGGCGAAAAGGCCAGCCGAGAGCTTGTTCGAGTTCAAGCTGCACGAGGCTTTCATCAGAAACCCGTCGTCCTACAAGGCCTCGGGAAGTGTTGGGAACCGGGCAGCTGTCGCGGCGTCGAATTAGCAGCGAACGCCTGATCAAAAAGAGAAGACGAGGCGATGGGGTTTCCGCATGATACCAGCACCATGGTACAGAGCACCTGGGTAGATAATGGTAGATCACTGCAGGTTGATACTCTGGTACTCGTAGTATGTATGTATGGACCATCTGTAGGTATCTAGATATACATTAGCAGTTGCTTATGTCAGCCACGTCGTTGCTGCGGCGCGAGGCGCAAACTAATAAATCACTAAGAAATATTTTGGCGCCGGCAAAGAAATGCGGGTGGAAAAAAAGTTGAAAGACTCGCGTCGCTACATGATACAACTAACTACACCCAAAGCCATCCACTGCAGCGCAGAGAGTGTATGACTTGGTGTTTGGCTGTCGAGCATTGTGCAGCAGCGCAGAAGAGGAGAAATTGAACCAGCAAAAATGCCACACTTCCAACGTCAAAAGTCAATGTGAAGGCTTCCCAAGTTCTCCGTCACATTCTGCGTGAGTAGACGACGGTCTATTCGGACACCGCACCGCCCTATTCTCCTCTGCCATACTCTGCTCCAAGGCTACAACACTTTCGCCAAATGGACGCCCACGCCCATCTCCTCTCCCTAGGCTGGGCAGGGCCAGGCCACTCCCTCGATTCCCGCCCGTACAAACAAAAGGGCCACCGCGGTCTAGCGTACGACCCTGCAAAAGTCGGCAACAACGGCACAGGCCTCGTTAAGCCGCTCATGATCTCCCAGCGAAAGGGGCGTTTGGGGGTGGGCAAGAAATCGCACGAGCCGCAAGCCGGGAACGAATGGTGGCTCAAGGGCTTTGAAAGCGCGCTGGGGAACGTCGGCAAGAGTGAAAGCGAGAGGAGCAGTGGCGCCTCGACACCCGTCGTGCCGCTGTACAACGGAAGAGGCAAACACAGCGGCTTGTACAGTTTCTTCATCAAGGGTCAACAGATGGAAGGCACCATAGGAGACGACAAGCCTGTCATGGGGACGATATCGACCGTGAAGAAGGATAAGAACAGCAGTGACGACAATACCACCACCACCACCACCAACAAGAAGAAGAGGAAAAGCGACGCTCTCGGCACATCTACCGACGACGACGACGACGACGACGCCGGGGATGAATCTGGTCAACAAGAGTCGAGTGTGAAGAAGAGACGGAAACAAAAACAACAACAGAAAAGAGCGGCCGCCGAGTTCGAGCAGGTAGGCGAGTACCTTGCCCTTCGCGACAAGGACAGCAAGCGCCGCAAACGCACGGAGAGACCCAGTCCAGTCGAAGAATTCAAACAGGTGGGCGAGTACCTGGCCGCCCGAACTGACAAGAAGAAGAAAAAGAAGGACAATGTCGGGTCGCAGCAGGAGAAGGAGGAGGAGGATGGTGATCAATCCAAGACTGAACGGACCGAAACAAAAGAAAAGAGACGAGAACGGCGGCGGAAAAGAAAGGAAGAGAAAGAGCGACGACAGAAGACACAACCCGAGTCTCGTGGCGTTGAATTGGACGATGATGTCGAGAGCGAAGACGCCGCCGCGAAAGAAGCGAGACGAGCAGAGCGCAAAAGGCGGAAAGCTGCTGAAAAGGCCGCCAAAGCCGCAAAGGGTGTTTGAACCTTGACGACGACTAAATTCTATGACATGAGGACCTGGGCAGGTACTGCTTTGGACGTTGGGTATCCGTTTGAGCCTTTTTTTCCATCTTTGCAACGGTATATATCTGATTGAGCGTCTCCATATATCCGAGATACTACCCTACTGTGTGTTGAGTCCTGTCAAGATACCTACCTGCCTTATCGCAGGTGATGAATTGGAAATGCCCCCGATGATTCACTGACATACGACTCCATCATGGAACTCATGAACTGTTCTGTACTCGGACTGTTATGTGAGTGCTTCTCGGTCGAATACAACCTACATACCTGGGTAGGCATTCATACTCGTATTTCGTGGTCGTGATCATTGCGCTTACTCTTCATACTCGCTGTCGCCGTCACCGTCAACACGATCTCTCCTAATCCGATGCCGACGCCGACGGCGACAACCATCACTCAATCGGTCTTCCAGGTCTGCCGGATCTCAACCATGGTCTCCTCACCCAGAACTCGTCCTTGATAATGTCCACATGCGCCGTGACAATCTTTGCTCTTTGCCTCGCTTTACGCATCTTTTCCGCCTGCGTCTTGGACAGGACCTGTTTCTCGCTGTTGTCTCGTAAGTCGTCACCGTCATCGTCAACATCCCCCTCAACATGATCATCATTAGTCTCGACCTCGACCTCGACTTTCTTCTCTGGCCCCTTTGTCCTCCCCTGCCCGCCACCACTGCGAGTGCGTGTGTTGATGTTCGTATTCGTGTTCGTCGACGGCGTATTCTCCAGTGCATACTCCCGATACACCACCGACCCCTTGCGGAACATCTCCGGTTCATCATTGTAATTGATACCAAACCTTGACCAGAGAATTTCGTTCTTGTCACTCGCCAGTGTCCCCTTGAGGAACTCCTCCGCCTCAGTCTGTGACATTCCGCCCTGTTGCACGAGTGACCAAAAGGTAGTATTGTAAAGGTTGTTGATGTGGCCTGAAGAACGCGCCACCACCTCGTTAGCCTTTGGAAAGGTCTTTGATTTAAGATAATTCACCTGATTACAAAAAGAAAAAAAAAATCAAACGACGAAGATCGAAAAGACCCTGGCCAGAGGGAGGGGCATGGGTTGGGGGTATGGGTATACCGGACAAACACAAAAGGAGGGACACCAGTAGAACAACAACGACAACAGAAGAACATACAGTCAACCTGTCTCCAAGATAGGTAATCTCTCAAATTCTCCCATGACGGATAACACACTGCCCTCGCGTCAAAAGTGGGGAGCATATCGATGTCGAGTTTGCCGTCGCCCCGGTCGTCGAGTTTGAAGGACTGAGTGTCCATTTCACCACTCGCACTCGCATTGAAAAGTACAGACCACATCATCACATACGCCGCCGTAAAGGTGCTGACGACCGTACTCACGAGTTTCGCGTTGCGTCGCTCAAACAGGGCCGTCGACCTGTGGAAAACAAAACTGTACTCGTCCGACACGCCGTACGCGAGAATAACGTCCGGCAGTATTTTCACGACGTGTTGCGCCGCGAGGTTCATGACGTCGAGAGCTCGCGCGTCGTTGGGTTTCTTGAAGCCATAATGATGGGAGAATCTGGTGTGGACGTTAGACCAAGAAAAAGTGCCAGAGACCAGAAACAGGACAAGACCAAGTGTGGTGCGTCAACAGTTGGACACAGTATATGGATATCAAAAAATCGTTCATACATCCTCAACCCATGCACGCTCGCGGCGCAGGCGAGCTTTCAAGCCAAACCAATAAAAAGAAACAACCAAAAAAACATACTTGTGAAATCCTCGGCCGTCAATCCTCACCACAATCCACGTATTGGGCAATAGATGTTCATCGCGCTCGAAATTGCGCACGTATTCATACCTAGGGTTAGAAGGTTAAATACAATTTGTACGTGGTGGTGACACACATACTTGGAGTTTGCCATTTCGTTTCAATTCAATCAATCAATTGCCCGACTCAAAAATGTCCGAGTGTGAAAGAACTTGACCATTATGCGCGGGTACAAGCAGTCCGTCAGTCGATCAGTCAATCTATCCAAACACAGCCGTCGCCGCTATTCGCCGGGACCGATAGAAAGTATTGTAGTTGAATTGTATTCGGGTAAGGTAGGGTACCTTGTGTGCAGAGTGGAAGAATTAACCTGAAGGCGAAAGAATAATAAACCAATCCAATACTTGTGACTCGAGAACCCCGAGCTCGTCACCAAAGGGGAAAAAGATGAAAACGATGAAAAAGAACTCAACCAAAACGATGATTTAGTTCCGCATTGACTGATATCAGGAAAATAAAGTCGTAGAAAATCTAATCTACCACGGCGCTGGCAGCGCCCTGCGGACAAGTAGACACTTTTCCACAGGAACCGGGCCACCGAGACGGCTAATTCATATATCATATGGCAAAAGGCCATCCACCACAACTAAAAAATTTGCGGTAGTTTTGCTGCACAAATGAATGGCTTCAATTTCAACTAGAGCTATGCAGAGCACAGAGAGAGAGCCTAGCAATACGTAAGATCAGTCTCATCATACCTCTTCCTCCTCCTCTATTTCATCTCCCAAATCGCTGGCACGTTCACTGCTCTCACTGATCTCGCTCGCGGTCAAGTCTTCCTTGCCCTTTTTGCTCTTGCGCATAAAGCTCCAGTTGCTCAAACTACTCCTGCTGGTCTTCTTTTCTTCAGCGCTGGGTGTCGTCGACGTACTCTCCAAGCTTCTTCCAAGATGAAGATACTCGCTGGATCCTTGTTCTTCCTCGTTCTCACCGTTGGGGACCGATGATTCTTTTCTAGAGAATAACCCCCCGCTCTTCTCTTTCCAGCTTCCAAACTTATTGCTGCTGGCCTTTCTTGTAATCTTGGAGATGAAGGTCGGTTTGCTAAAAGCGGTGCTCTCCATCGACACATTGGCACTTGTGATGGATGCGGTCCGGTCCAGAGTATCAGAATCCAGCGTTGAGATGGTGGCGGCAAGTGAACTAGCATCTCCACGAGATTTCCTTGATTCGGGCGGCGACGCGGCCTCTTGGTCAGTCAACTTCTCTTTGGATTCTTTTGCCTTCGACTTCTCCTTGGTCTTGTCGCCTTTGCGCCCGAATATGGTGGTGAAAGACGGTGCCGCAGGGTTGAGCTTGGGGGTTGAGGCTTGTTGAGATGACTTAGGTCGAGTGCCGATCGGCGCCTGTAAGGGTCGCATCGGCTTACGATCGGGTTCGATGACGATCTGCTCGTTCTGTGGCAGTGACAAATTACTTGTTGACCCATGTACGATCGACGGTCGACGGGAGTGATTGCGGGAAAACGACTGGAAAGAGGTCCAATCCGGGGCCAGCGGGCTATTTCTGATCGTTGGCTTGTCCAGATTCCATGCATTAAATTGGGCTTCCAGTGAAGGGCGAGGCAGTTTGTCGAATGAATAAGTAGAAGAGGGCCGTGGAGAAGAAGTATCGCCCCGAAGACCAGGATCAAACGACCCTGAACGAATCCCAAAAGGATCATATGTTCCGGACGGTGTAGCTGGCTTTCCAAACCCGGGGAATCCAAAGCGTCGGGCTGACGCGAGACGTGAGGATTCTGGGTCCTTTTCTTCAGTACCGTGGCCTTTCAACAATGTTCCAGGGAAAGCCCAGTTCCCGCCATAAGAAAGGCGTCTTCTGGGCTGTGAGCCAGGGTCGAACTCATCCACTTCCCTCGGAAACGATTGACTCTGGCCCGCCTTGAGAGATCCAAGTAGAGGTGGCTGGTCAGCCAGTGTCTTCCCACGCTGCCTGTTAAGTCCGAACATAGAGGACATCGACATGTACTTGGGTTTGGTGGCTTGTTGGGGTACATCTTCCTCGATACCTTCCAACGGTCTTTCGTCTGACTTGGTTCCCGAATCCGATGACTTTTCTGTCTCTGCAGCAGGCGCTGAAGTTTGCATCGGACTCGAAAAGGACCGCCCTGAAGAAGATCCCGACGAAGGCGTCTGTGTACGAAGAGCTTCTTGCAATGCGGGAGAGCCAATCTTGGGGAATGGTATCGTGCCGGGGTCCGAGGTGTCTTTCTGATCAGGGTTAAGCTCGGGATCAGGCAGCTCATCCGCCGATTCGTCTCCAAGTAGATCAGCTGGGAGCAGTAGGTCTGCTCGAGGGCTCATCGGGACATTTGTCATGGGCTCTACATCGTCAACAGCGGAAGTGTTGATGCCCGAGGGAATAAAGGTCATCCCATTCTGTGGGTTGAAAAAACCGGGCAACAAGGATGTTGGCGACATATTTGCTACTGGCGTGTATTGCACACCAGCCGACAGAGGCTCGGGCCCATTGAACGGACCCCGAGGTGAGGAAATGCTACTCCCATGGGAGCTAGTGTGGCGCTGCCGTCGCATCTGCCGGATATTGGGTCGATACATTTCGGGGTCGAATGGCGGTATCGGTGCAAAAGTCACAGCCGTAGCCCTGCTGGCACGGGCGACATTGATCTGCTCCTGCATAAGATTGACCTGCTGCTGAATGGTCTTGAACTCGTGCCACAGGCTTGCATGCGTGCGACGAAGAGCGTCATATCTTGCCCTCCACCTCTGGTCGCGTTCGAGATCGAGTCTATCGGCTTCTCGGGTCTCGTCTGTCTCATCCTCGACATTCACCTGCTGCCGCTCTTCTTCCATCGTCTTTATCTGTCGGGCCTTTTCTTTGTTGTCATCTTCCAGCATCGCCACCTCTTTCTGCTCCTCTTCGATCTTCCTGCGGATCTCCCTTAGATCCGACTTCGCCCTCTGCTCAATGGCAGCTTTTTGAGTCTCGATGCCGGCGATTTCTTCTTTCATCCAGGCAGTCTGCTCTTCCCATTTGGCGATTTCGTCCCGACGTTTTCTCCTCTGGTTCTCCCGCTGCTGTAACAGTCGCTCTTTTTTCGTCTTTTCGTTCAAGGCTGTCCTACTGGCGGTTTCAGCCTTGTGCACTTGCTTGCGCAAATCGCTGCTTGCTTCATCACGATCTTTCAGAAGTTGTTTCAAGTCATCACGGCGAGCCTCTAGCTCCTTGAGCGACGCCTGAAAGTCTCTGTCCTCGTCCTGAATCTGCTGCTCCACCCCGTCTATGTCTTGCTGCGCCTTCTGAAATTTTTGAGACAACTCTGCAAGATTGCCATCCTCCTCTTCGTCCATGGCTCGTGGTGCAATGTCTTGGGCCTGCTGCGCGTCGACAGGGTGATTCGCGGGCGACGGTCTCCGGCCGGTTGTTCCCCTGCGCGTCGTCGGCTGTCCACCGCTGAACTCCCGCGCCACGGCAGGTGCAGGCACCGGAGCAAGCGATGCAGCATTTCGGATCGCGATGGCCCGGACTTTAGGTACAGATTCGAATGCTTCCTCTTGCGAGGCGGCAGGCGGTGACCCGGGCAAGCGGACGTGAAGGGCCTGGCTCGGTGTTTGGAAATCTGTAGAGCTAACGCAAAAGACTCGGATATCATATCTGTTGCCCGGAACAAGATCGTAAATAGCCGCGCCCATATCATGCTTTTTTGTAGTCCCAATAAGTCTCCCATTTACCTCAACGTGATGCTCTTGGACGGAGGTGGACGGTTCCGAATACTTCCAGGTGATCTGCAATTCATGTTCGGAGATCTCTTCGAGGGTGATAAGCGGAGTGGGAGGGATATCGAGACCAAGTTTTTCGACGAGAATGTCGTTGGGAGTGGTCAGGACTGAGTAGGCACGCCATAGAAGCCTAGACACAGTCAGCGTTTCTCTGACATTGCCGTCACGACCTCTGCAGACTTACCATGTAAAGGCCCATACGACGGCCACCAGCATTAGGAGAGCCATGCGGCCTTTGACGCTGATTCTAGGAGCGAGCAGAAGGTAGGTATTGGCAGCCCAGTGTAGTGACCCGGTATGCCATTTGGAAGGATCCATCCATAAGAGCGGGAGTGCAGGCATATGCTTCTAGAGATAGCATGCAGGTCAAAAGGGATAACAATAGATGGCAAAAGACATGCGAGGATTAAGTGGGTGTTTTGACAGACTACAAGGACGCTTGACCGGTGTCAAGGCCACTCTGCTGTGGGTGCAAGTGTGATGGTGGTGGGTTGTTCCGCCGGATGCAAATACATGCAGTTCTCTCCTCTCGCCTCACCGTTTCTTGGCGTCCGCTTCTCCGCTTCATCACTCCAAACCCAAGGCAAAGGCCGGTACGGAGTGTTGGATTAGGTGTTGCGACTGGGTGCGCGCTGCGCTTCTTGCGATTCTCAAGCCCTGTACGGACCCTCTCGTCATAGATGTCACACAAGGTCGATGGCAAGTGCACAGCGCGATGGGAAACCAGATGCTCTTCGTGCCCGTAGAAATACATTAAAATGCTACATAGCCTTCGTCTACCCTGGGTATCAAATGCACAACGTTTTGGAAGATTCGCAGGGCGAGACCGTCACTCGCTCAGCCCTGCATCTCGGCATCGCCGTCAGCGTCGCCGCCCCCATCATCGCCACCAGCATCATCGTCACCAAAAACATCTTCCATAGTCCCTAGGCCTTCTTCATCTTCGTCAACCTTGTCATCCATCTGCATGGCATCCTCAGGCTCGGCTTTTCCCTCGGGCTCTCCTTCGTCACTGCTCTCCTCACCTTCACTGTCCCATTCGTCCTTCAAGCCCCAGCCAACGCCGGTCAGGCAATACTTCTCGTGCGGTAACCGTACACCTCCGATCATGGGACCACTCTTGTCTCCATCCCTTGACTGCGCAGTGAGCGATATCCTGTTCCGTTCGTCTGCCAAATTCTTGAGAAACTCCTTGGGCAAACTCCCCTGAAACTGGTAGCCCATCCGTGAACCTATTGACATGCGCAGGGCCGCTAAACTGACATCGCCCTCCTCCAACTTGTTCTGGTTGTTTTTAGCACCCCGTCCCTTGCTCTGCGTACTCGTGTCGGCCTGATCGTATGCCTCATTCTGGATGTGTAGTGCGTCGCTTAGGACAGAGCTAGTGTATCGATAGGCAAAGTCCATCAGCTGGAGAGGGACGCGTTGTTGGTATGCAGAGATACCGTGAGATACGAGAAGAAGATGAATTAATCGATGGTCGCGAGGTCTCTTAGATTTGCCGTCGTCTGACAGTGACGTTAGAGGCTGAGAAAGGAGCGGCTCGACTTGTGGTTGCGTCGTTGTGCCTGCGGGTTGCGAAGGTTGCGGTCCTTGAGAGGCCGGCTCTGCTGGGGGAGTGAGAGGACCTGGCGGATTTGCTGGAGAGCTCATTGTGTCGACAATCAAGGCCGCGCTCGTAGTAATGTCCAGATGCCAGGGTAAATTGTGTGGTCGGGGGAGGGGATGGCTTTTCGGAAAGTTGAGGTTGAGATTCACGTTTAGGAAAACATTGCGCTGTCAAGGTACGCGATGTTGGAATCCAATGCGTCGCCTCAGAATAGTGGAAAGAACGGGAGACACGCTGGAGGATTGAAGAAGAAGACCAGTTGGAAAGGCAATATGGCTATCGAGAGCGTGTTCACAGAGATAGAGTTGCTGCAAAGTGAATCTGGGGAAGATATTAGACTGATTTTGCAGAGTCTGTGTGAGGAGCAATAGAGATACTTAGCGAGTGCCATATATAGACTAGTGAGCCGAGGTTAAAGCTGTTAGCGAATGTGCTGCTGCTAAATAAGTCACTAAGCAGTTGGTTGAGCATTCAACACATGCATCATCTCTGCCTCGCTCAACCTCGTCATCCTCCCCATCATCTTTTCTATCGACATTTCTTCAATCTTTACATGTACCTCTACTCATAGTCCTGACATGTGATACCCTTGCTTCAGACAGTCGTTCCTCTTTTTGTACTTTTATTGGCATTGCGTAGGATCCGGCGTTGTGTATTCCTCACATCTTGCTCCGAGCTTCTGACACTCCGGCGTCATCACACACCAGGCAGCCCGATTATGCCAGCCTCATAGCCATATTCTCGCCAACGCCGACATTTCGACCACAATTACAACAACGCCTTCTCGTCCGCGATGCAGTACGTTCGGAGCTTGGGGAGCGGCGTCTCCAAGACCTGGAATTCCATCAATCCTGCCACGCTGTCTGGTGCCATCGATGTCATTGTTGTCGAGCAAGGGGATGGTTCGCTGGCGTGTTCGCCCTTCCACGTCCGCTTCGGCAAATTTTCTCTTCTGCGGCCATCGGACAAAAAGGTCGAATTTAAAGTCAATGGCATCAAGCAGAATTATGCCATGAAACTCGGTGATGGTGGTGAAGCGTTTTTTGTCTTTGAGACCTCAAATGACATCCCTGAAGCCCTGCAAACATCGCCTTTGGTCTCTCCGGCCAGCAGTCCCTCTACTACTGCGGAGGATCGACCGCCCTCACCCAGCCTGCTGGAACCTACGTACCTCGACATCACGGAATCTGGAAAACGCAGTCAAACTCCTGAGCCTATGGGCGGCCGACCAATTCCTCTAATCAGACGTGAAGGAACAGATTTGGCCGATCAGACCATTATACAGTCGTTGCCGTCTTCCAAAGTAGACCTCGGAAGCGGTTCGTTAGATGGCCGCGGATCAAATGCTCCTTTGGCGCTGACACGTTCTGCTTCTGAGGAAATCCTTCCTGCTTCCGCACGAGAAGAGCTCGATTCGGTCAGCGACGCGTTCCTTCATAACGGCATACCAGTGTCACCAGGGTACAACCCAGAAGGCTCTAGCACGCCCAGAGTCTCGGCTAGCCCTGCCGCATTACAGCCCAAGGAAGCGTATGACCGGGCTTTGACATTGTCCAAGAAGCTCTCGATATCCAATATTCGCTCACAGGTGACCGAGTCCGGAGACTTGATGCTCGACATGACCGGCTACAAAACTAGCGAAGATGAAGCCCTTCGAGCTGAAGCTGTTGCACGCAAGCTCTTATCAGAAGAACTAGAGGGCAACTATGACATTGGCTCTCTCATTGGCACAGACGAGCACGGCAACCTGTGGATTTACAGCAGTGAAGAAGCTCGTGACGAAGCCATTCGAAGGGCAAGTGGGAACGTGCTAGAGGGAGCTTCTCCAGTATCTCCCGATAATGCTTCCGATCCGGGCTACCACAGCGACAGCGAGCGAAGTCTATCCCCCGAACTACTGGCCAAAGGTCAACAGTTGGGTCACCACCAAAGGGCCCAGTCCGAAGACATAACCGAAACGCCGCGTATGTCTGGCGAGCAAAGTCGAAACTTTGCAAAAACACTCCGTCTCACCAGTGACCAATTAAAAGCACTCAATCTCAAGCCTGGCAGGAATCAAATCTCGTTCACCGTCAATCGCGCCACGTGCACGGCATACATGTACTACTGGAGCTCAGACGTGCCCATTGTCATCTCTGATATTGACGGAACAATCACCAAGTCTGATGCCTTGGGCCAACTGCTCAACATGGTCGGTAGAGATTGGACACACGCCGGAGTGGCCAAGTTATATTCCGACATTGTTTCCAACGGCTATAACATCTTGTACCTGACGAGCCGCTCGGTGGGACAAGCTGATACGACTCGTGCGTACTTGAACGGCATCGTCCAGGACGGCTGGAGATTACCCGAGGGACCGGTTATCTTGAGTCCCGACCGGACGATAGCAGCGTTACGGAGGGAGGTATACCTTCGAAAACCCGAAGTCTTCAAGATGGCTTGTCTTCGGGATATTCTGAGTCTTTTCCCTGGACGGACCAATCCGTTCTATGCCGGGTTTGGCAACCGATTCACCGACGCATTGAGTTATCGAAGCGTGCACATCCCGTCGACTCGAATCTTCACCATCAATACCAATGCAGAAGTCTCGTTGGATCTCTTGACGTTGAACAAGTATCGAAGCAGTTACGTTTCGATGCGCGAGGTGGTTGATCATTTCTTTCCTCCCGTATCGACGCTGGTCAAGGAGGGCGGGGAAGAATACACTGACTTCACATACTGGCGAGACTTGCCACAGGATCTCGATGAGTTCACTCCTACCGATTCCGAAGACGAGGACGAAGTGGATGATGAAACAGACGACGAGGACGAAGAAGCTGAGGTTGAATCCGACAACGGGTTAGGCGATAGTTTCCTTTCGAGAGCAGACAGCCTGGACGATTCTTTGATGAGTGACTCGGTTCGTCAGTCCATCGAAGTAGACGATGCAGCCGACAATCTTGAAGACTCCTATATTGACGACGGCGCCGACGACGAAAGGGAACCTGATTTCGCAAACGACTATATTGGCGAAGAAACCTTGGCAAGACCAGTGACTTCACAAACGCCGACTCCAAGATCTCCAAGAAGATAGATTGTCTTGAGATGGAGTAGCGCGTGAAATGTGAGAGCTGGAGTGACAGTTGAAGGTTCCTTGAGTAGTAGTACTCTGATGTCTCGGCCATTTGAGGCAAGGGAATGTTGAATCGAACTCAAACGAAACGGCATTCATTCCAACTTTAGCGACACAAACGTACACACTTGTTTGGTACATTGCCAGGGGCAGAAACGACATGACAAAAAGCAAAGTAAAGCGAAGCGAAGCATGGCATTTGAAGAGCGAGCTCAATCATCAATCATCCAGATTCAATGATGAATGCAGAATACGGTGTTTTCTGTGTATCTGCGGCGTATTTCCACGTACTGTATACCTATATATTTATGTATCAACCGCATGAAGGGGAATGAAATGAAGGCTGTTTTCTTTTAAATCTCTGTATCTTTCGACTGCCCAAGTTATGCTTGTTGACCGTCTAATGTATATGTATGATTCGGTGGGCGCTGGTCTCGAATACCTATCTACCTTTTACTAGACTCTCTCCCCTTTCCTTCCCTTGTAGGATCAGACACCTCATTTGTTGAACGCCGTAGAACGTCATCTCTAGTCGTCTCGAGTCGAACGTGGGACCCTCTTCCTAAGCTTGCTCATCCGGGTCCGCGTCGTATGTGTTGTATGTGTCCTTTGTCCTGCCTGCCATGCTGACGGGCGTGTTTGTTGACCATGCCCCCTCTCAATGCTTCCTCGTCTTCCTCTTCTCCTCGACGTCGGCGACAATCTCGTCGAGTCTCGTCCAACAGCCGAACCCCTCGACGGCACAATCCAGCACCCACGCCCACCACAACCAACTGCCGACGTCGACCCAATGCCTCTTCAGCCTGGGGACGGTCAGGAAGGCCGTCTCGGCGAGGTGCGCGACGACCATGAACGACAGCACGTACGGCTGCAGGGTGTAGCCCAGACGGGCCAGCCACGGCGCCGCGCCCGCGAGACTCCAGACGCCGCCCGGCACGGTCGTCGGGTCCAGCAGCGCGTCTCTGAACGGGAAGGTCGCAAAGACCAGGAGGCTCAGCGCGGTCACGGCGACCTGCGACGCGCGGGCCGGCGGCACGTACCTGTCGACCACGACGTCGCTGAGGCCCAGGTCCGCCAGGCACGAAGCGTGCATCGCCACGAGCCGCTCCCGCGCCTCCAGGAGCGACTTCATCGGCGGCGCCAGCGCCACCACGTGTCGCCCGTACCCCGACTGCAGGACCATGTGGTCGAGTGCGATGTCGAGCATCTGCGCACCCGTCGTCCCGCCGAGGGGGACGTGCGCGTAGCGCATGAGGTACAGCCGTAGCGAAAGAGCGTGGTCCGCGTTCATGTGCGTGATGATCCGGCTCTTCATGGCGGCCGCGTCCGGGGCACCTCGAGGTGGTGCCGCTGCAGGTGCAGTGCCAGCGCTGGTAGCAGCAGCAGTGGCTAGCAATGGTTCCGTAGACATGACTGATTGATTGATCGATGTGTCTGTATAGATAGGTACTGTACGCCACCATGCACGTTGATTGCCGGGTTGTTTGACAGAAGAGTAATAGTCGAATCGGTGTTGGTTCCACCTTGCGTGTGAGGATAATTTGCTGTGTATGGGACACACTTCTTTGGCCTTGTCGATATCGTTATCGGACTCTGATATCTGAACACAGCAAAGGTGTTCGTTTATACGTTCCTCATCGGCGGTATCGGACTCCGGAAAAGACAGTGAACTGCAGGCCAAGAACCGCATGAACCTCGGTCAGTAGACGTTGATTCTCCTACTCCCGTATACGAAGTACGAAATATGCACAATACGTATGGAGTATCTCACAACTCTACAGACGCCCAACAGTTTTGGCGAAACAAACGCTACGCAAGGCTCGTCTCACCTCTATCCCGGATCAACTGGAAGGGAACACTGAGTCATGACGAAAGATCTTCTCTTGACATGAACATACTATTCCTCCTCCTCCTCCTCCTCCCTGTCCACTGCCGGTAGCGTGTTGCACTCCGTATACACGTCAATCCTCGGCACCATCAGCTTGGACGACAATGAGATCGACAGGAGGCTCCTACGTTGTGTGGAACAGCTGACACGTCTTGTCTTTCTTTTCCTTAAACCTCAACACTACCTTTCCTAGTATACCCACGCCCTCCTGGCAATGCCCTATTCTAACGTAACCCTATCCCATGTACTTAGCCATATCCAACTTCATAAACCGTCACTTCGTATCGTCATTTCAGTATAGTTGCACCGTCGGCCCTTGTCGCATCTTTTCGACCTTGTCGTAAAGCAGCCACGTAGCCACAGTGACGCCACAAAGGCGTCCTGTTGACTTCCATGGTGGACGACCAGTGATGCGACACGCGCCTCGACAGCTGGGTAGTACTACATATTGTAGTGCCAAAAGTAGTCATCGTGCGTCATAAAACGCTCCGTTCAACCTGCACCGGCCTCGCGATTGACGGCATGCGCATACAGCAACAACTCTGCATTCTGTCCATTTGCTGCATTTGAGGCATGTGTCTCACGCCAATCTAATAACGCTTCATGTACAGCTTCGTCGCTGTCAATCAAGATAAGGTCATCGTCCTCATCGCGATAGTGTAGTCGTACCGACCCTGACGCAATCGAATGATTGGTAAATCTGGCCAGTTTAGCATCAATCCGATCAGCCAACGACCGGAATTGGATGTTGGTGGCAATAATCATAGACACGTAGTTCTCGTCAAAGCATACTTTGGCTTTCAGCTGACTTGGTATATACCCGTCTCCGTCGCTAGAAGGTGATGACACTGGAGGAGAAAACGTTCGTCCTTGTGATAATGACGGTGCATGAGACGGTCGTCTGGGGTCGGCCGCGTAGCTGCTGTCGTAGCTGAAATTTTGATTCGGCATTCCCGGGCGTGGTCCTTGGGGCAGGCCATACTGTTGGGGGGTGCCTTGCCGGGACGGTGGGCCGTTGCTCGGAGAATTGTTCTGGCTCCTAGCAGGAGGTGCCATCTGCTTGGCAACATGTGCTGGAATCGGGGGAACGCTCGGAGCGTGCTCGCCAGACACATACTTGCGGCTCTGCTGCACCAGGGGATGCACGTCAGGGCTGCTTGCAGACCGCATGCGCGGCTGGCCAGGGCCTGGGGGAGGGCCTCGTCGGCCATTCACCAAATAAGGATTGCCACTTGGCTGACCGTTGGGGTTTCGAGGCATAGCTGGAGCAGTATTCCGATATGATTCTTCGGGTCGCCCACCGCCACCACTGACCGGGGTCGCCCCTCGGTGATAGCCGGCAAAGGCGGACTGCGAACTTGAGCGGGCCGATACTGTCGACTGTGGTGTCGAATCTCGTTCAATGGGAGAGAAATATGAGGTCCCGTAAGAATCCTGGGGAGACTGCACTGGCAGACCACGCGTGTTCAACGACAGCCCCACCATTTCTCCTGTTGGCATACGCATACGGCCGGCCGACAGGTGAGGATTACTTCCCCCACTGCCTCCTGTGGCGGAGCGGGACCGCAAACTCGTGCTCGAGGCATTTCTGCTCATGGTGAACTCGGAATATCCTGTTGCATCGGTGCCTCCATACGTGGTTCCGGAGAGTCTGCTGTAATCATCGTCATCCTCTTGGTTCAGGTATGGATTCTCCATGCTCATCCCCTGTAGCGATAGAAGCTGAGTATCAGAAGTGGTGCCTGTGTTTCTTGATTCCAACATGCACGACGAACGTTGTGTCTCGATCATGGTATGCCACTTCTGGAGCGTTTCATCGTTCTTAAACTTGATGATAAACGTTTCCGTGGCGGCGGCCTCGCCCTTCCACGAGATCTGTAGCGCGTAGTTTCCAGGGGTGGACTGCGACGTCACACTGGTAACGTTCGTGAAGTAAATACGTCCCTTCAGATTCATCTTGGGTTTTCCATTCCGACTTAACGAGGGTTTGCTGTTTGCCAACCTGTTCTTGGGTTTGTTAGCATTGACATCTTTGCACATGATGAGAATGCGGCTGAAAAGGTAGATATGGTATTCCTTCTCATCTGATCGGATGCCGCTATCTTTCATGACATTAAATGTGCCGAGAAGAAGGAGCTCGCCGAAGGTGGCGACGTTCATTTGCTTCCAGTCGTCGATGCGCTCCGTTAAATCTTGAAGAGCATCGTCTCTAGTCTCTTTGTCGATTGAAGCGTCTGCCTGCATCAATACATCCTGAATGATTGCTATAGCGTCTGAGAGGTCGGACTTGAGGACGGGGTCAGGCGTTTGATTTTGTAGGTCCTAGCTTGTCAGCACAAACATCATCTGGGGCTCGAGTACTACCAACCTTCAACAGCAACGGGTACTTGGTCAGCCGCTGGAATGGCTTCAGGAGGAAACCATTCAAGATGGTCGGATTTGCCAACATCTGCTGCGCCAAGGGGGACGTAGCTCTTTCAACCATTCTGTCCCACTCCTTCTGGCATGTGGTTTCACATCTTCTCTGGTTTGCAATGAACGGCTCATACTGCCTGAAAGGATCTTTGTAGTGGACGAAGAGTCGACCCCAGTTCTGTTGCTCGTCAGGAGTCTCGTTCTGTTGCTCTATTCTGATCAAGAACCGCTGTGCGAAATCCAGAAGGTTGTTGAGATTGAGAAAAATATTATGAATAGCGTCACCAGTCAAGGCGCCCACCTCTTCCATTTCCTTCTTCAAGGATTGCAGGTTCTGCAAATGGTGCACATATTGCCGCTCGGTCTCTACCAATTCTTTGAGGATGTGCTGCCTCCTCGTCAAAGTCTTGGGCGCCTGATCAACCACGTTCAAGCCACTGTCGGCGCCATCGCGAGAACCTTCGCTATCTGTCGACGGATGTAACTTCCCACTCAGCTTCAAGATGTCCAGCACCCTATTGATCAGCTTGGTTACCTTCACAAACCCGGTGGTGTTGTCGCTGTAGAGGTCTGTTACAGTAAAAGTGTCGGCGGCAGGGATCTCCATCTGCTGCATGCAGGCCTTGATGAAGAGGAAGGCCGCTTCCTTCCCCACTCTTTCCGGTCGTTTTGTGTCTACCCGGAGGTCACCTTCTTCCGGGTTGGAAGCATTGTATATGGTCAGTAACGGTAGGCCGCTCCGAAAGCATTGCCACAGCGAGGACACCGGGTCAGAGCCCTCCTCCTCGCGCTTTTCCATCTCTTCCAGGTACGGGCGAAAGCCCGGCACGCCCGACAAGCGGCGGCGTAGTTTGATACATATTTGGTAGAGTGATTCCCCATCTCTTACATTGATGATGTTGTTCCTATCCAACATAGGTCCATGATCGCCATTCATTGCCGGTGGAGACGCCAGCATATTGGCTCAACAGTCGAGTTGCGTTTCAAATGAGTCGTCGGCTTGTAATTAGAAGGAGGTCTTTACCGTCGCATTGGTGAAGAGGGCAAGCAGCGGGATGCGACCGGGAGAGCCTTTTGATTCCAAGGATCGGTGTCGTACTGGCAGAGGGGCGGGTTACGGCGCACTTGTATGCTGATACGGACAAGGTCGGTAAGGATCGTAGATTTGCTTCGGCGGTAGATGAGGGAGCGTCAGAAAGCGAACCAGCGCAGGCAGGCAACAAAGACAAAGTTCTAAGACATTCAAGTCAGGACCCAGCAGCAAGAGAAGTAGCTGGAAAGCAGTGTCGCACTCGGAGGATGTGGGATGGGCAGCCAAGTAAGGAGACAATGGGACAGGCGTACCACAACAGTGTAGATTGACAATTCCTCTTCCCCAGGTTCCACAGAACGATAGATGGGCGCTGATAACGCGAAGGATGAGGCAGAAATCGATGCAAGGCTGTCGGTGATTGCTATTGTTGGAACTGTTACAAGGACGAGGGTAGGATGGTGCTTGGATTCGCCAGTCTCGCACAAAAGTGGTGTGGTTGGTCGAGAGGGTGCGAAGAGAACCAATCAGTGGTATGATGCGAGGACGAGAGCGCGAAGAGGAGGAAAATGAGAGGACAGCCCCCAAAGGGATCTTGCCCAGGTCAATAGTCCGGTCGACAGACAGGCCAATCGAGGACGAAAGTGGTGTAGACAGAGGGTGATTTGTGTGCTCGTTCACTCGAAGGCGTGGGAGGAAGAGACACAACAGGCGGAGAGTCGAAGGTTGCGACTGTGACGAGAGAACACACCAATATCGCTAACGAGCGGAGGGAGCGAGTGACAGAAATTCTGAGATGGAACGATCTCCTGCTTTCCACCAGCTTGGTACATACAGTACATTAGTAGGTGCCTTAGGTAGTTTCGTGGCGGTGGCACAATAAAGGGAGCCTGTAGAGTAGCGAAGGTTGCACGCACCGCAGGGAGCAGATACAATAACCCTTCAGGTTGGCGAAGTGGGGGGGGGAGGGGGGAGGGAGAGGGGCCTGGTAGGCTCGCCACGTAGGGCCTAACTAAGGAACCCTGCGGCTTTCTAAAGGGCCGGCGAAGGGGACCCAAGGCACCCGGCCGCCCTCGCATACATGCTCTATAGGTGCCTAACTGAGTGAGGTTTAGGCGTGGACGGGGGTGCCACGTCCCAGTCAGTGCAGTCACCGTTTTAAATGCAGCTCGCTGTTAGGGGCATCACCACCACCACCACCACCAAAGGTATATACGAGGTACACAAAACAACACAAAACATATCACAATCAGCATCACAGGTCGTGTGTTTCATTCCGTCTTCATTCTCTCAATCATCAACACACTCCAGCGTACTCCGTACATGACCCTGCAAGCTAGCCATGCCTTTTCTGCTTGCTCTCCGTTTGCTTTTTCTCTCTTCGCTTCGAAGGCTTCTCCTACGGTACAAATCTCCTTTCGCAGAGCCCACCAAGACAAGGTTTGTTACGCAACCGACTTTGGTGCTTCAAATGCCATCTATCACGCACAGTATACTGTATCCTTCATCCATCTTCGACTCTCGAATCTTGTGTTACTTCTTCATTTCAAATTGAACCCCATGCGGCTTACGTCGTTTCATGCTTCACTTCCATCATCAATCTGACTGGAGCCCTCGTCCACCAAGACCCTCGTCGGCCGGTGAGTTGGGCTAGAAGGGGAGGAAACATTTCGAACAATTTGGTGCATCCTTCACCCGGTCCCCCGGGGCTCGCGCTGCCGCCGTCATGTTGCAGCCGTACGGAGCACGCTGGCGCTGCACTGTATCCAAAGAGCTTCTCTAGGCTCAGAAGAACACGTCAATCCGCCTATCCAATGCTCTCAAACGCTGGATCAGACCCCAGCAGCGACAGAAAGTCTTCCTGGCGGGGCCGTTCTCCTTTCCACCACTGCCTTTCCCCGAACGTTTGATCTTTGGCCTAGTGAGCCGGATATCTAAGGCTTCACTGGGCTTACTACTTCTATGCTGGCCCACGCCAAACGTCCGGGACTTTTCGGTACCTAAGATGCCGATCTAGCTGATTAGAATTCATCAGCAGGATGTACTCGTTCCCAGCTCCCTGGGCCGAAAAGAAATCACTTGTGGAAATAACAATTTCGATTAGAGCCACACCCATGTTTGTTGTTTACGATGCTAGTCCTAATGGACTTGTCCCAGATGTAGCCAGGAAGCCTAAAGGCTAAAGGTCGCGCAACGGCACGAATGGTCCCTGGAGGCAGCACACCATCCATGTCCCCGTCATGCAGATCATGCCACGTTGAGCAACCCGTTCAGCCGTCATGCCATACAAATATCCTGGCACATCCTGGCAGCGGCTCGCTCTTGTTTCAGCAGGCCAGAAAGAGTCACCTGTAGGCTTGGGTGGGCAACAAGGAGGCGTGCCTCGCAGTCCTCAAACGCTAGCCTGGGACTGCAACGAATGTCCGAACCATGAGAGTGCGGACTCTGTCGTCCTCTCTTCAGTCATAACTATATTCTTGGATTTATTTACCTAGAAGGACTACCCGGGGAGAAATCAGTCGCACTATCGGGCCGCCCCCCTCGGCCCCTTACTCCCTTCCTCTCCTGGGGGTCTCTGATCTTGCATGATTCACAAGTCGCGTTGCCACGAGGATCTCGCCAATGAGGTAAACCCTAAAACTCCCATGAGAAGCCTGGGCTGGTTGTTACTCAGCACAGCAGCCTGAGCAAGTCCTGTAGGTGCAAGATGGCCCTGCAATATCGCGGTCGTCAATGATGATAGGATCCTCGCGACTTGCCGAGGTTGGTTCAGGCGGCTGCTCCACGCATTCAAGCAAAACCCAGTGTCTGACTTTGGAAATATTGCGACAAACCGGTGAGAAGGACGGTCCTCAATGTTAGACACCATCAGACAGACGGAACAATTGATTTGCATCGACGGCTATTGCATCGGGTTTGTACTTCGCGAGTCGCAACTGCTGACCTTCGGGACATCTGAGTCTCCGTCCTGCTTCCGAAGAACACCAACCCCGCAGCGATATACACGCCGACATCAGCAACGATTTATATTGGTCAAGGATCCGACGAGCACTACTCAAATTGGGCCGTCAGACTGATCCGCCCGGGGATAAGAGAAGGACATATCCTTCGTGAACGGCCTCTCAGCCACATTGCTTCTTCTCTTGCTGTTGTTCCTCTGTTTGTATTGCAGCGCCGATCACAATGGCTTCATATCTGGACGAAAAATACCTGCTTTCTCTGGCTGATATTGATCCAGAGCTCAAAGCTGTAAGTATACCGCTCGAGTGCCCATGTTTACGATCTGATAAAGAAGATAGTTCCTAGAGAAAGCCAATCTTCCCCCGGTCAACTATGATGACCTGGCTGATTTCAAAGTCATGGTCGAAAAGCGCAATGCGGGGGCGATGGAAGCACTAGGTCAACCACCAGCAGAGATCAAGCAAACTGAGCTCCACTACCCTACCAGAGATGGTTCCAAGGTCCGCGCAAAGCTGTATCAGCCCACGACACCTCCCAAGGAAGGGAGTCCCCTGATTGTCATGTATCATGGCGGCGGCTTCTGCATTGGTGCTCCAGAGGGCGAAGAACAGACATGCCGGAATTTTGTGCAAGCCTTCGGAGCTGTCTGCATCTCAGCCGCCTACCGTCTTGGACCCGAATGGAAATTCCCCTACGCGGTCAAGGACTCTTGGGATTGTTTGAAATGGGCAGCTGAAAACGCAAAGTCATGGGGAGCTGATCCCACCGTTGGGTTTGTTATAGGTGGTACATCTGCAGGTGGCAACATTACAGCTGTGCTGGCACATGTTGCTCGAGATGAGGGTCTATCACCTCCCCTGACAGGCCAATATCTGGCCATCCCGGCGCTCGTCCCCCACGACAAAGTTCCAGAAAAGTACAAAAAGTACTTCCTATCGTTCGAGCAGAATAGGGACGCACCTGTATTGCCAGTAGCAGCCATTGATATGTTTATGCGAGGCTATCAGCCTGACGACGATGACGCCGTTTGGTATGCCGTCTTCAATCATCCAAAGGGCCACGCCAATCTACCTCCGGCCTTTTTCCAGATTGACGGGATGGATCCTCTGCGGGATGATGGAATTGTCTTTGAGCGCGTCCTCCGGGAAGAGTATGGCATCAAGACAAAGATGAATGTGTATCCCGGTTTGCCTCACGGTCACTGGGGATTCTTTCCTTTTTTGAAAGCCAGTGAGACGTTCCGAAAGGAACAAGTCGAGGGCATGGGATTTCTTCTTGGAAGGGAGCCTGATTTCAGCAAGGTCGTGACCACGGCTGTCGCCGCAGGTGTTTGAGCCCTTCAAAGGACGGTTCACATGGTTGCGGTCGCTCAACTGTCGAAAGTAGAACGCATCGCTGCTGCCATAGTTGCAATCTACGATAGAAGCATAAGAATAGAAGAAGAGAAAAGCGGGAGAAAAAGACATTGGACATTGGTCGTTGATCATCATTTCCATCATCCTTGCATGAGGCGTGGCTACTGCACCGCCGCCATCACTGGGTAGGGGTTCGTCTGTAGATCCTTGAGTGGTGCTACTTCTTCCGCTCTCGAATCTTGAACTTGAGACCGTTCTTGTTGACTCCTCCTACCGTCCCGGCCATTTTGGAACGTTGCAAATCCAACTGGTCCGCCGCAGCCAAAATCTCGCGCTGCCTCTTCCTCAACGCCTCTAACTTGGCCACCCTCATCTCTTGCAGACGTTGTCTCTTCTTGCGCGCGGTCCGCAGACGTGCTGCAGCGTCTTGCTCCGCTAACAGGGCTTTCTTGGACTTGGGTTTGGTTTTTCCGACCAGGCTCTGTTCGTCGTCTCCTTCCAGATGAGAGTTCGCCTCGACCGTATTCGTGCTCTCTTCGTCGACCAAGGCCGCTGTGACTAGACCGGGTGTTACAACCTCGCCAGTCGATGTACGCTTCTTCCCCTTCGCAGCCGCAGAGACATCCTGCCTGTGGTTCTCCTCGTCGTCGAACCTCTTGTGCTGCTGCTTGTTGCCGGGCCTCGAGCCCAGAGTAACCGCATCCAGCACAACCTCTTGCTGGAGTCTCTCGATCTCTCTCCTGCCTTTTGCCACCACCGTTCTCAAGTACCCTGCATCCTGGGTCTTTAGCAGCTTGACCGCATCGTGACTCAATGGAGCCCCGGCAGATGTTCCGTCACCCTTGGCCGAGGCCTTGTGTTTCCCTAGCCCAGCCTTGCCCTGGCTTAGCATGCCAAAGGCGAACTCATCTGGGTTCCGCTCTCGCGCTTTTTGGGATAGTTGTGAGAGTTTCTTCTTCTTGACATTGTAGTCTTGTGCTCGGAGCGAGTAGTCCTTGTGTTTCTCGAGGATGCCCCATTTCTCACGGTTCCCAGGCTGCGCTCGTTCGCGGTGAGGCCGCCGAGCGACGGCGTTGCGCATCGAGGACATTTTGTCTGGTGCCGAACAGGGTTTGAGGAAGAGGCAAACGCCGAGAACAGACGGAGGGATGTCAACTCTAAAGAATAGGCTGGGATTTGAGCAGACTTTGGAAAAATCCTAGTGATTAACAAACAAAAGCCGAGCGCTTTTGTTTTTCTTTGCGAAGCAATTAATTCCCTGCCAGAAATAATTGGGGAAAGAAACCAAAAAGTCGAAGTCCGAGTTTCTGGCTGGCGTGACTTTCTCCACTGCGCATCTTCTTCCTCAATTACTCCGTACCTTGCTACATGTACAACAACTGCCCAGGGCTCCGAATGCACAGTAACCTCACGGCACCTTGAGCTTCGCAGAGGATGCTACATACCCACACCCGCTAAGCTCAGCTTCTACCGTACACGTTACTCCGACACCTCAGCAATGGACATGGCTCCGCCCATCATTCCCGAACCACGTCCATCCTCGACGACCCGGACAGAAAACAACCTCCACAATCCTCTTCCACTGTCTGCATCTCAAGAGTCCGAGGTGCGCAAACTATACTATGCTCGTGTCCGGACAAGATGTGCCGACGAGATCAAACGTGAGTCCTCTGTTTGTCCCTACACGTAGCACAGCTTTGGGCCAGGGCCATGATCTGACAAATGAGCTGCAGAATTCGCGGATTGCGCGCGAGGACGCACGTTTAGCGTGGCTTGGACCTGTCGAGCCGAACACCGTGCAATGAACAGCTGCATGATCCAATTCGCGACCAAAGCCGAAGAAGATGCCGCGCGAGAGGAGTGGTTCGCCGGCGTGCTGGAGCGAAGGCAGAAACGCGAGGAAGAGCTTGTCGCCGTGGAAAAGAGAAGAGCCGAAGTCATTGAGATGACCAGGAAGCAAGAGGAAAAGGAGCGGATAGAGATGGAAAGGAAGCTCGCCGAGAAGCAAAAACTTAAACAGGAGAAGCAGAGCGGAGGATCTTGGTGGCGGTGACACGTTTTGGCCAGCTTTGCATGAAGGTATCTTTTCGACATTGAGCCAGGTTCTGCTTCAGGGCATGGAGGTCGCCAGAGCTTGCTGCTCACGATGCTTCAGACCCCATCGCTGATCCCCCGGAACACACAAGAGATGCGCCACCAGTTCGCCATCCCCAGGTCCACCACCGTTCTCAATGACGGCCACTTCTGTATCAATAATCTTCTCTCAGCTCCATGACTTGACGACCTCCATCCGACCAGACAGTATACGCCACGGCCCTCAGGGGCAATAGCTACTGTTGCCGCCTTCGTCCCAACACGGCTCCATCAAACATCTTGTTGCCGTGCTTCGCACGATGCATAGTGGCGCTCTTCCAATTACACATTGTGCTTCTCCGATACCGCTTGCCTCGCAAGATGTCTCTTCTCTTGCCATCTGGCGTACAGGACATATGCCGCCACCAGCCAAACGATGCAATTCGCAACGGCGATCAGAAACTCGAAGGGTGTGCATAAGTGGTTCGCACCACGCTGGATTTCTGATCCTTTCATGGTTAAACAAAGTTTGGGATGGTTGGAATTGACAAGGATTCAAGATTGCGGTGACTGTGGCTGTGATGCCTGCTCAGAATTGGTGTACCTGTGATTGATGCGCTTGCGTGAGCCTGGATACAAGTACTGTCGAAAACAATTGCCGCGGTTCAATGGCAGGGGATATATACTTGTCCGGCAGCGCAGCAAACACTAGACCTCAAGATTGAGACTATTTGCGTTGTGCCCCTTGTGGTCGCTACTGCAACGTATTGAGATATTCACCAAAGCAAAACGCATGAACGCGATAGTCCATGTGTACGAACGTCGCGGCGATAAAGGGCACAACGCAGGAGGAGAACAAACAGGATGTTGAGGACAAACAGAAAAGGCAGATACTGAAATACTCTGGGTTGCTACAAGTCAACTCTGGACCCAAATGCAATTGCACTTGAGAACCTACAGGTAGACATCGTTTGCAAACGGCAGGGCATCGTCGACAGAGTTGGATCTTCATCTTCATCTCTCATCTATATCTCTGGTGATCGCTATCGCCTCTGTCAGCTATCGCCGATCACCTCGGTGTCAACCAAGTCCTGTAAAGCCTCACTGCCAATAATTGTACGCTTCATGACACGAGCACTGACCCTCGCCTGCGCGAGCCTCGAGAGACCACGAACCGCCAACCTCGCCTCTGCAGTCTCTCGACGACTTCTGACTACGTGAGCTAGCTCCAGCAGCGATCTGTCTCGACAGCGCCACGGCCTCACAGCGGCGTTGACGCACCTGTTTCCATCACGACCTCGCACCGGGGCGATTGGCGTCCACCACATCATCCACCATGCCGGTTTTCGCCCCGGCCAGCAACCAGAATACGCACACCCGTACTCCGTAATAGGTGAGCACGTGTGTTTGAATTTGAATGCGATTCACCCTGCCTTGATGCGGTAGGTACTTTTTAGATTATCAGATACCAATACTTTCGAGATCGGAAAGATAGATACGTCGTGACAACCTGGTCGAGATCGAAAGACGTAAAGTCCGTATTCAGTCCGGTCAAAATCCATCCCGGGCCCAGTCTAAATAAATCGTTTAGTAACTTCACATCATAAAACCTGGTTCAGTGTCCATCCGGTCGGTCTCTAATATCCTCGTCGGGGCTTCTCATCAAATCTGTTTCAGAAATCCAACTTCAATCACTCGATCCATGGGGACATTCAAATTGGCCATTTTCGTCCGCGTGTTGTCCCTGATCCACAGGAACGCCCAGAGCAAGACTTTTCGGAAGTAGTTCGTCCTGGCCTTGATCTTCATCTGCTCCTTGCCCATGATGTACATGACCTTGTGTGCGTATGCGGCATCGAGACGAGCGAGTTCGGCGCCGGAACTTTCCTCGCCAGGGCCACCGTCGCGTTCAAGCCCCGGCTCCGGTGTGCCTTCCTCTTCGCTCGACTTCTCCTCCTGGTCCATTTTCACGACAGACTTGGGATCTTCGCTCATCAAGAACAGTCTGATCTGCTCATAGATGACGCCTGCGAGGTCCGGCGTGATGACTTCGTCGTTGTACCCGTACCGCACCACCAGTCTGTAGCAATGGGGGATGGCGAGCCGGGAAACGGTGTGACGCTCGGATGCGGCGACGGAAGGAGTTTCCAGTGGTCGAAGGTGGAAGAAAACCATGACCTCTGGAACGGCCGTGAGCTTCAGTGCAAATTGACTGAAGATGATTGGCGTCGTTTCGCCAGCCTTGTCAAAGAAGATGCCAAAACCCTTGATCATGCTGAGTCGGTCGCCCTCGAACCGTCTGCTCAGCTGCAACTGGTTGTCGGGTCCTACTTGGACAAAGTGGCTTGTAGGGAAGCGGTCTTCGGCCTCGGCAAACCATTGTTGTTCTTTGCCAAAACGCCACAGAAGGAAGACACTTGCGAGGAGAATGGCCAAGGTGATGGTGAACCACGCCCCGTCCGGAACCTTGGTGAGCGCAGACGACAGAAACGTGGCGTCCATGCAGGCGATGGTGAGCCACGGCAAGACCACAAGAAACGGCGACAGCCGCCACACGAAAATGGCCGTCAGAGAGACCATGCATGTATCGAAGAATGTGACGAACATGACACAAACACCGTAGGCATTGCCCAAGGATGTTGTCTAGACAACCAACATGATCAGTCGAGTCTCGAAAAATTTTGATAGTTCTGAGTACTTACGTTGTTGTAAATGGAGGCAATGAGAATGGTGCCGATCATGAGTAGCCAATTCGCCAGAGGTACGTAAAGTTGGCCATGGAATGTTTTAGAAGTATGAACGACTTTGAGTTGTGGAAAGTATGACAGTTTCATAACTTGATGCAAGAGCTGCTAATGGTTAGAGACCGCTCCGCGTGCTAACTCTCGTGTGCATTGCAAAACATACCTGAAATGTCGCCGTAATAATAGCTTGGGAAGCCACGATAGCAGCGAAAATGGCGATAATCAGTGCCGGGTATATGGTACCTGGTGGAGCAGCGTTGAAGAAAGGGTTGTCATACGCATCTGGATGCTCGCTGATATACGCCGCCTGGCCAATATACGCCAGCAGTAGACACGGGAAGGAGTAGCATAGCCAACTCAATTGAACAGCGCGTCTGCTGAAGGCACCGAGATCTGCGAATAGAGCTTCGACACCGGTAAAGGCAAGCAAGACGCCGCCGAGTTGTCTCCAGCCATGCTCTCCGTTGCGTATGAGAAAGTCAAAGGCATATCCCGGATTGAACGCCTTGAAGACGGTTGCGTCGAACTTGACCAGGTTGTAAATCCCGAAGACGGCATTGAACGCGAGCCAGATGAGGATGATGGGCGAGAAAGCGACGGTGATCTTCGTGATGCCAAGTGGTTGGACCAGGAATAACACCACCAGGATGGCATCGGTGATGCCGACAATCGTGCCCTTGGAGAGACTGGGATTCACGACTTTCGCGCCCTGGACAGCTCCAAGCACTGACTGAGCCGGAGTCAAGACACCATCCGCGATGACCATGGCCACGGCCAACACTCCCATGACCTTGAGCAAGCCCCGGAAAAATTTGTGTGATTCGATGCCCTGGCGCATGACGCGACCTGCAGACTCGAGGTCACCAGAGGCGTAACGACGCATGCGGACCAGGGAGGCTTCTCTCGGGTCGCGATTTGTGATGTTTAACTTTGCGATTTATCAGCAGTGTTTTCCCACTAGGGTTGTTTGCAGTCATACATAGCGACTCAACAATGAATACGTGCTGAAAGTTCCTCCTTCACCATCGTTGTCGGCCCGCAAGACGATCAAAACGTACTTGACCGTGACCATCATGGTAAGCGACCAGATGATGAGGGAGAGCACGCCGATCAGATCGCTGTGGGAAGGAACAGACGTGAACGTCGAAGAGTACACGTAAAGGGGGCTGGTGCCGATATCGCCATAGATGACGCCAGTAGCCTGGTACGCCAGCCAGAGGAGCATTTTACCATTGAAGACCTTGTGAGAGGGTGTGTCAAAATCTGCATCAACATTAGGTCAAGGTTGGGGTTGCGCATACCTGCACCTGCTTGAAGTCGCCTTCTTTGCGTAGCCCAGGATCGCCATCAGGTTTGATACTGTACTCGGACGGCGCGCGAGACGGTTGCCGGGATCGTGAACGGATGTTGTAGATCCCATCGTCACCGACACTTCCTCTTCTTCGTGTAGTCCGTGAAGTTTGGGTATCGGTTCTGGTGAACTCTAGACCTGTCTTTGGGTGAACTGCATCTGCGATGCGGATTGTAGTCGCCATGTTGAATCTGACCCTTGACAGCGACACGGCGCCAGAAAACGCGAACAAGACTTGCAAAACTGTTGCCCTGGGACAAAAGACAGATGGCCTGGATAGACCGTGGGTCGAACGAGATTTATCTCTTGCGCAGCAGGTTGACGAAGAAAGAAAGAAAGAAAGAAAGAAAGAAAGAAACTTGGAAACACCTACCGATAAGGTTCTGGAACAAGCATGAGGTGGGAAGAAGCCCACACAAAAAGCGAACCGATCCTGTGCACCATCGAGTAGACTTGACTGGATCAATGGAGAATGGATATGGCATGTGAATGGGCAGCAGCAAGGAATGCCCTCTGACAATGGACGACAGTGGAAATCCCGTCTTGCCGGGCACGTTCCGTCTTACCGTGGGCAAGGCACAACACCAAACCCAAAATCGACGCTATATGATTGCGCGAGGAATGTGGGCGCAAAAGTGAGCCATTTAAGCCGCCGTGCTGTGCTGTGCTGTCTTCCGAAGTGTATTTCACTGCCATTGGAGGTGCTGCAGTGCCACCTGCTGCCCACCAACTTTGCAGCTGAATTCGCGACGACGTTCGAGTGGTGGGACTGCCCAGTCTTGTCGGGAGCGACGTGTGCCCATCTCACTTTGCCGTCGGTGACTATAAGTTCATCTGCTGATTTGCCTTTGGCTGGTTTAGCTCCGGAGGATGAAGGTGCTGGTGATGTGCGGAAATATGCTGGTCTGTCAGGTACGCAGGCTCAGGGTGTGTGTGGTGTGTGGTGTGTGGTGTGGGCTATGCCTCCGTCTAGAGTGTGAGGGTCAAAAATGGCATAAAGCCAAGCAATGCTTAGGGCGTCTTAGGCGCCGTTAAGCCTATTAAACTACAGCCAATAACGCCCCACGATTGGCCCTGGGCCACTGGAATCGTTCCTTAGGGCTCACTAACTAGTTAGACTCGCTAAGTGCAAGCGATTGTCTTTGTGTGCGCTTCTCCCATCCCACGCTTGGGATGTTGATCAGGGGAGTCAGTGCCTACTCCACAATCTGCCTATCTCAATAAATGCCTCATAGACAGGATGCGGTCAGCCAAGGCAATTGCATGGTGCGACCAACATGCGCATTTCAACTACGAGATATCTATGATCAAACAGTTTGATAATCGACTGGTGGGCGCCCAGATGACCAAGGGGTGAGGTTGGTATAACAACATGGCATCTCCCACGGCCACTGCGCAGGGGCATGGTGCCATGGCTACTGCTCCTGCGCCTCCCAATGCCACCGGCGGCACCTCCAAGAGCAGGACCATCGTCGCTGTCTCGGTGCTTCTGGGCGTGCTATTCATCGTCATCATGCTGGTTTGGTGGACCAGTGGGAAACGGCGTCCCCAGGAACCATCCTCCATGCCCGTCATATATCGACATGTCATCGAGGAGAAACGAAAGACTGCCGTCTCAAACTCCTTCGTGGAGTCGATGCCTCTTGTCAAGTATGGCACGGTGATACGAGTGGCGCAAATGGACAACCGGACAGACGAAGAGGCGAACATTGCCATCAAGGGAAAGGTGTTCGTAGACGCCGCAAGGAGAAGTATAATAGTCCTGTCCTATGATCCAGGCTTGTATTGACACACGTGCTAGGTGAATGTCCTGTTTGCGTCGAAAACTTTACTCCTTCTGATGAGGTACGCATACTACACTGCGGCCACATATATCATCCTCGATGTATCGATCCATGGCTGCTGAGGGTGTCTGGTACCTGCCCAATATGGTAGTTCACAAGAACCCCACCTACACGTTGGTCCTAACTTCGCTTGTAGCAGAACGGACCTGAGAAGAATCGCCCCATCGCCAGTCCCCGATCTGCAGGTTCCAAGGCCAGCTCATCTTCAGGCGAGAACCACGACATGGTAAATTCGACCATATTGAGCAGTACATACCCCAAAAACATGCATGGCAATCAGGGAACTCAATACCAACCCACTTGATGTGCCCTCCGCTATCAAAACAAGCTATGCTGCCAGACAGAAAGCAAGTGGGCTAGAACCGTGGGTAGTTGAATCATTTTACTCTCTCAGGGATTCGCAGGATACAGGTCCTCACGAGTAGACTTGTTGTCATCTAGAGCATGGCTTGGGAAAGTACCCGCGATGATATTGACGAGAAATACATTCCCTTGATGTGTATCGAACGACATGACCATGGGCTCATCGACTTGACCATCCATCCCCTCACGTAGGTCCTTCTACAAATGCGCCACGAACCACTCTTCATCCCTGCAACTCTAAATGTCACAAAGCCTGAAGACAGGGGAATTAATCTATGGTACCCAACCATGGGTACCTGCCGTAGGTACAAAAAGGAGGTATGTAAGTATCGTGGCCCGATCTTCGTCCCGTACAAAGGGCCCTGGAGCCGGAGTCCCCCGCCAATCGGGTGCGCTCCCTTTGCGGGCCAAGACCCCTTGACCGGTACGAGTCCGGAGTACGACTTGATAAGGCTATCGATAGATTGCGATTGATGTCACTCAGATATCGAAGAAGGGTATTTCAAAGGAACGCGCCAGATAACAACGATACGCTCCCAAGCCATTCATGGAGACCTCCGACAAAGTCAGATATAGAAGCGAAGAGATTCTCTCGAGACCGGTGGCATGCTGCTCTCGCGAGCTCCCATATCTGAGCAAAGATCCCCGTCCGCACCAGCCCAGCAGCAGCCAGGGGGCAGGTGCATCGTTGACACATACTTGCTACCTGAAAAATGGCCATCTCGTACGAGCCAAGTCCTGCATTCATCATCCCGACCGTGGATCTGACAGCATATCTAAACGACCCAGGCTCGCCTGAGGCTGACCAGATCGTGGACCGGATCCGAAGCGCATGTGCCACGAGTGGCTTCTTCCAGATCACAGGCCACGGCGTCTCGCGATCCCTCCAGGAGCGGGCGTTTGCCGCAGCGAAGAAACTGTTTGCTCTCCCTGACGACGTCAAGCGCACGTTGACCGGCGTTCCTGGGCGGGGATACGAAGTGCTTGGGTCGCAAGTTTTGGAGGAGGGAAAGAAACCCGATTTGAAAGAGGTACGTTTCTGGCAGAGCGTGTCGAAGGGACTGAGCTCTTTTGCTAACATGACTACTATCGGTCTTTTCAGGGGTATTTTGTCGGCCGTGAAATCCCCGGAAACAAGGCTCCTTTTCGTCGCTTTCAAGAGGCCAACATCTGGCCGGACCCGACTCTGCTACCGGAAAGCGACTTCAAGGACCCTTTGCTAGAGTACCACGAGAAGCTGTCGGAGCTCTCATTCCACGTCACGAGCATCCTGTTTCGCGGGCTTTCTCTTTCCCAATTCGACACGAGCCTTTTTGCCGACTTTTGCAAAGACCCCATCGCCACCGTGCGGCTGCTTCATTACCCTCCACACCCGCCATTAGCGGATCCCAATCTCGTCGGGGCCGGTGCGCACACTGATTTCGGTGCCCTCACGCTCCTGCTGCAGGACGGACATTCGGGGCTTCAGGTGTTGAAAAGGACCCCCGACCAACAGGACCAGTGGATCGACGTCCCGCCCCAGAAGGACGCCTACGTGGTCAACATCGGCGATTTTCTCGAGTCCTGGACCGGCGGCGCCTACAAGAGCAACGTCCACCGCGTCATCAACACGAGTGGCACGGACAGGTATTCTATTCCGTTCTTCTGGGATGGAAATGCGGATTGTGTCATCAAGCCCCTCGACGGGTCGACGGGGAAAGAATACACGGTGGAGGAACACATGCTCTCGAGATATGCCAAAAGTTTTGCCTAGTTGCCAGGGAAGATATTTACCTTGGTCGATGGTGTAGTGGCAGCTTCTTGTAGATACGAGACATTTCAAACTATTGTCTGCTTATCAACCTCTGCGCGAGTCCCAGAAGTGTATAATTATCCAGGGGCTATTGACGCGTGAGTCTAGTCAAATTCGCGAAAACTTCTTCGCTCGACAGAATCTCCGTGTCTGTCTCGTTGGGTCGACAGACGACGAAGTGACGAGAGTACCTGCTTTATATTTTCTATTCCGACGAAACCAAGATTGAAGTCAAGTTCTTTCGCAACGTATACAGATTGGATATGGATGGCAAGGCTCAGAAGTTACACTGACTGGGAGAGATTATCAGAGCGTTTTAAACAAATATTTGACCACTGTCGAAACATGCTATTGCATGTAACCGCGTGGTTGTTCCGTCAGAAATGTTAATTATGCCATACATTGAAAAGAAAACCTTTGGTGCATTTATCGTTTTTTTCATTTATACTTTCTCTGTGGCTTCAATGCAGCTATGCTCGACTTTTCGCGGATGCGTCTGATGACATTTCGCGCAGCATCCTTGATCTGGGTTTCGTCTGCGACGACAAGTCGGCCGTCGTTCACCACGGCCTGTCCGTCAACCAGCACAGTCTTGACATTGGCCGCCGTGCAAGAGTAGACGACGGTGGTCAAAGGGTCGACACCGCCGCTCGGCACCTGGTCCGGGTCGAACGGACAACACTGGAGACTTGAGGTGTCCAGCACGACAAGGTCGGCCTTTTTGCCCACTTCGAGACTTCCCACGTCGTTTTCGAGACCCAACGCTCGGGCTCCGTCGATGGTGGCCATCCGGATCAACTGCTCCGCTTCCATGAGCGATGCTATGTTCCGGCTGCCTCTTTGGATCAGGGCGGCCGTCCTCATCTCCTGGATCATGTCGTAAGTGTTGGCGCACGGTGCCCCGTCGGTGCCCAGGCTGACGTTGATGCCGGCCGCGAGCAGTTCAGGCACAGGAGCAATGCCTGACGCGACCTTGCAGTTGCAGCTGGGATTGTGAGCGACCGACACCGACGGACGAGATGCCAGGCCCACATGTTTGTCAACATCCTCTTGCGACGTTGGATCTTGTTGTTGCTGGTACCTTTGCAAGATCGGCAGATCCTTCTCCAGATCTAAATTGACCATGTGAGCCAACACAGTCTTCCGGCTCTGTCCTTGACCAGCGATCAGATTAGTGCGTTGGCAAAATTCGACGGGCGAACAATGATAGCTGTCGCGATAGATGCCCAGATCCGCCGGTGCTTCCGCACAGTGCATCGTCAGAGAAATGTCGTGCTGGGCACAAGAATCCCCGATCGCCCTGTGAGACGCTTCGCCTGAGCCTCTTGGGGTGCCGGCGGCTACCCAGACGCGAAGCCGTCCTCCGTAGGACCCGTCGTATCTCTTGTGCGCGGCCACGGCGCTTTCTATAGACATGCAAGAGACGTCTCTGTCGCGAACGTCGATCAGAACGCCGGGCGTTTCGGGCTTGACAAGTTTAGCCTAAAACTTGTAAGTGTTCAGGGCTCGTGTGGAACTCCCCAGAAATCTCAAAAGAGGGGTGGGAGGACAGGGACAGGCATACCAGACAAGCTCTCACGCCCATCTCCTCTACCGCCCGAACCACATTGTCGAACCCGCTTCTATGAGTCAACATGGCTTCGAGGAAACAGGTCGTGCCACCCTTCAACATCTCGGCGATGGTCAATCGAGCGGCCACATAGCCATCGGTTCCTTCATAGTTGGCCTCGAGAGGCCAGATCGAATCGCACAGCCAGGAATGCAGTGACACGTTCTCGGCCAGACCTCTCAAGAGGGACTGGGTCAGATGAGCGTGAGTGTTGATCAGCCCGGGTAGCATGATACAGCCAGAGACATCGACGACGTCGACATTGGGAGGGACTTGGCTCAAAAGATCTGCACTCTTCCCGATCGCCGCGATCCGGTCACCGTTGACCAAGACCGCCCCGTCCAGCCAGATCGTGTTCTGTGCGTCGACTGTGACTACGGTCGCGCGGATGAACAAGGTCGACCTGTTTTTCATTCTGGAATAGTGAAACGGAGCGCTCTCAGACGGCTCGACGACGCGCAACGGTTGGTAGGGCGTGTCCGGGAGGCTCGCCATCTGCCAGATATTGGACGTTCTCGACCACGGCTTATATGGCTCGCAGGTCGCGGACACTGTCGGCCCTTTTACTAGTCTTCGCTTTACAACATCGTCGTACTCGTACGGAGACGATATACAAGAGACCCGTGACGAGAATGGCAGTGGTCTAGGCCATCATGAAGAACCCCTTGCGTACAGTCGGCCCTCCCTCCACAGGAGACGGGACAATCGCAGTCACAGAGAACGAAGGCTGAGACAGATGACGACTAGCTGGCTGGCTGGTGGTTTATCGCACGGCCACATCTCGTACGAGAAGACATAAAGCTCTATCAAAGATAAAGGCCTGAGTGAGATTCCGCCATCACGATCAAGGACATGTGTACGAAAGTATCTCTCGATTCAGAGCGACATCTCTGTTTATCTATGAGAATAACAGGAAGAGAACATGCCGTTCAAACCCCAGTACGAGAGATTTGGTGTAAGATCCCGGATTGTGATAATGTCTCCGCACGGCTGAGGCTCCTGGACACATCTCGTACTCGTACTGGTGGGGAATACGACTTCACTTCTCGCTCCTCAATCACCTTGTACGATCTATCGGGACATCTCACGACGGGGGAAAGATAGCCACAAGTCGTACGGAGGTTACTTTGCACGAAGTCGAGGCGCGTGAGGTTGAGCAGCAAGGCGTTATCAAAAAGGGCTGAAGTTCACATGAGATCTCATTCTTTGTCAGTTGCGAAACTGAGTGTAAACGGAGTACAGCAGAGCTACTTCGTGCAAGTTAGAACCTTGACGAGTTTATAACCAGCCGAGTAACTCTCGCCTAGATCTACTCCCCACTACTGCCCTCCTCGCCTCCTACTAGCTTCCTTCGAAATCCAATCCGCAGCCTCGTTCTTGTACTTGTCGTCCCATCTGCTCAGCGCACTACGTCCCTCGACCACGTCCCCAGCACCCCATGTCATTCTGGCCTGGTCGAGTGCCTCGTCGACATCTGTATCCGGACAGATAATGTAGAACTTCCCCTCGGCCATCTTCTTGACCCCGTACTCGCACACTTGACTGGCCAGCCACGCACCATGAGGTTTCTTAGCCAGTGCCTCTTCGTCCGGCACGGGGCCTTGGTTGCCACTGAGTCCAGTAAACGTCCACCCGGGCACAAGTAGATGGACCGAGACCTGGGGAGCGTATATCGACGACGACTCGGTCCGCAGATCGTACGCGAGTTGTTCGGCCACGGTCTTGACGGCGGACTTTGTGGCATTGTAAGCCGGGTTGCCAGGCGGGTTGGTGATACCCTGTTTGGATCCCGTGAGGACGATGGCAGACGGGCCCGAAGCACTTTGAACCATTGGCAGGAACGTGGTCAAGCCGTGTACGATGCCGAAGAAGTTGACGCTGAATGTCTGGTGGAAGTACTCGGGGTCCGACCATGGTTCGGACGTGCGAATAGACATGCCGGCATTCAGCATGAGGAGGTCGATGTTCGAGAATTTCGAAGACAGTTCCGATTTGACTTTGGACCAGGCTGAAATGTCAGAGACGTCCATATCGTAAGTCAGCGTTTGGAGTTTGTCGGTGCTGCGGGTCGTCGAAAGCACTTGAGATGCTTTCTGGAGGGCACTGGCGTTGTTGTCAATGAGAGCAAGGTGCATGCCCTGCCGACGGCAGTGTTGAGCAAAGGCGAACCCTACCCCTGAGGCAGAGCCTGTGATCAGGGCGAGGGCGCCGGGACGGAATACGGATGCCATCTTGGACGGGGAGGGGTGGTGCGGACTGGGACAACTGAGAGGCTTTTCTTTATGTTCAGGCCTGGCGTGGAGTGTTCTTGACGCGAGAGGATTCTCCGTGAAGAGGACAATGATGATGAGAGATGGAATAGAAAAGATTGTAGAGAGTTATCGGGGAGTCGCCGAGGGTCGAGTCGCTGCAGATGACGTCGGGATAAATGTATAGACGGAGATAGTGGAGTTAATCCAAAAGAGGAAAGAGAGGTAAATAACACGCTGGAGACTCTTCACGTCGGGAAACCAGGAGCGGACAGAGCACAGAGTACATGTCTCCTACTAAACACAGTGCCTTGTTCAATCTGTGGAATTTAGGTGTCGCTTCAATCTGTCTTTGTGAATGCTACTTCCGGTGTCCAATGCCAGCTGGATCGGACTTTTAGGATCCCGAAACGGATCCGATTTCTCAGGTTCTCTCCGCCCCAGTGCTATACAGGACTCACGCAGCAGCAGCCGGTGCCTCAGTGCCGTCGACTTCCAGTTTCTCGATCTCCTTCCGGGCCTTTTCAATGTTCTTTTCCGTCTGGGTCTTCTGTTCCTTCTTCCAGTCAGCCACTTTGGCCTTCAACTTCTCTACAACAACAGGCACGTCGGCTTGTGCGCTCGGTGGGTCAACGCCAACCTTGGCCAGCTCCTCAAAGATACCAACATTCAGGTTCAAGGGTCCTTCATTAGACGATGCCGCACCGCCCTTCTTACCCTTGCCCTTCTTCTTGCCTCCGCCGCCAACGAAGAAGTCTTCATCGTCCTTCTTGATCACTTTCATACCCTTGAACCCGGACTCGTCAACAGTGCGTTGAGCAGTGGCTGCAAATTGGCCAGGTCCCTTCTCGCCACCCTCGGTAGCGTACGAGGGGTCGAAGTGGCGGATGAGACCTTCTGCGGTACGGATCTCGTCCAAGAAGGCGGGTTCACTGGCCTCCTCCAACTTCTGCTCGGCAATCCGGCGGCGCTTTTCCTTATCATATGCCTCGCGTTCAGCCTTCTGGCGTTCACGTCGCTGCTGGTAGAGTTGGTCTTCGTACTCCTTGTAAGCCTTGCGCTGAGCATGGTAGGCGTCCTTGATCGACTTGATGGCTTCCCAGGTAGCATTTTGCTCTTGGTAACGTTTGTCCTTTTCTGCTCGGAGGTTGTCAATGTTCTTGTTGGCATCCTCGCGAGTAGCCTTGATATCGTCAAGCTCCTTTTGGTTGGTCTCATACTTTTGCGACAGCTCCCGAGTTTCTTGGTTGTCAAAGGACTTTCGGAGCTCGGCATTCTCGGCCTTCTTCTCGTCGATTTTCTTTTGCAAGTCATCCAGGCCCCCGAATGTCTTCTTCTGGCGCTTGAGGGCAGAGATCTCGGCAAGAGCCTTCTTTTCGTCAACGAGCTTCATGTTGCCCGAGTCGACCTGCTTCGTGAGGCTGGCAACCTTGGCGTCAATCTCTTCGACGCTCTTGAAACCGGCTCGAGAACGAGCATCCTTTTGCTCGGCGATCCACTTCTTGATTTCGGATTCGTTCTTGTTGTATTTCTCTTGAAGCCCTGCCTTGCTTGCCTTGTGTTCCTGCTGCTTCTGGCGAATGGCCTTTTGCTCCTCGACGAGTTCTCTGAACCGATCATTCGCAGGAGAGGACTTTCCGGGTCGAGCAGTGTCGAACTTGTTCTTGGCAGCTTGCTGACGAAAGGTTAGAATGTGTGTCCATGAAGAGCGCAGATCCGGTGTCATACAAATCTTGCCTGAGCCGCTTCGTGCTCTTTCTCGGCTTTAGCTACATCGGCCTTGAACTTGGCCTCATCAGGCTTCTCTGGACGAGCCTTTTGTGCGCCATTCGTGGCAGGAGGGGTGGTTTCAGAATCGGCCATGATTGCGACAAGTTAACGACGGGCGAACGAAGATGGAGGCGGAGTATGCGATATAATAATGGCTAGTCCATACTAAGATCGCATGGTGCAGAAAAGGAATCTCAACAATATAATGTAAAGAAAGAGCGACAAGGGACCTCGGCCGAGACTCTTGTGAGGATTGAACCGGTGAGGGATAGAAAAGTGTCTGTCGCGAGGTCTCGCTCACCCATTCGGTGTGGAGAAAAATCCAGTGTGGCTCAACGTCCCTGGAAAATCTCGCCAAGTGCTCAATCCCGATCGGGCCCATGATCCCGCCGCTTTACGTGTCGCTTCCCTTATTCATAGGTTGAAGGTGACGCTGCCTTTCGTACAGAAAAAGGGCTGTATAAAGCGGCCTGAGCGGTCAATCCTTACATAAGACAATACTGGGTGTCTGTAGCGCGTCCTTTTTTAATGCTTTTCCCGCCAAGCATAGTCACTTTTTCTGAATGCTGGTGAAGCGCCTGCACTGTGAGAACAAAGCCGCCAATCCAACAGACATTCCCTTGGTTTCGCGGGATCAGTCATCGCCTCGGCTTCATATCAGACATGGATTACGACGACAGACCAAAGCTGTCGGTAGACGCGGAGAAAGAAATCACGAGACTATGGCGAACATGGAAAACAGTCCTCGAGATGCTTGTCGACCGCGTATGTGATGAATCAGAGGATACGGGCCTGTTTGGGATTACTGACGACCAATCAGGGATATGCTATCTCTGAAGAGGAACTGACCATCTCTCGAGACAAGTTTCAGCGCAATTATTGCGACAGACAAACCGGGACCGCAGAGTGAGTTTCAATTCTCGGCGACCATTTTCACTTTGCTGACCCTGACTCCCATAGCCGGAGGATGATGAGACTACAGGCTGCTCCTACCGAGGAGATGATCAAGCGCGACACTCCCAGAGCGACTGCCAAAAACCCGAACCCTTCGACAACCGCAGGCACAATCTGGGTCGAGTTCAGTCCCGAAACCACTATCGGCATCAAACACCTGCGCGCATTCGCTCAGCATCTTGACCAGCATAAATTTACGACCGGCATTTTCATTACCATCGGTCCCGTCACCGGCGCTGCCCTCCGAGCCTTCGAGCCCTTGACAGAACGTGGGATAACGGCAGAATGGTTCCAAGAGCAGGATCTGCTTGTCAACATCACGAGACATGAATTGGTCCCGAAGCATGTCTTACTTAGCGCGGAAGAGAAGAAGGTTCTGCTCGATCGATACCGACTGAAGGAGACTCAACTGCCACGCATTCAATATAGCGATCCTGTCGCCAGGTATCTAGGCCTGAAAAGAGGCAACGTGGTCAAGATCATCCGAAAGAGTGAGACAGCGGGTCGTTATGCCAGTTACCGCTGGGTCTTCTAAATGGTTACTATCTGCTTTGCAGCGCGGCGTTGGGGTTGAAAAATAACTTTGCATTGCTAGGAGTTGAGGCCGTGGAAAAATGGCCCCACAAGTGTGCAGATGTGAGAGTATGGATACGAATGGAAAAGGCCTTGAGGCCGTTACTAACGTAAGATTTGATGATACTTCGCCATCCGGCATTTGTGTGGTTTTGTTTTGTTATCAGTATGAAATGGCTTCCTCATCCTCAAAACATACGGAATAGCAACTGATTTCTCGCTCTGGAGAGAAGTTAATGTGAATGCCAATCAGGGTCACCAGTGAATGTTTAGCTCTCTAGTTGCCTCACGATGCTTGGTTCGCTTGTTCTGGATGCGACAGATGTGGCCATCCCCGCGCTGAGGCTGAGTTGATCAGTTTTCAGCCTGACTTCGGCCTGACTTCAATCAACACCTCCAACATGAAGTTGCCGGGTACAGAAAAATATCTCAGTTTTGATTCATACAAACAGAATTCGACGACATGGTCCTGGATCCGGTGAGTGCTCTGGGAGCTGCTGCTGCTATCATCCAATTTCTAGACTTCGGCTGCAAGTTGTTGTCGAAACAACGCGACCTTGCAGAGAGTTCCCAAGGCACATTGATTGAACACGAAGAGTTGCTTGCTGTAACTCGACGAGTTGCTGAACTCAATGGTCAAATACAAAATTGTGACATCTCTCGCGACAACACGAAAAAACCAACACAAGCCGAGTCCGCCTTGAGGGAAGTCTCTGAAGAATGCAGGAAGATTGCCGCAGAATTTCAGCACGTACTAGAGGGAATCTCGGGTCGTCCTGGGCAGTCTTCCTTTAAATCTTTTCGACAAGCGTTCAAGATCGTCTGGCACAAGGAAGGGATCGAGACGATGCAACGCAGACTGGATCAGCAGCGGTCGCAACTTATTCTGCACCTGCTAGTGGTGATCAGGTAGTATCTTCTTCTGCTTCAGGGACTTGTTGCTGATTCACGCAGTGGGAACCAGAAAAGAGATATTGGAAGCTTGCTAGACGAAAGCCAACGGGTCGAAATCAGCATACTGCAGGCAATTCGCGATTCAAATGCTGAATTGAAATCTTATCTGGTGAATCACCTCGCGCGGGAGCGAACTCATGCGAGTCGAGAAAGCGCACAAACACTGTCGACACAGAAGCAGAACGCACTCTCTATTGTTGCTACCGACATCACTTCTCGCATCGGTGTTGATAATGAAGAGCATGCCCGAAACCTCATCCTCGATAGCCTTTACTTTCAACAGATCGAGGAACGAAGGTTACGGATACATCCGGCTCACGAAAAGACTTGTCGATGGGTCTTCAACAAACCAGATGAGGGTGCGAATACGGGACACAACTTTAGGACATGGCTCGAAGACCAACTCGAGTCCTCGGGCCTCTACTGGGTATCGGGGAAGATTGGAAGTGGCAAGTCAACGTAGGATTGCAACAACCAAGACAGAGGTGCTCCTCACTGACAATATTAGGCTTATGCGATTCATCTATGAAGCCGAAGAAACTAAGCTCGCAGCGCATGTGTGGTCAAAACCCCTACCTTTACTAACAGCAAGCTGCTTTTTCTGGCTCGCGGGCACAGAGATGCAAAAATCGCGATGTGGGCTCCTCCGGTCGCTAATCCATGACCTATTGCGACAGGCTCCGGACTTGATTCCCATCGCAGCTCCTTCTCGCTGGCGTGCCGCCACATTGGGATCTAACCAACAATCATGGACCAATACAGAACTAGAAACCACGCTGCTCAAATTACTCGAAAACGGCAACAGAGATTACCGATTCTGTATATTTGTCGATGGTCTTGATGAGTTCGAGGGGGATCAACGTTGTCATTCAGACCTCGTAGAGTTCTTGGTCAAGTTATCATCCTGCTGCGGCGTCAAACTCTGCGTTTCGAGTCGGCGGTATCCAGTTTTCGAAAGCGGATTCGAAGATTTCCCCCAACTGCGGATGGAACGCTTAACACGAAAGGACATCGAAGCCTTTGTAGTGGATCAACTTGGCGAGATCAAAGAATTTGGTACCTTGGAGGCCGCTTATCCATCCACGTGCAATGACGTGATAAAGGAGATCGTCGAGAAAGCTCAAGGAGTTTTCCTTTGGGTATATCTGGTTATTCGATCACTGAAACAAGGACTCATCGAAGGCGATTCAATGGCCGTGCTCGTAACTCGCTTACGAGAGCTCCCGCCTGATTTAGATGAACTCTACCGTCGCATTCTCCAAAGCATCCCTAGTCATCAGCGCCACTACGCAGCAGCATGTTTCCAAATTGTCCTTGGGTACAGTGGCCTCACTATTCCTCGAATGTCTCTTATGACGCTTTGGTTTTTGGAAGAAGAAACGCTTGACTTTGCCGCCGCGACTCCGGTGGAACCTCTAGCAAAGGACATTATCAGAAGTCGACATCTCATGCTCATCAGGCGCGTGGAAGGTCGCTGTAGAGGATTACTTGAGGTTTTCGAGTTAGGCGACAAAGACACGCCAGCAGAGTACAGCGTGGACTACTTACACCGAAGTGTACGGGACTTTCTTATGTCCCGCTCAGCACAGCGGCTACTGGCACTCCACTTGGAGTTCACCTTTGACACACGCCGGTATCTATGTCAGGCTTTCTTCGCTCAGCTCAAGATGTCATTCCCCCCAAATCATCCCGAGAGCTCAGATGACAAGTCATTGGAACGTTCAAGGGCTGTTTTCTATGGTTTATTTCTAAGCCAACTACGAGAATGGACAGCGTCGCCCAGCACATTACAGCCTGAAGTCTTCCAGGCAATGGTTTCGCTAATCAATGACTATGGATACCTTTTCATGCCAGATGATATCGGCTCGATGAAACGTTTATTCCGAGACTTGATAGACTCTGGAGACGAGACACACGTCATGGAGCTAATTCCTAAGCATAACGAAGTCGACCTCGACCTTTCCCTCCAGCTTTTTGATCTTATTGGCACATCTGTTATACGGGGTCGTGCTGATATGTATTACCGTGTTATCATTGCTCTACTAGAAAACGGTGCCAACCCGAATCAGAAAGAGAGTTACTTGCGCATCCTTAGCACAACTCCATGGACCGGGTTTCTCAAGCTGGAGTGTGACCCCAACTACAAAGGGCGACACCCAAGCTCTTTGACGAGGCCAGGAGGACAGCCACAATCAGAAGACGGTAGGCAGCAGGCATTTTTAGCGGCGAGAGCGTTCATTGAGCATGGAGCGGCGATAAGAACCCCATCTGGTCAATCTTGCCTCAAACTCATCCACAAAGCCTTCCCAGGCTCTGATGGCGATGAGCTTGTTAGTCTTTTAGAGGCCAAATCTCGACCGAAATCTCGCTTTCATAGAGCAACTCAGAAGCTGCTAGGTCGGGGTTCAGTATAGGGATGATATCTTCGAAATCGACGTCGACGGAAATGCACGAGTTCGCGGAGGACGTTTCGATGGGGTTTATATTGGATGCGAATGATCCACTGTTATGGACGGTACCTGGGATGGTTATCACAAATGATGGAATCTCGGCGATGGAGTTTTCTGCGATGTATGTATACGTGTCTGTGTCAGTGTCTATGTATACGTGGATCAATCACTCTTGATGATTATCTACATAAATTTTCTGTTTTTAGTCCATATCTGGTGTAATGACATTGCTATCAAGCTTGTCTATCAAGACGTCTTTTATCGTCTGGCATGATTTGACTCTGATATCGACAAAACTTCCTGGGCTGTAGAAGGCCGTGTGACAAGTTAGTGTCATACCTATGGTTTCGGGAGTTAGTTTTGTTCTTTCCTATCCTCATTGTTTGGGTTTCGTTGCTGTACAACGAACATCGATGATGAACTGTGGTGGTTGGGATGCTGAATGTTTGGGGGACTAGCTCCTGAGAGACGCGTGCCTTGAGGAGAAGAAATGGAAAACGAAGGAACGCGGGATGGAGAGGAAAGGAAAGGGACAAGGAGGAGAAGGAAAGGCGAAACGCGAAACGCTCAACATGGAAGGGAAAATGGCAAAGGGAAAAAGGGGCGTCACCCGAAGAAGAATGGGCTACTTACGTCCGGTCAACCAGTCCTCCTTGTTTCTGTAGGCTTGAATCAAAGGGTGCGCCGGCTCCGGGATGGGTTCCTCGGGAAGCACGTCGAGGCCAGCGCCGGAGATGATGCCTTCCTTCAGACACCGCTCTACCGCGTCCAGGTCCACGACCTCGCCTCTCGCCGTGTTGACGAAGACGGCGCCGCGCGGGAGCAGGCTGAGCAGGTCGTAGCCCACCATGCCGCGGGTCTCGCGCGTGCAGGGGCAGTGGATGCTCAGCGTGGTCGAGCGGCGGAAGAGCTCGCGGATGTCCTTGGTCCGCTCGACGTCCAGCGCCTTGTCGGTCCCGTTGGGCTTGTACGGGTCGTAGAAGAGGACGTTCCACCCGAACGCCTTGGCGCGGAGGGCGGCCGCCGTGCCGATGCGGCCCAGGCCCAGTATGCCGAACGTGGATTTCTGGATGCGCTCGACGAGGGGCGACTCGATGTATGCCCACGGCGAAGGCTGCGGGCCTCGCTGGTGGTCGTGGTGCAGAAGGACCCCGCGGCGGAGGGAGAGCGCCAGCGCGAGTGCGTGGTCGGCGATCTCGGCCGTACCGTAGTCTTGAATAAAGGTCAGTACCAACGAGTATTAGTGCGAGTATGATGGTGAATATCTCGTATCGGCGTACGGATATGTGTGATGTAAGTGTACCTAGGTAGTGTATAGGTGTGTAGGTGTGTGTGGACGTATGAGTGGGGGTCACGTTTAGGTTGGTAGATGGTCGAGGGGAGGCCGGGGAAAAAGTGGAGAGGGGAGGGGGGGGGGGGAGGTCTCTCGAGGACCGTGGGGATTTGACACTCCATGGATCTAGAGGGTGAGTCTGTACCTGGAACATTGCACACAGTGACTCCTCGAGCCGCTAGTGCCACTCTATCCAATCTGTCATAGCCGACACCCATGCGTACAATCCTTAACATCTCCGTGAGTTGCTGCTGCTGTACAACAAAGTATCTGAGGTGCACGGAGTAGGGTATCCAGGCACTCAGTGTATACACACTCGGACTTACACTTTCAGTTTCGGAAACAGAGCCAGGTCTTCAGCCGTAAATCGCATTTTCAAAACCATGATGCCGTCCACTTCGTCTCTTAGGGCTTTTTCGATGGCCGACCAGGGTTTGGCGTCCACCGTCCCCGGAGGCCACAGGTCAGTCTGCACATACCTCACTCGGTATTCGTGCGTGGGGGCCTCGTTCAAGATTTTTTGCTCGACCACGTCGTCCTGTGTGTGGTATCGTCAGTGGCAAAGACTATGAAGAGTAGTATAGAGAGCGACGAAGCCGGGAAGTGTTTATTTACCGGATAGAGGCCGTCGGCTTGGATAATGGTGTACGTCGGTATGGAAGTCGTTGTGGCCATGTTGAAACTGAGCGAGGCGAGGCTGATTAACTACGTATTGAGACCGTGCCGAGGTTGTCGAAGGCGAGACGGAGAAAGACGAAGGGCGGAGGACAACAGAACAGTAATAGCCAGTATATACTTTGGTTTTGAACCGTCAATCAAGCACTTGTCTCATGAACCAGCTATGGTGCTCGTGTTCTACATGTAGAAATGAGAGAGAATATGCAACTCCAAGTATTCTTCGCCCTTCCTGTAAATACCTAATGCGGTGCTCAACTCCGATCTTTCGTCTTTCGCGCACGGCAAACTCGCTACGAACCCCGTTTACTCCACTAGCTGTGGATGGTGCCATCATCCATCCCCTCGGCGGCTTTCTCGCCCCGAGGAGCCGAAGTGAGTAATTGCTCATGTGTTGGTGCTGCTGGTCTTGTCATATATCGGATGAGGAATAATTATATAACTGCCATCCTACTCGTATTGGTTGGTGCTGCAAGTGCTCTACGGAACATTGATTCACAAACAGTGAGGCTGTGGGTCCCCGGGCTTTGCTGCATAACTGATTCGACCCGCGGGGAGAAAGAATAACGCCACCAATGCACCTCCTCTGACTTCTGGGTAGTGGTGCGTCCCTGGTCCAGGACACGTCCATCCAGCACCTTGCCAGCCTTGCATGCCCTTGAGTTCGGCGGTTTCATCGATCTGCACCACACAGTTGATCTCCCCGTACGGATGGGCGTGGTACTGGCCCCGGTATTCCTCCTGTGACTCCATGTACACGGTGGTGATGGATATGAAGTGCGTTTCTGCCGACGGAGCGACGATGCGTGACCGACGGTACTTGGGCCCGTCGAGCTCGGCGGTCGCGGCCCAACCCTCGTCTAGTCCGGCCTTGATGAATTTGCAGAAATCTTCGTAGTAGGCGTTGCCGGGACCATAATCACGATTGAGCCGTGCCTCGAGAGGGGCGCCCGGGGTTCTGTACCCTCGTCAGTCAGTGAACAACGAATGGGTAATATCGAATAGGAGATGGAGGACAAGGCAGTGTAATGGCGTACAGATCTTTCACCTCGTCGAAGAACTCGCAACATCTAGCGACAAACGCTTGTGCTTGCGGATACTTGGACAGGTCGAGAAGCGGCGCCACGCCGACTTTCGTTGGCTCCATTGTGAGACAAGACCGTCTCTCTGTGATTCTGTGATTCTGTGATAAGGATATACGGGGTATTGAGAATCTTTGGAATCCAAATCGACGTCTCAAAGCATTCTCATTAGTGATTGAGCTGGGATGTTGCGCCGGTCGTGCTCTTCGCTACATATGCTTGATATGATGATGGCTTTGCCTCCCGATTCTTGTGGTCGATGATATGTGATTTGCCGCTATTGATGCCGTCGTTGTGTTTCGTCAGTGATGCTGTGTTACCGCATAAATGTGAAGACAAATATGAAGTCGGGGCCTTGAGTACGTATCCGGTCGGAGGTGTCTATCCGGAAGGTCAGCACTTGGGGCATCACCATTGGAGAGCCCTGCATTAGTGGAATGGTGTGGATGAGAGGTCAGACCATGCTATCAACAGATGTTACTGTATGTAACGGCGAACCAAAATCTAGCATTGCCCATGTGACTTCTCGTTTACTTTAAGAAACATGGTCGATCTAAAGAAGAGATCCTCCCCAATTAAGGTCCCAAATATCCGCTGCGTCATCAAGATTGAACTGAAGATCGTCTGGGTAGCTGTTAAAGTTGTAATCGGCGGTCGCAAAGAAGCTGGCGGAGTCACCATAAGATTGGATCAAATCTAGCAAAGAGGCGTCGTTCAGTGTTGAGGAGGAGTCGAGTGGTGATGGTCCTCGTATAGTCCCTACAGCTTCGGTGCTGAAGAGTAAAGGAGTGTCACTCGCCGTGTGAGGATCTACCCGCTCTCCAATGTTGTGTGACAATATCCTCTCAGGACCCCTGTCCAAAGTCTGCGAACTAGTACCAGTCCTGCCTTTAGCGGCTGGCAGGTTGAGCCTGAACAGCTCCGGCATCATAATATTACGAGCTTGTCGCTCCTTATGCTTCATAGCCTGTAGGTGCCCGGCAGCTGCTTTCGACAGCTTCTTCAGAATCAGTCCATATCGCTTACCCTGTCTGCTGTGCTTGGAGAAATGGGCCAAGATCTCATCGGCTTGTTGAATGGACTTTTCCATCTCACAGAGATTTCCAATCCGGCCAAAGTAGGCAGAGCATATCGTCAAAGCTGAAACAAATACCCAAGCACTAATCATATCAGCATGCGTCGGAGGAATTATGAACACACTCACATTGGAAGAGGCATATTGTTGAAGAGCATTTCAGCCGCCAGGAGTTCGTGTAACAACTGCACTGTAAATGTTGCTGCGTCAATGGAAGTCATCGCTCCCTGCAGGATGTCGCTGTGGACCTTGCCATCATCGTCTTGCCAGGTACCTGTGCTGTCCATGGAAGCATTCTTGCTGCGGCTCAGCTTGGCGTGGATACAAGTGACGAGAAAAGGCCTGGATAAAACCATCATGCTGAAGTAATAGTTGCATGCCACCATGGCATTACGAATGACACATAGTTGACTTGGATTATCCGAACATGTAATGACACGCAGTGTCGACGGTATTCTCGAGCTTGCCTGCTGCAGTTCCTGGGCTAATTCTTGCAGCAATCCCAGAGAAACTGACCGCTTCGTGTAAATATCGGTCACTGTTCTTTGCATATATGTAAAGGCGCGTGCGGATTCTAGGAGGGCCAGCTGCTGGTCTGAATCCTTTTTCGAAGAACTAGAGGGCAATATCAAGCTGTCAAATGGTGCTGAGTCGGTGGTGATGGTCGAGGGTGTACGGCCCATCATGGCACAAAAATGTACATCGTGGTAGCAGAGAGTCCTCCAAATTCGGCGCCTGGCACATGCATTGTCAGCATCGGGCACGATCTCTCCTTGAAGAAACACTTACCTCAGAAAGCTGTCCTGTGTGCCATTCTCTGCAGCCAGCATATCTCGGTGCATGCCGAGAGATTTGGCGGCACTGATTGCAATTCCAAGTTGGAGATAGGCACCGTTTCTCTGAGAACAGGCTAGCATATACAGGCACAATAACAGAAATGCCTGCACTGTCTCTAGGCATGGCTCATCGGTCAAATCCAGGAGTGCTATTCGACGACCATGGTGGTAATAGTGCTGTGCAATTTGATAGTCCAGCACGCTGTTGCTGCGTGCTTGAGCTGCATAAGCAAGAACAAGAAAAATGACCGCTTTGCTCCCATTGCTCATGCCTTTAGCGTCGTCTATCAACTGTCTTAGTAGGTCTTCCGATCTATGTCGCTCGATAATGTCCAATAAGCCACAGGTCTGCCCGGAAGTATTAGCAATGGTTCAGCAGGTAGTATGGATGTGTGGTACCGAAGCGAAAAATACGTTTACAAGCTCCTCAAGATCTGTCGAATTCCACAAGTGGTCCGCCATTAAATCTGTGCCGCGATGAGGTTGGAGCTCTTCCATTGCTAGCACACTCGAAACTTCGGTCGAAAATCCACCTTCTCCTTCCACGATTTCCTGAATATGTCGAAGAAACGACAGAGCAGCGCAATCTCCAAGATATACTACGCACCGTAAGTATATCGTCGAACGCACAAGTGGCCAGCGATGACAGAGAACGGACTTATGACATACTTGTTCTGCCATTGGTATCATATAGCTTGTGAGATAGCTTGGGAATTGAGACCTCAACAAAGGTAGACTGAGCTGGTGCATCGTGGACAAGTTGGGAATGCCTTGTCATAAAATCCTGAGGCGACGATGTCGCAGACAGGTCTGTTGAGGATTGACCAGAATTTGTCTCTTGGACTGGCTTCGAAAACCGCCGACGATGCGCACCATAAGATCGTACATGTGAGGAGTACGCGCAGGAGGTCGACCGGCCTCTTCTGGAGCATGAGGCACATGGCGTCAGACCATCACATTTCTGCTTCGTGGCCTGACAATATAAGCAAGCCTTTGCGATGCGCCGCCGCAGCTCTTCGGTGACCTTTGGGCGCGGCATTCAGACAGAACATTGTGATAACATCAAGGCAGGATGGACAGAGATGCATTCATCTCAAACAACTTTGGCTGATACGGGGTGGGGGGCCTTGGTTACACCTCAAGCAGGGAAGGTTTCCCGAAAGATTGAACAACCCAGCGCAAACACTTCTCTCTCTTTTCCAAATCTCTCCTCGTTTGTATTTGCAGATTTGTTTCACCAGCACCGTGTTGCGCCCCAGACAAACGGTGTGATAGGGCTGTTCTCGTCCTCCAGAGCTAGGATGGGCCTCATGCACCGTGTAGCGCAATGCTGGTCCTGATTGACCCTGAGCTTCCAGCCAAAGAACAGCAGTCCGGCGACTAGCTCGTGGATGCTATCAGTGGCGAATCCTGGACACGGATTACTATCTTGACCAGTCGATACTGCCGGCGTTTGCTTTGCTGGCATCCACATGTCGCACGGAGTACGATGTCCCACGTCCGCTTGCTCTACCCGGTACGTATCCGAGTGAGCGGGGTTGAATCACTCTCGTCTTCAATGCTCGTGTTGCGATTTTCGACGCCAGCAGACGCTCTCACGTAAGTGATACATTCATATGCAGCGCTACAATGCCTCGGGTTGGCTACGGACCGTGCAATAACGTTGACAAGAATGCTGGATTTTACGCTTAAGATCGTTTGAATACAAGAGACCAATGCGGTGCCAAGATTGCTCACCGGTGAAAGAGTATTACCGCTTCTTGATGTAAAAGTATTTATATATCTCGATCCTTGTGCCGGCTGTTTGGACCCTGGAAGAGTGTCAAAACCTATTGCTCGAGCATGGCTAGAGAAATCGAGTTGCTCATTGTGGGTGCGGGTAAGTGGATCATTGAGGCCTGTACCGCGACCAATGTGACTGATATCTCCATCAGGCATTCATGGTCTTTGTATGGCAAAGACCTACCTTGAGCTCAAACCCGAGGCTGAAATCCTCATCGTGGACAAGGCACAATCGCTTGGCGGGTCGTGGGCTGAAGAAAGACTGTATCCGAGACTCAAAACGAATAATGTTCTGGGATCCTACGAGTTCAGTGACTTTCCAATGATGCCCGAAAAGTACGGGGCCACACCGGGCACCCATATCCCTGGTCAGGTGGTTCACGACTACTTGCGTGATGTTGCGACGCATTATGGAATCGATGATACATTTCAACCGAGGACAATCGTGGAGGGAGCGACACTTCAAGATGACCGTCGATGGATGGTCACATTACTGAGATCAGACCCAAGAGCCACGTCCAAGGAGGTTATAATCACTGATAAGATGGTCATCGCAACTGGATTGACCTCTGAACCATATCTCCCGACGATACCAGGACAGGAAACCTTCAAAGGCCTCCGGATACATTCTAAGCAGCTTAAGGAGTGTGCACCAGAATTGGCAGCCTGCAAGGATGTGGTTGTGCTTGGAGGGAACAAGTCGGCGTGGGATGTGTGTTATGATGCTGCACGCTCTGGTGCGCGTGTGCGTATGGTCATCAGGTCATCTGGGGGTGGCCCAAGCTATGTGTGGCCGAAGTCGTTCAACTATGGACCGTTCAACTTATCCCTAGCCCGGATGTCTGCAACGAGATTCTTCATGGCATTTGACCCGACTCTTTTCGGTCGGAAGGGCCCTATGTCTTGGTGGCATTATTTCCTGCATCGTACGTCAATCGGCAATACGATATGTGAATTTTTTTGGACCAGATTAGATCGGCATATCAAGCGCGTAATCGGCTACCATACTCACCCAGAACTCCAAAAACTCGAACCATGGACAACGCCGTTCTGGATGGGGAATTCACTGAGCATCCACAATTACGAGACAAACTGGTTTGACCTTGTTCGAGAAGGCAAAATCACTGTTCACATTGCCGACGTGGAGTCGTTGTCTTCCGAGAAGGTCAACCTCTCAAACGGCGAAACGCTACATGCTGACGCTTTGGTGTGCTGCACAGGATGGAGGTCTAAACCAACAGTGTCTTTCGAGGTACCCGATCAACACCATGATGACAAAGCAATCATGTTAGACATTCACAAGGCTGAATCCGAGATTGAGACTGAGGTGAAATATCTTCGGGGACTTTCAAGGAGAACTAGCAATGCGCCTCATCTAAAACAACAGCCTATCGCCACCTCATTTCTCCTATCAGACCATAAATATCGGTTCATGGTGTCACCCGATGAACATGCCCTCGAAAGCAAGAATCTCGCCTTCATTGGGGCGCATTCCTCAATCCATGCAGTTGTGGTTGCTCAAGTCCAGGCTCTGTGGATCTTTGCCTTCTTCAACGACAAGTTGAAACATCTTCAGGCAAGACATATTGACAGCACTGCTGTCAGATACAACACTATACTGCACGGCGTGTATGGAATGTTGAGACGCCCGAAGGAATGCGGCGGCGCATCTGAAAGATATCCAGACCTTGTGTTTGACAGTGTCCCATACGTGGACATCTTGTTGCAAGACTTGGAATTGGGAAATTTGAGAAAACGCGGAATATGGAACAATATCTTCAAGCCACATCTGCCAGCAGATTACCGAGGGCTGGTCAAAGAATGGAAAACCAAGAATTCAGTTGAGGTACTCGGGGAAAGTTAAGCGTCGGCAGCAAATGTGGACAGGATAGACTTGAGGGTTGAGTCAAATTGATAGAGTTTTCAGAGAATCTTGCTATCAGTATAAGCTCCAACTAGAACCACTCTAACTGCCAGCAGCATTTGCCCCAGCCATGCATCGCTGTGAAGAGAAAGGCTCACTGTCAAGCCCGACAAGGCTGAGGAAGAAGGGTCGACGCAAGGCTGAAGCTCCGAGCGCCGACTGTGGATCGACTCCAACGTCCAGGGAAAGTCGGGCGAGATCTTAAAATTTCCCCACGTTTACTTGGTTCCTTGCACTTTGCGGTTCAACTGCCCATAAGAACGGCCACTTCCTTGTTCTAGGTTCTTCTCTTGTCGCAATGGGTAGAAGAGGCGGCAGAAAGGTAATGTGATCCGGTGATTTCTATCTGGAAGTTCTAACGGCGTCTAGGGTGGTTTCAACCGTGGCGGCGGCGGTCCTCGCCAGGACAATCGAGGCAACAAGGCCGAGATCAGTCGAACCAACGAAAAGTTTGAGGAATACTACAATACCCTCGGGGTGATACCGGACGAAGAGAGAGATGATTTCTGGGCGGCTATGAGAAGAGATCTTCCCAACAGTTTTCGGTTCACTGGCTCCAAAGCTCATGCACTGGCCGTGCAGCAACGCTTGCGAGATTATTATATTCCCGAAATCACCTCCATAACCTACGAGGGCCGTTATGTCGACACTCCTCAACCAGTGAGCTGGTACCCTGACCAACTGGCATGGTTCATGACCACGCCCAAGAATGTCATCCGCCGATTCCCTCCGTTCGCCAGCTTCCAGAAATTTTTGGTCGCAGAGACCGATGTGGGGAATATCACACGTCAAGAGGTGGTTAGCATGATTCCGCCGTTGCTTATGGATATAAAACCTGGAATGACGGTCCTTGATCTGTGCGCAGCGCCTGGGAGTAAGTCTGCGCAGCTGATTGAAATGATACATGCTGGCGAAGAGGAGAGGAGTAGACAGGTAGCCGCGAATACTGCCAACGGTCTTGACAAGCGCGAAGGCGAAGACTTTGCAGACGATGGACGATCAACTGGGCTTCTCATTGCGAACGATGTTGATTACAAGCGTGCACACATGTTGGTCCATCAGGTGAAGCGACTGAGCTCACCCAACATCATCGTCACAAACCACGACGCCACAATCTTCCCTTCTATCAAGATTCCGTCCCTGCCTGATTCATCGGGCAAGCCAGTCCACAACAGATATCTGAAGTTTGATCGAATCCTGGCCGATGTCCCTTGTTCCGGGGATGGAACGGTGCGAAAGAACATGGAGATCTGGAAAAACTGGACTCCCAGCAATGGCCTTGGCCTGCATTCTACACAGGTGCGGATTCTGATAAGAGCGCTGCAAATGCTGAAGGTCGGAGGAAGAGTGGTGTATTCGACATGCAGTATGAACCCGGTCGAAGACGAAGCAGTACTGGCTGAAGCGATCCTGCGATGTGGCGGCGAGAAATTCGTGGAACTCCAAGAGACAAAAGATTACTTGCCTGGGCTCAAGCGGACTTCTGGACTAACGACATGGAAAGTGATGGACAAGTCGGGCCGGATATGGAACGATTACGATGCAGTCCGAGAGCAAAAAGCCACTGTTGGCGAAGAAGGGCTGAGCAGACTCTCCGAAAGCGTGTTCCCCCCGAAGGAGGATTTACATCTAGAACGTGCCATGCGAGTGTTTCCTCATACTCAGGATACCGGTGCATTTTTCATTGCGATCCTCGAGAAGAAGTCCGAAATCAAGGCACGTGCTGAAGCGAAGACAAGCTCGACAAATTCAACCGCGGCAACGCCAAAGCCAGAAAAGGTAGAAACAGTCGACACTACAGGTGAAGCGGTGCAGCTTGAGACCGCCCCCGACGGAACGATCGATTCGGTCAACGGCACAGCTCCACCTGACGCAGACGCTCCAGGCAAGAGGAAGCGTTTGGATCAGGACGAAGACACGGAAGACGCAGCTCCATTAAAACGCGCTAAGAGCGAACAAGACGACACTGTTCCCAACGGCACTGCGAATACAAGTACGACGGGTAGGAGTACTCCTGCCATCACGGCCCAAGCGCCTCGTCCGGGCCAGCCTCCCAAGAAGAAGAACCGGGAGCAACCATTCGAAGAACCTTTCAAATATCTTTCGCCCGACCTGCCTGAGTTGCAGCAGATCAGAGAATTCTACAACCTCTCCCCTCGCTTCCCCCAGGATCGGTACATGGTCCGTAACGCCGACGGTGTCCCAGCGAAGAACATGTACTACACGAGCGCGCTCGCCAAGGATATCCTGACCGAGAACGAAGGCAAGGGTCTCAAATTTGTCCACGCCGGCGTCAAGATGTTTGTGAAGCAAGATGCGCCCTCTCCGGAAGTGTGCCCTTGGCGTATTCAGACAGACGGCTTACGTCTCCTCGAGACGTGGGTTGGACCAGAGCGGATAGTGAGACTGCAAAAGAAAGAAACGCTGCGACGGTTACTGGTGGAGATGTTCCCCAGGTTCAACGGCGACGAGTACAAGAATCTCGGCGAGGTCGGTGAGCAGATCCTCGCCGTGAAAATGGGATGTTGTGTCCTTGTCGTCGAGCCGAGCGACGACCCTGATGGGTTGAGTGAGCGCATGGTCTTTCCGCTGTGGAAGTCCATAATGAGCGTCAACCTGATGTTACCCAAAGAGGATCGCAAGGCCATGTTGCTGCGACTGTTTAATGATGATACTCCTCTTGTTAATGCCAGCAAGGGGTGGCAAAAGAACGGAACCAAGAGTGCAGCGGAGAAGAAAGCTGCCGAAAAAGAAGAGACGAAAGCGGATATAGAGACGGTGATCGAGGCTAAAAATGGCCTTCAAGTCAACCAGGAGGAACAGATCCAAAGGAGGCGGAACAGCAGCTCCCCAGAACTAGAGGCCGAAGCGAATGATGACGATGAGGATGGAGGCGTTGCTATTGAGACGGATGTTTGATGGACCTAGCCTCCATCTTTACCATGTGTCGGACGGAAATCTCCCCATACTTGCCTAGCGAGGTAATATAGTATAACTGGACTGGAAGACGTCTCTCCAGGACTGAGATGTGACCTGGTGTTGGAGATGTAGTATATTTTACTTAGCCGCGTCTCTGCGTACAACAAGTGCTCATAGTGTATTTATACCAGGGTCGCATCTGAGAATCGCGTAAGCCTACGATGCGGACGCGATCGTCTTCACTTCTAGACAACAAGATCTGGCAATGTAGAGAAGTTAGTGAGACATCGCTCCCAATTTCAGCCCAAGCGAAAGTCACTCCATGAATATAACTGTGTGAGTATTACTGCTCCACTTTGACAGTATTCAACTCTGCCCAAGAAATGGACTTCCGGATGTTCTCTGTGTATCTACCTATGTATGCTGCCACGGTTCCGCGGTTCCCGGTCCGGCATCACGGACTCATGTGACCACTACTCTCCTCACGACAGGTCTAATAGGTACTATATCAAAGCCTTGGCCTGACTACGGGTATTCTGTACTGGCAGAAAGAATTCGGCCATGGACAGAAGCTACCTCACGATGCTCAGGCACATTCCGGTTCCACAAGAAGACGTTGACTTCTTTTCATCTTTTCCCTTTGTGAGCCCATACCTCTCCAAGAAGAGCCGTTATCAGCCTGTACCTTTCCTGACGAGACACAAAATCACTCCGAACGACACTTCCGACCTGTTCTTTTCCAAAACCATCAACAGCCACGACACCATCCCGCGAATGCTTGCCTTGATGCGAAAGGAGGATCTGCAACATCCAACTCCTCAGACTACAACATCTGTAGATACTCCTGCTCAGGGTCCGCAAGATCCGTACTTTGTCGTGTTTGCGCAGCTTGAGAGTGGCGTCAACGGATACCGGGACACTCTCCATGGCGGTGTCCTGGCTTCCCTGTTCGACGAGGCATTAGGTCTATGTGTGGAGGGTTGTCGAGAGACTGGCTCTCCCGGAAAATCATGGCTGCTCACAGCAAGTTTGGAGGTTAACTATCGCTCTGCTGTCACAACGCCATGCATCGTACTCATCAAGACGTGGCTGGAAAGGACAGAAGGGAGAAAGTGGTTCCTGAAAGCACAGCTTTTAGACCAGGACAACTCGGTGAAAGCTGAAGCCAGGACACTCTATATAAGCTCAAGAAATCATGCTTCGCTGTGAGTCGAAGAAACCAAGTATTTTGTTTACCAATTTCTCCCACATCCACGCATCAAGAATTCTGTCTAGGTCTGGGGGACTGAAGCGTACTATCCCCTTTATCAGCACAGAGTACTCCTAATTCTTGGCGGCCTCACCACTCTAAAAGAAGACAGAGCTTCATCCATCATAATCTAGACGCGTCAAATGCTGAGGCATAAAGCCCGCTACGGGGCCATTATGTATATTTATTGGTTGTCCCCAAACTCTTCCTAAGACATCATTTACCAGTTCTCATTTTCAAGATTAGCCGGGCCCCTCTTGGACCCGATGCAGCATGCTCACTCCTGACTTTTCTCCAATAGCATGGCCACGTCGCGTGCAGCAGCAGCGCCGCTCTCAATGGCTCCTTCTATCGAACCCGGTTCAATCGTGGCGATATCACTCCCTGCAAACCGGATGCGACCATGCAGCTTTCGCATCAGCGGTGCAGCCACGGTGAGATTGCCGGGCCGATGCATCATCCAACCGCCTTTGGAGAACTCGTCCACTGTCCAGTCATGGCCCGCCGTGTCGACGACTTGGATGTCGGGCACGAACTTTTGTAGGGCGGCCTGCACAGCATCACGATCATCGGCTCGAATTGCGGCCGCATTTGAGACCATGGCAAACACCAATGTGTCACCGTCGTGCCGACTCTCGGTCCTCGCCGCGTTGATCGGGTGCTTGCCGACAGGAGCAAAAGTGGTGAACGGCTCGATCTCGCCGCGGACGCGAGCCCAGAGCTTCGTGGCCATGACGGGATTCTTCTGATCGATCATGGCACGCACATGCTTTGGCACTTCGGGAGTGATCTTCAGGTCCCCGACAGTGTTGAGTGGGAGAGCGACGATCACCGAGCGTGCGTGGATGGTTTCTCCAGCCCGCGTTGTCACCCTCACTTGGCCCTCGCCGTCGTCTGCGACGGAGCTCACTGGTGTCGACAGTCGTACCTCGGCAGTCGACTCGTCCAGTATAGCGTCGAGGAGGCGCTTAGTGCCTCCTTGAATGGACCACGTCCCAGCCGTCTCGATAAAGGCTCCAAAATTGCCAAAGTATGTCGCTACAGCCTGCAGGAGCTGGGCCAGGCCCTGCTTCGTGTAAGAATGGACGACGCCAGACAGTACTCCGTCCAACAGGTCCTTTTCGTACACGGTGAGGTTGAGCTCATCGACCCGATCCTGCAAGCACTGCCTCTCAATGTCGCTATTGTCCAACCGCGTCACGTCGAACGGTACGGGGAATCGGGCCCGAGCGTCGCAGAAGAATCGCTCTAGTAGAGGCCCAACTGCTGCCTCGTACTCGGCCGTCGTGCCAGAGTGTACCTGGTCGTCTGCCAGCCAGTAACACTTGTTACATTCTAGAGGAGGCTGTATCGGAATGCCGTGTCTTGAGAGCTCGTTCCACACGTGCGGCTGCGTCCAGTGGACGTAGGCACCACCGTATTCCAGGTCGACTGATCCGTCAAACCCTTTGTCCACGTACGTGCGTCCGCCCACGCGATCTCGGGCTTCGAGAAGGACTACTGAATGGCCTTTGTTGCTGAGATCTCGGGCCGCCACGACACCAGCAAATCCCGCCCCTATCACCGCTACGTCGAAGGCATCTTTTTGATCGAGCTTGCCGATCATGGTTTTCGTTGTTCAAGAGCCAATATAGATATAGGGCTTGGTTATTGCGGGATATGAGAGACGATCGAGGACGTTAGATATGACCTATGACTACACTCGAGCATTGACGGCCACTATATCTCGTTTAAGAAGCCGATCGCCTTCCTTGGATCTCTGGGAGCAAAAGACCAAATGTCATGGTTAGTGGAGCAATTCATGTGTGGATCATGGACCCGCGGATCCGCGTCTCCGCCCGGTTGGGAAACGGTAGGGAGACATGGGCCTTCTGCCGTACTACCGAGACCACCACCGGGTTTCCGTCAGCATCTATGATTCCTGTCTCTGGGTCTCCCGGGAATACGAGGAGTGTATGGTGTTAGGAGGAAATACTACAGAGTAAAATGCGCGATGGACAGTGTGATCCTGGGGCGTCAAAGAGCGTTGACTGACATGGAAGAGTTTACACCGTTCCAACTACAGAGCTTCCAGGTCATCGGAGCTTGCAATATCCGGAAACGTGACGAGAGTCTCTTTCAGCCCTTGTACTGTTTCTCGACATATGTCGAAGCTTCTCGTCAGCTCCGAAACTCTCTTGCCTTCCAGCTGGCTGATTGAGCTGTGCACTTCCCCCCTCAAAGCATTCCCTGCAAGAGTATGAAGGTGAACCATCAGCGACGGGTTCTACGAAGATGTGTCAGTCGGCGGGTCAATTCAAGTCCCCGAAGTTACCTCCTGCAAACAGTCAAAGACTAGACTTACCGGATGCGCAGCAATATCTTGAATGTGGCTTTTCAAGCCGCTACTCCCTTCAAACCCAGGCCGCGAGGTCTGCCGACAAGTAGACGCCACCAAGGAGACTTGCTCCGCACTGATCAGACGCTGTGTTTTGCGGAAATCACTTGTCAACCGAAGAGCACCGCGAAGCCTCTCCGTCTCCGGTGTAAATGGTTGCTGTGCCAGCCTTATCTCAAATCTCTGCACCAGGTCACAGAACAGGAGGATAGCCAGGTCGCAGTCGTTGGAGGTGAAAGCCACGGTCCGCCAGATCTCATCCGAGGCTTTGTCGAAGCACTCTCTCATCCCGGAATCCAGTATGCCGAACGCGGATCTCCATCTCTGAAGCAGGGAAATGGTGGTCTCATAATGTTGAAAAACGTTCTCCTCATAGCCCACGTTGTTCCTGTGGGCACTTTCGATGGCCATGGTCAAGTCCGCCAACGACTTCCAGATGACCACGACGACATAAGAGAGCCTGCGCAAGGTCTGTAACAAAACGTCGTCGTGGGCTCCTTTGCACCAGATAGTTGTGAAAGCTTCTGACTTTGACTCAGTCTGCATGAGACTCAAGTTACTCAGATCATGCCGCCGAAAAAGCCACAATCTGTCTTCCCCTGGCCTTGAAGATGTATCACCATTGTCATGTGGACGATGTATTGTTAATGGCGTCGACATCTGAGAAGGAAACGCCTGCGTCTTTCCTCGTGATACACCAATTGCCACAGCATTGATAATGTTGATCAGCCACTCGACCGCACCAAGTAATTCGAGGATGTACTTAGAATCTTCAGGGGAGAGGTGAGGCAAATCGTGGCTGCCATTGGGCGACCCTCGGCTGTCAGTGACAGAGTTTGAACCGTTCGCTTGACTATAGACCAAAATTCGCTGCCGGGCTTTGGCACAAAGTGTGTGAAGTCGACGGACGCCCTCGCAAAATGCATATTCGGCATCTTCATCGAGTTCCTGGCCTTGATTCGTTGAGCCAGGTACCGGCACAAGTCCAAAGAGAAGGAGTGACAGCGCCACGCGAAACGACGTAGTCGCCGCTATATTGCCAAAGACCTTCTCCTTGGCCTTCTCCCACGCGGCTAGCGCAACGTCATGTCTGTATTCGAGGTATTTACCGGATTCTGGGTTCAGGGGTTTCTTCTCTCCCGACTTTGCCGGAGCAAATCGGGCAGCGAGAGCTATCGCAGCCCATTTGTACGTCTCTGTGATGGCCACATCGCGCGATGTCATGGAGCTGCGGTACGGTTGTGCGCCGGTTCGCTGAAAGACGGCGTCCAAGACGCTCACCGTGTGGAAGATATGTGGCGCAGGGACTGTTGACCCAAAGGCGTTGAAGTTCAGGTTCCAGCAGCTCTTGATCCAGGCGTCGGCTTTGCTCAAATACCCCGATAAGCTGGAGCTGTCCTTGATGGGCGAGAGGGCAGCAACACCCAGAGAATAGCCCGGGGGCATACTGTCCAGGAACAGACAATGCGAGATTGGGATGTCAAAGACATCAACGTACAGATTGAAGTGCTGGGAGCATGCCTCTTCCGCGATTGTCAACTTGGCTAGATTCGCTTCCGGAGCGGCTGGCGACACGTCCATATCGACCCGATGCTCCTCCATGGCATTGAGACCAAGATCTGAAGACTCCTCCTCGGCGAAAATAGGAGCCGTCAGTCTTGGCCTCTTCTTTCCTCGCAGGGATGACTGTTTGTTTGCAAGCCAGGTCGCAGTGCACTCCACACCACGTATTGTACACAGGGAACATGCCCTCGAAGGCTTCTGCGATGGGATGCTGCTGTCGTTCGACAAGTCACAGGCCCGTTTAGCGGAGCGGCATTGGTCGCACGAGCGATTTTGTCTCCGTAAAGCCTGCTTTGCCACGCGAGGTGTTGGTGCTTCTCGTGAAGTCTGAGAACTGTCCATACCGGGCGGAGAAGTGATTCTGAATAGATCAGCCATCTGAGAAGAGTAGCTACGCTTAGAGCCACTATTGGTAATGTCGTCACCCGGAATGCCTTGCTGATCGCGGCGTTGGTGTACACGCTCTGGGTTGAGTTGGCGAAGCACTGGTGCCACCGGGGATGCAGCCTGGTGATGTTCCAACTGGCAATCCGGCCGCGGCGTATCTAGTACTGCGGTTGAAAAGACGCTGGAGTCCCATAAGGGGTCGGCGCCGATTAGATTGACGTTGTCCAAGTCATACTCCTCCATCTCGCTCAGCAGTTGAGGCAGGTCGAAGGACAGCGATCTTATCGTGGCACCTGGCGACTCGTCCCACCACTTCGCCAGAGGAGAAGACGTGCCCGGGTACAGGGTTTCGTGGACTCTAGGAGAGGTCATTGTCGCGATGCAGGAGAACTGAGAGATGGAACAGTCGGGTGGGATCGAGGAGATGTGTGAAGGTGCCGTTGTCGCCTTGGATATCTTCGCCAACTTCTGACCCTGTTAATGTTGGAAGTCAATATCCCACGAAGGGGAGGAGTTCCCCACCTCGGTCCTCAAGGAAGTGGGCTTTGGCACCACCAACCGAGCGCATGGGCGGTTCTCTGACTGGCGAGACTTGCCCAGTGGACTCCATAAAGGGTCCAAGATCCCGGGGAGATGAGATAAGGCAGACCTGTGAGCCCATGCTGTCGTTCTCGATGCCGCGGATCCGCGGCTCCGAAGACCCGGACGCTTCTACAATGCTGAACAAGCTGAACGCCACGCAAAAGTAATCTTGAGCAACCCTCGTATTTTCCTGTCAGCAGTGGCAGAGGAGCCAAATGCGGCACACAAGTCTATCTCACTACATCGAAATCAAAACTAGTCTCGCTCGGGGCTCTCTCACTGATCTTCCAAGTATGTCCCTGCACCTTGCGAACGTAACTACTACTTTGAGGAAATGATCGAGCCTCTCACCGAGCAACTCATCCTTTCTGCCGTCCATTCATTGCACCTGTCGCCCAACAGCTGTTCCACTCAGATAGTTTCAACAATCTCATGCTTCGGGCAGCCTAGCCGCTCCAGAGTTTTGTAGAATGTTCCTGGCTCGGCCCAATCTTCAGGGCTAAAGACACCGCCGACATCCTTCTGACTCGACTGTTCCATCGCCATAATCATAAACGCTGCGGTCGATGAACCGGTGACAGCGCCCATGCTCTTGCCCAGGAAAGAGTCCTTACCGGTCGTGGGAATTCGCCTGCAGGCCGTGGCAGGGGCTCCGTGGCGCGTTCCAACAGCTCGTACCATGAGACCGCTGCGTAGGGTCTCGGTCTTGCCGCGAGCAGAGTTTACGAGGAAGCTCAGCAGGTGGAATGTTGACAGTTCACCCTTTCGGACTTGATCAATCATGCCTGAGATTCCGTAATACCATGGACCGAGAGAGCCAGCGGCGTGGGAAGCCAACTGGAGCAGTTCGTTGAGCGAGATCTCTCCTCCCCTTAGTTCATGCTTCAAGGCCCCGACTGCGGCGCTCCAGCCTTCCGTCGAAGGCGGCTTGTTCATCAAATCAAAGAGAAAATCAACGGCAGCCTTCATCGGGAGTGCGCCAGTCCTCACGGCACTTCCGATACCGCGAGCTATTCCATTTACTGGAATGGGATCAACCCCGCCTAGACATCGAATACGAGTAGCCTTTGGGAAGAGCCGTGGAAGAGTGACAGGCTCTGGATGAGCGGTTTCATGGAGGAGGACCTCGCTGTGGCCGGGTATCAGCGGGGCGTAGGCTGTCTCAACAAAGCTTTCGTTGATCTTCGGCTTGCCGTCGACCCAAGTCAAACACGGCCCAGAGGCAATATGGAGGAAGTGTTCGAGGACAGCCTTGCCAGTACCACCTCCCCGCTCGTCGCCTACCCACCAAAATATCTCGATGGTGTCCACCGTGTCCAAGTCCTTCACAGCGTCCATCACCATGACGTTCGACATGCCTGGTGATGCACCGCAGCCAATGTAACATGGCACACCTAACTCTTTTGCTCTCTTGTTCAATTCAAGCGCTGCCTGAGTGCTCTCGACGTCATCGTCGTAGTCAAGATAGGGCACCTTCGCCTCCAGACACGCTTCGAGCACTGGAGCGGACGTTCGAGAGTATGGTCCAGCGCCGAGTACGACAAGCCCGGCACCCTGGATTGTTTCACGTAGAGCAGCGGGGTCGAACAGGTCGAGTTTGCGGGTATTTGCGCGTCCGGCAGGCAATCTGGAGGCTACCTGCTCGAGAAGAGCCTCGTTGATGTCGGCTAGGACTAGAGGTGCTGTGCTGGCTTTCGCGAACAGGTCGATGGCGACCCGGCACATCTCGCCAGCAGCGCCGATGAAAACCACGCGTTTTGGGCTTTGGGAGAAAATTGCCATCTTGAAGTTTCTGTGCTGGCGGTTGGTTCTGAACAAATCGATAGAAAGTAGGAAAGCCTCAGAAGTGGGATTGTTGGATCGGTTTGACTCCGCCTCACTACCTCAGATGTTCTATTCCTTACTTATAACCACCGAGGACCAAGCTTCCATCGACTGCACTGTCCACCTTCATGTTGGAAATACATTGGTAGCTTCATCATTATCTAGCAGAGTGCCCGCGGTGCCGCCAATGGTGCCGCCTCGCGATAAATGAAGACCTTCGCTGAGATCCCTAGCGCGGAACCGATATGGCAGCTAAGGAGTTGACTTCTTCCGCGGCACCGCCAGAAAGAGGCACGCGGCTTAGGCTTCTAGGCTTTCAAGGACCGATATCCACGGCGACCTTGGGTTTGGGGGACACGCTGTGGGTCAGGGGTAAAAGGCAAGACGAGGCTCCGGCCCCTTGGGTCTGTCCCGGGTCCACGTCCAAAAAAAAAGAAGAATCAAGGATAGTTGTGCATATTTAAATTTCATCGTTAGGAAGTTTGTGTCTTGTGCGAGTCCTCGTTTTGCCTTGATATTAGACGATCCATAAAAATGGCCGTCACCAACGAGCTGCAGAATGTCGACTACGACGTGGTCATTGTGGGCGCTGGAATTTCTGGAATCGCTTTCGCCTACAGATTACAAGAACGAAACCCAGATCTGAGCTACTGTATACTCGAGGCTCGTCATGAAATTGGCGGAACCTGGAGTCTGTTTCAATACCCAGGTATAGAACCCCCTCGGTATCATTCCAGACCCAAGAAGCCAGACAGCCATTGACAATGAAGCTTTATAGGGGTCCGGTCTGACTCTGACCTTTTCACATTTGGGTTCCCCTGGCGGCCCTGGAAAGAGAGGACGGCCATAGGATCGGGCGCAAACATCACTCGCTATCTCAAAGAATGCGCAGCACAGGAGGAGATAGATCGTAAAATCAAGTTCCATCACCACCTCGATCAAGTCCAATGGTCCAGCACGGACAAGCTCTGGACGCTTCAAATCACTGCGGGTGCCGCCCCGAAGGTATTGCGAACTCATTTCCTTCTGTTCGGGACCGGCTACTACGACTACGATGAAGGGTTGAAAGTCAATATACCGGGGATCAAGAACTTCCAGGGCGCCGTTGTTCATCCTCAATTCTGGCCTACCGGTCTTGACTACGCCAACAAGCGCGTCGTCATTATCGGGTCCGGTGCCACCGCCATCACTCTACTGCCGGCAATGGCCAAGTCTGCTGCTCATGTAACCATGCTGCAGCGCTCGCCTAGCTACATCATGTCAGTGCCCAGCGAGGACAAGACGGAGACGGCGATCAGATGGATATTCCCCGAGAGACTGGCGGTGAAACTGATCCGGTTCAAATGGATGTTGACGTCTTTCATGCTGGTCACATTCTGTCAATGGTTCCCTAAGTTCGCCCGGAAGCTATTCGAATCAGCAACCAAGGCCCAGCTTCCGCCGGGAATGGACTTGGATCCCAACTTCAAGCCACGGTATGATCCGTGGGAGCAGAGACTCTGTATATGTCCAGGTGGAGACTTCTACGCCGCTTTGAGGAGTGGTAGAGCGAGTGTGAAGACTGGTGCGATCGAAACGGTGTCGCCGACCAGTATTCGTCTCAGGACTGGAGAAGAGCTGGTCCCGGATATCATTGTCACAGCCACGGGCCTCAAGCTACGTATAGGAGGTGGCGTCGAATTCATAGTGGATGACCAAAAGTTTAACATTGCAGACCATTTCATGTGGAACGGTGCGTTGCTTGAGGGTCTGCCTAACTTCTTGTTCGCATTTGGCTATGTCGATGCGAGCTGGACCATGGGAGCGGACGCTACTGCCCAGTTGGCCTGCAGACTATTGACAGAAATGAAAAAAGAAAAGGTCCGCATGATTGTCCCACGGCAAAGCGACGAAGAGAAAGCAAGAATGAAGGATTTGCCCTTCTTCAGGCTCAGCTCAACGTATGTTGAGGAAGGAAAGACCGTTTTGCCTAGAGTTGGTGATAGAGGCCCGTGGAGGCGTCGGTCCTACTATTGGAAAGACATTTTGACGGCATGGTATGGGAACATCCGATCAGGTTTAGTGTGGTCGAGATGAGATTTAGAAGTTGTCTCCTTTTTAAGGATGTAGACGAGACGAGCCAAGGTAGCCCAAAATTGGGTAGGGTTTTCTCAGCAGTATTGTTCTACCTGAATTTGAACGCAAGTCCTGGCTTCCCGTTCTCTTATGGAAGCCTGATCGTGAGTTTACTGTGATGTTCTGTTTCTAAAGGCTCTGAGGCTGCAAGACCACCATATACTTAAACGGAGTAGTGAACCGTCGCTACGAATTCAGCTACGTATGAGCTAGGATAGATACTGACTTAGCAGTTCAGCTGGCCCCCAAAGCATTGAAACCGGGAACCTTCAAGCACACGTACAACTAGCGTCTAGTTTGTCCCTCTGCCCAGTTGGGTAAGGACTCGGGAGTCACGACGACGCCTGGAACCGCGGGACCCTCAATTTGGACTAACATCGCTAGTTGATACTGTAGAAGAGTGGAGATCTGGATCTGGGTACCCACTAACCTCGCCCAAGATAAACGATGTCAACGACCGATTACCTTCTCCAATCCAAGTAACTTACGTCTGCTACCGACCCGCGGTTCTTTTCGTGGTGACTATCTCTTTTCCTTGCAGATGAAACAAGATGATATTTAGCAGAATTTCCACACCTGCTCCAATCGATGGCAGTCGCACAATCAATAGTCATATACCATCCAGGTTTTCATCCATAACGACCGCGCGACAACGGACATTTCAAAATTCCAACAATGGCAACACCTGAAGTACCTCCCGAGTTGCTGAGCAAGTTGCTTGGCCAGATCTCTTCTGACCCTGGGATACCGTTGCAAGGCCCGACCATAGCAGCCTGGCAAGAGCCGGCCCATGCCCTTGCAGACGTGCACTCCGACAAGTTGCCTGAGTGTGTCGACTTCGCCATCATCGGGTCCGGAATTACGGGCTGCAGCGTCGCCAAAACACTGCTGGAACACGACGCTGCTGGAACCAAGTCAGTCACGGTGTTTGACGCCCGGAGGCTCACGACAGGCGCCACGAGCCGCAACGGCGGGTTCTTGATGAGCCATGCCCCGACGTTCTTTGCGGCCTTTGCCAAAGCTTTTGGGACCGACACCGCAGCCCAGATAGCCCGGTACTGCGAGAGAACCTTGGGTGAGATAGTCGCAGCGGCCAAAGCAGAGGATCTTTTCGATGAATGCCAGATTCGCGATGTCGAGACCGTCATCACTTTCGCCGACGAGGACAGCATGGCCAAGTTCGCCGAGTCGGTTCAAATGTACCAGGGCCACGTCCCCGAGTTTCGAGGAACCTATAACAAAATCAGCAAGGAACAAGCCGAGAAGGTATGAAACCCTCTTCTCTTCTGCACTTACACTTCCATATTCACGGGATCAAAATCAAAAAGACGCAGCGATGCATACGTAATGTACATCAGTTAGTGTCTAACTCTTCTGTCTGACTTGTTGGAAAACCAGGATCACGGTCTGAAAAACATTGTTGGCGCATTCACTACTCCGTCTCGAGTGTTCTGGCCGTATCGCTTGATCACAGGGCTGCACCAGCGTCTTCTCGCGCGATATCCACAGCGGTTTTCGATCGAGACGAATACACCCGTGACGTCTGTTGCTGTTTCCACAGACGGCACCAACCCCGCCTATCCCTACGTGCTGACGACTCCTCGGGGCGTCGTGCGCGCCTCCAAGGTCTTCCATTGCACCAGTGGCTTCGTCGGGCATCTTCTCCCCAAGCTCCGAGGCCCCGTGTTCCCATGCAGACTGACCATGGCGTGCGACCGCCCAGGTCCGCAGTTCGGCAACCGTGCCGTGTCGTGGCTCTGGCACGTGCCCATCAGCTGGGACCCGGAGACCAACCTGGTGGAGCAGGGTCTGTACTGGATGCAACAGAACGCGCAGACCGGCGATCTCTTCTATGGCGGCGACACCCAGAAGCTGGACGACTTCATCACTTCCAACGACACGTCCGTCAGTGTCGATGCCGCCGAGAATCTCAAGACATTGCTCCCCGGGCGGATTTTTGCCACGGGCTGGGCCGATCCTGACACTGGCGCGGGCGTGACCTCGATGAATCCTCGACGGACGTGGTGTGGCATCCTGAGCATGACGGCGGATCAGGTCCCGATCGTGGGCCATGTGCCGGCCAGTTTGAGTGGGAGAGATGTTGACAAGGGTGAATGGGTCGCTGTTGGATTCAACGGATATGGCATGGGCCAGTGCTGGTCGGCCGGCGAGGCGATTGCCCGCATGGCACTGGGCGAGGACAAGCCAGCCTGGCTTCCAGATGTCTACTTGAGCGGCGAAGCTCGTCTGACGGGAGCTACCATGTCGACTGAGGCGGCTCTTCAATCGTTTTTTGAGAGGTGAAAGTGTGAGGACTCAGACATGCCTTGAATGTACCAACCTCCATCTCAACCACCTACAACGTCCTAGTACTCTTACATATATGGATATCACGTCTCCTCGGACCTATTTAGGACCAGCCAGCAGAGATTTCCTCACCTTTTAATTCTACTCTCCGACAGTTGAGAGGATAGTAGTACAGGGCTTCTTGGTGACCGTCGTAGGCGAGTATTGTATGGCTTATCGCGATAAAGATACCAAGTTTCCACACCTCTAGGATATCTCTTCCTCTTTTTGCACTCTTACCCCATTTGCTCCAGAGGATCATCCACAACAGCTTCCAAGGTGATCCACCTCGCCTTGTGTGTTTTGCGTGTGGAGACAGTGACCGAGCTGCCACCGTCATGTTTGGACACGAGATGGGCTAATAACGGCATTAAAGCTTCCAAGGATGGTTCATCTTTTGAGGGGTGTCTTTATCAATTTACCCAAGGTTGAAGAGGAAATGGTGAAATGACCAATCAGTCCCAGCGAGCTCAGAAACTCAAACAAGTCGACAACCACTTTTTCAACTTCAACAACACACGGACAGCTTCAACACTGTACTATATAGTCTATATGACTCACCTACGAACGAAATGACTCGATGTTGTCTTTCTGACGACGCCCGAGGCGCTCCATAGCCTTATAGTAAGTATCCAGTTCTGCCCAGTCCTCCGGACAGAAAACCCCTGCACGCTTCAGACCCTCTGGATCCAGCTCAGTCTCAGTGACCATGAGTAAGAACGCGGCGCACGAGGATCCGATGTTGACCGCCATGCTCTCCTCCGGATCTTGGATGGTAGTCGCCTGTCGGCGATAGACCACCGTGGGAACGCCATTGCGTGTCCCCAGCACGCGCACCAGGATACCAGCGCGGTAGTCTGGATGTCTGCCTCTTGCCGAGTTGACCATGAACCGTGCCGCGTCCACCAGCGAGCACTCACCATCCTGAACTTGTCGAATCATTCCCCAGATGGCATGTCGCCACGGATCCAGAGCGCCCGCGGCGTGGCAGGCAAGCTGATAGAGCTCTCGGAGTTTGATGTCGCCGCCGCGTAGCTGTGCCTTGACTACTTCCAACCAGCTGCTGCTATCGCTGGCGGCACCATCGACAGCAGTAGTCGGTCTTGTGGCTAGGTTCCAGAGAAATTCTATCGCCACTTCCATGGGGAGAGCGCCTTCTCGTACGGCAACAGCAAGACCGCGTGAAAAGCCGTTGAACGGAAGAGGGTTCAGAGCACCTAGACATCGAACCCGCTTTGCCGTGGGGAATGCTCGCGGCAGCGTCACAGGCTCCGGGTGGATGGTTTCGTGGAGGAGGACGTCTCCCTCGCCAGGGATCATCGGCGCATACGATGTCTCGACCCAGTTCTCGTGAACCGCCGGTTTACCATCGGCCCACGTCATACAAGGCCCGGCGGTGATGTGCATGAGATGTTCCAACACCTCTTTACCATTCTGCCCTCCTCGGTCGGTGACGTACCACGCTACATCAATGGTGTCGACGCTCTCGAGTTCCTTTGCTGCATCGACAGCCATGAGATTGGTCAACCCTGGCGAGGAGCCACAGTTGATATAGCAAGGGACACCTTGTTGTTCGGCCCGCTCGAACAGGTCGAGAGAGTCTTGCGTGCTCTTGACGTCGTCTGAATAGTCGAGGTAGGGAACCTTTGCATCCAGGCACGCTCCAAGTACCGGCCCCGAGGCACGGCCATAGGGCTGAGCACCCTGAACGACGAGCCGTGCTCCAGAAATGAGGGAGCGGAGTTCGCTTGGTTCATAGATGTTGGTTTGCTTGATAGTGGCTCGGTTGGGAGACAGTTTGGTTGTGTTTCGACGGATGGCACTCTCGTCAGCATCGGCAAGGACAATCGGCAGGGTAGATGCCGCAACGAAAGACTCGATCGCTCTTCCACAGATGGCATCAGCCGCGCCAATAAAGACTACGGGTTTGGAGCTATGTTGTGTGGCATCCATTGTAGATTGTAGGACGTTGGCAATTTGAAGTCTTCTTGTAAAGTAGAAACGAGGTAATCACTGTCCACGAAAGCCTCATTCAGGCTGCTTAAAGTCGAATTGATTGCATGTGTGTATGAAATTACTAGCTATATAGGTCTACTATGGAATGCCCAAGACGATCAGCTGTCAATTGTATATACAGTGCAAGCAACGAAGGCAAATACCGCCCCATCCGAGCCGCGGCTGCGATTGCAGGCCTTAGAAACGCGCTATCCATCCCAAAAAAGCCAGCGGCAGCCTCCAAGAAGCGGTTCAAAAAGCGGGCTAACCAGTGGGCTTAGAAGTATACGATAAATATTGATTACATGACAGACGGCATTCCTCTGTGCTCAGTAGCGACCGGTTCCACTGCTTAGATGGAGTTCTGCAACATTTCTCCCGCGGCTCAGTATACCTGGCCAACATCTGGAAACATAACTAGACTCTTCTTGAGTTCACACAATCCTTTCAGGCACGCATCTAAACGAGCTGTCATTGAAGAAGCCCTCTCTGTGTCCATTCGTGCAATGCAGTTTTGCACTTCGTTGCTGAGCGCCTTGGCCGCAAGCCTGAATGCTTGAACCATCATTTGTGGATGCTGTACGTATACCAAAGTCAGCAAGGAAGGGCATGCTGAACTGAGAACGACGCAGCGGAGACTTACTGGATGAGCAGCTATATCTTGGACCGAAGCTTTCAAACCTGCTCCTCCTTGGAACCCTGGGCTTGATACCCCCTGACTCCCTGAAGCGAGGAAAGAGACTTGGGTGGCACTGACCAAACGATTGTCCTCCCGGTGTGCGCGCGCCGAGTATAGATCTTCCAACAGCCGTTCTTTTGCTGGTGCTGACGGAGCCTGCGCCAATTCTGCCTCAAGCTCATCAATCACCTCACAGAATTGCAACACGGCTAGATCACCATCGCTGGAGCAAAACAAAACTGAGCGTCTTAGACTCGGTTTTGAATATTGGATACTGAGCGAGCCGTCTTCATCGAATTTGCCAAACATTGCTCTCCAGGCCTCACTCAACTTGTTCATGGTTGCGTGATGTAACAAAATCTCCTCGTACTCAACGTCATCGGTCCCGACATTTTGTATAGCTACAATCAGAAGTGCCAGTGACTTCCACAGCATGACGACAAGGGGAACGGAATCGAGAACAGCACGAAGAATCTCTTCGTCCTCGGCACCTCTGTTCCAGAGACCCGTGACAGCGATTCCACCTGCGGCTGTGAATGCCGCAGTCGTGATTTCAAGGTCTCTCTCGCGTCCCGTTGGAACTTCAACGAGATCAGTGATCCTTCCTTGGGACACACCTTTAATCAAGTCGTCTTTGGTCGCACCGATGCCTGGTAACGCAGGCGGACTCGGGCAAATTTGTCCTTGAGAAATCCCAATGAGAACCCAATTAATTATATTAGCAAGCGAGCTAAGCAAGTCAATGAGATCCAAAACCAATTCTCTCGCGTCAGAGGGTAGTTCTTGCACTGGATGGATCGTTCTCTTGGTTCCGTGCACGCTCATTCTACTCGCCTGGCTGTAAGAGCGAGGAGTCTCAACACATCGCGAACGAGCTTGAACACACAGTGACTGAAGGCGTCGTACACCTTCGGTACGGGCATAAGCAACGTCCTCCGCGCTATTTGGATCAGTGGGAATGGGAGGAAGCATGACACCGAACAAGACCAGTGCGAGAGCCAGGCGAAATGAAGTAGTCGCTGCAATATTGTCGAACAGCAGCTGCCTGGCCTTGCGCCATGCCACCAATGCAAATTCCCGTGCTTCTGATGACGCTTTGTTGCAGCCAGGCTTACCAATGGCAAATTGGGCAGCATTAGACAGGGCCACCCATCTGTATGTTTCGTTGATGGCCATGTCTCGAGACTCCGTCGCAGCCCGAGAGAAGGAACCACCTCCATTCTGAAAGAGTACATCGAGCAGACTAGCCACGAAGAAGAGATGTGGTCCGGCTGATGTCGCATCCCAGGGATCTGAGGACATTTGCCAATAATTCTTGATCCATGACTGCGCTTGGTTGAGATACTGAGAAAAAGAAGAATCTTGGCTTAGTTTAATTAGCGCTTCGAAGCCGGAGCCGTAGAATGGTCGCACATGTGCATGCGAGAGGCAATCCACCATTGGCATATCCCATACATCAACGTAGAGATTGAATTGCTGTGCACACGTCTGTTCGGCAATGATCTGTCTCGTCAGATCCGCTTCAGGGGCCAACGCAGAGGTCAGGCCTGCCACGGACACGACGTTTAAGGCATTAGTCAATCCGTCGAAGGGTTTGTCGTCTTCTGCCACGCCTCTGCTGCTTGTGTACTGTGGTTTCCTTGTTTGTTTCTCGTCACCCTGGTTGGACTTTCTCTTGTTCAACCACACTGTTGTACATTGAAGGCCGCGAGTGTTGCAGGTGGCACAGTCCTTCGAGGGCTGGCCATTGCAAATGCCGATGTCGAGTGGTAAATCGCACGCTCTTTTCGCCACGCGACACTGATCACAAGAGTGGTTTTGCTTGCGCTTGCGCTTCTTGCTTGAGGAAGTGGTTTGGCCAAGGAGTGTAGACGGGACCTCCAGATGAGGGTGAATCGTGTCCACCTTATCGATACACGTTGTCTCGCAGGGAATACGTCTCGTGTCCTTTTCGATATCCTCTTCGTAGTCTCCACAGGAGAGAAGAGGACTAAATTCATAAAATAAAGGGGTAACAATGCCAGCATTATATTGATCGTGAAGGGTCGGCGGTAGCTGCAATGCTTCTTCTGTCCAAGAATCGATGGCATCCCACCAAACTTGGTCGTTTGCAACCGCTGAAATGAACATGTCGCTGCCGTTCTTTTGACATGATCGTTGATGCGTATCCAAATTTTGCAGACTGGAAGTAGTAGGTGGCATGTTCCTATCCAGCTTGAGTCTATCTCAGTAGGTAGCGTGCGGCTCCCGTTCCACTCGTTATCTCTCACCCCAATGTTATCAGAAGAGGACTAACAGATGGTCGTCGTCAGCCTGAAATCCAAACCCGAAAGCACAAATTCATCCAGAGCCGCGGCAGCGATGAGTCGATGATAACGGCGAAGGCATCTCCCAGCTGCGGAAGGGTCTTATCAGTAGATATGGAGGGCAACAGAACTCTAATCATTGAGTTCGTTGAAGCACTGTTTCTCTTACTTCGCAGAGTAGGTCGGCCCCACTAAAAACGCACCCTGTTTGCGGTTCAACCGGAGCCGCGGCTCCAGAGTGTATCGTATTTCCACCTTCCTGCTTCCCCCAGATATCGGATCGGCGAGCAAAATCACCGCTGTGATGCAGCCATGGATATACGGGACAGTTATGGAATCAACAGACCTCTTCAATATAAATATGGAAAGACAGTCAGATATCTCGGGGGAGAGATGAATGCCATTCCGTGTTTCCACCCGACGCCAAAAGCGAAATGTCGCCCGACACTGAACAGTATCTGTCCGACAGGAAGATCTCGATTGTCTCCAAGAACGACCTTGAGTTGAGCATGGGTGGTGCAGAGGGTCAAGAGCCCGTCGACGGAGTTATAGTGCCGTCGCTGGGTGCAGACCACACTTTTCCAGACGGCGGGTACAAGGCCTGGATGACGGTCCTTGGGGGCTGGCTGTCGTTCATTGCAGGCATTGGCGTTCTGACGGGCTTCGCGGTGTTCCAGAGCTACTACAGCACTGTTGTACTGACCGGATACTCTGCCGACGACATTGCCTGGATCGGGAGCCTGCAAACCTGGGGATGCTACTTCTTCGGAATGTGGGCTGGCCGTCTGTCTGACCAATACGGGCCAAAGGTGCCCATGGCCTTTGGATCGGTGTTTATGATCCTGGGCACCATGACTGCTTCGGTGTCGACTAAGTACTATCAGTTCATCCTCTCGCAAGGTCTGTGTTCAGCGCTGGGCATCGGGTTTGCTTTCACCCCGGCTCTGGCCGTGCAGTCTCAGTGGTTCCTGAAGAAAAGAGGATTTGTCGTCGGCATGGTCATATCGGGCCAGAACGTCGGAGGTACGTCGTATGCGATACGCTCCTTCATGAGACATCTCGTCGGCCGTTCGACTAACACCAAATTCTCTATTTGTCTGTCTAGGTGTTATCTGGGCAGTTCTCGTCAACCAACTGGTCAACTATAGGGGTGTCTCATTTGGCTGGACTCTACGCATCATTGGCTTCATGCAGCTGGCCTTGATGGTGGCTGCAGTGCTCCTGATTCAACCACGGTTCCCACGCGGGATGCCACGCGAACCCATCAGGATCAAGACCTACTTCACCGATAAACGAACTCTCCTCTTTACCCTGGCAAGCTTCGTTATGAACTTGGGCATCTACATTCCCTATGTGAGACCCATTTTCTGGCCCTTTGTGAGCTCGCCATGTACGTGCTGACGAATCTAGACCTACGTTTCCACATACGGCTATCAATACGGACTTTCGGCGCGGATGGCCTTCTATCTTGCCTCAATCCTCAACGCTGGAGCCTTTTTTGGGTGCTACGCTTTGGGCTTTGTTGCCGATGCTGGCTTGGGATTTTTCGACTCCCTGATCATCACAGCTTTTGCCTCTGCCATTGTTGCATTCGCCTGGATAGCCGCGCGGGCCCCATCTGGCATTATAGTGTGGACGGCGGTCTATGGCCTCCTGTCTGGAGCTCTTCAAGCTATATTCTCCCCCTGCATATCTCTCTTGGCCCCGTCACCGGAAGTGATTGGTACCTGGAACGGTGAAGTCTCTAGCTTCCAGCTGCGCTTGTGTTCTCTCACTGATATTGGTACAGGCCTTTGCATCACAGCCCTTGCTTTTGCAGTTCTAGGTGGAGGTCCTATTGGTGGAAGGCTCCTTGAGAATGCAGGAGATACGAACTACGTGCCCATGCAGGTGTTCACAGGTGTCTGTATGGCAGTCTCATGTTGTCTGTATAGTGTCACCCGATTGTGGGTGTCTCGAGACCTGAGAAAGAGAGTCTAGCCAAAAGATGGGCAAGGGGTTAAAGCAGCCCAAGGTTAGAGTATTTCGAGGGTGTATCGTTGCAGGCGCAACCACTCATGCGAACCTAGCTGGAAGATGTAGTTGATAATATTCTCGGATAGGAGAGTAGCGACTTTCGTGCCGAATGTCCCCTACCAGGAGTGATAGAGAGAAAAAGCCTTCGCCCGCTGACGATATCATCAATAAAGGGAAAATAGTTATGTAGCAGTACAAGTAACAGAGCACGTCATGATGATGAGGTGAAAAGTAGATGGATTCGATGTTGGACTGGGACGGATATAACACCCAGTACGAGCACGACGTACGGCGCACTCGTACCGGGTATGGCATATAACCTTTCCACTGTTTCAACCTGAAGCTCGATGTCAAATATAAACGTCCCATGACACATAACTGTAAGTAGAGACCTTTACATGCTGATGTCGGAGACTTTGTCCGACCTGTGACGACCCAAAATTAGGGAGCTCTGACTATGCCCCTAAATCTAGTGGCTGACTTCTTGTGGTCATACATTTAGCTCCCCTCATCATGTTCAGCTCTCGGTTTTCCTCTTCTTATTCGCACGATTGCTCTGTCCGTTTTGCTTGCTTGCATGGGCCTTAAGGGCTTGCGCAACGTCTCTGAAAAATTCCGGTGGTTCCAATGGATGTTGTCCTGTAACATCATGAAACGCAGTGGTAGAAATATAATTCGTCTTGCCTTCACGGACCAGGGAGTAGTACTCGAGAAGGTACTGGATCTCCGAGGGGTCAAGATCGGATTGCGCCTTTAAGACTCTCTTCGCTTCGTTCTCAGAGATATTCTCAAATTCGAAATCGTCGCCAAGAGCCTGACTTGCAGCCGTCGCCAGCTCTTCCCCTGCACAGAGCATCGGCCCTGATGACATGTTACTATACAATCTGGGCAAGGGAGGGCCGGACATGGAGGACTCACCAGTAAGAACCATCAACTGTCCTCGATGTTTGTCACTAAAACCGTGCTTTCCCTTGCCTGTGAGGACGTTGGCAGCTACCTGTGCAAGATCCTAGCACGCATTAGTCCCTCAAGTCCCTGACAATGGTGGTAATTTTACCTACCCTGATAGCCATGGGTGCAAACTTATGGTACTCTCCGATGGGCAGCGGGATTGTCTTGTCTTCTGTCAATTGAGGAGCATATAGGAGCAGGTTCTCAGCATAGAAACCAGGTCGAATCACGACAGGCGAATGCCCAGTCTCGGTGCTGGGATCTCCTTTGGTAGCCATGACTAGAGTCTCAAGCTCAATGAATTCGCGCAGCCGTGGCTGCTTCTGCGGATCTGCCAGATCGCAACCCGCAGAGCTGATGAAGCAGACGTTGGGGATGTTTGCACGTTTGGTGGCTTCGATTAACTCCTGGGTAATTTCGAACTTGTCTTGATGCGCAGGAGGGATGAGGCAGACGGCGTTGGCACCAGTAGACTGTATTGTCTTGACCATCTCCTTCATTCGGCCTGGTTTGTGAGGTACGACCTCGACACCCAGCTCGGACACTTCTTGGGCATGCTTGGAGTCAGGATAGAGGGCTAATCCTGTTACCGTTCCAACCTTCTTCTTGAAATTGTCATTTTCGAGAATATACTTGGCGATGGCAGAACCTGTGTGGCCGTCGATGGCAGTGATACATATATTCCGTGACATGGTTGCTAGGTGTCAGTTCCACGTCTTGGTCCTAGACCACCACATTGAGTGACGAGCAGGACGAGTCATCTTTATACCCATTCAGTTGTTTTGGTCATAGCTTTATGTTCAGGATGATGATGTCGTGACAGTATCATCATGGACACGTCACAAAGACGCTACACTCCCTGACCATGATACATATACCCGCCCCGCCGTCACGGAGGTCATGTTCCGTCCATTGCTTCTGCAAGCACAGACAGAGCCATACAGCGTGTATGAATCTTCTGGGGAAGGGGGCCATTATCCAGCATACTCAAGGGGGAAATGGTCGGTCACGTGGGGAAACTGGTAAGCAACGACGGAAATAAGGTGGATACAGGCAGTGGATACTGTACATACCCTTGGGCTTCTATGGGTCGCTGGCATGGTTCATGTCTCTGCAGATTGTTAGGCAAACAATAACCATAAGCCCCTTCCCCTCCCGGTATAACACAAGACAATATACAAACATATATGAGGGGTATCATTTTTGATCCTAATCGGCACCAATATCAAGTGCCTTCATGATGCTTGAGTCTGCGACTTTGGCAGCACAGTAGGCAATTCTCCTGGTGCCAACTGCCATGCCATCTCAACCGCACCTGAAGGGTCGCCCTTATTGTACAAGAATAAGCCTTGTAATGCGGCCATGCTGGCTCGACTAACTCTGGCTTTGGCGTCCGGCAGCGCTCCGATTTCAAGTAAGCGTTCGAGGAACTGTTGTTTGAGTTTCCCCTCCGGATCAGCCTCACCATAGAAGCGCTCCCACAGCTGGGAGATCTGGTACGTGGTAGCCTCACCAAGACGAACTGTCAAATCCACTCGTCCAGGGCGAACCAAGGCTTCATCGAGTCGATCCACATGGTTGGTGGTGAGAAAGATGATTCGCTCTTCTGCACTTGCGACACCATCTAAAGCATTCAGAAGCCCGGAGAAGGTCACATTCGCACCTGCGTAGCCATCCGCCTCAACCTGACGGCGATTGGAAAACGCTGCGTCAACGTCTTCAAGCAGAATCAGTGTTCTTTGCGGTATCACTGTCAACAGATGATTGAGGCGATCATCTGTAAGACCACGCTCACTCAGGTTCAGCATGGCGATGTCATAATTCAGATGTCCGGCCAAAGCTTGGATGAAGGAAGATTTGCCGGTTCCTGGAGGGCCATAGAGGAGGTAGCCTCGCCGATAGGGGATACCTCGTTCGTAGTACCACTTCGCCGAGGAAAGAAAGTCTTGTACATCCTCCACAATTCTTTCCTTCACTCCTTCATCCAGGATCACAGACTCAAGAGGTCGCTTGCTTCGAGGATGGCCGAACTTATCCCATCTTGTACCCCAAGCAGTGTAGATGACCGTCTTGCCCTCCACCGCCTGCGTAGCGAGATCGGCCGCCTCTTTGAACATCGACTCAAAGACGTGTCGGTGGGCATACAAGGTCGTCAGGGTGACCGTCTCCCAGGGCTTCCCATCCATCGAGACTTGCTTGGCTTCTCTTTGCCTATTGACCCATATCCAAGCATTCCTATACCGGAGAACGTGTCTCCCCGGGCCTGGAATGAGGTAGAAATTCGTATGGAGGGCACCGTTGGGCAACTCTTGTTTTTCTGTTTTGATAGACAGATGGTGTATGCCCGGCGTGATTCGGCTGAGGATGGAATCGAAGACGCCCTGCTTCTTGCCGGACTCTTTCACTGCCAGTCTCATCTGTTCGTGATGTGTCATCCAATCCAGAAACCACGGGTAGGAGTCGTCTCGAACATTGATCTCGACATCGACGAGAAGACGTCGTCGCAGCAGGTGGGCTCCCTGCTTGAAGCCTCTACGGGCTGTTGCTGCAAGTGCACCAAGGCCTGCAAGGGCAAATCCCTTGGGATGTGTCAGGACGAGCATACAGAGATCTCAAGAGCCATACATACACCTGTGAAGAGAGGGTTGTTGGACAGCTGCGCAATCAGCCCACCCTCATTGCTGCTGGATCCTCCGCCTGCGAGCTGGCGAACGAGATCAGCTTTCGGCGCGGGTACATCATGGGCGTTCAGAGAGGGTTGGTCCGGTGCGATGTTGACCACTCCATTATCGCCCTGCATCACCAGAATGTCTCGGGCTATGTCAACATCCGAAGCAGTGGCAGGTCGACGAACTCAATTGTCTCTCGTCTGAGAAAGTGGTCGCGCGTGCAATGAACTCTCCGGAGCATTTTTCATCCGAAAATTCGTGCAGCATCTCGGAGATAACGGACCATGTCGTCGCTCCAACAACAAAAAAGCTGGACGCTGACGCCGAGCACGATTCGCACGCATTCTACGGCGTCTCGTTCGTATAACTAGCGAGTACGGATACTCTGTACAGTACCTGGATGGCTGGGCATCCTATCGCAGTCTCTTCTAGGCGCCAGGAATTCAAGCAATAACCCCGGCGTCGCCCTCGTGTCCCTCCTCCTCCTCTTCTTCCTCTCCTCCATGCGCTCCTTTCTTCGACTTCTCTTTAGCAAGAGAGCGTCTAGTGCTCCTCCTCCACCGAATTCCGCAAAGATGGCGTACTCGTCCTCAACGTCGGCGCTGGTGTATGCGGCGACCGTCGCTGTTCCTTCGATCGCCAGCGCCCGTCCCGACGACGACATCACGAAGGCCAAAGCCTGGCACGTCAAGTCGGGAGGCTTCAACAACCCCTGGCCCTCATGGGACATGCACTCTGCGCCAACCATCATCCGTGGCATGCTCATGCGCCGCTTCTCAGGGCGCGCAAATATACCCAACACCACTCCACCGACCGTCCCCGTCCATGCGCCGACATTCCTACCCTCTCGCACCTCAAGTACCTCATTGCGCGCAACCTGGCTGGGCCATGCGTGCTACTACGTGGAATTCCCGTCTGGTCTGCGTGTGCTCTTCGACCCGGTGTTTACAGACCGCTGCAGCCCATTTTCATGGCTGGGACCAAAACGATACACCGAGATGCCGTGCCAGATCCGCGACATACCCACGATCGACGCCGTCGTCATTTCGCACAACCACTACGACCACCTCTCTCACCCGACCATCATGGAGATTCACAAACTGCACCCGAAATGCCACTTCTTCGTCCCCCTGGGAAACAAAAAGTGGTTCGAAGCCTGCGGGATAACGAAAGAATGCACCGAACTCGACTGGTGGGATGATGTAGATTTCACGCTCACACCCTCCTCGTCTCCAGCAAAGAGTGACAAAGTCAGCATCTCCTCCGCCGACACACCGTCCGCGAAGCCCACCACAGACGCAGACGCAATCACGAGCAGAATATCGTGCTTACCGTGCCAGCACATCTCGGCAAGGAGCGTCCACGACCGCGCCGCCACGCTCTGGTCGTCGTGGTCCGTCACCTCGGGCGGGAAGAGCGTCTACTTTGGCGGCGACACGGGATACCGATCCGTGCCCAAAGAAAGCGACGGCAAGGACGACTGGGGTGAAGAATACGCACATCTCCCGCACTGCCCGGTGTTCAAAGACATAGGAGACCTCAAGGGTCCGTTCGACCTCGGCCTCATTCCGATCGGCGCCTACATGCCCAGGTGGATTATGAGTCCCATGCACGCCGACCCCAGGGACGCCGTCGAGATCTTCAGGGACACAAAGTGTAAACGAGCCATGGGCATCCACTGGGGAACTTGGGTTCTGACCGAGGAGGACGTTCTCGAGCCCCCGAAGCTACTGAAGAAGGCCCTCGCCCACCACTCGATTCCCGAGACCGGTGTTTTTGACGTTTGCGATATTGGCGAGAGCCGAGAGTTTTGAAGCGCGTGATTGCAGCCGTGTGGCATCGCGATAAGCGCCCACCCTGGTGTAAGGAGCGCAAAATTTTTGTACATTTAATTTAGAAGGGTTCCATGGCACAGGCGACGGCGTGCAGCGTTGAGGGGTAAAAAGGCACAGGCATGAGAAGCTGGCATACCTTGGAAATAGATGGCCTGTAGTACGTCTCTCTCTCACTACGATTCTTAAAACTAAAGAATCTTAGTCGATGAAATTGATAATATCATGGACTGAGTGCCAGGATATCATTGGACTACCCTTCTATTTCATTGAATTCCATCTGCCCTGAATGATGGAGATGGCAATAGTAATGACCTCGACCACCTTAATGAGGCACCACGAGTAGCAAACACCAATAGTACTAATACATGGAATCCCAGGCCCATAAGACATACTCCGTTTGCTGGCTTTGGCTCATCAGCCTTCTCGACTCAGCTTGCACTTCACCGGCATATTCGTAGCTCATCAGAGCAGGCGGCAGCATGTCCCAATGCATACAAGACCGTGAATCGAGGAGCACTTATTTCTTGCTGCGACCGGCTCTGCCCTTCTTCTTCTTTTTTGGCGGCTCTGGTGCGTCGTCTGTGTCATCTTCCTCATCATATGCCTTTGACTTTGCAGCTTTGGCTTTCGGCGCGACGGGGGCTTCGTCTTCTTCTGACGGCTCTTCTTTCTTGGGATGACGGGACTTCTTGGCTGGCTTTGCTGGTGCGTCTACTGGATTGTCGGAGTCCAAGGGTTGATGCTCTTCAGCCTTGATCTTTTTGGCACGAGATTTCTTTGGTTTTTCGACAGGTGCATCCAACTCGTCTTCGGCAGATGCCTTGCGTTTGCGGCCACGAGCAGTCTTCGGCGCCGGAACCTCTTCGTCTCCCTCAGCCAATTCTGCCTTGACCTTCTTCGGTCTACCCTTCTTTGCCTTGGGCTTAGATGGTGATTGGTCGTCTCCATTTGCACCCGCTTCGTCGTCTACATCTGTCTTCGGGGCCTTCTTCTTCTTTGGGGTACGCTTGTTGATGCCTTTCATTCCGGGACGATTCAACTCGGGATCCTAGTTGCTTGAGTCAGTCCAGCGCCTCGACGCCGCATTAGAGCTTGCTTACCCCCTTCCAGTCTTCATCTGCAACGTGGCCGTGAACCAATGCATCCTTGACCTTCTCTTGAGCTTCAACAATCAGTTCATCATAGCCGTCAAGAATGGCTGGAAGGTCCTTGTCCAGATCCAAGTCTTCCAAGGGGCCGACTTGAGATTGTAGATTTGCAATCTGTACTGGTGTGACACATCCCCTAAGCAAAGCATGAGCCGTGAATCCGGTGAGGAGTTGTCTAGTCCTTACCAATGTTTCCATTGCCAACTGTAGTGCTCCTGGATGAACACTTGAGTACCGAAGCGGAATTCACCTTTCATAATCTTGACACCGTCATGTTTGCATTTAGAATTCTGGCATCCCGCCCGATTGTTTGGGGATATTTCTACAATAGATTAGCATTGGCCTGGAAGACTGACACATTGGCCTCATCAATTTCTCATTTCCTCCGAAGCGCACCGCTTAGGTGTGTACTCCGGGCAAGGTACAGGCATCTCGAGACACACTCACCGAAGCGATAGACGGCGTTCGACATGCTGGGCAACAGAGTGTCGGCATTCAAGGCTTGGATGAGGTTTCCTGACGATGTGATACTAGAAATAGAGCACACGGAGGGTGTGGTGAAAGGAAGAAACCTGGGAAAGAAAAGACGCGAGCATAAGCGCGAGATGGAAGAGTTCGCCCTCTGATCGCTGCAATGCTGGTAAAGCGACAAAGGACGAGGTTGTGGACAGTGACACAAAAGAAAGAACGCGATGGCGATGCAGTTGCTGCCTCCGCGTGGAATTGAAGTGTCTGACAATCATGTCATTCTTTCCCCAGCGATGAATTTGTGTGGAGAAATCCAAAAATATCCAGTCAGACCGCTGAGCACTTGGCCGCTGTTGACATCAACCGATACCTTCCAGCCTTGAAACTGACTTCTTATTCATTCATCATTTCTTGCTTTTCGATGAACTGCAGAGGCGGATATAATATCAAATATCTATTACTTCCTATGGGGTATGGGCTTCTTATACAAATTTCACGCTGGTTGATTGAATGAGATCAGATCGTTTGGCAGCCTTCGCCAAAGAAAGTGCTCTTCCAAAATGCCACGACTCCGAATCCTCAACATCGTATGCTGGTGGCTCTGTTAGAGAGACTGCGGCTCATGCTTGCTTGTCAGCTTTACTGGCGATCGCTGCTTGTCCGCTGGAACCCTCTTCGCTAGTACCCTCCCTCGAAGCTTCCATTCCCTCCAGAATTCCTGCAGCTCTTTCCGGGTCTGGCTGGCCATACTTGGCGCTAATGGAGTGGTTAGCAAAGACGTAACATAGGTGAGTTGCGCACTTACTCGTAATCATGTCGTCCATCGTGGAAGAATGCATATGGCAACTCTCCATGAACTTCGCCATCGCCGATCAAAAGCTGCTCCTCGCTGTATCTCAGCGGAATCCGCAACACATACTTGATAAACAAGCAAATTGCACTGGTCCAGAAGATATTCCACCCGATCACGAAGAGGAAGCCGACAATTTGTACCCAGACTTGTCGACCATATCCGTCAATGGCGCCACCGTTCGGAGCGAGAGCGAAAGCTGCCGTACCCTCGCTGGTGGCAAAGAGGCCAGTCAAAAATCCTCCCAGGACGCCACCGACCAGATGCGTGTGAAAGTCTCCAACGACATCATCTGAAAATTCCAGGAACCATTTCTGCTTGCCGAGGATGTTCATTGAAAGCCACGGAATGATCCCAGAGCATAATCCAATGATGATGGCGCCCCAACCTCCGACGAAACCGGCTGCCGGTGTGATGGCGACTAGTCCAGTGATGATTCCCTGAACGGCCCCAATCACAGCAGGCTTCTTGAAGAACACCAAATCCATTAGGGTCCAGCTCAACATGCTCATCGCAGTGCAGACGTTGGTGTTCAACACAGCAGCACCGGCGTCAGGCGAGGCGGTGTATGGATCACCACCGTTGAAGCCATTCCAGCCAAGCCAGAGGAGGCCGACGCCAACCAATGCGAGAAGAACGTTGTTTGGATGGAAATCTGTACGATCTCGTGGATGACGTGGTCCGACCCAGTAAGCCATAACAAAACCCGCGGTCCCGGAGGAGACATGGATGACATATCCACCAGAGTAATCCAAGACGCCCATTGTGTACAGAAATCCACCTCCCCAAATGCTGAATGCGCCCACAGTATAGCTGAGTGTCAGCCAAAGGGGTACAAAGACCATCCAGGCTAAGAAATTCATTCTTGCCAAACCAGCTCCAGCAATAAGCACCAAGGTGATCGCAGCGAAGACGAACTGGAAATAAACCATCGTGCTCATGGGATATGCCGCGGACAGGCCGGCAGCAGGCAGGTATGCTTGTTTCAACTCGTAATTCATTTCCACCGCTGGTCCCGGAACGCCAACAAAAGGAAGCATCTTCTTGCCAAAGGACGCTTTGTACGCCCACACCACCCAGCATATGAGGACGGCGGCAAAGGCATACAGCACCATGAATGCAGAATTGATGGCCCACTTCTTTTTCACCAGACCAGCATACATGACCATGAGGCCAGGTACCGACTGTAGGCCGACCAGCGTTGCGGCGGTCAACTGCCAGGCGTTGTCGCCATTGTTCAGCCAGTCGGGTGCAACAAGTGTATCCGCATCCCAGCGTCGGACTGGGATATTTGGCCTGCCAGGCATCTTCAGAAGATAACCGATTGGTCAACACTTGAAGTTCGGTGGAATGGTGTGTCTCAGGGGGTTCGAAGTGTGAAAAGGGCGCAAAGTCGCGTTTGAAGACGCTGGGGGGATCAAGAACTTAAGAATGGTAACAGTCTACTACACACGCGACGAAAAAAGAAAAGACAAAAGCTCTCCCAAAGAATCGCTAGCTCCGAGCAGACCCATACCTACCTTCCCGACCAGCAAGATTGTTATTGACAAGGATTCAAGCGATATCAGTAGCTGTTTCTACCATCCTCATTCGCCAGACCGACACATGCACGGGGAGTCTCGTCTCAAGTGCGGACGCATCGCACACCCTCCATCGATCTAGGCACGAACGTGGCAGCGGGAGCTCGCCTCCCTCTCCAATAGTACGACGAAGCCGGTCGATTGCTTATCTCTAAAGACAAACAAAGTCTGTAATTGGATTCAGGAGGAAGAGAGGTTGAGGCAGAAAGTCTCAGAAAGCCTCTTCCGCCATCTAGACGAATGCGTCAAGGGCCTTGCGGAGACGAGCCAATCCTGGGGAAGAAGCTTATCAGCACTTGGCACCAAGAAAAGTGGTTGCTTAATGCTTGTAAACTCTGCTAAGCTCAGCCAATTCCCCACGGACTCTTTTGGCTTGGCGCCGTAGAGGATGCTCATTTGGCCATTCACAAATGGACAGACGCCCGGGGTCCCTCGATAAGGGACTCTATCTTGGGCCAGGGCAGCGGCCACGTAAATCGAACTGCAAATGCAATGTTTGGCGCCGCGAGGCCCTACCTCAGTCAACCAAGTGGCCTGACCGCTTCCGATCTCCGAGTTCAGCTTAGTAGTCGTCAATGGTCATCGATTGTTTGCCAGGATTCATCGGCAAAAGGGTGAGAGAACGTGGACTGAAGTATGGTACTGGTGGGTACGAGTATTACCCATTGATTTATTTGGGGAACATCACGATCACATCTTCCAAATTACTAATATGCTGCCAACGTCCCTCTGATCATCAACCTTCTGCATCCGAGTCCATGACAGGAGCAGCAAAGAAGGTGCCGCTCTTGACAGGGAGTGATTTAGCTTCCTGACTAATGCTGCTCGTTGTTCATGCTAACCTACTGCGTACCTGATATCCATACACTCCATATACTACAGATTATAAAAATCACGAAAGGTACATTTTGAACCACTCAATCCCCTGCTTCTCGGCGTCGTCCATGGCCTTTTTGTCCTCGTCGCTACTCCAATCACTTCTCAATGCGAAGCCGTGGACCTGGTCCTTGTACACCTTGACTTCGGTGGGCACGCCGGTCTTCTCCAAAGCGTCGCGTATCTTCTCCACAGACTGCATGTCGAGAAGACTGTCCTTCTCGCCGACAGCAAGACTCAACGGCACAGCCACGGGCTCGAGGTCACTGGGAATGCTCAAGAGCGAAGGGTGACAGGCATACGCGGCGTCGACGCCTCCTATCTGGCCCTCGGTTCGCCTGTGGGCCTGGAGAATGGCGTACCGTCCACCCCAGCAAAACCCAATCGCTCCGATCTTGTCGGTGCCCGGGATGGTGCGGACGGTGTTGATGAAGCCTGAGATCAACGGCTCCGACACGCTTTCGCGGTGCTTGGCGAGCCAGGGACCCAGCGTGGCCATGACGTCGACCGTCTCCTTTGCCTTGTCGAGCATGCCTTCCTGCTCCTTCTTCTTCAACGGAGGCTCGACGGACTGCAGAAACTCAATCGGCAGGCTGTCCCCCTGGTGTACGTCCGGGATGTAGCATGTGAACCCCGCTTTCGCGTACTGGTCCGCGAGCAGCCGAACGTTCTTGAATTTCCAGCCGAAGATGTCGACGAGGAAGACTATCGCCTTGGTCTTGGGTCCCGCCGACGACGGTTCAGCCACGTAACATGGCAGGCCGCCGATGGTGTCTTCGCGACCGGCGGGTGTGCCGCTGTGCACGGAGCCGGAGAGGCAGCATGAAGACATGCCTGTCGAGGTTGCCATTGTGTGGGGGAGAATGATCGGTGCGGTCAAATATGCCAAGGAGAGCAAATGGGTGTCCTGTATCCTGTGTTCAAGATAGGTTATTGAGCTGAGTTGCGACTGTGAGACAGGTTCTTCGCCTTTGTCGCAGTCGTCAACTTACTGTAGCTCGCCTCGAGGGGAGGGAGAAAAGAGGGGGTTAAGTTACTCGTACTCGGCACCCTGTAAGTCCATTACGTCAGGTCAGGTACGAGTTCCTTAGCTGGCGATGGGGATCTGTGGTGGTGATCTTCGTCCCGTACCCCAGCACGGATACGAAAGTGGATATCACCGGATGTTGTATCCCTGGGCCGGGCTGAATGGGTATAAGCAAGTACCTGAGCAATCATCCATTCATCGGTCACGTACATTCATTATTACTACGAGTTCTGTGAGGACATGTTGGAGGACAATGTAACTTTAAATTAGATCTCTTCACAGACTCGTGTTTGTTTCCAGGTCTCGAAGAGCCAGAGCCAGAGTGAGAGTCAGGAGGTGGTCAGTTAAGGTCTACTACCTACTGCTTGCTCCGACTTCTCTTGCTTCCTACGGTCGTGGTCACCGCCGACGATGGTTTCTCAGTTATGATTCTGCTGTCTCTGGTGGTTCCATCACCACCACCACCACCACCACCACCACCACCGTCATCATTGTTTGCGTCGACATTGCTCTTGTTGTTGTTGCTGTTGCTGTTGCTGTTGGTGGCGGTGGTGGGGGTGGTCAACGGGTCACGACCACTCGGTTGATGAAGCGGACCAGGGTCGGGACGACGAGGTCGTTCAAGTTCCCACCACACAATAGTCACGGCCAAATAGATGATGAAGACGATGGTCGCGACGACGCCGTACGCGGCCTTGGGGCCCTTGGGCCACTGGAAAACAGGCAGTGTCGAGGCGAACCTCAGCCCCAGGCCGCCGTTGATCATCCCCAGAAGGATAAAGGAGCGGCCGAGCCATACGTGCGCTTGGCGCAGGACGGCGAGAGATGGGGGGAAGCCCTGCCGACCTCCTCGAAAGAAACGGTTGACGAGACCGCTTAGGAGTTGGAGGTTGATGAAGCAGACCAACAGTAGACCGATGACCGGGTGGTATCCGTCAAGCTAGAGACGACGTCGAGAAAATCAGACCGTTAGTCTAGGTAATAACTCGGACAGTCCTCGTGTTGTATGCACAGCATGGCATAGAGTCGGATAGCCCACCACCACCCTCTCTCTACCTCAATGATGGGCAAGCGGAGAGAGAGTAAAGGGCTGAATACTTGGTAAAATGGGAAATGCATGACGGAAAAACTCACTCCGTGGACCTTCTTCGCCATCCAGATGCCGAACCCACCCGCAGTCATGAACGTGATGTACCCCGTTGTTTGCACGGCTGCGTGGACCCGTACTGCGTTCGGATGGCGAGATATTCGCATTACGATCCCTCCCACGGGAAAGAAAATCAGGAATGCACCCGCTGCCAGCGTCGCGTGCACGATTCGAAATGTCCTGTAGTTCTTGGGACGAGTTCCCCAGCTCGCTGGCCATGGACGTATGTTGGCCCAGCCGCCGTCATAGTTCCCTGATCCACCTCCCCAATCCGACGAATCTCCTCCTTCCCAGTCCGAGGAACCGGAGCCTGTGGGCCAGCTGTATGTGGCTGTGGCTGTGGCTGTTTCTGTGCCTGACGGCCAGAGAGTAGACCCCGAAGGAAGAGGCCAAGTGCTAGCGCCAGAGCCGGATCCTGTTGGCCAGGCACCTGAAGCTGAAGGCAAATTCGTGTATGGATTTGAGCCATCGGCAAGACCAAGCAACACAGCTGGATCTTTGATGGCGGATTCCGCGGGTTCAGTCAAGTCATGTGCATTTGTGGGATCTGTGAGAGCTCCATTTACTGTTGCGAGAAGTGTTAGCATGGAATACATTCACATGGTAATGAACGCTTGGCGGTTGAACACACCGGTCAAGATGCACAGTAAAGCCAAAGACAAAAGTCTTTGTCCAGTCCCTACGGTGCTCATCACAACGTTGGTAGAAGAGTTGTCAGACAGGTGTATCAGTAGTCAGCAACAGACTCGGCGAAAAGTGCACGATAGACATCCAGAGAGCGACATTTGTATAATCTTATAGATTGTGTTCGAATCGTATTGTCATGGCTTGACCCGACCCGATAAGGGGGGTTGGAATGTGCGATGCTGCTCGAGCAACCATGTTGCACGCAACAAACATTCTTGAGTCGCAAGCTACCTCGGAAACCAAAGTGAAGATTCAACCCACGGTGCAAATAGCTGTTGTTCGTATGTTGTCAGGTCCGAAATTCGTCAGTCATTAATCATCCATTCATTCATCACTCGTCACTCGTCACTCGTCACTCATGGCCTTCCTTGTTGTCAACACGGGTATGCTCGTACTGCCGACTATGATTTTCGGCCAACCCAGGTAATAATCATGTCGTGACCGGTCTGTGCTTGTCGCACCAGTCGGCCCACTGAAGCACCTTCTTCTCGCGCCTTGCCTCCTCGGCGGCAAAGACGACATCATGACTCCTGATGATTTCTTCAACGTCGCAACCAACAAGCTCTCGCTGCGCCTGCGCAACGCTCATGGAACCTTCCTCGACGTTTTGGACAGCTTGGACGAATGCTGCTGCAAGACCCCAGTCACCACCGCCGTGGCTCTTTTCGACCTCGGGTGCTTGCTTTGGGATATCATGGACCACTGTCTTGTTGTCGGCGAAAGTATGAACGGTGATCGTATGTGAATCGTAGTGCACTTCTCCCAGGGTACCGTACACCCAGCCACGTCTATCACACTGTGCCAATGTGGGGTACGTCATATGGAACAATGCTCGTTTCGGTCCTCGACCGAGTTCATGACCTGGAAGGGGATCTTCGTCCCACTCGATTGTGACCGTCTGGTCGTCCGCAACGTTGTTATCTGCCTCGTACACGCAACGACCGTACCAGCTTCTGCTAGCGATCACGTCGTCAGGCGTAGTAGCCTTGTCATAGTCATCGCCTAGCCGTTGCATAAGTTTCCTCTCACCTTCGCCCCATCCTTCAGTTTTGACAATGTCCTCAATCTCTGGAACGACGATCTTCAGTGGCCAGCCCGTATATTTTTCCTCGCGAAGCCATCTATCACGATAGATCTTCTTTGCAGAGTAGATACAGTCCGGTTCTGCAGGACAGGACAGACAGTTGGTCGAGGCGCCCGCGGTTTTCGGCTTTCGAGCCTTGCGGAAGTGAGTGAGGGATCCAGTGCTTGTGATGGTCGAGGGGAGGTGAGGCTCGGTGCCGGTCAACGGACTTGGAGAAGACAGAAGCCACATCAAGAAATCAATATCGTGGCATGATTTGGTCAGAAGTGATCCGACACCTTCCGGGGTCGCTCGTCGCCAGTTCCCGCGCACATACGAGTGCGAGAAATGCCACCAGCCTATAGGCTCAGTATGCTCGATCGACACTATCTCGCCAACGACTTGATCCGAGGTCAACAGCCTGCGGAGCATGATATTGTGTGGAGAGTAGCGCAGCACATGTCCAATCGACACCACCTTGGGAGGGTAGTGTGATAGTGCTGACGAGATGGAGCGGCAGTCTGACATGGACAGCGCCAGGGGCTTCTCGCACAGAATGTGTAGATTGAACTTGGCGATGGCTCGGATGATTGGTGCGTGAGTCTCGTCCAGCGTGCATATAAACACGCCGGTGATGGGCAGGTAGCCTGGTTCAGCGCCTCCAGCGTGTTCGGCGACATGCCTGCGCCGTGTTTCCCACTCGACCCAGGCCTCCCAGCCTTCGAAGGACTGGTGGGCAGCGGGACTGTTTCCTTGTCCCCATATGTATCGCTGGCCAAACTCTTGTCTCTTGAAAGCGTCTATCTCGGCCACGGCGGCAATGCGTCCTGAGGTCGAGGCTTCGACGGCGCGGGCGTAGGAATGGCCTCGAGATCCGGCGCCGATAACGAGGAACTGCGGCGGGTTGGGGGTCGGTGCGAGTGAACCCATGATTTGCAGAGGACTATGGAGACTGAAGGAAGAGGAGAGCGATAGATATCATGAGAGAGACTTCATCAGCAAGAGAGCGGCCTGTACAAGACCGGACGGAGTTGCACGCATGCAACGTAATGCGTAGCACTTGTACTGGGATTGTTGACTGCGGAGAGTGACACAGAACACAGAAAAAACTTGAATCAGCCGAACCGTGTGTCTGATGATTGGTGGCCTTGTCGAGAGCTCAGATGTTTTACTATTTAATGTATCCGCCGAAAGTTCATCAACTCAGCGGACAGATACACGATCCAATGCCTTGAGGACTGGCTGCAATCATGATCTATGCCGACAGAAAATGCCCCCCAAGTGCTGAGTGAGTGACGAGGCATATCAAAGTCATTGCTATCGATATATCTCTCTCGCGCGTGGGCTGGTGCAAACCATGTTTCTGTCGCCTCGATGGTCCAACACGTCGACCCTCGGTCACATCCAAAAGTCGGTACGGGTGTGCTTGGATCTCTTGTGGATCAATGACGGCCCCCAAGCGAGAAGACCCATGTCTTCAGCGCCGTTTCCATACGCCGTCAGGGCCTCCTTCTGGCGAGGGGGGACGTCGAAGGGGGTCTTCTTCAAGCTCTCGGATCTGCCAGAATGGTTTCAATCGATCCTGGACTCCGAGAAGCCGCCGGACGGTGCTCAGTTCCAGCGCATGGAGAAGTTCTTTGCGGCAGTGATGGGCTCGCCTGACTCGTATGGTCGACAGCTGAACGGCATGGGCGGCGGCATCTCATCCCTCAGTAAAGCCATGGTCGTCCGGCCGTCTGATCAGGCCGATGTCGACGTCGACTATACCTTCTTTCAAATCGGGGTCAAAGATGGGAAGCTAGACATGGCTGGGAACTGCGGTAACCTGACTTCTGCCGTTGGGCCGTTCGCTCTGAACGCCGGTCTATGGCGAGGGTGTCCGCACAAGGTTGCCCAGGTCAACGGCGTTGACACGGGGTCTGTCACGATGCGGCTGAGAAACACTAATACGGAAAAGACCATCGAGACGAGCTTTGACGCCTTCAGGAGTGGCAGCACATGGCAGTACCTCGAGGTCGGGAGGTGTTCGATCGACGGAGTCCCTGGTACCGCGTCGACCATCACACTCTCGTTCCTCGATCCAGAGGGTTCGAAAACGCCCAAAGCCTTATCTACCGGCAACCCAGTGGACGAAGTACAAGTGGGCGACCAAATCATTCGGGCGTCCTTGATCGACGTCAGTAACCCCGGTATCTTCATTGACGGTCGCGATGTTGGATGGAACTCGTCTTCCACGCCGGGCGAAATGAACAACAACCAAGTGCTCTTGGATAAGCTGGAATTGATTCGGAAAGAAGGCACCAAGATGATGGGTCTTGATCCGAGCATCAGCAGCATCCCGAAGATTGTGCTCCTGTTTCCCCCCAAGGCAGACGACATGGATATTTCCTGCCAGGCACTGTCGATGGAACAAGCCCACAAAGCGGTTCCGGTGACCCTCGCCCTGAATCTAGGAGTGGCTTGCAAGATGGAGGGGACTATCCCGCACAAGTTGTCGACGCACTCGCACGAATCCAATACCGTCATTGGTCATCCTTCTGGGACTCTGGAGGTCGGAGCGGCGATAGTCGATGGCAAAATCGAGAGCGCCAAACTGATCAGGACGGCGAGGTGTCATATGGATGGCCTTGTCAATATAACGAATGGAGAGGTCTCTGAGATATTATAGTAGAAGTACTATTTATGTTGCATATGGGGTCTCGATATGAGTCGCTTGAGTTTGAAATATACAACTCTGTGCCTATCGTGTTTGTTCACCTGTCACTTGTCTAAGGGGGTACCTCACACCTATCGATATCACGCCCACTCGCACTCTATATCTCTCTATCTGCGCATCGACCATAACCTCACACATGAAACTGCGCTTTATACCTCGTTTCCAATGCTGCCTTGAGAGCGTCACACGTACTCTTCGCATCGCCAAATAACATCTTCGTACCGGGCATGTAGAACATTGGATTCGGCACATCCGCTAGAACGGTGACACTGATTAGCCTGCTGATACTCCTTTCTTCTTCCTCTTGAAGTGCCATGTAGAAAACAAAAACGCACGTGTAAACTTACCGTAACCACTGCTCATTCCTCGTTTCATCACAATAACATTCTTGCTCTTCCATGCATGCAGAACTGGCATTCCTGCGATGGGGCTGCCGGGCTCTAGAGCAATTGGGTTGACTGTATCGTTTGCGCCAATGACGAGCGTGAGGTCTGTGTCAGGAAAGTCGTCGTTTATTTCGTCCATTTCAAGAACGATATCATACGGCACGCTCGCCTCAGCTAAGAGCACGTTACACTGTCCCGGCATACGTCCTGCGACTGGGTGAATTGCAAAACGAACGCTCACACCCTTGGACCTGAGTAGCGCTGTGATTTCGGCAATCGCATATTGCGCTTTGGCTACGGCCATACCGTAGCCGACGACCTAACACGGGCTCAGTCAGTGGATGTGTTCTTACAAGGGAGGGTCGAGCAAGTCACAAAAACGTACAATGATAACACTCTCAGCATTCGCCATCGATTCAACCGTTTCTTCCACCGTTGTTTTCGTAACTTGACCCTTGATCTCCTGTCCGGGGGTCTGTACGATGGGAGCAATGCCACCAAACAAGACGTTTGTTAGCGACCGGTTCATCGCCACGCACTGGATTCAAGATGGTTAATATGGGAACAGTCACAACAACTCCAACGCAAGTCAAGACATACCATGATGTAAGACAAAATCGAACCGCTCACTCCAATCAACGATCCAACAGTCAGCAACAGTGGATTGTCGAGCATGAAACCTTCCGCTACAAGTGCGAACCCGGAATACGCATTCAGCACAGTGATGACGACAGCTATACTTGTCAGCAGAACGTTTTCGTTGGTAACGGCATAAACATACGCATATCTGCGCCTCCAATTGCTGCGGTGGTCGTATATCCTTTGGCGAAGCTCAGAATGGTATTGGCGGATAAGCACATCGCAGCCACGGTGGGAGCTCCGGGGGCCATGGTGACAAATGCGCCCATTGTACCAGCATTGGCAGCGAGAAGGCCGGAGTTGATCAAATGCCTTCCGGGTAAGATGGTGGGACGGGAGGACATCCTTCCTGCCAGCTTGAGAAAAGCCACGATCGAGCCAGTAAATGTTATACCGCCTGCAAAGATGTGTGTGAGTGCTGCAACAGTCGAAGACGACGAGACACATACCAATCAGAACACCTAGATACGCAGTAACCATGTGCAGCGTCGAAATGTCAGAAACATGCGCGAGAACAGACCCGATACTGGTGAGTACGGCCGCTAAACCGACGACTGAGTGCAAAGCTGCAACAGTCTGTGGCAACTCGGTAGGTGTGATACGCCTTCCAATCAAAGCGCCTGTCCAGAAAGCATCAATAAGGACGAGCTGGGTCGCCAGGCAGGGGAATCTGCTTACCAACAAGAGCACCGACAGCTACAATACCACCGAATTGTGCCATCACTTCAGGCGAGAATCCAACTGCCGCAAGCGACGCCAGTATACCCGATAGTACTCCTAAGATACCAAGCAAGTTTCCTGTTCTCGCGGTTGCCTGCGATGCAAGACCCGAGATTGAACCTGTGCTGTTAGCCTCATCTTTCTGGATATCATCAAGGAAATACCTACCTATGCAAAGTAAGCTGCTCACCAAATAACCTGCCTGGACAAGGCCGGCCATCCCGGTGCTTGCTGCAGCGATAAAGCCACCGCCAAAGAGTACACCGGGGATTGCATATAGCCAGGGGTATTCAGGTGGATCGGTAGGCCGTTTGAACATATCCAGCATTCTCTTCGTAATCACGAAACCTCCAGATACGTTAACAAAGGCAAGCAAGACGGACAACGCTCCCAGGGCCTGAGGCACAGTTTCCGGCAGATAACCACCGCCCATGATGAAGAATCCGCCAACGCCGACTATTCCAGAGATAGCATTGGTGACACTCATGAGAGGCGAGTGCAAAGCCGGAATCACACCCCAGACGGAGCGGTATCCGATCAGCCCAGCAAGACCCGCGGTGAACATACTACCCATGAACAGAGGACTAGTGAGTTTTCCCAGTGCAAGCGCAGCACTCATACCTCCAGTCACGGTTGCGACCTGTCGCGTCTGTCTTTGCCATGGGGTCAGCTCAACTGGTTTTGTCTCAGATTCTTCAGAGTGTTGCGTCGGTGTTGGTGGTGGTGCGGGTCGAGGTGCGGGAGGAATGACTTGACCATTATGGGTTACGATGGCACCACGAGTGACTTCATCGTCCATATCAATGCCAAAGGCGTTCTCCTGAGGCGCAAGCGATAGCAGAAACTTCGTAATATTGTTCGAGTACAGACTGGATGACTGCGTTGGAAGTCGCGATGGGAAGTCTGTGTATCCGATGACAGTGACATGATTGTGGACAATCAGCTTCCCTGGCTGGGTCACTTCGCAATTGCCTCCTCCTTCGGATGCGAGATCGACAATCACTGAGCCGGGCTTCATAGCGCTGACCATTTTTTCGGTGATGAGTTTTGGAGAGGCTTTTCCCGGAATTTGAGCAGTTGTGACAACAATGTCGACATCCCTGCATTGTTCCATGAACAGCTTCATTTCCGCTTCGATAAACTCTTTGGACATTTCTTTACTATAGCCCCCAGCTGCAGCACCTTCCTCCTTGACAGTCACCTCAAGAAAATCGGCACCAAGTGATTGAACCTGTTCCCGAGCAGCCGATCGTGTGTCGAAGCCACGCACAATTGCCCCCAATCGACGAGCGGTGGTGATAGCGCTGAGACCTGCTACACCCGCACCAATGACCAAGACTTTCGATGGTGGAATCTTGCCAGCAGCCGTGACCTGACCGGTCAGGAAACGACCGAAATGGTTAGATGCTTCTAGTACTGCCTTGTAACCGGCAATGTTAGCCATAGAACTGAGCGCGTCAAATGCCTGTGCCCGTGAGATTCTCGGAATCATATCCATCGCGAACGTAGTGACATGACGCTCTGCAAGAGCATCAACCAATTTCTTGTTTTGAGCCGGTTGAATGAAGGAGATCAACGCCGCTCCCTGGCGAATGTTGGGGACCTCATTTTCCACGTCCGGTGGCCGAACTTTGAGCAGAACGTTGCTTTCGGTCCAGACAGTTTTACGGTCAACCACCTGTGCGCCCATATGCTCATAGAGTTCGTCAGGATATTCGGATTCGGTTCCAGCACCGCTTTCGACAAGGATCTTGGAGAAACCCTTCTTCAGAAGCAGTGGAATATTCTGAGGAGCCACGGCCACGCGGCGTTCCCCGGGGTGAGTTTCTTTGGGAACTCCCAGGGTCAGCTTTGTGTACGGCACCGACGAGGTAGGAACCTCGGACTTGGATCGCGTCCATACTACAACTGGTTTTGGTGGACTTCGCGTCAGGGAACCAGATTGAACCGAAGGCGGAACAATACCGCGTGCTCGCGAATACACATGGCGCTTTGCGTGTTGGTTTTGTCGCGTACGTAGATGAAGAATACTCGGTCTAAAGGCTGACACAGTTTTAGCAGATAGCACGTCTCTGTGAATGAAAGATCGCTTCATACCCTGGTCAAGACGCATAAAGCATCCCTTGGTAGATAGTTTAGCCGGCAGCTGCAGTGAACAACTCGAGAAAACGCTGTGAGCCATGCTGGATGATTGGCGTAATCACATCGACAAGGAAGGGGGGCGCTGTAAGCCTTGCAAGATCGGAACTGGAGCTGCAGGTTTCTGCAAGAACGCGCATGTCAAAAGCTGACGCTCCCGATGACCAGATTTCTATATCATGACTTGCGACGACAGCTTGAATAGGCTTCAAAAGTAATGGGAGTTACACGAATTGAGACGAAGAAGTTGCGAAAGGAAGTACTGAGGAGACAACGTGGCAGAGGCCAGAGGCACGGGACAAGCCTGTTTGGCAGCCGATGTGAAGGAGAGCAAACGAGAAGCTCAGAGGACGCGAATCTCTCCTTGGACTGAGGCATAACCCCGAAATCAGTGCCGAGGTGAGTCGATAATGCTGCCTTAAGCTGTGCACAAACAAGCCCCGATGGCGGATGGTTGCATTGGGACGGTCACCTGTCGTATCTCCGGTCATTGACAGAGAGGGGAAGAAGACGACCATGGCCCATGGGTCAATGAATCACCGGCACTTCCCCATGGGCCATGGCGAACGCCCGCACCGACATGAGACGGTGCCCCTTCGTGGGGGTGGAGCAGCGTCGCCGGGGAGCCGGGATTTAGTCCGTGTTTCGGCGGGGCTGGAATCCAATTGCGGAGGGACATCGATGTGTATGAAGACCACCGGGGATCGAAAACACGAAGAGGGTTGATAGGAAGTAGGAAAGTGGACGTTGGATACTTCGGGCTCATGTATTCAGATATGGATATATTTATAATGCTCCGTAGCGAGAGTCCATACGTCAACATGCCAATCTTGCATCAGATTGATGCATGCGTTCCGTTCATCCTAGTCGCCGGGTTATCGTGCCCGGGGATTCTGGCAAGGGTTGAACTTTGGGTACCAAACACGCGGAGGACTTTATCGCTGGCTTGGGAGTCTTACTGCAGGTACGCTTCTCTCTGGTCAGCCAATGCAAGCCCAGCCACAGCGATCTGACTCCCGGCCGCCCGAGAGAAACTGGCCTGCCATGGCTTTCAATCACCCTATGGACTCAAAGCGTACTCTGAATGTTGCCGGGTTCGTGCCTGGGCAGTTCATGATCCATCCCGGCGATAGGCTCTAGAAACCCGCGAAAGGTCGTCTTATAAATAGCCCAACTTTTGTCCAAGTCGTCCTGGTTTTCTGCTGGATCGACATTTTCGTCACCGAGTTCCACAGCAGCTGGCTTCTCCTCGAGATCCAAGGTCCACCTCATACCGAATCCTAGGTCATTTCTGATCTCATAGACAGCCACTCCATGGTGCAGAAGCATGACATTTTTCCACACCGCATGCGCTAACATGGATTCCAAGATTTGACCAGCAATGTTTGTTTTATTTTCATTGCTCCCAGTGGGCAGAGTCCAGAAAGGATGATGTCGGCCATGCTCAGAAGATGCACCGCCACGCTCGAAATGTTTGCAAAGAGCAACTGCGCCCGACGACATGCGCGTTTTGGGGCGAGGAGGAGCATTGAACGTTTCGCGCAAAACATCGGTTGAAGGAGGAAGTAGGAACAATGTGCCTTTGGTTTTCACCAGCCCAGAATCGCGGTATTGTCGTTCGGCTTCATTTGGTTCTTGTGCCCACGGGATAATCAAGGACTCATACATCCTAGGTACGCTTGGAAGTTATATCGAGACACAAAGGATGTCGGCAACGAGAGTCGACTTCCTCGGCATATCCACCGAGTAGCATATTCGCAAGCAGAGTATCGTACAGTAGGCTGTACGGCCCTTTCGAGGGGGTTTCGTCGTTGGATGGCAGTGACATGGTCAGTCAAGGCGCACTTGATGCTGCGCAGATCAGGTTCGCTCACGATCCCCGGATCGGAATAACCTTCTCTCCGAATACATTTTCTATCTTGATCTCAGTTCTTAGTTTCCCGTACCTTGGATAAATGAGGTAGCTGTTTAATGCCCACGTATTCCAATGTCTCTCCAGGACACCCAGAGCAATAGAGCCGTAAACAAAAAGACGACTTAACGCTGTCTGGCTGATTCAGGTCAATGATACAGCCAGTCACCCGAGGTAAGGCCAAAACATCAGCCTCAGATGATCACAAATCAATTATTCAGTTCCGAGGTGTTACATGCTTCTGGACTGCAGTCTTATGGTTGTCCTCTGCCCATATCAGACCTTCCAGGTTCGAAGTCCTGCTGTCTCTTTGTTTCTCACTTGGCTATATCGAGATACGAAAGTTCTCGGGCTACTGCTTGAACAATCAATCATGCTTCCCGACCCAGTTCAAGTACGGATTCCACACAATTACACCAACCTACCGGTCAAGGACATCAGAGTGTCACATTATCCTGAGAATGCCAGTGAAGCTACACCGATAATAGTCATCACGCTCAACCGCCCTAAACAAGGCAATGCATTCACTCTTCAAATGGTGCAGGACTTCGAGCTCGTCTACCCAATGCTAGATCTCGATGAACGAGTCAAAACCGTTGTGATTACCGGGGCAGGCAAGATGTTCTGCGCTGGTGCCGACCTCGATATCGGATTTCCAAGCGACGGGGCTGAAGAAAGGTTGACCGACAAGCGTGATCCGTATTGATACCCATCCGATAGAACAACAGCATATGCTGATGCTAGCACAGAGGCGGCCGCTTGAATTTGTGCATATACCGCTGTCGCAAGCCAACAATTATGGCCATGAACGGTCCCGCTGTGGGTCTCGGAATGACAATGGGTCTGTCTGCGGCGATAAGGATCGCTCACGCTTCATCAAAATACGGCTTTGTCTTTGCCAGGCGAGGCATTACCATGGAATCGAACAGCTCGTTCTTCTTGCCCAGGCTCATTGGATACTCCAACGCCGTTTACCTCTTGACCACAGGTGACGTCTACCGAGGAGACTCGAAGCATTTCGGGAGCTTATTCCAAGAGGTCGTTGAGAAACAAGAAGACGTGCTGAAGAGAGCTTTGCAACTGGCAGCGAACATAGCCGACAAGACAAGCATCATGGCCAGTTTTCTGAATCGTGAATTGATGTGGAGAGGCAAACCCACGGCAGAGGAGACCCATCTTCTTGATAGTGCCGTGCTTTATCATATGTTCGCGAACAGGTATGGATATTTTCCCCATCAAGGCGTGGACAGGCCTAGGCTGACAGTAGCACAGAGACTGTCAAGAAGGTGTGCAGAGCTTCCTTGAGAAGCGTGAGCCAAGATTCTCAGCCACCCTGGAGAAGGACGGACCTCCGTTCTACCCGTGGTATAGCGAGGTCGATACTGGCTCAAGGCCGCGCATTCATCCTTCGAGCAAGCCCAAATTGTGAGGGCATCGGATTAGAACAAGTCGTTGCATGGGGCTAGACCGCAGCCACATCTGATTGCCCCTGAGACTTGTTCGTTGGTCGCTTGCCATTCACAACAATGGTAGCTCATAACCTCGCTCTCGATTGCTGTTCTTGCCATGTTTTCAAAGCGTCCTGCTCTCGAATCATGGCTTGCTCTTGTCTTTTTTTCATGAAGTTGATTGTATCTTCATCGCTAAATTGACTTATGTCGCGCATTTCTATACGTTGTTGTTCTGGTGGATTGGAAAATGCTTTGGCCCAGCTAGCCCTGCTTGACTTTGGTCTTCTGCCTTGAGTGGTATCGGAGCAGAATTGAGCCCAGCGCCGGAAGCAATCTCTTGCCATAGGCGACGTGGGAAAGACCATAGCAAAACAATGAGGCATACCTTCGAAGCCCGCAAATTCCACGATTCCGCCTCCTTGGTGCATTTTGCGTGCAAGAAGAGTGATCTCGTCCTCGAGACCCTCGTTGCCCAAACACATGAAGACCGGGGGCATTCCTTCCCAAAGCTTTGGAGAAGCTGCCAACGGAGAGGCAAGAGGATGCATCATCATTGAGGCATTACAGAAGATTTCTGCGCGTGGAGGACTTGTAGGCCATAAATCGTCCGGAAGTGGCTCTGTCTTGGACAGACCAACGGCACTTGGCGGCTGAAGGTAGTCGAAGTGAGCATTGCGTTGTAACGAGGGCATCGACAGTCCGATGTCAACCCAGGGAGAGTTAGTGGCGACGCCCCCCGGGAGCTCAATAGGAACTTCGGCGCCGTGGAATTTGATGCTTTGAATCCCCGTTCTTCGCAGCGTCAAAAGAAACAGCATCAGTGCAATTGCAAGGTTGCCTCCTGCTGAATCACCTGCAAAGACGATATGCTGGGCAGCCACAGGCTCATGATGCATTCCCGCGGGAGGGGATAGTAGCGAAAGGTACGCAATGAAAGCGTCCAGAAGCTGCGAAGGGAACGGTTGCTGCGGTGCCAAACGATACCGAACAGAATAACAACGCCCACCTGTCAGTTTCGCCAGTCGAGAAGTAGTCCCCCGATGACTGGCCGGGTCCATGAGGAAATAGGCGCCTCCATGAAAATATAATATAGTTGTCGGTGACGAGACCATCTCTTTAATAGCCTGATAGTGCTCCCGCTCCGGGAGGTCAGCTCTTGGTTCGCTGGGCAGCACGCCGGGCTTATATGTGATCCATTCAGCTTCGACGGCTACAGCGTCGGGAAGAGTGTATGTTTCTGAACCATCCCCTAGCTCCTTGATAGCTGCGCCTAAAACGTCTCTTATAGCGTCCTCACTTGGGGCTGGAATGGTGTCCTTCGAGACCAGCATGGGGCCCTTGATGCCAGGATCTCGAATTGAGAGCCTTTGCAGGAAGCGCATTGGTTTTCTCACTGAGGTAATGGAGCGTATGAGGGCAACAGTGACCTCGGTCCTCGTATCTTGTTTCGACGAATTCGCGGATAGCGACAGGGCATTGAGAAGAGCTGTCCTAAGGATGAGAGGTATGCGAGGAAGAAGGAGTCGAACGAGGACTCGTGGCGAGGACTCCATTGGCGCTGAGCAAGGAATACGCAGGATAAAGTCTGTTATTGAGTATTGCCACGGTGCATTGTGCGGAAAAGAGAACGAAGGAGCAAGAGAAGAGAAGAGCTACCACGCAAGATACATTACCTGACTTCCAGCATGTGTGTTCTCCCCCCATTAGGTTCAGTCGTCTCGGTCAAGAGTCGAAAGATGTGGATGCATTCAAATGACGGCGTCGTCGATGGGTCAACACCAGAAACATCGCGTCTCATGCTCAGATACCTCGGCATCAAATCATTCGAGTCAATCATCCAGGCATCGGTAAGTCACCGTGTACGGAGCACAAGACTCGTATTATGTTGCACTGTTGTGGTCTTTGTATCAACGCCTGCTTTCGCATCGCAATGATACAATGAACATATATTATAAAACTGAACTCCGTGTATCCATCACCCATGTGCCTCAACACTAGGACTCAGATGATCGGCCATCAACAAGACTTCTGTTGACATCAGGTTGGATTCCCATTGATGTCACTCAGATGAACATCAAGTGGCCTATGCTTGTACGAGACGAGCACCACCTACGAGTAAGAGCCCCTGGGCTCACGATGTCTTTACCCGCTCAGTACCATCCGTGGACCCCGGTGCTGCGCGCCAGGTGAAGTCATGGATCACCGGTTTGATATCATCAGAAATGAAGAGTGTGGAAACACAACTCCTTGTCGACCCTGGTGGGGGACAACGCCAGTATGATATTAATTGACTGTCCACCGACCTTTGGTCGATGACGAGTTCCTGGACAAAATTCTCACCACCAACGTTCAAAAGCACAATTAGCACATCAGCAACAATGTCTAGGTATGGTCTTTGAAGGAGTTCCTAGCCCAGGCACTGATAGGTCTGGCAGTGGTACGTCAGGAAGTGATGAGAAGATCTCTGCCACCAAGATCGATCCTCTCGCTTCCGACACCAAGGCTAATCAGCCTCATGACCAATCCTCAAGAGGAGCTACGGGTACTGATAGAAGCATTGATCAAAGTCGCATCGACCCTCTTGGAGGCGCCGGTACGTATCGCTCGCGTGGGCTCCCTCCGATGCAAAATGCCTGATCGTAACTCCTGTGGTTGTTGACCGCGACTTAGGTCGGTATAAACATCCCGCTCCCCATGCAGACAGTCAAGGCGTTGCCGGAAGGGATGAAGCCATCCAGGGAGCAAAGATCGACCCTCTGAGTGGAAAGGAGAACACCTCGACTACCAAGTCACCTGGACTGGATGATGAGCAAGTCGACGCCTCCAGGATCAATCCCTTGGGCGAGGTCCGAGAGGAAATGGGATAAAATGTTAAACATGTGCTCGTACCCCGTATCGGGCGAGCCGTGCGCGGGAGGCAGATAGTTGATGACTGGATCTCGTTCTCACGCTGCAAAAGCTCAAGACCTCAAGTGGGTTTTGGGAATGAGTGCATATTGATGACCAAACTCCTTGAGTCAATGGCATCAAACTTTTCCCTCTCATTTGACTCGATGGAAACAATCGGAATCCCTTTTCCCATTTCAACATTGGATCTGCCGCTGCGCGATTTATTTGATACTCGTACAATAAGCCCCCAGCCCTCTCAGGGTTCCGCGATTTTCCTCCGCTCCACGGTAAATCTCGGTTCCTGGAGCCTCGTGACTTTTGTTTAGGTCCTCCCCGTATACAAAGCAGCGGCGGGACAGATCCTGGAAATCCTCGTGCCGTGGGATGGACTTGCTCCTTTCATCCGTTTCCGCCCTGGAGTCACGCACCTTATGTTGACCACTGAGATGGACCGCGTTACGATGAATTGCCGTTAACAAGCAGTGGAATTCTCCGCGCCCAAGAAGCGGCGCAGACGATCCTCCTATTTTTGGCCCAAGACCCTGGATCAAGTCGCGCTCGCTCTGGCTTCTCTCCACCGGAAATCCCAGTCTTGGGAGGCCCGTGAGCCCGCGAACAAACCGCCGAGGCGTTGACCAGAAGAACGATAAGGCCCTAAAGTCAATATCCTCCAATCCACCTTTTCCCTGTCCACCACTCGCACAGGGGGGTGTATGTAGGTAAAGGGCGCGGGCTAGCGAACCTAACCAAACCCAGCATATTCCAGCTGTCCTTCTGTCGTCCTGTCCGTGCTCATTGGATTTCCTTCTGCAGCTGTGCGTCACATTCTCGTGTTTGCCCAGGCTGAAACGTTACGCTGCATGATGTTTCCCTGCCCTGCGAGGACACGGTACTTGGCTCGCAGAAGCTGAGCAGAATCGCATTCTCGTGGTTTATGCCTCGTGCCTGGTCGACCAGACCCGACTCAAGGCCCGTGGCTCAACCGTCGGCTAAGTTCGATGCTGATGCTTGGGTCGTCACTGAGTCTAGCCGTGTGTACACTAGTAGAAGCATGCCCATTGAGCCCGCATTGATAGGGGCCTCTGGCACTGGCCATGAGGCGCTTCCGGCCCCAAAATCTCCAGAACTAAGTTAAATAAAATATCGAGAGCTCAGTTATGCCTGAATTTCTGCCTCTTCACACAGCAGTATTCAGAAATGAGTCCAGAACACAGTACCAGTCTTTCGGGTGACAGTTTGACGCCCACCAACTCCCTCTCACCTTGGGACTACCCAGCAGACGAACCCTCCCTCTTCGCGCAGGAAGATGGCCGCAAGCGCATCAAGACCCGCACGCTGGCTCCCAATCTGACGCGCCGCTCGCATAAGAAGTCGCGGGCCGGATGCTTCAGTTGCAAAGCCCGCAAGATCAAGTGTGGCGAGCAGAAGCCCGACTGTGCGAGCTGCTTACTCAAAGGCATCGCATGTGTCTATCCCACCGAGCCAGCTGCGCGCAAGTCCAATCTGCCGTTGATCAAGCGGAATCCTCCTTCGACACCGTCCATCGCGGGGGCGGCCTTTTCCATGTTGGATATGCGCTTCTTTCATCATTTCCTGACCATCGCGTATCCTCACTTGCCCGTGGGTAATGACCACGTGTGGGTTCACGAGATACCGCAGTTCGCCGAACAGCACGAATATCTAATGCACGCGATCCTGTCGCTGGGGGCGTCTCATCTCAGCCGGCTGACAGGCATCGACTACCGCCGCGAGTCCCTCGTCCACCGTGGCCAGGCACTTGCAGGGCTCAACCAGGCTCTCAGTCAAGCGTCACTCTGTTACGGCGAGGCCGACGCCATGCTGGCCTCGTGTTACGCCCTCACCTTCCAGGCATCGTACATGGGCGATGGCCTGACCGACTTCATCACCATGGTCAGAGGCTGTGCCCTGACCACGGACAAGATTCGACGAGAACTGTCTCCCACAGCGTTCAATTTGCACCCGGACGGGCACCTGAAGTTCATGGCGCCCAAGCTCGAACGGCTGCCACCCGTTGATCCGACATTGCTCGAAGACGCGTACTCGGCTCTCGAAGAAATGATTCCTTACCTCACTGACGATGCTCACTTTGGCTTTCACGCCGGGCTGGTAGATGTGGTAAGCGCGTTGCAGACCAGTTCAGCGTCAGGCTATATGCAATTCACAGAACTATATACCATATGGTACGAGCTGTGTCATGACTCGTTCAAGACATTCCTCGACCCCAACAACCTCGTGGCGCAGCTTCTACTCTCTTATTTTGTGGCAGTTCAACTGCTCATCATTCCACTCGCGGCGCACGAGTGGTTGCATCGTGCCGATGTGTCCAGGATACGTGTCCTTTACGGCGTGACAGAATGGGCCGAGAGCATCTTTCAGCGCCTCGAGAATTCCGAGTATGCGCAGTTCCTCTCCTGGCCGCAGAGCATAGTCTCTACGGTGGTCGCCGAAGTCAATGGCGACATTCTGCAATTGCCCTCGGTGTTGCAATTGCATCTAACCAGCAGGGACATCACACCAAACACGATCCTGGCTCCGCCATAGCAGGGATGAAGGCGTGCCTATAGATACAGAATGTCCTCGCAAACGAGGACGAGACCGGAGCATCTGCCTTTTGGTCAGGTGGCATAGTGAGCCGCCCCCAAAGTTGGAAGATTTGACGCAGCGAAATTGATTTCCAGACATCTTCTCATCTCTGAGTGATTGAATAATATGACATTACGACTCATGGCCTCCTCGTTCCCTCCAAACCAGTCCCATAGTTCCCGAAGTCGAGATCTGGACCGATGTGATCGGCTCCTCGCGCGCAATAACGAGCCCGACAATCGCAAGCAGGGCGCAGGCGAGTATGGCATCTCCTCGAGCCAATCCAGCGTTAAGAATGGGCTCCCCGTCGTTGTTCCACCCACAAACCACTTCCTTATGCAACACTTGTCTTTGAGTATTCCAGCTTCGACCTTTGATGTATGTTTCAGCATATCAAATGCTAACCGATGTCTAATAGTGATTCCTCCTTTTGACGCTGACTCCTAGAGGTGACTAAGGGCACCAAGCGAGGCATTTGGCCTTTTGGAACCCTACCGAATATTCTCCATTCCAAAGTCGGACCTGCGCTTCTCTTGCATCCAGCGAATAGGATGATACCATGCAAGGACGGCCAAGGCAAAAAACATTGGCATCGCTTCGAGGACGTACAGGCACCACTCGTGGTTGAACAGGTATCCGTCGATTCCAACGGCAAATTCGACGACGCGGTAAATGGATCGAATCTAAATTCCGCCTTGTTAGCACAGACCAGACCACCAACACTGCCAAATACAGCCAAGGGAAACGAGAGATCGAACCTGAACAAAGCCACTTGCAATACTTGCGCCGACGATGACTTTCTTTACGCCGGTTTCGAAGCCTGTATCTTGTCTCCTGTTCACCCTGCGCACAAATCGCGCCATGACAACCAGAAAGACTGTAAAGGTCGCGAGTTGCAACGCCAACCCCACAAGTAGTACATTGGTCCCGATATCCTTCATATTTCCTTCCCAGTTGCCTGAGCTTGCGATCCCGGAACCGCTGCATTGCGTCAAGAAGCTAAATACGTCGCTCGTGATGAATACTCTTCCCAGCCAGGAAGGCCTTATGCGGAAGAATGACTGAGCCGGGCCGTTGGGGAGTGTTGCCCGGATAAGGCGTGTGAGAAGGAGATACAGGCTTGCGCAGACAAAGATCGGGCTGATGACGATATAAGACGACGACACAGCATACAGAGGGATGGATGTGTCGTTCCGTACGGAGAGGATGCGTACCACCCAGCCAGCTGTGGATATCAATGCCGCAATGAAGAGAGGGATCGTGTATTTGTGTTTGACCAAGCAATGCCGAGCGACGATGAAGTTGAGGGAAAAGTGCCACAAGGTCAGGAGGAGGTAGAGGATTGAGAAGACCACCGCGGCAGGGGTTGAGGGAGAATAAAAGTACAGGTGAGGGTCGTCACTGGAAGAAGCCGTCTGATTGTTGGAGCTCGACATGGTTCGCGTTGGCGGATGGCACAGACGTCGAAATACGTCGGGGTCGAAGCGACTTGAGTCTGTCGCAGCGGAGAAGACGATCCTGACACCAGGTAGGGTGGCTCTTTGGGCAAGGAATCAGTATGCCGATTGCTCGATTCTCCAAGCACACTGCTAAATACACTGTCAGCGAGGGGATTGGCTGTATCTGCACAGAGCGTGTTAAAAGAAGCTGGAAAGGTCAAAGAGAGCCCGGAGATGGTGGAACAAAACACGAGGATGCCGACCACGGAGTGATGAAGACGGAGGACGGTCTATATATGCTCGTCGAGTCTCTCAGGTTCATTCTTGTTAGAATCGGACACAGAAGTACATGTCTGCCGCTCGGCTGGATTGCATCGTATTCGCATTCGCGACGGGTCTTTGTCTTTGAGAACCCAGGCGTGCGCGGCCCATGTTGTTCCAGGCAACATCGATTCAAGACTCGAAAGCTCAAGGACCCATCGCATCACGAACGCGGCATATCAAGCAAAGATACTCAAGGAGTGAAAGAAGAGTGTGATGGAGAGACACAGACGACGAGCAGTGCCTCGCAGACAGTGTCAAAAGAGGAAGTTCACTCGTATTCGGGATGTGAGCCAATCAAGACGCGGGATTTGCGGAGGCCAAATTTGCCAAACGTGTACATTGTCGTACTCGTATTGGGCCATTTTGCTTGGCGCTTTAACGTAGTCCACACTACTCCATATTAGGCTAGACTGCTCAAGCTCCCTACGTGCCGCAAATGCTCCGTACAGGTACCTCATGCTTCTCTCTTGTTTCACAGTATCCTCGTGGGCACTCCCATGGGATTAATCCGGTTCAGGGGGAATCATTCATTGCATGATATCTTTTAGGAAGCTGTGTCATACGGGGTTAATTTGTCTTGAATGACGCCAAACGACCTATCTCGATCACGGCAACGCTTTGCAGGATTCACTGCGAGCAGCACGACGTCCTTCTCTCAGCCGTCATCACACAACATTCAAGCGCCGGAGTGAATGTACGCTCCCCATTGCCGCGGGTCAGGGTGCTCGTCTCTGACACGGAGAACAGCAGTCCTCAGAGCTTCTGCCACCGCTCTATTGCACAGCTGTTTATGTTCGCTACCGATGAAGGCCTCATAGAAATATCTTGCGACGTCGACACATACGTCGTCTTCAACACGCCATTGGCATCCAATGACGTGAGCAAAGCCTGCGACTTGTAGCGCGCTCGAGATATGAATGCCTTCGTCAGCGAACTTGGAGGCGTTTATTCTTGCAGTTGAGCAGGCCGACAGGTAAGCGATCCACGCAAGACCTGCGTGGTCGACACTCGAAACTCTTGATACGGTTAATGCGTCAACCTTTGGCTGGCCGGATTCGTCGTATTTCTGCAGCAGTAGGTGACTCCTTGAGGGATCACTGCTGTGGGACTTTCCGTGGCACGCGAAGTGTACGATTTCCGAATGCACAATGCTTTCCAAAACAACATCTACCGTGGGCTGTGGTAGCTGCACGCAAGCGTACAAGCTACTGGAGCCACACTTCGTTTTGATCAAATTGCTTTCCAGTTGAACACCGTTGAGTTTACCATACCCAGGAGTTGTTGTCATTGTCACTACCGTCACTTTACGTTTCTCGTGGGGAGTGCAGGCGTATTGTTTTGATTTTTCTCTCGAGTAAGACAACGCTTTGATCGAGGGCGAGTAACTGGGGACCATTCGACTAAGTGCATTGTTTTCAGAGTCGTATTTATTTGTAGAAAGTGCCGCTGCGTGAAAAGGAAGAGAGCTTGCCACGCCAGCACCGATCCACCAGACCCTCGGAAGCTGTGCCATTCCGACTGCTGTTGGTCGTAGTCCGAGCTCATCCAGGACCACCTTTACGCAACTTTCCCAGAGCCACGAAAGGACTAATTCTGTATCCATCAAACCGGGGCCCTCGTTCTCGCTTCCTATATCTCGATCGACTAGGAAGTCTTGGAAGTCGCCGTCGGAGGATCTAAAATTTCGAAGAGCACTCGAAATGAAAGTTGGCACTTCGCCGGCCCGCAACCTCGGGAGAGGAATCTTCTGCACCTTGGAAGTCGACACAATTATGGCATCACTGCTGATATCTGTGAGGTTGACAACAACAATAGGCCCTTCACTAGCGCAAGCCTCCATTTTCTCCATACTGAGACCACGGAGAAAGTCCTCGTGGCCTTGGATCCGACGGATCTCTGCCAAACACTTTTCCATAAGATGAGAAGCAGTTCTGCGCTTGTTCATTTGGCCCTCGCCAATGTTAGAACTTTCCAGTGTAGGTTGCAGGTATAGTTGGCTTCTCAAATCCCTGTATCTCTTGGTCAGGTCTGAGCAGCGCGCTTCCAGAGTCCTGAGATCATCATGATTGTCTATTGCATAGCCGATCAAAATTGCTTTGCCGAACTCCAGTTGCTGCAGCGCCTGCTCAACCTGGTCTCCTCTGAGTAATATTGAACAAACGTCGGCTGCTAAGCCAGAGGTCTCAATGACGGCCTGCTGTTGATCTTTCCGACTCAGATATCGGCCACATACCATCGGAAGGAGCTCCATAGCATTTTCCCCTAATATTTTCATTTTATCCCAAGCCTCTCTCTCGTGTAAGATCCTGATGGCGCTGCGAGATGCTTTGATACGATGCAAAGGGTGAGCCGACTGCATGTTTGCGGCTTCTTCGAAATGATTCAATGCAGTATCCAGGTCTTTTGAAACATCCTGCAACGAAGAACGAAGGATATACATGTTTCCCAGATTGAGAAGTTGGATTGCTCTATCAGGGAGATCACCTGGACACGACAGGGACTCTTCTGTGAGTTTTATTGCCTTTCCGAGATCCTCTGGTGCTTCGGTCTCTCTAAACCGCGAAAGGTAAGAAAGTGACAAATTCGACAGCCAGGTCTTCCGAAATGGATGGCCAATTGATAAGCGAATAGCCTCTTCACCACACCGAATGGCCTCTTTGATGTCTTCTTCCCTTTTTTCTCGTTCATACCGATTCCTCAGCCCGTTTCCAAGGCCGTTATAGTGGCTCGGAAGGTCCGCGTGGCCTGCGGGGGTTGCGTCAACAGCCAATTTACTTTTCTCAATGGCCTCATCAAGGTCTGCAAAGTCCACTTCGCGCCGAAATCGGGTCATTAAGAGAAAGGAGAGATTGTTCAGATATGTTGCACGATCTGAAGCGTTGGATGCCTGGCGGTCTGTGACCGCTCGGAGCTTATCAATTGCTATGTTCAAATACTCGCTCTCTCCGGTAAGCTCAAACCTGCGCCCGAATTGATTGGCAAGATTGTTAGTTCTCGGTGGAAATCTTGGGTCATCCAGTGGGGTAAGCTCAAGAGACATTTCAGTGAATTGAATGGCTTGCTCCAGGTCAGTCGGATTTCCAAGTCTCTCAAAGCGTAGTTCGTAAGATAGACCCAGGTTGTTCAACCATTTTGATCTATCCGCATCTTCCTCCCCTATATTGTTAACCGCAGCCTCGCCACGTAAAATCGCCTCATGGAGATCTGCTTCGTTTTCGATGTGCTTGTAGCGGTTAGAAAGTGCCTGCGCGAGCGAACCAAAGAAATGTGCTCTGTCAGATGGCGGCAATGTCGCCTTCTCTAGAGCCTGCCTTCCATGGTCCACTCCAAGGTCCAGATACCGGTTCTGTTTATCGTGTTCAAACAGATGACCGTACAACTGGGCGAGACCTGCTTGGACAAAGATTTTGGTACGTTCGTCAGCAGCCTGGTCCAGGAGGATCTGCTTGCTTACTTCGATCGCATCCCAGAGATCCTGCGGATTGTTGTCCATTTCGTATTGCTGGAATTTGCAATTACGAAGTATTTCCAAGTTTTCGATGTAGACGGGGTAAATGGAGTGAGTAGGAGAAATCAGCTTTCTTGCCCTTGCCATATTTGTAGAAGCACAAACAAGGCTTTCGCGGCTTGGGTAGAGAGAGCAGCGTTGGAGGGTGATTGCGGCCAGAATCAGACTCCTTTGGGCCAACTTTGGGTTATCTCTTGGGGTCAAACTGACACTTTCGCTCAGTAAGTCAATCGCCTCATTTAGACGCTCCTCAGGCTGCCGAAGTAGTCGCATGGCAGCATCGTAAGCTTTGTCGGCCTGTTCAGGATCGAGCTGCACGTTGGTAATATTTGAAGTCGACATGACCCAAGACTCAAAGTTTGGTTGGCCAAACAACGCTGAAGGATTTGTATGTCATTGAAGATGATACTTGCAGATCTTGAGTTGTTTCCAAAACATGGAACTCTAGATGCAAAAGTTGTAAAGAGGCCGAGAAGGCAAAATGGGGCTCGACAGCCCTCTGGAGAACCTGACAAAAGGGTTTGCAGTGCCCATGGAACTTGTTCGACCGTGCAAGGGGCCACAGATTCGTCAAACCGGTCAAGCAGCTCAGCCTCAACATCGTCACTCGATCGAAACAACCAATAATCGTCAGACGGCAGAATTTATCAACGCATTGCTGCCTGATAAGTGCCACATGCTGTGTGACCTTGATACCCTCTGGAATTCGATCTCCCTCGATCGCGCGCTGAACAAACATTTATGTGCATGTTAAATCTTAGTCTTGATATGGGACCAAAGAGACAAACATTGGCGGGTTGCAGCCGGTATCAAGTCCTGACTGGCCCAGACAACGATGTCAACATTTTCGATTTGGTTCTGGCATTCAATGCTAATTGAGCTGCATCGTGAAAGCACAGCGACATGTCAAGACACCTGTGCTTGACAGGAGACTCTAGAGTTGGAATTTTGCGGAGCATGTAAAGACTTGAAATCTTTTCAAACATCAAACACTCCTAATACTTCCCCATTGCTATGGTCTGCGATGTTCTGACTCGTGCGACCATTCGTTGCATCCTGCTGGGGTCTTTTTTCATACGGCATTAGGCCAAAGGAGAAACGGCATATGAATTGTGTTGTAGCGACGATCTTCACCATCCACAGCTTCGGCCTTGCGGCTGCAGCCAGTCGAGATCGGCCATGTTAACTGTCCCAGCTCCGAAAGACCTGTCCTTTCAGAAGGCGCTTGACTGGCTGGATCAGCTAAATGATGATGATCAAATGGCGCACTCGATAGGAATAGCAATAATGTCTCTCTCAAGGTCTGCGTACGAGATACTTCTCGCGACCAACTAACTTTCAGACCAGGTAATGCAATCCCATGCAGTGAACGCCCAAAGACTTCGCGTCCTCCACGTGATAGTTCGATATCGGATGACCTAGAAATCAGAGAAATTTTGCCCGCGGCGTTAATGTCGAACACTGAGACGTAGACAGTCTCGTATCAGTTATTGACGAGCGAAATGGATATATGATCGTCTTCAGTCAGATAGATGCTGAAGGATTCCGTCAGCCGCGTCATGTTCTAATGACAAAAGATGCTGAGCGCGGGCAAGCTGTTCGGCTGACTTCAACAGTTGGTCCATCTCCACCTGAGATGGACTTGAAGGTGTTGCTGTAATGTTGAGGCCATGATTGCTGCGAAGGACGATGTGATTTGCCTCATGGCAGAACTCTGCCAAAGTGAAGTCGTTTTCATCAGGCTCTCGCCTCCGGATAAATCTTGAGCCCCATGCCGTGTCATCCAGCCACGGGAGTCCAGGAGGGAGTGCCACAGGCCACTTGGAGATGGTTCCTTGTCGAATAAACGCCGTTGCGCCATTATCAGGAAGTTGAATTGCTAGAGGCTCATTAAACGACAACCTTGTCATCGACTTAAACGCGGTCACGCCTGTTAGATGCGCCTCTGCAAGTTGCTTTTAGGCAATTACTTCCTTTGCGCCGGCGGGCGTGATGGAGTAAATATTCTCCTGGTTCACACCAGAAATGCGTCTTGCTTGGATTACAGCGCTTTTGGTCTTCATTTCGAATATGAAATACTCCGGATATGCTTTCTTGCAGCGAAAAATGATGCCGATTCACTGGACCCTCTGCACGGGGATGTTGATACAGAGCTATTCAGTGGAGTTCCGCCAACACGACAGTCAACCGATAGATTTCGGGATATCTCCTCGAAGATGACTGGAACTTCGTGCTGGTTGAAGAGAAAATGTTGTTCAGGTTGAGTGGCGAGCTACTACGCCGACGCCATCTTTCTCTCAAATATACTCGTAAGGCTAGATATATGTATAGATCTTCGTGGTGTCACAAGTTTCAGCCTCGCAAAGTGCATCTCTACCTGAACTCAAGACGGTCATTCAAAGTCATATACTGCGCCGTAGAGGTTGCTTCAGTGCAACAAATGTACCACAAACGCAGTCTCCATCATGGGTGTCGGCCTCAAGTCATGTCCGGACGCAGTGTCTCGCGAAATATCTGTACGTCAATGATTTCCATACCTTCAAAGAACAAGCTCTCCCGTCGCTCTAACTGACTTCCACGCCCCATACTTTTGCAAATATAGCCTGAATTCCTCTCCGAGGGGCTTTAGCCGAAGATTCACCTACAATGGAGCATTGCCTGAATGTCATTGTCGGCGATGGATCTACCGAACAGAAAATCCCTTCCGTTCTAGGTGAACCTCTGGGGAAAGCCATAGCCGCCAGCCAACCAGCGGCGCAGAACGATGTCGATGAGCTACAAGCTTGGGCCGGGGTCCGGGGATAAATTCAATGATTGTCGAAGATATCGCCGTACGAGCCCAAATAGCATATATGGAGAACGCCAGTACCGTGGGGAGAATGAAGACATCGTGGCGTCGCAATGTTATTCATCTTCCTCCTGTACGTTGGCTTCGTTGCCGCCGAGAGTGGTATCAATGCTTGGCTTCGCTACGCCCCATTGTATTCTCAAAATTCCACACCTTCTCTACCTTCCAGAATTGTGTCACTCAACACCTCGGTGAACGATCCTGTGCATATTGCTGGCATCGAACTCCGAAAGGGCATATCCGGAATCCTCGGCAAGAATCTTAGCATTACCACTCATGAAACACACGGTGATCCATCGATCATCGTCGGAACTCTCAATGAATACTCCAACGTCTATGGGCGCTCTGCAAAGATTCCATCCCTCGAAGCCGACGGTTTCTGGCTCAACACTACCGGCACTACCATAGAGATCCTTGGTCAGAATGAACGAGGCGCACTTTACGGTGCTTTCGAATATCTGTCGATGTTAGCCCAAGGAAACTTCTCCAAAGTCTCATACGCCTCGAATCCAAGCGCACCGGTGCGATGGGTTAATCAGTGGGACAACCTTGATGGCTCCATTGAACGAGGCTATGGCGGACCTTCCATCTTCTTTGAGAATGGCCTTGTTCTCGACAATCTCGATCGAGTCTCAGAATATGCTCGCCTGTTAGCATCTATTCGAATCAACGCCGTCGTTGTGAATAATGTCAACGCAAATGCATCCCTTTTAAGCCCTGCAAACGTGGAGGGACTCGGGAGGCTGGCCGATACAATGCGACCATATGGTGTTCAAGTGGGCATTTCATTGAACTTCGCCTCGCCAACAGCAAACTTGACCTATGGAAACCTAACCACATTTGACCCACTGGACAAGGGCGTCATATCCTGGTGGAACAATGTCACAGACGCCATTTATCGCAGAGTCCCTGATATGGCCGGGTACTTGGTCAAGGCGAATTCTGAAGGTCAACCAGGCCCCCTGACGTACAATCGTACACTCGCTCAGGGCGCCAACTTGTTTGCGAATGCCCTCCAACCTCATGGAGGCATCCTGATGTTCAGGGCGTTTGTGTATGACAATCATATCAATGAGAGCAACTGGAAAGCCGACCGTGCAAATGCTGCAGTTGACTTCTTCAGAGGACTCGACGGGGAGTTTGCCGATAATGTCATTGTCCAGATCAAATATGGACCGATCGATTTTCAGGTTCGCGAACCGGCATCGCCCCTTTTCGCACATCTCCAAAACACTAGCACGGCGATTGAGTTGGAAGTGACACAAGAGTACCTTGGTCAACAATGCCATCTCGTCTATCTCCCGCCACTATGGAAGACAGTACTCGACTTCGACATGAGGGTAGATCACAAGCCATCGCTCGTCCGCGATATTATTAGCGGTAAGCGTTTCGGTCGTCCTCTCGGTGGTTCTGCGGCGGTCGTGAATGTTGGCACGAACCAGACATGGCTAGGAAGCCACCTCTCCATGTCCAACCTTTACGCGTACGGTCGCCTGGCGTGGAACCCGGCCGATGACCCAGAAGCCATGTTGCAAGACTGGATTCGTCTGACCTTTGGACCAGACCCGGGCGTCATGAAGACAATCACAAGTCTGTCCATGGCATCGTGGCCTACCTACGAGAATTACAGTGGCAATCTAGGCATCCAGACGCTGACGGACATTCTGTACACTCACTTCGGACCGAACCCCCAGTCCCAAGACGGCAACGGCTGGGGCCAATGGACTCGTGCTGACCATACGAGCATCGGCATGGACCGGACAGTAAGCAACGGGACCGGCTTCTCCGGTCAATACCCTGCAGAGGTCGCAGCCACGTATGAAAACATCAGCACGACCCCGGACAACTTGGTACTGTGGTTCCACCACGTCAACTACACCCACAAGCTCCGTTCCGGCAAGACGGTCATTCAGCACTTTTACGACGCGCACTACGACGGAGCCGATACTGCCCAGACGTTCGTCACCCAGTGGCAAGGGCTACGGGGAAAGATCGACGAGGAGCGGTACAACGAGACCTTGTTCCGACTACAGTTCCAGGCCGGGCATGCGATCGTGTGGCGCGACGCTATTGCCAATTTCTACCACAACCTGTCTGGCATCGCCGACTCTGCCGGCCGCGTCGGCCACCATCCGTGGCGCATCCAGGCCGAAAGTATGACGCTGGACGGATATGTGCCCTACGCGGTATCTCCATTTGAAGCCGCGAGCAATGCCACTGGAATTGTGACGAGCTCAAACTCCACGACCGGCACTGCGTCGACGACGTTGAATTTCCCCAATGGCACATACGACCTGGCCATCAACTACTTTGACCTGATGGGAGGGGTGTCGTCGTGGACCGTGTCTATCAACAACGACACCGTTGGAAGCTGGGAGGCTGACAACGTAGACACTGGCAGGCTTGGGCACGCCGCGTCTGAATACCTGGACGCGCATTCGGCGACGAGAATCACGTTCCGGAATGTCACTGTCGCAAAGGGAGACGTGCTCAAGATCGTCGGTACTCCTGATGGAATCGAGCCTGCACCGTTGGACTATGTCGCCGTGTTGCCGGGAGGCATTGTTGACTAGGCTATTCAGAATAGCACGGCAGTGCAGATCCCGTACTGGGTGTGCTTGTGATCTCACCTCGCACTCAAGTAAACTCCTCCCTGTGGTTGAGAGGGCCGGAGGGACCGTGTTAAAGTTTCGTTCCGGCTTCGAAATAGATTATGAATGAATATAACGTAGGTGCATAGCGAGTCATCCACTTTCCCACATTTTTCCACTCTTGTCTTCCGTGCACGACCAGTCCACCACTCGCTATGCACTTGCGTTAATTGTTAGTGAAGAACAAAGCTACCCAGGCTGTTGAATGAGTATATACCGCCGAGGACTGGTCAGTCACAGGCCAGGACTCGGACGATACACCGCCCCGTCCCAGTGGTAAGGCTGCCAGCTGCCATGTCCATCGCCATGGTGACCAACTATGCTTTCAGCAGCGTGACAATACGCATCAGGCTTGTGTCCTTCCAATTCCCAGTCCCCTTGACTAGAACAGCCCCCTGTAGCAGGTATCAGTGACCACTGGTTGCCATGTCTCCTGAGACTGACGAAAATTCGGCCGCTAGATTCTGGGTCTCGATCAGCTTGATACTGCTTAGCAATCGCATGACCTCCAACTGATGCTGATCTTGCGATACTCTCAATATCAGTAAAGTCAAAGGTTGTTAAGCCCTTCCAAAATCTCGTTCGGACGACTTCGACAATAATGGTGAGAAGCATAGCCAAATTTGTTGCTAGTACACAGTATATGTACTTTTCGGAGCCGATCTTCACGGCACCAAAGCGGACGGAAAGTGGTACAGTTGCTGAATTCCCTAGAATATACAGCTGAGATTGAGCATTTGCGACGAGGAGGCCCTCTAGCAACATGCCGACCCCATATTCTAGACTCAAGGCGGCACTTGCTTCGTCGCTGAGCCCAGGATCTCGTGCCTTGATGACCCGGATGTTGTGCTCCAGAGCTGTGCCGAGAGTTGATACGACGGTGCTGCCCGAAATGCGCGATATCTGCTCCAAGGCATAAAAGATACTCTTTGTGAATTCACCTGTCGGCTCTATGTTTTGCACAGCCTGATCATCAGCAGCAGGCTTGACAGTGATGATACTGTTGGTGACGTTGACGTTGACTGCGAATCTTGCTGGATCAAACCGGACTTTACATTGCATCTTATCGAAGGCGGTATATAAACCGGTTCCAGCAACGGCAAGAATGTTCTCGCCGTAGTTTGATAGAGCTGACCACGCCAGAAAGTTACTGTCATGAGTGCTCGAGCTTAAAGCGTATTGCTCGACTTGTCCAGATACGGAATTAGGTAGCGTGCCACCAACGAGATGGGATGTTACGCCGAGGTCGTCAAGATACGCGGCTTCCGAGATGGTGTAGTTGCTTGCCTCGTTCCGCGCACAAGATACATTTGTTCGATAGCCATATTCGAAGTAGTCAAGTGATAACATGGGTGCCTTGTGCGCTGATAGACCTTGGATTGGGACAATGCCAGGTGACGAACCTACTCCAAAGGACCTCCCCAGGTTCGTCCACCCGGAGCTATCAATCCTCGAGTGAGGCTTTGGGGCACTGGGAGTGCCTGCAGCAGCTCTAGCCAGTGAACCAAGTATTGCACTGACTAAATCAACTGCAGGGCATGTAGACACCAGAGCGGCTGCGCCATCAAGCATCTTATCACCAGTCACAACCCAGCTACAGTTGAGCGACATGCTGACTGTCCCGTTCTGAAGTCTCCGGAAAGATCCCTGCCATGCCGATAAGGCCGTTTCCGGATACGTTGGTACTGGTATCCGTCCTTCCATACTCGTAACGTCGGTGAGAATAGGTGTCAGTGCACCAGCCCAGAGAGCAGCAGGAAGTTTGAGTGTTAATGTTATAATTAGCGCGACTGTCAACCATTCCACCGGCAGTGAACCGCGGAGGGCGCGACTCGCACCGGAGGTGATTGCAACGAGGAATTTCAGTTGCTGGAACGCGACAGGACATCCTGTCTGCATGCGAACTCGCGCCGATAGATTGATCAACGAAGTGATAGCGAATATCTGTCCTGCTCCCAGTACAGCGGAAACCACCTGGATCAACAAGCCTATGGTATCGCGATGCGAAGTCACGAAGCCGTAGAAAGTGCCGGTCGAGCGTCGGTCCTTGATAACGAGGACTGCAATCGCAATAAGGCTCGTCAAAAGTATGACGACCAAGAGGAGGATTCTTGTAAGGACTGATTCATGATCCCTCATAGCTGTTTTGTCCTCGTGGTGAATACCTGGGGAATTGAAGTGATTGAACAGGGAATTTGTAGAGGCTTATGTTTGTATTGGTTCATTCTATGTAGGGAAAGAGTAAATGTTAAGAACCTACAAGGTCCATTATGAATGCAAGCGATCATGTCCTTCTGGAGGGCAAGGCACTTTCCACAGAAGAATATAGCTCAGCCTCTTCGCTGGGGAGTTGAGACTAGCAAGCTTCGCTTCTCGATAGAAGGTTTGTACTACTTCGCCTCGTAGAAGAGCCAAGTATAGCCACTAGCGAATCGCTCCATCTGTGAAGCACAAGCCCACAAGAGCACTCAGGCTCTAGGTATTCATCTACGCTGAAACCAGTCAAGGCTGCTCCCACGTTTCTTCCCCATTTTCTCAGACAAGTCTTCTTGAAGCCCATACGTCGTAAGCTTTCTCATCGCTCTATAAACCATTTCGTTTGCTACATCTTTGCGGATTCTCATATGCTAATATTGTCGGCAGTCTAGCTTGAAGGCGATTTTCCAGGCGTACAATGTCTTATCCTTGGCAGCTGAAGCCCATCTGACAGGGTTTGAGATATAGTTCGAAATCGGATGCACCTAGCGTCGTGGTAAGAGACGACTAACACACTGGTAGATATCACAAAAACCAACCACACATTCGGCGCATGAGCGACCTTCGCTCACCAGGCCCTAAATTGAGGCCCTAGTGTAGCCTGGCAATCGTCAGCCAATCGTACTTTGGCGTTTCATCGTTGGCGTGGTCCGTCGTCCTCTTTGGCCCTATGGTGGAGAAAATCGGCTCCCCTTTCAGGGGTTTGCTTTCTAGTCACACTTGACTGCTAAATCGGCTGCTGGTTTCGTGCCCGCCTTACCACGCGGAGGCGATATTGATGATAATGTTGGATCTACATATCAGCTCGTGGGAGAGTGTAATGTGGATGGAGTCATGCAGGGAGAGGTCCTTGATCTGGTCGAGCACGGAGGTCTGCGGAAACAAGCCATAATAATGGTGTAGCGAGTTGAACTGCCTATTCAGTGAATCTTGAAGCTGGTTTAAGGGGTGGGAGAAGGGTTAGTGCCAGATGCGACTGCATAGCATCGAAAATGGGAGGAGTAACACGACGAGCAATAGCAAGACAGTGTCCGGCGGTATCGGCATACTTGCGGTGGTGTCAAGAGGGCGCCGTCGTCAACAAGGTCTTCAGGAACGCAAAAGGTTGGCCCTCCTCGCCAACCGGTGAGCAATTGGTGTTGCAATAGCTCAGTTATATTCAATCGATCAAATATTATCAAGGACAAAACTACTCAGGCCTTCGAACGAGGACACACCGCCGAGAATTTGCCAATCACAGGCCAGGGCTTGGGATGGTTTACTGTCCTGCCCGATGGCAAGGCTGTCAGCTCCTATGCCCATTGCCATAGTGGCCAACCATACCTTCAGTCCCGTTGCACTAGGGACGCGTCTGATACTCTAAGATCAACCTTGCCGCCTCTGCATGTCCGGCCGCTTCTGCAAGCTGAAGTGAATTTTCGCCAAAGCGATTAATTGCCTCGGGGTTTGCTCCTCTTTGAAGAAGGTATTCAATCCGATCAACTCTTCCCAGCCGTGAAGCCATCTGCAGAGTCGTTTCTTGACGTCTCTTGTCTCTCACGTCGATTTCGGCACCTGCATCGAGCAAGCTTTTGATAATCTGTAGGGTACCATCGGACCGTTCGGCTTGGACTGTACGGTGCAGAGGAGTCAAACCGGAGCTATCGCAGAACTCGATATTCGCACCGTGCAATTTAAGCAATTCAAAGAGCTCGAATTCGCCACGTATCGCCGCCAGGTGAAGCGGCGTACATCCGACTTGGCCCATGTTCAACCTGAATTCAGGAACTTTGCGGTCTTGGGGGCTGTCAACGGTTGCATTGTCGATTTCTTCTGTTCCTTGATCGATGAGCTGGATGTACGTAGCCAGGTGAAAAGGCTTACATCCGTCTTCACCAATGCTAACCTCAACTCCAGGTAATTTCGCGTCCGCCGGAGTGTCGATATTTGTCGAATCAATGTAGGCGCCATGCTCGATGAGCATTTTGGCTATTTCTGGCGTTGCTTGCCAGGCTGCTTCGTGTAATGGCGTCCAGCCGCAGTCGTCCTCAGTGGTAACAGATGCACCTTCCTCCAGCAAGTACCTGACCATGTGTACATGACTGAACATGATGGCCTCCTGCAATGGCGTCCGATTCGTGCTGTTCAGTGCGTTTACCCTGGCACCATGCTCGACTAGGACTTGTGCAACAACCAGATGCCCGTTTTGCGCCGCCCAATGTAAGGGTGTCCTGCCCGCAAAGAACTTCTTCTGCCAGTTGTTCTCGCCTACATTATAAGACACGGTATCAACTTCTCCACCCGCCTTCACAAGCGCTGTGATGATTTCTTTATTTCCAGTTTCTGCGGCGAAATGTAGTGCGGTTCTTCCATCGATGGCCTCGGAAACATTAGCCCCTTTATCCAGCAAGAACAACACGGTCTCTGTTCTTCCACCAATTGTTGCCCTATGGATCGCTCTATGTCCCTTCGAGTCGCGCGATTCGATGTCAGCACCTTGTTCGAGGAGACGTTTAACCACATTCTTTTGCCCGGTTTCGGCTGCTCTATGCAACGCCGTCGCTCCAAAACCATCACGCGCTGAGACGCTGTCTCCATTTTGAAGTAAGGTTTCCACAGTCTCCTCGAGGCCAAAATGAGCGGCTAAGTGTAGTCTAGACATGATCTCGGGGAAACGGGTCGGCGCAGTCAGATGCATAACCTGCACCGCGCTTGATACTTGTGCTTCGTTATCGATGAATTGAAAGATTTGGGTTTTCAACTCTCTCTCGGAGTCGTCACGACAGTGGTCACCCCAATGTTGAGCAGCATAGTGAAGCAAGCGATGCTTACGCATTCTTACCCTGCCAGCTCGATCATTTGAACAAGCTCCGTCTGCAAATTCTCGAAAGCTAAGGTATGTTAAACAGGTACTTCCGATATGAAATTGAGCATTCGCAAATCGTGAAAGTCGCATGCGCCTGAAGTATTCCTGGGTGCTGTAGTGAACCAAACGGATCACACTGCTAGCCTGGTCCAAGATGACAAGACCTGCGCACACTGACGTGAGAAGCTCCGGATCAACGAAATTGCTTTCATCGATCTCTTGAGTGCCATTCTCTACCGCCAGCGCTATTTGGAGCTCATTCACTGTTAATGGCCTGACAGCGAACACAATCCATTCCAGTATCTGTAGCGCTAACTCTTTGTAGTCCTTGCTTTGATTTTCGATCCTGAGAAGGGTTTCATCGTACATCCCGTCGAGGTCGTTTGGTAGCATAGCAAGCGCCTTTCGAACGGCCTTAGGAGTGCATTTTTCTTGAAGGGAGTCGAGCTGGAGTCGAGCAAGCAGGAACCTACCACATATGTCAGACTGCAATAAGGCAGAACAGGACAGTCGTACATGTTCTTTGCCCTTTCAACAACCACTTTCTCAATCTCGCCGGCTAGGGAGGGATCTCTCTTGACATGCCTTGTCAACTGACCAGAAATTCGACTCGAGATATAGATGAGCAAGTCTTCAGTGCGTGCTTCAATCTCATACGTTGAAGATTCTTCGAAGGAATGTGCTATGCTGTCATCGAATCGCGAGGTGACGAGCAAGTTCACCTTGGGTTGCAACGTTTGAAGGGTTTCAAGCAAGTCCATCCGTAACGACCAATGACACTCATCAAGGGCATCGACAACGACAAAAACCTTTTGATATCGCCCAACCTCCTTGCTTACAACCATCTCGACCTCCGCCAATGTTGGAAGGGTATTGCGGTCAACGTGCTTGCGGTAGAGGCTTTTCACATCGTCACTTAGCTGACCACTTCCCTGCGCAAGCTGCAACCAAAGTCCAGAAAGGAGGTTGACTGCGGTTTGCTCCAACCTTTCCTTATAGTTGCAGTAGATTGCTGCGATGCCGACGCCTGGTACTGCATCAAATCGGTCACGAAGATCGTTGACCACAATAGACCTAGTCTCGTTATCATCCCGCTAATACCGCGCGTGGAGGTAGCTGCTCACGACATCAAGGTCTTGCCCGCACCGGCTGCAGATGGAGGTCAGAATTAAAGCCATCAGATCTTGACCGAACGGCTAAAAGATTAGGTACCGTACGTATTCCCGGGCACCACATTGTGCCTCCCGCGCTATCGATCCAGGACTGGTACATTGGAGAACCAAGAAACCATAATCCGGTGCCAGGTGTTCGACGCGCAAAGATTGAATCTTGAACGCGGGAAAAGTCTAGAGGGGAGAGCCAATTGATAATAGCACGAGTTTCTCTGACTGAATGGTTTCCTTGTCAGCAAGTGGTCAATGTAACTCTTTAGCCCTACCATTATCGTTTGCGGTGATCTTGCCGATCTTCACCGCAATTTCTGCAACCTCACGAGCGATTTCATGTATCAACTTGGTGTCGTTCTTTATAGCTTGGGTCAATGTCCTAGAGAACCCGTCAGCGATCTGACGTGGCTGTGTGAACTCCAAATCAGCGACGTACATGTTATCGTTTTGCAGCGCCAATTGGAACAGAGACTTTTTCCGCTCAATGACCAATACGTAACGCTCGATATCACTCCTCTGGAATGGCCAAGCCAAGAGCCTTCCTAAGTTTGCCACGGATCTTTCTCTCCCCTTGGGGAGCGCCAGTCGACGCTCTAGTTCACGGAGAACTTCCTCATACTGCTCCAGCGGCCCCTTCGGCGTTCCAAGCTCCATGACACACGACATCCAGGTGGTGCCAGACACGTCTGGCCCGCCACTCATGCGCGCCTGCTCTTGTTTGATACGGTCGCAGAGCATGTACAACGGTCCGCTCGCACTGGTGATCTCATCACGCAAACGAATGCGATCTTTTTGGGAGTCTTTGACATCATTGATGTATTGGACGACAGTGACACTGAGGCATAGGATCGAAAGAATACTGGTCGTCAGAGAGAGCGGGTCCATTGCAATGCTCGGAGACTCTGACAAGGTGATGGGGGATTTCGACGAGAAGACACAACCCTAATGAGTTTTTATCACCAGCTGGGTCTGCGTTGGGTCCTGACAAGAGGCACCTCGGCAGCAGCAAATCCTACTCATCCACAACAGTACTCGAAGCAAGTTGCCCAAGAGAAAGATGACAAATTATGGTGACGGTAGTCAGCCTCTAAAGTTAGGTGCATATGGCGCTGCCTTTGAAACGATCATTGGTTAAGTGTGCAAATTCGTACCGTACATATATTGGCCACGCAATGGAGACAAGCAGGAGACAGACGTTGTAGGTAACAGTGAACTTCATTCTTCAAGATATTGTCGAAAGCTAAGTCGGCGAGATGTGCACGTATCGAGACCGTCGCGGGGTTCTGTGAGTTCACGCCTCAACCCTTGTCAATAGTCTTCGAAGTCATGTTTGACGCAACCACAGAGATTTAGGGCCATCCGAAGGAATTATCTCAGGACAGACTTAGCGAATGTTTGGACAATATGCGCAGCTCACAGGAGGCTAAAGTACGATTGGCTTGCGATTGCCGGGCTCCAATTAGGCCTGGGTCTAGGCCAAGGAGAGGAAAGTTGCTTCGGCTCCCGAAATGTGCGCTGCAGTGTTCAAGCTGAACCAAGGCGACCGCATTTCTTGCGGAGTTTGATCAATATCTGTGACTCTGGGATGGCAGATCGGGCCTCAAAGAGAAGCATTCCACAATCCCCCGCAGGCAGCGTCAACGCGATGCCCCCGCCAAGACTTCTCCACGTGATCCCGCGCACCGGTGACAGAATGAAGGCGGAGCAAATCACCCACCGGGAATTGGCCACCGTCTCATCCCTCCCCGTCCCCGTCAAGATGGACGAAGGACGCGCTCTGCAACGCAGTAAACGTCATGCGCCGAAGGTCCGGTCAGGCTGTGTCACTTGCAAGTGTGTCGTTTGTCTCTTACCGCGGCCTCAAGTGCATCCGACGCTGACTCAACAACAAGACGCCGTCGAGTGAAATGTGACGAACATAAACCTGCCTGTCAACGGTAAGTCGAACCGTGGTGCTGGGGCTCCTGTTCCTGAAATCTGCACAGCTGCAAGACCAACCGACTCCATTGCGAGGGATATGCACCCCCCAAAACATGGATTTTCGAGCCCCGGCAGCAACCCTCCACAACCGTGTCGAGCCGTCAGCTGCATCTAGCATCTGATGTTATCCGTGAAAGTGGTGCTGGAATTAAGCTCTACCCCTCCAAAGACCTACACTACCACGGAACCTTTGCCGGACACCCTGGCGAATTGATGGCCTTCGAATTCTTCGCAAAAGTGACTGCACCTGTTGCTGGGAGATGGGCAGCCCCAGAACTATGGCAGAGACTTGTATTGCGAGCCGCTTGGGAGGAAGCTGCTATCAAGGACTGTATCGTGTCGCTCACCATCACCTCCTTAGAGCGAGGTCCTTCCCAGGTCCAGATATCCATACCGACAACTCTACGCTCGCGGGACTACTATTACTTTCGAGCTGCCAGTCTGCTTAGTAAGCATGAGAGCAAGCCTGTGGAACTTTGTCTCATTGCTAGTGTAACTTTCTGGCACTTTGACCTGTTCAATCGTCGTCCCCTACGCGCAATGATACACTTGCACGCCACGACTAGCCTCTGGCAATCATTGCGGGGAAGCGCGCCATTTTCGACAGCGCTGGGCACGGAAATCGAGAAATTGTTGTGCTCGCTGGCTGGTATCGACAGTCTTCATGAAAGCGGCAACGCCTCCCACATGCTTCCGTCCCCAGAGGGCTACTCCTTTCGCAAAACCCAGGCAAAGACGCACGGCTTTATATCACTCAATGCAGCTCGCGCTAGCCTTTCACGGTGTATCTGGGCTGCAGTACTAGCATACGACCCGTCGGCAACTGCCCACACCTTGCGTGACCTGGCTGATGTTGAGCATGTTGTCTTCCAGAAGGAGATGGACGGGCTTCTGGACTTTTCGGACCTGCCACTCTGCACCCTGAGCGATTGCCTAAACCTTTTCTACTCCTGGCAGCAACGGATGTGGCTAACGCCGGACCTTATCGTCCCTTTCACCGGCAGGCAATCTCTACTACTGCACGCACAGTTGATTCAATCAGTCATTCAAAAAGACGTGAACAATAGCACGGCTGGAATTCATGATCTCAGTGAGAGCAATGAGTCCTTGTTTGTCCGAGTTCTCGACGCTGTCGCCGATATTGTCAGAACAACACAGCATCACAAACACAGCAATCCACCAACAACCGACAACACCAAACCCACAAGCCTCCGGCCGCTTGTACTCTTCATCATGCGGCGCACGAACCTGGAAGCTACGTTGAGCAGGGCAGCTCAACTTATGGAAGATGTTGAAGTCGTGGAGAAAGATACGGATGCTGTCCTGTTACTGTGGATGGGTTTTATATTGGAGAACACTCTAGCAGCCGGCCCGCCGGTAGGCTGAATTTGCGACATTATGGTGTTGCCGTGAGGATTCAGCAAGAAATGCTTGATTCTTGTCAGTCTACAGGTACCAAATCCGCTTGTGTTCCAATGTGTCCGCGACGAGACTGACGTGGTCAGGAAAGATGCCAATTTATATCACGAAATTCCCCAATATGTTCAGGAATTGGGATGCTTATCTGTCGGGACTGTGGTGAACTTCAACTATCCATCATTCCGCGTCAGGTCCCTTTACCCCAGCGCTGGCACAATGCCTCCACAGAGGAGGCGAAGATTCCTTGCATCCGGCGATGATCTGGAGGCTAAGAACGCGAGGGAGGAGAAGTCGATCGAGGAATGTTCTCAGCTGGACCTGGACGACAGTCCCGATATCGCCGCGTCAAGCGAAAAGCGACGTAAAGGGTTGATGACGGCGTGGAAATATTATGCCGACGCTTCTTGTTACCGCTGCGCTTCTTCCAGCGCCTACTCAATTAACACGCCGTTGACCCCTACCCGTCTTCAGCTACTGTGGGCTCCTCCAGGACCCAGAAGACCCAAACGGGCCGGTTGACCCAGATAGAATTTGGCTGGACCTCTGCCTGAACGACAAGCTTGCAAAGGCTAGGTGTATGGCTTTTTGAAGGTTTATGTCCGGGACTCTGAACAGGAGTTCCCTATCCTCGCCTCACCAGAGGAGACGGAGTGGAGGAGGATGCTCACCTCGGCCCACAGCCTGCTCAACGTCTGGAGGTCCATTATTGCCGAAGCGAATGCTATCGTTCTCTGAAAAGTGAGGAAGAAGGACCCTGCGAGAAAGCACACATGGAGGTTGAAGTTCATGGATCACACCAACAAACTGGGCCAAGGGCTGGTTTACGAGATTTCCAAGATCAGTTCTCTTACAGAGCGAGCACCTGTAGGGCGACTTCCGCAAGAAGCTAGACAAATGGTCCGTCTCGAAACCGGCTTCCCCTTCTACCCATATTGAAAAAAAAAAACCTGTGGACAACTTCATCACCCTGAACTGAGTAGAGGGGCGATGTTTTTGCGGACGTAGGGCCCAATGAGACTTCCCAAGTCCGGGCGAATTCACAATTCTGTGTGTGTGTGTGTGTGTGGCTGCGTGTGGCCTCAGTCTTCTTTCTGAATGCCAATAATAAAACTAGTAAGAGTAATCGCTGTTCGGGCACATGTGCATGTTGTGCCCAGGCTAGGTATATTTCAACATCTTGCTCATTGTCCATCAGACATCATGTATGAGCACACTGAAAGCAGACCAAGTGAACGTCTTTCAGGGCCCATGACGGTAAGCAGGGTTTGCTTAGTCACGAAGCAGAGGTCAGAGATTGCGGAACGGTAACCCATCGTAGGGACCTAAATACATCAGTTTACCCTCGAAATATTCTAGAAATCGAACGGAGTATCCCGCAAGACTCCCTAGAATCAATGTTCAACGCGCGGGCCATTCAACACCGAGAACTTGAGAATCTAAAAACGACAGATCAGGCTTGTTATTGTTCATGGAAATAAAGACCCGACGACAATGAAGAAGTCGAAGCTCGAGAACATAATCCTCCCAGGCAAAGACTGCAGGTCTCGCTGGACCATCAGCCTGGATGCGGACACGATAACAGCCATAAACCCAGCCGAAACAGCTTCGTCATCACCATCATCGCTTCTCCTCCCTCCTCTCTGCCACCCTCACATCCATCTCGACAAAGCATACATACTGACCTGCAACAACAACGACATCCATCGTACGCAGCCCGGCTCCTGGTCGCCCGACGACGGCGACCGTAGCAGTGGAGTGCCAGACTACGGCGACCTTGCACCACAGTCGGGCTCGTTCAGTGAAGCCCTGACCAAGACATCCGAGGCCAAACGACGCTACACTCCCGAAGACCTGTACCTCCGCGGTGCGCAGCTGCTGGGCACGTCGTTGACACAGGGCGTCACGGCATGTCGGGCCTTTGTGGAACTGGACCACGTCACGCAAACACTGTGTCTCGAGGCAGCCATCTCTCTCCAGGCGTCGTTCGCGGGCAAAGTGGCCGTGCAGATCTGCGCGTTTGCGCAAGACCCGATATTCAGCACTGACCACGGGGACGAGAATCGACGGATCCTGGACGCCGCGCTGGACCGTGATCGACAGCAGCAGCAGGAGCAGCAGCAGCAGCAGGGTCACCGACGACGAATCGGCGCGCTCGGAACGACGCCGTACGTCGAAACCTCACGCGACGCGTCCATGCGGAACATCGAATGGGCGATCGAGACGTCGCTCGAACACGAGCTGAATCTAGACTTTCACCTCGATTACAATCTGAACCCGGACCGGCCTGCCATGGTGTGGGACGTGATCCGGCTGCTGAAGGAAGCGAGATGGACGGAACGCGCGCGTCCAGACAAGACGATCGTGCTGGGCCACTGCACGCGGCTCACGCTCTTCAGGCGAGACGAGATGGCGAGACTTGCGGGAGAAATCAGGGACTCGAGATTGCCGGTCCATTTCGTGGGACTGCCCACCAGCGATTTGTTCATGATGGGGAGACCCCCCGACAACAACGGCGGCGACGGCGACGACGACGACGACGACGAGGCCACGGCGATCAGACCGCGCGGGACGATGCAGGTACTCGACATGATCAAGGGCGGGATCAACGCCTGTCTGTCGGTGAACAACGTCGGGAATGCGTTCACGCCGTGGGGCACCGGTGATCCGATCTCCCTGGCGTCACTGGGCGTGGGGATATACCAGGCCGGCACGGAAGACGATGCGACGCGGTTGTACGAGTGTGTGAGCACGAGGGCACGGAGGGCAATAGGGCTGACCGGCGTGGGTGGCAGTCGAGGGGACGGGTCTGGCTCAGAGGAACCAGGGCTACCGATCGAGGAAGGACGCAAAGGCGATCTACTGCTCATACGGAACGAGGAGTGGGTTGGGTGTCCGGGACATCTGTCGATGAAGATCCCTGCCAGACAGCGCGTGAGCGTGCGAGACGTGGTGTGGGATCCGCCGGATGTGAAGCTACGGAGGATAGTAAGGTGTCCATGACAAGCCACGATCGAAGAAGAAGGCCGAGGAAGTTCAACGTGAGTTGCTCAATTCATTGCAGATCATGTCCTTGGATGGTGGACCTCGATGTGCCCGTTCTCCCATCATGCTATCAGATCATTCCGTTTCGCATCGGCGTTCAGCCATAAACTCATCTCCAGTTCCCGTGAATCGTCACCTTCATTCTCGGGTCAACTCCACATGTCTGTTCGGCTCGGAGAGACTGTCCGTGTTTCGATATCGACCGCAGTGGTTGTGTGCGCTTTCTTTTCAGCCCAGTCCGGCGACGAGACACTCAAGTGGACAGCTTCCAAGGCTACGGGGCGATCTTGATCCGCTGGAACAAGATTTTCTCGAGATAGCCATCCTCTTCCAGTCGAGCCGAGACGAAGCACTCCTTGATCATCAATGCCGTATTCCCGAAGCGACACCACCATGCGTCACTCTTCTTGCCCGAAAGTCGAACCTCATGGTCTCTGAATTGTCTGAGAAGGCACATGGCGTCAACGGCGAATCGTGCTTTGCTCGGGAAGTCTTGGACGGGCGCAATGACGGCGAGGAACGCATTCGCTGCGACCTTGGTCAGAATCTCACTCCGTTTCGCGCATGGGTCGTCGGTGTCCAGGGGAGCTGCAATTGCGTTCAGCTACAAAGATTACCGTCGGTTCTCCGAACCCCCAACCTATGGCAGCGTACGACTTACGCAGCAAGCGATGTTCTTCTTGACTTCTTCAGGTGTGGTAGATCCGACCTCAATGGAAATGACATCCTGGAACATCTGGGGAGCGGTGCCGTCACAGCCTTCCTGGCGGAAAGCACCAATGAATAGGGGATAGTACTTGAATTCCCATGGCTCGCCCATGGTGATGAGGGATACTGGAGACTTAGTTTTGAGGGCGGTTCAGGTTTTGTGGTGGTCCGAAAGGGCGAGGAAGATTTGAAGAAGATGTCGATTAGTTGTTGAAATATATCTGGTCGAGGTGAACGTGGAAGGGGCTTCACACGTAGCGCCATGAGTGAATTCAGGCATCTCTTCGAGGCTTCACTGACGGCTGAAAATATGCATCCTGAATTCAATTCACTGCGCCCGAGATTGGCTGTGTATCCTCACCAAAGGCGTACAGCTTCACTCTTGCGGCATTCATAGTGTCGGTTCAGAGTAGACACACATGCACTCGAGCTAATCTTTGTTAGAGAGCCTCTCCGAGACACCTTCTCGCCTATAGTAAGATCTACTAGTTTACAGCTCGGTGATATGTGTTATGAGGTATTAATATTATACCGGTGAATCATTACAAGAGAAGTCTTCTGATGTCTGAAGATACAAAATCATGTACAAGAAAGGTAGAGAAGTCCGTCCTTTTGCAAACGCCGCCAATTTCCTTCTTGGAGACGCTGCCAGCAGGGGGACCGGTAGTGTGTGAGTTGGTATGCCGATGCAGGTCAATATGGGTCGCGAGACCAGAATTTGAATGGCCCGTATAACCATCCTACCTTGGACTTCGAGCGTGGAATCTTAAACACGTCGTCCAGTGGGCCTCGCAGCTTCTGATAAGTGTAGTCTGTCCACATGAGTCCCCAGCTCATGCCAGTGAGGACTCTAGCACCGGTTCCCTCAATGATGGTTCCACCCAAGAGACCTCCTGCTGAGGGAGCGGCCAAGTTCACCATGTCTGTTGAGTTGGCAAAGTCGCTGTCGTCCGAGATGATGTTCGTGCTGCCGCTCTGAGTAGCCGAAGACGTGGGAGTTGCCGAAGCCGAGGAGGCATTTGCGCTCCTCGACCCGCGACCAATGCTGAAGGTGCCGTTCGACAGCAGATTTATCGCCGGGCCCAACATTATGCCACGCGTGTAATTCAAGAACGGGGTTGTCACATCAACCTGAATTGCCGGAGAGAGGGCAAATCCCATCTCGATATTGGGGAACGAGGCTGTGGCTCTCAGATAGTCAAAATTTAAACCGGCGCTGGACGGGAGACCGATGCCGAGCTTCGTCGCGTTAAGCTGGATCGTGTCGTTGGGTCCTCCGCCGAGTAATTCAAGCTGAAAATCAATGGGATCCCACGTGTAGGAGTAGTCGATCGTGATGGATCCGTTGGAACCCGAAGAGAAGACCGAACTGAGGAAGAGGGTGAAGAACGCGTCGATCTCGAACTCTCCTTGCTGAGTTGCGCACCCGCCGATGGGTACGCTGGTGATGCGAAGACGATACGCCTCCATAGACGGCAGAAGCGGATCTCTGCAGCTAACTTGGATAGAGGCCCTGTTCTTCAGTGCGTAATTGTGCAACGAGATCGTCGGTGGAATCACCGTGACTGATGTGTTTCCGAATATAAACTGGATGTCCCAGTCGAGAATGGAGACTGAAGGCGATAAATTAGCTTCATAAACACCCAAACAGAGTACAAGATAAGATTACGTACGTTCGCAATTCTTGTAGATGCTCTCACCACCGTCTTGCCGCACTGCCAGAACCTGTGTGGGATGCGGTGTAGACACGGCGGCAGTTCTCCCAGCCAACACTGCATTTGTGGTTAGGCTTGTCGTCGTGACCACTGAGCTTGGGGTGGTTTGGGCGGTTACTGTCGTGGTTGAGACGACAGTTATGGCTGCGGTGGTCGATGAGCTCGTGAGGATTGTGAATCGTTTCAAAACCTGCTGGACACTCGATATTGCGGACTGGGCTTCTTCCACGGCCTTTATAACGCCAGGAATATTGTCTATCCGTAGCGGGAAGGGTAAGTTTCCTGTGTTTCCTGTGGTGATGAGTTTCTCAGCATCTATTTTGAAGAGGTTTTTCCACCACACTCCAGCATCAGGTTTATCCCGCGGCTCTTTGTTGGGCCTCCACGTACAGACCGGAACGCTTGCGCTGAACGAGGACGTGGTTGATGTGCTGGAGGAGGTTGATGAAGGCAGAGAGGATGTCCCTGAGCCTGTGGCTACCGAGGACGAAATCTGCTGATTACCCCCTGAAACAGCAGTTCGCCAGATCTCAACCCAGTACTTGCCCTCATAGTAAAACTGGTACAGCTTGTAGGTAAATCCTTCCCAACCGGGGTATTGAGGGAGTTTAGAAAGGTCCAGATCGATCGTCACATCCTGGTTCGTGAACGGTTTCTCGAGTGAGCCTTTCTGCACATCAGTGATATGACTGATTCGCATGCCCTGGTCGATGACTAGAACTGTATTTTTCATCACCTCCGTGGTCACTTTACCCCAAGAGGGCAAAGCCTTGGCCACCTTCACAAGATCGCCCACCCCTGCTCTCTTGGACAGCACGTGCGAACTGGAGAGATCCCGACGCTGCACGCTGGTATCGAAGAAGTCGATGTTGTCGTCATCTGTTGAGTTTCCTATAGGTCCCGGTGTGAAATAATCGTATTCCTCCGGGGCCGTCGTGAGCGCACCGATGATGGCTCGAAAGTCGTCTGCATAGGCCTCGAAGGTTATGGATCTATTGAGCCAGTTGACATCGACAAGATCATGCAGGACCACAATGACATATTGGACATCGGGGTCACTGATGCTGTCGTAGTATTCTGCCTCTTCCTGGCTGTTGTCGAAAGTAACATCAGGGCTACTATACCCATAAAGCGTCCAGTCGGACACATCGCCGCAGTAAGAAGTCCAATTATTAGGGATAATCATAATGCCTGATTCGAACAGTTCGCCCCATTCTTGAAGAGTTCCATTGATGGTGACAGTCTCGTCGAAATACATCGTGAAGAAATTGTCGGGACAATCGAACTCGATCCCAGAATCCGGAAGCAGTGAATAGAGTTCGTCCTGCATAAAGAGCAGTACGTCGTCGGCATATTCATCTGCATCGTAGTCATTTGGATCAATGTACTGGTAAGGAGACCCAGATTGTGTAGTCGGTGCACTCCTTGAGGATGTCGTTGCGCTGGTCGAACTCAATGCGCTTGTCAGCGACGGTGATAGAGTTACATCTGTCCAATATTCCCTCCCCTTGAGCAGTGCGGAGCGAGGAATGGGAATGACTTTTGTGTATGTGTAAGGGATCAGCGCCAACAGGGCTAACAGGGGAGATCGTCGCATCTTGGCGATTCAGTAAAAGAGTTCTGATCAAGACCGGATCTGCTTGTGAATACACCATCGAGAATAAGTTGTCGTAGATAAACCATTTCGAACTTGTCTACCGGGCCAGTACAAAGAGTGATCCATATGCTCGCCAAGTCGTCGAACCCATGTTGCCGTGTAACTGATGGCGCAAAGCTTCTGATAGATGCACTATTTGTTTGAAGCCGAGTCCAAAGAAGACGGCAGATGTTGAGGGCCACATGGTCCCTGTCGTAACGGCTGTCGATGTGACAGGAACGCCATGGCGGTGCGCCACAGAACTTACTTGAGTCCCTGAAATTGGCCAAAAGGACCCATGTGGTGTTATGTCAGTATCTGAGCACAACATAGTGTCTGCACTTTTCTGGTGGCCAATGCGCACGGATCAGTCAACACCAGGGCGACCGGGCAACTACCGGACCCTTGGACCTCGAACACCACAATTGGAGGATAGTGTATCATGAGAGTCGAACCTTTCACCGCATTGAGTATGCCTTCCTTGCTCCGTTCGAGAGTATATAACTTGAGTGAGTCTCAAGAGGTGATCTTGGCGTTTGATGCTGGCTGTGGACGCGACTGTCAACTCTTCTCTGCACTTACACAGCGATTATTTCCCTCTTTCACCGAACGCCTTTCCTTTACCTCTTTCAGGCCTGTAGTGCCCAGTCTGATAATTGTCGCATCGCTGCATATCACGGTTAAGTATTGTAGCATGGACGGCCGGAGTGCACACTTATCCTTTAAAGTGTGCTGCTTGGCCGCGCTGTTGCTACAGGCTCCTCTTTCCAATGCCTTTCTTACTGGAAACCCTGTTGCTTACCTCGGTATAGAAGACTTAGGAGCGATACCGGTGATTGAGTCCTATGATTTCGAGGTCAATGATGCAGGCACATGGAGTACTTATGTCCTGGAGACTATTTTGTTGAAGCCACTAACAACGTTGTAGATATGGATGTCGGCGGCGATTTCAGGTGGTCTCAGCCCTATTTCTTGCACAGCCAGGCTCAAAGACGAAGCGCTCAACCGAACCAGGCAGTGGCTGTATCGCCAGAGTATAGTATCTCGTATTCGACAGCAGGGACTTGTTCGAGCGAGATCACGGTTAAAGATGCTGACACTGGCGAAGTTATTGTGAAACCACGAACTGGGGACGTTGGACTGTGGTCGATAACCACGGGAAGGCGGATTGTATTTGGTTTGCGAAGCTACAAGACGCTCGGGGTTGGGATTAATTGTGGTCGGGTAGATTGGTCAGTGACCACCAAAGTTGCACACTATCAGTTTGGTTCGGAGATCTCGAATGAGTCGAAACGTCGAGCTGCGAGCCGACGCCCTCCACTGATAGCAATTCGATCTGGGTTTTACTAGGAAGCCGTTGGAAGAGTCTTTTGCAAATGTCTATGGATGTCAATGTTAGCTTTGAAGAAAAGAAAAGAGGATGCAACTAATAAGAAGAGCCCTATTCACAGCATACATGTAGATGATCTGATGGCTCGGAGATTTGATTTTCCGAAGTGCCGTGTCTTGTTTAACAAAGTCTTCCTCCCACCCTCCTCCTCCATAATGAACCTTCAGTGGTAACGCACCTACAAGAACTAAATACGTCTTCGTTCTCATGTCCTCATTAATTCAGTACACGCTGCGATGACAGGCAACAGCCATGCCAGCATGGTGCGTCTCGGCGCAAGCACGCGGTGAGCTAAACCCTGCGGATTAACAATTCAGCCTCCTGAGAATCCCCTCTGTTCAGTTACAGAACGCAACCCGCACGCAGCTGTGTTCAATGTTGGTCAGGACGACCATCATTTCTTGCAGCCTTGCAGCCTTGCCGCCTTGCCAGGCAAACCATTCCAAAGAGCGGATCACAAAAGGTGAGGGATTCAAGGGACAAAGCATCTATGGCGCGGGCAAGACAGCGTTCGTGAGGACCTTTTTCAAAGCAACCAATTCCTTCACTGAACCACGCATCTTCAATCCGCATTAACTATTGTCATTCCTGAATAAACTCAACTCAACTCAACTCACCAGTCTTGTTGTTGCTTTGTTTCGATAACAGAACATCCCCATCAGCCGAGTCCTTTCAGTCCAGTCCAAGCCAGTCTATCCTCGAACCGACACAAGGATTATTACTGTTCTCTGCACTGAGACTTTTTGACCATTGGTATTCCTGAATACACTCAACGTCACTTCCTTGTTGGCGTTAGTCCTTGATCACAGAAAGTTCCCATCGACCGAGTCCTTTCAGCCCATACAGTCCAGTTCAAGCCGGTCTATCCTGCAACCGACACAAGGACTACTGTTCTCTACGCTGACAGTGTTGACCATTGGCGTCCCTAAACACACTCAGCCTCACTTACTTGTTGTTGTTGGTCCTTGATCAGAGAACGAACCCATCAGTCCAGTCCAAACAAGTCTATCCTCCGGTCGACACAAGAACTACAAATCTCTACACTGCCACTGGAACGAGAAGATGACAGAATCCGATCTCAAACAACAGGACACATTCGAACAGACCTCATCAATGGAGAATACCACAATGACATCCGCAGAAGGTGGCAATGCAGACACCGACGCAGCCGCGGAGTTGGACAAGCAATCTCAATCTCAAGCTCAGCCAACCTCCGCCGAATGCAGTCGACCAGAAGCTCCATCAGAGTCTGAACCTGTACCACCGACATCACGCGGCATGGTTATCTTCGGCCCGTCTTTTCCCGACCTCCCTGCTCCTCCTCGTCCTGCAAGCCTTTTCAGCCTCCCAGCGGACGTGGTGTGCTCCATCGCCGGCCACCTCGAGTACCCGGACGTCGTCTCGCTCCAGCAGAGCGACGACGGGCTCGCCGAGGCTCTGGCCACGCACTCGAACTCCTCCGACCGATCCTCGTGGATCGAGTCGCGCGTGCACCTCGGCCTCCCCGTCCCCACCGGCCAACCAGACTTCAAGACCGACGCGGCCTTCCTGTCCAACCGCAAGCTCCGGGGCTTCGTGGCCGCCCGCGCTGACCACGGCGAGTGCCTGTCCCAAGACGACCGGAGTGTCGCCCGCAGCCTCGCCCGCATGCGCCACGGCAATCGCAAGGGCACCAACCTGTGCTTCATCACGGGTGGGCCGTGCGTTGCCGTCCTCGAACGACGCCACCGCCTCCATGTCCTCAATCGTCGTCGTCAACGCGGCGCGGGCCCAACGGTGGTCGACAAGGTGTGGTGGGGGGTCCGACTGTGCGTGGCAGTCCCGTTGTGTCTGGTGCTGTTGTGGGTGGCCTACCAAATTCACATGTTGTTGTTTTAGGGCGGTGATGGTGGTGATGGGTGATGGGGCGGTGGCGGTGGCGGTGGGTGCGACGGGCGACCTGTGCCAGAGTCGCCAAAGACTATTTGATGACCCTGGTGGGTGGTGGTGGGTCTTGGTTGTGTGTGCTTTTACAGTGTGTATGTGTTTTAGACAATGATAACAATCACCGTTGACCCTGGACTTTGTTGTGAACGGTGTGCTCTTCGTCTTTGTCGTCTAGCTGGTGCGGTGCGTGACCGTGAAAGAATTATGTAGTTCCAGGGAATACTCGTTTTACATTGCAAGGGACAACGAGGCCATATCGCCTAGTCGAGACTTGCCCTGCACGACTGCTACTACTGAATGCCATACTCGTGGGCCTATTGAGCTGTACCGTCCACATGTCATCCGTTGAACGGTATCGTATACACGGCTCATTCTGCCCAATTTCAATTCCTTTGTTTCTTTTCTCGTAGTTTAGTGGAAATCACCCACCACTTCACGGCCTCCATCTGAACGCGGGATGGCGCCAATCCAGATCTTGCACCTGCTTGGTCGACAAGCCGTCCAACTCGGAGTCGACGTCCTTACTCTCTCGTCTCTTGTTGTCGGCCTTCATCCAGAACAGCAAAAGGATGGAACTGATCAGGATTGTCGAAGACGTGCCCAAGTTCAAGCCGTTGCCGATGTGGTAGTTCGGGGCGTCGAACGGCAAGAAGCTCCACGTCGAGATCAAGCCGCCGATGTTGCCAAACATGACGGTGGTCCCGATGGCGGCGGACCGCGCCGTGTCCGAGACGACGTTGGCCGAGCTCTGGGCGTTGCAGAGAGCGCCGAACGAGAAGGCCCCCGTGGTGATGAGGAAGGTGGCACCGTAGCGCACGTGCGCGGCCTCGCTGGCCAGGAACATGATGTATCCGCCCATCATGAGCGGGGCGGAGATGACGAAGAAGATGTTGCGGCGGTCGAAGCGCCACGACAGCCACGGGACCAGCACGGTGAAGAAGGCGCCGACCACGTACGGCGGCACCGTGTGGAGCTGTTGCGACACCACCGAGTTCTTGGGGTAGATTGTGCGGACGATGGTCGGGAGGAAGAACGCCAGTCCTTGCACGGTGATGTTGTCGAGGAGGAAGATGAATGACACGGCCAGCGTCACGGGGCTGAAGATGCCGCGCACCATCTTCGGAACGTCCAGCTTGTCCAGCACTTCCGTGGTCGCGACGCGTTCCGACTTGACGCGGGCGATCGCGAGGTCCTTTTCTTCTTGCGTCAGCCATCGCGCCGTCGCCGGGCGGTCGGTCAGAGTGAAGAACGAAATCAGCGCGAGGCCGCATGTGATGATGCCTTCGATCGCGAAGATCATGCGCCAGTGGTGCAGGCTGCCGAAGTGCGAGAGTTTAAGAATCGCTGACGCCAGGAGTCCGCCAAATGCTCCTGCGAGTGGTGCCATGACGATGTAAAGAGCCAGGCGGAAGGCGAGTTCGCTTCTCCTGTACCATCTGGGAGGGTTGTCAGAGAGAGGAACCAAGGGAGAGGCCAATCAAAACAACATAACACAAGAATACATACCTTGACATATAATACGCAATACCCGGAAGCATGCCCGCCTCAAAGATACCAAGAAGAAAACGTACACCACACGCTGCAGCCTTGGTATGCACAAACGCCGTTCCGATCGAACAGACGCCGAAGCCAAGGGAAGTGACCGGAATGAACCAGCCTGGGCCAAAGTACTTGCAGGCCGTCGTCGCAGGGATTTCGAAAATAATGTAGCTGATGTAAAAGACTGTCAGGACGATGTTGTAGTCATATCCTTTGAGACCAAGGTCCTTTTCCAGACCCGCGAGTTTGGCATTGCCTGTCCGGGCACATCGTCAGCTTTGACTGAATAATCTCGGCAGTAATAAAGAAAAAGAGAGGGAGGGAGGGAGGGAGAGAGACAAAGCTTACCGATGTTGGCTCGATCAATGAAGCAGAACAAATAGAGAAGAGCCACCGTCGGAACAATGTACAGATCAATCTTGTAGCACAGCTTTGACTCGGCCTTTGGGTCGAATTCCACCAACGCATTGCCATATCTGAAACATTGTCAGCCACTGTGCAAAATCATTCGAGCATGGGATGACAGAGAATAACGTACTTGTCGGTAGCGACATGACCCCTCTCGGCTGCCTCGTGAGCAATCTCATTGTGTATACCAGTAGCTTTTTCGTCCAACTGATCTTGTGGGGGCTGTCTGAGTGCAGAAGCCACCCGACTCTCCTCAACGTTGTGATCCTTTGAGGCCATTGTGAGACTATTGTTGAGGGAAGGAGGCCAGAAGTTGCAGACACCAGACTGTGGAGGTGACACACGACTGGGTCCTCTGAGAAGGAAATGCCTTTGCTTTTATGCATTTCTGCTGATCGCTTGGCGACCACGTTTTGATAGGATGGTGATACAAAGCGAGGTGAGAATCTGGGCGGTTGGATATCGGCTGCTGGATTCGGCCCTGTAGGACGCCAATGATATCTCACGGATACTGCACCTCCATTGCTTTCCGGGGCTTACAAGAGGAGACGCCCCAGGCTAGGTTTTTTTGCAGGGGTTAGAACTTCCAGGCCCCGAGGGGATCACAGCGCCCTCCGTATGGGGTAAAGGTGGAAGTCTGATTCCCGGGGTAGAGGCGTAATTGGTGCATGGGGTGGCAGACGGAGATGGCCAGGCCAGGCTAGTGAGGCCATCTCGTACGTAGAGACTGAGTCTCATAATCGGTAACGGGGCCCGGGATCTGAATCTACCGAGGTTTGTAGCCTCGATGAAAAGACTGCTGTCTGCCATTTCCACCAGCCTCGTCCACCATGTGCTGTGCTCATTGATGTCGAGTCGTCGCTGATGAGGACATTATGTCGGTCGAGAGGCAACGGGCTGTCTCCCTTCATCCTGCCTCCGGGATGCTCCAGAAAGCGTCCTCGACTGTCGCGCGAGATACGAGTTCTGGGTAAGCAACCTGGGTATATGACGGCAAGATTCTTGCACAAACAAACTTCAACCGGGTAAAGAACCATGCGCTGGAGGCCAGGCCTCTGTCTGAGATGCAGCCAACACCGCAGACGAGGATTCCACGACCCCCTTGACAATGCCAAGCAAACGGCCAAGCAATGCCCAGAACGCTACCATCCTCCGGCAGAGGGACTCGGGATGTACAGCGTTGCGGGGGATTGATCAAGTGGCTCGTGAGATCAGGAAGAAGCACTCGCTCTATCTGCCTTGGCCAGCTGGATCCGGACTCGTATGCTGACTTCTCCTTGGGCCAAATAAGTACATAGACTTTAAACAATACGAGTCCCCGATTTGGCATCGGAAGAGCCGGTGCTGCTTCCGGGGCCAGATTGACAACGCGATATTCGGCCATCCTGTTCAGGACCGAGGCGGGCGAAAGCGAGAGACTTCACATTCATTGTAAGTAGGAGACAGAGGGAAATTTATGTTGCTCGTTTTATTTCAACCGAGGGGGGCCCCTCGCCATGGGCCACGTGCAGAGAGGGCGCAACGAAGCGCGGATGTCCATTTGAGCTTGGTATTAATCATAAGGAGACCGCCTGAACTATCAATATCTAGACTCCATATTTGCGAACAACCTCAGAGACCTGCTGAGCAAGCTTGTCGGCCTCCGTCTTTGAATGTGCCTCGGCGTACACCCGAACCGCATCCTCTGTGCCAGAGGCTCTTGCGAATGCTCGCCCCTTGACGTACATCTGACACAACTTGTCAATCTCTTCTTGAGCACCCTTCGGCGACTCAAGCTTGCGTTCAGCGTCCGTCGTTTTGAACATCGACCGGTCGCGAACCTCGATGCGTACCAGGCGGTTGGGTAGGTCAATGTAGGTGTTGCGCCAGTTCTCCAGGGTCCATGTCTTGTGAGCAAGTACCACCTCTGCGAACAGCATGTCTGAAATGGCATCGCCCACGGTTTGATTGATCAAGTCGACACATGCGCGGAGCGAGTCAAGTGCATGCTTCTGGCCTGGAGACTTTGGTTCGGATTCTTTGATGATCTTGATAGCATTGTCCGAGAACAAAACCGTACCATGTCCATTCGCCTCAAAATATACTCCAATGTCGTACCGGGCAGCAGCATGGTGAAGATGCTTGACACCAGTCGGCGTGATCGTAACAGGTAGCTTCAATACTTTCTCCACGTACTCAGTGGCGGCACCGTTGGCATATGCTGTCTGGACGAGTCCAATCTTGACCTTGTTGTCGATTCCAGCAACTCGAGTCATGTCCGCCAGGAAAACTGCCCCTAGCGTGGCGATTCGATCACCATCTAGGAGGTGAAAGGTTTTTTGCTCATCCGTATAGTAGTAAACGATGCGATCAGCATCACCGTCAAGTGAACAGCAACGGTCTCCTGGTTGGGCGTTTGAACTAGGCGGTGCTCGCTGTTTGGTCTTCACATAGTCCGCTCCACACTAGAACAGTCAGTATTGTTCCACACTGGCTTCTAAGAACCCACCTCGAAATTGAGAGCTTCTGGCCTAACAACATCATCGTTGACAACCTTGATGTCGATACCGCCCTCTTTTGCGCTCGGAAGGTATTTGATCAGCTCTTTCAATTTGGGCCCACCAACACCGTTTGCACAGTCGACAGTCACCGAGCCTTGGATGGCTCGTCCATACATAAGTGTCTTGAAAGCATTGGCCATCTTCTCATAGTAGCCCTGCTCGGTCGGTTCACCAAAGGCGTATGGAGTATTCAGTGTATTGACGCAGCGTACGATGTAGTGTAGTTGGGGAGTTGTCAAAATACCATAATCGGTATACTCGACTTTGACTGCGTCCAGCGCAGCCTTGAGGGCATTGACTAGGTATGGGCCTGAGGCACGAGTGTCCCGGGCGAAGACGACTTTAGCAGGTCGTTCGTGAAGTTGGCGGATCTCATCCACAAGTGTCTCGTTGACCAACACCTCATATGCCGTTGCAAGGCTATCGTTAGGTGTGTTTGCCAGGGTGGTCGCATATTGTTCCCAGGATTGCTTGAAAAGGTCAGTACAATATGAGCCGGTTTGGGGCTGCATACAAGCATACCTCGAGCATATCACCCTGGAGTCAAAACAGTCAGCATGGTACCATAAGCGCGACGACTCCAACTTACCATAGGATCGACCAGTTTCACTCCGTTGTCTTCGGCCGGATTGTGACTGGCTGTGATCATGATACCAATCGTGGCATTCCGCTTTTTCGACCGAGCAGCGGCTGTGAGACCGACCGTGAACATTACATGGTCCAGGCCAGCGTTGCTATATCCATTCTCTCGTCAGCGATGCGAACCTCGATCACAGACACATGTTCTGTCACGTCTGAAGGAAGCCCTACGCTTTCATCCGGAAACCCGCAGTGCCATACTCATATTTCTTTCCTTCCGGGATTGGGTAGGGTTGTACGGCCTTGGTGATGGACTGGAGGAGGGCGTGCGGAAGATGGACGATGGGTTTCGGCTGGTTGAAGACGGATTCTCGAGGGTTGTAGGAAGACATGGTGACGATTGCGCACAAGGCGCCGGCTGGTAATAAGATGTGACGGGTTGTGTAAAGTAATCTAAGAGTCGTTGCGAAAAGAGACAGACGGTGTTAGGAATGCAGCGACGGACCAAAGTGTGACGCAGGGAAAACTAAGTTTGTCAGACGAAAAGTTAATCCGGATAGTTGCCAAGAAGTCTGCGGTCAGACCAAATTCCCCTTGAGTTTGTTGTCCCGCATCTGCCATCAACGTTTTTCCCCTCCGCAGGTGCCTGACTAGTGATGCTTTCGGCGAATGGCGCGCGGCCCGTTAGACTGGCGTGGGGGAGGCATTTTAGTTCCAGGTATGAATTTAGTTAAGGCCGAGGCCTAAAGCAGCCTGGTAGGCCCTAAAGGCAGATCATCCCTTCCCCTCCAGTTCCTTGCCCTGTCGTATAAAAATACATTGTTGCTCCGGGGCTACCGTTGATGCTGTCACGGACGGGCGCTCCGAGACAGTTCCTCGATTCACTTCAGTTAAGCCTTCCACACGATCGGCCCTCTGCCATCTGCTTTCGTTTGCACAATCACGCGACACTATTCTATCCCAGTAGAAGTGCTACTTCAGCCTCTAGATCATGTCTTCCGCCTCCGTGGCGCGTGACGAGATAAGCACCAAGTAACACCGCGCATCCGATCCCATGTAGAATGTAGCTGAATGGCAGATTCCCCCATTTGTACCAATACCATAGCGGCACCGACTGATCTCTCCACGTCGGTGCTCCCAGCCTCAGTAGCCATCGTACCGCGATAGCTACGATAACCACGGCTTGAAGGGCAAGGCTCAGTGCGCCTGGCACGCTCGACATCCGCCTCATTTCGAGGTACTGCGGATAGAATTGCCACAAGACAAAGAACAGGGCGACCCATGTATTGACGATCAGGCTAAAGCCGATGAAGATTGCACGTCCCATCTCTCGCGGGGACGGTTTGGGAAGGGCGATGAGCATAGCCGGGAATAGGAACAAGGCGACATGGGCGAAAGCGATGGCAGCGATGGCGGGGCTAGCTTTGCTTTTGGAGAGACTTGCCGGCTCAATGCTGGACGGGTAGGAGGCGAATAAGGTCGTCCTAGATGCTCATCAATATGTGATCCTGGGAAATAGGTCGCAGGAGACTGAACATACAGCGCTATTGAGCAGAACCACTGTAGAGCCACTTGCAGCAACCCCAGGATGCCACCCAAGGCTCCGGAACCTGCCAACTTTCCGTCACCAACGAGTCCCAGGACGGGCCCTTCGGTGGTAGGATATGCATATGCCGCAAACAGGAGTGAGTGCGCAAACTGAATGTCACTGTAGATGGCGTTGAAGAGGGCAAAGTATGGAGATATACCCTGGGTAGAACCATGATGTACAATACGGGCGATCTGGGGGAGATAGGAAGCAACAATGGCAACGAAGAGGACACTAGAGAAGGGTCAGATTGGTGAAAGCGTGGCTGGGTGAAAAGGACTTGCAGATCAATAGTAATATCGAAGGGCCTGTTGCGTAAGTTCCCGTTCCAAAAGCCCATGAATGCTATTTTGAAGTGATTTGTTGTACTCTTGAACGGGCTTGTGCATTGAAGATGGTGAGTGAAGGATAAGAATCAACACTCGAAGCAGAGGACGAAAGATACACGAAAGATGGAGGTAGGAACCCTTGTTTGACCGAGAATTTGGTAGCCATGAAAGACTGTGACATATCACAGAGGACTTCGGTTTCAGTCGTGCCTAGGTATATCCAATAGTGGTAAGCCGCAAAAGCAGAATGTGGCAGTTTCCAGAAGTTGAGCGCTAGGCCCAGCGCTTAGCGGTATCCTGAGCAATGCTGGACCACTGCATGGACCTCGTTCTGGGGCCAATAGGGTGAAAATTGAGGGTAAAGCAATCAAGGCGCACTCTGGAAGTACCAAGGGTCCAAAATCTCGAAAGAAGGCTGGACACCTTGCGTTGCCGCACATGAGCGCACCACAGTCTTGCAAGAAGCCAACTGAGCAATGCAAGCAGAGTAGAAAGAGGACCGGATTAACAACCTCCTGGCCCGCCTTACAAAGGAAAATAACCACATTAAACAACAACAAGCATTCCAAATGAGTGGCGTCGTGTATATTTGACGATGTGGTGGTGTGAGCGAGGAGAAACATCGAAGCCCAGGAAGCCCAGGGAGCCCAGGGAGACTCCGGGAGCAGAAGGTGAGCCAAGGATGGGTGTCTCATGTCTCAGACCGTGAGGAACATGGTGAGAAACATGGGGGGTGGCTCTCGTGTTGTGTCTAGGTACCTATCTAGATACTCGTAGGTGCTCTGATATACTAGGTACTACCTGTACGTACCTTGCATTCACAACTTACTCTTAGCACCACCACCGTCAACAACACACTTCATCAATGCTCGTCCGTTGCTCAGCACGACCTTGCCATCGACTTCTGTAACGAAGCGGATCTCTTCCCATCCCCCTTCTTTGACATCGCCCGTCCTCCAGATCTTGGTGACGAGTTTCTGGCCCGGCTTGACGGGCGCCGCGAACCGGGCCTGGTATTCCTTGATATTCGCTGGGTCACTGCCGCCGAGTTCCTTGAGAAGCGCGTGCGCCGCGCTGTTCCAGCTGAAGAGGCCGTGCATGATTGCTCCGCCGAAGCCCATCTTCTGCCCTGGCTCCGGGGTCGCGTGGAGAGGGTTATAATCACCATTCAACCTGTGCGCGTCCGTCAGCATTTGGGTCGGCTTCATGATGATCTGCGTTTTTGCTCTATGCAGGGGGAGAGGGGGTTTGTTTTTTGTTGTTTCTGTCCGTCTGCTCACCTGTACAAATGCGGACTCTCGGCCGTCAGCTGAGTCTCGGACACCTTGTCTGGGCTCCCCTCCCTGCCCTTTGGGGGAGGGTAGTTGACCGTCGCGGGACCCTTGGGACCTCCCCATCCTCCCTGGCCGACGAAGAATCCCGACCCGATGGCCCGTGTGTATACTTCGCCCGTGTCCTTGTCGACGATGGTCTGCTCGGTTTCGACCACCGTGCCGGGTTTGCCCTTGTCATACACCCCGAGGACCTTGGAGCGGAGTTCAAAGTTGCGTCCTTCGGACGTGGTGGGGAGCGGTTTGAGGAATTGGATCAGCCGTTGGCCGTCTACGACTCGCCTCGAGTCGAGTTTCGGGATGCCTGGGATTGGGTTCGATTCTTGTGCCGCGTAAAAATCTATTACTTCCTGAGTTGTCTTTTTGAACGCTGTTCGAGAGGGGGTTAGCTTTTGTCTCTATAAATGCCTTTGTTACGGTCTTTTGCTCCAGTAAAGCTCCTGAACAGAGGTACTAGTAGACAGAAGCACGAAGGGACGGCGGGTTCCCTTACGCAAAATGATCGAGTAGGTTGGGAAGACGGCAAAGTTGGGGTGAAGTTCCTAGATACCCATGTGAGCTTAGGTGTTCATTGTGTCGCATAACCACGGTAGAGACCTCAGTACCTGGTACGTGGGTGGGAGTTGCAGGGGCAATAGTTACATACATAGATAAAGTGTAGCTCGTCAACCGTGCAGCCGATGCTGACTGCGAACAGGAGCACATCGCGTTTCAGCCATGATACGGCTTGTGAAGGGTACTCGTAGCCAACGCCTGGTCCGGACATGGTTGTGTCGTGAGGGCTTAGATGAGTTGCCCCGTATTATACTGGATGGGTTTCCGATCGGCTAAACCAGAGACGATGGAGTTGTACGACGATATCCAAGGTAGCTGGAAGATCAGATCTTTACAGTCGTAACAGTATATATAAGACAGAAGAGCCAGGTGAGAAGGGATGGGAATGATTGTGCCTTAGGTATCTGGAAGAAGCCGACGTGAGCCTCGCTCGACGCACCCAACTTGTACCTTTGGCCGATTGCGGGGACAAAGATGCCGAGGTAACAAACGTCGGCTATACCATGATCTCTGTATTACTCACCAAAGAGCCCAACCATATTGAATAATCGAGGACGTGATCTCTTGAGGGCATCTTCCTGAGATTGGAAACACGGTAGAAGAGTCTCCCCTTATGGTTGCTGTGATTGCCTTGATACTGCCTACAACCTCGGTCGCTACCCTGGATGAAGTCCCGGCTGTCACCTCCACGACCTGGCGAAACCCCAGTGGCGGCGAGTTCTTTGGGGATATGGGAGAAGAGGAGAGTCGGAAATGGCTCCCTGACAAGTAGGTAGAGACAGTATACTGAGTAGGATTGTTACTTAAGGACTCGAGTGCTTTGTTGGTCGTCAGAGGCTGCCAAGCTGACCACAAAAGAGCTGCGGCAGACCATGTACGTATCTTATGTTTCGATCGATCATTCAATCCATTAATGAGTTCGTCTTCAACTGGCTTGTTTACTTTCATGACACACGTTGCTCATTTCTCCACCAATGTCTGCATGATTTGCCCTTTCGATCTTTCGAGTGTTGCCAGCAGTGGGCGGTGGATTCCTCACATTCAGCCTTCTTGGTTCAAGGCTCAACCTCGGGCTTCTGGGGCAGAGACGAAATTGTGAGACTTATGTATGTCTTTGAAAAGCTTCGCAGGCAGAATGACTCTGAAAAGCTTCACAGACACGAACCAACCTTTTCAAAACGTTTTTCCAACCAATAGCGAACTCAGATTACACAGAAGATTGAAACACAAAGTAGTATCCGGTATGATCAGACATGAATTTCAGCCTCAACTCGTGGGGTATCTAGTGCAAATAGCGAGGAGCTTGAAGTCGTCTCGAAGATCATTTCAGTCGTAAAAACCCGTTTACATACAGAGGTAGGTTTCTACCGCTCGTCCACCCATTACCACACACACGCCTTGGTGCTATGCAGAAAGAACAAAAGAAACAGTCCCGCAGCCTAGATCAGCACCTGCAAGTTGGTTAGAACATCCGCAGTAGAATCGATGTAAGCAGGGCAGGCAGCCTTACATTTTGTAATCATTTGACCCACGAGCAAAACGAGTCCGGTCGGCCGTCTCGAGTTCATAGTCAATCTTGATGTCCAAGTCCCGTTTGTTCTTGTTATTGGGTTTGCTCGATAAGAATCCAGTCACTGTCTCTCCCTCCTCGACGGTAAGGACCTCTCTGAGGTAGAAAACGGTCTGCTTCCAGTGGGTGTATTTCGTATGTGGGCCTGTCGAAAATCGAATGGGCTTGTGGCATGCGGTGAAGTCAATGTCAAACCAAGCAATCAGGGCATGGATGAAATCGTTTCTTTGACAACGCAGTTGGAATGGCTCTGAGAATGCCAGTTGTGGTGCGGTCACGGTATTGAGGTCGATGGTGAACACAGGGCAAGGGTCGGTGACGAGAGCCTTCATTTCAACTGTGTCGACCAGAGGCTCACTCAAGGCGCTCTCCTTCATCGGGCTGTAGTCGAAGCCATACACGTTGTCCCAGACTGTAGTGTCAGCCTGCACTGCGCCATGAGTGAGTGTTCATGAACTTACACCCGATCTTGTCATCCTTGTACTCGCCATCCTCGATCGCAGCCATGTAGATTGTGGCTCTGTCAGGGAAAATCTTGCCTCCTTGGTTGAGATACTTGTCTCGCGCATACAGGACCGTATCGAGCATGCTTTCATAGAGCAAGAAGTAGCCCATCCATTCTGAGATTATGATGTCGACTTTGCCATTGTTCAAGTGTTGCTCGGGCATTTCCACCTCTTCCATCTTTCCTTGTAATAGTGTGATCTTTTTCGAGAGTCCATTCACTTCGACAATCTCTTTCGCTTTGTTGATGATGCTGGACATGTCGACTCCGATCACATGCCTTGCACCTGCCTTTGCAGCGAACCTTGTAGTGTGTGAGCAAGGAAAGAAGAAGGTCTGGAGCCAAACGTACATGCTTAGGATACCCGTACCGCAGCCTACATCAAGGACCACCTTGTCTTTGAAGAGATGGGCGTTTTGGTAGATTGCATCCCGGTAGGATCGAGTTCGCACTTCATCTTTCTGAGCTTCGGGTTAATTGAGAATAGCAGAGTCAGGTAAGGGTAATGCACATACCAGCATTTCCTCGTGGATACCATGATGGTCGTAGCTGGAATGGGTCAACTAGGAATCACGCCGACTATAGATGTGATTTCACCTTGTAAAGTAGCGAACTTCAGAGTGTTCCATGCCGGCCATGCGCTCTTCGGTCGTCATTGCGGCAAGATCGGCCACCGTTGGAGTCGCTTTGGCGCCGTTCATGTTTGCTATTGGGGAGTTTTCGAATCAGAAAGATGGGATAGCGATCTCTGTCGCCGTTGTTGAATACCACCCTCGAGGCCAGACAAAAATGTAAAAATGGCGCTTTCAGATGAAAATTGCGGATAAAATGGTTCGCCGTAGCAGTGGGGTCTAGTCAGGCGTCGTTGTACGGTAGGGCTTTTAGTTATTTCACGCTGCTCCTGAAGTCGAGGATTTGGGGACAAAGCGTTTGCAGGCACCACCTCAAAAGGGTCTTCCTGAGGGTTGGTTGCTACGAACAATCGCACAGCCAATCACGAATACTTCAGCAATTATGCGAGAAAATCTGTGCGCTCGGGAAGTTGGATTGGCCTCCATTCATAAAATCCCCCGAAAAAACTTTTGAGTCAAGTAGAGACAAATTGTACCGAGTAAAAAAAACCAAGTGCGTTGCACTTGCAACAACAGCAGATGGACGTACGGGGATTTGAACCCCGGGCCTTTCGCAATTATTTAGGCAATGCAAAGCGAAAATCATACCCCTAGACCATGCGCCCGGAAACTGTGTGCGAATTTACGGCAATAATCGGTGATGAGAATATATGAACCTAAATCTTTTACAAGAGGCCAGTGCTCGGTACTCTCCGGAAGCTAAAGAGATCGTAGCCTCAACCCTGGCCCTGGGATTGGACAGGCATTCTACCCTACTGTACACCAGGGACTCGCAATACACAGGCTTGGTGGTGGCTCCTCTAATCGACGAGTCGTCCTCACTGGTTGAGATCAACCGCTGGAAATTCGAGTGTTCATTAGCTGGGTGGAACGATGATACCATCACACCAATACCTGGCATTGGCTGCTAAGATCCTTGTGCAGTGGTGGGTTTTCTTATCTGACTTTTCGCCATGGGACCCTCGCTAACGCAGGAACCCGACATTAGAAAGTCTCGACCTCAAACCCGCAGCAGCACATGTCTTTGGTCTTTCGTTGCACTCCGCGAGAGACAAAAGAAGATGCTTGATTTGAAGCAGATGGCCAAGAGATGCATGCCTGTCGCATACTTCAGCGGAGCAGCTGCATGTCAGCTTCCGCCAACTCACAATCGAGAGTGGAAGTGAATCGACAGAATGAACACTTCGTCGTTCCAAAGGGTCGATGGCGTCGTCTGCAGATAAACACGGTATCTGCGGCTAAGCTTATCGCACTATGTTTCAGGCGACCTCAATAGGCATAGACCCTGGAAATCTGGTCGCGGAACTGATCGCTATCCGAGGCTAACTTCACCCTGGCCATGCCTATCATTTGATTCATTTCGACCTGGCCTGCTCCATCCTTCGTGTCCTCGCAGTACAGACAGACCTACGATACTTATTAAAGTTCCGGCGTGCAATTTCCGCAGACCCAGGATCTCTCTACTATGACCGCATTAATGGTTCCGTGGTTCCTGGCCGCGTTGGGCGATGGCGTCCTCCCTTCAACCCTTGGGTCCCTTGGCCGCCCCTTGCCAATGTATGTTCTCATCATGGTTTTCTTAGCCTGGAAGATTCCCTCCCTTGTGTCGCAGATGGTTCGTAGCCCCTGTCGAATGGGACTGGAATCTGACTTGGAATGTCGCTTGGGCCTGGCTTAAGAAGACTACCCCCACGTGCCGCGAATCATGCTACACTCGAGATCACCCAGGCCACTTGATAAAGGGCTCTGCCTCCCTCTCTGCCTGTGAGATCAACTGGGGCGCTGGCAGCAAAATGCCTCTGCCATTCTTTGACGGTGTTTCGGCTCCTGCGAAGGTGCAGAGGGCGAGCCTATTCGCCTTGGCCACCATTCTGTTTATCTTCTTTTTCGAATCGTCATTCTTCCCTCATGTTCAGGTCTTGAAACTTCGGAACGCTAAGGTAAGGATAAGATTCTCCTACCTGGTGTGAGACTATGGCTGATATGGTTCTCGTCTGTTGCAGGCTGAACGGGCGCGGACGGAATACTACCTCCAATGGGGCCCTTTTGAACCCATGCCCATACCGGGGTTCGTGAATACCGGACTGCCTGGAAAGAGGTCGTGCGATGCTCTTAAACACAACTCGACTGTCGGTGTTCAAAAGAGCTTCTTCCTCAATGACAATGTCAAGCAGATTGCAATGTCTCTTGATGCACATCCCGTTGTCGACTACCCGGATGACCTCATGCGCGATCCTAACCTCTCGGTCGAAGATGTTATTGACAGGACCTGGACGAGAATGTCGGGTTCCAGTGTTTGGCTTCCGGATCAGAAAGTCTACCTCTCAGTAACCAGGATCATCTTTTGTCCCAGTCAGACATGGTCCGTACCAAGAATGAGCTTCCTTCGAGGTCAATTGTTCAATGAAGATTGGGAACACCTGGAGAACTATAACATCACCTGGGGTGACAAGCAAATAAACTTCCCCAGGGTTTTCGATATTCCGGCGCAATGGGAGGTGGGTGGAACTTTGTATGGACCTGAAGATCCTCGTGTCATTCTCGAAGAGGGCGTGGAGGGTGCCGAGCCTGTTGTGACCTTCAACATGATTGGCAGACAATCAGACTGGAAGCGAGCAATTTACGTATTCCGACCATTCAGTAATCATACCACGATCCTCACCATTCGAGACAAGGAGCGAGCCGAAACCGAGAAGAACTGGGCACCATTCTTTGTACCTGAAGAGGAGGTTGTTCCCGCCAGCCTGGCCAGCAAGCTTCACCTACCCCTGACCACAACTGTTCGCAAGCCGAGCGAATACATTCACTTCGTCTATTCGTTCAAGCCTCTGCACATATTGAAATGCCATCTGCGCTGTGGTGATTGCGAGATTGTGTACGCCCAAACGCTGCCTGAGACATTTTCCAACAAACACAAGGAGGATGGTGGCAGCTTGCGCGGCGGCACGAATTTTGTGCCTGTTCCCATTCCCGAAAGCATGGGTCTGGACCGGAAATTGCGTGTGTACGCGGCATTTCCACGAACGAATATCGAAGGTCACTGTGGTGGGAGCTTCTATCGTCCAGAGTTTGTCATCCTCGTGAACATCGGATCGCACTTTCACCTAGCCTTTGCCAGCGAGTCACTAGACTTTGGTACATCTCTGGTCGAACTTGGACCTCAAGACGACCGGTGCCACAAGGGCCGAATCCTGATCCCGATGAGCATCGCACAGTGGGACACGACTCATCGCCAGGATATCATGACGGTGACCTTTAGCATTGATGATGCAACGGTCCAGGTGGCGCGAGTCCAAGGTCTTTTAAAGTACATTCTCCACCTTCCTCAGTTCAAAACACTCTTCAAAAAGGACGGGCTCCTCAAGGGTGAAGAGGCTGAGTTCATGAATCTGTTGTCTTCCTGGGCAGGTGACGACGTCCGTGGATGTCTCGTCGAGGCTGCTCTCAATTACACGGAGGCCCAGCATGAAATCACGCACCCGAAAGACCATAAAGATGAACTCGACCCTTCGAATGAACTTTTGCGGAAGATCTACGAAGAGGAGCACCGGGAAGAACACGGTCAAATACTCAACCAAGAAATCAAGCAAGACGAAGAGGAAGGGCAGGGAAATGAAGAGGAGGAAGAGAAGGAAAAGGAAGAGAAGGAAGACGAGAAGCAGGACAAAGACCACGATGAGGACAAGGGAGAGGGGGACAACAAAGGTGACCCCGGAGACGAAGAGGAGAATCGCGATCCAGGGATCCCAGATCTCGAGCACGGAACACTCGATCCGGACGTCTTGAGGGCCTCGCAGAAGGGGCATGATGAGGAAAAACCACATGAAGGTGAGCAAGATGACAAACAGCCTGAACCAGCCCAGTACTACAAAGAGAAGCAAGAAAAAGAGCACGAAATGCCCGGAGAACAAAAGCACAGCGCACACCTGGAGCCTTCCAGCCACAAAAGGCATCTACACCATCATCACTACCACCGTGGCAGATCGAGGCGTTGAACGACTTCCGCAACGGCGGTCTCCCCTGGCACGGTTTTTGAGAAAGACGTTAAGGCGTTTGGCGCTCGTCGGATCTTTTCGACTTTGGTTGCAGTATTTAATGCCGTTCTGCACCACCTGTGCGCGATAGATGTTGTTTTCTTCTACTGTAAATTAGCTAGACAGCCCTGAGTTACGAAGCTACATGAGATAGAGCGATGGCGTTAAATGGAACTGAGAAGACTGACTTGGAGAGACACGTCAATCGAGGAACATCAAGAACCGATCGTATTGCCAACAAGGATGGGTGTTTCTGCACCGGTCTGCCTCGGAGCGCCCGTCCGTGACATTATGAATGAACATCCTGCTTTTGAACAGGCGGTAAGCCCGGAGCAAAAACGACGGTCGTCAGCTCGTGCAAAGACACCTATGGCAATGTATCCGATTTCGGGTTTGATTTCAATAATAATCTATGCTACCAGGAGGAGTACTACGTACTCGTACAGACACAGAACGTGAACCGCTCCCCCAGACTCTGGACTGCTCACCGCTATCCAACCGCTTTTTCAGTTCCGAAGCCACCCGTCTATCTCCTTTATTTTGTAACCAGTATCGATGCTGGTCAGCGAGTCTGGCTTCAGGCGATGGAGAAATCACGCCTTGAGACGTTGTGTGGAAAGGTCTTCTTGCGCGTCCTTAATCAAGAAGCTAGATCGCTCATCAGTATACATGCCCAGAAGACAAGAACATGGCAGGGTTCACGCTCACCTATACCACCATATCGTCGGAACGACGGTCCCTAGATGCCACAGGCTGTGGGCATCGATCATGCCCCAGAAGGGCGGGAAATCGAACAGCTCCAGACTCATGGCCAGAATGATCCACGCCACGATCAAGCCGGGCCACGCCGCCCATGTCTTCTGCAGCTTGCGGTATCGCTCAATACTGAACCAGCTCCACAGCACGTTCTGGACAAGACCACAGGCCACGTTCGCGGCCATGTTGTACGTGTAGTCCCAGCTCCACGCGGTCAAGTAGGTGACGTGAGCCGCGTAGAGGGCGAGGCAGAGGAGGGTCCAGAACCGCAGGACGCTCTGCTTGGTGGGTGTCTCCTGGTCGAGCCTGAACACGCGGACGACGCTGAAGTACATGCCGTAGAGGACGCTGGCGCCGGCGGCGAAATAGTCCAGCTTCTCCGTCACGTTGAAGTCCCGCGTGTGGAAGATCATGCTGAAGATCCAGCTGGCCAGTCCAAAGTAGCCGAAGCAGAGGTAGTAAGGTCGCAGCGGGTAGTGTGCCGGGATCGCGTCACGCAGCCTCTGCATGCCTTCCCGGTGCGCCAGGAAGTTCATCAGCGAGAACAGCACCGAGAACGGCTCCTGGACGCCCAGGAATCGATAAAACGGCCATTTCCCGTGGTACTGAACCACGGGCTCGATCATCGGCGGGTCTCTAGCCACGCGTCGATCCGTGATAACATGTTGGCAGGTGTAGTCGCACTCTGACGGGCAATCCCACAGGAGTAGTCGGAGGTGCAGGGGGATGGTGGCCTTGCCGGTGTCACAGTTCTCCTCGATGCAGACCTACATGAACACGGCTGTTTGTTGGCAAACTTTTGAAGCTGCTTTTCCAGGGGGGCTCGAGACTGTTTCAAACTTACTTGGACACAATGGCGAAAGTCGGGCAGTCGATCTCCTATCGAGGCTCGCGAGATTCCTGCAAGGGATAGAATCACAATCACGAGTAGAACACTCCATCTGAAGCCCGGAGGCGAGCCCATTTTGACAGTTGCTTCCTCAAGCCACCGTTTTGTTGATGCAAGGAACAGCTTGTGTGTGAATTCTCCGCGTTGTCAACAGGGGGGGGAGGGAGAGATTTGTCCGTCTAGACGCCCTTCGGAATAGCGCAATGGGGCTTCTTCTGGTTTACGCGACTCCGATCCCCTTTAAACGAGAATCATCACGGATGCCACTGGCTCTGGTATGATTGCAGCATAATTTGCTAATCACAGGCAGCCAAATTCCTCGTATCAGTCTTAGAAGTCATGAGGGATGCCAAAGGCACATGTTACCACTGCAGAAATCTATCAAACTTGTCACAAAAAGCCTCGGTCGCCGCCAGAAAGTGCCCAACATGATCTTCCGTCAGCATGATGTTCAGCGCACTAAACCCTCTCGCAGCAATGTATATTCCACTCTGCAGCATATGATGGTAATACAAACTCTGTAGGACCTCTCTATCCGGACCTGCAAACATGATTGCATTCAGACTGCCCACACCGTTGATAAACATCTTCGGGGGTCGTTGTGGATGCTCTGCCACTTGCATTTCATCAGCCACTGGGGAGGATGGTATCGTTCCCTTGATACCTCGTGTCAAGAGCAGAGTCGCAACTTTCTGGCGCAGGGTGTCGCCCAAGGCGTTCAAAGCATCGAATTTATCCTTGGTCAACAGCTTACACCCAGCTATACCTGCGCTCATGGTGAAGACGTTATTGTTGAAAGTTCCAGGGTGTTCAAGAGATCCCGTCCTCGGATCGTAAAGCTGCATAATGTCCTTCCTGCCGCCGAATGCCCCAAAACTCATCCCACCACCGATATACTTCCCCAGCGTCATCAGGTCTGGAGTAATTCCCACCTTTGCGCCTAGCCCATGGTAATCAAGACGGCTAGTCATGACTTCGTCAAAAATCAGGATGGCTTTGGTGTCATCGGCAAGCCGGCGGAGTGTTTGCAGGAATTCTGAGGTCCCTGGGACACACCCTCCGCTACCCAACATTGGTTCAACAATGATGGCAGCTAGGCTGTCTTTGGGCAATGACTTGACGAGTGCTTCGGTGCCTGGAACATCGTTGTACGTTCCCAACACGAACTCATGTGGTAGATTAATGGTCGGTTTGCCAGAAGCCACCTTTCCAGAGATTGTGGAGCCATGATATCCCTTCTTGAACAGTAGGACCTTTTTCCTTCCAGTGACAGCCATGGCCGTGGCGATTGCCATCATGTTGGCTTCTGTGCCAGAGTTGACGAAACGAACCAGATCAATAGCAGGAAATCGTTCACACACCGCCCGAGCAAACTCGGGCTCGAGCTTATGATGTGAACCGTAATTCCAGCCGCCCTCGAGAGCTTTTTGGACTGCAGCCTTGATCTCGGGGTGGTTGTGGCCATATATGGCGGCGGTGTATTCACCAAGGAAGTCGATATAACGCTTGCCATCAATGGTAGTCAAATAGCAAGACTCGCCTGAGTCAATTGTGAGTGGGAAAGGGTCGGCAAAAAGGACCGTCCTGGTGTTACCACCAGGCATGTATTTGCAGGCTTCAGCATAGTTCTTGTTGGATGCTGGGTGACTCTGCGTATAGATTTCGTGCGCTTGTGAGAGCGCCTCTTCGAGCGTCTGGATATTTGTGTCTGAGATCGAGCCCATGGTGTTTTTTTACCCGCATCAATGGAACAATAGAATGTGTTCTTGAAGAGACTGGGAGACAGCAAGAAAACAAGAAAAGAGTTCTACCACACAAGTGGATAAGTCCGGTATATCGCATCTGCTCTAGTGGTAGAGTTTGGGAAGAGCAGACGCTCTACGCCCTGTGATGGCCTACTTCAATGCTCCCTCTCTACAGGGCCCTACCTACCTTGACACGCATCAATTGAGCCGTTTCAGCAATTCTCAGAGCCCTCAGTTGATCACATTAGCTGGTTGTCTTTAGCACCTTGATAGGGTCGCTAAAACTCGATACGTGTTACTCCAGATGCGTCTAAAACGAGGTGGGTAGGACGAAAACGCACCTAGTGAACCGTGCAAAACTTGCTTATTCATGAGCGCCAGCGAGTGCATGTGTGTACGAGTGCTGTAGGGACCGCGCCTCACTGGTGGCATAGGAAGAAAGTGTATTTTCCTGCGTCTGCACAGAGGGGTTGAAGATTGACCTCAGACACGTAACTCGTAAAAGATTCAACACCCGAGATCCTTTGATAGCCTTCTCAACTGTCCTGCTGGCCACCCCTTCTCCCCAAGCCATTAGGCGGTGGTTTGCACCTAGAGATCCCTAGAGATCCCTAGAGATCCATATTTCTTCCCTGCGGCCAAGCACGACTGTCTCCTATCGAGCCCCCCCCACTGTCAGCGGGCGCCCGACATGAGTTCGTCGGCTTCAGGTCGTCGCGTTTCGACGTTGAGATCCGTCTTGCATGCCAGTAGCGATGGACGACGCTTCTCCATCCACCCCGAAGATGAAAACACTTCACAGAGTCATCGAAACTTGAGATCCCACCAGGGTCATCGAGTTCATGCTGGCCTTGACCCAAACCGTGCGAGTACGGGGGTGATCTGGTATGTCGGACCCAAAGATTGCTCGACTGCGGCCGATTCTGACTGTACACAGGGTCACTGAGCAGGCTACCAAACATGGCTACCTCGAGGAACCTGACAAATGGGCCAACTTAGGCCAAGGAGCACCGGAAGTCGACCATATCGAAGGATGTTTTGAACGTCCAGACTCTGTCCCCATCTCCGCAGCAGGAAGAGAATACGGCCCTACAGCGGGCATCAAATCCCTCCGAGCAGCTGTCGCGAACCTCTACAACTACAACTATCGCCAAGGTAAAGAGTCGCAATACACATGGGAAAATGTCTGCATCGTACCGGGTGGAAGAGCTGGGCTCATTCGAATTGCCGCTGTCCTGGGCAATGCCTATCTGGGGTTCTTCATTCCTGACTATACCGCCTACAATGAGGTACGTCCTGATGGCCCCTGCGGTTGGACTTGTCTTTGGAAATATGCTAACAGCTGTGATATAGATGCTGAGCTTGTTTCGAAACTTTGTGGCCATCCCATCACCCTTGTCTGCCGCTGACGGTTATCACATTCACGTCGACAAGATCTCCGAGGAACTGGCCCGGGGAACGTCTGTGATCCTGACATCGAACCCTCGAAATCCTACGGGACATGCCCTGGATCCTGACGAGCTATCAATCATTCAGGACATTTGTCGCGACCGAGCCACGTTGATATTTGACGAGTTCTATGCTGGCTACAACTACAGCACCAACTGCGACGGAACCACAATCTCCTCTGCCAGCAATATCATTGATGTCGACGAGGACGACGTCATCATTATCGACGGCCTCACGAAGCGTTTCCGGCTCCCAGGCTGGCGTGTTGCCTGGATCATCGGGCCTAAAGAGTTCATCAAGGCTCTGGGTTCTTCTGGCAGTTACCTCGACGGAGGCACGAACGTTCCATTCCAAGAGGCTGCTGTCCCAATGCTGGAACCTGCAAAGGTCAAACAAGAAATGCAGGCCCTCCAGCGACACTTCAAAAAGAAGCGTGACTTTGTGCTCAAGCGGCTCAAGGAGATTGGCTTTAACATGGGAGATCAGGCAATTCCAGACAGCACCTTCTACATCTGGCTCGACCTCACCACGTTGAATCCCCCGCTCCCCAAGAACAGCCCCATCGATCTTTCCAACGGACTGTCGTTCTTCGAGGCTCTTTTGGAGGAGAAGGTGATGGTGGTCCCAGGCATCTTCTTTGACCTGAACCCTGCAAAAAGACGAGACTTGTTCGACAGTCCGTGCCACCACTTTGTCCGCATCAGCTATGGTCCCAAAATGGACGCTCTCGAACTGGGCATGAACGGTATCGAGAGGGTGGTGAAGCGCGCGAGAGGGGAGTTTGGGCAATTTGACACCGCCATATCCGAGGAGCCTGATGATGATGGCGATGTTCCACGAAGTCCCAAGACGACAACACGTGGTCACGGCAAACAGCACAACTAGAGAGGTGAAAGGAAGTCGGGGGACGCAGCAATATGGGGGTTCTAAGCATGATTGATACATTTAAAGTTATACAATAGGGATCCAACTCCCATCGAGGCAACCGGGACTCTTCTCCAACGCCGTCATTCAAATTTGCCATGCCAAACTTCAATGTCGCATTCATAGCTGGGTAGGTAGGTGGCAGGTTGGCAGGGATGAAACCAGATGGAAATCAAAGCTAACTTGGGATCGCAACCGCAAAACAACATGCCGTCATCATAAGGTATAATTCAAGATGTGATCCCCTTTTTTTTCCGTCGCTTTTCCGTCACAGCCCTGGTGTCGGCAACTTCGGCAGCTTTGGTAGCTTGGGTTTCGGCACAGGTAGTTTGGGTAACTTGAGTTTCGGCAGACCCAAATCAAGCCCTGAGGATCAATTTCTGTGGTCAGCGTTAAGACCGGGTTATTTTCTGCGTTTCGATGCTTGAGAGCTACGACACAGGGGAGGGAGCCTAGGTACTTACAATAATGCCAGAGTCAGGTCGCCGTGTATGCTGGCCTTGAGCTCGATCTCGATGTCGAGGTTCAACTCCAGGCGCAGCTTCAGGCCGTCTTGGTCCATGGGGTCCTTGCCGCTGCTGTCTCTCGCGTCGATGGGCTTAGCGGTCTCGAGAGGCTGCGTGGGCGGTGCGCCTCGCCACGGGATCTCCCCTCGAAGCATGCGGGCGTAGGTGACGGGCCCTTCCATGGACTGAGACGGTGGTTTTATCCTCTCGAACGGCTGTGCCTCGGTGATGTCTCGTGGGTCGGGGTTCTTGAGCCATTGTTGTTGCTGCTGCTGCTGTTGCGGCGGCGGCCGCTGAGCGACCTGTTGTGACTGTTGTGGTCGTGGTTCGTTGCCCTCGTCAATCGACGCCATCGACCTGGCAGATGCGTTTCCGGCCTGTGCCTTGCCCTGGGCCGTCTGCCGCTGTCGCTGGTTCTGTCTTCTCCTCCGGCGTGACTGTGATCTGGACCGCGACTCGTAGCCCTGGTCGTCGGCGGATGTCGTAGAGACGTCGGAATTGCTCCGGTCCAGTGCTGGCCGACTGGGCTTCTTCTTGCCTGGACCCGGTGTCTTTTCGGGCGTGGGAGTCTGCGTCGGCTCAGACATGATGACGGCGGGAAGGGAAAGAAACAGTCAGAGCTTCTGGCGGAGGTGTCGTGAGCGATGAGCACGGTGGTAGTCGAAGACACTGGAGGTCGAGGAAGGTCAGGTCAAGTCAAGTCAGACAGCTCAGGTTTTGAAGCTTCCAAGTCAAGAAGGGAATTGCTGATAACTACGAGGGAACAACAAAGGTGTGCGAGGGAGCAAAAGGCGACGGCGGGACAACTCGAAAAGCATGGGATAGTGTCTTCATACGAGTTTGCTCTTGTCGAGCGGAAAAGCAGTCTGCAGCAACGACATCATCGCGACAAGGATGCTGGGTCGAGGGGGGGACCTGATGTCGAGGGCCCATCTGCGATCTTCCACCGGCCCCGTGTCAATTCCTGCTTGAAGCAGCGAGATCCAGGAGGAGGAAGAGGAAGAAGAGGGGGACATCTCGATGGCACGAGCATCCCAAGAATCAGGATTCCGGGAAATGTGGCGCCGGGCACGAAAAGCGGGAAGTTGGAAAGATCCTTGTTGTTTGACATGTCCATGCGTAGTGATTCGGTGGTCTTTGACTTTGATGCCCCAGATTCGTGGCGTCGATTAGTTGAACTTACCACACGATGCGGTCACGATAGGCCAACGATCTGCACCACCAGGTACCAATGACTCTGGTGGGTTGTGGCGCTCGGTTGGGCCGGAATCGGGGGCGACGCGGGCATCGGAACTGACGCCCATGACGCAGACACTGTACGCAGAGACCCAGAGACCCAGAGGCCCAGAAGCGACGCCCAACACTTGCTTAACAGGCTCTATACGGTGGTGTTGGTGTTTGGGTGTTTGGGTGTTTGGGTGTTTTACAAAATCACGCTCTCAGTATATGCCCCCCCCGCGCCCGAAGACAACAACATTCCTATGTGATCGTAACAAGACTGAGGATGCCGCACTTCTCGATCGATCCGTGATACATCGATAACAGTAAAATGATGGCATGCAGTCCAGTAATCTCTCTGCGAAAGGATGAGGATTCCAGGAGGACGAATTAATTTCTCCATCGTTACGTAGTCCCTCCGGCTCTTGCTGCCCACAGACGGTACAAGGTACATAATTCAGGACAGCCACTGCTATACTAGACTCCATGCAACAAGGGGCATCCCAGCACGTAGCGAGCAGAAATCAGGAATATACCGATCCTCACTCTCCACCACTCCGAAAGCCATCACCGCCGTTTCATCACGATTCACCACCATCATGACCCAGGACCCAGTTCTTCATTGCCCATTCCTCCTCTCACCTGATTCCACTTGCCGCCTCGCCAGTGACATCGCTGATCGGGCTACGGAGGACTCGCGACGATAATCTCGATCAGCTCTACTGTCGACTCCTCCCTGACCGTTGGCGCCATCTTCCTTGTCCACGTTTCCTTGTCCACATCCCTGTCGGTGCCAGCCACAGTTGTATCCGCCCCCGGGCCCATTTCGCTGCAATTGGCCTTGCCAACTTTTCAATCCTGCTTTGGGCGAATTCTTCCATTCCCGCATCTTGATCCCATGGCCTTCGACCCTGGGCCTGCCTCAAAAGCAGCGATGTCCGACGTCATGCTCTTCGCGTGGTCGTGTCAAGATCCATGTCACCCTGCGAGTCTCGCTGCTTGTCGTCTGCTGCCCTGACGTCGATGTGGATGTGATCTTCCCCTGCCCGCAGTGTGTATTTCCGCCGTGGCTTTCTGGACAAGAGAACCCGGTCTTCATCATCATCATCATCATCATCTTACGTCGATTCCTCTATTGCATACTCCTTCTTCGCCCTCCTCTACATCCTGACTTCTACTTTCCAACATGTCTGCTGAGCAAGAGACCAAATCCACTGAAGAGACAAACATCGGCGGAAACCTCGACGCTGCTGGTTCTGCCTCAGGTGCTGGAAGCATAGGAGCCTCTGCCAGTTCCAAAAAGTCCGAAGAACGACGGAAACCCAAGAAGCTCGGCCAAAAAGGCTCAGCGAACGGCACTCCCCAGAAAGAACTTGAAGCCGACGGCGAAGTAGACGCCGGTGGTGACGACGAGCCACCTTCAACACCAGCCCCTCCACCCAAGATGGAACAGCAGTCCCGCTCAAAGTCCCGACAGGCCAGTCGAGGTCGCGGTCGCGGGTCGAGTCAACCACCCAGCGACACCGACAGTGCCTACCGGAGCGACGTGTCACAGAAAGGTGGCAGGAGAAACAGGAACCGCAACCGAGGAAAGGCCCAGGCGCAATCACAAGCCCAGACGCAAGGACAAGATGGCGGTCTGCTCGGCGGTGGCGGTCCTTTGGACGCCGTCGATGAGGTCGGCGAGACGGTCAACGGTGTGGTTGACGGCGCCGGTAACCTGGTGAATGACACTGCCGGAAAGGCCTTGAGCAAGCCCCACGAGGCTCTCGGAGGCCTCCTCAAAAGCAAGGGCGGCAAACAGGGAGCGGAGGGCGAAAAAGACGAAGGGGAAAATGAGCAACTGCGACTACGGCTTGACCTTAACCTTGACATTGAAGTCCAACTCAAGGCCAAGATCCACGGCGATTTGACTTTGGGTCTCTTGTACGTGCTTGAACCGTCACTGAAGCGAATTGCTAACGTCTCACAGGAACTAGTGCTTGACGAGCAAGTACTGCCGCCCACTTGCATCTACTACCGAACTCCTATCGACAAGACTGCTCGCTTGTCAGGGATGGTCGCCACGGCGATTTGGTTGTTTGGGAGAATTGTGTCCAAAGATTGTCTCGTTTCACGGTGTTGGATGTCAGTTTGCATTTTGAGCTGGCCGGCGAAGATCCGTTGGATCAATGTATGTAATAAAATGAATTCTAACGATATGTGTAAACCCGACGTGATTCTCCCTGGTCGTACCGTCTTATCAATAGACAGGTCTCTAAGATACTCGTTCCTACACAATACTCATGGTGCTAATGGTAAACTTTGTTCGAGTCATGTATCGACACGTGATGCCCAACGAATGACTTGTTGCGCCCTGGAAAGTGAGCACCAGGCGCCTTTCCTTGTACCATTCTTACAGCACTGAGTGTAAATTTTTGAGCATCGTTCGAATGCTATGTCGCAGCGCCTGGAGGGCTCTCTTGCGTAACAGATCAAATCTGTGGGCATGCTATTTTAAAGCTTCATTTGTCCAAGCCGTCTCCGCTGTCCCCGGAGCATCACCGGGCGTAGCACGACGACAATATGTATCTTCCACGACGATACCAGACGTAAGGGACTGGGCTCCGACGGGTGCCAACAGCTTCGGCACAGACACAATCTATGCATTATCTACCGCTCCGGGTCGATCTGCGATTGCTGTGGTCCGCATCTCAGGACCGGCATGCCTAAGCATCTACCGATCCCTGTGTCCCCATCGACCTCAGCCGAAACCTCGCACTGCCACTTTGAGACGGCTGTACGAACCCAAGCCAAGCGATATATCCAGTCCCCAGGTTCTTGACAATGGCGCACTTGTCCTCTACTTCCCTGCGCCCCATACCGTGACTGGCGAAGACGTGCTCGAGCTGCATATCCACGGCGGCCGTGCCATTGTTCGGTCTGTTCTTGAGGCCGTCTCAACATGCGGAGGATTACTCGAAGAGATGGGACATAGCGTACGCCATGCTGAGCCGGGCGAGTTCACGAAGCGCGCATTCTATAATGGGAGACTGGACCTCACGCAGGCTGAAGCCCTGGGCGAGACTCTTGCCGCTGAGACTGAGCAGCAACGCCGCTTGGCTGTAAGCGGCTCAGATGGGGGTCTTGCAAAGCGTTACGAAGACTGGCGTATGATGCTGCTCTACGCTCGCGGTGAGCTCGAGGCACTCATTGATTTCTCTGAGGATCAGCACTTCGACGAGTCGCCGGTAGAGTTCATGGCTTCCGTGTCAGACCAAGTCACAGGGCTACGGCGTCAGATCGAGATGCACTTGCAAAACGCATCAAAAGGCGAATTGTTGCGCAACGGTATCAGCATAGCTCTGTTGGGCGCGCCGAATGCCGGAAAGAGCTCCTTGTTGAATCGTATCGTAGGCCGAGAGGCAGCGATCGTCAGTGCTGAAGAAGGTACAACAAGAGATATCGTTGATGTTACCGTGGATTTACAAGGCTGGCTCTGCCGCTTGGGTGATATGGCAGGCTTACGATCCGGTGGTGGTGGCGGTGACCTGAACAGTGTCGGCCTGGTTGAGCGCGAAGGGATACGTCGTGCTCGGGAGCGAGCTCTGCAATCTGACGTTGTCGTTGCACTTTTCTCGATTGAGCTAGACGTTGAAGGCACACCAAGTGTTCAGGTCAATGAGCAAGTCTATGAGGCCATTCAAGAATGCCACCGCGCTGGCAAAACGATTTTGCTCGCTCTGAACAAGGTTGATCTACTCGAGAATGGCGCAAGTCGGGCAGAAGCCGTCGAGCATCTACAGGCACAACTCCAGGAAACATTCCCCATGATCCCTTCGAACCGACTATGTCGTATATCCTGCAGAGATGCAGAAAAGGCAACGAGCACTCCAGATTCTACTGGGATCCAATCATTCCTTCACCATTTGACTGACGTATTCGCTGAACTCACGAGGGCCGCCACGGGTGGCGACACTGACGGGATGAATCCAGTCGAGGCCCAATCATACTGGAGTGCGTCCCTGTCCGTCACGCACCGTCAGAGCCTCTATCTCAAACAGTGCCTGGGTCATCTCAATGACTTTCTCGATCAAACTTCTCCGAATCCAAACGCCGAGTCCGTCTCTTCTACTCAAAAGAGCCTGAATCGACACGATCATACAAATAGTCCTCATGACGACCTTCGTGATGAGATTGATATTGTCACTGCGGCCGAACATCTCCGGTTTGCCGCCGACTGCCTATCTAAGATCACAGGTAAAGGCGAAGCTGGAGATGTAGAAGATGTGCTTGGGGTTGTGTTCGAAAAGTAAGTCCACATTCCTGAAAAGTCATTGTATTTATTGCATTGTGAACACTGCTGTGCGAGTCCAATATCCTATGGTCTTCCCAGTGTCCGTACCGGAGGCTCTGTTCATCCTGCCTAGAGGTCCTGCCTCTCGATGTTTTCCTCGTCTATTGCGAGCTACCATATTCCGCACCCGCAATGACGCATCTCCCATTTCTCGTTGACCTCTCTATGAAAAATCGACTTCTCACCAGCCCTGGTAATTTTGATTGCTTTGCAGCTCCGAAATTTTGGAAACCGGCTTCACATTCGCGAAGCCTGGAATGGTCTATCAGAAATTGACGCCGGAAAATGCCGCTGAAATGCTCGAAACCTGAAAACAGATGCTGATTACAATGTCTTTTGATGCAGGTTTTGCGTCGGAAAATAAAAACCAAAATAACGCCTGTAAATGCCGCTGAAATATACGTGTCGATGCCAGAAATCGTGGTCTTGGATGACCTGTCCGAAAAATCAAGAACTCCTGAAAATGCCGCTTGAACGCTTGAAACCGAAAGAATGTGCGCCCGCTGAGAGCTGTCAAAAAGCACGGGCGAATGGTGATCGACCCAGGATCACCGTCTTTGCTGTCGCGTTGGAGAGCGTGTCAGCCATATGGACCCCCCGGGTCTTCGTTGCTCTGGCCAGAAGAAATGATGGAGTGCTCAGTTGTAACCTCCACGGCCTTGAGCGGCTTGTTGTCGGTTGTATCCTCCGCGACCCTGAACCATGGCCGTTCTGTTGTACCCTCCACGACCTTGTCTGTTGTATCCACCACGGCCCTTCTGGGGAGCAGTGCCCGCTGGGGTGTTGTAACCGCCGCGTCCGATGGCCATTTGGAAAAGAAAGGCTGGATTAAAATATTGAAGGAAAGGAATTTTGGGCGGGTTGAAGACAAAGGAGACAAAGGAAAAAAGAGAAAAAAAAAATGAGAAGCAGTCGAAGGATTGGTTTTGGGCTTGTTGGTTTGCTGGCTGGCTAGCTTTGTGGTTGTCGGAAGCAAAAGCAAGGAGAAGTAAGGAAAAACGTTTGTGTATACCTTAAGTCTAGAGAGGGTGAGGTTATTGTCGTTGTGAATGCTGCTGAACCGAAACTAGGAAAATGCGCAAAGGAAAAAAGGAAAGATGAAAAAAGATGATGTTTTGAGGAATGAATGATTGATGGAATGGAAAAGGGAGCGTCTCAAAGTCGTGAATCTTTGATATTGATATATACCTCTTTCTTCAGCGTTCAAAGGGTCTAGGTTCTTCTGAGAAGGTGAGTGCGGCGCAAGTCTCCACCGTCATCTGAGATCCACAGTTACCAAAGGTCTGGTGAAGTAGCTTTTTCGGATTCTTCCCAAGCGAAGCCACCGAACACTGTGGTCTGTCGGTCATGAGGTAAATTTGGGGGCTGACATGACGATTGACCTGGACGCCATGGACCCTTGGCCGAGTTGTACAATGGTCCGGAATAGAGAAAGATAGGTACAGAGTCAATTACTCGGTGCTGCGCAGGGTACACAAGCCCCCTGTCACTGCCTACAGTTTAGTTAGGGCCACCAACCCGCTCCTGGGCAAGTGTCAATCATCAATCGGTCGTAGGGCTGACATGGAAAATGGACTTTTGATCGCCTACGAGTCGCCCTGGGGGGCGTGAGAAGGAAAGCCAGACCATGCCGGAGCTGGCATTGCAAGAGCGAAGCCGAGGGGTCCCAAGAGTGGCGGACGCGATAGGGCTGTAGGTAGTGGAGTCGTGTTTTCGATCTACACAGTACTCCGTACCGCAAGTCTTCAGGTCCAACAAAGGCTGTTATCTGGGCCAGCACCCTGGTACTCGTGCTTCTGTAGGTTTGTACAAAGTATGTATGTTTTTTAGTGCTTAGGCGTCGAGATCAGGCTATGCCGAGTTCATGCTAAGAGGGTCCTTACGACCGTCTTAGTGCCTTGACCGTACCAATTATGGGGGACAAACGGACCAGGGTACGGAGGACCTGAGGGTTTTTTGGGCTCACTAAATACCTTTCCGGAGCAGGCAGAGCTGTCACTAACTGGATAGGGGATACGAAGGGCGTGGCAGCGTGCAGGGGTCGAGGAGTGGAGGGGTGCAAGGCGCAGTCGATTTCTCTGGCTTTCTTGTGCATCCGTCGCGCGAACAGCTCGTGGGGAAAGTGGTCATATCGACTCATCGGTGCATATCACCGCCTTGATGCCAATCTATGCCAATACCTTCCAGAGAGGCCTTTCCTTCTACGGGTGGGCGGTAGGGGAAACATGTGTCGTTCATGCAGGCTGCATGCAGCACACAGTCAGGCACCGGGCCGGGACGCACAAAGAGCGTGCACCTGTACGGGAGAGAGTACGGTGTAACAGACGACAGTCGTCTGTTTCTTATCTTTTTTTTTTCCGCGGCGACTGCGTGCTGGAGAGAAGAAGAACCTTGCTTTGCTTTGTTTCCTTGCTTGCTATGGACTCGGACTCAGACTCAGGGTCCTCCGAGGTAGGCGGTGGCGGTGGTAGGTACCTTCAAGTTGCACCGTCGCACGGGCACAGGTGAATATCATTTACTCGGTGCCCCGATGTCTTCTTGGGGTTTCAGGGTCCGTACCACTCGAGAGATATCGGCAAGTATCATCATATTCTGTTCAACGATGCGCAGCAAATCACACGATTGCGAGGTACGCAGCGGGCATACTATCTGTCCTTGTTTCATCGCCATAGCAGTGGAAGGGTAACTGTCGTCGTACCGCGTAACGAGTCAGGTAGGTAGGTAGGTAATCTCGGGTCCTAGCCCAGGCAGGTCACAACACCTGTGGTGGGGTGTGTGGCTACTACTTAGACCGACCAAGTGAGAATGTTCTAAGAAAAGAAAAACCAAAAGGATATGATGTTTGTCTGACTTGCATATCGTGACTAGAGTCTAGGTAGCTATAGTAAGGTAGGGGTATCTTGCGTGCTTGGGTGCGTGGAATGGAGGAATGAAAACTTAAGCGCTCAATAGGTAGGTGTCTTGGGTAACGGGGGGGGGATAGAGAGATCATGACATAAGGTAGTATGCATGCATAGAGCAAGGTAGTACTCCGTATAGCATGTATAGCATGTATAGCTTGGTGGACACTCTCGCGTGATGACGGTCGATAGGGAAATGATGACTTGCATGTAGACATGGGCGACTTGAACAGTCTACTCGTAGTAGGTAATCTCATAATACTCCCGAGTCTCCAACCCACTCGTAGGAGCCTTCGATGCTTCGGTCACTCCCGCGGCTTACGACGATGACCAGGGACTGATGAGCATATGATTATGAATACGGATACTGTCCTGCCGAGGTAGTCAACCCTGGGAAGGGTAGTTACCTACTTGTGGTAACTCGACACGAAGGGAGATCGAGAGGGGGTGTTCACCGCTACCACTAGCTGAGACGGAAACCTGGAAACGGAATACGAACACCCGAGGTACGAGAGAGTCCGGGTAGGTCCTGTATAGACTCTAACACCATGCAACAGCAGCATGTGCTGATGGGAACGATGAACATGTTTGTGAAAGGGGCCGGAGGCTGAGTACCTTAGTTGTTGTACGTCCGGAATTGGAACAATCATTTCTCCGCGGTGGCCGTGACGGGATGGAACTTTGGTCTCTTCTCAAACTCCGTGGCGGGTAAACTCCCTACAGGTACTTGGTACTCCGTGCAGAGGCACTGTTTTTACTCTCGCCGTGTCCGCTATGTCACGATCTCAGCACGCCCACGCCGAGACGGCAAGGCAGTCTTCCCGGACACGCACATGTACACAGACACAGCACGAGGCAGACTTTGACCCTGACTCGTGCTGGGACTTCCGTATCTACTACTTTCTCCGGACCAAGTTCCAACCTGTCGTTCCACGTCTACGGACGCATGTAAGAATAGAGGTCACTGGTGGGAAACCTGACGCACGGCCTAACAAACTCCACGCAGCAGGCAAGACCCGTCACCTGTTCAGTCGCCTACAGACACACTCTTCCATGTCGATCTTGCTCCGGCGGATCCAGGGTCCCCCCAATTATGACCCAAAGCCGTGAGAAAATTCCCCGAACGCACGTGGGAAAGAGACCCAAGATTGTAAAAATAGAAACGCCGGCAACGATCTAGCCCCGTCTGGGCTGGGTGCATACACTAGGTAACTTGGGGGGATTTGAGCATGCTGACCAGTCCAAGCAACATGGAAGTCGTCGACGATGCAGGCAGATTTCTCTATCTAGGTAAACCGGTCGCCTTCATCGAACAAGTTTCGAAATCGGAGATCAAGGCCAGTCGGCCTATTCGTACGGAGAAACTAACACTACGCGATTAACGGTGGAGTGATAGGAGATCGTCACTACACTTGAATTGCTGGAAGAGAAGCCTACATCTACTCTGCTCTGCACAATACTGTTACTCGACGAGGGAAATGCGTCCTGGTTTTCGACAGATTAGTGCGGCCGGTTGATCTTCAAACACGAAATCTATGTTCTACGTGCGGTTCTAATTGTTCGTAAGGCCTCTCTCTTGCGCGATGCATCAACGTTCAAACAGAAAATGAGCCACGTTCAGGCATCCCGCGGTGTCTCGGTTTTCTCGCAAGAGCCTGTGCTATGGTGCTTTCCAAGGCGACGACCCCGAAACTTGTTGCTTCCGCTCGCCGAGGGCCATTCTCTCACTTCCATCTCTGTGGTTATTGTTTGTTGCTGGTATGTTTAGGTGATTGCATCAATGAGTGGTTGACTCGCGTGTCGGGAAATACGGGGGCCGTGATCTGTGGCAAGGATGGAGAGATGACACTACTAACAACAAGAACCGACAGGTAATTCTAATTCAGTCTTTGTATCTGGCTCTACTCTTATTTGCGCTGCTTGCATACGTTTCTCCCACACCGGTCTGCATGAGGCTCATGAACAACAAGGTCTGGTCGCTAGAGGTACAAAACAGTCCAGCTAAACAGAGATCTAGGCATTCGAATGGGGATGCCAGTCAACATTCCTGCCATAAAAGGCATCTCCAGGAATCATGTCTTGGATCGCATTGATGCAGTTTTGCTGGCCCTTCAGGAATGTGGGTCTATGGTTGTCCTGGTATTCAAGATATACAACGAGTTACCCCGGTCTGGACTCTCACAGGACCTCTCATACCTTCTTCGCGTTGCGAAACTGACCAGAGTCGTTCCTTACATGTCCTGAGTCACTCATTGATCCTGCCTCACAGTATGCGTCGTTTATGGATTTTCAGCCTGGCGGCTAATGCAGTAGCACAAACCAGCGTCAGCTACAGCGTTACCGCGACAGTTACGGCGACCGCGATCATCACCGTGACTACCTGTCCGTGTACAGTCTCCACGACCTCGTCAATCCTGATCCCGGACGGGACGGTCACGCCCTCAAGCCCGATTACCTCGATCACAACCACGACTCCTGGCAGTCTTGCTTCCTGGTCCACCGCATTCAGTAGCGTTTCTGCATCGAGCTCATCTTCGGTCATATCGAGCCTATCTTCGACAACAGGTTCGGCTACCTCGACTACTTCCGGAACGTCCATCCCGACCTACGATGCATATATCAATGCTATCCTTGTCCACCACAATTACCACCGCCAGAATCACTCGGCCGCCCCATTGACATGGTCGATTGCCTTGGCGGCAACTGCTCAACAGATTGCGCAGACTTGTGTCTTTGGCCATATCACGTAGGTTCCAAGCCTGTGGTCGATGCCCATCAACTGACAACAGCCGCGTAGTAATCTCAATGGAGGTGGATACGGTCAAAACATCGGTGCTGGCTATCCTGGAACACCTCTGGGCATGGGGGCCTTTGTGACCGAAGGATTGTATAACGGTGAAGTCAACAACTACGTCTACTACGGGGAGGAGCCCGATCTGGACACGCTGGGTCAGTGGGGACATTTTACACAGATTGTATGGAAGAACACTGCAGCCGTGGGATGTTATACTGCCGACTGTTCTGCGACTGGGTTACAAAACGTTGCTGGAAATGTCCAGCCTTTTTTCACGGTTTGCAACTATGCACCACCAGGAAACTTTGTTGGTCAGTTCACGCCGAATGTAGGTGTGTCGATTGGGTTGCCTAGCATTGGTGCATCGTACGGGTTGACTTAGAGACGTAACAGGAGGGGAATGTAGCGAAGAGGCAGCTTGAATCTTGCGATGTTTATCTTTGGTGGTTTATATTCACGACTTCTTACGAACGTCCATACTGGCATGTAGGATGTTGCCATTAACACGCCCATGTAGAGGTAATTCCGATCGCGATGATGTCCTTCATAAGGGTGGTCTCGAGCCCTTCAAACGAATAACAGTTGCATCTCGTCTGGGTTGTCGAGCATAAACGGAAGCGAGGCATACGAAAGCGATCGGCACCGTAATGAACCGACACCATCTACGGCGTCGTACTCAATAAATTCGAGCTCCGAATCATGGTGTGCGTGGGGGTGTCGTGTCGAACGAGTTGTGAGCAGTGATTGTCATACAGGGTGTGTGCCATCAACATCGCCATGGTGGGCAACATGTATGATGGAGGTACTCGACTATCCCGTTGACCAGAATTCGAGAACTTAGAAAAGCGGCGTCACACAATACCACATCTGGTTAGGCGCTTCCCTGTCGCGACTCTCGGATTTTAGGGCGTTATGCACCATGTACTTTGCAAAACCTACAGAACATTCTCATATTTCTGCAAAGGCAGGATTCGCAGCCGTCACTTTTCTCGAGTCATATTAGCCATGGCGCCAGCCGCGAAGCCGACAAAGAATCAACTGCGGCGGGCGAAGAAGAAGGCACAGAAACAACAGGTAATGTCGAAAACCCTCGGTTTATTCGTCGCATACACTGACAAGTGGAAGCCTACAACGGAGCCGACACCTGCCTCTCCGGCAGAAACGCCTGCGAAAGTGAAAGCCGAAGTGCCCGTCAAGACAGAGGAGCCGCGCGATGGCGAAGGAATCACAGACCCTCTCATCGTCGATGAGGAAAATCCCCTCTTCGATATGTACAAGGACATCCTAGAAAAATTCGAAGATGCAGATAAAGAAGACCCATCTACGAAAGAACCGGACAAACCTGAAGTTTATTACGACGACGACGACGATATTCCGGACGAGGAGGAGGAGAATGCTGCGCCCAAAATGTCCAGAAAGAAGCGGAAAGCGATGACGCAGTTGTCGGTGGCAGAACTCAAAGCGCTCGTCAAAAAACCAGAGATGGTCGAGTGGACAGACACAACAGCACCGGATCCGAAACTGCTCGTTCACCTGAAATCTTACCGAAACGTGGTTCCAGTACCGACACACTGGTCACTGAAGAGAGAATATCTCTCGTCCAAGCGAGGTATAGAGAAGCCACCATTTGCACTACCCAAGTTCATCCTGGAGACCGGAATTGCGGAAATGAGAGATGCGACGCTGGAGAAGCAAGACCAACAGACGTTGAAGCAGAAACAGCGGGAAAGGGTACAAGGCAAGACGGGCAAGCTCGATATCGACTACCAGAAACTCTACGAAGCTTTTTTCCGCTTCCAGACGAAACCAGAGTTGACGAGATATGGCGAGGTTTACTACGAAGGCAAAGAATTCGAGACCAACTTGAGGCATCTGCGGCCGGGTGAATTGTCCGACGAGTTAAAGGAGGCACTCAATATGCCGCCTGGCGCACCTCCTCCGTGGCTTATCAACCAGCAAAGATACGGCCCGCCACCATCCTACCCTGCTCTCAAAGTTCCCGGAGTGAACGCACCACCACCGCCTGGGGCAAGTTGGGGTTTTGCACCCGGTCAGTGGGGGAAGCCACCGGTTGATGAAGCCACAAACAGACCTCTCTATGGTGGTGACATCTTTGGTGTCCTACAGCAACAACAAAATACCCAGCAAGGAGAACCTGTGGAAAAGGACTTGTGGGGTGAACTACAACCTCCGGAGGAGTCTGAAGATGAAGAGGATGAGGAAGAAGAGGAAGAAGAGGAGGACGACGAGGACGGCGGTGCCGGTCTACAGTCGTCGGCTGGCTTGGAAACACCCAGCGGAATGGCTACCTCTGTGACCACCGAGATTGGCGGAACCGAGACAGTGTCAGAGTTTGATCTTAGAAAACGACGAGGCACCGAAACCGAAGAGTCTTCTCATCCGAGAGCAGCATACCAGGTCATTCCTGAGCGACAAACAAAGGTCGAGGGTTTCTTCGGTGGCGATCGAGCATATGATCTGAAGTCGAGTCAAGCGAATCTCCCGGTACTAGGTCAGGAGGAGACACGGAAACGAAAGAAGCCGGGTGATGTGGACGTATCCATGAATCCGGACGCATTGGCGGCTCATGATGGGATGGACCAGGAAGACCTTCGACGGGCGTACGACCAGCAACGAAAGTCGGAGCAGAATCCAGAGTGGGATTTCAAGGAAGACCTGTCTGAAATGATAGCGTCGGAAGCGAGGAAGAGACAGAAGAGGGATGAAGAAAGAAGACACAAGCGGTGATGAGTTTTCAAGAGCGGAGGGCGTCTGTATTATTATCTCGAGAACGGGGAGCTTGTGGCTTTGCCAGTGAGAAAGACGCCAGTATCATAAATGTACGATGAACCCCCCGAATACGAAGATCCCGAGTCATGGCCCCGACATGCAGATTCGGGACAAGGCTGCAGCTCAGCCTTGCGACTTCATTAAAGCGGCATCTTTCCTTTAGTACGTTTGGCGAATGAACTCATGATTGGCTCCCTGAAATTCATCGCGAGCCCAAATTTACTAGAAACATGAGAGTGAAGAAGCCGAGATCGAGTTGGGCAGAAACGTTCACTTTACTCCTCCTCATTCACACCGACAGCATTGCTCGTCATTCACTGCGTGCAACTGGGGTGTCTACTCTTGCTCACAAATGGACCGTTACCGCGGGTATGTTCCTCCGCTTCAAGCTGGCGACCCTCGCATCATGACTGACATGCAAAGAAGCCCGCGAAGATCGCCTCCCCCCAGAGACAGACCTCACCGCGAACGGGATGACCACCCTAACGTCGAGTATTTCGGAGAAGGCGAGAGCTATCGGCCTGGTGGTCAGACGGGCGAGGGACCTTACCGACCGTCCCCTCGAGACAGAATAGGCGCAGACTCGTGGTCGGCAGACAGAAGAGACGGCCGGCGAGATGAACGGAGAGACGAACGCAGAGAGGACATCGACTCGTACATTCCCACCACAAGCTCAAGAGTGTCCAGACCGCGAAGTCGTTCACCACCTCCCTTTCGAAGAAGATCACGCTCACGGTCGCCGCCAAATCGAGGCAGAGAGGACCTGTTCCCGAATAGAAGATCACCGCCACGTCGGTACTCTCCACGAAGATCGCCGCCTCCTAGAAGAAGGTCAAGATCACCATACGGTGTGAGACCCCGAAGCCCTCCAGACACGAAGAGATATCGAGATTACTCTCCTGAGCCATCGAGGCGGTCTCCCAAGAGGGAGCGCAGGCTGTCGCCTGAGAGAAACCGCTTCGACCGTCGATCACCGCCCCGACGAGGTTTCTCACCCGACCGAGACATTGTAAGAGGGGGAGAAAGCTACAGACCGAGGTCTAGATCACCTCCGCGGCGGAGACCTGGTGATGATAACTGGAGAAGACGGTCGCCGTCTCCTAGGGCGTCCGGACCAGCGTCGAACAACACTTCGAGAAGATCGTCGCCGCCAGCACCTCAGCTAGACCGCGTGAGTGTGGCTGGTTCGGCAGCTAGATCTCCTGCATACCCTGCTGCTCGCAATCAGAACGACCGACAAGAGCCTAGCAGTTATCCCGAAAGATCTGCCGACCCTCCTCGAACCAGAGAAGCGAGCACCACCAGAGACGATGTCCGATCGAATGGCGAAGCACCTCAACCACCATCGGGGCCTAGTAGTCACCGGAATGGTGAGTATAGTCGACCACCACCAACTGGGCCATCACGCAGCTTCAGTCAGAGTCAACATTCGCCGCCTACTGGACCTGCAGCATCTCTACGAGGAGCCCCTCGTGCCGTTCCCACAGGACCCCGTGGTGCCGTTGGTAGATTCGACACGCCTTCGCGGGATTTCACCAGTCCCCCGGCCCGCGGACGAGGTAGTCTAACTTACCGTGGTGGTCCACCTCCGTTTGGTCCCAGAGGAGGCGGCTACGGCCGTGGAGACTTTGGAGGCAGCAGCAGCAAGGGCGACTACGGAGCCAGCAGTGGCGGCGGCGTTGTCAGTAGCAATAGCGGTCGAGGAGACCTCGCTGGTGGTGGTGCAAGCAGTTATCGCGGCGGCGGTTTCGGACGAGGTGAAGCAGTTCCGTTTCGTGGAAACAACAGCACCAGCGCGACTTATCCTCGAACTCAACGTTTCAACACTGTACAGCAACACCTCTCTACGAACGAGAAGACTGTACCAGGAGGAAAACTGTTACCTTCTGGACTGCCTCCCGACCAAGAGAAACGGATCAAGATGCTCGAAGCCGAAGCGGAGAGAATCAGGAGTGAGATTGCCGAAAAGCAGAAATCGAAACGAGACGTCTTGGATGAATGGGAAATCAGGGAGCGAGAGAGTGAGAGAGAATCACTGCGCAGCGAGCTTGCAGATGCTCATTTGCAGCAGCTGATGGAAGGGGAGGATGGCCTGGGTCGAGCGGCGTTTTAGTAGGAAGCCTTTTTCTTTCCCTTTCCTTCCTCCTTCGTCCCGTCGGAACTTTGGTACAAGTCGGGGCCTCCTCTTTCTCACTCCCTCACTCTATCGGTCTGGCGAGAGTGAGAAGAAGTTGAAGTGTTGGCATTGATGATTTTGCATCGTTGGGACTACTCGGTGATATTGCGCGGTGTAAAAACAACAAAAGAGGGTCGGGCGGCTGGTGAACAAAAAGGGGGAAGTGTGCGCGACGCGCGGGCGAGAGAGGGAGCGAAGAAGATGAATTCCCACTCTCACGAAAAGGCAAAAGGGCAAAAGTTGAAACTGAAAAAGGTGCGATGAGGATGGTGGATTGCGAGTCAGTACGAGTTCGGAATCCTGTCCCTCACTCGAGTCCCTGTTCTTGCTTTTTTTTTCTCCCTCTCTTCTCACTCTTGAATCATCTGTTTTGAATGGCATATCACATTGGGCGTGAGCATCAAGCACATGGACATCGGAGCCTCAGGGGCATCGGGTCATCAAGCATAGCGAAGCGAGGTCAGGCAAAGCAAAGCAAATCAAAGCAGTTGGGTACGGAAATGGTATCTACCTAATCAGGTTTCCAGGTACCTCGGTACCTCTGGTATGAAGTAATATTTCTCGAAAAGGGGGCAATCACAAATCAAACAAATCAGGCTTTGGATTTCAAAAAGTCGAAAAATCGAAGAGCGAGCAGTGAGTGGCGAGTGGTGAATATCCAACAATCAAACCACGTAACCTACGATGGTCAGTAGCGACGGTACGGAGTACGAGTAGCAGCAACGGTGTCGGGGAGGGGGGGGGGGGGGGGGGGGGGGGGGGGGGGGGGGGGGGGGGGGGGGGGGGGGGGGGGGGGGGGGGGGGGGGGTCAATGAAAGGGTCAAACGAGTAAAAGTGTATAGGTGGATGATTTGGACATCCCGCATGTATTTGTCCCTACCCCTTCTTTTTTTAGGATTCAGGAACACCTGACACAAGGTAGGTAGGTAGATAGACACCTAGGTAGAAAGTCGGGGGTTTGCTCTCATGCGCCGACGGCCCTCCCACCGTCGACTTCCAGATTGACGCCGGTGATGAACTTCCCTTCGTCGCTGGACAAGAAGGCGCAAATGTTCGCGACGTCGCCCGGGTCCGTCAACCTCCCCAGCGGCACGTTGAAGAGGAACTTCTTCACGTTTTCCTCGGTGTAGGGGACCCCCACGAACTGCTCGAACAGCCCCGTCCCGGACAGGAGCGGGCATATGGCGTTGACTCGGATTTGGTCCTTGCCGAACTCGGCCGCGAGACCTTTGGTGGCCTATTTTGTTGGGTGTTGCGTCGACGTTAATAATTGACGGTTAACCACGTCACCACAATGCATACCACAATGCATACCACAACCGCGTAACTCGAAGGCCGTACAGATGGCCGGATGGAACACGGTGCAGACGTACAGGTTTCCAGGAAAGCATAGATTGGGGGATAGGTGGGTAGGGGTGGTGGAAGGGTGCAGATAGGTCACAGGTAGGTGGACGAGGGAGTGCTAACGAGTTAGGGAAGGTAAAACTCACATTCGCAACGGCTCCTTTACTGGCGTTGTACCAGACCAATCCGGGCCTGGGCCTCATGGCACCGATGCTCGCAATGTTGATGATGGCACCACCGCCCCTGGCCTTCAGGGCCGGCACGGCCGCGCCGACGCTCAGAAAGATGCTCTTGACGTTGACGGCCATGACCTTGTCGTACTCCTGCTCCGTCACCTCGAGGGTCGGCTTGTTCTTGTAGCTCGTGCCGGCGTTGTTGATGAGCACGTCGACCCCGCCGAACTTGTCGACGGCCGTCTGCACCATCTTGTCCCAGTCGGCCTGGACCGTGACGTTGGCCGTGAGCGTGTGGACGTGCTGGTCGTTGGCCGAGTAGGCCTTCTGGAGCCCCTCGCCGTTCATGTCGGCCGCCACTACTTTGGCCCCCTCCGAGACGAACTTCTTGGTGCATGCGAGTCCGAACCCTGAGGCGGCGCCTGTAGGTGACCAAAAAAAAACAAGAAACGTGAGTTGGTGGAATTCAAGCAAATAAAACAAAAAGGGTAGTCTGGTTATATGCTCCCTGGGCCCAAAGTGTGTATGGAGAACAGACTGGAAGGGGAGAAGAGAGAGTGGTAACCAGCGTCTCTTCCAATGGATACATGAGGTGAAGAGTGAGTGCCAGGTCGTCCAGCCTAGTATGCACGTACCGGTCACAATGGCGACTTTACCAGCGAGTCGACCTGAGCCGGTCTGTACCTCGTGTAGACCAGACATGGTTGCTTTGGTTTGGTGCGGTTCTCGATATGATATGGAACGCGGACCACGGTTCGCTCAAAGGACAAGAAGTGATGGGAGTTAAGGGTGTGTAGGTAGGTGTATGTAGGTACGAGATAGATGGCGTGACTTGATGAGGCTCACAGCACAGACAAGTCAATCACTCACTCGGGGAAAGATTTAAGTTGCTGACTGAGAGACAGAGAAGACGAGGGGACGAGTAGATGGACGAAAGGATGAATAACAGAAAAGACAAGTGGAAAATATCCCACCTCAGTCCTTCATATTTTTGAGGACCTTCAACGAGACAGACAAAGGGACAGCACATTATTGCCCGAGGTTGTCCTGGCCCCCTCATTCATTCACATCCGTGGCGGAGAAAAGGAGTGATCTAGGGAGTACAGAGTGCTAATGAATACTCGGGTTTCATAACTTAGGAAAGTATCGTCATAGGTACCTAGCTAGGTCGTCGATCACTGGCCAGTCGACAGACTTCAGAGCCTGGTACTCGTACTCGTTCCAGCTAAAGTTCAAGGGATTGCGGGGGAGTGAAAAGAGAAATGATGGAGACGGGGGGGGCATGGGACCGGGTGGAGTCCGGACAGACCGGGCCGGCCGAGGGTGAGGGAAGGACGGCAGACTAGATTTACGAGTATACCAAGAGTACGGAAACATTCTCGCAATAGCAATAAAAGATGTGTACTCCGTGCCCCTTCCTATGAGACATACCTACCTGCAGCCCAGCCCTTATGGGTAGATCTCTTGTCTGAGGACAACTTATGCCATAGTAGCCGCCTTTTCCTACCCAACCACTGCTACTAGTCGCTCCTCCAGGACCATCTGCCTTGTCCTCAGCCAGTACGATAACGAACCCAGTTTAACCTCTCCATCTACACGCATACACATTAACCGACCTTGTCATTTGGATCACTAGAGAACTTGAAGACGCTCAAGATCTCAAAAATCCATCGCACCAGACACTTGTTGTGTTTCAAAATAGTAGAGACGGACTCGATCGATGCAACCTCCGTCGGCCATCAGCGAACTCCACGCCATCGAGTGACGCTTCGTAGGGTTGGGGTAATAGGATACTCGAGCCCCAGCACAAAGCGATGTCCCTATCACATCTTCCCTGGATTCTCGACAATATCAATCCGACAAAGCAGAATAGGCTTGAAGCATCGGTCGCGGAAAAATGCGTCGCGGGAACAGCAACTGCTAAACCATGTAGGCACAAACTGTTGTATCCTCACACTTTGGTAGTCCTGTAGCCATAAGACAGTATTGTTCCGCTGTATAGCAATTGTATGAATGTTGTAGGTCACGGCCGATCAGACGAATTCACGCTGAGCTGCTGTTCAAGCCCTCCCCAACCGGCTTCCGACTTGTACGTTATGTATCTCCAAATAAGTGTACTCTGAAATCATACCCTTGGATGACCGGCCTGACTGAGACAAAACCATGTCGCGGCACGACTTTGCCTGAAACGAAGTCGCCATCTTGATGACTGGGAAACAAGAGAGATACGCAATATCGCTGTTCACAAAGAAAGGTCTCAATTGATATGGAGCACCTACCGGATGTGAACTGGGTATCCTAGTATACATTTCTTTATTGCGCAAAGCGTCTATTTCTTTTTGCCCTTCTTCAACCGACTCTCTTCTGCCGTCCGCTTCTTTTTGGGAGCACCCTTGCCTCGAAGTTTGGCGAGCTGGATGTTTTCGAGTCTGGCATCTTCGTCTTCGTTGCTTCCTTCCAAGTCAAATCTCTTAAACTCGTTCAGCATGTCCTCCACAGTAGTCGATCGTCTCGGATAGTATGAGGCCAGCGCAGGACCTCGTAATCTCGCTCGGAGGATTTTGTTACCCAGTCGCTGTTGGTTGGGGTTGAACGTGGTAGAGAATATTGAGCATTGGAGCTAGACCAAAGGATCCAGGTTAGCAGTGGCCCATTGTACAGTCGGGCGCAAGGTCTGAACTGGAGGAGGTTGAGAGAAGACAGCCTCCTTCAAAAAGGACTCTGCGGTTGCGGTCGTACCTTTGCAAGCTCTAATAGTCGACCTCTTGACGCAGAAGCCATGGCAATGCTGTGAGAGAAGGAGGAGGAGACGAATGTGGCGATGGGTGGAATATGGAATTCGTCGAGTCGAGTAAACTGCGTCTTTGGACGAGAAGCCAAAACTCGAGAGTCAAGACTGCATTCGGCTCAAATTCCCCATTTGGGCTCCTCGCTTAAACTTGCCATTATGAGTTCCGCTTCTTCACCTCGTCCATCAAAATCTCAGGCTACATAAAGATGTACCAAATCTTGCAACACGATATGGCACCGCTAGCAGACCTCATAGTTACTGGGTATTTTGTAATATCCCATATCACATATTGATTTTGACCGGACATAATGTCGAATATCGATAGGAGAAACAAGAGGAAAGCCGAGGGTGATTACCATCCCCAGACTTCCAAAAAGCCCCATCATGATCGAACTGGCGCCTTCAATGTCAGCTCTCTGGAGAACAAGAAGCAGAACGGCCATGCCGCCTCCGCTTCACTTCCACCGTTGCCGGACATCCAGGAGCAGTACATCGACGAGGTGTTTACGCACATGTCTGTTTCCCGCGAGAAGAACTACGACCGACTGGAGTTTCTAGGCGACTCCTACATTCAAGTCATCGCTACCCAACTCATCTACCAGAGTTCAACGACCCTCTCAGCCGGCGAGATGTCACAGCTACGCGAATCACTGGTCAAGAACGAGACCCTCTCACAGTACACTATGCTCTACGGCCTCGACCAGCGACTCGAGCAATTCAAGCGCCTTCAGAAAGGCATGGGCTCGGCAGCCTGGCTCAAAATAAAGGGAGACGTCTTCGAAGCTTATGTGGCTGCCATTGTCCTTTCGAGCCCGGATGGTTTCGCCATAGCCAAAAAGTTTCTGACTCAGTTGTGGGCGCCCAAAGTCGAAGCTGTTGTCGCTGTACCTCAGGCATCACCAAAGAGCAAAGAGGAACTTGCCAAGAGACTCCAAGGTCACGGTGTCTTGATCAAGTACCTCGACGAGAGAAAGCCTGATATCCACTACGGCCAGGGTAAAGAGACCTATTATATTGGAGTGTACTTCACCGGTTGGGGGTGGGAGAACCAGTACCTCGGGAGTGGAAAGGGGCTGAGCCGGACTGCAGCGGGACAAGAAGCGGCGGCCGTCGCTTTGACGAACCATCCCCTGATTGACGAAATCGCAGCGGTAAGGGCGGCCTTCTACGCACGCAGGAAGGAGGAACAGAAGGAGAAGGAAACGGACAGGCAGACAGACCTTGGTACGAACCCAAAACCGAAAGAATGAAAGCTGGGTGAACTTTGGCTGTACTAGCAGCACGAATCAGAACCAACCTGGAAAGCTGCAGATCTGTTATCCATGGGCAAACTATCGAAGACGTATGTCTCGAAGCATTGGCAGGTCTCAACCCCGAAATACAGAGAATTGTGTGGCCGAGCACAACAACAAGCGAGATATGGCTAATGGTCTTTGCGCTATCTTCTGGAGGGAGCAATATCGCGAGAGTCATCTTCCGACACTGTTTGCAGACACGATGTCTGCTTAGAGCCTAGGGACCAACCTCAACTGTGGGTCGAGTGTTTTGGTCAGAAGGTACAGTGACCCCTTTCGGCTCAACCTGGCGTTTGCGGGACACTCTCAACCTCAAGTGAGAGGCCAGTGCTTCCGTAAGAACCAGCAGCTTCATCCGTCCACTGTAAGTCACTCGTTCGGAGAAGACAAGAAGAATGGTCGAATAAATGATGCTGAGGAGGCGGAAGTCTTGGGGAATATCAACCATTTGATCGCATCTCCACTGCTTCCAGAGCAAGAAAGGCATTTTGTATTCCTAGCCTTGCTCATAAAGATTTCATTTTTGACCTATCAGGCCCAGTTTTAGATTCTTCTTCAACCCGGCTCTCGGAAAATACCAGATCTAAAAGTTGGTATCTGGTCTAGTACTGTGTGTAATGTCAAGCCCTGCTTTTTCTTGAGGATTGGAGTTCATGGTCGTGGACATAGGACACATCCCATCCCTTCCCGTCCAATTCATACCTCGACGCACATGCTTCTTCTGTCATCTAGTCTACCCGTGTATTGTCGTTTCCATCCTAGTGTGCCGTGTACTGTTGTTTCCATCGTAGAATGTCTCCTTTACACAGGTCTAAATTCCCTAGTGACTCTCTTTGGTTCGTAATATGGAGTTCCAAGAGGTATAAAGTCCATATCGTATCCGAACTCCTTGGGTCCACCGACCCTCACACCCTTTTCCGTGTACCTATCAATCAAAGCGTTCGTCAGTTAACACGGTTTTCCGTGTGTGGGTGTGGCTGGTTACACGCGTCAGGAGACGTCGCCGACTCAAACTTACCAATGAGGGTGCGCGACAAACGCAACGACACTAACTCTGACGCCGTATCTGAGATCCTGGGTACCCAATGCGTACCCGTCGGTTCCGACCAGGGAAATCAGATCTGGCACCGTACACAGGATCTCGCCTCCCTTGGCTCCCTTATCGGTGGCCTTGGGGTCGACGAGTGCGGCGTAGAGGTACTCGTTCTGGAACGGCAGGATCATGTCCCTCGTCTCGGTCATGGCGCTGTCACCGTACTCTTGCTCGTCGCTGCTGATGGGCTTCAGACGTACCGTGCCCTCCGTGTACCCTGCTGCCGAGACGTAGCGGTTGACCGAGACGATCTTGCCCGTGTACAGCACACGGCCGGAGGGGTTTGCTTCGACCTTTTAAATCGTTGCGTCAGTCGACCATGTGCTTTGAACACTTTGATTTCCTCGTTCCAAACCCCAAAACAAAAGCTTAGGACTCTCTGCTGGGGGTTAGAGAGCGACACTTACTATGGCCTTCATGATATCCGTCTTCTCCTGCCGAGCAAGGTAGACGGCACGCCCAATGTACCAGGCCAATGAGGTCGTTCCTAGCGTGCCGACTTTCTTTGCGTCCTTGATTGTCATCGGCGGTAGGACCATCTGACTGAACAAGCCGAGTTCGTGGCCGGCCTTGCGATGGATCTTTTCGAGCTTGTGGGGGTCGGATGCTTTGTGCACAGTCACAACGTTGCCGTTGCCGTCACTCTGTGTGCAAGGAGAAAGAGGAATTCCGAAGACTAAGTCAACTCATTAGCATTTTCGGAACCTGGAGCAGTCGAAAACAGAGGTATGCCCACGGTAAGGAGTCATTATGTAGATTCTCGGGTATGCACGCCCCATAAAGTCACCGTCAATCGTCGGGACACCACCATATTGCGAACCGACTAGGAGTGGTCGAATACCGTTCATGCCACCGATTTCGATCTATGCAAGGTCAGTCTTGACGAACTCGCGAGAGACTGTTTCAGCAACTTACGGCAATCTGTGCATCCATCTTCACCCCGGGGTGGCAGCTCAACAGGGCGTCCGTGGCGTCGATGGACTCGGTTCCACTGGGAATACGTTCTAGCGTGACAGTAGGGGCACTGTACTGATTAGCTGGTTGAGCATCCCACAGTGACAAGGTTCATCACTCACCCGTATGAGATACTCCCTAGCACGTGGCCGTCCTCTGACAGAGTGTCGATGTCGACAACTGCCATGCGCTTGCCGGCCTTGATTGCTGCTCTCGCAGCCATGTAGCACATGTAACCTGGACCGCCGCCGCCGCAAGCCAGGATACTACATCCAGTGGCCAAGAACTCACAATCGATTTCAGACACCCACCAGTTGCCGTCCTTGTCTACCTCCGGTTTGTACTGACGGATATCGATAGAGGCAGATGGGCTGACGAGGAAATCCTTCGGATCTTTCTCTGCGTTTGTCGTCTTTGAAGCCTTGACTTCTCCTTCCTGGACGGCAGACAACTCGTCGATGTTGTCCAGGGGTACGTAGTCGAGAAGAGCGTCTTGGTTCAATGTACCGGCCTACAGAGACTTAGATCAGTCCACCGTGATGATTGTGGGCAGCCGGAAACAATGATACTCACAGCTCTGACAACGATTCTGCTTGCTTTCATCTGAACATACTGCAGAGGCATGTTCTCAATCGTGGCGATACGAACGGACTCAGGATCGGCACCAGCATCAATGGCAATGTTCTTGGCCTCGGTGCATACTTCCTCGACCGCCTTCTCCTCGTCGAGACCTTCAAGAACCTTGACGACATCGATTTGTCCCGAGATTTTCGCGATAGCAGCACCGACAGCATTTGCACAATCGTGGAACCTAAGAACAAAGTCAGCAAACCCGTGCTTTAACCAGCTTCGGCTGTACGTACGGTGGTCTGATTATTCGGCCAACCCCTTCCAGGTCATCCATGTGGACGATGCTGCCACCACCGACAAGTATAACGACGGCGTCATCGGCACTCAACTTCATTGAATCGACCGCGTTCTCGAGCAGCTTCTTCATACGAAGTCTGGCTTGTGAAATGACATCCTCAGGGACGTCCTTCACTCTCGACTTATCCCCGATATCAGCGTGACCGCTCGCGACGACGATATCCGTAGTCGTTAGAGTGCTGCCTCCAAATACGAGGCCTTCGGAAAGCAGTCGATGGCCTACTGATTCGGGGCCAACGATGACCTTTCCGTTTTGCTGTTCGACCTTGGTACCTCCACCAAGTGCGACGGATAGCACCTCGGGCATAGGAAACGCACTTCTGACACCGCCGATCTCGACCCATGTCCCAGCTTGACGCGGAAACCCGGACGATAGAAGAGCACAAACATCTGTCGTTGTGCCACCGACGTCTGCGACGATCACCTGTGCGTCCTGGATCTTGCCTTCCTTGGTGTCGAGCCCGGCGAGGTAAGCCGCACCAGAAGCACTGTTAGTAGGACCACTTGAGAAAGTCTTGATAGGACACTTCTCTGCGGAGTCGGCATCAATGATAGTGCCATCATTCTGGGTCAAGTACAGCGGACACGAGAGGCCTAAGCCCCGGATAGCAAGCTTGAAGCCTCGGATGGTTTTTCTGGCGAACTTCAGAATGGAGGTGTTGAGGATTGTTGCGTTTTCTCGCTCCAGATAACCCAGTTGACCGACTGTATGGATGTTTAGTCAGAGTCTGGCAAGTTCATCTACAAAGCAGCATAGGCTGGGGAACATACTGTCTCTCGACAAAACCACGTCAGCACCGGGAAGTTCTTCGAGTACAATTTCCTTGACTCTGGCCTCCTGCTTTCCTGAAATGTCGAGTGGCGAGAACACTCCAACGACGGCGATATCTGTGATGCCCTTTTGCTTCAGGACCTGGCACTCCTTTCGGATCTGCGCCTCGTTAAGAGGCATAATCTCACGTGTATCGACTATTCCATATCAGTATGGATTCCTGTGTTGTGTAAAATCGTTGGTCGCGAGTCGTGACACTCACATTCGAGACCACCATCGAGATAGGCAACGTGACCGTTCAGGATCCTCGCGAGAATAGGGGGAAAGTCCATGAACGCCGGGTTCTCCTTTGTGTAGGGGCCACATACACGTAGGACACCGACACTTCTCAAGTTTCGGTCGTCTGCTTGGACAACTGCATTGATGAAGTGCTGAAAGAAGCGTCAGTCTCAGCCCAAAGCCACCCGAGTCTTCTTTCAGATCCAAACCCACCGTCGTACCGATCATCACGGCCGAGATATCGTGTAAAGGAATACCACATTGGGAGATGGCGCCTTCGATAGCTTTCGTGATGCCTTCAGTCACGTTCGCGGTCGTTGGCGTCTTGAAGGCAGTCCTGATACCTCGGTGTTGAAGATGTGCCTCGCCAGGATCTTTTTTGTCAGCTGTGGTTCGCTGGCACGATGCTTCAACCAGCCGGTTACTCACGAAGTATGACACAGTCAGTGTTGGTACCGCCGACGTCCACGCCGATTCTGTATACCTTCTGGATGGCCATGGTGGTGTGATGTGATGTCTTCCTGTATTTCTGCCCTCGCAAAAGTCCACTACAATAGCGAAGTATCAGATATTGGTCTGGCAGGCCACCCTATACTATGTTAGACAGTAGGGCGCTCGGTAGCCAGTCGTCTTGTGGCCACGGGAAATGGTAGGTCGTGTCCGTCAGACTATAATCCCAGATCCCCAAGACGGCTTCGAGTATTGATTGCTCTTGATAATGGAAATAGCCGCCATTGAACTCGCCCGTTCTAGACGGACTCCACATCTGCCTCCGGATATCATATGGGTTGGAAGTCGGTTCAAGGCTTTGGACTACCGGATTGTTCAGCCACCAGAAGGCCAAAGATGGCGGTACCACAGATCCCTGCGATAAGCCAAGTACGGGGACCTATGTCGGCGAGGGCTTCCAAAAACCGTCCTCCGCTTATCTCGATTGCCACAAGCGGGATGATCACCACAACTAGGGTCCACCGAGTGAAGCTCACTGGGCCTGGCCGCTTGCCAAGTCCTATCGATGCGGCGACGGCGATCCGCGCATTCGGGTACCCTCCTTGGTCGGCGAGGAATACCCCCATACGACACGTCTATCAGTCAAGGTCAAATACCGGGTGCTCAAGGTGTTCTGAGGTCTTCGAGAACCATTGTAAGTCTTATCAGGGATCCTCATGTGAACCACCTTGATGTCCAGGGACCCTGTCCGACCACGCGATAGAGACCTGGGGGTAGCACTATATAGTGGATGAACCTGACTTCTTTATCACTTGGTGCGGAGACTTGAAACTTATCCCTACTTGCAAAAGCATCCCGTTGCTGCTGTCCCAAAAACTTCTTTGGTTGTCGGCACTCGAAACAATGTCACTCGTTAGACGCGCGCTGCGCAAGATTGAGCTCCCGGAGGACGAGAGAGGGAACCGATGGCAAAACGAAGATATTCTGCCCGTTCCCCCTGAGCGCCAGACCTGGGGTGAGTTGCCATCGTCGACATATCACTTGTGCTCGAGTCTCACCACGTTTGCGCAGGGCCTCTTCAGTTCGTCGAACTATGGTTCCTCATCAACTTGAACATGTCGACCTACCAGACAGGTTCGTCGCTGCTGGCTTCTGGCATGACATACTGGCAAGCCATCATTGTCATCTTGGTCGGCAACGCCCTGGCTAGCTTTTTCGCCGTCCTCAACTCGGTCTCTGGTGCTCAAAGCCACATTGGCTTTCCCATTGTCTGCAGAAGTGTCTGGGGTATGCATATCATCACGACTGTCCTTTTTGTTCCCTGTGGCGAAAGTCGACCTCTGACAATCGATCATAGGCATGTGGGGTGCATATTTCCCGATCCTCAACCGTATCTTGACATCCATCACTTGGTACGGAGTCCAGGCTGTCATTGGAGGAAAGATGATATACGTTTGCCTTCGATCAATCTGGCTGGATCTCGATAAGAGAATTCCAAACACCTTTCCAGAGGGCGTTGGAATCACCACTGCACAGTTCGTGGGATACGTGCTCTTCAACTTCCTGTGTGCCATTTTCATCTGGTTCAAGCCCGGTCAGTTGCGCCCATACTTCCACGGTGCGTCGGTCGTCGTCGGCATCACTCTCTTCTGTCTTCTTGGATGGGCCGTCGGCAGCAGCAAAGGATACGGCAGCGTTTTCAGCGCAAAGACCACAATCAGCTCCTCCGAGTTGGGATGGCAAATGTCCGCTGGCGTCATGAGTGTGATCGGCAGCATTGCTTCGGGTATCTTGAACCAGAACGATTTCACCAGATTTGCAAAGCGTCCAAGCCATGTTACCTACACCCAGGCCTTCTCTTTCATGCTTACCAGCTCCCTAATGGCCATTATCGGGGTCATCGTTACTGCTGCCACTCAAAACCGTAAGTCTGCCGCGCTTTGATGGCGAAGAGATACTGATGATACTCCAGAGTATGGCGACGGAACGGCTCTTTGGGATCCTAGCACCCTGTTCATGGCGATTCAAGACAGGGATGGTTCCAGAGGTCGAGCAGCTGCTTTCTTCCTGGGCATCGTGTTCATTGTTTCGCAACTGTCCATCAACGTCGTCGGCAACGTGTTGGCTGGTGGCCTCGATGTTGCCAGTGTGTTCCCCAAATACATCAATCTTCGCCGCGGTGCATACGTCCTCGCTGTACTCAGTGTGGCCCCTGTCCCATGGCAACAAATGTCGTCGGGCGGAACATTCTTGGCCGTCCTCTCAGCATATGCGGTCTTCCTGGGCCCCATGATTGGTCTTTTGTGTGTTCACTTCTACCTCATTCAAAAGAGAGTGTTTCACATCCCCGATCTGTACGTCGGCTCGAAGAAGTCGCTGTACTGGTATTACTATGGCACCAACTGGAGAACAATTGTCGCGTGGGTTTGTGCTGTTGTCCCCAGCATGCCTGGGTTCGTGCATTCCGTCAACCCAAGCCTCCACGTCGCCGTAGGTGGGACCAGAATTTTCAGTCTCAGTTTCGTCTTTGGGTTTGTCGTCGGTAAGTTTTAGCCCTGCTCATAATTCCCGACGGCTTGCTGATCTGAGTTTTCCCACAGCCGCTCTCATTTCTTACGTGCTTCACATCATCTTCCCGTACAGCTATCCCACTCAGACAGCCCTCGAGGGTGAAGCAGAGCTCCGTGCTAGTTCTGAGTCTGATCAGGCGGAGCAAGTTATCGAAGAAACAAAGGTTGCTTAGAAAATTAAGCGCTCTTGTCTCGATTTATATATGTAGATGGTAGATGAAACGGAGTTTGTGTGTCAAAGTCATGAAAGAGACGGTCGCCCGTCCAGGATCCGAAGACAAAGAGTTCAGTATATACCATAATACCGGAAATATGGGTGGTCCACCATGGTAAATATCAGTGCATATGCTACTTTGACGCTCCTTCCTTCCTCATGTTCGTTCTGATATCTTGAGACAAACTTCATTACTGTCTCAATCTCCCTTACAAAAGCCCATTTGCCTGCAACCAAGGTCTGATCTCGGAGGCTGCCCTGGTCTTGTACGCTGCGTTCATTTTGATGTGGTCACTGACCACCTGGAGAGGATTTTCGATGCCAGGGATATCCTGGGCAGCGAAAAAATCGGCAATGTCTTTCTCGACGGCCAGCTCATCGAAGCAACTGAGCCCACTTTCGATGAAAAGTGTGAGAGCTACGCTGTTGGTCGACAATCTTTTGTAAACCGTCTCCCAGTTTTCCTTTGTGTATTCCCAGAGCACAGAACTGCAGGGCCCGTTGGCGAGAGCAATGGCAACAAAATGAACGTTCTGCAGCGGAATATTGTCCTCCGACAAAAACGTAAAGTCAAGAAAGTCTCGTGCCATGGTCGAGATGCTTGTCCGACCCATTGCTGCAATGCAGATTTCTCGACCATCGATGGATTGATTTCTAATGTATTCCGCTTTGACGTCCAAGTACTCTTCTTCTCCGCCTTTTGCAACAGAAATGCCAAAGATAGGTGCCTGGAGATTTCGGTTGATAGAGCCATGGTCACCGCTCTTCCACGATCGAAATCTGCACTTGACCTCACGAACGACGTCTTCGTCATCAGCCATGGCAGAGAGTTGAATTATGTTCTTCTCAAATTCACCGTTGACATAGCTTTCAGCCTGGCCCGTCCAGCTGATTTCGGACTTGACTTCACTCAGCAATTGTTGGGAGTAAGCCTTAACCGCTGCCACAGCTTGGATATCATTGGAGATTCCTGACAAGATCAAAGAAATGGCCTTTTTGACTTGCGACCAAACGAAGCAATCTCTTTCCGTCTTGAAAGCCGGTAGTATCGCCATTAGGTCACCGACAGGCCTTGAGCCCGCAAATACAAGAGCCCTCATATCAGCAAGAATGCCCACCTTGTCCTCACTTGACAGGCTCTGACGCATTTGAAGAATTGAAAGAAGATACTCTGAAGGGTAGTGGGTGCGATAGAAGCCGGTATGATCGTGGTTGATTTTGGACACCGCTGGGGTTTTGATCATTATCGACTTTGTACACAGCCGTTTCCAATCGCCTGTGTGTTTCTGCGCATCAAGACCAATAGGTATATGCCAAAGTGAATCCTTGTCAATGGTTGCCTTCCGAATGAATGGTCTCTGGGACAACTCGACGCTGTCCAGCGCAGGGACAACATTTATCAAGGGAAATCCTGCCCGATGTATCCAAGAATCCATCAGCCCAGCCACGTCTACACCAGACTCTTGTGAGAGAGCTCGCCACAAGTCATCTGAGGTTGCGTTGCCATATAAGCGGCTTTCAAGATAGGCTGCGATGCCTTTCAAGAAGGGTCCTTTGCCGAGATAGCTAGCAAGCATGCGGATGACCGAACTTCCTTTGCAGTAACTGATGCTGTCGAACATTTGGCGTGCTTGGCTTTCACTCGCGATGTCTACCTCGACCGGGTGTGACGCGTCTAAGCTGTCCAGTGCGAACGCTTCTTCCATGGCCTCATCGACAAATTGCCCCCATATATTCCAGTCCGGATGTAGTCGATCAACGGCAAAATAACCAGCCCACGTTGCGAAGCCTTCGTTCAGCCAGAGCTCGTTCCATCCACTCATTGTAACCAGATTCCCAAACCACTGATGAGCAAGTTCGTGTGCAACAACATAAGAAGCCTTCGACATGAGTCGGTTGTCTGCAGTGACTGGATCGAATAGAATCTTCGTCGGTTTATATGTGATTAATCCCCAGTTCTCCATAGCGCCGGAAATGAAGTCGTGGACCACGAGATGGTCACATTTCGGAAGGGGATACTCGACGCCAAAGCTCTCGCTGAATAAATCAAGAGTATCACAGGCATCTTTGAGCGCAAACTGAGCATACTGGGTGAGACCCTTCGTGGTATAGATTCTCACGGGAATTCTTCCAGAGCTGTAGGTTCTCGTCGTCAAGGCTTCAGCGTACTCAAAGTCGCCTACAGCCCACGCAAGAAGATATGTGCTCATGACAGGGGACTTCTCGAAAGACACTGTCTTCAAGCCCTTTTTGGAGCCGTCGAGAGGTCGAGAGGACTTCTCAGGCATGTTACTCAGGGCAGTCAAGTCTAGAGGAATTTCCAGCTCAAGTTCGAAGGTTGCTTTCAGATGAGGCTCGTCGAAGCACGGGAAAGCCCTCCTGGCATCACAGGGCTCGAAGTGAGTTGCCAGCATGTAGCAGTCACTACCCACCTTTACTGAAGCAGCATCTAGATCTCCATGAGGTTCATATTTGGATCTATAGAATCCAGTCATATCAGGGTCAATTTGACCTCTGAACGAAACGTGGAGGCGGAATGGGCCTTTTGTGACTAGCTCAGTGAACTGCAAGCAGACTTGTTTTTCGTCTCGGCTGGGCAATATCGACGAGGCATCCTGGACTGTGTACTCCGGTATCAGCTTTGCCCTTTCCGATAGCTGGTGACGTGACGACGTATACAGCGGACTGACCTAATACATAGTCGAGACCACACTTGACCTCAGCACGCAATACCTCGAGGTTTTCAGAATGCACGATGATTTTGTTGGTCGACACAGTGGCTTCAGCGTCGATTACCGCCTTCCCTTGATAACTCCATTGTCCTCCAAACTCAATATCGAAAATGGAGAGTTGATAGTTGGATGGCTTAATGCTGTAAGCTTGTCAGTTTGCCATATTTGACTCCGGCTTTGTCTCTTGGTCACCTCTGTGCAAGCAGCGTCGGCGCCTTACTCGTGTCCTGCTCAAGCAACATGGCGTTGTTGGATCATTGAACGGTGACTTGTTGCCGTTGACCTGACCTTGCAGTCCGAATAAAAACGACTTCAGCCATCCAAGACACTCTCGACCTTGTAAGGTGGGTGGCAAGATAGGCATGACCTCGACCCATCATCTCGGCCAGAACTGCCATTGGACCGTCGCGAACGTCCTGATATGTCAAACGTGGAGGTAAGGGCTAGGGAGGCCACCAGGGTTCGGTTGCCGCTACCGGTCGGTCACGGCCATCACCGCCAGCCAAGGCTAGTTAAAGGTTGTTCCAACACCTGGACGCACGGCCTCAAGAGCGGGCCTCGAGCGCCTCTAACTTATAGATTGTAGGCTCTGTAGTGGACCCCGACTCCGTACGGCTCGGAAGAAGACGTAGCTGGATACTCGATGGGCACTTGATAAGGACGTCGGTCGCCGAGGCCTTCCTTTCATCATTTGATACCTACTCCTTGCTCGATCCAGATATCCCCTTTTGAATGTCGCGCTCACCACACCCGTGATGATACTGCCTCGGCCGTCCCGATGCCCCCTGCGCGGCAGCCCAAGGTGCGGTCGCGAACCTTCACCTCCTGTCTTGAGTGTAGACGAAGAAAGGTAAAATGCGACCTGAGTGAGCCGAGTTGCAACAATTGTCTCCGGCTGGGTTTGACATGCCCTGGCTTCTCCATCCAGCTACACTGGTTGCCCAAATGGCAATCTGGAGCATACGACAAGGCCAAGGGAGCGGCTGGTGGTGACGAGATCCGCCGGGCTCGGACGGATATCTTTGGTAGTATGTGGTCGCCCGAGCCATTGGGTTCTCTGTTGAGAGTGCTCTTGCTGATAGAGACGAATAGCTCGCTCCGGACTTCAGTTCTCTGAGGACCTGATTCAGCAACTCTCGGAGTCAAGTCGATCTGCACAGGTGGACGAAGCGCTCGAGACTTTGGAAACTCGTGTCAGAGAATCAGCAGTCGGCCTTGATCGTCAACAGCACTGGCAGATGTTCGAAGGGCCGTTCTCTGTCTTCTGTCCACCTCTGTCCATGGAGACTCTCGCCGTAAAAAGGCCTAAGCTGGCCACACCTCGTTTACCCAACAATGACTCCAGTGCTACTTTATGGCTCTCGAACGATGACTGGTTCTCAGCAGTGCCAGACGAAGTCTTTCCGAATGATGCACTGACAGCCGATTTGCTTGACTTCGACCTTGGAGACGCACTTTCAAGCATCGAAAAATCTTCGTCCCTTGACTTTGAGCACGCTTTTCAATCTGGGTCCTACGGCGACCGCTCTTCTGAGGACAAGCCACAATACATTGAAAATGCCGTGGACAAGTTCTTCGCGTCTAACGCACCAGGTGCACTGAGCAGCTTTTACGGACATCCCTCTGCCACATCATTGCCCAATGGCTCCCCATATCTGCCTCACAACGTGCGCTTTTTGTTGTCGCACTACACCAGCCATGTCATCGACTCCCTGTCGCTTCTGCCCACTAATCAGGCGCCGTATCGCGGAATCCATATGCCATATGCGTTGACTGCGTATGGCGAACTCGACATCATGGGCCAGTCGGGTTTCGCGCGGGTATCCCTCTTGTACAGTCTGCTGTCCCTAACCTGTTATCACTTGAGCTCCCTTTATGAGCCGAGTTCAGGTGGACATCGACCTGAAGGATCCCATCCCAACCCTTCGAACTCACGATACTGGAGTTCTCAAGGACTCAAGTTTCGCGACATAGCTCGCACCTCGTTCCGCAAATGTCTTCAAGCCATGGTCTCGGACCCTTCCTTCAAAGTCAAGTACAAGGAATTGTTCGTGGGTGCCATGAGCCTCATATGTACCGGGGTAAGCTGCGCGTGTCAACTCCAAAGCTCCATCACTTGCTGAACAGAAGTTACTCAGATCATCAGCGGCGACCCATGGGATGCACGCTTCTTCATTCTCCAATGCGAAGACATCGTCAACAGGATCGGACGGACGAAACGAAGGTTCTCAGACAAGGCTCTCCAGCTACATCGGATTTTCTCGTACATTCGAATCATCGAGCAGACGACTTTCGTGCAGACGAGAGATCAGTATCTGGACACGCTCGACAAGCATGCCTTGTTCCCCGAGCACGTCGAGATGGTCAAGCAGATCCCACACGACACCTTTTCGCACTCGGCGACCGTGGCAAGAAATCTGCAGACCATGTCAGATCTCGGCTTGACAGGGCCCGAAGAGGAGACCTTCTACGAACTGTACGGCATCCCGGGCTCGCTGATGCGGCTCATCGCTCGCACGAACAACCTCATCGCAGACATCGACCCGCCCGAACTGCACGGCACCTCTCCACCGGCGATGCCACCGTCAGTCGTCGAAGCGGCCGCCGCGCTCGAGAACGACATTTGCAGATTCCAGCTCCCGAAAACAGGGGACGCGGCGTCTTCGGGCCGGGGCACCGACCTGGCCACCACCGTAAACCCGTCAGAAATCGTGCGCTCACATATCGGGACGGCCATTCACCACGCGCTGCTGGTGTACTTCTTCCGCTTCGTCCGCGGCACCAACCCGATCATTCTTCAACACTACGTCGAGAGCATCCTGAGCAACCTCGAGAGTCACCAGGCGAGCAAGCACCGCTTCTTCGTGGGCGCGCGGCTGGGAACGACCGTGTGGCCGAGCTTCATAGCGGCCTGTGAGGCGCTGGGCGACGACCTGCGCCACCGTGCCGTGGTTTGCATGAGGCACGCCACTTGGGCTGGGTTCAAGAATGCCGAAGCCGCCGAAGTCGTGGCGCGTGAAGTCTGGAGGAGGCGCGATGCGGGCGAGAACGACGTCTCGTGGAGCACTGTCCTCCGTGAGAGTCGGACTATATTGCTACTTACATGAGAGCTTGGTTCGTTGACCGGGACGATTAAAACGAGGGATGAACCGACAATTGTACATCGTATGATCCTCATTCACAAGGTGAATGGATCTTCTCATATACGCTCTAAACAACACCATCTTCAGTCCGTATGAATATACCCAAAGTGCAAGAATAATGCTGGTAGCCGCTAGGATAGTGGGAGTGCCACCTATCATTGACAGATCATACATCGTTTACATCATTATTCTCATCGTCCAGAACAAAACTCCAGCAAATTCCAACCCTTAAATGCCTAGCTCATTGACAGCATTTCTCATCTTTGAGCGGTGGTGGCCAATGCTGGGCCAGAACTCTCTTTCGTGATGCTAACATCACCGGCTCCTCGAATCTCAGACTTGTCTGTGACGCGCGCACTCTGACCTTCGACTGGATCTCGAGGCTTCCACCCCAAAGGGACCCCATCGTCAGTGAACTTGGCCCATTCAAAATATCCGCACCCTTCACCCCCATCAGGCTTATTGCCGACCTGACACATCCACATGTACCGACCTCTATTCGCCTTCTGCTTCTGCACGACCTTCAGAACGCACGGGACATTACACCGACATTTGGGCGTGTATTTGGGCCGGAATTCCTCCCTGTACCATCGATATGTAATGTTGATCCTCTTGTTGCCCGCGACGGGGTGTGGCGTGACAACTTGCGCTGGTGCAATGCTATGTTTCCACTCCTCTTGCATCTCGGCGTGCATGACCAGTAGCGAATTGTGAGGGAGGTGGATGGCAATCTGGCCAGAGACGTCCGCTGCCAGATCCGGATTCTCCTCGTCTTTAGGTACGATTTTGCGCACGCGAAACTCGCGAGCCACGCCGAGGGATAGACTGCCTATCACGGCCCTGGGACCAAGGTAGGAAAGCTGATCGGAGTGGTAGCCTACATGCTGAGCGCCACCATCGTAGCAGTTGACAAATGCTGCGTTGGGCTGCCAGGGTTGCGGGGTTTGGTATTTGAGCTTCTTGCCGTCCATATAAAAATCGCGGATCCGTATAGCTATTTGTTCATTGACGGCATCGCGCACCAGGACCTTCACTCGCTGCATGACTGGGAGGATCTGGCGAATGTCGCCTAGGTCGTTGCCATTGTAGTAATATTCCGATCGCTGACGGTGGATATCGGCAAGGGAATCGACATAGAAACAGGCTGTGTGCGGTGACTTCACTACATTGTCGAAGATCTTAAACGAGATCGACTCGTAGCTTGGGACTTCGGCAAGAAGTTCTTCGAGGAGGGCATTGGCTAGATCAGGCGGGAGGAAGTTGTGGACGATGGAACACGGCGTGTGATTGGAAATGTCCTCAGGCGTGTAGAGATGGAGGGTTCTGCCCTTTTTTGTCAACTGCTGCTTGGAGGGGGATTTATTGCTCGTGGAAGAGAAGGGGAGTGCGCTTTGTAGCCCAGGCGTTGTGAGTCTGCGCTTTGTTGGGGACTTCGTTGCGGACAGAGAGTCCAGAGCGAGTGTGACTGAACCGTCATGGCAGAGGAGGACTTCGAGTAGGTCATCGTGCGTCCTGTCCGGGTATAAAGAGGACAGGATAGCCAGTTTTACATCTGTCGACTCCTCCTCGTCATCTTCGCTCAAACAGCGTGATGGAAGTTCAGAGAGGGCAGTCTCAGCCCGTGGTGGTGACGAGATGCGCCGTCTTTTGCGGGATATGAAGGCATCCATCGCGAAGGACCTGGGTTCTCAGAACAGGAGAGCCTCTGCTTGGTGCCATCATCCATGCTCGACCGAAGCTGGTGCTGATGCTTGGACTCTGAGTTGCTGTGGAAGTGTCGAATGAGAAGCGGTGGCGGCGGGATCTGAATAAGATCGAGTAATTGTCGAAACGCGGATACGGGGCACGCGGGGCGAAACCTCGGCATCGCAGCCACCGTCGTCGTCGTCGGCGTCTTTGAGCTGCCTCGTCCCTGTCCACCGCGGCCATTGATACTGTTGAGTCGATGCATCGGACCAGGAGATCATTCGTGGGAATTCGAAAACTCTCAGCCAATCCAGACCAAACCGGCGCATGATGTGTTGTGGCTGCTGCATCAAGAAACCAGACTACAAGCGTCTCACCCGTCCATCCTCGCCATGCTAGAGTACCGCACACAGGGGTTTCAAGGCTACGCAGTCAAATATTCGCCCTTCTTCGACAACCGAATCGCTGTAGCGGCATCGGCCAACTATGGCCTGGTGGGCAACGGACGCCTGTTCGTGCTAGAGTTGACACCGCAGGGGATTGTGCCTCTGAAGAGGTAGGAGATTCATTCGGTTTTGAGGAACTTACGAGGCTGACCATGCAGCTATCCTACCCAAGATGCCCTATACGATGTGACGCACTCGGAAGCTCATTCATTCCATGTCCTGACCTCTTCTGGCGACGGATCCCTACGACTCTACGATGTTTCCCTCGCCCCCGAATTCCCCATAGCCACCTTTCAAGAGCATTCTCGAGAGGCCTTCTCATGTAGCTGGAATCTCACCTCGAAAGCCACATTTGCCTCTTCATCATGGGATGGATCCGTGAAGATATGGAATCCCGAACGGCAGCAGAGCCTGCTAACCCTTCCCACACACTCCTGCACATACAGTACGCAATGGAGTCCGCATACAGACGGGATGCTCAGCGCAGTATGCTCGGATAGTCATCTACGTGTATGGGATCTCAGAACTCCAGCAAGCGCAAGCAACCATCTCACAATGCAAATACCAATCCATGCTCCTCTTTTGTCGACAAACGTTGCAAAATTCCAACCTACATTTCCACCCTCGGAAGCCCTGACGCACGATTGGAACAAATACCGGGGTACCATCGTGGCCACTGCAGGAGTTGACAGAATCATTCGAACATTTGACATTCGGCAGCCTAAAGGGCCCTTGCAGCTGTTACAAGGCCACTCATACGCCGTACGGAAGGTTGCATGGAGCCCACACCTCCCCGATCTGCTGCTGAGTGCCAGCTACGATATGACATGTCGGGTGTGGACAGACGGCAGTGATCAAGGCGCCCCTGCTCGGGAACTTGGCCAGATGGGACGACATACCGAGTTCGCAACTGGGGTCGACTGGTGCCTTTTCGGCAGTGAAGGATGGGCGGCGAGTTGCGGATGGGACGAAAGACTGTGCGTATGGGACGTACGGACAGTAATGCACTCGTGAGGAAGAGGTTATCGAAAGGAAGTGCGCAAATCTCGGAAGACTATTGGGTATATCTAGATAGTGACAATGATGGTTTCCAGAAGATGACCAAAGACAGCGCGATAGCACTCTCTAATGCACAGCTGGATAATAAAAATGACAAAAGTGACAGATTTGAAAGGTCACATAGCTTGTGCACCCAGGCTGATCGGACACGAAAACGAGGCTGTTTGCCGTGTCATGTTACATTTTCTTCTGGCCGCAAGCCAGTGGTGTACACAGTGCAAGGAACTTGTAGGAATCTCGGAAGCTCGCAGTCCTGGCGTAGATTGAATAGCTGTGATGCTAACCAATCATCTGACGACGAGGCTTCCTCGGAAAGGGGTGGAGCAGATGATCTCCCTCGACGTCGACGACCTGCCCTCCCCGTCGTGCCTTATCTCTCGACCTTGATAGGCAGCGGCCGACAATTATTATATCGTCTGGTGAGACGCAATTCCACGCCAAAAACCTTGTCGCAACCCGATACCACTCACCCTCAGCTAAACCTAATGATCTTCCTCGTCCGCAAGCGCCGGTCTAGTGAGTCTGGAGGACCTAGCTCCTGCAGCGAGACCATTCACATTGCGAATGGACCTGCGGACGGGGATCGCCTGTGTACAAGCTATGTCGATCTTGCCAGAGTACAGTAGCACCGTTGCTACCGACCCGGAAACAAGCATGCATCGGGAGGGTTTCTGGAAACGAAAGAGAAAGCTTGTTCCCGCTACGAAAGATGAAGAGGCGCGGATCCAATGCGGATCCTCAGCGCACAACATCCTCGAGCAGTCGACCAAGGCAAGTAATACAGTAGGTTGGGGAGCTTGTACCGAGGTGCCTGCTGCTTGTTACCTAGGTAGGTAGGGATCTGAGAGGTACCGTGGCGTTGGTTGTATAAGAAGACGAAGTTGTCCCTCGACGCTTCACGGCTCTCTTCAGGCCAGGGCATTCTCTTCCGCTCACCGGATACCTACAAAGGAAAACCGAGGTGCAGACTCGGGCTCAGGACACCCCTACGCTCGTTCACACACTCTATACAGACTCAACGGTCGTTCAGCTTCTTTACAAGAGCCCAGAGCATCGACACGGTAGACAAGATGCATATCCCTCAGGTCCGTCCGCGCGTCGTCGGTCATCTATCCATCATCTCTTGAGACCCCCCCCCTTGTCTTACATAAACCAACCCATCTCATCGATCTGATCCTAACCCTCATCCAACACTACAGCTCCTCTCAGCAGCATCCCTCTTGCTCTTGCTTCCGGCCGTTGCTCTCGCCGCGCCCAAACCAATTGTACACACGCGCACCTCGCCATCGTTGTTCCCTCGATCCTTCACGCGGACCCTTGGGCGCCGTGAGACCTGCGTCGACACATGTGGCTCCACGTGCTACTGGCAGGAAGACATCGACGCCGCCGTCCAACAGGGATACAGCCTCTACCAGTCCGGTGAGACTGTCGGCGACAACGACTACCCGCACGAATTCGACGACCGTGAAGGCTTCGACATCTCCGTGTCTGGACCATGGTACGAGTTCCCTATCCTGAGTAGCTATAAGGTCTACACCGGCGGATCGCCGGGGGCGGACAGGGTTGTTTTCAACGATGTAAGCGTCCCATTTCCTTTCCTTTCACTCCTCACAGAGCCCACCGGGTGGCTTGACAACTTCTCCTACGTCGACAATGGAAAGCAAAGAGACGATGCACTAACACACAGCGGTAGGAGGGCACACTCGCCCTGGTTGTCACACACACAGGCGCAAGTGGAGATAATTTTGTCGAATGTAGCGGTGCACAGCCTTAAAATTCAGAACGTGGTAGATTTAGTCATTCCAGGCCTTGCGACATCTTGACCCGAATCTAGCTTGATCGTCTTCGCTTGTACGTGGAGTAGGAGACTTGCAGATATCGAGCTGGATGTTGTCGTAAATGCGGAAAACATATCAGGATCATGATTAGAAATACAAATAAATGAGTCGGCCGGAACTTTGACCGATAATCATAGGCATTCATATCTCTCTTGCTATATGGAGTCATTAGTGACGGGAAAAGGAAAATCTGCCATGTTGAGCGATGCGAGGTGACGCTCGTAGGAAGAGAATCCCCCTCTTGATGGAACGTTGTCGTGGCAATTCACATCACTAGTCGATGAAGGAGCAGATCAGAGCATCGTTGTACTCAGAGAGCCAACTTGTTTCCGGCTGTCTTAGACCGTGAAGCATGACGACTCGAAGTCTGCCCGTTCCGTCCACCATTCATTCTGCCGTTCGGGAATGACACCTGGTGGCATTGGCATCCCATGTGAAGGATGCCATTTCAGGTCGTATTCGTGGGCGAGCCCAGATTCACGCTCTCCGCTTCGTCCGCATCAATCCTGTCAGACCCCAGCGTCCGAGTACATACGGATGGAGGATTCTGCTCGAGCCCAGGAAGGAAAAAAAAATAAAGATGCCCCTCCCCCCCCATCGAGCATCTTATTTCTCGGCCAGCCTCTTCTCGACGCCCTGGCGAATCTGCCGTTTCGCCTCGGCTAGCTGGTCCTTGCTAGCATCGTACCTCACATTGCCGGCCTGGTTGAAGGGGTTCTCCTCGCTCCTTTCGAACTCTTTTCTGACAATTTCGATGCGCTGCTGCTTTCGTAGTCCAGGGTGCTCGATCGCAACCTCCGGCAGTCGCCGCTCCTCGTAGGCCTTGTACGCAGCTGCGAACCGTCGTTCAGGGTGTCTGTCCAGTTTGTGCTCGTTCGCGGAGCCCGTGAGACTGAGCGCGTCCAGAGCGTTATCGATGCCGGACGCGTTGAGCGCAGTCGACTTGCCACCGCCGCTCGGCTCGCCGTCCAGTTGTCCGAGGTCGAGGGTGCCTCTCGTCTTCTTCTCGGCCGTCTTCTTGTTGGCACCCTTGGCCGTCGCGCGCTGTGACTTTTCTTCTTCTGCCAGCAGGGCTTCTCGCTCGGCTTTCTTCGCCTTGGCCTCGGCGGCCTTGCGCTCGGCTTCTTCCTTCTTCTTGGTGTCCTTGGACCCCTTGGACCACTTCTCGTCGTCGGCCGCGGCGGCTTTGGCGTCTTGGGCGGCCTGTTTTGCCGCGGCCGCGTCAGCCTTGCGTGCGTTGCCCGCGGCCTTCTTGCTGTTCTCGCCCGCGGCTTTCTTGCCCCCCATCGTGACTATCGGTAAATGTGCGAGTAGGATTGGAAGTGGGAGAGTTGTTGGTGGGGTGTGTGCGTGTGGCCCGCAAGTAGGCGTTGGCAGAGATGTAGCTGGTAAGATTGACAATGACAAAGATCCGGATGAATTGAGCTCGTGAGAAGACTCGGCGGGCGTTGAGGGGCATGCAAATAACACCAGAGGACAATATACAAGGACAGACAGAGATGCCTTACCCAACCAAGACTTGGATGCGCGTGTGCGATCGGCCTGCGGTTTCGGTGGCCTGCGGTCGACTTCTACCATTTCTACCCGAACCGAGTCATGCGGCTTTATCCATCTTATCTCATGACTCGAACAAGAAAACCCTCCGTCAATGGACGAGGCGAATATCAAGTCGATAGGACAAGAGTGGATAGGTAGTTTGAATGTGTTTGCATAGTTTTGAATGTTCATAATTCTTATATCATTCCAGTTCCTCATATTCACACAGGGTATCTTTGGAAAAGTCTCTCTTCCTCCGCAGTAAAAAACAACGCCGAACCCTGACGCCTCATACGCCTGTCGACGGATATGATGACTGACCACTGGGGAACAGTCTCATGGAGTTCTCATACCGTCAAATTCACGTCACGGGAATTTGTATTAATATGCCATGCTGAAAATTTGACACTTCGTAACCAGTTCGACATGCGTGCTCGCCACCGACCACCTCAGATCAGTCTCAATGGGGTTCTCATGCCAGCGTAGCCGCGTCGCATGAACTTGTACTTATTGGGAACCACTTGCAGACGACGGAAAGCTTCTCTGACATGCTTCGGCTCGACGGGGGTGCGTCCTTCTTCCGGCATCTCGAACAAGCTGCAGCCGGCGCGCTTTCTCTTCTTAAGGGCCTCCTGATCACCACGACCGCCGCTGGCCTTCTTGTTTGCCTGATCTTCGATCGCTTTGACCTTGAGTGCTTCCTCGGTGATGGTCTGGACGACCTCAAAGGTCAAGAAACCGAGGACATCAACAACGTCGTCGTTGGGTTTGCTGTCGATGACGGTGCCAAATCCAGCCCACTCTCGGAATCTCTTTCCCTTGCGGAAGGTGAAGCTGGCTTGACGGCAGTCAGACCAGTAGACGTATTCTTCCTTGGTCATGTTCTTGGTGCGCTCGTCAGCTGAAGCAAGTCGCGCGAGTGTGGCCTCGTTCTGCTCTTCTTCCTCCTCGTCTTCTTCATCTTCACGTTCGGGGACCTGCTCGGCATAGAATGACTGAACTTCCCAAGGCAAAACCAAGCGAGCCTTCTTGTTGGCACTAGTTTTTTGAGGAGCGGAAGGGTTGACACCTCCAGCGGCCTAGCTATGCGTTAATGCGGACAAGCGGAAAGGGAAAGGGAATCATGTGGTATACCTCGTCAAAGTCGCCAACATCGCCGGCATCTCCACCTCCCTTGTCGTCGGAGTCCTTGACATTCTTGCGCACGTCTTTCCAGGAGAGGAAAGTCTTCAGTCGAGAGACTTTTGCACGGTCGTGGCGAATTTGGAAGATGAGGTCGATGATGGAAATCGATTTGGAGCCACGCCGGTTGGCAAGGGCAGTGGCTTGAGTGAGCTTGTCACAACTCAGCTCTGCAAAATCACTTATATAGAGGACATAGACTTACCATTTCAACAACTTGCTCCCTGACAATCTCTTCGATCATCCAGGTTGTCTCAGCGCTGGGCTCGGTAGTCTCTCCGCTCACAAACATCATCTGTTCGACCCAATAAATTAGTCTATCCTTGAACTCATCCATTGTCTCGATGTCAATCTGGTCATAGTCAGGCGGATCGACGAGGCGAGGGCCAGGACGTGAATACTCGGTCATGGTGTCGCTGTCGAGTGTTTTGCTGTGGTCGCTAGCCATTATCGTACCGCTGGCGCTATTCATTGGTACTGATGGTAAGAAAAAGGAAGTGAGGATGATGTGATCTAATAGCTGGCTTGTCACGTCTTACACAACCGAAGTGTGGTTTGTACCGCACGCGGGTGCCCGTCGCTTCACTGGCTATGCATTTAGGATGCCCGCGGTCGCGATCGCGATCGTTGTCGACGAAGCGCGCCAGCTGAGTATCGACCGCTTTCATCGAGCATCCTGTGAACTGTCGTTGGATCTTTTCCCTTCGAGATCTCTCCCAAAACCAGCCAGAAGCAGCTCTCAAGTCGAGAGGGCCATTTTGATCGTTCGAAGACCGAGAATATCACCATCGATCGCCATAATTTCCAACGGAAACCAAAGCAAAAGAAGACTTAGGTGCTTACCTGCTGGATCTCCTGCCGATACTTTGCGCGTTCGGCCATTGCGAGTCCTGAGCACACACCAGACCAACGACCAACTTGAACTCTCGATCCGATCCTGGCAGGTAGGAAAGCCGTATCTTACGGCTTCTCTCTCAATACAAACGGTACCACGCTACAGGCCCTGAATCAACATACGCGCAGAACGAAAGGGATGGTGCTGAATGTGATGGTGATGATCAGTGTAATGGCATCGCTTTTGCTGCCGTCCGGCCCCAGAACGCGATCGAGTGACCCGAAGTTCTTCCATTCAGTTTCTCCCCCCGCACTTCATTTTTCCCAAAAAATCCAGACAGTAAATGCCTTGCCAATTAATAGGCTCGATCTGCAGTAACTGAACAAGGTTTCACTACACTGCGTACTGCATTCGAGCCACCATGTTGTACTTGGTTGGCCTCGGATTGGCCGATGAGACCGACATCACAGTCAAAGGTCTGGAAGTAGTGAAGCGCGCAGAACGTGTCTATCTCGAAGCCTACACGAGCATCCTCCATGTGGGCAAAGAGAAATTGGTATGTTGCATGCACCCATGCCGCGAGCGAAGCTGACGAGGCTGGTATCTAACAGTAAAGGTAGGAGTCTTTCTATGGCAGACCCGTTATTGTTGCGGACCGTGAAATGGTCGAATCGTCCAGCGACGAGATCCTGGACGGCGCAGACAAATCTGACGTAGCATTTCTTGTCGTCGGCGACCCATTTGGTGCGACTACCCATACTGATATCGTCCTCCGAGCCAAAGAGCTTTCGATTCCTACAAAGTCGATTCCGAATGCCTCGATCATGAATGCGGTTGGCGCCACAGGGCTGCAGCTATATAATTTCGGCCAGACAGTTTCTATGGTGTTTTTCACGGACAACTGGAGACCTGCGAGTTTCTATGACCGCCTGCGGGAGAATGCCTCAATCGGGCTGCATACGCTACTCCTACTGGACATCAAGGTCAAAGAACAGTCGTTGGAAAACATGGCAAGAGGAAGAAAAGTATATGAGCCACCACGATATATGACTGTGTCACAGTGCGCGCAGCAGATGCTGGATATCGAAGCTGAGAAGGGTGAGAAGGTGTATGATGAAGATAGCCTGGCCATTGGCTGTGCTCGGGTGGGCGCCGATGATCAGAAGTTCGCCTGTGGCACATTGAAAGAATTGTCCGATGTTGAACTTGGCCCTCCTCTGCATAGTCTTGTCCTCCTGGGCAAGAGAGCTCATGAACTCGAGAGAGACTATATCCGATCGTTCGCCATCAACGAGCAGACGTTTGATGCGAGCTGGAAGAAATATCACGAAAGGCAATGATCATTACGCCCGGCGTCGACGTTCCAGCTTTTACCATGAATTTTCACGCCAGAATCGCTGCGAAGAACTAGGAGGTTGAACCCCCCGACCGGGTGGCCTAAGTACTAGCCTTCCGGCCGACCCGGTCCTCTACAAGCACTATTATTGACAAACCGAGCTCTTGCAAGCTGGAAAACATGATCAACTTCATGTTGCCGCACAGAGTTCGTCTTGCCGCGCATGTTCCCCGAGTGAAAGGACAAAGCCAACCCTCTTGGGAGATCACATCCGTCCGGGTTCGCGCATTGGCTCTGGGTGACGAGGGGCCGTCGCTCGGTACATCGCATTGTCAGAAAATACATCCCGCAATTCGCCATGCCGACATCAGCGGTTCGGTGGGCAGGTACACCAGATCACAATACTCTGCGACCAGCGGGCCACTAAGGAATAGTATACCTAAGGCTCGTTTGGCGCTCACTGGCGATCTCCTGATGACTGGCAACGTTGGACCAGTCCCGCGGCCAAGTTCCATATTTCGGCCCTTTCAACAGACCTAGATATTGAAGTCTAGCTGTCCCAGTGGGAGATAATTACACTCATATCCATCCGTATGACAGGAGTGAATCCTCTCACGTGTGTTGGGAGGTGTCTGCTCACGTGCTTCGTGGCTTCTACGAGGCTGACACGCCTGCCACTGAGGTAAGCTTAGTAGCCGATAATTACGAGGCCTGTAGGGCAGCAGAAGTACCCAGCCTTGGACGATCCCTGATGTACAATATCTGGAGACACGGGTAGATAGCTGCTTCATGAGAGTGGCCAGGAAAACCCCCGCTGCAAACACCTCCAGCCTCCTCCAACTTGTCGCTTAATTACATCAGGAAACTAAGGTGCCTACTGCAAATCCTACACGTTTCCACTGGCGGGGAAGCCCGGCACGGGCATTGTACCTAAGATCGGTAGGTATATATGGCCGTGCGAGGGACAAGGTACCTGTACCTTTTGTCCCCTGTCGCACAGGATCCCAGATCCGTGCAACCAGATGTTTTTCTTGCCCTTATAGCGGATAAAGAAGCGGTCGACGCGACGGACGCAGGCGCAAAGACGGATCGGACTGCGGCGAAAGCAGACCATATTGCGAAAACAACCACACCCACTTGTCATCGCCCGCCTTGCCACCGACCATGTTTGTTGTTGACCCTCACTCACCCGTGCTGCTAGGCCTACGATCCATACGACTGCCCCGAGAGAACCTATAGGGAAAACGCAATAAGCAAAAGGACCTACTCGTACAAGTAGCTCAGCAAGTATCTGTCGAAGCGGTTCCCAGCAACTAACTACCTTACCTGCCTGACCTACTCTACCTGTTACCTCCGTACCTCCCCTCCCCAGTCCTCAAAGGCATAGCCATCACCGTCGAGGCATCACACTCAAGTCTCTCTCTTTCTCGCCAAGTTGAGGGATCTGCTGCTACTCGCACTTCTTCGATCCGAATCGACGTCATAGCCCGCGCTCGCACACGGCCACACGCAACCATACTCACACAGAATGCCAGTCTACCTCGTCCACGGCTTCCGCTGGCCGCGCGAAGGCTTCTCGGGCATCCGAGTACATGCGATCGTCCACAACCTCGACGACGTCAGCACGGAATACATCCAAAACGAACACTCGCGGGCCAACATCCTCGACTCGTTCCACAGACTATACCCGGACATCATGAAGGAGCTGGAAGGGCCCGGCCGCAGTCTCGAGTTCGTAGAACAATACAACCCGGACGATGTGGACGGACCGTACGCGGCGAGCCAGCCGTATGCGTACGTCGGCGACAAGGTGGTCACGATCGCCGGCCGACCAGGGAGCGGCAACAACCCACCGCAGACTTCCAGTATCCCGAATCCCACGTCGCCGACGCAACCGTCGGTCGCAGCGCCGGGACAGAATACAGACACGTCGGCGACGGCGGCTGTGCTGGGGGGAGAGAAAGAGTCGGGCGTTACCCACTCCACTACAACGACAGCAGCCACTGCCACGTCTTCTCCGCTCAAATCGCGCGCCAACACACAGCCTTCCGGCGGCAAAAGGGCGGGCCCGGAAGAGACAGATCTGAGTCTGAACGTCGAGGACGTCATCGCCACGGGGCCTGGCCTGACGAACAAGGCGTGGGAAGCGCTCGCGGACCTGCGTGACAAGATTGCGCCCAACGAGAAGATAGGCTGGTGGGTGGTATACAATGGCGACCCGGAGCGTGCGTTTGACGACTACGACGATGACGATGGCGACGAGGACTACGATGAAGACGACGAGTACGGAGACGAAGAATATGATTACGAAGCCAACGCATACGGAAACGGCGACGACGATGATGAAGGCTACGAGCTTGCAGACGACGAGAGAGGGGTGCAGTATCGGGGTACGACGACGAAGTCGGTAATACCAAGAACAACGGCAACACCACCACCACCACCATCCTCGTCGTCACGCCGCAAACAAGGACACCCACATTCGCGAGGCTCGTCTCAACAACTGAGACCGCTCACAGCTTCAACGGGCACTCCTCCCACCCGCCCGATGACAGCACCATCGGCTGGAGCATCTGATACCTATCCACCCCCGATGCCACTGCCCCTTTCTGCCACATCACCGCTTATACCGCAGCCGCAGTGGCAGCAGCAACAACAACAACAGCAACCGCAACAGTCAGGCCTGACGGCGCTTCCAGTCCGGCCGAACTTCGTGGACCAGAAACCCAAACCTGATACGAAGGGCAAACAGAAAGAAGGAAGCCGAGAACCGGTAAAACCTAAAGAGACAAATAAAACTCTAGGCCTCAGAAGGAAGCTCTTTGGAAGACGTGGTTGAGAAAACCTTCCCATGTGCCGTAATACTTCCAATTGGATTGCTTGCTACTCAGCTACCAAATCTACCCATATGAACAATTTTACAAAGGACCAAGCAATCGCATGATACCACCTCCGTATCCCCGACACGAATGACTTACCCAGGTAGTTACTGAGGCTTGAAAGCCGCACATGCATGAAAACTTGATCGACGTCTGCGACGCAGCGGTTCATTTTCTGCAGGGCACTACGAGGAAGTGCCGACGTACAGACAGCACCTGCGCTGTTCACTCCAGCCCAGGTGTAGATGGTGGGAAAAACTGAAAGAACGGACTGTGTGAGCTAGCATGTCGACTTGTAGACGTGCAGACAACGACACAGAATGAAGGCCCTAGTTAGTTAAGAGTTTAGGGGTGTCACCTTTAGGGAGAGGTGGGTGTATCATGGGAGGCGTGTATTAGAAGATGGCCGTGGTCCATTCCAAGAGAACGACAGGTCTCGGCGGCCAGCAACGTGTGGGAGGATCCTGGCCCAAGTTCGAGTCATAACAAAGGATTCCAGACTTGTCAATATTTTTGTGCATTCCCAATCCAGTTCATCAGAGTTTGTGTACGTTTCGATGAGCATTACCGAATCCAGGCCCTGAATCATTTTCTTTACATATACAGAGAGCGACCACAAACCGAGCCGGACCAACTCCTCGAGATAGCGGGATCCCGTGATCAAGGCAGAATAAAGCCGAGATAGCCCAAATAAGATAGTGTGAGAGGTGCCCAAGGTGATTAACAGGGAGATCTCCATGGCACAACTAGATCAGGTCGACCTTTCGAGGAGGAAAGATGTTGCCAAACAAGTCCATACTTTCCAGACAACAGAGACGGAGTCATTCTATCACTAGTAGCGTCGGTCATCGTAGCCACCGTAGCCACCACCATATCCATATCCGCGAGGGCTGCGTGGTCGAGGAGGGTATGGGTCTCCGTTCCGTGCGTAAGGATCACCGTAGCCTCTAGCTGGTGGTGGGGGTGGAGGTCCTCGCGGAGCGTCATACGGATCCAGGTCATATCGTCGTGGTGGTGGATAGTCTCTCGGAGGGGTGCGTCTTCCATAGCCACGGTCATAGAAATCATCCACCGGTGGTCGGCGTCCTGGAGAGCGTTCGCGATAGCCGCGAGGACTCCAGCCGCGAGGAGGGGGGCCACGTCGATCGTAGTAATCGTCCATGGGATATCGGCCTCGTGGTGGAGATCTTTGACGGTAGCTGCGAGGGTCTGGACGCTCGTCCTGCACCTGCGAATGTATTAGCACAAGGTAACCAGTAATCGAGACTTAGAAAGAGCTTTACATCAGCAGTACAGTGGACCACAGCGCCTTTGAAGGTTTGTCCATCTAACTTCTCCACAGCAGTCTTGAGATCGGCCTGGGTCTCGAATTCGACAAAGCTAGACAATGTTAAGCATGTGTGCAATTCTTTGATGCGGGAAGAGATTACCCTTTGCCGTCGCGTTCGCGGCCAGTTTCGGAGTAGACAACGTCCAATTGGCCCGAGCTTCTGGCGAAATCCTTGAGGTCCTGTACAACAGTAAGAAATTATTCAGAAACAAACGATGACAACTTTGAGGCCTGTCCCAGACAGATACACCAGATGAGAGTATCACCATAAGGCTAGACTTGTGGATACAGACATGATTCCTATTCGGTGAACGCGATTGGGGTATGAAATCGCCAATCAATGGGAACCTTTGAGCCATGGGAGAAGAGTCTAGAGACGGACATATCGGGGTATCTGACCTGCCAACTGGTATCTGGTTGCAAACCTGTGATCTGCATGCGGTAGATAGTACGACGTGGTCGAGGAATGTTTCGGTCCGGTGGGCCAGAAAAATCGTCCTTGCGACGAGGGCCTCGAGCAAACTGGACGGTGAGCCGTTCGCCCTTGAACTCAGTTCCATCTATGTTTTTGTTAGGTCGCATTGCAGGAGGTAAAGAGAGGTAGTAGAGGCAGGATGGCTCGTACGGAAAGCTGTAGCAAAGTTAGCTGGAGTGTTAGAGAAGAAGTGCAAGGCTTACCTGGCACGACATCACGGGCGTCCATGGCATCTTCATATTCTATGAAACCGAATCCATTCATGAGTTTGATCTCTTTGATGGAGCCGGCGCCATGAGTTCCAAAGTGATCCTCGATGTCTTGTTTTGTGACTGGATGGGTAAGGAGAGTCAGCGACTGGTGTTATCCGGGTGAGCGCATCCCGCCATCATGGCAGAGCTAAGTTCTTCCATGTTGCAGCATTGTCCAGGAAGGCCTAACCAAACAGTGGATGAAGGTGAGCATACTATTTCGTGGGAGGTTGCCCAAATAGAGCCGGGTGGAGGAGACGTCCGCCATGGTCGGCTTCCTTCAGACCAGACAACTGGCCCCGGTTTGTGGTGATCCCAGAATGTGAGGCGAGTCGTGGGGACGAATCCAGCCAAAGGCGATGACGGCGTGGTAATCCACAAGGAGTGATGGAGCGAACGGATCCTTTAGAATGTCGCAGATGAAAGAGAGAAGGTGATAAGTGAGGGCAATGGATGGAGTCAAAGAGATGGTTAGATCGAGTTCGCCTCGTCGCGGTTGCGCCTCACTTTCCGGGGAAGTCACGGGCACAAAAACAAATGGCCGCTTTAGCCGGATAAACACGCCGCCTTACGTCGTTAGTGCTAATACGAATACGAGTACGAAGGTGGCCTACCCCTGATGGAAGGGTTCTCTTACTGTGGCACCTAACCTTCTCGTAATGCGAGTAGTACCTGGCTACCTTTGGTGCAACATGTTGATTTTCTAGATGCACTTCATCCAAGCTTGGTGCTAGTCGCAGATGAGTCACGGTCTCTTTCCACTTCGACATTTCTAAGAATGGCATTCCGAAAGGACCTTTCCTTCGATGCTCTTGGAGAGAATGTAGAGCTACTACGTTTCTATCAGACTGTTATTCATCCGATTTCGTCGTCATTCCCACAATGGATTTTCAATGCAAAGGTATTACGTTCGGCGCGAAGCTTCCGTTTTCATCCCAACTTGTGCAGTTGTTGCGTGGGAAATTGGAAGCATGCCAACATAGAAACCAACGGTAATTTGCTGGAAGAGGACAGGATCTAGAGTTGGGCACTTTGAATACCTGGGACTATCCAAGATGCCTATTGCTACTTGATATCATTTTGAAATATTGTAAGAGTGTTGGCCGGCCGCAGCAGCTTTCGGCACTGGTACAATACTTCAAAGGTGTCCAAGGGTTTCGGAAGGTCATTGTACCAATGCAGCTTCGGACACAGCACATTTCTGTGTAAACATAGGCGCAAAGCAAATTAACATACAGTGAAGGATTTGCAGTAGGTTTTACTGGTGATATAGGGAGCTCGAACCTATCGTTACCGAGGGTTGGCACCATTTTTGCCCCTGGCGTGTTTCCTGGAGTTGGTTTTTGTCAACACCCTCGTATATTGTAGTACTGGAGCATGATAAGTTGATAGCCCACTGCAGAGGGCGTGAAAGGCTTGGCAAAAGTAGTGGAGATGAGGAACGTCTCTCCGTAGGTACATACACTCCACTGCATTCATCGCGCAATCTAGACATGATAACCGAGCGAAAGTGGCGGCGTCAACTTTTGACAAAGTATTGGAAGGGTCACGATTTCATGCAAAAAGTCGATCAGCGAGGGTCCTTAATAATCTGATTAGACTAAACATGTTCGAACGGGGAGTTTCTTCGCGGACGCTGCTTCCAAGGCACATGATCTTCGCATCGCTAAATGCATTTGCCATATAAGGTCGGCCTCAATCATGTTTCCGTCCCTAGGACCAGCCCATTCTGCGATCAATCCATCCGGATTGTCGATGCTGTCTGATGTCTGACCCTAGCCAAGACATTTTTTTCCTCCCCTATGATCCGGTTAGAGCTTCTCAAAGGGTACGCCAACTCCAGAATTCAGAGGCTCGAGCTCATGCTGCCCGCGTCGCCCACACTCGGCGACGGTTATATGCTCCGTTGCTGTTTCTCTCAACAGCTCGAAAGGTATGGTTCGATCCCAATTCTCTCATCTATAATAACCAATGATCAATTAGACTGACATCGCCCTAGCCGAGTGATAATGGTGACGCCGACAACTATTCAAACGAGAAAGTTTCTGGTGCCTCATCGAAACGCAAAAACAGAAAGCCCTTCCGTCGAGTTTCAGCGGCAAAACTATCTGATCATCTTTCTCCAGTAACTATTCTGCAAAAGGGCAATTCAGATCCTTTTGACGTGAGCGCTGTACAGATCAGTGCTGAACTCAACGAAGTTCTTTTGTTTTACCAACAAAACGTCCTGCCCTTATTTGTCACGTATATGCGGGCCAATTTTGTGACGATATCAACAGGCAAGGCAAGCTGGCACGACCGTTTTTCAAACCTCCACAACGTCTACTCCGCTTGTGGATTACTTACTCGTACCGCGGCTCTCATGTGTCGCTTGCCTTTTGCTGGGAATAGACTGGCTACGCAAGCTTTCACATGTAAGGCTAAACTATTGCGGATGCTCAGATTCCACGTTGCTCGAGAAGGAAACCGGGCACTTTGGCTCTCCGAAGCAACTCAATGCATAGTTTCATTGTTGATTACTGCCTTCTTTGAAGACAACCTTGAAGAGTCTACCTTTCATCTTCGCATTCTCAGAGAAATGCTCTACACACAGAGTTCCGCGGGAGACCTAGATCATGGTTTCCTTTTCACCGTGCTGTGGTATGACTTCCAGCAAGCGTCAAAGTCTCTGAGGAACCCAGTGCTCGATTTTAGTGTGTGGGCGGCAGACCAGTATCGACCGGGCTGGGAACAAGCCCTACATGACCTGCCGCGTTTACCAGGCTGCGCCGAGAAAGGGATGAACGGCGGGGTTCGAGACAGCCTGCTTAAGTCCTTGTTCATCAGCCTCCGTGAGGTCCTGGAAGTATCGAGCTTGCTCGCATCGAATACTGCGGCCGCCACTCCATCCATCAAGATGGGCATTGTGCAATGGGCATTAGTGTGCCAAGGTCAGATCTTGAATCTATATGTGGATGCAATGTCTGAAGTCCCAGGACGCTTAAACATCTTGCGGAAAACTCCTCACGTCCTGCCCGAAGACTGGGCCCCTTTTACCAAGGCATATACATGCCTTGCTGCTCTGTGGTGGACACGTCGCCTGAAGAGAGAAGAGAACCTTCCCTCTCGGCCGGCGGCGACAATTCTTAACGCCAGCAAAACTATCCTGTCAGCATTACGTCTTGCGCTGATACACGCCGAGCTATTCTCACAAGGCACAGACAGCGTCGTCAACAGCGAAGTGAGACTGTGGGCGCTGCACGTTGGAGCCCTTGCGGAACAACACGGCCGCACATTCACTGGGTCCAACGAGGACGAGGAGGACGACAATGACGATCATACATGGTTTACGCGCAGTTTTCTACTCCAGGCGAGAAGTATGTGCTTGTATCTATGGGAAGACGTTCGTATGATCTTGCAGAGCTTTCTATATGCGGATAGCCTGGTAGGCCAAATACCGTCCATGGTACCCGTCTAGTCACGGCGCTTTCAGTAATGCCACAAACGTATCGCTTAAGCCTTCAGTTTCTACAACAAAAACTGTTAAAAGTCGACTCGCGCTTCTTTGCAGAAGGTATTGCTGCTGCCTTTATTCCACCCGATATCGAGGCACGTATATCACAAGGAACACAAACCTCAAAGGTGCGCTGAGCTCCCTGCTCTAATGGGTCCATAGAGCGCGCTACGTAGCCTTAGAAAGCAGGAAGACTTTTCTCCTCGAACAACTGGCTCCACGATTCACGTGTGGATGACATGGATCCTAGTGTATAGTTGCCGTCTCGTTAGTGACCATCAACGCATCTGCAGCCATGCTGATAAATCTTCGTGTTCCGTGCGCATTAGTTAATGGGTCCCGTAGATCGGTGTACTTGTATTGTACTTGTAAAAGCATTCTGGGAGCTCTCGAAACTTTTGTTGAGACCTTGACGTTGGGACCGGGTTGATTAGTGGCAATGCGACTATATTCTTGGTATGCGCCATTCCTTTGGAGGCATGCACTTCCGGTAACTAGCGAGTCAAGCGAGAGCGAGACAAGCGAACCGTCGATGTAGTTGAACAGGCACTTCCATTAGCGAGACAAGCGACAGCGAGACAAGTGAGCTGGCGATGCGGTTGAACGTACGCTTCCAGTAGTGGGACAAGAGAGCTAAGCGATCTCCAATGGCATCTCCCTTAGCCGAGCAATTTACTTGGCTCCGTTCGAGCGACTGAAGAGTCCCGACCTACCGTAGCGCTGCTCTTCATGTCCGTACAACACCGTGTTGTCGATGAAAGCAGCCGCGGGAACCCGGTCCAGGTGGGCAAGGGGGTTGCCAGTGGCTGATGGTTGCAGCAAAACCTTCCAAATTTTGGTAAGCCTGCCGAGCTATTTGTACAAGGGCAGTTCTCTCTGATTCGGTCGACGGTGATGCTCGTATTGTATGCCAAACTGCAAGCTCAGCGCCAAGTCATGCAGGCATTTGTCAGACAACAAGAATGTCATAGTGATCTCCGACTATCGTTGAGTGCGCATAAACACCAGAACAAAGCGAAGTCGCGACAAATTTTCAGACGAGAGGCACCCCCAAGAAAATACAATTAATCGCATATCGACCGTCATGACAAATATCCTCCCAGAGGGGATATACGCTCCTCTGCCAGCATTCTTCGATCAGGATGACAACCTAGGTCGGCGTGTACATTTTGAACTGGAAAAGAGGCAGATTGCTTACTGTGAAGCAGACCTCAAAGCATACATTGAACATGCTCTATGTACATGCCCATGACTTCGATACTGCTTCCAATATCGGGGATGCTTACCTGATGGTGTAGATGTCACCAAACCCGGAGTTATTCCAGTTGTTTCGGCTACAATGGGAGAGGCGGCACATTTAGTTTGTATAATTGGCTATCTACGTCCCAGAGAACCTGACAGGAAACATAGGATCGCCAGGAACGAAAGCGGCTCATCGAGACCGTGCGAGTAGCCCTGGACAAGAATCATCTGTACCAGACGCCAATAGTAGCCGGGGTTGGTGCAGCAAGTACGAGAGAAACTATTCATCTTGCTGAAGATGCAGCTGCTGCTGGAGCCAATTTTGTTCTTGTAATTCTACCCAGCTACTATGCAAACGCATTACGGGCCACACCACGCGCCGTCAAACAGTTCTTCGTGGATGTTGCTTCGAAATCCCCATTGCCGGTGTAAGTGTCCATCTATGGTCTCTGTCTGGTCTTTGTAATGGCAGACAAGCACACATCCTGGGTACGGCTGCTGGGTGCGGCTGACGTGTGTCTGATATCTTCCAGAGTCATCTACAATTACCCACCGATTGCAGGCGGTATCGATTTGAGCAGCGACGATATCGTGGACATCGCGAGGACAGCGCCAAATGTTCGCGGCGTGATGCTTTCGTGAGTGACCACTGTCACAGTGCATTTTCGGGTTGTTGACGGGATGTTAATAACAGATGTGGTAATGTTGGAAAAGTCTCGCGCATCACGAGCGTCCTCGACAAGTCTTTCAGAACTTTTGCCGGTTTTATCGACTTTCTACTCCCATCGATATCCGTGGGCGCTGCCGGGGCCATTAGCCCTTTACCAAATCTTGCTCCGGTTAGCACTATCTGCGCAAGCCGTTCTAGTTCTATGTTGAAAGGCTTTTGACTGAATGCTAGGATCTTGCTATGGAGTTTTGGCGTGATACACAGGTGCTTTACGAGAGTGGGAGTTGGGCAAAAGCCAAAAAGCTCCAGGAAGTAACATCCTTGGCCGAGTCCGACTTATTGAGCGGGGGGGTGAGTAATGGCCTCAAAGTGCTTATTGTTCACAGCAGATAACTCACTCATACCGGTGTTCAGGTTGCCGGCCTGAAATATTTGCTGAGTCAGCGGTTTGGTTATCCTGCTATACCTCGACTACCTCTTCAACCCCTGAGCGACTTCGACGCCGCTCGACTATCCAACAGTAATTACCTAAAGAGTATCAACACCGATAAGAAATAGGAGCTATGAATGGTTCCGGAGCTTCGGGCTTCATATTCGGTAGACTGACTACCTTGCTCGTTATAGGGAACAAGAATATCATTCCGACTAGTCGGGCTCAGCTGTATTTGGTTGCTTGATTTGAACATGATACATAATGCAATACAGGGCGTTAATAGCGCTCGCTAAAAGAGCAAGGTCTTTAGGCTTATTTCAGATACAAGAATTACTAGGTGGTTTCTCCAGAGAAAGGTGAGATTCCCCATGATGGAGGGTGATTTCACTGCAATGATCAAGTAGGTTCGTAGAACTGGCAAAGAAAAATTCCGGAGCAGCAAAGTATGTCGACGAACTCTGGCGATTATCCCTGAGAAACAAAATTGGTATACGCCGAAATATGGCTACCATGGCATCAGTTGATGGTGGTTCAGATCTGTTGCAAGCCACCAGCGCTGTCCACGAGATACCATGCCCCGTATGAGTTCTTGACGATCATTACAGGCCGTGGGACGAAAGAAACATAGTTATCTCCTTGAAGGCGCCACGTGCATTCAAATGCAGATTGAGTCCATGACCAGCATTCGGATAGCTCACCGCCTTGAACGCTTTGGCCTGCGGGAAGACCAGCGAGGCGGGATAGTCAAGTGCCCCGTTGCAGCTGAGAGGTTGTGAGCAAGGATTCTACCATTGGAATCTCCTACTCACTCAGATGTGCAGAAGATGAAATCGTATTCTCCAGCAATGATCTATGGCAGTAACTTCAGCAAACTTGTCGATACATGGGAGGGTGGCAACTCACCATAGTTGGACCTGTAAATGCAAGCGGTCGACTGTCCAGCGTGGCGGCGGATAAGAGCTCCGTGATAGCGAACGGCTCTTTCGTGACGTCGCTATACTCGGCAACGCTGGTGTCGTATTCAGGTTTTTTGAAGAATCTGGGCGAGGTCAGTACCCTCTCGATCGCGCACATCAGATATGCTCAACTCACGTATTCACGTTCGCATATAGATCTGCTGGAGTCAAATAGCCCTTTTCACGGACCGGTAAGTTGTCACAGTCTGTACGCAAGGGCCGGTCCACCTACTGTGTCGAGCTGAGACCACTTCTGAGGGTTTTGAAGTGCGGCAATTCTAGGCTGTGCAGCCATCGCGAAGCCGATGGGGTTGGAGTAGCTAGTGTTGAGGCTAAAACCTGTTCTCATCTCAGCTTCGGTCCGGCGGCATATTACTAGATTTCCCAACCTGTAAGAACGAGACCGTCGGCGATTGTCGGATCCAAGGCGACTGTTGCTAAGGATATTCCACTGCCGAAGCTGTGACCAACCAGAACCACAGACTTTGGCCTACCAAATCTGTCTTTGTACTTTGTATCCCTGACAGTGCCGACAAGCCGCTGAAGGATGGCAACCTGATTCGAAAGCTGGGCGGCGTAGCCTGAGACCCTGGTGTTGTCGTTGTTGCTTAGCTCATTCAACGACCATTGTGGACCTCTCAGCTTACCGACTGGACTCTCCAACACCTAGACGATCGTAGAACAGCACAGAGTAACCCTGGCTGACCGCAAAATCGACGAAACTATAGTTGCCGTTCTGCAGATTGGGATCCCAATAGCTGCTCATTGTCAACATGAACATGATCGTCCCGATACTGCTAATAGACGCACCTTCTGTCGAAGTTCAGACCGTGGGTAGCGATCAGAACTGTATTGTTTGTATAATTATGCTGGGGTCTGCAGAAAGTTGCACCAATTGTGTAGGCTGCGGTCACGTTGTGGGTACCCCCGAAAATGCTAGAAATAGGGAGTGAAGACCTGCTTGAGAGGATGTCAATGAAGTCGGCCACGTCGAAATCGCTGTTGAAGTGCGGCAAAGCGTAGATCAGATCCTCGGAACTGACGGTGACAGGGATTCTGAAGGACTCGCAAGCTCGATTTGGTGGACTAATTTCTGCAGATAGTGTAGCTGCCGTGAACAACGGCGTCAATCGAGTGAACTTCATGGTGGATATAGCATCCAATCCTGGTGTTGGTTACTGTCCTGTACTTGCTACCTGAGATGTCAAACATTCTATCTTGTATATATACTACAGAGTGCAACTACATGCAGTGGGTCATAGCTCGTATAGCGGTCACATGTGGATCTTCACTCAGGGGAGTAACCGCAGCGACACTTCGGATGTTCCGGTTCTGGTAGTGGAGCTTCAGTACATTCAGCATCCAGATCATGCTCGTATAGGTATTTCAAATCCTGTAGCGCGACCTTTAGAGTTGGTTCTTGATTAGTAGAGTCCTCTCAGCTGCAAACTTGGACCAAAGCATTTGTCAGAGTCGTTGTAGCAGCCACCTGACCCACAGCGGTGAAGGTGTTGCGACCAAGACAGAAATGAATCATTATCATCGACCCTTCCGTGAGCCAGAAAGTCATTATCTATCTCAAAATTCCGGAAGCCCTTCATATGTCTAGATTTGCCATTTCGGTCAACACAGATTATCTTCATCAGCTAATAGCTGCACATCGGTGATTCAATTTTATAGATCTCAAATGGCTCAACCTTCGGATCCGAGTCGAGTCGATTGGGACAACGTCAATGCCATCCTGAAGGATTCATTCTTTGCTCATGTTTCATTCACGGACAAAGGAGGACTTCTGCACTGCATTCCGATGATCGCGCCAGTTTTGCAATTTCCCGAAGATCCTGAGCCATATCTGTACCTCCACGGCCATCCCTCATCACCACTGATACAGATGGTCACAGGTTCAGCACATACCACACTCGAACGTGAGTCAAATCTGATTGTTGCCATCACAGCTACCAAAGGTATGTTGCGAGAACTGCGAGGTTCATTATCCGGTTGAAGTTGAAGTTGGACTGATGGAATTTGGGCTGACCTCCAACAGTCGATGGCATCAATTTGTCTTCCGCTCCGAACGGGCACAGCTTTAATTACCGGACTGTTAGTATCAACGGATCTTGTTCTCTCGGTCCAACAGATTTGTTACGCAAGCTTGCAGTAATGAGGGCTGTGACAAATCACATTGTCCCTGGTCGGTGGGACGATGTGAACCCAGTATCAAGGGAGATATTGTCATTAGTCGCCATTGTAAGAGTCCGTGTAGATACAGCTCGTGTCCGAATTCGCCAGGGAGGTCCAAATATTCAAAAACGTGATCCTGAAATTGGCGGTCCTGAGAAACCAGGCGGTGTTTGGACAGGTGTCATTCCTGTATGGGAGCAATTGGGAGAGCCGGTCGAAAGTGGGAAGACTCCTGCCACAGTCATCCCACCCAGTTTGAATAAGTTTCTCGCCGAGAGAAATAATGCGAGCAGGCGGTATGCTATGGAGAATGCGGTGAAACAAAGGACGACTTGACAAGTCAAAGACAGCAGAAGGAATCGTGCTCTCGCAGAAGGACTTAACTAAGCATACGAGACTGGACCAGTGATTGATCGAAAAATGATATCCCTAACGATAGGAACGCTAGACGCCTCCTTGTACGCCTGGAAGCCTTCGGTCGTAGAAGAAAAATAGGGAACCTGTGTCGTGATAGCGTTGGCAGTTCATCACTTGCTTCCGCCGTCCCTGAAGAACCTGAAGCTGCTTCCCGGCATAGCTTCCAGGGATCTTTCGAAGCCAAACTCGGCGCCAGCTATTTAAAAGGTGTGTATAGCAAACTCCAGTCGCAGTCTCCTTGAAGAGCAGTATTTGCAAGATCAGTACACAGTATTGTTGATTAACAATTCGTCCATCAGAACCGCCACCTCCGATTCATTTGTTTCTCGTGCGAAGTGTTTCGAGTTCAGCCAAACCTCTCGACAGCTTTGCGGTAAGCTTCGGCATCCGCGGCAATGAGTATGGTCTCATGCTTCCGCAAACTGCCAAACTGGAAACCCTCGACTTTCGGAAGTATTCGTGAAAGCCTGATTACAGGGGAACATTGGTCCTGTAGTCGTAGAACAGGTCAAGCTAGATGTGACTGTTTCCACACGGACCCATCAGGACTTGATAGGAGGACAATGGCTGGGCCATCATCGTTGCCGGCGTAGCGGTAGAAGAGTTTGAGGCCATCGAATTCAACAGCCTCCATTTGTGTTGATGCTATGGCGAATAGGCTCTTGGCGAAGTGCGAAAGTATGAGTGAGCTGCGAGGCGGTTGGTCCTTCGAGCCATGCATGGGAGGGGAGATGGCTATTTACCAGGTGATAACATTAATTCCAAATTTCGTCAGTCCCCAACTAGAGAGGTCACACCTGACGAAGTAGTGCGTGCATGATTTGTTCGTCGCTACCCCATAGACAGCTCGGGAAAGTCGAGGTTCGAACTAGCTCGTGCGTGTGTGGTAGAAAATGCTGATACAAAGCACAAGGAACTATAGAGGTATAGCTGGGTGGCTTTGTCAGCAGGGCACGCGTAAGTGGCTTTGTTCGATGGACAATCAGTGGGTCATTCCTTCATGAGCAACTTCTGCATATGTCACCAGGATCAGGTCTTTGAAACGGCCGAACCATGACACAGGGCGCCGACCATTGAGCTCCAAAAATCATTTCTCAAAATCTGTTTGAAGTGTATTTAACCTAGGAAGATCACTCGGAGTAATCAACCTTTTCATCAGGCTTGCGTTGAAAGGGAATTTGAGGTGGCTCCTGACAAAAATGACTTCTCCTTTGATGAAAGCCCTTATTTTGGACAGCAACAACAAAAGTGCATTCGTACAGGCTATTCCGCGTCCGGTTCCACAGGCGGGTGAAGTCCTGATTCGCGTTCATGTCGTTGCTCTGAATCCGGTGGATTCGCTCTACGTCGCCAATCCCTTGGGCACCACAGGCCGGACAGTGGGCAGTGACTTTTCAGGAACAATCTTGGAGACTACTTCTTCCCGACTTCGACCTGGGCAGAAAGTGGCTGGATTTCTTCAAGGAGCATGCAGCGTTAACGACCGCCCCGGTGCCTTTGCCGAGTTTCTTGTTTGTCCAGAGGATCTGCTATGGACAATACCTGATTCAATGACTCTGGAGGAAGCTGCGACGGTCAGTCTTTGTGCCTTAACAGCAGCGCAAGGGCTGTTCTATCGGCTAGGACTGAAAGCTCCGTTTGACTGGGCTCAGGACGAGTCTCCGAAAAGAGACGATTCATTGGTTGGAGGCACAGCATCTTTCACATTCTTCGTCTATGGTGCCTCGACCTCTGTGGGCATGTACGCGGCGCAGCTTGTGCGATGGAGTGCTAAGGCTACCGGAGCAGTCATAAGACTAATTGGAGCCGCAAGCCCGGCCAAATTTCCTGTGCTCCAGGCTGAGCCATACGGCTATGACGTTCTTGTCGATTATCGAGATTCGCTTTGGCCGCAACAAGTGGTTGCTTCGACCGGAGGCACTGGTGTGGATTACGCATACGACTGTATCTCTGAGGGACAGACTGTCAAACTAGTAGGCAGCACATTGCGCGATGGCGGAAAGATCGCGGTGGTCCGCTCAAAAGAAGGAGGCGCCTTTGACAGTCAGGGGCTGGATACTCAACCTATATATGGCGCGGTGTGGGAAGGCCTGGGAGTCGGGATTCAATACCATAAAATGCTGGTTCCGGCATCGGCAGAGGCGCGAGAGTTTGCCACCTGTTTCTACCGTTGGTTATCAGGGCAACATAGACTTGTTGCCAACCCAATTCGTCTGATGCCGGGTGGGATGGAAAGAATTGTACCAGATGGGTTTGCTTTGCTTGGTTCTGGTTCGATGACTGACCGTCCACAACCAAGGCACGAGCCTTGGATGAAACCTATCAGCGGCGAAAAATTGGTCTACAGAATCACAGATTAACCAGCTCCATAGACGGATACACCTGAATATTACCTTACGCGAGGCGTGACGATTGTCGACAGGACTTTGCCAGAGCCACCTCCACACCCTCTTACCGCCTGTCATGCCGTGTAGATTCATCCCTGCTCTACATCCGATAGAGATAAAATCGCCGTCGCCTATATCGCCATCAGCACCAATATTCCAGAGCCACAGCAGAGATTCGTGTCGGATAGATATCTTTCGTCAGCATTACGAGGTATATCTCCTCGAATACTTGATCGGAGGACAACATGGACGAACATAGTGCCATGCTACTGTCCAGAACTCTCTAAAGATGTCTCCGTATCCGAATGTAAGGAACTCCTATCTAGATGTTGTAGGCGACGTTACAGCATGTGCGGATCATACTTCTGTTTCTTGGACGCATGGTCATACTCGATATCCCAACACTTCTGCTGCCAATCTGGTCCATGGAAAACTTCTGATGGGTGAAGCCTACGAAGTAAGGCTTCTTCGCACTCTTAAGATCCTCTTCAACGTTTCCACTGTTTGGCCTATGAACACTTTAGATCGTTCAGATCACCAACAAGCCAATTGTCGCCGACAGAGGCTGCTCCCATTGCATTAGCTTCTGAAATGGCGAACCACTCCACGACTCTAAACTCTCCTCCGTCACGTATCGCGGGATGCGGCATACTTTAGAGGCGATTTACTAATGCCTCACCAGCATCCATGTTGCGATTTCTCCTAGAATTTCTTTGGCTGACACCTTCAACTGAGTCTGACGAGTTTTATCACAAGTCTCTAAGATCTCGCAGGCACGCCCTTGTCTCGGCTTGCAGGCTCGTCACGAGGTTGCCCGCCGGTGCTATGCTCTGGACAAGGCCAACTGCGGCACCTGCATAGGTAGCAAGCCTACCGTCTGGTCCCCAGCCCTTATCTCCTTGGTCTAGAGCTTCATTATAGCGTTGTTCAAGTACCTCAAAGGGGATACCAGCTTGATGTTCACGCCAGCTCTTGTTTATGATGGTCCGCGGGCTGTACTGTTCAGGCCAGTTCATGGTTCCCCGAAGGTGGTTGTAAAGATGCGTCCTGACAGTGCTATGTGCGCCATCACGAGCACGAACAACTTCCTGTTGATACCCCTTGCTTATGCGGGCTTCCGTCGACGCCAAAAATCGTGTACCCAATGCAACACCAGTTGCACCTAGCGCCAGGGCTGCAGCTACCCCCCGTCCATCAGCGATACCTCCAGCGGCAAATAGAGTCATATCAGAGTCGAGGACCTGGTCCGCGACCTCAGGAAATAGGGTCATAATACCAAGGCCATCAGTAGCCCTTCCATGGCCACCAGCTTCAGCTCCTTGAACAACCAGGACATCTGGGGGATGGGGACTTTTTGCAAGCTCTATGCTTTCTTGGACTGTGCCGATCTGGACCCAGACCTGGGTAGCAGGTGAGGCAATCCGAAGGCGCGCAGTCCACTCCTCCAACTCCGGGGTCCCTCGTCGAGGAGCGAAGAGCCATGCTGCACAGGGCCGATACTGCTGTACGGCCCGAGTAGCGGAGTTGATGTCGCCATTCCAAACTTGAAACCCAACACCGACAGGTAACCCGTTCCTTCCGCCAAAGGACACCGGCAGAGAATTTCCAGACTCTTCTTTCAGTAGCTGCTGTACAGTGGCGAGATCTCGTGCGGTGCTTTCGGGCTTCAAACCAGGGCCAACGAAGCCTAGACCGCCGGCTTTAGAGACAGCCAGAGCCAGCTCGGGGCCTGATATGACCCGCATCGGCGCTCCAACTATAAAGGGCTCTTTGGCCCATGGGAAAGCCGACGCGTAGCGAGCTCGACCTGCTTTTGCGGCCATCCGAAATGAGTTCATCCTGACTTCAACAACAGTCGACCGAGATCCCTCTCCGGGTTATGGTCGTGCTGGGTTGAGCTTAAGCAATGGTCAGAGTTGAATTTCATGCTGATAAACAGCCGGCCACTCGCTTATTATGCACTACGAGCCAAGGAAAACGCCCATATCTTGAGGACTTTTCAGAGCAAGATTGACATTCGTCAGATTTTCTTCAAGCCACGTAACATCTGGCTATGTAGGGAACTTCGTGGCGAGCAATCATCAACTGTCACTTCCTGGTCCACGTTCCGGGGTGCGAGAAGCGCGCTCTCGGCGAAACGAAAGCCGTGGCCGCTTTTACACCTCCTGAATAATCTGATATCACAATCCCCCGCTGCTTTTCTACTGTCTCATATCACGTTCTCGACAACGTCCAAATCCCTCTTCAACACCTCTCATAATCTCAAATATGGCCGTCCCTCCCCTGTCGGCCTACGACGCCACTTGCAATGTCTTTATCCATTTTTTGTTTTCTTTCTCTCGGACAAGGTCACGCTTACCGAAGTGAACGCCTTCGGGGTCGCTCTAAGACTTACTTGCTTTGCTTCGAGCGAGGTTTGTAACGCGTATGCTTCATATCATTGCAATGACAGGGCCCATTTACTCGCGGGGACCCGCAACACCACACGCACTGCATCGTGCTATTCTGTCTTCACCTGAACGTCTCCCGAACATTGAGTTTGCCTCCAGTCCCGACGATCGCGTGCCCTGAGTCCCTTTCTGGAGTTGTGCTCGCCGTGAGGTAGACGGACAGCTCTGATTGATTGCCGATTTTGGCCATTGGCCTCTGTTCAAATGACAACCGCCGATATTGAACAAGACTGGTCGTTGCCGACGAAACTTCCGAGGGTTTGCTGGCGATATGCCACTATGGGTCTAGAGTTACGAGACAGGCTTCTTCAGACTACTGTTGGCAACCCTTGGGCAGATGTTCAGTCTCTGACATGGACAGAAAATACTCGATGGCGAATAATCTCAAATCCATGCCTGAGCGCTGCTGGTATAAATATCTGGCTCACACAGAAGGGAACTCCTACTCCTGACGGCTCAAGTAGCTTCAATACTGTAAATCAGTGCTTATTGCCCACAAGCTGGATTGGGTCCAACATTATCATCCTCTTATGAAATCAAGTGGGCCACAGCAGAATTTTGTGGAGGTCTAGCGCGTCTAGTCAGACTTAAGGGACAAGATTTCTTGGTGCGCAGACAATACTGAAGCTGCTGAAAGAATGGCGTCAAGGAGCATGCATTCGTTCCGTGAACGATATTGACTACTGCTGCCGAAGTATGCTATTGGCGAGAGGTGATTTGGGAATGGTCTGCGGTTAGCTTTGAACTAGACTTCTGTAGTACCGTGGACGCCAGAAAACTTGGAGGGGAGGTTCGGTTGAGTCGTACTTGCTTGAGTGCAGACTCGAGTGGGATCCATATTGAGCTCGACATACCGTGATTGAAGAAGGATGGTAAACCGGCCCGAAGAACGCAACTGATGAGCTGCGACAACGGCGGGAAGACCTGCTAACAGTCGGACTCCGCCCACACGCGAGGAAGCTGCGAGGAGTTTCAAGTCCCGGTGCCGACCGTATGGCCCTATTCGATACGATTGATGCCAGAGAGTGTCATCTGCTAACATTACTTGGCCAAAGTGCCGGCGAGGCTCTCAAGGCGACACTGAGCCTTGTAACACAAGTACGTACTCAGCCATAGACGGATGCGATGACACTGAATTGATTCCCTCGGCCTGCTCGAAACTTTTGATGCAGAACTCACCCGAATCAGGTACATCGCTAGTATTGTTTTGGCTTATACCCCGGATGGCCAGCGACCACATTCATGAAAATCTTGCTTGAGTTTTAGGGCCAATTTACCTTGGTATGCTTCGCTTGTCGGCGTGTCAGACCAGCTCTTGAGACAATGACCGAGGTTGTCTCAGTGGGCGGCTTTCTGCAGTTTCGGCTCTTCAATATGGGACAAGCGCAGGTAATGGGCATAACCACAGCGATTCCTGAAGCTGAGTACCACAGAAGTCTATGGCCCCAATACATAATTGGTCACTTGGGGCTTTCAGCGTTGCACGCATGAGAGTGAATCATCTGTGTGGGATGGCACTGGATTTGATCTCCGATCTCCACTGCTTCAGGTTTCGGTGCCCAAATCGTGGCACCACCACGCGACAATTTATTGACCGTAAACGGCTAAGAAAAGCCATCACTCAGGGTGTGACCTTTCGCTTCGAAATAGGGACAGCAGTTGGCCAGATATAAGTTTTGCCTCGGACGATACGGGGCCTGGTTGGTTGCAATTCGCCAAACACGTTCCAGCACCTCGCTTCCACCATCCAGACTTGGAAACGCTCGCTCGGAGCTTGACAGGGTTTGTTTTCCTTATCTTCGGCCTCATTTGCCCCTGTTACTTTGTTATCACCAGCTATCAGTGACTTCTGCTTTGCCCAGACATTACGTGGTCAGCCGCATACTCTGTAATGAATCTAATAATTATAAGATGGAGACTGTCGCCTTGAAGTTGTCAAGATCTTTCTTCTCGGACCTTTTCGAAAGCTTGTAGGCATTACAAGCCTTTTCTAAGAATTGCTAAGCCTCGGTCGTCGCCCCACATTGTTCTCTGAGCCCAGTGCGCAGTGGAGTCGGATTAAGATACCCAGCGCCTGGACAGCAGTCAGCAAGCAACGACAACAGCGAATCTCTCCTCATGGCCGACACAGAGGCCACAGGCACCGTGGCTCGCAGCCTGTCCAAAGATGAGGGCAGGTTGCGAGAATTGGGATACAAGCAGGAACTCAAGCGGGATTGGACCCTCATGCACAATTTTGGAGTGTCTTTCAGCATTATCTCTGTCATTACTGGTATCACCACGCTCTTCGAGTATGGTTTGACCACGGGAGGTCCAGCTGTCATGTCGTCAGGCTGGTGAGTCTTGTCCTCGCAGGTTGAATCCAGTCCCCATCCCGTATCTCGATTCCGAAGGGCGGAAGAACTCTAGGTGGCTAGAATATGGCAACTTTATCCGAGAACGCGGTTTGCTGATCCTCTATTATCGTCTTAGGCTTGTTGTCAGCTTCTTCACCGCGTTCGTCGGTCTCGGAATGGCAGAGATTGTCAGTGCTATACCGTCTGCTGGTGGTCCATACTTCTGGGCTGCAATCCTGGCACCGAAGAAATGGGCACCCTTTGCCTCTTGGGTGACAGGTATGGCGCTCCATGATGACGATCCACGATGTTGTTTCTAACTGGTACCAGGCTGGTTCAATCTATTGGGACAGGTCGCAGTGACAACGGGTATCACATTTGGTTGTGCCGGACTCATCTCGACCCTTGCAACGGTCAATGGATACGAAGCATCCGCCGGGAAGACATTGGGCATATACGCCGCTCTGCTCTGCTCCCATGGCCTGGTCAACTCCTTCGGCGTACATATCCTGCGCTATCTCAACAACGCTTCAATCGTCCTACATTCGCTCGGCGTATTCTCCTTCGCAGTTGCTGTTGTAGCCAAAGCTCCACATCACCAATCAGCCCATTTCGTCTTCGCAAAGTTCTACGATGGAACTGGTGATCCAGGTTGGTCAGTGAGGGCTTCGCCAGAATATGTTGCTTGTATCGGCATCTTGATGTCACAGTAAGTGATGCAAACCAAGCGGCACCACCTTTGATTTGCGCTAACCCACACAGATATACCATCACTGGCTTCGATGCAAGGTAAGCAATTTTTCCTCTACCCACTTACTGGGAAAGGCTGACTGACGTTTTTCAAGTGCTCACCTCTCGGAAGAAACACAAAATGCGTCTTGGTCAGCCCCATGGGGTGTTCTGATGAGTATTGGCTGCTCTGCAGTTTTCGGGTGGTTTCTCCTCCTCTGTCTCCTCTTCAGTATCCAGGACTTCGATCATACGGTGGATTCGGACTATGGTCAACCGGTGCTGCAGATTCTAGTGGACATTTTCGGCAAAAATGGCGCTATTGTCCTCTTTACTCTCGTCATTGTCTGCGTCTGGCATTGTGGCTTGTTCAGCCTGACGTCGAATTCGCGCATGATGTTCAGTTTCGCTCGAGACGGTGGAATCCCACATTTCTTCCACAATGTCGATGCCCGCTTCAAGAGTCCCATCCGCACGATTTGGCTCGCTGCCTTCCTTGCATTTCTCCTCGCCATTCCGAGCGTCGGGTCCTCGGTGGCATTTGCGGCTGCCACGTCGATTGCGACCATTGGTCTCTACATTTCCTACGGCCTTCCAATTTTGATCGGCATGGTCAACCCTCAAGGCTTTATCCACGGTCCTTTCAACCTGAGATGGTTCTCGCGTCCAGTCGCCTTGATTGCTTGCGGATGGATCGCCTTCATCACCATCATCTTCTGTCTTCCAGAACTGAACCCTGTGGATAGTCAGACTCTGAACTATACGCCTGTGGCAGTTGGTATTATCGGTTTCTGGTGCCTTGCCAGTTGGTTCCTTTGTGAGTTATCTCCTCTTTGGAATGTTTCGTTCATCATTCTTTGTGCCGCAAGTCACACTCTTCTGACTCTGAATCATGATTAGGGGCGCACAAATGGTTCAAAGGTCCCATTCGCCAGATCGAGGCAGAAGTCTCCGGCATTAATGTTGATGATCCTGCTGCAATGGCGGAGGCCGAGCGAGAAGGCAGGATCCCTGAGATCGAAGCGTTGGAAAGCAACAAGGAGGCGAGTATGCTCGCCGCGATGAAGCATAACTACAATTGAAAGACAGTAACCTGTTGTTTGTCTCTTCCGTAATAGTACGGCGTTGTCGCCCCCAATATACACTCTTTGCTTCTCAAGACAACGACACTGTCCTCGATGTTTAGAGACGGCGGAGAAGAGTTGATCGCAACATGATGATGAGACACGGCGATTGTCGTTTTAAAGCAGGTGTTCCCTCAGAATAACGGAGCTCAGAGATGTGTGGGAGTCAGGCATCCTGCTGCGCGCCACTGCGACCGACCTCGTACCCACTAACCGCATTAGGATTTCGATGGGTGGGTGGGTGGCCTTACACAAACTTCTTACGTCCTCATCCATTCCCTCAGCTTTGAACTCTGGGATTCACAAACGACTGGACAGATACCCTGAGAAAGTACGGATATAAAGCTAGGCAAGGCTTGCCAGGGTCTCGACGCCTCCTTTCTCGTACTGTAACCTTTTTTCAAATTTCAGCTAGAACCCCGTTAAGCGCCGTCCTGGCCAAGGTAGCTAGCCAACTGTTTGCTCCAGCCTGAGCACTCGGCCCCCATAATCCTGCCCACGTCCGCCCCTGTCTAGTGCTAATTCACCAACACCTGAGAAATATACGAGTGCAGATACGAAGACAAGCGCTCTATGATGTGACACTTCTAGGCAGCCGAATTCAAATCTTCCGCTTACCTGCTCAACACGTCTACGTCGTCGAGGGCAGTGAGCGCAAATGGAGGGCCTGAAACAGGGAATGTGTGGAAAAGTACAGAGAGGGAGTCAAAAGTCGGCTTGATCCGTTCTCAAAACTCTCTATTTCGAAGCACGGTCGAACGAGGCAAGATGATCCGGATCGGAACTGAGAAAGTGAGAACTGGCTGCGCAACTTGCAAGTAGGTACCGCGACCCCCTCGTTACACTTTGACATACTGCTGCTCCACGCCGCTGAATGGCTGTTGATGCGGTTGAATTGAACTTCGTGGCATTGTTTACCATGTGGCCTCCATTCAAGAACTGACCCGTTGACTGGAACCAGACGGCGCAGGGTAAAATGCGATGAAGGGCGTCCTCACTGTGCGCGATGCATAAAGGCCGGACGTGCATGCGAAGGATACACCTCGAGTCCCGGGCGGCCTGGTCCTGGCGAGGCATTCAAATTTGTAGTCTATACACCCACTCAAGGGCAACTCCTCTCGACCGACCCTGATCTTGACTGGTCCGAACGCCGTTCGCTTGCCTTCTTCCAAGACCGCACTGCACTCGAGCTATCGGGATCATTTCAAAATGACTTCTGGTTGTCCACAATCCTACCATTCGCCCAGCGAGATGCGGCAGTCCGTCATGCACTGGTCGCCCTCAGTAGTATGCACGAGCATTATGCGGGGATAGATCACTATGTACCTCCAAGCGGCCTTGATTTTGCACTAGACCATTACGGCAAGGCTATACGAGAGCTGGTACGGCTCAACAACCAAAAGTACTGGGAGGATGGCTTCGACTGTGCATTGGTCGCGTGTGCCTTGTTCTCCTCGTTCGAATCTCTCCAAGGCCACTATCATACCGCTTGCACGCACGCGATCTCTGGCATGAAGATGCTTGCCGAACATCAACGTCAGAACCACGACCTCTCTAGCCCCGAATCGGCACCGGTGGCCAATTGCCGTGGCGAACTGATGCGCTTCTTTTCAACCATGAAATTCCAGATGCTTGAGATTGGGGACACAAATTTTGGTGGAGCTCGGCCACCTATGGTCTGGGGGCCGCCATCTATGCCTGAGCGGTTCGCCTCGTACGAAGAGGCCTTGCTTCACATGGAAGGGCTGTTAGCGGAGCTTGGCGACTATGCCTTTCGACTGGATGAGCTTGCTCAAACCGGGCCTGTCTCAGAGGAGATGGCGAATAGGTTCAAGCTCGAGTTCATGCCCATCAAGGATCATGCAATGAGATGGATGGCGGTTTTCGACGCACTGGGTACTGAGCAGCGGCAGATTTCAAGATCGAGTACGACAGCCGAATCAAATTCTTCCAGCGAACGGGGATCCTCCATAAGAGGGGATACTTGGACCCTGCCGCCAGCCGCATCATTGCTCAGCGCCTTCCGGTCATTGCTTACTGGATTCGTACAACGCCTAGAAGTCAACGATGAGACGATCATGGACGAATATGCACCCGATCTGGAACGCTGTCTGGAGTTGTGCGAAGCATTCATCAAGCAAACATCTCACCTTGTAACGCCGGTCCCTAGTCCAACACCCAGTCCTGGCAAACTAGCCTCGCAGAGTCCGAAGGTTGCGCGGCCATCTTATTCTTTGACCCTGGGCGTGGTGCCGGCGTTGTTTCTAATCGCTACCAGCGGATCGAATATGTCGACTCGAGCACGCGCAATTCGCCTCCTCAGATGCTGCCATCGGCGCGAGGGGTTTTGGGATTCAGGTATCGCCGCAGAGCTTGCGGAGCGGGTCTGTCAGATTCAAGCCGTGGTCAATCAGAAATACGGCCAATCGATGCCTATCGGCTGCAAGGTGCTGGATGTCAGCTTCCTACCTGATAGAAATTGCATGGTTCGGTATAGGCTGAGGAAGCTTCGTCCTCAGGGAGACGAAGATCATATACAGGGGGAATATGAGACGCTGGACGAAAATAAGATATATTATGAGAGCTTGGAATGGGATGGGCTAAGGACGTGGAAAAATTAGGTCGTGAATTGTTGGGTGTGCACTCTTTTTTGATCCATGAGAAGAACTGTGGTGATATGTGTCGCACTGATACATATGGATAGTCTCCCGGTATGTTCAAGCGCGTTGACAGCTCACCACTACCTGTCTCGGTGCTGTGAGTGGACTCCACGGAGGTCAGATGTGACGATTGAAATGATCCTCGTAAAATTAACATTTGGTGCGCCACGTCCGGCTCGTATGCGCTAACCCAAAATGGCCCTTACAAAAATATACGATGCAAGGTCGAAGCTCTCGAGGCCGAAAGTCGTTCTTGTTCAACAGAGACGCCGGCACCAGGGCCGCAAAGTGCTTCTCGTACTTTCTAACCTCATCCCGTCTCTGATACCCACGCTGGGTCCTGACACCACCCTGCATAGCCTCGTCATGACGCGGTACACGGGCTTTTGAACCACACGGTTTCACTGAATATCTCGTCCACCTACGTGGGCCAACCCAGGCAGCCATTTATAGCTAGATTCATGGCTAGAGTATCCCAAGGTGGGCTGGCACGGTAGGTGAGAAGGACCACGCGGTGAAAATGGACATATATTCTGCTACGATCGCCACGGTCTCTCCCCTCGATCTCTCTCATGCGAGACACCCGAACGATTTCAACGACCCCTTCATTGATTATATAGCTGGGCAACACCTCTCTCACAGACGACAATACACACGCTGTGGTACGCATCGCGTCCGAAGGTATTCGTTTTGCTTTGGATTCCATCTCCAGTCCATACTCTCATCCTCGCACACTTCACTTTCCAGACCCATTTGTATCGATCTCCCCTTGTATCCTTTATCCCTTCCAGCACGCCTCACGTCCACAAGAACAACAAATATACGCGGTGCCCGATATCTCCACCATGCCTTCCGTCGTATGTCACGCCGGAATAAGCGACGACTACTACTACTCCTACTGCCCGTCGCTGGGGGCATCGGTGCTCTTCGCCGTTCTCTTCGGGCTCAGCACGACCGTCCACGTCCTCCAAGCGATCCACTACCGCAAAGCCTTCGCCACGGTCCTGATCATGGGCGCCGCGTGGGAAACAGGAGGGTACATTGTGCGCGTGCTGTCCATCTACCACCAGCTCAACGGGACGCTCTACACGGTGCAGATGCTTCTCATCCTGCTCGCGCCGCTGTGGATCAACGCGTACATCTACATGCTGCTGGGGAGGATGATCCACTTCTTCCTCCGGACCGATAGCGTGTTTAGGATCCCCTCACGCCGCATCACGCGCATGTTTGTGCTCTTCGACATCACCGCGTTTCTCATCCAAGCGGTCGGCGGCGTCATGACCACTCCGGACGCGAGCGCCCAGACCCAAAGGCTCGGGATGGACATCTACATGGCGGGCGTGGGCGTGCAACTCGCCTTCCTCGCGACCTTTACCTCTTTGGCCGTGAGGTTTCAGTTGAACTTGAAGAAACAGGAACGACAATCATCGTCACGACTGTTTCAAAGAAGAGATGACGATGACGAAGCTGGTATCATTCTGGACGAAGGGCAGAACGCCCTGACAGACCTGCGAGCAGACGATGCCGCGACGTACCCTTCTCCGGAGCTGGCAAGGAGACCCCTCCTCGTCACCCTGTACGCCGTCATGGCACTCGTCATCGTGCGCAACGCCTACCGCCTCGCCGAGTTCTCGACCGGCGCCACCAGCCCGGCCGTCACGCACGAGTGGTTCGGCTACGTCTTCGACGCACTCCCCATGTTCGCCGCGAGCGTGATTCTGAACGTCTGGAACCCGGGCAAGATCCTACAGGGCCCGAGGAGCGGTTTCGCCGAACAAGACAAAGAGCGAAAGCGGGCGAAGAAGGCGAGAAAGGTGGCCAGGAAGGAAGCGAAAAAGGAAGCGAAACGGATGCGTGAGAATGAAAAGTAAAGACAGAAAGACACACACACACAAGACACGCAAGATTCAAGACTCAAGACTCAAGACTCAAAAACAAGGCATCCCGAGAAAAGGAGAAAGGCGACCCACAAGAAGCTAAAGCGATGGTGATGATTTCGGATACGCGCGTGTCCTTGCACCAACACGAACACAAATACCACCACCACCACCAGCAGCAGAGCCCATAGATAGATGGGACCAGTGACTAGCGACCACCACCGCCGGTTATCCATTAGACGTGTCAAATTTTGCTTTAGCTAGATACCTAACTTATGAATACTTCCTCATTTACGGACTTCAGACTCCAGACTACCGTATTACCTCAATAGACAAGGCTTTGGTAATCTCAGACAATCTACCAGAGTCGATAGACTGATACATGATACATTGATGATTGTCCGCCTTGGACAAGAGTTTGGTATATACTCCAAGGAAAGGACAACTACTTTGTAGCGATAAATATCTCTGGACACCCGATAAATACGTACACAAATTAAGACTCAATCTAAAAGTACGCATTAACCAATTCATGGCTCATTAACATAGACATTATACCTGTGGAGGTAGGGACTGATTTATCTCGCTGGCTGGCTAACTGAGAACAAAGCCTCATATCAAACAAGACAACTATCTTCCAGCATACCTGCCAAGGTTCCTGAGAACGACTGGCTACCTAGGACCGAACCAAAATCGGATGGGATCCAAGCCAAGTGTGCCTTGAGCTGCACCCTCGAGAGCCATTTCGCGGAATTGCTTGTTGAAACCACCAACGATAGGCGGCAATTCCGGTTTCAAACATTCTGCACACTCCCTCCAAGCACTACATTTCACGCTGTCCCGCGATAAATACCAGCTTCTTTCGTCTTCGTTGTCCTTGTATCCTGGAAGACTCTTACACATGGCATCGTGCCACTTACCCAACGCGCGAGCGTAGGTATCGTACAGCCCAACACCCGGACGAGAAGGAGGGTTGACTCTGACGTGCGTGTTTGCCGGTTCTGTGGACGAGGTTCGTTCCAGGCGCTTCTTCATTGCCCTGAAAAGTCCACCATGCTCTCGGATTCGTTTGGGCTTTTTCTCGCCAGTGATTCGGCTCATGGCTTTGCGTAGTCTGCGTGCTCTGCACCAAGGCAAGATACACTGGAGTCTACGCACACCACTAGCACCGCCATCAGGAAGACCTGGAGACTTCAAGCCAAGGTCTTGGTCAGTAACAGTTCCTAAATCTCGGAATATGAAAATACCTTGTTATTCGATTCCCTCATTGCCTCATCCGAACTGATGCTTGGGGATGGTTTATCGTCGACTTTAGCGTTGGACTCCGAAGGCGAGCTTGCATGCTTTCTGCTATCATATCCGGCCAACCACGCAAGGGGTTGAAGATGGCCAGGATCGTTGCAGTCCCTGGCCACTTTGGGAAGTCTTGGAAGTTTCGGGAAGAAATATTGATGAGATGCACTTTCAGGTTTGGTACGTATTGTAATGCAGTATTCCTCCTGCACTGTGCGCCTTGTTTTTGCTTCGAGCCTCAAGACAGAGGCAGGCAGCAGAGGCTTCTTGAATTCGAAGGCCGGCCGATGATTGCCTCCGTCCATGTTCTTGATCTCGTTGTGTACGCTCGTTACATTGCTCAAATTCCGGGTGTCTGATCTGGTGTTTACCATCGACAAAATCCGAGGAGGTGTTACGATTTCGGGATGTGAGGACCTATTTTGACAGGCTTGATTCATGGTTCCGTAAACAAGTGCGGTGGGGTTGGTCACAATATGGTACACCAATACGGCGACACGAGTGACCGAAGAAAGTTGGGCAACGTCGGTAGAAGAAAGCAGTGGATACCAAATCAGCAATAAAGTTGAGTGCAGATCGATCATCAGAGCAGAAAGAGCACATATCGCGCAAACCACCGAACAGGAATAAAATAAACGTGGTAATAGAGCTGACAATAGCGAGGAATAAGTCGAAAGAGGTGGTGTGTTCGACATGGCGGTCACCGGCAACGCAGTAAGAGAACGCCGTAGTTTAGTTGGCCAGGAAGGACATGATGATCATCGCTCTGAACGGGCAACCACGGCCGTGGATGTCAAGACCAGCATGGACACAACCTCCAGCAGGGCCTGGATGCCACTAGGAATGTGCCCATTCAGTGTTGTAATGATGTCGATGTGTTCCAGTGAAGTCGTGGAAGAAGACAATATTTCTCTGAGACTGCTATTTACCGAGTACCGAGTATTCTGGGCCTTTCGAATCTCCCGCACAAACCTGACTTCGTATTAGGTACCAAACAAAACGCCTCGCTGTCCGCATAATCAAATATAATGCCGCCCGTGGATACAGTGCTCAGAATACACTTATATAGTTGCCTATGCGTTCTTTTTGGTTCTGAGCGATGCACTCAGCAATCCAGGTGATATTGCGGATTTCCTGTAAAAATGTTAGTTCTGACAATTCTCAGATACATTGACAACGAACCTGTTCTCTCAGCTTAACCCAAGCATATATGACGGCGTGGGTGAACTGTCTTGTGAAGACCATCTTGGACAGTTCCATTTCCTTTTGGTAGAACATATCCTCCAGCGACTTCGAGTCGCCTCCCATGCCTCCAGACATGTTGCCTCCACCAGTCCCACCCTGGTTGAAGCCAACTTCGTCAAAGAATCTTTTGTAATCACCCACCCCGCTCACGGCAAGACCAACACCCTCCAGGTCATCTGCCCTGGAGAGCATCAACATTCCCTCAGGATACAACTTGCCGAATTCAGGATAGAGCTTCTTGCGTTGATCTTTGGTCAGCTCTGTGCCGAAGGAGTTGATAGTGATATTGATGGCTCGTCGGTCTGCCTCGAATTCAAGGATATCCGACATAATCTCGCCAGTAGGCGTCATGGCCAGCTCAGGGTCAGTATTGACGAAGTTGTAAAAGTCTTCCAGGTAGTTCTTGTAAAGCGTGTTTCTGACAATTTCGATGTTGAGCTCGTCCAAGTCCTGGTGGCTGAGACTTCCTTTGAAATAGGGAGCCAGGGGGGTCTCGATAAGAACAGAGTTGTACAATTCTTCAATATTGGTCGCCACGCAAAGGACAGGCATCGTCTCAAACCAACCCAGTGGGTGACATCGCTCTAGAAGTTCTTTCGTGTCTCTCTCGTGAAGTGTGCCAGTGATGAGGAGCGCTACGTTGTCAATCATGTAAGAGTATGTGAGGTATTCCATGAACTTGGATAACGATCCCGTCGCCTGACCTTGCAGGTATCTGAAATCTGCGACAAGCTTCTCTGTGGCTTTGGCTGCGAGGGCAGATGTGGAGGGGTTTGGAGGTAGGGACGAGAGCGTTTCGCCATAAGCTGGGCCGAGTTGTGTCTTGACATCGTCAATGGTATCACATTGCGTGAGCTACTAGAGGTCAATATCGTCAACCGAGAAACATGTCGAACAACATACATTGCTGTAGTTAGTCGTTGTCAGCAGCGCATTTCGATATCCGCGCACGACTCCTTCGAGATAACCACCATTGACATTGAACAATAGCCCTGCAATGCTGCGTTAGTGGCCTAGGTGTATGATATGGTTGAGGAGAGGGTGGACAGACCCTCCATCTTGAAGTAACTGTCGACTTGCGGGATTCACCTTGGGAGGCTGGGGGCTTAGCAACGGCTCGGACACTGTCGACAAGATATTGGCAAGCTGTACCCTGAGATACCAGGCAGGCGAATGAAGCATCTGTCTGTCCCGATGCTGTAGCTGCGCCCGCCCGGCAAACCTGCTCTGTTTGTTTTCTTGGCGAAAAGTGGATCCAGAAAAAAGCAGCTCAAGGTTCACGATTTTTTGGAGAGAAAGAAGAGAAAGTTCGCTCGCAAGTCCATCTTCTTGTGCATCCTTCCACCCGTACCATTTGCGCAAAAGGCGCACTACATCGACGATGACTCTCCTCATTCTCACCGAAACCGCCGCTGGCTACGCCTTGCTCAAGGCCAAGGACAAGAAATTACTCAAACGCGATGATCTCGCTTCCGACTTGAACGGTGTTGAGAGTGTAACCTCTGAACTCAAGCTGAAGGAGTTTCAGAAGTTCGACAGTGCTGCTGCGGCTTTAGAGGAGGCAGCGGCCCTTGTGGAAGGAAAAGTCACACCCAAGCTGTCATCGCTGCTCGACTCTCTTAAGGATGAGAAAAAGATCTCTCTGGCCGTGGCAGACCCCAAATTGGGTAATGCTATTGGAAAGCTGCCAGGCCTCGACATCAAAGCCGTCGCCGACTCGACGACCGCCGACCTCTATCGAGCCATTCGAGAACACCTGCCCTCTCTGATCCCCGGCCTCATGCCCGAAGATGTCAAGACAATGTCCCTGGGTCTTTCGCACTCTCTCGCTCGTCACAAGTTGAAGTTTTCTCCGGACAAGATTGATGTCATGATCGTGCAAGCAATTGGGCTGTTGGATGATCTTGATAAAGAGTTGAACACATATGCCATGCGGGTCAAGGAGTGGTATGGCTGGCATTTCCCGGAAATGGCCAAGATCTTGAACGACAACCTTGCTTACGCAAAGGTCGTACTGAAAATGGGAATGCGAACGAACTGGGAGAAGGCTGATTTGGCAGAAATCTTACCCGAAGAGATCGAAGCTGCCGTCAAGGCTGCCGCAGATAGGTCCATGGGTACTGAGATCACGGAGGAGGATCTTGAGAACATTCAAAGCCTTGCTGAACAAGTGGTACAATTCACGGAATACCGAACGCAATTAGCAAGCTACCTGACGGCTCGCATGACCGCCATTGCTCCCAATCTCACAACCCTTGTCGGTGAACTGGTTGGCGCACGACTCATTGCACATGCCGGAAGCCTTCTCAATCTGTCCAAGAGCCCTGCCAGCACCTTACAGATTCTTGGTGCCGAGAAGGCTCTTTTTAGGGCCCTGAAAACCAAACACGATACCCCCAAATATGGTCTCATCTATCACGCCTCCCTGATTGGACAAGCTTCTGGCAAGAACAAGGGTAAAATGGCCCGAGTTTTGGCCGCCAAAGCTGCACTTGGTCTCAGAGTCGATGCCCTCCAAGATTGGGGCGAGGACGAGGCGAATATCCCCGAAGACGAAAAAGCTCAACTCGGAATCGAAGCTCGTGCGAACCTCGAGCGCAAGTTGGCTGCCATGGAAGGCAAGCCCATCAAGTCAAGAGGTGTTGCGATCGGCCCCAATGGTGTGCCGGGCACGTCACAGCCTCAGAAATGGGAAATTAAAGAGGCCCGGAAGTACAATCCTGATGCTGATGGTCTTGCTGGCGACGAGGCACCCGCCAAACAAAGCAAGAAGGAGAAGAAGCTCATACAGGAACTGACCTCGGATACAGTAATGGGCGATGGTGATCTCAGCGACGAATCTGAGTCTCAACCTGATGAACCTATCGATGCTGCTGAAGCGTCCGCCATCAACGGTGTAGATGGAAAGAAGAGTGCTAAGAAAGCGGAGAAAGAAAGACGGCACGCTGAAAAGGCAGCTCGCAAAGCAGCCAAGAAGGAGAAGAAGGAAGGTAAGGGCGAGAGCGATGAGACCAAGATCGAGACGCTAGCTGCCTTATGTGGCCTGAGTGTCGAAAGATATAAGCGAAAGCTCGAAAGAGGAGAGATCGAGTTCCAAGAGGATGGCAAGCCCGTGGCCATCTCGAAGAAGGACATCAAGAAGGCCAAAAAGGCTGCAGAAAAACAATCCGCCGCCGCAGCAAATGGCGAAGTCGATGGATCCAAGAAGCGGAAGCGCTCAGAGGAAGAAAGTGAGCCGACCAAGTCGGACAAGAAGAAGAAGAGGAAAGACAAGTCATGATTGACTCTGCTCCTTTTATCTTTGTTTCTTTCTTTTCCTGAGTTTCTGGCATTTTCGACTGCAAGGCGTCCGGGCTGGAGTCATAAGGCGAATGGAACAAGAGTCACGAGAAAATGTATGTACTACAAGGGTCGGTAGCTGGCATCATTAAACTGTCATGCAGTTCAAAAGATAATCCCAAGTGACTTCCGAATGATATTGTGTGAAGCACTAGTTAAGAGTGGTTCTTTTCGACCCCCGGTGATGCCTTGATGTATTGATGTCTCGTACCTCTGTATGCTTTTAACCGTGAGTCGTTGGGCAAGCGGTACGTATGTCGATCTCACCGCCCCCAGCCGCCCCCCATATTCGCCGGCAGAATAATTTTCTGGAAAACACTCCGCAGTTCATAATGATCCCGAGTTCAGTCTTCCAGCAAGCAGTGTGATGTATTGAGGACGATGGCGCATACGAGACTTGGTTCGTATCTTGCAATCGTGTCTATCCAGATCCCTTGACATCGGTGTTGTTGCGATTCCTGCAGACTCTAGCACCTTACAAGCACAGCCGGTGCACCTTCGGCACCCTCAAGATGAAGGTCAGTCTGCGCAGGCATATCCTCGCTTTTCCCTCTCAACCTCGAGTCTTAACACGGCTTTCAATAGGTTCTCGATCCTCAAGCCGCCCTTTTCACGACCGCGGAAGTCTACCATTTCTTGGCCAGCAACCCACCCCGACCACAACAGAAGCAGACAGGGTCTTACCCGTCAGTGAACACAAAAGGATATCAGCAAGTTCGAGATGATGTATGAGCACGTAGGCGCAGTGGCTCGAGAAAATTGACTGACCATGACTCTTCAGTTTGATCATTACATATCGACTACGAGTCCGTACATCAAGGACTACCCTGCGCCCGAGACCTTCGTCAAGGCAGTTGTACCGAAACTGAAGGCGTTTGGCTTGACCAAGACCGAGATTTTCAACCTGATCAATCTAGGGGTTGGCCTGTCTACCGCCCAATCTACACAAAAGTCCGTCGAGAATTCCGATGGCATGGATGTTGACGGCGACGGGGCCGGAGAAGATGCCCCAGAAGAACCCGACTATCGACAGATGTTGTCGCTGATCGTGGAAGAGTTGGATGACAGATTCTCGGGCGACGAAGGGGAATCCAAGATCCAGAAGATATTCGACACCATGCGCAGCGAATATGAGCGGGCCAAGAAGGGCAAACCCGCCAAAGGGACAAAGGCCAAGGTGAATGGCACAAAATCGAAATGAAAGCCGACGAAGGCACACGAGTATGCTGCTTGGAGGCGCTAGAACGTCCCTGCCTGCTGCCGTCTGATGAGACCGCTGTCTGTTGCACGACTCAGGGTCAATGCCATAAACAGACAACATGTTGAATCCCATGGAATCCAGCTACGGCGACGCAAAGGGCTGTCACTCCATCTAGACAACGAACAACGGAAAGGCCGTTTAACCTGACTCAATTGAGTTGTGCACGATTGAGCGGGAGGACGAGGCATCCAAATGGGATCTCTCACGGAGCTTAGAGCCATGCTCATAGAAGTTCTATCATAACCCCGGGGATGGTACAGGGTCATCTTGGCAAGAGAGGGCATCAAGTTTTGAATAGGCAGGTCGTGGGCGAGAAACAGGAGCGACCAAACACTGGCCTCAGACCTGGGAACGAGATTGGACGGTGCATGGACTAGCTAATTCCTTCGCCCCCAAGCACACCAAGCCCCTTCACTTTTGTGAATACGAGGTCAGAGCAGAATCACCTGGGGGCCAAATCGTACCAAGGTCTCTTGGAAGGCCAGCACAGAAGCCGAGAGCGGCCACGAACACATTTTCAAGAGGTGTCAAACCGGGTGATGCGATCCCGTTAGAACAGGGTCGGTATCATTTACAGGTATCTGTGAACCGTCCGAATTATAGTGCATGCAACTTCTCAGTATTTCTCACTGTCCTTAAGCTTTTCACTGTTTCTGGGACAAATGCAACGTCCTTCGCGTTGACAGCGTACAGTCCATAGGTTCCTAGGAAGTCAATGGCTACGGTCGTGAAGTACAGTATAGTCACAAAGAATTACTATACAAGAGAAACCATCGGGCACTAGCAGGAGATTGCAGGGACGGGGCCTGCATTCAGACTACTTAGGGTACCAAGGTAGGTATGGTCTCTGGTCTGTTGTCTATCGGGACTGCCTAGTAGACCGACCTTTCCCAAATTCGCTTGACTTTGGCGATGAACCTTTTCCAGCTCAAATTTGTAGATGAGTGACCAGTCAACAAAGCGCTGTCGTCAGCCGCGGTATGGTCGTTGTTTGGGCTCGTGTCATGCTTTGCCTGGTTCATCGCCGTGACCTCGTGTTGAAATCGATCCAGGTTGTCAACGGTGGGCGCGATGTGAACGTTGATGGTCCCAGGATACGCCATGGTGGATTTAAATAATGGGGGAAACACAGCGGAGTGCAACAGTCGAAAACTGAGAAGAAAGATAGAGGACCTGGATGTGTAGTCCGTTTGATATTGGAATAGTCTCTCTGTCTCTCACACACTCACACACCCTGTGATGCTGAAAGTCTCTCTTCGTTCTGTGTTGGTAATGCTGGCGAAACAATTGCTCGAGAGAGTGTCTCAGCCAGATGGTGTCCTTATACATTTAACTTACAGGAGCTGCCTCCGCCCTCGCCTCGCTTTGCCTCCTACTCGATGCCGTTTGTATAAGGCTCCTGCCTCTCCGGTAGCGGTGCATTCGTCAGCTCCAGAGTCCAGGCTCGCGTACAAAGTGCTCTGGCCTGGCAGGGCGTATCACTCCTGCGTCGATTTCCCTGCGAAACTGGCAAAAGTTTGTCATGCAAGGCTGGGCCGGCTTCTTCCAAGGGCAAATCGACATCGGCCACAGTGCGGATAGCGATGCGCCCCATCCAAGCAGCGTCACCGACGCCATACAAGCAGCGTACAATTATATAATCATCGGCAGGGTCTCGAGTCTCGACCGTGGTGGGGGGGGATCTCCAGCTTCTCAAAATTACTAAGCCGTTGAGAGCCACCATCGTACAGTACGGAGAACAGATACTCCGCCGTGAAGAGGTAGATCTTGTCAGTACGCGTCGACACTAGAGATGAGAGGCATATCTTTTGAAGTCGCATACGGTGCCCTTGCTTGAAGACGTCAGGATAGTTTAGGCGAAACGGACCCAAAAAGCTCTTCTTTCAGCTGAACGAACCTAGTGCCAATTGAGAGGTAATATGATCGCTTGACGCGCTACAGAGATGTCGGAAGGCCTCTCGAGGCATCCGTACTCCGTACATGCTTTGAGAACGGCCCAAGGGCGATGGAAGTGCCTGGGCTGATCAGTAATGGGCGAAAACCCTCGCTCAACCTTCTTCGCGGGCCCAACTAGTTGAGATTGGCAACAACATCCCTGGTTGTTAGAAGCCACTAATTCGTTAGGCCGGGAGTGGGTGACTCCCTGGAGCATTTCCGGGCTTCAGGAGCATCGATGAGGACGGGAAACTGGTTTAATTACTGGGAAATTCCTGTGTCCTGGACTCGTATGGTACTTGTGCAACTGAGATAGATACATGGACTCGCAGTCGTGGGGTCCTACCAGACTCCTGGCGAACTCGGTCCCAAATTGTATGAAGTCTCCACTGCTGCATGCCCAGGCCTCCACGATGTTTCAAATGGACGTGATGGAAACACCTTGGCCGCTATTTCATGCAGGGTACAGGACCTTTTTCTCGTATTGTAAAAGCTAGCGCGTCTCAGCTGATCTGCATTTCCACTGGCCCTGGGTGACTGAGGCTTCCAATAGCAACAGTCCATAGAGACCAGGAGCCTTGTAGGGCGCAGGGCTATAAAATGCCATCGTGGGCTCGACTGGGGAAACGCCAGGATCCAGGTTTCATTCCATCCCTTTTCAGACCAGAAACCGGTGAGAACTCCTGACAGTCAGACCATGGATCCGAAGGATTGCGAGGGCCAGAAAGGTTATGTCCTTGTTGGCCCCAAATATAGACCAGCCAGCGGAGGAGCTTTGATCACCAGCTGAATGAGATTTTGGGTTTGTGCTCCTCGATAGTGACAGCTTATAACGGACCGCACAGACTCTCGGTTGTCTTCCAGACTCTCCAGTGGCACGTTTCTCTGTCTTATTGATTTCCTCTCGCTCTGTTTCGGTACAAGTACGAGTACACACGTTCTTTGCTGTCGACTCGCTCTTCCTTACATACCCACCTTTCATTCTGTACCAGAACACTCCCCGTGTGCCCTTTCAAAGCCCGTCAAGCATCACAATGGATCAACAACAGCACAACCAGCAGCCAGTGGCTTCTGAGAAGTACGCCCAGGGCTATCCCAGCAACGGCGCCCCTCAATATCCACCCAGCGCTGTTGTTCAAGACCATCAGCAGCAGCCCTCTTACCAGCCTCACCAGCCTCATCAGCACACGCACTCCGCTGGAAGCCATGGATCGTGGACGTTTGGACTGTTTGACTGCTTCTCTCCATTTGGAACCTGTTCGTCCTCGGTGACCCTAGCTGAGAAGGTCACAAGGCTAATCAAGTCATCACTCCAGGCTGCTTGTCATGCTGGTGCCCTTGCATCCTCTACGGCAGGACTTACGCTCGTGATCATGGTGATCCAGACGCAAGCGGCATGAATGCATCTGTACGTCTTTTTCGAAACCTCGAATCGTTCCGTCAATCGCTAACAACCCCATTCAGTGCTGTGCGTGGTATATGTTGTCTTGCTTCGGGGCTCAATGCATTCTCCAGTGCCTCAACCGCACCTCCATGAGGGAGAGGCATGGCATCGAAGGTGGCAGCTGTGGTGATTTCTGCACTTCCTGCTGCTGCACATGCTGTGCATTGATCCAGGAGGACAAGGAGTCCATCGTCAGAAATACTGGTAAGGATCTAGCTCGAAGAAATACATGCTGTGCATGCAACATCCCTTACTGACCCCCGGTGCAGGTATCAATCCAAAGACGGATCTGCCGTACAACCCTCCAACGCAGATGACTTACCCATAAATCAAACGACTGGTGTCGAAGCAAGTTTGGTGATGGTTGTTTGTTCGTGGAGTTCTGGTTTGTTCATCGGCCGGACAATGTACCTTGTCAAAGCCCTCCGCCCTAGACCCTGAGTGGCTTCTTTCATCCTGTCACTGCAATAACTTGCAGTGACGTTGTCACACTATGCTGAAGCGTTCATCAAGGTAATATAATATCAGATTGAGACGTCTTCGGATGCTGGTTCTCGTGCAGATCGCTTGGACAACTGCCTGTGGCCCTCGAGATTACTATCATTGTCTGCTTCCTTCGCCGATCTACCACCATCTCTTTCATAGCGATTACTGTCCCTGACCAGAAGGTGCTGTTGTCGCTTGTTGGTCTCAAACGAACCTCACTATGCAACGTCTGTGTCGCAGCTATTCACTTGGCCTGCCCTTCTCTCGGTATAACCGTCACTTCTCCTGAGCCTTTCACTTCACTTTTCAACGCGCTATAAGTTTACCTCTCTTCTATTCACGCTCGTTGCTTCATTGAGACGCGTATGCCACGTGCATGTCACGGCTGATGACGCACTATACTTCACGCCCATCCTATATCAAATTTATAAATATACCTCCTCTTCTCTCAGATCAACACTTGGTTTGATTTCTTTGCTTCTTTTGCGACTGTCAATTTTCACAATCAGCCAAGATGGACCTCGGTGACATCTCAGTCCACCCGCCACGAGTGCCTCACGGTTCTTCCATGGTCGACGTGATGGTTGGCAACATTGGCGGCACACGCGACGCAAAATTTTTCACAATTCATGACCGCCTACTCAGTGCCAGTTCCCCGGTCTTCAAAGATGCCATCGACAACTCCCATGACTTCTATCACGAGAGTATCAAGCTTGAGCGAAGCCACGGTGGGCAGCTTGGTATGAAAATTCCCGACGAAGAGGCTGCGATCTTTCAGCTTTTCTATGACTGGCTCTATTCTGGTCGAGTACCGGCATCTCTTGGCCAATACCTCACCCGTGATTTCCAGTCTCCCGATGAATTCTGGTGGGAGGTGCTGCTTTTCGCCGAACGATATGAGATTAGCCGCTTGACCCTCCTGGCTACTAACAGTCTTCAAGGACTTTTCTCCTCCAACGAACCCCTGGTTCCAAGCAGCGACTTCATGGGCCGGCTTTTCAGTGACGATGTGGAAGAGCATTCGTGTCTGAGAAAGTATGTCAGTCAGCATGTCGCATTCTGGCTTGAGAAGTCCGCAGACCGGGAAATATGGTACGCTCGAATCCAGACACCTCAGGCGGCGGTGAATTACTTTGCCCATGCCGTTACTCGGAACGACGGATCACATCCCATGTTCTCAAAAGACTACACCCGCGATTGCAAATACGCATGCCCCCATTACATGGCTAGCATTTTGGAACAAGAGGACAAGGATCTCCGAGACAAGAGCTTTGATTCGCGACGTCAGATTGTGGAGCTTGGTCAGTCCCCAAAGAGAGACACGGATTCTCGAGAATTTCACTCACCTTTTAAACAGAATCTGCTGAACTGATTGAGCCAATCTCCGAAGACGATGACACCGGTACGGTCAAGGATGCAATCCCACAAGCCAAATCATCTCATACCAAGCTCGAGGACGAAACCTGGAAAGACACTGCGTCTGCACCAGTTACAAACGACGGCCCATCACGACCACCGTCTCGAGTCATCAGTGAGCACTCGCCCTTGTCAAACTCGAAGCCGACCACCGCAGCACCGGCATTGGACTGGGGAGAGCCATTTACACCGGTTCGCGACGATGCACAGCACAACAAGGAGTCATGGAACACGTCTTGGGCTACGCCGATCAGGGAAGCCGCTCCTCGTACCATTCCCGCCACCACTCGCCCTGAGACACCGACCAATGTTGGCCAGAATCCTGACCCATTTATCGAGCCGAACCGCGCCGGTGTTGCAGTGGACAATGCATGGAACGTGCGACGACCTGTGGTGCCAGGCCCTCATGCTGAGTTTGGTGCTCAGCTCGCTCGTTGGGGTACTCGACCATTGTATGTGCCTGTTCCGGTTCCGTTCCACGGCGCCGCTCCTCCTGCCGTCCCATATCGCATCCCTGGACCGGCCCCAGCGAATCAAGCTCAAGTTGTGCGACACAGTTTCAGTACGCACTGGAATCCTCCAACGAGAGTCGCTGCACCTATTTCCTTGAGAAAAGACTGGGTTGGTGCTAACCGTAACGACAACTGGGAGCTGCCCAGTCAACCTCCGCCAGCCAGCGAGAATGGGGGCAGACGCGGCCAGCGTGGTAGTCATGCCAAAGGAAACTCTTCCTGGATGAAAAACGGCGGTGGCATGGCAGCACAGGACGACTGGAAATCCGAAGACGCATCGTACATTGACGAGTGGGCTGCTAGAGTTGCTGGAGGTTGGGATTAGCATGAGCGTACCGTGACAAAAGAGTCCTAATCTTAGGGGTTACAGGCTACGAGGCGAGGGCAAGAAGGTGAAGAATGTGGTGTTGCTGGGGGGTTTTGTCGATGAGCCAGTCAAATGAGTATTGATTGTGGCTGGAATCCATAGCGAGTCACTGCTGCACTCGAAACGTTCTGCTGCATAGCTGAGAACGAAAACATGAAGATCCCATTGAGTTGCATTGGATCCCATTGAGTTTCGAAGAATAGTATGTGAACTTGACTGATCCGAAAACCGGAGCCTGGCTCGAGTCTCCTTTTGAGGACCCTGGCTGCAATTCCCAATCCGGGTTAGCGTTCTCCGTATCGCCGTGAGACCCGCAGATATGCGTAACCTGGACATCCCGCGGTCTCTTATCAACAATCACCTCCCCTCCGCATCTCACCTGCCTGCGACTCCGAGCCTCTCATCTTTAGACCGATCGTTGCAGAGTTCATCTCTAACCAGGCATATCACTCATCGCTGGCCACCTCCATCTTCTCTCCAACCCACAACTGACGCCGGTCTCTCACCATGGGAAACGCCCAGTCCACCCGCGCAGACCCGCGGTCTCATGCCCGCAGCGCTCAGGACGACGCCGTCCTTGAAGCTCTCACCCAGCAGATCCGCAGCATTCGCCGTGCAGACCTTATGGACGCTCAAGACCACTCATATGTCCACGTTGCCCATGAAAAGGGGATCCCATCGACCTACTCGACCGACCCCCGCCTGTCCCTTAGTACGACGACAAACTGGGAGAAACAACTCCTCTCAGACCCCAAGAACCGCCTGGCTTTGAACGCGCTCTTGTCCAACGACGTGAAGACTATTATCGCCAACAAGGTCTCGACACTCGCCGATACCCAGACCTTCAACGTCAAGATCCCATTCGAGGGAGCGCCCGTCACAAACCAGAGATCAAGCGGCCGATGCTGGCTCTTCGCGACGACAAATGTCCTCCGCGTGCCCATCATGAAGAGATACAACCTGAAGGAATTTGAATTGTCCCAATCATACTTGTTCTTCTGGGACAAACTGGAGAAAGCCAACTATTTCCTCGAGCAGATCGTCGACACGGCAGACGAAGACCTCGAGAGCAGACTTGTGCAAGAACTGCTGTCGGCGCCCGTCAACGATGGAGGCCAATGGGACATGGCTGCAAATCTGGTGACGAAGTACGGTCTTGTTCCACAGAAACTCTACCCTGACTCGTACAACGCCATGCACTCGAGCCCGATGGGTTCGATCATTACGACCAAACTGAGAGAAGACGCCCTTGTCCTGCGAAGTCTGGTGGCCAAGAGCAAAGCAGCGAACGCGAAGACTAGACCCAACATAGAATCAGAACTCGTGTCCGTCAAGGCGAAGATGATGCAAGAGATCCACGGCATCTTGACCCTGATGCTCGGGCCCCCACCCAAGGCGGACGAGCCTTTCACCTGGGAATACTACGACGCCAACGAAAAGTACCACCGCGTGACCAAGACGCCACTGGAATTCGCAAAGGAGATGTCGTCGCCCTCGCTCGTTCGATCACTGGGCACGAATGTAAGCGAACTGTTCAGTCTGGTCAACGACCCTCGCAACAACTACAACCAACTACTGACCGTCGATCGACTGGGCAACGTCGTCGGTGGCCGAGGGGTCACGTATGTGAATGTCGACATGACGACCATGAAGAAGGCGGCCATCTCGATGCTGAGGGCCGGTCTCCCCGTGTTCTTTGGTAGCGACGTGGGCAAATTCAGCAATTCGAGCTCTGGAATCATGGACCCGAATCTGTACGACTACGGTCTCGCGTTCAACATCAACTTGGGCCTGAGCAAGAGCCAACGTCTGCGCACAGGGGAGAGCGCCATGACGCATGCCATGGTGTTGACGGCCGTGCAAGTCGAGGACGGCAAGAGTGTCAGATGGAGAGTCATGAACAGCTGGGGCGATTCAGCTGGGGAGAAGGGCTACTTTGTCATGACTGACGCATGGATGGACGAGTTCGTGTACCAGATCGTTGTCGATCCGGCGTTTGTGAGCAAAGAGATTAAAGATGTGTTGGACCAGGAGCCAAAAGTGCTTCCATTGTGGGATCCTATGGGTGCTTTGGCTTGATTTTAGAAAGTTTGTTGTTACGACTACCACGACCCGACTATACGAGGTGCAAGCTGCGAGGTGTCGGTTTGTTTGTTTTTCGGTCTTCCACAAGTAGGAGTATAGCGATGAGCAATGTCGAGCAGCCTGGTTACGTGATCTTCATGAACGTGATGTTGCAGTCTATCACTGAGAGCAAGAGTTGAGTAGATTACGAATTTCAGTAACATCATCAGCATTCCATGACGAATATCATTCCGTACTCTGGAGTTCCACAGAGTGTCTGTAATGTGCCCCACTTGCGCACATCTTTCATATCAAAGGACATTATTGTTTGTGCAACATTCAACAGCACCGGTTACCAAGAATGTGTCCATTATTACAGGTAACCAACAGAAATCCAAGTGCAGGTCAAGCACAAGCACACTTGTTGTCAGAAAAGAAATAGGCTTCTGTCAGTATGTTGCTTGTTAGCGTTCTGCTCTCGGGTTTCAGGGGTCGCTCATGATGGCAGAAATAGACCGGACCAACTTTCGAATTTCTCTCTAGCTGTTTTCTGTCCTTCGGCTTTTGATACTACGCTACACTTGAGGATAAGTTACCAAAAAGATTCCTTCAATGTCCTCCTTTCCAGCCAATGTAAGCTTGGAGAGCTGGATACCCCGTATAGCCTTGTCCCTGGAAGTATAGGGGGAATTAGTGTTTTGGCCTACCGAAGTCACAATTGTGACACTGCATGACTAACTAGTAGATATACCTGGGTATCCTTCAAATTACTGCAAAGCCTTTTGTGTCACCTGCCTGCGACCTGTCAGGTTGTCAACAAGACAGAGGACTTGAAGTCCTGTCCAATTACCCAAGGTATTCGATGACACGTTGTGAGAAGACGTCGGGAAGTTTCTGTACATACACCAAGCACAGCACGGAATGGTACATGACAGTTTGAAGCAAGGGAGTAGACCTCCCGATGTAACCATTAGAGGCTTTCTCTGGAGCGCCGAACTGATCCGGATGGCTCGAAGTACGTCAAAATGATAAACAAGGGATGTCAACAGATGTTCTAGACTCATCGGACGCACATACCAATGAAAACGGCACGGGCACCCACCGGCACATACATACCAGGTCAAGTCAAGTACAAACGTCTCAGCCAGCCGCAACACACAAGATGAACGAGACTGCTTTTCAAGGTGGGCTCATCGTTGTTGTTATCACATATGTGTCATTCCTTTCTTCTTTACGCGATGCAGGGGGCTCCTCTAGTGAGAAGATCCGTCAACTTTACACAATGACACCGCCACCAGCCTTCTTGTCACTCTCACGGATGGACTGGCTGGCCGGGTGAGGCAGGAACAGTTCATACATTCATGATCGACAGTGGTGAGGAACGACTTAATTAGAGGAAGCATCTTCGCTCCCTTTGCCTCTATAATAGATGGGAATCCGCCTCCTCGTCATCGAGGTCAGACTTGTCTATCCATCATATTTAACCCTCAACGTCACCACCCATTCCTGCGAGTTGCATAACCTCATCCCTACATACATACATACATACTGCAAAGGGGCAAGAAGGTTGGAAGAATAACGACTACAGACTTGCTTCGCAAAAGCGTCACCTTCGCCACCATCATTGAGTTTGCAGGGCAACTGCCATATCACACACAAGATGCTGCTCAAACTAAGTTCGCTCTACATGCTCAAAGATCGATGGCGGCAGGTCGAGTATCCCACGCACATCACCGTCAGCCTGCCTCGTTTCTTCAATCCCAAAACGCTATTGTTTCCTGATGGCCGCGGGGCCGAAAAGAAGCAACAGCAGTCTGAGCCTGAACGCTCTCCTCCATCATCTTCATTCCCATCAGCATCATCAACAGCATACCTTGACGCTCTTCGAGGGTACGCGGCGTGGATTGTCTTTCTAGCTCATGGCTGGGACGAGTTCCATTTCTCCGCAACTCGACAACCCATCCTATCCATCATCGTAGCCGCAAAGTCCATGGTCGCTCTGTTCTTTGTCATCTCAGGCTACGTGTTGAGCTATCGACTCCTCGTCATGACGCATGACCGTTATCACCGTCGTCACCGTCGTCACTACCACCATCGTCGTCAAAGCCTCGACATCGACCTTAGTCACGACCACGACAAAATACTACAGACTCTAGCCGGCTCTACGTTCCGCCGGGGAGTGCGGCTATGGGGCTCGAGCATATTCGCACTCTCCATCTCAGGGCTGTTGGTCTGCATGGGCTGGGACGGAGGGTACGGCGACGACAGACTACGGAAGGACACGCTCTGGGAACAAATCGCAGACTGGTTCCACAGACTCGCGTGGTTCATGAACCCGTTCGTCGAAGTGGACGGATACTTCTGGGGCGGCACGCTGCAGAACGAGTACCTGGGACCAATGTGGACGATCCCGGTCGAGATCCGAGGCAGCATGATTTTGTTCTTGTTTCTCGTGGCGACTTGCATGATGAGTTTCCGCAAACGAGCCATCTTGACTTGGACCACGATACTCGCCTGTTACTTCTGGACGAAGCTTTACGTAGCTCAGTTCTTGATGGGGATGGCCATCGCCGATGTTTCATTGAACCGTCAATACCACTACCTGCTACTCCAGCAGCAGCAGGAGCTGGATCAGGAGCGGCGACAGCGATACTCTCGTCTCAGCACCACCGGCAGCCGAGAACCCTCTTGTTCACCTTTCTACGTACACTCGCGCACCGCATCGTCATCGTCATCGTCGTCATCCACCGGTTCCTTGATCGAAGATCCCTTGGAGCATTACCCCTCGGTGTTGCCCTTGTCGTCGCCGTCGTCAATGTCGTCGTCGGACAATGACGAGTTCGCCACGGCACCGTATCCAGTCCAAAGCCGACGGTCAAAAATCATCTGGATCGCCGTGTTCGCCACCGGCATCTTCCTACTAGGTCAACCGGATCCCTCCAGCGGCGACGACCTTGGCGTCTTTGGCGACTTCCCGTGGAAATACCTCCACGCCGTGATCCCGTCGCAGTACGACAACTCCTTCGCGCAGACCTACTTCTATCTCGGCATCGGCGGGTTCCTCCTCATCCTCGCGCTCGAGATGTATCCTGTCTTGCGCACCCCCTTGAACACGCCGTTCAGCCAGTACGTCGGAGACCTCAGTTTCGGCATTTACGCCATGCACCCCATCATCGTCATCATGGTCATCCGCCAGTGGTACGAGCCTTGTGTGCGCGCCCAGCTCTTTGGCCATGGCTTTTGGGCCCACGTTCCGGGTATGGTCCTGACGCATGGGCTCGTATTTACGTGCGCAGACTATTTCAGTCGTGTCGACTACAGGGTCGTGGTGCTTGCACGCAGAGTACAGGCTTGGTTTTTCGATGGCTAGTTCGATGGCTAATTAGCTTGCCAGTTTGTTTCCGTCACCGTACATTCTCGCTCTTTTACGCTAATTAACTAAATACTTGATATGCAAGTATCGAGTGACGAGTCTAACCAAGTTAGTAGCTCCGTATGCTCTCCGGGACCCGTCCACGTCACTCGTACTCCATTGCTCTTGTCTCTCGCGTTCTTATCTGCCTACTTCTTTGGGTCCTTTCCCCTGCTCATCGCCAGGTCTTCATCTCCTCGAACTCGCTTGTTGTTGTTGTTGTTGTTTGTCTCAACGTCGTGGAGACAATGGCAGCATCAGCTTTTCCTCGTCCGTGACTCCCGCAAGATCAGAGCGATCATCTAAAAACCCAAGCCGGCAACCGTACCTGTTCGCTTCTTGAAGCTCGAAAGACTAAGCTTTATTTTCACAGTTTCATCGCGACATCAGGTATGCACGGTCTTGTCGAGTCTCACTCCAAGCGCGCCGCAGCAGAATACCGTCGATCCTTGACAGAACAAACCACTTCGCCAACCCTGGCAGCGTATTTATTTGGGACCAATATGAGAAGGGGCACAACGCTGCTTGCTATGAAAAGCGAGAAGTGTGTGTCTTGTGAATGAAATCTCTGTTCTGACACGAGCCCCTGTAGACCGTCAGGTCATCCAGAGGTTCCCATTGACTGAAGATCGCGCTCGAATTGCTCGCGCAACACTCCACCTCCAGAAGCATAGGGTCAATAAAGTAAGTGGGATGGCTATAGCGAAGCCGGAGTATAGCCGTTTATGTCGATGGCTATGAAGTCGCGGCCAGGGGATATAGCTATCTTTGACGGAGATGTCAGTCTGTCAGACTGATGAGAACCATCGAGCTACCCTGACACTGGGGGGGTTCGGGAATCTGGTAAAGTAGCATCTACGATGTGTTCAGCAACTGTTGTAAGCTCGACACCCATGTGTTTGGGAACCATACCTCGAATGGATTTTGACTCGACAGGATTTGAAAGATCGCGTTGGAACTAGCTCTGTGAGTCAGGGTAGATCCTTTGCGGGATCCTGCCCTTTTGGAGGGGTTGATTGGTAGGTGATAGATGATCGAAGCAATGGGCCAGCGAGTCCAAAGCGGCCACAAGAAGAGGTCATGGCTGCTCTTTTCGCCATGGGAACACTTCAAACTGCCCTCGGGGCTCCAGTGCGCAACAGTGAAAGGTTTTTTGGAAATCCGTCGCTCCGCTCCTCCACTCTTGGGGCCAGTAAACCCTGCTTGTGGACGTCTTGATGCCTGAATCTCGAATAATCCTCTCCGCATCGCCGTAGGACAGAAAGTCGGTCAACGCTTCACAGCACCGGTTCCGATAGTATGTTTGCTCGCTTTCGAACCACGCCCCCCAGGCCATGATCTCATGGAGTGCACCTTCTGACGCCCGGCAATAAGCTTTTCAGGTTTAGAAAGACCCGCTATATTTATTTTTGAATCTGGGAGGTGCAGAACTGGGTGTAAGATTTCTAGACGTATGATGACCAGGCGTCTTTACCTCGAGCAACCGTTGGCTTTAGCACCAGCACAGTAGTGGTTCGGCCCGCTGCGAGGTCCTACCCGCTCGGCTCGCCTATAGCGGCACTGGAATGACAGAACCCTAGAAGGACAAGAGTGACGATAGTCGCTTTTTGAGGAGGACTGCACTCTACAGAACGAAAGCTTGCAGCCTGATATGACTAGGAGGGGTTTTTTTTTCATACTTGACGGGGGAGTGAGGGAAGCGGTCGTCGAGTGATGGGTCGAACGAAGGAGTCCGACGCCGAAAAGCGTTAAAGATGGAACGGTTGGTCCTCGCTTGGTTTTGGATCCTTTTTTTGGTGCTGCACGCGGTGAAGAAGTTCAGGATGAAGGGTGAGAGTGAACGTGAGAGAAAGGCTGAGTGATATCCAAAAAGCAACAACGGCCTAACTAGTCGAGTCGCAGGTGGACTCGGCACAATTACCCATCTTGGCTGGAAGCTGATATCCTACAAAGTATCACTGTATCACGGTATCACAGTGTGTCGAATACCTTTGATTCATAGCTTACCCCAGGTATAGGTATTGGAATTTCAAAAAATGGAATATCAGGGCATGGGAAATGCTTGGACAGTTAACACAACTCTAGGTCAGAAACTTAAAAACCCCAGCTTACTTCATCTTACCCCGTACGATACTACGCTACGCTTCTTACGATAAAACCAAGATCAAAGATTTGGCAGTCCAAGGTTCGGAGGCGTCTTCAGGGGGTTGGTGGAGTAGAAACGAAACCATCTGGCGTCTCCCGTCCGTGACACTGGAAATGCTGATTCTTAATACCCTCTCTGTTTGCTCCATCGACCGTCTCTCAACACCGTCCGGGTCTCTCTAGATCGACCTCCACATCGACCATGATAAGGATCCACAAACGATCTACCGAGGGCTCCTCAAATGGTAACGAACTAGGCTAACTAGCTACTTAGTCTCCCATCTTGGAGATTCCCTAACCAGTGGCACTCATACTCTTGGCCGCGACAATCACCACCTGCGTCCCACCCGGCTGCGGCACCATCTTCTCCATCTCCAGACCGTCGACCCCGTCGATCAACTCGTGCCACGCCAGGACGTCCCTTTCCATCCCGTTCATCGCGGCCATCTGGAACAAGTCTCTCGCGCATTCCAGTGCTTCGGATCGCTTCTCCACGGTGCCCCGATCATGGACGAGGAAATTGTTGATGACGATCTTCGCACCCGGTTTCATGACGGCCACGATGTGCGATAGGATCTCTTGACCCTTGCGAGTCGGCCAGTTGTTCAAGACGAGCCTGAGCAAGAAGACATCAACTTCTCGGGACGCGTCGGGCTGGGGCTGGAAGAAGTCATGCTCGACGAAATCTACCCTCTTGTCCCGGTCGGCGGTATCTTCGGCCGCGGCAGTCGTCGTCGTCGTCGTCGTCGTCGTCGTCGTCGTCGTCGTCGTCGTCACAGCTGCTGCTGATTTGGCTCTAGCGATCATAGCAGGAAGATCCTGTACCGTGAAGCGCAGCAGCGGGAACTTCGTGGAAAGGTACGTGCTGACATGGCCTGTTGCGCCACCGACCTACGCGCACCAACACTCTGATATAAGCACACGGATCGTACCTTTCACCGCACGTACAGTGACTACATTGTACACCTCTCGGGGGTTGGGACCAAGGTAATTCGGTACTCACGTCGACAACATGTGCCTTTCCCAGACTGGCCCAGTCAAAGGCATTGGCGAGAAACTGCGGACTGGTGTCCTCGGCCGTTGACACGAATCGCATCCCGGCGCCAAAGCGTTTCGTGAGCTCGGCATTCTTCGCCACGTACGCGTAGAACGACTCGTCGGTCCGCATTGCAATGTTGAATGCTGTCCGTCCGGGTCGTCCACTGTCAGGCTCGGCTCCGGACGACTTCTTGACTCTGACTGCCTCGGACAAACACTTCATCATCGGTGCGAAGAATCCCGTCTGCAGCAGGACGACCTGGCGATAATCCTCGTTCCGCGCGAAAGCGAGGGAATACGGCGTATGCGCAACACGTCCAGGTGTCGGCTCGTCGAAGAGGTCTTGAGTCATGGCGAACCGCAGGATTCGACCAAGGTCTTGTTCCGGCACTCCAGCGGCAATCGCCAAGTCTATGTAACTTATGGTAGCACCATCGCTCTCCGGCACCAGGTTCGGGATGTTGAATTCCAGGAGCCATTTGAGGCATGATTCAGCGCAGAACTTGGTAAGAACTTGTCATCAGCCGTCTAGCCGTACCCTAACATACCTTGTCAAGCAAAACAAGGCGAGGCGAGGCAAGGCAAGGCAGTCTGTCCCAGCGTGTTACTTGGTGTGATGGATAAACTTACATTAATCGTGGTCTGTTCCCAGTGTTCAGTCGGTCCGGCGACAAGGTTTAGCCAGCTGGCTATGCTGTCCAGGAGAGTCCGACGGCTCTGTCGCAACGTTGCCGTTACCAAATGTGTCTGCGCATCTTGGTGCTGTTGGCTCTGACTCGCTGCGTCGTCGAGACACTGTTGGTAACGGTGCGCCGCATCGACGAATTTTTGAATCTCAGCTTCAATATCACCATGTGCCATAACGCTGAATCTTTAATATAACTAAGTTATACACAAGGCCACACACACAGTTTGCTTTTTCCTTTTTTCCAGATGTTGGCTGCTATTGATGATCGATACAGAAACACTGCGACATTGAGTGACCGAAGGGAGGAGCGCATGGGGGAAAAAACGGAGAGAGAAACAACAAGCAATGTCGAATGAAGGCTCAACAGCCACAAAACGTCTGAGAAAAGCCTCCGAGGAAATCGTCAATCCATCTGGGCACTCGTGTACCACTATACTTGAAGTGTCGCAGACTGGAGGTCATTGGTTGGGGACGAACCACCTCTTCTTGACTTGTCCGCAGTCCCATATGGAGTAATGACTTGGTTCTGGAACTGGTTCTGGCGTCTCTTGGCTGGTCCCCTCTCCGTCACGGCCAGAACCATTCGCACTCCGGTCTCCCACGTGCCCAATCAGGTCATCACAGAACAAGTTTACATACAGGTGTAAGGGTCCAAGTGGCGTCACGCAAAAGGCTGCTTGTCTCAGTGGCGGTGAGTTGGGAACACGAGGCCCAGCCGCATTGTGACCCCGGACGTACCAAGTTGAAGTGCTTGGTGGACGAGTTGCTGGCCGGGGTTGAAGGATTTTTCTGGTCGGTCACGTGTGTTCTGATGTGTTTGGCTCTCTCTCCTGAGTCACGTGACGCCGTCTTTGATCCCCCGGACGCGTAGATTCCCGAGGCCAAGGAAGGTACACAAAGTGTTGAATGTTCTCGTTCTCGTAGTCACAGCTAGTGCGGTCAGTAAGTCATTGGAGTCGTAGGCTCTACGGTCCAAGTACGATATACTTCCCGCAAAACCCGAATATCGAACAAAACCAGGACGGAGTAAAGATGATTGTATCACATGAGTATTATCTGCTCAGTACCCCAAGGACTCCGTCCTCGATCTGTTCTCGATTACCTTTGGAAAAGAAACCCCTATGGGAAAAAGCAAGAATGCATCTCTAGCCCAACGCCGTGCCATGCCCGTAAATGCCATGCAATCGCTGTAATCTGAATAATGCTCATTGATCATCGATAATTTCATCTCAGGCCATCATAAACCACGAATTGAAACCAAGAACAACAGCCAACCTCCCTCTGTCGAGTTTAGCGCGTCCATGATCTCAATCCTCCCAACTCTTCTCCACCGTCTCGCGCACCCTCTTGACATATTCCTTCCTGTTGTCCTTGTAGAGATTGCTCGCTTCGACGTTGGCGGGAGACGACGTATTGGGATCGTTTAGGAGGGACTGAATACTCGTCAAGATGGCGGCGACATCATAAGTGGGCGACCATCGGTTCTGCAGGATATCAAGACACAACTCGCCCGTGCCGTAGACGTTGGGATGAAACATTTGAGACACGAATTTCACGCCCGGTGGCTTGTTCGGATAAGCCTCTTCAAACTGCATGACCAGGCGGAATGTGCCATCTTCAAAGGGCGTGTCAGCTGGACCGATTATGACCGCGTTCCTGGAGGAGAGTACAGTGTTAGCATTCACGATCATGGTCCTCGTGGTTGTCGGCGGTGGCGGGCGGCGAATCCAAGTGAGAGCCGAGCGACGAGAATAATCAATAAATCTGCACCACAGGACGAGAAACTCACCATGTCATCACATTGTCTGCTATCGGAGACGCGGAGACTCCGGCTGGAGGATCTGTTTGCATGCGCTGTAGAGTGGCCATGTCAGTTGAGTTCGGTTCCGTAGCCTGGGTCAGGGAAATTTGGGTCGGATCCGGAGGGGGGAAGCGGGTGGGCGTGGGCTGTTATCGGATAATGAGGACACGCGAGAAGGGAACTGACTTACCTTGAAGTCTCGCATCAGACGACGCCGCGCTGAGGTCGACATCTTGTGGGGTTGTATGAGAGGAGGGATGAGACGTTTGTTCGATGCAGCTCGAGGGTCGAGATGTGAGGAGGGACTCTTTCGACGAAGGATTGTTTGAATTCACACGATGTGTAGAGTGATTCATTCCCAGTTTCGCCGCAGGCACAAGACAAGAAACTGCGGTATGGCAGGAAGTCGCCGCTTTTACAGCGGGGGATGACGAAGAAGCCTGTGGCGTGGCTGTGAATGGTTAGCCTCGTCGTTGAGATGGTCTTCTAACTGTATCCGGTTAGCGTCCTATAGGCCGGGTCTCCTCCGGTCTTTTGGTGCTGGAGCCGAGGATGAAAGGTCGATTTTCCCCCGATTCCGTGCTACATTTTGTTCATCTGCAGAGTTCAGAGTCTCTCCCACGGCTCCCACTCGGGCGGACCGTCTACTGTAGGCGTTTATATAATAGAGATCCCTTTCTGTTCGCATCCGAGAGTCCTCGTGGTCAGAAGCGTCCAGAGCCTGTAGAGTTTCCCTCGGAGCAGGTCTTTCACATTCCGCGTTCCCCGCTTGTAACCGACAAATCGCCCTGTCAAGTTGTCGACCACCCGGTGCATGTGCCACGACCCCAGCAAGGTATACATACCTTGATACCCCCCCCCCGTCGTCAAGCTGGCTTCCTCAACCCTTACCTCGCCCTCGTCTCCGTCCACACTCGACGACATGATGACTTCGTTACCCTCGACCGCAGTGCGGGTGGCTTCGCGCTCCGCCTCGGCTACATCGGCTGCGCGCCTCTCGCAGATGCGTTCGCACTTCTCTACCTCGTCCGCCACACGCAGAGAAGTCGGCGAAGCCTACATCATCTCGGCGGCACGAACGCCGACGGCCAAGTTCAATGGCTCCTTCGTGTCCCTGTCAGCACCGCAGCTCGGCGCCGTCGCCATCAAGTCGGCCATTGAAAAGTCCCGCGTGCCGGCCTCCAAGATCTCCGACGTGTACATGGGCAACGTGCTCTCGGCGGGCGTGGGCCAGTCGCCTGCGCGCCAGGCGGCGCTGTTCGCGGGTCTCAGCACGGCCACCGAAGCCGTGACCGTCAACAAGGTGTGCGCAAGCGGGCTGAAGGCGGTCGTGCTCGCGGCGCAAAACATCCAGCTCGGGCTCGCCGAGGCGCAGGTCGCAGGAGGCATGGAGAGCATGTCGCGGGTGCCGTACTACTTCAACCGCGCGGCGCAGCAGCCGGCGTTCGGCCACGTGGGCATGAAGGACGGCCTGATCGAGGACGGCCTCTGGGACGTGTACAACCAGTTCCACATGGGCAACTGCGCCGAGAACACGGCGAAGAAGTTTGAAATCAGCCGCGAGGCGCAGGACGAGTACGCCATCCGCAGCTTCGAGCGCGCCCAGGCGGCCTGGAAGGAGGGCAAGTTCAAGGAGGAGATCGCCCCCGTCACCGTCAAGAGCAAGAAGGGCGAGACCGTCGTCAGCGAGGACGAGGGGTACAACAACCTCAAGAAAGACAAGGTGGCCACCCTGAAGCCGGCCTTCGTCAAGGAGGGCGGCACCGTCACCGCCGCCAACAGCAGCACCTTCAACGACGGTGCGAGCGCCTTGGTTCTCGGCAACAGAGAGATCGCCCAGCAGTACGGCAAGGACAGCCGCGTGCTGGCGAGGATCGTAAGCAGTGCCGACGCCGCCATCGACCCTGTGGATTTCCCCATCGCACCGTCCAAGGCCGTTCCCATTGCACTGGAGCGAGCCGGCTTGAAGAAGGAGGATATTGCCATCTGGGAGTTCAACGAGGCCTTTGCGGCCGTGATCAAGGCTAATGAGAAGGTGAGTCAACCACACACCACTATACCCCTTCGCTCCTGTGCCCATAAATTCGTCCCACGGACAATGAATTGTCAAAAGATGAATAAATTGAATGAATAACTGACTGACTATTCGATCCATCAATAGATTCTCGGTCTTGAAAACGCTCAAGTCAACTTACTCGGCGGCGCCATCTCACTGGGCCACGCACTCGGCAGCTCCGGTTCGAGAATCTTGACAACGTTACTGCATCAACTGAAACCGGGCGAGTATGGCGTTGCTGCGATTTGCAACGGCGGCGGTGCCGCCACAGCTGTGGTCGTGCAGAGAATCGCCAGTGTCGAGTAGAAAGGGGAAACGAAAAGTTTTAAACGTGCGGTACCAACGACATCGCTTCGGCGGCGGTATGTTATATATAAACGTCATGAGTCCGAACCCGGGTACGGGGGAGAATCGATATCTCATGTGAGGAGCCCACCCAGGCCCGGCCAGATCTGGACGACAGAGCGAGATGAACGCAAACAAACAAACAAACAAACAAGCGCACAATTGAAGCCATGGCAGCATAGCGATGGCGTTGTATTTATCTAGGTAGCTTAAAGTACAATAAGATGGTCTATACCAAATCTTATCTTTTTAACCCTTTGAGGTACAAGAAATTGCGACTAATACGACGTTTTGGAGAAAGAATATTTCCTATGTCGTGTATTCGTGCTCTAGGCTTTTGGGTCTTGTTCGACAACAAAAGCTCGAGCACGTTGATGAGCGAGACACATGGATTCGCCGTGGCAGCATACCTCATGAGTGCCGACGGCCACCTCAGGTGGGTCACTTTCTTCTACCTAACTAACCCATGATATATAATAATAAATCAGGTCTGCAGCATTCTCTCGGGTCAGGAAGCCCGCTTCATTTCACACCCTTGGCCAGAAAACTACCAGACCCCATAAATATATCTCTGAGGAAGCTCAGGAAACAAAATAAAAACCTTCGGCCCTGGCTCGTCTTCAAACACAGGGTCAACGTTGGAAAAACAACAACAGAAACAGAGAAACATCCGGATTCAGTAACTCGTGACTTTCGAGAAAAGAAAGAAGAAGCCCACCATCCCCAAGGCCAGACGGTTTCGAACAACATCTCTGCCGGTGGTGTGGCTGAAGTTGACCATGCGTGTAATAAGGTGAGATAGAAAAATAAGAATACTACTAAAAAGGAGAAGAGAGGAGGCAGTCGCAAACACCAACTAAGGGAGGGCCGTCGTTATGTGTATGGGGGTATATCAATTTGCCGTTTGTACACGGCAATCGCATGCAGATTGACGTTGCCGGAGTCTGTCGTTGTAGGTCGTTGGGACAGAATGCACTGCATCCTGGCTCTCTTGCGCTCGAAAAGATTTGTAGTAGGTGATAAAGACCGTACGGAACGCGGTTGACAAATCACACAGCCTCCGAGGGAGTCCTAGGCAGGCGCTTCAGGGACTTCTTCTTCAGCACTCGAGTGTCGGGTTTTCCCGGCACCGTAACAATGCCCACCACGTTCTCCCCTTCGCCGACAACAGGATGGTCATTCCGTACCGGCATGCGCTCTCCTTCGTACCTCAGTGTCGAGGATAGGTCCTGGAGGTCATCCCTCGTCGACAAGTAGTTTGGCACCTGAGGGTCGTATACAATACCGCTGCTGCTCCGCTTTGACCCGCCTGTCATCGATGCACGCTTGGTGAGATCGGGTTGGGACTTGCTTGAATGTTGGTACAGGGACACCTGTGGGTAGCCACTGGTAGTGGTCGTCGGATAGACCACAGGCTTGGGTGCTGGAATCTCCGGCACAGGAACTCTAGACTGTCGAAGGTTCTCTATCGCATTTTTCCGGGATATTGTTGCGTCTGCAGTGCGTGGTCGAGGAGCGATCGAGTATGCAGGTTGGTAAGATTGCGAGTAGCTTGCCGAGGCACGGAATGAGTCGGCGTCCTGGGCGAGGGGTGGTGTCGATAACGGGCTGGAACGGTATGTGGATGTTGTCTGAGAGGTTGAAAAGTTAGGTTTTGATGCCGCTGACGGAACATAAGATGGTCTTCGAGGTGTATCAGCAGCAGTCTGAGGGAAACCTTGGAGAGGTGTACTGTCGACGGGATTTATGGCGGCGTGATACGAAGAACGGCCAAACAGATCCGCTGAATTCGTGCTGACCATAGATTGATGTGGAGATCTCTCAGAGATCCGGGAAAGCGTATGTTGTGATCGCTGTGTCAATGGCGAACTAGGCATATTGTGCGTAGAAAACGACCTCGAGAAATTGACGGTCGTCCTTCGACTTGAGGGTGATGGACTGGGCGATACTGAAGAGGGTGTGATTTCCCAGCTTCGTGTTGTCGCTTCTTTGCTCTTCTCTGGAATTTGGATTGGCGTGACTGGCCGCATGTCGCGTCTTGTAGATCTTGACACAGGTCTTGACGATAGCACGGAGCTGGTCTCTAAATGCGACATTTGGTCCAACCGGGAATGCGATCTCTCTGCCATGACAGTATTCCACCATTCAAAGGGACTTCTCCTCCCGGTGATAGTCGAGTCATTATCGCCAAGTAGTCCAAATTGTCGCATCCCGAATTTTGAACCTGTCAGGGAGAGATGTTGGGAAGTAGGCACCACTCGTCCTCTGCGTACAGTCACTCGGCGAGTGGCACCTGTGAAAGTGTCGATATCGCCTCCTCGAGGCAGCCCGCGCCTGAGACACCATCGTAAAGAAACTGCGCCACCCAACAACAGGAGAGTCGAACCAACAACAATCAGAACAATGTACACCCAAAGCGGTAGACCAGTATTGTCGAGGAGAGTCGTCATGAAGAGAGATGGGGTGAAAAGTATGCGAGCAGCATCGAGTTGCTCGAGGATAATAAGTCTTGGCCGGTGATCGAGATTCGAAAAGAAGTTGAGCGAAGATCAGCCAGATGGTCAATGCTGAAGAGATATAATCCTCCGGTGGTGTGGCATGTGGCGGCCGTGCGCCAAAGAGACAGCTGCCCAGGAGGCCAGTTTCACCGGGTGGTGGTGGTGTGCACGGGAAAAGTTGACGTCCGCTTGACAGCACCTCTGAAGGGCACTGACTTGGAGCGATGGCTATTCCGAGACACGGCCAGCGAAGTCAGTTCACTTGCAACCTTCCAGCCAGACCAGAATGACAGGGAAGACGCTGGTATCTATCCAGAGGTATTTGGAAGTCGGCTGAAGGAAGAAACGAATGTATGAGACGTATAAGACAAACATGCGACTGCAAGGAGGGGGACCGGAAAAAGAGACAAATAGGAAGCCAGACTCGCTGCTGGTCAGACAGACAGGCGAAAGGGAAAACAAGAGATGCAGGTCACCGGTAGATGGTTGTCGACCGCATGACAAAGGGAACGAAAATGGAAGCTAACAAGGGAGGGTGCTGAACAACAGCTCGAGGCGGTGGAGGATGCAGGGTAAAGTTCACCCATACCTGCTAGCAGGTGGATACGCGTTGACAACCTTTAGGTCGAGGAGGCTTTCTACATATCTGAACCCTGGGGCCAGTCACAAGACGGCTTGTGGACTCAGAGACCAGAGAACGTCAATAATGGATGTCTGGAGATTCCTAGCCCTGAGCCTAACGTGTTGGACGACTGACTGACATGACAGGGGGGGATGGGGAAACACCTATTGTAAGTACTGTAGATAAGCATCCGGATATGGTAATGATGTATGGAGCAATGCCATATGCAAGCTCTTGAACGCTGCATGGTGTGGCAGATCGGTTCTCGCAGTGTCATGCATCACCTGGGAAAGGATTCCATGTCACCGACTTTCAGAAACCATGCTCAGTAGATTGTAATCTGTAAACATGTCAAATCGCTAGAGGACGGACAGAAAATGACGACACGCCGTTCGCCTGAAGCTCAAAGATCTTGACGAACCGAATAAGGGTATCGACGATGAGCGAGAAACAAGTCTGCGAGATGGACACAAGAGAATGCAAGAAAGAACAGGCGAGGCGGAGACGGGCATCGGGATACTCGGGCAACTCTGAAACGAGACAAAGAAGGCAAGGAGACAAAGCACTCTGCAAGGGGTACATGCTTCTGTGGGGATGGGATTGGAGGGCTCACTAGGCCTCAACAGCCACCGTTCACCAAGGCCACACAGATCGTCAGGAACCGGCGTCGCATGGACTATCGAAGCCTTGACAGGATTAGTGGAGAGGCCACCAGGATTGTGAAACGATAGCGAACAAAAAGACAGCGTGCCTGTCATCCTGCATGCGAGGAAGCTTGCCGAGAGCGCGGACTGGAGGAGATGATTGGGCTTCAGCGAACGAGGTTTTTGTCAAACCCTCGTTCCGGTGTGTGGCTCGCTGGCACCCTGAGAATTGACCGAGTGAAGAGAGTGGCAAGTCCTAATCAGTGATACTGATGAGAGAACGAGGGCGACGGCAGGACGACGGCAGGACGACGGAGGCTAGCCACGGCCAAACGGTCGCTGCGGATCCTCCCTCCTCGCCTAGCTTAGCCAGCCTCTTTGAAGGAGCGGTGTTGCGCTGGGGTAGAGAGCTTTAGCCACCAGCACCCATCATTCTATGGGACCGCGAGACCTTGAAACGACCCAAAGGTGCAGGGACATGGCTGGTGGGCGTAGCTTGGAACTTGAGAGGCGGACTCGGCACGCTACCTCCTCACCATCCAATTTCCATAATCCTCTTTCCTTGCTTTTCAGCAGCAATCGTGGTTTTTGGCCCGATGAGATGCGGCCGGTCATGGCGCTCGGTCAGTCGACGTGATGCTCCGTACAGTACAGAATGCATGTTCTGTACTTCTCAGCCTGACAGTGACATGCGCGCTTTAGTTGATCCCTCTGACAAGCGAGATGAATGGGCACCCATGAGCTTGGACGGAAGATCTCCCTTCGTAAAAAGGTCATCGTAGGGTCGGCACGAGATGACTGTTACTCCGGGCCGCGGTCTGGTACAACAGAACCTTTGCTCTTGATCAAATTTTGAAACGAGATTGCCGGCCGACGGTCGTGTGGATTTGGAAAATGCACCGACCAAGATGCTGCGTACAATATCATACTTAAATGGATCTGAAACCGGCACTTGGGTCTTTGAGCTGCTTTAATGCTTGAAGGAATGCGCGTAAAGTTGCTCTGCCCGCTGTGGACAGCAAAAAGAGTAGTATGGATACACTCCACAGAGTGCCCAGCACGTCGAAGAACATACGGTTTATATGAAGAGGCAGCGCTAGCATTCCAGTGGTACGTAGTACCTCTCAAGCATATCTCGGCGTGCTCAGCGTCTTCAAGCTCATCGAGCCGTCTCTTCTCACTCAGACCATGAAACCCAGCCGAAACCCCTTGATGCTGAGGAAAAGCTACGAATCAGGAATAGGACTCAAAATTCGAAGTGTAGACATTTTCGCTGGCCCGTTACGAGGCCGCACTGTAGTCTGGAGGGACCACCCTGGAGATTGTGCTGGCGATGTTTGTCGTCGGATGTGGGAGCCTGGGAGGCCACCAAGCTTGCTGGAGAGTCGTTTACCGTGGTAGGGATGCTGGATACGCGATCCGTTTGGATGCATCTCTCGCCATTGCACTACAGTATTACTCGAATTACTCGAGCGCAATGGCAGTGACAACGGCCCTGAAAGATCGGATGGTTTGCTTGTGCGCTGATTTCTCTCCCACGGGCGTTCGTCCGCGATCGTAGGAAGAGGACATCAACCAACATGGATATACATTGGTGGTGAATCCAGTGCTGAGCGACATGGCGCCGTCAAGGTGGCTACTATCGGGGACAATCGCATTGTCTTGTATGCAGTTCTCCGTCTTACGGGCAGAACACGCTTTTCCCGTGGCGCGCTCGGTGTCATTGTGATGCCTGAATTGGCTCCCCCAGTCTCTGGCTGGCGTCGACCGAAATGGCACGCGGACCGCTCCTTTGCTGCTCGTTGTTCGTGCCAACTTTTTATGGGGTACGAGAGTTTGCGGGCGTTGACTTCATATTTTTCGCGGGCTTCAGCATGACTGAATTTTGCATAGCCACATAGGCTGAGATTGAGATATACCGGTAGCCATTGTTGATCACTCGACTCACTCTGCAGCATGTGGGTGTTGTCCTGATGCTTCCCTGTCTGTAGACTATTGTGCTTCGAGAGTGGCTCACTCACGGCTTTGGCTTCTCCGTCCGCCTGTGCCTGCGCCTGTGCCAACTCTGCCTCCGCGTCCTCTACTTCCTCTGTGGGATCGTTTGAACGCAGTGCCACATTCTTGCGACATGGGCAAACAGCCGGCGGTCATCATCATCACTAGGTACACCCTCTCCCCATTCACATGAAGAAACGACGTCGCTGACACCCTGGTCTAGACATGGCGCCCGCCTCGATCAAGCCGATCGGAATTGGGCTTCAACGGCCGAAAAACCCTTTGATACTCCCCTCTCCTATGGTGGCTGGATACAATCACAGACGCTCGGTGTAAGAATCAATAACGAGCTACACAATCTGGATACGCAGAGTGCGGAATACAGGGAGGATGCGACACAAGACCGTCCTCACAAGAGGCGGAAGATCATCATACATTCGTCGCCATACCTGCGCTGCGTCCAGACCGCTATAGCCATTGGCGCTGGCATCCAACATCCTCAGAATCACATTCGCCCACGACTGAGGCCCCGGCAGCGTTCCTCAAGGGCCAGCCTACTCGCCGAGGAGGAGGCCGCACCAGATTCTCATGAGGCTGATAGCTCATCCCTGCAGCGCACCACAAGTCGCGAGCCTGTACATACAAATAGGCTGGGCTATAATACATGTCGGCTGCGTATAGATTCTTTCCTCGGAGAATGGCAGTCTCGGACCTACTTCGAATCTGCCCTTCCCCCGCCCACAGCAGTGATGGTTTCAGAAGCAAAGATGGCCCTTCAAGTGCCACAGGAAGAGATCAAAGGTGCTGACTTCTCCGCATCCTTGACCTATGACCTCCCGGCCGTCGATTGGGAAGAGAAGGAAAGCGAGGCTACTTCGGTGCCTGTGCAAGAAAAAACTGGATTGAGAGCGATGGCCGCCGCTGGTCACTCCTTTCCGAAGCGGTCGCGGAACATTTCATTTGGGACAGAACTTGCCAATGGTGCCAGACTCCTAAACAGAAACTTTCAGAAGCATCCCGCTGGCTATAGTGCACCGGTACCCACCTATGCAATGGGTTCATCGGACAAGATTCCTCCAGGCTATGTCGCCCATGCCCGGGACGGGTGCGTGACAATTGATCACGACTGGGACAGTGAAGCCGAACCTCTGCAATGGGGCGACGGCGGCCCATTCGACGAAGAATGGGGTAATATGCATCGAAGATTTCGAAATGGCTTGCAGAAGATGATTGAACATTATGAAAAAGAAGCCGCCGAGCAAGACGATGAAGGCAAGGAAGACGAGGATTTGGTCCTTGTCCTAGTCACCCATCAAGCAGGTTGCAACGCCCTCATCAGAATCCTTACCGGTGCCCCTGCTCTGCACGCTGTAGCCACGGCTTCACTGACCATGGCAGTTCGGACGCCGCGACAAGAAGATGAGGGCTCGTCCATGTCGCCTTCTCGACGCAGAGGTTCGCTAGACCTCAGTATCGCTGATGAGTATGAAATGAAGATCATCGCTTCGACGGAACATTTGCGAGCTGGCTCAAACCCCCTCGGCCTGAACTCACCACGACTCGGTAAATCGCCTGCGTTTGCCAGCCGTCGGGCCGTCGGTGCAGACTCCCCGGAGGGATTCTCTTTGGGGGAGTCTTTGACACACCATCGCGGCTCTCATGGAGCGCTTGTGACTAGAAGCCAGAGCCAGAGATCCCATGCTGCTGACCCAGCAAGCACCGAGGAACAACCCTCAACCGGGCTTTGGCAGAAAGGAACCATTTACACTCGAGACGAAGTTGCCGATTCCAGCGAAACAGGAGGAAGTCTGAGTGTCCAGACGGGCAGTACGTCTAGCAGCATTCGAGAGGAACCGACCTGGCAGGCAGATAGACTACCTGTGCGAAGTTCGAGTCAACGGGGGCTCTGGGGTGGTGAATCAACGCATCGAGACAAGAGTCCTGGGAAACGAAGCTGGACAGCTGTCGAGAGGTCTCCATGACTGAGGAGGATAGTGCGTGGTTGACATGAAGAACAATACGAGGCCCTCAGGTTGCTCGATCTCTCGCTGCTCTCTTGAATAATGAATAATGACATGTCTCTTCTTTGCATCTGTACAGTGTTTGTGCTTTCTGTGAATCACACCGGGTTTTCAGTGGCATGAGCGTTCTACCGAAGTTCAACAGGCGGTGAGATTCCAGTGTCACTATATGTATCCATTGGTCTGGTCCTGTGCGGGATGACTTATCACTATCTGAACTTTGTGTGTGGAAGATGCCCAGATCGGTGGCGTGACCGGTGCATTGAATCCCAGGCTTATTCTACAGGGCATAGCGCTTGCTTTCAGGGACGGCGATAAGGGGACGCGAGAAGGGGTAGTGTCTTGCGTATCTCCCGTAGGTGCAATGTACCTACTGTAGTTATGTAAAGAAAGTTCTATCTGCATCGCGTCAAAAAGAAAAAAAGACCCACCACCTCAATCGCGAGATATCGATGCTTTATCAGGATCTTCCGCACGCACCAAGACGCTGAGTGTTGTGTGTATCATCATCCCTGATCCACCGTGCAAAGATCTTCCTATATTGCATCATTGAGAGTATTTATTATATTTACGGCGTCGTCGACCGCGCTCCTCGTTCGAAACCCCGACCATCGGGGCATGCCCTTATCTTGCCGCCAACGGTACGATAGTCTTGTCAACGCATTCTGAAAGCTCTGCCATTTCTGAGCCGAATTAAACATATACGAGTACAGCAAAGGCTGTATAGGCGATCATGGGTTCTTTCCCGCATTGGAAAGAGACGGCTCTACAACGTCGTCAGGCCCAGCTTTCAGCCATACCTGACGAATGGCGATTGAAGTCCATCCCGCCTGATTTTAAAGTAAGTGCGATAAAAGTACTCAATCCCTCTGTCCATTATTTCTCGATCATCGAGAATATGGCCACAGGCAGTCAAGGTGTTCGCTGTCGCTTCGACCCCTAGGGCGAGGACTACAAATTTTCCCAGGGTTGGAAAGCAAGAGTGCCCCAAATTTTGTTGCGTGCGACGGGAGAGGGGGCGTCCTCGTTGCTCGCGGTCCTCTCGGTCGGTGATACAGTAGCAGCAATAGCTAACCTATACCGCCGCATTGCAGGACAGCCGCTATGTAATCGAGAGATGTGGTCTACTTACGCCTCAGGAGATGGAGATAACCTCGACGATCGGTGCTCGGAAAATTGTAAGCCCATCCTTCGCACATACAGAGCACCGACAAACACCATAATGATCGTGCTAACCCGCATGCTCTATACAGCTCCGACGGTACGAAGACGGCTCGTGGAGCTGCGAGGACGTCGTGCGCGCCTTTTGCAAACGCGCCGCTCTCGCCACACAGCTTGTCAACTGCTGCACGGAACTCATGTTCGAAGAGGCCATCTCTCAAGCTCGCGACCTTGACCGCTGGTACGCCGACACGGGGGAATTTGTTGGTCCGCTCCACGGCATCCCACTTTCGCTCAAGGACAACCATATCGTGCGCGGGCACGACACGACGCTGGGCTGGGTCGGCCTGGTAGGGCAACCTGCCGAGGCCGACGAGCTCACGGTCCAACAGTACCGCGCCCTGGGAGCGATAGTGTACTGCAAGACGAACGTGCCCCAGAGTCTCATGATGAGCGACAGCTACAACCACGTCTGGGGCCAGAGCGTGAACTCGTTACACAGGGCGCTGATAAGCGGCGGTAGTTCGGGCGGTGAGGGCGCGCTCGTGGGGGCCCGAGGGAGCGTGTTGGGTATCGGCACCGACATAGGTGGAAGTATACGCATCCCCGCGGCACTGCAGGGCCTGTACGGGTTATGTCCCAGCGTGGGCCGCGTGCCAAACAAGGAGAGCTCGAAAGACCAAAAATACATCATCCGTCCAGTGGCGGGGCCGATGAGCAATTCACTCGGAAGCATCGAGCTGTTCATGGAGGCGTATCTGAGCCAGGACCCCTGGAACGCCAACCCGGGCATCTTACCTATACCTTGGCGGTCGGAGCTGGACGAGCAGGTCCAGAACAAGGAGCGGCTGCGGATCGCGTGGATCGTCGACGACGGCGCGGTCAAGCCGCATCCGCCCATTGCCAGGGCCGTGCGCGACGTGGTCGAGAGGCTGAAGCAAGCAGGCCACGAGGTGGTCGAGTGGGACGCGAGCGACCACCAGCGCGCCTACTACGATCTCTGGGTCAAGGGTGTGCTCGCGGACGGCGGCAGGCGGTTCGAGGGGCTGTGTAAGATGGCCGACGAGCCTCTCATCCAGGGGATGCTGGTGGGCACGGAAGAGACGTATTTGGGTCCGGAGGAACGAATGGAACTGGGCGATCAGATCCACGAGTACAAAAAGGCGTACCTGGACAGGTGGACCGAGTCCGGCATCGACGCCCTCATCATGCCCGTGACCCCCTGGGTGGGCATGCGGCCCAAGGTCTGGGTCAAGAGCCAGCAGTACGTGGGCTACACCGCGCTGTGGAACATGCTGGATTACAGTGCCTTGACCATGCCGGCGAGTAATGTTGATTACGTCCTGGACGACCCGCGGCGGAACGACGAGTGGAAAGCGCACGGGGCCCAGACGAGAGGCTTCTCGGACGACTTTAACTATAAAATGTACCAGGAGCTCTGGGACGATGGGGTGGTGCAGGGGCTGCCGGTGAACATCCAGATAGTGACGGGCCGCTTCGGCGAGGAAAAGGCAGTGGGTGTGGCGAAGGTGCTGGAGAAGTTGGGCATAGTCTGATGTTGCTATGCCCAACTATGTTCCTAAAAGCCTCTTGCGTGATCTACTTGCACTTTCATGATTGATGTTTGAGTTTAGCGCTTTCTCAGACGGAGGTATATCGATGTTGAGGTTGAGGTGGAGGTGGGAGATGGAGATTCACATAGCACAACGCAACACCAACTTTGAACACCTATAGGTACTACTACCTACCTACCTAGTACTTACACTGGTAGATATCATCATGTCACCTTCTTAAGAAACTCCTCAATCTTCGGCACGATGATATCATACGCCTCTTCGGGCAAATAGTGACCGTACCCTTCACCGACCCCGACACCCTGGTAGTCGACACCCTCGGATACCCAATCCTTCCAGACGTCTGCGACGTCGATTCTGGATCCCAGCTTTGCCTTGGAGAACATGACCAGAATCGGCACACCCACTTTCCTACCCCCCTCCTGGTCCTGTCTCTGCTCGGTGGCCTCTGGCGCCGCGCCGGCAGCATAGTCGAGCGCTGAATAATACAGGCTTTCCCTGTTGTCGAATAGCTCGGCGTACACGTCCAGTGCGCCGTCCGAAGATATCCTCACGGTCGACTCTGGGTTCGGACCACTGATGCGTAAATGTCCTTCTCTGCACCACCGCGCCCCGCCGTACGCGGAGATGATCTCGACTGCCATGTCGGCATTGGCGAGGAGAGGCCAGTGGAAGTAGCCCTGGCAGATGGCCGGGTCGGCGAATGCGGCCCACTGTGCGAGCGTGGGGACGATGTCGAGAAGTACGGTGCCAACGACGGTCAACTTGAGCTTGGAGTACGGCGATGGAGACGAGTGCGAAAAGTCAACCGCGAGGCGGTGACAGATGCGCGCCCCGCGGTCGTGGCCTCCCAGGATCACCCTACGGGGTCTTTCCGACGTTTCGGTGTTGAAGACTGAAGCGAGAGCTTCCAGAAGTGCCGTGCCCACGGCGCGTTTGGTGTTTGCGTCTTTGTCTTTGATAGGTGTTGAGATGCCGTAGCCGGGGAGCTTGATGTTGTTAAGATATCATACCATCAGTCTTTATGGTTCATGTAACTTTACGGGGCCAAAAAAGAGCGCGAGAGAGACAGAGAGGGAGGAGGGTGGAGTGCCGGGTCTTCACTCACTTCAGGAACGAAGAGGGAAACCTTGCCTTTGAGAATCGGCACGACCTATGTAGTCCAAAAATCACTGTTAGATGCGACACATAAACATAGAGAATGCCCTGGAACAGCGGCACGTTGCGCGAGCCTATTGGGATTCATAGAGGGATGTGTCTGGGGTATTTGCTGATGCTCACCTTGCGCCATCTGTACAAGGTCGCCGTCACTGTCAGCAACATTCTCGTAACAATGTGCCCGGGTCTAGGGTGAATGACACTCACTCATATGCTGATTGAGGATAGCCATGGATCAGCGTCAATATGGGTGTCTCAGGCCCCAAGTCAGATGTGTAGCTGTGGACCTCTGAGCCCGAGGATGTCTTGCTGACGTTGTGAGTCAAGCCGAGTGAGTTGTAGAGGGATTTTGTGGTGACGGCAGCCATGATGGGATGGAAGTAGATGTCTGTGAGTGGGCCAGGGCTGTAAACCTGTACGTACGACACTTCAGCAGCACCAGGAGGAGTCCCTACGGACTATATATCAGAATCCTCGAGTAAGACTCTGGCTTTACCGACCAGTAGCCGAAGCATATATCTGTGTAGCAAACTTCTTGGAATTAGAAACCCATGCCATCCCGGTGCCCGTTCCGGTGTCGTCAGTGGCCGGGTTAAACACTTCTCCGGCTTCTCGTTCGTGCAAGCGTAAAGCTACTTTTAGGCTTTGGAGAATGTGGTGCCTGAAGAGATGATTACCAAGACAGCGACGAATACGGTGGTAGATCTCGATTCCATGAGTCTTTCATGCTTAGAAATGCAATTGTAGGAAACAGAACAGGCGATCTATACGAAGCTAGTAGTGGTCTGTCCAAGGTTAAATGAGTGCCAACACCGTGCAACCAGCCATTTATACCCAGGTATTCACGTTTCGTCTCCGCAACATCTGGCCTGCTAGAGTGAAAACGGAGATTGGTTCGGCCCTTGGTTGCGAATTGGCACTTGAGACAAGATGGTAGTAGTCCTTGTCTTCTGTTCGATGAGATCGGTGACGGTGGATAGCAAAATGACACAAGGAGTCAATAACCAATGTCGCGCTCACAAACTAGGGATCATGTGGAAGTAGGATGCGTCAAGGAAAATGACCCTTTTGGTGAAATCTACAGCAGCTCAACAAGTGCATGCAGTGTTGGTGACATGTTAGTGTACAAGACTCCTGCCCCGACGAGTTTATCATATCAAGGCAAGCTGATCTCGCCCTTCCACATGGCATCATTCAAGCCAAGTTTGTCGACAACGTTTTGCCACCGAGGTCCTCCTCTATCTTCCCGCCTCAGATAAGCCATCAGCTTCTGTCTCTTGTGAACCAGCAGTCGTAGACCTCGTTTATTGTTCTTGTCGTTGTGGTGCAAATTATCTGCTAGCACATTGATTTTGGCGGTCATGATGGCTATTTGGACCTCAGGAGAGCCGGTATCAGCGCCAACTCGCCGCTTCAATGTGCTCGGTGCTTTTGAATGCAGACTTTGAGGTTTAGGTGGTATGACCGAGTCGGTGTTGTGTCGACCAAATTCTTCAATGCATCTTTGAATGTTGATGCGAAGTCTGTCCTTGCTGCTAGAATTTTCGAGATCGGCGATCGCCAACAAAGCTTTGGACGCATTTTCATGAGAAGCTACATGCTCCTGTATCTTCTTCTGGAACTCTTCCGCTTGTCCTGGGATGGCATTCTCTTGTGGGAGAGGCTCGGTAAGCCATCGTGAATACTCCAATGATTTGTCCACGTCGTCCTTTTTCAAAAAGTAGTTCAGATAATCTCCCTTTAGAGTCTGAAGAGGCCCTCGAGCGCGGAGCGAATTGACGAAGGGCGTTGGCCGTGATCTGATGGGATCGCCTAAAGCAAGTCTTCGTTCCTCTTCCAGCACCTTTTGTCGAGCTAGATTTGCGGACTTCCTTTGTCGAGCCTGAGCTACCCGATATGGATCGATGTGTTTATGCTTCCTGACTTTTCGTTTCTTTGCTCTTTTCGCATCCAACGGGGCTGTGGTGGAAAAAAGGCACGTGGAACATTTTGTGAAGACTTGATTCCGTGATGCCGCAGGCAAGCTCTGAAGGAGGCTCGTCACTAGAAGCTTTAGTCAATGGAGTTCTGCCAATTGAAGTACCCTACTCACAGTTGAACACGCTGCTTACCCCGGCGGGTAATGCGCGTGGAGGCATTGTTGCTTTGGTCTGGTGGCAGCAACTGTCTCGTACAGTAACCCTGGACGAAATACTTTGAAGAACTTCGGGACCTTCCCTTCGCAAAAACAAAACTCCGGCTCCGAAAGACCCTAACCCAAAAGTGGCCAAGTGTCTTAAAATCTTGGCGGAAATTTGTCGCACGAAGTCTCCTACAATGTAGCCGGCCATCGACAATCGCAGTTTGCTCTTCTTCAGCTTGCCATTCCTTTACGAACTCACTCGATCCAAGTCGCAAACCACCGTCGCAAACATGGCGAGCCCATCTAACCTTCCCGCTATCTTCAACCCTACGTCCCAGGACATTGAAATGCTCCTGGCGGCACAATGCCACTTGGGATCTAAGAACTTGCAGGTGCACATGGAGCCATACCTCTGGAAGACTCGACCAGACGGTGTCAACGTGATCAACATCTCCAAGACTTGGTAATAGAACCCTCGGGAAGAGTATTCGAGCAGCCTTACTGACTGCAGTTGCGCAGGGAGAAGATTGTTCTTGCTGCCCGCATTATCGCGGCGGTCGACAACCCAGCCGACATCTGTGTCATTTCCGCTCGTCCCTACGGTCAACGAGCTGTCCTCAAGTTCGCTGCTCACACCGGAGCCGTCGCCATCGCTGGTCGTTTCACCCCTGGTAACTTCACCAACTACATCACCCGCTCGTTCAAGGAACCCCGCTTGATCATCGTTACCGATCCTCGCACCGACGCCCAAGCCATCAAGGAGGCTTCCTACGTCAACATCCCGGTCATTGCTCTCTGCGACACCGACTCTCCAACGGAATTCGTCGACGTTGCCATCCCCACCAACAACAAGGGTCGTCATGCCATCGGTCTCGTCTGGTGGTTGTTGGCTCGTGAGGTGCTCCGTCTCCGAGGCACCCTTGCCAACCGCGAGGTTGACTGGGACGTTGTGGTCGATCTGTACTTCTACCGTGATCCCGAATCTGAGGAGCAGAAGGAGGAGGAGAAGCAACCCGGTGCTGATGAGGCTGGCCCCGCCGCTGTTGACCGTGGCTTTACCGACAACGCCGACTGGGCAGGAGAGTCGGGTGCTGCGCCAGGCATTGAGGGTGCTCCTCAGGCCGATGCCAACTGGAACGACCCTGGCACCGGTGGCGGTGACTGGGCCCAAGAGACTACCACTGGCGCTGCCACCACTGCCGGCTGGTAAGAGGCTGCGACGTTCCAAGAGGTTCGATGTGCGTGAATGCAGCATCTGCAGCATTTCCACCCTAGAAAAAAGCCGACATTACATCTTCCATCTCACTCTCTATGCACGGGACCCTTTCAACCACGATCTGCTTGCTACTTTGCTATTCGCGTTACACAAGGCCAAAAGTTGACGGCACTCATGAGGGAAAGATACTCGACTGGGATTACTCGTTCTTCTCGGGAGAGGGAAAGCCCTGTGCTGGAGATGAAGGGAATGTACTTAACCGTTGCCCAGTCTTGTGATACGTGTGTCACTAAGCATATTCGGGAAAGGGATGAAATAGATGACAAAAAAGACGAGAAAAACTGCAACTGCACATTGACGCTTCTGTTCAATTCCTGCTTTCATACATGTCCTGCATGTCGTACCCTTCCTCATTGCCCTGAGTCCATGTCAAACAATCAGATCGAGAAACTGCAAAATCTCCAATCCAAACACCCAAATCCTCGTCTGTGCGACGGGAGTAGTATGTCGCTGATGCCAGCCAGCGTGCTCAAACCTCATCACCCCCAGAACTGAAGTATACCGTTTCATGTTGTGTCCATTTATCGATGACTGGTCCACAAAATCCATGTAAGAGAGAGACGCGTCCATGGTGATGTGTTAATGCCTGGATGAATGCCAAACATCGTGTCGGTGTAACTCTTCTTGAATGTGTTCGCTGGTCTTGAGAGAGCCACTCATCAATGCAGTTGTCGATAACAGTCAAGGCAGTAGTATTGGCCGCAGAGACGTCCTCTCTCGCCATGTCGGACAGATTGGAAGCAGCCAGAACAGGTCGTGCGGCGCTCTTTGTCAGTCGGGATGTCAGCCAAAGTCGTCCGGGGGTTTGAAGGAGGATTGGGTTCTCGATGTTGTGTCGTGGTGATGCTCGAGTCCAGCTCTGCGTCCATCGGACTAGCCGCGTTGCGTGACATGATTCTCGAGGTTTGTACGTTCGGGTGACGGTTGATTTCGAAGGCTCTTTTGACGGACGAGCTTGTCGTTGGTGATGATATGAGAAATGGTCCTGGAGTCCAAATGAGTAGTACTTATACATCTCCTCCTGGACAAAGCAGGCACTCTTCACCAGACAGTCAATCTGAGACTCCAGCATGATTGCTTTGCATACAATGAGCACAAAAGACCATGGCGGTCTCCAAAGTACACTCACTCTTTGATCCGCCTGAGACATTGAGGCAGATGCTCAAAGGAGGCCAGTGCTCGTCCTTTCTTGTGTCCTCAACGTGGCAGTGCTAGGAGGTTCACTCCAGGAGTCGCTGCTACTTCGTATCAACAAAGAAAGAGCGTGAAGATGCATCATCGACGCTACGAGTTGATGTCCTCAGAACGAGTTGTTGATGTTGGCTCTCCTGCAGGAATTGATATCCTGTTTTCAAGGCTATCGAGAGCTTCGAGCTTCATCAGCACACGGTTTTCGCTGCACCGCTTAGAAAGTCTGCCCATTGTTTCCACTTAACTGCCAACCTCGTGAGTCTCATAGCCATATATCTCACGAGACAAGTCAGACCCGGCTAGGTTAATAGAAGGAAAAGCAAAGCAAAACAAAACGTCATCAATGATGATGATGATGATGACTATATGGTGTATGCGTTATATGTCCACACCGCGTTATGGGCCGATGTTTAGAAGAAGATGTTGTTTCATGTTCAGGGAGAGGAACCCCGCTTTTCGCCCCGGTCTAGAACGAAATTAGTACCAAGGTACTCCCGTACGAGGCGTTCAAGCCTCAGATAGACCAATCGACGACAGCCTCATGAACCAACAAGCGCCTATCAGGCCCCCGGCAGGGCGCCTTAGGCTGGAGGGCCGGTAGGCTAGCCCAGCCACCTTTGCTTCAATGCGCTCACAACCCTCGCTAGTGATTAGCTTGCCAGCAGCCGGAGGCTGAAAGCTGAAACCGATGCTGCAGACTCAACTTTCATAAACTCCCTCGATCAACTCTCTTCTCGAAAAGAAAGGTCGTGTATCAATCACCACCAATTGCTACACTACTATTCTCTCAATTGTGGTTTCTAAGAACGAGGTCTTAAAGTACTAAGGGCATTCAACCCAGAATAGGTGCTTGCCCGCAAATGGTCCATCCCTCTGTCACAGCCTGATCAAGCTTTGAGCTCGGGACGGTCCTCACCTAGCCAGACCCAAGGGGCCAGAAAGAGCACTGCGGAGGATTCCAAGCACAGACCTTCATCATGACATGGGCGCTATGGGAGTCTGTACACAACTGGTCACCATTCGAGATAGACGCCCTCGGTCTAGTCACCCTCCTTGGGGCAGACGAGGTCAACGGTGCCGTAGGGCGCCTCGTCAAAAACGCCTACCTTGAGTATTTACCAATACTCGGGGCGTTCGTCATTGCGGGCAACCAAATTACCAACAAGGCTGCGGGTTGGCATCTCTACAACATCTCGCAAGGTATCCATACGACTGATTTGTCCGCCTGGTTGACAAGATGGATGTTGTCTCAAGATTTCGAAACCACTCGAAGCTTCGTGATATGGAAGGTCACTCCCCCGAGGTCAAAGTGGAAGGATACCATCATCGCGTTGCTTATCAGCCTCATTTTCAATGGATTTCTGATTGCCTTGACCATTTTATCAAAAGACTGGTACGGCTTTGCCAATGCCTTGGCTATGGATATCTCAATACTCGTCCGGGTGTACGTTGTAGGGCAGCAAAGAGCTGGAGTGGACGCCAGAATTGACGAGGTCGTAAAGAAGGCAAAATCAGCCCCACCAGAGGGCACTTATGAAGCCGCAAGGCGGGCATGGCTGCTTCAATTAGACGCGAAAAGGAGGGAAAAAGAGCAAAGTAAGCGAAAGGGGTGGAGCCATTCCCCAGGTCAACATACCAACGGGGGTGTCATAGGACGACTCGGTGCTTCTCGACAAGACTCTATCCCACCAAAACATGCAGAGCAGCAGGCAAGAGCCTTGAGTCCAGAAGCGCCGATCAAACATCCGAGATTCGATCCAAGCAATTTCAAAGACCCGGATTATGAATGGACTGGAACCCCGACCAAAGTCCTCATCATCCAGACAGACTCAAAAGCTGTCACGTTCTGGATGCCACAAGAACTGCTCTTTCCACCATCGCTGTTCGTTGAGGGCCCAAGCCTGTTGCATCCGCGAATGTATTTTGTTATACGATCAATTGGCTGGCTTGCCTTTGCAGTCCATATCGTGGCAATTGGCATGGCAGACTTGGCTAGCCAGCTGTACACTGTTGTCCTCATCGTATTACCAACGCTGTTGCTGGTCCTCAAATTCTCTTGCGACGACTCAAGATGGGTCAGTACACTTCAAGCGTGGGCGAGGAAGTATCTTTACAGAGGACTGGCGGGGTCAGAGCGGCAGAGTTTAGCCGATGAGAACGCATCGTCCTCTGAGCCAGTAACACTGCGGGAATGCTGGATTGGTTCACGTTTGAAAGCCGAAATTTGCGAGTGGCCCGCATCCTATGAGTTCATCGAGACAGCCCCGTCGACGTGGTCGAGTGGCCCGCCTCCCAAAGGAAGAGAACGGTCAACGAGGCGCCAAGATCTTTATGCGTGGCTCGCTCTCAGCAGCGCCGAAGAGGAGAGCATGGACAAGTGGGACCTATTTCCGCATATTCGTGACGATAACACTACATGGTGGCAGACTTACAAGAAGAAAAAGTATTGCTTGAAGCGGAATCCAACGTTTGGGCCACAGCTCAAATCTGATAAGGCGTCCACCGCAGACACAACAGACGATGTGCCGACTTCGATCTTCCAAACTGGTCGAACCAAGACGGTTAATTTTGCGGTCCACACGTCGGACATTCATCATCATGTCCAAGCTCGAAAATCCAGCACTGTCGTCTCGAATAGCTCAGCATTTCCTGCAATCAGTGATCACGAACATCCGCAAAATGTCCTCAACGATACTGACGCTGCCCTTACCCAGTCGCCAACAGATGGAAGAGGCGAGCTACCCTCTGCCAAGGCGTCTGATACTATCAGCACTGCCGCCTCTGACCCTCGTCCATCTAGCACGGGTCTGAAAGAAGATTGACGAGGATCTTGTTGGGTAATTGGGATGTTTGAGCAAATAATAAGAATGGATCACGAAACAAGATTATGGTCTTTGAGATCTCTGTACGATGAAAATAATACCAGGGTCCCAAACTCGATTTCGAAGGTACGTGGGCAGTAGTGATATGTAATCGTAGCGACGTGAAGGGCACCTCTTAGTTTCTGTGATTGTCAAAGAGAACTTGTCATTCTACGAGGGGTTCTAGGGGGCTGTCAGACTATATAGGGTTCGAGGGTGTACGGCCTCGTACAGGGCCCCTCGAACCGATACCGTCAAGGGTATTAGCGTCTCGAGACGATACCCCTAGACGGGTGTCTTTACATGTCTTGGCGCAAAAATAATCACATTTCGTCCCCACGAATGTCACGGGACCGCGGGGTGGAATCGATCACGTGATAGCCTGAGTTTTTGTCTTGCTCTTGCCCAAGCAATAAGTTGCGCTTTAAGGCTTGTCTCGTTAGGTACATTATGTTACTATTTTTTACTGCCATACCGGATATTGGCATTCTGCCCCGAATGTGAAGCCAAGCAGCGACTTTAGCAGAACAGACCGTGGCTCTCACCCCGATAGTCTTGTAGCGACCCGTCTGAATAGCATTCCTTCATTGATTCACAGCGGTGGCTTAAGACGATATTCCTCGCACGTGCCAAAGTCATAAGGTAACAATGATCTGGTTTCCCTCTCTGTCCTTTCGGCTCTTCTGTAATTTGTGCGAGCATCTGTAATTACTCCGTAAGGCACAGGAAACTGATCTTTACTAGCCCCAGTTACGCGACTGCCCGGGGACCAATCGATACGTTTCCCCGGTCTGCAAGGCTGCGCTAGTGCTGCCAAGTACTTAGAGCGCCGAGACATGAAAATAATTTGGGCCCCGGGGAGCTTTTGACTCATTGACCGTTGAGACCGTCAGGTGAATTGAATCTGGTCAACGGTGCTTCAAGATGCCGATGGTCAATGGGACGGCGAAGGAAGTTCGCGTGAGTCTTCTCGGCAAAGAAAGCATCATCATAAATTTCGGACTATGGCGCAATTATGTGGCCTCCGATCTCCTTGCAAACCTTGAATCATCAACCTATGTTCTCATCACCGACACTAACCTTGGCTCTCTGTACATTGACCCTTTCCAAAATGCTTTTCGGACAGCAGCTCAACAGCAGGGAAGCTCGTCAAGGCTCCTGGTCCACCAAATCCCCCCTGGAGAAAGCTCAAAGTCTCGGCAAACCAAGGACGATATTGAGGATTGGCTGTTGACTCAGAGCCCACCATGTGGCCGCGACACGGTCATCATAGCTCTTGGGGGCGGTGTTGTAGGTGACCTGACTGGATTCGTGGCTGCAACCTATATGCGCGGTGTACGTTTCGTTCAGGTGCCGACAACATTGCTTGCCATGGTGGATTCATCCATTGGAGGAAAGACAGCCATTGACACACCTCTCGGCAAAAACCTCGTCGGCGCTATCTGGCAGCCTCAGCGAATTTACATCGACTTGGATTTCCTTGGCACGTTACCACGAAGGGAGCTCATCAATGGCATGGCCGAGGTCATAAAGACTGCAGCAATTTCCGAAGAACAGGAATTCATTGCGCTAGAGCACAACGCCGATCGGATCATGGCCGCAGTCAATGACGACGTCAAGAAAGGGGCAGCTAGGTTCAAGGACATTGAATCGATCTTGATTCGAATCATATCCGCCTCCGCAAAATTCAAGGCACACGTGGTCACTATTGATGAAAGAGAGGCAGGACTGCGCAACCTGTTGAATTTCGGGCATTCAATTGGTCATGCAATGGAAGCTTTCCTGACGCCACAAGTGCTGCACGGCGAGTGCGTTGCCATCGGTATGGTGAAAGAAGCTGAACTTGCACGACATCTCGGTGTTCTCAGCGGTGTCGCTGTCGGACGTTTGCAGAAGTGCATTACTGCGTACGGTTTGCCGACGAGACTAGATGATGAAAGGGTGCGCAAGCTTTCAGGCGGCAAGGTGTGTACTGTTGATGGCATGCTCAAGAAGATGGGTGTGGACAAAAAGAACGACGGGGCAAAGAAAAAGGTTGTTCTTCTCTCAGCCATTGGACGCACCCATGAGCAAAAAGCAAGTGTTGTTGCTGACTCCGATCTCCGTGTGGTTCTTTCACCGAGCATTGAGGTCCTGCCCGGCGTTCCCAGAGATCTGAAGGTCGTTTGCGCACCACCAGGATCCAAAAGCATTTCCAATAGAGCTCTTGTCCTAGCCGCCCTTGGCAAGGGCGTCTGCCGCGTTCAAAACTTGCTCACGTCCGCCGACACAGAAGTCATGCTGGAAGCCCTGACCCGTCTAGGAGCTGCCACTTTCTCTTGGGAGGACGATGGCGAAGTCCTGGTGGTCAACGGAAACGGGGGCCAACTTCAGGCCAGCCAGCAAGACTTGTACCTGGGAAATGCCGGAACCGCTGCACGATTTTTGACTACGGTCGCAACATTGACCCAAGAGAGCAACGTGAAATCTACAGTCCTCACGGGAAATGCACGCATGAAGCAAAGACCCATTGGCGATCTCGTCGATGCGTTGAAAGTCAATGGTGCCGGGGTCGAGTATTTAGAAAGCCAGGGAAGTCTCCCGTTGAAGATTGCAGCTTCCGGTGGTTTCAACGGAGGTGAAATCAGACTAGCAGCCAAAGTCTCGTCTCAATATGTTTCGTCGCTACTCATGTGCGCACCCTACGCCAAGGAAGCAGTCACTCTCAGACTCGTTGGCGGAAAGCCTGTCTCGCAACCGTACATCGACATGACTATTGCGATGATGGCTTCGTTCGGCATTCAAGTCGAGAAGTCCAAGAGTGAAGAACATACGTACCACATCCCACGTGGCGCATATCGCAATCCTTCAGAGTACATGGTGGAGAGCGATGCCAGCTCAGCAACTTATCCACTCGCTATTGCTGCGATCACTGGAACGACCTGTACGATTCCAAACATCGGCTCGGCGTCCCTACAAGGCGATTCACAATTCGCCGTTGACATTCTTCGGCCAATGGGCTGTGAAGTCAAGCAGACAGCGACGTCAACCACAGTGACCGGTCCGCGAGATGGAGTCTTGAAGCCTCTCTCCAATGTGGACATGGAACCAATGACTGATGCATTCTTGACAGCCTCCGTCTTAGCGGCAGTCGCTCAAGGAAGTGGTTCAAGCACGACTCGTATATATGGTATTGCTAACCAGCGAGTCAAAGAATGTAATCGTATACAAGCCATGGAAGATGAATTAGCCAAGTTTGGAGTGACTTGCCGCCAGTTCGATGACGGTATCGAAGTCGACGGTATTGACAGATCTCGGCTGAGACAACCTAAAGGTGGCGTACACTGCTACGATGATCACAGAGTCGCGATGAGCTTCAGTGTACTAGCTCTAGCAGCACCTCAACCCAGCCTCATCCTCGAAAAGGAATGCACAGGAAAGACATGGCCGGGATGGTGGGATACGATGGCGCGCCAGTTCAACGTCAGATTGCAAGGTGTAGAGCTGGATGATGCTGTTGTGCAGTCACCGAAGAAGCGACTCGACCGTGGTAAGGCATCAATGTTCATTATCGGAATGAGAGGCGCAGGGAAAACCACCTGTGGACGCTGGGCTGCCAAGTCACTCGGAAAGAGGCTAATCGACCTGGATACCGAACTTGAAATCCGGGAGGGCATGGGTGTCGCCGACATTGTCAGAAAGCATGGCTGGGGATACTTTCGCGAACGTGAATTGGTACTTCTCAAAAGCGTTGTGAAAGATTGGCCAAACGACTACATTATTGCCTGTGGCGGTGGCATCGTCGAAACCCCTGAGGCACGGCAGATCCTGGTCGATTGGCATCAAACAAAAGGCCATGTGCTCCTCGTCGAGCGTGACATTAATCAGGTGATGGACTTTCTACAAATTGACAAGACGCGCCCTGCATACGTTGAAGACATGATGGGCGTCTGGCTCCGGCGCAAGCCATGGTTCGAAGAATGCAGCAACTTGGTGTTCTACAGCCAAAATGTCCCCGACGAGAAAATGTCCGAAGCAGCAGCCGACTTCGACCGCTTCCTGCACATGGTAACCGGTCAACTCGACACATTGTCCATGCTGAAACAGAAACCTGAATCATTCTTCGTAGCGCTTACATTCCCAGATCTCCGCCCACACCTGAATATCCTTCCAGAAGTATGTCTCGGTTCCGACGCGGTCGAATTACGTGTCGACCTACTCAAGGACCCGAAATCCTCTTCCCGAACCCCTTCACTAGAGTACGTCACGGCGCAACTCTCTCTCCTCCGAGCGACAGTCCCTCTGCCAGTAGTCTTTACGGTCCGCACGTCCGCGCAAGGTGGCCAGTTCCCTGACGACGCCCATGCCGAGTACGCCGAACTGTGCAAGCTAGCAATCAGAATGGGCGCCGAGTTTGTCGACCTCGAAGTCGCCACTCTGCCCGAAGGCATTCTCAACTCGATCGTCGCGCGCAAGAACAGCAGTTCGTCGCGCATTATCGCGTCTCATCACGATCCCCGCGGTCTGTTGCCCTTCAGCAACCCGGCATCCTGGATTCCGGTGTACAACCGCTGCCTTCAGTATGGCGACGTAGTCAAGCTGATTGGCGTGGCGTCAAGTCTGGACGACAACTTCTCTCTGCGCAAATTCAAACAGTGGTCGGCGAGTCAGCACCCGGAACTTCCTCTGATTGCCATCAACATGGGCCGTGCCGGTCAAGCATCACGGATCCTCAACGGATTCATGACGCCCGTAAGCCACCCGGCTCTCCCGTTCAAGGCGGCACCCGGCCAGCTCAGCGCCACAGAGATTCGTCAGGGCTTGAGCCTGATTGGCGAGATCACACCGAAGCAGTTCTATCTGTTTGGCAGCCCCATTAGCGCGAGCAAATCCCCTGCTCTGCACAATACCCTGTTCAAAGAGACAGGACTGCCGCATCGCTACGAAGCCTTCGAGACGACCAATGCGGACGAGGTGAAGAGCAGGATCCGCGCGGACGGCTTTGGCGGCGCCAGCGTGACCATCCCGTTGAAACTGGATGTTATGCCATTACTCGACGAGGTGGACGAGAGCGCGCGGCTCATTGGAGCAGTCAACACCATCGTCCCTGTCCCTGTCCCGGCCTCGGCACAAGGCAATAAGTCAAGCGTGAAACTCGTCGGGCGCAACACCGATTTTCTGGGCATGATGGACTGTCTGCGAGCCGCGGGGGCGAGCACTGCGCTCGGCGACGCGCAGCAGTCCGGCTTGGTGGTTGGTGGAGGCGGCACCGCCCGCGCGGCAATCCAGACGTTGCACACCATGGGTTACAAGCCGATTTACGTTGTTGGTCGAGACGCGCGAAAGATCGAGGACCTGGTCAGAGATTTCCCAACGCAGTACGACCTTGTCGTTGTCGACTCTGGCGCTGGAAAGGTGCGCACGCCGCCCTCGGTGGCTATCGCCACTATCCCAGCCAATATCCCCATCGACGACACGCTCGCCGGCGTGTTGAAGAAGATCTTCGGCATGCCTGTCCCCGAGTCCGTGACGCCGAAAGGTCAAGGGTCCCGCGCGCCCGGTAGGATCTTGCTCGAACTCGCGTACAAGCCCGCGCACACGGCGGTGATGAAGATGGCCGAGAGCGCCGCGTGGAAGACGATCCAGGGTCTCGAGACCCTCGTCACCCAGGGCGAGTGGCAGTATGAGTACTGGACGGGGATCAGGGTGAGAGGACTCGGTAGCAGGATCACTAGGGTGAGTTTATGACCTATTTTGATTTTACCTGCGGAAAATTCGTTCCGATTCGCTAACCGTTCTCTCTTCTTTTTCACAGAGTGTTGTTCTCGGAGCAGACGCATAGATAGAAATCGGGGGTATTAAAACCGGTAGACTCGCGACTTTCGTCGTTTCGGCTACTATCGTCGCCTTTTGCATGTTCACATGCTCCTATGGTACTGGTACCGGATCACACAGCCTGAATTCAGTTGCGGCATGTCGGTTTCATTGAGTTTCTTTTTTGACATTAGACGCTGGGATGAAGAAGTGTATTGCAAAAGTTTGTTGGCTCTCGTGTGTGAAAACCACTTCGATCCAAAAAAAAAAAAACATGGAAGGCTGGAGAATCAAACAAGACTATTTTTTCTATGCATTCGAATAAATATACCACCTGAAGCACAGGTACTTGGGCAATCTATGTCGAATCATCTTTCCGATCAAGAAAACAACCGTCCGTTCGTACATAAATCCCATCCCTAATGCCTCTCTCTGCTCAGATGTGGCATCACTTCTGCCTCGCGGTTCCGGCCCAGGGCAATGTAGGCCCAGTCACGCTCTAACTAGTTAGTTAGAACAAGTTCCGTCGTCTAGGCTGCATGCCGGCTTTTTGTGTCCGGCAAACCAAAGAGACGATCGTTACCGTACTCAGAGGAACCCAGGGCGTACGCACGGTGGCTCACGACGGGCTTGGAGACAGACCATTTTTGAGACTCGAGGGCAATGAGGATGTTACATTACTTGGACTTTGAGACATTGTCAAATCCAAAAAAAAAAAGGCGCCATAGAGTCGTATTTGCTCACATCATCGGCCGAGCATACACGCTTGTCATACGCCTACATGATGACGAAGCTGTACATCCTACAAAAAACATATTGACACCATCTCCAGAGAGGGGGAAATACCCCTTGTCACTCAAAGTACAGATCTGCAATGACACTGTACAAACACAAAACCAGCTCAAGATCCCTGGGTCCTTCTCTGCTCTTCTGCGTATCTCTGCAAAGCTGCCGCAAGAGCAGGATTGCTCGCCCATGGCCCTGAGTTGTAGAGTGGCTGCGACGTGGACTTGGACTCCGAGGTTCCCGGAGCAAAGCCCTGTTGATTTTGAGCGGGAGGCTGAAATTGTTGCTGTTGAAACGGCTGCTGTGGCTGTTGGAACTGTGGAAAGAACGACGGGACCATTCCCACCGGCATCTGTGGCATGAAGGGCACACCGGCCGGTGCTTGCATCCCGCCAAAATTGAACGAGACATTGGGCAGAGGAGTCATGGGCGAAGGCGTCGTAGGAGGGTATGAGATGTTATGTGGAGTGATCGATGGGGTTGTTGGCAGGCGGAGGTCCGGTGCATTAGCTCGATAGCCACCCTGGGTGTTGGTATAGCTGTTGTGCTGTTGATGATTGAAGCCACCACCACCTCGAGAATGATTGAACCCTCCGCCACGATGACCTCGTGGAGCGCCTCGTCCTCTCGAATGGCCTCTGCCTCTTCCCCCAAAATCAGCTCGGCCGTTCTGGACCGGAGGTGGAGGAGGTAGGTGGTACCCGTGAGTGTTCTCTTGCGGTTGCTCTCCCCTCGACAAAGCTTCGGCCATGTGATCTGGTCTCTGGAGCGGAGTGTATCCCTCGTCACCAGCGTCCGGGACATCGTCATAATTCATCTGCATCGAGCCATTACCATAACCGTTGTTATCGGTAGGTTGGTGGGAATGTGCTCCCCGACCAGCACGATTCGATGAGCCCCTTGCGAACTTTGATCCACCACGGCCTCTCCCAGAGTCTCCCCCTCTTCCTTGTTTTCTCGCTTTCATTTGACGTTTGTGCTCTGCTTCGGCTTCGTCGTCCGAAAACTCCATCTCATCGTCACCTACTTCTTCGTCGTGAAAATTCGAGGCGTCGCTGCCCTTCAGGCCTTTCAACGGTTGCGTGAAGACGAAGGTGGAATGCTGTGGTACGTAGAAAACTACTGTGCCGGGGTGCGACAGACCAGCCTCTGCGATAGCCTCATCGTTGGTGAATCGGATCGTATATCGGGGTTCTTCGACTCGCCCTATCAAGTCTGCGACCACTCCGACAACAGATCGGTCTTCGAGGGTGATCAAGGATCCGGGCTCGAGGACTTGGTACTCTCCAGACGTCTTCGCCTTGATGACCACTGTGCTCTCGACAACGAACTCAACATTGCCCAATTCCTCGATTTTCATGTCATTGGTGACGATGATATCGGGCTTCGGTATCACCTCCTCCTGTCGCTCATTTGCTGTCCGCAGTTGAGCACCGTCTGATTTGTCCCGGGATCTGCCTCCTTCGTCATCCGAACCTCCGTCTTCTTGCATCAGCAGTCTCGCAGCCTCTTCAGGGTCCAGCATTGAATACTCTCCGTCTGCATCTTCGTCGCTATCTTCATCCGAAGATGTGGTATCATCTGAGGAATCGGAGTCCGAAGAGGATTCATAAGGTGAAGAGTCAATCTCCCACTCTGCGCCATCGGCAGCTGTCTCAGGAGGCTGGGACTCTTCTGCTGTAGCCGTGTCGGTAGAGTTCTCTGAAACAGTCGGAGCAGCTGGGGCGCCAGCTGTGTTAGCCACGATCGGAATGACCACGTTTGTGTCCGGGTTGACACTCATCACGGCATCATGGGTAACCGTGTCTTGTGTCATTGGCGTATCCGATGTGCCCTGTGTGGCACTGGCACTGATCGACTCGGTCCGTGTGATAGGAGTATCCGTGGGGTCATTTTGTACTGCTGCTTGAGGCACTTCTACGCCAACAGTGACAGGAACCCCTTGTGCGGTCTTCTGTTCTTCTGTCGTGGTAACGACACGTTGAGCCGAGGACGGCGGTAGATGCATAGCGGAAGAGGAGTCGGCCTCGGCTTCGACCTGGAGCATCAGCGCATCCAGGAGAGAGTTCGCATCTTTGGAAGTGTTCTGGGTCTCCGGCGCTTGTTCTTCGAATTGAGCCAGTCCTGGGATAGCGGAAGCATTCTCGGTGGAAGTCTGGACCGTCAAACTATCGCCTTCGCTATCTGGATTCGCATCATGGGAAAGAGGCCGGGTTTCATCTGGCGATGCTGTTCGCTGTCGCTTGGAAGGGGATGTGGGAAAGTCGTCGACGTCCATAACGGATGAGACTCGACACTAGATAACTGCAGAGTCGCCCTGAATCGACTCGATTGAGTATGAAGTTCAGAATCCTGAGTGCGACGTCTCGAACCGCCGGCGACAAAAAAAAATATGGACGATGCGGAGAAGGAAATTCAAATGACGAAAATTGTCTCCGCAGCCGAGATCATCGCGTCACGTTCACGGCATCGCAACGCCAGAGACAACATTCTGAGAGAACAGCAGCTGGCAATAGTATGAGGTATGAGTTCGTAAATCTCCTCCTCAGCCTCTATGGTACACTGATCGTACCTATCAAAGGTTCGTACGAACTTCGTATTGGCATTCCCTCAGGCCTCGTGTCATGTCGAACAAGAATGCTCCAGGTAGGAAGAATACTGACCCCTCCCCCAACCGCGACGAGCTTACAGCTGCTCAAGTACGCGGAAGACACCGTGACTTTCCAGCGAAGTATTCAAGGGTCGTACATGATCCCCTACAGTCGCATGAGGAAGAACAGTGCATCGGCTACGACGGGGAAGCCCAAGCACTCAAAAACATCCGCTCGTACATTAGCCGCCGCCTGGCGGGTAATGCACATTTCAATCGGCTTGCGACTGCAAGCCGTCCGTGGGAACGATACCAGCCGATTGATTGATTCGTATATCATGTGCGATTCTTTTCATTGATAAGGCGGCCTCTGGATTCCCGAAACTTGTTTTAAATGGTCTCAAGAACCCACTACTTGGTCCGTCGCAGTACGACTTTCGCGATTCAAAGCACTGTTGAAAGCAACCTTGGCCTCATATCCATCACACCTAATCAACAACATTCTTGAATCTCATATCACCATGGGCTCTGTTTCAGACTCGTGGCGCAGACTTTCTGTCGGGATATGTGGTGGTGGGATAGGCGGCATGTCCGCTGCGATTGCCCTCCGTCGAGCTGGCCATGATGTAACCATTTACGAGAAACACGACTTTGCCGGAGAAGTAGGCGCCTCGGTATCCTGTGCCGCAAATGGCACGCGGTGGCTTCACGAATGGAATGTGGATGTTGCAAAGGGAGACCCGGTTGTCCTCAAGAAGCTTATCAATCGTGACTGGAAGACCGGCGAGCCTGTCAGCGTATACGATCTTGACGACTACGAGGAGAGATGGGGATATGTGTACAATATGTTCCACCGGCAGTACATGCACTCGATGCTGAAAGACACTGCGCTACAAGAAGAAGGAGACGGTGTGCCGGCAGTCTTGAAGGTCAATCATTCGGTGAGTTGAGGGTTATTACCCGCATTTTAAGAACTCAGGCGCTGATCCTGTGGCCTAGTGTGAAGACATCGACCTTCAGACAGGGACGATCAGATTTCGTAACGGCGTTACTGCACAACATGATGTGATCATTGGTGCTGATGGTATTGGTTCAGTCGTCCGTGGAATTATCGGAATCCAACCAGCGAAGACCCCATCGGACTCAAGTTGTTTACATGCAAATGTTACAACGGAAGAAGCTGTGAAACTTGGACTAGTCGATTACTCGCAGGACAGCGCTTTGGAGTACTGGGGTGGTCAAGAGGGCAAGTGGGACAAGATCGTGTTGTCTCCTTGTAACGGTGGCAAACTATTGTCGTACTACTGCTTTTTTCCCCGGGACAAGGGTGACTATTCCAACCAGACATGGGGAGGTGCGGATAGACCTGTCGAAGAGCTGCTGGCGCCATACCCTGAGTTGGACTCCCAAGTCCTCGACCATCTCAAGATTGGCAAGGAGATTCGGCCATGGCGGCTGTGGGTACAGTATGTCGATGTCCACTTTTTCTGCTCGCGGAATATTGTGGCATGTCCAGCTGACTGGCAGATAGTAAGCCTTATCCCTACATCCACAAGAGCATGGTCTGTCTTTTGGGAGACGCTGGACATCCGGTTTGTCGCACACTCTCCGACCTCAAATACAGATCAATGAAGCTGACTCTATACAGATGATGCCTCACCAGTCACAAGGTGCCTGCATGGGCATTGAAGACGCAGCGGCTCTGGGGATTATTTTCAGCAAGAAATATTTCAAAGGAGACATTTACGAAGCGCTCGCGGTCTATGACCAGGTACGACTGCCACGAGCAACGAGAGTGCAGGCAGCAGCTGCAAAGGCCGCATACAATATCAACGAGCGAATTGGTAAGTCGGCGCACCTTACTCCATAACAAGCTGTCGGCTGATCTTGACCCCAGGTTTCTCGAACAACAAAAACATTGCGACCTACAAAGTAGAAGATGAAAAGAAGAAACTCACGATAGAAGAAATGAATGCGTACGTCTTCTTGAGCCCCTCCAAGACTTACTGACTGACCCCGATGACAGATATGATATGTACCACGACATTGAACAAAAACTGGCTGCCGTACGAGGCGAGAAGTACGAGGGGAAATGGCTGGACGGACTGCCGATTGGATTGGAGCTTCCGAATGGTGTCGTTATCGGGGCCTGAACTTGTCTATGTTCTTGTTGTAAATAGAGCCATAGGATTCATGAATCGATTACGGAGTACCCTCGTCGATGTCTACTGTACATCCCATACTCCGTCCCACTGGCTATGTTGCTTGCTCAGTACTCCGGATCGGAAAAAGAGTTCTCCCGCAAGCGTCGAGAAATCCCCAGACGCGGTGCACGTGACGAGAAAATCCGGGGGGATTCGCTGGCTGCGGCGATCGAACTGAATGACTTGGGTTAAATTAATTTTCCCAGATTTTTAAGCTGACACAGCCTGATCCAGACCGCGTCAAGTGCACGACTATCTTTTCACCATTGTTATCCTGTCACGCATTCTTATATTGTGTCGAGTACCTCGTACTGCTCACCCGTTCTATATTCACCGTCAATGGGTCGAACTGCCGTCAATCTTCCACCAACTGTCCTATGCTCTCCTGCCGTTTGCTCCCCGGTCGCGGTTTCCCATGTGATTGAATCACCAACTGCAACGACCTCCGACATCTGCGGACTGCCCTGGCTACTGGCGCAAGGTCCGTCCTGAACAAGGGCGGACGGTAAACACTCGGAGCGAGTCGAAATATCAATTGGGTTCCAAACACTAGCCTTACGAGCACCCATTGCCATTCTGCAGAAATAATCAGGCATCATGAGCATTGGACATAGAGAGATAGTCATGGACAAACACCAAGACGCGGACAAGGGCCTCGGCTCGACTACAGACATCTCTACACAGCTGGAAGATGCCTTGAACTCGATCGCACTTGGAAACAATGCCCCCGACAACGAGCCCGAAATCATTCCTATTCGCACAAAGAGCCCTCCAATGACCCCTAGAAAGGCCATCGCGAAGAACACAATCTCCGACAGTCCATTGGGTGGAATAGAAAGTCAGCGAGGAAGACAAGAGGTCAAGGGAAGCGCCATCCTGTCTACCACCGCTGCCAAACGAAAGAAAAAGAAGAACAAGACAAGAACGTCGGAAGCATCACAGGCCCTCAGCACCGTAAGGGGCTTCACACCAGTTGATTCTGGCGCCGAAGATTCGGATGTTTCTGTGAATAGTCCGCGGGTTTTGTCACCTATGCCACGGCTAGCACCGTTGGCCGGCGCCAGCCCAGGGCTCAGACCACAGTCACCAGGAATCAGCAGTCTGAAAGCACAGCTTGACGCGTTGAATTCAAGAAGCCAGAGCCCATCTACATCTTGTACCCGCAACAATCAGGACTCCGAAGCAAACAGCAGCGCAGCCAGCGCGGCGTCGGACACTCAAACCGACGAGACGCCCGAAGAAATAGTCAGTTATAATGTCCAAATCGATCAAGATTTCATCAGCCAGTCTATGGCCGACACCGAGCCTGCTTCCTCATCGCCTATCGCCATGGACGCAGATCAACGTGCTACATCTCTGATTGCACGTAAAATGACTGCGGCAGACTTTACTCCCATCCGGTGTCTAGGAGATGGTGCGTTTGGAACCGTGCTCCTTGTGCGACAAAATGCAACAGGACGACTTTTCGCACAGAAGCAACTCACCAAGGCCTTCCTCAAGATCCACAAGAAGCGCATCGAATCGACCAGGTCGGAGCGTACCATTCTCGAGTTGGTCAATCGTCATCCTTTCATTGTCAATCTCTATTATGCCTTTCAGGACCATGAGAAGCTCTACTTGATCCTCGAGTACGCTTCCGGTGGCGAACTCTTCCGTCACCTGGAGTTGGAGAAATTCTTCAGCGAAGACGTGGCGGCTTTCTACATTGCTGAAATTGTTTTGGCACTCGACTACCTCCACAACACTGTCGGAGTCATCTATCGTGATCTCAAACCAGAGAATTGCCTCTTGAATGCCGAAGGTCACCTCCTTCTCACTGACTTTGGCCTCAGCAAAGTTGCCGTCCCAGACCCAAACACTCCGGGCGGCAGTCGATGCAACAGCCTCGGCGTTGGGACCATCGAATACATGGCGCCTGAGATTATCAGAGGCTGGGACGAGTCTGACTGGGGACCAGGTTATGGCAAAGCTTGTGACTGGTGGTCGCTGGGTGCCATGGCCTGTGATCTGATGACGGGAAAACCACCCTTTGGCGGTGGAAATTGGACCAAGATCCAACAGAACATTATGCATCAGAAGCTGAATCTTCCTTACTTTTTGTCGCCGGATGCCAAAGATCTCCTCACCAGACTCATGCGTAAGGAACCAAAGAAACGACTTGGAGTCGGTCCTCACGATATTAACGTCATCAAAAAGCACCGCTTCTTCAGGAAGATCGACTGGAAGAAGTTGGAGGCTCGGGAATTGGAACCACCCATCAAACCATTGGTCACAAATCCGGAATTGGCCGAGAACTTTTCCAAGGAATTTACTCAGCGAGCGGTAGATGCCACCCCTCAGCCACACAACAGGACACTGAGCAAGTCTGATCCCTTTGGAGGATTTAGCTACGTTGCAAGCCACAGTCTTCTTGAAGAGTCTATGCTTTCGGAGTTGGATGAAGCCATCATCGACGATGGGTTCTAGAGCCAGACAAGGATCAGTTGGGTCTGCTATAGAATGTGATAGACGTTTGCTATTGCTTGCTATCTCCGCATTTCAGCAAGGGCGTTTTACTTCCATGTTTAAGCGGACAGAAACATGGCGCATGGACAGTGGGGAGCACAATCATTCATTCATAGACGAAGTCTACAATTGCATGCTTTTAGAACGCCGTATCCCTGGCCGATTCTGCTCAGCGGTGTCGGTCGCTCTTGTTCTCTTCGTGGGCGGCGGTATCACGTGCTGATCTCACGTGCTCACGTCTGCCTGGTACATGGTGCCTTCTCCCTCTTCTTGTCTTAACAAACAACGGCCTGAACATTGAATCAAGGTCAAGCTGCTTCTGCGTCTCATCTAATTCTGCCTCAGCAATGTTTCATCTCTCTTCATCTCCTCCGCCACTCCCATCTCCCTGCGTGACCACTCTCCATCGCCATCGTCAGATGAAGCCTGACTAGAGCCTCACCTTGCGTTGTCTTCTTCTGGCTATCTATCTGTTCATCCATCATGCCTTCCGCCGGCATTCTCGGCCTTGAGGTCGAGATCCTCGCCGACATCTTTCAGATTGTGAATGACGCGTCGCCACGTACCACATCGGCCATCGCTCAAGTCAACAAGACGTTCAGTTTTGCAGTCCAGCTCGTCCGCTACCGACGAGAAACTCTCCATTGGGATCAAGACCGATCGAAGTTCGTTGATGGGTTTGGCCGACCTCTTGAGCAGCTCTTGTCACCGGATCGGCTGCGTGGACTACGACACCTGACCATCGCAAAGAGTCGCGCTGTTGAAGAGTTTGAAGACGTGACCGATTCTCCGGCGACACGACTCTTGATTGAGTTGCTGCGTGCTTCCAACAACCTCAAGTCACTGACCTACAAGACTGGCAACTATCCACCGTCGGATCTGATTCGTGCTCTACAAAAGAAACATCCATGGGCTGATCTGAAGGTCTACATTGATGCGTCGAAAGCTCCGGAACCCAACGAGACCGACCCACAAGATGTATGTCTAGCAAAGTCCCGCCTGACTGAGTTGACAATGGAGATACCTGCAAGCGTGAGGCGACCAAACCACTACCAGGTGCAGTTCGAGTACATGGCCAATGCCGCGAAGCAATTGAAGTCTGCCAGTCTCACAATGTTCAACATTTCAGCAATAAGGATGAGAAACTGGCAAGCCGGATCAGATGGCTCGACAGGCAGCTACGGCAACACTTCACTTCGTCACCTGTCTCTAGATGGTTGGCCTCTATCGGGAGGCACACTGGAGTATTGGTCTCAATTCGTAGATTTGTCACGCCTAGAGACACTCTCCTTCACCCGTGGTCCTTTGCACACTTCATACTTCACAAAGGCAGCCGACATGCTGCGAGGTTTGAGATCTGTGAATCTCAACCTCAGCCCGTTTACGTGTAACGAGGAAACCGCAGACGCAGCGGAACGCTACATAGCCACATGTTCTCCCTTGTCAACTTTGAGTCTATGGTCTTGGATGGGCAAGGTCAACCTCGACACGATCCTCACCCATCATGGTTCCACTTTGCAGGATCTGCAGCTGCATATTCGAGAAGAGGAAATCATACCAGAAGGTCCGCCGCAGCCATTGGAAGTTGAGAAGCTTAGAAACATTCGCATGTCATGCCCTAAGCTCTCCAGATTCACCGTTGACGTGAAGCGTCTGTCAAAGGATCCGGTTTTGGACGACTACAGAGAGATATTCGATGAGATCAAGCTGTTCAACTTGGAATACTTGCAAATCTACTTTGATAGCGGATTGGTGTACATGGTGAACTTGGAAACCAGAACAGATGTCGACGACGACGAGGAAGGCGACGGCGACGATTCTATTGGTGAAGACGACGATGAGGACATCGATGGCTTGGACGTGGCCCAGGTGGCCCACGAAATGCCTTCGCCGTACGGATGCGGTGGTTTGATGGACTCGAACAACCTCAAAACGACGGACCCTACTGAACATTTCCCAGCCCTCCATCCACCTGTCTCAACCGAGAAAATCTCACCATTTGTCCATCAGACCTGGAAGTACGTGTTTGGAGATCGGACTATGGGTGATAGAGTATTGGATGTCAAGTTTGGTGAATGGGAACGAAAGACTCCAATCGGACACTATCGATTTGACGGTCGCCCTCAAAAGGATTTGAGAGTTTGGTGTCATGCAGAACCACATCCTCGGGATGACAAGAAGGGACAAAGCGAAGTGGTTTTGAAGTGTTGTCAAGGTCATCATTTGACAAAGTTCAGCAGTGGTTGAGGTATCAGTTCGCTATTCATCCAACCTGTCCAAAAACAATGGCACGGTGAAGAGGTGAATGTAGAAATCTCAAAATGGTGCATTGAAGGCGAGACTCCGATATGGGCATGCAAGAGCCAGACAGTCAGAGAGTCAGAGCGGGAGAGAGTTACAGAGCCTTGAGCCAGGGACAGAGTCATCAACTGCCATTCAGTCAACCAGCCAGTCAGTCGGTCAAGCATGGGCCATGCCCTGCGCACTAAGATAGAGAGATTGACAGATAGAGAATGAAAATGTAACAATGCAGCGATGCAAAATAATGGTGTTTTCGCAGTGTAACTCTGGCGAAGTGTGATATTCTGGGTTTTTTTGGGTTTCTCATTCATGTACCAAGGTATTTACTTACTTGTAGGTAGGTACCCAGGTAATTCAAGGTACTTGTTTGATATACCTCCTACCTTAGGTAGTTAATAAACTGGAGTTGACGGCGAAGCGACTCTTAGTTGAGTAGTTGGTGCGCGGAAATGACAACGGTGTGTGTAGGTACGTAGACGGTAGTAGTTAGTGCCTACGTCGTTGATAGTTAACTAACCCCTCCCTCCCCCCCCGGGGCGGCCCTTTCCCCCTTTGTTGACGGCTGATTCGTCCTGCCTGCCTGACTGACTGACTGACTGACTGACTAATTGAGACTTTCTGACTCGACTACTTTCGCTGATCGACTCCTTCTCGGATCTCGGTGAACCAAACCAAGAGAGTTATATCCATCTACCTAGGTATTTCAGCTACCGGCAGTATCGAAAGTAACTCCACTCGGAAGCCGTGACCGGTACTGTAGTGCATCCGGGACGATGATCACCGGGGGGGATGGCGAGTGCCAGTCAAAAGGAAACCTTCGCACGTGAGATATCAAAAGTCTTTATCAAAGGACACCACCAACCACCATCGCCATCACTGTCACCGCCACAAAGGTAAAATGGGGCAGCGCCGTACATTGCAGTGACCGTCGAGATAGAGTCATTACCCTTGTCCTTGTCGCCGAAGAGTGTGAAACTGAAGACGAGACCGTAGGAACTAATTCTACTCCTCCTCCTCCTCCTCCTCCCCCCGCACCGCCTGGCGTGTTTTGAGTAGTTGTTCCATGACCATTACCAGTACCACCACCGGTGCCATTGCCGATTCCCGACTGCGTAGAGTTGTTTCTCGGTGTACTCGAGTTGAACCACGGCACAGGTGCAATGGTAAGTGTCACTGTCACTGTCGTCTCGGGAGTAGGGTGTGACTCGGCGGATGCAGCAGGCGTCATGGGGAACGTAATCGGGAAGGAATAAGGCCGTTGATGATGGTATGCACTATTATCCCCTTGCCCCTGATCATCATGACCTTGATCATCCGACCATCTCCCAGGAGCTGGTGTTGCCGTCGTAGTAGGTTGATGATGATTCTCCAGCACAACCGGAGTCACTGCCGCAGATGCGTACCATTTCTGTACTTCAGCTGCGAGTGCCGAGATGGATTGAGTGCACGGGACATTCAGCGTCAGTGTGGCCGTCGACAAGTCGCTCTCTCCGGGTTCATTTTGGGTTTCACCTCCATCCTCATCTTTCGACGGTGTCTGCTCGGCAGCCGGACAATACACAAAGGTCGTAGTCATAGGAACACTCGGACTGGGCATGCCGTCACACCCACAATCTAACACCACTATCGTCGTTGTGAGAACGGTAGGTGTCGGCGTGGGACATGTGGATGAATCCGAAACGCAGATTGTAGTATAAGTTGTCGATATTGTCGTTGGAGACGTGATTACCGTCGAGGTCGGTCCACCGGTCAAGGATGAGACCGGAGCAGACGAAGTCGAAGCCAATATTGGACTATCAATCTGCGTTTGCACGTCTGATGTTATTGTCGATGTCGTCGATGTTGTCATTGAGAAACTCATAGTCGCTGTGCTGGTATGTACCTGCGTGGTTGATGTGGTTGGCGATACATCCAGTAGTGTTGACCGTGTCGACGATGAGAGACTGCCGCCGCTACCACCACCAGCAACAGTGGAAGAAGACATCAAGGACGAACTAGATGTATCGACACTATCGCCAACAGTATTATTATACGTCGTAATCAACACCACAGAATCATCGCCTTCCGGAATCTGTCGTCTGGCAAGTCGAAAGCGATGCGATGGAGGCAAATGCGCGAGGCCACCACAGTGTTGACTCTCATCTCCTGGACAAGGCGTGTTACATGCCGAGTCTGGATACTTGATGAAATCTTGCGGGGGCGGTGATCCGGAGTACAGGGAGCAAAAACACTGTGTGTCAAAGATACCTGCGTAGTTAAACCCTGCACAAGCAGAGACACACTGTTGAATTGACATGGTCTCTGAGAAATCACGCAGGGTAAAAGAGTCTGCGAATGGCGAGTCTGGAATAGGACCCAGACATCCTGCGTATTCGAACGATGCGACTTTTGTTGGTTCTGAGAACGACTCGCTCGTTGTCGTCGTTGATTCAATAGGTCCGCTAGACTGGATAGAAGTCGCCGATGATTGCAATGGTGGAGGGTATACAGATGTCGTGGTGCTAACGGGGGTAACAGTCGTGCTGCTTCCGTCTGACAATATTTTGGTCGAAGGTTGCGATGTTACCGAAGAAGTCCTTGATGAGAAGTCGTCCGACGACTGCGACAGAGTAAGGGTTTGTGTGGGAGTGGACACCACTGTAGACGTAGACAATAACACAGTCATGGTGACACTGCTCAATGGTGCAACAGTCGCGGTCCCTAACGTGGCATGACTTGATGTTGTTGGGTGATTAATCATTGGGGTCGACGTAGCCCGAGAGTTTGAACTTGGAGACTGTGCAGATGGGGCTAAGAGTGAACTTGTAGAGTACGTTGTATGTTGACTTGTCGTCGAGGATAGCCCCAATGTGACACGGCCGGTGCTTGAATGTACTGTGGTTTGTCCAACCACGCTAGTAGAAGACTGCACTGGGCTCAGGGTAGATGAGTTTGGCGCAGTAAGTACAGTCGTCGTTGAGCCGACCACCACCGGAGTCGTGGTTGACTGTGGAGGCTCAATCACAGTCGTCGGCGTCTGAATTGCTGTAGTTGTTGAAACCAGCGTTGTAGGACGTGAAGTCGATATCGAAGTGGTGATTGAATTTGAAAAAGGAATCGTTGTTGTGGATGAACTCCTGATACTCATAGTGGAACTTGTGACCACAGACTGGGTTGATGAAGTGCTACCTAATGCCGATCTTGTCGTCAATGACTGTGATGGTCCGTTCGTCGTCGACAAGGATGTTCCCGATATAACCGATGAAGTCGACGTTGAACCGACCGAGACAACCGAGATCGAATTGGAAGAAGATGCAGCTGCACCGGATGGGCTCGAAGTCGCACTGGTCAAGACAATCACGATTGAACTTGAAAGAAATGAACTCGTATCTGCACCTACTCCCGATGATGTCGTAGTCGTGGCTCCATCCCCACCACCTCCCATGCCAACACCATCAGTATATGATGACAGCGGAGTCTCACTAATCAGTACAAAACTCGTACTTGTAGTCCCTGACGGAGGAAGATAGGTATTCGGAGTCGGCGTAGTCTGCACATACGAAGTACTACTGCTGCTTGACGTCTGGCTTCTCGGATCGTCCGTCACCTGAGGGTAAGCGTAGTAAATAAGCCGAGCACCATTGTATCGTGCATCGGCAGGCTGAGCATAGCAATCCCTTTTCCAATAACAAGCCTTGGTGCTGACCTGGTACGTGACAGCACCACAGTAATTGGCAGTAATGTTATCATTCCAATAGCTGCATCCTGCGATGCAGTCTTCGAAAGAGTTGACCTGAAATCCTTGATACGGTGCACCAATATCATGGCCTGCAGGGTTGACGCCGCATTCGATCTCATACTTGAAGGCGCCCGACTGGACGACGGTGAAGTTATATCCTGGACATAACGCCGTAGTGGGTGTCGGAGCTGGCGTGGAACTGGTCGTACTGATTGTCGAAGTCGGCTGCAAGCTAGCAATATATGGAGAAGAAGTTGCGTTTGAATCAGAGTCGGCAATTTGGTATACCCGCACGGAATTGATGCTCCAGTATGCATTCTGAAATGCCCCGGGTTGAGCAGCCACGTATGCACTGCACGTCCCGTATCCTGTGGACGCCGCGCATGAATTTGTCGAAGAGTTCCACACACCCGAAGCTCCCGCATATTCACCGCAGAAAGCATTGTTCATGACAATCTTATGTGCCTGGAACTTTTGATCGATATTGCACGACCCCTGAAACTTGGCTGCCGGTAATCCCCATCCGGAAGGATTGGGATTCTTGGTGGTGATATCCGCCGGGATTGAACCTCGAGCGAAGAACCATATTGCAATATAGTCGGATGTCCACTGCATAGCATAGACCCCGCCGCCGCCGCCGTTGAAGCTCGTGCCGTAACTTAGACTGCGTCTGTCACTGATGCTGCAACCGACATTGTAGTTTGGCTGTGTCCACGTTAGTCTCCGGTTCGTGATCCTCGACTACTTCCAAGACCGGTCCGACTCACATAGTAAGCGCAATTCACGGTTTGAAGCTGTCCCGACATCAATCTGCTGTCTCCTGCAATCGTGCAGTTTGGAGACCTTCAATCAATAAGGTTAGCAGTGGATTGTTTCTTGAGTGATTATATGCTGCTGCCCTTACGCGTGTAGTGTCATCCCATTGTAGGCATTGAGATTTGCACCCTCCATAATATCGATCTCACCATTGTATGGCCAATTGGGACCCAAGGTCCAGACTGCGCACACTCAGGATGCAATTACCACTGATTCTTGTACAGATAGACTTACATGCTGGCCATGTCCCACAGATTCCAGCGGGCGAGTGGTTGAAGTCTCCAATGAACAAACCATGAGTCCATGATCTTTTGGTCGATATTCTCACGCTGGGTCTACCTGCGCCATTAGGGTTACCGATAGTGGTCGTGAAGTCTGAGCCAATGTACGTTGGCTGGGAGTTGCTAGAGTTGATCATCCCAGCAAGTTGCGCCGATGATCGACTGTAGTATGTCACGAAACCACCGGTGGGATCGCCTCCCTAGTTGCGGAATGCGTGTCAGTCTTCATCGTTTTCGAGCTTCCCTCTGTCAAATCAACAAAGTTTCCTACCGTAAAGAAATCCCAGCCATCAAAGAAATTTGTTCCCGAGTATTCAGAGTCAAGTTGATAAACAGATCCTGTTTGGGCAACTGCATATTGATAACACCAAAGAAATAAAATGAGGCAGACACAGATGTCGCTGCCGTTCTGCGACCGCAACGGATGAATAGCCATGATCGGCAACAACCGAACAAACTCGTAGCCATGAAGAGTCGCGTGCAGAAGGATCCCCCAGTATATTCATGTTTGCCATGGTGGATGTAGTGGTCCAAGAGGCGGAAGAATTCCAACGCGATCTTGGTGAGGAATGCAGCGGACCACGCCGCCATTTCAGAAAAAAAAAACATTGAGCAAGGAAAGGGGTTTCGATCCGATGGAGACCGGTACCCACCTAGTCCAATAAATTCTGAGTTGAATCCAGCCTTAAGTCAGTCAGTAATGACCATATCATAGGCTGCAAGTCAACACTATCAAAAGCCATAGCAAAACTGCGCAGCTGAGCAACAGCAGTAAACTCGAGTCTGGTCAACTGGGTTCTCAATGTTTCGAGTGCTTGACGACCAAGCATAATCATTCCATGACCTGCCTGGCCTCCTCCCTCAAAGTCCGTTGCGACGACCGACTACTCTCATCCATTGCTGCCTGTTCGTCGTCATTCTGGTCATCATCTTTCCTCTTCTCGACAGCATTACCTGTTGTTGCGGTTTGTCTCTGGGGTTGGGGCTGTCCTTGAAGGTCTGCTTCGGCGTCCTTGTTTACAACCTGCGGCTTGGTAGGCACATCATTCCGCATATCATACCCTCCGCTCCATCCGATCCAGCCTTTCTCATGCGGGCCTCGGGACAGACCAACCAAGAGCGCAACACTCACAAACCCGACGCTCGCACTCCCCGAAGTGATCCACCCACCCCTCGCGTACAGGTGATTTCCAACCGCCGTCCCTATAAGCTGGCCCACGAAAACGCTAACCATGTATGCGGTGTTGACTCTGTTCCTGGCTTTGGGGGCAACGGCATAGATGGCCGTGCGGTTCGCGATCTGAGTCGTCTGCAAGCCCACATCGATCCCGATAGCCTGTATGATGGGTCCTGCTACCGTAGACTTGCCCGTGTACGTTCCGACCACCACACCCGTCAGACAGATCAGCTCACCTATAATAACCGAGAGCAAGGGCTGGTGTTTCTCCATGAACGTCCTCGCAAACACCGGAGCCCACGTCATGCTTCCTATGCCGATAAGCGCGAATAGCCCAATGACGAGAGAGTTGTAGTGGTAGGGAGGCCCGGCCAGCAAGAAAGTCAGAGTGGTCCAGAAACTCGTAAACGACGTGGCTGTGAAGAGACCGACCAGACACGCCTGGAGGAGCACGGGATATTTGGCGACGAGCTTCACGATGTCCCAGAGCAAGAACGGATATTTCTTGACGACTCTCACGTCCGGGTTCGTCGAAGGGTAGTCCGGCATGAAAATATACAGCAGGATCAGGATGATGTACTGCAACGCGAACGAGATCCAGTATATATATCGCCAGCCGATGTACTGCGCGACAATGCCCGAAAGGAGACGGGCGCAGAGCATGCCGAGCAACATGCCCGATACGACCACGGACAAGGCGGAGGCTCTGCGATGGGGAGGTGCAAGCTCGCCGACCAAAGGGAGCATCAGCTGTGGAGTGACGGTGGTGACGCTCGTGATGAACGTAATGGCTCCAAATGCGGTGAACGAATTAGTCACACAGAGTCCAATCCTGCAGAAAAAGTCGCAAGGAACCGTCAGTCTTTTCTTCCTCGTCTCTTCCGTACATGTGGAAACTGCAGCGTGGGGGAGGGCGGGAAAGGGCAGCGTGTTTTCAGTGTCTTAAGTTTACCATAACGTAGCAGTGAACCAGACCAGCCATAGTGTGAATGGTCTTCTCTTGAGCAGATCCCCCAAGGGGCATATGAACAACAGTCCTCCTGCATACCCTGCTTGGGCAAGAGTGGGTATGTACGATGCTTCTTCGTCCGTGACATGAAAATCGTCCGCCAACAGGTTTAAGATGGGGTGGTTGTAGTAGAGGTTTGCGACCGTAAAGCACCCTGCGAAAGCTGTAACACAGCGAGATGTCAGTCAGTCAGTCAGTCAGTCGATCGGTCGGTCAATCTGAATCCGTATTGACAAGCCGGCTCTCACACCAAGAGCCATGTTCAAACTCACCAAACAGTAGATTCAATCCCATGGAGAATTGAAACGGTTTCTCAGGATCATATCGACACCGTGGTGGAACATAGGTCAAACAGGCATACAAAGTCTGCCGCAGGGTTCGTGCTGGCTCTGGCTCTGGCTCTGGCTCTGGCTCCGGCTCCGGCTCCTGCTTTGTCGCCTGATCGTCATCGCGTAGAACGGTTTGTCGAGGTGACAGCGCCGCCGCATCCTTGTCGGCGACGACAACTTCCGCCTCGACGCCTGATTGAAATTGCGCCATCCTCGAACGTTCGCTGGTCTTCGATGACAACGAGCGTTACATCAAGAGAGCGGAAAGAGAGAACACAAACCATTTCGTCGAGAAAACATTGTCCCGCACATGTACAGCGAGAGGTACATGAGATCGCTCTCCCTACCCAAGGGACCTACCTAGTGAGGACTCTCTGCACCGGTGCTGGAGTCGGGATTTGGAGAAGAGGGTCCATCTTTTGGCCGTGTTTGCGCGTGTGCGTGTGCATAATTTGCAAGGAAGGGCAATTAAAAAGCCGCTGGTAGTTAACGAGTTAGTGAGGCCAGGCCTGGTGATCTGCGGCCAAGGGAAGCAATTTTGTGGGTGCGATAGGCGGAAAGTGGCCGCTACAATAGGGATAACGAGGGGGACGAATCTTTGGCCCGGAACTCGCCGATACATGGCCATCGAGAAGATAGACATGGTCATATATGGAAGTTGAAGAGGTCTGGTTCCTTCGCCTATGAGAAGCCACATAATAGGTACGGTGCCATATATCTTGACAAGACACCCTCATCACTTACTCCAGGGTGTGGTAGAGCCTGTAATCGTACGCGGATCAATCATTATCTTCCCAACTAGGTGGGCTTCCTGGGTAGGAGACGACCCAATTGTGTCTTACTACTGACTACTTACTAGCCACATACAACACGGAGACCAAAGAAGCACCAAATAAATAAACGATCGCACTCTGACTGGTCGTTTGCTCAACTCAACATGCCACCCACAAGATTAAACACGAAGAGTCTTGCCACCATCGCCGCCACCGCCTTTCAGCTAGCTGCTGCTGCTGCTGCTGCTGTAGTCGCTCGCCCGCTCGCTCGCTCTGACAGGTCATGACAATCAAAGAAAAGAATCAAAAGCAACGACTCCCTAGGATACCTAGAATTGAAATCGAGCTAATAGCGAAACAAATAGGAAGAAAGATGCACAGGGGGTGCCGTGGCACAAGCCCTGTCAAGTCGTGACGAGTCAGATCAACGCTTTTCCCCATCCTCGTTGCTGTCGTTATCGTCGTTACATGTCGTAAAGGCTCATCAAGTCGTTATTCGTAAGAAGCCATGGTGCGCTGTTCGTCAGGCTGGTGCTCGAACACCTCGATATTCGTCGCCGAAGTCTTCAATCGTCTTGACAAAGTCCTCTGCATCTGTACAGACAGTGTCAGTCAGGTTCATACGCATTCACACCGCATCCGCATCCCTGGGTCCTCATAATTACCTGCGAGTAGTTCAAAATCCAAAAAATGTTCACCATTAGCGGCCATGTGAGGCACATATTCGGAGGAAAACACATGTCGTTGGAGTTGGGCCAAGTAGACCGTATAAGTATTCTTGGACCATCGAAGCCAGGTGGGAGACGTGACATGGTGAGTTATGAATGCCGTCCAAATGGGGCAGCTGCTGGGAAAATTAGCTTGCTGTATGTTGTCGTGCCAAGTTCCATCCACTTACTGCTTCATATCACCGTCCAAGACCGATGCCTCAAGTCGAATTGCATCAGTGGCTTTGTCGCGATAGAGACGAAGAGCGTGCTTGAAGCCGCTATCTCGAATCGCTCTGTCAAGGTCAGCAAGCATACCCAAACCCTGCAGCCAGGGACATCGTACCCTGCGAAGTTACTGGTCTCCCCCTTCAACACGTGATCGAGACCATTGTCGACATGTCTCCCACCGTCGTGTGATCGCAGGGACAAGAACGAGCAATGAAAGATGACCAGCCCTGAAGGATGTTAGCGTGTGGGCGGGATACCACTTGAGGCAGGGACTCTCACATTCGTACGAAGTAAATTTGAGACTAGCCCAGCACGTACTCGGAGCGGTGACAGTGGGACGACACAGGTACAGAAAAGGTCCGGCACGACGAACATGTAGTTCACTGAGAGGCAGACAGGACCATCGAACACCGCGACGGCTTTCCGGCCATTCACAGACAATCTTGCATCGGTAATCACGAGGTCGCCAATATAACTTGACCCGAAGGCCGCCCGGAAATTTCCTGATCGCGATTAGAGACTCACAACAGCGCTCCAGGCATCAAACATCCTCACATCTGTAGAATGCGCTCGAACTCGGGATCTGGTAAATTGCGACATTTGCCTGCGCTGTCTCCAAAGCAACGTGAACTATTGTGGATGTCAATGACCAGGCATAACACAGTGTATAGATCTTACATTTCAGGATCGTCTTCGAGCATTGTGGTCGGCAGATTATTGAATATATTGGTGGCCCAGTGTCCTATGTCGGCATCCGCACTACTGGAGGTATGACTGGTGGTGGAAAACGTCATGGTGGGAGACATCGGAGGCGGACTAGGCACGGATGGGTTTTGGAAGGTTTCATAGCTGTCGTGGGAGGATGTTGGTGACATTGGCCGTTGGTTTTGTGGTCTGATCCGTTCGTGCGATTTTGGTTGGATCACTGTTTTCGGTCAGCACTTTCGCGGAAGCGGATTTTGACTCGGGGTTGAAAGACCAGTTCTCTGGACCGGAACCAAAGAGAGATTCGCAAAAGTTTCGGTGGCGGTGATCAAACGTCTGTTGCTGCGTTGTAAGGATTGCAAGTCGTTGATCTCATGGCGGAGGCCGTCGATTTCTCGACGATTGTAGGTTTGTCTGACCGAAAAAGCGTGAGCGCAGCGTCACCATTTGGATCAAAAGTCACCGCACCTACCTTTTCAATACCTTACATAGCCCAAAGGTGAACAATTTATAGGTCGACAGACGCATGTCGAAGGTCTGTTTCCCCATGGTGTAACAATACCGTGTAACCTCCTTCCAGGCGTTGCGGTAGTCGATCTTGGTGGCATCTGGCGGGATCTTACCCAATATGTGCCAGACATCTTGAAGGGTAAACGCAACACTGTTTTGTAGAAGAGTAAGATCCGTGGCGAAGGACCTGGTCACCTCGCTTCCGGCCAGATCGATTTGGTCGTTGAGTTCGCGGAGAGCCCAGCTGAGGTCGTTGAGTCCCGTGATGGCCAGGGTGATGGCCTGCAAATGGTCCTGGTCGAATTTTCGGAGGCTGCTCAGGATCTCAGCAATATCCAAAGCGCGTCCGGCCTCCTCCGTGAGTAGTAAATCCATGCATAACGTAGGATTGTGTTTTCACACTTTGAAGAAGTGCTGAAGATGGAGACGGTCTCGATCAAGTGGGTATAGATGTACGGTGATGGCGGTGGTGAGGCTCTTTTCTGGCTGTTGAGCTGGCTATGATCGAGACCAGACCAGCGTCGGCCGGGACTCGTATTGGTGATCCCGTAAGAACACGCGGAGGCGAGGTCTCATGCGGGTGGTTTGACGTGTCAAGCCGACAGCAGGCGAGAGCGATGGTCGACGGCGCTGCTGCATGGACTAATTGGGCCCAAGACGACGCCGATTTGTCGCCGCGTCGCCTGTACATGGACGATTGCGACACAGGCTCACCACTGATTTCCGTCACAGTATGTACCAGCTTTAAGTGACCCTGGCCCCCAAAGGACAGAGTTTTCCGCCCGTTGAAACAGATTGGCGACTTGGTCGGTCCCCATTGTGGTGATGAATAAGAAATGAAATAGCGTCATGCTGCAGGCAAATTGCTGCCTAAGTCTGGACCCGGCGTGGTGACTTGGGGCCCTGGATTGCAGTGCTGACACCAAGAAGCGAATCCTCTGGGAAATGTCGACGTGTTCTGCCATCGCAACGCAATGTCACCTCCCTCGGGCTGTACCTCATGCTCTGAAGCCTATGGATCGTCTGTGAGGTTGCGCGTGCAAGAGCAACTCACCGGTGGAAACTCTGCGCGCTATTCGTGCGATGCTTTCTTGGTGTATTGAACGGAGCTGGAGAGCAGTTCGGGGCATCGCCGATGCCAGACCGCGGTGTTTTTCAGCCACGGGCCAGAGGTCTGCGGAGAGACGATGTGAATGTGTTTGCTCTGCCTGGGTCTGAGGGAGAAGGTCAGAGAGAGTGCTGCTCCGTAAAACATCCTCACACACACATATATATCCCAGCCCTACGCCTCGTTGATGCCTGAGGCAAGGGTGTTTAGCTAAGGGCGGGAAGGCGCGGGCCAAAAGTGTGAAGAAGGATTCATCCAGCATCCGTCACACACCAGGCGCAGTGTGGCATCAACAAGGCAGATCAAGTGACGAGATGTGGCTGCTACATTCCACACAAGCATTCTATAGTATTGATACGAGTACGGAGACTGATCCCTCCGGACCCTTGTTGCTGAGGCACGCGTCCTAGTCAACGCGTCTTTGAAGCTATCCCACCGTATCTATGATCAGTGCCAGGCGAGCGGCAGTGATGCCTGATCTGCCGGGGCATCTTTGCGGTGCCGCAGAAAAGTCTCCCCGAGAATACTGAGGCGTCAAGAGCCTTCCCAGAAACAGGGAAAATAGAGGTTATGACAGACATTGCATTGCATGAAGAGCTAGTATACAGCAAGCAGCGTTGTATGCTAAGTCACATCGTCGGTTGTTGCAGCTCCATTCCATCAATGCACGATATTGAATCACGCGGGATGTTACCGGGGCGAACGTCGATGCTATTCCCATCAGCTGCATCTGAAAGAATGCCATTCCCTTTCCACATCGTAGACTCCGAAACCCCTGCCACCCAGCCCGATCGTTGGTAGTAAACACATAAACAGGATAAAGAAAAGAGACTGAACTCGGTCATCAACATGTGATCGGATTTGATGAATGGGCATCTAGTCTTCATCCTCGTCACTACCGCCGGCCTGAGAAGGAGTGGTCAGTATGTTTGCTGTCGAGTCTGAGTGGTTGTGACACGGCTTACATTGTACTTGGCCTTCTCGTCTTCGTATCGCTTCTTGTCGGCAGCGGCCTTCTTCTCGTACGGCTCGCGCTGCTTCTCGCTGAGGGCCTTCCACTTGTCACCGAGGACTTTGCCGACTTGGCCTGTTTTGGGGATCAGTACGGGTTGTGTTTTTCGCCATCTCCACAGAACGAAGCTTACCGAAGCTGATGCCGGGGTTCTCCTCGCGGACATTCTCACGCTGCTCGTTGGCGAAGAACATGTAGGCTGAGAGACCACGCTTGGGCGCGTTAGGGTCTGTGACTGTCAGCTGGGCGTCGCGGCCCCGGGGGCGCGTCTACACACCCTTCTTCTTCTTGTCGCCACGGGTGGCCTTCGTCTTGGATTTCGCAGCGGCTTTAGGCATCTTGACCTCGTGTGGATGAGAGAGTTGGGTGGAAAGCGCGGGTGACTGTGGTTTCCTTGAGATGGTTAGCGGAAGGGTTCTGGTGGTTGTTTATCGCGAGTGATTGAAAGTGAGATTGGGTAACCGAGGAGGAAGTTGAGCAGAGAAACAGAGTGAGCGCGTGTAAGAGGGGGTGCAGAGACGGCAGATATGGGCAACAAGATACTGCCGTGTCGACGGCGGCGGTGTCGCTGCTTGCGCAGTTGCGGTACAGCAAGCGCAGATGGAACAATAGTCGTATTGTGATCTGGGCAAAAACGCGTCCTTTGACACGCGATTGAGGGTCGCCTGGCTGATACAACTCACCCAGCAGGCGAAAACGCGTCGGAAAGATGAGGTGCAGTGCGTGGACGGTGGTGGTGGTGGTCACCGGTTGGTGACGCTGCAGCGCTGGCGATGGCGACGGCGACAGCGACGACGAGGTCGGGTGAGGGAGCAAACAGGGCAGAATGATGACGAGAAGGCCATTTTGGACGGGAATTGAAGCAGAAACAGCGCGACGAGAGGTGGTGGTGGTGGTGTGCAATGGGCGGGAAAATAGTAGAGAGGCAAGTACTTACAGTGTGCAGTGGTTCGCGGCCAGAGAGAGTCGCAGCGTAAAATTGTATGGGAGAAGCTGTGGTGGTGGTAGGAGTAGAAATGGGTGAGGGAGAGAGTAGTAGGAGAGACGAGGGCAGAGGGCAGAGGGCAGAGGCAGAGGGCAGACAGCGGACGGCAGCTGGGACTGGCACTACTACACTACCACAGCGACTGGGCGCGGCGGGTGCTTGGGCTGCCACTGATTGATTCTCTCTCAACCCCCCTCCCCCTTCTCCTTCTACCTGTTGCCGGATCAATTGATCTGACTGACCGCAATCAATCATAATCATAATTCCTCCTGGCGGGAGTTGATCCTGATCACTCACTCGTTGGCTACTGTGAGGACTCCTCTCGCCCTCTGTCATTCTCTCTCTCCTCTCTCTTCCCATCTCCCTCTCCCTCTCTGCTCTCCCTCTCTGCTCTCCCTCTCTGCTCTCCCTCTCTGCTCTCCCTCTCTGCTCTCCCTCTCTGCTCTCCCTTGCTCTCCCTTCCCATCGTGCCTCTCCTCTCCTCCTGGCCCTTCCCCTTCCCCTCTCTCAGAATCACTAGTACATGTCATAGCACCATCCGTGACCTTTCTGCCGTGTTTTCCATGATACGGATAGCTGTACGGATACTCGCACTCCCACTCCTCTCTTCCCTCCCACTCGTACACTCATGTAGTACTCGTAATTGCATACTACATGAGTGCACACTCTCTTTACCACCATGCTTACCATTTGTGGTGATGTTGGTAGATGCCTTTCTTCTTTGTCACGCCCGTTGCCCTTCCGTGCTCATCTCCTCTTTCCATTGTACCTACTTTCACTCTCCTGTCACCCTCTCCAAATGTGACTTGGTCCAGGAAGCGCTAAGCGAGTAAAAGTCAAAAAACTCAGCTGTCTCTTGCGTCTGCTCTAGTACGAGTTATTACTGCAGGTAGCTTGGTGCCATGTCCACCATCAGTTGTATCGGTACCTCGCACCTGGGACGTTTCTCCTCTTTCCACCCATCTCACCACCCACAGCGGCTCGTTTCTCGTACATCTCACTCTCGAGCCCATCATTCTACCCCATTATTATCGTTGTTGTTGTACCGTTCCCATCATCCCCTACCAATGGAGCTATGATTCTGCAGTAACCCTTACCGACTATCACTATCCTTCGGGCCCCCTGCTACATAACAACCAATAGTGTCGCCCACATATTGACTCTCTTCTCTTCTTGCCCTTGTAGCTCCCCCGACTAGGGCCCGTGTCATTGTGGCTCGCCCGTTAGTGCACAGGAATACGGGCCGCGGTAGGGACTTTCCTCCCTCCTGCCCGCTGCCCTGACAGCATCATGGACACGCCAACGGCCTTCTGTTGGCTTGCTCCGGTCAATCCTGTATCGATGCCGTTATCGCCTGGACTGGACTTCTTTCCCACTTCTTCGCCCCGTGAATTATGCTAGCACAGCTCGGTGCGGAAATAGCCTCAACGTCATGTGTGATTATCCCGCGGATACCCACCGTCGGTTGCGCGCTCTTTGAGGACCGCCACCCAACTTTCTCGTCATTGCGCCACCTCGCTTTCGCACGCAGAATTCGGAACCACTTCGCCAGTTTGACTCTCATCCCATCCGATGCACTCGATGCAGCTAAGGTACTGCTACCCTAGGTTCACCAGGCGTCTGCACCATGCCTTACCGGGGCTTTGACCGAGTTGTCGATCGCAGCTCAGCAATATCACGTGATGGATTATGTCATGTGTCAGCCATTACGGCGAAGTCCAATGCCACTTCTGCACTCGGGCGGATCACTGCTGGCATTCTAAACAAACCGCCTCAAGCAAAATACCTAGGTAACCAGTATATCTCTATTGTGGGCCCCATCAAATCAAGACCGGAATTCGACATTGAACAGTCTGTCCCATGCTCTGCCCTTGGCTGGCGACGGATTGCTCTTTGCCGGCGGGTTGGGAAGCTTGTGCCTCGAGGGGGATTGAGATGCTTCTCTCAATGTCAATGGCGGCTGGCCAGTCTGCAAACATGAACATCAGTCGACCTGCGCGTGTCCTTCAAGGACCAAGCAAGAGATCCCTTCTCACCACTTCAAAAACCTGTGCATCCTCCCTATCGGTCTGGCTGGCCGCCGTGGGCTGCCGGACAAAGCTCGCCGTGACAGTTTGGGGGCCCGGACCCGACCCTGCTACTCCTCGGGGGCGGTCGTTCTCATCGTCGGCGTCTTCATCTGCTGCATCCTCCTTGACAGCTTTCTTGACCTGTTCAGTATCCGTGTCACTTGTGATCGGTGCAAGCGGGGCAGCTTTGGATGGCATGTCCTTTACACTGCCACCTCTGCCGCTGGATCCATCCTGCTTGGCCTTCACGTCAACGCTCTTCTTGCTGCCTGAGCTCGACCTCCGACTATCCAAACTCTTTGTCAGTGTCTTGGTGACCATGCTAGCGCTGGGGATGCCACTGGCTCCTCCAATGCTGAGGCCTGCTTTGTGCTCCTTTCTGCCCATGTGGCCTCTGACCTCAACATTCGTAGCAGTCACAGTCGATTTGCCCACAGTTGGGGTTCCTGGCGCACCCAGTTTCTCCTCGGTCGCGTCAATCATGTACCACCTCAGCCCGTCGGAAAGCTCAAAGGGATTTTCATCGTCGACCGATCTGGTAGAGCCACCATCATCAGCCGTAGCACTGGACGACAAATTGCCACGCAATCCAGACGAAAGACTCCGTGATAAGTCGACCATGCGCTCTTCGACTTTCGTGATTCGCGCCAATAACCAATCCCTCGTCTGCAACTTATGTGCATCTTGCTCTCTAAGGAAGTAGTGTGGTGCTCCTACGTTGAACGCGGCCCAGGGGCGAGTGGCGTTATTGCGGGTAGGAAGAAATAGAGCGAGGTCGCCCTCCTTGAAGCTTCGGTATGCAATTTTGTCATGCGCTTCGGCCTGGCTGCGGTGAGTCCGCTCACGATAAGTGCGAGACTCCTTTTGATACCTCTTGGCCAGCGCTTCTACGTCCTTGTACCGCTTGGTGATGAGGTCGATGGTGCTGTCCACGTCCAGACGCTGCAACGCCGTAAGGAAACCACTGTATTTGGTCGACTCAGACCCGAGGTCACTGTCCGACATCCAGTACAGTGTTTCCAGGTCAGCTGGGTCAGAATAGTGTGTTGCAGGAGTGCTGCCTGAAATTGTCCGTCTCATATTAGACGGCCCGGTTCCTTCGTTACCGCTGAGAACCGCGCTAGCATTCACCTTTGACGCTCTCTGAATGACCAAATCGCCATCTTGTCGCGACACCGAGTATCCAAACTGTTCCAGCATGCGGATGACACGGTCATGGTAGTGGAATAACCGCTCTGACAGCTGCTTGGCTTTCTCGCCGCGCTTGTCGAAATGCTTCCTGAGCTTTTCTTGTCGCTCAGTCGCGGCTTGAGATTCATGGGCGAGACTATCGATCTCGTGCTTCAAATGCTGAATGGCGCTTTCATGATCAGCCTTATGGTCCATGAGATCTGCAACCTTCTGTTCCTCGGATTTGAGCTGTTGCTTCAGCGCATCGGAACCGGTTTCACCAGCAGCAAATTTCTGTCGAAGATTGTCCATCTCCACGCGTTCACCTGCTAGTTCTGAGCGAAGCATTGAAACTTTGCTCTTCTCCTGTTTTAGGTCTTCTTGAAGTTGACTCGCCCGTGCTTCAGCCACGGATGTTTGCTCCAGCATCGATTTGATTTGAGCTTCAGCATGGGTCACTTTGTCTTCGAGGGCTTTGTTTTCCGCAGTCGCGAGTTGCAAGGAATCATCGAGACCACGAGCGTGTATGGCGGCGCCTTCAGACAAAATCTCTAGAGCGTTGACAAGCCGACGAATATCGTCAGGTGCAGACCCTGCGGGAGACAGATTCGAATGTACACTCCGTAGGATGGTGACATATTCGGATTGTTGGTCTTCCATGGCCCTCAATTGGTTGGCAAGGGTCATGTTTTGGCTCTGAGCCGCCGCGCGCTCGTCCTTGACTTGGTGCAATTGGCGTTCGAAGGTCGCTGCCCGCTCGCGTTGAGTAATGGTATCTTTTTGCGCAGCCTCAATTCTTCGTTGTGCTTGTGCCAAATTTTCTGTCGACTCCTTCTTGAGCTGTTCTATTTCATGCCTCAAATTCACCACAAGTTGATCTTGCTCCATCCGAAGGTGGTCCCGCGATTCATTGAGCCGGTCAAGTTCATCCTCCGCCTCGTCCAGTTTCACTTTTAGGCGATGAACCTCATCGTCCAGGATCTGCCGTTCTTCCTCAAACTCTTGTTTCTGGGCTTCAAAGTTTGCCATCAAGTCCTGCTTGACCAATTCAGCCTCCTGCATTTTGTCCCGACTCTCCGAGCTCGACCGTCGCTCTTCTTGGGCCTCTTCTTGTAACTTCTGTATTTGACCCTCAAGAGATATAATTTTCTGTACAAGGGACTTTTCATCCTGAGTATTCGAAAGTCGTCTCACTGATACTGAAGATCTCCGTGATAAGTCACTCTGCCGCTGGAACGGGCCAGGCGATGGGATCTGTCGCTCAAAGTCGGCAGCACTACCTGGCACGAAAATCCCACTTGTTGGCCTGCTGAGTTGACTTTGACGGTGCAGCAAGTCCTCAAGCTTGCGAACGCGACTGTCAGAAGCACGCAATTTTTCCTCCAACCTTGTATTCTCGTCCTGCAAACTCCTCGCATCGTTCCCGTTGCGAAGGACTCCGCTCCCCTTGAGATCATGAAGGCTGCCGTTCTTAAACGGCTTCGTTTTCTGCTTGCGGGCGGGGGCATCAAGGTCTTTCATGCGTTGAGTGATACTGTTGACAGCATCGTCGATGCCCAAAGCCCGCAAGTCATCGATCCAGGCAAAGATTTCGTCCCTGTTGACAAAGGGCCACGAGTTGCGGGGGGCAGACGCTTTGAGATCAATCAAGGCGTCCTTTGCGTTCAGGTCCTCGTTCAAGAAATCCACATGCGAAGAAGCCCATCTCTTGCGACGGCGTTGCTCTTCCTCAGTCTGCTCCGACAGGTCGTCACGAAGAGCATCGACTTCTACCCTCATCCGCTCTGTCCACTCCGATCGTCGGGTGGCTTCCACCAGCGTAGCTCCATAGACCAGAGGTAGTTGAAATAAGTGCTCCAAGATTGAATAATTTTTGCCATCTTGAAAGTCTAGTGTCGAAACAGCAGTCTGCAACTCCTGCAGGCGAGACTGCAGTCTCGATATCATCTGCAACGTCGAATACCAGTCACTAGAAACGACAGTCCTCGCCTCCCATGCTGCTGTTGAACCAAGAGCAATTTCGTCCACCAGATTCTGAAGAGCCGGCAACAGGTCTCGAGTGTGAACCGCAGCCTTTCGGGAGACCGAAACCACTGACTTGGGACTATCCTGCATCTTGACCACTTCCTCATAGTCGCCGCTGACTCGTTTGGCCAAGGTCTGGGCCTCGTCTATCAGGGCGTGGGTATCAAATTGCTGTACTTCTGTGGGATTCGCTTTCGCATTGTTGGTATCCTGTTTCAGACTCTCAATGGCTGACCGTAACTCTCCAAGGCTATTCTCAAATTCACTTGTACTCTGTCCAACAGTCTCCGCAGCTGCTTTCACTCGATTTCGGTTGACCAATTCGGACAATGTACCCACAGGGGCTTGAGCTTGTGTATGTCCAGGATCATCTGGCCGCCGCAAGATTTTGGCAACATCTTCACGCACCGGCAGCTCAGTCAGAGAATCTGCGCATGCTTCCCAGTCTCTTACAGCATCTCGGAGCTCTTGAATATACCCCTCTGCCCACTGGCGTGTCTCGTCAAACTTCTGTTGTAGACTGTGGACGTGGCCTCGGAGATTGTCCAACGCAACGTTCATCGAACGAGCTATCACAGTAGCCTCGTCTGTACACGTCTCGATGTTCTCCACACCCGTCCTCGCCGTTTCAAACGCCTCGAGAGCCCAGGCTCGTCTGGCCATGAACAACTCTTGCCATGCTTTCAGGCTGTTCTCATCCGCAAGGGAGGAAGGGATGTCGGGAAGAGGTCGGAGTTCGACAGCGGGCCTGGAGGACGGGTGCGACTCGGAAGAAAGGAACTGTTTATCGTACACATATATTTCGCTTTCATTGGACAGGTTCTTGACTATCTTGCCCCGAGGAGACATGAGGATTTGACGACTTGCTGGAATCTCAGCATTGGACTCGATCCACGACCGCAGGCCGTCGACGCGGGATCCGATGTCACGGAAGGTCAACACACCACCGGTGTGCGAGATGTAGACTTGTAAAGCCATCGTCCCCTTTGCCTCCACTGTCACCGGCCATGAACAAGCAAACGAATCTCAGGCTGATGTCTGACTGAATAACTCGTACAGGCAATTCAGCCTTTCACCAGGCATGTCACCGGCCTATGCAGTTTAGCGCGTCATTAGGCACGTGCATTGGGTCCATTGTCGGAGCCTCGGCGCCTCCCAACCAACGCCTGGAACGGGTACCGGCTGGTCACTGGGAGTCAAGTAGGGCGTGCCTGGAACTCGGTGGGTAAGGATTCACGCCGGGCCGGGCACAAAGTTTACTGTAACGAGTAGTCGAGGCGTTGATGATCAGATTCATCCGGAGATCACCGTTACCATCTAGAAGGGCGCGGCGGGTATAATAACCGCATGGAGTAGAGGAGATGCTGGGCGACATCTTGTTGAGATACAGGCCCCAAAAGCAATAGAAAGAGTTCCGCCTCGATACGACGAGATGACCGTCTTTCCCTAACAACCTGGGAAGTCGGACGAACAGGCCTGGACTCATCCACGGACACCACTACTCCCGAGCGCGAAAGGATACCATCACCACGTCGACAGGAAGTAGAGGGGATAGGACGACAGTTCAGGCTGTCGCACACCAGACACAATGCCCGACCATCTGCCACACATCATGAAACCGTCCTTCAGATGGCACTGGAGGTCGTGGGAAGACATCAAGGCCGCTTCGACCTTCACACTCACCAACTACACGAACTTCATCCTCCTCATCATATTCGTCGCCCTTGCACTGAGGCAGATAAGGTCACAGCAGGTATATATATAACACATCCCTCGTTGGTTTTGGCTCATAATCGGTTGGACCAAGAACTAAGAAGCCACCACGTGTGACCAGGCGGCCATCAAGAAATCTAGCCATGAGAAGCGCTTTCTCAAGGCCGACGACTTTCCCCCAGTAGAAGAACAACAAGACTTTGACTGGAAGACCACCAAGCCCCTCCAATACCGACCTTTCAAGCCGAAATACCACTTGACAATGGGTGAGTTCTTCCTTTCCTTTTGTCCTGTCATGGTCTCGCCAGAATCTTTCCAATGTCCTTTCCTTCTCTTGTCCTGTGTCCACCCAGGCAGGGTGAAAAAGAAAGGCTGATGAAGCATACGCACTATGGAGCCGAGTCTGACGATTCAGCTCTCGAAAAACTCAATCCGACCGAGCTTCTGGTCATGGATGACACGTACGCCGACCGCATGGCCTACCGGCGGCGCATCATCGCCGAGAACGGCAAACACGTCGTCAACGTCAACGACGACGCACGCATCCGGCCCGCGGTGGTCGAGCTGTACGTGTTCCTAATGGGCACGTATCTCCCGCTACGCTTCCCACAGGTCTTCAAGCTGCACGAGACGGAGTACGAGCAGGGCAAGACGTACATGCTCGAGAACACGGTCACGGGCTCCTTGTTTCCGGCCAAACCATCCGCGACTACGTCCACGACAAGCTTACTCGAGATCCTCGGCCGAACAGTCGACGAGGACTTCCTCTTCCTCGTACCGGAACAAGGCGGCGGCGACGACGACCCGAAGTACGTCTTCGAAGCGTATGTCCTTGTGTGCCCGTCCGGCTTCGACCCGACGGAGAAGATCGGCAAGCGGCTTGCCGCCATCCACACCCCGGTGCCCGGCTACAGCTCCAAGCTGGAAGCCAGCATGGACCGATTCTTCTCCAAGATCGAGGTCGGCCAGTACGTTCGTCGCGTCAACTGGGCCATCACGACGAACACGGACCTGTACTCCCCGGGCCATGGGACAAACCACGCTCACGAGGGCGACGAAATCGAAGAACTGGACGAAGTTGATATCGACAAGACGTTTATGAGGTGTGAGCGACAGACCCTGCACCGCCTTCCGAAATCCAAGGCCCTGGTGTTTGCGTTCCACACCTACCTCTACCCCATCGAGCAGATCAAAAAAGAAGGTGGAGGAGAAGACCTCGCCAATGCCATTGACGGGTTGAAGATGGGCAACGTTCCGGCAATGCATTTCTACAAACGAGGCGCCGTCTGGGGTGAGGCTGTCAAGAGATATCTCCGAAGCTAAACGACGCTGATGACCGTCGGGGAACGATGTAAAGGTTCAGGTGCATGATAATGTCAATGCTATGTCAAGTTTGATGTATGTGGACATCGTCGGATAAGGGAATTTGACAGATGTTCTCTAATAGTTGTCCTCAAGCTTCGCCGTGCCTCATTGGCTCAGTTCTATCTCAATCTCTCAACGGCCTTGATTAGATCTCCCGTGACGCCCATGGCAGTGACCTCGCCGCCTGCACCGGCACCCTGGATCACCAACGGGCTCGGGTATCGCTTCGTGTAGAAGCATATCAGATTATCGCTGCCTTTCAGACTCGCAATCGGCGTTCCCCGATCTACCATCTGAAGGCCGACCTTGACTTCCTCCTTTGCGACGTCGATACTTCCCACGTATCTGACCACCTTACCCTCACGCGCCGCGTCGTCTTTATAGGCCTCCATCTCGCCGTCGAACTCCGGCAGCCTCTGCATGAACTCTTCGCTGCTTCCCGCGCTCTCAAGCTCTTTGGGAATGAGACTTTGCACGGGGAAGCCCTCCGGTCCTTGCACTTTCAACCCCGCCAATCTCGCCAGGATCGTAAGCTTTCTCGCCACATCCATTCCATTGAGATCATCACGCGGGTCGGGCTCAGTGTATCCCGCGTCCTTTGCCTGCGACACAATCTCCGACCATTTACCCTTTCCACTGCCGTCGACCGGTGCGAAGCTGTTGAAGAGAAAACTCATAGTCCCACTGAACACACCCTCGATCTTCGTAACTTGATCTCCAGTCGCCACAAGGTCCTTCAGCGTCGAAATGACGGGCAATCCAGCACCCACGGAGCCTTCGTGGTAGATCATTGCGTTTCCATCACTCTTGTCGACGGCATCGAAAATGTCATTCCACAGGCTCAAGCCAGAACTGAATGCCTTCTTGTTCGGTGTTACCACGCTGATACCCTTGCGCAGGAAACCAGGATATGCCTCTGCAACGTCTTGGCTCGACGTGTTGTCAACGAGTATGCTCTTTCCCGGGGCGGCAGCAAGATACGTCGTAATCTCCGCAAGGGATAAGAGCTTCGAAGAGGAGGTTTGTAGGTTGGAGGGCGAAACAGGCTTGTAGTCATTGGTGTAGAGCTGCTTTGAAGAACGTGAGACAAAGACCAGGGTAGGCCGAAGCGCTGGTGAGAGGCTGGCTAGCTGAGACAGAAAGGCGGTGCCGACGCCGCCGACACCAATAACAGCGAGGTAGAGGTTCGGCATGGTTACTTTATGACAAGGACTGGTGGAAATGCGCAAGACGAGCGACTGTAGAGTCAATTGGAGTCAAATACCTTTTTGTGTGAGCAAGTCGGTTCAACGCGGGGACGGTGAGGGGAAGTGCGGCGAGGCTGCGATTTGGCCTCGTCGACGAAGGCGACCAGGTAAACATGCAAACAACAGGCCGAGTAACACTTCAAAGCACTTGGAACACTCGAGGAGTTGCAAGCAACCGCAGAGACTTGACTTTTGGGGCTTTTGACAGCTATGTCTGCGCAAATCCAGGTACGCCAGCCTGGCCGCCTATATCATCCCAGAACTGGCCGTAATCAACACCTCGTTTCGCTAAGAGTCGCTTCAATTCACGAAGAGCATCAGCTTGTCGCCCTGGCGTAAAACCGCCCGGCTGAGAAGTCTCGAATTGGACAATCTCAATCCAACGGAAAAAGACGCTTTCTGCGCCACACTCTGCAAGTTTCCGCCTGAACTTCTCCACGACACTGTCTTGCTCGGCTTCCTCCGGAGTAATGTCCCGTTGGTCGTAGACACGCCAAATGAGCCAACGCTTCTGATAGTAGACCATTGTCAGATTGCTCATATCTCTCATTTGTATTGTGCCATCCTGATCCAGTCTGTGCGCATCCACCATGGCCTTGTAGTCGAGATCCCAGTCTTTGTCCAGAAGCAAAGAGCCAGTCTTCGCTAGATAGCTCGGTCGCATTGCCGGTTCGACTTTGACCTTGATAGTCAACTCTTCATCAACCACCCAGGTCTTGGTCTGTTCCGGTACTTCGCTCGTGAGCAGCGGTGTATCCCACATTCTACCACACCTCACAATGATCTCTGTATCCTGGAAACCGATGGTCCTTCTCCATGTCCACGGGCCTGTGTATCGAGACCATCTGCTTCCGAACATAAACTGTTTAGGCCAGCTACCAATGAGTGCGAAGATAGTATAATCCACCATCAACAACGCTGTCCTCGAAGCAATTGTGGACACGAGCTCACCAGCGCTCGCCTTCTTTGCGTCCACTTTATAATCAGTATCATATCCGAAGATGGTAATGATCTGTTGAAGGTAGACAGGTGCAGCATAGTAGGCGCGGATGCAGAGGCCGATGGTAATGAGCAGGTTGAGTAGGAGAGGGACCAAGAAGACTCTCTTCTTTAGGCTCGTGGGCGTCACATCGAGATGGACGAGGTAGATGTGATCGGTCGGCAGCGTGGAGAGAAAGGGCTGCAAGGACGCCGGGGCATACTCGAACGGCGTGGGAGGGCCAGCGGTAGATTGAGTCTGAGGCTGCGTTACAGGAGCTGTCGTAGCCTTGGGCTTGCCGCCTCGTTTCCCAGCCGCACGAGCCATCTCGTTGGCGCTCTCGTGTGTTTGAAAGCTTCATTGACGAGCACTCCTGAGCCTTCGAGTACAACAAGTACAGCAGCGACGACTTGGAATTATTCTATCGAAGCGAGTCAGTTTTCATCACGTGATGGACCCTATCCTGAGTCAAGCATTCAGGTCTTCAGAAGGGGCCGAGTCTTTGATCACGAGTAAACTGTCGTTCTCCCATTCCTCTGTCCTACCTACTACCTCTCGGTCGACTCCGACTTTCATTGGAGGACTCGAATCTCCGAATAAGATGTCTTCTGCTGAGATATGAGCTGCTCCGTTCAGCCCCAAAATAGTATTGCCGCTGAAGCAAGATCAAGCCCCAGGGATCATGAAGCTTGCCGAAAGCTTGGTTGACCAACTTGGGGGGCGAAACGCATCAGCCTAGTGGCGGAGACCCAGAGCATCCCAGGGTCCAAAATTCCAAAGACTACCGAAGCATCTTCTATTTGATGCTATATCAGGCACATCCTGCTTACATGACCCCGAGCGACAAACTATTCAAGCATATGGCAAGCCTCCTGCACTAAGTGCTTATGCTGACCGGGGCCACGTTCCAGGCACACTAAGCTTCGGTCTCCTTTGTCCCACAGGCTTCGAGCCTTGGGGGGCCCTGCGATCTACTTACAATAGCGCAGGCATCGCCCTTCTCAACATGAGTTATTCAGTTTCGTCTGTGTCATTTGAGGCGTAAGTTGTTCTATACACTCATGTTGTTCGTGTGACATTCAATCCTTCCTTCACTTGCCGTCCCGCGACCAGAATCCGCTCTTTGTATCGTCCAGTCCACGGAAACCAAAATGGACTATATTCCTGATCGGCTGGTGAAGGGTCTGAGACAAGCTCGAGATGCAACGTCGACTACCGGTAATACAGCAACGGCCACGATGAAGAACGGAAAGATCACCCATGCCGTCGGCAAACTATGGCAAGCTGGAGTAGTCGACGACAGCGAAGGTGCCTTGATCAACACCGGCACATCTACCTCGACCATTCACGCCGAGAAGATCACCCACATGGCTACTAAATTGGCCCAGGCGGGTCTGAGCACTGATGACGACGGCCCCAAATCAAGCAGCCACGGCCTCGCCACGAAGTACATCATCATCATCGCCGTGGGGAGCGCCCTGGTGCTCCTTGCCGCTATCACAGGCGGTTGTCTGTGCTGGAGAAGATACAGAAGGAAAATGGCATACAATGTTGTGAGCAGAGGGGTCGACACAAAGGAGAAAAGGCCCAGGCGCGACAAAGAGGACGTATTTAATGCCGATATGGGAGAAACGGAGAATTTTAATCCCGAGGGACCTAAACTCAGCGAGCGTAATTTCGAGAGCGGATACGACAAAGTCGAGACTGGTTATGAAGGCACAGGCTACGGGGCGACTGAAGAACAAGGAGAAAGGCATGGAGACAGGAGGTCTAATTTCGAGGCCTGATCAAAGCATGGTCATGATAGATCAGGATATCAGCTTCAAGACTGCCTGCCGAACTAGGTACATGTGAAGGCGTTGCTGGAAGTGGGCCGATATATCCTTGGTGAGGCAATGCAATGTCTTTCTTCTAAGAGACCGACAGATGCTGCGTCCCATGGCTTTCGTCGGGCGTCTTGTGAACGCACCCTCGCAGTGTCAAAAACGATTCCCGATTGCTGGGAGAACCAAGCCTTCAACGTTCAAGAAGCTGAGCGCGCGAGCCTGCTCCCGCAAAAGGAATATCTGAACGAGGATGCGATCAGACTCCCATCCCAGGGCTCTCACTGACTTTGATTTTGAATGCGATCCCACGTGGAACATGATAGTGGACTCCGTAGAGCCGCGCCGGTACCGCAAACGTCTTTCGGAATGGAGTACGCCGTATTATAGGATCATTGACTTCTGTATATGATAGCACACCTAAGGGAATAGACTACACAGGATTAGCAAACAACTCAGCCAGAGCATTGCTTCACCAAAGTGAGAATCATGAGTTGAAGGGCCAAAACGGGCTGGGCTTGACGAATCGGCTTAACTAAAGCGGCGTGATTTTGTATTTCCGGTAAACATTCAGGTAAACACATCCCATCAACACTAAAGGCTGAAAGATTCTCATGACCATGTAGATTGAAGGACTCGAAAGAGTTCGTTCTGGTACAATGAGCTCACCGGCTTCGAAGCGGTTGCGACTGTCGACATCGAGGACCTCCATCTCAAGTCGGCGGCCGAGCGTTTCTGGAGGTCAATCATCGCTCCCGCGTCCAACATCTGCGGTAAGTCACGTCAACACTAATGGCGTTTGCCAAAGGCTGATTAAAGGCAGACTGGACATAGGACGAGTACCACGCAACCGACATATGATTTTATCTCGGGTGGAGCCGTTGACAATCCCATACCACCACTGCGACACTCTCGACTGCGCCAGTCGTCTGTTACGAGACAAGGTCAGCAAGGAGTACGCGCTTCCAAATGGACTCGATTCTGACTGTATCTAGATCATACCCACGATGAGAACCTGCGAGCAAAGATCAATGCGCTGGAATACGAGGTCAAGAATCTCCAACAAGAACGCGGACTGTTGGCTCTGCAACATGACAAAGAACTCCGCGAACAACAGGCAAGAGCAGAGGCCGATTTCAGAAAATATCAAGTACGTCGCCATCTTGTAACGCAGGCATGTCTGTCTGACTGACGACCTTAGGCGGCGGAAGGTGCTTCCCAAAAAGCCATCCAGCGGCAAGAAGCCGTTGCCCGAGAATTGCGTGAAGCACGAGATCAATGGGCGAACGAAAAAACAACGTTAGAGCGAAAGCTCCGAGATTTACAAGACCAATCTTCGTCATACAAAGAGGATGCCGAGGATGCCCAAGCACGGCTAGCCGATGAAGAAAGACATTATAGACACCAGCTGGATGACATCGAGGCTAAACGTGTGGCACTCCAGGAGACCGTAGAGAGCGTGAGACAAGAGTTGGAAGAGCTGTCTGGACAATTCGAGGCATCGCAAGCGAGATTGTCCGAACGGGATGCGCAAGTGCAGAGTCTTGAAGCTGAAGTCTCTTCGCTGAAATCGCACTCCTCAGATAGTGAAGCACTGACTGTTCTGCAAAATCAACTGTCGGACCAAGTGGCTCACATACGGAAACTTGAGCAGACAAACAGAGAACAATTGGGCGAGCTGCGGCGATTGCGGGAAACACAGCGAAGTGTTCAAGTGGTTGAAGAACAGAAGCATGGTTTAGAAATTGAAATCCAGGTCCTAAAGGACGTTGAGCGACAACTGAGCGAAGCTCAGATACAGAAAGAGATTCTGGAAGATGAGAAGAGGACGTGGACGAGCCTCCTGGAACGTGACGGTGAACACGAGTTTGAGTCTCCTGAGGCAGTTGTCAAGGCTCTTATCCAACAACGGATCGAGTATGCATCTGTCATGGACAGGCTGGGTAACATCGAGAGCGATTTGACTGAGAAGGATGAGATCATCAAGGCACTGGAAGCGGATAAAGCATCGTTGAAAACCGAGCTGGAGAGAGTCAAAACTGCACAGGCTACACTTGCTGAGCCTGCCAATGACAACAAAGCCTACAAACGACTCGAGCGTCAACGAGTACTTGCCGTCAAGGAAGTGGAGTATCTGCGCGCACAGTTGAAGACGTTCGACACCGAGGAAACCATGTTGATGGACAACCAGAATTTTGACGCGCAACGATCTGAGCAAATCAAACAGTTGGAAGATCTCGTCGACAAATACAAGGCTGAGGTGCAGAGTCTGCACAGCGAGTTGTCGAAACTTGAGTCCGCGCCTCCCACTGGCTCCAAGACGGAGGAGCTCCGAGGGACGAAACGTTCCGCTGAATCGCAGGAGCCGGACGGTGAAAGCAACGTGCAACTGGGAGCCCTGTTACGGAAGAACAAGAATCTCCAGATTGCATTGCAGAAAACCGCCCAACAGTCTCAGATGTTGGCCACCGACCTGCAAGCCACGAAAGCACAGCTGAAGGCCTTACGGGACAGTTCCAAGACTCGCATATTGGAGCTGCGGAATAATCCTACGGCACAGGCTGAGACGATCAAGATGACCACTTTGCGGACGCTCAAGGAAGAAAATGCAGGCCTGTTAGCGCAATTGCGTGGTGAAGACCTGCAGGGCGTCAAGGTTGTTCCTGTTAGCACCGTGGACGCCCTCAAGCTCGACCTCAAAGACATGGAGATGGTTGTCGCCGAAAAGGAGAAACGGATGAGACGCCAGCGCGAGATATGGACACAGAAAGCCGCCGAGTTTCGCGATGTCATTGCCAGCGTGCTGGGCTACAAAGTCAACTTTCTTCCCAATGGCAAGGCAAAAGTGTCGAGTATGTACTATGGCCGGACCCAGACTGCCGACGAGGACAGCGATGAAGAAGACGACGAACATCACATCGTCTTCGATGGGGACAACGGCACAATGAAGATCAGTGGAGGGCCAGACGGTGCTTTTGGCGAGGAAATCAGAGATCTGGTGAACTTTTGGGTGAAGGAGAAGAAGCAGATTCCCTGTTTCCTTGCAGCCATGACGCTGGAATTCTACGAGAAGTTTACCAGCAATAGTGGGAAGCTGGATGGGTCTTGAGAGGTGGTCTGTGGAAGAGGATTCCGGGCTACCTGGACACCTATTAGTATGTATGGAGCATGAGTACACCTGCCTGGCCGTATCGGCTTCAGCACTGGGTGCAATAACGACTGTAATCTATTGAATGACACATGTCCACCGTGCCCACAAAGCTCGGTACACGTTGGAAGGCCACCTTATCCACCCGTCCATCTACAGCAGCCTATAGATATAGCTGGACTGTGTCGGATGCGCGGCCTTCTGCACTCACTATAACGTTTCAAGCAGTGTTCAGGCCACCCCCAACGGATGAAGGAGGGGTTCGTCCGACTACAATACGTCCCTGAGGGTGAGTAAGATGGCTCTATAATAGCCTAAGGGATACTGGAGGTGCCGTCGGGTGCCGGGAGCAATGATTGTCCCGAGACGGTGCAGACCGAGGCTAGAACTGCCACCTCGTATTTTTCTCTTCTCGACCAACCCAGTCTTTTTCCAGATTCTGCTTCAGCGCCTCGTTTTGCCCCGACTCCTCCATCCGTCAAGACACCGCCATCGTCATCGGCGCCTCCCTATCAACTCCACCTGGGCCACTGGACTCTTTGGAATGGCCAGAGCCGAATTACTGTAAAGCCCAGAGCACGACGAGGCCTTCTCAGCAGACGCCGATCCATCTCACTTCTCACTTCTCACTTCTCGGCCGCTGATTCGGTCATGTCGACGACAAACACGAATGATGAGGCCATTCGAAGACGACATCTCGATCCTTGATCATGGCGCCCCAGTTCCTCTTTGTCAACAAAGATGCGGCTAGCGCGTCCCTGACGCGCAGTAATGCCCTTGAGCAAACGTCCATCAACTCCCATGTCCAACGCGGTCGTCGACATAAACGGTCCGCGCATAACAAAGGCCGCGCCGCCAACCAGGGCCGCTCTGCTAACAACCCAGGCAGGAAAGGCGATGGCGACGATGAACCTGATCTTGGTTCGAGCAGCGCAAAAGCGGCCTCTGCCTCTGCCTCCTCTCTTCCAGAGGGCGAGACTTCTCAAAGCGGGGTCAAGATCCCAACGTCGCCATCTTCTCGTTCTAAGCCCAAATCCAAAAATGCTCGTATCACAGCATCTGGCAAGGCGCGACCAAAGGTGCAATTCAACAAGCGCTCCGATCGTGGCCAATCGCCGCAGAATGTCAAGTCCCCCAAAAACAGTGACAGAGCCATCCTGCTACTAAACCCTTCCAGCCCTCTGAATTCTCCCCGAGACATCAGTCAAGTCACATCGACCTCCATTGATCCTTTTGGCCATTCGGTTGTCAAAATGGATCCCCATGTTGCAGAGCTTTGTCGTTACTTCCGTGACAAGTTTCATCCCAGTGTTTGGCACGCGGAGAGCTGGACTCTCAAGGGCCAGTATACTCACCAAAGCACTTCCGGTGCCATAATCCAACGTGCAATGCAGAACGAAGTGGAAATGAACGCCATATTGGCCTGTATGGCGGCCAGGATCGAAAATGTTGATCTCATTCCAGGCCAACAAACTGATAGGTTCATGGGCAATGCGCTCTTTGCGGTAAGGAAGCGATTCAGTTCACTCAATGCGGCTTCAAAACATCAGCTACTTTTGATCATCTTTCACCTCTACGCAGGCGAAGCATACCGACAAAATTGGCAAGCAGCCAGGATACACATGCGCGCCGCGAAAGATATGTTCAATTCCTGGGGTGGGCTGGCCCATGTCCCTGATCAGTCCATCAGGGAATCGTTCATCATCGGTGACGGCAACGTATCTGCCTGCCTTATGGAACCGTGTGAGCTACCCTGCGAATACGATCCAGGCCCCTACTTCACGGTCACGCCTCCTGAGATGCTCTTGGAAGCGCCCCGAGATCTAAGCACTATAGCACCTGCCTTCCAGGGTATCTTGGCGGATGGCTACCTCCCTGATGACCTCGTTGAGATCCTTCTCGAGACCGTCGAATGTGCCTGGGTGCTCCGCTATGCTCGCACGGGCACATCACCACAGGCGGCCAAGCACGCTGCAAGATGGCTTCTGTGGCGCAACTCAGCTGTGCGGTACCGGATCCTAGCCATCAAATACACAGACATGGTCCACGAAGCTATTCGCACGGCCCTGTTTATCTGGATTGTGACGGCAATGGTAGTGCCGCTCGGAGTAATGAGAATAGCTGACCTCAACGCTCCAAGGCTCATGCGGGCCCTTCAGTCTGCCAAATGGCCGACGCATGAATGGAAGGGCTTGTTGGAAATCAAAATGTGGGTGCTCGCGATTGGTGCCCAAGCTGCTCGCCTCGATAGTTACGAGGAAAAATGGTACCTGGACCAGCTCTTCGAAGTCGGCTTGCCGGAGAAAATTCGAAGATTTCGGGAACACAATCCGGACTTTGAGACGGTAGATGTCTTGAAGCAGTTTCATCAAAGGTTCTTCTACTATGAGCCCATTCAACAAGCAAGATTGCAAAGACTTGCACACCTCATCGGGGGCAGGGTAGACTTTGGTTCCAGAAGTCCGAGCGATAGGACTAGCAAATCTCGATCTCCACCTTGACTTGACATTCTCAACAGTATCCCAACAGTACCGAGATGGTTTCTTGCGTTTGCTTCGAGATCCTCTCCTTTTGGGCATCGAGACACATTCTTTCGCCCTATCCTGTAAGGGTCTAGGCGGAGGGTTGCTGCTTTCAGGGGAATAATTGAGGGCAACCCGTATATTTTATACGGATAATGATGTTCCTTCATTTCATTGCAGCTTCATTCAGGAGGGCCCCGCATCCTAATTTACCCTCGACAATAGCGGTAATGGTGGACTCGCTATCGTCGACAAGGTAGAGAAGCCTCTGCGCATTTTCAAGGCACTGGAGCTATGGTGGATACGGGGCACCATTGGATTCTAGGAGACTTATGACCTCTGTGTACGGACGTCATTTCGTGTACTACAAGATCTTTGTAGACACCATGAAGAGGGGAAACCGCCCGTTGGCCTGGTGGAAGGCGTCCCTTTGATCTATAGCTCTTTAGGCTTTCTCGATTTGCAATGATTAACGACAGATTCGATGATTTCAGCAAGAAAAAGTGCTCGACGTCTGCCGAAGATCCTAATGCAGAAGACGAAGAGGCGAAGCTACCACAGATTTGACATTCCGAGAATGATGGACGACCGCTTTGTCGTTGGCTAGTCATTTCGGGAGGGAGGTTTGTTCGACAAAGCGGACGCAGTGCCGGACGCTCTTGGACCATTTGACCTAGTCAGATTGCGAATTGTCGACTCTTGGTATGAGGCGTGAAGACTCTTCTGCGTTCGTACCATGGTCTGTAAACTGTAGGTCTAAGGAGATGAAGTACCCCGTAGCATGTTACCTAGCAACCTGGGCAAGAAAGACCTCGTGGCCCCTGGTGCTTCTCTACGCAATGCTAATCTCGCCAGATTCGCACCGCGTCAAACCGCGGACTCCATCGAAGTGGACGCAGATTCAGATCTGAGATTAGAGTGTGCACTAGGGGGGCATCAGGGGCTGATCCGTGGCTTGAGTGACTGCAATGATGGGCGTGTGAGGGCGCGTTGGCGGAAAACTCATGGTTATGTAAGCAACGGAACGGGGAAACATAAATGCGGCGATCCATCGGCTGCTTGCTTCAGGTCGCACGACAAGGTACTTGCCATCTGTTCATTCACACATTGAAAACTTGCGACACGACAGACCGGACACGCATGATTGGGTATCGAATTAGCCTTTGGCTCACTCACTTGCTTTGGAGGAAGCTTCTCTCTCCTCCTCTGGCCCTTGGATGCACATGTGTCTCTCAAAGGAAGGGGCAAGTACAAGGTACACGCCTATGATGATAGTCACATCGCCTCAATAATATTATCACCACGCAAATGTCGATATCGATGGCGAGTCAACATCAATAGCACACTCCAAGACCTTCCCCTTGTATGGGACGTCGCGTACGAGACTCAAATTCTTCATGCTGGATCCTCCTCGTCGCTCTCTTCGTTCCCGATTTCCACTTCCGACAACCGTTCTTCACATGTCGGCTAGGCAAGAAGCCAAGTTGCATAGTGAAGTTTTTTGAGATATGTAGTGGACGGCGTATCTTGCAGAACGAGAAAACATTCCGGAAGTCCACCATCCTTGTTGCGACGAGTCCACGAGGGCGTTCAGCGAACTTTTTGTCATCTTTTCCCGAGTGATGGAGATCTCAAGCGACCTATGGGCTGGGACAAGGCAACTCCGCCTCTACAAATGCAGTGAGTTAATGGAGTAGCACCGTTGTCATGCAAGGGTGTCCAAGCGTTATCCCGACGAGCAACGTGGGAGGAAGTTCGGGCAGACCCTGAAGGTTGCAACAGCTCAGCGCAGTCTTCTGAACGACGATCACTAGCGCAAGTGCAGTAGGCACCAGTGCGGAGGCCCTCCGGAGAACCACGAGGTCACTGACATAGTTTTTACTTATCGACGGACCGTACAGGGCAGCGTCGATGGCGGAATAGCGATGCACCGTTGTCAGGTGGAAGCGCCCGATGGAGGAGCCATTGAAGTTTCTTTGCGCAAGGAATATTACTGGTCGACGGTTAGCCACCAGCTCGAAGCATGCAAATGCCTTCGGGTGGCAGCCTCGAGAGGGTTTTCTTCGTATCAAAGAGCTGGCGCCATGATAAGGAATACACATATCCACCACCTCCACCACATAATTCGGTACCCAATCGGCGACGGATTGTACCTGGAAGACACATTGCTGGGCCGAGCCTTGGCAGTGGCCGAAGCCAGCCCGTTCGGACACGCAGAATGCATCCCAGTTCTCACGATGCAAGGGAAACCCACCCGTCCCATCTGGTTCCTGCCTATGGATATAGGAATTCTGTTGAAAATTCTACCTCTTGTCCATCATTCACAATTATGTGGGTGCCACCGTGCCACGGCATTGTAACATGGACCGTTGAGAAACGCAAGTATAATTCGGCGATTCTCGCGCGCCACCAGAAGTTGCAAAGGAGCTCCACCGAGACGTTCCAGATAGCGCCTTTCCCTTTGCAGCCATTTGCGACAGAGAGAATTCTTGTATTCCGCAGATGCATCGATGCGTTTTCTTCTCAACGTGTCGATGAAAGCGTTCGGGCGCCTAGACTAGAAAAGATCGACGTCGAATCAACTCGGGGTTGTTCGACTTGGAGCAAAACGGTTGAAATATCCATTGAATTGACTTGCGCGAAACGGTGTGGATTTTCACTCCTGGGCGACATGCTTTTTGTTGCTCTGCGAATAATCATCGTCGTCTTCGACAACCTCTCCTGGACATGTGGTCCGGATGCATGCATTATCATCCATACTGCAACGAGAAATCTGCATCAGATCGGAAGTCGAGTCCATTGCGAACTTTTCAGAACATGTCTGCGAAGTTTGTGCAGTCAACCAGGCATATCCCGACTATAAGATGCCGGATGGCCAAAGAGGCGCTGCGATCTTCATTTGATTGGACGGAAAGGATGGCAAGGGCAGATATTAGTGCAATGCGCAGGCAAGGGTGCCTTATAGCCTTCTCTTGGGATTTCGGCTGCAGAATGCATACTGATGCGTCATTGTCATCACTACGAGTATCCGGTATGCGTGTGCTGCGTCTGGTCCACCTGCTGTGTCTCTGGCCCGGCTTGGAAGTTTTTGTCGGGCGTTTTTCGACTGTGGACTGGGTCACCGGGTGCTGGGAGCACAGGCCCAGGGGCACCTCGTCACGATTGGACGGTACCTGAGAGCCACGCAGTCCGAACAAACCTTTTTTTTCTGGGTGGCCAGATTGGCAACGCGTACGATGCCACATTCCAGGAGTTGACAAGACAGCAACAAGGCATTTCCTCTTGGGGTCCAGCCCCCTTCTTCCTGTCAAAATGTGCCAGGCGCCGAAATGAGCTGTGCACCTGCAAGTTCGATCTACGACGCCGTTTGACGTAGCGATGGTTAAGCTTGAGCTGGCGCCAGGTACGCGAATGAAGGAACCCATACCATTCGTCAAGCGCCTGGAAATTGGCTGGAGCTAGAGCGTTTCACTCGAGCGAACTCAAAGGCTAAAGAGCCCATTGACCCAGACATTGACAGGGGTGTTCTGGGGCGGTCGCACGCCACGGCGATGGCTAACAATCGGGGGTCATCCCCGGCCCTTGGTGGCCATTGGCTCCCTGTGCTCCAAAATGCCCTGGGTGCATGGGGCCGTATCTCCTGGGCCTCTTCTCTCGTGTTGTGTTGCGTACGGAATGGGCCTCTTCCTGACTTTCCTCTCTTTCCATTCTGCCAAGTTCGCTGTCCACGCACCGCTGGATTGAGTATATTGCTCAGACGTCTCTTTACGACGTCGTCCGCTCTCTTTCCCCAGCAGTACCAGTCTACGCTCGCGTTCACTCCTTTACGCGAAACCCTCCCTCGCCCTCGCTTTTGTCGCTCTCTTGCCTCGTTCAGTCATTACAGAGACTCGATCTGAGATCGTCCCAATCGCACTCCTTTACAAGCTCTCAGAAGTCGAACTTCTCCCAGACAGCTACCCCAAGCCACAAGAGTTATATCTCAGCATACACCACAAGCACACAGTCAAGATGCACTTCTCAATGAAAACCTTGGTGCTGGCCACCCTTGCAGCTGGCGAGGCGTACGCTGCCAGCATCGCGCACCAGCACTCCGCAGTCCACAGCCACGCCCGCAAGCACAACCACGTCGAACAGTAAGATGGCTCGAAATTCCTCCATGGTTACACAAGGTATACTGACCCAACCCGAAAATAGAAAGCGTGCCACTGCCCTCAGTGACGCCGACGCCAGCAAGCTTACAAGCCTCGGTGTCGCAAGCCTGGGTGTCAACTCGGCCGTTGCCAACGGACAAGCCTGGCTCAATGGCGACGGCCAATGGAAGGCCAACTTCGCGAACGAAGCTGGTGAAGACTTGGTCCTGGTCTGCTGGGGTGTCGCTGGCTCCTGGATCAACGCCGTTCAGCCCACCATCACCGCTTCCCTCCCGGCCAACTCGACCTTGACCGTGTCCTTTGGTGATGGCGCCTCGGGCGCTTGCACCGCCATCTACTCGGACACTCAGCTTGTCAACGGCCAAGCCAGCAACACCTGGATGGAATTCACCTTTGGCGAGTATGGTGTAGTCGACGTTTCGCGCGAAGTCAACATGAGCGGACACAGCCTCAGCATCGTTGGGCCATCTTGCACCTCGAACATGGACACGTGCGTTTTCGTCTGCGCAAGCGGAAACGTCTGCACGACTGGTTATGTCCTCCAGAACTGTGCCACCGGATCCCAACCCGGTGCGAACTTTGGCACCTACGCTGGAGCACCATCGGGTGGATGCGGTGGTATGGGCACCTCTGCTACTCTCGCCGTCACCTGGTCATGAGACCCCCAGAGTGCTCGAACAATTGATGAAGGGGGACTGGTAATAGGTGGCACTGGCAGCAGCTAATGGTTTCGAATAGCGGTGTCTTGCTGCTGCATCATTTTTGGGACATTCCATCGTCCCAAAGACAAAGCCGACGACGACGGAGTTTCGCAAGTGATGCAGTGTGGTGTGGGGTGTTGTGTTGGTATGGGAGAAGCCTCCCTTTAACAAAACGCATCCTAGTATTTTCGCGACGACAACACCAACAAGACGCCAGGCATGGCCATTCACGCCTTTGGACAAATCTTCGCTGGATCCATTATATTTCACCAATCTCTCTTGTTGCCATTTGGCAAAATTTCTTACAATCTCATTTGTCAAAAGTTTGAGGACGTGTTGGACATGGATCACACCTTTTTGGCATTCTTGTGTGTAGAGAGGTTGTTATCTATGTCTAGGTGTTTTGAATACTATACCCTTGAAAATCTCTTTTTCTCGCATGCGTACGTTAGATTGGGTTCTGCGCATGTGAACTCCGTAACTATTCTAAGAGGCGGTACCGTCGCTATAGGTACTCGTGCTCAGCTTGCTCTGGGTACTGCAGATGGAGAAGTGTGTCTGCATTTGCATTTGTGTCTGTGTTTGTGTTTGCATGCCACGTCTAGGCAGGTATCTAGTTATCGTGTCGTTTGAGTTTGACCTGCGGAAACCCGCAGGTGTCAACTGTTGTTAAGTTATAGTCCCCTCCATTTTGTGTTACTCGAACGTGCCGAGTTGTACTATCTACGGGTGGTCGGCATCCGTACCATAACTGGACTACAAGTGTCACGACTGGCATGCCGTGGAATTCGCCTTAGGTACGTAGGTAGGCAATGCTGAGGACCACGCCTGGATGGCTTGCTTCCAGCGAAGGCGAGCATTGAGGAGGAGGAGGAGGAGGAAGAGGAACGAGGTACAGTTGCACTAGTTAGTTACCCACGTATCCCGTACTCCCTCCCCCCCCCCCCCCCCGGGTACATTGTACGATGATGTCGGGGGCTCATGATGGCATGCATCGTCACCACCGTTTACGGCCTCCGGTGTGTCGCTTGGTGATTTGGACTGAGACTTGCTTGGACCGGGACTCAGGCATGGGGCCTGTCGGTCAAGATGGCAACGGAGCAATGTCCCTGCTAGGAAGAAAAGAGGAGGTCGTGCAGATGGAGTACTACGGGGGATCGAGTTGGGCGGTCAGCGTCAATCGATCGATCGGTTGAGTTGGTTGATCTACTCCTTCTCCTTACGTTGGACTGATGCGTTGGCTGTGGACTTGACGTTTGGAAACGAACAGAGAATCGTACATTGATGCCACCGCAGCCTGTGTGCGCGTACAGCGTTCCTCGGATAGTCACCATGTGCGGGCAGCAGGGTGCGAGTCAACGACCCTTTGTCGATTTCGATTTCGATTTCGTCCTTCGGACCGCAAAGATCATACAAGGAGAAATACACAGAGAAATGGCTCGAGGAAGATGTACTCCAGAGTTACTTCTGTAGTTATCAAGTTTGCCTTACAGTAGCCGGCGGGACGAGGTGTATGTGTGTGAGAATATATTTCGTCGAGTTTCCCAGTCCACTACGCAAACTAAAAAAAATATTCAACAACTCGTCAAGTCACCTTTAGTTACTACCATCAACATTCGACGCGTTCAGGACTTCGAAATTCCATGCCTTACGTTTCGTCTACGCATTCCTGAATATCTTCGTAGATATCACCCAGATTGCTTTGAGATTTTGCTGAAGATCCTATCATCTCTCTCCGCAATGTTTTCCCTGACTCGAGATCGGAGAGCAAAAATGCCGACGCGGACGAATTAACACAAGGCTGAGAAATAAACATGTCTTGCTCAATCGCCCGCGAAGAGAACTAACTAACAGCAGGGTAAATATATATATACTTCTGTGCATCACATCATGTAATCTGATCTATGGGCCCCATTCTCGAGAAGATTGTCAAGTTTCATGGCATAAGTCTCCCAAGAAGAGAAAGAAAACAAGTTCCAGCTCTCCAACGCCTTGTTAAGTCGACAAATGGAAAACGAACATATCCTTGTCCTCGGCGCGACCGGTGCGTCCGGCGTAGCTTTCATCGAGGCCGTTGAAGAATTGACACGTAAACCCAAGTTGACGCTGTACGTTCGGCCGGGCTCGAGATCCAAACTACCTGCGTGCGCATTCAACCCCCCAACCAGGATCATTGAAGGGCAACTCGACGACAAACAGGCAATGCAAAAGGCAATGTCAACGTCAGCAAGCGGCGAATCGCCATCCTTCCAATTCCCACCCGTGTCCGTCGTCGTTTCGTTCCTGGGCAGCTACGTCTCGCTCAAAGCAGTCTTCACACGCGACAAGTCACACCCGATCGCCGATGCCTTTTCCACGACCATCATACCGGCGATGAAGGCGTCGCGGGTCCCGCGCATCCTGGCCCTCAGCACTCCGTCGGCCCTCTCTCACGACGTGGAGCGCAAGAGCATCCCGTGGAAATGGTGGCTGTATACGTGCATGCCGATCCTGCTGGCGCCCCAGGGCAACGCGGAGATGAAAGGCATAGCACGGGCCGTCATTGACGCTGGATCTGCAGCTGCCTCTGGTGACAATGCCAGCGACAGCAGTAATCCTGCGACGCCGACGAGCGCCGCGATCGAAGCATGGACGGTGTTTCGTGTACCGCATCTGACGCAGGGGGATCTGCGTGCCAAGGTGGTTGCAGGGCTTCTTGATCATGACTATGCCGGAAGCTTTGATCTCAGCAGAGGCAGTCTGGCAAGATGGGTGCTCGGCGAGATTGAGGAGAAAAAGTTCCTGAATCAACTGCCCATGTTGGCGAATCCATAAATCACGGCATTACTCTTGATGGTAATACGTGAAAGACAACCTAGCCGACCTAGTTAGTAGTCCTGTCCATAGTGTTATACACTTGTACACCGGTTAATGAGCACAAGTTTTAGCAAGTAACTGCACCAGCTTCAAGGATCATTTGGGTGCTACAAGCATAGGCGTATGGGTACATGTACGTGTACCTGGACGTGTGTGCGCGCACACTTTCTTTTTGACAATCGACATCAAGACAGCTGAAAGGTGGAACAGCAAAAAAAAGAGCCTCTTCGTGCCACCACCACCACCAAAGTACCAGGTACACCACAACCCCCGCGCCATGTTCAATTGGGTATCAGTGGTGTGAGTTTGTAATTTGCAGTCAAGCTTTTCAGCCACAGCAAATCTCACGGACAAGTACCCATACTGCTCGTGCTCACGCTCACGCTCATCCTCATATCGTCAGTGGCGTGTTCCAGGTTGGACTTGAAGGTTGTGGGCACTGATAGTTCTGTTGTTTACATGTACTGTCCATGGTTGAAACCTGATCACCGACTTAGAAAGTCGTCATCGATTTTGCGTATATCTATTTAGTTGTCGCTTCTGTTGGTAAGATCGAGATCGCGTATCGATGTTAAGCCAACAGGGAAAATCCTCTTGTTGATCAATACCGTGTCCAGGAAAACGTCAACAAACAAGTCTCGGGAGAAAAGTCCGGCCCGAAGTCACGATCCCAGGCCAATCAACTTCTTCCAAGCACTTTTCGACGCTGCTGCGCGTCTTTTCGTGTTCTTTTGGCTTTTTTTGTTTGTTGTCTTCTGGGGGCCATTTCTTCTCACCTTGACTTTCGGGTGGGCATCGCGGATCGAAAGATCGTTTTGCTCCCCACGATGGACCGCGCATTGCATTGATGATCAATGGATCATCCCAGCGGCGATCACTTCAACGAATTTGACTCGGCCGATCTGGCAATGTTAACTTTTCGGGAGAGCTTTGTTCATGCGATTCATCCGGCCGCAAAATGCAGATTTCGTCGATGAATCTTTGAACCGGCCTACCTATAGATACTAGTAATCACAACACGTGATCGACGGCGGTCACGTGAGCAAAATGCGCACCTACGGCCCAAATGCTCGCACGTAGCTGCACGTGAGTTAGTACGGTGCGTTGAACCCAGTGACGCAACACCAGTGATAAAATCTTCCGATGCCATCCATGTTAGTTGCAGGCGTCGAAGAGCGCTGTGCGATGTGCATGACCTTTGGCTGATGAAACCACGCGTATTGGTATGCAAGTCGACGAGAGAAAATCTTCCATACGATTCTTGCGGCACCACCCCCCGTACTCTGCTACTCTGTAAGTGCTAGCTGCCGAGCCTAATCGGGGAAAGAAACCCGCACATCGTTCTCGCCGGATTCTTCCCTCACTGCCACCTACATCCAGAACAAGACATGGCATAACTGTGTTCCATTGGCCTTGACAAAGCAATGTCAGTGTCATGGTCATCTGCTGAAGAGCACTGCGAGCAATATTTGCGCCTGCTCAGTATCTATCTGACAAACAAATCATCCGATGGTACAGCGATGCTGCCGGCCACCGAGGGCACCGACTGAACTATAAAAATCGCGCATCTCCGTGTGCAACTTGCACCAGGGCGCTGGTCTTTCATAGGGCAGAGCATTTAATCGAGTTCCCCTGGTCCATCCAGGTCGACCGACTCCAGCTGTAGATCTACACACGGCATATTCGGTAAGAGCCATCTAAGATGCCTTCATCATCGGCATACACCCAACCACCTCATATTCAGCGACTTCTGCAGAAAATCCAGCGGGATCCTGGTCTGCCTGTCGACAATGCAACCACTCCATTCTGGTTGGAACCAGTAGTTCCGCATGCTCACCACCAGTCGCCCGCTCTAGCCAAGACTGCGGACGTCGTGATCTTGGGCTCCGGTATCACAGGCATAAGCACGGCGTTACACCTGTCGCGTATCGCGCCCGACCTCAAAATTGTGATCCTCGAAGCCAGGGATCTGACGTCTGGTGCCACGGGCCGGAACGGAGGCCACATCAAAGCCGTCCCCTGGAAGGACTACGGCGACATCAAGAGGGCGTTAGGTCGGGAGAGCGCCATCAAGATCTCTCGTTTTCGACTGTCTCATCTCCCGGCTCTGCTGAGCGAGGCGGCTGCATTGGGAGAGGCTGGCAAGGCAGGCTTGGTGCGACAAGTGGAGACACTCATAGCTTGCTATGACCGTGACGTATGGATTCAGGACAAGAAGAAGCTTAAAGAGTTTCTCGATGACATGCCTGAGGAACAGGGACAGTGGGTCGTGCACGAAGACCCCTCGGACCTGAAGGTATGTAAACATTTCCAGATGTTCGTCGGTGTTAGTCGTTAGTCACGACGGAGTAGGACGCTGGCGGTGCTGGTGATGAAGACGATGTTGACTATGACAATGAGCGCAGCTCGGACTGACTGATACTTCCCAGAACTTAGGATTGGCAGAGACATGTGTTGGCTGCATCTCAGGGCGCGCAGGAGCCGCCTGGCCATATCGGTTCCTCGGGGCCGTTACAGCAGGGCTTTTGCAGAAGGAGGCTATCAGCCTGGAGACGCACACGCCCGCCCTTTCGATCAGTGAACAGCCGGGATCTCGGTACCCGTACTCCGTGCAGACGGCGAGAGGACAAATCCAGACCAAGCATGTCGTTCACTGCACCAACGGCTTTGTCGCTCACCTGATGCCCGGCCTGAGAGGCAAAGTCTGCCCGCTCCGCGGTCAAATGACCGTACAGTCTGTACCGGACGACTTCCCCCGATACGGCGCCAAATATTCGTGGAGCGCGATCTGGGACCGGGGGTTCGACTACATCTGTCAGTCGCCTGCTGCGGATGGGAGTCTCTACTTTGGCGGAGGCGCCTTCCACTCCGGTCTCGAGAACGACCAGGAAATCGGCAACCCGGACGACAGCCAGCTCTCGCCGCAATGTTTGAACCATCTCGCCACCGCCGCAGGGAAGGCCTTTATCGGCGGCACGGGTGTTCGGATCGCCAAAAAGTGGACGGGGATCATGGGCTTCACCATGGACGGCTTACCCATCGTAGGCCGAGCGCCGAGACAGGTCTCGACGAGAGATGAATGCCGTCTTGACCAGGGCGGCGAGTGGATTGCTGCCGGGTTCAACGGATACGGTATGGTCCACAGCTGGCTCAGTGGGAAGGCGTTGGCACACATGATCCTGGGTCGAGACTCTGAAGTCCGTGACTGGTTCCCACTCCAGGAGTTTGCTTGCAGTGAAGGTCGGTTGGGTAAGATGAGCGCCACAGATTTTCTGGGCCACTACGGAGGTGATGTCACACCTCAAGACAGTGCCGCACCGTTGTCCAGCAAGTTATAGTCTACGCTCTCGAGAAGAAGAATTCAGTCGAGAAGAAATTGTAGCAGTGTGCGCACAGGGTGTGTCTAGCTGCGAATCATCCGCACGTACTGAACAAGTTCCAGTCTGTGAAAGGAGTTCCAAAGCTATGCCGCTGGACGTATATCATGTTGCCAGTGAGGATCACCACTGAGCACAGTCCCGTCACCCGGCCCCCGACTCTCCAACAATCGCGCCAGGATCCTGCTCTTCCGAGCTCCATTAAGTCAGGTCAGCCTACGTGTTTGATATCTCATACTCCCTCTGTACAACAGCCTCGGTCTGGAGTGTGCACTGTGCCGTCGATTTACAACCTCGCACGATCACCTAATCGGAGTGAAGAATCTTATTTGGCAAAATCATGGTCTTTTGGATCAAGTCCCTGCATGCCCAAGATCTCAATCATCTAATTCACAAGTGCCCGACTGCCCATTACAAATAATGGGTCGACTTGTATAGCACCGGCAGACTGGACATTTGACAAAGGTGATGCCGCCGATCAACCCTCCTTTTCCTTACAACACGTTGCCCTTTGTCTGCGTCATCTTCTTGACGTTCAAATTCTTTATCATGGCCACCCACACGAAACCCAAGCCCATAATGGCGCAAGACGCAGCGAGCATGCGGACCTGGGCATAACCGTACGACTTTTGTATGGCCAGTCTCTCGGGGGTTCCGACTGGATACGAGAGCTGGACCACCAAGCTGCCGTAGATGGAGATGAGGTCGGGCAGGGCGGACGCGGGCAGATTGCGCTCGAGGGCACTTTCGAACGTGTTCGTCCAGATGGCGCCCGAGATGGCGTCCCCGATGGCTCCGCCGATGGTGCCGCTCACGAACAGTGTCGACAAAACCGCGGCGACGTACTGGTGGTCGACGGTGGCGAGGACAGCCAGCTGCACGCACAGGATGAAGACGCACCCCGCCACGGAGAAGAAGATCTCGCACATGACAATGTAGCCGATGTACCCATTGGGCTGGCGGAAATGGATCATCAGGCCGACGCCGAAGATGTACAGCGGCACGCAGATCCAGAGAATCCACTTGAACCGTCCCGTGACGCGGATGATCCAGCCCGTGACGAACAGGCACAGAAACGACACGGCGCTGAACGTATTGGCGACGTATCCGGCCTCGGACTGTGTGAGGTTGTACACCACCATGAGGAAGGACGAGAGGTAGCTCGCGTAGCAATAGTAAGAGATCTGGTAAGTCATGTTGAGGAGGCATGCGCCGAGCACGGTCCGGTTCAAGAGGAACTGAGACTTGAGAAACGGTGTGGGCGCCAAGTAGACCTGGTACAGCACGAAGAACACCAGCACGACGAAGCCGACTACGATCATGGCGATGATGTAGTCGGTTTTCCAGCCGTGAGGGGCCCTGCTGGCGAGCGTGAATGGAAGCAGGAACACCGTCATGCCACCGGCGAACAATATCACGCCCGGTACTGTTTCGAAAGTCAGAAGTCGTAAAAAAGCAAACCAGGAGAATGGCTCCGGGAAACGGAACCCAGGGAGTTCTGCGAGAGATGGCCAGGCTGCGGGAGAAGCGAAGGGGACATCAGTACTCACGGTCAAATTCCATGAGGACATATTGGATTTGCTGCGGCCAGGTCCGCCCGCTTTTCTCGCGGACGATGATCCCTTTCTTCTCGGCCTTGCGCAGATTGTGCCTCAGGATCACATACAATGGCAGCCCGACACACGGTAGGACGATGGCCCAGCACCCCATGCCCCATTGCCAAGATACGTTGTTGAGAAAGCCTTCGGCGGCCTTGGATCCCGCAAACGCCGTAATCACAGCTGGAGATGAGGTGAATGCGAACGCCAGCCCTCGATTGCGGAGGTTGGTAACGTCGGCGGCAAGAACGTTCCAGCTGTACGAGAGCCCTCCAAAGCCAACAGAGTAAAAGACCTGTTATTCGTGGTTGGGTCAGCACACATCCTCCGAGTCCAGTGTTTGCAAAGCCAAAGGGGCAAGAGGTAGACGGTGTGAGGTGAAGCAGGGTGTGACCGCACTGACCTGAGCGGCACAATAGGTGGAAAGATTCGCCGACGAAGCCATGAGAATCAGGCCCAAAATACACAGCCCAAGCATGAGCAAGAAGCCTTCGGCTCGTCCCCAGACGTCCAGCATCTTGGCCGTAGGGATATAAACCGCCGCTGTCATGGCGTTGGACACTATGCCAATCACCGTCAGGAGGGAGTGTGACTGCCAATCACTCGTGGCGAAGGGGGTCAAGCTGAGAACAATGGTCGATTTGAAGTTGTTGACTAGAGTCAAGAGCCAGATGCTGTTGTTAGGGGATCTTGTCAGACCAGACACGGCACAAACAAAAACCGAAGAAACACCAGGGGCATTTCCAGAGAACATACAGTATCAAGATGGTAGCCAGCGCCGTCTTGGACCAGGCCAACGTCACTGCCTCAATCTTCTTGACTCCCAGTTGTGCATCCTCCGCCGGTGTTGTGTCCCTGGGACTTTTGTCGTGGGAGAATGCATCTGAAGAGCCCGCTTCGGCTTCCTTATTGTCTCTAGGGTGGCCATTGTCGAAACTCGTTGCATCAGGAGGGCTTTGCGTGTCGTCACTAGACTGCTTGTCACCGGCGAGGTGACGGATCTTGTCCAAGATCGCCATTGTCAGCGCAGAGGATGGCCTGAGGCTCAAACGCAAAGATACAAGCTCTTATTGGTACGTGACCACTGGCCAGTACAGTGTACGATGGGCCGCCCTTCTTCTGATCACAACGAAGCAAAAAGACCAGTGACCAGCCGACATGCGATATATAGCTTCCGATGATAAGATAATCTCTGCTAGGGCGGAAGCTGAAGAGAACAGAGGAAAAAAAAACCACCCACGTGGGTCATATCTTAGTCCGATCACAGACGTTGTTCCGTCTGCCACTGGTAACGACTGAGTTGGACCCTGTTGCCGCTATCATGGTCCATTGTGCCACCGAAGTCGGCCTCCAAGTGAGCTCCCCAGTGCTTCTGCACTCATTGGCCTGGCCAGGGCATGGGAGGGCAACCGAAGGTGGAGAGAGCAAATATCCAAGAGGCAGGGGCCTCAGGGTTCAGTCAAGGAGTGTGTCTGGGTACTCGGACTCGTACGTCTCTCCTCGGGTGTCTTCCGCCGTGGCTCATGCCACATGCTTCGATGCCCATGTAACGAAGCTTGTCTTTAACCCAAGATGTTCCCAAGGATTCTCGCACCTGCGTGGTGTGCTGGAAACCCGAATACCACCACGTTCGAGAAAGGCCTGTAGGGGGATACGAGCATAAGAGACAGAAAAAGGCGGTTTCTCCGAAGTACATACACGGTCGCGGGGAGGATGTTGATCCCGTCACGGTTTTGCGGGTCCTATTGCGATGTATTGTACTAGTATTGCAATACAGGACGCCGTACGATTCGATGTTTGCGACCCTCCATCAGTGGAACTATAGATCCCTACGGGCATAGACTCATGCACCAAGGAGTATAGGCGCTGGCCAAGAGCGGGCTGTAGTGGGCACCCGCGCTCAGGACGACTGGGCGAGTGGGAAATCTAATCTAATCAGCGTATTGATTTCTTGATTAGATTGGATCTTATCTTGGCAAGACCCTCCTAGTTCCTGGGTATACCTGCTTGAAAACTGGAAAAATGTACTCGTAACGACAGCCCTCTTCCATGGTGGTGAGGGTAGCGGGGATCTGCGACTTGGCTGCTGCAATGACTCGTCTCCGTGGATTCGCATTCGAGTGCACAAACATGTACAGGTGTCCCTCCCTTCTTCGGATGGGTATCGGAGAAGGTCAGTCCTTCGGCTTTCGGCGGGTGAACGAACGGAGGCCATTCCAGAAAGGGGCTATCTCGCCATTATGAATACAACATGTCCTTGAACGAAAAGACGTCAATGCGGCCCATTCAATAACTCCACACACTGGTGAAGTCTTCAGCGAGTATCAGGCTATCAGAATACTTCTTACTAGTGGCTGGGTTTTGGTCAATTGTGAGCAATTAGTTCTGATGGATACTGTACCCGCCAGTAGATGTGACCAAGCCGCTATTCTGGCGATTGTTTGGGGGGCGGGGGCATGTCTCTTAGTAAGTCCTCTCGTGCTCTTGTCTCTCCGATTCCCTTCGGTCTTCAGATCTGGACGCCACGACGACCGTGGTGCTTGTCAGTGGTAGCCGCCTGAAAAACTTGAGGCCTAAAGGTGACCAAGCTGGCGGTGTACAGGACGTTGCAGAGCCAGCCATTCATCCCTGGTGATTCGATATTCCACCTCGCCCTCTTCGATGCCGGGGATAGGATCATCATACTGGTTATAGAAAGTCCGAACCTGTTTCAGACCGCAGGACGCCATCGTGGCTCGAGAGGCCACGTTGATCGCCATCGTGTCCCCGGCGACCTCGTTCAGGCCAAGGTCTTGGAACGCGTGCCTCAACAGCTCGCGCGACCCTTCCTTTGCATACCCCTTTCGCCAAAACCTAGGCAGGAGCCTCCATCCGAATTCTGCTCGTTCAGGGTTGTATTTCGCCGGTCCGTCCTCTCCTAGGTTTGTCTGAGATGGTGCAAGGACCCACCATCCGACAAAGTCTTCATCGATGAACCCGACCCAACAGCCGAGGCCGGGGACAGGCTTCGCTGCATCCATCAGCCACTGGTGCACCTCAACGGCCTGCTCTGGTGTAAGTGGCTTCCCGGTGAGCACATATCGCATGACGTCTGGGTCAAAGTCAAGCTGCCTGGTGTATTCGAAGTGCTCGGGCCCTAGTGGCCGAAGCACCAGGCGTTCTGTACGCAGGACCGGTTGAAGTTGTTGAAGTTGTTGTTGCCTCGTGATAATGCTCGGGGCGGTGGCAGCGGCAGTGGTGCTGCTGGTAGTAGCAGTGGCCATTGGTTTAGCAAAGGAAAACCGTCCTGCAATCGTGTGCGTTTTGGTGGGCTCTGTGGGATTGCCTGTATATTGCACGTTGACGATAACAATGTCCTCAGTCTTCTGATGCTTCGAACTCGAAACCTGACCCTGTGGGCAAGCTCTGTTCTTATACCTCTCGAGCATGCTTGACCTCTTGTCATCGGCAAGGGCTTTGCATGCATATGAGCTGTGGCATTGTTACAGGGCGGCCTGATCGTCATCTTGGTTGCTCATAACGTGGAGTCGGATTTCCATGGCATGCACCTGACTTGGATGAAGAAGGTGATCGTCCTGTTGCAGCACCGGCGGACCGGATTGGATCCAAGAAGTATGGATATGGGCCTGTGATACATGAATGGGTGAGGACGAGGGCAGGGGCCATCCCTCGGCTTCACAGGTAGTATACTCCTCGCCAATCGACGAAATTATAGGAGGACAATGGCCCTAGGGTGACGTCTATGAGTACTTGTCTGAGACTTGGCTCATGGGACTGACTATGATGCAAGGCCAATACAACCTGTACTTGTAAAGATCTTTTCATGGCGCAGACAGAGGTCGAAGGCATGGATAGTAGATGTACTACAGCGGTGCCTGCAACACTACACTTCGGTGAGCTTTATCCCTATCGTTTGTATTTTGGCGTCAGCAGCTAACGCCTACGAAGGTGTTGTCCAGGCACTGCTCTGCTCAGTCAAGTTAAACTATTTGAGGCTTGCATAAGAGAGCCCTTAGTGGCAAGCAAGTTACTAACCACGGCGCGGGCCACTGGTTGACACTGTATCCAGTATTACGAGACCGCAAACTTGTTGTACTCTATATCAGTTCCGTCTATGCTACGCTTGCTGATTGATGTCTGCTTGTCCTTGACGAAGTAAAGGATGCTGTGATCGGGACAACTATAGATCAGTTGTAGCCTCAAGTTTCAAAACACCCTCGGAGACCAGCACCGGAGTCTGTGTATATCCAAGACGCCAACTCGTCACGGTAATAGAGGAGGGGTTAAGTGGAGGGCTCTAGATCCTCTAAGCGGGACTCCCTCTTCCCCCTGAAAACCATTCACTCCAATACTTTGTGTCAGAAGTGGAATGCGCAAGCAAGAACGGAGCATCTCAACATTCGATTTCTTTCAGCACGCATCATACTCGGACGTCCATTTCGGAACTTCAGGGTATGCGTTCGTATAGTATACTATCCGAGTAGCACCCGAGTCCTATTTAGGATTAATATTATCGTAGTACTCGTAGTAGAAGTCCACAATCATCACGGCCGACCGCAGCGGCCAAGGGAGCTGGGCGCCCCCAATCCACCCACTAACCAGCTAGTATGAAAGATTATGTTACTGGATATTGTATCCTTGGACTCTGCCACTTACTTAATACTGTACGTACAATGACTTGGGACGATCGTCAATCCGTCCACCCCATCACACATTGCATGATGCAACGTTGACTTGACGTTTGTCTCACGGTAATTTATCTAATCAATCAAATCTTATCTTTGGATTGTCCGCCGTCTCCATCCCGCTGGTACTTGATGTTGTTCAGCTCCTCGGATCCGCCTCAGTCGTTGACGGGGAACGGGGGCGATCAATACCCGACAAACCATGTACATCAGCCAAGAGACAGAATACGACGTCAAGTTGTCCGATGAGCAAAAGGAAGAAAAAAAATCCAATCAATCAAATCTAATCTCTCTTGGCCCTTTGTCTCCATGGCCATCCAGCCCACGCGGCCCCCTTCTTGGACGTTGGTAGTAGCCCGTAGATCATCCATCTCTCCCCACCGCCGCAAAAGACATGAACATGAGCACATATGGTACTGTTACACAGACTCCGCATCCCAGCCAGGATGCGCGTGATATTCGCCATCGTGCCGAGAACTGCAAACCCGATATCGGTCAACGTGGATGCGTGAGGATCGTCTCTCCCTTTTCCAAGCGGCCATTCGGGCAAATGATACAATCCATCATAGGGACAGTGAGGGAAACAAATCTCTGCGGTCCCAGACGACCCCACGGCCCAATTAGTATACTGCATGTGCATACTCGTCGTTGGCCATTGTGGACATTGACCGACCGAAGTGTATGTCTGCGGACCGGGGCCGTTTGTTGCGTAGAAATGGAAGCACATCGATGGTTGTGCTCCCTTGACACCCCATCCTGACCCGAGCTGAATCAGTCGACGACAACCTCGAATGTCCTGTTAGCGGACTCATATTCCTACCGTATACCTGGGTTCGAATTTGTTGATCGTGCCTTGCGTGTACTCGGGCACTGTGCTTTCCGCGTCCAGCATCTTTGCGGCGGTATTGGATATAGACAGACTTTAGAGCTGCGGCCAGAGGTACAGCTTACCACCCTACGGAGTAGGGGCTGAGTACTCACTTCGACCAAGGTTGGTTCTGGTGGTGGCTGTCGTTTCCCCTCGCTTCCTCCCAAACACTCCGAATGAATGGCCATGAGACTGGACCTCCATGCTGACGGCAGACACCTAGATGTCTCGGTTCCACGGAGCATTCGATTACTTTGCGATCTTTGTACAGGCGCAACCATCGCCTCTCGACCTGTTGCTCCTGGTCACAGGGGTCCTCAGCGCCATTGCTTCTGGTATCCCGTTCCCTCTGCTTGGCATCATCTTCGGTCAACTTCTCGACGATTTCAACGCCCAGATCTGCGCGGCAGAGGATGGTCCAGGGTCGACGAACAACACCACACGGCACTACCAGGACGCGGTCAACGACAAGGTTCTGTACATAATCTACCTTGCCATCGCCCAGTTCGGCTTCATGTACATCCACCTCGTGAGCTGGTCTCTGGGCGGCGCCAGGCTTGCGCAACGCCTCCGCGAGCAGTACCTGCGCAGTCTCCTGCGGAAAGACCCGGCCTTCTTCGACGGCCGGCCGGGCGGTGAAGTGTCGTCACGGCTGAACGGCGACATATCCATGATCCGCATGGGCACCTCGGAGAAGGTCGGCATCTGCCTGTCGAGCATCTCCTTCTTTGTCACGGCGTACGTCGTCGCCTTTATCAAAATCCCCAGGCTTGCCGGCATCCTGGTCGCGCTGGTGCCGGCCTACTTTTCCATGTCGCTCGTCGGAGGCTATTTTGTCAAGAAGTACACGTCGCAAGTGTTGGACCGCTTTGCCGCGGCATCGTCCGTCGCGTCAGAGGCTTTGACCAACGTCGCCGTCGTGCATGCATTCAACGCAAACGACAAACTGGAAGCGAGCTTTTCGTCGCACCTGCTCTCGGCGAGAAAGGCTGGAATCGACAAGGCCCTGGCGAACGGCATACAGGCCGGCTTGATGTATTTCATCGCCTACGCCGCTGATGCCCTGGCATTCTGGCAAGGGAGCCACTTGATAGCGGATGCCGTTACCGGCAGCGGTAAAGATACCACGATAGGCGCAGTTTTCACCGTCATTTTCCTCCTGGTTGATGGTGAGTGAGTCCCTTCCTCGAGCGATGAGCGTGGAGCCTGTTTAACGCTGACATGTACTTATTCTTCCCACAACAGCCACACTGATACTCAGTCAAATGACCCCGTTCCTGGCCATCTTTGCCGGGGCGGCTGCCGCCTTTGGCAAATTGAAGAGAGACATCGATGCTCCTTCGGTGATAGATGGGACGGCAAATACGGGATTGAGGCTACCTCACGACAGTGAGGGCGGGTTCAGACTGGAGAATGTTTCTTTCCACTATCCATCAAGACCGGAGCAAGATGTACTGAAGAATGTGTCTCTACACCTTCCAGCAGGGCAAAAGACTGCCATAGTTGGCTTCTCAGGTAGCGGGAAATCGACCATAGCCAGCTTGTTGCTTCGACTTTATGACCCCGTCGAGGGCGCGGTGGTCCTGGACGGCCATGATCTTCGCGAGCTGAATACCCGACAAGTCCGAGGCATGATTGGCCTAGTACAGCAGGAAGCCACCTTGCTGGATCGATCAATTCTAGAGAACATTGCCCACGGGTTGGTGAATTCAACTGCGCCCGAACACGAGCGACTTCAAGACACACTTCTCGGACCTCAGCTTGGTTTCGTGGCGGCGGCGATGAGAGAGGGTCGCGCAGTAATGGATGCTGCCCGTGAGCAGGGCCCGATAGTTGAAGAGATCGTGAGGATGGTCCAACAAGCAATGGAAGTCTCAGACGCCGCACGTTTCGTCAAGAACATGCCAGATGGCATGGGCACAATGGTAGGGTCTGGCGGCACAAGCCTCAGCGGAGGGCAGAGACAACGTATTGCTATTGCAAGGAGTGTCGTCAAGAACCCCAAAATTCTCATTCTTGACGAAGCCACTGCCTCGCTTGACTCTAGAAGTGAGAGGGAGATTCTTGATGCTTTGGAGCGCTGTTCTGAAGGCCGGACTGTCATTTCAATTGCTCATCGGCTCTCCACGATCCAGAAGGCAGACAAAATTGTCGTCATGGAAAACGGCCGCATTTTGGAAGAAGGAACGCACGCGGAGCTGATGAGCGGACAAGGATCCTACGCCGGGCTCGTCAATCTACAGAACCTGGACTCTAAGTCCCCGACCCGTCGAGGTAGCGAAGATGTTTCGCTGAGCGGCTTGACCGAAGTGGAAAAAGTAGACCATGATCCCGAAGAGAACAGCAAAGCCGATATGTCGGTCGAAGTGACCAAGGAGAGCGCCGACATTCCTATTTCCAAGGACCTATCGCCTGAAACTGATGGCGGACCGGTAGATCAAAGTCTCGGGATGTTGACAAAATCCATGGCGCGCTTCATACGTCCTCACGCTCTCGTGGCGCTCTGTGCTCTCGCGGGTGCCAGCATCGTCGGTGGTGCGTACTGTGCTGACGCTGTCATCTTCGGACACACTGTCAGCGGACTCAGTCCGTGCCGCTCACCTTCACAAATTCGAGACAGTGGACGTTTCTTCGCCCTCATGTTCTTCGTTTTGGCTATCATCGAGTTGCTCGCCAACATAGTGAGCTGGGTCGGGTTTGGCTGGGTTTCCGAGAAGGTCGTCTACACCATCCGGGTCTTCCTCTTCCGTGCCCTCTTCGAGCAGGATGTTCAGTGGCATCAGTCCCAGAACCGAACCCCGTCCAGTCTGCTTGGGTTGATCACCAACGACGGGAACCAGATCGCCGGCTTGAGCGGGTCCATTATCGGCACCATTCTGTCAATTTGCATCAATCTGGTCGCGGCGGTCATCATGACATTGATCATAGCCTGGAAGATTGCCCTGGTGTGCATGGCGATTGTCCCGCTTCTCCTTGGAGTGGGCTTCACGCAGCTGCGTGCTCTGGCTCGATTCGCAGACAAGCACGAGCACGCGTTCAACAAGTCCGTCGGGATTAGTGTTGAAGCCGTCAACTCGATCAAGACTGTCGCTTCGCTGTCGCTAGAACATGAGATCTTGCAGGTATATCGTCGCACACTCGACGGGCCACGACGGGAAATCACCGCCATCAGTTTTCGTGCCAACATCTGGCTGGCTCTGCAATACCTCGTTGGTAATCTCGCGTTTGCACTGGGGTTCTGGTGGGGATCTAAGCAAGTCTTCAGCGGCATGTACAGTCAGACACAGTTCATCATGGTGGTCTTCTCTTTGCTGGTTAGTGCTCAACTGTGGACTCAAATGTTTGCACTTGCTCCAGAGATCACCAATGCCCGAGCAGCCATTGCTAGAGTCATCAATGTGATAGCACTCGGATCTCCAGCAACCGTGCAGGGTTCTTCGACCGGCAGCAAGAAAGACGACATTGAATTCAGTGCAGAGGCCAAGACTGTGTCGCCACATAAGTCGAGGGGCATGGACGTGAAGTTGCAGAATGTCCATTTCGCTTATCCAGGCCGCCAATCTGCCCCTGCTCTCTGCGGCCTCAGCATTCACATTCGCCCCGGCCACTTCTGTGGGCTAGTGGGGCCTTCAGGCGCGGGCAAATCAACCATCACGTCCCTCATAGAACGCATGTATGTTCCGCAATCGGGTAAGATCTTGATCGACGGGGCGGACATCTCCAAGCAGGAAGGGACATCCTTCCGCAACGATATTGCCCTCGTACCACAAGATGGCGTGCTGTTTGATGGGACGATACGTTTCAATCTGTCACTAGGTGCACGTCCCGGGGTAATTGTGTCTGATGAGGAGATGATGGAAGCATGTAGATTGGCCAGTCTCCACGATACCGTTCTTCAGCTCCCCCAGGGGCTCGATACCCTCTGTGGCACCAATGGAAGTCAGCTGTCAGGAGGCCAGAAGCATCGTTTAGCCATCGCTCGTGCCCTGGTGCGGAAGCCCCGACTTCTGATCCTGGATGAACCTACCAGTGCCTTGGATGCAGAGACCGAGAAAACCCTGCAGGACAACTTGCGAGTCGCGACGCGAGGCATCACGGTGCTGGTGATTGCGCACCGGCTTAACACGATTCGCCACGCCGACAAGATCTTTTTGATAGAGGCGGGACACAGTGTCGATTCTGGTACACATGACGAGCTCTTTGAGAGATCAGAGTCTTACCGCGCGAATGTCCTCAGCCAAATGATTGCGGAATGAGCTGCGCTAGCAGAGAGAGCGCAGACGCAACGCATCATGCACTGTAGATTTCAAAACATGATTCGACAACACGATGAACGGGATGTGCAAGGGTATGTAGCAGGGAGAAGAGGACATCAGGGTGAAGTTTGGACGGCGTCGAGCACTTACGAGGACCAACATCAACTCGATCTAGCCTCTTACAGGTTAGTGCTAACTGCTGAGACAAGGACGGACTTTCAGACCGCATTGTTCATATATTTTTGGATGCAGCTAGATAGAGATTCACTGATAAAAGTATGTCTCTTGCCGAAATTTATAAATCTTCGTCACGCCACCCGTTCTCGTTCTTGGTCGATGTAAATGAGCGATGTACCTGTCGGAATGTAAATAAATCGTCACCCCAGAGCAGTGCGTTGCTGGCATGATTCCAAGTCGACCAGTCTCAGATCGTTTGAGGTCCGGAAGATGACTTCCTTCTCAGCTCGCCGGTAAAAGGCACCAGCCCGACATCCAGGAACGGTCTGGCGTCCAGATCAGACAGGGAATGATCTCCTCTGCAGGGAATGCTAGATTTCACCAGTGGAATACCTCGACCACTCCTAGCCCTCTGAAGTTGAATCCCATATCGAAATGACGTCGGATGTGTGATGAGACTATTAGACTACCTGCGGCTGGACCCAACATGGTTTCGTCCTCTGCCATCTTTCTATCACGACAGATAGCTTTGCTCGAAAGAAACCAAGGACACAGGCTTGGAACTAGAAGACAACGATCACACATCTGGCAGAAAGCGATAGTCGCCGAGAGAATTTGCACGAGTCCCTGAGGCCTGTCATGGATCCCGATATAGACAGCGACAACGAGATCGATCAAGTCCTCTCCCACCTCATCACGGCATTTCACATCCTCCACCAACACCAAGTCTTGGACGAAGATGGCCAGGTCTCAGTTCGCAATCCTCAAGATCCTTCGACCTTCTTCACCAGCAATCTCCCTGCCATTCTCGTCTCATCAAAGAAGGATTTGAGCCAGTGGAACGTAGCAGATGGCTCTCCCGTTGATGATCCATACCCGGAGCTCGCAAAGGCGTCCGAGCATTCCGCAGTGTCCGAGATCTTCGCGCACAGCTCTATTTACAAGGCCTATCCCGGGGTACAGAGCGTTCTGCACTCTCACTGCGCGAGCGCCATCGCGTACGGTCTCTGTAGCAGCTGGAACAGCATGCTGCAGCCGAGTTATCTGATGGCCGGGTTCATCGGTTATTCGCCCCCGATCTTCGACATTGCACGGTACTACGTCAACCTGCCTGCCTCGCACCCTAGAAATCTCTTGATTAACACACAATACCTCGGCGACGAATTGGCAATGACACTACACCGGTCCCAACGTGAGGAGCCGAGGCGTCATAACACGCCGACGGTCCTGCCGGAGCAAAAGGCTGTATTTATACGTGGGCACGGTTACGCAACATGGGCCGAGAGCCTCGAGGATGTCGTGTGGCGCGCTGTACATATCCGTCGCGACGCAGATATACAGACCACAGCCATGACGCAACGGGACAACTCGGAGCTCGAGATCGTCTATCTCACAGAACAGGAGGCCGTGGACTGCGAACTCACAATCAATCATGCAGAGCAGAAACACTGGCTTTCATGGGTAGCGCAAGTGGACCGGTCGGGCATGTACAGGAATGAGCTGGATGGGTACGGTGCAGCTCCAAGAACTGAAAAATGAAGTAGAATTCAATGTGCAGCTGTACTCCGTGATGTTAGAGAGGCGGACTATGTATTAATTCTAACACGATCGGAACTCGGTGTATCAATGCTTTCTTCCAGAGAGAACAGTTGCATCATGTGAAAATCCACCTCCTTTTGCTGCCAATTAACCAAACCTACGTTCAAGCACGAATCGCCCCGTGCTACAATATGTAGTCGTAGTCGTAGTCGTCGTACTCATCCTCAGAGGGGATTCGAGGGGATTCTGTTTACCAAGACACGTATGATCATGATGACGGCAGAATTCTTGGCTTTGGGAACTCCTCAGGTTGCCGTATCGTCCCGGGTCGACTGGGTGTGCTGGGTGTCGTGTCATTTGTGAAGATCCTGGTTTGTACTTCTCCCGGTATATACATAGCTCCTAGTTGGCCCTTGCCAATACTCATCTCTCACAAGACCTCCACCGATAGAACTCAGCTCACGATACCACAACCATGTCCAACTTTGTGACCAAAGCGAAAGAAGGAGCCTACCAGACTAGCAACGAGGCCAAGGCTGATGATACTTGTGATCTCAAGAATGATAATTCCCATAAACCCAAGTCGACCGACAAGATAGGTGAGCCTAAGCAGTACTTACCTTGTCCCAATCTCAATATCTGGGAGCTGACGAAAGCGATGCGCTCCAGAGGCGGGAAAGGGAAGCGGCAGTGGCAGCAACCAAGATGATCGAGAGGGACCGCACGCGAAGGCTGCTTCAAAGGAAGATGGTCGATAACTGCGAGAGATATGTTGTAGAAGGTGAGATCAACCGGTTGGTGGTATGATTCAGACTCCGGTCATCTTCCACACGCGACATCTGGAAGTGTAACGCCTCGGATCACACGGCAATAAGACAGTCGTACTCGAAAAGGATCCAGGCCACGTATCGGATCCAGGAATCACTGCCTCGGTTAACAACGGAAGAGACGAGTATGAGGTTTATGCACGCGTGTGAGGTGGAAGAGGTGGAAGAGGTGAGAGACCGCAGGCAACTTGCCCCTCCTCGCAGCACGCGGGGTACGCGTGGACCTCACGAAAATGGAACCCGGAACTACAGATATACCTCGTACGAGTACGAATCACAAGGGCCCCCAGGTCATCGAAAGATTGCCTGTTGGTTCAGATTCAGGCAAAACTAGGCGTCTTCCAGGCCCTGAAGTTCAAGCTTTGGTGGCGCCTAATAAGGTGACAGTGGGCGACGCCTCGTCCGCCCAACTAACTTAGTGGCCGTGCTTTCACTAAGGTACCAGGAAGCCTTACGAGAAGTGCCCTCCATCGCGAAGATCTACTCCCAGCTTCATCTCGTCTACCTCGTTTGCCCGAAGACGAGGACGGGTCGTGTCGACAGCGCTGGCTGCAGACTCCTTTCACTCTCCAGCACTATCACAGACAACTTCACTATCATCTGAACGATACCGGTTGTCGCCACCACAGCCCCCAAAATCCTGACCTGGAGGTGCGCCGGGTAGCTGCCGGAGAAATGCTACGCAGAGACAAGCTACTCGATCTCCCGGGCATAGGTCTGCCTAGCCACAGTTACATCCCTGGTCGCTAGCTCTTCGATGCCTCACCGACCTGCTACAACAGGAAACGATTGTCCCACGGGCCTACGTCGCGATGGATCCAAATAAGCTACACCAAGCACTAAGCCTGCTGTTAGCCTGCGTCTTGTGCTCATCTAAACCTCATGAGTGACAATGCAACCTTCCTATCAACTCGTACCTGGCCCCAAGTACGTCATGAGCTCGCAGACGAGCTGGAGCTTCAAAATGTCGACGAGCCACCTCATGGACCTTGCCAGTCGCTCGCGTGCTTCTCTTCCTTCTTCTTCTTCTTCTTCTTCTTCTTCTGCCCTTTGTTACCTTGGGCCGGACGATACTGAATCACCATGCGTTTCCAGACCGTTGTGGCCGCATGCTTTGCGACCAGCGCTTTGGCTGTGTCGAACCCTCACAAGCGTGCGCCAAAGAGGATTTTCACTCCCAGCACGCCCGAGACGCACTCCTTGGCCAAGCGTGCATCACCGAAATACCTGACCAAAGAGACAGAGAGTAAGGACTACCCCCGAAGCTACGTCGTGGAATGGCAGCTAAGAAGTTGAACAGAGTTCGCTGTAAATGGTACTGGCGTGCCTCTGGTCGACTTTGATATCGGCGAGTCCTATGCAGGTACATTGTCAATCAACAATAATGCCAGTAACGAGAATCAGCTCTTCTTTTGGTTCTTCCCCTCAGACAATCCAGATGCTGGAGATGAGATCACCATTTGGCTGAACGGTGGTCCCGGGTGCAGCTCTCTCGACGGCTTGCTCCAAGAACATGGTCCGTTCCTGTGGCAATCAGGGACATACAAGCCGCAGCCAAATCCCTTCTCCTGGACTAACCTGACCAACATGGTCTACGTTGACCAGCCGGTCGGGACTGGGTTGTCTCCCGCGGCCAAAAGCGCACCACCCAAGATCACGAGCGAGGTACAAGTAGCTGAAGACTTTGCCGGATTCTGGAAGAACTTTATGACAACATTCAACATGACTGGTCGTAAAGTATACATTACTGGCGAGTCTTACGCTGGCATGTACGTTCCATACATTGCAAGTCACTTTCTCGACCTGAATGACACCGACCACTACAATGTCAAGGGCATTCAGATCAATGATCCCAGTATTGGTGTTGACGCGGTGGAGATTTATGGTATGAGCACACTCCCACGTCCTCTCAATCGTTCTGACTGACTCTGTCCGCAGCTCCCGCAGTAACCCACTTGAACAACTACGCTCCCGTTTTTGCACTTAACGAATCCTTCATGACCTCGATCAACCAGCGCGCCGAAGAATGTGGCTATTTCGACTTTATGGCCGAAGCCCTGACGTTCCCGCCCAAGGGCAAATTCACTGCTCCAAACGTTACCGCACCGGGTTGCGAAGTGTGGGACGATATAGTTACGGCAGCTATCTACGTCAACCCGTGCTTCAATCTTTACCACCTCACGGACTTTTGTCCCTTCCTTTGGGATGAGCTCGGCTTCCCGTCCCTTGGTGATGTACGTTTTGATCTCCCTAAGCTCCCAGCTCTCTGCGGAAGTTCGAAAATAGCCCCAACCTCCCTACGTACTCCCGTCCGTTGATTTCTCACTTTTCCTGCAAAACGAAATGACCAGCTGACACTAATTGGTATCTTAACAGGGTCCCAACAACTACTTCAACAGAAGCGACGTGCAAAAAGCCCTACACGCCCCTCCCACCGACTACACAATCTGCGGCGACGACTCCCTCGGTCTCTTGGACCCAGGCGACACCTCGCTCCCGTCCAGCTTCGAAGCTCTTCCATCTGTAATAGAACGCACCAACAACGTCATCGTCGGCAGCGGTCTCCTGGACTACCTCCTCCTCATGAACGGCACGCTCATGACCCTCAACAACATGACGTGGAACGGTCAGCAAGGATTCACAAAGGACCCGATGAACAGCGGCGACTTCTTCACCCCCTACAACCCTTCGATCGGGTTCGTCCTTGAAGAGACTCTGAACCAACCGATCCCTGCCACCCCCGTGGGCTTAGTCGGCGGTGGTGGGTTGTTGGGCAAGACGCACACGGAGCGTGGTCTGACGTGGGTCACGGTCGATCTGGCCGGTCACGAAATCCCGCAGTACGTTCCTGGTGCGTCGTATAGACAGCTCGAGTTCTTGCTGGGGAGGATCGACAGCCTGACTCTCATTGGGAGCTTCACGACGCAGCATGGAAATTACACGGGCACTGTGCCGCCTAATCCGTACTATGGACCGACGAGTACGGCTGTTGCTTTTAGAGCATAAGTGACGGCGACGGTGGTAGTGGTGGCACCGGCACTCCCCGGCACTCACGTACACGCATGGACGCACCGGAGACTCACACTGAGTAGCTGTGATGTGTTGCACTGTGCTGTACTGTACTGTACTGTGGTGAGGACGGAATGAGACAGCATAGCTTTAATATAAAGAAAATAATAAAACGACGAAATGCAACGAGTACCCCTCCGGGCAAGATTTGATGATTTCTATTGGCAAGGTGAATATTCCAAGTCTGTTCAAAGTCGTTTACATATCGGGAAGAGGAACCTTACACAGCATTGAACGGTTCTTAACCACTAGTATTGTTCTCGTGATATATCTACACCCGTGGAGTCAGTAGTATATTCGTGACTACGAACGGGGTTGAATGCCCTTGTTCTCGCACTCGAGTATCCGCATACGAGGACCTGGCCCGGATGTGACTAACTAGGGAATCTGGCGAGTTGGACGTCAAGTGTGAGGACGTTGACGTTTAAGTGTGAGAAAACATGTTCGAGGGGGACAAGGTTCCGAATAGCATTGGAGCTTGGATCCAGGCGACGGGACGCCGACACCTGGGTCTCAACGACTCGCAGTCTTGTGGCTCGGTTATATCGCGGTTCATGCTCGTGAGAAAACCAGCCAAATCAAAAGGAGAGCAAGGGACAGGCCGAGCACTACGTCAAACAGGCTTTCGATGCCCGACGATTGAGCAATGATGCCGATGACGAACGGGGCGCCGGCGCCACCAAGCTGACCAATCGCGCACGTGAGAGCAACGGCAGGAAGCTGGATGTCGGTTGGCAGTTTCGCCGTCATGGTCAATACGGCCGACGGGAACAGCGGTCCTGAGGCGAAGCCGATGCCGGCCGCGAGGCATAGTGACAACGCCAGGGGTCCTTCGAATCTGAAGAGAAGCTGCAGCGCGATCAACGTGCAGATGAGGAGGATGACGACGTTTCGAAGACGAGCCAGTCTGGTCAGAGGACCGAGACAGAACCGTCCCAGGACCATGCCGCACCAGAAAAGGGAAGTGGCCAGAGCCGCGACCGACGGAGCCGTATGCCGGGACCGCTCCATGTAGCTCGTGAGCCAGCCGCTTAGAGATGCTGGAGGTTGACTCGGTCAGTCATCTCATCTCTACCTTTTGGTTCAAAGTGGTGGGGGGAAGCTGCTCGCTTACTCTCGATGCCAACGATGACGAAGAAGAACACGCCACACATGAAGATGACTTCCTTGCATCCAGCGAAGCCGCCGACGGGATCCTGTTTTGGAGATAGCTTGGAATGGTGCGTCGCGGCATCGTCGTGTCGAAACGCGACGATCAACGTCCAAGTCTCGACGACAAATACCACCAGCTGTTGTCATACCGTTGTCAGTCTGCGCGTATTCTTTCGTTTCTCTCTTTGGTGGGCTTCTTCAAGACTTGACTGACCATGACAAAGTAGAAGTACTGCCATCCGAGACCCGCTTTCTCAAGAGCAGCAACGACCACAGGACCCACGACACACCCAAAAGCGTACGACCCGTGAATGAGTCCAGAGACCTTGTTGGATCCCCGAACTACAGCGGCCCAGGTGCAGAAGCTGGAGTCGGAGAACCCTGTCCCAAACCCGGTGATGAAATAGGCCGCGAGAAGGAACGGATAGCCGGGCTTGGAAGAGAGGATGATGCCTCCAACGACGTGAGGGAGGGTGCCGAGGACCGCTATTCCTCTTCGGCCGAACTTGACGTGGACCAAGTGTACGAGAGAGTTGCCGATGAGATAGCCCGACACTCCAACAGGGAAGATGAGAGCAGCCGTGGCGTCTTTGATGTCGTAGTAGGACTCGATCTGAGGGTTCTTCGTGTTAGGTTCACGTAATTTGTGGCGCAAAATTGGAAGTTGTTGCATACCAATGGAAGAAGAGCCTGTGCTTCGTGATTAGCAGAGCTCTCCGACATAGCTGTCTTGCACGGAAGGGATGTATCTTACGCCGATAGAAGCAACATGCATCCCCGTCACAAACCAGCTGTACATGACTGCAACGACCTTGAACGCGAGGGGCTCGTGAGGCGTAGATGATAGCTTCTGGTCGCCGTAGCCATCTTCCACTTGTTTCACGTACTGTGCATGCAGAAGAAGAGCTCGCTGTTCAGCATCTGTCCCTGTAGGGCCTGTTGGCTGGGAGATGATTGTCATCTCTCCCATGTCCGTACACCGCACTCCGTCGGTAGATAACACACGATACCTGAGTTCTTATCGAGTCATCCTCTCAGCGATAGGGGTAGAGAAGATAGTCGAGGTTGTTGAAAATTATCTGCGGGCTCCATTCATATCCAAAAGAAATAGGCGTGGACAATCAGTCCCAAAATGTCAACTGTTATCAAGCTTGTGCCGTTTGCTGAGCAGTGATACTCTCGATGTTTCGACCGGGGGTTACGGAGTACTGCGTATGTCGAAGGATAAGGATAAGGAGAAGGCAAAGGAGGGTCTGATAAGCGAGAGTGCTCGGCCGGAAATACCTTTGGCCGAAGACTTCACCTTTCGCGTTTCCTGCCGCATTCAGATCAGATGTGCTCGAGCAAAACTTTGCGAGACAGTGAGCTGAAATCTCTCTCATGCGGCTTGTCGTTGTATCTCAGTCTCGAGTCGGATACGCTTCCGACCAATTCGATCATCAATTGCGAATGGTTTTGTGTCATGAGAGGTAAACATCCACCTTCAACGTCCGTCTTCCATTGGAGTCTTCCTTGATCTCTTCGGCTGGCTGGACACTCACTTCCCTCCCCTGGCAATATTTGCTGAGTGATCCGGCGACATATCGTTTTGCCCATCTGTGACTTTGGGTCAAGAACCAGTCGTCTTTACAGTCTTTTCCCCAGCCAATGAACAGTTCGGCCGTGACGTGTTTGACCCATTTCCAATCTCTTCGGTCAAGACCTTGGAAGAATTTGTCGATGCTCAAGTTGTCGCAGAGCACAAAGACGCGATCTTTCCCGGCCTTGTCAACGAGCGGTTGAGCTTCGGCGAAGATCAGATGATTGACACGCAAGATGCGGTTGTCGCAAAGCTCATATGTCATCGGCGGTCTGCAGCAGCTGTCATCGCGAGAAGGCAGGTTCTGCGTCGTCGTGCACCTTCTGCCACACCTACAAGGGTAAATGATGGTCGGCTGGACAACGTATGACCATATCTGAAGTCGGATTTCGGTGGGCAGGTCGAGTAGGGATGTCATGATGAGCGTAAATTCTTGTGAGGTCTCGATTTGTTTTGTTTGGCGAACAGATGAAGCAGAGTATTCCGTATGGTTTAGATTGACCGCGAATGTAGGGACAGTGATTGTTGTCATTGTCACAAGAATTTACTTGGGGGAATGCTTCCTATAGTTGGGTCATTGCGGTTGAAGTAACCTATCATCGGTTGAGCGGTGACAAGTTCAGCTGCCTCCACCACCTGAGAGACTACGATACGAAAAGCGGGCGTCTCGAATAGGCCAAATACGAAGCCATCCCTTATTGTTGGCCTTTGTTCCGTTGCGTCGGGCTGGAATGAGCCCAACATTACTCACGATTGGCGCGATACCAAATACCCTGGACATGCTCGTATCCGCATCGCTAAGAAAACCCTTGCATGACGGCGGCATGTGCACTCTAGACCCAGTGGGGGACATGGCAAATTCCAGTCCATTGGTTCAAATTCTCGAGTATCTACTCCGTACAGTACAGCAGAGGAGGCTGAGCTAACCCAAACCATGGCAATTGAATCTGACGCTTACAACGGTTTCCAAATCTAGGCACGGTTTCAGTCGCATGACTTCGGGAAAGCCTGACTGTCAAAGGAGATACAATATTCGGGTATCGCCACCGCTCGTTGAAGGCAGCGTCGTATCTTCGGACATCGAGAGCAGGGACCGCATTGTGGACCATCATGATACGGAATCTTAGATCTAGCACCGCATCCGAGTGAATCCGTCCTGGTCCATGTCCAAATAGTGGGTTATGGCCGAAGAGAAGTGGGATCGGGATGCCCTATGGGCACTACTCCGAGGAGTAAATCCCCCCTTAATGCAGGGCAGATTTGACTAATATTTGACTAATCTACCGCCTTCTGCCTCGAAAGTACAGCTACCCAGATTTCTCAAAGTAAAGCTAGCCCATTTTTATATGTACACAATCCATAAATAAGATCAACATGTGGGAGAAGAAAGCACTACTGGAACCGGGCAGATCAGTACCCCATGAAGCAAAGATCACGACGGCAGTGACAAACTCGGTGCCAGTCGGCCAGCTGCGCCTTTTAATTCTACGATCGTGTCGCAGGCTGCGAAAACAAACCGATCCTGTCTTAGTATGACATACCTTCGGCCCCTGATTTCCTTATGGAGCCTATACTCATCGTACCCGATGGGATCAGGACGGTTTCTGCATAGCAATGAATCTGCCGCAAATTCATTGCCTGCTGCAAGCCGAGCTATATCTTGTTGTGGAAACGCCGTCGACCCTGTTGGTACCTTCGTGGACTGTAAGAGTATAGTGGCTTCGTTCGACGAGAGCAAGTTGTTCGAAACGCGGTCTACTTCGTTGATACCATTTATGAGCCTGCTGCAATCGTCGACGCTATCAGGTAGGATGAGAAGCTGGAAGAGGCCTGTCTTGTGAGGCGCAAAAATCAAGTCATCTGTGAAACACACCCTCCGAGTCTTGAAGTCGTATGCATACACTTGTGGCAGAAGAAGGCCGCCTTCCATCTCAGGAATGAAGGGCATGCCTTCTTCATGTTGATACTTGGTCATTCCAGCGGCGCGAGCTCCCAATTCAATCTGTTTTCGATAAGCAGGTATCAGTTGAACTGCCCACATATACCACTCTCGGAGAAAGACTTTGAATGGATCAGACTCAGTCACATATTCGCCATTCCGGACTGTCGCCGCGAGCGAGCGATCGAGTTGCTGCTTGCGCTCCCTGTACCACGCCGCAAGGACTTTGTGGTGATCAGCTTTCGGATTGCGATGCAGGAAAGCGAGTCTCCAAGCCAATGCAGCTGCGTCTCGAAAGCCTGAAGCTATGCCTTGGCCGCCTAAATGGTCATCGTCAGAACGCTGAGCGGGAGAGCCTGATGCCTGATGCCTGGCTAAACTTACCAAAGGGAGGAAAGACATGAGCCGCGTCGCCTGCCAAAATGACTCTTCCTAGCGCCCACTTGTTGCAGCTCCTTGCCACGAAAGAAAAAGGTCGAGACCGGAGGGTCTTGATGCAATCCTCGGGGAATCTCACGGGTTGTGCCAGACCATAGCGGCTGCCTGGATGTGTTATATATGGGTAGATGATTTTACTGGTTTCCTCGAATTTGGCCATTTGCTGTCCGTCCTCGTCCTTCTGGACCACAAACTCGAAGCGCCATAATCGATCTGCTGGTGGACCGAATCTTCCACAAACTGAAGGCCGCTTGGGATTGCATAAGAACCGAAAATCCCTCGGGAAAAATAGGTCGTACACTTCCTGAGGGGTGTAACCGAGTCTCCACAGCGGAAAATCAGGATGTGATTTCTCATCTGGCAGCGTTATCTGCCAGTTCAACGCGACCCAAGTCTCCTCATAACTCGTCCTGTTCCGACCGACATTAGCTGATGCTGACCTAGGAGATCTAAGGTTCCTCATGGCTTACCTCTCCGACTTCGCCATGACTATGCCCCTTGGTTCGAGATACATCTTACGAACATAGCCAGTCTTGCCATCGGCACCGACGAGAAACGGGGCTTTGATGCGATGCGATGACCCTTGGGCGTCAACGTAATCAACATATGCATAGCCCTCGTCCTCACTGACGCCTGTGACTGTGGCTTCTGTTCTTAAGCTGCATGACGGCGTTCTTTGGATCTGGTCTCTGATCGCCTTCTCCATGGCCGGCTGCTTGTGACAAATGAAGCCGACATGACCTGTGCCGCCTTCTGTTGTCACGTACTTCATCGACAACAGCGGTTTCTTCCTCGGATCCGTTCCGTCGCCGGTTACGAAGTTGAACTTCTCCATGCCTTTGCCGTCAGTCACCCGGCGAAGAATACCTCCTAACGGAGCAGATACTTACAAGTGCCAATTTCGGTATAAATGCGGTCATAAATCCCAAGGGACTGCAGTATTCGAATGCCATCTTCATCGAGAGCTATACCTCGAGGATCTGTGGTGATTGTCTTTTCTCGTTCCAGGACAATGTTGGGTATGTTCAGAATGCCTAGCAGTACCGAAAGTGCAGTCCCCGTTGGGCCTCCACCACATATAACAACCCCGGTCTCCTCGATAGAAGCTGTTTCTGGTGACATGGCGACGACCTCCCGATTGATACTTCGAACCACTCTCGTGAGTTCCCGGCAAGACCCTGAACCCAATCCTCTGTGCCGGCGCTGAAGGTCTTGAAAGAGCCAAGTCTGGGCCAGGACCAGATATAATATACTCGAATAGCCTCTTATAGCTCTCCATGGGGGCTTTAGATCAACTTACAAAATCTGGGGACTCGGCGGCCTGGAACCGCCCAGATTGATTCTTGAGGACTCGATGTGGGACGTTCGGTAGTTGTGGGACGCGGACACCGGCAAGGGACAATGTGGGACGTGGACTCTGGTAACTCGAGGGATTGAGACATAGGCCGCGGAACATCCGCAATTTATTTTTGTAGTAGCAGATTCGTGCAATCAAGTCCAGTTCACACGGCAGAGATCGTGAGGACCGCAGGCCGTAGGCGTTTGAGTAGGCCTCAGAGAAAGTGGCATCTTTGGATAGGTTGAAAAGGCAGTCGAGTTCTTGCTACCCTGACACTCCATAGCACAAACGGATGATTGGACCATAGTACAATGTCTCCCGCCTAACGGAAGCCTTTTCAACGTACGGAATATCAGATAAGTCCTGGGAGTGGTCACTGAAGCATGTCTCAAGCCAGTAACACATTCCCCCGCGATCTGGCGCAGCCACTTCCCCAGCTCTTCTCCGTCCGCGTCTTCCTCGTCCACATCTTTCACCCCACAATGTCGCCCGTCGCGACATCTTTCTTTCTAAACTTCCGTCGTGATCTGATACCCTAGACGCCAGAGCCCACAGCGCAAACCAGACAGCGACTTCGTTAAGACATCGAAGGTCAGCAGCTGTCCGAGGGATGCCTGAACTTTCGGTATTCAACAGCGTCGATGATACTCCTAAGACCCGACGTGCGCCCAAGATTCGACAGTGCATGACATGCGGTCGCACCTTTGCTAAGACAGATCATCTCGAGAGGCACATCAGGTCGCATACCAAAGAAAAGCCGTTCAAATGCGCCAAGTGTGGGCGAAAGTATGGTCGTCAGTAAGTGATTGACATTGTCTGTGAGTACGAGCAGTAGCGACGTATGGCATGAACCGCAAAGTCCTGTCGCATAAGGCAACGTTTGAAGAGGCTCTTTCCGGAGCCTGTTACCTGCCGGAACAAATCCAGAGTTGTCGTCCTACACGTCTTGACAGCAGATTCAGCTTACAGCAACCAAACTCACGCATCAGGTCATACGTCGCTACTTTCTCGACGCAATTCAACTCCAGTTGGCGGGTTGCAGGCTGACCAGGTGCAGTGATACTCTACTTCGGCACTTGAAGGATCACTTGGATGAGGCGTCTAGCCAAGATAATCGAGAGAAGCCACATCATCGAAGCAGCATCTCAGTCGAAACCGATTCTGTGCAGACCGCACCAATGCCAGCTGTTTCGGCAACCGAGATCTCTCTCTCTGCGCCATCAGTATCCTCGGAGCCGCCGAGCCTACCAATCGACGGCATGGGCAGTAATCACATGAATCTTTCTGTATCAACTTTCGGCAATAGCAACTCGGATTACCAGATTGCAGACGTTCCACAGCAGCAGCAGCATCAGGATGGCTATCCCGGGCCCTTTATACCAGAACCGCTACCTAACAATTTTGATCCTTCTCTGGACGCTCTCGATTTTGAGGCTCAGTTTCCATCTTGGATCGTACCCACCGATCTCGATTTTCACACAGGCATCCTTGATACACCACTTGCCACAAGTATGGCGGAACTTAGACCTGGCTGGCCAGATAGTCCGTTCACGACGTTCGGTTCGTCAACGTACAAACCCGTGAACAACATGCAGCATTTGTGGTTCACTCCCAACGACGAAGGGCAGGAGGAAGTCCCCCAATCGGGACCCGCGACCCCTCCAGCCTCCCACGTCGAAGTCGACGATTCTTATCGCCAAACACTGCACCAAAGTCTGTTGATCCGCTCGGTTGAGCAGAGTCTCCCGTCATCAGACTTTCTCAACCTCTGCGTGAGATCTTATTTTGCAAAATTCCACCCAGTGTTCCCCGTAGTTCACGCTCCGACCTTCCGCCCTTCAAAGGCCAACTCGATGGTTCTGTTGTCCATATGCTCCGTGGGCAGCCTCTTCACAGGTTCAGCGCACGCCATTCGGCAAGGAGTACAAATCTTTGAACGCCTACACAAGGCCGTCCTGGCCAATTGGGACCGTCTCATCTCTCGCGGAACCGACGAGAAAATATCGCTCATCCAGACGGCGATAATCGGACAGACCTTCGGGCTGCTCTCCGGAGAACCCAGGCATCTCTCGATCGTGGATACTTTCAACGGGACTTTGATCTCGTGGGCCCGACGTCTATCGACGTTCAAAACAAAGAAGCTGAAAGGACTCGACCTCAGCCTCGGGCCGGCTGAGCTGGAAAAGCAGTGGCGAGAATGGGCCAAGAACGAAGAGCTCATCCGGATCGCACTGGCCGTGCACATCCACGACGCCGAGCTCGCGAGCATTTTCCACCACGAGCCGTTCCTGCGGCACAATTCGCGCCAACTGCCCGTGGCGGCGTCGAGCCAGATGTTCATGGCCTCCAAGGCGGAGGAATGGCGCCAGGCGTACCTCGACGACGCCAGCAACTTCGAAATCGACAACAATACCCCGGCGTCAGTCGACGCCCACATCGACTTCGACATGCTCTCGACGCCGCAGAGCAGTTACTTCACCGCGTATACGGTCCTCGAGGGTATCTGCGTCAACATCGTCGAGAACAGGATTGATGCGCGCTCGTCCCCCACGACGATGGAAGACCTTTCGGACCTGCTCAACACTTTTTTCAACCGCTTCCTCTTGGGCGCGCCTTCGTGGAAGGCAGACCACATGGACATGATCATCCTGTGGCACCTCGCGTACATGTCCATCTGCGCCGACTTTGACCTTTTGGAAAAGGCCATTGGCCGCGACGGGTCGCAGCTATCGGGCGAGGACCGCGTCGCCGTCACGACCTGGGCAAACTCGAACAACGCCAAGCGCTGTGTCATCCACGGCGCCATCGTCGCGAAGAAACTCGAGGACCTGCCGCTCGGCTCGGAGCCCGCGATCCACGTGCCCCGCGCCATGTTCAGAGCCGGCATCGCCTGGTTCTGCTACACCCGCTTCGGCACGCGGGCAGTCGACGGCGCCAGCAACGGCAAGTCCAACAAGGCCGTCACGACCGAGGGCCTTGATTTCCCTGAATTCAGACTACTCGGGGTCAATCCCGCCTTGTTGCTATTTCAGGTCAACGGCTACAAGCACGGTCTTCCTACGACGGCCGAGATCAATGCGGCGTTGTGTGGTCTGACTGATCTCCTTAGACGTATTGGGCATTGGGAGATAGCGCGCAGGTTCGCGGCCATATTGGGTGCTCTTTTACATAATGACGCCGATTGATGACTGAAGACGAGTAATAATGACGACGTATGCTTCACTCCGATGTGCACCTCACATGACACCCACACACAGAGCAAGTAGTTTGATCACATTGTTGTCAAATGGGATTCGATGTATCTCCTACGCCCACACCGACGACGGCATTTTCCCTCAACAAGTCCTCTATCGTCGGTCTTTGCACGTCAGGACAATACAAGAATTGACCGACCAACTTGAAGACCACACTTGCAGTCAACTCTTTCCCTTCTGCCTTCGACGCCAGACTATACGATGAGCTCAGGGCGTCCCAGTACCATTTCCTCAGTCCTCGATCGCCTTCCGAAGCACATGCACCTGTCAACAGCGCCCACAGGAGAAAGCTGTCGCCGTTGCGTGCGACATTGCCGCCGCCACCAGTGACACTGCAAGTGCCGCTGGATCTGAACCTGGCTCTCAACGTCAGATATAGTCGCGAGGCTATGACTTTCATTGTCCTCCGGCGCCCGACGACAGTCGTAACCATGTACATCCAGGTCAAGAGAGCCAGACGCGTCACCTCCGCTTCCTCGTCTGCCGAGTCCAGATGGAGGAGTCGGCTCCGGAGCGCCCCAGCACGGAGGTGGCGCCACCGCACACGCTCTTGTGGCAGTTTCGATCCATCCGTCTGGGCAATCTTCGCCTGCCACTGCATCTCCTGCGCTACTTCGATGATGTCGATAGCTGACGCCCTCAGGTCCGGATTGTTCACGAAAGCATCGGTGTTGTCCAGTATCGTGGCTTCGTAGACGTGTTGCCGTGCAGCCGAAGAACCCGGACGCGAGTCAAAGCCGGCCTCGCGCAAAGATCCCGGATCACAAATACTGTGGTGGAAAAAGGGCTTCTCAAACACCTCGGCCGCTATGAACTCGTCGCCGGCTATGAACCATTCTCTCCACGCGCGGTCCAGAGCACCCGTCCCGCCGAGCTGGTGGATCAGTTGCGCCACGACCCGGATATGAATCCTTGCCGCGTGGAGGTCAAAGCGAAAGAAATCTGCATTCGCAAGTGCGTGGATGTCGAAGACCAGGTCTATGTCGACGACCGTGGGGTGGTTGTCGTCGTGGTTGTTATTGTGGTCGTTGTTGTCGCTGGTCATAGTCTGGGAGACCCGCTCCCTCGTTGCGTGGAGTGCTTTCCCAATCAAGGTGCCCGGGTCCACGGGCGGCGTGGTCCCTTCAAAGTAGTGTATTTGGCTCGCGCTCGAGGCGAGCAGGGCGTACATGCTAGATTCATTCCTTAGACAATTTATGATGCGCCCGCGCGCAAAGTGTCGGAACCTGTACTCTCCCTTGGATGCGCGAACTTCGGCGTGCCAGTTGCGCGGATGCGACACGTTGAGAAAGTACTGGAGTAGGCGGTGGACGCTGCGGTCGATGGTCACGCTGCTCGTGCCGAACGGGTCGGTCGCGTTGCCATTGATCATCGAGAGCGCACATTCGGTCCCCAGCTCTGCGCCGGACTTTGCTCGGACTTGAATCTGGTCTTTTTCAGCCTTGAAGTCCTCAGATTCGGTTCCTAGCTTGGGCTTGGTCTTGGGCTTGGTCCTGGGTTTCGCTCTGATTTGGTCTTCTTCACCCTGGAAATCTTCGTCGGGCGCGAGCGCTGGTGGAGGAGCGGGGTGTAGAGCGACGTCAGGTGCCGGCACGGGTGTCTTGGGCATCAATCTGGCCCATTTCCCGCTGGCGAGTGCGAAACCGCGCTTTGCTTTGGCGGGAGTCGGCGCGGGTCGATTGAGGCGGACATGGCGGCGGAGGTTGTGACGCTCCTCGTCGTAGCTGCGAGATAGCGATCTCGATCCAGCGTCTTTGTGGATAAAGAGGAAGTTTTGCTCGGGCATTTGAGTCGATCTCCGGGAAATCAAAATAAGTCGCAGACAAACGAGCGCCTACTGGCACATGTTCTAAATCACTCTCTCACGCTCGCATTGTACCGATGTTGTTGTGTGCCGTACGACGAAGAAAGAAGCCTGGCCAGTTCATGCAATCCACGGCATTTATGTATTCATGTAGCATCATGCGCACCGCGAGACGGACGGAGATAGGATAAAAAGAGGGAGCGAAGTCGACGAGAATAGCATACATACCTAGGTAGACAAGGGTAGAGATATCCCGGTAAAGTTAGCCTTTAGATAGCAAAGGCGAGGGAGCCGTCTGTGTCCCACTTCTCTTGCGAAATCGAAGCAAACTTTTGCTGACATAACCACTAGCATGGGGCCGGTGTCTGCATCGCTCAGCAGCATTCTGTTCTGTATGGTCGGTGCAGATGATCCGTCCGTTAATGGTGCGTTATCGCTCTCAACAGCCGCTACTGTGCACTGGGGATCACGGACCCTGCATGCTCGTGCTGGCCAGGTAGCCGACTGCCGGTGCTACAGCAAGTGATGACCTTAGCTGGCACCCTAATTCGACATCGATCCAAGACTAATGTCGGCAAAGGGGACTATTGGGGTCCGGGTCTCCCTTGTGAGAATTACAAATCGCCCAAAGGGCGGTTAACACCGTTGTCCTACGCGCCTGGTCGGCACGAATATAGTAGAGCAGCAATTCTCCAGTCGACGTCTTCCTCGCGGGCCATATGCCAGCACTGAACGGCCAATTCGGGAGCCCGGTAAGTCTGGGAAGCCGGACGACTACACTCGAGTTCCTTGATGGACCACTTGTGCCCTTTCGGCCACGTTCAACCTGCGTCGATCATGCTGGCACTTCCATATTCTTCAAGGGCATAAAGAGCTTCTTGTGCATAGGTAGCCGATTAGTATCGCTGGAGTTCCGACTTTTCTCTGTTTTATTTTGCCAATACCAACACCACAGAGCTTGCTCAGTTCAAGACAGAGTACTGGATGTTCACATTCGACATCTCATGGAACATATTGGAGATAGAAGAGAGGTGCGCGAGGGAAGTTTCTTTCCATCTTCGCCGGGGCAGAGGATGACAATGGGGTGTTTTCGCGTCAACGATTACCAATTCGACAGATATATATAGCTGTAGAGGTTTGGGGACTGGGAACGTAAAAAAACCCCCGCGTACCCATCGAGGATCGAACACGCACAAAAATGCCAAAATGCCAAAAAAGAAGGGCGCCTTGAATGAGGAAGTGTCTACCCCTCAGGTCCTGAAACTCGGTGGAATTATCACAGAAAGTGCACTTCATCAGCGCATGATAAGACCCCAAATTGGGTGTTAGAGGAGCAGCGCTGCCTCCTCACCCAAGGCGCCAGAAGACAGTGTGAACACTGTGAGGTATTGGTCCCATCAGTCTGGCTGGCCAGGCACAAACCAACTGAACCAAGACGGCGGCTGCGGTAAAGCAGATGTTGAACAAAAATTCAGGGATCAAACAAATATCCCTTAGTGGTGTTCAGTGAGTGCAGCTTCTCATGTGAAGCTCAATGAGGAATCAAGAATATGCCACAGATTGAAAAACCACAATAGCATCGAGCATCCCCTCAATACCAACAACCAGTTGTCAACGATGTTGATGACCATGTGGACGTGATCTCGAAGATACTGGACGTATCCAATAGACAATAGGGGGCGACAGCAAGACAATGTAGGCCTTGAAAAGGCATAGCTGGCCGGCATATTCAAGTCATATGCTGCTGCTTCAGGGGTGTTCGTTCCTGCTAGCGACCGCTCGGTGCCTATGTTGTCAGTAAAACACAAATGGCTCGAGGGGCTCATTGAATGTATCAATCGCATCCGACCATCTTATTGAAGGAGCAGCGTCTGATCCCAACCACCTGCGTCTGTCGCCAAGCTAGAAGACGATGAGGCAGTGAACATGAATCAAACTCTTCAATAACTCACACTTTTACCGATTTCAAATTTCATCTTTCACCTTTCAATCTTCAGAACTTCAAATCCAACAACGACAACTCTCACCATGGCTGAAGAGGTGTACTATCGCTACTACTTTGAAGTGCGAATCGTTGGAGGCAACACCAATACCACTCCTCCAATCATTGTTCCCATTTCCGAAGTCAGAGACAGAACGCAGCTCTGGAATGAGACTGTCGCCGGTGTGCTCTTCTGGAACGACTACCGATTTCTGAACGGGGCGCCCAACGAGAGACCAGATCCTCCCATCATCCTTCTGCAAGAAACGTCGACCAGCAGGCACGACCTCGAACACAACCGCTGGAAGACCATCAACTGGGACGAACCATACGAATACGCCAAATGGTGGCAAAGCAATGTCGTGGAGGGAGAGGCAGAGCACCTCAAAATTGAAATACACTTCTTGACGACGAGAGGAGACGAATATTGGGACATCTACAACCAGCTGACTGCGGTTGGCAAAGACGTGAACACGATGAGCGACAAGAGCCTCATCGAGATTCCCTTCAACGCAGACATGGGCAACTTGCAGAATGTTCGAGTGGTGCCAGGTACCAATGAGTGGTTCCCAAGACGGGAGATTGATGTCCTGGCGAACGCCAATAACTGTGAGAGATGTGAAGCCAAGGCTACCGAGCTTGGCCTGAAGCGGCCCTCCCGACGTGCAGTCAGAGCCAAGGAGGCAAGAAAGGAGGATGAGATGGAGGATGATGCTGGGGCCAACAAGGGCGAAGAAGGAGATGTTGAGATGGGAGACGCTGGTGCTGGTGAGGGTGCAGGTTGGACAATGAACCTGGCAGAACGGTTCAGGTAGAGGGGGCGAGCGACGAGGCTCGACTGGCGAGTGGTGTTTTCTGATACGGAGTACGGAGTAGCCGCAGGGAGAGATGAATGGCAGATTTTTTTGGCCTCGGATCAGAGTTTTTCCATTCCGACAGCCAAGATCTCGCCCCCCCACAGGAGAATGAATTCTTCAGGCGCTGCGTGGTACCAAGTGCATACTGAAAGAAAGCGACAAGACTGCAACAAGAAAGCCATGAGAAACGTTGTTTCACGCCAGGTAGCATCGTGTGCTCGACTCCTGCGTCGAGTGCAACAAAGACCACATTTTTACGCTGGTCTGGCTACCAACAGCCCACCTCGAGGCCATCGATGTGGGAACGCCGCCGCCGTTATCAAGCCGACAATCATGGGTATTAGTGGTGTGCTATTGGCCTGATGCGCAGAATCGCCACACCATGACACGATGCCATCGCCAAACTACAGGATTTGCTCTCCGCAAATGAGCACTAGTGGTATGTGGAATAGCCGACGGTAAGCATGGACCCCTGCTTTTTTGCGACAAGAAGCTTCTGCGTGATTTCTATCAGCAAATTTTTCCACAGCCTTGCCGATCTCTTCCAATCAAACAGGCACAAGGACTGCCGTTCACGAGATGATGGCTTCTTTAGCACCCTGGCATCTCGCATTTGGCCCATGGGCCTGTGAGGCTCCGCTCGTACTCGACTTCTATAATATCTGTGATCCTGCTGTTCGAGTGTCCCCGAGATCAGTGTGCCTTCTCCCATTCACCCTTGCATAATAACATAACACGCAAAAATGGCCGACCTCGACCTCGTAGAGAAAGGACCCGCGCCCGATTTGGTCAGGAACAGTTTCGATGCCTACCAGGGCAAGATCGAACTCCCACGCGCCCCGACCGCTTGGGGTCGCTTCGTCGACAGCTTCAAGAGAAACCCTAATGCTCGGATGACGACACAAGCCATCGATGCCAACGGCAATGTGCTCAAGGATCAACCACCAGCCGAACCGGCTCTGTCAATGGTCCTGAAAGGAAGACACCTTCAAATGATAGCCATTGGCGGGTCGATTGGAACAGGTCTCTTCGTCGGTTCAGGATCTGCATTGGCTACAGGTGGTCCTGCTTCATTAATCATTGCCTATGGACTGATTGGAATCATGTTGTACTGTGTCGTCCAAGCGCTGGGTGAGCTTGCTGTGGCTTTCCCGGTAGCTGGTGCGTTCTCGGTGTATGCAAGCCGATTTGTTGACCCAGCATGGGGTTTCGCCATGGGATGGAATTATGCTTTGCAGTGAGTCTGCTGATTCTGGAGTTGCCTCACCACTAACAATCATAGATGGATCGTGACTCTTCCTCTGGAAATTGTGGCAGCATCACTTACCCTCGAATTCTGGTCTGGCAGCCGAGACGTCAACAGCGCTGCTTGGGTCACGATCTTCCTTGTTGCAATCATCATCATCAATTTCTTCGGTGTTCGCGGATACGGCGAGGTAGAATTCGTCCTGTCCATCATCAAGGTTGTTGCCGTGATCGGATTTTGCCTTCTCGGCATCATCATCAACACTGGAGGCGTTCCAGGAAGCGATCGAGGTTACATCGGGGCTCAATACTGGCACAACCCGGGCGCGTTCAACGCGGGATTCAAAGGCCTTTGCTCGGTTTTTGTCACCGCCGCATTTTCGTTCTCAGGCACTGAACTCGTCGGTCTGGCAGCCGCTGAAACAGAGAACCCACGACGTACCCTGCCAAGTGCCGTCAAACAGGTGTTTTGGCGTATCGCACTGGTATGTCCCACTTAACCTCTTGTTTGCTGGGACTTTGCTAATTCGAGTTCCAGTTCTACATGGTCTCACTAACGATTGTGAGCGTGCTGGTTCCGTACGACGACCCTCAGCTCTTGAATGGCAGCAGCTCATCTGATGCAAACGCCTCCCCCTTCGTCATCGCGGTTCGAAACGCTGGTATTCAGGCTGTGCCTTCGATCATGAACGTTGTCATTCTTCTTGCCGTGCTCTCCGTCGGCAATTCGTCGGTCTACGGCTCGAGCAGAACGCTTGCCGCTCTTGCGGATATGGGCCAGGCTCCTAAGATTCTCGGCTACATTGATCGCTCTGGAAGGCCACTGGTTGCCATTATCGTCTCCTCAGCTTTCGGTTTCCTCTGCTACATTGTCGCCGCTGGTCCCGACACTAGTGCACAGGCATTTAATTGGATGATAGCTATCAGCGGGCTGGCAGCTATCTTTACCTGGTGAGATCCTCTCGTACCTTGTTGTGAAATTGATGCTGACAAGATACTCAGGGCAACTATTTGTATCTGCCACATTCGCTTCCGCAAAGCCTGGCACCTCGCCGGCCACTCTGTTGACGACCTCGCATTCAAGTCACAAGCTGGTGTATACGGCTCCTGGATTGGTCTGATCATGAACTGCTTGATTCTCATTGCACAATTCTGGACTGGGTTTGCCCCTGTTGGATACGCTGACATGTCCGCATCTGAGCGCGTCAAGGGATTCTTTGAGGTCTACCTCGCAGCTCCCCTTGTGATTGTCATGTACATTGGCTACAAGCTAGTGTACAGGACCAAATTTCGAAGGACACGTGAGATCGATATCACGAGTGGAAGAAGAGAGATGAATCTGGCTGAGATCCTAGCCGAGGAGCGAAAGGTCCAAGCTGCTTGGCCATGGTACAAGAAGGTTTGGAACACGGTCTGCTAAGGGCTGACGTTGTACAACATAACGGGGCAATTGGTAATGGTAATATACCCACAAGATCGATATTAGATACAAAAGTGATATAATGGACATGTATGTACGGATATGAACGTGATTTTGCCATCAAGCATCTGTTTATCCATCAGGAGTGACAATTCGGGGTGGATGCAGCTTCCAGCCTTGCTGACTCAGCCAAGGCTCGACAAACGGCCACGAAACTCTGAGCCGATACGTGTGTCAAGGTTCCAGCGTTCTCTCATCCCATCTCATTGCCAGCTTAAGTTCTGAGACATCGGAATGCTCTAAAACATACTGAACATTCCCAGAATTGCTCTGCTCATGGATAAAAGACATGAAGCTGTAGGAAGATGGCTGCGGCGTGGAAAGTATCATCTCTCTATCACCGGAATCTCATCTGCCTCAAGGACGGTGAATGTCATGAATTTGCGCCTTGGGAAGATCAAACTCGCCCTGATGGTGACTGTTTTCGCCCATGGTTCACCGCCCTCTCATTCACTCCTGAGCATCCAGCCTCTCAAAGACCATTCACTTTCACTGCCCTCCCTCATGTTTGCTGTCCTTACAACACCACCACTTTGTGTCCTCCATAAATCCTGCCATTTCTAACTTCATCCTTCTTCCCCCCCCCTGGTCTTATTTTCTGTGCTGAAGGTTTTCTCAATATGGCTGACACAGACCTTCGCATGCCCGATGTGCAACTCCAAACACCTCAACATGAAGAACTACTCAACATCATTGACACGTTGCGCTCGCTGGGAATCGGCAGATATGTTGACCTTCCCCAGATCATCGTGTGCGGTGATCAGAGTTCGGGAAAGTCAAGTGCATTGGAAGCAATTTCTGGGCTTCGCTTTCCTACCAAAGACAACCTATGCACTCGATTTGCAACAGAACTCATTCTGAGACGAGCTCCGGTGGCAAGTGTTACTGTCACGATCATACCTGCACCAGATTGCCCAGAAGAAATCGCCAAAGTACTCTCGTTCTTCAAACCACCCTCGAACTCCATCGACGAATTTGCCAAAATCGTCCTTGCGGCTGAGGAGGCCATGGGCTTGAATGGCTCCAACAAAGTGTTTTCAAAAGATGTCCTAAGAGTTGAGCTCTGCGGTCCGACTCAGCCACATCTTACTCTCGTCGACCTTCCGGGCATCTTTTGGGCTGGAGACAAATCCCAATCTGATGATGACGCCACGCTTGTTCGATCCCTTGTCGAGTCATACATGAAAAAGACGCGAAGCATCGTGTTGGCCGTTATTTCGGCGAAGAGCGACCTAGCAATGCAAGTCATCACGAAGCTGGCACGCGAGATTGACCCACAAGGTCTAAGAACCATGGGCATTATCACCAAGCCGGACCTGTTGCACGCAGACTCTGACAGCGAAACTGCGTTCGTGAAGCTCGCAAAAAACGAAAACATTCAGTTTAAACTAGGCTGGCATGTCTTGAAGAACCGCGATTACGACACGCGTCACACTACACGAGCTGAACGAGATGCTGCGGAAGAAGAGTTCTTCGACAAACGTGTTTGGTCTTCGGCCTTGATGAAGTCTCAGTTGGGCGTGGCAACTCTCCGGCCTCGTCTGAGTCGCGTGTTGTTGGCTCAGATCTTGACAGAACTTCCAGGACTCGTTCAAGACGTTGGGAGCGAGCTTCAGAATTGTAAAGATCGTTTGGCTCAGCTCGGTGAACCTCGAGGTACACTGGGTGAACAACGTCTGTATCTCTTGAAAGCAAGTCATACTTTTGTCGACTTGATGAGGAGTGCAGTCGGTGGTTCGTATTTCGACGCATTCTTTGGGTCTTCGGAGACTTCCGAAGGATATAACAAACGTCTTCGTGCCGTGATTCAGTACAAAATGGCGGCATTTGCGGAGAAGATGACGAAAGAGGGCCAGGATGTTCAGATTGTTGACGAAAAGATCGCTGCCCAGTTCCGTGGAAGCAGCTTCAAGGTCATATCTCGGGATAAGTATCTTGAGCAAGTTACAGAGAGAATGCGTCGAAATCGCGGACTGGAATTGCCAGGTCTCTTCAACCCCTCCATTGTAGGCGATCTTTTCTATGAGCAGGCAAAACCATGGTCATCTATCGTTGGAGATACCGCAGAGGAGCTAGTCAATTCAGTTCGAACAACTGTCGACCTCGTACTGGATCGAAGCGCTGACAGCGTCACCAAAGAAGGAATCCTACGCCATATCATCCTACCCAATATGGATCCCATCTGCGACAAGTTGTACTCCAAGGTCGAAGAAGTCTTGAGACCCCATGTCAGAGGTCATCCTTTGACGTTCAATCACTATTTCACCGAAAACCTGCAAAAGAAACGACAGAAACAAACGAGCGCGAGCGTTATGGCTAAGCTTAGGTCTTTCTTTGGCTTGCGTGCCTCTGTTACTGATGAGCAGATTATTCAGCCCAGTTTTTCATTGAAAAACCTTGTCAAAACCCTTGTCGTGGAGTCAGAACTGGATATGGAGAAGTTTGCCTCAATCGAGGCTCTGAATGCCATGCAGGCTTATTACAAGGTTCGTGCCTGATTTTGAATTTCGCAACAGACCATCTGACATGCAAGACGAATTCCTTCTGACACCCGTTCATACTCTTAGGTCGCACTCAAGTCCATTGTCGACTCATTCGGCATGTACGCAGTCGAAGATTGCCTTCTTCAACCGCTACCTGAGATCTTCAGTCCAGAGATCGTCTTCGGTCTTAAGGACGAGGTCGTCACAGCTATTGCTGGTGAATCTCAGGAGATTGCTGCCGAACGTGAGGATTTGGAGAAAAAGCTGGAGAGCTTGCAGCGGACCATGCATACACTAGCACGCCTCAAGACATTGAAGAGCCCAGGTAAGGACTATTCTGTACCACGAAAAATAAACCGTGGCTGATTAATTGACCAGTGGACACTGGTGCTGCCAGCTCAGGTGTTTAAGTCGTTGCATGAGATGAACTGAATTGCACTGTATCTTGGGTCTTCTTTTGGACTTTGGGGAGCGATGTTGGCTACGGAGTTGTCGATTAGGCTCAAAGGCATCAAGAGTTATCCGGCAACGTGAAACCAGCAGAGATTGGTGAGCGAAAAGGAATGATAACAAAGAAGAATTGTGCAACAATTGAGGGTTGATTGACAGCTAGCTTGCTGAAGCAACCAAGTCTAAGGATCAAATCCACATGCTACCAAAAAGAATGAATTGGGGGGTCATAACCTTCGTACTCATATCCATGCTATCCACATGTATCCTTGGCCCATATCTGGTGTGATCCCTGAACCCGTATCCTGAACTCCGTCGTCTGAATCCGTAGCTTTTTTTTGTCGACGTGTCGAGAGTCAGACAATCTCCAAGTCGTCCTCGCTCTCACCATCATCCCCTCCAGACGGAGTGGCAACGCCTAGACTCTCCCTCCCTGCCTCGCGGATCCCCTTGTCCGTCACGAAACGCGTCTTCTTGACCGGCGACAACCGCACGTCAGCGGCCGTTCGTTTGCGGCCATTCACCAGCGCGCTCGAGGGCAGATCCGACATGACGAGATTCGAAGAGCGCCGGGAAACCCCCGGTGCTGACTCGGGCGGTGTATCCTCCCGGGTCCGAGGGTAAGGTGGGCGTCCTTGCTTCCGATCTCGTTTCGTATCTGCTGTACCGTCGTTGTCTGGCTTTTTAGTTGCTCTGATCTTGAGATACTGCGCCCCCGCGCTCCCGGCGCCGAACCCGGCCCCGTGGCCCGCACTACCCAGTTTCTCTGCGATTTCTCTCTCCTTGACCTGTGCGGCGAGGTGTTTGCGGACCCGCTCTCCTCGGTCGCGAGACAAGTTCCCTTCCGGGATCGAGGGGCCGCCGGTGCCACCAGAAACGGCACGGCCGCCGCCGCCCGTAATGTAGAAGTGACTTCCTGTGAACCGGTCGAAGCGGTGCCCGTCTTTAGGCGGCTGTAATCCGTTTTTCCCCTTCGCGACACTACCACCGCGATTCCCGCCCCCACCCCCGCCGAAGCCATTCGTGCCCGTGTTCACGCCCATGCGCTTCGCGCGCGTCTTGTCAAGCTGCGCATTGAGATGCCACTCGCAGATTTCGGTCTTGGAGCCGTCGAGCCACGCGCCGCATTCCTTGCCGTCCTTCCTGAGAATTTTGCAGTGTCCCAGATCGCGGGCCTGGCCGATTTCGAGAACGACGTCGTCGTTGCTGCTCAGGTTGAGACTGAATGCGCCCGTGTCGGTCTTGCCTCGTTTCGGCGGCATGATTCCTGGGTTCAGGATCGCGACAAGCGTGCCTGGGCTGAGACGGTGGTAGCGCGGAAGCGCGGTGCCGAACAAGTACAGATCCACTGTCCATTTGAGGTCCGTGAGGGTGAGGGCCATGAAGCGTCGGGAGTTTTGGCTGCCGTCGTCCCATTGTCGGTGCCAGTCACTTTCGCCGACGGTGGTCGAGTCGGGCTGCGGCGCTTTCTGGTCCATTGGCGAGGACTTGGACGCAATGATGCCGAAGATGGCGTAATCGACTACCGTCTCAGGGAGGTCGAAGGACGGAGATTTGACCGTCTTGAGCAGGTCCGGGATGCGGAGGATTGTGAAGCGGTCAGTGGGCAGTGTACGTCTGAGGAATGAGTGTGGGAGGATACGTGATGTGAGATGTAAGCCGGAGAAGCCTTCAAAGAGTGAGGCGTCGCCTTGCGGATGAACGTCGTCGGTAGCACCCGGGAGTTGTGGGGAAGAGGTCTGTCGGAGATCGGGCAGAGTACGGCTCTTCTTAAGCTGTCGTTCGTCGCTGGCGTTTATGATGTCGCTTCGGCTGTATTCAGGTTGCTGAGGACGGGAGTGAGCGCGGGGTTGTGCAAGTGCAGAGGTAGAGTCTTGAGCCAGTGCGCGATGTTTTTCGATTTCGTTCTCGTCGATGTCAAAGACTTTGCTGCGTTGGCGGTTGCGACGTTGCTCGTGCGATGTCTCGCGCTCGCGGGCTTCGGCCATGCGCTCACTGAATGTCTTTCTGTTTTCGGTGGAAGCTGCCAATCGAGCTGAGAATGCCGATGAGCGAGACGACGACCTCTCGATTCGACCTGAAACTTCTGTCTTGTGACTGACTCCAGCTGTGGTATTTGCACGACGAAGAGATACATCTGCCCCCCGCACCCCTTTATCAATTCCAAGAAGTACTCGGGAAGGAGACTTGGGCTGTGAAGATGGCTGTGGCCGTCTGGTGGGTGACTTTTGCACTTCGACTTGCGCGGAGCGCGATATGGGGCCCTGAAATGATGACAATGCGTTTGAAGTTGTAGAACCGACACCTTGCGATGAACTTGGTCGTGAGGAATTACCGGGATCTCCTGCTCTTGCTTTTGTTTGCTGCAGTCTTTTCAACTTCAGCTTGGCCTCAATGGCTGCAAGCTTGAGTTGCAGTGTCTCCTCGTCTTCCTCGGCATCATCTTCCATGTCCTCTCGTTGGGACGACCGATCGTGGCCGCTACGAACGGCCCGTAGTCTATCAACCAAGCTGGATGCCGTTCCAGATCGCTTTATGGGCGACTGGCCATTTCGATGTGCTTCGTACTTTTTGCGCCCGCTGGGGGAGCTGAGGAGTGCGGCATGAGGTGAGACGGGAGGCCATGAGGCATCATGCGACATGGTCACTCAAGTACACCGAGAGAACTGGTCTTGGAGGAACGCGCCGGCGCATTTGGTCGTGGGGGTTGCTATTTGGTATCTGCGTCCTCGGCGAGACAATGTCGTAGTTCATGGGTGATTTCGCAGCACCAGGTCGTCGTTAGACTTGGCTGGTCTGATCCTTGAAACAAACACAAAATCAAATGTGATTCCTGCGGTTCTGCGGAGTAACACGGCCTCCGATTGGCTGTAGGAGACGCGACGGACGAACGCGGTTTATATCACCGAGCAAAGTGAGACAATCACAGACTCGAGGCACTCATACTCTCACTCAGTCATCAGTGATGCCCACCTGCACAGTCGAGATGAATATTGGACTCACGGGAAGTGGGATAATATACTCCGAAGTCAGATCTTCTCTGGCCCTCGTCCTAGAGTCCTGGTTATGCGCCGGCTCCCCGATTAGGCAGGCTTACCGAATGGACGCGCGCTATATCGAACGCGTCGCGCGTTTTACTTTCCGGCCGGTTTACGGCTTTGTAGGATGGCATGAGTACGCATGTCGTAAGGTTCCTACACAGCATTGAGGGAAATTTTGATACCAGACAGAGGGTAGCAGCCAGAATGGTTGTCACCCGCTCCGCGACTAGCAGTCCGGTCAAGAAGTCAGTTGGCAAGGGCAACACCGATGTGGCCGGCCAGCCAGAAGAATCATTGAGACACTTTGTTCTTCCCAACGATGTATCAGAACGCGCACGTTTTGTTCTCCTCCGTCATCCGCGCAACGGCAACGTAGAGAGGTTTCTTTTCTGTCCCAAGAGAGGACTGTTCCAATTCACCAAAGTCGATACTCCGCGATCAGACCCCCGAAGCCTCTTCGTCCATGCTCCGCCCTCAGCAACCACCTCGAAGGGCGAGGACGATGTAGTAGATGAGGACCCCACAGACCCAAGAAGAGATGGAAGTATCAGCAAGAGTGCAGAGATATTTGTGGCGACCCCTTTCGACTTGGCTTTCCTGTTGATACCCCTCGTCATTCCCTCGAAGCCCCCTACTGGTAAGCATCTTTTTCAGCCAGCGGACGACATATTCGAACAGCATATCGAAGATGACAGACACCTACGCTATATTCTCGAAAATGGGCGAGATCACGTTCAAGAAGCCATGGCAAGATTCTGTGACACAATTGAAGCCGGCGATGAGCAGATGTACAGACCTAACGAAGACAAGACACTGGGTATGGTGATGGAGAAGGTGAAAAGTGCGATCGAACACCGCCTCCCTGCTAGTTTGGAGGAGAAATTTGTTGCCCGAGCTCTCGAGACTCCTGTGCTGAGTGTCAAAAGAGAAAACACGCAGACCTCGACCAAGTCAGAATCAATTTCCTTGGACGACACTGAATCCGTCTCTGACAACCTGGACTCACAGTCGACTACGGCAAGCACTGCTCCTTCCGCTGTGTTTTCTGAAGTATCTATGTCTACTTCGAGCATTACTGAGGTCTCGGCTGCAGTGCCGCAGACTTTGCTTGATTTGCGCAAGCAACGCGTTGTTCTTGACTTTATCCTCGCGTCTTACATTCCTGAAGCTATTGCTCATCGACTAAAAGCCAAGTTCGCTTGCAAGGACTCTCCTGTCGATTTTAAGCCTCTTGAAGAGCACATGAAATCGCTAGCTGCTCTACGAGCAGATGCACTAGCGTCAAGGTCACTGGGTGACTTCAGTCGAAAACGCGGTCTCGATGACGACGAAGCAGCGGACATGAGAGCAGAGAAGAAAAGAAAACAGGATGAAGAGGAAAAGAAGAGAAAGATGGGCGAGTCAAGGGGAGTTTGGGACTTGAAAAAGGTTAATGTCACCGGGATGAAGAAAATGTCAGACTTTTTCACCAAGAAGCCTGCTGGCAAGGCAAAAGGATGAAGCCGAAACGATGCTACGATGCTACGAGATACGTCTTGACATCTTGGATAGGCAGACGATGTATTACGCACAACGTTCAACAACCCTATTCAAGAAGATGTACGAATGCCGAAGCTGGTCCCGAGTTTTCAACCTTCTGTGCTCTAGCTGCCTTGTCCAGAAATGCGCACACGAGGTGGATGTCTCTTCCTAGACACGCATGTGCGAGTATGGATATCAAGATGTGGTTCTCATTTGCAAAGGCTATAGGGATATCGCCTGCCATCCCGGTCACTTGCACGCTCGCTTCCAACTTACTTTCGCGCTTTCTCAGGACCTTCATGGTCCACTTCGATAAGCTCTGACCCATGCGCTAGAGCCCTCGCAAGGCCACAACCATTGCTAGTGACTTGCCTCTAGCCTCATACAAGTATTCTCCAACGTCACTGCAAAGGACAGCGCATTACTTTAGCAATCATACTGAAGCCGGAAACTCCTTGCGTTCACGGGCGGAGGATGGGAAGTCGAATCCCATGAACGAAAGGGTAATGGTGATGCCGGGAAAGATGGAAACTCGGCGCATTGAGTTGCTGCCTCTGCCTCTTAGCCGACTTGCGGCGAATGGATTGCTCGTCGAACGTTCTTGTGTGCTCATCTTCCGTGTCTAGGAAGAATGCAACACTGGAGTTAGAGGTGCTATACTCCATACACCCGAATTGATGGAAGGTCTCGCCTTCGAGTTTCATGTCGTCAGGCTCGTCTTGGAGTCGAACTTTAGGTTGTGACAAGGCTCTTTGCTCCACGCACACAGCTCTGCCACTTTCCACGACAAAGCGCTGGGCAAAGATGACTCTGATGAAAGCACCGTCCAGACTGATGAAAGGAAGAGCGTACAGCTGCCGTCTTCCAAGAAGGAGCCGTAGCATAAGCATATCCAGCACGGTCATCATGTACTGAGAAAGACTAAAATGTCCCCATCGCTCTGCGTCAGTTGGTATTTCCGGTGCTGTGCTGGTTGTGCGAGCCTTGCAACTCCCAGAGAGTGTCCACTGTTATGCCCACGGTGTACATGAGAGGAAGAACAACCAGGAACAGCTCCCCTAACGTCACAGGAAGATACATAATCCAAAGCACGGTGCCGACCAATGCGATACCTCCAAAAGCCAACTTCAAGTCTTGAGATATGACAAGCCAAATGATTATTGAGACAAATGCGGTCATTGACACAATGAGGGTGATCAACGGTATTTGCAAACCCTTCGTAGATGTTCGCGTCAGCCGATACTGCCAAATGAAGTGTTTCAAGAGGCATCTTCTTGGTGGACTTACAGATGCTGCCATAGCGACTGAACGCAGCCATGGACTGGGAGGCTCTAGCTCGCAGCTGGAATATGAAAGTATCATGACAAGCTCCGTCGCCCATAGTAATAACAGGATACCCCACCGGGCTCGTATGCTTGACCTCGAACCTCGCCCGTCATGTTTCGTTTGTATCAGCTCGCTGCTTGCCAAAGGATGTATCTTCTCTTGCATTGCCGTGTGGTTTCGAGGGTGGGGTTTATCGAACGCTGGGCATATGTCCGACAGACAAAACGTATGAATCGACGATCAGGCCGCGTAGAATTCAATGTCCACGTCCAAGCATAGGAAAGCCGAGCGTGATTTCGAAGGTTGTGCTATGCCAACAACAGTGCCGCTTGGGAGCAACTGCGTCTCAGATGATAGAGGCAAGAAATACTTAAAGAGGACGAAGACTTGGCGTCTGCCTGCGTACATACATAAAGGCCAACTTGGATTCGTGCAAAGTGACCGTCGCCTTCAGACCGCCAACTTCTGGGTTCGACTGCGAAGCTTTCCACTCATCTCAAGGTCCCGCAATGCTTGTATGATTTCTGCAGTGCACTACGACTGGCTCGCCCTCCTCTGATCCGGCTTTGGTCATGGTCGATATCACAGCTGATCCCCCCCGAGATACTGCGCCTAGAAACGACAACGACGTAGAGGCCCAGGTGGAAAGAGAGAGATGGAACCTAATCATGGTCCCCAGGCAAACATGGCACGGCGTACTTTTGGGCGGAATGATACTGACGGCATGGCTGGAGATCGTTACTTGGCTAGCGAAGAAAGCACCCACCAGTCCACTATCCATCAGGTAAATAGTCTGATCCACTCTCGACATTGACCTTCGGGACTGACAAACAAGAAGCCTGATTGGAATATGGACACTCCTGACAACAGCATTCTCAGGGCTGGCTCTTTCGAGCCACGTAGGCTGGAGATTGTAAGTCATCCAAAGCGGCAATGCCCTGATACTGATAACATCAGGACATTGATAGTCAATCTTGGGTCCATCGCGGCATGCCTCAGCATAATTTTGCTCCGGTGGACGATTTCACCGGGCGATGTTCTCATGCTGATGCCCGCGGTGACAGTAGTCGGAATACTCTGTCCCCTTGCGTTACGAGAAACGATCCAAAAGCTGTTCTTTCCTGCTCAGAGCGTCTTAATGCAAATGAACAGTTCCCGAGTCACAAGGGATATGGATTGACTTTGCCTTGTGGCCCTGCAAAGCCCGATGAATCCCCACCCTCTAACTACTCATACAGTCGATCCAAGCGAGTCGCCTCCTCATCTCACGCGATCGCATCTCCCATCGTCCCACGTTCGCCGCCGAAGGTGGGTAACTTCAGCTGCCTTTCTTACTCTGCTTTCCTGGAGGACGATGCCACGCTGCTTCCCGAGCCAGAGACCCGACCCATATCTCAGGAACAACTGGTTAATGAGGTCAAGGGCATTTATGCTGGACTTGTTATGGTCGAAAAGAAATGTGTCGAGATATGCCAACAGCAGAGTCAGACCACTAACAAGCTGTCGGATGAACAATGGCAAGCTTTGATAGCTTTGCATCGGACGCTGCTTCATGAGCATCATGACTTTTTTCTAGCGAGTCAACATCCAACAGCATCACTAGCCTTGCGAAGGTTGCCTACGAAATATGCGATGCCCGCCAGAATGTGGAGACACGGGATCCATTCTTTTTTGGAGCTCCTTCGCCCTCGTCTTCCACCCTCCCTAGAGCATATGCTGAGCTTTGTATATCTTGCTTATCAAATGATGGGTCTATTGATGGAGTCGGTTCCTGCTTTCCATGAGACATGGATAGAATGCCTTGGAGACCTCGCGCGCTACAGAATGGCCATTGAGGAAGCGGATATACGAGATCGAGAGCGTTGGTCCAATACCGCCAGAATGTGGTACAATCGCGCTGCTGATCACTCACCAACAACTGGTCGTATACAGCACCACTTAGCTGTACTGGCGAGACCGAATATTGTCCGACAGCTCTTCTACTACTCCAAGGCTCTCATTAGCGATATCCCATTTGTGAATGCCCGGGATTCGATCATGCTTTTGTTCTCTTCGTTTCTCGACAAACATGAGAAACAATTATTTTATAACTTCAAGACACTACCGAGTACTTTCCCGTGTGTCAACACTCGAGACCTGACCACGCTCTTGGCTAGCACCTCATTCCAAGCACTATCCCCAGCATCCCAAAGCTACATACAAAAATCCACCGCTGCATACACCAAGTTCGACAAACCATTGACTTCAGATAGTATGATGCTTCTAATCGAAAGCCTTGTCCTCAATTCCGACGTTCATGTTATCAAATCTTGGAAGGTCTGGGGACCAGATCCCGGCTTAATCGCCAGCATACCCGATTTTGGCTCTGAAGAGAATTTGCGTTCGAAAGGCTCTCGAGTTTACAGCAACAAACTTCAGACCCCAACATCAAAACGGTGTGAGGTGATCACGGAACTGAATACTATGATGGAGAATGTATCTCACCCGAGGTTCAGGAAGCACAATACCATCAACTTAGAGGACTTCAGGCAAGCTACTCTACCGGGTACCGCCCAAACACACCATACGAGTATGTCCACGGATGAAGTTACCTCTCACATACTGCCTGGCTGGTCTACTACTCGCTCCATTGTCGCCGACAAGGTTGGAGATCGAAACATCCTGCCGTACATGCATATGTTACTAGCATACCTGCTCAATTCATATATTTCGAGCATTCTATCTTTCCTTGCAGACCCCTTAAGCCAATCTGGTCAGCTGTTGGAATCCATTGCGCTGATCTGGACTTTTGGAAGCTACAATCAAGTTAAAAAGAACAAAGTTCCGTTCCAAGAACCCGACATAGGTGACGACCGACCTGAGAACCTTTCGACGTGCGGCCTCACCTGTACGCCCAAACCTTTTGTCTCGAGTCTGAACGAATACGAAGTGACGAGGATAAACAAACTATGGGATCATCTCGTCATGCAGCGCCACGAACGGAAGAAAAAGCCCGCGGTTTGGATCTGGAGTTGTTCCAGCACTACAGAATGTGCTACTGAGAGTGAAATATCCTTCACTCCCTTCCTCCACGCAGCAAAGCGATATAAAAGCAGGAACCTCTCTCCCTGGTGGGAATGACGTCATCAATGGGCTGTACATTTGACTTGTTGGACATGATTTAGCCCGTCTGTGTTTTGAAGCGCCTAGAGTCATGTTGTTCATCATCCGTGATCTTGGCAGAAACATTCTCAGCGGACGATGACCTGGGCAGAAGTGAGAGGAGAAGCTCAGTCGAATATCCATTTTTGTCTTCGGAACCCAACGGCTACTGGGATCCAACCAAGAATATTATCCGAATTGTAAATGCCAGCCTCGCTCGTAGCAGAGCTCTTTGTTGGCATATGGCATGTAGCGCAGGAGCTCAGCGTACAGAGCGCCCGACATTGAATGTGCAACGACCTAGTCGTTTTGCATGAATGAATTATAAAATGAACGTCATGCGCACCGCCACTGACCTACAACACCACGGTAATGTCTTCAAGCTCGAAGCTGCTTCTTTCTTTCTCGTTCATCGTCTGCGTTACATATTCCGAAGTCGCCCTGATCATAAGTTTCATAACCGTCTCCTGCCGAGGAATACGAGTACGAATGTGGACCTTGATATCCACTCACGGAAAACTCGGCTTTCGGGCTTTAATCTGCACAGATGCAAAACTCGGTCATAAAATCTTCTAAGATTGGCCAGAGCGGAGATAATGATAACTTGAGATGACTCGACGCAGCGCCACGAGTATCGACTACGCCCTACGAGAGAGATGCAGTACACAAGTTTCTGTCGAGGCCGACCTTTCAGATTTTCTCACTCTTGTTCTCGTATCCTATGGTGATGCTGTAAGATAGCTTGGGCCTTGAGTCGCTGCTGTTACGCGACCACAGGCGAGTGATGATTTCCTCAACAGGCGGAGTTGGCACGATTGTGAAGCCACTGCCTCAGCGACGTCGAAGACCCGCGCATAGCTGTGTTGAATGTCGGCGGCGGAAGATCAAATGCAATAGAAAGTATCCTTGCAACCATTGCACCTCCGCCAGAAAGCCGACAGAATGTACCTACACCCCAAATCTTCCACCACGCGGCGCTACATCCGAAAAGCGAAGTATTTCACCGAGACCGATCCGGGGTTCATATCCTAGCCCTCTTTCCGCGAGTGATGCCGCAACGGATCAAGTCTCGGGGCCTCCCAGACCTGCCAGCCATGTTGAAACTCCAATCTCGGCCGCGCCACTCGAAGACAGGACACGAGATGATCTCGTCCGTCGCTTGCAGACGCTTGAGAATCTGTTTTCTACTTCTCATCTCGAGCAATTGGAGGCTTTCCACTCAACGCCACCACTCCAAAGGCTTAAAGATGGGCGGGCACTACTCAACAAAACTAGAGTGTACGGCCGAAGTCACTGGACATCAACAGTCTGCGAGGTATGGACGTCTCTTCTCAGTTGATAACCCAGAACACTGACAAGACTAGTTTAAATGGACCACACTTCGATTATTTCTAACAGAGAGTCATGTCGAGGAGAAGAGCGACAATGAAGAGGTTAAGGCTCTTAAATCTGAGATGCGGGCCATGCTGCAGAAATGCAAAGTCCTTGCCAGGAGTTCGAAAGTGGCCCGGCCGAGTCGATGCTTCTCGTGCCCCGAACTCACTAATCTAGCAAGGCTTCCTCGTGACACCTCGGACCTGATGGCGAATCTATACTTGTCCAAATTTGAGACCTCTTTCCGCATACTTCACGTTCCTTCGTTCTTGGCCGAATATGATCAATATTGGACAAATCCATCAGCAGCTCCTGCAGACTTGAAGCTAAAGGTACAATTAGTCATCGCAATAGGTTCAAGTATCTCCCACAAACGGAGTGCGAGTGCAGAAATTCGATCTATGGCTTCTCACTGGATATACGCTGCCCAAAACTGGCTGGCTGGGCCTCTTGAGAAGGACAGATTCAGCATCAGTGGCCTGCAGGTACATTGCCTGTTAATATTGGCACGACAAATCTTGTGCGTTGCAGGAGATCTAATATGGGTGTCAATGGGGACTTTGTTGCGGACGGCAATGCAGATGGGCCTCCACCGGGACCCGGACAACTTCCCAAAAATGTGCATCTTGCAGGCCGAGATTCGAAGAAGACTATGGGCAACAATTCTGGAATACATCGTCCAGTCATCCCTCGACTCAGGGATGCCGCCGCTGATTACGTTCGAAGACTTTGACACTACAGCGCCGGCCAACATCGACGATGAGGAAATAAATGAACACACAAAAGTCTTACCACAACATCCCAGAAGCCAGGTGACAGCGACTTCTGCGCAGCTCGTCCTGCTTGACTCTTGTCGTTCGAGAATGAAGGCGGTGCGGTGCATGAACGGTCTAGGATCAAAGTTACTTTACGATGAAGTGCTTGCTCTAAGTGCAGATATCAGCAACGCGTGCCAGGTCAGCCTTGCCTACACAAGTAAACTCAAATCAGCCCCATTCAGTCAGAACATGAACGACCTTCTCCTCCGACGATTTTTACTGCCCCTACATCGGCTTTTTGCTAACAAGGCAAACACAAATCCATTGTTCTACTTTTCCAAGAAAACCTGTCTCGATTGTGTCATGGCTTTCCTTTCGTCCGATTTAGATGAAGACTTCTCCCAAATTTTACGGAGCGGCGGAGGCTTCTTGAAAGGAGGCATCCTCTATATGTTCTTTGCATTGGGTATTGAAGTTGTGCAGGAGTTCCAAGAGGAGGGTATCAAGAATGCCCAGCCGCATCGGCAATGGTTAATCAATGCCCTTGACAAGGCGATCGAGCTAGCAGTCGACCGTCTACGGCTGGGTGAGACGAATGTGAAGATGCACCTGATGCTCAATATGATTCAGGCTCAAATCCAGCCGTCAGACAACCCGACAGAACTGAGTTTAAGGCTGGGACGAAAAGGACTGGAAGCCCTTCAGACCTCCTATAATATTCTACAGGCGAACGCGGCCCCCAGCCATGAGTGCTCGGTCAACGAGACCGACATGACTTTCTTCGACACTGGTCAGGACACTAGCATGAGCCTTGACTACCGATTTGATGACCTTCTCATGAACACGGATATGATGGACGGCATGTTTGAAAACTGTGCAGCTCAGCTATGGCCACAAGATCAAGGCTATTGTCCCTTTGTATAGCATTGTCACGAGGGAGGGTCTGTGCAAGGGAGCACCGGAAATGGGGTGGCTGTGCGATAATCATCACTACTCAGAAATATCATCACCTCAACCCTCGATCTGCATTGCTCTGTCGATTCCAATTGCCCGCGCTTCCGCTCGCTCGTCGTCTTCTCGTACTCGTATTGATTATGTAAGTCTTGGCACTAGTCGGACTCGGTATATAGAGATTCCGAGTCATCAACCATGTCATCATAGATTGCGTTTAATTGATTCTTGTCGAATGCGTGCGAACCTTCGTCACCCTTGTAGTCCCAACTGCGGCTCAACCAACCAATATGCTCGTCCTTGAACAAGCCCTGATGGATCTGGAATCCCTCGGATACCGTCTTATTCCTTATGGTACATGTGTCGATCCCGCAGAACATTGTTTTCGGGTTCCAATGTTCTTCCTTCTATTTTCCCAGGCTCTATCATTCAATCGGGTGAGAGATTGGAAGCCTGGCTGCCTTTGATTCTTCCCATCATTGCATCTCATATCACCCTCTGCCTTAACCTTAGTTGTCAACAGGAAGCTCGGCCTTGGGCTGATCCGCATGTTCAGCTGATGCCGATGGTTGTGTCTACTCCGCGTACAACACGGCTACAATATTATACTGGTCATTATGGATAAAGAGTCCAATCCCGTGCCCTCTACAGGAACGTCCACATATCGGATGGTGACGACGGATAATGTCACGGCCTCCGCTTCCATCTCCTCGCCAGAGTCTTCTTCTGCCACAAATGATCCACAACTCAGTCACACACAACCTCACGGCATGTCCAGCTCGTCGGCAAGTACCCTTTCCACCGAGCACTCGCCAGTAGAAAGGACAGAATCCAGATTTGAACCAATTAAGACAACCTCTACTCCAGACAGCCGACCACAATTGATCACGAGGAAGAGTATTCAAACCGAAGATGATTTGTTCAGAGTCTTATCTCAGCGACGGACAAGCGCTTCTGGCAAGTCGAACGCGGAGATTCAAGAAGAAAATGACGAGATTGAACGGCTGATGTCCCGGATGTTTGGAAAAGCTCGGCAACAAAACAGCGAGGAAGAGAACACTCGACACAGTGGTGTCGTCTTCCGAAACTTGACCGTGAAAGGCGTCGGATTGGGGGCGAGTCTCCAGCCCACAGTCGGCGACATATTTCTCGGTTTGCCTCGTATGATCAGAACATTGTTCAGGAGAGGTGCCAAAGCTGCGTCCGGAAAACCTCCTGTTCGAGAACTTCTGAGCAGTTTTGACGGCTGCGTTCGGCCCGGCGAGATGCTACTGGTTCTCGGAAGACCCGGTTCGGGTTGTTCGACCTTTCTCAAGACATTTTGCAATCAACGAGAAGGCTTTGAGTCCGTCGAAGGAGACGTGACATACGGTGGCACAGACGCAAAGCGAATGAAGAAAGACTTCCGAGGGGAGGTCATCTACAACCCTGAGGATGACCTTCACTATGCCACTCTGACAGTCAAACGTACGTTGTTATTCGCGTTGAAGTGTCGGACTCCCGGGAAGGAATCACGCTTAGAAGGAGAGTCTCGTGCGGACTACATGGCAGAATTTCTCCGCGTGGTCACCAAGCTGTTCTGGATCGAACATACCCTCGGGACCAAAGTTGGAGACGAATTTGTTCGCGGAGTTTCTGGAGGTGAAAAGAAGAGAGTCAGTATCGCTGAGGCAATGATCACAAGAGCATCGGTACAGGGATGGGACAATTCGAGTCGTGGTCTTGATGCGAGTACCGCTTTGGAATATGTCCAGTCTATTCGAACGCTGACTAACATGGCCGGTACCTCGACTGCGGTGTCTCTTTACCAGGCCGGCGAATCCTTGTATGAACTTGTGGACAAAGTCCTCCTCATCGACCATGGTAAGTGTCTCTACTACGGCTCGTCTGACAGGGCCAAACAATACTTTCTTGATCTGGGATTTGAATGTCCCGAACGATGGACAACCGCAGATTTCCTCACCTCTGTAACCGACGAACATGCAAGATCAGTTCGCAAGGGCTGGGAAGATCGCATCCCTCGTAACGCGGACGAGTTCGCTGCCCTGTATCGTCAAAGCGATGCCTATCAACGCAACCTCGAAGATATCAAAGATTTTGAAGCGCAGCTTGAGAGGCAAAAACAAGACCGGCTTGAAAACAGGTCCAGGAAGAACAAAAGGAAGAACTATACACTTCCATTCCATAAGCAAGTGATTGCTTGTACACAGCGTCAGTTTATGGTCATGGTGGGTGACAAGGCTTCGTTATATGGCAAATGGGGAGGAATTGTTTTCCAGGTATTACTTCCTAACACCACATTGGATTCTGCTAAACCTGCATAGGGTCTTATTGTGGGCAGCCTCTTCTTCCAGATGCCCAAAACTGCTGCTGGTGCATTTCCTCGTGGCGGTGCGATATTCTTTGTTTTGCTTTTCAATGCCTTACTTGCCCTTGCAGAGATGACAGCCGCATTCTCATCGAAACCGATTCTGCTTAAGCACAAGTCGTTCTCCTTCTACCGGCCAGCTGCCTACGCCATCGCACAAACCGTTGTCGATGTCCCACTTGTCGCCATCCAGGTTTTCTTATTCAATGTTATCATTTATTGGATGGGCGGAGTTAGTGACCATCCATAGGCCTGCTTTGCATCTACTGACCTCTGTTATAGTTAGCTGCGTCTGCTTCACAGTTCTTCATATCGTGTCTCATCATTTGGACAGTAACCATGACCACCTATGCCTTCTTTAGAGCAATTTCAGCTTTGTGTAAAACGCTCGATGACGCTACCAGATTTACTGGCGTTTCGATACAGATCCTAGTTGTGTACACAGGCTATCTGATTCGTGAGTACAGACTTATCTTCCGATCTATTTTTCCACTGACCTGTGTCAGCTCCTTCTCAGATGAAACCATGGTTCTCTTGGCTGAGATGGATCAATTGGATTCAATATGGCTTTGAGTGCCTAATGGCGAATGAATTTACCGGACTAATCATGGATTGTACACCACCGTACCTCGTTCCACAGGGTCCCGAAGCTAGAGCTCAGTATCAGTCGTGCGCACTGGCAGGAAGCCAGCCTGGCAGAACTTCAGTCGACGGCGCCCGATATATTCAGCAAGCATTTCAATACAAGCGCAGCCACTTATGGAGAAACTTTGGGTTCCTGTGGGCATTTTTCCTCTTCTTCCTCGCCGTGACGGCTTTCGGTATGGAAATCATGAAACCCAATGCTGGAGGTGGAGCCATCACTGTGTTCAAGCGCGGCCAAGTCCCCAAGAAGGTGGAGGAGTCAATCGAGGCTGGTGGCCGTGAGAAGAACGTTAACAGGGACGAAGAAGTTGCTGCAGCAAGCAATAGCCCAATGGCCGCCGAGAAGATCAGAGATCCTGGCAGCGACGGCAGTGACAGGACCAACTCTGCACAAGAAGACTCGACCATTAAGAATGTCGCAAAGAATGAGACCGTATACACGTTCCGCAACGTCAACTACGTGATTCCCTACGAAAGGGGCGAGCGGAAGCTACTACAAAATGTTCAAGGTTATGTCCGCCCCGGCAAGCTCACTGCGCTGATGGGTGCAAGTGGAGCAGGCAAGACAACCTTGCTCAATGCACTAGCACAGCGTATCAATTTTGGAACGGTCACTGGCGAGTTTCTCGTCGACGGTCGACCGCTGCCCAAATCCTTTCAGCGCGCCACTGGCTTTGCCGAACAGATGGACGTCCACGAACCAACATCTACCGTGAGGGAAGCATTACGATTCTCAGCCCTCCTACGACAACCACGAGAAGTACCCGTGGAGGAGAAGTACGCTTACTGTGAGACGATCATTGACCTACTGGAAATGCGAGATATTGCCGGTGCCACAATTGGCCGTGTGGGCGAAGGTCTCAATCAAGAACAACGTAAGCGTCTGACCATCGGCGTCGAATTGGCCAGCAAACCGGAGCTACTTATGTTCTTGGATGAACCAACATCCGGTCTAGACTCCGGAGCCGCATTCAACATTGTCAGATTCTTGAGGAAACTAGCGGATGCTGGACAAGCCATTCTCTGCACCATTCATCAACCTTCTGCAGTCCTGTTCGAACATTTTGACGAGCTCCTGCTGCTCAAATCCGGTGGACGAGTGGTCTATCATGGGCCCCTGGGCGACGACTCGCAAGAGCTCATCAGATACTTCGAAGAAAACGGCGCTCGAAAATGTCCACCAGACGCGAATCCAGCCGAATATATGCTTGAAGTCATTGGTGCAGGCGACCCAAATTACCATGGTAAGGACTGGGGAGATGTATGGGAGCAAAGCAAAAATTATCGGTCCCGATCCGACGAGATCTCGGAAATGATCGAACGACGAAAAAGCGCTGAGCACAGCAAAAACATCAGAGACGACAGAGAGTATGCGATGCCACTATCGACGCAAATCGTCGCCGTGGTCAGAAGATCTTTTGTCTCGTATTGGGTACGTAACTATTAGTCTATTCCACCGCTCGAGCTAGCTCTCTGCTAACAATTCTGTCTTGCCAGCGCACTCCAAACTACATCATCGGCAAATTCATGCTTCACGTCCTGACTGGTCTCTTTACGACATTCACATTCTACCACCTTGGTTACGCCTCGATCGATTTCCAGTCTCGGCTCTTCGCCGTCTTCATGACCCTCACCATCTCGCCGCCCTTGATCCAGCAACTCCAACCTGTCTTTCTCAATTCCAGAAACATCTTCCAATCTCGTGAGAACAACGCGAAGATCTATAGCTGGATAGCATGGACCACAGGCGCCGTGTTAGCAGAGATCCCGTACTCTATCGTCGCCGGCACCGTATACTATTGCTGCTGGTGGTTCGGGTTCCAGGGGTACCGTCATTCCACGACAAGTTTCACCTCGGGGTTCTTGTACCTCTGTATATGCTTGTTTGAGCTGTACTACGTCAGCTTCGGACAAGCCATCGCGGCATTCTCGCCCAACGAGTTACTGGCCAGCTTGCTCGTGCCTGTTTTTTTCTTGTTCGTCGTGAGTTTCTGTGGCGTCGTCGTGCCACCTCAACAACTTCCATCTTTCTGGCGTTCCTGGATGTACTGGCTTACCCCGTTCCACTATCTTCTTGAGGCAATGCTGAGTGTAAGTTTGATGTCGCCGTGTCTGTCTTTGTGGAGGTTTCTTTGTACAATTTCAAATTTTGGACAAGGCTGAAGCTGACACCTAATTTCTCCCGCACAGGTCATTATCCACGATCAACCTGTACGCTGCAATCAAGGCGAATACGCACGCTTTGTGAGTGATTACCCCTATTTGCCATCACTTCGTTGTTGTCGTCGTATATTAATCTTTTGATTTTCCTGCAGCCCGCTCCACCGGGCCAAACATGCCAATCATATGTTGAACCCTACATTCGTCAGGCCGGTGGCTACGTCCAAGTCGCCTCCAACGGGCTCTGCGAGTTCTGCCAGTATGCCAACGGTGATGAGTTTGGACGTGGGTTCAGTGTGTACTACTCACATAAGTGGCGCGATATTGGGATCTTTTGTGCATTTGTTGGGTTTAATTATGCCGTCGTATACTTTGCCACGCTTCTGCGGTTCAAGGCCAGGAATCCACTGTCGAAGGTATTGATGAAGAGGAAGCATAAGGGTGAATAATCAAAACCCGAATCACTTTGACTTATATCGTCGATGTCTTGGGATGAGTGAGTTATCTCGAGATGGGGAAAGGGAAAATCCTCAGCCCTGTAGGGGCCTATTCTTCCTGTCAGACAGAAAGAACGTGCGCTCTATACCATGGCCGAAGCAGCTGGCAGTCGATGGTGATCCGGATGGTTAAGATTGGACTAATACGTGGTGGCGCGATGGAGCGGAGTCAGTCGTTTAGTTTGGGGCCGGCGCAAGGCTGTTGGAAATAAGGAGAAGGAGAAGGAGACTTCCCGCTTCGAGCGAGACATGTGCAGAACAATGTTGAAATACCGTCCACTCTTAATCTCATGTAATCTTCTACCGGTGTGAGTGAGTACGGGTTTCATTCTCATCCTAGCAACTGCTTGGTAGTATGAGTAACTGTCCTTCCATACTTCAATCCATGCATCCATGCATCCATCCACCACATGGCATACCCAATACGTACGCTTCTTCACCCCCACGGTATGCCACGATATGACGTTGTCGTCCTTCACAATGTCTGGTGCTGCTCGTTGCCGTTGTTGCCTTTATTGTTGCCTCGTCAGCTGGGAGGTACTGCCTTGTCGTGACGTGAATGCACCTTGTCGTATTTGTTTGTCCAACCCGGCACGTACACAATGGGGTGAAGGCACAAACTGTAGTATAGTGTAGTGTAGTGTAGTATAGCGTAGTGCGGGTAGCAAACCTCAACACATCAACATCCAAACATAATCTCCCTGGCAGCCATCAGTGTTCGCTTCTTCTCATGACAGAGTCGGTGTCAACTGATTGGGATCGTACGTATTGCCAACGTGACGGTTCTACCTTCTCTCTCGTATCTTGTTGTCCTGGACATCGGAACGTCCTTGATCACAGGATCGCACTGGAAAGCATAGACCTAGCCGTTGAGAGGTTCTTCTGTCACGTCGTCCGGAGGGTCACGAACTCAGACCAGAGTTCATTGACCACAGAGTCTGATCATGGCTCGAGAGGGATCTTCGATCGAGGCAAATGGTGCTGGCTCCATGGCCAACCAGGACCATGATGGCCACATCACCACCCCCGGCACTGTGACAATAACGACTGAAGATCGCCGTCTGCGTCGTCGAGAAGCAGGCCGATGCGGCGGTGTGTTCCAGGTCATCCGTAACGACATATGGGAAGGGTATCAGTACGCTCCGCAAGGTAACCAACCACGTCTCGCTGGAGGAGAAGATCGAGGAGTAGGCTTATCTTGGGACACGATCGAATCTGCATCCACTTCGTCAGCATCATTGGTATCAGACTCAACTCTGCAGCCTACCCCTGACCCTTGCTTCGATCCAGACTCAAGCTTCGTTCCATTCAAGACCACCACAGCTCCTGGACGAAAGGGAGAAAACAAGTCGAAATGGACAGTCGACCGAACGGGTAAGATACGGAACAAGATGACCAGTGAGATTGTCGACACCAATGACGCGAACAGAAACTGCTCCTTCTTGGGTCCGCAGATCAATCCAGGCGCAGGGATTCCAGAGACCAAGGACGACTCCGGACCTCCTATTATGCCTGTGCATAGCACACAGACAGATCTGGAGATCACTTCCGGCCAGAAAGGGGCAGCAGGAGGAGATGCAGACCCGGAGTCAACAGCTGACTCGACCACAAAGACGAAAGCAAAGCCAGAGGCCAGCATCAACACGCACCACGACCGCCACAACTATGGCCCAACCCTTAGCTTGTTGAAGACGAGCCTTGTCAAGAAAATCAAGGGTGTAAAGTGGATGCCGAACTTGACTCGTCGTCGTGGCCAAAGCCACTCCCGTGAATGCTCGTACACCAGTGCAAATCCAACCCCCAGAACGGCTCCAACGTCGGTCAACAAAGCTTCACGAGTCGTACGCAAACAACCAGGAACAGCTGGAATGCTGGACGTGGACGTGAACAAAAACAAAAACAAACCGTTACCCTGCATTCCAAGCCTCATGACCACGGAATCCGACATTGATCTGCGTCTGCATCCACGTCCGCATCCACGTCCATGTCCAGGTCCAAGTCCAAAGCCAAACACACACGGTCACGGGAACGGGGAGGCACCGACTCACCTTCAACAAAGTCCCAAACTACACCCGCAACTGTTAGGCCACATAAGAACCACCATGACTGAGACTCGAACATCCTCGTTGCCGTCGGCGCCACAATTGCCAGAGATCACAATCATGTCTCCAAGTCAAGCCAAAGAGTGCATGGCGGCGCTGGTGCTGGACCCAGCCTCTCAAACTCCGATTCAAAATGACAGCGATAATCGAAACGAGGAAATCGACAAGGCTTTCTTCTCTTCACCTCCGCTTCCGTTTCCACCTCCAGCCAGTGACGCAAACACACACACACACACACACACACACACACACACACACACGCCAATAGGGGCAAAGACACAGACACAAACACAGACGATGAGACGACAGGGAGAAGACCACTGAGGCAGGAGAGAGTCATTCCGCATACCCAGCTGAGGACACTAACTCCCATGAGCAATCGTCACTGATTAGACGACGTTTTGTACCGACAGGGACCGGGATTGTACGTTAGTGGCGGGAATCGAAAGTGACGACGAAGAGCGTGTATGATACTGGCATTGCGGAGTGAATCGTGACGCAAAAGGAATGGGAATAATCGAAGAAGAAAACTGAGTATGGCGAAGACAGAGTACTTAATGTTGTACTCCGGACGAGGACCGAATCTGGAAAAAGAGAGTGTGATAATGACAAAGTACTCCAGTCTCGGGTTATGTTGTGCTTGGAGAGTGAGGGTGAGTGATTCACAGCCCAGCGATCAAACAAAAAAGTCGAGATTGGATATGGGACTGAGTGCGAGAACGTGTGTGTCTAAAAGTGAGAAAAGAACAGTCGTGGATGATGTATTCGTGAAATGGGAATGGAACGCGTGTCGAAGATGGCGAAGGGATTCTGATACTCACCAAGCTCTTCTTCACAACATGATGCACTCTCCACACGTGCAGTATGACTTAGACGCCGCATTGGCGAGAGGACATGTATTGTGTTATTCACTCATGAGTATCCTTCAGCGACAAAAAGGTGTCTTGGTGTATGTGACGATTAAAGTAAAAAAGTGATCATCGGTCTCGTAAGGAGTAAAAAAAAACATCTCTCGGTCTCTGGCATCGGATCGGATTGATGTTTCTCCGCATCCATGTATACATACCATGAATGTGAACTTATTCTACTAAAAGTACAAACCATCGCCCTCTGTGCAGCATAAACTTCTCTCCATCAGAATCCGAAATTATCTAACAAACTGTCCATACTCGGCTCAACAAATTGTGTCGGTGCTGGTTTCTTCTCGGTATGGTGGACCTTCGCTTTTGCAATGTTGGCCTGATCCTCTTCCTTCTCTAGATCGAAAAATGTCTTCCGTCTTTGCAATTGGATCTTGGGAGACACGGCTTCGGCCTCTTGTTCTTGAGTCGGCGCAGCGACCTGACTTTCCGCCACAAACTCCCAATCTCTAACCAACCCAAGGGCGAGTACGTCACAGCCCATCCGCACATATTGCCGTACGCATCGCATGATAAACGACCATTCATCTTGGGGACTGATAATGTCGCGCCATTTGTTCTGTTTCACAAAGTCGGCGCGGAGTTGGGGGTAAAGAACGGACAAGAGAGGATCGTTGGCAGTATAGCTCAGTGAACCAACCATTGAACCTTCAATTGTGTCCAGGTCTTTCCCGACCACAACGTGAACAGGATGAACAAGAACCCGGATTGCTTCTTCTGTTTGACCCAGCAGTGAAAACGCCCAACTAGCCATCCATCTACCATGCTCGCTTTCGACGGCTTGCGACAAAACTCTCTGCTCGAGAAGTCTGGTCAATGCGGAATCTTGACCTGACCCATATACTCGAGCAATGGCGATGGCGAGCTGGAGATCTTTGACTTGGTGAATACACACATTCACTGCATCCCATAGGCTGTCCCCAAGGAGAAAGAATGCTGCTGCGTACTGGAAACGACGTTTGCTGAGAAGTGCGTAAGCGTTCTTCAATGCCGTTGACTTCCATTTCGGATCGCTAAAGTTGTTGGCCAGAAGCTTTAGTGTATTTTCTTTCTCTCGAACCCCAATCGCCATACGCCACAGACCTTGAAGAACGTTCTTCTTGCGCAGCGCAAGATAGTAAAGTGAACTGTCTACAGGATTTCGGTCTTCATGCTTGGTAAATTCTGCACGGCCAACGTTTTCCATTTGCTGTTGTAAAGCCTCTGTGTGAGACAGCCAGCAGAACAGGCCCGACTTTCGTGCAGCCTCCCAAGTAAGTTTGCCACCGTAAAAACGGGTAACGAGGTCAACTAATACTTCTTGAGATATACTCCGGGATGCAAATACAATTGCACTCCAGGGTACTCCAGAGTCGTCTGAACTATACAATGCTTGAAGGTAACGGCGAGCATTGTCATCGATCGATCGCTCCTGTTTCTCCAGTTCAGAGTACACCGATACCTGTTTGATCAATGTGGTTTGCGATTCGTCGTCGAGTTGCCACAGCTCATGCTGCTTCAATTTCTCAGTCAAACTGTCCGTAATATCCGAGATAGCTTGTTCTTCGACATGACCATTAACGCCGTCCATGACGAGGTCCATGCTGTCGTTGATTTTTCCCTCCACACTTCTCCGACCCAAGTCTCCTATCCAGAAATCGAGGAAACTAGACAAGGTGTCACCTTCGGTAAAATATTTGAGTTCATGATTGAGCCGGACCATGATCTGTCTGCAGGCTGTTAAACCTACAACAGCAGACAACAGCGAAAGCAACAGAGGGTGAAATATAGGCAAAAGCGAATTCGTGGCAGAGACGACAGGGAAGACAGACTCGGAAGATGCTCGCTTCTGGATATCCTGGAGTGGTTTGGCGTTTTGATTGTGGTGACTTCTTGCGTAACCTTTGAACACCAGCAATTGAATGCCAGAGCCTACGACCAGGTCACCGCTTCTTAACCAGCACAAGTCTCCAATGCGACAGGTCGCGAAATCTCGTATGCGAATATGTCGCAGGTCGACCCAGGCATTCTCGAGCATCGGATACGAATATCTAACTTGAGCGAGGACGACGATATGGTAATCGAAGCAAACCGCGAGGAGAGGTTGGCCTTGTGGTGAGACTGCCCACGCAAATGTCTTGATAGTGTCAGTCCCGTCCAGCTCGTGCTGGTATTCCCAGGAGCCTGTTTTGGCATCCCAGATACTGAGGCTGCTGCTGTCGTCGTTGACCAGGACAACCTTACCAAGTCCACTTGCACTCATAGCTTTTGGGTTCGAAATTCCAGTCTCGAAGGAAACCCCTGAGGATAGACGAGGCTTATTTGAGTCTAGTTCTTCTTGGGACTTGACCATCTCAATGGTGTCATTCTTGGCCAGTGCTGCAGCATATCCCATAGCACTGGGCGTTCGAGGATCAATAGGCCGATTGCTGGCGTTCATATTGTCACAGATCGATATCTTGGACCCGAACCGGTTCTGAACATGCAGATTGATATCACCAAGCGATCGGATAATCTCTTGAAACCCTGCCTTTCTGGTCGAGACACCGTCCCCGATGGGAAGTAGAAATTCCCAAGCCTCAGTCGCGCTATCTTGGAAGTATCCCACGATCACACGACTGGTCAACGCCCTCTCACTCGCAACTCGACTCTGAGTGATCCGCTCTGGGATACGCTTCGGGTCAATCTCGAGCACACCAAGACGCTTCGCCTTTGCATGCTGAATGTCCCACAATTCGAGACTATGAATTGTCAAAACTACCGCATATCTTCCTCGAGACATAACAACTGCGTCAATAATATCGGCTCTGACGGTGAAGGAGCTGCGGCGCAGCAAAGGTGCCATTTCGCCTCGCGCACCATTTTGCCACACTATAGCATCGCCTTCTTCAGATGCGGTCAAGATGATGTTGCCGGCGACATTGCGTGCCGCACGGTGGATGGGACCGCCATGACCGGCAAGGGAGGATATTAGCTGTGTTCGATCTTGTCTGATGGCCGTATCAAAGAGGTGTGTGATTGGGCTATCATACCAATCTATGTCACCAGCAAAAGAGTGGAGCAGTAGAGAGAGAGACGAACGTGTGGTGCCACCTGCGAAAATGGAGAACTGAACATAGTCTTCCAAGGGGTCGCTCAGTTGAGGGACATGTATATTCATCCCATCCACGTGAGAAACAGGAAAGACCGAAGGGATTTTGTTCTTGTAGCCGGCATTCTCCAGACCCCACACAGACATATGGCCTAGTCCGTCAAGGACAATACATATCTCCGGGCTTCGGTTGGCTATTTCAATGAGATGTTCGAGAGCGTGATCTCTAGTGCCTGCACTCGATGTTCGCACAGCTTGTTCTGTGGCTGTTGAAAAATCGCGACTATCGATTATGAATGCATAGCGTCTCGTGCTCATGGAACTCACACTGAGCCTCCGGGGCTGTATTGAAGCACTCATATCAACATCACCAACCTGTTGCAAGACGGACAGAGCATGCGGGTCGAACATAGTCCATGCCCGGACATGGTTGTCAGAGCAGAAGGTGTAGAGCAAGCTGTCGAGGTTCTGTTCGAGGTACCATGGCTTTCGCCAGTGCAGGTTCGTGACCGCTGCTGGATGTGGCAGGTAGGAGACATCAAACCTGGCACGTTCTGCTTCGTACGACAGCCGTCGCCAGATTTTGACCAATCTGTCATGCTGCCCCACGGACGCGATCAGGCTGCTGTCGGGAGAGATATATGCCAGGGCTACCGGGTACGCCAGCTCTTCTTCCCAGGTGATTCTCGGCGAGCCAGCCTCGGGGATGAACCAAAGAGCCAGCCTTGAACCGCCGACCAGTAGTTCTTCCGAAGAGCCCCAAGATAACGAGGTCACCCGAAGGCCTTTTGCATGTGTCAGCTCGTGTACCTGTGCCCACCGCAGAACGCCCTCATCTCGGCCAACTGGTCGATAGATATAGACATGCTCGGCATCGCAGAGAGCTATTCGCCCCGTTGCTTCATCAATTGTTATCGCAAGGAGGGATTCAACGGTGTCGACGTATATTGTCTGGATGACAGACTGAGGGCCGGTAAGGATGATGGCCGCGTTGCCGGAGACGTAGGCCTGCGTTGAGGATCAGACTAGAGATCTGAATTCTGGAGTTTAGAGGGACTCACAACAAGACGAAGGCCATCCCAATGAGCAGTACTAAGAGCCTGCCGCTTCGACTGGGGTCGGCCCGGCAATATGGCTCGCATACGAGGATATCAAAGGGAGGAAAGGGGTCAAGAGGTCAGTGGCATGCTCTAAGAGGATCTTTGTTCTTGTCACAGCATTGGAAAGCTGAATTATGAGATCCGAGAATCAAGAGCTTGCGTTTTGAGATGAGTTGATTTTGGCTGAATGAGCGCATCTACTGATGCATTGCTGCCGTCACATGTTCCGCGCGACATGGAAAAGAAGCAACGCGCGGAGATACTGTAGCTTCGGGCTGTCTATCAAGGGAAGGTAAAACGAGAGCTAAGCTTGACCCTTGGAGAGCCCCGTACACATATGTATGGAAGGTGGGCCGACACTTGTCGACCCTGGATGAGCCCTAGTGGCTTTTTAGACGTTACCCCACGTCCGTTATCCTGGTCACTATCTCGGTGCTCAGTAGAAGCTCCCTCTGAGGTAGACGGACGGACTATTCCGCACCACGTCGACTCTCTTGCCGGTGACTCTACACCTACAACCGGTGCAACCGGCCCGGGATGCGCATTTCCTCCATACAAACTACTTGACCGACTACGGAGGCTGAATAGTTCAAATGAATACATAAAGTGTTTTGAGACTCCTCTGCTCACCCCTCCCCTCGAGTCCATATATGCTCAACCCTCAAATATGGCCACCCTCTTCCGCTCTTCGCGCAGCCTGCGCCCTCTAACCCGCCTCTCAACCCGACAAACCGCCCGCTCCTCTCTGCGCTATGCATCAAGCACACCATGCCGGCATGGCGCTGCCGCAGCCGCAATTGTCGACTCCTCAAGCACCGAGACGCCTTTCTTCCCAGACGAGCCCGCTGGGCCTACAGTCACGACGGCTATTCCGGGCCCTAATGCTCAGAAGGCCATCGCAGAACTACACAAAGTGTTCGACACTCGCTCTCTAAATATGATGGCGAACTACCAACACAGCTACGGTAACTATATTGCTGATTTGGACGGAAACATTCTACTCGATGTCTACGCCCAGATTGCGTCGATCCCCGTGGGATACTCAAACCCGGCATTGGTTAAGACCGCCATGTCACCCGAGATGGTGTCCGCCCTTGTTAATCGCCCTGCGCTCGGCAACTTCCCCCAGCACGACTGGGCCAGCATCCTGGAGACAGGAATTCTCAAGGTGGCCCCGCGTGGGCTCAACCAGGTATTTACGGGAATGTCTGGCTCCGACGCGAATGAAACGGCATACAAAGCCGCGTTCATGTGGAAGCGCCAGCAACAGCGTGGTGGAGCGCATGTTGAGTTTACCGACGCCGAGATCGAGAGCAGCATGAACAACGCAGCTCCTGGTGCTCCGCAACTGAGCATAATGTCTTTCAAGACCGGTTTCCATGGACGTCTGTTCGGCAGTCTGTCCACAACGCGAAGCAAACCAATCCACAAGATGGACATTCCGGCGTTCGATTGGCCCCAGGCGCCATTCCCCAGCCTCAAATATCCCCTGCACGAGCACGTCAAGGAGAACGAAGCCGAGGAGAAGCGTTGTCTCGAGGAGGCCGAGGACATCATCAAGAACTACCACAACCCTGTAGCCGCCGTTGTCATCGAGCCCGTCCAATCAGAGGGTGGCGACAACCACGCGAGCCCAGCCTTCTTCAGAGGTCTGCGGGAGATTACACGAAAGCACGACGTTCTGCTGATCGTGGACGAGGTGCAGACCGGCGTGGGTGCAACGGGTAAGTTCTGGGCACACGATCACTGGAATCTGCAGGACCCTCCGGATATTGTCACCTTCTCCAAGAAAGCCCAGACAGCAGGTTACTACTTTGGAAACCCAGAACTGAGACCCAACAAGCCGGTGAGTGTGCTTGGGATCGAAAGATGCTATTCTGAATACTGACAATACTTACTCTAGTATCGTCAATTCAATACCTGGATGGGTGACCCGGCAAGGGCGCTGCTCTTCCGCTCAATCATTAGCGAGATTGAACGGTTGAACTTGGTCGAGAATACGGCTATGGTTGGTGACTACCTTTATGCTGGCATCGAGAGTCTCGCCCAAAAATATCCCCAGCAATTCCAGAACCTCAGAGGACAGGGCCAAGGAACCTTCATTGCATTCGATAACCCGAAGCGTGATGAGTTCCTGCTCAAAGCTAAAACCTTGGGCATCAACATCGGTGGCAGCGGTGCCTCGGCAGTCAGGCTACGGCCTATGCTGATCTTCCAGAAGCATCACGCTGACATCCTGCTTGACTCGCTCGAAAAGTTGGCCAAGTCGCTATAAAAGCGCCGTGTTTTCATATGGTCGAAGTGGTGTAACGCGCAATGGTCTGGCGTTATGGAGTGGAAGCTGAAAGCTATCGACCTTGGCCATGGGGCAGGCGTCCGTCTTTATAACAAAATGCCATATTTTGCCATCTTCTCACGGTGTTTTGCCCTCCTTTAATTCTTACGGCTTCCCGTCCTGGATTTTTAGTACTTTCTCAAGCCTTGTTCAACTCCTCCCCAATTGGACTTCCCGTCTTAAAGAAGAGCTTTGTGAGGCGAAGAGAGAGTCCACGGAGGAGCCGTATCGATCTGCCCAACGTCCTTTTTTCCCTTGCTGCTTGGAATTTCCATCATCGGTGTGCCGTGCCCGTGAGGAATTTCACGCTCTGCGATAGAGTCCATCTTGTCGTCGTCGAAATGATCCCGCATGGAGCTTCTCATCACGCAGCAATTTCGTCCTCAACAGATGTCCCATCCCTAGGAATATATTTGATGCCCTGGTCTTCCATTCCATCGACAATTTCCTGCGGCAATTGACCCACGACTTTCGTGGCATACACTCCAGGGACATAATTCGTTAGCCGTTGCCATTTGGCGACCCATGAGGTCTTGGGATCGGTCATTGTGATCAAGCCTTCAAAGACTTGTGATGTGCATTCCTGGATAGCGTCTTGCGAGTTTCGAAGGTTGAGGAGCTCTTCGCAGTTCGGACAGCCGTTGCGGAAGAATTCCTGAAAAAGCCAGTCAGTGAGCTGCGCGTCAGGAGATGAGTAACAGGAGACGTACGCTGCCGGTCTGAACAATAGAACAAACCATGCATGCTCGATTACGAGTTCCGCGATTGGCCATGTTTGCGCGGTGACTAGGTGACCTGGTGGGCGGACCTCAGAGAGCGAGATACGCCGTGTGGGCAGCAGGAAATCGGAAGGGTGTGTGTGAGAAAGGACTGCGACCAGAGATGGATTTGACGGTGATGAAGCACAAGGAGGCATGGAATTTCGGAGATTGACAAGGCGAGGGATCTCCGCCGCCCCCGCCACCGCAAGAGAATTGGTACAACTCAAGTCTCTAATGGCAAGGCTGCACACTCCCGGCTCGAGGCTGGCGCAACAGACACATTTTTGCCCCGGTTGGAAAGTTCTCGACCTCCGTGGGCGAAAAGTGCACACGAGCAGTTTGACTTGTCGATCCCCTCCCGACCCAAATCCTCACTTACACGGAATGACTCGGTAACAATACGGGGTTCTTGTTTGATTCTTTGTTTTCACCTCTCTGTCTTTCCCTGACCTCTCCCGGCGGCTGTCTCCTCGCCATGAATTCCACCAACGACAAGGCTGAAGCAGTGGCCCTCAAGAACAAGGGCAACAAAGCATTTGCCGAACATGACTGGCCGACTGCCATCGACTACTATACAAAAGCAATAGAGAAATATGATGCCGAACCGTCCTTCTTCTGCAATAGAGCTCAGGCCAACATCAAGCTGGAGGCCTATGGCTACGCGATAGCGGACGCCACCAAAGCCATCGAACTCGACAAGAACTACATCAAGGTAGGTTAACTACACGATCCATCAGAATTTGGTCTGACAGTTACTTTGCTACAGGCATACTGGAGACGTGCAATTGCGAATACCGCCATACTCAACTCCCAAGATGCGCTCCGAGATTTCAAGACGGTCGTCCGGAAAGAGCCCAACAACAAGGAGGCCAAGCTAAAGTTGGCGGAATGCGAAAAGCTGGTCAAAAAGATACAGTTCCTCAAGGCCATCGAAGTGGCAGACCCGCCGTCGGCGTTCGAAGATCTCGACCTTGATTCTATGGTGGTGGAGGACACATACGATGGGGTCCGGTTAAAAGACGAAATGACACAAGAGTTCATTGATGATATGATCGAGAGATTCAAGAACGGCAAGAAAATCCACCGCAAATATGTCTTCCAGATCATCAAGGCAGTAAGAGACATTGTCTACGATGAGCCAACAATGGTTGAAACCGAAGTGGCCCAAGACACGAAGTTGACGGTCTGCGGTGACACTCACGGACAATACTTTGACTTGCTGGAGATTTTCCGACTCAACGGCTACCCGTCGGATGAGCATGCCTATCTGTTCAACGGCGACTTTGTGGATCGTGGTTCCTGGTCGACTGAGATTGCGCTGCTGCTATACTCCTACAAGTGGCTGAGGCCGTCTTCATTCTTCCTGAATCGCGGCAACCACGAGACCGACGACATGAACCGCGTTTACGGCTTCGAAGGCGAATGCAAGGCCAAGTACAACGAAAAGACGTTCAAGCTGTTTTCAGAATCTTTCTCCGCACTACCCCTGGCCACATTGATCGGCAAAAAGTATCTCACACTCCACGGTGGACTGTTTTCAGATGATAAGGTCACACTCGATGACATCCGCAAACTCGACAGACATACACAACGACAACCCGGTCAGCAAGGATTGATGATGGAGATGCTCTGGACAGATCCCCAACCGCAAAATGGAAGAGGGCCCAGCAAGCGAGGAGTAGGCTTACAATTTGGACCCGATGTGACGAAGAAGTTCTGTGAAAACAACGGCCTCGAGGCTGTTATTCGAAGCCACGAGGTCCGAATGGATGGCTACGAAGTCGAGCACGACGGGAAGTGCATTACAGGTATGTTGGATCTCGCGTCAATGACAGTGCTATGGGTTTGTCCGCTAACACATGTTCTAGTATTCTCGGCACCCAAATACTGTGATAGCACAGAGAACAAGGGTGCATACATCAACATTGGCCCCGAGCTGAAGCTTGAATACCACCAGTTCGAAGCTGTACCTCATCCCGATATCAAGCCTATGGTAAGTGCCACCTCTGGTGCAACGCAGTGTGCCACGGCCATACAGTAGTATCAGAACCTGACCTAATTTGATATAATAGGCATATGCACAAAATTCGTTGATGTCCATGATGTAGAGAAAGTACAACGACAATGTTTGACCAAGTAGTAGGGGTCTACACCGCCTACGCACGCTTTTTGGCCTTTCTTTAGTTTGTCCTTTTGGAGAACAAATCGTCGGGTCTTCTCGAAGGAGTCGTGTTTTGGCGAAAGCCTGAGAAAAGGCGGGAGGATTGGAATGTCCGGTTTCATGACCTCGTGTATTTGTACGAAGGGCTTTGAGTTTGCACAGCGATTTGGGCATTTGGAAGGAGAATCGCACAGGTCTGGTCTTTTTCATGTGCGACGATTGACACCTACATAGGTAATCATAAGACTAGATGAACTGGGACAATTGTTTCTGTTTCTATTGCTCATGTTCTGCTCTACTGATTTCTCCCGTTTGTAATTATCTTTGCATCCAATGTCCAAAGGTACTCCATGAAAGGAAGGACAGCATCAGCCGTGGTTGAGGACGTTGCGGAGGATGCACGGAGCTTGCAGCCTTAGGTACCTTTGTATACGGAGCGGAGTATACAGAGGTACCGTACATTCTCACCGGTCGAGTAGTGCGAGTAGTGGCCGTTGTGGCTGAACGAGGCGGTGATGCCTTGAATCTGACAGCGACTCGCGGCCAGTCACTCCGTATCTCAGGTATCCAGCAGAAGCAGATAGCAAGTGCCTTGGTAGGCAGAGTTACTCCTCGCCATGCTACTCGTCCTCGGTGCTCCGTAGGTGTCTCTATCTCACCAGGCTGATTTGCTGTGCTGTATGTCTTGAAACCCCCCTTGCCTGGCGCTGGCCGTGGCTGAATCCCAATCCCAATCCCGCATCCCTGTTTCTTGACAGTGTGTCACATGGATTGAATTGGGTCATTATTTCACCACATCGGCGGCCTGGTGACTGGCCATTGTCTCGTTTCTTAACTACTTGTTGCGTTTCTGCCAAAGAGAGAAACCCCGCCATCACAACCAGCAACTACTGGTACGTCAAACATCAAACCCATCAACGTCAGACCATCGTCGTACTCCCTTTGACGGGATTCGGATCACGACTACCTCCTTGACATACATACAGTCTTGGTATGATCATTCGCGGAGCCATCTCGACACAAAATATTACGAATTCCGCCCTTGATTCACTCTCCGTTTCTGTAGTTCCGGTTTAGAGCGAGAACCACGAGGCCGGACCAGTACTAGTACAGACGAACACTCGTATCGCTCGTCATCTCAGCCTCGCAAGACATCCATCATCCGAGTCTGGATAAAGTGTCTCTTTCTTTCGTTTCGACTTCCGTCTCGGCGTCGATTGCTGGATCGCGACATGTTCTCGCGAGGCAGTAAAAATGCCAAAGATCAATCATCGGTCCAGGTCTCCGAAGGTCCCGCAGGGGCAAGACCAAGTATAAACGCAAACGACAATCAGCAATTCAACCACACAAGGCGGGTTCAAAGCGCTGCTACGACGCTGTGTCGGACATCAACTAGATTGCTAGAAGTAGTCTCTACGCCCATCATCAGTCGATCATCGGAGGGCAGCAGCCGAAGAAGACAAACTAGTCCGTTCCTCGCCATACTGTCAACGGACCTGCACTATGCCATCGCAACGAAGTACCTGGGGTTCGACACGCTGCTCGCTCTCCGGCAGACATGTCGCGCCATGTACGCTTTGCTCACGCCAGACAAGGTCCGGCGCGTCCGCGAGAAATTGGTCCAGCAATACCTCGAAGACGAGGTCCGGCAATTCCGCGCCTACAGGGCCCTCTACCCGCGGAAGCGATTCGGCCATCTATGGGAATTGCTCCACGATGCGTTTGACCTGCGCCTCGTCGAACGGCCGGCCAAAGAGCTGCGGTGTTACGCCTGCCTGCAACTGAAGCCCGTGTGGAACTTCGTCGAGCGCATGACCACGCGCGGGACCGGGCTAGGTGCCAAATCTGCCCACAACAGGATGTGCAAGCACTGCATGCGGCGGTACCGTGACGTCGAGGGATCATGGTGGAAGGAGAATTGGGTCAAGAGGAGCGATACCGCCAAGGTGGTCAGCAAGACCAAAAGGGTCCGGCGCTGGGTGTTCCAGGGTCAAAGCCTGATCAATCCGCCAGAAGACGTGGGCGTGTGCGCTGCTTGCGGCACCTTTGCGTTCGAGCTCTGGTGGGGGTGCGTGAGTTGCTTTGAGCTGGAGCAGAAAGCTCGTCGGGACGAAGACCTCGACGAACTGGAGATCAGCGGCTTGGAGCGGAAGGTCGTCGACGCATTTGACAAATGGCGGGCTCGAAGGGAGATGAAGTACCGCAAGCGTCAGGCCAAGAGGGAGACCAGGGCTGCGCGAAACCGGGTGCTGGCTAGATTCGGCTTCATCTGGATTGGACCTGGGTCGAATCGACGGGCCGCCTTTTGGGAATGGAGAGCGACCAAGACCGGCAAACCAGTGTCGCCCTTTTTGCCTGCGCCAGAGGTCGTCGACCGGGGGTGGAAAGCACTCGACCAGATCCCGCCGCCGGCGGGCAGACGAGAGGCTCGATGTGCGTCGTGCTGGATAGCGAGTATTCCGCGAAGGAAGTACATGCACAGCTTCGGATTCGAAGGAGTGCTGGACAAGGAGCGATGGTGCAAACACTGCCTGCAAGAACAGCGTTCACGACGAGAGCGGAGAGAGAAGAGGAAGCTGTGGTTGGACGGCCATGTCGCAAACAAGGACCCTTTTGAGCATGAGGAACAATACGGGCTGGACCTGTTATTTGATACATGTTAGAGACGTGAAGGAAAGGTGAAGTTTCCAGGATTTGACGGTATGATGCCGTTGGGGAAGCATGAGCTCGGCTTGCGATCGACGGCGAAGGTATGGCGAACCGAATGCCAGGGCTTTCCAAGGAGAAAGGGCTCTTGACGGCGTGTCTATTTGTTGGGCAAATCTGAGACGAGAAACACTACCCACATGAAGCAGTGCGATAACCGCAAAGACTGAGATGTGCTGATGCGGGCTTTTGGCTTTTGGATATTCTTGATGGGCGATTTTGCGAGCGCAGTATCTTGCTTGAAGACGTCGATGACGATGCGCAACAATCTCTTTTTATTGTCACGAAGCAATATCGCACCGGGCATAGAGAACAGAGGTTCACGATGTACAATGAGATTTCATATCATCCCGACTCAGCGTGACTGAGTGATGGTCACATTTTTCTCAGCCTCGTGCAGCCTCGCGGGTCCGGAAATTGTCCCTCTTGCGATGATTCATGCATATTGATCCCGTCGCTTCGGCCTCCAAAAGAATTGCCGATGGCAATCTCTGTCCTCCACATTGACTGTCCATTGCTCTCTCTCTCTGCCGCGGCCCTCGATCGACCATTCTCTGATCGCCAAGTTGATTCGCGTCGGACCAAACTATTCACTTTGAGCCTCGTTGGGGGCAAACGTGTCCATTTTTGGCGTTCCCAGCAATTTCGTTCCCGGGATGGACAACTCTGAACTCCGTGCAAGGAGTGCGTGTCTATATATAATACCTTTGACCATGGCTCCGCTTTCACCCCTTCAAGTTGCTGCACTCTATCATCACGACATTTACCGTTCCGAGGCTTGTACGAGCTGATACATTCAAGATACAATACCAATTCTACGCCGTCGTAAGGAATCATGGCCACAGAGTCGCCTATTGTCCCACACCATGGCGATGCTAGATGGTCGCTCCCAGCGGACTTCCAGTCACAGAGTCGGATCCGATCGCTAAGCTCGCACTCGCAATCGAAATCGAAACCACAGCTTGACATCTCGATACCAGAGTTACCTCTGTTTGTGCAGGCCAGATCGCACGCTCTAGCAGACCCGCATAAAGCGGCCATCATCGACACGGCGCGAGACCAGAGCTTCACGTACTCGGAGCTGTTGAACGACGTGGCTATCTTCAAAGCGCAGATCGAGCAATTTCTGCCGCCCAGCCCTCCCGTGGGCGAAGAGTCTCGCGTGGCATTCCTCACGCCCTCAGGGTATGACTATGTGGTCATGCAATGGGCCATTTGGGCCTCCGGAGCCATCTCTGTGCCATTGTGTAGGTGGTTTCTTGATTTTCACAATCAATCAATCAATCAGCCCTCTGTTAACGTGTTTCAATGTACAGGCACATCCCATCCGCTGAAAGAGCTACAATACACCATATCCGACTCGAGCCCATCACTAATTATCCTTCACCCTTCATTCGCTAGATTCGAAACTGGTCTTCGCGAGCAAGCACCAACAACTCCCTTGATTACCATCACGCCCTTTTCCCAGTCGCCCAGCAGCCGCTCGACATTCCTGCCGAAATTCACCAGCGCATTCTCTCTATCCCGCCGCGCACTCATCATCTACACGTCCGGTACGACGTCTCGGCCCAAGGGCTGCGTAAGTACGCACGAGACTATCACTTTCCAAGCCCAGTCTCTGGTCGACGCCTGGAAGTACACCTGCCAAGATCACCTCCTCCACGTCCTGCCCCTGCACCACGTCCATGGGATCATCAACGGTCTCACGGCGACCTTGCTGGCAGGTGGGACTGTCGAGATGCATCCCAAATTCGACCCTAGTGTAGTCTGGACGCGATGGTCAGAAAGGGGCACTTCGACCATGTTCATGGCCGTGCCGACCGTCTATTCGCGCCTGATAGACCATTTCGACAGCAAGATCCGGGGTACGCAACTCGAGGCGGGTGCCAGACAGGGCGCCAACGCACTGCGATTGGTCGTGAGTGGATCCGCTGCCCTACCGGTGTCGACGAAACGCAAATTCGAAGAAATCACGGGCCACGAACTCCTCGAGCGCTACGGCATGACGGAGATCGGCATGGCGTTGAGCTGCGGGTTGGAACGCGAGAGACGGATCGACGGCAGTGTCGGCTGGCCCTTACCCGGCGTGAAGGTGCGGCTGACCAGCGAGACGGGACGAGTGATCACTTCGAGTGGGAAGGACGAGGCGGGCAACATCGAGATTCAAGGTCCCAATCTGTTCGCCGAGTACTTCAACCGCGAGAAGGCGACGGCCGAGTCGTTCACCGAGGACGGATGGTTCAAGACGGGAGACGTGGCGAAGCGAGACGCCGACGGCGCCTATTTCATCCTCGGGCGGGAGAGCGTCGACCTGATCAAGTCGGGCGGATACAAGATCTCGGCACTGGAGGTCGAGAGGAAGATTCTCGGAAACGAAGTGCTCGGTGGTATCGTGAGGGAGGTCGTAGTCGTTGGTGTCGAGGACGCGGAATGGGGTCAAAGAGTCGCTGCGGTGGTGACGCTTCGGGATACGGTGAGTTTTTTTCTTTTCCAGCCTTTTCTTTTCTGTCGCTTTTGCAATCATGTCCAGACTTGCCCTTGTGAGCGAGCTGGGTCTGAGTGAGTTTGGACCACTGGCTGACATCTCATGGTCGTCACAGACCAAGGCTCCAATCAACCTCAAGACGTTCCGAGGTTATTTGAAAGAAGACATGGCGCCGTATAAAATCCCGTCGATTTTGAAGATTGTCGACTCCATCGACCGGAACGCAATGGGCAAGGTGAATAAGAAACAGGTGCTCAAGCAGTACTTTGAGCCTGCGCAATGAGTCAGGGCGCGGGATCATGTTCACGATTCGAGTCTCTCCTCTCTATGGTTTTGGAGGTGATTGGAATAGTGGCAGTCAAAGGTTTCAAGATGCATCGTCATTCCTGGGAAAGAAGCAATTGGGCAGAACCTGTCGATAGAAAACTGCAAGGCTCCTCGTACCATGATGCAAATCACGAAGCGCCGGTATCCTGAGGTGAACGATGCTTGCGGGTTCTCAAGGAGCACTGCGAACCACTATGATATGAAGGGTCTGGCTGCAGCAAAATACCTGTGAGAAACACTGTATGGCATTCGTATTACTCGATATACATGCATGCATGATGCTTGATCCTCCCCCTGACACGTACAGCCTAGTGGGGTTCTCCAAGGTAGTTAGGAGAGAGTAGTAAGGCGATTAGTAAGATCGCCATCTGGCACCGATACCTGGTTCCGTACGTTTCCAGATAGACTGAACCTTCTCGCCGTCTTGCGGTCTGTAGACCAATCAGTAGTCATCTCAACTTCGCCGCAAAGGGTGCGATGCGTCCGGCAGCCTATTGCCGTGGCGAGGGGGGGAGACTGTGATGTTGCTAACGTCTGAACCAGCGACCACCGTAGCTGCAAATGTGAAAACAACCACTGTAGTAGCCCCGAGAGATTTCACCGCAGACAGCCTTCGACTTCATCAGAGCCTTGACAATGTCCAACTGTGGAAGTCTGAGTCTGAGTCGCTAGTAGTGACCGAATAGGTCAGTTCACTATAAGCCCTCCACTCTGTCCCCTTCGACGACAGCAGGTACAGAGCCGGAGCTCAAGATCGCATGACTCTATCAAGAAACTTAAACTCCTCAAGCACGTCCGGGTCTTTCCATGGACACGTTAACTGTAACTGTCGTGCTACCTCTTCCGTGAGTTCCACCGAAGCTCGGAGTGTGTCGCTACTTGCGCCGAGGTTCAGAGAGCCGAAGAAATGTCTATACCCACACAAGAGAAGAGTATTTGTCAGCTTGCTATTTCTACCACCCCGGATGATTACAACAGCGACGAAAACGAAAACGACAATGACAACGAAAACCCCGAGAGGCGGAAGGAAAACGTACCCTTTAGCCTGCGGCCCACATCCATCCGCGAGACAGCACACGAACTCAAGCAGTCCCGTCTCCTGGGCGCCAATGATGGTGTGTTCGCTCAGCAATTCGCCGTAGATACAGTTGATGGCAAAATGCGTGAGATCGCCGCCGGACGTGCTGTCCATTGCGGAGAGGACGCGGGACGTGTGCTTCGTGTAGATTTGCTTGAAGAACGTGAGACCACGGTCGTATTTTGTGGTCGCGTCCAGAGGGGCGCGCAATGACGTGTCGGATGCGAGAATGTTTGAAAGTGTCGGAGCAGTGGTGTTGATTGATGTAGACAGCGAAAAGAGAGCGTTGATGGCCTGGATCAGACGAAATGGAGATCAAGTTAGCTCGCGAGTATAGCTTCGTGTAAGAAAATATCGTCAATAGGGACGGGCGTTGGTTCCTTACCCTGGGAAAGCCCACAAGCGTACTGGCCTTGAGGCAAGATTCTCGAATGCGCCGTGCAATGGCGAGCAGGTCGTCTTCGTTGCGAGCCGGAGCTTGGGATCTGGCGGGCAGAGGACTCGTACGGGAGAACAGATACGCCCACAGATCGCCCGTTAGCTTTTCTTTGTGAAAGGACAGTAGAATCGCCGTCGTTAAGATATACCACAGTGGTGACGAGGAGTGGTCCGGGAAGAATTGCTGTAATGCGGAAAAGTCCAGGGGCTTGACGCGGCCCACAGGAGTTGATTCTGAGTCGGAGACGCTGGATGTGCTTGTCCCTTGAGTCGCGGATGACGCTGTCGATATTGGGGTTTGCGTGCCGCTTGTCGAAGTCGATTCCATCATGGGGTGACTTGAACTTGCTGGATGGCGGTAGATGGTCGTACTGTCGCACTATCGTAGTGGAGGTGGATAATTTGTTACCGTGAAGCCGGAGTGCTGTTTGACTATACCATATAGGCGAAGCTGGTTCTAACCGGTGGATACCCAAGGAGTAGAAGTTCTAAAAGTCGGAAACGTTCGAGTTTTGTTCATTTATTGTCGTGGTAAGTACTGGATGTTGCGTCGCGGTTTGTATCATGGAGACTCGGAAGGCTGAGCGGTCTTATCGGCCATTTTTCTGGGGCCGGGACCGGAAGGCGTCAAACAAGACGAAGGGCATTTTCGGAGATCAACCCATAGTATCGCGGATAAAACATGGCAATATAATGTCAATATCTTAATCAGACGGCTTTCTCTGCCACGGGTCGAATGGCGAGTGTGATGAGGTGAGAAATTGGTGGGATCCGTTTATGGTGATAAGGCGTCTTGCGCCCCGGAAATCCCTCGGGGCCATTTCCTTCGCCTGAACTCCCTATCAACGAGGCCATCACTTATCGCTGCGATCGTCGTCGTCGTCTTCTACGGCTGGATGATGTGTGAATGCAGCATGGGACACTGAAGCGACGTACATCTTGACCTCGTTAGCGGTGGAAGAGGCCGATCATCCTTCTGACACGCGCACACAGACTCTGCGGATGCCCATGAGAAGCTCAAGGCAACTAAAGCCATCATGAAAGCGATGTTCTGGACAATCGAGCACATTCCACGTCATCGAGGGATACCTTTCCGCTCACACCACAATCCTCATCCTCCATGGCGAATGATTGAATGGCTATCCCGGTGTCACGCCGCTCATTACCAGCTCCAACACGAGCTTAGAACTTCTTAGAAGAACAACCCCGCGTTCTGTACCCCTGGCCATTGAGCACACGACAGCCCCTCCGGACGTGGCTCATACGACCTATATACATCAGCTGTCTGCGCTGACTTCATCTGGATTTCTAGATCCGTTGTTGATCCAAAGACCCAGTGATATTGACCTGTTGCTTGCAGATACCCTGCCCATATTTCCACACACCTCAGTGCAAACCAAGATGACTTCCAAACAAGCCGTACCAGCCACAGCGGGAGCTACGTCTCCTCCCATGGGCGGCACCCGCCGTCGCTCGAGCAGCGGTATTTCTGATGACGTTGCCAAATCCGCACACGACTTCATGGCGGGCACCATTCGTCGCTCTAGCAGCGGAGTGACTGACGATGCAGCAATGGCTGCTCATGAGTTCATGAGGAGAGCTAAGGGCACCGGCCCAGGCTTGACTGATGATCTCACCGACAAGGCCCACAAGTTCATGGTTGGGCCTGCCACGCACCGCGAAAGCCATAGCAAATACCTACCAGACGTGACTGTTCCCGGGCTGACTGACCAAATTGTCGAAGAAGCTGTGGAGTTTGAAGACAGTATTGAGAAAAGCAGTAAGGCCTAAACACTGGACTTTGTACATATCGTTGGATTAGGAATGTCGAGGCACAGAAGAGGAAGAGAGGGCGTGTATGTGTTCAACCCAAATTGCAAATCCGACATCTGCGTTGGCGTTCAGGGACAATCTCAGGTGAAATTGGAAAATGAATTCATATTCAAAAGTTAGCATGGCAAGTAACGTGCATGAATGTTCATGATATCAATGCACGGCAGACACTTCGCCCGCTGCAACACGCGTGGAAGACGTCGTCAGTGAATCCTTCATCAACTTTGCACCTCTCTGATCTGGAGGATTGCAGCCGCCGGCCGAATTTTTGGAGATCTAATCTGCCAGGCACATCGAACCTCCGCCTGGGCGATAGTAGGATAATCATTGAGCATAGCATCTCCCGCCACCGATTCTCGAGGGACACTGAATTATATAGTCCGCAACCCGGATTTGTCTTTGCACGGGTGGGTAATGTAGAGGATGTGGGCCCAGGGGTCAGCCTCGTTTCCGGAGGAAGGGGAATTTATCCTGGATACGCCTCCTCATTCAGCCTCTTCATGCGTGCGAGACTTCTAAAACTCAGATGGTTCTGCAGCATGTTTTGTCTCATGCGCAAGAAGCTGAGTTATACTTGCACACGGTTGTGGTATGCGGTAAAGATGACTGAGCAAGTACTCGTACAGCTTTGGACGGACGAAGTTCGTCCGATCTGCGGTCGGCCGAACCATCAGGGCTTCAGCAGAGCCTCGCTCAGGAGACTTGAGGGGTGACTGTCCATAGATGACTATAAAACCTCAGACGACAGCCAATTTAAAAGGTGCAGCCATCTCGCCGACTGCTTCTGGATTGATCTGCAAACCTGTCTAAAACCAAAGCCCAGCCAAAGCGGGAACGGGTCCATTCATCTTCAAACACCAACACCATGACTGAACAACCAAGGCCTCGTGTGCTCATAGTTGGCGCAGGCGCCATGGGCCTGGTCACAGGATACATCCTCACGCTGGGAGGCTCCGACGTCACCTTCCTGGTTCGACCGCATCGGGCAGAAATCCTGAGCCGCCCTCAGTTACTCTATTCGTTCGATGACCATCAGCTCAAGATATACAAGGACTACAAGTTCATCACAGACCCCGCAAAGATGATTGGCGCAAACTACGATTACATCCTGATCACGCTCGATGGCCACGTGTTGAAAAGCGAAACTGGTGTGAACCTGGTAAAGACAATGGGGGAGGCGGTGCGCGGGACAAAAACGCGTGTCCTGATCGGCACAGTCTTTATCGACCTTAGACCCTGGTTCTTGGAGACCTCCGGCATCAACGGCGAACAAGTAACCACTTGCCAACTGATCATACACTCCTATGAACCCAAGAACGTAACATGCCGTCTGCACGAAGGAACGGACCCAAAGCTCTTGCAGCAGGCCGACCAGGCGTACACCGACAAACTTGGGGTCGGGTTCTTCGCCGATGACAGTGGCCCGGCGGTGGCGGAGGGTTTTGCGAAGCTGTACAATGCCAGTGGACTGTCGAAGTGTGATATTGTATCCCCAGAGCAACTTGCCGCAATGTCTGTGCCTAACTTCCCTCTCCTGGCGGTGTCTGATCTGTTGGGCTGGCCGGATTACGAAGATGTTGATCCGAATGGAGAACTGTGGACCCTTGCTGTCGATTCAGTAAAGGATATTCAAGGGCTGAAGCTGTTGGGGCAGGCAGGACAGAAGATGATCGAATCCACGACGGCTGAGGGGCTGAAGAATCAGTTTGTCGGTATACAGAAAGCAATGCTTCCTATGGACTGGCCCGACTTCAACAGGTACCACCATGGCGGCAAGGTTAACGTCCAGGACCAGGAACTACTTCAAACTTGTATTGCCTATGGCGAGGCCGAGGGCAAAGCAATGTCCGCAACCAAAGAGTTGCTCAGGAGGGTTCAGGCAAAGCATCAGTGACTTTCCCGGGAAAATGTTTTCTGGAGTACGCGAGGACTCAGAGTCAGCAAACCATGAGGCCTGGATGCACAGAGGTGAAACAGGTACTGTGGAAGGATTAGATCCTTCATACAAGTTTAGCTGATGATCCCTCCGACTGTAAAGTGTGAAAATTCATATCTGTGTTTGTTTTGACATCGTCTCGTCCACCTAGTGTAAAGCAGTTGAAGGACGAGGCAGTCTTGTGGCAGTTGACTCGTGGGATGCTTCGCCGAGTACTCTGTGAAACTTGTGTCCTCAAGTCCACCACATGCAAGCAGCCAGGATAACAGCGGTCGCAACTTCGATATGTGCCAAATTCTCCCAACCACCCTTGAGAGTGTACATTACGACCGAGCCCACAATCCTGGATAGCAGCGAGAACCAGTAGACATTCCAATTGTCTTCCAGCGCACCAATGATGTTGTACAAGCCGACCAGGCCCATACAGAAAGCTTCGCGGGGTTCAGTCATCATCAGTCTTGAAAAACTTTGCAGCTTCGAAAGTTAACCAAAGATTTATTGAATAACTTACCCATCAAGCGCACCGAGTTCTCATCACGGATATTGAACTCTTCCATCACAGGCTTGACGTCGATGAAGGCGATAATCTGGCGGAGGACCATTAAGACGGCAAGAATGAGCAAGCACCATCCTGGCGGATTGCGAGGCCGAGAGAGACGGGCCATGATACTGACCCGAAGAACATCGTGGTGAGCACCAGGGGGAAAATGACGAGACATGAATAAATAGGCTGTTTTCACAGGTGGCCTTACCGTAGCATGTTCGGCAGCATCAGCCATCGATTTCAGCAGCCATATCACAGTCAATGGCGTTCTGTCTGTGTCTTATCGACGAAACATACGCCGCAGCGATATCGACTGGTAAGAAAGACTTCTCATGGGGGAGTCTTTTGAGCAAGGAGCCAGGATCATTCATGGCTCTGTCGAACATTACTTCTGAGGGTGTCAACATGGATTTCTGGACAGCTGCATCTCCTGAAACATCTCTGCCGCTCCGTGCTTGCACGCAAGAGTGTGACTAGGGTCATTCTCCCAGATCCTAGGCGTGGACTTGTATGGAATGTCGAATATCTTTGTTCCGCCTCAGCCAGGGCTCATAGAATGAACTGCTTAGTCATCATTGCTTCAAAGCATTGTCACGTGCGATGACGCAGCCTTCCCACGTGTGTCTGCGCAGGTCCCTTGCTTCGACCTTGACTGTTCTTCCACCAACGCGCCCTTTGCTCAGTGTTTGGCTATCGAATGCAGCCGGGCCCACCGACCTTCTCCCGCCATATATCGCCGTTAACAATGCGCTGAGCCTGATGATTGCCGCGCGCCATGGCGCTGGATCTCGACGAAGGATATGTGGCTCAAGGCCTCGCCCGGGGAGGTGTCGAGACAAGCCTGCCCATTTTCAATGTCGAACGGGTACAGTTGCAGTTCAACATCGCCTCGGACTTCGTGGCAGGCCAAGTTGCAAACAACGTTTTGATTCTTGCTCTTGCGACAGGGCGGATCCTAAGGATAGACCTGGAGAGTCCGTCGGATATTGATGGTTCATACAAGCCCACTCCGTGCTGATGCAGCCAGCTAACAACTTGGCCTCAGATGTTGACCTGCCAAAGAAGACCAGCGAGGTTGGCCTTATTCGACGCATGTTCCTAGACCCTTCTGCCTCCCACCTCATTATCAGTACAACCCTTGGCGAGAACTTCTATCTTCATAGCCAGTCTAAACAACCAAAGTCTCTGTCCAGGCTAAAAGGTGTCCTCATCGAATCTGTTGCCTGGAATCCATCCCAGCCGACAGCGTCCACACGTGAGATTCTTGTCGGAGCAACAGACGGGAACATATACGAGATCTATATTGAGCCAGCGTCCGAATTCTACCGCCGCGAAGAACGATACTCGGCCAATGTCTGGAAGATTCCGGAAGGCGCCGTGACAGGTCTATGGGCGGAGTCTATCCAAGGGAAGTCAGATACGCGAAGAGTAATTGTCGCGTCACGTTCGAAGCTGTATCATTGGATAGGCAAGACTGCAGGACGGGGTAAGGAAGGCTCAACCTCACTATATACAGACTTGTTCTCCAAGGAAGAGCCCGTTATTCATGCGACGAACGGCGCATCCTCGACAGCCCCATCTTCCTTGTCGGTGTCCCCAGAATCTCCCGAAGCTGGATCAGAGGAGGAAAGGAGCTTCGGTTGGTTGTATTCTCAGGGCGTCCTGACAGGCGAACTTCTGACTACCCCGGCCACCGCCGACCTAGGCAACAGGATTTTCCAAGACGCAAAGTTACATCCTCGCTCTATCTTCCCGGAAACGATGTCTGCTCGTGGCGGCAGGAAATTGATACAAGATCCTATAGTATCGGCTATTCTTTCGCAATGGCACGTTCTGGCACTTGTGGAAGGTCGAATCGTCGCTGTCAACCGCCTCGATGGCAGTGTTGTCTACGACCAAGCTGTACTGGAACCCGGCCAGAGTGCACTCGGCCTTGTGTCAGATCAAAAGAAGAACACTTTCTGGCTCTTCACAAGCCAGGAGATCTTCGAAATCGTGGCGAATGACGAAGAACGAGACATCTGGAAGATCATGTTACAGAATCAGGACTATGACGCTGCGTTGAGATATGCCAGAGGAGCGACACAGAAAGACTCTGTTGCTACGGCATCTGGAGACTACCTATCAAGCAAAGGACAATACATGGAGGCTGCGAGTGTATGGGGAAGAAGCAGTAAAGCTTTTGAAGAGGTCTGTCTGTCACTTATCGACAACGCACAAGATGACGCCCTTAGAAAATACTTGATGACCAAGCTTGGTGCATACAAGAAGTCATCGGTCATGCAGAGAGTGATGGTTGCAACGTGGCTCATACAAATTTTCATGGCCAAGCTGAACTCTCTCGATGACATGGTGGCCACCAAAGCGGAGCTGCTCGAGAATACCGACGCTGGTGGTGCCAAACGAGACCTGGAACAAACACGAAGCGAGTTCCAAGAATTCGTCACCAAATACAAAGCAGACCTAGACGCCAAAACGGTATACGAAGTTGTATCCAGCCATGACAGAGAGGACGAATTACTCTTTTTCGCCAACACAATCACAGACTACGACTATGTTCTCTCGTATTGGGTGCAACGAGAGAAATGGAACGAAGCACTCTCGGTGCTGAACAAGCAGACCAACCCCGAGACATTCTACCGATATAGCAATGTCCTGATGATCCATGTACCGACCGGACTGGTCGAGATCCTGGTTCGACGAAGTAATCTGGACGCACAAAAGTTGATTCCAGCACTGTTAGCGTACAACGAAACGGCCAATGTACCGCTGGCACAGAACCAGGCGGTTCGGTATCTGAATTTCGTGGTGAGCAACAATTTCGAGGTTCCAGCTTCAGTCCACAATGCTCTCATCTCGATCATGGCGTCGCACCCTTCACCGTCGGAGAGTGCGTTGTTGGGGTATCTCGAAAGTCAACCGTCACCTCCACTTTACGATGCCGACTTTGCATTACGGCTCTGCATTCAACATGACCGTGTCCAGTCCTGTGTGCATATCTACAGTACCATGGGACAGTATCAGCAAGCTGTGCAGCTTGCCTTGCAGCACGACGACATCGACTTGGCGGCCATTGTGGCCGATCGACTCGAGGGGAATGATAAGTTGAGGAAGAAGCTCTGGCTCTTGATTGCGGAGAAGAAGATCAAAGAGGCCGAATCCATCAAGGAAGCCATCAATTTCTTGAAACGCTGTGAACTACTCAGAATCGAAGATCTTATCCCGCTGTTTCCGGATTTTGTGGTCATTGACGACTTCAAGGAAGAGATATGCGAAGCACTGGAAGAATATTCACGGCACATTGACAGCCTGAAACACGAGATGGACCTGTCACAGCATACGGCCGAGCAAATCAAGGCAGAAATTGCGGCCCTAGACCACCGTTACGCCATTGTCGAATCAGGTGAGCGGTGTTGGATTTGCACTCTGCCGGTCTTAAGTCGCCAATTCTTCGTCTTCCCCTGTCAGCACGCGTTCCACAGCGATTGTCTGGGAAAGCGCGTCCTGGAGAGTTCGGGAAGTAGCAAGCGCAAACGAATCAAAGATCTCCAGACAGAAGTCAACCAGGGGTTAAGTGTAGGGGTGCAAAGGCAGAAGCTAGTCCAAGAGCTAGACGGGCTAGTTGCTGAGCAGTGTGTTCTTTGTGGAGATCTGGGCATCAAGCAGATTGATGAGCCGTTCATACACGAAGGCGACGATGTGGAGGCCTGGACTATTTGATTTCACGGGGGCCATTTACATAATCGCTTATGTATGCATGCAGAGTCGCTTCCAAGGCCCGCCGCCGTTTCTAACGTCGCGAATACGAGTGTAGTCCGTACGGAGTGGGTGAGAGGAGTTTGTCATTGGCCCATACAGGATACGGCGTCCACCGTTGACCGCTGACTAAGGGACAGAGTGGGACGGTCATATATTGGTAAGAGCAACACCATCTTTTTTCCCAGCGTTGATTGCTACAAGCGCTGCCGATGGGGACATGGATGTGTTTCGTATTCGTATGTGCTTCGTTGACCGGTACATGCTTTGTATCTGGGTGAATATATCGTGTGTGTGGATAATCTAGATGTTCGGTGTTTACGCACGCAAGCGGTTGAGAGGCTGACTTCGTTCTCCTGGACGCGCAAACGATTCTAGAGACTTCGAGACGCGACATGTGGTCTCAATCTCACGGCGACTTCTTGTGCAGGGCAGAGCGAGATCACGTGAAAGGGACAGAAGTAAATGCCGTATCAGGTTAGTTGACAAATTTCCGCCAATAATCTTGTGCTTACCAAGCCTGTGCTTAGAGTTTTAGCCTCTGCTTGGCCTCCGTCATCGACTTCTTTCTGGCGTCTTTGCCCTGATTGGTCATTTATCGCTCTCCCGCCATCTTGCACCCAGCGTTTTCTTCCTCCCCGATCGTCGTTCGGCCGGATTCTGTATGATCTTCAGCAGATTTTTAATCTCCGTCCCCTTGTGGCTTGCAATATTCAATATTCGACCGACCGTCGAGGTCCGTGCCCGGCCTTTTGCAAGAAACAATGCCGCTCCGTGTGTCACTTGGGCTTACCTCCGACTCCACTAGACGGCGTTTGGCAGATCCTTGTAGCGCCTTGCTTATTCAGAAGCCGACGTACTCATGGGCTGCAAGAGTTCGGATTCGAAATCCCCATGACATCGAAAGACTCGGATGTTCCATCCCAGGTATGACCTCCAGCGCCAATGTAGGTATATAGGACCAGTGAATCGCTCCTCTGTGGGTGGCCCGTCTTCATCAGTCACACGCGACGTATTCTCCTTAGCAAGGGTCTTCTCTCCTCAGCCTGACCGGCCAAACCATTTTATCCCTGCCTAGCTCCTTACCTACCTCCTCTCCCATTCTCTTGCTTGAGATAAAAACCCCCCCGAAGTCTATTCACATCAAACTACGCGTGACTCCAGAACAATGTCCGCCCTCCTGCGGGATGCCCCCGTGGGCCAACTTATCCGCTGGGTAACGAGAAACCAGTACTTCCAATACCCGGAAGAACAGTCAAATTTCCAGATCCCTCCGTCCTATCAGACAGAAACGAAAACCGCGCGGTCAGAGGCGACTACACCTGCAATCGAGAAGGATCTTGAGCATCTGCCTGGTCCCGATGCGCTCATGAGAGCGGACACTGCCGTAGATCGTGAATCAGTGGCAGCATTATCAGATCGCACACTCTCGAAGATCATGACGCGACCAGAACTCAGCCAAGTCAACACCCGAGCCGACCTTGAAGAGGCCTACACCAATGCGACGAGACAAGAAACACTAAAGACTCAACCCAGCCGACCAATCAAGCCTGCAGTGACTTCTGACGGCACGATATTGGTTGACTGGTATACCACCGACGATCCCGAAAACCCACAAAACTGGTCGCGCGGAAAGAAAGCGGTGGTAGTCCTCCAAATCTACCTGTACACTTTGGCCGTGTACATGGGTTCGGCCATCTTCACTCCCTCGGAACCCTACATCGTCGAGAAGATGGGTGTGTCCCCCAATGTCGCAGCGCTCGGTCTGTCCATGTACGTGCTCGGCTATGGCATCGGTCCTCTGATTTTTTCACCGCTCTCCGAGATCCCATTGATCGGCCGCAACCCACCGTATATGGTGACTCTGGGCATTTTTGTCATCATCTCTATTCCGACAGCCGTGGTGAACAGCTTCCCAGCGCTTGTGGTTCTGCGATTCCTCCAAGGCTTCTTCGGCAGCCCTTGTTTGGCAACTGGTGGCGCGTCCATTGGTGACATCTACTCCCTGATCAAGTTGCCATACTTCTTGACCGGATGGGCGGCATTCGCAACCGCAGGCCCGGCCCTGGGTCCCATCATCTCCGGCTTCTCTGTCCCCGCCGAGGACTGGCACTGGTCGCTGTGGGAGATTGTCTGGCTCGCCTCTCCCGTCTACATCTCTCTCTTGTTCTTGCTCCCAGAGACGTCAGCCAGCAACATCCTGCTGCGCCGCGCCCAGCGTCTGCGCAAGATGACCGGCAACCCGAACCTGAAGTCGCAATCCGAGATCGACCAGGAGAAGTTGACGGTCAACGAGGTGGTGGTCGGCAACCTCTGGCGGCCCGTACAGATCAACGCGCTCGACCCCGCGGTGCTGTTCACAAGCCTGTACACCGCCCTTATGTACAGCATCTTCTACTCGTTCTTCGAGGTGTTCCCGCTCGTCTACGCGACCGGCAACCCGGGCACCGCCACGCACGGCTACGGCATGAACGCAGGCCAGATCGGCCTCATTTTCCTGTCCATCTCGGTCGGCGTCAGCATCGCCATCGCCATTTACCTGTACTATCTGCGGTACGTTTTCGAGCCCGAGATCATGACCATGGGCCTGGGCCAGCCGGAGCGGCGCCTCATCCCCGCACTGCCCGCCAGTCTGCTGCTGCCGGTCGGCCTGTTCATCTTCGCCTGGACGGGCAACTCGTCGCCCAAGATCCACTGGATCGTGCCCACCATCGGCGTCGTCATCTTCACCATCGGCATCTTCATCCTGTTCCAGTGCATCTTCATCTACATCCCCCTGACGTACCCGCAGTTCGCCGCCAGCCTGTTCGCGGGCAACGACTTTGCCAGGAGTTCCATCGCCGCCGGCGCCATCCACTTCTCGCGCCCGCTCTTCCACAACCTCGGCGTCGGCCGCGGCGTCAGCCTGCTCGCCGGCTTGACCGTCGGCGGCATCATCGGCATCTTTGTCCTGTGGAAGTTTGGCGCCACCTTGAGAGCCAGGTCCAGGTTCGCCGCCAAATAAGGGTCCTGAAATGACATGATATTTTTACAAAAGAACGAAAGTGAAGAGGAGAAGGTGTCCCCAAGGGCGTGAGAGAATCGGGCAGGGGAGAGAAGAAGGGGGTGGAAGCCGTGGAAGGATGGGCGGTGGAGACACACGCTCACAGGCACCCACACGGAGAGAGACGGTTCGTCGTTGCCTACGTCTCTGAACTTTCACCCTGGGGAGTTTTTTTTTTACCCGGGGAATTCGTTCCAGTCGATTTAGCGCGGGAGAAGCAAGCAACGGGACGTTGCAAAGATCATTATGAAAGCGAGGAGGTTTTTGTACCCCTTGCTTCGTCAAGTACATTGCATTACAGGCAGTGACAGGGAAAAAATAATAATACTTAATACTGTTACTATGGGCTCCGTCTCCTATACGTTGATCTGAGTGGACGCAACCTATTCCCTCGTTATCGTAGTCACCTACTGCATGTATCCGTGATCCTCATTCTTCGATCGGATATAGGAAGAGTGCTTACTGAAAACCGTGCCGTGGCGCGATGCTGCACTCGGAATTTAAGAAAGTCACGCAAGACACGATTGTCACTTGTGTCCATAGATTGACCAAACTGGATGGCATCTTGATAATACCTGCTTGGTGTGCTTTCAAGAAGATGGCTATCTGCCTGCAATGGGGTGGAGGTGTTGTATTGTATTTCCTCTACCTAGGTGGAGAGCCAGGCAATGCTCGGTTCAGTCTTTTCCGGTACGCAGTAGTACTGAATCGGACCCTGGCCTTGCTCCCGATCAATGAGTAGCGATAGCCTCTTTTTGAGAAGCAAAGGGTTGCAACGCCACCTCCACCAACACCAAGTGACTCTCTGTCATGCCTATTCCGTACGGATCGGAAATGGCCTTCTGCTATTCCAGCAATCCCAACAGTGAAACAAAGTTCCCACCAGTAAACTCGAAAGAATCACCTCCGAATGAAACGCCTTGGTTCCCAAATTGACTTTCTCTTGATTTTGAAGGATGGTGAGGCCGACGTCGATGCAGCCTCGAACACACCTGCTCTTTACCGCGGAAGTGTGTCATCCACTTACAGTGGGACGGGAATAATTAAAGGAAAGAACTCATGTTGAGAAGAGACAAAGTTAGGCTTGAATGTTGGCCTGCTCCGTCTGTCGAGTCTGCAGGGACTGTTTGGCGAGTGTTTTGGCAAAGAGAGTCTGTGGCTTTGCGTTTCTAGAAGTCATGAAGAAGAGCTTAGTCAATATCACAATTCTGGTACTGTCTCAATTTGTCGGAGATGGCTGAAGGATTGCAGGCTTTGGAAGGAACATACGCGAATCTCTTGCCCTTGATCGCACTCAACTTCTTCGTCGTAGGGCTGGCAATGGCGTCTGATGGTGAAATGTATGTCTGACTTTGACCGTGTCCGGCAGTGTACTGCTGCGCTGCAAAGTTGAAGCGCGGCATGGCCTTTTCGTCAAAGCTCGGCTTGGTCATGGTCTTTTCTGGTGATTGGGATTTCGTCGGGGAGCAGGTGTTGGGAGAACGCTCAACCAGTGCGCCGGTCGAAAATGAGGTCTTGCTTGGAGACATTGTGAGGAGTAGGGTACGTCTAGGCCGGTGGCGACAGTAGGAGGTAGTTGGTAGTGTATGGTCCGATTATCGTTGTGGTTGTGAAGTATCGCAGGTGGTGAGACGTTTGGTCGGGAGTAGGAAGACTGGAAGAACAGATGATGGTGATGCCAGAGCCGGAAGATATTATTTTGGAGCTGAGGGGATTTGATGCTTCAGGTCAAGGTATTCATGTATCCGGACGTTGCCCAGTGAGCCGCACGGCCTCGAGGTGATGTGGGATCAGTGCGCTGGTAGAGTTGTGCCTAGTTGGAGTTTGTGAGGCCTGGTTCGTTAGTGTTTGACGGCCGCTGCAGGCGAAAAAAGTGGTATGTTTACACTGTAACGTCATCCACGTTGAGAAGGCCGTTGGCTGGACAACACGAAGCCTGGAGCCTTTTTCCCTGAGCCTCAATCGTCCATCGTTCGGGAAATTCACAGTCGTCCTGCACGGTGCTGAAGGTGTTTTTTCCATCTTGTTCAAGCTCCAACTGGAGCAGGGAGAGCCCTGTACTGCTCAGCATCTATGTAATAATGTTTGTACTTGGTTTGCGGTGTTGTCTATGCACCCGCCTTCTGAGCGTCCCTCAGCATCAAAAGCTCCGTAAATTGTCCATCAAACATCACCACCCTGTCCACTTCTTTGAATCCAAACTTCCTGTAGACAGGTGCTCCCGGAGGACTTGCTTCCACATAGACTTCTTTTCGTTCTTTGTCTGCGAGGTCAATGCCATATTGCATCAACATACGTCCGGCTCCCTGGCCTTGGTGCGATGGTCTGCAGCATAGGAGACCTAGATACCAGTACTCCCGGCCCTTCATGATCTCCAGCTTCTTGTCCCTCAATTGAGGGAAAAAGGCTTCGCAAACTTCCACATTGCCTCCAGTAGGGTATAAGGGCCCCTCGGGGGGGACCTCATCCTTGTTACAGGCAATCCATCTCGAGTAGGCAACGACAGGACTTCCAGATAGTGTCGTATCGACGATACACCTCGTGTGACATTTTGGATCCTCCAAACCCTTCTTCAAGATACTTTCCCAAAAGGCTCGAACGTCTGGTACATCCGGGAAAGTTTGTGACATGACGAGATCATTTGTAAATGCGGCGAAGAAGATGTCGCAAAGCGTGGGAATGTCCGATTCCTGTGCATCTCGCTGGGCTAGAGCCATTGCTGTTTGAGCTTCCAAAGAAATTGCAGCACGAATAATGGGCAGTAGGAAGAGACTCGAAGGCTGGCCGAAAATGTGTCTGAATGCCTCAGTGGTCAGTTGCTTTTCGGTCGCAGCGGTGCCTTGTTCTTGGTCTGTCCGTCGAATCCAAACGCCGGGAGCGCTCTACGGGAAATTCCACACTCTATCCGTACATGATATCTGGCAGTTCAGTGTTCTGCCTGGAGGGCCCTCTTTGTGCGACCAGAGACCAACGGCAGCCTCCGGGTCGGATCATCCCATCCTCCGGAACTTTGCCCCTACCCGTCCACCGCACCTCAGCCGTCGCTGCCCAGACGCTTCGCCCGCCTCTGTTTCAGGCGCAGCAGGAGGCCAGACGATGCATAGCCTCAAGCCACACGTCGCCGCAGCCGAGCACTGCTTTCCAACGACCCCTTCGAGGACTTTTGTCTTGCTGGAGCCAGGTTGCTTGTGCACCGGGCAGGTAGTGAAAGCTCCAGCTTCCGCATCAACGACTTAATGCCTTCATGACCACCAGTATTCGTTGTCCCTCCGTCACTTCAGCACGACTCGTCCGATGCCACTATGGTAATCCCGCCTCTCGATGCCTTGAGTATTGCTGCAGCTGTCGTCCAATTCGTTGATTTCTCATGCCGAATAATTTCCAAGGGCAATGAATACCACAAAAGCATCGACGGCTCTCTCGTCGAGAACAAAGAGCTCGAGGTAGTGGCGGCCAATATTCAAGATCTGAGTGGCAGACTTCATAGCACCCTCAGCTCCAAAGCCAAACGGGCCCTAAGGAAGAATCTGAATGGGCGGACTGCTCAAGAACAAGATCAACCCCTCTCATATGAGGAGCAGGCATTGCAGGCTGTGGTCGTAGACTGCCAGGGCTTCGCTGCAGAACTCTTGGATGCGCTTGAGCGACTGAAACTGCGCGGCAATAGCACCCGGTGGAAGAGCTTTCGACAGGCCTTCAAGACAATATGGGAGAAGGAGAAGATCGAGGCGATGCTGACGAAGCTCAGTCAGGCTCGTCAGCAGCTTGTGGTCAACCTGCTTGTCGTCCTCAGGTAATCATTCTAAACCTACCACTTCAAACACGAACTGATTCGAGATCTTCTCCAGTACTCATTCAGAGTCCGAATTCAATCAAATCAAAGAGTCTAATGCACGACTGGAGGCTACTCTGTTGGCCACCATCAAAGACTCGGGAGCCAGTATACAAAGGGAAATCGCCAAATTATCTCTGGTGCCTAGCTGCAATTCGATTCAGCAGAAGGAAACCTTCAAATCAACCTGGTCAGCGAGGAACGAGACCGACCTGTCTCGTATGGCGTTGGCATTGACGGCAGCGACGCGCCTAGACAGGGCGAACTCCAACAACACAATGCTGCTTGACAGTCTATATTTTACCCAAATTGCCGAGCGTAAATCCAATATCCGCCAAGCGCACACCAGTACTTTCAAGTGGGTATTCGAGCCGAGAGCAGAATTTGAAGATCGGTGGACTAATCTCCCACGCTGGCTTGATGGTACCGAGCCTGGTCAGAACGTGTACTGGATCACTGGCAAGGCTGGTTCAGGAAAAAGTACGTTGATGAGATATTTGTACGAAGCTACCGAGACTAAGGACCTCCTCAATGCTTGGGCTGGCAACAGCAAACTGTTGACAGCATGCTGCTTCTTCTGGAATCCTGGGAACGAAATCCAAAAGTCGCTGAATGGCCTTTTGCGGACGTTATTACACGAACTCCTCACACACAGCCCCAACTGTATCAAAACAGTTGCGCCGTGGAGGTGGAGATCATTAGATCTGGGGGCAAAATTCCTGGAACCGTGGACAGATGCCGAGCTTCTGAATGTTCTGGATGCCTTTTTCCGCGATACTGCCAAGGACACCCGGATCTGTTTGTTTGTCGACGGTTTGGACGAGTTTCACGGCACTGATGAAACACGAGAGAATCTAATCGAATTGCTCCAAAGTCTTGCGTCCAATGATAATGCGAAGATTTGCCTGTCGAGTCGTCCTTGGAATATATTTGAGGATGCGTTTGGCCGTGGACCCATGCTTCGGCTCGAAGACTTAACGCGTCCAGATATTCGACAATATGTCAGTGAGAAGCTCACTCAGCACCGGCGGTTCGAAGTGCTCAAGCAATTGTACGAGGAGGAGTGCATCTCTCTAGTGGATAACATTGTTGATAAGGCCTCAGGCGTCTTCTTGTGGGTTTACCTAGTAGTTCGGTCTTTGACGCAAGGTTTGCGAGATGAAGACGGAATATCCGATCTCACGAGACGGCTGGAACTGATTCCCGCCGACCTTGAGCTCTACTTCGACCAGATGCTGTCGACCATTGACCCTTTCCATCTTCCACGGTCAAGTGAACTTTTCCAGCTCACCATGTGCACTGACCGTCGGCTGTCGCAGCTAACTCTCTCATTTATACACGAGGATAAGCCAGATGCCCTCGTCACTTTCCTCAGAAAAGACCGAGAAGCAGCAATCTTACACGCATACAACTCAACTAGCCGTCGAGTAAATGCACTGAGCAAAGGCTTGCTGGAGGTCAACCGGACCGATTCGACCAACCCCTATTTCATGTACGGTGTCGATTTCCTTCACAGGACGGTGCGTGATTTTCTGGCCATGGACGAAGTCCGCCAAAAGCTGGAAAAGTACTCCAAGGGAGCATTCCCATGCCAGCTCCGTCTCTGCACCGCAGTCTTGGCTCAGATACGATCGTTGGGACCGAATTTCGAATCACTCACGGATGCAGAAGCCTTTTTACGACTTCTAGACGAATTCTTGTTTTATGCTTCGGCCTTGGAGATGACGAGATCTAGGATCCCGGAGGAATTGTTCGCCGCACTGAGAGAACGACTAGATCTGTTTGATATCAGTAATGTCGTGAACATAGCAGGTCTCCGCTCTCGGGAGGTGCAAGCTCTGGATCTCAGGAACAACCTCAAAATGTTCACTTCCGCACACTGGTCAGAAGGTGATGCCGGGGACAAGAACAATCAGCTCAGCTTTTTCATCTCAACAGGGCTATTCGACCCAGTGGCAGATTTGATTGGAAGCCACCCGGACGCCATTTCAAAGAAGGAAGGTCGCCCCTTGCTCGACTATGCCCTACGACGGGATCGACATGCAGCCATTGAGCTCAAGTTGCCCAATCTGCAGACGACGCGTTTCCTGCTTGAAAGTGGCGCAGATCCGAATCAGATGTACAATGAGCGTACTGTATGGCATGGTTTCCTAAGCTGGATGAGAGACAATCAGAAGATTATTTCGCCGTCGCAAAAGGCTTGGGCGGACGCGACCAAATTGATGATCGAATATGGTGCAGATGCTTTTCCAACGGTTGGAGCGTTTTTCCGCGAAATATTCGATACCCAGACAGCGAAGGAGTTGAATACATTGCTCAGTGAGAGAGTTGCTGAGTCTGAAGCTGAAACTGAGACTAAAGAGGGGGATTCTGAACTCTCCACCGCCGGCATCTGGCTTCCTCGTTCTCGGTTGGAGAAGAAGATGAAACTGATGCCAGCAGAGAAGGGAGACCAGGGGATTCTGGCTGGATTTCGACAAATGTTCACTTGGTCACAATGGGGGTGAGATGTGTGGTGGGTCTTTTATTCTCCTGTCACTACATTACAGTGTCACTCCAATTGGTTTCGATGTATGCGTTATGAGCGATCTTACAACTTTGTCCATGTGCAGGTTTGTCTTTCTTTTGGTTGATGCAGCGTCTTCTTGATGGTGGAATAAGCTAGATACCCTTTTGCTGAATGTTCCAATGCACAATTTGATATGACGAAACGAATTGCTTCTGACACCGCACACCGCACAGAATGCCAAGTAGGCGGGGAGGAGGAAGAGACATTTATAGAGTACACGATAAGTTTCCCGTGGAGGGGCGTTCTGTTCGGGCTACTATTGTACCACTTGCGAGGCATGTTTCACTGGAGCCCCAGACTGCAAAGGTAAACCTAGACGTGTTTGTGCAACCTCAGCGGGACGACATGGGAATGCGTGTCCATATATATCGTGATTTGCATAACCTTGCTCGATACGCCTGGCTGGACTATACAACTAGCCCATGCTAATATTGTAGGGAGCTCGAGTTCGAGCTCGAGATCAACTTACCCTGAGCCGATCTGACGTCTTTGAGCATGGCCGACGCCGTGGCAGACGCCGCAGCCATGCTCCCAGTGTATCTTCCAGGGGATATCTCCCGGTGCTGGAGAATTCGACCATGTTGCCGAGATTTGACAACTCACCCAAGTTGTGAAGGGTTCAATCTTTGGAGGGAATCGGATGCGCTCGGAGAACGTTGGGTATTGAGCCCCCGTATCCTAATGCTGGTTTCCGGAACCCGCAAGCACGAGTCGCGCTCAATACTTTTTGCACGATAGGCCAAATGAAAAATTCGCTCGTCTGCTAACCACCAGTCCGAAGAAAATGATCAACGTAGGGATGGAAAAAGCCGCATAGTCGGCTAAGCAAGGAGTGTCGACGACGCAGCAGGGCCGTGTAGCATGTACCCGGTGTCAGAACAAGGAGTTTCTCGAGAAAAAGGGACCCAATGGTGATACGCTGGGCGCGCATTTCGACCAGGCTGACTGTCACACGGCAAGGCCAAGCGCCTGACAGACTCATTATCACACGGGGGGCCTACATCAGTAAGACTGGAAGATGTCACAATAAAGCGGTATATGTCTTATAGGCCGGGGGAAAGATGCTTCAATTCTTGCATAACGCTATGCGGACATCTTCCGTGAGAAATAATGATGTTTGTGAGTACACTTGTCGCGACACTGTCGCACACGCCGTGTCTAACAAAGTCCTTGAGTCGTCGAGTGTCTCTGTCGCATGCATTGGAAGCTGTTCGTAAATGAGCATATGCCACATCGACCCAGGGATGATAAAGCATTTAATGATGTTTGTTTGCCAGTCTTGGCAGTTTTGGGTGGCTGATGACGTCGACTTCGGAGGACGCACTAGTTAGTTCGACATCAATTGCGTCCTCATCAGGTACGGTGTGGAAGAAGTGTTGTTTAGACACCACTAGCAGAATTCGTGCCATCGAGACCGAGCCGTGACAATGATATAGGGTGATTTGCAACAATCACACCAACATGGCTCTCAGCCTCTATCTCTTGACATTCAACTGTGGTCGGGCACTGGTCCAGCCTGACGTCTTTGGGCCTTACTTGTTTGACGCGTTAACACCAGCCTCGCAGCCTCCAGAGATCGTGGTGTTGTCCTTACAAGAGATCGCACCCATCAGCTACTCGTTTCTCGGTGGATCGTTCTTGACGCCATACTTCAACGCTTTGCGCCAAGCGGTCAAATCGTCATCCAAGAACAGGGACCATAGCTATGTCAATGTCGTCACGAGGAATCTGGGGATGACGGCGTTGATGGTTTTTGCTCGAGACGATGTCGCGGACAACTTCACCTGGCTTCAAACTGCCGGAGTTGGTCTCGGGGTGAGTGAAATGGGCAACAAGGGTGCGGTCGGCGTCCGGCTGGGTTACAAGGTACCCGATGGGCAAGAGCTGCAGCTGACTTTTGTCTCTGCTCACTTGGCTCCGATGGAGGACGGTCTCGAGCAGCGCAACGAAGACTACAAGAACATTGTGCAACGACTTGTGTTTGTGCCAGACCAGGACCGGAAGGCCGTGCGTCAAGATGAGCAAAGCGAAGATGCACCGTTACTGCAAGGAACAACGACCGATCCACCACAGAATACCATCTCCGAGAGTGGCATCTACTCTCCCAAATCATACCTCTTCTTCGCCGGTGACCTGAACTACCGTACGTCACTCCTGCAGCCTTCGCCATTAGACGTCAAACAGCGATTCCCTCAGCCTACGCAGGATGAGGACGATCCGAAGCACTTTCGCCATCTGCTCGCGGAGGACCAACTCACCCAGCAGGTCAAGGCAGGAAACACATTGCACGGATTGACCGAAGCACCGATCACCTTCCCGCCTACGTACAAATATGCACACAAGGGGGACAAACCTGTCATTCTGGACGGAGAGGGTGATTGGGCATGGGCAACGCACCGATGGCCCAGCTGGTGCGATAGGATCTTGTTCAAGAACGGGCACGGTGTCCAGGCGACTCCACAGAAGTACACATGTCTACCTCTGTTTGCAACCTCGGATCATCGGCCGGTTGCGTTGAGTGCAACAGTGCCATTCAAGGCAGCGTCGGATGCAGGGCAGGCGGACAGAGCACCTTTTGAAATCGACACGTCGTGGAAAATCCGACGGACAATGGCGCGAAGGAAGGAATTAGCCGTGGGAATTTTGGCTTATTTGACACTGACGAGAGAGGGAAATGGACTGCTGGCAGCATCCGTCATTGGTGCGATTGGGGGATGGCTGATTATCAGATCGATGTTGGTGTGATGAGTACGGGTGACAATTTCAGTTAGCGAGACAGAACAGGCGCCCCAGATAGGGAAGTCGCTCTCTTGGAAGAATTTTGCGTGGCTTTCAGCCAGCAGGAGAAAGGGGTGGGTTTTTGCTTCTGCTGCTGTACAGTAATCCAGAAGAACATTTGGCGTTCGTAGTTAGTCATGGTGTGGTGTGGTCTGGGATTGGTGGAAAAGGGATTACGCGAACAAGTTCATTACAGCCTTCGAATGCTTCCGTGCATGTTCTAGCGGGTGGAGAGGAGTCAGGAAGGGTCGTGTACTTGTACAAATCAAGGGACCAAGTTCCAACGAGTTGGTGATTGGACTCTCAAGCGATATTACAGTATATTGTAGTCTTTGTCGGCCTCGGCTGCGCAAATACTCCGGAGGAAGAGAACACGCTGCGAGCGAGAACTCTCTGTCAGGCGCTCTCACTGTTGAAGATATTACAGTCTCACCGCGGTTCCGGCGGCGGAAGATGCGCACAGTGAAGAGAGCTGCGACGCGAATACGCATCCCACGACGCGGGCCAGGTGACAAGGTACAGTAGGGACAATATCTACTGCCTTCGCAGGGTAGGTATGTAGTTCGTTAGGGTCGAATACCACAAACGCGTGTCAGCACAGCCATCGCAAGCCGTCCATTAGTTAAACCGAGGACACTCCACCGAGAGAGCCTGGACGGACCGAGGCGTGGTCTGACAAACAGTTAACGGGTCTCATCAGCGCTCTGGCAACTAATCAGTGTTGCGGACCAGACTCCGTAGCGGCGCTTCACTTTACTGAAACAAGTAGTTCCACAAGGCAGCATGATTCATCGAGTACGAGTACGAGCCCTAGTAACAAATAATCAATCATGCGGCTGATGGTGCCAGGTCCGACTCCGTGAGGCTCCGGCAGATCCGTATGAATGAAATACATACTTGTACCCAGCACGTGAGACTTTGGTCTCTCGAGCAACCAGCATCGGAGGATGGAATCGGAATCGGTTGATCACAAGGCGAAAGAAAGGACCGGTGTGAGCGGGAATCCGGGAGCCTTGCAATGACTAAGTCCAGTAGGGGATCAGTCACGAAGTAAGAGTACGGCAGCAGTCGTATATCGTTTAAGCATGGCACGATTTCGTAGTGAGAACGGTCAAGGAGACACGTAAGACGGTGGGCTGAGGGAAGAAGCATGGCTTCGCATATGCGCGGCACCAAAAGTAATACTGGTTGACGGAGTCATGCAGAGTAACGCAGAGCGACAGGGTATTGAAATGCAGGGTGATGATGATCACGAGCACCCAAAGGTGTTCAGAGCGATGTGTGTCTGACTGGATAGATGTGCTGTTACCTGGTATGTTGCCTTGAAAGCAGTATGTAGACAGTGAGGCAGGCAGATCACAGAATGACACATCCGTTGGCTGTTCTGGGCTCTTCCACCCAGTTTCGAAAGCGGTTCATTTCTTCTGAAACTTGGTGGAATGAATAATCGGCGTCCAGGGAGCCTGAGCGCCCGAGGCCACTAACGACCTGGTACCTAAGGTAGTTAGAGTTGGTCACAAATAGGCTAGTCGAGGCCTAAAGATGGCGAGCTTAGCCGTGCCCAACGCTGCCTAATTAGCCTATTGTTCCTGCTAAACTCAGGCATCCTCACTATCCCTTGACCCCTGTCAGTGTCACTTGGACACCGCGACAGGGGACGAGGCGTCACTAGCCCTGCGATCTCAGCCCAGGATTACGATCACCCTGCCGAGTATTGCAGGCAGTAACTTCTGCCGGGAGGATCCCAGGCTGTAACTCTAGCATAACTCTAGCATCGACCTACCTTGGGTATCTACTAAGAATTCGACTTCATTTCTACCTATATTTCCCTCCAGCATCCCGTCTGGCGTCGTCTCTTTCCTTTCCTCTCTCAACACACACACACACACACACACACACACACACACATCTGTAACAACACCTTGCTTTCAACTATACCAACCTACTGTACACAGCTTTGCGCGGCACAGCCAACCGATATATACTCCATACCACATCCCGACCTCACAAAACCCCCTTCGACTTGTTGATATTCCTCCCTCTTTGGCACTCCACCAAATCCACGTCATTATTCTCCGAGTGCTTGCTCGTCCTCGAATCCCTCTCATCATGTTCTCCTGCTCGAACCAGCCTCGGGGATGCCGCGGTCGCTGTGACACCGCGGGCGGGAAATGCTCAGAGTGCAGAGTACGTAAGCTCCTTCTCTTCTCTCCCCCTTACTCACACACCTCATCCCATCCAGTCATCCACCATACTAACTTGTCTTCTCGCAGATGTACAACTTCCGTAGTCGACCTGCCGCCAACAGACCCTTTCGTTCCGTCTTGTCTCAGCCATCCAACTATCGATCAGGGCTCCGGACTACGTCATTGGAGGCTGATGTCACCATGGCGTTGTGCCCTGCAGATTGAGACGAGATAGCAAGACCAGGATTATTCACCACCAGTGCACCACTCATCTCGCACCAACCAACTATCTATCCCCTGCGCCCTCTCATTCGCATCCTCGAAACAACTTCGGATTTTCTCGAATGAATGTCGACTTGGCCATCTCTCCGCGCCGATACGGTCTTCTCAGGCGCCCAATCACACGGCGGAGTTTGCCTCGCACGAATGCCCGCCCTCCATTTCTCACAAACTCCTACTAGCGATTTTGTCTCGACTGGCGCCCGCTATTTTTGTTCATGCCCTCCGCCTCATTTTTGTCTGCGGGCTTGCGTCACTCTGCAGCACAACACCAACGAGCCCTGTACTCGTATTACCATGCTTCACTTGTTTTTCGATTGTCTCTTGCAGTCTTGTTGGGGTTCAGCGATGGCGTCTGGCGCAGCACGAGCACACGACTTCCCGTGTTACCTTTGACTACTCCTCAAATTGATTTCGATTATGATTGTTTAAGACTATGATTGTTCTTATAAGCCCACGACTCACTGGCTGTTGGGGTTGACAAAGTGTGTCTTGAGAGACTCTTCACCGTCTCGACAAGTCTTCCGGGGTTTTCCAACACGAACAAACCCCCCGGGTCATTACCGGCAGAAACACCCACCAGAAATATACGCCGGCGCCAATGCATGCACAGTGAAGTCAAAGGTGCATTCATCCGGCTTTTCCATTTGAAGCGTTTGGTTGAGAAACATGGTTGTCTGAACTCCCCAGTGTACTACACACTTCTGTGACTGGAGGCTTTTTTTTCTTGTATTTTTTCCTTGTACCATGGATTGGGAAAAGGATAGGAACGAATTATGAACATACGAACGGCTTTTGCTGCGATTACTCTTGCACTTGACGCATCGCGTGCGGGCATGCATCCAAGTACATACTCCATATAGCCCACCTATGTCCTTCTCAAAAAGCATTTGGGTGGGGGATCTGGAAACAACAGGATCTGGATATTCTGGAATGGTTTTCTCCCCAAAGGGTGAACTCAAGAGATGAATGTCTTCCTCAGACCGAGATATACCTAACATAAAAGAATCTAGACTCTAGACTTTCTTAGGGAAAATGCCGCGATTGACATATGCATTGCCGTTGTACCATTCCATGGATGCCTAACTACCTGACGATCGGCGCCCAAAACGTGGCTGAGCATCCATCGTGCCTCGGATAGGACGCGGTAGATCAGCTAGATATCTCAGGTACCTAATAAGTGGAATGAGCACCAAACTACACATTCAGGGACAATCACCGGCGATTCAGCAGACACACTGTATTCAGCCCCATTCCTGGTGCACTTGAGTACTGTCTCTTCAGGGAATGACCTTTGTACAAGCACCTCCCATCACTCGTGCCCGCCGAGAGTATTATTACGAGTACCACAGTATATGTCTCCATAAGAAATTTCTAGCCCTTCCATCTCAAACACCCATCGACGAACGGGATATCCCATCCCGCCTTGGACTGCCCACCGCGGCATCTTCCTCTTCCCTGTCATACATTATAAATAAACCTTTTTCTTTCCGACCGGCATCTTCCTTGTCACCATCCAGTACCCTCGGGGCCGTTTCATGATCATCTCCGTTCTCGTACGGGTACTCCGTACAACAGAAAGCATTCCGGAATCATCCCATCTTCGATCTCTCCATTTTCCGTCGCGTATCGACTTGCGTTTCGCCATCACAAATTTCCAGGCCGCGCATCTGAAACGAACCGCTCGTTATCGACTTGTGTTCCAGCCTTGCGCCGTAGCTTTGCTGTCACTCCGTGTGTGTGCATTGGCCACCTTTCCCCCTTGCACGTTCACGCATGTTTGAGTACCGCTTTGCGCTTATCGCTGATCTGATGGATGTCGCGAAGCTGACAACCCTCATGCCTCGTTTCTACCTAATACGTAGACAAGAGTCATGATTATGGATACCTGATCCAAATGAGGGTTTCTGCCGCGCTCTCTCTCTCTCTCTCTCTCTCTCTCTCTCACACACACACACAGTGTTCAGCGAAGATGCAGATCATCCAGCATTGCTTGTTCCGCGGCATGTTGTACAAAACTCTGACTAGTTCTCAACTCCTAAACTGCTAGATATCGGCTGCGGAATTGTGTACAGTGCCTTTCAAGTACATACCCTTCTCTAGAAAGGAAACACCGATTTTCTTATCACTGTATCAGTGAGACGGTAGGACTGAATGGGCTCTGGATTATGGAGCATTGCCTTGCCGTAACGTGGTGGAAATGTCATCTTATCTTCCAGAAGTCGAAGTAAGGCGAGAGGCAGGAACAATGGACCTGATCACCAGCACTTACTCAACCTCAGGAAAAGGCTGGCTGGAGTTGCCTGCACTCTCCATGCAGCTTCCACCCATCTTCCGATCATGCTGCAAAGTTGTATTGCCTGAGCCATTCACTTTTCACCTCCCAGTCTACTCCTCTGCAGTTCTTTTCCCGCAGTATGCTATTCTCCTTCTGAGCAACTCACCTTTTGGATATATTTCAGTATGCAGGCCAACTTACCAAGGATTGATACATATCTTGACAACCCGAAATTGCCGTGTTGGGAGAGCAACCAGCAGCTTCTGTACAAAACCTGGAAAGAAGCCTGGGACAACGGGTACTACCGTGGTGGTGGTGAACCTTCCAAGCCCATCGGTCTCGATCGTGGGGGAGAAAGACGCTGGGAGGACCACGCAAAGCGAATATACCAAAATGTGACCTCGAAACCGCAGGAATGGAAACGATATCGACAAGAGTACGAAAAACGGTCAAGGAATGATCCTGCTTGTATAGCCGCAGAGAGAGCAATGGCCGGACACAGCACACAATCATCCTCGGAAATCGGTCGATCTGATAGCAGTGCTAGAAAGCGAAGAGATGCGGGCGTCAATGGGTCAAACAGCCCTGGAGCGAGTACATTGCTCTCATCTCGACGATACAGGCCTGGACAGGGTCTGCTCAACAAGACACTGCGGGCCTCGACGCCCACGCGCATCCCTGGGCCTCTTCATTCCCGCGGCCAGCAGACAGAGACTGATGCAGCTCACTATGCCTCCCTTTCTCCTGAAGACACCTCATCGGAGACGTATGGCGCGTTACCGTCGTCGTACAGAAAACTAAGGAAGGCAAGATCTACGCTCGCACCACGTCACGGAGGTCCACGCGGCGGACAAGGGTCATGGCTGACTCCTCGTGGTACAAACCGATCGCTCAGGAGCGTCACAAGCTCAGCTGTCCTCCAGACAAGCAATCTCCGACTCCGACTGAAGCGATCGCTTCCATTCCTACGCCCCAAAAGCATCACCAACACGCGCAACCATGCTGACTGCGAATGGGGCATGCGAGAAGAGGCGGTTCAATTGGCGCGAGCCCAGTTCCTTGACCACATGGAACTTCACAGAATACAAGAAAGAAGATCGGCACAACACAAGAGGAGTTCAGAGGGAGATGACAGGCCAGAGGATGCGACTGCAAGCCCGCATAGGGCACCAACAATACTAGTCCCTCCTCCATCTCCAGCAGATCTCCCTAAAGCGCAACAAACCCTGTTTCGTAAGAGATCCCTCTCGGCTTCTTTACGTAGCCAGTTTCGGAAGATGTTGGGCAAATCTGTCCCCGGCAAATCTGTCCCCGGCAAAGATGGGATCCCTCCACAGCAGGTGGATGCTCGAGGATCCCCGTTCCCGGACCTCGACCTCGACATTGGGCATTCAAGCGCCTTTGATTCCTACCTGATTCCCGACATATCCCAGACTGTACAGGCTAGAGCTTGTAGTTCAACTGAGATCGAGCAGGAGTTGCTTGAAAGCCTCGATCAGGTCTCGGACACACTTCCGGCTGCCGTCAGCAGAGAGTCTCTCCATTCTAATACTCGCTCACGAGTGACCAGCTGGACAGACTCTAGCATTACAGGGTCGATCGGTCTAAGATCCGGCCCAATTGACCGCAACAGACTATCAGTTATCAAAGAGGACGGAGGTCCTCATCAACCTTCATCCTCGGCAGGTCGACATATCGGCGGAGTCGAAGTTTTCCGAGAGCCCTTGCAGACAGTGTCGAACGATGGGCAGCTATTGCCACCTGTCGATAGCCACCGCGTGTATTCGGCTCTAATCAAGCGCATTGGCCAGGAGGAAGCCGAAATCGAAACAACCCGCATTGCGCTGGAGAATATTAATAACAAGAGCGGGGCTCATTCATCCATGGCTGGGCGAGCAACAATCCGGACCGTCTGTAGCGAATCATCCTTGAGCACGGCAGCCACAGCGGCCCCTGATGAGCAGCCCAGAGAATTCAGTATTGGTTCGCACACATGGCACTGCAGCGAGGACGAACCGGGTGCCCATCAAGACGACTACGGCTCAGGAAAACGACATGAACGACTGAAGATAGAAGACTCTCAATCGAGTTTCTTTCCATCCTCCTGTGAGCAAAACCCTGCAGCTCCAAGCCCGTTCAGACGCTTCCTCAGTGAGAGACGCCGTCAGAAATCTAGTTCGGATTGCACCAGGTACTCGGAAGATACAGGTACAGTCATTGTGAATCATAACTCCGGTCACTCCATTCTCCGTCGTCCTCGCTTTGGTTTCAGCAGCGAGAGTGTCTACTCACGAACAACGAATGGAGGCATTAATGAACAGTACATACCACCACTCGCCAGCTCAGACGATCTAGGTAGTGGTCACCAGCGAGACCGTGGAGACCCTGGTATCATTTCAGTTATCTCTAGGGGTCATGTGCGCTCAAATTCGGATAACAGCCCAGAGATTGACCCATCATCCCTGGTCCTACAAAATTCCAGGTGGAATCCATGGTCGGAGACACTCACTGCAATGACAGCTGGAGCGCAAGGGCGCAATACTAGCCATGTTTCTAGGCAGATGGAAGGAAGTACCGAGGAGATTTCGAACCAGATCCGACAGAGTTCTACAGCAAGCAACTACCGCACGCCTACGCATGGATTGAGAGCGATTGCCAGCAGCAGCACGCCAAGCACAGGCCCGACAATAAGTGTGCAGAAACGTCGCAAGGAGGTGGTGAAGACATCTAGCTGCGGTGTGCTGAACAGCATCTCGAACAAAACTGGAGTCGACGCAAAGGCGGATGCATACCAAAGGAGATCCAGTCCCGGCAGGTTTAGGAGGCTTTTGCACGAGAAGAAAAGCCAATTTTCGATTGTGCAAGATCATGGCAAGGAGAATATACCGACGGACGAAGAAATGTCACTCCTCAATTCGGGCCCAGAAAAGCCTCACAAGGCATTTGGGGCACGCAATACTAGCGCCCGACTCAGGAAACGAGCCAGTAAGATGGTACTAATATCCCATAAAGATGCATATGCAACACCCCCATGCGGGCAGAGACCAACGCCCAACACCCCGACTAGGTTTGACGGCAGCCCGAGCGAAAGAGCGAAGAATCAGCTTGTAGCGCGGCTCAGCCGGCCATTCAACATGGATGTCCCTCCTCACAATCGGCCGTTTGACAGTACGTATTTGGGGAAAAGAACGCCCGGACACCCTGATCCCATGGGCAATTCTAGACTCAGTGTGGCTCGGCCTATTCCTGAAAGTGTAGAGGAATTGCCATGTCGAAACACGGATGGTCGACTCGGAGATGAGGCAACTGCGACACAACCAGCATCATTTGGTGTAGTTCGGGGTACTTCGAAAGTTCTGGGAATTTTCGGCAGCAGGAGAATGGTAAGCAGCTTCCTCAAGAGTCGCATGGGATCAAAAGCCACAAGTGAAGATGGGCTGAGTGCTGTGGAGGGAAGTCCCGCATTTATCTGAAGATGTGGTCAAATTTGAATGTGCTGATACGTTCCGGGGGGATGCGGACCTGAAGAAGACATAGATAGAAGTATTAAGAGTTGACCGGGGTCCTTGCTTTATCATCCATGGCATGGGTAGGAGGTGTGTATCTTAGCGACAGAAGCAACTTATGCATTCAGAATACATTGCCAGACTTGTAAACGAGGAGAATTTCTCAAGAGATTTAGGTCGTTCTTGATAGAGCAGAGTTAGATATGCCACTTGTTTCGCTGGGAGTCCAAGGCAATCTTCTTCTCGGTGAGAGAGTTGGACAGATTGTGGAGCGAGCTGGCATCGAGTACCGGCGGTGCTTTGGTTGAGCGATAGAACGGCGAGATTCGCAGCCTGAATATCGCAGTTGTCTTGACCGTGAACTAATCTAAGTTAATCTCTTCTTGGTGGCAAGCTGCAGAATCCGAAAATGGCTCCACGTCAATTCCAACCTCATTGAACAATCAATTACTCTGGCTCGGGACCTGTGAACGACCTACATGATGGGTGGTGTGTTCTTTCTCGGATCCTTCTTTGGGAAACGAGACATGATGAGGAGGTCTTTTTCTGTTTGATACTGAATCACCCATTTATCATTCACCGAGACGCAGCCAATCTTCTTGCTCACGGGACACTGGCCTGGGTGATGTGATGTTTCTTGAGCACACGTTGCCGTGTACGCCATCGACACTGACTGTTCTCCTGCTCGTGAGTGTTTGAGGCATTTTTGACATCCCTCTTTTCTTTCTTTTTCCATTGCGATTCCCTCTTCCTGGTCTTTCTACTTCGGTCAAAATGGAGATGATTATCCTGACGGCTGCGAAATGATGGGCTTTATCTTTCAAGAAGCAGTGGAATGGTCAGAAAAGAAAAGAACAGATATCGAAGCGTGCATGCATTCTTCATTCGTTTGTTTGTTCGTTGTCTCTGGCTGTTTCAGTCGTAGCTAGCTCATCTTGACTGTCTTCCTCGATGAATTTGTGCTGCGCATCCACTGAGTATTGTATTGTGGGATATTGCTTTCTCTCGATGCTTGCCTACAACACGCTCCTGTCTCTTCTTGATGTTTGGATCGTCTGCATTTTCGTCGTCGGGCATTGTGGCTCTTTTCCCCTCTGCATTGAACTGCAGTCTGCAAATTTTGTGCATGCGTCGCGTCATGCATTGTGTTCTCTTCTCCCTGTGGAATTTTCTCTTGTACTTCCAGGAATCCTTCCACCTCCCACTCCAGCCTTCTTCGTTTACCTGCGCCGCACTACTCTGCTGCCCTGCTCTACCCTGCCCTGCGGAAGTTGTGATCCTCTTGGAACTGCTCCTGCACTCCCGCCTACGCGATACGCACCTCGGCCGGAACCGGAGTACACTCATCCTCATCCCCCGTTGTCTTCCTCTCTGCTCAACTACGTACGATACAACCACGCCTCGCACATCTCAACATACAGCAAAAGGAACCTCCACAGGACGCGAATTACGAAGACCACAGTCTCCAGACACACCATCGAGGCCTCGGTCACTAATTTCTACCGTTCTGCCATCCGATCCACACAAACCTTCTTGTTATACCAAACAACGGATTCACCTTCAGTGGGATGAGAACGGTGATCCATCGCAGGGTCAGGAGGAGTCAACACTCCAAAATCATACACAGAATCAGGTCCTCGCCCTCGCGAGTCCTGCTGCTCTGTCCCGTCCTGCCTAGTCGTATCTTGTTCCATTCGAGAATTCACCTCCTCTTTGGATACTGTACGCGTGTGTTGTTGTGGTTGTTGTTGTTATCCACCCTCTTTGACCTGGCGCAACTACATCCGCCTTCTTTGGCTTGGTACAGCTCCGCCTGATGATCTTGTGCGGTTGATCACCCAAACCTTCTCATGAACAGTCACAAACTCCTCTCATCAACAGTCATCCAGCCGTCTCATAAACAGCCACCCCATCCACTCGAGTCACAACGAGCCACGGTTTCCCCATAACCACTACAAAAGGCGAAGCCAATGCATACACGCGGCGTCATTGTTTTGTCGGATTGTTTTGTTTCTGCCTAAAGACAACCTGATGGGCCATGGCGAATGCAAGCAATGAACAAACGGGGATCATACAAGTACTTTCCTCTCCCCCTCGTCTTCTCTCTTTTCTCTTTTCCCCAGGTACGTAAGTTCCATTGCCCTGCTGACTCTCTACACTGTGATTGCTATCGAGATACTGCTTACTGTGTACAGACAACGATCCTCCGGATACTCGAGAGATTGAATTTGTTTCTTTTCGGAAAAGAAGCCAGAGGTTTTTGGTGAGTTCAACTTGTCGTCGCTCTTTTCAATTGCCGTCCTTGTGTACATGTGTCTTCTCTCGGTCCTGGACGTTTGCCCTGCCTTGAAAACAACACACACACACTCGTTTGGCAATCGAAAGATGCTGCCGCAAGGTGCTCCCAACTACCTTCTGAGCATGGCTTGTACATAACACAGACGTCCTCCTTGTTATTTTCGATGTCGATGCCACACTCCAGTGCCATACACTGGAGTTGTTGCCCAAAATGCCCTTGATGGCCTTTCCAAAACCACAGAACCGTTTCAAATTCTGCCCATGACCATCTCGTGCCCAGAGCTTTCTCATTCCTATCTCCAGAGCCCTTCCCATGCCAATTTCAAGAGCACAACTATCCCAAGAGCACATCTATCCCCTTCTCCTTCCTAACTCAAGAGCACTCCTCACTTCCGCTGTCCACAGCACCTTCATTACGTATTCGACTTACACTCATCTCAACCCCCTAAACTATGATCTCTTATTCCATACACAACCAATTCCCGTCACTAAGCACTCCTTCATCATCAAAATGCCCCTTCCAAACCCCGTTCCCCCTTCGTTTCGTGCTTGGTCTTACTTGACTCCTTCCCCCTCGACTCAATGCGCCCCTCCTATTGCATTAGACGTTGGACTGACGGTTATTTCAAAGGTTGGCCATTCACCATGGGTGAGGAAGTCAAGTCCATCAACTTCAACCTGAGGAGGCAAGCTCGGGAGACCAGGTCTCGGCCTTGGTTGACCGGAAGCAAGCTCCGAGGACGGTCATCTTCTGGTCTCAATGGTAGCAAGGATGCCCCCAAGCTACCAGAGAGTACCACTGCGGCAATTGTCACCGACCAGCCGCCCTCTCAAACTGGCAAGTGTGATCAAGAGGGGCTCTGGGCGGGCAGAACCATAAAGGAGCAGGCGAAGGCCGTTCTTTCCAAAGCTTCGGCTGCGGTCTCCAAGATCCCCCGTTGGGTGGGTCTTAGAGGTGGTGTGTCCCGTCCTTGCAAACCTCAGCCACTTGCTGGTGAGGGCGTGCTTGGAAAGGACAAGCCAATCGCCATGTCTCCTACCGTCGCAGGGGAGACGACCACCAAGTCCCGGCTTCCCGTCCGCGTCAAGAAGTTTGTTGCTATGCGACGGTCTGTCTCAGTACAGATGCGACGTAGCAAGGCTCCTGATGCTAATGGCGGGAAGCATGAGGACAAGGTGGTTGGCAAAAAAACCTCTCTTGACCAGAAGTCCGGCGAAGCCAAGGGTCCTGCGAAGCGGACCCAGGGTAGTATGAAGCCGAAGCCGCTCAAGCTTCGAGTTGTCCTTCCGGGGCGCTCGATCTTGAAGCATCGTGCCGATCTCCCTGGGGAAACGGAGCAAGTGCAACCTGCGGAGGAAGGGGTCCCATCCCAACCGAAGCGAAAGGTGCACTTTTCATACCCAGACGGTGAGCCAATGGACGACACGGTCAAACCTCAGCCTAGTGCTGAGTTTTCTGTCCCTGACGACCGTCACTGGAAAAAGTATCGGCAATGGAGCGCCAACCGTTGCTGCCGTCAGGTCATGTGCGTTTGCTCCGGCAACAGGGTTTACCCCCCAGACGGAGAAGACTGGCGCTTTGAGCAGGACCAACGTGGTTACGACTACTTGGCCCTCTCTGGCGGCATTTTTGGAGGTGAGCTGCACTTCATTTCAAAGCTAGACGGGATGGCTTTGAAATGAGTGCCACCTCGCGCACATTCGGCGAACTTGGTGTTTGAAGGAGGAATGGCGCAAGTCCGTCTGAAGGCTTCAGTGGGGCATCACTGTTGTCCGGATGCTGACTTGGTAGCCGTGGGTTCCAGGACGCTGGAACTCCACTGGGGATTTGTGTAATGCGCAGGAGCAGGAGAAGGTGACCATCATCCACACATCCTGAGTACGAGTTTGCTTCGGCACTCTCACCAAAATCTCAGAAAATGGGGACGAACATGGGACGCTGTGTTCCGAACCGCCAAAAAAATTTGAAAGAACAGCACAAAATCATACTAAACATTATAGTCTTGCCCCATCCCCCTTTTTATGTGCTCAGGATGTATGGATGGAGGCCACCTTGGAGGACACCGTCCGTCGGTCTGCTTACCAACGCCAGAGACGATCTCTCTTCGGAGGGTCGTCATGCTGTGCCTCACTTGCAGCGGTCGGACGCCATACTTCTCAGTCCAACTTCCTGCTACCAACGCCAGAGACGAACTCTCTTCGGAGGGTTGTCATGCTGTGCTTCACTTGCAGTGGTCGAGACGCCTTTCCCGTTTATCTCGCTCTTCCTCAGACATCAGATTGGACTTCTTCGTGAAGTTGAACAGGGTTCTGTTTGTCATTGAAGTTGCTTGATTAGATTGAATTAGTCCATGTACTATTTCAATGTTTTCAGTCTCGAGAAATCGATTCTGATTATTATTGAATAGTTTGGATACATCTCCCCCCTCCCCTTCCCCTGTTCATTGATTTTCCTCCTTTGCTTTTCTTGGACAGGTCTGCCACACTAACCGTTTTTACAGGAACTTACAGAATCTCTCGGTGGTGCACAGCAGAGAACAGGAAGAGCAGTGAGTTGCCTGCTCAGGTGTGTGGACTTGTGCTGATCTTGCCGAGTTGGGGATTCCGGTCGTGATGATTTGTGTCTACATAACCTGCACAGTCGGTCGAGGATATTTACTGCTATCTCGGGTAGCGGTTGTGGAATCGATGCTATGTGTAGAAGAGTGGTGGAAGAGCCTTCAGCATGAGTTTGTTTGAGTTCAAGTGGGAGCAACACCGGAAAACGACCTGGACGAGGCCAATGCTCGGTGAGAAGTGTATACTGTATAACCTTGTTAATTGGAATCAATGGCTAACTGCACGTCTGTATTAATAGGCTCAAGGAAGGTATGGCCGGACATGAATCGGTCAACTGGATGTACGGATGGTCAGATGGCGGGATATACATTGATGACTTGACCGAATGCCGGTTTGGATCTTTTCGACGGGCACGATTTGACAAGCTGACGAATTGGTCGAGTTGGTCGGATTGGAACTCATCAGAACGCAATACGATGAAAAAGTCAGTTTGAAGTCAATGACTGTCGTTCGTATCCACTGAGTGAAAAGCAGGTGCCTTCTTCCTTCCTCATCGAACTTTGAATGGTAGTCAGTATAGTGCAGGTATAGTGTAGGGGGGTGCTCGATCACTTGCTTACTCGCTTGGGTTGTATACCTGATTCTTTCCCCCTTTTTCCGTGCCCGAACTCACTCGCGAACAACGGATTCTTATTTCTCTTCTCAGCAGCCCATCAAGCGAGAAGGAAAAGTCAGCAAGGCCGCCCGAGCCGCCAGAAGATGAAAGGACACCAAGGGACCCCCAAAAAGTGATAATCGACCCGACGACGTGTTTACGACAGAGACGAATCAAGCAAGGGAACGAGGGGGGATAGGGTTGTTACCTAGGGACCACCATATGGTACTACTAGTCAATAGGACGGGTGAGAGAGACACACCAAATCGTCATCAGAACAACGACGAAAACAAAAAAACAACAATTGGGAAATGGGCGGCAACAGTAGGTAATAACAATCGTAATCACGACACCAACACGCATAGATAGGTAGGCAGGCCGTCGACGGTGGCCCAGCCCATGCATGTCACAAGGTGGAACGCCTTCTACCCCGTCCCGTGCCCGAGGTGCCTCGATGCCCCGGCACCGGCCAGTTTCTGATTGTCCTGTCCTGTCCTGTCCTGTCCCGTCCCGTTCTGTTCTGTCCCGGTGGAAGACGGAGGAGAAAAAATAACACAAAGATAGCGGGTTGCTCATACGTCGTGTGGGTTCTTCTTTTTTCCCTTCTTCAACTCCTTGGGACTCGAGAAAAATAAAAAGGGAAAAATTGCAAAAGGCACTCGGCGGCCCCCCCGATTTTTCCCATACATCAATCAATCCTTTCCCTGAGCCGCGGATCGGCCACACACCTCTAAGGCTAAATAAAGGGAATTCAAATATGTAATCGATTCATCATACTCCGATCTAACAATGACCATCATGGCCGCCGCCGCCACCACCACCACCACCACCATCATCACCGTCGTCATGATCAAATTTGCCCAAACATCTGCTGCTCCAGCATATCCGCATACAACTCGAGCGCGGATCCTATCATGTCCACAATCGCCCAGCTCGTATTTCCCTTGAACGTCTTGCTCCACACCCGCACGACGGCAACGCTCAGCGTGCACATCTTGTGCGTGTCGTCGAGCAGGGCCCGACTTTCATTCAGCACTGTATGATCGTTGGCGTTGCCGTCCAGCTGAACAGTCATCTCCGTCTCGTCGAGGAGGCTGCGTACCCACAAGAGCAGCTTCCGTTCGTGCTCGGTGACAGGGGCACCGCCTTCGGATTTCAACCGAGACAGCACGGCCAGCCACTTGCTCAAGAGAAATGCACATTCGAGGCTGCACAGAGAATGTTGTATTGACCAGAAGAATGTCTGCGTGCGAGCGACAAAGTCGATTCCTAGACGCACGGGTATCGAGAGGGCGTGAGCGGAATGCAAAAGGGCTGGTGTCAGGCGAGGATCGCGACGGATGTCAGGCGTGTTGAGGAGAGCCGTTGCGATTTGCGTGGCGTCTCTGGTTTCCAGGTGGCGCAGAGGACCCATGTCCACATGAAGTCGGATGTATGCCAAACCAAGGAGCGCCGTAGAGGTAAATGCAACAGGACCATTGGGGTTTTGCGGATCCAGACTCGACTCGGGTGTCCGTTTCCAGCCTGCCTTCCACGCTCGCAAACCCCGATCAAGGACAGCAATGTCTTCCACGCGCAAACTCGAACCCGCCACGCCAGGCCAAGCGAGTGACAGTTGCCGAGCAAAGAAAATTTGCTGGATGAGGGCGTGGATGAGGACGTAATTTCCAAGCGGAGAAATGGGCGTAATAGGACCTGGAGATTGATTAATGAAGAGTCGAGTGAGAGCTGCTTGGAATGGCACTTCGAGCGCATTGTTTTCTGTTCGTAATCTCTTCCATTGTTCGGCCGAGGCGGCTTTCCATTCGTTTGCAGGGTCGGGAAGGTTGAGCTTGATCTCAGAGTTGAGAATGAGTGGCGGCACATTCCAGGTTATTGAGTGCAGGTTGAAAAAGCAATAGACGATCAGCTTCGTCCTCTTGTCGCCTTCAATCTTGATCCATTCTTCCCACGTGAGATCTTCAGGAGATTGTACGATCTCAGGACTTGCAAGCCCGGATTCACGTACCAAACGAGCCAAAGTGCTCTGGAAGGCCAGAGCTTCTCTGAGAAGCTCGGTGTGTCTTTCCCAAGTCGCGAACGCGGTTAACAATAGTAGCGCCTGTATAGACTCCATCTGCTCTTTGCCATCGGTGATGAAAGGAGAGCCAGGTGTCACGTTATGGAACGGACTACTAGAATGGCTTTGTCCTTGTCCCGTAAAACCTCCTCCGGGAGACTGGACCATGGACCCGGTCCGTGGTCTATTCCACAGATGAGAGCTAGCTGAATCGTCCCGTCGCCTCACTTGTTCTAAAACCACAGCCTTTGCGGCGTAGAAGAGCTCTATTCCTCGGCTGTTTTCGAAGCGATACTGTGCGCCTACAGCCGCCAGAGCTAGAATCAGTTCCGGGGCACTAGCGGCAACTTGTAGTGTCGGGACATGGATGAATGGTAAGTGTTCATGGAAGCCGTTCACATAACCGGCAAGGTAGCGAGAGAGAGAATGTCTGGAGGGTGGAATGAAGCCTTTGGGCATGACACTGTCAAAGCCAGCAAGTTTTGCCACAAATGCCGACCGATCAGAATCGGAAATGTCCCAAGTCGCCTTGGTCTTGGTCGCCTCGGCTTCTTCGATGGCACTTCGCGGCTCTGGTCGACTTGAGTCAGGTTCCTTAGACTCTGGCTGAAGGGATGGCAACCTCGAACCAAAACGGGAGAAAGTGCTCAATTCATCTTGGGGCAGGCCAAGTTTGCTGTCGATGGGAGGCTCACCATTCAAGTTAGGTCTGGAGATGTTGAGATGATCGCGTGGCATTTCGGGAGAATGGTAGTTATCAACCTGATCACCGAACATGCTGGCATACCATTCCGACGACAGGCCCACACTATCGAGGAAGACGGTAAAGTCCTGCATAGGGTCGCCTAGATCTGGAGGTTCGAACATCGAGGTTGGGTGGCCGTAACCTTCTGTCAGCATACGTGGCTGATACTGTCCTTCGGAGACTGGCGGCATGATTTGCTGCAATGGTTCGTGCAGAGGTTCTTGTGCGGCCGTCTGGATGCCTGACATGAAATGATCCTGCCCGCTCGAGGCTACGTGACTAGCGGCATGGGACAGCAGGTTCAGATCATAACCCCAGGATGGATCAAGAGGCGGCGCACCCATCTGTTGGTGTGTAGTAATGCCATCGACCGAGTGCATGCCATTTGCTGGCTGCATCAGCTGTGGATCTAGCATGTCCATCATCCCTCTGCCCTCTGGAGGAGCATGTGGTGAGAGTAGAGACTGGCCTTGCTGGGGAGCAATATCCATCGGATCGGAAGTGACGGCCTGCGCCTGTTGGGCCTGCTGAACGGCGTGAGCTGCAGCTTTGGCGGCATTGTTGGCGTTTATGAGGTGGTGCTTGTGAGACTTTCGCGTGGTATGCTGCTCTTCTTCGCCCGGGTGGACGAGTCTTTCATGGCGCACCAGAAGATCGCTTCGCGCGAACGACTTTGTACAGATCTCGCAGACGAAAGGCTTTTCCTTCGTGTGGGTTCGGATGTGTCTCTGAAGGTGTTCCTATGCGGCGCAGACAACAAGTTAGCTTGCGACCGAGGTAGACTCCAAGATGGAGGCGCGCGCTGAGGACGAGGAACAGGTCATACCAGTCGAGCGAAGAGTCGTTGACAGTGCGGGCAGGGTAGAGTCTTGGATTTGTTGCCAGACTGTTTCCGCTTGAGTCTCCCTCCAGCGCTGGACGAAGGCGAGGTGTCCATCGTATTCGAAGCCTCTGGGCTTGGGTGCACGCGTAGGACTGGACTGCGATTATTGCGGAGTGAGGGGAAGTGAATCTTGAGAAATGAGGAGGTGGGATCGAGGCAGGATGAGAGTGGAGGTCAGTGGATGGGTGGGTGAGTGAGGAGGATGCAATACGAGTCTCGTATTGCCAGGCTGGCGGTGGTACCTCCGTGTCCCGTGACTTTCAAGGGATAATAGGCTTAATAGGCTTAGGCACTTTACCAGCCTCTCACGGCACCTCGCAGTTACAAGTACCGACGCGCCCTAAGCCTAGTCAGGCAGCTTTCTGTCACGTGATTATTATTATTCTCCTGGTCTGACACGGCTTGTTGCGCGGGTGCGACCTGGCCAGTGGTCCTGTCAGACGGCCTCATTATTCGCTCACCCTCGTTCTCGAAGCCCGCGCGCCACTCGCAATGGAGGGAGTACCCAACTACGAGTACGGAGTACTTGTAATGCTCTCCCGAGTTTGACTAGCAGGAAGTACTTCGGGATATCTACCACCGGGAAACGGGGTTGATTGCTTTTATGAATGCATCGAGAATAGCCTGCTATTCGCGACGCTTAATGTCAATCGCTTTTACTATTTCTGTGCACCGGCAAATGCCCATGTCACTCGCTAGACCCCTGTAAGAGTCTCGATGCAAAGCCTGACTTCTTCGCTCATCTTTCATCATCTAACCCCTTTTCGTGTGATCTCCAGCTCACTTATCATCTCCTTCATCCTCGTGTCCAGTCTGCAGCCGTACCAAGACTTGAGTGTCTGAGTGTCATCCGCAGCGTTTCACAGCACCCAAGCTTCTCATTCATCCATGCCATTGGCGGTATTTCCACATCAGGACTGCTTCAGCGCGAGATCAGCTGTTCAGTCAGTGAAACATGCGACCTGGGCCGTTCTCAGCCACCTCATGTTCTTCACCTTCCTCATCGATAGCATCAGTGATGTTTAGCTGTGACTGAGGGCGGACATTGGCTCCGGCACGTAGAGGGTCGGACTGGACCATGAGGTCGTTTGGATCGGTTCCGATCGGCGACAAGCGAGCCATTCCAAGGCCCATGCCCGAGGTCGGGGTCGAAGCGCTGGAACGGCTGGAGGCATCAAATTGACCAGGAGATCGACCGCGAGTAACAGCTGCAAGCGCTGAATTGCCAAATGGATTACCACAGCCTTCGCTGGATCGACGAGATGAAGCGCCTGAGCCATAGATTCCAGCACCCATAGTTAGTCCCACGCCCATACCACTGATGCCCGTAGGTAGACGTTGTCCGCGGCTGGAAGCTCCACCTCGAGTCTGTGATCCATTGCGACCGATATCTGAACGAACGCCGAAGGTCAACCCAGATACAACGCCATTGTTCTTGTTACGGTCATTCGGTCGACCGATTGATGGCATGACAACGGCAGGTGGCTTGTCAGGTAGTGGGTGAACCATTCCTGCAGGAGTTGGCGGCAAGTTTGGCAAAGGGGAAAAGCTTACAGGCGGAGCCACACTACGGTGTTGAGGGCTGTCCATCGATGATTCTGTTTTGACCTTGTTTTCCACTCTCGTCGTGATTCTTCTCAGAGGCGGACTGCCATCTGCATGTGGCGGAGGATAGACTCGAGCTGGTAAGGGTGCGTCCTCAGGGTCGCTCATCGAAGTGGTCATGCTGACATCGCGACGCATAGAGGTATGAGCAGTAGCCAAGCCCAGAACTGGACCACTATTCGCACTCTGGAGACCCATGGTACCCTGTGGCGGACGGATGCCTTGGGTTGGGTTGAGCAAGTACGGTGGGTTGATGTTCTGGGCCGGACCAAATCGGCGTACGCCACCCATGTTCGAGTGCTGGGCTCCTGGTGTGAAACTAGTTGACTCGGGATTGAGCGCAGCTTGGTGCATGGGTCGAGAAGAGCCAAAGTCCAAAGCTGCCATGTCTTCAGCAAGGCCTGAATCAGGATTTGCATAGCCACGACTGGCGAAGCGATCGATTTGTCCCATGAGCATCGCACCCTCCTCTCTCTTGATATCTGCCAACACTTTCTGGTACGCCTGAAGGCGTTCTTCGTCAGTGTACTCAACACGGGTATCATTATCCTGAGTTTCATCATCATCCTTGAAGATGTCATGTTCGGCATCGTATGCTGGCTCAAGCATGTCATCTCCAAACACTTTGGGATCGAGCCCGTAGCCTGGAGCAATGCCAAGCTGACTCATGTAGTTCGACCAACCCTTGCGCATCAGAGTGGTCAATACCTTGCTTTCCATGCGGGAAAATGTCTTGCGAGGGATGTTGGCTCCAGACTCGGTGTAGGTGAACAAAGGATAACCACTGTTGTCACGGATGACTTCAAGGTGCGGTCGGACGCCAATGAATGGTTGACCTTCTCGCTCAAACGCAGCAACACCCAGGTTCAAGACTTCAAACCACATACCGACATCTTGATCGGATAGCAAGGGTGGATTGGAAGAGAGAGTCTGAAATGGCCAGTTGCGGGCATGAATGCTGATGCGCATTCCGGGGCCAACTCGAAGAGATGCATCGGCGATCGTAGCCTTCTGTCTCTCTGAAAAGCCAGCGCAGTTCATACCAGCAAACAAGAAGTCCATCAGCAACTTGTTGTCGAGTCCAACTTCACGAGGGATTTGAGTGCCTGGATCAACCTTCAGAATCAGAATCTCCAGTTGGCGAGTGTACGTCTTAAAGAGAGTGTCGCGCTGCTCCAAGGTATACAACTCGACAGCATACCAAGGAAACTCACACATGTCAGTAATATAATGCAGCAACTCGATGTCGTCTCATACCTTGTACAGAGTACTGATGGTGCTCTCGAAAGTACGTTGAAAGCTACGCATGGCGAACGGGGACTTGGCAAGTTTAGCAAATCTGCGCGAAGTCAAAAGTACGTCCACTTACACGTTGTGGGTATTCGGCATGCCGAATCACACCATTCATCTCTTCGGAAGTGAAGAAGCCTTTGAAACCAGAGGTGTAGATATCGTTCGTGTGTATGACATGTGGAACGCCGGGCTCTTCCTTATCCCAGACGACACAGCGAGCTCTTGGGAAGAGATCTCTCATCAACTCGGCCTGGTCGCTTAGCTCGACCGTGACATGACGTTGTCCGAGTTTTGGATGGCGCATGCGAGCAAGACCGAAGCCATGTTCCCATGCTTGAGCTGCGATCACTGGAGTAATCGTTTCAACATAAGCGTCCATGGTCTTGCCAGTGGAACGTTCCATGATGATGTGGATGGGGAAACCCTCTTCATGCGGTTTGAGTAGGTCTTCGACGTGGACGTGTTTGCAGATGAACTGCTGCACTTCTGCCATGGTGAGGCCATAGGGAATCTAAATGAACTCAGGGTCAGCCTCTCTCTCGATGGTCATTCAAAGCAGAAAAAAATCACGCTTCGAGATGTTTCTTGTCGGGGGTACTGTTCTGTCTTTCCGATCTACCAACAAATTCATGAAACAGATCGCAGTTGAAGCCCATATAATCAATATTGATTGAATCTCCAACATTCAGGTAGACTCTGAAAGCCGTGAACTCACATTCTTAATCTTGATCACACCGTGACCTCGAGGCAGATAGGCTTTTGCGCGGTCTGTAAACGGGGGTTCCGAGGTTGGATCGAAGGGGACGACGGACTCCATGCTTGCTTCTGGATAGTAAGTTGGCAATTGCATGAAGGTGTTGGAGTTGTAGAAATTGACAGGTTGGTTCCAGCCAGGATTTTGAGATAGATTGGGTGTGGAAGCAGGCATGTCACTTGGTTCTGCAGGTGTGATATGAGAGGTAGTATTGACTTTTGCAGAATAAGTCATGGGAGGATGAATTCCGCGCCTATTGTTCTGGTCAATAGGGTGAATAGGTTCAATGGTGTTATTGCAGGGCCCGCAAGCTCCCCTATTGTTCTCTGAGCGGTTTTCGTCCTGGGATGTTTTATTGTGACGGTCGTTTGAAATCGTGTCGGCGCTATCCATGATGACAGGTCCTGGGCCATCCGTAGCCATGCCTGCAGCAAGACGGCTCGAACTCTTCTTCGGAGCTAAGTTCGATGCCATAGTGAACAGGATGAAAAGTTGCCAAAGCCAGTTGAGAAGGAGATGGGGTCTAGGAGCACAGCATGAAATGAGGAAATGTGAGATCAATGGAAAAGAAGAAACCAACGATAGGCAAGTCGAGAGGTGAGCTGAACAGAACACATGTTGTCCTGCTATCATTCCTCCATGAACGTGAAGTGAACACTCGCGTAGGCAGCCTCGAATTGAACCTGGCAATCCGCCTCTCAACCACCGCGACATTAGGCGGAATCGCGAAAGTGGTGAGCAAAGACATTTTCCCAGCTGCACAATTTGGACGGATACAAGCCTCACTTCATTGTACCGTCAAAAAAAAACCACGGAAGCCGGAGTATGTTAAATCCGATCGTTACCTTAAGAGAACACCTCAAGGCTCGCTTTTTCATTATTATCCATGTGATCATCCGGAAGAATGAGCTGAATTTGCAGCAGTGATATGTTCCCAGGCGGCATCACAGACCCGGCTCGTATCTCCAAAATGGGGTGCTTCTTGCCCTAGATTAAGGACCCAAACGACGCTGAGTGCAGAAACTCCGACAGGCTCAATGTGTCTGCTTTTTCTGCTATTGCAAAGCTGCGATTGGCGAGGAAGAGCACGACCTACCTGTTAGCGGAGCTCGCAGAACGGGCATTGTCAATCAACAAGGGAGTTCAGACAAGGAGTTCCATGTACGCAGGAACGGTCAGAATCTTCATATTTATTCTCATGAGCCATTTGGTACGTCAATTTTGCCAAAAGGCGCTTTATAAAAAGTTGTGTTCAGGCAGTCGAGATCCTCAAGTATGTATCCATCGACGTATGGTGGTCGCACGATCTCAGGAGCACACAATCCATGAGCTGCGGCCTTGAGCACCTAGACATACCTGCAGGGTTGTGGGTGCGTTGACCTTGGTCTGAATGAGGATGCTTGCTAAGTTACGATAGGTGGTATCGCAGAACCGAAATCATTTTGCCGAGCAGATCCTAATCAAACTGACGACTGTTAGCAAGGAGCAGTCCAGGCTCGAATATACCTACCGGAGTCAAGAAGGATTCGGCAACGAACCGGGCCCTGGCATTCAACTGCATACGAAGTTAGCTGGACCGCCCTTTCGAGCTACAAAATTCTCATACAAAGAGTTTCATCTCGGAGATCTCTTTATCGACTTCCTCCATGAACTGAATGATGAAATCCACCAGCTTGTGCTTGAGCATCTCCTCAGTGTGTGTGTTGGTGATTAAGAAAGAGATATCATATCCCTATTCCAGTCAGAAACATTCCTGAAATGCCCTCCAGCGGCGTACCTTGACTGGTTTTCTCCTCAAGATAAAAAAGGACTCCGCCCTTTGAGTCAGGAACCGGGTGAATTTGTGGACCAGAATGTTCTCAATCTCATCTGCTTGCTTGATTCGTATACTGACTCGCACACTGTTGACGCTTGGCTCTATGAGGACCTTCTCATTCTCATTGCGCGCCACCGTCAGCGGGTTGAGCAGGACTTCTGGTGAGCTGGCAGCTTCAATTTCTGGTACGTTGTGCCTCTCGGAGGCTTGAGATGCGAAGTTGGACAGAGCGAGAGCGGCTGTCAGGGAAGAGCGAACACATTGTAGGTAAGGACGCAGAGATTGTGACTGAGAATGGTCAGCAAGCGTTGTGGTGGTCGAACACGGCAGGCATACCATTTTCAATGCGGTCCGTGGATGGGGATGAGAACCGTTTAACGCCACATGGAAGTGGCTGTGAGGTGAGAATGAACTCCCTTGTCCAGGCGAGACTATTGAGAGGGTTCAATGTATCTGGAAAAAAGCGAAGCGAAAGGGTGTAGTAAGGTAGGCTGGTATTGAGCGTTTGCTAAATTGTCCCGCAATGGCCGGTTGTTGCATTGACTAGTTGCAGTCATTACAACAGGCATCTTAAATTCTCCCGCGGGTCTTGGCGGGGTATTCTGTCTGACGAAGCCAGGTAGGATGCGGATACTCGAGGGCGATTCTGTACGTGGCTTGTACTCGTACCTGACACACCTCGGGCCCAGGAGGGAGTGAGGCTCGTCGCAAGCCTTCCTGCCTGCGCTGATCACAGCCTTGTTGACCGTTCATCGAACGCCGCCACCACCCAAAAGAACACTTTCCATCCAGTTCTTCAGGGAATATATACCCTCTCTTGCTCTTTCACCACGGTTATATCCCTTCATCTCCCACGCAAGATGGCGACCGTTCCAAGTGAGTCCACATCCTCCTGCTGATTACCTATTCTAATAATCGTAGTTGTCGTCAAACACCAAGGCAAAAAGTACAATGTCGATCTTGACACCACCGCCAATGGCGAAATGCTCAAGTTTCAGCTCTTTTCTCTGACCGGGGTCGAACCCGAACGGCAGTCTGTTTTAATAAAAGGTGGAAAATTGAAAGATGACACCGAATTGTCGAGGCTCAATGCCAAACCTGGTCAGGTTTTCACGATGCTGGGGACCGCTTCTTCGGAGGGCAGTTCGCTGGTAGCGCCAGTTGAGAAGCCTCGATTCCTGGAAGACATGACCGAGGCAGAGGCTGCTGCTCAAGAAGGTGCTACGCCAGCTGGACTCGAGAATCTCGGCAATACCTGCTATCTCAATTCCACCCTGCAGGTGTTACGAAGCATACCAGAAATGCAAGACGAATTGCAAGCGTACAAACCAGATTATAGAAGTCCCCGCAATAACGTCGATGAAATGAGAAGGCTTGGTCTCGGTGCTACAGGTGCCTCGAACGATTTAACGGGACAGCTGCGAGATCTTTACGGCCGCATGTCGAAGACTCAACAGAGCCTTGCCCCTCTTACGTTCTGGACCGCTTTGCGAGTGATCTATCCTCAGTTCGCTCAAAAGGCCAAGAATGGTGTTGGCTTTGCGCAGCAGGACGCTGAAGAAGCCTGGTCTCAGATCATCTTTCAGCTGCGACAGAGTCTCAAAATCACAGACAAGAGTACTTCCGATGAACAGGAGGCCACGAAGGAGGTTGCTTTTATCGATCGTTATATGGCAGGCTCTTTCCATTCCTCGCTAGCCCCGCCAGCAGAAGCGGCAGAGAACGAACCTGTTATCGAAGCCGATGATGTGTTCCTGAAGCTTGATTGCCACATCGACCAGTCTGTCAATCACCTTCGAGATGGTCTCTTGGCCGGCCTAACTGAAGAGATTGAGAAGAACTCCCCGTCGCTCGGTCGCAATGCCGTTTACACCAAGACATCCAGAGTATCACGATTACCCAAATACCTGACTGTGCATTTTGTGCGCTTCTTTTGGAAAAAGGACGTCCTAAAGAAAGCTAAGATCCTCAAGAAGGTCACGTTTCCGGAGGAATTGGACACCGTGGAGTTCTGTACAGACGATCTCAAGAAACGATTGATCCCTGTTCGTGACAAAGTCCGTGAGATCAGAAAGGACGAACAGGACGTCGAGAGAGCGCGCAAGCGACAAAAGCTTCGGCATAAGCAGGAGGAAGATCGCAAGCACGACCAAGCTCTTCAAGAAAAAGAGGCAGCTCCCATCGCCAAACTTCGAGAACAAAAAGATAAGAAGCAGTCGAAAGAGAAAGAGCCGGAAGGAGGCGAGATGGACGTCTATAAAACCGATGCCGAATATGAAGCCGAACGAGCAGCCTCCATCAAGCAGGCAAAGAAGGAGCTTTATGCTCTTATCGATCAACAACTTGCAGATGATGTCGGTGCCAACAAATCCGGATTGTACGAGTTGAGGGGTGTCATCACACATCAAGGTGCAAGCGCTGACAGTGGACACTACACCAGCTTCGTCAAGAAGTCTGGCAAGCTTGTCGACGACGCGAAGGCACCTGGCGGCAAGCGCTTGGAAGAGGATGGAAAATGGTGGTGGTTCAATGATGACAAAGTCAGCGAGGTTGATACTGAACGGGTCATGGGGCTTTCCGGTGGTGGAGAAGGTGCATCTGCCCTCATTCTACTGTACAAAGCCATCGACTTGCCGACCAGGGATGAGATTGAGGAATGATATGGTGTTGAACGGCGGGAGGGGTCAATTCACCCGGGGCTAGTCCACGCCTTCCATCACACAGAGATCAGCAAGATGACCAACAGGAATTGAGATAGAAATAAAAGGTGTTGATTCCGGTCTTTGAATCTGCAGTATGGGTACTTCACGCTAGATCAAGTGCTCGCCATTGACACACTCTGCCATGGATAGGCCATTAACGCACCCAGGAATAACACTTCATGATGTTTGTATCTGCCGCGGATCGGAGAAACAATAAATTACGGTGGTCCATAGAGACATCGAGCGATACAAGTCACGTGAAACCTACGTGGTCTTGGCAGCGGCTCACACATCACACTAAACTGCGGTTCTTGGTCATTCCCATTGTTGAATTCTTCCACCACGTTCGCCGACTCTACCATCGACCGACAACTACGCTACATCGAAACCGCAAAGACTTCCGACCTTTTTCGATCGATACACATACCTACTCGCAACCATGGGTAAAGTTCACGGATCTCTTGCCCGTGCCGGCAAGGTCAAGTCTCAGACCCCAAAGGTGAGCAAACCGTCCAGGGCCGGGTCTACGACAGCGAACAATGATGACGACCACAAGACCAAATGCTAACTCCACACCCTGACTCCAGGTCGAACCTCAAGAGAAGAAGAAGACTCCCAAGGGACGGGCGAAGAAGAGAATCACATACACCCGACGATTCGTCAACGTGACGATGACTGGTGGCAAGAGAAAGGTAGGACATGTCGCATTCAACCGTATTGCTGCACGGAAAATCTACACAGATGCTTACCAAAAATTCGCAGATGAACCCTAACCCAACGTCATAAGAAGCAATCGCCGCAGCAGCAGGGGAGGTGGATGGTCGAGAGCTGAATTTTTACAACGTACCGCATCGATGGGCATGATATGAAAACCGGTCGTGCACAAAAAGAAGGGAGGGGAAATACCGATTGTCTTGACACTTCGGTATGCGTTTTCTTTCGCATGGTGGTGTGTGCGCGCACTGGGATTTCCCTAGAGCATGGCGATGTATACATGGCTTGAAGATGGGAATGTCTCACTGATAACTCGGAAAAGGCGTTTTCGGCTGGTACTCGTACCTTGAGAATACAGTATGCCTGTGCCAAACCCACAATCTCTCTCTACACTCTTTTGTTCCCTACCGTCCCTGGAGAAGTGAAAGCGTGAAAGGTGACATGTGAATCGCAGCCGAACCATCCACCCGAAAATTCAATCCCGCGCAAAGCACACATACGTGCGTTGGTGTAGCTGCGGTACTGTGTTTGGTGAACCTCATCCCAAGGCCAACACATGGTTTATGGTTGCCTCTGCGAGTTCGAAGTCGAATACAGTAGACCTGTTATCCCATTTGCTTTTGACGCGCAAACAACCAAATAGATACAGGGAGACAATCACCATTCGTGCGGCCAAGTTTTGATCTAGCCGCTCGCGACTCGGTGACGAGGGAAGTTAAGAATGACAGATATAAGAAGGAGCGCGCTGCACAAACACATGATCGCTTCGTCCGAAGTCTAACCTCAGGTCTATCCCTCCACCTTCTATTGAAGTAATAAACCACACTTTTCAGCAACTAAGGTTCGCCCATATTACTTCCATGCTGGGCGATAGAACTAGGTATGTGATTTCCCTTCTAGCGTTTGGCCCAACTCGTCTGGCAGGCTTCTATCACCTTGGGGCAGGCACACTCCCCCGTTGGATTACAGCCTTCTGCGGACTCTCACCACGACATTTTGCGGTGCAACAAGCCAGTGGTTCAATGTTTGTAATTGAACCGCTCGCCTTGTGACGTGTGCACGAGTCCAGACTTGTACTCTGCGAATATGTTCCCAATGGCTTAAGCCTTCCTATCGTGGCCCTTGGCCCTCCGTTGTTTGACTCGAAGAAATCCAGCATGTGAGGCCGTTGATTGCTGGATGCAGCTGTCAAAGCAACCTTCTTTCCTGATAGTCCTCATTTTTTTCGGTGCAGGGAACCCTGTAGGTTTGACAGCGAGGTCTTGACCCTGGGAGTAGAAACGACACATACCGCCTCTATCGATCGAACCTTCTCCGAGCGATGCCTGATCCTCAATCACCACCTTTCATAGAGAAGGATCCTATACGAGGAACGGCGGTCCCCAAGGGGGAACTTGAACGCTGAGTATTGGTGCTATTGGTTTAATGGCGACGGAAATGTTTCAGTGCGTTTCCCATCCACGGAGCAAACAGTCCATTTCAAACAGCGATATGTTTGGACCAAGAAAGTTTTTTCGCGAGAGAGAAGCCCAACGCGCATTGATTGGTACATGTTCTGGGGCATTCTGACTCTTTCACCGAGCTGATCCACTGGTCCTAATACTACCACAGGCGCTTACCGTAACAAATTCACGCAAGTAGGTCATCTTGACTTAGAGACACGAATAGTTCAGGAGTATTCCCGGTTTCAACTCATCTAGTGCAAGAAGCCGGCTTGATTCCAAGACCTCCTAATCCTCAGGAAGGAGATGGACTCCTCCTTTTCTTGGTCAACAACTACAAACCGATGTCGAGCGAACTGCACTTCGTCGACTCCACAGATTTCTCGCAGATATGAATCTACCGCTGCGGCTCCGACAAGGCCACACGGTACTTGGGTTGGCAGCCAGGAAACCTGCAGCCTAACTGTGGACATGCCTCGCAAGCTAGGCTGAATCGTGAGCCTGTGTTAAAGTTGGAGGCGCTTCAAAGAGTGCAATGGAAAGAAATATAAGACTTGTGACCGACCTCGCTCACCCAAAGAAAGTCGGATGCTTGCCAGGGCCGGCTTTTTGCCGACTAGATAGGAGTGCAGAGGAGAAATGTTGGATCGCGTTAGATAGAGACTCGAAAATGAAGTCTAATCCTTGCCAATCATGAACTTATCTCAGGACAGAGCACATTGAAGGAGTTGAAGGCATGAAGAGCATGCGGGAACTGTGTATGATCGTGGGGGAGAACTTTTGCTAGCCACCTACCTTGTGTTTGTGGCTCCGGGTCTCAGCGTCATAAGGTCATTCGTAAGCAGCTGGCGTCTCAAGGTTGAATCCTGAATCCCAGTCAAGAGGCATAGTCTCGTCGAAGATGTGGAAGTGTTCGTTCGGCATGTGGACGACGGATTCAAAGAACGCAGTCATGTAGCGTCCCGAATCTTCTGGTGCATTCAAGTCACCGAGCGTGGAGTTTGCGTTGCCATGGATATTGTCCCCGAGACTTTGTCTAGAGGTGGTGTAGGTCAGATAATCCTGCTTCACTGGCTCCAATAGGCGTTTGTATTCTTCCAGGCATCGAGTTGCCGCGAGCCGTCGTTCAACCGTGACGGCAGAAGCCTGAGAGAACGTTTCCATAATGTCTTCGATTTCTTCAACCGCGTAGAGGTCTGCGATGACCGATCGGGCATGTCGGATTCCATGCAAGAATACTAGTACCGCCGAGAAGATGTGATGCAGGGGTTGAGGTGTATACTTTGGACTCCCAAATCCCATGTTGGCTTGTTGGTAGTAATCCACAGCAACCTCGACAGCAGTGCTATCACGAGACGTCTCCTCATGAGGCGGAGTGAGAGGCGGAGTAAAGGAGTCATCTCATGGAACCCTGGGGCTTGGTCTGAAGAGCGTCACAATCGTGAACGGATGCGCGGTGTTGGCATACAAGGTCATCTCTGACCATTGAGCGGTCAAGGCGGTGTCCCGGTTGGCTGCTGTACTTGACTGTATTTCTTGAATCCATGTGTCAATTCTCTCCTCAACGTTGCATGACCAAGCAGAGATGTTGCCAAACTGACGAGGAATCGGTTCCTTATGTTATAGAGCGGATATGATCTCCGCCTCAAGGAGGCGGAAACCTCAAACTCCTAAGGATGGGCATCTAGTTGATGCTTCGGTAGAGGGAGGCGAAGACCACGGTCTTGCATGAGGATCGAAACAAAGGAGCCCGTCCAGCGTTTGCCATGTAGCGTTCGCACTATCCAGTACCGATCAAGGAATCATAGATTCAGTCGAGCAATCTTCCCGTATGAGAATTAACAGTCCCTACCTACTTCATGCCAATTGTTTGATAGTCCTTCTGTTCCCAGTTGACAGATTCACCTTGGTGGATGGCCGTTCAAGCCTGGACCGCTGAGTATGTGGAGAAAGATGCGATAAGGAGGATTTCCACAGAGGCTCCACTTCGGAGAGATCCTGTCCGATTGTTCCTACGGACTCGGTTACCCGCATCCCGTCGTACCTTTAGATATACTTGCGGCATCTCTTGGGCGGACACCCACACCAGGGGCCTGGGCTTGCGGGACCCATAGTCGTGGCACCCCTGGGAATGCACGCAAAGCGCCGGACGAATGCGCAAAGCAGCATTTCGCCTCGCTACAAAATACTGGATTGAATGTGGATGCAGAGCGACTTTGGACGTCCGAAACTGGTTCGGCTTGCTTTCCCATGCAACCGCAGTCGAAGCGCTCAGGAAATTGGATGTCCGACCTACCAATGACGTTGCCAACAAGAAACGCCGCTTGCAGACTTTTCGATAGATAACGATGGCAGTCAAAATATGAGGCTATCGTTCAGTAAAGAGTCGCTCGAAATGCGTCAGGCAGGGCGAAATTGACTTTGGGGAACCCTGACAAACTCTTCAAACAGACGCTCGATTATATTGGTGTAAGGCATGGCGAGCCTGACCAGACCTTTGATTGAATTTGTTTTATTTGAACGGAGTGGTCGAGATCTGCGTGCTATGCAGTCAAGCGGCGTGGCGTGCAAGAAGTCGCGAATTCTCGTCCAAGAAGACCTCCTTTCATCGGGATGAAGACACTGAGGCCTTTTTGGGTCTTCACCGCATGAAGCCTTGGTAGTTCTGGCAAGTCTGTCGGGCCTGGACTTGGGCGGTCATCTAGAGGATGCGGGTAGCGAAGTTGTTTTCTCTCTTACCAACAGCCAGGAGAAGCGACGTCCATGATCATGCAATTGCCCATTCTTGTATCACGTAGAGGGCCTTGGTCGCTCAAATTGGTCGCAAACGACAACTAGTCACAGTCACAGCGCGCAGAATTGAAGGATTGCCATCTTGTTAGATCTCATTTCCAGAGGCAGGCTCTAAGAGCAAAAGTTGATCGTGAAGCGAAAGTCAAATCTCAACCCGATACATTGGATGATCCTGTCAAATGGTGTCAGTCTCCGTAACTCTAGCCTCGCCTGAATTTGAACAGCATAGATTATTCATTTTAGCCCGCCATCCTGTTTGTCTGTACATTTTTTTACATGGCCTCTTTCGTGCCGCCTCAGGTTACTCCGGACGCTAAAGCGTTTCCCGCAGTTGGGATAGGTACATCTGTATGGTTTCTGTCCGGTGTGCGAAAGTGTATGGGTGTTTAATGAGCTCGGTTTCGAGAATTATTTGCTGCATGTAGGACAAGGGTACATATTTTGTGGCTGAGGAGATGCAAATGGATAAGAGTGAATATACTGCCGCGGGTTTGTCATTTGGTGGTTGAGTAGAAGAACGCTAGGGTGGTCGAGAAGACGGAGGCTCGGGCCGAGAATAGATGGTGGAATGTGTGTGTTTAGAGGCTCTTGCGCCTGGCGACTACCGTATAGAGCTGCCTCAGACGAGGCATCGCGTATTGTTGTCGGTGCATAGGCTAGATCCAGGTCAACTGGGTGTACCGAATCGTGTGGCGGCCTTGTAGAAAAAGACGGTTGACTTCCATCAGCAACACTAGGGTATACTGATGAATATGGATAGACCTTTATATCAGGATGACGGGATAGTCCTTGAGCGTAAAGCTCACGGTTTGTACTTGCGGGTTTCGGCGGACCGTGATATTCCCGCGCAGGAGCATCCTTTGGTGAGTAACTCGTGACTAATGGTCCGGCAAGACCAAAGCTGGATGCGTGAAACACCTCCGAAGTATTGAGAGGAGGATAGCGAGGTCTATTAGAAGTATCTTGTCTCTCTGGGCCTGGGTTATGTCCTTGAGAGTTGCTAGAGGTCCTTCGAGGGAGGATAGAGATTGTTTCGGTGGCTAGGTTCATTAGCTTCATGTTACTCCTGCACTCTCTGATCTACTCACTCTTCTCAATCCCCACTGATGGACCCTCGATTAGATTGGCGATGGAAGGGAGGACTGGGCCGTCTTTCCTCGCTTCTTCCATGGCGCTGTGAGCAAAGGCGATTGAAGTGGGGAGACGGCCACATAAAATTTAACTCGAATAATAACTCGGTAAGAGAAATCAAGGCTATATATCACATATCGTTGGTGAAATAGTGAGAAGCTGCAGCGACCATTAAACTAGATTCATTTAATCTTTAGTACTGTTTTGACTGACAGGGCAGGACGCTCAAGAAGCAGGTGCCCTTGGGCACATGGGAAGTTGTTCGGAAGAGGGCCGCCATTGTCATCAAGAGCCTTCGCAACAAGGGGCGTGGGAGCTGAAAGATAGTCCAGCAAAAAGGGAATGAAGACGTTGGATTGCTTGCTAGGTGGTGTGGCGTCGGATTCACTCCTGCTTCCGGAGGGTGGCAAAGCAACTAGTCTGTGGTAGTCCTCGAACTTGTCCCTAGCCTAGGGGTGGGCACCTCCTCTTTGTTCGTTCAGCAGCTGCTTCCTATATTCTCTATGATGCACGCCCCATGGGCGCTTGATGGTAGACGAATCCGAGGCGAAGAGCTGGGTTAAAGTGGCGCAAATAGTATGTCAAGTATGGAGACCCTGGAAACTAGGTTAATGTACGGATACTGTCTCCGTACATCCGCGCAAACAGCTGCGTTGGAGCGTTGAGCATGGCCTCACCGCGTCAAGATCAGCAGTACCTAGGTTTCAGCACCCTAAGTGTGCCAACTTAGTCCTGACCTTTATTAGACTGTTCGAACGAAAGTACATTATTATCAACCATCCTGTTTCCGCGTGCCAGCCGATATTCTTGCCCGGTAAGAGGGATGTCTTTTGTGGAGAGTCGGATTAGAGGGATTGAGTAACTTTCGCGGTCTGCGAACTGAAACCTTTCGACCTGTCACAATGATGCGTCGTAATCTCGCTTACATGCCTCGGTATGCCACTCTGCATCATTCCCCCACGGAAGTTGTATGATAATGCTATATATTGATACATCCATCGAAGTCGTTCTGAACGCGGCCTCCATAAGTAGGCCTCCAGAGTCTCTAAGTCTCTGGACTCGCAGACCTCTCAATGGACTTGGAATCGATTGCGCCCTAATTTCAACCTGCGCAGTTGGGATTGGGGGCGATGGTACTCCGTATAGACTAAGTCTCTAGCTTGTTTAGGACAAATACTAGAGATATCTTGAGGATCTAGACGGTCTATGAAGTCGAGAACTTGCTCAGATCTCAAGGATTGTATTATATCTATATACTGAATGTGCTATTCACAGGAGACGTGACTGGAGGAGACAAGGGAGGCTCTACCAACGTATCGGCACCCTACTAGATACTGAGTTTGTAACGTCAATACAATCCATTCCTGTTCACCCGTCGTCGCGCCCCATAGGATTTATCTAGCCACAATCTAGGTCGCAAGTCGCGAATCTTCAGTCCGCAGGTCCCAGACCTCGCCTGACCCCTCTATTCTGTGGTAGCCTACCAGGAAGCTCACTCTTGATGTTGCCATTCTGAGTATAGTGTTGTGTTCGCTTGCCGAGGCGTCGGTGGCGAGTCGTGTTTGCCGAGTTGTATGTGCCGTTTACCGACGTTGTCGGAGTGTTTTCGCGAGTTCGCATTAGCGTTTGACCATTACGAGGGAATGCTCAATTTTTTATTCCGAAATGTGGTGCGCTTAATTGCCTCGTAGCCCCTTGGCCCACCCATGTCTTTTCTTCATGCGTGAAAAGACATCATCCCTGTTCAGCTGAAAACTTACCGAGTGTGGCGTATATTCACTAACGGTAATTGTTTCTCTGTTTTCAGTTCTTTTGTATCGAGGCAAGACAAATTTTCACTTACCATACTGCCTTGACACTGTTTGCGGCTCAAGATCTAGACGCGATTATCATCACGACAAGTTGGCTTTTCATAAGCACTTCTCCTTTCCCAAGTGAACATGGACAACCAACGCCATAGAATTTGCACATACCAATTCCACAGACGCGAATTTTCACGCACGTCACTTCCAGATTTGAACTGAGATCCGTGCGTGGTCACACCATACGCTTTGAGGGTTTATAGGCCATTTTAGCCGATTGACACTATAGTGGCTCTGGTCTCTAGATACTCAATGAGCAGAAAACCTTTTGATCTCTTAAAACGACTTTCTCTATCATCATGAAGCTGCCACAGGGTCAAAAGCAGACAACCCGAAGATCTCAGCTGCCAGTCAGTACCAATACCGTCTCGAAAAATGCATCATCTACCTCGCTACTCAAATTCCGCAGCAGAGCAGAACAGCGATACCGTTTTACAGCTAGAGACACTTTCTCCTTATCCCGTTCAACAAGCTTCTATGCTTGGAAGCGATGGTCCATCTTTTCAAGCACAAAACCATTTATACCCTTTCTCAGAATATGACCTCAGAACAGATCAGACTAATCGCGCTTTTTATACCTTGATGTCCAATGTGAACGAGACTAGTATGTGCCTTATTCTCTCCTGTCGCTCACCTGAGCCAGAAATACTGACTATATCCACAAGCTAACAGGCCACTTTATCCCTCGGCAGTTTTTCAATCACGCTCTCAGCCGCGTAATTCTTCTAATCCTATTCAATATAACCTATCTTATATCAACCGAACCCCTTCATATCATCCCGCCAGGCGAAAGTTGTTGGCGGTAGGGATCAATTACTTTGGCCAGAGGGGTCAGTTGAACAACAGCATCAGAGACGTCAAAAACATGGCTGCGTATTTACAACAGTGTTTTGGCCATTCAAGAGAAGACACAGTGATACTGACAGATGACCAACTCCGACCCTTTTCACAGCCTACGAGGGCAAATATTCTTCGAGCGATGAATTGGCTAGTGATGGATGCGCGACCTCCCGACTCGCTGGTCTTCCATTACTGTGGCCATGGGGATCAAAACCCTCGAGCAGCCGATTCTCAAGACTATCACTGTATACCATCTATATATCCAGTGGATTTTCGATCTACTGGCCGAATATTGGACGAAGAAGTATATGACTCTATCATTCGTTCACTGCCTCGTGGGGTGAACTTGACAACTATATACGACACGTATCAACCTGATGATCTCTCGGGTATGTAGTCTCAAGAATACGACTTACAAATGGAAAACTCAGCTTGTCTATCGCGTACAGCTCAAATTTTTTAGACGAACGAGACAGCCCTCGCAATCCCTGTAATAGTCAACCATATTTGAATGATCTTTGTCCAGAGACTACTGGTCAAAGTGAGCGGACGGCTTCGTCTTGGTACATGATACCTGAAAGCGCATGCTTAAAGCCACGCTTCTGAAGCCAGTGTCAATAAGAGAATGAGTATATTCAAATCGTAGGCCAATTGTTCTTAGTATTATGTAGCGATTATTCTTAGTATTTCCAGTGCCCATGCAAGGGTGTCTGTACTTTCACGGTCCTCTCTCCCTTGTTTGTTATCAACCGGAGTCCCGGGTCGAAGCGTGCTTCACGTAGGCTCCGTTGCCGGGGTATGGGGGCGCTTTCAGCACTCGTCCCATTGAGAATTATAGTTCAACAATAGACTTAAGTCAGCTACCAATGTCTCGTCTAGTAAGGGGAAAGAGTATGCTTAAACAAACTAACAATGTCAAACGACGATCTTGCTTAGTGCTCCGTTTTCCGGTTACGTGAAGTAGCCTTACATTCCATTAGCCTACCTGCTTCCCATGTATGGTCATCCATTCTTACGGCCTCAAGTGACCATGGTTTTCTGCACCATGACTCGTTTCTCCTTGCGACAATCATCTAACTAAGGTACTGTAGTCACGCACGCCTTGATGTCGTAAATGTTCGTTAACGTCCTAGCTTCTTTGATCGGAACACCAGGAGGACTGACCGAATCAGACGCTCAGCACAACAAGCTTCTAGTGAGCGTGGTGGCTGCTGGGTCAAACAATAAAATATACCGGGGAGGCGGGTACGTCTCTAGTGTAACGTGTACACGGGTACAGCGACTCTTTCCATCGTCGGTGGCTTTCTCAAAATGTTCGGCATCATTATTCTTACAGCCACCATCAGTAATGATTGTTTGACGTCTTCACGTATTTGAGCTCCCATTGGTACTGAGAAGTGACTTGGATGATTCATTGAGACGTCCAAGCGGAGCTTAAGAGCAGCTGAGAGGTTGTCGAGGGCAGAGAAAGACGAGCTTGATTACAATTAAGTGAAGGTCGAAAAGATATTCTGACATACTATATTTTCAAACCTAAGTCTGGAAGCGCTCACAGACATCTCGATTCTCGGGTCTGGAGGCTGTCTTGATTGAATAGGCACAGCAGAAATGTGTAACATGCAGCTATTTCTAACGGTTTCAAGACTCCCATATGCATGCTATCCCGAACAAGAACGTTTTACCCAACCCAATCAGAAGCATTGGTGCACCAGAATACAACCAGAACACAACCATACCGTAAAGAACAGGAGGGCACGGTAACACAGTCACAGTGTCGTTTCGGCTCCGCTAGGATCAGGAAATAAGCCATGAAGCAACTCTCTCATGGCGTTTTGGACATCTTTCAACTCCTGCTCATCGGTGGTTTCCACGTCATCGTTCAGACGCATCTGACCTGACAATTGCTTACTCTCGCGTAGGTAATTGCGAGATAGCGTGCTGTCGATCTGGTCTGCATCTGTCACCATCACGAACAATGCATCAGAAGGGTCGACAATGACGTATTTATACCGCATCAAAACCTTGAGCACAAGCTCACGGTCAGACTGTTGTGTCTCTGCGCGTGGGAGAAGCGGTCCGAGCCCCGACGGCGTCTGATGTAGAATCCTTTTCAGTAGACAGTCGCCACAGTTAGAATTTTGACGCGCCAAGCGGTCGAAGATGAGGGCCGAACTAAAGGTAGGAGTGAGCGTAGATGGCTGACCAGTGATCGAGTCGAAACCTGGCGCGAGGCACTCATCGAGACTGAAACTTGTACACTCTGCGTCTTTAATGGCCCAAGGACCATCAAGTGACGTCCAGAGTATATTTGGATTGACCTGCGGCGGTCTCAGTCCCGCTCGTGCAAGCTTCGAGGGCACACGGTAGAAAAGCTTCTGACGAAACGTGGACCGTTCGGAATTCTCGGCTCCAGCGGCCAATTCTGCAATAACGGTCTGCCTTTCTTCCCAGGATAGAACCCCGTCCCGATCAACATCACTTCGAAGCATGACATAGTTCCAAATGAGTGCTTCTCGGTGCCTCTCGATGAGACAGTGGTACGTGGCGTACCAGGAATATAACTGAAAACCAAGTTCACCCCGGAATCGCTTGCATACACTCTGCCTTTCCGGACGAGGAAACCCTTCGACAGCTTGGCGCATTATACTTCGAGATAATGAATGACCAAAATGACTCTGACCTTTACGCTTTCTAACCCCAAAACGTCGGTTTAAGAGCCAGGAAGTATATATTAAGTATGGCTATCCAGTCTGAGGTGAGTTATTCGTATATTTGCCATCATGTAGAAGAACTTACCTTTTCACCAAATCGCTGACTGTCTATATCCGTAGGAGGCGTCGTTTTGCTGTACCCGTTTGTCTTAAAACTAAGGGAGGCTCCGAATAAAGGAGAATATATATCTGCTGCAGAGTGATTTCTTGTTAACAACATATCGTCGGACAGAGTAAAGAACTGAGGTATAACAAATTGTTAGTATTCATCTTCAATCCTAATAATGACGAACTAACCTGATCGAGGTCAGACGCAGTATTAAAAATTTGGTTCTCGATGGTCAGTGAGTTGAATGTTGGTAAACGCGCTACTGTTGCCCGCTCGAATAGTTCTTTTTGAGCAACAACCTGAACGGGCCGTTTTGTCTGCTGTTGCTCGGTTGCCAGCCATTCAGGAGTCTGTTTGCGTACAGCTCTCCCATTCTCATATATCGAGTTGACAAGGATCTTCACAGTGTTTATGAAATGGCCTGCGTTCTTCTCATTGCTTCGGAAAGAATAGCGCAGTTCATCCCAGTCACGATACCGGTTGGTACCGTGTGAACGAACCCACTTTACCTCGGGATCATTTAAAATAGACCGTTCTTCCCAGGGTCGAATGGTCGTCTGGAAGTCAGCTTCAGATCCATTAACCCCTGTTGCACAGGTCTATTAGATCTGTGTTCTTCAGAGAGGACGATGAGAGAAGGGCAACTTACAGAGATAGACAAAATCGATTTTCGGCTCCTGCTGAATTCCCCGCTTGTCTCGGTCAAATTTAGCCGACGCCACCCAGTCGTCCTCCCAGCCTCGAAGCGTTTCACCTTCCACTGCCTTCTCGAAGGGAATCCATACAAAATCGGGAAGATGTTTGGCATCCTTCTCCCACAACAAGTGCTGTTCAGATTCATTCGAATTGTCTTCAACTACTACAGGTTTCGCTGCCACGGATCCTGTATCTGGGGCCAGAGAGCTGCCAGCTTTTGAGAGGATGTGCGTCTCTTGTGGCGTATTCTCACTGGCGAAAGCTCGTTTTCAGTAGCATCAGCGTCTCCGACTTGGAAGTTTTGTTGCTTTAACGGTGGTTTTTTCTCCTCCCCATCAGTATATACCATTTCTGTGACTTTAGTACGTTCAATGTCATTGGCTGGCGGACGGACCTCTTCCGAATTGAGACGACCTTTTGAATGACGATGAATATCGATGTTGTCTTTCTCCATAACCCTGTCCTGTTGTGAAGCTTGATTTCCATAGGTATGACCGATCCTATTCAAACCTGGTTCTGCGGCCGTGTCGAGAGCTTCGCGGGCGAAAAGCTCCTCATTGGATCTGGTTTGTTCTGTTGTACCCTTACTGGTTGCCTTATTGTACCGTATGACATCAGTGACTTGGTTTGTATCGACGATGATGACCGGCATCAGAGTGAAGAGCCAGGAGGATGGTCATCCCAGCAGTAACAGCAAAGAGGGCGACAAACAGAATTTTGATTCGTCGCAGACTCCATATTCGCCGTCTTGATCTTTTGGTGTTCCAATGGTTAGGGCGAGGACTCTTTTTTTCAAGGTATCCTCGGTCCCCCAATACATGATAGAAGGAGGAGCCCTCATTTCCTATTGCTAGACAAGTCTCAGTTGCGCGTCAGTCATGAACAACTCGTTGAAAGGAAAGTCACTCACGAGCCCGTCTTGTGAAATATTGATGACAGTGTTAATGGGTACAGGATCTTCGAAGCCTAGTAGAGGGCTGAATTCCTTCTTGCCATCAAAATTCTCACTGAGGACAGACCCCCTTGAAGGACTTCCTACGGTCTTTTGTTTGAACTTCGTCGGCAACCAACGTTCTTTTTGCCTAAGATGTAATCAATCCCGACTGCGACTCAGAACGCGGTGAAATATTCCTCAAGTTCGACGCTTACCGGATGCAGCATTTGTGAAACGGCCTCGCATAGGACCCTTCATGAGGATCGGCGCATGGATCCGTGCACGGAAGGATTAAAACATCTGCCAGGCACGACGTATCGGAGGATGTTGTCGTGTATGGCGTCGTGTATGGCTCCAAAAGCGGATCCTCAACCTTGACGGAAGGTTCAGACGTTGTTCAGTGGATCCACTCCAGGGCATTAATCATCTCGCTGCCTCCCGAGTACAAACGTAGTTTCAGCTCGCTTGAGCCACACTTGTCGCATGGTGAAGGCGTCGAGCTGCACCACTGGCGTGACAGGCTTGAAAGAGTGGCCAATGGCAAACAATGCGTGAACCCTTCCGGTGGCGCCACCCGACCTTCGGCAATTTATGAAGTCTCCACAAGACGCAAAATGAACGTGGCCGCACCTATCGGAGGTCAGGGCTTACTTGTCGCAAACTGCTGGAGTAGAGGTTTAAAAAGTTCTCATGGGTTCGCTCTAACATTCAATAGTCACATTTTCATTCCCGTTAAGCGACACTTGTTGGCCAAAGCACGCTGAGGAATGCTTCACTGTCTCGATAGGCAAGAGAGAGCCGTTGATATTATGTTCCCAGCTAGCACCATGCCAACTGGCCTAAAGATACTATCTCCCAACGAATGTAGACCTCGTTTCAAGGGGAAGGAGTGGAGATCAATCTTCACCAGTAGGGGTTTGCTGGCTTCGAGGTTGATGCAGGACGATTGTTGCTGACGATCGATATTTGCTGGAACATAACTCTGCCTCTTTTCATCGCCTGACTGGGACGGAAAGACTGGGTGACGGAGGTCTACGACGACGCTTCGGGAAAAGCCAATGAATAAAGGAAATGACAAGAAATGATGGAGAGATTCGATACTTACCTGATCGTGAAGCGGAACATCTGCCAACCTTTTGCTAGGCTTGTGAATTTCAACGACTCAACAACCTTGCTCTACGAATCTGGACTGACAAAGAAGTGTCTCCTGAATTTGGCGACATCAAACACCCGTACCGAAAATCTAGTGCAGCCAAGTGCAAAACTGGATGCACGGTTGATACACAGAGAGTGATTGTCTCGCATTCGTTGAACCCTTCTTTCCGATTCGCTGTTGCGAAGGCCTCCCATTACATCCGGAGTTGTAGAAGAGCCATCGCTTCAGCAAGTTGAGATACTCGTATCCCCGGTTGCAATCTTCTCTCTCCCTCCGTTCCAGCTCTTACCCAAACACAGCCGTATCTATATCTGGGCATCTTTCAGGAAAGTTGTACTGCAGGGCCTCCAGCTTCTTACCTCATCTCATCTCTCCCCCTGCCCACTCCAGCATACCCTTCTCACGTCAGGCCACACGCGGGCTACTTTACCCACCAGAGGGACATCAAGGCATCAATCTGTCCTTGTTCCTTCATTAAATTGGACTTGGTTTCTTCGTCCCTTCTCAATCCAAGTCAACCCTACGACCAAGGTCATAGACAAGCACTGTGCTGATAAGATCTAAACAATCAAGTGAGCCTTCATCTATACACCATACTTCGCACCTCCCTCACCATTTCTAGACCTCAGTTCCCCTGCCCGGCTGTAACAGCAATACGAACTCTTGGTTGTCAAGTCTGGCACTGATTGCGACGACTTACACTTCCCAAATAGACACAGTAAAGGACGACGGCCATCGCCGATATCGACGGGGTGCTTCCATCTACCCGATCAACCCTATGCTATGCTCCCTCATTATGCAGTGCAACTACTCCCTCGCTTCCTTCAACCCGGAGGACTGACGCGGAGTCGAGGGCTCGATTCGACGGCGTACCTGGACGCAGTACGTGGCTATGCAGCCTGGATCGTGTTCAACTTCCACCGAGAACTAGACGACGGGCGAGACTTGTGGGTTTTCAAGCTCCCCTTCATTTCCATTTTCCGCAGCTGAAAGGCCATGGTGGACCTGTTCTTCGTCATATCGGGCTTTGTACTCACCTTGCGCATGCTTCAGCAAATTCGGAGCCAACAGAAGGCTGCCTTGATGGAAACTCTAGCGGCATCCATATTTCGAAGATACATTCGTCTCTATGTCCCATGCGCCCTGGCGAGTTTTGTGGCCATGTGCTTCGTCAGTCTGGGATGGGCAAAGCAGCACGCACCCGTACAAAGAAATTTCTTTGCGCAGATGTGGCACTGGGCCCTCGACTTTGTCCATTATAGCAATCCGTTCGCCTCCGTGAGTGGTGAGTGGGATTCTCGACATGTGTTAAGAAACGAATACATCCTTCCTCTATGGACTATCCCGGTGGAGTTCCGAGGCTCGATGATAATTTACCTGTTCTGTGCGGGACTGTGCAAACTGCGTTATGGGCACAGGTTGGCGGTATGCGGCTTCGCAATCATCATCTCGGTGCTGTGGCAGGCTTCCTATGTGGCTCTATTTTTGAGTGGCATGTTTCTTGCCGAACTCTCGTTGACAAGGTTTCCGGAGCGCTACGAGACTAGCCTGAGCCTGCCTCGAGAGGAGATCTGGGAGAAAAATGCATCGTCAGAGCGGCTGTCTCGAGCAACACGCGTCATGTTTAGCTTCTTGTTACCCGTCTCGGTTTTCCTGATGGCATGGCCCGAGGATCAGGAACACGGCCTTTGGCCTTGGCCAGATCTTCTTAGGCTGACGCCTTCTTCCTGGAGCTCTCGGGTAAAGCAGCATATCTGGAGTGTGGTGGGAGCCCCTTTATTCATCTTCATCCTGGATTCGTGGCCTCTTCTCCAGACGCCCTTCTTGTGGCGTATCTCCTAGTATCTAGGAGACCTCTCGTTCGGGATCTATGTGATGCACATGGTCATCATCCCTAGTCTCTACCGTCGGGTCTTGGTGCCATTTGTGGAAACCGATCTCAATAACGATGCATGGGCGTATATTCCCATTATCATCATCGTCAGTCTGGTGGTTTTCTGGGTCGCAGACTACTTTGAGCGGGCAGACAGACAAGTTGTCTTGTTTGGAAGGTGGCTTCAGAGGAAATTCTTTATGCCTTGGTAAATCGAGGAGGGACAGGATCTGCACGGCACAGTTACCAAACGTTTGGTCTGCGGTTGTGTTAGATAGGGTGCTGGAAGAGGCACTAGTCGGAGTTCAACATGATGAATTGACCTGTCTGAACCTCGGCCACTGGGAGGGCGTTCTCCATAAATTTATATCGTGAGAACGAGTGTAACCCGCCCCTCGAATCTCGGCATGGTGTCTGAGAGAAAAGGAGAGACAAAACGGAGAACGTAAACTCATTGGGGACTTCTTGCAGAAGATATTGATGTAATGTTTAGTCATGATTTTTCTTCACCTTAGAGATGTATTCCTCTGTGACACGGACCTTGTCTATCTTGTTGTGTGCTTCTCTCTTGTAGCTATTAGCTTTAGTATGAGCTTATAGCTGATTTGTTGTGGCATTCTATGTACTCATAGTGATTAGCCGAGAAAGCTCAGGAGGTTTAACCCTCACTGGCTGTGAAGAAATCGTAACGGGGTGAGAAAGAATGCATGACCGCTGTACACTACAGGCTTTTGGATGGAAGATTGTAGTCTGAACGCTCAGAGCCGAGAGAAACACCCTTTGGTATCCCGGGTCAGTGAGGTGATGAGAGAGGATCAAAGCGCCAGATTTCAGGTCCAAAATCCAAGACGCCTTGATAGGAATTCCAAGAATTATGGAACTCATCTTGAGACGGTGCGTACCAGGGGGCTTGCAGTAGAAATCAGACTGTTGCTGTGAGGGTGCAGAAGAGCGTGAGGAGGAGCGTAAGAAGAAAGTCGCAAGTAGGTTGTCTTAAAGCGGCGCCGCCCCCGTGGGCAGTTTGACTATTGCTTGAGCCGCCAAGGCGACTGCGGTGTTTGGCTCCTGCGCATATGGAGTAATATGTATGTAGATACCTATATACAGATCTAAGCCTCGTGCAAAAGGTGATTTACACACTTCTGTCACACAGCCACATAGGATTGCACTTCACGTCCTTGTCAACTTTGTTGATCACAGCTTAATGCAGGCGCTACGGCCGGCGCTCTGGCGTCGGGCCTACCGCGCATCGAGATGTTCGCCCTTGCTGAGTCGAGCACAGCACGACCAACATGGTCCCCATAAAGAATACTTCCAGACACCTGGACAAATGCCTGCCCCCGACACGACACCATACACAGGAGCATACACTCCACACCTTGTCAACACTCCCACCCGCCCATCACGCTTCTGGCGCTTTGCCAGATCAGTCTTCTGGGCGGATCTCTTTTTCACCATCGGCGCGATTGCGGGCACGGCTCTGATCAGCTGGGAGTACCTCCAACCACCCTTTGAGGCTGGCTCGGAAGAGGATGAAGAATTACGCGAGGAGATACAGGAGACACTCGAGGCCCATCCTCTTGTCGAGGGTCTGCGTGAGCAGAACTGGACTGAAGAGAATTTCTATGCAAGCCGTTCGAATGGCGCGGTTAGGGGTGAACACCTGGTTGGAGAGAAGCTTACAGGCACCCGCGGCGTAACGATGAAAGTGTTCAAACATCCTTCCCAGCCTATAACGATGATGGTGTTCTTTCTGGGGTTCGGCGTCGAAGGTTGGCCTGACACGGTAGGAACATCTTTGGCCGCGTCGCGTGGTTACACGACTTGCTGATTGTCCTACTACAGATCCACGGCGGCATGACGGTGTCTCTCCTGCACGAAAGCGTCCATCAACATCTTCAGATGCACCACCCGGAACTCGGACCGGCGACGGCCCAGTTCAGCAACGTTTCGTTTTTCAGACCAATGCGGCCGGGTGATGTATATAGCATTTTCATTCCTCCAACAATTGTTCAGCCAAGTGTCAAAGCGCAACACAAATCGGTGCATGTCACTCCGATACTGATGTATTTGGACGGGCCGATAAGCGTCGAAATAGAAAGCAATTGGCAGGGGAATTTTGGACCTGGCGAGCAACCAGCAAGCACTCAAACGATAGCTGGCGCTTCCACGATTGACAGACAGAGTCTGAAAGCCATACCGAATGTACATGCGTTTGGTGAAATGGACGTCGCGGTCCCGGAGGCAGGTGCAGCAGATGACAACACGCACAATCCCCCGCTGTTCTAGGCTCTAGACCCCGTGCAGACGAGTGCAAGTTTGGCTCGTACTCACAGATCCCACACAGCACGCCAGATGAGAGTGGCTCTCAGCTCTTGGGACAGACATGCGCCCGCAACGCATGCCTCATGACTAGAGCACCGTGTTTGCTTAGCAGGATCTGAACCCCTCGAATCCGTCTCGGACTTGTCCAGAACATTTGGCCCAGGTCCACTCGCACTCTAGGGGGGTGTCGCATTCAACACTGAGGCGGGAGGGATCGTCGGATCTGAGCATTGACCGAGTGCCGAGTTGCGCGGGACCTCATTCAGATTTGGTGAGCAGGACGGGATTACAACGAAATGCTTCAGGCGGTATGGTGCACAGTCTTGGAGAGATTGCGGTTTATGGCATGGCATGATAGACAAAGTTTTACCCGACGTGCATGAAAACAGCCGAGGAACGTGCCATCCTCCACGTTGTCTTTAGATGCTTATGAGGCAAATCGAGTACACCACGGAAGATTGCCCCTATGTGGAAAACGACACCGTGCTGTTAACCGAAAGTGGCGTGTGGCCTCGCGGTATGGCTGGATGGTCAAAAGTATATTTGTCCGCCGAACAGGTCTTGGAGCCATCTGACGGCCTCGATCGAGTCAGTCCTGATCAAGCATGTCGACTGCAAGCATCTTCACGATTGACTGAACTCAGCAGCTCTCTCCTGTTACATTCGAGGGATCCGGAGCTCTGCTGGTGAACCACGACTACCCAACTCCCGGTCCTGGGTACCATGAGCTTAAAATTGGAAACCGCCATCATTGTCTACGCTCTACTCCTGATCCCTGCAACGTTCCACCTGTCATGGCTGTATTTGAAATGCCTCGGCAGCTTGCCGGCTAATGCAACTGTCTGGGGTTATGCGGAGATGCCAATACCCGAGATATCGTGGGGAGAGTACAGAGGCCGGGTGCAAACTGTACAATTCATCACTTCTGACCTTGCGCCTAGCGTCTGGGACTTGGTGTTTGGTCATTTTAGATTCCGGGGAGGCCGCCACCATCTCGCAGAATCAAATATCGAGACCGGGTACTAGTTAGTTACGGAGTACATTCAAGAGCGTTGAGGCTCGGCTTACAGTCCAATCCAGTTCCGATATGAATGACCCGTGCACTTTTATAGTTTCAGACGTGGTCAGGTGTTGTTGATCCCCCGCAGCCTTCAGAGCGAGTGTTCGTCCTGTGCTCCTGTCCGTTAGGCTTTCAGGGACCGAAGTGAATCAAGGGAACCTGCATTGGGAACCCGGTGAAGCCCATAGGCTACAGGTCAGCTTCCCGCCAGGGTGTGGGCTCACTAGGCTTGACCTCTCCAAGCTATTGCTTATCTCCTGCGTTGTGCTGTCGGGGAACAAGGCGAGCGAGTGCCTCATGAATCTGCGCGAGCATGTGTACCGGTCAAGGTGATTGTGCTGAGGACTTGCGCATTAGCGGCGGAATGATTATTCATGAATTTTGTGTGCTTCTTATCGCGCTTCGCCCTGGAGCATCGATCCAGTCTCCTAAAAGTGGTTGACGTTGCTAGCCTCGCAAAGGACGTGGCGACCTCGCGGTGCATGCGGTAGACATTTTAGTTACAGTAGTGTGGCACAAGAACCACGTTTCGCGCCCTTCAGAATCACCCACCCTGAGCAGCCATGACCATTCTAGGTCTGAGAGCCGTGGTTTGAAAAGGAAGCTTCTCCCTGCCTCCCTCCTCCGCCTCCACTGATGCGGGGGAGGCACAGGAAGGGTGGCGCTACGAGGAGGCCATCACCTCAGCGAAGCCTCCCTCGAATAGAGACTAACTAGTTAGTCGGACGGAGACAATCAATCAATGGGCCATGGCTCCAAACTTCCTGGTGAATCTATTAGACTGTCCCGCACCGAGATGCTGAACCTGGTTCTCTCCTTGGTCTGATCGCCACATCCTGTGGTGGCTCGATACACTCGCTAATCCACTTCCTCAACACATGCACGCCGAAGTGGTTCTTGACTCCTCACGGGGCAACGCCGCATCGTACCAGTGGCTTCGCAACTTACCTCCCTCGTAGGACAAACTAACGCGCAAAGCATGAGTCCATCCTGAGTCGATCGTCCTGACCATTCTGTCTCTTCGGTAAGTACATGAATCAACCCGACTGCCCCAGATCTATACATACCCATCTCCCATCTCCCATCCCCGGTTCTCTTCCTTGCCTCTCTTCACCATCTAAACACTGTTGCTGTTGCTGCTGCTGCCCCTTCTCTTCCTCAAACAGAAAGCATCGGTTGTCGCTCCGGCCAGCAGAGGATCGTGGCCAGAAAAGACTTTGTGAACCACCCGTGGTACACTGTTGTCCTCGTTTGCCCAACATGGCAGCACACGACGATAGCTCCAGCGACAGTGCTACGCCTCCCGTTGTGGACAAAGACCCAGCGTCGCATATCGAACAGATCCATACCAATGAAAGAGTGCCGGGACATCCAGGATATTATGAAAAGGGTGGCCTGCGCACGTATGGCGACGATGAAGACCACGATCATGAACCTCCTGTAAGTGTGCCTGTCATGTTCCCACCACTTCCGAGTAGTTCTTGGGTCACCGATTTGCTAAACAAAAACCCCCTGCCTTGTACAGATGACGTTCAAGAGGGCCTTGAGTCTCGTCGCCATGGCTTTCCTCTGGACCGGCTCCCAGATCCCTGTGTATATTCTCGGTGGCATTCCACCCTATATCTACGCTGACATCGGTGGCGTCGATCGATGGATTTGGTTCGTGCTGGCTTACCTCCTCGCTCTGGCCGCCGTTTGTCCTTTCGTCGGGTCAATCTCAGATCTCATCGGCAGACGCTATGTCGCTCTTGGTGGTTCGACCCTGCTCATTATCGCCATGATCATCTGCGGAAGGGCGCAAACCATGAACGTCTTTATCAGTAAGAGCTCATCTTGACCCCTTCACCCGGCGCTTTTCCCTTTCTTCCTTTCGAGTCGTCTTGGGCCGCTTTGACTCTGTCGAATTCTCTGTTCACATTTCTGACCGGTGAAACGTACGCACAGTGGGCATGGCTTTCTCCGGCGTCGGCGCTGGCATCTGTGAACTCACTTCTCTGGCCGTCACGTCGGAACTGGCCCCGACCCGTAAGAGAGGCAAATATGTTTCCATCCTGGTGTTTACCATCATCCCATTCTGCCCGTCTGTGCTCTGGGCCCAACTCATCGCCTCACACGCCGGCTGGCGGTATTGCACGCTGCTCTGCGGCCTCTGGGCATGCGTCGGCTTTTGCGGAACCCTCTTCTTTTACTTCCCGCCTCCGCGTCCGAACAGCCGCGGGCTGACCAGGAGGGAAATCATTGGCGAAATCGACTTTGTCGGCGGTGGGCTTTCCATTGTCGGCATGATCCTCTTCCTCGCAGGCCTCCAATGGGGCGGGTACCAGTACAAATGGGGGTCGGCGCACGTCCTGGCGCCTCTGATCATCGGCGCCGTGTTTCTCTTCATCCTCTTCCCGATCTGGGAGATCAAGTTCGCCAAGTTCCCTATGTTCCCGTCGCGTATGAAGCAGGAGGCGCGGATCCTGACCCTCACGCTGATCATCACGGCCATCTCGGGAGCCAACTTCTTCAGTGTCATCATGTTTTGGCCAACGCAGGCGTTCAACGTATACGGCCACGACCCGGTCGGTGTCGGCGTGCGCGGCATTCCAATCGGTTTCAGCATCCTCACGGGCGCGTGTCTTGTCCTGTGGCTGCTGTCGGTGTTCCGGGGTCACAACCGCGAGCTCATGATCCTTTCGTCCGTGCTCATGACGGCGGGCTGTGGCGCGCTGGCCTGCGGCACCCGCTTCAACCTGCACACACTCTGGGGCCTACTAGTCCTGGGCGGGCTGGGCATCGGCGGCATCGTCGTACCCGCCAGTATCATGACGACCATCATCTGCCCGGACGACATCATCGCCACTGTCGCGGCGCTGACGCTCTCGATCCGCGTCATCGGCGGGTGCATCGGGTACACTGTCTACTACAACGTCTTTATCAACAAGTTTGTCCCCAACGCGACCAAGTACATTGGCGGCACCATGGCCCTGGAGCTGGGCATCACCAACACCACCTACATCACCGAGGCTATCGTGCTCACCGGCGCCAGCCTGCTCGAGGGGATCAAGGAGATTCCCGGTATTGCGGGCAACGAGACCGCGTATGAAATGGTCGTCCTGGCCGGCCAGATTGCCTACGCCGAGAGTTACAGGTACGTTTACCTGACCAGTATCGCTTTCGGTGGCATCGCCATACTGTCGAGTATCTTTTTGGGCAACATCAACAAGTACATGGACGACCATGTTGCCGTCGTCATGCACTGATTGTTTTGAGCCTGGGAATTGGTTCAGGCCAGGCCAGTTTCGAGTGGCAGGCTCTTGGTACTTGTTGCCTCCTTTCTTTTTCCCTCTTTATTAAGTTTTTTTGACAACCGAGTCGGAAAGTATTGGGGTGAGGAAAGGAAACGAAGCAAGGGATCTTGTTGATTCCCAGCCCCTTGGAATGGAAACTAACAACGTTGGCTATCGAGCCGTGGGGTGGGTATTCGTGTAGATATACAGGGATGTATATGAAAAATGTAAGCCGTATATACTGAATGAAGTATGTACATACGTATATTTACCTAGGTGTGTGTGTGTGTGTGTGTGTGTGTGTGTGTGTGTGTGTGTGTGTGTGTGTCTTCTCTCTCTGGGTGAGTGAGTGAGTGAGTGAGTGTGTTTGTGTCTTCGTATGTAGAAAATGTCGATGTTCATCTCATCATGATGCGTGTAGTCGAAAGAAACATTTCAAGGCGCCTTCACCCCCTCCCCCCTTCCCCTCCACTCGTTATCGGTGCTGTCGGCGCCGAAGCAGCCGACAGGCAACCTCGTGTGACAAGGCTGATCGCCTAGGTAGTATAATACGAGTACGTGAGGACTGTGTGCGGTCTCCGGCGAACCGAAGTCCTCGGGAATCGGGGGTCACCTCGATTGTTTTGTTCATTCGTCCCGTTCTCGCGAACGCAAATGGCACACCAGGCCGGAGGGTTGTTTTTTTTTTGGTATAAAAAGACAAAAGGGTTAAAGAAAAAAAAACAAGGCCAGAAAACCCGTAAACACGAAGAGACGGCGTTGGCGATGCTTGTGGGCATATGTAGGTCGTTTAGACTGTACAGGACGACCGGGACATCCAATCCCACACAAAGCCCTCCATCCTCGGCATCTTCAAAGTACAAGGCAGTACGTTTACTCATCACCCACCGATGGCCCAGAACATAAATACCCTAAATCCACCACCAAGCAAGCCTCGAGGACGGAGGCGGGGAACTGGCATACTTTACAATACTCCTGGCGGCCCATCCCATACTCCGCCGCCGAATACTCAGAGTGTCGAGGACCACACAGTAGAAAGTCGTGTCCCGATTCGGTTCTCTCTCATCTCCTTGCCGTAGACCCCCCCCCCTCCCCCCCTTCCCCGGGGGCATAATGTCGTACAGTAGCAACGAGATGGGCGTATCCGAGGCATCTCACGTCCCTGGAACCTCGGTGGCCGGAAGTATCTCCATTTTTGGGGGCGTCAAGGTAGCGCGGTCGGAGGAAATGTTGAGCCGTCGGGCTGATGACCCCTTTAGAATGGGTTTTCTGCTAGCCTGTGCCGACGAGGCGCTCGTGGGTCGTGACTATTCGACAGATAGTCTGCAGCACTCCGTCCGCATGGAGTGAGCAAGTTTGCTCCACGGGGTGAGACCCCGGGAAATTGGAGAGGCTCTCTGATCGCTTGCATCTCGGGCGCTCGTGGACCTTGGACGAACACTTCCTCCGGTGACAGTGTCCGCATAGAAGCAATACAACCTCTCCAACAGTCCGATGCGTAAGGAACTTCGACAACACTGTATTGTTCGAATTGCGATAACTACAACTCCATCTTTCCGAGACCACTCAACTCTGCCAGAGATTTGTCGCCGGTGCCGTTCCCGTCGTCGTCCGAATCGGGATCGTCCTTGGCGTCGGCGTCCTCAAACCATAACCTCGCGTGGCCGTAGGAGATGCATAGCTCTTCTCCGGCCTTGATGTCTCGAAGAGCCGTGTAGACAATCACCTCGACCCCGGGGTCGCGCTTCCACCCGACGTTCTGAGCTCGGGTGGAATGGTTGAACATCGAGCCGAGTCCGAGAGCCAGGGCCTGGGTCATGGTCGTCTTGCCAGTGGTATATTTGGAAGGCCAGTAGCTAACGGGTTGAAAAGAAGGAAAATGATGAGCAATCCGAGGTCTGAGGTCTGAGGTCTGAGGCGGCACGGGAAGAGGCGGGATGGTCCTCGGCCGTCGTCCAAATGCGGACGAATAGAACAACAGTACTGTAGAACAGTGGACTTACTAGGTGTAGTGCTGTAGACATGTGTGTCGAGTATGCTTTTCGACTTCCTCTTCGCTGAATACAAGGACCGGAGACACCTCGATGACGGTACCACTGGGTATGTCGTCGGTTGCGAAAACTCCTCGACCTAGATTGACCGGAGAGACGGTTGTTAGGCCATTCCTTTTCTAACCAGACAGTAACAACACGGGCCGCAGCCATCATCATCCAAATGATGGACACCAAAGATGATAATGTGGCCAACGAGCTTCCCAAAAAAAATGATTGCCAAGGATAAATACAGCTCAACTGCAAGATGGCAATTGGCCTCTTGTTAGGTACGGCGAGCGATGGATCTCCAATCCATGCGCGCAACTCGAACTCGTCGTGGGTAATAGGTACCTACCTTTTGGAGTGTTCATGACAAGGACGAGGCCATTCGCTCTTGAGAGAGGTTGACGCGGTTCATCGTTAGCAGCAGCATCGTTAGCTGACATGAGGTGTTCTCGGAGTGAGAAGATGGGGTTGACACGTCGAAAAAGAAATAAGGGATCATAAGCAGACAAACCCGGAACATCAAGGATATCTTGAGCCAGTATCAGCAAGAAAAAAGGCGTTTGCTTCTTTCGAATTTGTGACAATGACCGAAAAGAGACTAGCGTGAAGTCCGACAAACCTTAGTGAGATGATGTCATGGTCAGCCTTGCGACATTTTCGGCTTCTACGCGCTTAATGCACCTTAATGCACACTCCTCCCTGCATCTCATCCCATCAGGAGAGCAGACACACCTCATCGAGAGGCTGCAGGTTCGATCTCGGCCAGGGCAGGCCTGATAGCGAGGAAAGAGGACAGAGGTGAGATTTAGCTTCTCAACGCGCAATCACTCTTGCGGCGTAGTGACACTGCCACCTGATCAGCAACGCTGTTCTTGACAGGTAAGTCTCACAAAGATGTCTGTCGATGAGTGAGATAGGACAGGGTCATCCTGCGTGAGCGCCACGAAGGTCTGTCACACCACGTTGCGGCATTTTTTGCTCTGCATCGCAGCTTATGGTGAGGAGGCTTGGAATCTTCCTGAAGCCGAGCAAGCCTTAAAGGGTACTGGGCTGGCATCCGAGCACATCCGCAGGGGGTTGAAACAGCTTATTCCATGCACTTATGCACAGCATTGCGCCATCACGAACCCCCTACGGCCGCAGCCTCGGCATTTCAGCCTTTCCCATGCCTGTTTACGGTTCTCTTACTGGCGCTACATGCAGATCACGCTTACCATACCCCGGACTGACCGGAATTCGGGACAATCTGAGTACGCGAATGGAATTCGAGTCTACGAAACACAGTATCGAAATCGACGTCACTGAGGCCTTTATCTCACGACGACATGTGTCTTGTTGTCGTCAGCTGGACAGCATAAATATGCCAGACACGTCCGCCTCTTCCACCTCTGACCAGATCATCCTCAAAGTCCATCAGTGTACATCACAAGCAACCAAAACCCAACAGCACTCGACCAAGACGAGACAACCTTGAAAACAACGCTCACACCAAGCAAACAACACATATCAATATCAACTGCTCAAAAAATGGCCCAGGCATTCAATGGCCTCGCGATGGATCAGCCCGCCGGTGCTGGCATCACAAATCCGTATGCTGCGGAATCATGGCTCGAACCATGGCTCCTCAAGCATTCTGAGTTCTACCGCAAACACCTGACCCGAGACGGTCGCCACGAAAGCAAGTCGACCCGCCGTCACAGCATCGTCGCCGAAGAACTCGAGTCAGAGTCAAGGAAGCACTCCGTTGTCGTGCCTGAGAGTGGCAATGAAGCAACCGATGCCGCTCCAGCTCCTGTTGAAGAGCCACGACACAGTGTCGAGAGCGAGTCACCAGAGTCCGCGAAGTCGTCCAAGAAGCACAGGCCTTTCAATGGATTGCGCAGGAGTGTTGGCTGGTTCCCTCACCCATAGGGGACTCACTGAGGCTGGACGGTGTATAACATTGTAATACCATGAGTTAGCGACGGAACGAGGAGGAGGATAGGAGCATGACATGTATTTAGATCCTGTTGAGATACCCTCGTTGTTTTTCATTGACGGTGCATATAGCATAATGGAATGAGACTGTACGATTCACCTTGGCGAAAGAAGGTCGCCCATCAAAGAAAGTATTGAGCTTAATGGTACTTTGTTTCTCCTTCTAAGGGTCGGTCGAGAATGATCAGTATTATGTGTACATGTTTTTCTCGACCGAGAGAAAAGAGTCACGGGCTGGCCGGTGTAAGCAAAGGCGCCGCTTAGTCACCTCTCGCCCGAGAAATGGGTGATGGGCGCTATTTCCAGCCACCGCACGTGATCTGGCACCTCGATGTCGAGGCTGCGGACCCTCCCCGCCAATCACACGCCGGCCGCAATCGCGTCCGCGGCGGCGCGTGAAATATTGGCTTGTCAGCGAAATTGCGACAATCCTCGATCATCAGCGCAATGCTTCGGTAAGCAGAGAACGGCAGAGGTGAAGGAGGGCTCGACCTGGGCGGGCAGCAGAAGACGAGAAGATCTTGTCCTGGGTCCCATAGATAATAATACGGAGTCTGCCCGCCAGGGATATATAAAAATATCAAGGTTCCCCCGGCGGCAGCGTCTTACAACATACTGTATGCATAATACGGAGGTCTCCCGTAGGTAGACGAAAAGCTTCCCGGTGCCCGAAACCAGGACGACAGACGACAATCCACCGCCTCTAAAAGTTAACGGGAGTAAAAGGCCAGACTCCACCTGAACCTCCAGTCCTGTAAGCCTCAAAAAAGTCCGCCTGCGCTTTCCCAGCCACGGTTTTCATTCCCTTGGTCTCTCCTCCGTACTTACACGTTGTCTGTATTCAAGAGTCAACTCCTTAGGCCCTCCCTTCTTTCGTCCCTCGCATCCCCATCGACACCATGTCTACGCACCAGATTGTCATCATTGGCGCCTCCTTCGCCGGCCTCACTGCGGCTCAGGGTCTGTTGAAGACCGTTATCCCATCTCTGGGTGGGAAGGACAAGTACAAGGTTGTCCAGATCGCCCCCAGTGAGGACTTCTACTGGAAGATTGGTGCCCCCCGAGTCATCGCGAACCCCAAGTCTCTCCCTCTCGAGAAGGCCCTTCTCCCAATCGCCCCCTACTTCAACAGCTACGGCCCTGAACAGTACGAGTTTGTCAAGGCCTATGTCACCTCGATTGACACTGCGACCAAGACCGTCCACACGAGCACGTCTGCTGCCATCCACTACGACTCTCTCATCATCGCCTCTGGCACCAACTTCAACACCCCCCTCTGGACAGTCACAGACGGCCCCGAGGCCCTCAAGGCCGCCCTAGATGAAGTCCACAGGAAGATCCCTGAAGCCAAGACCATTCTGATTGCTGGTGGCGGCGCTGCTGGCGTTGAGACGGCAGGCGAGTTCGGTGAGACATACGGAAAGACGAAGGAGATCACCATTCTTTCCGGCACCACCGGCTTGTTGCCGAGACTTCAGAACAAGAAGATCGGGGCTGATGCTCAAAGCCGACTTGAGAAATTTGGGGTCAAAGTCGTCAACGACAATGTCAAGGTCGTCGAGCACACCAAGGAAGACGGCAAGGATGTCTTGAAGCTAAGCAACGGCGAGACCAAGACGGTCGACATCTACATCGATGCCACAGGTGACAAGCCTAACAGCAAGTTTGTGCCTCAGGAGTGGCTCAACGATCGCAATCAAGTCAAGGTTGACCCTCACACGCTTCGTCTGGACGTTCCTGGCGTCACTGGTGTCTACGGTTTTGGCCCCGTCGCTAGCTACTCAGATGGTGCTGCCATTGACATTAGCTTCGCAAAGGGCGCTTTCTTGGAAACCCTCAGATCGGACCTGTCAGGAGCCAGTAAGTCCCATCTATCCCACGTGCGAGTATTCGCTAATCCGTCTTCCCAGCTCCCGGCCCTCGCACCAAGAAGATCTACAAGAAGATGACAAGTGACATGCAGATCGTGCCCATTGGCTCCCAAGGCGGTGTTGGCGTTCTCTTCGGCTACAAAGCGCCCAGCTTCTTGGTGAAGATGGCCAAAGCGAAGGATTACATGATTGGCAGGGCTGTTCAGACGCTTGACGGCACTGCCTGAGCTCTATCACCAGTGTGGTCTGTCGGCGAAATTTGGCTTTGATTTTGTATAGAGATACCCAGTCTTGTGCGCGGGTGCAGAGAGGCAATTCTGCAGGGAGAACTTAGCATTGATATTTTCATAGAAGCAGTTTATAATCGGTCCAAACGCCACGGCATTCCGGAGCCTGTCGCAATATTTGTTGCTCACAGTACCGCGTTGAGTACATGATCCGCCCCGACAGAACGACACCGGGAAAATCAGGAACAGCAGAGGTTCCCCCTGTCGCGACATTTGCCGACGGCGGGCGATTTTTCTGGAGCTTCCATCCAGCCTTATCGGATCGGGGCCGGCAGGACCCAATGGAGACATCCAGCGCCTTCTCTCGCCCATTTCCTCTCCTCACGCATTCCCATGTTTTTTTCTGTGACCATCGCAAGAAACAGTTAGTCCTGCATAGATCTGAGCTCTGCGTTTGCTGTAGTCTTCTTCTCTGTCCAAGGTACCCGTTCTCTGCGCCATGATGCTCGGCCGACTGTCATCCTCGGTCAAGACTGCAGCTTCAGCAAAATCCTCCTTGTCACATGCGTCTAAAGCGGTGCGGAGTAGCCAGAGCTTGAGATTGTCGGCCCAAAGACTGTCCTGCTCTTCCCTCTCGCAAGCCTCTCGAAGACCTTCCCCAGCGACTTATAGCACCTCCTCGAGTTCGTACCGGGCCTTTAGCACAACGAGAAACATGGCGGCTTCTACAAGGACGGAGACGGATGCCTTCGGACCTATCGAGGTACCTTCAGACAAATACTGGGGTGCGCAGACACAGAGATCTCTGGGGAACTTCAAGATCAATCAGCCGCAGGACCGCATGCCTGAGGGGGTCGTGCGAGCGTTCGGTATCCTCAAGGGCGCAGCTGCTACTGTGAACATGCGGTATGGACTCGGTAAGTAGCCCAAGCTGTATCTTCAGTCCCCAGGGTTGACAAGCCGCCCAGATCCCAAGATCGGAGAGGCCATTCAACAAGCGGCCGCCGAGGTGGCCGATTTGAAGCTGATTGACCACTTCCCTCTGGTCGTTTGGCAAACCGGCTCTGGCACCCAGTCCAACATGAATGCCAACGAAGTCATCTCGAACCGTGCTATTGAGATTCTCGGTGGACAAATGGGTAGCAAGAAGCCTGTCCACCCCAATGACCATGTCAACATGTCTGCCAGCTCCAACGACTCCTTCCCGACCGTGATGCACATCGCGGCAGTCCTCGACTTCGAACAGAGACTGATTCCTGCTCTTACAAACCTGCGAGACGCTCTACAGAAGAAGGTGGAGGCATTTGACAAGATCATCAAGATCGGCCGAACGCATTTACAGGATGCCACTCCCTTGACTCTGGGACAGGAATTCAGTGGCTACGTAGCTCAGCTTGACCGAAACCTGGAAAGGATTCAGACAACTCTCCCACACCTCCGGCAACTGGCCCAAGGTGGTACCGCTGTCGGTACTGGTCTCAACACGTTCAAAGGCTTCGCCGAGGGAATCGCGGAAGAAGTCACCAAGATGACCGGCACCGAGTTCATCACTGCTCCCAACAAGTTCGAGGTTTTGGCTGCTCACGACAGCATCGTTGAGGCTTCCGGAACTCTCAACACCCTTGCCGTCAGTCTGTTCAAGATTGCCAACGACATCAGATACCTTGGCTCCGGTCCTCGCTGCGGTCTTGGCGAGTTGGTTCTACCCGAGAACGAACCTGGCAGCAGTATCATGCCCGGAAAGGTCAACCCAACCCAGTGTGAAGCCATGACTATGGTGGCTGCCCAGGTCATGGGTAACCACACGGCTGCTACTGTGGGAGGTCTCAGCGGTCAATTCGAGCTGAACGTCTTCAAGCCCCTGTTGATCCGAAACCTCCTTCACAGCTCGAGAATCCTGGCTGATGCCATGAACGGATTTGTGGAACACTTGGTCGAAGGTCTGCAGGCCGATGAGAAGAGAATTGGAACTTTGTTGCACGAAAGGTATAGTCTTGATAGAATATGGGGGTTTGGGGTCGATGCTAACCTGCTTACAGTCTCATGCTCGTTACCTGCCTCAACCCTGTCATCGGTTACGACATGGCTTCCAAGGTGGCCAAGAACGCTCACAAGAAGGGCTTGACCCTGAAGGAGTCCGCTATGGAATTGAAGGCGCTTTCGTCCGAAGACTTTGACAAATATGTTCGACCGGAACTTATGCTGGCTCCCAAGGAAAAGAAATAAACGCGAGTCGGCTTACTCTGCAATGGCTGCGCGTCCCACTTGGTTGTACTGCTTGCCATCTATCTTGTTGGAATGATGTCAAGACGCTTCTGCTGTCCATGGGGTATCTCAATGGACCTCCGCGTGTGGCAAGATTTACATTAACCGAAAACTTTTTGTAGCATATTTGAGCTCGTTCCTTTGAGGATTCACGAATGAATATCTGAACGTGATCAATGTACAATTGTTAATCTCGTACGCTCTCTGAACCTGTCTTGTAATGTTTTGGGAAACATCCTGGATCCTGGTCTTTCAGCCGGCCTCAGAGTTCACGGGCGAATGTCGGTATCCTCTATATGCGCCCGCAAGCCTCCTTTTACAGGGTCTCAAGGCTAACTTAGCAGTTGATCGTATATACAAGAGCCCTTGCTTCGTGCCACCACCTCTGGAGGGCGCGATCCGAGACTTAGCGACTTAGCGTTATCATGCGCCTCTGGATAAGGCAACTTAGCCGGCCACTGGTGACATCGAGGATCGCATAGACTTTTTGCTCATCGCCGGGCAAAAGCAAAAAAAAAAGAGGCATACTCGGTTTATGACTCAACAACAAGTGCATCATTCTCGAATGCGAAGTCTCCAAGATTGATCAAACCGAGGAAAGCTCGTCATTGCACTCTCACGTCCGACATATAGGCCTTGGCCGTGTCGTCGTCTTCAATATCAAAGTCGTTTTAAATAAGTTTTTGAGCAGCTGAAATTCTCCGCAAACTTGTCCCCGTCTCTAGACAAAAGGTCCAGAAAAGAACCCAAAGGTCAAAATTTCAGAATGTCAGCATCCAAGCCCAATGCCAACATGCTCTGGGGAGGTCGCTTCACGGGCGGCCTCGATCCGTTGATGGTGTCGTACAACGAGTCCATCTACTTTGACCGAGCCATCTACGCGCAAGACATTCGAGGGAGCATAGCATACGCGCGGGCGAATTCGAAAATCGGAATCTTGACGGCTGACGAGTTCGCGGCGATTGAAAAGGGGTTCGCACAGGTCCTCTCGGAGTGGGAGAGCGGGACATTCGAGATCAAACCGGGTGTCGACGAGGACATCCACACGGCCAACGAGCGGCGGCTGGGCGAGATCATCGGCACTTCGATCGCGGGCAAGTTGCACACGGGGCGAAGCCGCAACGACCAGGTCGGCACGGGCATGCGGCTCTGGCTCCGCGACCAGCTGAGGGAGATTGACCAGCACCTCGTCGGCTTGCTGCGCGTGACGACGTCGCGGGCGAAGTCGGAGATCTCGGCGCTGATGCCAGGGTACACGCACCTCCAGCGTGCGCAGCCGATCCGCTGGTCGCACTGGCTGCTGAGCTACGGCAGCGTGTTCGCGTCGGACCTGGAGCGGCTGCGGGAGGTGATCAGGCGCGTCAACCGGTCGCCGCTGGGCTCGGGGGCGCTGGTGGGCAACCCGTTCGGCATCGACCGCGAGGCGATGGCCTCGGAGCTCGGGTTCGAAGGGATCATCAACAACTCGATGGCGGCGGTGGCCGACCGGGACTTTGTGGTCGAGACGCTCCAGTGGGCGGCGACGCTCATGCAGCACGTGTCGCGCTGGGCCGAGGACCTGATCATCTACTCGACGGCCGAGTTCGGGTTCGTGCGGCTCGCCGACGCCTACTCGACGGGGAGCAGCCTGATGCCGCAGAAGAAGAACCCGGACTCGCTGGAGCTGCTGCGCGGCAAGAGCGGCCGCGTCTTCGGCCACATGGCCGGCCTCATGATGACGGTCAAGGGCCTGCCGTCGACGTACAACAAGGACCTGCAGGAGTCGTTCGAGCCCATGCTCGACGCCGTCAAGACCACCGCCGACTCGATCCAGATCGCCACCGGCGTCCTGTCCACCCTGTCCATCTTCCCGGACCGCATGAGGGCCGCCCTGACCCCGGACATGCTCGCCACCGACCTCGCCGACTACCTCGTCCGCCGGGGCGTGCCGTTCCGCGAGACCCACCACATCAGCGGCCGCGTCGTCGCCCTGGCCGAGAAGGAGGCGAAGCCCATGGACCGGCTGACCCTCCCCCAGCTGCAGGCCGTCGACCCCAGGTTCGCCGACGACGTCATGGACGCCTTCGACTACGAGGCCAGCGTCGAGAAGAGGACCGTCCTCGGCGGCACGAGCAAGAAGAGCGTCGAGGAACAGATTTCTAGGATCCAGAAGTTGCTCGAATGAATGAATACCTAGGCATTGCACCTGAGCCATCCGAGGTACATTCCGCCCCACGTTGCCATTACCATTGCCCCTACCCTTATCCTTACCCGGTGGTGGTGCCTGAGCACCTGTGTACCTGTCCTGTCCGCTATGCGACGGTTTTCATTTTTTCGTGAGGTCACCACGTCGGATTCTGGAAAACTGGTCAAACCCACAGATAGATATAGATAGAATGAAGTCGATGCCTCAAAGAAAGAACTCTTTTATTCGTTCACGCAGCAATTCTTTCACACGAGGCGAGGGCAAAGCCAAAAAAGGGAATTCAGATTCCTTGCGGCATGATAGTCCCAAAAAAATAGTTACTATGTGGACATGTTGAAGCTTTCATTCTTTGGTCCGTACAATGTTACAGCTCTAGGTATTGCAAACCGAGGCAGAAGAGTGATTTAAAAGTACACTATGCATCCTTCCTTTGTGATCTCGCGTCGGTTTTCTGCTGCTGGGCAAATACACTGGCACCAATAGCTGGACGCTCTTCTTCATCTTTGACGTCTCTCAATGCGTCTTCCTCCGAAGTCATCACGGTACCGGAAAAGGCTGCTAAGCGCTGAGTCTGCTCGTTGACCATCTGATGCGCCCAGGCATCCCAGTCGTTGTACATGTCGTTCTCAATGCCCATGCTGACCTGGATCGCGGACTTGCCGAACCGAGCACCCATGTGTCTTGCCTCCTCGGCGGCGATTCTGTTCCTGATCTCTTCCGAGCGGCGCAGAGCGTAGAATTCTTTACGGGCGATGTCGTACGCCTGAGGGACGGTAATGTCGGGGATATTTTCGAGCAGCCAGAGCTGTCTTTGGACCACCGATTCGCCGGACAGTGCTATGCCGGGCTGCTGGACGCCTGTAGACCAGTCTGCGTTCTTGTACTGGTCCCCTGACGTTTCCAGCACGACCCGCGGCCGAGCCAGTTCCCACGGATGGTCGTTGAAAAAGGCTTTCCGCAGCTCGTCTTCCTCGTACCGAAGATGTCGTGGTGTAAATAGATTTTGTGTCTTGGTTGACTTGGGCTTTTTTGGTTCCATCACTTGCGCATACTGTTGGATTCTTCCGTTGGGCAGGGTTCGTGTGCGGACTTTCGTCAATCGGTGTTTCTGAGGCTGTTGTCGGATGAGTATCTGTGCTGGAGGGACGTCGCGCACAACATCCGTCCAGATCGGAGTCGTTGTTATTCTGCCCGATGCGATATTTTGAAGAACAGTTTTGCGAACATTGATAGCTGTTAGATCTAGCCGCCCCATGATGGACAGCAGGCAGGGGGCGGGGGATGGCAGTCGAAGAACGAGGCGGAAATCGCCTGGGACTGTCGTAGTGGTCGAGTCCTTGAGTGGGCGGTTTGATGCTATGTCTTGCGCATGCAATTGAAATTCAAAGCTCCGAAGGTTGCGGCTGCGGCGAAAAAGTCACGCTAAGCTGAAGCCCGTATAATTTTCCACTCTGCGGACCTCGAGACGGAGCCCTCATCACGAACCTACAGCACAAAGAAGGCCTTCAATCGGTTCCCTCCACGAACAAACTCTTCTTTTAAAGGCTTATCGCCTCCGCAGGAACCTGGGTGAGAATATGCCTGCGGTCATATGCACCGGCCTTCGAAGTTTGCAGGGTGCAGGAGCATTCAGAATTCAACCTCGACATCTCTAGCCTTCTGTGATTTTCTTTTCCCAGCGAATCGTCCCTCTACCTGCCGCCAGACGCAGATTGTGTCAGGTCTACGAGGCCAAGATGCACAGTCAGTCGAATCCTTCTTCTACGGCGCATTGGCGCACGCCACAAGCTGCCACCGAGCCAGACCGCGTTATCGAGATCAATCGAAAGGCGTCTCAGGCAAGGAGGGAGCAGTTGTTCGAGCGCCCGATGCTCACAGAAATTACAACCATCGCTCTGCAGACGCAAGATCTTTCCAGATTCGCTGTCGAAGTATGAGTACGACGACTCGATTAGCACACACACAGCGTAGACAAGGCAGGCGTGTCAAGGACTTTTTCGACGACAATACCTTTGAATTCGCTGCCAAAAGCCGCCTGCCGATGGGATTTTTCCAGGATCTGGATGTGCTTCAGGACAAGATGGAAGAAATCAGGCAAGAACCTGGGGAGGAAGAGGCTGGTAAAAAGGAGCAGGAGCGATCATCATCTCGGCTTGAGGAACAAATGCAGTTGCTGAACTCTGTGAGGAAACTCGAGAGTAAACTGGCGCAAATGAAGTCCAAACTGGCCGAGTCAACACAACACACACCCGTCCGAACCGAGCCCCCACCACGTCCTCCTGAGGTGGTTTTGTCGAGGGATGACTATAAGGCACTGGTCGACTTGTACTTCTATACCAACCACAGCCGATTCGACCCTGAGTCACCAGATATCTCTCCAACGCCAGTGCTGCTCGAAGATTATGCATTCAAATTGTCAGAGGACTTCGCTCCACCGCAAGCCTTTGCTGAGTTCTACAACGACGATGAAGACTTCAGATCGCCGTTAAAAGAGGTAGAGGAAAGACTGCTTTCCCGACAACTCCGGGAAGTCAAGGTCACGCAGGATTTTGTTGATCTTTTGCTGGACAACCACTCTAGCAACGCGGAGCTATTCAAAGCGTACAAACGACTTCCGCAGCCTGGTATGGCATTCCTGCCTCGAGGCATAATCAGGATCTTCTTACAACGCATGGCGACTCCATGGCAGAAGAGCGAAAAATCGATGATCCGCTACCTCTCACTGATCGACGATGCGCAACGGGCAGATGTACCAGTCACTCGAGCTGAATGGGCTTCGGCGATCTATCTAGCTGGACGATCATTCGCCAAGGTCACTCAATCAGAAGTCAATGCCGCCTTTCAAATATGGAGACGGATGGAGACCGAGGCCGGTGTCAAGTCTCATCATGTCACTCTCAATATCCTCTTCGACATTGCGGTCCGAGCCAACAAATTTCCTCTGGCCCAGATGGTGCTCAAGGAGATGCACGACCGTGGACTTCGACTGAACCGACTCGGTCGCGTCAGTGTCATCTATTACCATGGCCTGCGAGCCGATGGAGATGGTGTTCGAAAAGCCTATCGAGATTTTGTGGATGCCGGTGAGATTATTGATACGTTGGTGTTGAACTGCGTGATTGCATCTTTATACAACGCACAAGAACCAACGGCTGCGGAGCAGATATATGAACGCATGAAGAGTCTTCAACAAAATCTGCGGCGAGGGAAGAGAGACGACGGTCAGACTGTCTTATATAGACGCTATCCGTTGCCCGGAGGGGAAGTGATCGAGCATGAACTAGCAGCAAACCACCTCAAGAGGGTGTTGCTGAATGCCTCGAGATTGAAGGATATTCTTCCCGAACACCACCAACAGCTACAGGACTCAATGCCACTGACGCCTGATCATGTCACTTACCGCACCATGATCTCTTACCATGTCAATGTCTCTGGAAATCTAAATCGAATCACAGTCTTGCTCGAAGAGATGAATAGTCTCTTCAACCTACCTATGCAAAGCATATTTTTTCAGTTGTTGTTCAAGGGATTTGCCATGCATGGAGCTACTAGAGATCCTGACGCGTCCTGGAACAATCAACGCCTCGATCTTGTCTGGAAAGCATGCCAAGACGCCATCAGAGCCGGTCAAGCAGCTACAAGGGGCAAATTCTCCAGAGACACTGATGCCACGCTACCTACATCCGAGGCGATCGAGCGAAACCTTGAGGACACGTCTGAACACACGCGACCGACACCTTTGAAGAAGCTGAGCACATGGAACGAGTTTGTTCTAGATCTGGCCGTGTTTCCTCGAGAACGGCGCAAACACATTGAGCGCGTTCACGCCGAGCTTTTCGACGAGGAAGAAGAACAGAAACGGGCCTTGTTCAAGTCGTCATCCTCATCATACACCAGTAAACAGTCTCTTCCACATACTCAAGAGACGTACTACCCTCTCGGCGAGGCGAGTCTCGATCAAGAAGAAGGTGAATACGTTTTGCCATCGCCCAGTCAAGTGATTGATCCTGCGTTTGAACAGCACCGACAGGACGAACCGTGGCTCGACACGGAGCAAAGGAGTGACTGTTACGGAGAACATGAGGAGCAGCGCTATGATGGACGAGATCAAGACGGTGATTATGATCATGACCATGATCAGGAGCAGGTGCAAGACCACGAGGTTCCGGACGAGCGCGACACGAAACCCATCTCCATTACGTCAAAGCACCAAGTCCAAGCGACGAGACCGTTGATATGTTGGCTCCTGCGCGCTTACACGGTTTGTACCGGCGACCGGACGAAAGTCGAACAAGTCTGGGCTAGTGTTCGTCGGCTGTGGAAGACGCAGGATCCGAATGATCGAGAAAATGTGTCGAGGGTGCTGAGAAGGTGTCTAAGGGATTGTGATCGGTTTGGGCCACCGTTGTGATTAATCAGCCTCTTGCTGTGAGCTGCAAAGAGCGATTACAATGTAATTAATTATCCGACATATGTACATTTATATATAGCGGTTGTATGTTTATATATACCCCAAACTATGATTAATCCATTACCACTTCCGTTCAGCAAAGGGAGCAGAGGCCGCTTCCGTAGCACACGTGACGGAGCATCGCGGGCGCCGGGAAGCATCTGGAGATACTGTTTTCTAGACAATAGATAGGTCCAGTTCTTTGGAAGAGAGCTTCATTGTACTTGACTGTGACAATCTGCACAATCACCAGTCACGGATTGACGCCTGGACGGAACAATGTACCTGTTCCTGGTTCAGAGCTTCTTCATCCAACCTGGACAACAACGGGGCCGAAGAAGAAGTTAGACGACAATATTGACCTGTCTGGTCATAGCGAGTCACCGCTGCTTGAACCCATCAAATCAGCAAGAGGGTCCTTCAAGCATCTTTCACAGTACAGCTCTGGCGGCTGTACTCTATTCGACTCCATGTCTTTCGAGACTCCTATCCTGCGACCCATTGGATCGTTCCTCACAGTCACTTTCCACTCCATCTGGGAGCACCCTAAGGGTTTTCGTCATATCTTCCCTGTGGATTCCAAGCCGCGTCTTGAATAGATGTCAAATGTTTGATAGCCGAACATTGGAGGCTTAATGCTCGCGGTGTGGCGACGGTTGATGGGGATGATGCGAAGGAAGCTGTAAGGAGGGTCTCGTCGGGCGGATTTCTCGAGGGGGATTCTGCTGGCCGTGAGAACTTTTGGGAATCCCACAAATTCAAAATCTCTTCTAGACTGAAGTCATCATTCCCCTAGCAATCTTCCCTGATTTTCGAACGATTATCTCAGAAGAAATAGTCACACGAAGAAAGACGTTGCGAGGTGGAGCAGGAAGGCGAGAGACTGTGACTTATTATCAGGTCCGTCAATGCGTCTGTATGCGTGGTGTGTGGTGTCTGTATCAATCTAGATGATATAGATGAAGCCTGTGGATCTGTGTGATGAGCTTGCCGGTCGTTGGGAATTCATGGTCGAGGGCCGAGCAAACTTACCAATCCTGGTCACTTTCAGGTCCATTGATCACCTTCCTAGAGTCTACCAAGTGCAATTTGTCCAGCTCTCTAACGATTTCACCCGCCATGGACCTTGCGTATTCCCTGGCTAGTGGAGGGCACTCTCTGTTCTTGTGGATGACACTCAACGGCCAGACCATTGACCTGGAGGAGGCGGAGAATTTTGGGCCCGCCGACGTCGCCCGCTCAACGACCTCGGGCAGGCAGCCGAGTACCTCCTTGGCGATTTCGTCCGCGAGTCTGCGAGCGTTCTCCCGAAAAGCGGCATAGTAGGCGGCATCTCGAAGAGCAACTCGGTAGAAATGTTCGGTTTCAGGGACGGGTAGTACTTCCTCTATCGCCAGACGCGCTCCGGCCGATGCAACTTCCAAGAGGAACAACCGGATCATGCGAAGCGTGTTCCAGATTTTGACTAACCGAAGATTTTTGTATCGATATGCAGCGCCCTGGTATGCCCAGGAAGGCGTGTCTTTCTTTGAGCGAACTGTGTATCCAAACTCTGGATCGTCTGCTCGAAAGAGAGTAGCAGTCTCCCGCTCAAGAGCAACTGCATCGTCAAAGACTTCGTATAAAACCAGCATATTCGTCTGATAATTGGCAATGCGCGCTTTTAAATGAACCGCTCGTTGAAAGATCGGACTCATTCGATTACCAACATCCTTTGAATCAAGAAAAGGCTTGGCCAGGTTACTCAGCGCCTGGAAATCCTCAGGAAGGTCCGCAAATCTCTGCATGCAACTAGCATATATGTTTGCAGCGGTGTGGCCGAAAAGGCAAGAGCCGGTGGTGGATTTGAACTGTCCTGGCCCTCGGAGCTGGAGAAGTTTGGATGCGCCGATAAGGTGGGTAGTCCATTCCTCAGGCGATCTCGCACCAGCAAATACTATGCTTTCGAACGTCCCCAAGAGAAGAATCGAGGCGAGTGTATCGTCGAGAGCAGCCGTCACGGGGTTTGTGAGCGACTTGTTGATTCGATTCAGAGCAAGAACATAGGATTCCCGGCTTCTGTCCATGCACCCCCAGTGTCCAGTTTGTCGGGCGTAGGCTGCGAGAGAAGCGGCCGTAATTGCGAGGTAGAAGGTGGTGGCCTCGCCAACTTTGCTGCACCTGTCATACATGCCAGGTAGATACTGTTGAAAGGGGCTAGACACAATGTAGAAAGTCATGAAATAGGATACGGCGTCGTCGTCCGTGTTCAAGTTCAAGACTCCTCTCCAGGATTCTACCAGTTGAGTACCATCGGCAAAAGTGGCTCGAGCCGAGCCACCCTGGCCTCCTGTTCCATATGCCCGCGATTTGAGTCCTACGCGTTCAGTCTCGTCCCTGATGCGCAAGTCGGACGTAGGTCTGTACCCTGGGCATAGGATGCGTTTCCGAGCGCATTGCGAGCACCCAGGACGTAATTGGTCACACTGGTCAAATTCTGTCAGTTTCAGGACAGTTTCTACCAATATGCGCACACGACACACTGCGAGCCCTACCTTTAGGCGCTTCTTTCGGCAGGCGTGACAGGCACCCGACGGTCGCCCGCTAAATACCATCACTCTACTTTACGTCGCACACACTACCGGACGAGCTGCAGGCATCTGCAGCTGACAAAGAATACGATGATAATCTCGAAAAGAAGAACACGACTTTAAAGGCATTGCCAAGAAGTAAAGGAAGATGCGGGATAGAAGAAGCCGAGTCCCGAGTCAGAGCATATTATTAAGGCCGCCAACTTGACTCATGACCCCACAGTGGCTCTATTGAAGGCACTCGTAGTGCTTATTATCTTGCAACAAGGGCTAGAGGGAATCGACATCGACTGGATTGAGTCACATACTGTGCCTTCTCCGATGCCAATCAACATGATCAGGATATCCCGTGAATTGTATCAATAATGACGCCGACAGCGCTTCGCAATGGTTTCCTACATGTCTTCAAGTATCGAAGATGAATCGGATACCGAGGAGGCACGAGGCCAGCCCCTTCCTCCTACACACTTCAGGACTGGTGTACGCTGTCCCAATAATCACATCACTCCGTGGTTGACTTCCTCGTAACCATTCCACCGACTTTGGCTTCTGATTATAAAATAATGCACAACCCCGGCACGATTGACGAGGAAGACCGTCAATTTTATCAGGAAATATCCATCCTTTCAATTTGAAACTTCCTCTCGGAGCTCAAATTGCTGATAAGATGTCTTTGAATCGGGCTTGACAAAGTCGTCTTGAAGTACAGCCGATATTCCAAACATCATTGCAAGGGCAATGGCAACGATCTCTTCCAGCACGCTCATGCACAAATAAATTGTAGCATCACCAATGAGAACCGCAAAATTGGACCACGACGTGTAGTCACTGAGTGCGGAGTACACCAGCCGCACCAACAGGAACGGGTAGGAAAGAACACTGGCGAGAAAGAGCTTCTTTTGAAACGCCCTGAGCGTATGGCGGAGCTTGAGATATAACAAGCCACAGACGACCACGACTACCGCAAAGACGGCCAGGAAAACGCCCATAGACGCCTTGACGATACTATTGGGATGGTAGGTGGTGTCGCTATCATTAGCAGTACTGACTCCCGCGATGCCCAGGCCGACACCGATAAAGCAGGCCGCGGCCAGAAGGTTGAGGAATTTCGGGTTGACCTTTGTGTCTATATCACTGAAGTATTCCCCAAATCTGTCAGTGTACGTTCCAGCATGTCTGTCGGGAGGTTGTCGACGCAGGGATCACACTCACATTTGTCTGAGAATTCCGACATAGGTCAGCAACAGAGGTGCAATTCCAATGAGTTCGCATACAGCCACGGCTACCTCAAGATTGTAAGAGTCGTGGCTGATGGTCAACAACGAACAAATGCTGCCCGCGATCCGGATGAGGGCTAGAACCACGGCGAATCGCCAGACTTTTCTGCCGGCCTTCCAGCCAGCCCGCTTCCAGATAAAGAGCGCGGCGGCAAAGATAAAAGGGAACACGACAAGCTGGAGGATGGCAATGCCGTCGCGATAGGTCACAGTGCCCATGCTTGCACATAGAAATTGTAGATACAGAGGAACAAACTGGGAACCTAATGCTGGAAGAAAAAGAGTTGGCAGCGGTTCCGAAAGAATCAAAGGGCTCAAGGGAGATTGATATACATAATGCAAGCCGAGTTGTATTCTCGCCTTCAGGGCCACATCAGCACCGTCGGGGAAGTCCTGCGACCAATACACGTCTCAGACTAACCGATTATGGTGGGCATTTCGGAACTCGAGCCCCCTCGATCCGCAGATCTGCCTTTTTGACCTAGTCATTGGTGGCCGTGAACCTTGGTTGATCAAATCACTCTCCGTTTTGATCAAAAGTGTGAGACTTTTTGCTAAAGGGTTGGTTCAAGGCTCGTAAGGGGAGCTCAAAACTCCGAGTCCTTCACTGGACCAGCTGCAGGGACCATTATAATACGAGCCGGGAGATCCTCAGGCAGTCATTTAGAAACAGCTAGACCTCATTGGGCATAACGCGCCTGGAGTACTCCGTAGGATATCCATCATCTAACGTTATATATCTTATTAGTTCCTAGTCACAATCTCTAGGCAGAATCATTGTGACTCTACCCAACTCGAAGTCCGCATGCGATAGCAAACCGCAAAAGATTGTGTTGACGCCTTGATCGAACATCGAATGAGCCGCACAACATGACTGAAAGCAGTCCCGAGATCGTTTTATACGACCTGGCCTGCACCAAAAACGTGTGCTTCTCTCCTGCCGTATTGCGAACGCGTTTGATGCTCAACTACAAACATGTCGCATACGAGACGATCTTTCTGGAATTTCCAGACATCGAGCAAACCTTGAAAGAGCTGTGAGTCGCTCTCGCCCTTTCTTGTGTAACTTTTCCTTTCTTTTCTTCAATCTGCAGATTCCTATTATGGCAACAGGGACATGTTACAGAAATCAGTACTGACACGTTGATATTGCCCAGCGGTGTGGCACCCCATGACACTAGATCAGATTCTGAACCCAGATATACAGTGCCTGCCATTCATCACGTCCCCTCCAGCACATACCTCATGGACTCGCACGCCATCGCGGAGTTTCTCGAGTCAACATATCCCACCCCGCCTTTGACGCTGGTCTCGAGCTTCATCAACCAGGTTTCTTGCAAGGCTCGCAGCGCTTTGGGACCCGCCTTCCGCTCTTCAGTGACACCACGTGAGATTCGTATACTCCCACCGCGATCGCAAGTGTACTTCCGTCAGAAGAGGGAGGCGCTGCTCGGACATCGTCTCGAGGACTTGTTAGATTTGGACAGAGAGGAACGGACGTGGAACGACCTCGCGGACGAGATCCGCGCCGCTGGGGAGTTCATGCTGACCAATAAAGCGAACGGACCGTTTGTGCTCGGCGCCCAGCCGAGTTACACCGACTTTTTCATCGCAGGATCACTCCACTCGGCAAGGATGGTGGACGAGGGGATCTTCGAAAGATGCACGAAGTTTCCTGGTTACAAAGAAATCTATGAGGCGTGTCGCCCATACATGGATAAGATGGATTGAGAGGGAGTAGGGTGGCATTTACACAACGGCACTAAATAGTAGTATAGTTGAGGTCATGCGTATCTCTCGAGATCATCAAGGCTTGACTTTCGCGCATATGAGCCTCTGGCTCTTCTTATTGTTCGACCCAACTACATCCCGGATCCTGAGAACTGGAAATTCTCTCTCGCTCGTTCTAACCGAGTGAGAAGCGCCGCTTTGACTCGTCCCCGGCTGAGCGTAGCTCAGTGTAGCCAGGTGCTTGTTCGCGTGGCATCCGAGACGTATGTGCTCTCTGGACCTCGCCTGGGAACATGCTGGATCCGTGATCTCTTCACACATTCGCTACCTATAACTCAATGTCGGTGCAATGAGATCCTCTGCATTTGATCACCGAAGTGGGAACACGTTGACAGGACACGGGTCGACCTTCTGCGAGCGCCGTAAACCGTGGTCGACTTCTTCCCGACCGTGTGCAGAATCAGAAATCGTTTCAAGTCCCCCATATCGCTTTATCTTCCCAATACTCAATCAGTCTATCGTGTTCAGGGAGAGCTTTTTGAATTTTCCAGTCAGAGATGCTCCATTTGGGTTTCTAGCATGCCCGATCCTGAATCGAAAGTCGGCCGATGAACGCCTTGCGGCATCCTGTGCGGCGGCGAGAAGACCCTCCATGGGAGGAAGAATTTCCACTCCTCTAGCCTATAGAATATGTAGATCCCCGAACCTTTTAGCTTGGGAGGTCAGACTCGTCAATAAATCCTATTTTGACCCCTAGACATCGCCAAATCCTGGGCGTTGCATAGAAAATCCCTTTTTCATCAACCAGCATCGCGAAAAATTTGGGATAGTAATTTTATTGACATCCAAGCTCTCGTTTGACCACCTGTGGGCCGTCAACGAGAAACGGACTACTACAAAATTACCAGAGAGGGTGGCCGAATCCGCGGCCACAGACATTCTCTGGGGTTGGAAGACTATATGTCGATAATCTACATGCCCGGCACCCTTCCACCACTCGCCTCCAAAGCCGACAAGATCTCCCCGATCCAGGTCCATCTGAGGTCCCTTCCCAGCCCGCGACTCTTCCATTCGTTAATCGAATCTGGAAACATGGGCACATTCGGAGCTCTCAGGGAAGCGTCGTGGGCCAGGATGACGAAAACATTGTCGTCACCGTCGTATTCCTGCATGTGTCCAACTGTAGCCATGACCTCTTCCATGTTGTGACCAAAGCTCGGCTGCCATAACGGGCCTTTCGGGTCCCGGTTTCGCGACGTCTGTAAGTCCTCGTACCATGCTCCCGGACAGAATGGCACGGGACGATCGTGTTGTGGGAGTTGGAGAGAGATGGTGTCTGGCAACGGTAGGTATTGAGACGGGCGGAACTCTCCACAATGGTGTGCCGCATCGCCGCCCATGAACACGAAAGTGTCGGGCGAGGTACTTGTGCGGACCAGTGCGCAGAGATGACCCACACAATGGCCCGGACTGTCGAGAAGGTACATCGACCCGTCTTTGAAATAGTCGTAGGCGGGAAACTGGCCGATCCTGACGACCTCGGATTCTTCGAAGGTGATCTCACGCACCGCGCGCCCTCTGTGACTCAGATCAGACACGATATTCTCAGACACCACGACCGCAAAGGCATCTGATCAGAAGGTACTTACTCTACGTCGCTCGGCAGGATTCCACCGAGCGCCGAGTTGCCGTCTCCTGCCAGGAAATGTTCCTTGAAGCCGCGACCGACAACTAGGTCCGTGTGGCCTGGAAATGTAGACATGTCGCCGGTATGATCCCAGTGAGCATGACTAGGACTACAGTCAGCATCGGTGGTACACTCCCGGCCGACCCCGGGGAATATGCTTGCCTCCAGATTACGGCGTTGATCCTCTCCTTGCCCACGCCGGATTCATCCAACAGCTCAGATGCATTCTTCTCCACAACTGGCCGATGTCCCACCATTTTCAATCGTTCGGTGATTGCCGGTGAGAGGTTCTCCCAATCCTTGCGGATTGCGAGGTCGAACAACACCTTCTGGCCAGAGGGGTGCTCGATCAGGAAACAAAATGACGGGGCATTATGCACATCTATACCCTTTACTGTAGGCGTGAAGAGAGCGTGCGAGGGCACATTGTTGACGCTGGCTATATCGATGATCTTGACAGTCGCCGATGTCACTGATGGAGGGATGTGGAGGTCGATTCTTGCAACGCCTGCATTGTTGGACGTGCCATTTGCTTGGTCTTTCGCCATTGTCCTCTGTTCCGAGAATAGGTGTGTCGATTTCTTCCTGAATACTAGATATCACGACGGTTGAGCGATGGTACGTTAAAGTTGGTTATGTGAAAGAGGAGTTTGGCTTCTCGAGATACCGCCAGCGATGACCTTTTATTGTGAACGAAGCCGCACAGTCGATGATCGACCTGGGAATCCCTGCTCTTGTCGAACAAGCATCACTCGAAACTGGTCACCAGGCTCTGCTTACATCCGCAACCCCGTCGTTGAACGCCATCGTAGGATGCAGAACGACCAGAATCTTTCTAAGCTTTGCCGCTTCATTGGGGGTTTCGTTGGGTGGTTGTACTGGACCCAAAGTGCCGTGGGTTCTCGGCACCATGGCACTTCGGTATTAAGAGCAAATGAGAAGCTTCGGCACACACTGTGCTCCGCGACCCACTCCAAGCTCCAACTCCCCATGGGCCGGACACAACTCTGGAGAATCGAGCAACTCGTTCCAAAAGCTCTAGGACTGTGGTGCTGTCAGTAACGATGTCCACGGGACTTGGCAGGACAATACCTGACGGGTCGATGGAAGAGAGAGCAACGCAACAGGCGATTGCTAGGTGGGTTCCAGGAGCCTATTAATGATTCGTGGTTCCCTGAATTCCACGGTTGAGGTTTTACGACCTCTGTACAATCATGACAACAACAGCACCTCAAGAATCGCCGTCGTCAATACCGGATGAAGCCCCACACACTTCGAGTGAGAAGACGAGGATATCCATAACAGATGCCACCGACGTTTGCCAACAAGCTCTGCAGCGAGCGGGCTTTACGTACGAACAGTCTGCCATCATTACCGACCATCTCATCGATGCAGAGCTCCGGGGGCACCCTTTTGCGGGAATGGCGCGGGCACTAAGCATCATCGACTATCTGAAGAGCAATCCGGAGATGAGACCCCAAGGGCGAGAGATCGAAGTGACCCGCGATGGACCGGCGTTTGCTCATCTCGACGGCCACGACTCTGTAGGTTACTTGGTGGCCAGCCGTGCGACGCAGATGGCCATCGGCAAGGCAAAAGCTACCGGTGTTTCGGTCGTCGGCGCCAGCGGCCTCTGGTACACGGGCAACCTGGCATATTTCAGTGAGATGGCATCCCGAGAAGGCCTGGTGACGTTCATCGCATCCAACGGCACTCCCATCGTCGCACCCCATGGCGGGGCCGAACCCAAATTCTGTACCAATCCGTTCTGCATCGGCTTCCCTACCTCTGACCGTGAGTCTCCCGTGATATGGGACATTGGCACCAGCAACATCATGTACGCGCAGGTGAAACTCGCTGAGCGGCTGGGCACGAGTCTGCCCGCAGGATCGGCGGTCGACGAGGAGGGCAACTTGACCACAGATCCTCTCAAGGTTGCGCAGGGCGCTCTGACTGCCTGGGGTGGCCACAAGGGTAGTGGTCTTGCCATGATGGTGCAGCTCTTGGGCATCGCAGCTGGCAGTACCGAACCCCCGCCTTTCCTCTCGGGGTTTGGGCTTTTGATTGTGGCTTTTGACCCGTGTGTGCTTCAGCCTCTTGAACGTGTACAGCGAGACGTAGACCGGTTTTGTGAGAATATCAGAGCCACCAAGATGCTCCCCGGCTATGGACCTGCGAGAATGCCATTTGAGAGGAGCGCACAAGCAAGACGGGAGGCGAAAGAGCAAGGCTGGTTCACCGTGCCGGAGGAGGTGATTAGGCAGCTTAAGTTGTTATAGCAGACACCGGGCAGTACACTTGTGCTAGGTTCCCTGCTGAAGGATTCTGGTAGCCTGTGCAAGTGTAGTTCAAACTTGGTACATGAGGGAGGTACTTCGTTTCCCTGTGTGAATGCGTTGACGCCATGCCCAGATCCGCTTATAAACCCGCAACTTCGGCTGTCCCGCCTCCCCGGGGCCACCTGTGCGGGGGGTGAATCATGCCGGTTTAGGTGCCCATCTGGGTGAGCTTGACCCGGAGAGGGCTTGGTGTCTGCTATAGATGTGGCAAACCGCCCAACTTCCACACGACTCTCATCAACCCCCTCGACTCCCTCTATCCTTGCGCAACGTAGGTACGTTCAACCCAGTCGGCATCAATGTCAGGTCATGTAAGATGTTTGTGATCGTCAGATCTTGTATTCGATAATTCAGAACGATGACTACTGCCGCCAGCCAACAACTGCCTCGCAGGGGTCGTGCGAGAGTTGTTTGCGTGCAGTGCCACGCACGCAAACTGCGCTGTGACTACGAGACCCGATGCAGAGACGGCCATCCATCTTGTCACAACTGCCTCGAGTCGTCCGCTTTGTGCAGGTGAGTCGCCACCCTGCTCCTCATCGTTCAACTTCTGGGTCTCGGGCCCACGGGTCAACCTGTTGCTCTTCATCAGTCCCCTGTGCGTGCACTGCCCCCAGTATATGAGACGTCGAGTGAGGAGGAGACGATGCCAGCTATTGGTGAACAAGTTAACCCGTGATCCAGGCCACGGCTTCCTAAACGCCGGAAGAAAGACCCCATTAATCCTCGAGAAATGACAAGTGCTTATGCACCGATCCGTCCTGCGGTAAGCAATCAACCGCAGTCTCTGGAACTACCAACGTCGATCCATGAAGTTTCCGTGTTAGCCGACGTCGATGTCGACATGAGTTGTTCAACACTCCTGCAGGGGCAACCAGGACAGAAGCAGCAGCAGCAGCAGCAGCAGCAACAACAACAAAGACAACAACAGCAACTACTCCACCAACCAACATCGCCGCGGCCCCAGCTGCAACTTGCGCCGGCTCAAGCGACATTACCATCGACTTCGGTAGGGAAGGAGAGATCATCCTTGCCAGACGACGTACAAGGCCCTGGCGCTGAAGATATCAGCCCCGAAGTGCCCTCAACCGTCTCCCATGGTCGTTCTCCGGCCGTGGGTTATCTCGGCGGTAGTGGATTGTTGAGACTTTTCGAACCAGACTATAGAGGGATTGCGGCTGCTACGACTAATACTGCCGACCAGCAGGAGCATGGAGTGGCCAGTGGTCGCGTAGGCTCTTTGGCAGACAACGACGGCAGCCTGCCTCCTAGTGAGCTCCAAGAAAGCTTTGCAGAGACGTATTTCAACTATTGCTGGCCTTGGTGCCCGGTGCTGGACAAACAAACATTCAATGGCGAAATCGAGGACATAACTTCCCCTCTCCTCATCAATGCAATGGCCTTGTTGGGAATGCAAGTGCGCCCGCCTATAATGCAACACGCCCGAGCTAAGGACTACTATGACCGGGCAAAGATGCTGTTTTATATGGACGAGGAGAGCGACCCGCTGATATGCCTGCAATCCATCATGCTCTTCTACTGGTGGGCTCCACGAGGGTAAGTCAATCACCTCCGTGTTCATTGATTCAAAAGCATATTGGCTGATCACAGGTGAAAGGCCGTCACAAGTACACAAGGATGCTTCTTGGTGGTGGACTGGCATTGCCATCAAGTATGCACAGCAGATGGGTTTACATCGTGAACCGAGAAATGTCGAAGATGTTGGTGGAGCTGCAGCACAAGGCTTGAGACGGAGGATTTGGTGGACCCTCTTCGTGAGTCGGTCAAGAATTGACAACCTCACCCTCGCTCTCAAGTAGACATATCTAAGTGCTGCAGGCCAGGGAACGTTTAACGGCCATGTGCCAAGCTCGACCTCTCACTATCAGCCCAGAGGACTGTACCGTCAGGGAACCTTCGCTTGAAGATTTTGGGTCCTCGTCGGACGATCCTCGCGCAGAGATCTTCATCTACTGGGTTCGCTTGTGCGACATTATCGGCCGCATCAGTCAACATCTCTCACGCCCAACAGAGGGGGGACAACCATTTTCTTTTCCTACTGCTCTTGCCGAAGAACTAATAGCGTGGATCAACAACCTACCTGCTCGTCTACAATTGCCCGACATGCCAGACCGATCGCGTCGCTTTGATCGGGATGTCCTCAAACTCCACTTGCCCTATCTTACTACAGTCACTATCTTACACTTAAACTGGTCGTCGCAGCATCCTTCACAAGCCTTTCCCGAAGCCTACACCGCCGCTGTCCTCTCCGCTTCGTGCGTCACCCGCATATTCAAAGACCTTCTCGCCAGGGGAAAGATTCGGTTCTTAGGAGCCATAGCATGTTGGTACGTTGGGACGGCCATAGTTGCTCTCCTACATACTCAACGTATCGACACTCTTGTTACCCCAGGAGCGAACGATATCCGCATTCTCAGAGTCGCATTGAACGAATTGGCTGCCCTCTGGCCATCGACGGCCATCTTTGTGAAGGGATTCGATCGACTCCGCGCTTTCGAACATCTGGAAAATACTTCTGGAGGACCCAATAGTGGAACACTTTGCCAAGGATCTCAGCTACAGGGCACAGGCACGACTGCTTCCCAACCGGCACAGAGACAAACACAGGAAGCGCAAGGGAACGCTTCTCCAAGCGGCATTCACCTAGCACCGAACGACAACCCACCACTACATTATTCTTCCTCTATACAGGATGTCCACCTCCAGTGGCCCCACGGTATCGACTGGCAGAGTTATTTCCCACACGTCACAGGTCGCACATGTGGCCTGGCAGAGGTGTTGTTGGCTCAACCGCATCAACCACCTTTGGACATTTGGGCTGGGTTATCTTCCCTCTCATGGTTTGGTACAGGAGACTCTACGTCGCCGGCACAGTTCCAGAACCTGTTCGATCCCACTGATACGATGTTGGACCCCTTTCTGGAGAATCTGTCGGCGTTGTGTTGGATGGGAGAGTCAGGGGGGACAATATGAGGCTCAAAGCACAATTGCTTCCATCAAGCACTACTACGACTCCTAGATCTAGCATTCTCTGTAAAAATGACCTAATGCCGATTCAACAGATTCCTGGTGAAAATAGAGGATCTACAGCTTCAGAGCGTCGAGGATTAATTTGACCTCTTCGCCGGCAGTCTCGAGGATGTGGCCTGATACATACTCGGGCTTCCAGCCCAATTTCTCTCCATTTCGGGCAATGAATGTACATCTGGAACAATGTGAGTGTCAGCAGCTCCAAAACGCTTGGTGACGTGTGTGTCGAGGATGAACTTACGTCCCGGCCAACTGCAACGAGACAAACTCTCTAGGACAGTTCAATCCTTTGGCCATCAGCTCGAGGGCTTCTTCGTTTGCCGGGACCACGTCCGCGCTCTCCACCATTCCGCATGCGGCGAGTTCTTGCGCCATGGCGGTATATAAGTCCTTCCAGGCGACGCTTCCAGATGCAGCGAGGTAGTACCCTTCCTTTCCGTGGCTTGGGTTCTCCCCGGCCAGTATGGAACGGAGGATGTGGAGGTACAGTGCTGAATTGTCTCGGACGTGGCAGACCGGCCAGATCTGGCAGGGAAACAGAGGGATTGAGTTAGCTTCGCGCTTCCGTTGTGGACAGCTTTCCCGCCAGCACCACCCGTTCGTTGATGAATGCCGACGAAAGAAGAGGGCACATACCGCTTGACCCGTCGAATTCACGTCGTACACCCGCCTTGCCGCTCGGGCAGCCTTGACGATAGCAACTGTTTGAATGGAGACCTTGTTGGCGAACCCTTCGCCTTGGCCGTCTGTTCGATATCGGTGTTAAAATCTGAAATGCTTGCTACCTTCGACGATCACGACGCAGAATTTATAGAAACTCACACACGATACAGGGCACAAAGACGTAAGTGTGCACACCGAGCAGATCGTCCAGCTCGACTACCTTGTTGTTCGCGTCAATAGCCTTGGGAGGAAACAATGTGTCAGTGCCAAACAAAAATTCACGCTTCCGTTGCCGAAGAAGGACGAAGCGCACATACTTACCGGTCCCAAGGGTGCGAGCCGCGGAGTTTGCGCCTTCTGAATCTCATATAAATCCGGCGTGGTGTCCGGGAGCTCTCGGTCGTGCGGCGTTCCAGCGTGGCTCGAGAAGATTTTGGCACCGCTGGTCTAGCGAGTATGAGCGTCAGAACAGCAACGCTGGCATCAGGTTCTGTCTTTTCCTACGTGCAGGAAAGGCTTTGTTACATTTTCGTTGAGAAACATACATGTAAGAAGTGGACGTCAGCGATTCCCGTGATCCTCTTCACCTCCGCAAGAGCCTGGATGAAAAGGATCTGCGACTCTGCGGAGCTAGCATCAATGAGGAAGAACACTACGGTGATGTTGTTCGAAACAATGGCGTCCCGCACGGCGGCTTCGTTCCTGGTATCGAATCGCAGTGGCTCCGCGTCGTACAGTTGCTTCACAGCGCGGGCCTGGTCGTCTGTCCGCACCAGGGCAAAGAGCTTCTCGTATCTGGGTAGGGCGACTGTGTTCCAGCGTGCGAGGAGAGTGCCGCCAAGGTAGCCCGATGCTCCGGTTACGAGAATGCGATGGGACATGTTGATGGTGGAATTTTGTTCTGCACAACGGGGGAAAAAACAACAACCGCAGAGCCCGTGTGTGGTTGGCAGTTCTTATTCTCTTGAAGATCCAAGATCTGATCTGCCCCTTTGGTCGTGGCTTGACGTCTGGACGTTTTCCAGGGTATCGTCTCTGACTGGATCCTCGATGCGCGGTAAGGCTCGGGAAGCATAGACCTGGCCTGGATCGGCCGAATCTCCGTGAATGGGCTATCAAATCGCTCTGTCCCTCCCTTTTACCCTTTGCTGGCAAGATAAACGTCACGATTTCTAAGCTGTTGGGGTAGTCTCCACCAAAGATTGAGTACAAGATTACCAGGAAGAGTTGCTGTTTGATCCGAAAGTCCACGGACGAAGGATGCGGAGGCCCAAGGGAGTCAGATGCGAGGCTTACCAGGACCCTGAGGGGGAGGGTGGTTCTTCCTTTCCTTGATTTGTTGAAGTTGCCGAAATGCCGGACAGAAATCCCCACCCCGTTAAGGGCCGAATGCGGTCCACTCGGAACGTCCAAACGGCGGCCGGCCTGGGGAAAGGTGGGCTGTACAATCTACAGTCTGTACAAAACGCCATATCACTTGGATTTTCAGCGTTAGCTTTGGAATCCCCTCAGAAATCTTGAACCGATTTCTACTGGGCGGGCGGTATTGAGTTGCCGCGGGAAGTGGTCAAAGGCAAGGCTAACTTCCTCAGGGGGCATGGGCCACCATGATCTTCTTTGTGGTGAAGACACTATCAGCAGCAGCAGCAGCACTGTAGTACTGATGACGACCAAGACTAAAATAGAGATGTCGCATTCGAACGGAGATGCGAGTATACAGATGCCACAAGACCATCTACAGACACAAACGGGAGTTGATGAGACGATTGAGCTGCCATCATTGACTCAACTCGCGGTACAACATTTGGAAAAGATTCGAAAGGGCCGGTTGAGCTCCGAAGTGCGAGACAAGACTGTCCTATGTCTACTTGACTATTTGGGCGCTCTGGTCTCTGGACTGTCGGCACCCTGGGCGACGAGTCTGCTGAGATATGCTCAAGTCAGTAGTGGTGGAGGTGGCGGCGGCTCTCCAGGTCCGGGCACTTCGTCACAGAGCGGGTCGAATGTCATGGGTCTGGCCACGAGGTGTTCTGCCGAAACCGCGGCGTTCACGAATGCTTCGATTGCGCACAGGTGAGTGTATGTCTAGAGAGACGTACTGTTCCTGTTTTGTGTCATGTCTTGCCTCACTTTGGCGAAGAGGGAGAAACCTGAAAAAGAGAAAAGGGGGTCTTTCTTTGACTGTGTCTATTCGGCACATCACCTACTGACACCTTTTCTTTGCGGAATCCAGCATCATACGAGATGATATGCACCTTGCCGCGGGCGCTCACATAGGCGTCATGGTCATTCCCTCGGCACTCGCGCTCGCCCAGAGGGACCACTGGTCCGGCGAACAACTTCTGAAAGCAGTCGTCGGCGGCTATGAAATGGCCGTCGCGCTGGGCAGCGCGGTCCGCCACTCCGGCACCTGTAATCCGCATTTCCGCCCCAGTGGGATTGTAGGAGCTTTTGCAGGCGCCTCTACCGGCATCGTGGCCGACCCTACCATCACCTCTGCCCAGGCCGCACACGCGCTGGGCCTCGCTGCTAACATGGCCGCGGGGTTGAACGAGTGGCCGTGGGCTGGGGGCGTAGAGATGACGACACAAATGGGCGCTGCGGCTCGCGCTGGAATCACCAGCTACGACCTCGCAAAGGCCGGGATGGGAAGTAGTCTGTCCGTGCTGGAGGGCAAGGACGGGCTCTTTGCAGCATACGGATGTGGTGACCGAGATGTCGCCGCGACCTTTTTTCGTAACTGGCTTCATGCTGCAGACGCAGAGTCAAAAAATGACAAAGCAGCAGGAGGAGGAGTTTCATACGGTACTGGAATCATGGGAGTCAAGTTCAAACCTGTGGCAGGCTGCAATTTCATCCAGACACCCGTGTCAGTTGCGCTTCGAATGCATGATAGCCTCTATGTCGATGTCCATGCCAAAGCCAAAGCCAAAGTCAACTTCCAAGTCAATCTCGACCTGAAACTCAACATGCCTGTAACCGGTATGACGCCGATTATGTCGACCACCACCAACACCAACACTGACGCGATCGTGGATGTCGGTGACATAGACCGAGTCACTATCGTAACGACGTCGCTCGCCCGAGCCTACCCTGGCTGCGACCATGCAGGACCCTTTGAAAAGGTCCAACAGACGAAGATGAGTCTACAGTACGGTGTCTGTGCGGGTTTGCTGTTCGGCCGCGTCGACGAGTGGACGTACTTGCAGTTCTCCAACGAGGATCTCATCTCGCTCTTGGGCAAATGCGTGCTCGAGACCGACGCAGCGTTCGATGAGGATCTGCACAAGCGAGGGAGACAGCCTTGTCGGCTCGAGGTCAGAATGAAGAAGAAGGGTAACGGAGCGCAACTTGTGCATCGTGACTTCATGGCTGACGTCCCTTGGTTGAACGATACCCCCGGCGCGGCTGTGGAAGAGCGCTTTCGGAAGGAAGTGGCGGCGATCTTTGACCGCCGTGCTCCTCCAGATGTGACAAACCGCGACGTTGTCGACGATATTGTTCTTGAATGTCGTCGTCTTCTTGAAAATGGTTCGAGTTCGGGTACAGAGAGGCTCTTTGATTTGTTGGCCTCGCCTCCTCAGGGTCTCCCGGTACCAAGTTAGTTAGACAGCGTGTGGAGGCGGGCTAGACACAGACATGGTACTCAAAAAATCGCAAAATTCTGGAGAATACACCTCTTATCGAAATTTCTGGGCGCAGTGCCGGGAAGATATTCTTTGGTGAAACTGAATAATTCTCAGAGGGCCAGCGCCTTCTTGCTCTAAGGACAAAAGTAACCCTTTTGCATTCAGATCCACAGGTCCGTAGACTGACAGCCTGAGTCGCTATGTATAACCTACATACCCATATCTGTGCATCATCTACAAAGAACCCCGGTGGTAGCCGTCACCCACACGGGTCACGATCATTCCTTCTGCCCCACAGGCTCCAATTTGGAGTCGACGACCTTGACCGTCTCATTCTCCAACAGCACTGCCTTGTCCAGGTTCTTCCTTGCGGGGTCGATATCAGAGACAAGCAGTGCGCTGACGAGGGCCAACACCGCAAACCCTAGGGCCGTGTAAAACACGACACGGAACGCCTGGACGTAAGCTAACTTGACCGCGTGTTGGCTCGCCGCGATGATCTGAGCAGTGATCCCGGGCACCTTGGCGTATGCTGCGGCGGTGTTGGAAGCAGCTGCGACCATCAAGGCTTTCAGATTTGCCTGGTCAAAGTTCAGGCCTGCAATCGCCTTTGCTAGTTGCGAGGGCAGGTTTTCCTTAAATTGATTGTCGACAATGGACGAATAGATGGCTGTGGCGACAGCTCCGCCCAGCAGACGGAAGGTGGACAGGGCTCCGACCGCGACACCCCTACGGTTGACATTGTCAGTTGTTCAATATCCTTGGATCGAACCTAAACCTGAGACAACGCTACTACCAATATAACATGGAGTGTAGCAATTGGCCTTTGCAAGCACTTACATATCTGCTTGGTCTTCTAGATTGAGTGACACCATACTGAATAGCATGTAGAGAGGCTGGTTGATGAAACAGGACATCAAAAATACCAAGGCAATTGCCTTGCCCTTGTCATCAATTCCGACGGTGGATAGGGCGCCGACAAAGGCCGTCTGGCAGCAAATGAAGCCAAAGATTTGCCATTTTTCATGTCCGAAACGCGCACAGAAGACCCAGACGGAGATCAGGGAGACTTGGGGTGCAAAAAGGTCAGTTTTCCACGGTGGGAAGAGCAAAGGTGGAACGCGAAGAGAGCTCACCCCAGGTTGCAAGTGTGGTAAGGTTTGCGTAGATGCCCCGAATGATGGGTTTGTCTGCAGGAACGAAGAGGAGAGCGGATTCGCGAGGCCAGATGACCTGCATGCTGTAGTAGAGCATGCCACAGCAGAAACCGACCAATACCAGAACGTTGTATCTGCATACGTTGATAGTGTCAGCTGTTTGTGCCTCCAAAGGGGGAAGCGACGAGGACAGGCCAACTCACCCTCTCCATTGTCTGAACAAACGAGGAGGAAACAATGGGTACTTAAGGTTGGCATTGAAATCCCATACGAACAGGAGAACGAGACACAAAAAGCCGACAATAATCGGCGCGATGACTTCAGCACTTTTCCAGGGGAAGCGGCGGCCACCAAAATTCAATCCAACCAGGAACAAAGTGCAACCGGCGACGAGGAGAAAGAGGCCAACATAGTCCATCTCCTTCATCAGTGACAGCCGGGAGACGCTTTCGGTTTTGTGTTTGGTTTCGAACGATGGTGGGCGGTAGAAGCAGAAGAGAAAGATGCCGGCAACCCCATGGAAAGCACACATGTACCAGTATGCGCCTCGCCAGGTAATGGACGTGTGGGCGATGAAGACGTATGTGATGAGGGGTGCGAAGATACACATGATGGCGCTGGTGCCATAGAGGCCTGTCGATACAGAGAGGAAGGAGTATTAGTAAAAGGGCCGATATGCCTTCTTTTCTTCCTGGATTTACTGCGAGGGTGAAGCACACTCACCGAGAGCAGTCAGGCGGTATTTGTTAGGAATGAATTCCATGATGCACGCAAATCCCATTTCCTGAAATCCCGAACCGATGCCGAACATGACACCGCTGGCAATCATTTGACCAATGCTTTGACCTGTGGCGCCCACAATGGTACCCAGGAACGAGATCAACGCCCCAGCGAGCATGAAGTATCGTCGACCAAAAATGTCACTTAGACGACCACCAACGGAGACGAGGATGGCAGCACCGAGACCCCAAGTGACATTGATCCAAATGTAGTCAGGGTCAGGACCGAGATCGGCGTTGATATAGGGTGCCGCTACTGCGGGAATGAGCAAGGTGTATTCGTAGGCGCTCAGTTGACCGCAAATAGCCTGTCCGAGAGAAGGGTCAGTCAATTGTGTAATATTCATACGAGTGCAAGAATAGAGAGACGAACCAGGAAAGCTAAGACGGTCTTCAAATTGATACCGTCCCAGATCTCGTGCTCGACGTGGACAGATGCTGCGATCTGACCGTCGACATGATAACGGGTAGAGGTGTCCTCAATCTGGACATCTATAGGAGTCTTGTCGACTGCTTCCAGATCATAGTCTTCCATCTCTATGAGACTGCTTCGGTGTGTGTCTTGATAAGTGCTGTGGTGGTATGACCAAGTCTCTGGTCTCTCATAAATATAGATAAAGTGAAGTATGAAAAGCACACTGGAATCGGTCCTGTATCTTGATAGACATATTCAGGGCCAATGCGGAGTAAAATCCGGGGTACTTATAACCCTGAGCACCATGTGCCGGGGGAGATAAAGGAGCAATTATGGAATTCCATCGTGGTCTTGAAAGGCTGAAACGTACTTGTGGTCGTTCCTGTACAATTTGCCGCCTGGGGTCTCGACTTCAGCCGCCTCGGTAAGGACCCACGGAACGGCAGTAATCTCCCAGTAGGCATTTGAGGGGAGGTCGGCAATCCGTTGTCCAGCGAGTCTCATTGGGTGAGACTGCCGGCGTTGAGACGGCCGAGATGTTCGGAATCCGGGTGTCTGTCCAGATGCTAGCGGGCACTATACGACATTCGAGGAGTGAACAGCCAGCAAACGACTGACTACATTCTGACAGGGCTTGTTTACATATCTTGATATGATCAGGGAGTTAGACGTAGCGTAGACACATTTCCAACTCAAGTCAGGTAGTGAATCTGGGAAGGTTTTTCCTGAGGCGAAACTACACGCTAAGTAGTTGACTTGATGGGTCAATCAGTGTCATAACCGTGTCTCTCTATTCCTTCCTGCTCATGGCCATGCATCGCCTCTAGCTCTGAACACAGTTCGTTGGATCTTTTGAAGCCAGTGGTTCTCATCCGTACGGTCGTCTTCCTCCGCATCTATGAAGCCGTCCTGACTTACCGATTCGGAGCAAATGACAAACGAGTGCCCTGTGAGAGATTGGCACAGGTCAGCTTGTCCGGTCATGCGCTCAGGTCTCCGCGCCAAAAATAAGATCACATAGCATATATCCTTACCATTGATGCTCTTATCACATGAAATCCTCATTATACACTTGACAGCACTCTCGATGGTGGCGAATTCGACTCCGTTCTTTGCCAGCCTGTCCAGAGTTTCTTGTGTTTGAATGGCAGTGCGAATCCAGCTGAGACCAATCATCTAAGTCAAACTCATTCTGATAGGCGAGGGAGGTCGAGATAATCAACTTACGCCGGCGCAACGTAGGCTACTCGGATGCCCTGGTGAGGTGCGTTCCGTCGAGCAGTCCGCATGAGTCCACGGAGGCCCCATTTCGACGTCGAATATTCCCAGCTCCCCTTGAGAACCACGATCAGCCCAATGGAGACGAAATGGTCGATATGGACGTACTAGATTATCACAAATACCGGCGATACTGCCAATGAAGATAAAGCAGCGGTCTCGATCCGGAGTCTGATCACCGCGTCTGAAATAGTGTATGGCAAGTTTGAATGTGTACATGTTGCCGACCAGGTTGATGTCGATGATGTGCATGCTGGGTTTCGTCGGCTTGGAGAGGGGGTCTTCAGGACATGAGGTGTGAGATCACGGACGGCCTTGACGCGAAGATCGTTTTCGCACCTTCTAGAGCCATCATGGGGTCGCCTGCCCCTCTACCAACACCTGCATTCGAAATGACGATGTCGACCGTCTTCGATGGCGACTTTGTCACGGCCGCCTCGAACATTCGGACTTGATCATCCCATGAACTGATATCACACTTGACAAAGCAAGTTTTCTCCCTGATGACACGCGTAAGTCTCTCGAAAAGGCATTGAATACAACCGGGCACTACTCACGGACTCAACTCAGCCTCAATGGCTTTCCCTCTTTCTTCATTGACGTCGCAGTATGTCACAAAGGCCCTGGACAGTGAGCACAATTGGTATTTCGACCCCTAACATTAACTGGACGACGTGTGGAAAGTACCCGTTCTTGACAAACTCCCGAACATATGCCTCTCCCATGCCATTGGCCCCTGGCAGAAGACTCGTGTCAGCATCAACTCCTGTACGGTTTCACGCTGCGCCTGGATGGCGGGGCATACTGGCATTGACATACCTCCAGTTACAATCACACTCTTGCCTTTGCACTGAGTCTTGTCTGGCACCACGCTACAGTCCACGGGGCCGGTATATTCGTACACTGCTGACATCTTGAGGGCGGCGGCTAGGTACTTTGTGAGCTTGGATTTCTTGCCGGAACGGTGTCTATCTTGTAGATCTGGATGTTTTCGTTCTTTGAGAGAAATTAAGGCTTGGATCCAAGTCGTCCGTTAAATGGCTCTGCATTCATGAAGACCGGGGCCGAAAGAGCCCAACCGTCAAACAGGCCTGCTCAACCACGATCCCAAGAACATAGCCGTGCATCGCCTGTGCGGTGGTGGTGTGGGGAATATCTGGAGTCGTGGAGAGATTCGAGGGATCCGCGGCAAGTTTGTGTCTGCCACTCGGCACCGGCAACTATGGCCAATGGCAACCAATCGGTCCATAAGCTGTGTTTGTCCAGCCGCTTCATCAACACCATCTCTTAAGCCCAGATCTGCTATGGGCAGTGATCAACCCACCATCTTCATATCTCAACAAGTACCCATTGGTCAGTCATGATTACCGAGAGGCTGTCTCTATGGAGAAATCTTGCGTAGAAAGCTACCGATTGGCGGCGGAGCGAGGAGAAGTAGATCCAGATGGAAGAGACGCCAGTGCCCATCATCATCACGATGCCTTGGGGCTATCGATGGCTTGAAGAGAAGCCGACTGGTTCCGCCTGAGCTTCTACCGCCGCCCCAGGCCGCAATATGCTGAGTCAATGATGGTATCTGAACGACCGAGACAACTCCACGACCATAAAAGACACATGCACGCCAAGGGCTGAGATGCTCAGAACCATAAACTCCTGAGCAACTATCTTGAGATCCAAGGCTTTGTAAAATTTTGACAGTTCTATCATTGTCATTATCGACGAAGTCTCATTCAAAGATTTGCACGCAGAGAGACAGACATCATGGCACTGACTGAAGAGCAGCTCACACCACGAGCGGCCGGAGGATCCGACCTAGAGGTGCCAGCAATCAAGAAGGTCGTGGACCACAATTCACCAATGGAGTCGCTGAAACCGCCGCTGCAGCATGGAAATGCTGAGACCTTACCAAAAGTCAATGGCTACTATTGCAATCTTGTTCACAATGATCCTTACTACATCCCCAAAGGCGATCAGCTGGCCTTCACCCCTCGTAAGATCCGAGTCATTACTGTCGGTGCCGGGTTCTCCGGCTTACTGATGGCACACAAGTTTCAGCATCGCTTCCCGGAAATGGACACCATTGTCGACCACACCATATTCGAGAAACGTTCCGAGGTTGGCGGCACTTGGATCGCAAACACCTATCCCGGGGTCCAATGTGATGTTCCTTCTCACATCTATGTAAGCCTACTTTGACCCGTGGATCTGCTTGCTGGTGCAAATTTGGAGGATAACGGAACTACGAACTAATATTTTATTTTACTTCAGGCGTTTCCTTTTGACCCCAATCCAGAATGGAGCCGTTTTTACTCGAGCGGAGCCGAGATTGAGCAATACATCGTCCAGACCACCAAAAAGTGGAATCTAGACCGAGATATTGTATTCAACACCAGGGTTGTAGGGGCGTGGTGGAGCGAAGAGCGTGGCCAGTGGAAGGTCACCGTTGAGAAAGACTGCGAAACCAGGGACGAATGGACGGATGTCCTGATCAACGGACAAGGTGTTCTTGAGTGAGTCTCTGAGTGGACGGATTGGGGCGTGTCGTCCGAGTTGGGTATTTTTTTCTCTCAGCTAACTAACGTTTTCTACCAACCCCCAGCACCTATCAGTGGCCCAATATCAAGAGTCTCGAAACGTTCAAAGGGCAACGCGTCCACTCGGCCGACTGGGACCACACCTTCGACTACTCGCACAAGCGTATCGCGGTCATTGGGAATGGCTCTTCTGGGGTTCAGATCGTGCCTCAGATGGCCAAACTGCCGGGAACCACCGTGACGAACTTTGTCAGAGGCCCATCGTGGATCTACTACCGCGTCCCACCATCTCAACACCTGGGTCGATCGGGGAAATCGGGCAATAACCCTATTTACACGGAAGACGATAAGAGGAAATTCCGAGAAGATCCTGGAGCAATGAGAGAGCACCGCAGGGCCATGATTGCTAGAACCAACAAAGCCTTTCGTATGGTGAGCAGCGTTTCACGTCTGGGTGTTAGACTTGAGTTGTCGGGACATGATGCTAAATCTAATCTGTGTTGTCAATTGACAGTTCATCAAAGACTCTGATGCCAACAAGGAAGCCATGGCCGTCGCCGAACAGCAGATGCGAGAGCGTCTGAACCACGACCCCCGCCTGTGCGAAATACTCATCCCCAAATGGTCACTCGGATGCCGACGCATCACTCCCGGCGAGGGCTACCTTGAAGCCTTTTCCCTGCCAAACTGCGACATTACCAACAGCAGCATCACGCACATCAGCGAGAAAGCAATTCATACTGCCGACGGAAAGGTTCACGAGATTGACGTCTGTAAGTTTGTTGTGTGCGTGAGAGAGAAAGTTATGCTCCTTCTCTCCTCTCCTCGACCTCTAGGCACTCTGATCCTGTCACTCTACGTTCTTGTTTTTTACTCTCTATATCTTTGGATTTGGGCGGCGAAACAAGGCGACCGTTGACTAACCGTTTAATTTACCTATGATTCCAGTGGTCTGCGCCACCGGCTTCGACGTCTCCTTTCGCCCCAACTATCCTACCGTAGGCCGCAACGGCGTCGACCTCCGCTCAGCCTGGACGCACAAACCAGAATCCTACTTTTCCGTCGCGGCCAAAGACATGCCCAACTACTTCACCGTGCTCGGGCCCAACGCTCTCGCGGGCCACGGGTCGCTGCTGGAAGGCATGAACTGGAACGGCGACTACTTTGTCAAGTGGATCCGGAAGATGGCCGAGGAGGACATTATGAGCTTCGTGCCCAACACGGCCGTCGTGGACCAGCACGTGCGGTACTCGGACGAGATCCACAAGTCTCTCGTCTGGACGGCGCCGTGCAAGAGCTGGTACAAGCAGGGCACGACCGACGGGAGGGTCGCGGCCCTCTTCGCGGGAAGCGGCATGTTGTACAAGCGCATCATCGGGGGCGAGTTACGCGTCGAAGATTTTGACCTCACGTACCGATCTAAAAATCGCTTCAAGTTCATGGGAAACGGCTTTACCGAGCTTGAGTTTGACCCGGACAGCGATTTGGCTTGGTATATTGAGAAGTAACGAGGCCAGGCTTTTGCTTGTTAGCTCAGTTCGGCTTCGGGAAGCCAGAGGAGTGACAAATCAGTATCTGTACTCCGTATCATAGTGTGCACGTGCGGAATGAGCAGCATTATATTTGGATGATAGGGACAAAAGGGACGAAGAGAGATTTCCGCGATAGAGCCATCACTTTCCATGTGTAGTTGGCGATCCGACACAGGACCGAGAACCGGGTTAAGAACGCAGACTACTTTTACCGGGGGTATGCATTCAGTCTAGACTCGACGACCAGAGAGTCAAAGCATTCTAACGAGCGATGTCGGTTGCGATGCAGGACTGTCGGGAAGAAGCCGCGAAGTTGCTGTGCCGATCACTGCGCTCCCTGGGATAGCCTACCTATTGCCAAGTTCAAGTTCGGTCGACAGACATTGGTAGCCAAGAAGATACGCAATCTTCTCATACGAGAGTTTCCGTCTTGTGAACCTTCAGCTGAAGTCAGCTCTGATGGCAAAGCGTGTGACACGAAGCGAAAATATCCGTCGAATCCAGGCGATGCCCACTACTTCTACCAATAATAATCACTGAAGACTGTTCAGTGCCGTACGCCAGACGACATGAGAATGACGGTATCCCCGGCCCTCTATAATCAATCATGTCCTCCGGATGAGTCACCCCCCTCCGCGTTTCTTGGCAATTTGCCAGCGAATAACTTCCGGTTGACCTCAATACAATGCAATATGTGGTTCATCGCACTCATTACGAAAGAAGAAGAAAGACTCAAGCTCTGTAGTCATACCTAACTTCTTTTTCCGTCGAGGAACAGAATGAATCAAGATCTGGGCCCAGTGAATGAAGGTCCAGGCACAGTGAATGAAGATCTAGGCACAGTGAATGAAGGTCCAGACACAGTGAATGAAGATCCAGGCACAGTGAATAAAGGTTCAGGCACAGTGAATGAAGATCCAGGCACAGTGAATGGAGGTCAACAATCAAAGAACAGCGAATCCATTGCTGGGGATACACGGTCTCACTTGAGAGCGAAATCAGCTGTCGACCTTGCAAATGTCTTCATTGGACTTGCAACTTTTGCCGGGACAATTACGTTGACCGCCCGCCTTACCCTCCTTGACCTGTGCCCCCAAATCTTGAAGATGCTGTCATTCGCTTCGATTCTCTTCCTCGCCAGCATTTTTGGCAGTCTCAGCATCCATGTGGCTCTTCGCACTGAGAAGGATGACTACACGATAAAAAAGTTTGGCTTCGTACAAGTTCAACTCATCTTTACGGCGGGTTTTGTGTTAGCTCCGGCCATCATCATTCTTCTGGTAGTTCTATTATACTTGGGAGAAGGCGGGCCGTTTTCCTTGGGAGTTGCGCTATTTGTCGTTAATATTTTACTACTCGTTTATGCAGGGTTTCGGGAAAAGAATCTCTGCCGGATAATCCCAGTCCTTCTGCTGGGTATCGCCTTTCTTTTCGGGTTTCTCGTTGGTTTGCTGGACCCGGGACGGGATGTGACACCAGTTTGCAGAAAAGCTAATTCAACTGTGGCTATCGTTTGGTAGGTTTGGTGCATATTCTACAATTAAATCTATGTCTAAACTGCTGACATTTCCAGTAAAGCCCGGAAACTTGCACTATCCCCGTGTCGCCTGTGCAAACTAAGAGTTCGCCGGTAACGATTGCTTGGTCAGTGATGTCCTGAAATCTCAAAGAGACATGCTTACTTTTGTTGCTTGCTAGCCCCAGCAATTGCACAATCCCAGTGTCTCCAGTGCAAAACCTCTGGAGCTTACCTTCACGGACATGCAGCAGAGAGTAGTGTGTACAGCACGGCGTCGGGGATCAATTCATCAATTTCTGACCCAAACTCTATATTACGGGAGCACCAGAGGCTGACCGAGGGAGGAAGAGTGATCCAGTAGTTCAGGTGCTACTGAGAAATACATGAACTTCCATCATTCTACTAGAGGTCATAACTCATCAAGCAATGGATATCGAACGATAACTTGCGCGACATAATAGATGAGCTACTCTTGGGCTATCATCTTACTGTCGGACTTGAAACAGTCTCAACTCCTTCTTGATATGATGGGGCTTCCCAGCCTCCTTACGGGTATATAGTCTTAGATATCCCCAGGCCCCTCTAAAGGCTGAACAGAGATCCTTTCACCCTTCGTTTCGCTCTCAGACCTTTGATACTTACCAGAGTACTGGCCAATCGCCCTGTCCGAATCGGTGGCGCATAAAATTCGACGCTCGAGAGATCCAGGGCCTGTATAACGGCAAATGGTTACGTATATGGGTTCCTCGGTTGAGCTTCTAAAGAGAGTGGAATTCAGCTGTCTAAGCAATTGTTCGATCTGGGAATCCTCCTTCACGCCAGAGGCCCAAGTCACGCTGTACGAGGCACATAGGCAACTTGGAGTAGTGGGTCTCCAGTGAACCCCCGTAGAGCCTCGATTTGGATCCTCGGCTTTGGGCCACAGCCCTGGCATGGGCATCAGAGTGAACTAGCCCAACTGAGTCTGAGCCAACATTGAGTTGGATGCACGTCAGACTGAGCAAAAGCAGACTCGGTCACGTTGGATGTAAGGTTGACGGGCGTCAAGCTTCTGGGGGTAAAACCGCACATCAGAAGAGAGCCGCAAGCCTACCAGATGCCACGAAATGTCTTGAGACAGAAAGCTTCATCTTCAAGCTTAGAGACGGAGCTGTGCAAAGGTTGAGTCTTTCAGTACTATGGACTAAGTAGGCACGACTTGGAACTGAATGAACCCTTTGAAATTGCCGTCAGAAGTATTATAGTACGGCCCCACAGTGTGCACATTCCCGTCCATCCATTCGTCGGGCCCTGCGTCGAAGTCGAACGTTCCATCAACAAAATACCTGTCTCCCACAGTGATGTTACCCTCCTCGAACGCTGTGGCTCTGAACCTCTTGCCAACGCCCCGCTGGATGGCGTCCTTGTACAAGAGAAATTTGCCGAGCCCGCCGTTGTCGGCGGAGAAATCGGTGTTGTTGGAGACTTCGAGATAGCCAGTCGCTACGTGGGCATCGTCGAAGTAGATCTCGGACTTGATTTCGGAGGTGCTGCCTGCGTCATCGCCGGTATGGTTAAGGAAAATCCAGACCTTGGTGGTCAACCTCTGTCCAAAGGACGCAGCGACACCAGCAGTGGGTGCCGGTGCCGCGTCGGCCTTCCGAACAGTGGGCTGTTTCGACTCGACTTTGGCGGGCGAAGGAGCGAATTTGTTTGGAGGCATCACGGATACCTTATTGCTCTGGGCTTCTTACAGGTGTGGAGGATTATGAGGATGATAAGTGGCAGGAGGAGAAGTTGTTGCAAGATGATGAAAGGGAAAGTAGAAGAGCTCGAGGGAGGAAGTGTTCTTTTATAGAGCAGATTAAGGACGATTATGGGCGGGAAACTGGCCCAGGAAGTTGAATGAAGGGTGCTCACAGTCGTCATCTGACAATTATTGATAATAGAAATGATGGAGAGCAAGGAACTGTCCAACTACAGAGACATATCACCATCCTCCGGCTGAACATCTATCATGTATCAAACGATGCCTTCAATACGAGGCCGTGTCTGGATTGCAACAGAGCTGAAATTGTCGACATGGTCTAGCCCACCGTACGGGTTGCAACATTATAGCTCATTCAAATAGAAACAACTGTAACAGATTTAGATAATACGAGGCAGAATTGGTCAAGATTCAGCACCTAGGTACAAGCCTAGCAGCCCACGTCAAGTCAGCCTCTGTTGGCGATATGCTCAGGGTTCGTGCCAAATGCCAGAAAGACCTAGGCTCCAGGGCTGAATCGCGGGCACCTATGGCGTGTGGGAGTATTGCTTTCGGGGATTGAGTGAGGCGAACACGACGTTTGCTGTGAGAGGATTCCCCAAGAGACATCATCCCCCTCTCAGCCTCATGCGGTATTATACGAATCGAACAGTCCATCGACCCTCGTGTACGGGTGTTCTTTATGTTGGTGGTCGTGCATGTTGGGTTAACCTGAGATGATAATGTTTGATCAAGGCATGTATGTCAGACTCACCAAGATTGATAGCACAGTCTCAGACGTAGTATCGGGAAAATTGAAGACGACTCATCGCTTAATGGGGTCTCAGTGGTTAGCACTTCGGCAGTCACTATGAGCGACATCGCCCAGTCCTATACCTGGAGGTCAAGTATGAGTTCCCCCAATGCAATGTGATCATCGTCTGTCGTCTGATGCCACGCAGAAAAACCCGAGCTCGTGTTGCACTTTGGAGCGAGCTCACCACCTTGCCCGCAATGAAGCGTGATGTTCCCCGCCCTCTCGTTTATGCACCTCAGCAGCTGAATCGTTCTTTTCCTCGTACACAGCTCTCCATCAAGTCTTCAGCTGAACATGTCACCTCGTATCCGATTCAACGAAGCATCTCAACTTTTACGTGAGAAGCTTTTCACTTCGGCCATTCATGCAACGACGCTCTTGCAAGCAGATGGACATTCAGCCTCTCTTCACACAAGCCACGTTTTTGCCAATGGTTATGGTCACATGTGTCGGTATCACGGGGCCCAATATCCTATAGTGGTTCCCGCTCATGCAAATAGAAGGCCGGCTCTGTCCATGGGATGGTCGTGCACATTAGAACTCGCATAACCCTAATTTACCTTGGACACCAAAGAACATGTCCTACAAAAGTGGCGGAGTTATAGCGCGGCTCGATCCGAAATATGAATAGTCGGGACTCAAATTATATCGCTGGCTGCTGGTAAGATGTGAGATGTTTTATCAACCTAAGCTCCTCCCTTGCTTATATTTAGAAGATAGCTATTCGCCCCCACTCAAGACGGTCCCTTCTTTCGGAGCGACACCACTCCGGCAATGAAAGGCGCTGCTGTGCGAGACCTCGAACATCAATGGTATCTCCATGATGATCAGGAGCCCCTCGAGTACCCGTCTTCCACCCTAAACCTGACTGCTGGTTTGACGCTTGAAAGCCAAAACGAAAATGTTGTCAGAAACGGTCAGAAATCGTCAGAAAGCACACAACACTAGACTTAAATAGGCTAGGTTGCCACACTTGCTGATGAACCCCGTTTACGATCTCAGAATCACACAGATATCGACATCTCTCATCTTTATGTGCTGACTATTTTCAGACTTTTGGCACGGCTCTACGGAGATGCGCCATGGAGCCAGCATGGAAATCGTACATGAAATCTTTGGAGGATGACTGGACAAGCATAGCCGATCCCGCGGAACGGAAGCGAGTGCAGAACAGGCTCTCTCAACGGGCAAGACGTAGGTCGCATGGGTGCTGGGTGATAGACTTATCTCGCTACAAGTGCTGACGGACTCTATCATACTAGGTTCTAAGCTTGTCGTCAGGCGTAGCAGGCTCCCAGAACAGTGTTCCTGCCACAACGGAGGAAATTCCGACGCCACCAGTACGGGTAATCCGACACTCGAACCTATCGCCTTCTCTCCAGACTGGAATACGCTCGCTCCGCTCATACCAGACATCACCGTTCCAGGTCAAGTGGCCCCTGACCCCACAGTTGACAATGCGTTCTTGCTCGTTCATCGTATGAGCACCACGGACGCATTTACCTGCATCGGCAATGTCCTTAAGCTGGCGTGCGAGCAAGATACCGGCTTCAATGTCCGGGAGCTCAGCTGCAATCTTCCACCAGCTTTGGTGCCGACCACCAAGCAACTCATGGTCCGACACAAGCCCTACATCGATATGTTGCCGTGGCCTTCAATGCGCGACAAGATCTTGGACCCGGTCGTCCCGGTCGATGAACTCCAGTTCATAGCCGACCTTTTGGCAAGTGACTTGCAGTTCTGGGGCACCACGCCGTGGGACCTGATAGGGTGGGAGATTGGACCAAGATTTGCCAACAAGTGGTGGTTCTTGATAGACGAAGGGATGATACACACTACTAACTACTGGAGGAACCAAAGGGGACAACAGCCATTGCCACTGGCTCCGCTGCGCATAAATGCGACGTGATGCGGAGTTGCTGTGACGTTCTACTATCCGATAAACTATCATGCACTAGCAGCATGCATTCTGACGGTCATTTTTCCGACTAGTCAGTAAGCCTAATGAAGTCTACCGAGATGACCTTACAGCATCTTCATCTTGGTTTTCCTTTATAAAGAAAGCCCCAGCGCGTATACATGCTCAACGGCCACATGTAGTCGAGATCGATCAAATTTGTCTACCCCTCTCACAACCTGCAATTCGTGGTTTCTGCCTCTTGTCATCTATCGTACAGTTTCGTCATGGGAGGTTTTTTCACTCAGTTGTTTCCAGGCAAACCGGCATTTACAGAGACAGACGTCCCTTCTCTTGCGGGCAAAGTTTTCATCGTCACCGGCGGTAATTCTGGCGTCGGCCTTGAGCTTGTCAAGATATTGTACTCCAAAGGTGGCATGATATATATAGCTGGACGCTCGCCAAGCAGGATCGCCACCGAAATCGAGGCAATCAGAGCTACTCCTACCGCGACACCTGGAACGCTCAAGAGCCTTCATCTTGACCTCAATGACCTCGCCACCGTTCCCAGCTGTGTTGCTGCCTTTCTCGCTCAAGAGTCTCGTCTCGACGTTCTCTGGAACAATGCCGCCATCAGCCAAGCATCGTTCGTTACGACCGCGCAGGGCTTCGAGGCTCACATGGGAACCAACTGCGTTGCGCCTTTCCTCCTGACGAAGCTCCTGCTGCCTGTTATGCTCAAAACCGCACAGGCTGCGTCGAAGGGCAGCGTGCGTGTCGTCTTTGCCTCATCGGGGATCATAGAAATGACTGGCCCTCCAGGCGGCGTATCGCTCGACGAGCTGGCCCCCGGCAACTATGCCAAAGACAAGAACCACAACTACAGCGCCTCGAAAGCAGGGAACTGGTTCCTGGCGTCCGAATTTGACAAGCGGCTCCGAAAAGATGGCATCGTCTGCGTGGCGCAGAGTCCGGGCACCCTGCGCACCAAAGCCTGGGACAATGCCCCTTGGGTGATGAGAGCCATGATGGCGCCGTTCATGCACGAGCCCAAAATGGGTGCCTACACGGAGCTTTGGGCCGGACTCAGTCCCGCGGTGAAGCTGGAAGACGGTGGCAAGCTTGCCCTACCGTGGGGCAGATGGCATGAGGGCCCGAAGAAGCATCTCCTCGAGAGCCTGAAGACAGAGAAGGAAGGCGGCACGGGAGTGGCGGGGAAGTTCTTCGACTGGTGTGAAGAACAGACGAGGTCATACTCTTAACGAGAGTGGAAAGCGAGTAGTTAATAGACGAGGCGCTTTCACATCTTTCGCGAACTTGTGTACTTGCTGGTTTAACATGAGCCATGACTAAGGTAGCCTGAGCTGTGGCCGTGCTGTCTGGCTCTCGGCTTTCACGTGTGCGAGTTGCGAGTTGCTGCCTGACCAGACACGGACGCCCTTCGCTTTTCGGGATCTCACGATGCGCACAACTATCTTGACCATCCCTGGTAGAAGAGGCTGGGTTTGGATTCCAGAATTCCTTGTTCTGATTCCAGTTTTACTGGCGCTGGTGCCTAGTTTGAGAACTCACGGATTTGGCTGCGATTTACAAGTTTCATGATTGTAATCGCATTGCAGCCTGGTAGACCACTGCATTATCCGTCCTAGGTATTGAACCTGCTTCATATCGTCACCAAATGAGTAAGACTCTTAGCGAATATGGCGCATCAATCAGAAGTGTTTTGGATTGAAGACTTGGACCCTCTCATTGACTTCAGCTGTTCACACCGCAAAGCGGCACCGCAACAAACTCCTCAAGATGCTGAATTGAATAAACAGTTAGCAAACCTTTCAGAAAAGGTAAGTCCTAAGATGACTCAAAATGCTCTTCAGGCTGGTAGAAGAAGTACGGCCCCAAAGCAATGAAGTTACCTTCCCCTTTAAGCGGGATTTGGCTGACCCACATGTTGCACCGTAGGGACAATGCAGGGTCTGCTACAAGCTCCTTCTTATTTCGCGACCATCATTTATTAGAATCAGGATCCGTCAATCCATGCTACGACCGCCTTAGAGGCATTAAGGCCACTTGAAGGCTGCTCCCACCACCAAAAATTGCTTGCTGCTTCTTTGCACTTGTCGCCTGGCGAAGTGGTCGAAACAATGTCCACTATTATCAAAAGCATCAGTCATTTTGATCTACTGGAGAATCCGTGGAGCATGTCTACGATCATAGTCCCCAGGATGTTTCCGGAGTCCGAGAACGGTGAGGCACCATTATCAGAGATGTATATTGTACAGAACCCCAACGAGTTGGATAGAGTCGATTGGAGGCCGCATTCTGGACCCACAGTGGATTGAGAGCCATCTTCCCGGTCTGTGGAAATCCAGTTGCACTCGTCTTCACAAAGGCTTGTGTGAAGGCGTCCTAAATGAAAACTTGTCTTCAGCTAGGCCAGTCTGGCTTGTGGACGTCGTGGCGTTGTGTCTTGTTCCAGCGCTCAGGACTGCTCTTATGTAGCCCTCAGTTATGTATGGGGCAACCAGGAGACTCTGCATACCCACAGTGCCAACGTACTCCAGCTTCGACACATAGGGTCCCTATCAAATCACCAGTGGGCGACTCATATCCCAAGGACAGTAAGTGATGCAATAGGAGTTGTGAAGATCTTAGCGGAGAAATACCTTTGGATTGACAGCCTTTGTATCGTTCAAGACGATGAGACGCACAAGCACACTGAGATGTCCAAGATGGCAGCCATTTACGCCAACGCTTCTGTCACAATTCTAGCGCTGCAGGGACGACACGCCAACCATGGTCTGCGAGGTTTCCGTGATTTCTCTGAACCAAGGAATTTGTGTCAAAGCGTCCACCTTCTAGATACGGGGGTTAAAGGTAATACGTGATTTCGTCGAGCCGACTAATCTCATGGTAGGCATTGTGGATCCTATGGCAAAAAGCAGAGGATGGATCTATCAAGAAGAGGTATTTTCAAGGAGAAAGCTTGTCTTTGACGGTGATTCGGTGCGATGGGAATGTTCTGCCGCCACTTGGCAGGAGCATGTTGAGATTTCGTCCCGTCAGAAACCTCGTCAAACAACCTCACTTGGATGTCAGTCAATGATCAAACCCTCGATTCCTGGCCTGATCGACCTGCAATCAATTCTGCATGATTTTATCAACAGAAACTTCAGCAACCCAGAAGACGTTCTTAATGCCTTCGCAGGAGTTTCATTTGTGATGAACCCAGCACTTGCTGGGGTGCTTATATCAGGCCTTCCAACGGCCTTCTTTGATATCGCCCTGTTGTGGCAGCCTCAGGGTCGGGTCTTCCGTCGAACAGCCAAAGGCCCAGCGAAGCCGCACTGTCTTCCCAGTTGGAGCTGGGCTGGATGGTCTGGAATGATTGACTTTGACACTGCATCGGCGTCTAACTTCATCAGAGATAGCCCTGATGCTGTAAAGTTTTCACGAAAAAGGCGAATAACGCGAATCCTGTCGTGGAGATATCATTACACCGTCGATTCTCCAGGGATACCCATCTGTCCCAACGTTCTTACCTGCAAGAATGCATGGCTGGAGAATAAGATCAACTCCGACTTAAGCTGGACCGAACACCATATTTCTGGAATTTCAGAAAGTTCAGAAGAGCGGTACGAGCCACCGGATCCTGAGAACCCTTCCAGATGCTATTATAGCCATTCTTCATATCCTGGCTATGAGTTCTGGTATCCGATACCCCTGTGGCAGCAAGAGGACGCAGTTCCGAGTATCATAGTTCCATGTATCTCCGCTAAGACACGGGCGGTCTGGCTGTTCCCAGCAGAGGTGCTCCCAAAGAACAACGGCTACACTCCAGTGGTGTCCCTTCGAGACAGGCGAGGGAAATGGGTTGGTGTCCTCATACCACATGGCGACGTCGACGAGTGTGCTAAACGGTTAAAAAAATCCAACTGACCCTGTCGAGCTGGTAGAAGTCGCAACGGGGTTCTGTGAAGATATCGTCTCGCGATGGCCCGGGGTTGAAGAGATCCGGCATAGCTTACCGTAAAGGACTCGCTAGAGTACTCAAACATGTTTGGGAGGAGCAGAGGGGAGAACTGCTTGACCTGATATTGGGCTAGATGGCTTCTCGTTCCGAGAGCGTTAAGGATACCTGCGGCTGATCGTTTGGGAATGCACAAAGTTACTTGCCAGAGCTCTATAGTGATGGCTCTCGCTGCAGACACTGGAAGCGATCTGACCTAAGTCACTCAAGATACTAGAGACGTCTATTTGAAAGCGAAACCATTCGTTATTGCTTGCATCTCCGCTGCGCGGCATAAGTTGTTTTTCGTTACGGAGAAAGGATACACAGCCATGGGTCCGTATGGCGGGAAGGGCGACAGGGTGTATCTCGCTTCCGAAGTCCGCTGCCTTTCATCCTGCGTCCCGTAACCCTCTCGGACGTCTGAACGGTCAACTTTACTTGGGCCTTGCTCCGCTCACGGTATTATGCAAGGGGAGAGGCTCATGCAATGCGAGATTTCAAGGAGCGGCCAGGATAAGATTTTGGAAAGTGGTTCAGTGCACCGTAAATTGATTGAATGGGAACCGTCAGTCGGCGTCCGCCGAGACCCCGCGAAAGCATGCAGCAGTCCAGCACAGCCATTTTAGATCCCGGCTTTCCCTTTCGTTGACTGCTCGCGTCCGCCTCATCATGAAGACGACCAGCGTTGAATTGTGAATGCAAGAACGGATATCACTCTGAGTTCAACCGTATACTTTGCTTTCCATCAGTTGTGAGCGAGACATATTATTAGTACATAAAGGTAGGCAGTCACCTAGCTGAACTGAGACTCGATCCTCTGCCCTGACAACCTTAGGTACCTACCTACTAGGTATGCAGGATCCTCCTGCTTCTTTTTGGGGTTTCCTCATTCTGTTCAATTCATACACTCAGAGCACTCCAATTGGTCGACTCAGTTGACTCCATCCCTAACCAGTCCGATTGACTGATAGTCCTAACACTTCTTCTCATTCGGGTTTACCAAGACACGCACACCCCTCGCAAAGAACAGCCATAGGGACAGTCCTTCCTGGATCGACTCTCGTCCCTTTCCACACTTGAGTGAGTTGAGACCGACAATCAAAATCCCAAATCCCCAAAACAAACCCAAGGCAAGCAAGAATGGCCTCGACAAACCTAAATCTCTTAAATCTCTGCTCCTCCCGTTCAACCCAATGTGCGATTCCTGGTGTTCAACTCTCTCGATGGGTCTTAGATTTTGACAAGACAAAGGCACTCCACTTCTCTTGTAGCCACAGCTCTATGGCCTTACTCAATACTGCGATAGAAGCCTCCCAGATTAACCACGACTTCGCTCCTTTGCAAGCTGGGTTTCTCTCCTGTCTCGTCGCAGCTCGACTCTCTTCTGTCCATCTCGCCTCATATTCTGAGAGTAGTGTCCTACCCGCCACCCCGGTAACTGTAATCATAGCATTTGGTCTGCTGTACTGTGATGCTCTGGGTTGACAGAGCTAAGGATTGTAATCGTTTAGATCAATCCAATGCAGCCATGCTTTGTATGTTGTATGGTCGTATTTATCTCGCGTGGTCGTCCGGTGGTGTGGATGTGTTGACGTAATAGATTTCTGCTGGTGTCATTGACCGGCATGTTACTTGTACGACCAGCGTCTGGCAGATTCGAGGATAGCGTCGTTTTCTTTCTTGGCCCGCTCTTGGTAGTCGTTCGGGGGACATTCAGAGTCGTCGCTTGTGGTGGTGGTCTCGAAGGTATTGTTGGTGTAGACTGACGATTTGGTCGACGACCGCACTGGGGCTCTCCATATGCCGCCAACGTAACCCCGTTCGAGAGCGACGGCTTTCAAGGTGTTGGCGTCATAGCGCTCAATAAAGATCTTGTCCAAAGCTCGATCCTTGGGTCTGGAATATCGTTCGTACTCTTCGATGCAATCCTCCAAAGTCCAGCCTGTGACTTTTCTGAAGCAGGCAACCATGGTACCAGTTCGGTGACGGCCCTTGTTGCAGTGGATGAGCATCGGGTAGTTGGACGGGTCGAGGATAAGGTTCAGCACCTTGTTGACGGTTTCGTCTGAGCTGTAGACATCCGCATCTTTGTTTGCCTGGATGGGGATCTGGTAGTGGGTGATGCCGTTGGAGGTGATGAAGTTGGCATAGTCGAGCGGGATTGGTGGAGCCACAAGGGTGATGATGGTCTTCAGTTCCAGATCTGCCAAAGTGTCGAAGTGGGCGTACAATGGGTAACTGGACCTATATAGGCCAGGAGCGATGACTTGGAAATTGGCTGGCCGCCCTGACCCGTCTGGAGTTGGTGGCTGAGATCTGTCGTCAGGATTGATGGTCGAGGTTGACGAGACTTCAAGAGCTTCAAGGGAATCTGCAACAGCCTCGACTTTGGCGCCCAGCTCCAGGAGATCTTGTGTTTGTACCGACATTTTCGTGAGTCTTGTTCCTTGTATCGTGGAAAGGGGTTCAAGATCCGATTTAGTCCCAAGATTCGTGCTTGATAGAGTCTGGAAAAAGAGAGGCAGTCTCGGCGGAGCTGGGTGAATATTGTTATATTACAAAGATAATGACTGACAAAGGAAATGTTGGAAGGAATTGTATGAGACGGGTCCAAGGTCCTCGAGAGAGAAAAAAAAGTCTGCGTAGGTTTGAACGGATCTGGTTGACCTGATGTTCGTGCCGAACTGAACCCAAGAAGACGAAAGGATAAAATGGCGATCTAACGCGTCTACAGTAACATTTTGCCGGTATGGGGTGATGGTACCGATGGAAGATACGGTAGGTATGAGTTTAATACGTCTGATGAGAAGGATGGCCGTCCAATTCGCAGAACCAAACGAAGCTGGACTGCGGAGGGGAATGCGGACGGGTCAAACAGAGGATCTTGTTGTTTCGACCCAGGCAAACGTGTGAGGCTCGCGTGTCCGTGTCGAGGTTTAAATGAGACAGTTCATCTCGACCTGAAACGGTCTCGACAGCACTGGAGAGTGATTCGAGGCATGGTGTCTGAGAAGCGGCTCTGCCGGAAGAGCAGTGCGAGAGGGAAAGAGAGATGGATGGAAACCGGAAGCACGTCGTGGCAAGATGTTTTTGACGACACGAACCACAGGTCGAAAGATTGAGCTTTAATCAGCAGGCAGGAAACGCACAAGAATTTTCGATGGTTGAGAGGGAGCGAGGGACCGATCAATCAGAAAGCGCGAAAGCAGCCGCCGCGGAGACAAAGTCTAAATCCCTCGAGCTTCGGCCGGAGGCAGCAATTGCGAGCACGAGATCGCACGACAGAACAGGCGTAAGGCTGAATGGTGAGCGACTTTCCGGTGGCACAAGGCTGAAAGACTGAAAACATATTACAGTACCTCGTGAAAGGCGAAATTCCATCCAGCGTCACGGCAACAGAAACACCCCGGCAGGTTCCTCTGTGTGGTACGTTGGGAATACAATTCCTACCGAGTACTCGTAGGTCACCTAGGTAAAGGTACCTATGATAAGTACCAGTAGTGCTTGAACGTGCATCTACACTTCTTTGGCAACACCAGTACATGAAGTCACGATTATCGAGTAGTGTGCTCCCGTCAAGTCTCGCAAGGAGAATAAAAGAGTCATACATCATTGACTGGGGGCCTCTAGTCCAACAAACACCATCGCTCTGCCCAAACCCATTGTTGTCCCGTAAACGCCGATTCTTGGTCTGCAGGATCGTCTATTGTCATTCCTGAAATAAACAAAATCACATCTCCGCCTTGATCCCTCAGTCTTCAGTCCTCATGCCTTCCTCGACGTCACGTAATTGATCTAGATTCACACGACACTGCTCCATCTTTGTTGACCAATACAGCATCTCCTCGCCTGCAGCTGCGTGTCTCTTGCTGTGCAGAGGTGCATCAATCGCATCATACTTTTGCCATGCCGCGGCGTGTTTGCGCTTGGCCTCGAGAAATTGGTCCGTTAGAAGTTTTTTGACGTTAGCGAGGGCGTGATGAGGATTGAGTTTGGGTCGGAGAGTAGGTTCTTCAAGCATCACGTTCTTCATGAGCTGCGTGATTTGCGCGGTGAAATCCTTCTTGGAGTTCTTAAATCCAACCTCTTGGTCCAGGCCGAACTCGGAATCGTCCTCATCTTCAGGCTGGGTTGACTGGGTACGGGCTCGAGGTTGAGACACAGCACGGTCATTCTCCAAAGGGACAGCATGAGTGACTTGCTTTGTCGTCTTCTTTGTGGCAGTCAGACGTCGGCAGACTACGCAGTGCTCAATGTGTTCCGGGTCGTGCCCGTGTAGAACGCTCTGGGCTTCCTTTGAAACATTGGGACGGGTTTGTGACTTTGCTTCTTTGATCGGCTGGCTGACGGTGATGTCGGGTATGATGTATGCCGACGTCATGTTCTCGTCGAGAGAGACACGGCGGCGGCGGCGGGATGTATTAGAGGCCGCGGTCGGGTCTTCCATCATGCTGTTCTCGGTGTCGTTGAGGGCAGGTTTCTTGTGTTTGTCCCCAAAACGTGACGCGGTTCTTCTCTCCAAGACAGGTGAGGCCGGGCGGTTGACGGCGACAGGGGACAAAACTCGTGCATCGTTCGAGTCGGTTGTTTTCGCAGCGTGGTCTTGTTGCGGCTCTGGAGCACCGCTTTTGGTGGAAGTGCGTCTTGCTGGGGACCTCTTAGGAGAATCTAGCGAGCGGCTGAGGTCGAAGAGTTCTTCCTCCACACGTGCAGAGTTCTTGTTTTTGCTGGCTGGAGTGGTGGATTTCTTGGACGTAGCTTGAAGCATCCTAAGCTCGAGAAGGGCTTCGTCGCGTTCGCGGGTCAAAGTGTTGATAGTATTCATAGCTTCATTCAAGTCACGCTGGAGGGTGCGCAGAGAAGCGACAATTTGTTTTTCGTCGGCCGGGATCGTGTAGTGAATCTGGACGTTTGGTAGGGAGCCATTGTCGGCGAGGATTTGGGAGGTGTTGGGAATATTCGTTGGTAGCATGATGGACTGGCTGTGCTGTGACTTGGAGGACACTGCTCTACTGAAGCGCGTCGATTTTTTCTGAGGTCGATGGCTTGGAGGTGAATTACCGGGCGTGTACATGACCTGGATGGAGTGTGAGTAGAAGAATAGCACGCTCGAGGAGGACAATGTACTTGATAGTCGCCAACGAAGGCATCGGCCGAGTGAATGCTGCTATAGCCGGTACCTACTGTACCTTGATCGAAACGCGAAGGCATGTTGTCTGCTATGTCGCCCGTATGATGTTGAATGGAGTAATGAATGTTGGAGATTGAGAACGAAACACACTCGAATCTTGTGCTTTGGTGTTTACGGAGACTCGGACGATGTAAACAAACCAAGAGCCGAAGATGTTCCGGGGACAGTTCTAGTTACCTTTAGTTAAAGCGGCAAGGCTTCCCGGTGCCTACGAGCCGCCTACAGGGCACCCGCGGCGATGCCTGGTGCGCCTGGACTAAATAATAGGGGCCTTCTACGAGTCCTTTTGCTGTATGCATGTTCCAAAGAACAGATGCAGCACGGATGAGGAGGCCGGTACGCCGTGCACTCTTGTTTCTACAAATGCTCAGGAATCCTGCAGTGTTGAGGAATCATGTTCACAGCCACAGGGTAAGAATCAGTTCGAGAATGTTGCAAGGGGACGGAATCCAAGCCCTCTATCACATCTCGGCTACACGATACACAAATCCAGGCTTTTGCTAACCCCAAAGCAACTCGATTACGCGATCGGTGAGTCGAGTCGAGAGAGGTGCGAGGGAAAAGAGTGCGGCCGCGTGTCTCAGGTTTCTTAGCACGCGCATTTCGGACCCATGCATGCGATCTCGACTGGACCAGCGACCTTGGTCTAGTGCCAGGATCAACTGGCGCTGACGTGCCTTGTGCGGCGTTGTGCCTCACGCCGTTAGCGAATGCAAGATTTCTGAGGCAGACCACAGCCACCACGCATTCTGCAAGCTTACACTCAAGGCTCAATTGACTTCTCATATCATTCGTGTGCATGTCAGCCATGCCCATCTCAGGCTCATGTTAACCGCCTGAGTTTCACCTTACTCTTTACCAGTCACCTTACTCCAACCCTCTATAGCCATCCAGCTCTTCGTCCGGCGGCTGCAAACCCACCTCAAGCGAATGGCCCGATAGCGAGATCGAAGCTTTCCCATCAAGCAACCTCAATCTCGTATTGTATAAACTTTCAAAATGACAGTATTGCCCACTCGATCGCACCCGAAGAGACATGATGAGAATCAGCTATACCCTCGCCAATCTGAACCTTCAGGAGGCCCAGATGTCGGCGGCGGCGGAGGCGGCGGAGGGATCGCTGGGAGTGCAGTCACAGTTGGAGTAGGTTTTTCTCATTTGCAAGAGGCACACCATTCTTATGATTTCAGATTATAGTAGCAATAGTTGCATTCATCACGCTCTCAATACTGGTCTACTCTTTCCTGCGGAAGTGGAGGCAACAAGGCAAAAGTCCTCGTTATATACCTACCCAGTTCCTAAAGAGAAAGTGGCAGACATGGCAGCCCGGAGGGAAATATTCGGCCGTTCGAAATCGAGATCTCTCTTCCACTAACACGGCATACACCGGCAGCAACGTCGCCGGCTCTGAGTCTGGAGCAGGCGTTGACCGCAATACAAGCGTAAGAAGCGTCATTACTCTACCTGCTTACTCTCGCACCCCTAAAGATACCGAGCAAGTCATTGGGAGGGAAGGAGAAAGAGCCGGTATGGACACCGTCGTCGAGTTCCCAGAAACTGCGGATGAAGAAGAAACACGTCGTGAGGACCAGATGGAGTCTCTGTACCAGATCCGCCTAGCCCGGCGTCGTGAACAAGCTGAACGAGACGAGCGCAGGCGTGAAAGGAGAGAGGCTCGAGAGCGAGGTGATACAGCCCGAGTAGAAGAGCTACGGCGCGAATCTCGCCAACGTGCCACCGAAAGTGCTGTCTCCCTCAATGGCGGCGTCAGCGTCTCCGCTGCGACTTTGATTGCAGAACATCAGTCACGCGGCCGAGACCGAAGAGTGTCCAGTGTAGCGTACGGTTCACTGGGTGAAGTACGGCACGATGGTACCAGACTCCGTGCCAACAGTAATGAATCAGAACGAGGTGGACTGTTGAGCGGAGCTGCCCCTATGGGCGAAGCCGGTGGTCGACCACGATTATACTCGGACGCTACGTCGATGACGACCATCTCTCGGCCACAGACAAGAAACCGCTCTATCAGCGATGTTAGCGTAACGACCGCCGGATCAGATGTGGACGGTCAGCCTACGCCCGGTTCTACCATTGCAGGCGACGGAGCCAGAGGTCGAAGCTCCCACAGTGACGAGCGCCAGAGTGGTACTACCAATTCTTCGCCAACGGCGAACAGATTTACTCCAGACGAGAGTACGGGCTCAGAGGACATTGGGGAATCGCGGATTCCGCCAACAGAAACCGACCCAGCTCCCCTTCCTCCAGATTATGAGGTACTGGAGTGGGGTGATGCTCCTTCTTATGAGGCTGCCGTAGCGAGGGCGGCCAGCAATGCTGCCGCAAGAGCTGGAGAGCCGACTAGAGCCCCAAGTATCGCTCCCAGGCTCCCACAGCTCAATCTACCCAGCATTAGCGTCTCAGGAGCTACTGAGCCGAATACTCCTGTGTCGCCAGGGGTCCCCTCAGCCGAACGGTCTCCAGAAGAGGCTCGAACATCATAAGCACAAACGAATACGTGCTTGGAGCAATGTGGACGGTGTATGTTGTTGTGAGAAGTGATGTGAGCATGATTTTATGATCGAACATATCGCATTAAGCATGGCGTTGGACGGAAAAGATCCTTGAATACGCTACACCTTGGCTTACATTTGGGTTTGGTTCCGCAAATGGCATGTTAATTCTAGTGTGTATCAAGCAAAAGAACCAGAACTACGGTTGACAATTCACAATAAGCATGTATTCGTTGTGTTGATGCATTTTTCTTCATTGCAGTTTCAGGATGTGCATGCACATGATCTGCTTGCGTAAAAAGCTTTTCTTGATTTCCCATTTCACAGGCTAGACCTGTTTCCCGGGGATATGCGTGGTGGGAATTGTTTGTGAAACTCTGGACCGCAAGTGCGGTTTAACCCATACCTCCAGTTCTCTGCCAACCGAATTGCTTTGAGTTTCCTTTGCAGTTCGACTTTGGTGCTCAAACTCCTCTTCGCAGTAGCTCAACGCTCTTCGTCACCTTTCCCCTTTTTTTCATGGCTCGACGGGCAATCTATCGCACAATACCCTCGAATCGAGTCTTGAACCACCGGATAGTGTCGTCCTTGCCGACCTTGTGGCTTCGGCCGACCTTGGACTTCGCACGTCTCCGTCTGGCGACTCTGGCACCCGGTCGCGACATGCAGCAGTAGAAGTCCATGCCGTAGATACCGATGGCAGGGTCGTACTTGATTCCCAGGTCGATGTGTTCCGAGATGCCGAAACCGAAGTTGCCGGTCTCGCTGAAGTTCTTCTTGCGGAGTTCGTATTCCTTGACCTTGAGGCCTCGCTCGAGGATTTCCTCGGCCTTGGGTCCTCGGACCGTGACGTGCACGGCAATCTTTTCGTTACGACGGATACCGAACGATCGGACGGTGTAGCGGGCCTTGCCTGTGGGAGAAATTTGGGATTAGCGCCGGGAGAGAGGACGAGACAGAAAGAGACAAAGTGAGATCCCAACACTAGAACACGGTCTGTGTGTGCGAGGTAGAGAGCGACAGGAGGAGAGCTAGCGTACTGTAGACAGGAGTTTGACCAGATAGTTGTTCCAACACCTTTGCGGCACGGGTGAGACGATCGCCAGACTCGCCGACCGAAATGTTCAGGACGAGCTTGTCGATGCGCAGCTCCCGCATGGGGTTTGAGCTCTTGTCGTTGCCTTCCGCCATCGTGTATGTAGATGGTGGGTTTAACGAGTGCGACAGAGTTCTGTGGTTTCGATGGGTGTTGGATGTTGGAAGGTCAAGGCCGGTTCCTGCGCTTGATCGAAAAATCAGCGTGCGGATTGAATCTGGCTTGGCGGAGTGCCAAGAAATATCATGCACTAGTTTATTTTGGGTATGGCTCCGTCGCTATAGCTTTTTTGCCCTTTCGCGACATTTACTGCGAATTGAAGAGGCCCCAAAACAGAACAACCATACATCGCTACGAGGCAAACTTGTCAGTTCGGGCCTGTTTTCACTTCTTCTCCCAGGAAAGTGTTGCAGCCATCGTCTGGCAGACGTAGTCGGGCTGCGGCTCTGTACTGCGCAAGCATACATATTTTTGATCCAAACACAACAACCGTCTCAAAGTTAAGTCGCATTCGTGCGCCAACTTTGCAATCATGTCGAACAAGCAGGGGAAAATGGTACGTCTTTGGTTACATGTCTGTGTCATAGTGTGCTGACAAAAGTATACAGCAAAATCTGATCAACTATCGCATGCGCGTTACGATGAAGGACGGTCGACAGATGACCGGTCAGATGCTCGCGTTCGACAAACACATGAATCTTGTTCTCGCCGACACAGAAGAATTCCGCAAGGTCAAGCGCAAGCAGAACCGGTCCGGTGCTCCCCCGGCCCCAGGCTCTGCTGCGGCTGCGGCGGTTGAAGCAGAAGAGAAGCGTACATTGGGCTTGGTCATTCTCAGAGGAACGAACATTGTCAGCTGCAGTGTCGAAGGCCCTCCTCCCTCCGACCCATCTGCACGGCTCGGCCAGTCTGCGCCAGGCGGAGCCCCCAGTGCTCTGCAAGCAGGAGTAGGAATATCAAAGCCAGCAGGACGTGGCCTGCCGGTCGGCTTGGGTGGCCCAGCCGCCGGCATTGGTGGCCCGCCGCCGCCAGGAGGGTTTGGATTTCCCCCAGGAGGTTTCCCAGGAGGAGCGCCGCCGCCAGGATTTGGAGGAAGAGGAGGCCCAGGTGCACCTGGCGGCCCACCGCCGGGCTTTGGAGGTCCGCCACCTGGTTTCGGTGGTCCTCCTGGTGGCCCTCCAGCTGGTTTCCAGCCACCACCAGGATTCCAAGGTGGCCCTCCTCCTCAAGGTAGAGGATTCCCGCCGCCAGGATTTGGAGGAAGATAGGAGCGTCATGAACCCGGACCATGCTGAAGCATGGTCACCCACATACGTCACAAAGCAAATGTTGCTGCACGGAGAAATCTATTACAGCGGCAATACTATCGAAAAAGTCCGCGTTGTTCGACAGGTTAAACAGCTCTCGAAAGGCTGTGCCAATCAATGAAGTGGTGGCATGGAGTGTTTCTCTGAGTCGATATCAAATCAGATATCAGACATGCGACCGAAATCAGCAGTCGGGCTACGGATACCACGGCGGTACGGTGTATGAAGGTTGCAGTTGGGTTCCAGGCCCAGTTCATGGTGGAATATGCCTTTGAGCCTCACCACCAATCTGCTGATTACCTGCTAGTCTCGTCAAGTAAATTGGCAAGAAGGTACCGTACCATTCCGTCGGCCCTCTCAGCAAGTCAAATGAAATTCAAACGTTGAGAAAGTCCATCTATATGGGATTCCCATTATACGATCATCTTTGTTTCCGCACATTTCTTCCCCTCGCATTCTCGCATGGGCTACCACATCATCCGTTCATCAATGTCTTAACCAGCGATCATCGAGACCACCAGGCGAGAGATACAAGCCCTACATATTGAGTGCGCCCGTTCGCTTGGTCAAATCGGACCGGGAATAGTAAGTCGATGGCAATGGACATCCTAGTGCTCTCGTTGCCTTTTCCACCTTGCATGAAGCCTTTGCCAGAGCCGCCAGCGGACACGGCGACAACCAAGCTTAGCTTGACCTGATCAATTGGCCTGGAGACAGCATGACCTTTGCGATACGACGACGTTTGGACCAGCCTGGCAGCTCCAGTTTCCCCCTTGGATCTCGACGACCGAGCCATGGTTGCTTGTGTGATATCCGTTTGTACAGAGGTAAGCGTTGGCGGCGGCGGCATGCCTTTCCATCGAGTCGTCCTTTGTCCGCTCGCCCAGGGTTTGTGAACACGTAAAAACCAACGAAATACACGGCATGGAACATTCGTGGCCACTAGACATCGTGCATATTACCCCCCGTTGAAGCGTGCTGTCGAGATGCTGGACCACCCAAGAGAAAAACATGGCGCGAGGAAGTCGACGATCGAAACCTCCCACGACATGTTTCAACGACGACGAAATCAGGATCGAATCACACAGGTGGTCGCAGTAAATTCACTCTCGTGTCCCCTATGAACATCACAAGGGACGCACCGACGGTGTCGATCCAGTGTCCCATCTTCACGTGGCTGGCCTATTGAAACGCCGAACAGAACATGGGGGGTGTATGAAGCCTTAGGTCGGCCAGGCAGATCGCAACTGTATCTCCCACCGCCCCCTTCCAACTCAACTCAACTTGACAAATACATGTCATCTATCGTTTAAATGGTGCTCTTGCTTTCCTCCTCAAGTAAAAGGATGTTGATACTATAGCAAGCAGAAGCCCAAAAGTACTAAACATAGAGCTTAGCTACCCACGAAGGTATATGCATACTCTCCACCATTCAGAGGTGGAAAGCTTCTAATATAAATTTTGAGTCTGAGGTTGACAGCTGGTCAGATAGACCAGATATATCTATTGTAAAGGCCTCTCTGTCTATCTAGATAGTTTTGGTTACCTTGTATACCTTAGGCAGGTATCTAGGTCATTTCTTCAGGGAGGTAGATCAGGAAACAAACGTTATAAATATATACAAGATACCTCAGGTACCCATCTACCCATCTACCTACAATACCTGTCTAATGTACTGTAATAACACATGATGCGACTAGAAATGTATATTTTTATCTGCTAGATGCTCAACAAGTCTCACACGTCGATACAAAAAATTTCGACGTACACTCACCACCACCACCACCAGCAGCCCCTACTCAGGTTAAAGCGTCAAGAACGAGCTAGTAATGATTTTCTGTTCCATGTTTAATGTCCATGTTGCTCTTTTCTCTACTCGACCCGCAAACACTGCAATCTAGCCTCTGTCTCAATGACGTCCAAAGCCTGTTTAACTTCAAGAACCTTACGAACATCACCTAACCAGTCCTTGCTTAGTACCTTGGCCCAGCCCTGAAGAGAATTCATCTCTCTGGCCGCAGAGTCGAGATCTCCTTCCTCCAACAAAGTCTCGGTGCGGGTCAAGATACTCTCGACATCCGAACCAGTGGGTTGCCCATGCTTCTTGAACATAACCTTGCTCAGGACAAAGCTGGCTGCGTGAGAAGCGACACCCGCATCTTCGGGAAGCAAACTTGCTTTGCGAACTTCATTGGCGACACGGCGGAAACGATCAATCAGTTGCGGCTGGCTGGGGATGCCCTTCTGATACGCAGCAGGGTTGATTGAGGCGATTGCCGCATCGACCACTGGGTCACCCTCAGCAGCGAGCTTGAGTGCGGCCATCTCGCGCACGAAAGCCTTGGGCCGAGCCTCGGATGCCGCGGACTGGGCGAGGGCAGAGCGAACAGCGTCCACGGCGACCTGCAACTTCTGAGTAGCCAAGTTGGCATCAATGACACCGTTCCAGTTGGAGGTGAGCTGAGTCAAGTCCTCAACGTTAGTGCTAAGATCTGAAAGCTTAGATAGACGGCCCTCTCGTTCAGACTCAACCAGAGACTTGATTTGGGAAACAAAGTCACGCTTCATTTCGATGGCTTGCTCGACAAGCTCATTTCGGAGCCGTTGTTCAGTCAGCTCCGTGCTGCGCTGCACCTCATGCTTGAGCCTCTCTTCGTATAATTGTGCGATGCGTCTTCGCTCGGCCTCAAATTCCTCTCGAAACCTGGCCTCATCCTCCGCTTGAGCGGTCTCAATGCGCTTGAGGAGTTGTTGAGCACCCTCTTCGAATTCCTTGTGGGCCTGCGCAACTCGTTCTTCGGCGGCTTTTCGTTCAGCCTCACGCACTTCGTGGATTTTGGAAGCCACCGCTTCAAGCGACTCCTTGGCTTTGGTCATCGGAGCCGAGTATTTGTTCGCGGCATCAGGGGAATCCGAGTTGACCACGGTAATCATGTCATTGACAATCTTGACGAGCTCTTGTACGACCGGTTCGTCAGCGTTGCCCACCGTAAGAGGTGAGATCTGCGTGACAGGGGGGATAGCTGGCGGCCGAGGATCTGATTTTGGACTCGGTGGGGCTGGGCTTGGGACTGTTGACCCGGGTGATTTTTCGCCGGAGGCGGAGGCCGTCGCTTTGGCTGTCTCAACCGCATTTACTTTCTCGCTTGAGGTCACAGACACCGGGCCAGTCTGAGATGGAGTCGAAGGCTTATTCGCATCCACCGCGCTGTTATGCTTGCCTTTTTGCGTCAAATCACTGCCCTTGGGTTCGTCCTTTACAGGTCTCCACGAAAGTCCTGATCTCTGGGGGATAGTTGTCGTCTTGCCATCAACTGCCTCCCTTTCTGACCGGTTGATACGGTGGATGTTATGCTTAGCATGAGGGAACCTCTTCTGGAACGACCGCTCCTCAAAATAAAGGACCGCCTCCTCTCCGTAGGGAATGTACTCGGTGAAGAAGTCATGAAAGTTATCGTTGCGCAGGGCATATACCACAGCTCCTCCATATGCCAGACCGCCAAACAAGAGAAGGTAGAGCAGGGCTCTCAGGCGTCGAAAGCGTCGTGGCGCCGGCGCTGCTGGTTTCGGCGGCGGAGGCGGCGGAGTGGGTTCTGGCGGGCTGACTGTCGAGGAACTCGTGGGCGGCGCCGTCTGGACTTGTGCCGGACTTGGAGGAAGCTTTGGGACACTCTGGGGGGGAATAGTCGTGGATGAGTCGGGCGTGGCAGGAGTGATCGGAGGAGCTGGGCTTCCGGGACCGCCAGGGCCCAGTGGTACTTCCGTCTTGAGGGGAGATGCTGTGCTCTGACTTCCTGGCATAAACGCAGGGTCGGAGCTCAGGATGGAATCCTTCTTCTCGGCAAAGGCTCTCCGCTGTGTTCATTTATGTTAGTCGCGGGGGAAACGCTCTGGTGCGCACGAAATTTTGACGTACCTGAGAAGTAGCTCCTCGCGCGAGTAACTGCCTGCGCAATTGCGCGCCGGCAGGCCTGGCTAGTCGCAGCATGACGGGCTGGACTGCCATTTGCAGCCTCTGAATAACCTGTGGTGTGTATGAAACTCGACAGTCGAATAAGTCTGTTGAGGCCGAGCAAATTGAGCTTGGGATACAGGGACAAGCTCCAATTCCGATCTCGCTGCTTTGGCCAACGGGACAATTTATGGTCACGTGATGCGAATTTCGGAAAAGCGGCGTCATTGCAATTGCCTGGAGTCCGTTGCATATTGTATGAAATACACTCTACCTGCACGAAGTAGGCCAGGAAGCTTGCACTATTCGTGTGTAGAAGTTTGGCTCTGGTAGTCTTTACACAGCAATTGCATTCTCCTCCCCAATACTTCAGTACATGTATCCATTTTGGCAATCCGTGTGTGAGTCTTTCCCCCTCAGAACAGCATACACATTTCTGGTCCAAACCACTTATAGTTTCAAGCCCATGTTGATATGCACCGCCTTGGTCTGGCTGTACGCTGCCAGGCCAGCCTCACCCAATTCTCTTCCGATACCAGACTGCTTCACGCCACCGAACGGTACTCGGAAGTCCGAGTCGTTGCTGCTGTTCACCCAGACCATGCCTGCCTCAATGCGGCTGGCAACGCGGTGCGCTCGCTCGATGTCACGCGTGAAGAGGGCGCTGCCGAGTCCGTAAGTCGTGTCGTTCGCCATCCGAATCGCATCCTCTTCACTCTTGAAAGAAGCGACCACAACGAAAGGACCGAAGACCTCCTCACGGTAGATCTTCATGTCGTCCTTGACTCCTGTAAATATCGTAGGCTCAATGAAGAAACCCTTGCCGCCACCAACGTTCTTGTGTGGGACACCACCGCTGACGAGGTTGGCGCCCTCACTCTTGCCGGCCTCAATGTAGCCCAGAACACGTTCGTATTGCGCCTTGGTGACCTGTGGGCCTTGGAAGGTGTCTTCCGCGAAAGGATCACCAACCTTGGATGTGCTCTTGACGACCTCCTTGAACAGTTCGACGAATTTGTCGTACACGCCCTCTTGGACAATGACACGAGATGTAGCTGTGCAAATTTGACCCATGTTGCTCATGATACCGATGTGTGCCCACTTGGCGGCCTGTTCAAGGTCCGCATCGTCAAAGACCAACAGCGGTGACTTTCCACCGGTTTCAAGGGTGATGTTCTTCATGTTCACGCTGGCAGTCTTCATGATCTGCTTGCCGGTAAGGGTGCTTCCGGTGAATGCGATCTTGTCCACATCCAGATGCGAAGCGAGGGCGTGACCAGCTTCACGGCCGAAACCGTTGACGATGTTGATGACGCCTTTGGGGAAACCTGCTTCAGGAATGAGGGTTGCGAGATAGAGGATAGACAAGGGTGTTTGTTCAGCGGGCTTCATAACGATGGTGTTGCCGCACGCTAGGGCAGGACCCAGCTTCCACGCAGCCATGGCGAGAGGGTAGTTCCAGGGGATGATTTGACCACATACACCAATTGGTTGCTTCAGAGTGTATGCAAACTTCTGGGAATGCGTGGAGATGGTCTCGCCTTGGATCTTGTCTGCCCAGCCGGCATAATATCTCAACGTGCCGATGACTTCGCCGAGATCGTCGTTGAATGCGACACTGTACGGCTTGCCGTTGTCCCATGTCTCTAAAGTGGCTAAAGTCTCTCTGTTTGCTTCGATCAAATCGGCGAACTTGTACATTATAGCACCGCGGTCGGTGGGAGGAAGGTCTCGCCATGAAGGGTCGTTGAAGGCAGCTCGTGCGGCCTTGACGGCCTTGTCAACATCATCAGCGGATGCTGCTTCGACTGAGCAGATTTCCGACTCGTCTCTGCAGGGCTGTCAGCTGAGCACGAAGACATAACGGATTTCCAAGCTCACGTAGGGTTTATACTGGTGACCTTCTGGTTTGAGGTGGCCTTGACGAATTCATTGTTGATGAAGAGACCGGTAGGCAGAGTGATCTTTCTGCCGTTGGGCGCAGTAAGTTCGACCTTCAGGTCAGACATCTTAGACAATGCTCGTTGCTGAGAGGGCAATAGACGTAACCGAGAGAAGGAAGAGGCAACAACTACAAGCCGGTGTGAATTCCTACCAAGGACGGGTCTTGCAAACAACAAGTTCAGCATATAAAAGAAGCCGAAGGAAGCGAGGTCTGTTTGTCTCGCTCTCTAATCAATTGTTTCGCGCATATGCAGCAACAAGGGCTCTCGACCATGGAGGGGCGCACTTGAAGGAGGGGAAGCGAATAGCTTCACGAGCTTGAGTGGAACAAATTTCCTCTTCAGTGCAGAATCCGAGCTTTTGACTGGCGGCGGGGATGAGCGTAAGGTGGAGCGACCAGTTTGCCAGACGCTGAGGTCCGCAACAAGCTGCGGAAAAGAAGCTTAGTAGTCAGAGAATGGAAGGAGAGCGTCGAGAGGAACAGACGAGGTGCCAGTCCACCGAATGGCAGTGCAAAGGACAAGCAGCGATAGACACCGCAGGGCGACGAGAACGAGGGGCAGATAAGAGACCAGCGGCTGTAAATGCCTATGCAGGACTAGCGCCCTGTGCTCGCAGACAGCTGCCCCTCCATCGCACATTCAGCCTCGTTCTTCGGGTGCTTGCTCCCACAAGTAACTCACTCGACTGAACTCACTGAAAGGCAAATGCTTCACTAACCACAAGTGACGATAAGGAAATAGAACTTACCAGACGGGCATTCCGCCCTCGTACTCTGACAATTTATCAGCAGTCGTTTATCAGCAAAGATCAACCCCAGGCGCAGCACCCTATCCAGCCGTTCGAGGGCAAGGGACGCGAGTGAAACGGGCAATTGTAGGCGGACCAGGCGGAAACAAAAGCTGGAAGTCAAGGGGTCAAGGTATTTACCAATGCTTAATAACAGGGGTGTGATCGCAAAGCATGCTCCGTTCAAGGTAGAGGGGCTCCTCTTCTGCTGCCCCGGTAGCCGGTCTGAAGTGGAGTGGATGCGACAACCACGTGCATCACCAGGCCCAAGCAGGCTGAGAGATGGAGAACACTAAAAGCAGGGTATGGGAAACCGTATGCATGCGGTTGTTGATCAACAACCAGAGCCGGGTACCGAGGAGAGACATTGAGTGGCCCTAGAAAATCTCCGACTTTTACGTGAAGGGGGGTCGACTAGGTGGTTTGGTCTACAGCCTACTGGCAGAGCCTGGAGTCTTGAGCAAGCACCCGTCACCCATTGCGACGGCGTTCGTCGATCTATGCGATACTCACTCGTATGCCCAGTAGAGGTCTTGGATGACGAGACATGTACAGAGAAGCCGCATCCAGCTATCGGATAGCAGCAGCTATGTTCAACAGGGAGAATCTACTATCTCTGTTTCTGAGTAACTATGTTCTTGAGTACCGTGTCCGCAAAATGCACAGTTCGATTCCTCATCTTCAATGTGAAGATTTGACCCAGATATCGCTTCTGGACTTCATAAAGAACCTAACCGTTGTGACCATCTAAGCCACCCTTGCGGGCTGTAAGATACCCGTTGACTTTGCATGTTCCATCAACACCAAAACCATCTTTTGGACGTATTAGTGGTTTCACTCTTCCGAACGATAACATTGCATCGCATATGAGCTCAGCTCCAGCAGCAAAAACCATCGCCGAACTCAAAATGGAGAGAGATCGCTCTTCATCGTCAGCTGACGCACCGACATTATCCAGATTCAGAGATTCTCGCGTGCATTTTAGGACGCTGTTGTGATGACGTCGTGCTCATGAGCGGCGCCATTGGCCCCGTTAACAGGAGAAGAAAGGTCGGGTTGCATATCGCCCTCGAGGCTCGTATCGAAGGTCTTGTTGCCAACGCCTTCAGCAGCCGTCTCTTCGCCTTCGCCGTCGACGTCGGACTCGTAACCGTCCTTCGCCTCGCCCTGGACATGACCGAGAGAAGGCTTTTCTCCAGCTAGGCCAAGGATGAATCGCCACTCAGCAGGCGCAACCGACGAGACACTCAACCGACTTTGTTTGAGCATCTGCATGTTGGCAAGCACACCGCCTTGCTGTGAGAAGGTTTTGAGGTCCTTCAAAGAGATGAACTTATCAAACTTCTTGACAAACTCAACGTGTACAAGCTCCCACTTCGGTTTGGCCTCGTCAGACTTGGGGTCGTAGTAAGGGTGAGCCGGATCGAAAGCGGACTGGTCGGTGGTATGTTCAGCGACAATGCGCATAACACCCGCGATTCCAGGGTTGGGACAGTTGGAATGGTAGAAGAATGCCAAATCCCCCTTGCGCATGGCTCGCATGTTGTTTCTCGCCACCGCATTGCGGACACCTGGATTCCTTAGTATCACATCAAGTCCAGGATTTCCATTCTTGTGACTTACCATCCCATCCCTCCGGCTCGGTCTTTGCTGCAAGGTCATCAATGGAGAACTTGACATCAACACCCTTCTCGATGCGAGATTCTGGCTCAGCCTTCATCAACCAATATTGAACGTCCTGGTCAACGTCTTGAATGTCTTCCTCCACTGTTGCGGTGGCAAGGACAGCATCTCCAACGACGGGAGTGCCGTCAAGTACCTCTTCAGACTCTGAGCTGCTAGGAGAGGCTGCCTTGGGTGTGCCTCCAGTTTTAGGACCTCGCGGTCGGCCAACCCTCGCACCCTGCTTCTTCACCAGAGACGTCTTTGGAGCTGCCGCTGTGAGACTAGCTGAAGTGGGTTCTGATTGTATGTTAATATTCTTGATCTTCAAAATGACCACATGTTTCAGCGTCAGGACAGATCATGACTTACTATTCTTCTGCTCAAGTTGAGTACCATTAGTGCTGGCGTGGGTAGCTCCTTTTGCAGGTCGGCCTCTCTTTTTCTGCTCAGGTCCAGCTATGTTCTCTGTGGTCACAGGTTCAGGGCTCGCAACTGGTGGGCTACTTTTGGGTGGACGTCCTCGTCTCTTGGGCTTCACATCAACTTCAGAGGTTCGTGCCTGCGAAGGCGTCTGCTTTGCGACAGAGGACTTGGGTCTGGTGAAATTGTACTGCGGTACACCGACAGAGGTTCTTCTGGGCCGACCGACCGGTGAGATGTCAGGAATGTCTGATGTTTCTCCAATGCGAACTTTCTTCGCTGGAGTACTGGCTCTGCTTGCAGCTTTACGTTTCTTGGGGGCCATGATGGTGTGAGAGAGGATAGATATCTCAGCGGTAGAGCAAGGAGCTATCGGAGAAGGGGTGGATCAATCCGCTGAATGTCTTTGTTGTAGTCGCGACGTAAAAGTCATTGAGATCGACGCCGCTGGTGATGTAGTGAGTGGTTAATTGGTGTAAGAACCGCAGAGACCCAAGTCACGTTTTGGACGCGTCGCGCTCAAACAAAATTCGGAGAAGCGGCCAAACTAAAATCCGGGGAACAGATAAGCTTATCGATAACGCTGTCAGCCTTGTCCCTCTCTCTGCTCAGGAGCAGCCGCTCATGAATTCACGGCTTAAACACTCAATTTTATTCTTCTCTTGTCTATTTCGATAGATAAGCATAAATGAAATAAGAGCAGTTATTTAGGAGGAAAAGGACACGGTATATGCAAGCACAAATGTGCATGTACCTTGCCTGTCCCCGTGGTTGATGTATTCATAGTTCGCATGAGAAGGACATTCCCCGTCTGGCAGTGTTCAGAGCAATCATCAAAGCCCCTTCTCTTACCATTGCTGAGACGAACATGACAAGAGTGAAGAGCTTAATTGACTACTACGCCCGATATTTCACATCCCACCGAGGCTTGTTGATCTTGGGCGGCCCCGCTGGACGCCCCGCTGGACAACTATGCCGCCGCAGCATTGGAGTTTGGCAGTGAGAAGCTTCCCTTGCGATGGACGACGGTGGAAGAACACAACCTTTGTGGAGACAGATACATCCCACTGATAGTTGTATCGGATGCCGCCAGGGATGATTTATGCTGCTCATGGAGTATCCCAAGCTGTTTTGCGGAACAAGCGCATCCGGACGGCAACGGCAGATGAACATTATTGTAGGAATACCCTCGCCTAATTGTTCCCAGCGAGGTGCCTCCGTGTGACTATCCGAACTGAGTAATTCACAGGGCCACGGGAACCATACTTGCTGTGTGAGTGACTACTCGACCTAAATTTCAACTAAACACCAAACACCAACACCAGCGAAACCTTCTCGGGGATACCAACCATTCATCATCCGCACAAATGTCCTGCAGTGGTACGGCGCCACGTGTCGTCCCGAGGGCCCGCCAATTGACTTTTTGGGTTTGGGCAAAGGGACAAAGACACAAAGATGCATCTACAGCATGATCTCACAGAGGGCAGATGATCGCAGAATCCCCTGAAAACGCCCTGAGCTGCCCCTAGTCAAGCCTCCCGGCCTAAGTGGCTGCTTGGGTCATGTACTGTAAGCATCCCTGGGCTTTGACCTACTAGTGACTGCATGCATGCAAATGCGTGTGAGAAGCTTGCGAGGCGCCGTGTCCAAAGCCTGCTCCAGGGGTCGCCTCACTGCAAGTGACCAACCATAACTGCGACCCAGTCATGCACGATGCACAGGCGAGAGAAAGATAATGCATGGATTGTTTGGGGCGACGGTCGGGGTCCCGGTGGAACCCAAGCGCTTTGCTTCTTGCCGACCTTCTGACTGATATATTGCAAGTGGCCACCTCGACCTGCCTGCATAACCTACAGAAGGAGACGAAAAAGCGGCAGTGATGGATCCAAAGACGAAACGATCCGGGATACTAGAGTACCATATGTGAGGTTTTTTTGTACGGAGCACCCGTGGACCTTGTACAAGTAGACGAGCCTTCTGGCGATGGTAATACTCCGTCAGGACGCATGGAAGCGAGGGAAGATCTCGATGTCGATTCGAATTGCCTTCATTTTGTGTTCAGGTCACATCATCACACGCTTGGCTACTATTCTACTTGTAGTATTTGTAGTCGTACTAGTCCCTCGAGCGATCTCCTGGTAGCTAGGCGCCTTGACAGCTGTCACAAGGACTAACCTTTACAGCCGCCGCTGTCCAAGTACAGTAGTCTGTGTCACGCTCATCCCGCGGTCAGGGATGGGTCGGGTCGACCAAAAGAAGGAATATCAAAACTCTACTCGTAAGTTGGCCAGTCGATGGTTGCAGACTCTTATCCACACAGTGCGTGTACAAGTATGTATGTATTCTGTAGACGAGGTCAGATGGTCAACGCCCACTTGTACGCTATACATAGGTATGTATGTACGGAGTGCTTGTAAGCCTTGTACTGTCCCGTGAGCGATTCGGCACTGCTATCGACTATCTACGTACTGTACCTTATGTACAGGAGGTACGTAAGGTTTTGGCCCCACCCCCCCTCCTTTTCTCCCCCCGGCTACTGACGGACAGCCGTGCCATGCGGCCATGCCAGTGTCAAAGTCATGTCATGCTATGCAATGCAATGCAATGCAATGCAATGCAATGCAATGCAGGCACTAGCTCTGCCACCAAACTAATAAACTTTGGTGCAAGGAGGACCCCCACTGACTATTGACTTTCTTAGTGCCGTTGATGATTAGCCGGGGGCTGTTGTGCATATTGGGCAGCCATGCATGAAATCGTAACCGACCTGTTGTTGTTGGAGCCAGCCAATACGACTAGATGGATGCGCAGCATCCGCCAAAAGTCACGTTCGCACTCGATCACAGTTGATGGAACTGAAGTGACCAGCTGACACTCTCCTCTCCCCTCCTCTGCATCTACAGTAGGTGACCTGTAACCTTCGATGTCATCCAAGCCCCTTCACGTTGTTGAACTCTACCCTCTAGATAGATCTTGTAGATCGAAATGGTCCTGCTAACTAGACCTACTAAGGGTACCTTCGAGCACAGGCTGCAGTAACGGACTTGGGGCCACGGCGACAATCCCCGTTTGAGGCTGCTGTCACTTGCCCTTGCGGCTGTGGTTTGTTGTTGTTGTTGTTGTTGTCGTCGTCGTCGTCGTAGTTGTTGCCCAACTTTCAATGCGGCCAATAGAGGAAGGATTTCGGGGGATTTACCCGTTTGATCGTCTTGCCGACGGTGACGATGTCTTTGACTCTTCCCGAGCGCCACCATCGTCGTTCACTGGTAAAAGTGTACTGTAGGTCAGGTACCTGCCAACTGGGCACATGAATAATATTATTATTGTTTTCACTATTATCATTAGCGAAAAATCGATATTCATGTCCACATTGCATACCCGGAATGATATTATTATCATTGCAGTTGCCGGCTACCTACCTGCCTTTTTCATGCTTTATCTTTTTGGATCTACCGTGCATTGATTTTCTATGCAAAGTGTATCGTGGAGTAGAAAAGAATGGAGAGCGGGATGGATAACCGGAGTCCGTATGTGGTGGTCTGTGTCGTGTGTCTCAGCCTTCTCCTGTGCCGGAAGTGGGCTGGCTACGTTATTACTCCCTACCTTACCTTTATTGTAGGTACCGTCTCCGTACTCCGTACCACCAAAAAGTATTGTTACTACAATATTTACCTTCCGCTAGGCTAGTGAGTAGCGAAGCGAAGCACGTTTTGTTAGTTGCCTCGTGGCTCGGGAGAGTCGCCAGACCCCAAAAAAGAAAACACCCGGGCCCCCCTCTCCCCCACCCCCCCCGCCGTAAAAGCCTACAAATATAATTGAGGCTCCAGAGGGCTATTGTCTATTGTCAACCCACTATCCGGTCACTATGGCCCCCTCGGTCTACGGCACACGGACCATGGGCTGTACAGTAGTCCTGATGACTCGCGACTCGTGACGCCCAGGAAAGTTTTTCTGATCGTGTCTCTCGGACTCCGTAACTGCGGGACCCTAAGAAAGATAAATCAAACGAAGGACAAATTGAAAAGAGCTTCCACCCGTACGAAGGCGTTTCTCTAACTCCCAACCCCAAAAAACCGGAATCCTTGGCTAGGGAGGCGTGATCGTGAAACTTTCGTACAAATAATACTGCCGAGTTGTCGCAATCTAGACTGATAAACTCGTATCCAGTCGGTTCCGCGCCAAGCTACATACAGTACCTACAGGTAGCTTTTCGGTTGTTTGTAGCACCTTTATAAGGTTGGGCTCTCGATAGAGGTAGATGCTTAGGTGCCTTGGCTTTGCATTGAGAAAGTCTTCGCCTGAGGCGTAAGTGGTCTGATACTCGCATTCTGCAGCAGCGAGAGTTCAGAAAGTGAAAAAAAAAACCCCCCAAGAAACCGAATGTGGCAGACAATAATGCCTGGTTTGAGGTATGCTTTCTGCGGAGTAATATTCGGATGAATATTTCATAGGTAAAACTAGGTACCTAGGTACCTAGGGACATACTTAGGTACAAGCTCGGCCTACTGCCTACAACTACAAGACTACTTACTCTGAGTGAGTCTACGACGATGGCTACGACGACGAGGAAGAGGAAGAGGAGAAGGTGAGCTCCGTACAAAACCTGGCTACGAAATACGAGGGCTCCTCCGTTACACGGGTAGGCAGGTAGTACAGTTAGGTACCCATTTACAGTAGGTGAGTACTCGTAGAAGTATCTTAAGTTGGCCCAACCGCGGGACACCACCAGGCCATGCAAGGCCCACGACGAACTTATCATTTGGGCCCGGAGTGAAAATCGAGTGGGTTGGACTTTGCACGGAGTAATTTACTATTGTAGCATTAAATTCCATGGGTTGACCCCGTTGAACTGTTTTAGTCTCCTCGCTTCGCCTGGTTTAGACTCGTTTTTCCCTCAAGCAGTCTCGGTGTAAAAGGTGACAGTGCACGCACAAGCGTTGAGTCTTGACTCAGTTGAGTTGAGCGTACAGTCTAGAGCTGGAGCGAAAATTGACAGTCAACGGCTCAACGGTCAACAATAGATCGTGCATCATCTCATCTCGCTTGTGCAGCCCATCGCTCGCTTCATCCAAGGCTGACGACAACTTAACAGGTGCCCTGGGCTGCGCAGGCGAAGACACTGAGAATCTGATTATCTGATTATTTGACCCAAACGCTCGTGCATGGCACTTGGGTTGGGCCATGTCAAAGCAAACCTGAGCTGAAGTTGCCCAACATCAAATTGGTGTCTATGTAGTATACTCCCGCACAGAGCAATGACTCCATACATGGCCCGTTGGATCATCTCTCGTGGATACCACATGCTATGCCATTCTACAAACAAACAACCAGCCAGAAAGGTGGTTCGATCTTTGTCACTCATCCTCCACCAGCCGTCGCCCCAATTGACCTATTCTAGGTCTTCGCTTCAACTTGGTCCTTGCCTTGCGCTCCATTTCGTGTTTCTGTCTTGTAGCTCCCAACCACCACGAACCACTTTCCGCCAAAGAAAAAGGTGTATTAGTTGAGAAGAAAATACTGCCCCCGGGGTATCTTGCACATGCAATATGCTGAAAATCAAGAACGATAAAAAGGAAAATAACAGTATTAGTCGGTTCGGGTTTATCTCGAACGAGATATCATTGATATCACGTCGGATTTTGCATTCGGTAAAAAGGTATAAAATGCGCCCCCTGTGACGACAGTCGAGCATCCGTTTTCTGATCATCGGTTCATTCATAATCATGTCCCATCATTCAATGTATAGGATGCTGCATCTGAGGTTGCCCTCATAGTCGTCTCTCTAGGTATAGTCATGTCGAATAGAAAGGAAAACAGGTTTCAGGCTGGATATTTTACACACCCTGCTTTTATTTATCGACCTGAAGGCCATGTGCGATCGTAAGGGTCTCGGTGGAAAGGATCATACGACCGCGATCTTGTAATGGAAGGCGCTGCCGGTCCCGGTGGCAACGATCGGGAAGCTGCGTAGGAGGAACTCGTCGTCGTGGGAGGGGGTGGCAGAGGCATTGGAGGCTGCGGTGGAAATCCGCTGTACCCCGGTTGAGATGGCGATTGAGTCGAGGCTGCGACGAAAATTGGCTGATAGTCTCCGGTCCGCCGGCGCTGACTCGAAGACTCTCTGTCGTGATATTCGCGATATGAATCTTCCGAGCCAAATTGCGGCTCAGAGCTAGCGCCACTGGTTGGTGCTGGACCTGCCGAAGCCGCTGCTGCCGTCGCCGCCAGTCGCCGCTGCCTGGGTGATGGAGGACGTTGTAGAAGTTGCGGGTTGGCGCCGTGTCTTGCAGCAAGCTCACGAAAGTGGTCTCGTTCGGAGAGATAAAAATCTCGCTCTTCGATCAAGTCCCTCATTTCTTGCTGCAAACCTGAAATTGTCTGAGAAGCTTCCTTCTCTTTCTCCTTCCGTCGAGCCCGGAAACGAGCTGACGCACCGGCATTCCGCTTTCTTTTCTCGTCTGCCACCCTCGAAGCTTGTTGTAGGTCCAACTCCACAGGAAGAACCAAGGGTCCTTGGTCCGTGTCCAAAGTCAGATTCATAGACGTTTGCCCTGCTTGGTAGCCTTCATGGGGGCCATGTAGATGGGTTTCATGACCATATCCGCCAGGCCCGCTCGGTGGAAACCCTCTGTGGGCAGGCGAGGGCTGAGAGAGTGGCTGGCCAGGACCATAGCGGAATAGAGGTGAAGGCTGTTCAATCCTTGAGTAAGTTGGCTGACCCGGCAAAGCTCGATCTGCTGTGTGCGTAACGACAGACTCCAGACCCCGCGGAGAGTTCCCAGGCGCAGGCGCAGAGCGCGTTTGGGTACCAGGCTCGAGTGGCGCGATGCTTGGCAGATTCGGTCCCGTTGCTATCGCCAAAGATGGAAGAGGTGGGATTTCTGAGGTCCTGTACGGCCCGGATTCAGCAGTGTAGTTCCGGCCTGTCGACCCGGAAAAGGGTTGGAGGGGTTGTATGGTGGAGTGAAACGTAGGGTTTCTCCTGGCACCCAGACTCGCCGCACGGACGGCGGGAGATTTTGGCGTGAGCACACGCCTTCCAACACGTGCACTACCGGACTGAGAGTGCTCCTGCGCCGACGATCGAAGATCCGTGCGTTTTCGAACACGAGGTGATTCTTCAGGCGGTCCTTGGGGAAAACCAGCATGTGACTGGCTGCTTGTTGCCGCCGCCAGAGGCTGCCCTTCGGGTTCCGTCTGCGGGTTCAAGATGCTGTGCACACCAAAGGCCCGAGAAGGAGTCTGGACGCTGGAGTCGGCTGATGGCCGGCGTGACTCGAATCCTGAATTGATATCTGCTCCTTGCCTCCCATGGACGGGCCCGTCCAAGTTGCTGTATGCTTCGGTCCTGGCAAAACTCGCCGTACTTGGCCTGGAGGAGTCTGCATTGGGACCTGCGGCCTGAGATGCAGCAGTCTGCGTCCCGGGGAGAGCGAAAGAGGTATTCGATGCCCGGTCTGTTGGTGAAGTTTGTGACATGTACCTATGAGCCTCCTCGTGCGGCTGGTGCCCCAGACGCGACCATGGGTGATCCTCCTGCGGCACTCCTCCGCTTCCCTCCCTCCGCCAATCCTGGGTATCTGGAGTGCTGTGCGGACTGGTCTGAGCAGACCAGGACAGGTGATAATAGCCAGGATTTGTGGGTGACCTGGGATATTGGGGGAGAGGGGAGACTCTGACGCCGAGGGTAGCCAGGATGAATAGCTTAATATGCTGTTGTTCGTCAGAGAAGTGTGACGAGGTTGTAAGTCCAGCAGGTGGCCCAACTTACAAAGGCACTCTTAGATGTCGAGGCAATCAGCCGACGGGTGCAGCAGGGATGTAGAGTCCGGAACGCAGATTGCGCATTCCAAGACTAAAAGCATCTGCCGCCAACGTTCTCAGGCTTGCGAACGGGCCTCAGGTAATTCGCTTCCGATGTAGCAGTGGCAGCAAATGAAATTCACCAAAAGTAGACCCTGGTTCTGAGAGGTCCGTTCGCAAAGCGCAAATTGAGGGCCAGGCAGGCGGGAAAGTCGTGACGGCGAAGGCGAAGCAAAAGTGATAGTTTCGACAAGCTAGCCTGAGGTCAGCTCGTAATATTTCATTGTTTTGTCAGAGGTAAGCAGAGGTACAAGGACCTGATGACCCGCCACAACTCCTGGGACGGGGAAGCGGGAAGGAATCTTTGACTGGAGGTGATGGAAGACATGCTTCCAGACTTCTAGCGTTGCCAGGCTTTTGCTTCGTCACGATCATGAGCGTTGCTTGAGACAGGGCCCTGTTGGCCCAACGCCGGCACGCAGGCCAATCCATCGGTGATGGGCAAGGAGCAGTTGAGAATAGGGAAGTGGGTCGCGCCGCCCACCAAGCAGCCACAGCACAAACGATCATGCAGGCAACGGGTGGATGAGGAACTAGACACCAGACGTGATCGGATTTCGACGTTCGAGCAGAGATGGCAGGCTAAAGGAAAACTAGCTCAGTGACCGAAGCGTACTTTGACAAGCGCGGGCTAAGGGCACCATCCCAGCGGGATGAATCATGATGGCAGCGACTGGGTATCGGCGTGTTAGCGCGACTCAGGTCGGCATGGCGGTGATGTGGCGCCCGCGAATGCGCCTGGGCTTTGGGGAGGTGTGGTAGCTGTCAATCTGGCGTGGGGCGAGCAATTGAGTTATTTCAGGGCTAGTGAGGCTGGGGCTCTCGAGAGGCGAGTCCTCGAGCAGCAAAGCTCCAGGGGTAGAAGGTATAACTTGCGAATGGTTAGCCATGAGAGGCAAGGATCGGGGCCCTTGAGGGCCCACGAGAGAAAGTCCCCATGACTTGGGCAGGGGGCCGGCATCGCGTCCAGACTGGTGGGTAGGGAGAACGAGTGGGCTCCTCGAGCTTCACACTCTCCCGCTAGCGTGGCTTACTCGTTTTGGGCGTCATGAGGCGGCGCGGGCAGAAGTTAGAACAATGGCGTTTTGACACGACCAGGGACGCGGAACTTGAACCCATGCACCCATGTAAGGCATGGGAGCTACTCATGAAGGCCGCATTAGCCTCGTCAGTGAGCTAGCCTCACCCGATCGTCGGCTTTGCAGAGCGCCGTGAGGGTCGTCGACGTGCGTCGTCGAATAAAGAAATTTCGTATCTCCAGGAGGGTCCAGGAGGTACGAGCACGAGTAGTCTGTCTTGGGCCGAAATGCTCAGCCAGGTCCCTTTTAGGGTATTTCCCAGCTGTGTTGCCCCATTGGACCACGAGCATGCAGCCATTTCGCCTGGGATCAGGCATCAAAAGTGCTTCACAGGCCAGTACGAACGACGACGGCTGTTTTGGGATTTTCCCAGGGCCTAATTTGTCGCTACCCTGGCCCCCAGGGCCATTGGCAGTAGCCCGTTGTGCAACCATTCTGATGGAAGTCACACTCCCCTTTTGATTGCGTATTTCGTCCCGAGGCCGTTTCTGCTTTGGCATTCGAGTTTCAAAGGAAGAACTTACTGTAGGTCTGTGCCCTCGGAGTCCATCCAAGAATGCCGGTAGTGATATTGTCCAATTTGCTCACATCGCCAGATCGGGCGGACTGACAAACGGAGGACGGGGCGTCTCATCATCTGCCGGGGCTCCTAGAAGAGCAGCAGGCTTCAAAGAATCTCTTAGTCTCACGGTGCCTGACCCTTGACAAAGGAGATTCTCCTCGTTTAGGAATGGCTGAGGGCAGGCCCACGCAGCCCCAAGATCTTGAAGCATTGGTAGCCGAGGATTGACTTCGGTGACGTTATACGTCCGTCACAATCTGCAGGCAATGGAACCGTGTCAGTGGCGGTCATCTCATGCAGTAAGCCAGCCCGCCACCATGCGTGGTGCCATTGTCCTGGTTCCCGTCAAATGATCGTCCTTCGTTTGTGCGAGGATGTAGATTATGCTACTCTGCGGAACTCCGTACGCAACGCGATTATGGTCAAGTGGCCTGGTGAACGCACCTCTATGCTGACCGCCACCAATGACAAGCTCGGCCAGGTCTCTTGAAGCTGGCGTGTAGATCGTTTCGTTGCCAAGTATCTGCGTCGTCGGTGGAACCCTGTACCTAGTCTCAGCATGATTATCAATGGTAGGCGAAAGTATAATTGTTCGTGGGATGGCCCAAGCTGGCGGCGCGGACGAAGATGGAACGGCCAGACCAAGGTTGATGGACAAACGGTGGTTTCAACAGCTTCAGATCTTGTGCCAAACCGCGTTGTGTTACCCAGTGAAGTTGCACAGAATTGGTGACATGCCGTCCTAACAAATTTCCACGTAGTAACTCTTCTCACTTCAGACCAGGAGCTTAATTGTCAACCCTCGATGGGATGGTCCTTTCTTTGGTCATGTATGAGTACCGGGAGACGAGAAATTCACCCCCTTTCTGCTACGCCCGCTGCCCGCTCGTAAGAAGGCATCCACACCACCTGGTAGCCCCTACGAGTGTCGACATAATTCTGCCCCTTGAAGACGGGAATACGAGTAATGGCACCGTGATCAACGGCAATTTGGTGCTCAGTACGGAGTACGAGTATATTATTGGCGATGTTGTGAGGGATCTTCGGTGCTGCGTGTGGACCAGGCCATATCTGAGATAGGCTGAGTGCCCGCGTATTGTACCTCGCTGACACCTCGTAACGAGCCGTGATGGTTCACACTCCATCCCCACCAAATGGAACTTTGGGTTTAAAGACACGGTCTAAACTTCAATGCCGTCCCGCAGTGTCAAAGGCAACTCGGGTTATCTTGTCTCACGTTGATGTCGGCCCAAAACTGAGGAACATTAGAGCAGGGCCTTCTTCACGAAGCGGAAAATTCACGGACTGCCGAAGCGACGATTCTTTGCTAGCCATCCTAGTGCAAGATCTCGATACTGGATCGACATCATCTCGATGATCCTGTACGCCATTGAGGCCTCTAGAGGGAGAGGTTGGTCGGCTGAACGTACCTGCTCTGATGCAGATGCATCATGCATGATAAGGATCTACGTGTACAAGTCTCTGTGCAAAACTCCCCATTTGATCATCCTCTTCGGCCCAGCGTCCTCGGCCGCGGCGTCTTCGAAAATGTCTGGCACCGTCTCGGAGACAAAAATAGGTGCCGAAGTATTGATGACACAAGTGCCTCAAGGATGCGCCAACTTCGTGCTCCGCAGAGCGAAAGGCGCGGATTAGCATGGTGGGTAACATGTGGTCGATCACCGCCGTATTCACTCGGGTTGTTCTACAGATTCGTCCTAGGATTTTGGCTCAGGAGAGACGTGGACGCTTGAACACGTTAGCTTTCCCAGCAACCTCACACACAGTTGTTGCTTCCTCCCACAATCATTGAAACAGGGATCCGTGACTGAACTTAGGATCTGCAACGCTAGGACGCCTGACTGCACTTTCGAATGTGCGCGCACATGCTTCTAGAACCACGCCTGACGAAATTGGAGCCTGCAATTTGCCTTGAGAACGCAAGATGTTGCAAGTGGCAACGGGCAAGGAACAAGGTCCATGTCTGAGGGAAACGAGCCACGTGGAGGCGAGGGTCTCACCGTGCACATACCGTAATTCAGAAAAGATTTCAGCACACCTGGCACCCATGTCATGGCGTCAGCCTCCAGGGGCACCAGGGTCAGACAAGCGTCCGGACTTTGAACGGCGGCTGGAGCCCAGGGGCAGGGTCTTCAGCAATCCCTGCGATGGACGACCAGGGGCAGGATGCAAGGTACAAGACTCCGAAGTTTAGAATTACAGTACCGTAGCAAGGCACCAGGAGGTTGGACACTGACGCAACTTTAATTTCCAGCACCGTTGGCTTCTTACATGCACTAGACACGATGAACTAGATGTGACAATTCTTGCAGAGAACAACCTCGCCAAACGATGAAATCGACCACGCTTCTTCAATCTGGCGATGCACGAGGCCCCGGGAGCGAGACCGGCTCCTGTACGTCCAATAGGACCGAGATCGCACCCTGAGCTACGACTTACAAGGAAAGACTAAGGTTTCGCGGTACTACCGACTACAGACCACAGTCTACAGTTCACAGGCACCACGCCAACCTAGTGAGCGATTATCCGGATATGTGTCAATGCCCGCATGTGGTATGGTAAGCCTTGAATTAATGTCGCAGTTTCGCGGAGCTCGTCGCTCGCTGGGCACCCGAGTCATGACAACTTCATCTTGATTCTTTTTGAACATACAAGGGTAGCCCAACCTCGCTTACCGCCCTCCTCCGACCCAGGGACTGTATCGGATCAATTTGGCAGCCCCATCTTTGGGTCGTCACCTGGTCACGGTCTTCTGCGGGCCTCCGAATGTCGACAATTGAGCAAGACGGACAATGATCTTAGAGTCAGGCGTCTTCGGGCGACAGGGAGAAGGGTCGTGGACACAACAATGATGGAAGACGTACTCAGGTATCCTCTGATGCATTGGCTTTGCCTGCATCGCTGGAACAGAGCTCTAGGCCTTTGGTCATGGTCAAGGTCAGTCACTTATGCGGTGACGACGTCGAGCAGGACCACAAACAAGCATTGCTGCATACCCATGTGGCCGTCCACAAAGTAAGGTATCCATGGTCACGATGTCAAATGATGCAGCTTCCATGCCGCTCAGCCGGAGGGATCCTCAATTTCGCCAGAACTCAGCCCTGTGTCGTTCCGAGCTCACAACGTCTTCGAGAAACAATAATGGTTCCATGCTATGCCAGAAATGGCATTGACGACCCCTAGCCTTGAAAGCATTGAAAGCTGGGACGACTTGGAGAGATTGGCACTTGGGAGTCGTGTCAAACCTGATGTACCTCATTACCCACCACCACCTGGCTTCGAAATGATCATCAGTAAGTTTAACCTTGTCTCTCGCTAATGCTGCTATTGACAATAGTTCGGCTCTCGAGATTGCGAATCATCTTTTGGGGTCTCATTGTATCCGTATGTTGGCCGGCAACCGGCAATCTTCTTGAGGCGCAGCCCTCCACCGCCTTCATGTCCCTGCCGATACCCTTGAGAACAAGGACGATAGCCTAGTGAGCCCTCCTGACGATTCGTGCGAAATTGTTTGGATCAAAAACGGAAGTCGATGACATCTGCATATCCAGAATCGGATGACGACGCATTGCCAAGGGTAGATTTCAATTTCTCAATATTTAATTTCCATTTTGTCGACGGCTCGTGCTCTTCTAGAAACCTACAAGGATTCGAAGCAGGATCTACCTCAACCGAGCCGGGTACTTCGGCATCCCGTTGATACCAACATCCACCCTGAACAAATTGCCAGCAAATTGGGCAGAATCTGGGAACTTTTCAGGCTCAGCCTCCTTTGCACTAGTGATGAAGAGTTCTGTGCCGACGAAGGTAGGACATGTAATGTTGCGTGTGGGCAGGTGAATCACCCCGGTAATCTCTCCTTGCGGCGAGATGCGAATGACCTTTGAGCCCCCATAGCAGGCATGCCAGATGTTACCCTCAACATCCATGGCGTGGCCGTCGGGATGGACTCCCTGCGCCGCTTCGTCGAGGTGGAAGAAAAGGCTTTTGTTGGAAATATCGCCGGTTTGGGGATCGTAGTCAAACTGGAACACGTCACCTGGAGGCGAGTCGGTGAGGAACATCTTGTTGTCGTCGGCATTCCACGTAATGCCATTGGGGATGGTCATGTTCTCGTGCATGGTACGTAGCGTGCCGTCATGGTCGAGTCGGAAGAGACAGCCTTCTTTGGTAAGTTCAGCAATTTCAGGATCAACAAAGGCTTCGACCCAGAATCGACCTTCGGTGTCGACGGCGCCATCGTTCGAACGCATCCTGAACGCGGCTTTCAGCTGTCGCTCTCAATGGAACACCGGCGACCCCTTACCTTCTAGTCTTGTCCTCGGCATCTGGACCAGTCCAGTACTTGGCCACGTATTCATGCTCCTGGGTTTTCAGGTTGAACTTTGTGACGCCGTCCTTTGCTCCTGCCAGAATGACCTCTGAAGAGTCTACGCCGTCGATGTTCGCCGTGACGCCAATGGGCATCTTTGTGTCGAGTATCCTGACCGACTCGGGGCCTTTGTTCAGGTCGATGATGTACAGCTTCTTGTTGTTGATGTCCTACGTCATAGCTTAGTCTCACAGAACGTGTTTTCCGGCCCTCGTTGATGCGGTCTGTGCCACCCACCATATATCGAAGCTCATGTCGCTCTGGCGTGTAGTACGGACCCTCGCCGAGACTACATTTCGAAGCGTAGTACGCCTGGCCAAGTGTGAGTATGTGAGGTTCCCCGCGGTGACGGGACTAACCTCCTTCACGGTCCACTCTTGCAGTCCCATTGCTTCACACTATGTCGCGATGATGGAGCCTACAGTCTGAAAATCTGGTTGATATAGACCTCAAAGATCACAGTGGTATGTTGCTTTCCGGAGGGAGGACATCGATGACGGATCGTCTCAAATTATATCATCGTAGCGGCAGATCTGCCAAGACCGGCTACGACGACTTGATCCTGTACACAGGATGTGCCAGCGGGTTCAAGCTATCATGCATAGTAACGGGCCCATGTCAAGCAACGCTCTCGACGAGCTATTAGGCTTTTAGTGGGATCACGGTTGAACCTCGCCAGAAAGACTCTACACGGCATCGTTGGAAATCTATCTATATAAGCCGAAGAAGAGCCGATCATCAGGAGCCCCAAAACTCGGCCGAGCACAAATTCAGATCCTGTACCCTGCTTTGCTTGATTGGGACTCTATAGCATGAAGGGCCTGTGGCCCTCGGAGACCGAAATGGACATCGAACCTGAGAAGTGGTCTGCGTAAGATTGACGGTTTGACCAGCGGTCACTTTCCGCGTCCCTAACCGCCCTAACTGAAAGGAACCTTTTGCGTGTTCCAAGTCTAGATGGTCTTCGTAGCGGTGGCATTGTCCCGTGTCCCGACCCTGCAGCCTTTCTTTGTCTTGTTCTTCTTCTGGGCAACTCGCAACTTCAACTCGCCCTACCGCCAGATAGCCGGCATCTGAGAGCACTCAAACATCTTCCCAAGCAGTCCTCTCGGAGTGATGTACCAGACGAGACATGTCGTTGAGTGGCTATAGGTGGGACACGTTGGGGTGCGCCTTTCATGTTGCACTGAGCAATAGATTGACATGCTTCCCGAGTAATGTGATTGTGTCGTGCTTCAGACTTTCACCGACGGGGCGATAAAGGCCTTGACAGCCAGAGTTGCGTCACCATCGTGAGACCGCAACAGTTCTGTCGCTTTGTTCTTCGTGAGGTCCAGTTCTTCGACCTACGATTAGAGTGTTAGTACGTGGCCTGTAACAAGAAGTATCTAACAACGTACTAGGAAGTTGACGTCCTCGGAAGCAATCTTGACCTTCTTCTTTGTTTCCACCTCTTTCTTCGCCTCGGTCTTCTTGCTGTCCTCCTTCTTCTTGCTCACACCACTTGCTATTTCTAACCTAGACATAGCCTTTCCCAGGGCCTCCTGGTCAGCGGCAGAAGGACCTTTAGTAGCACTGTCTCCATTCTCGTGCGACATGCCAGTCGCATTGAGTGCATTGAGCGCAGCTGCAGCCTTGCGATCTTCGGCGTTGGGAGGGAGATTCTGGGCGGTTTCATCGTCGCCAGCATCTGCAGCTGCAGTGGCCGATGGAATTGGTTCAGCCATGGTGCGGACGCTGTTCGGTCGTGTCAGAGATCGAAATCGATTGAACTTGACTGCGGAGTAGACAGAGGAACTTGGTCAACACATAAAAATCCAAAAAGGGAATAGTGTCAAATGCAACACCAGAGTCTCCCTTCTACACGCAGAGTCATAACTTTTTTCAGCCAAAACACCCCCATTTCAGAACGCCAGAATTCACTGAGAGATACGCTTGGTACATGACACGCGTGCTGAAGACGTAGTCGAAAGTCTCAAGTCTAGAAGCGAGATCCAGGTCGTGACAAGGGTACCAGTCAATCACGGACACTTTTACATCTGGTATTGCTCGCTACATCAAATCAGCCACAGGGACTTACCGTTACGCATTGTTTCCATATGGCCCGGAATGAAAATCCAAGTGTCTGGTCACCATCGAGCTGGAAAGGGAGACCCATAGTCCAGTCTGTCTCCTACAAAGACACAGCCTCCTTCGAACATGCTGTTGGGAAGCTAAACACGCTTCCACCCCTGGTGACACCGAGAGAGATTGTGAAACTGAAGAACGAATTGCGGGAGGTGGCCCAGGGCAATGCCTTCCTGCTGCAGGGTGGTGACTGCGCAGAGCTGTTCGACTATTGCAACCAAGACATGATCGAAGCCAAGGTCAAGCTGTTGTTGCAAATGTCTCTGGTCCTCATCTACGGTGCTAAGAAGAAGGTAGTGCGTGTGGCGAGGATGGCTGGCCAGTACGCAAAGCCGCGTTCCTCGCCTATGGAAACCATCGAAGGTGTTACTATGCCCAGCTTTCGAGGAGACATCCTGAACAGCTACGAACCAGACCCTGTGGCGCGCGAGCCCGATCCTAAAAGACTCGTCGACGCTTACTTCCACTCTGCGGCGACACAGAATTATCTCAGGGCCGCACTGTCGTCGGGGCTGGCTGATCTACATGCCCCTCTAGACTGGAGTCTGGGTCACGTACGAGATCCCACAGTCCGAGATCATTATCAGGCCATCGTCGAACGGATCACGGACACTCTTGATATGATGCGCACGATAGGACTTGACACGGGCGGAGGTCTGGAGACTGTAGACTTGTTCACGTCACATGAGGGTCTGTTGCTCGAGTACGAGCAATCTCTGACTCGGCTGTTCAAACATCCCTCGAACGCAGCGCCACCTACGATACCTTCGAAACCCAATGCATCACCAAACAAGCACAGGAAAACTTCTCTGCCCACGCAGCTTCCACCACCTCTACCTCCAACGAAGGGCTATTACGACACCTCGGCACATTTCATCTGGATCGGAGACCGGACACGCCAACTAACGCATTCGCATGTCGAGTTCTTCCGGGGCATCGCCAATCCAATCGGGGTAAAAGTAGGACCCAGCATGCCAGCCACTGACTTGGTACCTTTGCTCGATATCCTCAACCCGTCGCATGAAGTTGGCAAGATCGTCTTGATCACTCGCTATGGCCACGATAAGATCGCTGCTCACCTACCGGGACATATCCGAGCCGTTCAGGCTTCGGCGCATAGAGATACAGTCGTCTGGCAATGTGACCCCATGCACGGAAACGGGCGAAATGCAACTGTCACAGGCCCCAGCACCGATGGCAGGTCCACGAACGGAACGACGACTTTCAAAACCCGACGGTTCAGTGATATCTTGTCTGAGTTGAAACAAGCTTTGACAATTCATCGATCTATGTCCAGCTATCTTGGTGGAGTCCATCTAGAGTTGACGGGCGAGGCTGTGACTGAGTGTGTCGGTGGTGCTGAGGAATTAACTGAAGAAGACCTGAGCTTGAACTATACTACGTTCTGCGATCCCAGGTTGAACGAAAAGCAAGCGCTTGAACTCGCATTCCTAGTTGCTGGCTTCTACAGGGAGGTTCCTGAGAAGAGGCAGATAATGGAGTAAAACGGAGAAAATCCGAGAAAATCACGAAATGAAACTGCAGCTTAAGGAAAAGCATTGCACGATGGATTCTGCAACTTCAAAGGGATGTATGCGAAGATTTGAGGGAAAGCATGCTTTACATGTACGGATGTCTCATTATCCAGTACCTGTACCACAATCAGTATGACCAACTCGGCATGTTGGCAATCTTGAGTCCCCGCGATCGCTTGATTCCCTTTGTTCCTAACTCGACTATGTTGGAAAGCATTGCACTAACTGTACTTGGAGGCTCGACTCAGCAGTGGAGCAGTTCGCCATCAAGGCCATGTATCTGTGAAGGTGCCTCCCGTAGTATAGTCTCAATCATACTTACAGAGTTTGACGAGTGTATTGGGCAATGTAAGGATATCTCGAGCTGCGACCGCGACCGAGGAACCAGAGGAATCATCACGTGATCTTGAATTGCCCCCTTCCGGCAAGTAAAGCGAGCGCAGGTGGCACCTGCATTCGCGCTCCAAGGGATGCCAAACAACAGCTCGAAACTTTTGGCAAGCCATTTGTCTTCACCATTGACTTGACCCTGACCCTTAAGACTATATCTCTACTTGGCCCAAACAGTCATCCACCGGATCTTGATCCTACCTTGTGAATTTTCTGTTCCAGGTAGCAGATATGGCTTCGGGTCAATCATGGCTCAACCAAGATTTTGGTGGTGATGATGAGGAGTCTGACAACGACTTCAACCCTGGAGTTGAGGCTGGCTCCGACGCTGAAGATGATGCGGTAGACTCTAAGCCACAACGATCGAAACGAGACGCCAGTGATTCGGAAGACGAACGGCGCAGCACTTCCAGAACCAATGGAAAACGGTCGTCTTCGTCCGGTCGAAAACCGCAACCTCCGCTAGACGACGATGACGCAGACGCCGAAGAGGACGCAAAAGCGGATGACGATGAGGATGATGAAGGCGAGGGCGAAGACCTGAATGGGGACGACGATGAAGAGGATGAAGAAGACGAGGAGGACGAGGACGAGGACGCAGTCACAAGCCGGCCTCGAAAGCGTAGACGACGAGGGCTGAACCAGTTCTTCGAAGAAGAAGCCGAAGTCGACGAGGATGACGATGAGATCGAGGCTGACGAGGACGACCTGGGACCCGAATTCATCCAAGATACACACCCCGACGATGACATTCCGCCGGAAGCCGACCAGGATGATGCGCGGCACAGAGAGCTGGACCGACAGCGACAACTGGAGGCGTCTATGGATGCTGAGAAGCAGGCTGCAGCTTACAGGGAAAGATACGGACGAAGAACAACCGCAGCACTCAGCAATACTTCTTTTGTGCCACAGAATTTGCTGATGCCTGATGTCAACGATCCGAGCATCTGGGGTGTGAGGTGCAAAGCCGGTAAGGAGCGCGAAATCATCAGCAGGCTCATGAGGAAATTCTTCGAGAGCCAAAACAGTCGTAAACCGCTGCGCATCTGCTCTGCGTTTGAGCGCGGCGATGGGCCTATGGCTGGATATATCTTTGTTGAAGCTCGGCAGAAGGTTGATGTTGACGAGGCACTGGCAAATGTTCCGGATGTGTATCCGAGGTCGAAAATGAATCTGGTCCCTGTCAAAGAAATGCCCGACCTTTTGAGAATCAACAAGAGTAAAGAACTCGAAGTTGGGGGCTACGTTCGTGTCAAGCGTGGACTGTACCAGGGTGATCTGGGCATGATAGAGGCTGTTGAATCTAATGGTCTCGAGGTGACAGTGCGACTTGTTCCGAGGCTCGCATATGGAGCCGATGAGGATCTCACCCGTCCACTCGGCCCAGATGGTAAGCGCAAGCGTCCGAATGCGTTCGGTGCCGGGAACAGTGTTACCAATCGGCCGCCTCAGCGGCTGTTCAACGAGGCTGAAGCCAGGAAAAGGCATGACAGATTTGTGCAGCAGAATAGAGGTCTCTCTAATAAGAGTTGGACATACAAAGGCGACCAGTACGAAGATGGCTTCTTGATCAAAGACTTCAAACTACAGCTCCTCACCACCGAGAACGTGAACCCGAGGTTGGACGAGATCACGAAACTCACGAAAACTGCGGCCGATGGTACCGAAACTTTGGACCTGGAATCCCTCGCACACAGTCTACGGAACACAACAGCAGAAGGCAGTTTCCTGCCCGGCGATGAAGTTGAGGTGTATGAGGGCGAACAGAGGGGCATCATAGGCAGGACAGAGGCTGTCAAGGGTAACATCGTGTCTATCATGGTATCCGAAGGCGAACTAGCCGGTCAGCTTGTCGAGGTGCCGGTAAAGGGGTTACGGAAACGTTTCAGAGAAGGCGACAACGTCAAGATCATTGGAGGCAGTAAATATCGCGACGAAGTCGGAATGGTTCTTCGCATTAAAGACGACAAAGTCACTGTTCTCACCAACACGAGCAATGAGGAGATCACTGTTTTCAGCAAAGATCTTCGAGAAGCTACAGATGGTGGCAGCGGGGGTGCTGGAACCAGTAAATTCGATGTTCAGGAACTGGTCCAGATCGAGTAAGTCCTGCTCGAGAAATGTTCTAGTCTTTACTAACCCGTTGACAGTCCTACCACCGCTGGCTGCGTCATCAGAGCTGACCGTGAATCGATACGGTTATTGGACCAAAATGGTTCACTCACAACAAGAATGCCTTCACAGGTCCATAGGATTGAAACTCGGAGAAATGCCGTGGCTACAGACAAGAACGGTTCCGAGATTCGAGTGGGTGATGTTGTTCGTGAATCTGGCGGCGAGGGCAAGAGCGGCACCATATTGCACATCCACCGAGGATACGTGTTTGCCCACAACAAACTTGGAATCGAGAATTCTGGTATCTGGGTTGCAAGATGTAGTAACGTGATCACAACCGCTGCAAAGGGTGGTCGTATCACAGCACCTACCACGGATCTCACAAAAATGAACCCTGCCTTGCAGATGAAGCGTCCAGACATGTCCATGGCTCCGCCTCAACGACCTGGCCGCGACCCGCTTCAAGGACGACATGTCCACATCAACAAGGGCACTTACAAAGGTCACCGTGCGATAGTCAAAGAAACGACGGCCGGGGAAGCAAGACTTGAACTTCAGACCAAAAACAAGACCATCAACCTCAGCAAATTTGACCTTTCCATCGTTGAGTATGTGTTCCCCAATCAAGATATTGGAATAATGCTAATTTGTTTGCAGCACCAACACTCAGGCTAAAACGAGATACGAGGATTGGATTCGACAACGGGGTGGGCCCCCAGCCATGCGTTCAGGCTCCGGTGCACCAGGGTCTCGTATCCCCGATGGAGGCTTTGGCGGGCGAACTCCTGCTGGCGTCATGGATGGTGGTCGCACTCCTGCATGGGGTGCTTCATCAAGAACACCTGCTTGGGGTGGCGCTGGCGGTTCTGGCCTAGACTCTGGTCGCACTCCGGCGTGGAAAGGGCCATCAGGATCTCAGACATCCTATGGCGGTGGCGGGATGACTTCTTATGGCGGCGCGGGCAACTACGGCACCACGGGCAGCCGCACACCAGCTTGGAGTTCAAGTGCAAAGACTCCTTATGGGGCCGATCATGGCTTCAGCTCTTCCGGAAATTCTGGGTTTGATGCCTTTGCAGCAGGCTCAAGGACGCCTGCTTATGGCTCTTCATCGTCGCGTACACCTGCTTGGGGTGGTCCTGGCAATGCCGCGTCTGCACCTACTCCCTCGGCACGCCCCTATGACGCTCCCACGCCTGGCATGTCAGCACCAACGCCAGCTGCTTCTGGTCGTTACGACGATGACGCTTACACCCCTTACCTTAGTGCCCCGACACCTGGAGCCGGTGTTCAGGATGCACCAACACCAGCGCCAAGTTTTGCGAAGGGTGCAAATAGGGATCCACTCGGCCACAACCGTCTTGGGTTTGATGCTCCTACACCTGCAGCAAGCGCACCGACTCCGTATGCCAGTGGTGCATTTGATGCGCCTACACCAGCAGCTGGAGGACCGCGTTATGCAGATGATGATGACGAGGATTGAAAGCGGTCTTGGGGTCAAGCTGTGGCTTCAAAAGTGTATTAACGAAAAAAGTTCAAGGAGGTCCAATGGTACTTTTGACACGCCACTGACTTCTCAGCCTTGAGGCGGGTTCGCGACAGAGTCGTATCCCAAAACGCACTCACTACTGGGATGCAGAGCTTTTGGAAGCCGTGGTTTCCGTTGACTGCATCTACTCATACCTAGCAAGGGCAGTTTGAAAATGTACTATTGATGGGATCTGGTGCGTAAGCAACCACAAGACCCCAACTACTTTCGGCTTTGTTTTTCGGAGTGCTATAAGCATAAGCATTGCATCCTTGAAGACCAGCAAGGTTTCTTGGGTTCGCATATCAACCACCTACATTATCCCAGCCTTTTGGGTTCTTGATTACGAAAATGCAGTCATGGATGGTGGACATTTGGCCTGATTTCAGGCTATGGCCCAGCTAAATCAAGTTTGTAGAGGGAGGCCAGGCTTGACACGGGAGTAGACAAGTGCTCGGTGCAGGCTACAAAGATAGGTACAGTGAATGTGGGATGGGGAATGGGGAAGGGGAACCTCGTATGGAGTATGTGTTGTCCCACTGTACCTGCTGCGGCACGATGGAGTATGCCAGGATTGAGTATTGAGTATCTGATTGCCGAGTAACGACGAGTCGCGAGCAGTGAGCCGTGAGCCGTGAGTCGTGAGTCGTGAAGAGGAAATTGTAACATATACTAGGTACTTTTGCCTCCCCTTGGGGACATCACTTACACGTATGCATATATTCATGATGTCTCTTCCCCATCGAGTCAGCTACGCAGCCTGCCCGCCCGTCAGTCAGTGTCTTATGTATTTTTCACCAGATCCATTTAGCTTAATTACCTATGTAGGTTGTGTTGAAAAACGAACGATGACGGTAGTGTACGGATATCATTCAACGCCTTCTCTGCGGCCACAAGTCCGTGTTGTCACCACCGATCTGGTTCTTCCTCCCTCTTTGGGCGGTGTCAAGTTCTTTCTCGTAGTAGAATTCCCCGTCTCCCCCCGAAATCGCCAAAGTCACAATGAATGTCTCGAGGTTGATATTGAAAAAACAAAAATTGTGCTGTCAACATTCGTTTCGTCCGGCATTTCACTCGCTCAAACCTGTCAATCTCAGGCTTTCAGCCCAGAGCCTTTTCTCCGCCTCGGGGTTGAAAGCGTCTCGACTGTAGCCTCCGGCGTAATAGGGCGCATCTGGCGGGGTAGGCACGGCTTCGGCGACCTCGTCAAGGTAAAGTCCTCCCTTGCGCTCCAACTCTTTGGCCACCGCGGCCCAGACGGTGGTGGCGGCGCCTTGCGCGGGATTCTTCAACGTCTTCACCAGACCGGGATCGTCCAAGATGTCTTGGGTGTTGGCCAGGTGTCTCGCGAGAGGCGTGAGAATTCCTCCTGGATGCAGGCTAAACGCTCGTAGATCCTGCGACTGATATTGCCGGTCCAGTTCGTTCGCAAAGTAGATGTTGGCGAGCTTGGATCGGCCGTAGTCGATTATCGGCACGTACTCGGTGCGCTCGCGGTTGAGATCATCAAAGTCGAGCGGACCGTATCTGTGGGCAGCCGAGGCGACCGAGATGACGCGGGAGTTGAACGACGGGGTCGACGAGGCCAGAAGGGCGTCTTTGACTTGGTGGAAGAGATAGAAATGGGCTGAGGGGGTCGGAACGTGAAAAAGCGTCAGGGAACGGAAAAGTTCATGCGAATCTTGAAAATGGTCGGGCCAAGATGACAACTCAACATACCTAGATGGTTGGTGCCGAATTGAAGTTCGAAGCCATCTGCAGTTTTGCCCTGTGGGCAGGCCATTATTCCTGAACAGAACCAAGAAGGAGTCAATAAGTGTGAACATTCCTAATCCCAGGACGCCCCCTACTCCCTCGGTCCATTGGCACATACCTGCATTGTTGATCAGGACGTTGAGCTTGCCTTCGCTCTGGCGGAGAAATTCTTCCGCTCCGGCTCGGACGCTCGCCAATGACCCCAAGTCCATGTCGATCACAGAGACCTTTCCCGGCTTGCCGTCCGCTAGGATCTCATCGGCAACCTGCTTACCCTTGGCGATGTCCCTGGCGGTGATGTAGACGTCCGCACTGGTCAGATGAAGAGCTTTGGCGGTGTCGGCTCCGAGACCTCCTGGCGAGCACCCTGTAACGAGAATGACCCTGCCACTCCATTCGGGACTTGCTACGAGTCCTTGATCCTCGACGACCTGGGCGGCTGTTGGCCGGGCGTCCCCTGGACCATTGAGGGTTTCGGGTCTGTGCTGTTCGAGGTACGGAGCCAGGCGTGTCATTTTTCCTTCTTTCGCGTGCAACAACGAGACGACCCTGCGGTGGTAATGAAGAAAGGCTATGCAGAGGTGGTGCAGTCAGGCTTTTTCCTAGGCTTGACCCCCTGTACTGTACTCGTCCGTATCCATTGGACGGGGTGGGAAATTAGTCATCTCACCCAGCACGATCGCGCATAACTTGGAGATATGCAGGATGTGTGCGCTCGACATCACTAATGGCAGGTCACTGCTTCTTTGTCATGGCAGCCATTAATGTCCTCGGTGCTTCAATCATGGACTGATTGGATCATATGTGGTCTGTAGCGTGGCGTCTAGTCTCGAAATGGTCGATAGCCTGGAAGTTCTCGTAGATCATGTCCCCAAGCATCAGCGGCATAAGTGCGCTTCCTTTGTCGTGGGTAGATGGACAGGTGAACTGATGAACAGAGGAACTCCGAGGGCTCAATGTATGTACATGGATTCTCCGTAACGTGTCCACTCGTTTCTACGGTACTCGGTCGTCAAGAAAGGTCCTGGCGAGGTAAGGCCCCGAGTCTCTAGGGGTAAGTGACCCTAATGGCGCTTAGAGTTTAAGTGGTGTTATGGAGCCTTATAGGCTTTTTAGTCTATTATTTCAACAGGTATTTTCACAAAGCCTTAAGGCTGAGAAAACTATTCTAACTGAGGAAGGTAGTCCGACAATGTCACGTGCCTTAACTTTTTATCGATTACCGTCTGCGGGTAAGTTTCTTGCTGAAGAAGACTGTTGTCGCATTCTCGAAACGTACACTCAATCATAGCATAGCCAGACGTATCTCGCCCGAAGAGACCTTGTCATCACCATGTCCGGTCTTCTCGGCGTGGGCTACGAATCGAGCGATGACGAGACTCCAATAGCCCAGCCTACTCGGGCACAGCCAAAACCCATAAACGCTGCGCCAGACGTTTTCACAGAGGTTTGGTCTTTGATCTTGAAGCACAGTGCTGGTCGACCTAACGTACTACAGGACGCAAGTGAAATGCAGATAATGCTGGCAAATCCCACCAGCAATGCGCTCACATATAATGCCACATACGACAACCTCTCAAGGCCGTCGCAAGGCCCGATCAACCCTTTCAAATCGTCCACGGGAAACGCCCTCAAACGCAAGAATGTCCTCACGGGGCACGCCGAAGAGACTGCCATGTCCGAAGCCACTTTCAAAACACAGCATCACACCTTTCAGAGTCTTGGCTACTCGAAAGATCCTAGCTTAAACGGCGCCTACGTCGGGAACCTAGAGGCGGCCGCAAAATACGGCGGAAAGGATTTCGTAGAGATACGACACACGAAGGAGGAGAGTGCAATGATTCGAGCCAAGAGACAGAAGAAGGGGGACAGCAGCATAGTGGACGGTGAAGGCGCTTATCTTGGGCCTTGGGCAAAATACACAAGTGACGATGTAGCATACGAGCAAGCCGAAGCCGCCGCTGATCAGGAACTCGCCTCCGACGAAGAATGGGTAGAAGAAGGACTCGACCCCCTCCCGCCGCCTCCCAAGGAAGCCACGGCATATGCTGAAGACTCGAGTGTCGCCGAAACCACAGAGTTTCACGGTGCCTCGGAGTTCGACTACCAAGGCCGTACGTACATGCATGTTCCCCAAGACCTGGACATCGACCTGCGCAAAGAACCCGGATCTATACAGAACTACGCCCCAAAGAAACTCATCCATGTGTACAAATACCACACCAAACCTATCACGTCTTTACGCTTTATTCCTCGATCATCTCACCTCCTACTGTCCTCTTCTGCCGACTCCAAAATCGCCCTTTGGGATGCACACCACGACCGAACATTATTGCGCACATTCTCCGGCCACAACAAAGCAATCACAGACACCGACTTCCATTCTTCTGGTCGTAAGTTCCTTTCTGCCTCTTATGACCGCCAAATGAAGCTTTGGGACACCGAGACCGGTAAATGCATATCACGCTTCACGACCGGCAAGACGCCACATACCCTACGCTTCCATCCGGACGGCAACGAATTTATTGCCGGCATGTCAGATAAAAAGATTGTCCAGTTCGACACGAGATCCGGCGAACTAACGCAGGAATACGATCACCATCTCGGACCCATCAACACGCTCACATTCGTCGACGAAGGCCGGAGGTTCATATCGACCTCTGACGACAAGTCATTGAGGGCCTGGGAATACGGCATCCCTGTCCCCATCAAGTTCATCGCTGATCCCAGCATGTATGCGCTGGTGAGGGCGGCGCCGCACCCGAGTGGGAAGAGTGTTGCCTTTCAGAGCGCGGACAACCAGATCGTCGTGTACGCGGCGGGCGACAAGTTCCGACAAAATCGCAAAAAGGGTTTCCGTGGACACAACACGAGTGGTTACGCGATTGACGTGGCCATCTCGCCTGACGGGGGCATCATTGCCTCAGGCGACACCGGCGGGTTTGTGTGCTTTTGGGACTGGAAGACGGGCAAGATGTGGCATAAGATTCAGGCCGGTGGAGAGGGCACCGGTGCAGTGACCTGCGTCGCGTGGCACGGGCAGGAAACGAGCAAAGTCGCTACGGGTGGATTGGATGGTATCATTAGGTATTGGGACTGAGAGATAGCCCAAGGACCGAATAGAACAACAAAAGATCACCGGCCCCTCAACGAAGCCTGCACTGCATGCTAGGTATGTCTCGCAGGTCCGAGTCGACTGGAAAGGACGTGTTTGATGTGACTATCATCAATGTTTCCGTAGGTTCTATCACGAAGCTGGCCAACCGCGATAGATGTCGCCGGACCTGCGGCTTTCCGGCATAGTGTAGGCGCAAGGCTAGGCAAGTCCAATTGTCTGATGATGAAGGCCGCTCGAGTCTGGTCACGATCACGCGGGACGACACCAGAGGCTGAAAACGCAGATTCATGAGTGAGGCGAGAGTACCGCTGATATGTGTGTGGTTGGTCTACATAATCTTGACAGTATTAATACACCATCCAAAATGTTCTACAATTGATGTTCACTTTTGAATAAGATCCGTAGAGTGATGGGGTTCCGAAGTCAGGGCTCCAGACAGAAGAGAGGTCCCGCATCATGGCGAGGTTAGATATCGCCCATACCTCTTCCGACAGCCTCGATGCTTGCAATGTTCTTCGTGCGTCTGCCACCATAGTAGTTTTCAGTCTCGGCATGAACAAGTCGTTCTTCGACCTTTTGCCAATCAATGCTGTCCCACCACGCAGTCAAATATGCACGCTTCCCCAGCATGCCATAATCCGGAATCCACTGGTGTTGCCAGACATTAACGCAGAGAATGGGCGTGGCGTTGAGAGCACCGACAAACTTGTTGGACTGGTACATGCTGAAGCGACCACTGTGGCCGGCCGTCCGCGACCCCTCGACCACACGCGCTGCGTTCTTCAGCTGATCCGCCACCTCTCGACCGTTGAAATTGGCCATGTCTTGGGTGTCTCTTCGTGGCGCTGCCTGAGGCCACGGGCTACCGGCGTTGTATGTGGCGAGAATTGTCATACCACCGAACGACGCGGGCTTCATGAGCCATACGAACCCGTTGCCGAACATGGCGTCTGCAATCTCGAGGAATTCGGAGCGCAGGTTCTCGAGAGATCCAAAGTCCGATTCTATGTTCTTGGCCGTTTGCACTCCCGGACGTCGCTCTACCGGATCTTGACTGTCTGTTAGGGACTCCCAGAAGAAAAGGGTATGGTCTGCCATGGCTGCATGGTTATAAAGAGCTGCTCGGTCGGCTCGGTGGGCATTCTGCCAATGAAGAGTCCTAGTCTGAGTGTGTTCATCCGGTGTTCCTGTTGAGCAAGATGTCAGTTCAATGATTCTCAGAAAGGTCCCCGGGGAGAAACCTGCCTTGGGTGTATTCCGTCAACTTGTCACACAAGTGTTGAGCATATTTCGTGTATGTTTCTTGAAAGGTGTTGGCTGAGAGAAAGCCTGGTACGCCTTTTTCAGCGAACCTCTCTTGCTTCTTCGCATCTGCCCATACTGGAGGCGTATGCTTGCATCGACGCTGAGTTCGGGGAAGAACAGACTAGGGAAACCAAGTCAGCTATGCATCTGCTTGGGCGTAGGATCTCACGAACACTTTGTTTGACGATAGCTCGCAGCAGAGACTGCGGCCTCGCCGACGGTCGTGTGATCATGAACGGAATATGGAGCAGTCCAGCTTCATTGCCCGACAAGCAATTCAGCTACAACACTGCTACGGGGATTGATTTTCTCGAACGACTGGCCGCAGTTTCTGAAAGAGGAATAGTGCGAGTGCTCTTTTCCACAGCCAATCAAGGCGCGTCGAGACGCTGACCAATCACATAGCTTCATGTTCCCCTTCAGAACAGCTCCTGAAACAAGAGACTCTGCCACCTCCATCCTCTACGCTTCCTCCATTTCAGAGCTCAAGGACCAATACTTCCAACAGGATCGACGGTTTCGTTCACATGGTGTGCTTACGCCCCATTACCAGGTCGCGCATCCCTCGTGCAAGCGGCAAGGCACTGGCTATTCTCGGACCCTTCTCAACAGCTGCCTGAGCACGCAGAGTCAATGGCTATCAAAGAGCCAGACAGTCTACCACTGCAACGCAACGCATATCCCGGCTGGATCGTAATCGCGCTCTGACACGATCTATAATGGCTGTCTCGGCCGTTCTCTTTCAGTAAGTCATGTCAAAGGTGAGTATATCACTGTTTCTTTGTTCGGTTTTCGACGCCTTTGTTAATCACACTTCATCCGCACTGCTATTTTCGCCTACTACATTCAAAGGTCCAGGTGATCTACGTTCATACATTACAAACGACTGGTACGACTTTGGGCAAACTGTGCTCTGCCATTCTATCTAATCCTTCCTCCACATCTATCCAACACGATGTACCTCTTCTCAAACAAATATGGCGTGCAGCTCTTATGGGCAGCGTCCGCTATCCTATCTTCAGCCTCAGCCTTCGGCGTGTCTTTTTCAGATCAAGACGCTCTGTTCCAACTCGTAAGGCGAGACGATCTCTCCTGCTCTGCAGTCGACCCTAAGCTACCAAGAGATTTCAAGTGTCCGTCTGGAACGAATTGCATATCCTTGGACAATTCGTCATCGGGTCTGTGCTGCCCAGATAACAACAACTGTTCCAACATCCAGATTGTCTCTTGCAACATTCAGACCCAAAATCTGACAGCAAATGCGAACGCGGCTATCTTCACCACAAGACTAAGCGACAAGCTACCAACATGCGGCGATGGGTGCTGCCCTTTCGGATACGAATGCATTCTGTCTCCAGACGGCAAGAATGTTTGCAATCTTTTAGCAAGTACAAGCAAGACCAACGTCACTAGCTCCTCGACAACCAACTCAACAGCGCCCAAGTCTTCCACATCCTCAACAGCCACATCAACGTCTACGGGTCTCAGCTCAGCCGTCTCGCAAACATCCAAATGCAACAAATTCCCTGTTGGGGTCTTTCTAGCCGGCTTCTTCCCTGGCATGTTTATCGGCGCTTTTCTCATGCTCGCATGGGTGATCTGCTCTGGTCGCCACCGAAAACCAGCTCGTTCCTCCCGCAGCTCTACGTCTTCCTCACGGTCGACCTATAAGCCTACCATCTCCGATCCCATCCCTCTAGGCTCACCGAGTGGCGGACTCCGTACAGACTTTCTTCGCCGCACCACCGGCAGAGCCAAATCCATCTTCTCCACAAAGTCTCAGGTTCTTAGTGGTAACAGCACATCGCACTGGAAGATGCCCACACCACCAGTGCCTAACAATATTCCCAACACCACGCGCGCACCTGCTCCAGTCACTCCCGACCGCAGCCTCACACATGACTCTGAGAGCATCCATCTCTTTTCACCTCAAGGTACCAAAGTGGTCCCACAACCTGTTCCTGCACATATTGCTCCACTCCGGGGCATGTCAGCGCAGCGCTACAATCCCAATTCGTCCGACACGGGTATGGGTAGCCCTTTCCAGTCGCCTCTCAAAGCTGACAACATGTACAGCGACCACATGGCCCGATCGAACACAAACACTCAATCACGTGGTGTGAGCACCTACTCTGTAGTGTCTTCATTACAAGATCGTGACGGTGGATACGAAGCCGAAACACTCACTCCAGCACGCTACGAGCCAACTGCTTCTTCTACCGGCTGGAATTCAAGCGTGACGAAGCGTGTGCGACCTGAGGGCGCGGCAGAGCTTGAAAGCAGGCCAACTACCACGTTCACTGAGATGTTGCATGAAGCAGGGTTCCCAGATCCACTAAACGACCAGGGTACGCCGGCCGTACCCAAGATCCCAAAGATCTATTTGAGTGGTCGATTATAATGAAGGTTTGATATCATCGAGTGCCCTGGTTGCAGAGGTGGACTGCGATGTCGAGCGGTGCTTGTCTAATGTTCAAGTTGTGAGCTATGCATGGCTCTAGTCTGTTTTTTTTAGCGATGATGCTTCTACTTATATAACGCGCAAAGTCACTTGCTCTACTATCGCTCCTCTGACTCCATGAATAATATAGTCGGAGGTTAATGCAATGTTAATATTTCAGCTCTTTCCTGTCTGTTGCCTCCCGTGTAGTCGATGCGAAATTGTATAACCAGTTCACCTGCCAGTAGTCTCAAGTAAATCGAAACGACACTCAACAAAGCTCATTAATGCGCTCCCACAAAGATACATGCATGTCCTTTGTCTAAAGCGCTGTCCAAAAGACCCCTATAGGGAGAGCGTCAAAAGCGGCAAGAATTTCTCAAGCCTCACCACTGTCAACTGAATGGAATGAATATTAAAGCAGCGTGACATGACGCTGTTGCCGCAGCCTTGCGCTCTGCATCCACTTCCGCTGGCTTCGGGGGAATCGAGCATCTTCTCTCGACAACCAAACCGAGTTGGAACCCAGACTCTGCACACAGGACACCTCACCTCCGCTCATATCACCCTCGAGAAAGTGACTTTGTCTGCACCACACAAAAGATGGCGGAAAACCGGGCCCCGTCCCCAACACCGTCCGAACGCGCCCGCAAAGACGCCGAAGATCGAGCCCGCGAAGAGGAAGAACAATCCAAACTGCCCTACCGCTGGACGCAGACGCTGGAGGAAGTAGACGTCAACGTTCCCATTCCCGGCAACTTGAAGGCGAGAGATTTAATAGTCGATTTGAAAAAGACACATGTCAAAGTCTCGATCAAAGGACAAGATCCAATTATTGACGTGGGTAGCCCTGCACTCAAGAAAGCACACATACACAATACACACCCTCTCCTTTCCCTTGCCTCGCTACACACACTTCCGTGCCATGGGAATTCCGGTCGACTGTGTCTCTGGGTACCGACAGTCTCACAGCTATTTCTACGCAACTCCTCTTAATTCCGCAGTACATTATTCAACTCTGAGTTTTGGGTTCTTAAACTAATCAACCACTTTCACGCGCGCAGGGCGACTTCCCACACCCCATCCAGGTCGATGACTCGACATGGATCATCTCCACGAAACCCGACGGTAGCAAAGAGATCGCCATCAACCTGTCCAAAGCGCGGGGGACATACTGGTGGGCTCACGTGGTGACGTCGGCGCCGAAGATCGACACAACCAAGATCGTTCCCGAGAACTCGAAGCTGTCCGAACTCGACGGGGAGACAAGGGGCATGGTCGAGAAGATGATGTATGACCAGGAGATGAAGAGGCAGGGCAAGCCGACCAGCGACGAGCAGAAGAAGGAGGACATACTCAAAAAGTTCATGGCGGAACATCCAGAGATGGACTTTAGTCAGGCCAAGATTGGCTGAGTCAACTGGAGGCCTACCCGTAGTCTACGAGTACCTCGGTACGGGTACGGAGGCCTGCTCGAACCACCCTCGGAGTTTGTAATTGCTGTGGCTGCCCGACCGTGGTTGATTGCCGTGGCACGCAGGGGTCTTACAGAGTACGCATTATTACTCCGTACGGGCACCTTTGCGAAGAAAACTACCCACTAGTCAACTGTATGATACCGACGAACCGATCATGAACAATAGAAAAGTACAATGCATAACATAGGAAGTATTGATGCAAAAAGAACCCTGCGTGCATGGGGTCGATTCGTACAGGATACATAAGACCTAGATAAGATCGACGATGCATGGGACGACGAGCACGGATATCTGAGTACTCATCGTAAGGCTCGTAGGCGGGGAGGTCGATCCAAAAGAAGGAGGCGTAAAGAACCCTGCATAGGCCAAAGAACGGGAGCAACTCGTACTCGTAATCAGAAAAAAAAAATTCCCGAAACCCTGCGCGCAGGTGACCTTGAGGTATACTCGTACAGACGGACAAGGTACTCGTATTCATGTTTCCGTACCTGTCCGTACCTTGTACGGAGGACCCTGTAGATGATATCCGAATCGAGGGAAACCTGGTTCAAGTGGGCACGAGTACGGAGGTACAAGTAAAATGTTGGTCACCAGCCTCACTTTTTCGTGAATGGGGGGCCCATGAAGATCGCCACCTGTATCGGGAATAGCACCACGGTGGGTGTGTAGTGGAAGTGTGTGTGTGTGTGTGTGTGTGTGTGTGTGCTCCAGAGCACCGCACAGTAAGCAGTACGTACGGCGATCACCCTTCAGCCTCGTCGTATTTTCCCATTAGCGGGCGTGTGTGGGCGAGATCGACAACTCAGCCTGGCTGGTGCCTCCTTTTTCGTCTAAGCCTGATGGGCCACAATGGCCGTGACATTTTGTATGGCCTACCCGTATGCACGCAGGCTTGCAGCATCAATGCACGCCGCTGTATCGTGTGCATGCATGGGCCTACGAGCCTGCATGGCGACATGACTTCTGTTGTCATCACCTTTCGAGGTATGAGGTGTTTCTAGGTAAGGCCTCTGGTCATTTTAACGCGGTATCACCCATTGATGAAGTATAAAGTACCTTGCGCAAGTGACAAGTTCAACGGGAGTCACGGACAGAGACAGCGACAGGGACAGGTATGGAGAAGTGATTACCTCGCCTCACCTCATCTTGCCTTACCTTGCCTTGCCTTGCTTTACCTCTCCTTGCTGTGGTGCCCCGATGGTTCCAACTTCTCTTCCAATCTCGGAGCGTCAAACTAATCACCGTCCTACTACTTGCCACCTACATTCTAGGTAGCCCGATCTCTAGAAGAGGCTTCCTTGATCTTTGACCTAAGAGTTCTTTCGACAATCGACCACCCTCTTTTCGTATCTTTGATTTTTCTCACCTTCAAACCTCGGTTGTATGTATAGTATGTATGTGTAAAAAATACATTTATATGTACATGTGTATTTGCTTCAAGTGTTCAGAGAGTCATCTGGCCCTCAAGAAGCCTTGGTAATAATGATTCATTACTCACGGGGGAGTAAATGTAATGGCGGATGCTCGCTTCGTAGATGGGCTTGTTGGAGATCAAGGATGGATCGAATGTTCAAGTCTTCACGGCATCTCACAGCAAGGCTTTGTCAGATTGTCATCATTCTTTTTGCGTTCCATCCTGCCACCCACAACCAGTCTTTTTTTTTTTTTTTGCGCCGTGGGTTGAGGTCATCTCTCCACCAACTCGATCGATAGGAAGACGAGGAGCTGGAGGTAGGGGTGGAGGAGGAGTAGGAGGAGTCTGAGGTATAGTCGGATAAACAGCTGTCTATAATTGAGTAACCTTGCGTCAGGGAAGGGCTTGACATCTCGTGCCGAGATGGTTGTTCGGAAGGGGTGCTCGTCTATGCATGGCCACGTTAGACACTGGCGTACGGTGTACTGCAAAGGGATCCGACATAGATAGAGGACGAGCTCTAGGAACCAGTCAGCCATTCGATGAAGCCTTCCAGAGTTAAACACTTGTTGCGGATTTGTTGCATATCCGGGTGTCAGAACCCATGGTAGTTTTGCACGTTTGTTTGTTCTTTCGTAGAGGGATTCGTCTTCAGATCAGTTGTCTTTGGCCGACCGAGTTCATCTCTTCATGGTCGTCACCTCTCCAAACGCAAGAGCGAGAAGACACCTACCTTGCATTTTGAGCAAAAGCATCATTTCTCATCAACAGCAAACATCATATTCTCTTGGTGCATGGTAGAATCGAGATTCGACAAAGCAAATACCTCGCTCACCGCTTTTCCACACTTTTGGTGCTGTCTCCGCTTGGAGCGTTGTAGACGATTGGGTTTTGACGTGTGATTGCTTCTTTCTCCAACCAGGAAAACCTTCGTCGAAGGCTAAGTAGGAACATCAATTCGACGACTCGTCATCATTGGGGCCAGTAGGTTTTCCTTCTGCATCATTTCTCCGTGACTGGTGCGAGGCACTGGGAATGAGCGGTGTCTGGACAATGAAGGAACGGCATCGAGATTCGAGAGTATCTCGCGTAGCATTTCTTCATAGGTCTCTCTCTCTCACCGGGGTGACCACTGGGCAGATAGTCCTGGTGCTGAGAGGCTCGCTTAACCAAGTGTGTGTGAACGGAAAGATATTCAGGTTTGTTTGACGCGCGAAGGGTTGCATGACCTGGCGGTGAAGCCAGTTTACTCAGGTCGATTTTACATACAGATGGTTCCAGGTTATTTACACGAGATTCTCAAGGGTCAATGGATGGCAGCCAATTGTCCTCTACAGATTACATGGCCCCGAAGACGTCGTGCATAATCCTTTGCAGTAGCACAGTAGTAAATATGGAGTGTGGTACTTTCATCTCGGCGATCCCGGTGGGTATGGGAAGGCTTTCGCTGATCATCTCCACGCTATTGAGTTACTTTCACTAGGAGAAAAGTACCACCAAGGCCAAAACGAGTAAAAGGAAAACTCCAATAGCCCCCAAGTCCTAGAGATCCCTGATGTACAATGAGTATGGAGAGAGAGAGGTCCAGATGCTTATGGGGAAATGGCACAGGGACATCTCAAGTGTCTCAGAAATCGATGTCGTTTCAGCCTCATTTTCGCGTCTCATGTTTGTGGATACGCATTGGCCGTTGCGTAATTGACTTGAAACACCCAAAGAATCAGATCTATGCTTATCTCAAGATCATGGTGTTTGACGATGTAGATGCACGAACGAGATGTCGCCAGAATACAAATCCTGGTACGTGTACCAAGGAAATTCGCTTGGAAGGCTGTGTTCAAGTGCGACTCCTAGCATTGCTACCTCAGGGTACGGAGGATTTCGGTTGGGCATCAAAGATGCTTCTGGCTTGGGTCCCTGCTCAGCTGGTCTTGTCATGCCACATCGCCTCCGTCATAGAAACGAGGCGCATCGTACGTAAATTGCAGTTTCATCATGTAGTTTTAGTACCTTGGTAGACTTCTACACTGTAGACGAGAATGTGACTCTACAGTATGCTTCCGAAATATCGGAATTGAGTTGTAGACCTGTAACGCTGAAGCATGACACCGGTGTCACTGGATTCTTTTCCTCTCTGAGGACACCAATCCTCCAGAGCAGCGTAGCAACATGCCAGGCAAGGTAGACAGTCGCCATCCGTAGCGCCCCGGTGAGGTTGATCAGGTACCAACGCATGCGATGTTCGCCGGGTTGCGTGGTTGGGCAGGCTGTTTGCTTAGTACCTTAGCGTTTGTAAGAAGTTTCCTGCCTCATCGACCTGTCCCTGTGCCCAACGAGCGAAGATTAGAGGACTAGCGTGGTCATGACGATGATGTGATTGAGGTTGTTGCGGGTGTCGTCCAGCTGCCGATTGTTGATCGTAGAAGGCCAATGTACTGCCCTCCTCAGGCTTCTTTCGCAGCCATGGTTTTCAGTATTCAGTCAAATCGTCATGCTCGGCCTGATCGCCTCTGCTCACCGACGCATGAGTCTTTCTGAGTTGGGCACCATGAGAGCAATGAAGTGCCCGCCGCCATCTTCTGGCAGGGGAGACCTCGGAGATATTTGTTGCCAGTAGAGACAGGGATTGATGCGTGATAGACTTTGCGTGATCCTGTTCATATTTTGCCGTCCCTTATGCACTTTCACACCCAGCATCGTATAGTGAACCTGAAAACAAGTGCAGCGAAACACCTTCGTGCTGGCTGCAGTTGACTGCACATCTTTTCTGGCCTCCTTCTCACGCCCCTCCGTTGAACTACCGGAGTGCACAAAACATTATCATACGTCAGGTTCCACCTCTTAGCACTGGACTATATACCAGATTTGATGTAGCAAGGACTCAGGGACACGCTCTGATGCTTCGAGAAAGACAATGTCATTCGACGCTTCTGGTTCTCATGTTGATCAATCTGTTGTTTTTTCTCGTTGATCGACCCTCTGGAATAGTTTACCCGGTAGAGCCAGGAATGGGAGTTTCTTCGAGGGACGTTTCGATGCTAGAGGAACTGGGCTGTCAGCAGGAATCCCAGATAGAGGTAGAACATTGCATTCTGGCTCCCATGTTAACGTACCAAGTGCCATGTTAGGGGGTTGACACAATCTTCGTTGGAATGTGGGCATTAGTCTCCCTTCGAAGGTCTCAAGAGAAGTCTCAAGAGAAGAAGTTGTCTGATTCTCTGCAAGGAATTGCATATAGCTTCCCAGCTACCCACTCGTCTTGTAGACTTCATGTTGATGTCTAGCAATTCAACTGGGTCTGCCTGTCCGATAACACCAGTTCAACCATCTGAGCTGGAAAGTTAATATGAAGAAGTTCTATGTGAGAGGAGTGTGTGGCCTGCGACAAAGGGATGGACAAGTTTGCAGAATTCCCATGCCCGATGGTTGAATTTGCCTTGACTGTCTGCACGAATACCTGGGAAGTCTTTCTCCTAGCTTCACAGGAAAATGCGGTGTAAAGTGGCTGTATGTCGATAAGGATACACTGCCTTGCAATTGGCGTCTTGCATGGGAATACGAAGACCAGCTCCAGCATCGCCCAATGACAGCAGAAATCGTGTAAACATGAGCGGATCATTATCTTTTCGTGGTCAAATATACTTGGCTAATCTCTCCCAGTGCGAGAATGACAAGCAAAGCATCACATGGCTGTGTTTCCCGGCACATTCAGGGAACGTAACTCTGGTGATCATGGGCTGCAGGCAAAATATATGATCCAACCAGAGAGCAGAGCCCTCCATCAAGGCACGCATTGCGTGGCCTGCTGCTTATAGTCCTTTGTAGACAGCTCTCTTTTCGTCGAATACGCTCCGAGACTGCACCGCCAGTGCAAAACAATCAAACGGAAAGGGTAAACACGCCTCTATTGGAAGCCAAAGCCTCCAAATGTTGCTCTCCTCTCTAGGATTACGCTCTCAGTCTGCCTGTAGAGAGCATCAAGCTGTTCCATAGACAAGGAATCCATTAAAATCTTCGCAACTTGCGTGCCTGCACTAACAAGTTGCAACATGTATCGGTCGTCCTTTGGAGTTCTTGGCTGTTGGTCTTTGTTGTTCTGTCTGACTGCAATGGAGTTTTCCAACGTCGTGACAAACTGTTTGATCTGATTGTCGTAGAGCACTCGAGCAGGTATTCTTCTCTTGGTAGCGAGCCTCTTCAGCAGATAAGCCCACTCCGTCCACTCTCTATCGGCGGGCGTCCGAACTCGAGGTTTGTCACGTTCAAGGGGAATAGGAAACTGGTACTTTGCCACAAAGTGGAAGGCGCACCGAGACAAAATGTCATTGACCCGCATGGTGATTTCGTCCTGCTCCTCAATGCTCAGGTGGACAGGGAGGGTGGGAAGGGCCTGGGAACGGGCATGCTCTTGTTGAGGCACTGGCAGAGGCAGTAACTGTGATGGGCCATCAAATTCGTCTTGGTTAAAGGGTCGCCTGCGTGTGTGGTATCTAGTCGCCCTGCCTACGTCCCCGCCACGGCGATTCTGTGTTTCGAATTCGAAATCACCGTAGCCTTGACTGGTTGGGGATCCGGTTTGGAAACTGTAGCTGTCCTGACTTCGTCGTCGCAAGGCCATGTCTTCTGGATTCGACCTCGGTGGCTGTGCAGCGAGTTGGAAAGAACTTGAATCGGGCATGAAAGCAGACGATTGTGATCCCAAAGAGAGAGGTCGAAACGGGTCACCCACAGCAGATGGGCCCGTGGAACGGGTTGCGCCGTGTATCTCAGGTGGCAACCTCTGTCGCAGTCTTTCCGCTGGGCCAGGAGACATGCGCGCGTTCGTGTCTCCCGCGAAAGGGTCGTACGTGGACGTTGACCATGGAGTGTATCTGCTATTGGAAGGATGTTAGTATCACGCTGCAACAGCGAGGAAGCACAACACTTGCTTGGGGAATGCGAACGACGAAGACCCGTCGACCAGTGGTCTCGATGAAGCGGTTTCCCCCGGCTTCGAAAATTGAAAATCACCAAGTTCAGACATGCTTATATTGCCGTCGGTAAGATCAAGAGCAAATCGAATCCCGGGAGCAAGTCCCGAGGTATAGGTCGAAGGTATGTTGTTGATCGGAGATGTCAAGGCCAACATGGTCGAAGAGGCCCTAGATGATATGCAGATGGAAAGAGGAGGGTGCAAGTTAAATCCAGCAGATGAAGGTTGTAATGTCTCCAGTCCCGATAGGCGAATCCAAGCAAATCAGTTCGCTAAGGGGCTTCGCATAGGGCACCCATTGACCTTTGGGCATTAGTAGTATTGATGCCAGACCTGAACCATGGGAGAAAGAATGGAATGAAGTCCAATAACGATATCGCATTTAACAACAAGGCACGTGGAGCATTCGAGTCCTTGTGGCTTTGAGTCTTCTAAAGACCCATCCCGGCGGGCGATTCTGGAAGTTGATTATGTCCACCTTTCCGCTACCCCGGCCGCTCTAGTTTCTTACACCAGGCCCACCTCTCGCAGGGGCTGAAACCAAGGTGCCTGGGCCCTGAAGTCGCCCGGCGGGAGAGTTGCCGACACCGTGGTTGAGGCGGGTAGGCACTGACGGGCCTTGTTTAGGGTAGTCTATAAGCGTATTTCTAGTCTCTGGCAAGTGGGCGCCACACCCTTGCGCCCACGGCAGTGCGCTGGAAATTGACATAGGATGGTGCTGAGCCTTGCCTTCTAGAAGGTCAATTAATTTCCTGCTGAATGCGCTCATAGCGGAAGTCTGCGTCATGGCAGTGTTCGGCACGTCATGGACCCGGGTTGCCCAATGCATGGTTATCGATTGAGAAAATTGATGCCCAAATGATAGTGAATGGACAATCATGTCTCTAGGAGTACGACGGAGCACAGCACTTCACGATCACGAGGTTCGTTTGTGCGGTTCGACTCGCCGGTGAATGACGTGGAGTCCTCGAATGTCGAAGCACACTTTGCAGTGTTTGTGATGCTGGAACAGCCTCCAAGGGGACAACTTCGAAGGGTCTGTAGGTCTGAAGACCGCTAGACGGCCGTTGTGAATGCAGCAGTCATCGTAAGCCGAGTGGGGAATGAACGACCGTGCACATGCGAGCCGCAATTAGCGAGCCTCAGGTATGCCGGAGGGTTCTGTGTTTCTCGAGGTCTACGCACCACAAGTGACAATTTCTAAGCGACCACAAGAATAGAAGACTCGTTTCTCGAAGCAGGGCATCAGCCCTGCTTCGGAGCAGCCACAAATATCGCCGTCGGAGAGGCGGCATGGAAAAGGAATTCAACGCCGTGAACGTGGTCAGTCACGCTCAACAGTGGGAGGGAATAGTTGAAGTCAGCGGCCCAGGGAAATGCCCATCCACGGAAGTGTCATCAGTGCCTAATGCTCGCCCTGTTCGCCGATCATGGGTATGATCTACACAGGCCCTGGTGAGGCGATAGCGGGACCTTCACACAGCTAGTGTTGTATTCTGGAATAGTTGAAAACAGGCGGCAAGGAAACCCAAAAGTCGTGTGCCGTGAGTCCGTGATTCAAGGAAGCATGGGACTGCCTGCTATCATAGTCACACGGGGAGACGGATGGTCCACCCAGAATAAGTCGACATATGGACTCCTCAGTTGCGACGGTGACTTCCACACGGCAGCGATTTAGTTTCAGGAAAGGGTCTGGGACCTTGCCTAGAGGCATAGATGGGGGCGAATTCTCTGTTCTTGAAGTTGTCAGGATCAAGGCACGAATAATGATGTGAAGGGATGGCTCAGCAGAGCTTGGGGATGTCGTTGCCCGTGGGCCGCAGCGCCAGCGCCAGTGCCAGGATCCATGGTACCGTAGGAATGGAAAGAACGATGGAAGCTAGGAGGGGTCGGCTGCAAGTGATGCATGCTGATTTGAGCGAGGCGAGATCGACTTGCCGTAGAAGGATGGTGACCGAGAAGCGAAGGCCTACCGCGGGACGCCAGTAGATCAGGTCGTGGACAGCGTCTGTGTAGTGTATACCGTACGAGGTACAGGTAACAGGGTAGAAGAGGCAAGCAGGGCAGGCGAAACGAGAGTGTCGAGAGATGAAAACAAAAGGGGGATTCCGCTGTTTAAACTAAGGATAAGCTAATGAGGCTAGCCTCGTCTAGTGGCCTGATAGCCAATCAATGAGGGGCCAAGCCTCGCGCTAGTGAGGCTACGTCATTACTCCTTGCGCTAACCCCTATCTTGAGACGACCATCTCTCACCATCGCTCACCATCTGTCCCTTCCACGATGCTTCCATCTCTCTCAATCAATCATGTGTGACCGTCACGATTCTTCGATCCCGCCTCAGCCACTGAGCCACACAATCCACAGCTAGCCTTGACACGGCTCTCGCACGGCTCTCGAAACTTGACTTGCGCAAGCGTCGCTTGCGTCCGTCGACTCCCTCACCTACACTTTGTACACGGGATCATTGGTCTCCATAGCATCGTCCTGGCATTTCGCCTCAGCCACTGTACGTCACTTCCTAGGGGCCTCCGGTCTTGTGGTTGCCTGTTTCCCGGCCAAGATGATGGGTACAACTTGAGACGAGATCAATGAGCAGAAAAGGATACAACCCAGCACACGGTATCCGTATCTTGACAAGGCTCCCTGGCTTTGCAGGATGACCATCTAGCAGTAGTGGTCGATCGAGGTCCAATTGCCAAAACAGAACGGTCGCACAATCAGTGTTCTCGGCTAGGAATTCGTCAGCTTCTAGAAGACGAAACTAGTGCTTCCATTGCCGAGCTCGCTCCCGAGGCCGTCTCAAGAATCATTGTACAACACCGAATTAACAGCAAGCCCAAGCACACCAGCAGGCCATAATCTCCGAGCCCTCGCGTTCCTCTCATTTTCTGGCTTCTCAATCATCATGCGCTCGTAGCCGGCGTCCTTTCTCTAACCGTCGCGCATAATCCTGAATGACGTTGCATTTTGTTAGCACCTGCTCTTGGGGCCAAATCCGAGTAGCAGCCTTGCAAAACACTAGGAGGTGGGAATGGAGACATGTCACATTACTCACACGGCAACTTTTCCTGATGCCCACCTCTAACCCGGTTCGTGGATGATAGCCGAGTATCCTGCTGGCTTTGTCGCCAGAGGCGTATCGCATGGCTACCGCGTCCATCACACTACCACGGGACAGGGTCGTCGGTGTACCGGAGATTCGCGTGAAGACTTCCGCGACCAGACCCAGGATCCACCCCAGTCCTTCTGGAATGCGAATTTCCAACCAAGGTGGGTAGTGACCAAACTCTTTCCACACGGCGAGGCTAAAGTCTCTGAACGAGATGGGCTCATTGTTCTGGATGAAGAATGTCTCTCCAGCGGCGCTTGGAACCCCGTTGCCACCAATCTCTGGGAGCTGTTCGTTCATGTCGGCCTGCGGTTCCTCTCGCCGAGACCCTACACCCAGCAAATTGGCAAGTGCTAGTACATGAGCATCGGCGACATTTCCAACGTATGTCGCATCCCACAGATTACATCCGTCACCAACGATGAAGCGAGATTCTCCCTTTGCGATGCAGGCATGGAGAGAAGGTGTCAGCTGATGGTCACCCTCCCCAAAGATGACTGAAGGTCTCAAGACGCAGGTGAGCATCGCGCTGCTAGACTCGCCGTCACACACAACCACTTTCTCCGGTGATATGTGACTTCTGTTGGCTGCCAGTACGATCTTTTCTGCCTCAATCTTGCTTTCACCATATATCGAGCTCTTTTTGGGTGTAGGCCAGCGCTCGTCGATGTTTGGGTAAGGCTTGGTCATGTCGTCCACAACAGCGCAACAACTACTCGTGTACACGAAGGCACGGCACTCTACGCTTCTCGCTGCTTCGACAACATGCCTAGTACCCATGACATTGACTCGTTTGACGACAGACTCCATGCGGCGCGAATATCTACGATGGCAGTGTCAGCCAGAAATTCAAAATGTATGCGGATTGCCAGATCTCGTGGAAATGAAACACAGACACCGGGCCTCTGATGGTTGAGATGGCTCGTTGCTCCTTCGGAAATACCTTGGATGGATTCTTGCTGGCTGAAAGAAATTGCCTACCTCTCTCTCAATGGTGGCACAATTCCAGCCGTGTGCACAACCGCATCGGGCCTCACACGGTCGAAAACTCTCATCACGACATTGAAGTCTGTAATATCCGCTTGGACATACTCGTATGAACAACTCCTGAGCAAATCCAGCTCGTCATATTCGTCTTGCAAGGACTCTCCTGGACCATTTTCCACATCGAGAATACATACGATCCATTCTGGATGGTGTTGCTGCAACGCTCGAACGATGGCCGAACCGACGAAACCTAAGCCACCCGTCACAAGGACTCTGAAGCAGGGTTCTCTTGAGTCCTTTCCTGTTGCCGGATGTTCTGCACCCGCCCCGTTATGGAGAGCTCCGGTCTCGATTTCCGCCATGAGGGGTCATATCTAGATTGTTTCTATGGTCAAGGTTCGCAGCCTCATTAATGGGAGCTTCTTTCGCCGTATGCGTAGACGTAAAGTGTTGGTTCTTGCCGTCAGCCGAGTTTCGTGTGAGGCTTGACTGCGCGCCGATGTAATCTGTACCAAATGACAAATATCAATGTTTCACTTCCTTCCCCTCGGGATCTTGCGACTGAGTTAGTTCAAGTCAGCGCCGATGCCTCGAGCTAGGGCGGCTGAGCCAGTTCTGACCAACCCAGGACGGAGGTGAGGCGCAGTCAACAGAACCATGGATGATACGGCAACTGTCGAGGAATGTTTTCTTGCTCCCGTCTCTTGAACATTTGGTTAGTAAGCGAGAATCTGGGTCAGCACACCAAGTGCGTTTGCTGTCTTGCTGTCCGGGAAAGACTGTCCGGACCATGGTGTGATGCGCAAACTCCAGTTCCCAGGCCCCCGTTGTTTTCCCTCTTCCCCTCGCTCCTCGGGTTTTACGTTTTCCGACAAGGATACAAGGACAGAACGATACATGTCAGAGCGATACAGACCCTAGTACGAATAATCCGAGACCGAATGCACGTCGATCCTTACTCTTCACGCAAATGAACGTCCTCAGAGTACGGGGTGCCTCGTACGGTAGTGGGGAGGGCCAGGGCACGAATCAGTCGACTACATCACCATCCTGTAGTCTCAACTCAAACTTGTGTGCCTCTACCGGCCCTTCCGGGGTCATTGATTTCATCACTAACAGTCTCCGACTCTTGTGAAGTGTTGCTGTGGTTGTTCGAGGACTTTCGAGCGGCCCGACTAGCAGTAACCTAACTACAGTCCGGACAACTGTGCATCGCCCAAGAAATATTTGGAAGAAACTTCAAATGCAAAGGTCCAGATTTCGTTTCGCGAGACGGGCCCGACACCGATGGTACTGGAAGGATTCCGATTACTGTTAGTAGCTTGCCTGCAACATCTCCGGCTTCCGACGTCGCACATCACGATGGTTTGATACCACCTCACTGGTGCTTATGGGTGTTTTGCACGATGTGCTGCTCCGAGAGATGTGAGTTGCACCAGCCAGCCTGACACTGTCGCACTGTCAGAAGAGAAGTCGGACTTCTATGGAATCAAATGATTTGTGCTGAGGGGTATGTAGGTATGCTGAAATCTCGGACAGATAATCACCGTTTGGACATGTTACCCTGCTCGAGACAGAAGCTACTACTCTTGCAACTTAAGCATTCTTGAATATCTCGTTTCTCTAAGGGTCTCTTCTCGCGTGCTGCTGAATCATGTACAGCTGTGTGTTGTAGTGCTGTTTGAGAGGATCCTAGGATATTCTGCCTGCACGTTGAAGTAAAGAGCACCTAGTATGTATTAAACAACGAAGCTACTTGTTCTCTTTAGAAAGCGATTACTACGCCGCGCAAAGCACGTACAATACATGCCTGACTAGGTAGTTACCTTGGTGCTATCAGACATCTCACCTGTTCTACCGTCCACTCTCTCGTCTGCACAAACGGGTCGTTGGCCTGACCTGATCCGACCTAAACGATCCGATCCTCAAGCGTGGTGTTTTATTTCTCCAGAGTCTCTGCCTACCACAGCTCAGAGCTCCAAACGTTTATTGAGGACAATTTAGTCCCGAAGAGGAAGAATGCGTCACATCGTCACTCATGCTCTCCATCAGCTCCCATCGAGATTCGTACAAGACCGTCTTTGTTGTTTTTCTCAGACAAAATGGCCCCTTTCATGATCCTGCATGGACGCATGAGGCTGCCCATATGCCACGCCTATAGCTTCCGGATTGTAGTAGTGCCCCTGAGGGTATTGTTGACCAGCACTTGGTCCAGGAACGGTGTCGAAGTCGAAGTGGCCTTCTGCGTCCTGCTCGTCGCCCAACCCAAAATACTGCTCATGTAGTTGTGGATCCCGTACCTGACCATTTCCGGGTCCGATGTCTTCTTGCTGCTGTTGGAAGCTGGTCCTAAGCGGGGTCCCGCCGTGCTCGGATGGCTCTTCGCCTTGTCCTCCCTGGTGGTGGTGACTACTCCAGCGTCCCTGGGCCAATCCCGGGCTCGGCTGTTTGGCGTGGAGGAGCGTCGGGCTGATGGCGTGCATTTCGGTCGGGGGTTGAACCTGGCTCCAGGCTTCGACTGCTTTGGCCGACATGGGACTACCGAACATGTGGTCAGCGTTCGCATCGTGGATTCGGCTCATGCGTCCCGTCTGAGCCATGCGCTGTCGCCGCTTTCGCGTGAAGGCGAAACAGCACCAGCACGTGCCGCCGATGAGCAAGATTCCGCCGACTATGGGCAGTGCGATGGCAATGGCCAGTTGCCATCCGTGAAGGCCGCCGCCGGAACCGCCCTTCCTGGATGACGCGCTGGGACCTGCTATGAGCGTCTCGTTGAAGATGGCTGCTGCGTCTGGGAAGAACTCTTTGCCGGAAACGGGCGGTTGCACACAGGATATGTGCAGCGCTTGCAGGACTATTGTTTGATCATGGATAGTTAGTCTTCTGATACCTATCTCTCAGCGGAGACCGGGGGTTGGAGGGGTGTTCGGGGAAGCCATACAATTCGCAAGAAACAGCTGTTGCGGAATAAAACTATAGCAGAAAGCACACCGGTTGATGCTGGTGCTGTCAAAATCGCCTACGTTGCAGAACTCGCCTCCAGGAGACAGATTCGAAGAGTCATTTGTTATCTGGTACTCGATCGACTCGTTCAGCACAGCGCAGCTGACCTGGCAAGGGCTGCTGATCGAGATATGCGTCGACGGCCAGGCGAACATGCACCCCGAAAGAGTGTAACGAAGAGCCACTGGGTCAGGTTTTGTTTAGCGGAAACTTTTCAAACAGGAAAAAGACTGTGGGTAGAAAAGCATTTGTGAAGGCTGGAGATTTGGAATGTAGTAGATAGGAAAAATATTGCTACATACACAATGCCCATTCTACGTCGGTCTCATTCCTGTTCGTGTCCACCGCTGTGCTATTCAACTGACAGGCCACGCACTTTTGATATGCTCGACCCTGCGGCAGAGACTGGTAGTCGGCATCGAGGCAGACCACGTCGTCCTCGAGGGTTCCTGCGTCGGCGCACACAGATTCACAAGGCGACCCGGCGACGGTCTGGAGGGCGGACGTGAGACGGAGGAGGACGGTCAGCAGACACAGGAAGGTCAGAGAGAGGCGGGAGAACGAAGGTGAAGGTGGAGGAGCGGTCGCATAACGGTCATGCCAACCCGCCATAGCATGACACTGACGGCGAAGAGCAGCGCGGCGACATATGAAACGATGAACCACGGCGCAACAGACCCAAGGTTGGAATTCGAACAGGCGCTTTTGATTACGACCTGCTGGGTTCCCTCGTTCAATTTTAAGGCCGGCGGATGGCGACAGGAGAGGTGAGAGTGAGTGGGACGACGGTGGTGATAGAACACCATGCAGCTCTTGGTGCTGCACTGCACCAGCATGGCGGCGCGTCCCCCTCGTGCATGATGGAGAAGATGCTTCCTGGCCGGCGGTGTTTTCAATGGTCTTGCGTGCTGTTCCGGGCGCTTAGAAGAGCTCTCTCGCCCAGTCAGCGCAGCTTCACGAGCCTCGGGTCGACGAGGCGCGATTGGTGGTAGGGTGTGATAAAGGTCGTTGGAGATGCTGAGTGGTGGGAGACTTTTCGTGCTACTGGACACTAGCAGGGGTCATGCTCTGCTTCCTTCACACCCGCGATCGACACCGAATCTCACATTGTATTGGTGGTGATTCAAGAGCTCCCCGAATCGGTGGACGTCGTGGTCGTCGGCTGAGGGCGTAAACAGTACGGGAGTGGTGTGAATCGAGTTAGAGCCAACTCGTTCCTAGCACGGATGCCACGATTCTTCCGGACTCGTGCCATTCTCCTGCATTACTGCGACGTTGACTGTTTGTGGTCGAGCCGCCGACGATATGGAATATTGACTTTCTTGAGTGATGGTCCTGTGATAATGCCGTGATGCACACATTAATGCGCGCAACGTAGATGATTCACGTTTTGCAGCGCCAGGTATTTGATTACTTAGACGCTGGAATCATGCTTTCACAGCAAGCGAAGTAATAGTCTTGTATGAAGTGAGAGATATACAATATACGGACGTTATAACATTCAATGCTCCTTGCCCCTATTGTGATCATACTTGACTTGACGCTCTTGACTAACCTCCTCTTCTGATGTCCCTGCGGTGAATTGGAGGGAGGACTTCAGGGTGGCACTCGAAAGCTGCATGCAATCGAGGATGAATCGCCTCGTGGCACGGGCAATATTGGCGCTGAAAATAAAATGCATCTTGTTACTCGTCTCACATGATAGGCTCATCCAGAAATCGAAGGAACCCTCCAGTCGTATAATGGAGAGACTACCTCCGCTTATTGAGCTCTTCAACTCTTTTCTCGAACGCTGAGATCATCGTGCTTGCAACCTTTTCCTCGACCTGAGAAAATAATTGGTCATAGATTGGGTTCCGGAACTTGACGTGGACGTCCAGTTTCACGGATGCGTGGTCGTCATCGCCTCCTCCAGACTGGGAGATGTGCCACTTCGTGTTCAGAACTTCGAATAGACCATTGCTGTTCTTGTCGCTACTTCTCGCCTCAACAAGTCCGTTCTCGGGGTCACAGGACACTACACTATCCCAGTCTTCCTCAAGCCCGAGCTTTTCGTAGCCGACTTTTAATCTGGCTCGAGTCGGATACCCAGCTGCGTCCCTTGACGTCACATGTGACGAGATGGTGAAGGGTAAAAATGTTGGGTAGCCAGAGACGTCCGAAACAGCTTTGAAGATAACTTTGGGGGAGTAAGGAAGACGCTTTGTATGCGACACTGTGCGGAGCGGACAAGGGCCTAAAGCTGAGGATAGTATCGAGTCGAAGAAGGTTCGGCTTTGAAGTATAAATCTTTGTTTGTACTGGAGTAATAGTCGATGACAGTGAGTGGAAGGCTTACTACCACAATGCAGAAGAGCTGGTTGCCGTAGGATCATTGTGCCCGAAGTATCTCCCGAAAAGCGCCAGAACTATGCAAAACCTCTGAATGACCCCTGCACCTACTCCGAGAAAGTTTTAACAATCGATGTGAAGAGTGGAAGAGGACGTCGAGATATTGAGGTATGACAAGTCAACAGAGTCCGAGTTCAAAAAAAATATCTCGCGAGTCAGACGTCTGTCCCGGACTTAGCGTGGCCGAACATTGACTGACTCGTGGCAGTTTCTCCTTCAACCACATATGCCATTCCTGTCTCCCTGACAATTACGAGACAGCAGGCATATGTAAGTCTACGCGCTTGAATCGCAAGCACCGGCTCTCACGTCCTCTCCCCATGTCAAATATGAGTTGGCGATAGCAAGATACCCAGGTTCCGCGGCCACCTCAAGTACTAGCCATGGACGCAGTCGACACTCCTGCACCTCAGGCAGTCCCTGCCAAACGAGAGCCTCCGCCCGAGAAGCCAGAAGCTGTGAGCTTGCGGACGAAGATCGTGTTCTCTTTCTGGGCTGTAATTATATTACTCGGAGTGCCAACATGGTGGCAGACAACCTCGATCTACCGGGCCAACTTGCCTCTGCAAGAAATGGTTGACTGGGCAGATGGACTGGTGCGTATTGAGCAATCGCACTTCCCTACACTTCTAATTGAGACGTATAGAATACTCCTACTTCCATCCCTTTGCATATATGGGTCGAAGCGCCTAGTCTCTCTTGTCTCGATGCGCAACGACTTGTGCAAGACACCCAGCAAGCGCTCGATGACCTTAACGAATATCCTACCCTCCACCAGCGATTACATCTTGTTCGTGGATCGTGGAAGGATGAAAGCGGTAAGGGGAAAGAACAGCATTCGGGGTGCGGTGAAGATGCTACAAACCCAGTTCTGGGAGAGCCCTCTCTCAAGATCCTTCTGGAGCCTGCAAAAGATTCTTTCGAGTTCAAGTTGGATCCTGTCGCTGCCACGGCTGTTGTACGAGGACCAATACCACATATTCCCAAACAGCTAGCAGACAAAGTACAAGATCTTTTCAAGGATGAGCAGATCGCGGCCGCACTTCAAGTCGTATCGCTAGCCGGTCACACTAACTATGCGCAATCTTTTCTGCGCTCGCAATCCATCGAGCACGTCAGTACTATCGAGAAGCGCATCAGTCGTGCTTACAAGGCATCGCCGGAATTCCATTTGACCTTCTCCCTTTTCACGGCTACTGAATCGCCATCGAGCTGGGATGTGCAGGAAGCCCTCAAAGACAGCATTTATCCACTTGTACAGGCGTTGTCTAATATCGCTAAGATTGGTATCACCACGCAAGTTCAGCTCTACTCAGCATTCTCGCCAGCTGTCCAGCCCATCTTTGTCGAGGGATACAATGGCACGCTTTTGCCACAAAAAGATCTTACAGCCTTCGTGAATGCCGCAGAATGGCCACTTGCTCCATCCATCGGAGAAGGGCCTACGCTTAATTTCATTCTTTACGTCCCTTCCCCCGACCAGATTCCATTGGCGATCGATGGAAGCGAGGGGACATCGTGGCTGATTCCCCAGTGGGGTGGTATCCAAATTCTCAATCCGGACTTGACTATCAATTCTGTCTCCGGAAAGTTTACGCCGCCTAGTCATCTAAACAGGGAGATCCTGCAACTACCCTTTCAGACGTTCTCCTCTCAGCTTCTGTCATTGCTGGGTACCTTGAACTCGGAAGAGTCCACGAAGAATCTACCTCTCCAACTCCGGCTTGATGCGTACAAGCGCTTCTCTGCGCTAACCCTTTACCTGAAAGCTGCGTCCAGCTTAGGGTCGTTGTCGAGGTTGGCACAGCGGCTTAGCAACATTCCTATCCCAAAGCATGTCGCACAATTGATCGATGATACAATCGGTAACCTGACTGCGTGCTGCCATGCATTCCAGGACAGCAGGTGGGATCTGGCGCTTTCACACGCCCAAACTGCATATCAAGATAGCGAGAAGGCGTTCTTCGATAAATCAATGGTAGGACAAGTCTACTTCCCCGACGAGCACAAGGTTGCTGTTTACCTGCCTCTGCTCGGTCCTATCGGCGTACCCCTTATCGTCGGGCTTATACGAGAACTCAAAAGAACGGCCTCCAAGAGCAAGGTAGTGGCAAACTAAAAGATGATTCCTGAAAGAGATGTCGCTCTGCCTTAATTCATACCAAAGGCTCCTTTCATAATTACCCTGCTTCAAGGCTCTCGGGACAATGATGAATATGCAGAGCAGAATGCCTCGAAAACCTTGTGCCGCCATGATATCGAACTGCCTAATGCAGCAGTTCGATAACGGCCCTTCTTGAGCCAAGTGGGGTGTACACGGTACGGTCTCCGCATCAGTGCCGATCTGCACAACTTCTTCCCTGCCACTCAGGTACTCTTGTACTCAATCGTTCAATCAGCGACGAGAAACTCGACAATAGCACCTGCCTTTCCAAGGCTTGGTGGCGTTATCGATCGAGACATACGCACTCAACATCATCCACTTCTAGAATGGATACGTGCGAGCGTATCTTACACGCTGAGAAGCTTATATACCAATCTACACCGGCTGGTCAGAAGTAGAACGCCCTCACAAATATCATTGACCTTTCTTCTTGTTGGGGATAGGATGGCATCCTTGTTCGTTCGTAGCTCAGCCACATTTTTCTTGACATGCGTGTCTCTGCTTAGCCTGGTAACCTGCGAGCCATGCTCCAACCGGAGCACCTCTATCAACGGAAAGCCCTTTCCTCCGTTGATCGAGGCGACCACAGAAAACCTCATCGTCGGTCTGGAATTAGGCCTTTTCACTAGTGTTGACCTCGTCAAGGTGTGTTGACCCTGCTAACGGAGACTCAAAGTTACTAACATCCTCAGGCGTACACGGCTCGCATTCTTGAAGTGAACGCGACCTTGCATATGGTCATTGAGGTCAATCCGGACTCTCTTGCAATAGCTGCCGAACTTGATGCTCAACGCGCGAATGGCACTGTCCTTGGACCTCTTCACGGGATTCCAATCTTGATCAAGAACAACATTGCGACTGCCGACAAGATGGACAACACGGCTGGATCGTATGCACTTGCTGGAGCAAAGGTTCCGAGGGATAGTACAATAGCAGCGAAACTCCGCAAAGCCGGCGCAGTAATTCTGGGAAAGACAAACTTGTCTCAATGGGCGAACTACCGAAGCTTCAACACCAGCAATGGTTGGTCGGCCATCGGGGGACAAACCCAAGGCGCTTATTATCCAGGCCAGGACCCTTCGGGATCGTCTTCTGGCAGTGGTGTTTCTAGCTCTCTGGGTCTAGCTCTTGCAGCTCTCGGCACAGAAACCGATGGCTCTATCTTGTCGCCTTCAGATGTCAACAACCTTGTGGGTATCAAACCGACTGTCGGTCTTACGGCGAGAGATCTGGTCGTTCCGATATCCGAGCACCAAGACACAGTCGGACCAATGGCTCGAACGGTGAAAGACGCAGCCTACCTTCTTGCAGCAATTGCTGGAAAGTCTCTATATGACAATTACACTGACGCAATTCCCTGGGACACGATTCCTGACTATGTGGCTGCCTGCAACTTTTCTGCCCTACGTGGAAAACGCATAGGTGTTCCCAGGAACCTGATTGACCTTTCCTCTGATCCGGCCGCTGCACCTATCGTCCCAGTATTCAATGCAGCGCTTGACATCTTGCGAGCCGCTGGAGCGACTATCGTCGACAACACAAACTTCACAGGCTATGATGCCTTGAATGAAGGCAACTACAGCAATATCGTCCTTGAGGCGGACTTCATCAGCGACCTCCCCAAGGAATATCTTTCCAAGTTATCATATAACCCGAACAACGTTCATTCAGTCGCCGACGTGCGAAACTTTACTCATGACTTTGCCCTCGAAGACTGGCCTGAAAGAGATACGTTGGTCTGGGATGGCGCTTTAGAACTGGGCTATGGCAATACCTCTCCCGAATTCTGGTCGAATTATACAATGAATACCTTCCTAGCTGGGGAAATGGGAATTACCGGGGCCTTGAAGAACTACTCCTTGGATGCGCTGGTGTTGCCTACTGAGTTCTCGCCCAATTTTCCAGCGCTGATAGGGGCTCCTGTGGTGACAGTACCACTTGGTGCATACCCGCAAAATACCACTGTGCTCGTTAATCAGTTCGGGAATTTGAACGCCACAGCTCCGAACGTCCCCTTCGGCATCAGTTTTATGGGACCTCACTTCAGTGAGGAAATGTTGATCGGTCTAGCTTACGCTTTCGAACAGCGCACCATGGTCCGAAATACTATCATACCATATATTCAGCCTACCACCGAGCTTGCTGACGTGGTACATGCGCGGCAACAGGCGAAGAAGACATAGGCATGGGGTCATTTGGCAGACTGTGGAATATCGGAGATGGCAGAGATCATGAAAAGCCAAGTCTCGTGTCCGACTGTAAATGTCAACGATCTGACCTACCTTGTGCAATTCTATTGCTCTGAGGCCAGGGGTGATGTTATGACAAGTAATTTTGCTGTGGTGGTTGACGGAGTCGCTAGAGTCGTATCCCTTTGTAGATAGCCCATCCAAATACACGAACGAAAATCTTTCGAATACGAACAATCATTCTCGGTAGGCAGCTATTGCAGCAAACCAAAGAGGCCGAGGCATCTCCATCGGCTGTCTACGGTATGTCAACAAGCAAGTTACTTACGGCCGGGAGCAGCAACACGGCAACAGTCTGCCAATCGAGTGACAGAGATTTCCCGCTGACCGGGTCCCAGTAATCAGGCCATGATGGAGGGCTGAATGGGGGAATAACTCGAGTTGCTGGACTGGGCTAGAATCGGAGTCTTTGAGCCTCGGTTCATTCTGGTGCAAACAATTCTCCTCCTCCGTATTGGTACTCGTACATTGTCATCCCTTAACTCAACCGCAGGACAAAGCGTCTTGGGAACGTAGGTCTAGCCGGGGAGAAGCTGTAGTAACCTGTACACTTATTTTCTCTACACAGTCCTACCCAGAGTTCGTCTTTTTGATTCTCACGACTGATTCTCTGCGTATGAGGACGAGCACCGGTCCCCCTCCGTCGCTAACATTCCCTCTTCTCGCTTTTATTGATCCTCCTTCCCTTGAAGAGTCCGTTTCCGCCCAATAAGGCCAGTACCCAGAAACCCCCAGCGGCTCCAGGTGAGATAGGAACCCTCATCGTTTGGGTTTTTTTTTTCGAAAGATGGCGCCACAAAAGACATCCCAGACTCCCACGCGGAAACTCAGCCGCGCCGAAGTGGCCAAGAAGAACAACGCCGACGAGGGCATCTGGTGCATCATCGACCACAAGGTGTACGACGTGACGGACTTCCTCGACGCACACCCGGGCGGCAGCGTCGTGCTGCAGCAGGTCGCAGGGCAGGACGCGACGTCGGCGTTCTACAACCTCCACCGGCACGAAGTGCTCCAGAAGTACGACGCGAGCCTCTGCATCGGCACGGTCGACGGCGAGCGGCCCGAGGTCGTCGACCCCAGGCCGGGGGACCTCTCGACGGTGCCCTACGCCGAGCCGCTGTGGCTGACGCCGGCCTACAAGAGCCCCTACTACGGCGAGTCGCACCGGCGGCTGCAGCGGGCCGTGCGCACCTTCGTCGACGAGGACATCTACCCGGAGGCGCAGGAGAAGGAGATCGACGGCACCTACATCTCGCAGGGCCTCGTGGACAAGATGGCCCGGAACAACCTGCTCGCCATGCGCCTGGGGCCCGGCAAGCACCTGCTCGGCAGGGAGCTGATGGGCGGCGCCGTCGCCCCCGAGGACTTCGACTACTTCCACGACCTGATCGTCGCGCAGGAGCTGACCCGCGGCCTGGCCAGGGGTTTCCAGGACGGCAACATGGCCGGCATGATGATCAGCTTGACCGCCGTGAGGCAGTGGGCGAACGACGCCGAGCTGCGGGACCGTCTGACCGACGAGTGTCTCAGCGGGAAGAAGTTCATGTGTCTTGCCGTCACCGAGGCCTTTGCGGGCAGCGACGTTGCGGGCATCAGGACGACTGCGACCAAGACGCCGGATGGGAAGCATTATATTATCAACGGTAAGAGGAAAACCAAGGAGAACAAGTCTTCGACGACGCATTCTCCCTCCTTTGAATAGCTCAAGATGAACCATGGAAATTCTTTGCTGACATAAAATTTAAAAACTCGTAGGAACGAAGAAATGGATCACCAACGGCATGTTCGCCGACTACTTCGTCACCGCATGCAAGACAGAAAAGGGAATCAGCGTGATCGTTGTGCCGCGCGACGACAACGTCGAGACCAAGCGTATCAAGACGGCCTACTCGACGGCCGCGGCCACGACGTTTATCCAATTCGACAATGTCAAAGTTCCTGTTAACCACCTCCTGGGAAAGGAACACAACGGCTTCATCGTCGTCATGAGCAACTTCAACCACGAGCGGTGGGCCATCACCGCCCAGGTGATCCGCTGGATGCGTACCGTCGTGGAAGAGTGTCTGAAGTGGACCCACCAGCGTATCGTGTTCGGCAAGCCTCTGATCGAGCAGCCCGTCATCCGCCAGAAATTGGCCAAGATGATCAGTAGGACCGAGGCGTGTCAGAGCTGGATTGAGAGCATCACCTATCAGATGTGCAACATGAGCTATGCCCAGCAGAGTAAACTCCTTGGTGGACCGATCGGTCTTTTGAAGAGCTATTCCACCAGGTGTGCGCACGAGATTGCCGACGACGCTGTCAACATCTTTGGCGGTAGGGGAATCACGCAGACCGGCATGGGACGTGTTGTGGAACAGTTCCATCGCATCTACAAGTTCGATGCTATCCTCGGAGGTGCCGAGGAGGTACTGGCTGACCTTGGTGTGCGGCAGGCGATGAAGCAGATGCCTAAGGCGATGTTGTAGATTAATGAAATGAAGTTTGGAGTGTTGTCATTAGTTGTCGCTGGGACGCCATCTTTGATCACCTACTCGACCTTCGTGGATGAGTAGCGCAGACAGCATCCATGGTCCATGATGCGTAAAGTGCCAAGCACGCACACATTCGGCCTCGACTTGTGTAGGGAACAAGTGATTGCCAGCTTTGGCAATGTACATACCTTGGGCACAGACATGCCATCGAAGTAGTCCAAATCGTTGGTTTGTATATGCCCACGACTCTGGCCGATCCATCCCTGATCGAGCAAACCAGAGGTGCATGTCCACAGGACCAAGGTTCGCAGTCATCGACTGGACGGTCGATGACTGGACGGTCGACCTCTTTAGAAATAGCTCTTAAGTTGGTGTATGGCTCTGAATGGGACGACAAGCGTTACCCTTCAACCTAGACCTTCCCTGTGACCATGAATTTGTGAATCTTGTCAACAGACAGTTGATCGGTTGTCGTCAAAGCTGCGGCTGTAGCCTTGGAGGAAACAGCAGTCGCCTGAGAGTTCGTTGGCTCGACGTCCATCTTATCTTTATCCTCGTCAACTGACTCTTCGTAGTCCTCCTCCTCCTCTTCCTCGTCGCCCTCGTCGTCGTCTTCATCGTCAGGTGGCTCAACCAATTCTCTTTGGAGACCTGTAACGACGGTGTCTATGCCTCGTTGCTTCTCTTCTAGGGTGTAGTCGGCTCCCCATTTCTGTCTTCGTGCTTCTCTGTTGGCAGCACTAGGTGCCCATTGCCAGAGAGCGGTGCGCTCCTGAATGGAAAGACCTGACTGCGAACCTTTTGCCTGTCCCGCAGCGATTTTCCCTCCTTCCTCAATCCAGTCCTCTATGCTTGGCTCGAGTTTAGTTCGCAATAGAGTCTCGAGGATGAAAGCTCGTTCCTTGCCAGGAAATTGAGGGAGAGGGAAAGCGACTGTAGACTGGAAAAGATCTTGGTATTCGGACAGCTGTGCTGCAATCTGCTGAAGGTTGTTGGAGATGAGATTCGCGTGAGTCTGTAAGGAAGGCCTAGAGATTGTTAGTATACATTTGTCTTATTAGAACACATGTCTCGTAGACACACCAAGAGGGCAGCTGGCTTTGCGAGGCGATTTCTGATCGCAGAGCAACTAACGAAGTATGCAGTGCTAATAGTCGTTGCCGGGCTTGGTCAAGAGACCTGACTTGATCGTTTGTGAGAGCTGCCATTTAGATGCAGCAACACCATCCAGGCTGTGGCAAGGTCAAGTCATAAACTTGATCTTGCTGTGCTTTGCAGAATGGTTCAAAGAAGAATAAATCAGGGACGTGCGAGTTGTCGGTTGTAGGTGATGAGGGCGAATGTGCTGTAGATCTCCGCATCAGGTGCGCAGTCCAAACTTCTAAGCTCCCAATCTAGATTTCTATCAGTCTTCACCTCGAAGCCAGTGAGCATTCAACCCATGCTTCGTCAATAGAACATATCCGCCTGGTCGGCAATCAACCATGGCTGCTCCGGCAGTCAAACGTCTCACGAGCAATGCCCTTTGCTCAAATTGTCCAACTCTGAGCCTTTGCAGTTCCTGGACTGCGGGCAACCTCACGAGATGGTCCTCCTTCGGAAGGAGAAGATTTCACGTCGTGCCAGTCACTGGCACTGTAGGATCTCGACACAATCCAGCAACCTCTCAAAGCTTTGTCCGTGACTACTTTTCGGCCAACAACTCTCTCGAGCGAGGATGGGTCAAGAGTGGACTTCTGGCTTCAATGCGCACAGCCGCAGAACCACGAGACGGCAAAGGCAATCTCACACGTCAAGAGAAGATAATCCGCGCAGAGGAGGATTACGAAGAATTGTCATCAGACCATAAAAGAGCGGCGAGCGCGGTGCATGGACCGAATGGAGCAGCTCAAGCACAAGAGCCCGTTCGAACAGTTTCCGAGGTGAAGTCGGACGAGCAAATACTACCACATCGGAGGAGGAAGAGACGGAAAGCCAACGAATACTCCCTGTCAAGCCAGGAGGAATCCCTGCCTTTGGATGCCTCATCACAATTGACGACAGCCGCTGCTGCTATGCCGCCGTCCGCCGCCCTTCGACGCAAGATGGCGACACTTCTCTCTCTCACAAAACCACGGTTGTCCTTCCTCATCCTTCTCTCAACTACGTCAGCATACTCTCTATATCCCTTACCCGAACTCTTATCTTCCACGGCATCAGCTGTAGAGACTTCGTTTTCGACATCGACACTTACACTCCTCTTCTTGACGACAGGCACTTTTCTATCCTGTGCCTGCGCGAACACTCTGAACATGCTCTTCGAACCCAAGTATGACGCCCTCATGACCAGGACTCGGAATCGACCATTGGTCAGAAAGCTTATCTCACCTCGAGCTGCAGCGTTATTTGCACTGTTGTGTGGCGCTTCGGGACTTATCCTGCTGGGATTTGGCACCAACCCTACCGTGGCAGGTTTATCCGCGCTGAACATATTCCTCTACGCTGGTGTCTATACTCCCATGAAACGGATTTCACCAGCCAATACGTGGGTTGGTGCCGTGGTTGGCGGGATTCCGCCCTTGATGGGCTGGTGTGCCGCGGCAGGCGAGGCAGCCACTTCTGAGCACCATTCATGGAGGGATATGCTGCTCACTGAAGATTCTATCGGCGGATGGGCACTTGCTGCTCTCTTGTTTGCCTGGCAATTTCCGCACTTTATGTCTCTATCTCACAACATCCGAGACGATTACAAGAATGCTGGGCACAAAATGCTTGCCTGGACAAATCCAGCCCGCAATGCAAGAGTAGCCCTGCGGTATTCGATTGCAATGTTTCCAATATGTGGGATGCTCTACTGGGGTGGGTACGTCGACAGGGGTTTTCTGGTCATCAGTACCGCATGCAACATCTGGATGACAAGAGAGGCCATTCGCTTCTGGAGGAAGCAGGGCGCTGGTGGAAGCGCCAGAGGCCTTTTCTGGGCGAGCGTGTGGCAACTTCCTCTAGTCCTCGTCGGCGCTTTGGTGTGTAAGAAAGGTCTCTGGGATGGGTTCTTTGGAAGCAATGATGCTGCAAGCATATATGAAGAGCCGGAAGTCGAAAGTGATGGAGAATCTCTAGGAATGACTTCACCGAAGTCAGGAAAGGCGCCAGATATCATTGAAGAGGTAAACCCAGCCATGCTGGGCTTCAAGAGACCCACGTGAAGGAGATACAGGGAGAGGTCCCCACATCGACGACGAATAAGGAGGATCAACACCTACATCCTCCCAAATCGAAAACTCTCTAACGGCCGCCCCAACGCTTGAAGCCGGGTCCCGGATCAGTCAATGTAAGACAACATTAACGTCTCATAGGACATGTTCGAGTGTTATACTTCCATTCTGGAACTTGTAACCACCTTTGTGTCAGACCACCGGTGAAGGTATGGAGAAACCTGGTTCGGTGGAAGAAAGAACCGCGCATGAAGACATCCTTTGGGATGTTTGCACTGAGAATGTCGACCCATCTGAAGATTTGGTTTGATTCACTCTCAAGTATCAGGGTCCGAGTATGTCGATTGAAATATGTAAATCACGTAACTAATCCTCATTTCACCTGCCGGAAAATGCAAAAAGCTATGTGAATGCCCTGTAAGGCTTTAATTAGTACGCATCTCTCTACCTGCATGTATCGTAGTCAAGCGCTCTCGGCGTCGTGTAGTGAATCTGCGCCAGTGAATCGGGAAAGTCTAGCGAAAGTCTGGGGTTGGGCAGTTTCCGCTTTGCGTGTTCTACGCGCGACGCGTCCGCAGTGTTGACAATTTGACAGTCACTGACATCACCTCAATTCCACCTCGACCCAGGCGCTTGACTCAGAACGACTCCTCCACATTCCTTGATGGATATAGTCGCCACCTCGTGATATTACCGATTACCAAGGAGTGGCGAGTGCCGCCGAAAACTGTCTCGTCAATATGGCGACGCCTCCGTAGGGGCAACTATCCCGTTGGTTGAGGCCACGCTAACTAGCGACAGCGAGTTCTTCAGCAAGTTGAGAGCTTTGAGGCCAGCACATGAATTGACTTCGGGGGTAGCATTCGTTGCCATTCTACAGCATGACAAACTGCCCAACAAAAGCTTCCAACAACATGACGCCTTGTGGATTAAGTGCCCAAAAGGTAAAGAATTAAGCTCATTGCTGAAGGCCTACAAAAAGAGACATCCATTGGCTGGTGACCTCGTACTCAGACATAATTTCAAGATCGTTGATGAAACGACTAAAATCTCCTCACTTCTTACTTTACCCTCGGATGACTTTGTCGCTCTTGAAGCCATCCTTGTGGACGACTTGAACAAGAGAACGAACCCACCGCACGCTTCGCGCACTGCTCTTGCCGAAGTCACAAACGCTGCAAATCGCCGTAGAAGCCAGAGCGATGTGTCAGTCAAGGACACAGCAGCTGTTCCTTCTAGGCTATCCGTCAAGGAGGAATTGGTGCCACCTCCACAGCCTCAAGACGACCCCAGCCCGCCAAAAGCCGACTTAGCTGAAGACAAATGCTTTCACATGGACCTCGAAGACGGGACTTCGGCTCCCCAAGAAGGTTCGGCTGCTCGCCTTACTATGTCGGAGCTCTTTGACGGTCGAACGCCAGAGCAACTTGAAAAGTAAGTGCACACTCCGCAGACTGAATTAGTTTCCTTGGGCCAATAGATGCCAACCTTCTGATAGGAGTGTTGAGAAGGGCGCGGAGTTGCTGAATGATATCCAAAAGATTCTTCGACAACGACCCAACGAAGAAGCCAACCAATGGATTCAGGCCTTAGAGAAAGTTCAATCCCAGGCAGCACGTTCGCGGACCGTGGTAGGAGTTGTGGGGGCTACGGGTGCTGGAAAGAGCTCGGTCATCAACGCCATGCTGGACGAGGAGCGCCTAGTCCCCACGAATTGCATGAGAGCCTGTACAGCAGTTGTCACGGAAATCAGCTACAACTACGACGATAGCATCCCATACCGCGCCGAGATCGAATTCATTTCCCGAGAGGATTGGCACAAGATGCTTAAAGTATTGTTTCAAGATCTGCTTGATGGTTCCGGCCAAGTGTCTCGCGAGTGTACCAACGAAGACTCGGAAAGTGGCATTGCCTATGCTCAAGTGAAAGCGGTGTACCCAAAGCTGACCAAGGAGGAGATGGCAAATGTCCCCATCGACCGTCTAATGGCTCACGACAATGTTAAATGTTTAGGCACTACCCGAAAGGTTGAGAACTACGACGCATCGGATTTCTACAAGAGCTTGCAGGCTTACGTCGACAGTAAGGAAAAGTCAGGTGCTAGGAAAGACAATGGGGAAAAAGAGAAGCGCAAGCCACGAGAAATGGAGTTCTGGCCACTAATACGAGTTGTCAGATTGTATGTCAAGGCTGCTGCTCTTGCCACAGGTGCTGTCATTGTGGATCTACCAGGTGTCCACGACAGTAATCAAGCACGTGCTGCCGTGGCTCAAGGCTACATGAAGCAATGTACCGGTTTATGGATCGTTGCACCAATTACTCGAGCTGTCGATGACAAGTCTGCGAAGAATCTGCTTGGCGACAGCTTCAAGCGACAGCTCAAGATGGATGGAGGCTACAACTCTGTCACATTTATCTGTAGCAAGACGGACGACATTTCAATCACTGAAGCCCAGGACTCGCTAGGACTTGAAGATGAGTTTGGCCCTCTGATGACCACCTGGGAAGAGCTGAGACGGAACAAAGGAGCCTTGAAGCAGCAAATCGAAGGCCTTAAAGCTACCAAGTCTGACATCAATGCAGCCCTCGAATCTCAGGATGAGGAAGTTGAGCTCTGGGAGAAACTTCAGGAGGACCATCGGGGTGGGCTGACGGTCTATCAACCCAAAGCGGCGACCCAGAAGCGCAAGCGGGTGGAAGTTTCAATTCCGTCAAAGAAGAAATCCAAGTATACAGAGCCTGACTCTGACGACGACTTTATCGATGACGATGATACACACGACTCCAATAGCGATGGAGGATCGGATTATGCGTCATCCCTCGACAGTGACGATCCTGGTAGTCCTCTTACTGAAGATGATATCCAAACGAAGATTACGGAGCTTCGAATGATGAAGAAAGAAGGACGACGACAAAAGATGCAAGTCGATGAGGAGATGAAGAATCTGCGAAAGCAGATTGAGGAGATTGACCAAGAAAACGAAGCTATCGATGCTGAGCTATCTGCGAAGTGTATCTCAGGCCGCAACGAGTACTCAAGAGCCGCTATCCGACAGGACTATGCTGCAGGGATTCGTGAACTCGACCAAGAGCTGGCCGAGGAAGCAGATGCTGCAAACTTTAATCCCGAGGTCGACGCTCGTGACTACGACGAGGTCGCACGCAACCTCCCCGTGTTCTGCGTCTCTTCTCGTGCTTATCAGAAATTGAAGGGCAGACTCCAGCGAGATAAGACACCTCCAGGCTTCAAGAACATCGAGGATACCGAAGTGCCCTCACTTCAAGCCCACTGTATACAACTGACGACAGCAGATCGTCAAAATTCGGCTCGGAGGTTCCTTAACAGCACGTTTCAGATTCTGAACTCGTTAAGGCTATGGGCTTCTAATGACGGAACTGGTAACAATCTTACCGACGATCAGGCAATGCACGAGGCTCAGATCTTGAAAGACAAGCTGAAAAAGCTTGACTCTGTGAGTCGCCCAGAAGCACAAGCTCCCCCAAACCGTAGGCGCGACCGGCCCGATAGCCATTGTACTAATGCTCTTTAGGCACTCGAGAACTTGGTTACAAACGTCATCACAAGTATGGACAGCGAGCTCCAGGAGAAGATCTACGATGCGTTCCCAAGTGCGACTGCGGCGGCGAAATCATTGGCAAACGACACCGTAAGGCAGTGGGGTGCACCCGTCAATCGAGAGAATCGTGCAGAAGGGGGTCTTTACTGGGCAACTTATAAAGCTGTGGTACGACGCGATGGTGTCTTTGCGAATGGCTGGCGCTCTGTTAATTTCAATGCAGAGCTTGTGGACCCGATTCTTCGGACCATGACCGGACCCTGGGAGTCGGTCTTTGCACGCAGAATGCCCAGCATGCTCAGCTCTCTTCCGCTCAATGTGAGCGATATGCTCAAGACATTTCACAATGAAGTCGAACAGCGTGCCCTCCACAACGGTGCTTCTATTGCAGCATTCCACATGCTCAAGCACCAGATCCCAGGGTATAAAGAGACGCTCAAAGATGCAATGGTCGAGGCTCGGCGCAAGATCACGGAGAAGCAACGGGAGATCAATCGTGAATTCGAACCTCACATTGCTTCCCATATGCTACAAATCTACGGCACATGCGTTCGAGAATCGGGCTCCGGCCAGTACGCCCGTATGAGAACTCACATGAACGATTACGTTGACCGGGAGAAAGAATCGATGTTTGAGGGATCGGTTCGACATGTGCAAGCTCTCATACAAGGCATGCTAAAGGAACTCAAGGAAGAGCTGCTTACAAAGGTTGACGCTATCTTTATGGCTGTTCAGAGGGATTATACCGGTGTCATTTCTGGCATTGGGGCCAACCACGAAACCAATGCTCTTCCTCGTGAACAACGAACACTGCGAAAATCGATCGTCGAGATTGTTGACAGCGCTGAGTTGGTATTCAAGCGAGCTCTCGGCCTCGAACCTGAACGGGATTCTGAGCTTAATCCTGAGCCTGAAGCTGCAAATGAGACAGCTCCACAACCTAAGACCGAGGTCGAAAAGGCTGGATCATCCGGCCGTATCAAAGAAGAATTCAAAGATGACATCATGATTGATGCCAGTGTCGAAACAAACACCAATGAGCTCTTGGCTGACCTGAAGAGTTCTGGTTTGGACAATGCGGTTTCATCTCAAGAACAGAAGACTGCTTCTCTCAAGCCTCTTCGACCAACACATCATGAAGCTGGACCCGTCAAGGCCGAGCAAGATTCTATTTGAGTCAAATACTCGATCAGGAAATGGACGAGTGTAAGGTGATGGATGCATGAACGAAATCACCGAGCAGCGAGGACCATGTGCCACTATGAACTTGTCGTGTCGGGCAATGGCGTTGTGAAGTGCCCTAGTTGGTTTTTTCCTTTCCCGTTGCTGTACAAAACAGAGGCATTCCATTCTAGACGTGATTCCTCTAGGGGTCACAAGTTCGATGAGCTAAGTGGGCATGTTACATGTCGTCAATTGACGATGCGGTCGTGTGTGATTTTGGGCGCCGGACGGGAGATGAAGGAATGTACCCACAGTACAGAGTCACCACAGGAGCGAAGAACACAGGCCAGGACAAGGCTTTAGAGTCATTCGGGTTTTTGGCTGGGGCGCTTTCGAACCTTGTATTACTAGACTAGAGTCTAACTTGAGATATTGTGATTGCGGTTGGCGCAAACTCGATAGAGGTTAGGGTCATCGGAAAAGAACACTCCTCACATACTGGTCTGCAGGTCTTTTTTGGGTCAGCATAAGATCGTGGGTCTACTGAGAGTCCCCTGGGCCTTGGTCTTTCGTCTTCGAGTTCAACATCGTCGTCGGCGTAGTAAGCGAGTGTGACCTATCCTGGTATGAAAGTCTTGATTGTTGCATGGCAGGGGTCATGCTTGGGCGTCCTCGTTCACGGCACTTGCTGTCGAGCAGATATCTGAATGACTCGAGAAATATTCTTGTCCGTATCGGTCGATGTTTTGCGGCAAAGCAACACACCATTAGCTCATACCTTTGGAAGGAGACTTTTAATGTCCGATCTCGCTGAAAATAAACCGCAGCCCACGCGTCCTGGGGATCTACAAGGTTCAATTCATTGAGAATCACCGAGATCTGTCGTTGTCGGTGTCGATCATTGGCGCTTCGGGCCAAACAACTCGGTGTCTCGGCAATGACGGGGTTAAGCATCGGATCTAATCAGATAAAAAACTTCACCGTATATCAGGTAAGCAACGGAAGCCTTTCCGTCGACGTCGCCTCCAAAGTACAACTAAGTACAAGACAAGCATTCGCTCCTTATACTTGATCTTCCGCTAGCCGACTTGCTCGCGACTGGCTCCTCATACTCGCATCGAGCAAAGATATAGACCCTTGGACGACTGACAATAGACCAGAAACAGCAAGAAAACTCCCTCTTCCCTGTCAAACCACGCCATATGATTGCAAACATGGTGAAGAATGTCATTGTCGTAGGGGGATCATACGTGGGACGGGCAAGTACTCTCCGATCCGGTTTGGTTCCTGTCCAGCGCTAATTGGAAGCTAGGCTACGGCCCAGGAACTCGCTAGGGTGGTTCCCTCGTCGCACAGGGTAAGCGAGTTTCGGGTGAACCTATCGAGATATTAGCCTGGGCTAACAAAGTTCCAGGTCCTCCTCATCGAGCCTCACAGTCATTTTCACCATCTTTTCACCTTCGTATGTGGGTTCCTTGTGTCGTGATTGGCTGCTACTCGGACAGTCAGAAGGGATCATACTGACAAATGACACAAGCCACGATTTGCCATTGTGCCTGGCCATGAGCACAAAGCTTTTGTCCCATATACTCACCTGTTCTCGTCTGTGGCCAATTCGGCCTCGCACGCCGTTGTCCACGCTAGAGTACTTTCGGTTCAGCCTCGCCATGTCAATTTGGACCGAGAGTGGGAAGGGTCGAAAGAGATACCCTTCGACTACCTCACCATTGCCACGGGGACGTCACTCTCACAGCCTGCTGCCATGAAGGAGGATGACAAACAGTCTTCAGTCGAGTATCTAAAACAACACCAAGAATCCATCAAGCGAGCAAAGTCGATCCTTCTGGTGGGCGGCGGGGCAGTCGGTGTCCAGATGGCAACCGACCTGAAGGAATACTACCCCGACAAGGATGTCACATTGGTGCACTCACGAGTGCATCTGATGCCACAGTACCACCATAAATTTCATGACCTTGTCAAGAAAAGGTTCGATGAATTGCACGTCAACTTGATCACGGGTGCTCGTGTCAAGATTCCACCCAATGGGTTTCCCACCAGCGGCTCTCCTTTCGACGTCGAGCTCACCAATGGTCAGAAAGTCACGACGGAGTTCGTTATTCTTGCGACTGGTCAGCGCCCCAACAACACCCTGGTCAGAGATCTGGATCCTGAAAACCCTAACGCCGTCATAAATCCGGAGAACGGATACATTCGAGTCAGACCGACATTGCAGTTTCTCGACGAGAAATATCCGAACCTCTTCACGGTTGGCGATATTGCAGACACGGGTGCGCACAAAGCCGCACGACCGGGCGTAGCTCAAGCGGCGGTGGTCGCCAAGAACATCCAATCACTGATAGAAGGCCGACAAGCAGAAGAGAAATACGTGCCCGGCCCTGCTGGTATTCATCTGTCACTAGGCATGGTAAGTTGTAGATGGCTGGGAGAGAACGAGGCACGAAGACTGACCACCTGTGTAGAAGGAGAATGTCATATTCCGGAATCCGAACAAGGCGGAGGGAGAGACAGAGCCAACCATCATACCTAAGAGCGAGTAAGTAACGCCTGCGTCTCGTTTACATCGTTTTGTCAATTGAAGCTCACGATGTGGCAGTGGTCAAGAGGACATGGGTGTAGAAGGCTTCTGGAAGAGGCTCGGTGTTGAGGTCAAGAGTCCGCAGCAGTATCATTTGTGAGGAAGAGCTGTCGTCCAGAAAGATCGCACCGGAAGATAGAAGAGATTGCTTGATCAACAAGATCCTAATTGATGTCTAAGATGGAAACCTCACATTCTATACATCCCAAAATTAATCTCCTCTCCTGATGTGGGATTCTGCAACACCGGGCTGTTTGGTGCACTCCAGGACACTTCTATTTCATCGTGTTCTTTGCTCAGTCGTCGACCTCCCTCCCCCCATATTTGAAATTTCAGGTCCGCCGACCCGACAAGTATTTTGACGTCAAACTCGGCGCGGTAGTACTGCGGTCCAAAATTGTACCTACTGTTTGTCAGCCACTGACCCCTGGAGCGATGGAGACCGCAGACCAATGCCGATTCTTAAGCTTCAAGTCTCTCTTGTCCATGACAGTCTCGACCAAACAGACCGTTTTAACGCCGACGTTGCTTTTCATGCTGCGCGGGAGTTGGTTAGAAGGCAGGCTGGACATGACAATTTGTGTTCGCCAGGGGATCGATTCCCTCCCCAAGTTGATCTTCAGACGATACCGGTTGCTGACTCCTTTCTCGGTCGAGATCGTCTCTCCCTTTGTACGTCAGATCAGGCGGCCTAAATGTACGAGTCATCATACCTGTCGGACGAGCCAGTGAATCTGCTGTTCGGCCCATTTTGACTTATCCCGTGGATCGATGACAATATCTGCTCCGAGATGCTCGACAGGGTCATACAGAACTCTTACCACGATACCGTAACTGTGCCGTGAGCATCGCGCTGGAAGTATGCACGTATCGAACTTCAACGCCTGAATTCGATCGAGTACAAGACCGTGGACCACTGCCAACTGTCTACAGAGGCGTCAGCAGAGTCAAGCACTCACGAAGCTAGGGCATGGCTTTTACTCACGGCTCTCGTGTCGTCAAGACCTCTACAGAGGCCGCGTTTGGCAGTCCAATATCTCCAAGTTGATAGCGCTTGCGGAATTGTTGTCTGACGTAGGGAGAGCTACCCAGGCCACCCGACAGAACGATATACGACTATACTCGCAGTCCGTTAGAAAAAGGTGAGGGGTGCTCGCTAGTGAGGCCCTAGCTACTTACAACCTTCTCTCTCGGGTGAGTTGACTGCAGTCGATGAAGCTGTGCGTCAACAAGGGAAGTCATCTTGTTGATCTGTTCATCAAATAATCGTTGGAGGTCAGCCCTGGGGACCCCGTGTTAAATCAATCTCATGCCTACGTCAAGGTCACAGAACTAACCTCTTTATGATTAACTTTGAGTCGCTTATCTCGGCGTGAGGAAAATCCGACCCAGCCGGTAAACCAGGGATAGGGATGACAAGATCCAAAGCTGCATAAGCATCGGTACCGAAGGAACACTTGTACGTCTCGAATCGATGGTTCACCATCTTCGCAGCCAACAGGTCCGGCTCCATTGGCAAGACGTGCCGAATCTTTTCGAGCCTTTGGCGTATGAAGTTTTCCATTTTGAAGTCAATAATGGTTGAACCGATTGCTCTGCCTTCCACCCAGCTGAGAGGGTCGAGGATCGTTTGACCAGAAGCTGTCGTCTGGATCTTTAGCACGTTCACGTCCGTGGTTCCACCTCCGGCGTCGCAGACGACGTAGCAGTCGCCCTTTTCCAGGTGTTGTTTCGACACCGAAACAGCTGCCGCTTCTGCTTCCGTCAGTGTCACCCGCGCCCGAAAGTTGGATTGTGCTGTAAATCCGGCAGATTTGATGATGCCTTCTATGTCAGTAATCATCCCCGGTTCCTTCCACGTTGTGGGCACGCTGAAGTTGAACTCGACGTTCTTCGACCGCCAACGGGGGAGAGACTCGTCGAAATTCCGAGCGACGGCGTTACAGAGGTACGTGAGATAGTCCTTCAGCCAGCCACGTGCCATGTCGACCGTCGCATGGGCCTTGAACTCATCCTCGTAGGCGTAGTCAAGATACAGCTTGAAAAGTTCTTGAATCTCGACTTCTTCGGCTGCATAGTCAACCAGGAACCCCCAGCTTACTGGATTACCAGTACGCTTGTCGTAGGCAATGGCTGTGTCGACCTTGTTGCGGATTTCGTGACCTAGTTTTCCTGGCCAATGCTGGATGGTTTTTGGATCTGCCCAGTCTGGCCCCCACGAGTAGGCGACCCCAGTGCACTGTACCTTCGTCAGCCGTCTGCATTATGTAGAACGTGTCAAGCCTCACGGTCATCCCAAAGTCAACACCAACAACTATGTCTGGATGGAAGGTATCCATGGTTGCAGGATCGCTCACAAGCACAGCGTGCCCGTTCAGAGTCGGTAGGAATGGCTAGCTCTAGGAAGACAGGGCCCAGAGATTCCAAAGTATTGATTGGTGCCATAAGAATCTCGATTTTTCAGAGACACAGTCTGAGCACATGGCAGAAAGGTTGAAGATCGAGGTAATCGAACCCGACGCATCCAATTTCGGTCAATGCTCGAGCTTGAACAACATCTCAGGTCTTGTCAGCCTGACGACGCACCAGTGCAACACATTCGAAGGCCCCACTCCAGACGCCCCCCAGTTGGTCTCCAACCATATGTACATCGAAGCTGCAGCGCCATTTGACAATGGCTTGCCCTAGTCTCATATCTTTCCATCTTGGTTCAGTGGTGCTGGGATAATTGTCTGAACACGAACTGGAATTATACTTTGTACAGACCCACCCCCTCTCTCAGCTTTCTGCAATACCGTATCATACAGTAACCGGTCGCAGACGTGTTCAGGACTTTTAACTCTACGCTAATTACTTCGCCATGAGGAGGCGGCTGAGCTGCCCTGGGGTGGTGGGCAACTCAAACATAACCGGATGGCATTGATGCCCCAGAACACAGAATACCCTGCTCGTGTTTCTTCACCTGACTCTGCCATCTCAGTTCAATCTATCTGGCACCTCAGTTTCGTCCCTGCACTCGCCTTCTACCAGACTCTGAAAGCTCATGTTGAAGTACCACTCACGACTTATTTGATCTTCGTTACTTGCTCACATCCGAAAATCTGGAATAATGCAGAGCATCGGAGGGAATACAGGCTCGCAGAGCAGCAGCCCTTCCACCGCCTCAGCGCAACCAGGATCTCCTTTCAATCCTGATTCGATAACGAGAAGCAGCGCTCCTAGTGTGACGACGACAAGCAGCACTTCTAGTGGGACTGTGGCAAGTGTCCAAGACGCGACTGGACAAATTGCTTCCCAGAGTACTACTCCCAGCTCGCCAAACGTTAGTTCGAGTAACGGCAGTTCGAGTAACATTGGAGGTATTGTCGGCGGCACGATCGGGGGTCTGCTGTTTGGGCTTGTTGTCGGCATGTTGTTCATGTTTTGCTGGGCGAGGCGGCGGGCAGCAAAAGCCAGCCTCTCCAGCAGACGAGCTGGAAAGATCTCTCCTGAGAAGAATGGGACTGACAGGTCAACTCTCCAGGCGTACGAGAGCCCTTCGGATCCTGCAAGATGGCTGGTTTACCTCCCCCAGCCGTCTGACGATACTGAGTTGAAGCATCAGGTAAAGACAATGTATAATCAGATCGACCTGCACGTGGAGAACTTTTACACAGACAGAGATGGTGGACTACTGACAGAAGCGGTGCAATCGATTCTCGCTCGCTATGAGACAGATCTGCTCCCAGCGCCAGTGGCTACCATTATGGCGTCGACAAGCAGTAAGAAAGCGGTCATCAAGCATTGCCTGACTTGCACCATTGTTTCAAGGATAGATGCTGTCCGGCCAATACCGCAGTCATTCCTCCCTTCCGAGATTGCAGCTCTACCGGCACTCCTGGCTAAGAATGCCGACGTAGAACACGTCTCAAGGAAGAAAGGTATGCATTCCCTCAACCTCGCCAACCACATCGTCTCTTTGTCTAGTGAGAGTTGGCTGACCGAAAATGATCCAGTCTTCGATGAGGCATACTCGACCTGGCGGGTACTCACTGCGTATATCCGACCCTCGGCAGCCTCCCTCACACCAACGCAGGAAGCTTCCGTGACCTCCGAGGCAGCCAACTTCACAGAAGCATTTGGTCCTTGGTCCAAGTCAAGAGGCAACGCTGCTCAAAAGGCCAATCTCGAAGAGATCATGCGAAATGCTATTGGGGTCGGAACTCTGCTGTTCTCCCAGCCCAGCGTGTGCGAGTTCCGGTGGATCCAAACATCAAAGAGGCATGCTAACTCGGCGACATTCTACATCACACCGGCACTGTTGAGGACCTCAGATGCCAGTGGACATGCCCTGTCATCTCCACATACCCTGCTAAAGGCGGCAAAAAACAACGATTAGTAGCAGCCTTGCACTTGGGTGTTAGACTGGCATTGTGCAGTTCTCCATTTCCTACTGCACAGTATGTAGGAACCGTTACAGGATGGTTAATACGCTCATTCAACATAATACGGTTGAGTCCGTTGAGTACTTTCACTACCATATCATAGTGCTATAGTGTATTTACTTTTCACATTCAGTCCTCACCAGCATGGTGTTGCAACCAAGCATACTTCCTAGAGCGTGTTCTTGTAAAATGAACCGAAGAGCGCTGCTCCTGAGACGGCTGCGAAATTGAGCCATCTCGTGCCAGGCCCTTAGTCATATCCAGACCCCCTGTTTCGCCACTTGTTCCTTGCGAAAAGTAGTCCAATGAAGACCGTGCTGAACGCCTAGAACCCGATTCACTTTCATATGTCGACAAGGGCATGAAGTCCTTATTGATGACAGTAGTAGACGCAGTACCAGGGCTATTATGGATGCTGTAGGGGGAATGACTTTCATGATGTGAGTGTCTTTCATCATACTGTGTTGGCATTCTTATTCCCTGACCGGGAAGGGGATAGGGTGTTAGAAGTTGAGGCTGTGCAGTAGGACTACAACTTGATGAAGCTGCACTTGTTGCGCTACAGGGTTCGCTCTCAGGCACCTGGGATAACGGAGAAGACATCGATACGGAAGTCCTTGAGCAAACCTTTTGCAAGACCGGTCCGCCAGGATTGTTCCCTGGAGGTGTCAAAGGGAAGCTGATGTTGAGTCCCGACTGTCCGGGTAGATGAGGAATGTTGTTTCCGGGAGATAAATCCAGAAGTGAGCTTCGGGCACCCGAGTTAATCTTCTCGTAACTTGACGTACGGTCATGTTGAGGGAGGAAGAAAGGCTCATCACAGGCCTGCGGCCAAGCCCTTGAGTGAGAATTGAACGTCTCACTGTTTTGGTCTGCGTTGTGGCTTGGTCTCCGGCTCCGAGAACCGAGTTGCTCAAGCCAAGGGTTGTAGGCTTTGTATACGTAACCATCAGCCTGGCTATGACCTTGATGCCCACTCCATACAGTATTACTGTGGCGCGTGGTATCAGGGTGGCTCGAATCGTTTTCCCATGAGCTATAATAGGGGGTTGCATTGAACCCTCTGTTGAGAGGATTTCCTTGATGCTCAGTGGAGATGACAATCTTCTCGTTGTCGATTTGTGGTGGTGCTGGGTGTGGTCGAAACTGCGCTTGACGTTCCGCAGTTTGATTAGATCTGAGAACTGTATCTTCGTCTTCGAGTATCACACTTGCACCACCTGGTGTGCTGAGAGGCTCTTCGTTTGGCGATTGCACTGGCGATAGCAGAGAAGAGGTGTTTGAAGACCTCCTTCTCCGGTTGAGGAATTCGCTCTCTTCGTAGTTTGGTGGCTGTTTGGGTGATGAGATTAGTGATGCCGTGCTTCTCCTATGGTCCAGTTTAGGGTGGTGCAACATGGATGGCGAAGGCTGTCCCTCTCTTTGCGACAGGATTGTCAATGCAGTGTTGAGACTCTGGCTGGCGATACTCAACTGCGTCAATTGCGTAGGGATCTTGGGAGAATCTCGAAACACGAACAAGCCCCTGTTCACCAACCCAATCTTCCCATGTTTGGTTTGCATGTCGACCCTGACGGATTCTACCAAGGTCGCAACGTTGTTCAGCGTCTTGCTCGCATCCACCATGATACTGTCGATCCACTCTTTTTCGGTCGCCTCCAGGTGCATTGATTTGCATCGGCGCAGATGCCGAGTCGTGTCCAATGACTTTGCGACATGCTTCGTGGCCGCCAACAAATCCCTTGCCTGCTCTCCGACTGCAATGAGTTCATATATGATCTGCGACACACGTAAGACTGCGTTGGTGGCCGAAGAAACAGCGGCGGCGGAGACAGTTCCGCCATCCATTGTGGAGTGGAGAACGGTTCAAAATATCATCTACACCTCATCTGCTGCAAAAGGGATGGATGAGCTTCACTCTGTAGATAGGATATGAACAGTAGCCAAAAGCTCAGACACTCAGACGACTCCAGCAAGCATTAAAGTGTTTACTACTCTAGGTTTCGGCCTGGGGTCGGCTGAAGGGCTTCCTGCACGCAAATTCCACCGTCCAAAGTTCCTATCTACGGCGCCGAACCGCTTTCTACGACTTCCAGCCGGCAACTAACTGACTTGGAACTGACAAGCAACGCGGCGGAAGCTTACTTTACAATGCGCTATTGAATTCAGGCGGAGGACATGATCAAACTCCCAAAAAGATGCCCTGAGGCTGACCGGTCACACGACTCTGTCTTCTTCTGAGCTTTTCCCTAGAAATCACGGCTCCATGGTTGCGCTAGCACTGGCGTTTTCCACAATATGGATTTGTACGGTATCGTATTGTACCTCGATTTCATACGACCCAGTGCAGGTCGTGGTCTGGTTCTGGACCCTGGGCTAATGCAAGTCTCAGCCAGCAGTCGCTAGTCACAGGGGCCTGAGAAGGCGGCATTGGACACGGGGTCGCGCAAAATATCTCTCACTCTGAGAAGTGATACGGGAAGAAGTCGACAGGCTTACCTCCGAACAGCCGTAGGCCTGGAGGTTTGCTAATGAGGCCAAGGACAGTACAACCACCACGGGTGTGATCTCCAAGGTTTACTGATGGTGGCAGTGAGTATTGGCGAGGAATCCTTTGGCGCATTCTCAATCCATCATCACGCAGAACAATAGTCTCGACGCTTCAGTACACACCCTGCAGTTTCCAGATCGATAGTCTGGAGAAGAACATAAAAGTGTCATGAATTGATCAAACCACTTCTTCCCTCGATCACCATCCTCCTCTATCAGATTCGCTGCTTGACTCCTCCTGGTCTCTCCCAACCATAGAAAATGGTCAAGTACATTTTGGTTTCTCTCTTTGCCCTCGCCGCAACACGAGCTGGGCTGGCAACAGCCACCCTTGCAACATCCTTTATGGTAGAGTTCGCTCGAGCTCCTGCCCCAACCAACAAACCCAGAGGACTGCCTCGAGGCCTCTTGGACAACCGCCAAGTGGTTGTACCAACGTGTGGTTACTTCGACGGCGACGCAGCACAGCCCTTCACCTGTGATAGCGGGCAAGAATGTGTATCCAACTTGGATTTCAACATATTCGGATGTTGTGCGACGGACACTGTCGGCTCACTAATTTATTCGTCATGCGCACAAGTCGCAGATCCCTATACATCATGCGTTCCGTACGAATCAGCATATACATGTACGGGTGATTGCTGGAGCTCCAATAGAGTCTGGTGAGTGTTTTCTTTTTCGTTTGGAAGGAGCATGAGGCTTTCTATCTATACAGAAAAAGAAAAGGGCTGACCATTCTTCTGCTCCGTACCTGATACAGTGAGAAAACTCAACCGTTTTGCGCGGTGGCATTCTCATACAGCAGCACTTCGATCTACAGCGCATACTATTGCGTTAGCAATTATGCAGATGCCTCAGTCACCTTGACAGTTTTGAACTCGGCTACTACAACCGGGGGGGTTTCCAGCGCAGCATCTAGTATTACTTTCAGTCCAACATCAATCAGCAGTTCAATCCCCACGATCACGTCACCTCTATCACCGCCATCATCATCAGCAGCAGCGGCGCCAGAAAGATCAGAGGCGCCTGACCCTCACCATAGTCACACCGGTGCCATCGCAGGAGGTGTTGTCGGGGGTATTGCGCTTATTGCGCTAGTCCTTGGAGGAGTAATCTTGTACCGTCGGCGGCAGAAGAAAAAGGAGCTACATGGCAATGTGGCGGAAGTTAGCCAAATGTAGCCCCCAGCCTCTTCTGGGATGCCAAAGGAGTAGTTGCAAGAGCTATTAGCTCAGTCAGAAGTACGGATAAACGAAGCTCTACAGGTACCAGTTTGGGATAGCAGTCGTGTGGAAAGTTCGCGAATCACAATCTAGATAGCTGTCACTCCAGTGTGGAGTGGGGAGTCGGAATTGACGTGATAGTAAAACTTCCGTGATCAAAGCTGCTTTGTGAGCACCAACATAACAGCGAATGGGACGACTGACGATTATGATTTCTCAAAGACTATGCTCCACATGTTAGTAGTGCAAGGTGTGCAACACGTACTTGGACTGTAAGTTTCCGGAACGCAAAGAAAGCCTAAACCTGCCTCGTGAATTGTCTCCATCTTTCAATAGTAGGCGGGGGGGGGGGGGGGGCCGGGACATGGCAGGATTTGAGGCTCGGGCGCCTTTTCTTCTGCGCGAGCCGCCTCCGGCTAGAGCCTAGACCTGTAGGATCAGTCGAGGATCGATCGATTGAAGGACACCAGGACTTTTTAGTAACGCGACTAGTCCAGCTCGATATTTGAAATAATGACAGCCGTCGACCATAATGCCACACGCCCAACTATTGCATTGTGGCGAGAGCTGAGCAGAGTAGCTCCAAGCCTCCAAATAGCTCTACTGTTTCCGGCATTAGGAGATCCGTGAAGCGAGTGACACCGGTGCTATAGCAGAATTCCAGACACGCATACTAGACCAATCGACCGATCTAGGCGTGTAGACCGAGTGGATCCTGGCCCACCGACATCAGACATGTACCCCCGGTGTGGTTTTCCACACGAGAAGCTGAAAACGAACAGCCCGATCACTTCAGAATAGTTCATCACATTAACTACCTCGTGGAGGCTGGAAATTACCAGGTTACACAGACACGTGAAAAATGTCGTGACTCTGAAGAGAGCCTTGAGTTTACAATCGCCATGTTCCAGGCAAAGCTTCCTGGTCAGTTAGTTGCCCCTACTACCCTAACAACCATCCGAGCATGACAACCAGCGTGTATCCCCATCCTCGGCTCCACTGTGCGCCCTTGCTCGCATCGTTCCCAGCAATCTGGCTTGTCTGTGAGGTCTGAACCGCGTTGAAGGTGCTGGAAGGGGTCGTGACTGTCGATATTTCGACCGTTGGCGTTTGAGAAGAAGTGGTGGTGATGCTGGTGGTTGGCGCCGGAGGTTGGGCGCTGCCAGCACCGAGCGGAGTCTTAGCACTGCTGCTGCTGCTGCTGCTGGGAGTCTACACATGATAAGTACCTAGTAAGCCAAAGGGGTTCTGGGAGCATTTGGGGGCTATCCATCGCCTACCGTGGTTTGAAAATCTGTGCTTGAAGTGCTCGACGCGACCGCGACGGTTGGTCTTGTTGTTGCTGGCAGAAGAGAAGCGGAGGGTGTCGAAGTTGCCGCAGCAAACGTTTCAGCGGCGACGTAATAGACATCGCAGAACGTTTCGAGAGCAAAGGCGTCGCTCGCAACGGTCACATCGATGGTGGCATACTGTATGGCACACTCTGCTGCTAGCGCCTCGAACGTTGCCGGGCCCCAAGCGATCGTGTCCAAGGTGCTCCCGCAGACACAGTCCGCCTGTACAGTTGGAGCCAACAGGGTGAAGTTGGGCGTCTCTGCTTCACAAATGGACAAGACGTCGGCCAGAAGCTCACAGTAGTCCGTCGCTTGGCCACCGACCCCTCGCAGTAAGAGGTGGATTGTAAGGAGAAGCGCTCCACCTCGGTACTTCATGGTGGGTAAGGATCGTTGGTAACCGTTGCGATGTTGAAAGCTGAAGAATATTGATCAGTGAATTCTTTTCGTGACTTGAAGAGACGAGACACTCATTCAGCCGTTCACCTGGATGTCGAACACTTATACAATACTTGCAGCAACCTCCCCTCGTTGCCCCACCTGCGTAGGTCTGCAACCGAGAACATCGCTCTCATTGCACTCCTGGGGATACGTCGAGACCGCCGCCCAAACACCACCCCGACAACAAACGTTTGGTTTGCCCTCTGTAGGGACACGCATTGGGATACGGATTAGTATACACCGCCAAGCCCTCGTGTACACCCCCCTTCCCAATGCTTCGTTTTCGGGCGTTTTCAAGCAACGCTCCCAACTCCAGCTCCTTGGAGCGGATAAGGCTACCAGAGGAGTTCCCTTGTCGTCTTAAAAAGCCAGATGCAACTTCCTTTCAGCCCCTTTCAGCTCGGTACGATTGGTGTCTACCCTCTTCGTTTGTGGCTCAATTAGAGTTGGAGCTAGCGAAAGTTACGGTACATGTTCATCCCCTTTTGGGGGGGTGTGGGTCGACCATCCGTCCTGGGGTCGAGCGGGGGGTTCGGGGCGATGGCGGAGTAACGATCCGAAAGCAAAATTGGCACTCAGGGCATGACCACGATGGCCGGCCCCTCGTCCTTGCTTCGCTAGGATTGCCACACGTTCACACCCACCCCCCACCACAGCTGATATTCTTCCATCGCCTGTTCTCTGTTACTCCGTCTCCGACATTGAGGAACCAAACTAGGTGCTGTATCCAAACATAATACCATCTCCGTTACAGAGATCGTACCTGCAAACCCCGCCTCTTCTGGTCCTAGCTTACAACGGGTATCCACGGCCTTACCATAACTTGCCAGCCTGACTACCTGAGATTATTATAGTTTCGCATTGGACTAGTGCCAAGAATAATAGCCATCAGAAAGTACAGGGGTCGAATGCAAGTCCGGAGCGTCCTTTAGAGGCTCTCAGGCTCAGGATCGGCGCCAGCCTCAGTCTTGACTCTTCAGCAGGTTTATCCGGTAAGGCGAAAATACTCACAGCATGAGGCTGAACGAGTAGCGTCGCTGTTCCCCTCAGCTACTCGTAACGCCAAAAGGTAGTTTCGCGAGTTTGTTTCACTTCAAGTGCTCTACCTAGCATTGGGCTCCTAAATGCCTCCTACTGGTTTCCTTTCTGGGCGAGGTCTTCTGATTTAATTCTGTATCGGCTCGACAAACCTGGTAATTAGTCGACCTCATGAATCGATTTTACGACGATTTAACCCACCTTCGCCAGCTGCGGACGAGCCTCGACTCGCTCTCGCTTAGCAGGCAGCCTAGGTTACCAGGTTCAGGGCAGCAGTGGCTACTAAAGCCGACAGGCAGACTCCCCGGCCAGGATTCCTTCTACGAAAGTGGTTATGTTGTTATCCGTCAAGGTTATGGTCTCAGTGAACCCCTCGTCCGAGCACGATAGGCGCCTTTGCCTTTGACAAATCGTGGGTTTGGAAGAACGTAGTGTTCAAGTATCTGCATATCCAGTGCCTAAAATAGAGTGATAGAAAGCTTATCCTCAAACATACGCTCCGTCCCGGTTGATAGACTTTCCTTCCCAAAACCCCGCGTAGGTTATGACATAGTTAAATGAGTGACTCGCAGGCGAAAGAAAAGGTTGGTCTGAACGAGGAAAACTAGTGTCAATGGCAGAGGGTGTAACAGGAACTAGAAAGGCCTGTTTGCCAGAGTGTTCTGCAACTCGGCCGTCCGACAAGAGCTGACACCCGGCAAGGATCGTCCGGGGAGACCTAGCTGTCTCTAAACGGTACAGGAGCACCCTGGCATGTCGTGTTGGCAGGGGGCACTTTGCCAGACTCCAAATAATCCCGCACATGATCCCAAAGACACGTAGAACCGCCATTGGCCCATACCGTATGCTAGATTTAGACCACATGAGCACTGTTTTGCCGGAGGGCACAGGGAGAGGATACTGCAAATCAGGGCGCACTTACTCCGAGACCGTCCCCTTGAATCAGGACTGCCGAGCCAGCAAAACCGCTGGACATTTTGTGTGCACTGTAATGATGCCTGAAGTCAACAAACGTCCACGAGGTTCCAAAACAGTCGTGCATACGATGTACGTACCCTCGGATAGGACTGACTGGGTCCAAAGAGTTGCTAAGGAACAGGAGCGGAATAGTTGTGTGGTTGCTGGAAGGAGGCAGGGGCCCTTTGCGAAAAACGACTTGGTCAGAAGTTGCCACAAAAGATGGAGGTATCGTTGACAAACCAGGAAAGCTGCCGCCGCGTGGTATGTTGAGATCTAGGGAGTCACATAGTATTGGGGCTGCATTGTTCGGCCAGGCCGTCCCGAAGGACTTGCTTTGATTCGTTAGAATTTCTACATAGGCCTTGTATTCGTCGAGAGAGGTGAAATTGTTGTTGCCGTATGCGTCGACGCATTTGATTAAGACATTCACATCTGGACCCCACAGCAACGACGTGTCGATGTCGGAGATCAGTGAGCCGTCCCCTGCTTCCACGCTGGCAAAGATGTCTGCCAACACAGGAAAGTTCTGCGTCGGGAAGTATACTCCGTAGAGCATGCCTTGCTTGAGGTCCGAATAAGTCGTTAGTCCCATGCTGGATCCATCTTGCTGGAGACCAGAGACCGCCAGTGGATGTTGCTTGATGTTGGAGATGATTTCGTCCATACGATCAGTGATGTTCTTTTCCGAAGGGCCCCAGAATGAGCAGTTTCGCTGGCCAGCTTGGTAGCACAGTTTGGGAAACGAAGCGAAAACCGCATCGGTGTCGTAGAGGTTAGCCCTCCATCGACCCGCATAGTAATCTTGAGCGTCGACAACCCCGTCGAGAATGATACGACCGGCATTCTGAGGGTACAGCGCTGCAAAGGTAACTCCCAAAACTGTTCCGTAACTTGCACCGTAATACCAGACTTTTGCTTCATCCTCGGGTTTCCCCTTGAAACGCTGCTCAGCTTTTGCGAACATAAGCATATCCTGAGCTACTGCCGGTGTACTTATGTGAAGTCCACTGGTATTTCCATGTCGGAAGGATTCGGAACACCACTGTCCGTATAAGCTCGCTGAGTAGTATTGCTCCGCTAGGGATGTGGAGGATGCATCGGTGACCTGGCTAAAGAACAGGGACTCGAATGTCGACCTGGATGTTTCGTTCTGGGGGAAGCAATCGACAGTTGGCCCACTGTTATTGACACCGCGAGGATCGAAGCCAACCCACGTATATCCAGACCCAAATCTCTGCAGATACTCCGGAGCCGATTCCAGAATATCGCTTACTCCCGATTGCCCCGGGCCGCCTGATAGAGTCAGTCAAGTAGTACGTCTTTGCGGACTTGTCTAGTCTTGCCTGGGTTTATCAAAACGCTCTGGGCTGAAGTATTTTGCACTGCCGTCTTGATGAAAGCAATCGCCGTAGTACCGGCGGATGGGTCCGTGTAGTTGAGAGGAACCTGTAGTCTGCTGCAGGTGAAATTCTCGAAGCAGGGGGTCCAAGTCAAGTTGGGTGAAGGAGTGAGCTATCATAAACCTTGGTCAGCTCCATAAAAATAGAAGTCGTTGCTTCAACCCTTCAATGTGTACCGATATGACGAACCTGATTCCAGTCACTAATCATCGCTTTGGAGTGTAACGGCTTTGCTTGAACATGGCATATGTTGGGTAGCATCTGAGATATGAACAATGCTGCCACGGCAAAATACGGCCTCCTCCATATATCCACAGTGATAATGTTCCCGCTTCCCATGGTGTTGATCTTGGAGTTTTGGCTTCCGCTCTTCCATGGAAACATTTGTTGCCTGTGATGGACATGGTCTTTTTATAACATTTCTTGTCCCTTCAACCAAGTTGAAACCTGTTTGAATGATTAAAAATAACACTCAAGGACAAGGTGATTGAAGCTGTTGCGTCATCTTGACGAGCGGACCTATGGCGATGAAACATGGATGCTCGACGAACCAGGGAGTGCAGGGCGCCTGAATAGGCAATTTAGAACTACCAGAGTAATAGATTCGCCTCAACAAGTTACAAGATAGACATTCATAAACGGGGGATCCACACCAGGGCACTCTCAGCTGAACTTGAAGGCATCATGGCGGTCCAAGCGGTGAAGTGCTCTGTGGTCTGTAGACGAGCTCGCCGAGAGTTGCTCCGAGACCATTACTGCTCTAGAAGGGCTTCGAAATGACCTTTAATCCACTGCACGTGAGGAATCCGAAGGCTCTTCAAAGCTTTTGCGAATTGTTCTCAGTTCAGGCACCTCTCGACCAGCCGAGTTCCGCTGCCATCGTTCAACCTGAATTCAAATACCACTGTCGAGGGCTCAGGGTCATCAACAGCGTGTAGAAATTCTCTCCAAACTCTTCCTTCCTCAGGAATATCGGACGAACAGCGGACGACTCGGCTACTTTCTTCAATGTCGACAATATGCCACACTACCTTGGCCATCATATGACTATCCCACACACCTTCCTTCCTTTGAATTGAAGCCAGCTGGCAATGCGCTTCCCGTCGGACGAGGGGATCACGGCATTTATAGCCAGCCAGGTATAATGAAGGTATCACGCCGTGCTCATACAGAAACTTCTTGATTTTTGGGCGCTTTGAACTGGAAGGTTCCAAAGGGCCCATCAGTTCTCGAGACAAGGACACGATTTTCTGGAACTCAGGTAGGTGTTTGTCATAACCTGTTTCTTCGTCCGATGCAGTGACTGAGAGGTGGATGGATCCGGCGAGATGTTGGATTTGAAGAAGCAGCCCGACTCGCACGTCTTCTCTCATCAGATTCCTTGTTCTGCGGTCGAAGAAGAGCTCAAAGGCTTCTGACCAACGGTGTAGCTCGCCCAGGACCCTTTGTCTTTTAAAGTGGATGTCTCCCTTCTCCAGTGCATCGACAGTGACTAGACGCATCTCTTGACGTTTTATTTCTATCACTCCTAGCAGTAACGTGGTCAGATGATGCCTAGCTTGGCTCATCGAGGAGAATGAGATTGGCTCCCGAGGTTGTTGACAGTATCGCATGGAAGCAGAAATCCAGTCCGGCTCGTATAGCATCATTTGTAAGTCCAGTACGGAAAAGTGTTGCATAAGACACTCCAAGAGGGCACGACTCTCCGAATTGACACCAAGCCCGTATTCTGGTCCCTTCTCTCCATGCTTTACACTGTCGTGAGAGGCGACCAATTGCAGACCACTGGTCAGGTGTAGGCCCAAAACTTTGTGGTTACCTCGCATCACTTCAAAGCAGCTAAACATCCAGCAAGCTACGAGGACAACGATAAGGCGCAATGGCTTCAAAGGGCGCACAACATACGAGATCGCTTTGTTGTACTGCTGAATGGCAAATTTGCCGTATTCTTGCACAGCTGCGTCGGTAGTCAGTGAGCGATGCATAGCTCCGAGGGCGAGTTTGGCATGGTGGAGACTCGGCTCCGTCACAGACAGCTGGAGGACGTATCGGTCCCAGAGCTCTGACTTGAAGAACTCCGTCCACTGAGTGATAGTTTCGATCTGGAAGAACTCCTGGGCTCGGCTGCCGTCATCCGACCGGACAAGAGGTTGAGAGTCGACGGTCATCAGACTTAGGCTCTCTCTGGAGTGGCCATGGCATGATCGCTGGCCGTACCCATCGCATTTACGCCCCGTAGACGTGCATCTCTCACAGGCTGGAAGAGCTTCGTCACACTTGACACGACGGACTCTAAATGGCGTTAGGTTGAGACTGGACAGAACAAGATTGAGGAAGATGCCGTACCTACATGTAAGACACCCTCTTTTGGATCGTGGAGCATAACGTTTTGAGATATTCCTCCCTGACCGTGCTTTCGTCCCCTCGGAAGAGTAATCTTGGGTTGACATTGCCTAGAGACTAGAGTCGCCGCTGGGCACACCAGCACCCGTGCCGAGGGCAGTGATGTCTTGTCTGGATGCGAAAGAAATGCATTTATGACGAGGGCTTTGACGAGCGATGACAGATGATGGCACAAAGAGGGTTCCAGGGGCGGAGAGTTGAATTGGAAAGGGGATGTTGAGGGTGTCGAGGTCGGTCTTCGGTCCAAGTTCTCCAAAATCCGCATTGCTGTTATTGGCGGGTTCGTCTAGGGCACGTCACTTCTTGATGGTGGTGCGAGAATTGTGGAGCACAAAGGGGTGGAGGAATTAATGTGCCGCTTATGAATAGAATAATAGTAGATATCAATAAAAGACGAGGCCATAAAAGACGAGGCCCTCGGAGTTTCCTGACAATTGCGAAGTATACCAGACGGACGACAGGGCACCTTGATCTGTTCCTGGGTGAGCTCTGCCATCGAAGCACCCTGCTCGCTCCATTTGATAATGGGGGAGCATGCTCCAAAATCCGAACACTACTCCTTAAACAGAGCAAACATAATGGAAATGATCAATGGTGGGAATGTCGTTGGAAGAGTTGCCAGGGGATGGAGAACTGGGGGGCTGAAAAGAGAAGACCCTGTACTGTACAATCTACCAGGAGGTGTCTAACCATTAAGTCGGGAAACCTTCCCCCGCGGTAACCTTGACGATCTGCCTTCATTCTGATCCACCGGCAATAGTCCTGGCTTACGTGAAGTGTGCTGAGCTGCGTCATTACATCGAATTGGCCGCCAAGTAGACGACAATGTTGCGTTGCGCGGCCACCAGCAGCGACATGATCTCTCTCTGTGCTGGGCCCTACACGATACATATCAAAACATCGCTCACGGACATCACAAAAGAGCCCATCCCCTTTTATTCGTATCGTTTGCAGGTGCAACTAGAGCCAAGCGTCAACCATGTCAGACTCCGGCCTGGCCTCAAAGTTGGCCGGCTTGAAACCCTTCTCCAAGTCAAAACGTAAAGTTGACGATGAAGACACGGGCGACGAAGTCGACTCTTCGACAGTTGCCGGTGGCGGACATGCTTCGCGACAAAGTCAAATCACCCGAACTCAATTGAACGTGAGCCATGCCATAAGGTCCTTTTTGGTGCATCAAAACGTGCTCTCGAAAGACGAGGCCGGGGTGGATGAGCCGGAGAGTATGCCTAGACCCCTGTACAACCTTCTCGAAAAGCCTCACATCGACGTCCCTGCATATGTCGTCGACCGATCTTACCCTCTGCCCGAGTACTTCATCAGTTCAAGCCACAACACCTACTTACAAGCACACCAACTGTACGGCGAAAGCTCTGCCAAGGCATACGAGACGGCTTTGAACACCGGGTCTCGTTGTGTAGAGATAGACGCCTGGGACAATGACGAATCCCCGGACGAGCCAAAAGTCACGCACGGCTATACTTTGGTCTCAAACATCCCGTTTCGCGCGGTGTGCGAGACTATACGCGACTTCGTCGACAAAGAGACAGCGCAGGGCGGAAGCGTGTCCGACTATCGACCTGGACCGACCTTCATCAGTCTCGAAAACCACTGCGGCCCTGAGGGTCAGCAACGACTGGTATCGATAATGAAAGAGGTTTGGGGCGACCGCCTTTTGAGTAAGCATGTCAGGGAAAAAGGTCATCAGGAGCAGCAAGGGCACGGCGAACATGTGAGCCTCGAGGAACTTGGAGCCAAAATTGTGGTAATCGTTGAATACCACTACCCCGACGAGCCAGAGGATAGCGAAGATGACTCCAGCTCCAGCAGCTCTGATGAAGCGGAAGAAGATAGGCGAGCTCGACAGATCTACGAAGAAAATAAGAAGTCTGCACCATCGACTGCCATAATCCCCGAACTCGCTGAACTGGGGGTATATGCTCAATCAGTAAAGCCCCAAAACACCTCATGGTTCAGCGAAGTCGGGCTCCAAGAACCACACCATCACCTCATCAACGTCTCCGAGTCTGGGCTAAAGGCTCACATGCCTGCTGAAAACGAGCACATTGCCCGTCACAACGCTCATCATCTGATGCGAGTGTACCCAAAAGGCACGCGAATCTCATCGAATAACCTTAACCCGGTTCCGTTCTGGGGACTTGGTGCCCAAATATGTGCTCTCAACTGGCAAACGTTTGCCGCCCCGCTGCAGATCAACGAGGCTTTGTTCAGTGGGACGGATGGGTTTGTCCTGAAACCTGCCGCTCTTCGCAGTGGCGGTAGCGGCAAATTGAGCACTGGAAAGAAGAAGAGACTACGACTGCACGTGGGAGGTGCAACAGATGTGCCAATCCCGGCAGATCGCGAAGCGCATGATATTAAACCATACCTGACTTGTACGCTTGTTCATCCGGACGATCACGACAACGAGCCAGCCAAGCGCAAAACCCGACCCTACAGGCAACATAGACTCGGGTTCCTTCATACTGGAGACAATCCTTCACCCAAAGACCCTGTCTGGGACGAGACCCTAGAGTGGGAATACGAGGATAATGAGCTGGTCTTTATCCGCATGCTGATCAAATCAGATGATAGTTTCGCAAGAAATCCCAAGTTCGCGGTGGCTGCGGTGCGGTTGCTGTATGTGACTCCAGGGTGGAGTTTTATCCGACTCCTGGATTTCAAAGGGAGAGAGACGGCGTGCTCGTTACTGGTCAAGTTTGATATTGACGATGCATAGGGAACGATAGTCGTAGGCAACAAAGATTCATGGCCAGAGTTGAGATTGCAAACTACCGTGGAATGCCTCCTGATGTCTGCCTCGCTCGGTGGTTTAAAGCGGCGAGCCTGTGTGTAACAGCATCAACACCACGTCTCTACCGCCCGCAGCCCTCAGCGAACTAGTTAACTACAGTAAATAACACTACCCCGAACACCTCGAACCGCCCACTAGCCTCGTGCCCCATTGTCTTGTCTCATCTGCCTCGCTTCGCGATCTTCGAGCTAAAGGGTCCGGCATCGATCTCGTTCCTCCATGATGTTTCTTGCGGCATGCACATTGTCACCCTCGCCTCTCGATCTCTCACTCTCCTCTCCCGCGCCCTCATAGCCTCTTCAATTCCCAGATCTTCGAGTCGACTTCGAAGCTCGTCCTGTCTTTTCCACTTCCCCAAAGTCCGTCCAGCTGCCTACCGCATGGCATCCACACTCCCTTCGTCGCCAATCTTCGAATCCATTGCGCGACACGATCCCAGAAGCCCAGCGATCATTCATTCCGCTTCTGACCGTACATTCTGCTACGGCAGCTTACTCCACGATGTCGCAGCAGCGAAAGACACCCTGACTACCCTCGCCAATGGCAAACCGCTTGCTGGCGAGAGGATAGCTTTCCTTGCTGAGAACGGGTACGACTATGTAGGTGCGGGCGCGCCCTCACTCCTGGTCCCTGGCAACTGTTCTAACATATTGAAGTGACGTTTCTGTCCATTCTCTCCCACGACGCCGTCGCGCTTCCTCTCGCTCACACCCACCCGAACAGCGAACTACGCTATATTCTGTCCAACAGTGAGGCGGCTTTGTTTCTCTCGACGGAAAAGTTCCAAGACAAGGCACGGGAAGTCGTAGAAGAAGGACTGGACCACGCTCTTCGCCTTGAGATAATGTCAAAGATCGAAACCGGCGCAACTTCCGCCGAGAATGTGCGCTTCAGCAGCACCGCCAGCACTGACAATGGCGGGTTTATGCTCTACACATCGGGCACGACGAACCGGCCAAAGGGCGTGGTCTTGTCTATACCGACAATGACTGCGCAGGCCCGTTCGTTGATAGAAGCTTGGAATTACACGCCTCAAGACCGTCTACTGCATGTGCTTCCATTGCATCACATCCACGGTACTATCAATGCGCTCTACACTCCTCTTATGGCCGGTTCTGCGATTGAGTTCGCGTACCCGTTCAATGCCGACACCGTGTGGAAACGGCTCGCACTACCATTCCTACCACACTCACCGCCCACCAAGAAACCGATCACGTTCCTGACGGTCGTGCCGACGATATACAATCGACTGCTTGCCACGCACCCGACCCTGTCACCAGAAATGCAAGAGGCCACCCGTACCGCAATCACCCCGACGTACATGAGACTGAACATCTCCGGTTCCGCGGCGCTCCCAACGCCCACCAAACAGGCATGGACGGAACTCAGCGGCGGTAATGTATTGCTTGAGCGCTACGGCATGACGGAAGTTGGCATGGCATTGTCCTGTGGCTTGGCTTTCCAGGACCGCGTGGACGGGAGCGTGGGCTGGCCATTGCCGGGCGTCGACATCAGACTGGTAGAGTCTGAGACAGGCGAAGTGATCCGACCAGGCGAGGAAGTCGGCCCTGATGGTAAGCTGCGCGAAGGAGAGATCCAGCTGCGCGGGCCAACCATCTTCAAGGAATACTTCCGCAATCCCAAGGCCACGGCAGAGGAATTTGTCGAAAGCACGGATGGAAAAGGCAAGTGGTTCAAGACGGGCGACGTGGCTACGCGGCAAGTGGTACCTGGGGCAGGCCAGAGCGAGCAGAAATGGGCGTCAGGACCCATGTATTTCATTCGCGGCAGGAAGAGCGTCGACATTATCAAGACAGGCGGCGAGAAGGTCTCTGCGCTCGAGATTGAGCGGGAGCTGCTTTCCCTGCCGGAGATTTCCGAGGCTGCCGTCGTCGGTCTGCCATCGGAGCAGTGGGGTCAAAAGGTCGCGGCGGTCGTCGTGTTGACCCCTGCGGGCATGACGGCGGGCAAGGGTGGCAAGGTCTGGAGTGTCATGGACATGAGGAGGGCATTGAAGGATAAACTGGCCAACTACAAGATCCCACAGGAGCTCAGGGTCGTCGAGTCGATTCCTCGAAATGCCATGGGTAAGATCAACAAAAAAACATTGGTCAAGGACGTGTTTGGATAGGTTGGGAGAAAGAGAAGGAGAAACATTCACAGTGCATACCGTCCGCCATGAAGGCTTGTATCTGGGGAGTGCGCTTTATGTATAGCTAAAAAGTATAATGTGTATGTATGTATAAGTAGTATCCACAAGTCCCAGGGACAAAATACGCCATGTCCGTAAGATGTAGGTAGATGGAAAAGAAACCCAAAAGTCTCGTCACTCTTGAATATACATCTCATCATCGACTCCTTGATTATACGATTATGAAATTAGTTTTTCCTGCCTTGCTGTACTTCCCGAGATGCGGAATTGACAAGATGTGAAGCTGCACATTCGTTCTTGTCGAGCACCTGTCTCTTAGCCTCGTCTGAAGCCGCCCACCTCGTCGCGACGGGCTATTTAGGTAGGCTGAGCATAGTTGTCCTGCTGTCTCTTGACCGAGGGCCTATGTGCTGTCCTAGTGTCCAGCGGTCTGTAGGATATTCATTTCGATTCTGGTTTAGATAACCGGTGAATCGTGGCGAGACCTCAGTCGATAAGGAAGCCACGCCCGGGGGGGTGACCAGCGATCCTTTCCCGGCGTCAATTCACATCGTAGTGACGCAACGATACGTAGCTGGTTGAGTACAGAGAGAAGACGGTGGGGATGATGTCTTTCTCCACGGGGGGTGTTGATTCGCTTGCTTCCGATCTGTTCTGGAGACTGGAGTGGCGGAGAAGATGCCCGATGGTACTGTTTGTGAATCGGGTGGTTGATATCCACCATGCTGACAAGAACGCAATGGCCCTCTGAATCGAAGGGAGTCCGCGCTCTTGTCCTCAATACGAGACCTGGACGTGGCAGTGTCACTTGTCTTTTGACATATGCGCATCCAGTGGTAGTAGGGAGTCGAGGTGTAGGAACAAGAAAGATTCGACAGACATAGACACGATCAAGGTAGCCGACTCGGGCAGTTCATCTTTGTGATAGGAATGAGCCCCTTAACTCGTGCATGGACGATTTGTAGCCCTCAGTCGACCCCCTGTAATACACAGCTAGTGCTTCGTAGATGTAGGTTGACTCCTCGCATTCGTGTTGTCAAAAAATATACTGCTGGAAGCTTGCATCTCTTCTCGATCAGCCTGGCATTTCGAAAACAATTCGTGATTCATGTTTCGACCCTAGCTCTGCTATTCTTGATTCTTGTTTTGACCCTAGCTCTGTTGGGTGTCTTCTATCTCCCAATGCCTCGTGCAAGCCCGAAATTTCTCTGACTGCAGGGGTTGAGCTTGCGGAAGTCATGTTGTCTTTCTCGGGATGGTCAGGAATGATACCTTGTGAGTGCCGATTAGAAGTCGCCTTGAGCCGTCGATATAACCGCAGCACTACGAAGCATAAGCCGAGTATGACAACCACCAATGCCGCTACGCCAACACCAATACCGACTTTCGCGCCAGTGCCGAGCCCCGACCCAGATGAAGATGACGGCGAGACAGAGGACGAATTCCCGTCTAGCAGGCCAGATGGGACTGATGATGCAGCACCGACCGAGGTGATATTCGTACTAGCCGCAGTCGCAGTCGGGATCTCGATTGTTATACTTTCTACGCCCAACACTGTAGCAGTTGCACCCACGCTCGTGGAGGCCAGCGTTTCTCCGCGTTTCAAGACGATGAAGGCCGGGCTGGGAAACTGGCTCGGTGACAAAGGGTAGATGTCGGTGCCGGTCAGGGTAAATCGAAGGACGAAGCGGTCGTCAATATCTATCAAGGTCTGGTTGACCGTGATGGTCCATGGTAGGGTGCCGGGCTCGGTGATGTTGATGTTTGACGCGATACGGACAGCGTACGAGAGCGTCGGATCGTAACTGGTCAGCCATAGATCCGACATGGAATGATTGAGCGCCTGCCATGACCAGGTGATGCTGTTGCCATCGTTGTAGACTTCGGTGAAGTTGGGCTTCGCGCCGTCAGGGATGCTCCAAGGCACGACTTCCTGCGCAAAGACGCTCGCTTTGATCAGGAGAAAACTGTACAACAGTGCCTGGGACACCATGGTCAGCATCTTTGAGGTGGTGTACGGCACCTGTAGGAAGACAACGACATGAACAAACAGCAGGCGGTCACGGACTGCACGGCTAGGAAATTGAGAAGAACAGGACAAACCCAGGGTCAGGAGAGGGAAATCATGAAGTGGGGAGAAGCAATGAGATCACTTTCGAAGCGGCATGGTGTTGCCGTTGACACCGGGTAGCAGTTATCTTGACACCAAAGTCATGCTCGAACTCAGTCAAAGCAGCACCTCGATCCAGTGCCGATGCCGACGAATTGCGATGACTCGAGCCATGCGAGGCCAGGACTAGGACACAGTTCTCACCAATTGGAAACGGCCGCCATCTCCGGCTGTTCCTGGATTCTGCGCACTAGGTCGAAGCTTCAAGCGAAGTTTGGTGGCTAGTGAATCCTTCTCCCCTGAGACAGGACTAAAATGCGACGCGAAAGCGACGGGAAGGGTGGATTAGTCGACATGCTCTGCCGGAGATGACGCGTACGGCTCTTGGACATTTGAGCTTCTGTATGGATATATTACGGTTATAACGCTGAAGAAATGTTCTTTGACGCCTCGCATCGGCCATGCGCAGATGATAGAAAGAAAGCGTCATGGTCTTGCGCACGCGAAGAACTGAATTGTAAGGTGGTCGTTGGACTGCGTTCTAGGAAAGGGCGACAAACGTGGTCAACACAGGGGCGGCACATGACTCTCGTATTCGTATTCGTATTCGGTCGGTACTTTTGATCTTGTTTCCATACGAAACCTTGGCAAATACGGATCATTGTTGTTGCGAAATTGTTTCAACCAAGGTTGGATTTGGACATCTGGCCTCATTTTGTCTATGATTTTGTATCGTGATGCCGAATCCCTCGATGAAGGTGCTGAGAGCCTCAGTCTCGATGCCATCTGCAATGGTCATACCCATCCAGCAGGCAACTTATCTACATACCCGAAATGCCAAGAAAATAACAGAAGGAAACTCAACTTGTGGGGACCCCGTTACTATGTCCTCACCTCGACTCGTCAATGACCCTAACGGTCTCATCTCAGGGCAGAACGGGTTGACCCTGCAGTCATGAGATATTCAGGTGGGCAGGTGGGCAGGTAGGTAGCTCCGTAAGTCCCCTTTTCAGCCATCCTCACCTGAACCGGTACGCCCATCACCTCCTCCCGACCGTTTGGCTACCACCTACGATCTTGTACGAATAAGGCCAATCCAACAACCTCAAACAGATCAAGACGTCCTTGCACTCGTCAGGGGCTCTCCACAGCAGCGTCCGAACCCTCTCTTCGAACTTCCCCTGCACCACTGCCTTCCCGGCGTGTTCGCGACGACGCGGATCACCTCGTGCCTCTCGATCAACCCATCCGACATGGCCACGTGAGCCTCGACGATCGTCTTCGCAGATTGAACCATACCCTGCAATAACGGGATCGGATTCCAAGCAATAAAATCCACCAACCACTCACTACATTCCACGTGGATGTCGTTGAACTGGGTCCCCGATCTCTCCCTCGTCGAATCACTTCTCAGCTCACAATTGTTGCTATTATCATAATCGTCACCATGAATCAGCTTCTCGAGCACTTTATGCAAATGGCCAACACGCGAGTAAATGCTCTCGAGGTTTCTCACGATCAACCGAAGATAGAGAAACTCATCCCACGCGGCGGCGAGGTTTGCGGTTCCCCGATCGCGGAAATACCTAGGTCTGTTTCCATGAACGACAATGGCATGGCGGTTGTGGTTCTCAAACACGGTGGATGACTCGTTATTCTCGGACTTGTTCCTGTCGTTCTTCTCATCCTCGTTCTCGTCGGTGGAGGTCGGCGACCGCATCTCGACCGTTTGGCCTTCACTCTCCCTCTTCGCACAATCTCCCCCTCCCTCTCCTCCTCCTCTCCAGGCTGAGGAACCTCCAAGAAGATTCTCCATGTAGGAACAGTTTGATCGGTATAGGGTGCTTTCGAGGCCTCTTCAAATCAGAGTTGGAGCGGTGTTTTTGCACAAGTTCAGCCGGGCCCCAGGGAGAGGTCATCCGTCCGCCTACCTATAGGTATCTAACTTTAATTGTATATACCTAAGTAAGGTACGTATGCAACGTTTGCCATGGCTCGACAAACAGAATTTGACCGGATCGAAAATGAGCACGTCACTTCGAATCCGACTAGGATACTTATTAATGTTCGGTGACTTAAGCACTCACGCTCTCACGCTCTCACGCACTCACGCCCTCACGCACTCACTCACGCACTCACTCACGCACTCACTCACGCACTCACTCACCCAATCGCTAGAGCCACAAGGCAAGACAACGACTCGTACGCAGTACAAACGGTGCATGGGTTGTAACTCACCACGGCGACTCTACCTACCTTGTCTACGCTATGTACGTCCCTGCTTCAGGTTTGTAGCTACTAGGTCCTTTCCCATTTAGCTCTCAAACTCTACTGCTCCGGTGAGAGCGCCGCTCAGCAGTGAATAGGTAGATCTCATACGGGAGGCCGGAGTACCGAGTACCGAGTACGTTCGTAGTGTAAAATAGACACCCTGAGTAAGGTTCTTAACATTATGACCCAGACGCTCTCAAAAGATGGTGAATATGTCTTTATTTCCCAAGAAACAAAGAGAGAAACAATCAAAACAAAACAGAATAGACCTGCCTTGAGATAGGTCCTCTTGAGATGTAATACGATGGTTTGAGACTGTTTCTAATTTTTTGCATTCTTTCTAATTTCTCTTCAATCCTGCTCTAGCTGTACATCCCCAACACATCAATCTATATCAGTGATAGCAAATATCTAAACCTGTGTCTCCATGAATCTCATCTATAATCTTGCAACACCGCCATTGGAAGTCTAAACTATGCACAAACAGGTCTAGAACAAATAGTCACACATCAACCCCATGCAGCGCTGATGCTCGAACCCAAAGGGAAACATTTCCCGGTACGGAGGACGTGGATATACTCCTCACTATCGGTCGTCTCCACCCGATGCCCAGGTCTCGGCTCCCGTCTTGCCTGCTTGAGACGTAGGCGTCGAAGCTTGTGACGCTCAACTCCTTTCCGTTCCGTGACTCGACGATCCCAGCTTGTAGCCACGTAATGTAGTCGAGGGTACTCCGTACAATCCGACATTCAATCGACTCTGTAGATCTCAAACGATCATCACATTTTAAGCATCGTCAATGCTAGGCTTGAACTTGATACGATCCTCGGCCTTGCTCTCAAACGGCACGCCGAGCTCAAACAACTTCATGACAACGTTTGAGAAGTCGTCGAAGAAGGCCTGGCCGTCCTTGGCGTACTTCTCGACGTACTTCTTAAACACCTTGTCCTGGACCAGGGCCATGTCGGTAGGCAGCATCATGAGGCTCTTGGTGGTCTTGTCCTCATACTGCTTGGGGCCGTTCCATTTGCGCCATCCCCACTTCTCCTCCAACAGGAGCTTGTAGTAGTCGTTGGTCAGAACAGTGGGGGCAAAGGTCCAGGGCCCTTCGAAACCCGAGCGGTCGGTGTGGCAGCGGCCCAGAGCGTGGGCGCCGGACAGCGCGACCATCTCCTGGTCATTGAAGCCCATGCGGCCAAAGATGGCCCGGATGTGGTTCTGGTCCTTGGAAGCGTCCGGCAGGCGGCCATCGGGGGTGCAGAAGGCGACGTCACGATCCTGTCGGCCTGGTCGCCACGGGATGATGGGGCCCTGCATCTCCTGCACGGCGCAGACGCCCGCCAGAGTCCACAGGTCAGAGTACGAGATCCAGGGGAACTGCTGCTTGATGGGCTCGAGGAAATCTCGTGCGGCCTTGAGGCCGGCGTTGGCGCCGTGGTCAGACTCGGGTGCGAACCTCATTGTGGCGCCGTTGCTGCCGCCTGTGCCCGTGGCGGCGTCGTAGGTGCCTGACGCGTGCCACGCGAGACGCAGTAGCACTGGGCCGTACGACCCATCATCGTAGTCGTCCTTCTCCCACAGCTCCTTGGCGATGGCATTGTAGACCTTTTGGTAATCTTCAGTGGTCGGCTTGAACAGCCCCGCCGTCTCACCTGCGCTGCCCTTGGTCAGGTGAAATTCTCCTCCTTGTGTGCTGTAGAAGTAGAGGCCACCAGCGAGAGCTGCGGCTGCCACGGCCCCAATGACCAGGCCGCTGCCAGAGGAGGACTTCGCTGGTTCAGGACCCGACGAGTAGTGGCGGCGAGAGGACTTTTGGAAGAACTGCCTCGCGGCATTCGAGTTGGTTCCGCGAGGAGATGGGCGTGCGGCGAGGCGCAGGGACGAAGTGGCGCTGGCGGTTGCCGTGCTTCGGGGAACGGCCCTGGTGAGGGAACGAGCTGCTGCTGCGGTCGCCATGTTTGAAGTGAAAATGAAAGGTTCAACCCTGGATAAATGGACAAACAATAGAACAGAAGAGAAGGGAGGTGTGCTGATATACGGAGTAGAGCTTGAGATGAGACGAGGAAAAAGTGAGATGATCCACGGGCTTTGAAATGTTATATTGGATCTCGGGGACAACGACAGCAAAGGGGGGTCCTTCGCAGAAAGGTGCTGAACAATATGGAACAATCAAGAATACGTGAACAGCGACTGGTCGGGAAGGGGGCCCACGGAGAAAAGTAGCTTCGCCGGACAACGAGCAGACGGGGTCAAGGCCCGCGTCGCATTCTCCAATCTAGAAGAGACTCGTCCTTGTGCGAGCGATAGTGATGGCGCCTTGTGGACTGCAACTTGTGCAATTGATGGCAAGGCTCCCGCCGCGTCGTCTGGAAATTTTTCGTCAAAAGGTATCAGACCATCAGGTGTTTTGACGTTATCAGAGCGCCGCTTAGCGGCTCCATTTAACATTGCTTGATTCTCTATCGAGCCAATCGTCTACCCGATTTCTTTATCAGCCCGGCTTCTAGCAGCTGCTGATGTCTTGGCAGGAACAATGGTCAATGAAATTCCGCTGTTCTCCGATCTCGTGCCGACTGCCGGATACACCCGAAACACATTAGACTCGCTCTGAATTGCCCTTCACGGAAGTTATGAGCGACTGATATTTTCCGAGCTACGGCGAGGACTAGCTACCTCGTACGAAATTACCGTATGAGGCTCCTGGGCGGTCTCACAACCCGTCAGCCCATGTCGGCCTCCGCCACAGCGCTGATTAAAGCCCGGGACCGGGAGAATCTCGTGTCAATTGCATTCGTGGGACTGCCGTACATAAAAGTCTGCCGTAGCACTTAGAGATACTGTGTTTCAACGATGAAATAGCCCTCACCATACCACGTCCAAGGTCCTCGTCACCCATAATCGCCGGATCCGAACGCCACGTCTGTTCATATCTTCGTTCTTAATCATTAGCATCATGCCATTCACAGTGTCGCTCTCACTCATCGCGCCTTGGTATCGCGTGGTGCTATGAACGGCCTCGAATGGTCCTGAAGGCGGTTCAAACCCTCATTTTCGAAGCGACCCTAACCGGTACGCGGAAAGAGCTCATCGAACACGTCTCTAGCCAGGCGAGAATTAATGACCACATTATTCTTCAGCTTTGGTCGTTTCCGAATGTCCTCATCCATTCTCGCTTTCCTCTGGTGAGCGGCATCTTTCTCCTGTTGCAATTTCGTGTCCGCCTTATCCAGTATCCTCTCGACTTCGTTGTCGGACGGCAGATTGATAGCCTCGGTCCAGTCGAGTTGATCTTGATGCTTGGTCCGCCAGTGTGCCAGGAGATCATCAGCCGCAATGCGGTATTTGACCTGTCGAGCGTTCTGATTGACGACGCCCTCTTTGACACAGATACCGCAGCGGAATTGTAGGCTGATTGTTGGATTGACTTCTTGAATAGCCGCCATGCTTGAGGAGAACAAATCCAGTGGCGGTTTGGTCCATAAAATGAGTTTCCAACGCTCCATAGCATAGGTCAAAGCAATTTTCATCTGACACTCGTCATTCAGCCGTGCACCATTGAGCACTTGTGCAGCGAAGCGAATGTTCCCAACGAAATCGGTCTTGGCGAATGAATTAGACGCCGGTGCGCGTCCTTGAAATGCCGAGATAGTTGGCGGTTTCTCAAGCTCAATGTAGGTCTCTGATGTTGATGGCTGCCACTTGTCAAGTTTCCAGGGTTCCCGGTGCACTGGAACCAGAGGCAGGCATTCGGGCCAGGGCAGTGAATACCAGGGGAAGCGATCAATAGATTTGGCCGCGTTGACTTCGTCAGGTGTTGGCCTCCAATCTGCTTGCTCACGGATAAAGGGTACTGCGAACCTCCAGAACTCAATCCCCTCACCAACCAGCATTGCGTGCGTATTGAGGATATGTTCGAACGCATCAGTAAACGACCATGTTTTGGTGAAGTCTCTTCGGCGGCATCCTCGGCAACGGAGCTGGGAAAACACCATCGAGCCTCGTTGTGATGTGGGATCAATCTTGGCCTCGATGACATCTTCGACAATCATGCGAGCATCGTCCAGGCTGAGCTGGTAAGGTCCTCTGGTTCCGTCATAATTGAGTCCAATGGGCCGGTGTTCAAGCTGCTGGTACGCGACGTAGACATTATGTAGAGTTAGAAGCAGGAGATCCTCATCGGCAATTCCAGAGTCCAGGCACCGCTGCAGTTCCTTCTGGGCCAAACGAAGAACAAAGCTCTGCTCTGGTTGGAAGTAGCAAGGGACCCTCTTCCGTACTTGGCGATGGCGTTTCAAGTCCATCCACAATCTCAATGTGTCGCGAGAAGGCCCATCTACGTCCTCGTAGCTCAAAGGAGCGTCGTCCATCATTTCTTTGTATTCGAGAACCTGCTCGGCTTGCTGTCTGTATGGAAGAATTTGTGACTGTAGCCTCGCCCACGACCTCTCTGTTGGAGGTGACTGGATCTTAAGGAAATTACGGAATGCAGCCATATTCCATAGAACATCGTGCTCAATAGGCGGATTCAATGCAGCAGCACGTTCTTCGAAAAAGTCGCCGCGAATTTGATAGTAATCTGGTTTGTCCTGGGATTGCGTTGCATTCCACTTCTCAAGTTCGGCTGCTTCCTTCATGAATGCCATGACTTTTTCATAAGTTCTCTCTAGCCATTCTTTGACCACGGTGTTTGTAGGATTCGTTTGCCGTAGAGCGAGGTACTCGGTTTCGAGCTTCGTATAGGCGGATTCAAGAAACACATACTGGCGCCAGACGTCTTGGGTCCACATGTTTCTAGACACATCAACGACGCGCGGGCCACCATAACGTCGACTAATAACGACATTAGCAAAGCAACAAATACTCGTTAGAATGACAATTACCCGTCAGTTCTAGCTTGCGGAAGCAGGTCCGATAGCAAGCTTCCCCAAAGAGGCGAGGGGTCCGCTGGCTGGTTCGGGTCCGGGTTGATGAAGTGCCGACGATGCTCGAGGAGATCTTCGACCTGTCAAAGTTAGCGAGAAAACCGCGACAGAGATATGATGCGCACCCTGATGGTTTTTTGCTTGAAACAATCGGCGCAGAGGCGCAGCTGAAAGACCCATGCGACTCTCACGGTCTGATCGCGTGGGCAATTGGGATTTTGACATCCACGACCAACAAGGAGATAGACATATTGCTGCTCGGTCAAGCCCGTTGGGCACTCGGGAATATCTTTTCCAAAGTGGTCTAGTCTGCTCTTTCTCCAAATCGTGCTGTGTTTATTGAGGCGAGTGTTGAAGTCTTTGCTGATCAACTTGGCCTCGAGAAGTTGTTTGGGCTCGCAGTAACCGAGAATGAGATGCCAAACGTCACCATTCACTTGGTCTGATATCTTAAGGGGCCGACTCGGTCTGAGAACGGTTGTTGTTCTCTTTTTCGTGGAGCGAGCAACGGCTCGCTTCTGTTCACATTTGCGTTTCTTGCTTGGTGGGATCACCTCAGCATTTAAGATATCTGCTGGAGTCTGGTGGACGAAAAGGGGGGCATCTGACGACTGCGGTGGTGGTTCAGAGGGATTAATGTTGGGAGGCTGTGGACTCGCCGTTTTAGTGGAAGGAATTGGGGTGTGAATCATACGTCTTCCACTAAAGCTGATGGTTTTCTCAAAGTTGGCTCTGGGTTGTGCAGCATGAGAAGGTGGAGTTTGAATATCTCGCTGCGAGTAGCCGCCAACCTTGAAGGACGGTCTTGGATTGCTTCGAGGTTTGGTTGGAGTCTTTGTGGCATCGCTCCGCAACGGAGACTGTGGTTCGGCCATGAAGAGCAGTGGTCTAAGAGAATGGAGAGTGTAACCAAACGTCACAAAAGATGGCAGGTTTCGGTCGGGAGTTTGGTAGGGGTCGGAATGAGCAGCCTCGTAGGTTCTGCCGATAATGTGGTAGGGGAGAAGTGTTGAAACGAGAATGATGTCTCCGCCCCTCGCCGAACGATGGCAAAGTGAGAAGAAGCGAGAAAAGAAAGACCGGAGTATATGGTATTGATCAACCCACCAGAGACAACAGAAACGTCTGGCAATGAGTCCTGAGAATCAAGTAGAGTCCATCAGCGAAAGATGTGTTTGAAAGAGTGACAAGGCGCGGTCTGTGAGAATCGGACTGGTTCATCCTCCATGGCCCTTCCAAGTGTAAGTTAATGTTGAAATGTCGACCTGATGATGTCGTCGATGATGTCGCGCGATTATATGGTATAGTAGAATCCTAAGAACCTAGGTGAGAATGTTGGGTTGACAAAGGACTGAGGTCGCGCTCATGGTGTCGACGACATAATCAAGATGTTGCGACGTCAAGGTAACTAGTTAGTTAACAACGCACAACGCACAGGTCCCTAACTTCCTTACCTCTAGGCAGCTGACTAGTAAGTCAGTTAGTGAGCCTTTAGGTCCTCATGGTTCCGCTAAGGCGCCTAAGCTGACTAGGGGAGCCTAACTAGTGAGCCTAGTGAGCCGGGACCGCTGTGCACGCCCGTGACCGCCTGAGTCTCCCAGCTCAACCCATTTCCTTAGGTCTGTACGGATACAGATTCAACAATTCATGCCTACCAAGTGCCTAAGTAAAGGGTCTCAAATAGCCTGACTCAGCGAACTGCGGCCGTGGCTGTCTGACACTCAGCATAGTAAGTTAGCACACTATAATAGAACCTCTAGGCCAGGCAGGACTTCCACAAAAATCTACGTACCAGGAACTCTTACCAACACCCTTCCACAGCCACCATCCTCAACAGCACCCAACCCATACTATGTCCCTATTGACCTTCTGGACTATCATCTAAGGGCCATATACATGCCAAATATGTACTAGGCCGGTGCCTCCTCAACGCTTGCTGAACGCACACCGACGATCGTCATGACAAGCAACACCGTGTAACACAATCCCTGGTGAGCCAGTTTGGCCATGAGCAGCACTTCATCTACAATGCAGAATGGGTCCATGCAAGGACGGCGATAGTCTTCAGTTTGCACTCCGTTCTCCTGCCTCCAAGCACCTCTCAATCACGTTTCAGGTCATCCAGAGGTGCTTCGGGACTGTTCTCGGCCGGTCCAAATCCTACAGCGGGCAGAATACCCTTTTGGACCCCATATCGTCCCTCTGGGTTCGGAGGGACCGCATCAGATTCCCGTACATCGTACTGCACATACTCCATCAACATCGGTAGAATGTGCGACTCCTCCGGTTGCTGTGGGCATGAAATGGCGGGACCTTGATTGTCTGAACCAACCCGACCAGGCCAAGTCCGCCTCCCGCCGGCCGGTGCGGCTCTCATTCCACCTTCCACTGTCTGTACTCGTACATACATCAGGTCCTTTCCAAGCCTTACGATGGCACTGAATGCACTAATGCACCATACAAGCCTGGATAAGCTGTCTTGGGGGAGTTTGCGGGGGTGATCGCCACCGTACCACACTGGTTCTGGTATAAGCATCGCCTCTGAAAGGGCTGATGAATGGATCGAGCTTGTTTTCTCCCTCCACCCTGGTCCAGATTGCCATGTTCGGCCAGTGAAAATCTTGCCGACTTCACCTGATGTTGCATTCGACCTCGCATGGCTCGCCTACTGTCATCTTCTCCATCTGGAGAACCACCACAAGGGTCTGTACTGTATTCATCGTCCCTCCAGTCATTGATCAAATGTTTCCACTTGCCTCGGTCAAAAGTCCTACGCAAAGTCCGTGCTTTTGCCCCGACTTCGCGGCACGGCAGAGCTTTTGTGAGCAAACTCAACTGCCCTAAAAGAAGGCCCGCTTCCCACCTTTCAATTTTCATCAAAACAATAACACAACCACTGTGGTTCTTGTGCTTCAGCTTAGCTTTCCTGGCATTGCCGTTGTGATCGACACAAGAACGCCCCTGCCAAGGTTGGCGCACTGTTTACCGGGTGCTTAGGTGAACCCATATCCAATATCCAATATGCGCTTCTCCATCGACGGCTCAGGTGAGTCTTCTTTGCACGACGTTCTTGTGTTATGACGACGGCTCACCCATGATCCTCAGATGAGAAGGCCAATGAGTACGATGTCGCCAGTGGACCGGGTAACACCCAGGCGCATTACGATCCCGACTTAGCTCATCCTGCTGCGGCATACATTGATAACCAAGCCGCTACTCTGCCTGCTGGTGTTTCAGAGAGGAAGCTCCTCACCAAGATCGATCTCCGCGTCATCCCTGTGCTTTCGGTTCTCTATCTTCTCGCTTTCCTCGACCGCACCAATGTCGCCAACGCCGCCATTTTCGGTCTTCAGAAGGATCTCGGTCTATCGGCCACACAGTATTCAACGGCCTTGACAGTCTTCTTCCCACCATATATTGTTTTCGAAGTGCCCAGTAACATATTACTCAAGCGCTTCAAACCTCATGTCTGGCTCTCAGGGTGTATGTTTATGTTTGGGCTGGTGACCGTTTGTCAGGGGCTGGTACAGGGATATGGAGGCCTGCTCACCACTAGATTTTTCTTGGGACTTTTCGAAGCTGGAATGTTTCCAGGTAGGTTGTCCTCAGTCTCTCTCGCAAACAATAAACGGCCCTGATGGTGGCTGAAATAGGATCTTTCTATTTGATCGGCATGTGGTATAAACGCCACGAAGCTCAGAAGAGATACACCTTTTTCTTTGCCAGCACCACCCTCGCTGGCGCATTCGGAGGCCTGTTGGCATCGGCAATAGGCAAGATGAATGGCATGAGAGGCTACCTGGGCTGGAGATGGGTCTTCATCCTCGAAGGTGTTCTGACATGCGTGGTAGCATTCGGCTGCTTCTTCCTCATTCCAGACTTCCCAGAAGACGCCAAATGGTTAACCGAACAGGAGCGAATGTACGTCAAGGCACGACTCCAAGCTGACCAAGGAAAATCGGCCATTGAACGACGCATCACCTTCAAGGACGTTGTGAATTGCTTCAAGGACTACAAGTTCATCCTGGGCTGGCTGATGTATTTTGGCCTCATTGTACCAGGTAGGATTCTCGAGGCTCTGTTGACGGGAAACACTGTTACTAACTAATGTCCTCCTCAAGCATACGGCTATGCATATTTCGCGCCGACGATTATCAAGACCTACGGCTACAGCCCAATCCAAACACAACTTCACTCGGTCCCACCTTGGGCTGCCGCTTTCGGCTTCAGTATGCTGGTTGCAGTCTTTTCGGATCGCCTTCGCCATCGCTTTCTATTTGCGCTTTTCCCAATCTGCATCTCCATAGCAGGTTTCGCCATCCTGATGAACGTCCATCATGATACCCATACAGAATACGCCGCACTCTTCTTGATCACTTCGGGGACGTACTCGGCCATGCCTATCATCGTGTGCTGGTTCACTATGAACTTGGGTGGCCATCATCGGAGGAGTGTTGGCTCTGCTTGGCAAATTGGTGCTGGGAATGTAAGTTGCTTATCACCAAGTCTCGTCTCTCTTTTCCTTAGCCGCCCTCTTTCATTTTGCTAATTGCGCGGGCGCAAAATTCACAGATCGGCGGCATCATCGCAAGTTATAGCTTTGCAGCCAAGGACGCCAAAACCTTCTTCCACAAGGGCTACAGCATTTGTATCTCGTTCATCTGCCTGAGCGCTGTCAGCTGCATATTGTACTTTATCGCCTGCTTCTCACAGAATAAAAGCCGCGCAAAGACCCACGACGTCGGATTGACCGAATATGAAAAGACGGAGTTGGGCGACATGTCTCCAGACTATCGATACATGCTTTGAAAGGAGATTCAATTTGACGAAGCGATGCACCGAGGATGATCTGCAGAGGCTTTTGCGAATCGATACCCGTTCATTCGCCATAGACACCACACCAATCCACGAAGTCTTGATGAATGGGGGCTTTCGATGCTCTGTGGACTGCGAATCGTCTAACCGCGTCTGTTTTTTTAGCATTGTCGACGATCGGTACGGGGGGTAATATTAGCAACCAGTGAAGGGGAGGGAACAATAGCGATTGGTCATTCACGGAAAGAAGAGCGCAGTACATTTCAGATACAAGTACTTATATTATATGTATGAGATGAGATGTAAACTCGGGCAAAATATTCCGGATATGTCATATATACGGAGCAACCTACCTAGGTATCTAGTTCCCAGCCTAACTTACAAGTTCGTCCCTGTAAGGCCCTTTTGCGAATTGATATGGCGCCTGACTACTATTTCACTGCCTGCTCCCCGGTCAAATTAACTACCCAGGTACAAAGTTACGAGTTTGACCATGGCCACCGCTCCACCGGGGCAGGCGATGCTACCAAGTCATATCTATCTACATGAGATACCGCTCGCACTTGGGAAGAGATTCACAGTCTTGGCGATGGCGACGGTGATACACGGTGCCAGTAAAAAATGAAGGCACGGGGAAGCGTTTTGGATCGCAAAGAAAATGATCCACAGTCAGTCTTACTTACTACCTGGGTCTCTGGGAGTTCGTCCGGAGTAGATGTAGAAATCTCAAGCATTACAACAGTATATCATCCCTCTGTTGGTGCGACCATGAAATTCCGACCATGGCTTGCAGTGTAACGTGTTGACGAGGCCACACATCCCGGCTACAACATATCAATCTGCCGCAGTGGTTCCTGCACCGTCGAATCGAGATACACAGCCCCGCCAGTGGTATACTCTCTTCGAAGAGGTGAGGGTCAAGTAAGATATCATCAGAGGGAGTGGCTGGCGGTTACGGGCTGGGAGAGTGGCGGCGTTTCTTGATGTTGTCAGAATGACGGAGGGTGATTTGGAGATTTGCCTTGACAGGATTGCGAAGGAGGGTCTGTCTGGTCTCCAGCCTCGCGTTGCCCTTCGGAGAGGCACGGCCTCGAAATGAGCCCTGCATACGCAGACTCATAGTGTCTAACTGGGCAGGTCTTGAATGGATGTCCGTGACTCCCTTGTTGAAGCTACCAATCGAGTGGTCAGCAGCGGCTCTTGCTAAACCGCCAGGAGTCCTAGGCGGCTCTATGTTGGAGTGTGTGAGATCCCGAGTTGCACCGGTTCTTAAGGGATTCCCTGTCACACGTGTCGTGATAGCACTCACAAGCGCCATGGCTTTGAGACTCTCAGAGATCTGGCAGGCACCTGCAGGCTCGTTCTGCAGCAAGAAACCTCTTTTCTTGTCATGTGTACTGGTCAACGGGGGTCGTTCTGGCTGAGGCCACCGCGCGATTCGGTCCGGTTGGGCAGCACGATCTTTGAGCACGTCCTCAAACTCTGTCTCCCAAAACCGCCTTTGGCCATTCCCGTACTGACATACTTGGATGTTTTGGTGAATCGAAGCGTGATGATCATACTCATATCATTGCACGATGTCCCTCCGTCACTGAGCTTGACCCTGATATCTGAGAAGGTGAACACATTCTTTGCCCTTGTAGCCAGTTGAGCATGCTATATCTCCAGGCCGTGCAGGACATGCAGATGCCAACATGACTGGAAGCCGTCGTTGAACAACAATATCGATGCCGTTACAGCCCGTGGGTGAGAGCCGTCCGGAGATATGCCAGTCCCATCTTCCTGAGGATCACGTATCGAATATACGGCCGTGCAGCCCACTCACCACGGGACGAGATTGCTGCGGCGGTTTCGCCATTGTCAGTAGCGGGCACAGTTTGGCTTGCCATTCTTGATTGCAAAATCATCAAACTTGATTCTGATTATTATTATTCAGTCGGGAAGAGGTCAGACATAGTCAGAAATATGGATGATTTACTTTTGAATCAGAACACTTCAATGTTGTAGGTTGGGCCTAAAGACGAGTGAGTGCCAAGGGGTAACGCCGCGAGACACAGTAGTAACACTTGGAACATGGGTAACTCATAGCACTCACATTAAAAGGTGGACATATTTAATAACATTCTATGCGTGCATGCCATGCTTGAACGCTCAACGCCCAAAAAGCAGGCACACTCAATTACCTACCCATACACCTTGGGTAGTTGGGTGTACCTAAAAGGGCAGCTTTCTTTCTTTCCCTACAGAGTATTACTCCATAGCATTCATTCATTGTCTGGATTCAACATATCATAACATAAAGCGTCACCTCTTCCTAGGACTACCGGTAGCATCACTACCAGCACCGTCAAAATCCTCGTCTTCTTCCTCGATCAAAGCCGGCGTCCGTCTCTCATTTCTCCGTTTAGGTCTCCGCCGCCTCGCACTGGAGATGTTACTTGCGCTATCATCCGGTGCAATCTCACTCATCCCCTCCCATTCACCCAACCCGTCGTCGGTCTCGGCGTCCCATCTACCTGTACCGCCACCGCTGTCGCTCAGATTCGCTGGTGTGTCCATACGGACTTCAATTCCAGAACCTCCCAAGGCGCCGCGTCGCCTTTGCTGTGCTGCAGCAAGCCCGGCCGAGCGTTCGCGCAGTGCGCGTCGAACACATTCTGCTTTATTGTGCAAGGCTTCAAACGCGTCCTCGAGCGCCTCCATGCCTGCATAGATGTCACGCTCGATTTCCGCCAGCGTCGCGAGTTCAGTCTCTTCATCGAATGCGATAGGTGCCCCGTATTGCGCTGTGCCCGCCGGATATGGCTGCGTGTAACTTCCTTGCCGGGAACGGTAGCCGTTCGTCCCGCCAGAGCCATTCGCCGTACCTGTGTAACCAGGGGTGGCGCCTCTTGTCGGGGGCAGATGCGGCGTGGGACCACGGGAAGAAGGACCTGAGTCGTGCAATGGAGGTGGGGCATCTTCAGCACCACTGCGAAGAAACCCGTCAAACCGTCCAGATACGAGAATCTCCCACTCATCATTAGAGATTGCGGCGAGCGTAGCCAAGGCATTGTGTAGAGTTGGATTATTCAACATGAACAAGGCCGTCTCCGAGTCTCGTGGTACGGCGTGTAAACGGTACAGACGCTGGATTGCTTGGGACGCAATGGCGATATGTGCAGGTCTGATCTTTGGCACTGGCGCGGGAGTAGGCGTGGGCGGCGGAGGCTTCATTGAGCCATTTGACGTTTGAAGTTCTGGAGTTGGTATTCTCCTGGGTGCTTCGATGGGTCGATCAACAATGCCCAGAAGGTCTTTAAAAACCGGTCGTTGTTCAGCAGGCAGATGTGTGAGAATAGCAAAAGTGAGAGTCTCTTCATCGACTTCTTCGGGTGGGGAGCTTGGGTTGTCGGTCTGTCGAGTCAGCCATTTGTCCACACTCTGCTTGGTCTTGCGTGATTGCCGGATATAGTGCTCGCGGTATTCTTCAGGAACATCAATATCCAGCTTTTGCATAGGTACGTGAAATTCGAGAGAGATGCCCAGACCGATAGGCGATTGCGTAAATGCGAACGGAGGCCAAGCAGGCAAATCCCTCCGTCCTGACACCAGCTCGAGTACTTCACCCCAACTGACGCCTCTGACATCCTCGGAATGATCGTACTCGCACATAGGACATTGACAAGCCTCCGATGAGATGTCACGTGAAAAGACGGCTTCCAATCTGTCGAGTAAGCGTCGTGCAACTGATCGATATCCAGTCGCGACAGCAAGAGATCCGTTCATGGACATGACTTTGTCAAAATCATCAAGCAGCGCTGTGTATGGCTCGAACAGATTTGCAATGACGATAGGAGCTTGTCCCGGAGATTGTGCTTGCTGGATCGCCATTGGTTTCCCTGCCAGCAAGAGGTTTTTAGGCACTGCATGATGCAATCCGCCATGTTGGAGTAGGTAGTCAACTTTTGGAATAGCAACAGGTGCTGGTGGAGGCGGCGGAGGGGGGGGACCAGGCGTGGCAGACACTCCTCCTGGTGTCTCTGACAGTAACGACGGCTCTCTCTCCATAAAAACTTCCAAGGGTGTAACTCCTCGTGACTGTGGGTGTATCGAGCCTGGTGTTTGTGCATGTGCATATACAGTGGCCGGGGGCACCTTTGATCCAGGCCGTTGAATTGTAGGTTGTTCCGGTGCGATGGATGTGGCATCGGAGCTGGTGTTCGCTACGGACTCGGTCGCTGTCGTGGTTGGTGTAGACGGAGACTCCGTTCTCGTCGGCTGGCTGACTGACCTTTGGGGAACGTTGTTACGGAGTGGTGTGGACGGTTTGTGAGTTTTCTCAATCGCATCCCGATGCTTCCTCGTGGGCGAACTATCAGTGCCCAACTCTGATGTACTTCGCAGATGACCATTCGATCTCGACGACTGCGGTCGGAGGCGGATCTTGATCTTTGCGTCTTTCCCTCCATTCGAAGATCTCTCCTCCTCCGGAATCGTCTGGACCGAGACTGGTTTGCCAGCACTCGATTTCCATCTTCCCGAGCCAGCATTTTTATCCGTCAAAGGTGGGCTAGGAGGTGCGTCAGGACTCTGTTTCGTCGTTGACAGTTTGTCTTTGGAAGCATTCAGGTCTGTGGAAGGAGGGGTGAGTATGTTCAGGACTGGTCGGGCAGCACTCCCTACAGCCTCACGACTGTGCTCCTTCGAAAAGGATGGGTAGGGCAGGCTAGATTTTGATTCGGACTTGAGGGGTGTCTCTTCCACTATGCCAGGCATGGAGGGCCGCCGTTTATCGTCAACAGGAGAGAGCGATGTTCTTGAAGAGGTCTTTTCCTTGGTTGCGATTTTTCGATGGGATCTGTGCCTGTCCTTGTCTCTGTCTCGATCTTTGTCTCTCCGATCTCGATCTTTTTCGAGTTTTGAATATTCCTTCTTTTCCCGCCGCCTCTCCGGGCTGTCATCTCGAATCCTTGAAGGCATGATGGGAGGGAAGTTGCATGATGCGACCTGCTGCGGCCGTGATCAAGGCGCTTATAGCGTGGATATCATTTGTATCTGGGGAGGTGTGGAGAGATTGCGATTGTCATACGGCGCTTAGGCGTGTAGGAGCCGAAAGTCGTCACGGCGCCAGATCGAGAAAACCAGCACCGGGTATTGAGTCTCAGGAAAGGTAGAAATGGAGAGTTGTGCAAGTCAAGGTGGACCGACCGAGTTATTATCGAAAGACCCGTGTCACGTCCTAGTTCGCATGATGTCTAGGTCCTCCTTACTTGTTGGCAAGTCTTCTTAGTAGCGGCGCAGGCGATGGGTAAAGTTGGTGGCTGGGCAATGAGGCTGGCAGGGGTTTATGTCATTGGTTCAGTTTGCTGGCGTTTGCTACCCGGCGATGGGGTGCCTGCGATCAATGGTTCGACTCACAAGCGAGGGCTCGGAGTGCAGATGAAGAATGAATAAGTAATACTGTCAGCGTGTAGAGATAGGTAGGTATTGGTGGTCTCTTTTACAGGAAATCGCAAACTATCTCAGACTCCCGTGTTTGATGTCCCGGGCGCACCTAAGTGCCCGTGCCTCTGCCTCCTCTCCCCGCACCAGTTGAACATTGGCGCTCGAACCGCCCGGACTGCGCCTAAAGTACCTACCTGAGGCGACCTCTAATAGGTACAATAGTACTAACTAACTAGCACTAGGCTTGCCGCATCCCACGCCACCAAAGGCCCGGCCCTCCCACCTGCCATCGGCACATCGCAACACAATACTAACTGAACTATAAACCTCATCTCTCATGGTGCCACGTCAATCCCCATCCATCGTCAGTCTCTCCACCATCTCCTGAACACTACATATTCATCACCAATGCCGCACCGCCAAACAATACTGCAGCGCCAACGGCTCCAGTCTTCATTGGCACGGCCGCAACACCGGTGCTGCTACTGGAAGCGGCAGCTGTAGCACCTGGAGCTGACTCGGTCGCGACGGTACTGGTAGGAGTTGAAACTCCAGAGGTGTACGGGACATCAGTCGCAGAGCTGGCGCCGCTGAACGCAGGCGAGCCTGACTCGTGATCGTCTGGTTCTGACGTGGTCGTCGCATTCTCCGGATTGAGAACGTTGTCAATGACGTGAACCACACCGTTCGCAACCAAAATATCTGCAATGACAACCTTGGCACTGTTGACAAAGATATCTTCGTCGTCGACGGTAATGGTTACATTGGTTCCTTGGGCAGTCATCAATGAAGTTCCGTTTTCAAGTCCAGTGCTGTACCCGACCACACCCTCAACGACATGATATTGGAGGATGGATGTCAATTGCTCCGTGGTCAGATTCGACAGGGCAGACCCAATCGCTCGGAAAGCGGCGTTGTTGGGCACAAAGCAAGTGACATCCGTCATTTGATCGACCGCCTCGGCCAAACTGGCGTTGGTGAGAGCACCGACCGCAGCGGTGAGATTGAGTTGAACGGCAGTCTCGGATATGTTCTGTGGGATGATAAGGACGCTATCGATAACATGGACAACACCGCCGGTGAAGTTCAGGGATGTGCCTGTGAGGTTGGCTCTGGACAACAGGCCCGAGACGATATATTCTTCGTCGTCATCGTCGTATAGGCCCACCACTTGGCCGCCAGTGACATTCGTGTATTGAGTAGGTTGCAGCAGCGTTGGGGCGAAGCTGACGTTGTCGAAGGCATTGTATGTACCGTTCAAGACATGGTAACTGAAGACGGCTTGGATCAACGCGGTGTCGTTCTGCGCCAGCGCAGCTCCGGCCGACGAATTGAGGAACTCTGCGAAGGCCTGGTTGTTGGGTGCCAGCAGAGTGATGTTCTGCAGACCTGAAAGAGTCTGTGTGAAGTCAGGGAAGAGTCCCAGGTAGGTGGTGAGGTTCGACAGCTCAGTCGCGTTCTGGAGCACCGAGGTCAACTGCTGCGAAACAGCAGTGCCAGCCAGCGCAGCAAGAGCTACTGATGTAAACAACATGATTACAACGAGGAATTTTCAAGACGATACTATCAGATGGCAAGGCAGCAGAAGGTAAGGCTTGGAGGAGAAGCAAAGAAAAAGGGAAACGTGGGAGTCTGTCCGGTTTCAGGGCATATTTGAATGGATCTTGCTGAACCATCATGGACACCAGTCACCCCTCGCAACTAGACTTTGCTACCGGAGGATTTCGTGGTTCGATGCATTCGATGAGCAGACTGTATAGCTGGTGGAATGCTATCCCCAGAGACGGCAGCTTGGCTGGAGGCAATTCAGGGTACATCTTGATGCTGTGAAGATGTTCATTGGCCTCTTACCAGGCTTGACAGCCATGTTGCTGATCGATGACGACCAAGATGTCGTGGAGAAGACGCGCCGACTGGATGCCACGCTTGTTCGGTCGTGGATTTGATGCCACCAAGGCTGCCATCCAGGGACGGGAAGTCTTCTTCCTCCACGAGAACGGGCAGTCGAATGCGTCTGCCCAGAGACACTTGCCGGATGGCCAAGGGGATGTGCAGGCTGTGCGCTGAGTTTTGCCCCGATAGTCACCACCGCGAATGGCAAGCGACGGGAAGCCGGCACACCATGTCAATCGCCATTGATGCAAGCATTCCCCGCAATATCAGCCCTTTGCTGGGGCAAAGGATGCGCACTACCGCATCACTGGCGGGTGAGATTGAACATTGTTCTCGTAGCCTTGACGGACTAGACGCATGATGAGAATCGATGTCTCGAAACGCCTACTGTTCATACTTTACATAAACTGAAGAAAAGACCAAGGAGATGGGACAGGAGAAGACAGACCGTAAGAGGAAGACTCCTTCTCCAGTCTTTCTTCCTCCTCACAAACCGAGAATTTTATGTGCCAAGTATCGTGATGATGTGATGATATCATGCATTTCGTAAGCTGAAGAAGTTTCTACATATGTCAACGCGTCGTTAACTTGGCACCCCTTGTTTGTATACGCGATGCCGGTCTACATGTGCGCCCACCACTACGAGTACGAGGTTGCAAGTATTGATCGGAATCGACAATAATGCCCGAGTTGCCCACCACAATCTAGAAGTCTTACGGCAGAAGACACCATCAACCTCGACATCCAGGGATGACTCTTCTAATCGTACGCCTTCAATGACCATCCTGGCCAGGCCACGCGCCGAGTCCGCCACCACCCAGCTCAAAGGCCCTTGCGGCCTTTAGTACTCCAAGATCATCCCAACTCTTACCAACTACCTGCATTCCAACAGGGAGCCAGCCATTCCCATTCCGTGCCTTGGCCCATCCACAAGGAACGTTCAGTGCAGGGTGGCCCGAGGTATTGAAAGGGGCTGTGTTGTTGGTCGCGCCGACAGCGAGCTTGATTTTATCCATCACCGAACTCCCACCCTGCGCCTCCGGACGAAGATCAGGGTGTGGCGGCGCAACCGAAGGCGTTGTAGGCGTGATGAGCACATCGTAGTCTTCCAGAGCCTTGTCGTATGCTGCTCGAAGCTCGAAAACGTGTCGATGTGCCTTGGCTTGTGCGCTGGTCCCAAACTTGCCCTTCAGGAATGTCTCACAAAACAGTATATTGACGACAGCAGGATTAGAAGCTGTCAACAGCTCAAACATTTCCTGGTCCGGAGGCCACTTAAGCGATAGGTGCGGCATGTTGTGGTTGAGCACGTCTGGTGTACGGCCACCTACGGCCAGGCTTGCCATATACGTCCTCGTGGCTGCTGTCCAGATGGCAGGGCCCAGCAAGTGCATGGGAACCGATACTTCCTCTACTGTGGCGCCACATGCACCAAAATGTTTTACTGCCGCCTCTTTCACAACCTGCGCCACCTCTGGCTGAGTTCCTAATGAAGTGAGTGACTCGGTGATGATGCCAACCTTGAGTCCTTTGCCAGGGTTCTCTGCTTTCTTTAATTCACTGACATAATCCACGACGTTCTGCCGCAGTGGAGATTCAGGCGACATTCGAGGATCAAGTCCATCATACCCAGCGACGACTGTCAACAACGTTCCGATGTCTTCAAGTGTCCGGGCCATAGGTCCAGTATAGTCAATCATCGGATGCAAACCTGCAATGCCAGTATATGGCACAAGTCCATGTGTGGGCTTCAGACCATATATGCCACAATATGCAGATGGAAGTCGTATGCTGCCCGCCTGGTCTCCGCCCATGCACAAGTCGACATCATCACCAGCATCGTCAAGACCCGGAACCCCAGCAGCTCGCGCTTTGCCAAGTGCTACTAGACACGCACCTCCACTTGTACTTCCTCCGGTGTTGTGGTCGCGTAACCACGGATTATGAACGGGACCATTTGCTGAGGTGTAAGACATGGGCGTCAGAGAATAGTTTTCACATGTTGACGTGCCAACGATGGTCGCTCCAGCTTCCAATAGACGCCTTGTGATTGTGGCGTCGATGGTTGCCAAAGGGTATTTGCCGTCTTTCGAGACGAGTTGGGGAAAGGTTCCACACGTGTGAGGCAGTCCTCCTATTGACATGTTATCCTTCATCACGATTCGTCGCCCCTGCAATATATCTGAGATAGGTTGCTCTGCAACGAGCTGTGCCTGGTGACTCCACGCATTGTGGCTGTTCTTTTGAGATTTCCAGAATTGCCTCCCGCCAGTTGTAGGAACAGGTGCTAACCGTGGGTCGACATAGTCTGGCAGATTATTCACGCTATCAGCGGTCATGTCTGCTGACTGCAGAACGAGGAGGTAGGCTTCTTCATCGGTCTTTGATGTGATTTGAATGTTGTTTTGCGCGGCCACATCGTGGAGTACATCGAGGGTGACGCTCGACCTAGAAGAGTCAGTACAATGTCGAGAAGAGCCTGGATATACATACTGATAGCCGTCTGCTAATGCAACGATAGACATCTTGAGGCACTTTCTCTCAGACTTGAGTTTCTCGGGGCAAAGATGCTGTCCTAGCCCAAAGTCCCAGGAGATATTTGCGATCTGCGAGCGCAGAAGTCCGCTCAATAGCAAATAGTGTTCTCCACAGCCTCTTCCTTGGTCAAAGAAGAGCCGAGAGGTGAAGAGAAACCCCGTAATGTGCATCCGCAGTATATGCGAAGCAGGCAAAGGGTTGAGCTTAGTCCTTGTGCGTTTTGCATAGCAGACCCTGTATAAGAAGGAATCTCGCATGGCTGCTCCTTCAGGTCATGATTAGGTCTGAACCTGGGCTGGTACATCCTCCAGCCAATTCCACTCAACGTTCACTCTTCCCAAGTCCACATCGGCCAATATGGCGAAGGTGTCGACTGTGACATCGAGATCTGTAGGCTGACAACCGACGCATCGATCAACCACAGTCAGGTCGACGCTCTTGTTGTCTCTCCTCGCTCTTATCTTTTTCCCGCACAGGGGGTTCTGGTTTGGATCACTCCCTGTACTCACGGCATCAAAGACACTATGGGATATGGCGACGATCTTGTCGCTGTCCTTGGAGGTGACGCCGCATGCACCTAGACCCGGTCCATAATAGGTCAGGTCACCGGTGTACGGGCCACCATGTCCCGAAGGCAAAGGGAGATTCTGAGAGTGCTTGCGGGTCGAAAGACCTGCGGCAAGACCAATGATCAGAACGAGGACAGCAAGGGCTGTAGCAATGATGATGATTTTGGCTCGTCGGCTTAGATTCTTCCATCTTTGAAGGAGGGCGACTTTGCCAGCCCGGAGCTGAGTTTGATGGATCGCTGGCGCAGGCGCAGGCGCAGGCGGAGGTATGGGTTTGCGATGAACAGTCGCTGACCTGGCAGCTTTCAATGCTTCTCCATTCTCTTCATCCATTGAATCGTGTCTTGCGTAAGGTTTCTTCTGGTCGCCGGGGGTGGTCTTCGAACGGTGCGGGTAGAGGCTGCAATGCGATGTCAGTGTAAGCCCAGATGGCAGACAAGTAGATGTTACAATGGCCAGAGGTCTCTATATGCTCTCTGAAAGGCATTTCAACAAGATCGCGTTCCTTGAAAAAGAGGGATTGATCTCGCTTCGAGGAGGATGCCGATGTGATTGGTCATGTTCCTGGATCTACCCCGGATTCTTGGAATGAGAGGTCAGATCCTGGCTCTGAATCCCAGTCCTCGTAGCCAGCATCATTGTCAGCGTTTGTTTCAAGGCGCCAAATGTTCGTTACACGCAAGATGTGTCGTTGGCATGCTCGAGAGCATTGACCGAGAAGGTCAAGGTCCATCGATAGAGTGAGAACTGGGGTAATAGAGGCGTAAATAGTAAATACCGAGCGCGATCTACACGCGGTCCAAGCCAAGTAAAGTCGTGAACGCCCCTGCCCAGCATTGTTCGAGTATCTTCAGATGCATGTGAAACGTCGGAAACGGTGATTTTTGGTAACATGAGATTAACTGTATGCCTGAATCGTCGCTCGTACCAAACTGGTCTCTTGGTGTCGACTCTCAGCAACTCGAGGGATCCGGCTATGAATTCGGCCGCCATTGTTGATCTTGGTGCCTAGAACAACAGCATCGATGGGTTCATTCCCACCAACACCGACAAGTACTCAACGAGACGTCGCCAGACCGAACGTTCAGACTTATGACAACACTGAAGATTGGCACGCTTTTCCTTCGCCGCCGCCGTCACCTCTCTTTGATCGAGAACTACCAGTCGTGCCCACCAACGGCTCGGGTATGATCACCAGCGATTCAAGCATTGGGAACGACAAATCGGCTCCGGCTCCGGAAACGGCAAAGAAGAACATACGAAGCCAGCGTCGAAAAGTCACATATGTCTCGCGGCATTTCACTACCGACGGATCCAGCGTGGATTCATCACGGACAGAGCGACAACTCAACCATGCTCTCAAAAAGGTCAGCACTGCCATCGACGACATCCGCAAGATCGTGCGAGTCGAGACATGCACACTCGCATCATCTCCAGGCTCACTGGCCAGTCACACTGGATCGCGAATATACTATGGCGTCAACATCGACGAGCTCTCGTCTGACTCGGACCTCACCGACGTGCCCGACGACATAGGACCTGATCCCTTCATCTCGACCACCAACGAGAACTCGACATCCGAGGTGCTATCGAAACCGACGAAACCTCCTCGTCGGCCTACAAAGTCACCATACTTCCCTCACCCGCACAAACACAGACCTACGTTCCTATCGACCTTGCCCTTCCCGCCTCTTTCGCACGCCACTTTTGGCCTGATGCAAGAGAGACTTGCGCACGACCCGTTCCGTCTTCTCATCGCAACCATCTTCCTCAACAAAACTCCGGGAGAGCGCGCCATGCCGGTCTTCTACGAGCTCATGTCGCGGTACCCGACGCCGTTGGCTCTCTCCAATGCAGAAGTAAGCGACATCACCTCGCTCATCTATGTTCTCGGGTTCCAGAACCAACGGGCGCGGAAATGCGTCGCCATGGCCCGAGCCTGGGTCGACCGACCTCCCGAGCGCGGGAAGCGCTACCGAAAACTCCACTACCCTGCCAGGGGGGATGGGAAGGATGTAGGCGTCGACGAGGCGATCGGCGACGAAGACGCGCGCGTCGCGTGGGAGATCTCCCATCTCCCAGGCCTGGGTCCGTATTCTCACGACAGCTGGCGAATGTTTTGTCGAGACCAGCTCCGCGGGCTGAGTACAGGTTGGAACGGCGAAGGCAGCGTCAATAAGGACCATGCACATGCAGACTCCCAAGAAGAACCGCATTCTTTCGAACCGGAATGGAAGCGCGTCGTGCCGTTGGATAAAGAGTTGCGCGCGTGGCTTACTTGGATGTGGATGAAGGAAGGATGGGTGTGGAACAAAGAGACGGGCCAACGCCAGAGAGCGAGTGACGACTTGATGGCAATCGCGAACGGAGGTGGTATTGTCGTCGAAGAAAAGGACTCGGACCATCTCATCGTCAAGAGCGTTGGAGAGGAACACGTCACGGATCTTCAGGGACTGAAAAAGGTTGAACGGACCGTTGGTGACTTTTTGCCCGGAATTTAGCACCTTGGGAGACATACCTACCTGCCTGCAGTACTTGGGTACAGCGAACCTTATAAAACGTGGAATCAGAATCACTTGAATCTTGGATCAAGAGAATAGATATAGGTACTTCGGTAGTATTGTATATGCAGCCTAGGTAGAGAGGTATGCAGCTCCCTTTATTCCATAGAAACATTTTGGATGGCACCAAAATTTGATCAAACAGAGTATAGGACATTTTCCTTTTCCAGGACGGATAGGAGATAGATAGAAGACACACAATGGAAAGTCCTAGAGATCTTCCTCCTCTCCAAGCAGTCGAGACAATCCCGAGACATCTGGTCTGTGATCCAAAGAAGGACCAACGTTGAGGTATGTGTGGGTGGGTGGGTGTTTGTGTGTATGCTTGCAGAGCATTCCAAAAACCAAAACCGACCTGACCAGCTGTTGATACAGGAAGTTTCATACCTTGGACAACCGCAACCACAATCACAATTTTGGCTTTCCTGAGTTCTTCGACTTCATCTTCTTCTCCTCCTCTTCCTTGAACTCCTTCTTCGCCTGATCCTTGAGGACCCTCCTGAGGATCTTTCCCGAGACACTCTTCGGCACGGCATCGACGAACTTGATCCCGCCGCGCAGCTTCTTGTGATTCGCGACCTTGTTGTTCATCCACTGTATGATCTCCTCTGCGTCGCCCGGCTGCACGGCGCCCGCGCCGCCTCTGCGCACGACGTACGCCCTGGGCACCTCGGTGCCGAGCTCGGCGCTGTCGACGCCCACCACGGCCACGTCGTCGACCTTGTCGTGGGCCGCCAGGTACCCTTCCAGCTCGGCCGGCGGGACCTGGAAGCCCTTGTACTTGATCAGCTCCTTGACGCGGTCCGTGATGGTCAAGTTGCCGTCACCGTCCAGGAACCCGACGTCGCCGGTCCTGAACCAGCCGTCCTCCAAGCACTCGGCCGTCGCGGCGGCGTTGTTGTGGTACCCCGTGAACACGTTCGGGCCCTTGACGTACAGCTCGCCGATCTCCCCGCGCGGCAGCTCCTTGGTGCCGTCCGACTCCTCGCCCGGCCCGGGGACGGCGCAGAATTTGGCTTCCAGGTTCGGCACCATGACGCCCGTCGTGCCCACGGCGCTCATCCACCGCTCCCACGGCTGCATGAAGATGGTCGGGCTGGTCTCGCTGAGCCCGTAGCCCTGCTTGACGCGCACGCCCTTCCGCTTCCAAAGCGACTCGACCAGGTCGCGCGTGAGCGGCGCGGCGCCCGAGTTCGTCATGCGCAGCGACCCGAGATCGTACTTGTCCACCACCGGGTGCTTGCACAGCAGCAGCACGATCGGCGGCACGATGTAGCTGAACGTCACCTGCTCGTCCTGCACGAGCCGGCACCATTTCTCGAGGTCGAATCGAGACAGGACCAGCGTGTGGATCCCCTGGAACACCGGCAGGTGGACGAGACAGTTCAGCCCGTAAATGTGGAAAAACGGCAACACGGCGAGGACCTTGTCGCCCTTTCCCTTGGGCGCGTCGGGGATGCCAGGGACCTTCTTGGATCCGTCGTGCGACAAGTGCGGCTCGGCCGCCGTGACTTGCTCGACGTTCGACGTCATGTTGTGATGCGTGAGTCTGACGCCCTTTGGACGGCCGGTCGTGCCGGACGAATACACCAGAAACGCCAAGTCGGTCTTTGGTGATATCTTTGGCGTCCGCCAGCGTGATGTCCCCTCTAGATTGCGAACCATGCTCCAGTGCTTGAATTTCCGGCTTGGGTCGCCGTCTTTGCCCAAGAGCAGGATGTTCGACTCGGGAATGGCTGCTTCCTTGCACGCCTTTTTCGCATTCTCCAGAGCGCTAATGTGAGTGACTAGTAGCTTCGCTCCCGAGTCTTTGAGTTGATAGACGAGTTCCTGGACAGTGTACCCCGGGTTGGCTGGGGAGACGACACCACCCGCCCACAGAGTCCCCCAGACCACCGGCCCAACGTCGATATCGTTGGGCACATACAAAGCCAGCACGTCGCTCTTTCGGAATCCGTAATTTGATTTCAGCCCTTTTCCGAAGTCGGTACTTAATTGCTTTATCTGGGCATATGTATATTTCCTCTCGAGATGGTCGCCATCTTGGAAGATCACTATCGCGTAGCGGTGTTAGTGGCAATGAGATAATGATACGAGGGTAATCTGGTAAGGGACCGTGGCCGGACGAATCAACGTACCTTGGTCGTCAGGAAATGGCTTTTCTTTTCGATCGAACAGCAGCGAAAAGATGTCGGTCACACTGAGGTTGACATCAGGAAAGTTCGACTTGATAGGCATGGTGAGAGGATGCCAGTGCGAGCGACGGCTACTTTGGAGAGACGTTGGGAGAGCGTCGCTTGTGAAGTGACCCTCGTCTAGATATCTAGATGAGCTGTTCGTACGACGCTGGATGCCACGCCAGATGGTCTCGATATGTGTGGCTGCTTACGCCGTGAAGGTGGGAGGGCCCGTTTCGCTAGCAACAATATCCGTAGTATTGATGTCCTCGAAGCCCAGTCCGCGGATGGGGGATCCTGTGGTGAATTTCAACGAGTTCACAAGCCGTTGTTACCCGTGGCCACTCTCATTGCTTGCTTGACAATAAGTCGAAGGGCGGAATTGGTGATGATGGGGTCCGTACAACTCCGTATTCCCAAAACATTCAGATGCCGAGGCTCGGAGAAGCCGGCGGCATCAATCCCCAATCAGACGCCGTCGGTGGCCGATGCGGCAATCGCCTGGTTGATGCCTTGGGCCTCGATTGGATCAGCTACGACTCTCTCGTGCGAAAGAGCCCTTGATCATCCCGATTTCTCGGCCTCGTAGGCGCAAGGCCGGAGTACGAGCACGAGCACCCCCAGGTTTAATACGCTGGAGTTGCCGGTCCGGAGCGGGAGAAGGAAGAGGGCGGAAAGTTTGTCTCCAGGGCGTTCGTGGGCCTGAGAATTCCACTATACTGGGGTGCTATGGTTGCGGATACCCGCAAGTCCGAGTGTTGTCCTTGACTGCTTCGGCCGTAGGAGATGCAATGCACGACACAGTAATTAATAGCAGTACGTGAACAGAACAAAACAAAGGACCAAGACATAACGGTTATAAACGTATATTACATTCTGAACTCAGTATCTGTCATAATCGTATGCGAAGACGCCGTCGCTATGCACAAACATCCTAGGTGTGGCCATATGCAATTCACCACGTATCTTCCCCATATCCAAGGACTTCTACCGCCACGTTTCCGACTGTGGACAAGGCCCATACTGCAATGAGCCCAATTCCAATCTTCCGATCCATTCTCCAGCCATTCAGCGGCACCACAACGAGTAAACCGATCAGGGTAAGGAGTAGGGTGACGCCCGAGATCATGAGTGTCGTGCTCACATCAAGCTCATATGGCTTGTATTTGATCGGTTTGTGAGGATGTCGCGCATGCTTGTGGGTAGCATTTTTGATGGTCATATACATGCCTCCAATACCGATCCCCAGCAAGATATTCAACATAGGTCCTCCGAAGCACGCCGAGAGCGCCATGACAGGATATCCCAGTTTGGCTACAGTGATATCTGCAACCAAATCACCTAGAGAATTGCCAACGGCGAAAATTGTCAAGCCTAGAATGGCATCAGACATGCCGAGAATGACCCCAAGAGCCTTCAGGACTCCAACAACTTCGTTTGCAATCGTCGAGATCCAGGCGATGGCGACGGCAAAGCCCAAAAAGCACAGAAGCGGTCGATACTTTGGCTCACGAAGAGGAGATGTAAGAGACAACAAGATCATGAGTGCAACAAGTGAGAATACCAATGACCCCAAAACCATGCGGACATAGAGCCGAAGGCTATGCCCATCGTCCATGTTGGCCCAGGAAATGGTGACGATAAAGAACGGAGCAGTGAAGACTTGCACAAACACTAGCCACCGATTCCAGTCTTTCGGTTCCGCCGAATCACTTGACATTGGTTTAGAGCTCTTTCGTGAGCTGGATAGTGGTGCACCATACACACCAGATGCCTCGTCCGCGTCATTCGATTTTGGTATGAATTCAGGAGTATCTGGGGCCAGGTCAGCCCGGCTTAGACTTCGTCCGCAGTCGGCCCCATTCGAACGCCGTTGGCCATCATCGGGGGGTTCTGCGTTATCTTCGTTTGGTTCCACAACAGGAAGTGTAACAGTGAGCAGGAAGACACTCGGAACGGTAACGACGCCCAAGATACGATCAATGATGGACTTCTGCCGCCAACCATAGACCGTTGGGAAAAGCTTTGCCACCATCACCTGAGGAGGAGGGAGGTGCTTGTACGGCCACCAGGCATATCTTTCCAGAGATTCCTCTTCGTCATCATCTCCCAGTAGGCCAATATGAGGAGAGGATTCGGGAGACATACTGGGCTCAGGAAGATGAATACTCGGGGGCCGTGATGCGACTGGTGTAAGAAGTGATGGTGAGTCTGTATATGGCGGGAAATCCTCCTGGTGAAATGCAAATCGAGTGTGCTCAGGATGCGGCGTGCGCAACAGAGGTACGTGTAGTGTGGGATGAGAAGTAGGCGATACGGGGGTACGCTCGGCTGTATGATGTTCAGTGGTGTAATCAGGACGGTGGAATGTCGGCGTCGGCGGTGCGAGGAATTGTGGAGTTTTGGGCAGCTCATCTCGGTCAGAGGGTGACTGTGGCAGGTTCCCTGAAGCTGGAGATAACGTCAATTTTGGTGAGCCAGATCGTTGAGCAGAAGGCTCGTTGAGGTTTTGCAAGATATAGCGGCTCGGACGAATCGGCGCTTCGTTGGAAGGGCCGAGCGAGGCCGATTCACTGCTAACAGCAGTGTCCGCAGCGTGGTTGGCAAGAAAGTGAGTGTCAATCTTAAGTTTCGCCGCGTCGTTGGCGGATACAGCTCTCCCGCGACCAGTGGGTGATTGACCTCGAATATCCAAATCCCCCGATGCTGAAAGCTGTGGTTGAGAGGCACTTGGGGCTGCCCCTGGGGTGATCAGGGCCGTGGAGTCGTCCGAGTATCTTCGTAGTCCAATAGGTTGGGTGCTTGCGCCAGTACCCCTTCTCTCCAGCGAGGTCATCAACGACCTGAATTCCAGAGCACCGATCAACGATGGTCGAATCGGAGTCATTGTGTTTCGTCGTTCGCCTCGACCTGGCCGGCTAACTCTCATCCTGCTTTGCACTTCGGCGAGATAACGATCCCGAGTTTCATCATCGTCATCAAGGTCCTCAACTTTCCACGCAGGAGTCCCAGGTGTCCTCAAGGTGGGGATGGTTTCGCCTGAGGTTGACCGTAGCAGGTTGGTCCGTTCGCTAGCCGGTCGGGCTTCCTCGTCTTCCTCGAACTCCGGCACTTCGAGCTCTTGAGTATCCGGGATGTGGTGATGAAGCCTCGCAGCGGTTTCGGCCAATTTCACCCTCCTTCGTCTGGTCAGCCACCAATGCCATGTCACGACAAAGATGACGTAGAAGACGTAGAAGCCGATCATAGTAGCACACTCCCAGAGCTTCAGACTGCCATCAGCCAGAAAGACCAGACTAAAGCTTGCTGCCACGGCAAAGAAGCCAACATCCCGAACGAAACTCTTCCTGGCGACTTGGAAGGGCGCAACGAGCGCCATGCTTCCTGCGACCACGGCGGAGATGAAGCCAGCTGCGCCCATCAATTCGCCCACTGCCAGACTCCCGCTATTGCTACTCATAGCCGCGAAGGTTGAAAACACATCTGGGCTTCCATTGCCAAACGCCAGGAACGTCACTCCTGTCAAGCTCTCACTCATGCCAAGTATGCTCGCAATTGTACTCAGGTTGATGCAGAGAAAGTCGGAGGCTGCGATTCCGATAGTGCTGAAAAGCATACTGATCCATAGCACCAAGATGGTGAAGGCAACGGGCTTCGCATCGGCAAGAGAGCAATAATAGAAACGGAGGTAGGATATGAGGCCCGCTTCTTCGTCGGGGCAGTTTTCTTTTATAAACGCGCATTTATCTTTGGCCTTGTGAACAAGTCGACACTACACTAGCAGTCAGATAAGGTGCGGTCGCAACAGCAGGAGAAGACAAACCTCGAGATCGCGCCCCTCGAGTGAACGAGCTGCGAGGGATGTAGTAGAGGCATCATTTCCAAAGCCTCTCAGGTAGCTATAACATGCAAATAGAGTAAGGATCAAAATTGCGATATAGAACGGGCGACCTTGTTGTCGCACCGTGCGCCTGCGGACTGGAGGGTTCGGGATTGCCATCTAGAGTGACGGCAATGCATGCTGGGTGTCGAGGCAAAAGGCTACATACACCGGAGGAAGGATATTATTTGACAAGACTGTACAAGATAAGACTGGAAGGAGGTATGATGTAGTAGAGAAGGATGAAACGAATGTCGCCTGGATCTTGTTCCAGTCGCGGCCAACTCACTCCACCTGCGAGTCCGAGTTACAGGGAACGAAGATCACGATATCGGAACAAAGCCTGCGGAGGGACAGGATGGGAATTCTTAGCTGCAGGCGAGCCAAGCGGAGAGAGCCCATGAGAGGCCTCCAAATTAGTGCTGGGCTCCCAATTACTGGTCGGAGAGCCTCACTAGGCTACACCTATAGGCTATGAGCTCCCTTAGTGAGCCTAGTGAGCCTAGTGCGCCTGGGCTCTAGGGGTGGTTCTGAGTAAAAAAGCTATAGCCAAGCGAGCCCTCACCCTTCCCCTCCGCAGGCTCAGTTCCGTCGTCATTATGCATCAGGGTTGGCACAGCCACATCGTTGATCCCCATCATTTCTCTTCCTGGCCTTATCTCCCCGTACAGGCCTGGGCTCACTAGGCCACATACGAGTACAAAGAGCTCTCTCACCATGGCAAAGACGTACCTGACACTCGCGCATCGTTGTTGATCCCTCCTGTTGACGTCTCGAGCCCAGATGTCGATCCGAAGGTGGTGTTCTGTCTCTTCTTCTCCATGCGTGAAAAACACGTTGTCTCCCATTTCCAGTTGCCATGGTCTCCAGCTGGAAGCGGAAGGGTAAGACGGTCTAGAATGCATCTCCAGCTAAGTTTGGTCAAGCCGAGGTTATCTTTCCACCGGCACCTATCAGCCCATCTCATCTCATCTCATCTCCCCCTACTATAATTCTTGGATTTACTGGATCGGGAGCCGATTCTCGGTGTACAAGGAGTTTCTCATCTTGCGACATCCCACAATGTTATAGCATCTCCCGTCTTCTTTTTGCACTTCGCTGGCTTCCTCTACCGTTCAATCCTCCCCTTTAGGCCTTTGCGACCATGGCGCCAACATTCGCCGATGTTGTCCCTATCAAGCAGATCTCGTCGCATCAGTACACACTGACCCTCGAGGATGAATGGTGTATAGGCACAGGTACATATGCTCTCTGCCTGTCAACGATGACTATGAATCCTCTTGTCCAGTCGCAGTTCTCTGACATCCTATAGTCCCTAATGGCGGCTACGTAACATCGTCCTTCCTCGTCGTCGCCCGTATGCACATGTCCCTGACGCACCCTCGCCGCTCCGAACCACATCCTGTCAACCTTCATCTCGAGTTTCTGCGGCGTACTTCCGTCGGCCCAGCACTTTTCACCGTCAAAGATGTCAAACTAGGCAGTCGCATATCGAATCTGCACATCGTGCTCTCCCAGCCCTCGAACCCAGCCGACCCTGCGTCTTCGTACATCGACGAGGCCGAAGGCTACATAACCATGAGCAACATCAGTACCGAAACAGGCCTCTCCCTACCGACATCCTACGCCCTCTACCCTCCCCGACTGCCCGCCGATCTTCTCACCCTCGCGCGATCGGGGCGCGACGAAAACTACACTTCGCGCCCCAGCGACCCGTTCCCCCAATTCCGTCGCGCAGCGCAGAATATACAAATGTTTCTTGTCCGCCCGGCGAGCCGGCCTGACAATCACCCCAAAGCTATGAACGACCAGTGGGTACGGTTCGCGCCCGGCAAGAAACCCACGGGACGCTGGACGAACGACGCGCTCGGCTTTCTCGTCGACATGTTCCCGCAGATCGTCGAGAAATACGTCAATCCTCACATCGAGGAGGCCGAGCTGGGCCAACAGTCTCGAGACGAGGCCAATACCGGTGCGAGAGCGAAGTACTGGTATCCCACACTTGTGCTGAACCTGGACGTGAAGAAACTTTTGCCCGAGGAGGGTGTGGAGTGGTTGTTTGTCCGAGTCAAGGCCAAGGCCATACGTAACGGGAGGTTTGATCTGGACGTCGAGGTATGGGATACGGACAATGAACTAGTCGCCACGAGTTCTCATGCGAGTCTTATCGTGGATTCTTCGAGAAACACCACGAGAAGGGGAAAGAAGGCCTCTAAGCTATGAGCACCCGAAAAGAAAAGTGAAAAGAAGAAAACGAAATAATAATGCTACTCCTAACCTGCAGGTAGAACGACTAACGTCGCATGTGCTAGATTTATAGAAGGCCATCTACGACTGTACTCCATCTCCAGAGAAATCAATGAAGTGGCTAGCATGCAACATATCTGATAGAAACATATTACGCAGGTTGATTCAAGGTAGCGATATGTACACGTTTTTCAGGTCCTCCTTCATACGGAAGGGAGAGACTGATCTGGATCTGCATTACAGCTGGCTCAGTGTTCCCCGCATGGGTAGGTCGAGAAAGGGGGAAATAATTCTGCCAGACCATGTCCGCCGCATCGTAAATGAAGTATGGTCATGGTCACCGTCACCGTCATGCTTTATAGCAAAGCTGCAACCCCCAAGGCAGCAGCACCCACAACACCGGTCCAGTCTTGGGCCAGGAAGTTCGCCGCACCAGAAAAGGTCGAGGGGGCCGGTGCGGCACTGCTAGCCACGCTCGCGCTGCTTGTCGCGGTCGGCGCAGGGGTGGTAGCTGGAACGCTGCTGTTGGCCGAGGCAGATGGGAGAGGGATGGTGACGTTGGCCGAGGCGCAGAACTGCACGGCGAACTGGAGGGTGGCTGGATCGACGATATACGGGTTAGAGTTTAAAGGAGATGAGAAAAGGAGAGAGAGAGAGAGAGAGAGAGAGAGGAAAACAAAGGATCGAGGACATGTATTTGTGTCTGCGGGTGTACGTTACCTTGTTGATCAGCTTGGTCGCAAGCACCTTGGATGCAGGTCTCGACACCGCTGAGAAAGGTGGTGGCCGTGCAGATGCATTTGACGTCGGTCAAAGCGCAGCCAGTCGACCCGATGGCGCCAGTGGCACAAGTAAGCTGTCGTATCGAGTTGTCAGAACAAGAGAGGACATGATGGCAGCCTTTCTCTCTTGTTTTTCTCAAAGGGGCCATGCCAGGGTTCCAGAGCAATACTTACGGCACATGGTGGCAGGCTGGACAGGTCCTGAGTTGCGGCCAGGTTGACGAGGGCGAACAGGCCGGCGGAAGCAAGTGTGAAGCGCATGGTGGCAGGCTGTTTTGGGTGATTGTGCTTGTTTATTTGTTGTCAACGAAAGTGTTGGTGGTGGTGGTGGTGGTGGTGGTGGTGTGGTCAGTTCTTCGTCCGTAACACACAACTCAATGAACGAGCGAGATGGAGTCAAGACGATTGCGGTCGCTGGTAGATGTAGCCTTGAGTGAACGAGAAGACGAAGGAGGAATGACAGACAAGGTCGGATTTTCAGCAGTAGGAGACAGCGAGGAAGGGTGCTCTGGGTTTATAAGGTACCAGTCTTAGGCAGGTCAGAGATAGAATACCCTAGCTTATAGGCTTTTTGTTTTTCTTCTTGACTGCTGGCAAAGCTTGGAGAAACGTTGACTTGGGGGGTTTTGCGGGAAGCATGAACGAACGAACGAAACAACGAGCAAGCAAACGAAGTGTGTCCTGCTACCGGGCGTGTCATGCCATATGGCAGATACACCGACGGCGAGGGGAGGTCAAGGATTTTAGCTTTAATGGTCACGGACCTTGCCCTGACTGAGGGGAAGAAGAGGCCGAAGCTGGACAGGGAAAGCGGTCGATAGGGACCTTGTGGAGAAGGGGATGGCGATGGACCAGTGACGGTGCATCAGTGACGGCTACTGAGGCTCGAGTGAGATCGATGGTACCGATTTGGCCTTTTAGTCTGGCTAGTAGTGGGTAGTAGCTTCAGATTCAGGTTCAGCTGGGTTTCGCGCAAGCCCGACGAAGGAGGAGGAAGAAGTGGTGGAGGATGGTCTCCCGTGTCTCTGGGACAGGATGGAAAATGTCGTTCTAGACCAGAGGGTAGCGGCGCTAGATGATGACTGGGACGAATGGGGAAGAAGTGAGGCTTTGGGAGGCTGGTTGTCGAGGTTGGATGATTTGACGGATCAACAGAAGAGGAGCACAGACTCACGAGCCAACGAGTAGTAGAGTTTCTGGGCTTCTGATAACAGACTGCCTGGATGAGTTAGTTACAGCAGACTACGGGGGCTTTTAGTTCGTCTTAAATCTGTGCGGGATGATTTTGCGGAGACAAGCGACAGTGAAAAATACCCGAAGAGGAGGAGGAGGAAGAAGAAGAAGAAGAGGGGGAGATCGAGGACAACACAAAGGACCTCGATTCCTCAGACAAGCGGCGAATTACATAGGAGTCAATGGGCTACAGAGCAGTACCTCGTACAATGCCTTCATTGATTGACTGGTTTCTCGCTCGCAGGACACAAACGGTCAAGTCTTACACCCACGAAGATTCCATTTACACAGGTAAGTCGGTAGTATCTACCTATTAGCTCGTCGACAGACACATGTTCACTTTTTGTGCTTGCACACTATCGCCTCATCGCCCTCGCTCTCGTCTAGCAGCCAGCTCTCACTTTCATCCGGCCCACCTCGCGGGCATACTTAGTATATTTAAGAACTTCTGACGCTGGTAGCGCTGTCATGAACCCTCCTGGATCAACGTCGGCTCTGAGACGCAGATGGAATCAGCCAAGGAGGCAGAGACCAAGTAATGCTTGTCGACAGAGGCGCTCCGGGTGTATTCGCCGTGGCACTTCAACCTCCACCTCTGGAACTCTCTGACGTCTCGACTGTGTCGTTGACTCGGGCGCTGCTACTAGCTCCAAGGCCCGGACGATCTGCGCCGGGTGTGCGCACATTCAATGGGCGGAGAGGGATCTGTGTTCATCATCGGCATTGTTGCTATGTTCGATTTCGGACGAACAAAGCCAATATTTGGAAGGGCAGAACCGCCTTTTATCGAAAGATTCTTCGCGTGTGAGCGCGACAGGTTGTGAGGTCACGAAACATTCATTCGTCGATCCGCACAGACTTGCTGGCAGAGCAGCGTGGTGTCAATGCGTCGTCGTCCAAAGCCGCCGCATCAGGGCCGCATATCAGCGCACCTCATCCAGTCTACCAAAAGTCTGCCATTCAAACAGGAGACGACGTCACTGCCGCGCCAAACCCACTCACGACCGAAATGCCGCCAGCTACAGGTCCAAAGACAGATTGAGCAGAACCAGAGCTTCACTGTGGCTAGATGCCTTTTGAAAGCAGGCCAACCCGCTGTCGTCCCCGGCGTCCGCGGGGCGAAACTCGCCGTAGGTAAAGAGATCGGCATGGTTCTTCCGAAGTCGAAGGAGGTTCTTCCAGAAGGGCAACACGCTGTCCTTGTCGCCAATCTGCCTTCCAACGTTGATTTCGGCATAGTTGTCATTGATGCGCATCCAAGGCCCCGTGGTGGAGGTGATAAAGCCCTCGTGGGCGCCGCTGGTCGACTGCATAGGGGCGCGACTGTGGTCTCTGGCCAGCTTGCGAATGTTGTCCATGGCGTTTTCCCGAGCCTGGGGGTCATGAGCCGATTTCTTCAACTCCGACTCCTAGTAACGTTGCGTGGACTTGTCCTTACCCGTCCGGGATACTCGGAGGGCGCCGGCCATGGCTCCCTTTGCTGTTCTTTCTTTCGACAGCCATCATCATGGAGGGTTACGACATCGACCTGATCACCTCCCTCCTCGACCGCATGGAACTGCCTCGGTAGGACGGCTATCCTGTTTCTGAGGTCGGCTCGGCGGTCTTTCTCTGGGTCTGGATGTTTCTACGGCCCCCCAGAGATCAAACGATCGCTCTTTTGTCTTTTGCCGAACCCGACTTCTTGTTGTTCTGATATTTGACTAGGATGGAGGAAAAGGTCGAGGCTAAGCTTACCCTGTGTGGACCGAAATAGACTAAAAGGACCTCGCCTGGACTGCCAGCGTCTGCCTCCAAGCGTGCCTGTAGACCTTGGGCAATCTACCAGCATCTAAAGTGATCATACCAAGAGTTATTGTTTCATCGTGTTTTCATTCATCTTCTACTAATTTCTAGCTCTGACGCTGGAGGAACACAGTGAATGAGACGGCCTGGTGGTCACAATCACCCCAATTCGAGACGGCCTATGAGAAGTTCTTGTGTCCGCTTCTTTCGCATCAACGGACCACCTTTTTTGTTCTTTGGTCTCTCAACCCTCACAGCAGCCCCTCCCTTACTGCGGCGGTGCTTTTCTTTTCGAGAAATTTACATTATCCTCCCGTGTGTTGGAGGGGCCAAATGGTTTACCACATGTGAGCGACCAATACTTTGACAATGCATACCAGGCATAGTTATCGGCATTCCCAACGGACTGCGACAGTCCCATGACAGGATCTGGAGGAAGTGCATTGATCAGTCGTGCATAGTAAGGTCCGTATCCGTTTGGCGGGCCTCCTGACATGCCTGGTGTGGCGCCATCGGGGAAGTCACGAATCCAGCCAGTGTGCTGGATGGCCTTCCAATTCGGTATGTCGTAAAACAGCGGTTGGAAATGCATCAGCTCGTGTAGAACCCAGGAACCAAGCACCTCCATGTAGCTATTGTCGTGGTCTCCGAATCCATCACAGCCCCATCCGGGTAAAGGCTGCCCATTCGGGTCGTTGTTCGCTCTAGCCCATGGCGGCGGATTGAACGTGTCCTCCAGAGTCAAGAATCGCTCGAACAAAGTTCCTCGACAGAGAGACATGTAACCAAAGGGAGACGCAAAATACAAGTATCCAAATATCCCATCTCCGGGCAATTGCATCTCACATGTTCTCTCCGACCACTTGGGATTGTCTCCGTACGCTATGCTTAGCTGGCTGTACCTAGGGTTCAGGGATCCGGTGTTCAACACATGTTCGACATTCTGGCTGTCAATGGTCAAGTCCAAGGGGATGTTTGCAACTGCCCTAAAGACCTTGTGTACAAAGATGAAATCCTGTGGTTGAAAGTATCTCCGAAAAGCCTATTTGTCGGTGTCAGAAATGATGGGACTTTTTGAGTGCTTGGGGGAGTGTGTGCGGTGTCTCTTACCGGATCACATGGATCTGCCAGTGCTACTGCCGTCCTCGCAAGCTTGAGTGCGTCTTGAAATGCATGGGTGAGCTGTTCATATACCTTATTGTCGGTTCCTTCGGGTATCAAAAAAACGGGATACTGTGCCAAAGCCATGCGCAAGGGCAGTAAGAGGGCAAGGAGAGGTAACAGCTTCATGGTGGTGTGGTGTTCAGCTCGACGATTGTTTCATTCAGACAGTTGTATGAAGGTGTTTGCGATCAAAGAAGAGGATCACAGAGAAGGTGTTTGCGATAGACTTTCAAAAGGACAGGAAGAGAGAGCACAAGTTTGTGAGGAAGGTGGTCGCGACAGACTCTCAAGAATCAGGGAGAGAGAGAGAGAGAGAGAGAGAGAGAGAGAGATGTTTCTCAATCGTTGAACTCTGACAAGCTTTAAATCTGTATAGTTGAGTAAGTGAAGGAATTGCGACACCGCGACGTGCAGGAAGCAAAAGACTGCCTGTATTCACGCTCACCGTCGCGTTAATTTTCCTTCACACATGGCTCAAAGGCAGCGAGCAATGCCTTGTCACCCTCTCTTTTGCATCCGTCGTCAGTTCATAACTTCATTGCGGCCAAATCCCATTATCTCTCTCTACGCTGCATTCTTTCTTCGACGTTCGCATTCTTGTCGCAACATCTGAACAAGTGATCTGGACGCAATGGATCTTGTTACGCCCACGTTGCCACCGTTACCGCCCTCTCTTCCCGCTGAATATCTCAGAACAAGGAACGTGCAAAAGGAGGCAGACGGTAAGTTGAATATCATCGTTTACCTCATGCCCTCCCACGACCACCGCATGCGGTAGTTCACAAGTGGCGACAAGAAAGAAAAGCCAGAACGCCCAAGCCAATGGAATGAATAACTTGACCAGCACTGACCTAAAACTCCCTTTGGTAGAAACCAAATTCGAACTCCTCAACAAGGAAATCGACGCTCTGAACAATCCATTGCTCGAACCCCTTCTCCCGGCCGAAGACGACGACACCATCAGGAACAGCGAGAGGGACATCAGCTCGGCGGCGTTTCGGGAGACCAACGCTGAACTAGGCGTCAAGGAAGGCGAGAGCTACGAGAACCTCGCCCGTGCCCAAGCCCTCGTGTGGTTCACCAAGCTCGAAGAGAGGTTCGAGGAACGCAGCACCAAACTTCGCGCCGACGCCCTTTCGTACTCGCTCCAGCACGTCATCGGCCGCACCAACCCTACCCGCTTCAACGAGTACCTTCAGGCTCGCGCGAGATTGCGGTACCACTACCACAGCGTGCGCCAGGTGATGAGAATGAAGAAAGCTTACGTGGAAAAGAAGGAGAAGGAGGAAGAGGTCATCGAGTCCCGCCGCGCACTGTCGTACGGAGAAAAAGTCATGAAATGGCAGGCAATGGTGATGTCGAGGAGGAAGAGACATGCGAGCTATCTTGCTTCCGTCAAGGCTCGACGAGCTTCGAAAGGCGCTCAAAAGCGCACCGGCGCAGAACAACGTACCGGCTCAGACCAGCGCGTCGGCACAGATGATTCGGGCCCTTGAGCCAATGTTATCTTTGGGAATGCCGTAATGATCATGGAGATGATGGTGATGGGGGGAGTCAAAGATGATGATGGTGATGGTGATAGAGAGAGTGAGAGGCCACAGACGGTGGTGATCAAGAGAATCAGAAAAAAGAGTTTCTCGTCTGCTAATGGCAGATCACAGGCAAGGCCAAGATTCGTGTGTTGTGCCTGGGAAGGGCTAAAAGTTACGGTGGCTGGCGAGGCTGAGATACCCCTGACGAGGCTGTATCACGTGCACTCGGTAAATTGTACCCTCAGGTTACCTGGTACTTGTACTCCGTAATTATAACTCTCTTCCATCGGGGTGCGGCATGGAATTGTCAATATCGAGAAGGCGTACCATTCTCAAAGAGGTTGTGACTGTTTCCGGGCTTTAGTCTCGCCCGAGTCGGTGCCCCCTCAATTGTAGGGGGGCTACCAGGATGCGCAGAAGTACTTGTGCGGCACGTGGTTCGGTCGTAAGTCGTCAATATAGTTTGCTGGCTTGGTCATGTATGCACAGTACGAGTGAGCTGAGGAACACAACGGTGAGGCGGGAAAAGAGGGCGATCACAGTGCGAATTGTGGACTGTGACATAGTGGATATGGGTTCTTAATGCCTGCTACACTTCGACGATAATAACAACCGGTCGCCTTGGTTGTTTCCATGTACATTTTGGATGTCCCGAGTCATCACCTTTCCCCGCGAGCTACGTTTCCTCGTCCTGTCCTCTTCATCAATCATCATCTAGAGACTAGCCCCTCGCGGCAAGAATGATCTTCTCCTTCTCCTCGCTTCGAACCCTGAAAGCAACCGGAAAGGGTTTCGGCCCAAACAACCTCGTCGGGGTATAATTCCACACATCGTACTGGACCGGCTGACCGGTAACCTTGTCCACGGCAGGAAGGACGTCGAACGCCCATAGCAGCCTTGCCGTCAAGATGAGAAGCGAATTTTCCGCCAGATTGTAGCCTGCGCACACGCGTCGTCCGGCGCCGAAAGACCAATGATCTCGAAGCTTGACGTCGTTGGTGTGGATGCATTCTCCTGCCGTGAGGCCGTTGACTGGACTGTTGTAGAATCGATCAGGGTTAAATCGTTCCGGGTCCGGGAAGAGTTCTGGATCGAAGTGCAGAGCCCTGAAGAAAAATAGAGTTCACACAAGGTCAGCTTTCTCTTCTGCACAATCCGGTTGTCGCAAAATCCAGACACATGTTGAACCGGACTTACCAGTGATTGATGACTACCGAGGTACCTTTGGGAATGAAATAGTCCTTGTAAACAAGATCGCCCTGTGGCAAACCCAGAGTTAATCATCTTCATACGACGTGGGAAGTTTGACGCTAGATTGTGAAGCAAAAGAAAAAGAAAAGGGGCGTTGTAGCGACATACCGAAGTGACGTGACGGACGTGGTCGTTACTGACACTCCGCCAGCGGAGGACTTCTTTGACCATTGCTCGAATGTACGGCAGATTCGACATATCCTCAAACTGGGGAAGACGATTTCCCACTACGGCGTCGAGTTCTTTCTGTGCCTTGGGAACAACTTCCGGATAGGCCACCATCGCCAGGATCATACTGTTCATGGACAACTGCGTTGTGTCTGGAAATAATACGAAAGTAAGCCTCGGGTGTATTTTCGGTTGACCTGGGCCCGCTACGAGGAGCCGAATAAAACATTTCTGAAGAGAAAGTCCACATACCACTTCCTGCTTCAATCATGCTTCCCGCCACATAGGCGGCCTGGACTTCAGAGATGCCCATAGCGAGGTAATCTTCTTCCTGGAACTTTTCGGCGAAACAGCCCGTGCGAACGCCGGCGTTCAGCTGCTTTTTGAGATCGTTCCACAGACCCATCCAGAGCTCGACCTCCTTCTGGTGGTACGCTTCCCACTTTGGACGCCACCACTGCAGAGCCCTCGGCAGGTACTCTAGCACAGGATACTTGTCGACGTTGTGGATCTGGCCCGCGGCCTCGGAGAAGTGGCTGAGCTCATCGTAGATGGCGCCCAGCACAGGGTCATTGAGATCGAGAACGCGTCGGCCGTAGATGGAAAACATGATGACACTCGACGTGTACCTTTTGACATGGCTGAGGAAGTTGTCCGGGTCCTGGAGGACGTCGAGCAGGTACCTATGTGACTCGAGACTGGAAGACGGCTTCATGGCGTCGGCCGACTTGATGCTCAGGCAGCGGTGCGCGATGGCTCGAATATTGCGCCACTGTTTGCCATATGGCTTTTTGTTGTAGAATTAGTTAGAACAGCTTATCAGAGACACAACAACAAATCAGAAACATCGCAAGGACTTCAGACACAACATATGCGTAGCTCGTACATACCATGAGCAGCATCCGGTAGCCACCAGAGAGCAGGTTCAGAACTCGGAGCGCCGGTCGACTTCCAGTCACGGAGCCATTCTTGTCGAATATTTCCTGATTCGGAAAAACGGCAAAGGGTGTTAGCAAATTTGATAAGCATTTTCCTCTCGCGACGAGTATCATGTAAAGTGAGCGAGTGAGGGTGTGTGAAGTTGCAAAGGGACGCATGTCATGACAATCACAAACCTTGACGGCTTCCGGCGAGCTCACAATCACCCAGCGCTCGACACCGGTTCTGATCTCGTAGATCTCGCCATGCTCTCTGGCCCACTTGACGAGAGGATTCTGACTGGGGTTGTTGCCCACTTGGGCACCCCAGAGATGAGCATGGCCACCGAGCAAAGTCGCGCCCGGCGGCTGTGGTGGTCTTCTGAGTCCCTTGGGCGTGCGCGGGCCACGGATACTAATCACTTCCCACGCGACGACGGCGACCACTGACAGAAAGGCGATGGCGACAAAGAGTGAGAAGCCGGGCGGGGCCGTCAGGAGGGTACTGGGTATATTGATCATTGCAGTCTTATGCTCCGATGAGGCCGGACATGGGCGTCATCTGCCGGTGTCCTAAAGCAGAGACAATTTGATGAGGTGTAATGGCTCTGAGTATGGCACTGTGACGATGGAGAGGTCTGTCTGTCGACCAAGGACTTACTACTAGGTAGAATTAAAGACTATCAAGACCATGACAAGACTCTCGCTCCCCCAACTCCCCACATTCTCCGATCTAGATTCAAGATGCCCCACATTGTGGTTTTCTGGGGTTGTTGTTGCTTCGGGAGCCGCACCGCGTTGATTAAAACTATTGTTACTGGAATTCTGGTTGGAGGAGACGACGGTGGGTACTATTTTCCCCAACATCGGCCTTTTCTGTTTGATTTGCACATTCAGAAGTACTGAATCATGGCGCCATTCCAGCAGCACGATCCTCCCATGCGCCAGTGGTTGGCCTCACGATGGTTAGTGATCTCGTGGGTACTTTACTCACGAAGAGACTGAGGGTAGCCGGTCTTCTAATGGATCCCTCATTTGGACCGGTGCTCTCATTCGGCATGATGTTGACCTGCGCAAAGAATCTGATGTTTGTCCAAAGAAGGGCGTCGTCTTTCTGTAAGGCCCCCTGCCCCAGCCTTATCAGGTGACAAGGCTAAAGCGTGCTGTTGTCACCTCGAGGCCAGCTTTACCGTCAGGGTTCATCGCTGAATTGGTCATCTTTCATCATACGCCATATCGTGAATCAGTCACTATTGGGGTCGGAGGATCACTAGACTTGTCTTCCCTCAAGATGATTTGCATGCCGCAACTTCCACATGTATCGCCTACGTGAAACATCTTCAGTGTCGGCCTTGGGCGTCATTGCCAACCCTGCGAACATATTCAAGGATCCATCTTTCCAGGTCTCGATTCCCTACCGAAAGCCGCAACAAACTGGAGAGACCCTGGTAGGTGGGCCATATGGATCCAAGGCGTGCACCAAGGATGACAAGGGAAAAGTCTGCCTACGTTGTTGGAGATGGTCGCTAACGGGCGTGCGAGATACTCGGAAATTGGTGGAGGGCTCAGGCGGACATCAAAACAGTCTCCTAGGCAAGCATTGGGGATATCCTGCCGAGATGCTGGATGCGGACTGTCCAATGTGCAGACTGTTTGGCATGCACTCGGAGGACTTTCAATCGATCAACGGCCCAATGCAGGGTCGTCGTTACGACCTGCGAGAGCTGACCTTTACTGTCAAGCTGCCTCAATCACGCAGCTCCGGACACTTAGCAACAACGGCGAAGTTCTGGTACCTCGTTCCTTCATCTGCGCCACGTTCTAACTTTGCACAACTAGCCGGCTCTGGTTCCTGTATCGGCCTCGCAGATGGCCGAGACGGGAGCGCCGCATCACCCTCCGACCATTTGATGCCGGTGCTCATTGATCCCAACACCATCAACTACAACACCATAGAGACATGGCTTGCTCTTTGTGATAGGAACCACCGAGGAACTTGCGACTTTCTGCCCACAGAGACCGTGCCCCATCTTCGTCTGATTGACTGTCTGGCACTACCTCCAAAACTTGTAGATGCCATGCCGCGTCGGAAGTACGCTGCGTTGAGCTACGTATGGGGGCGTGGAGGCGTCAAAGAGCAACTCGAAGGAGACACCGTCGTGTGGCGACTGCTCCCGCAGACCATCCGTGACGCCATGACGGTCACCCGGAAACTCGGCCTACGCTACCTCTGGGTCGACAGATATTGCATACCGCCGCCACTCTTGCAAGAGCAAATCAGTAAGATGGATGTCATCTACAGCGGTGCCGAACTTGTCATCGTCGCGGCCGCCGGTGGTGACATCGAGTACGGCCTTCCAGGTGTAGGCGCCAGGAAACGGACCCAACAACCGTACGCGACTGTCGGAAAAGACGTGTTCGCGTCTACACTAACCGACTTCGACTCGATGATGCACACCTGTTCATGGTGGAAGCGTGCCTGGTGCTTCCAGGAAGCCTTGTTGTCTCGCCGCCGGCTCATCTTCACCGACGAAAAGGTCTACTTTCTGTGCCGCAACATGCTGTGCGTCGAAACCCTGAGCATACCTTTCGAGGACCCCTCGCACCGACCTCGCACGAGGATGGACTCCTCTACGGGGTTCTTTGACTGGCTCGTCACCGGAGGTTCATCCCGCGAGAACCCAGACCAGATACGGGCCATTCTCTCAGCATACTCCGGCAAGGGCATGAGCTTCGAATCCGATGGCCTCAATGCCATTGCGGGCGTGTTGCGAGCCTTCGCAAGAGTAGATAAAAGGGGACTGGAATTTCGCAGCTACGGAGGTCTCGCTATCACGGGACCTCCCACCACCAATTCCTTCGTATCCGCACTCCTGTGGGCTCATTGGATACCCAGGGGCAGGAGACCGGGCGGGTTCCCAAGTTGGTCCTGGGTCGGCTGGACGGGAAGTTTTCGCGCCAGCTCCATCTCCAGAGAAGTCGACCACGAGATGGAAGCCCTCCTGTTGGAGGGAGACGGCACGACGACCGTCAGTTGGGAGGGCTTTGTGGCTCGCAGTCGACCTGACGACGGCATTTTCCCGCTGTCGCTATACATACGACTACACGCGCTGACCTGCATGGTGCAAGTGTGCTATCGTCCCTCTGCGGGAAAGGATCAGAGATACGTCGTACCCGTGCAGCGACTTCCTGGAGGCAAGGTACGCTACGCAACTGTGTCTCTTGGGTACGCTTGCTCCGACACAGGTGGACTGGACGACGACGACCTTCATGTGGCCCTTGTTCAACGGCCCCAGAAATGCGTGCTGCTCGTGCCTCACGATGACGCGCGGAAGCTGTCTGGCATTGCGCTTCTCGTGCGCAAGGTAGGAGATGAGCACTATGAACGCACGGGAATGTTCCAGTTCGAGTATTTCGGTAATGTTTATGATGAAATGGGCAATTACGACAGCTTCTTGTTGAGCACTGATGAAAGAGCGGCCGTTGAAGGGTTCGATTTTCAAAGGGAGTGGATATGTTTGGGCTAGATACCTTGGGTCCCGGTTAAATGTAGTGCACTCGTCATTCCTCTCGCTCGTTCGTAAACCATGCACGGTTCCCCAAGTGTAGATACATGAGGCATAGAAATACTATTCACTGGTTCACTATGATATCGATACACTGTTCTCACATTCACGTCACGTCACGGTGCCTTTCTTTTCATTGGGCAGGACAGAATAAGTCGAGAGGGTCATTCGTGTTGAAGTATTCTTCGATTCTTCAGGACGACCGAGTACGGTTTTAAAACAAAGCCCGAGGACTCGCGTGGCCCGCTCAGCATTGCTGCTGGGTTCGTAGTTTTAGTATCATTGCCTTCGTATTTGCCCTTCTATTTTCATTTTCATTGTCATTTCCACTTTCACTCTCACTTCTTTTAGACTATCGTTCCTCAGCCCTCTTCAAGAACGGCACGATAGCCCGCAGGAAACCTCTTCGGTTGACTGATGCCCGCCGTACATGTCCCCGCGCGTCTGGCACCAAGACCTTCTTCGCCACGGGGGATCTTGTTCTTAGCCCTGTGCTCGATAAAAGTTGTGCATAGTCTATCAAGGTGGAATTTGAATGGAAGTACTGTTGTCAGCTTACTCGTCTCCCGAGGCCATGATTCAAGGTAATTCACGCTGACCATCAAATAAATTCTCAAACAAGACCATGTCAACCCCTTGTAACATCCAGTCATCCGAGACAGGCATGAATTGGCCTTCTACATCAAAATCAACATCTCCCCCATTCAACCCCTGAAATGTCTGGTCTAACCCTGTCGGCAGCAGTTCTTCTCTCAGGCTGCTGCTGTGCGTTGAATCACAGGCAAAAGTCACCGGCGGTGGCGTTCTCAGTGGGACGTCTCCTTCGGCCAAAGTGAAAGAAGCGTCCCTACCAAGGGTGCCGGCTGCGCCTGAACTTGTCGTCGTCAACGGTGGTCGGGTAGTCCCCTCGCGGGATCCCGGTCCTCGTCTCACATATCCAGCTGGCTCTACCTGAAAAGTCCCAATATGTGGAATGTCGACACGTAACACGTCAACCCTGGTATCGGGGCCATCGCCACTCAAAAGGTTATCGTGGTCCGCCTGAGTGAACGTCAGACTGGCGTTATAGTTGCCCCCATCTGCCACTGCCGCCTCGACGGTAAGCAGTCGTTTTAGAATACGAGCAATTTTGAGAGCAATGTCGTCATTGTCGGTCTGAGCCATTGACTCCATCATCTCAAGTGTGCGTTCCATGAGCCCACGATCGGTCAGCCGTTGGTGAACAAGAAACTGAAAGGTTGCCACGGAGTCACCGACGTGATTGCCGTCCTGTCTGCGAACATTGATGTAGGCAATGCACAACACTGCACTTGCCACAAAGGCAAGGAAGTCGATACCTCGACAATATGTCGAGCTTGCGCTCGAACTTCGGAACCGTACGAAGCGGGAAAGTAATTCGCGACTGGCGTTTACAGCAGTGATTTTGCTATAGTCATAAATTTTGTCGGCCGATGATCGCAGCAGGAAGGGTAGATGGAGCTGTACGAGAAGATGGTAGTGTGAGAAGTGATTGACGATGCGAATAGTCTCGAGGAATGCATCTGTGTCGGAACTGGCAACGAAACCAAACTCTGGAGGAAGCCACCATTGGGCTGGCATCGAGGACTCGGCATCCTGCAGTAGCTTATCTATCTTGTGCGTCGCGTCAAGATCATGCAAGTCTTCTCGGTTGCGCTGGATGATAAGTCCTGCTACGAGAGACAAGAGGCGTTCTAGTCGTTCTAATGCCGGACAGGCTTCCAGGGCTTTTGGAGAGGCAAATGGACTTTCCTGAGATCCTTGAGGTAGACCCAGCATTAGTGATAGATAGCGATCTGACGTTACCAAGCGAAGCCAGATGTACTCTGGATCAACACGGTTCCAAGTTTTGACCTCGAGGGCAGAGGCACGTCGTGAGTCCCCGTCGTGCAAGCGCAACACCTGTGCCACCGTCATAGCTCGACGATTGGTCATCCAGGCTTGACGGAGGTTTCCTGCATTGTTGTGATACATGCTCTCAATCATGATGCATTCAATACCCTCTACAGAGCAGACCAGGTTATCATTGCTGGTCACCAACCTACACGCAGTTTCGACTGCGTTGGTCATGATCTCCAGGAGTCGTACGCCCAGTGCTCCAAGTCCTTTGATGGTTTTTGGAGCAATGCCTTGCAGAAAGGAACCTAACATCAACAACTTGCGTGCCATGAGGACTGGATGGGAATCTTGAGACGGTAGCCTGAAGATTTCTTTGAGTTTTGGTAGAGCCTCGCTGAGGAAGGTAGAGTATGGCGAGAAGACTGTGCCGTGGAAGAGCACCGAAACTGTGCTGTCAAGACTCGTGATGAGGTCGAGCTCGTGCTGACTAGGCCAACCTGCAAGAAGGCCGGCACAACGGTCGTCCAGACTTTTCTCAGTTGAACCATTACGACAAGTAGCGGCGCCGGTACCGAGGTATCCATTTCCTTTCCACATAGGACCGATTCGTTCATTACTTTCCGGACGCCCCTGATGCCCTGGTCAGCAGGAGATATACTCTCGATGTGCAAACTTACAATACTCACCGTTGTCTTGGCTACCGCTTCTTGCGTATCATGAAGCGCTGTGTCTGTCCCAGTACGGCGCTCTAGCTCGGCTATCGCTGCTTGCATACGGTTGAGCCTCGCCAAGTTGTTGGAAACCGCTTCGCCATCGTCTTGAAATGCCTGGCTAATGCAGCTAACTCCACGGCTTCTGCACCCGTCACAAATTGACTCGTTAGGATTGGCGAAAGTGCACCGGGTCTTCCTCCGTTTGCATTCCCAGCAGCTGTTCGTGCCTTTACGGATTTTCCTGCGCTTGAACATGGGTGATTTTTTCATGTCGCTGTTGAAGAGAGAGGCAGCCATTGTGATTTTGGCCAGGCCATTTTTCCCGGAAGTTTAGGAAGCCCCGCGGCATACAATCAAGTCTTCTTCGATACACCGCATTTGAGGCCGCCGCAGTCCTGTCAGAAGAGCGTCTCCTGTCCTGAGAGCATATCCATGTTTGGCTGGTGGAGTGGTGTACCTGTCCTGCACTCAAGTCATCTCCGCCGCGGCGGAGGAAGAGATGTCCCTCGACAGACCTTCCTCTTGCGAACAAGCTCTCTCCCGGACATGTGCCCTCGATATGCGTCTCTCCCTACGGAGGGAGTATCTGCTACCGAGATCGTGCCTGAAGCTGAAGCTGTCAACTCCTTTCAGATACGGTCTATCCTTGCCCTGTCCGGTGGTCGTGCGGCCAATGATAGCAATATCGTCTCGCAACGTAGCCCGCGGTAATTTAACGGGTACGGCAGCAATGAGGCTCCTCCGCGGCGGAGTCGTTGCTTGGTGACTAGTTCTGGTAGTTTAAAAGGGAGTGACTTCGATATTGGTACTCTAAGGGTGCTTTTCTTGTTTGACTACTTCGCTCCTAACTTGAATCAATTTCTTCTCCTCGGATACGAACCATTGACAACAGTGAAGCTGAAGTATTAACGATTGCCCCTGTCCAGCCAGTATGGTGAAATTGGCAATAGCAGGTGGTTCGGGGCGTGCGTAACCACACGTATCCGAGACTGAAACAGGCAGTGCTGATTTGGTTCCACAGAGGTTGCTAGAGAGATCATTGATGCTCTACTAGCTACACGTAACCACGATATTACGATCTTGACCAGGAATGTTGGTGCCTCCGACAACCACTCACAATTAGGCGACGGTGCTCATTGATATTAGGAGACTCATCCAAATGATGACTTGCCAGGTATCCAACGGCGTGTAGTGGACTACAGCGACCAAAATTCTCTGGTGGAAGCTCTTCGAGGATTCCATACCCTCCTTTCCTTCATACAACCGCTCTCGGACCCCGAAGGTAGGGTTCAGAAGACATTGATCGATGCGGCGATCGCTGCAGGTGTCAAGCGCTTCGCGCCAAGTGAATACGGAAGGTAATGTCTCGGACAATGCCGCTGATGCTGCGGAGTGACAACTAATTTCTTCGAAGCGCCGGAACGATTAACATGCCGTGGTGGAGTGGGAAGGAGAAAATCAGAGAGTATCTGAGAGAAGTCAACACTGAATCCAAAGTCAGTTTGCTTTCACAGAGTCTTGAATCTTTTCTCATGGATTTCCAAGGTCCTCGAATACATTCTCTTCCAGCCAGGGTTATTCCTGGATTACCTTGCCTTTCCTTACAAAACATCCAAGCACATTGACCCATTGCGAAGCGTCTTTGACATCCAATCCTGCCGAGCACTAATGGTAGAGGGTCATGGAGACGCCGTCATGACCCTTACGTCGGCAAAAGATGTCGCTGCCCTCGTTGCTCGAGCCGTAGACTATCAAGGTCAGTGGCCAGAGGTTGGGGGAATATCCGGGAACAGAATGTCGGTTGCTCAGATCATCGCGACCGGAGAAGAAATCCGAGGTATGTGTCTGTTCGTACTCGTACGTGTTCAAGTCCATTGCATGCGAGGATGATTGACATGACGACCCCGCAGGCCGTCCATTCACCATAGAGAAAGTCAAGTCGGAGGACCTGGAGGCTGGTGTTCTTAAGACATCGTGGTCTCTCGCAAAACGCCATCAATCAATATCCGAAGAACAAGCCAATGGCATGGCAACGACAGTGTCCATCGGGATACTCCTCAGCTGCTCTAAAGGCGCGTGGGATGTGTCAAACGAACTTAACCAGCTATTTCCGGACCACCATTTTGATGACATGCAGAGCTTTCTTACCAGGGTCTGGGATGGAAAGCCGGAGGAGTTGGTGTCTTCCCAGGCATGAACATGGGTTGAGGTCCGTACAGTAGATACGGCCGGAGGTTGATCTTGCGGAGAAAGCGCTCGTTTACCTGGTACTCGCAGTGAGCACGCGTCTCACGAGTGATGGTGCTTGTAGCTGGCAGGGTGTTGTACTGTAGGTCTGTGGCTGTCCCTTTCTGCATCCACACCAGGTACTCGGTACGCGCGTGTCGTGCGATGCTGAAACTTCGGAACGGTGGCTGAGCCACAGCAGAACGCACTAGCCAAATCAGGCTAGTCCGGCAGCAGCTGACCCTGGGGCTTGTGCTGAAAAGGGAATGACGCAATTGCCAGGATTTGAGATCTTCTCACTAATAAAGCGGGAGTACAAGAGTAATTTCACCCCGCCATCTCATCCTCCCACTCTCTCCTCCACCCCTTGCATAAAACTATAACCCTCACTCTACTGGCATAATAACTGCTCGTACGTAAAACATCGCAGCAAGGCCGTAGCCAATCTCAGCGATCGCCTTGAAAAGGACTTCAGTCGTCAAAGTCTCTCTATTCTCTTTTCTCTCCCTCATACCACCACCACTTCAGGCCCTTTGTGTCCTTTCATCCTCCATCCTCCCCACCTCGCAACAATGGCCACCCAATTCGAAAAGAAGCTCGTCCAAGAGGGCAACCAGACCGACTTCCCCAAGCAAAGCGACACCGTGACCATCGAGTACACCGGCTGGCTGTACGACCCTTCAAAGAACGAGAACAAGGGCAAGCAGTTTGACAGCTCCGTCGGCCGCGGCGACTTCAAGACCCCCATTGGCGTCGGCCGCGTCATCGCAGGCTGGGACCAGGGCGTGCAGCAAATGTCGCTGGGCGAGAAGAGCACCTTGATCATCCCGGCGCACATGGGCTACGGCGACCGCGGATTCCCAGGCCACATCCCACCGAACTCGACCCTCATCTTCGACGTGTACCTCAAGGGCATCAACAACAAGACTGTCTAAATTTTACGTTTTGACACACGCACAAACACACAGGCACACGCACACACGAACGAAGCCGCTCATGATCGTGTCGAAAGTCAGGGCAAAAGACAAGACAAAAACGAATGAATCCAAAATGGGGAGGATCTTCTCTTCTCTCAGAGGCTAGATAGACTCTAGTGCTTAACTGGCTACTCAAGTCAGTGAGTGTCCGGTCCAGTCCAGTCCAGTCTAGCTTGAGACACTGTTATTATGGCAAGGAATGATTAGTTATTGAGGGGGGGCATTTTATCATCGACCGGACGAAGGAACAAAAGAAACCAACATCATCATCATCATCATCATCCATTCACCAAAAAAAAGCAACTGCATGATCCTTTCTTATTAGAAAGCCAGAAGCTGCATGTTTAGATTATAGAACTTTCTAACTTTGCTTTCCAATTCTTACGGACTCTTGACCTTTGGTGATCCCGCTAGTACAGAGGAGACTTGCACACAGCCTCAACCTCTAGATCATCCCAAGTTGTAATGCCAAGGGTTGCGAGGTACCGAGTAGACACGGCCCATCCATCCATCTATCGTCCACGTACGAGGAGTTTCAAGAAAATGGTAGTGTTTCGGATAATCAACGTTCGTAGAACAGTCCTCTATTCCTAACTTGGATAACTTTAATACTTTTAGGTAGTCATGTAGGTAGTTACCGAGCTGGTCAGGTACGTACTCACACATGCATTAATAAATCGGGTTCTTTTATCAGCTGGCTCATTCAAGCACTTTCGTCTCGGCCCATCGCGCCAGAGCGACGCTCTTCTTGTCAATGTACCGCTCGGTCAAGTCGCCGAGCCAGAACAGCGTCGGCAGGGCTATGAGGCTGTAGACAAAGAGGACAATCCATCCGCCCAGCCCAGAGTCAAGGGGTGTTTGCGGGGCGGCACTGCCGCGGAACGACCGTATGGCGTTCAGCAGGGGCAATCCCATGGTCTTGATGAGGGAGAAGTGGATGAGGTAGATGGCGAACGAGATGTCTCCCAGGTATTGTGGGAAGCGCGACGACAATGCTCGGCGGCACAGGCGAGACTGGCCCAGGAAAAGGACCAGGAGCACCGCGGTCACGCAGGTGCTGAAGCGCCCCGTGTCGGGAAGATTGTTCCACGAAGCGGGCATGGTGCGTGAGAGGAATCCATGAATGGAAATGTCGCCGACCCCGAAATGCCTGTCGGGCATGGTGATGGCGTACAAGAGACAAAACACCACCGAGGCCGACATGACGTTCCGAGCAGTGGTGCTCACTCGAAGGGAATCTGTGGCCTTCTCGTCCATTTCGGCTCGCGGTAAAGTCGCTGCCGACATGGGCTTGAGTCGATCCATGTACTGATGGACCTCGCAGCACACGCTCCCAGAGATAAACAGGAACATGTCCCATTGTCCAGCCACTATGGCGCACAAGACCAAAGAGAGGAGAACGAGGAAGCGAGAAAGAGGCCGCGCCCTGGCGAGCGTCAGGAGGACAGCGAATATGACGATGGATGCCCGATACTCGTAGGGGATCGTCCACATAACAGGTTCATAACGAAGGCCGACCCTGTCGTCGGTGTGGTACCTGTCGAGATTCAACGGGTTGATGCCGGTGATAAGGTCATTGAGCCAGCAGTGGACCTGAGAGAGAAAGGTCCTTTGAGCGGTGGTATCTTTGAGCACCAGGAGTTCGTTAAATACGAGAACCGCGTTGACAAAAGTGATGAATACCACCGGCAAATAGAGCCTAATCCCTCTGCGGAAAAGGCTGGAGACGATAGAAGCATGGAGTTTGGTGAACTCTTTGTTTCTTGCCAGGGTCAAAGGTTTGTAGCTCAGCGCATACCCGCTGACCACGAAAAAGACGTCGACCATAGCGCCACCACTACAGACCAGCCGGAAGATTGGTAGCTGCCAGAGGTGAGGGTCGTTTTGTTTCCATGCCTGGCAACTTTTGTTCCGGAAGAAGTAGACAAGAAGGTTTTGGTGATAGATGACGACGATGAAGGCAGCCATCCCGCGGAGGCCATCGAGCCACGAGGTCGGGGTGATCCTTCGCTTTCGTGCGGGAGAAAACATCCTCGGCCGAATGACAAGCCAGATTGGTTGTAGGTAGGTCCAGGTCATGGGAAGGCACGTTTGTAGAGAGGAAGCCAGAGCTGACGCGGTGGTTAAAGTGGTTTTATCTGCAGTTGGTCGTCCTGATTGACTAAAAATCGGGAAAGACTGCGCATGTTGGTGCGCGCCAATGTCGCTGCCATCGCTGTCTGGCTGGCCGCTGAGCAATGGTACCAAGTGGTGGTCTTCTCCCTCTTCTCCTAGTGCAGGTAGACTGGGGGAAGTATTGGGCATCGGCGTCATGGGGGAGGGCAGGTGGTGAGCCATTTTAGAGAATCATGAGTCGAATTGACACGATCAAGAACGTCTCAACTGCTGCATTGCTGAGCTGGGTCTGCCGTGACAGTCTGTGAAAGCAAGGGAGGTGAGGCTCACCGTGTGCAGATGGTCTTGAGCTTGCCGGGACACTGCTATCAGTCTTGTCTTTACTGCAGAGACCCAGGTGCTCTTGTTAGAAAGGGGCACGGATGCTGCTGGAGACCCGGCATCCTTGAGAGACTTGACGTGCTTGACATGTTCCAACGGCTCACCGTTTCATGCCAATCAAGATGCTGGGCTCCAGCGTGACGCCTGGCTACAGCCTCCAGCAGTATGTGCGGCATGGGACCCTCGTATTTACTTAGATTAGTAGCAGAAGAAGACCAAGTGTGAGCAGAAACACGCTTCATGCCTTGACCGGAAGATGTAAGGGGCAGAGTCAAATTGACGACTGTTGTAAGGGTAAACGGTATGGAGTGCTCCTCCGCCAGACCACGTCAGGAATGTGTGCAAGACACAGTCCCCAGACATAGGAAGACGACTAGTCCTTATGAGTGAGCGAGCGGTACGGTGATGAGCCATCCAGTACTCACAAGCACCTTGCGACCCGAGAATAGAGGAAACTAAGCTTCACGCGGGCAAAAAGGCCATGCTCAAAATGGAAGGTGAGAGAGACCTTCTGCCACTGCGATTTTGTGACAGCTGTCTAACTGCTGACTGTAGCGACTGGGTCTCATCTCACCTTGGGCGCTGGGACCACACCCATGCTACATGGCGGAGACAGCAGGCAAAAATACCACCTCGAGAGATCAGGGAGAACTCCCAGGGGTGTAAGTTTGCGGCCTTCTGCTGTAGCGGTGAACTTTAACAGACCATGAAGCAAAAGTCCCCCGAACGCGAACGGACAGACGCGTTCGCAGGAAATTCGAATCCATAGGCGCGACTTTCTGCAGATCTGCTGTGGACAGCACAATAACAACCTCGACACCGTCTGCGTACGTCCAAACCGAGCAAACGCTTAAAACACCACGTTTGCAGGAAATGGAAAGTTCTCGGGGTCAGGGAAGGGCGCCAGCTGGTGCATGGCACTCCGGATACCCAAGATCTACTCAAACGATCCCTCAAGTTGACACGAGGACATATCTACGTGAGGGCGACAATGAAGGGGATCAAGGGCCGATATCATTCTCGTATTCGCCTCTGGTGGTGGCATCCATCACAATCTGCGCATACCCAATGCTGTGGCTTGTCTCAATACCAAAGACGAGGCAGGGGCGTTCAATCAATCAGCAGGTTTGTTCAAAAAGGACCAAAGAAGATTGTAACACTTCAGTCATCCGAAAATCACCTATCTTGAAGTGACTTAAGCCACTTATTCAACCCCTTCGTACTGCACTTCCCCTTGTCTCGGTTGCACATGGAGATGCCTGCCAGGCTGCGATACCACCAACCGCCGTCGGCAACATTGCATTCCGGAACCCTGAGCACTCGCACTCTGTGTTCGACAGACTTCCTTGCTCTTTGGTTCTGGACTAGCAACATGTTGAAGCCACCATGCGTCTTTGTTCACCGCCTCATTAGGCCATTGTTTCCTAAAGTACACATCAGTATGGACCTTCAACTCTGCGTGGCGTCTAGTCCAGACAAACCTCAATTGGCCGAGAGCTGGGAGTTACAATTGTCCGCATCTATGCAGAGTCTGTCCATTCTCGAAAAAGCTCCATGGACTCTTCGAACACCCAGCTCTGCATGATTCTTTCAAGCTCTTGGGTAAATTGCACCATATGGCGCAACTCGGCAAAATGGTTTCCCATCTTCTGCAGGTCTAGATGCTGGAGCTCGGTGGTGAGGAACGTGGTGCTCAGCTGCTCATTTCTCTTTTCGGCGCTCGATCGCAGACGCTCAGCCCAACCCTTGAGTTGGTTAACTCTGGCGTTGTTGTACTGTTTGGAGTACGGTCGTATGGCTTTGATCCCGGTGACCCAATTCCAAGCAGCGTTCTCGAAGAGCGTGAAAGCGAGAGGATCGCGAGTATACACGTATCGTAGCAGTCTTCTTTCCATCTCTTTTTGCTGGCGGATGATATTCGACTTGAGGCGGTGGATGAAGAATCTCTGTTGCAAGACGCTTTTCAAGGCTCCTGGGGACCGAATGACTCTCTCTGAGCGAGAACGACGACCCGACGGTCTCGATGATCCTGCTGTTGGTGTCGGGCGCTCAATGATCTCATATCCTTCAAGGTCGATTGGATTTTGAGATGTTTCTCCAGCATTGGACGACGTGGCGGCACTTTGAGAGTGTGAGAGCCCCGGTTGCTTATAGCGCAGTCAGTCAGTGTCAATCTTCTTCTTGTTCCTATTCCGGAGGATGAACTGACATGGTGAATAGATGTTTCGTCTTGAGAGTCCGCTCCACCCACTGTCCCTTTGTCGTCCTGGGTGCAACCCATCACCGCCCTGAGCGGGTTGCGCAGCGTACTCAATGCAGCCAGCATGGTCAGCCGAGTGGGTGAGGTGACTTCAACGTAATTTGCGATGCGCGACTGGCGACTAAGAAGCTAGTTGTCGCATTGACTGGTCGTCGTTCTGGAGCGAAGTAGTCGCAACAGCTGACTTCAGGGTGAGAAGCCGATGAATCGGTTGGATTGGTGTTGTCAAAAGCATGAAAAGCGATCACTTCTTTCATCTATTGCGAATTCATCTCAGGTACGCGACAATATCACCAAGTAACTACAGGTGAGGCAGAATAGACAGACCGCCTACGACCACGCGAGTCGCGACTGAAGTGAAGTCAACAACGTTGTTCTGGACGTATCGTCAAAGGGGTCCAAACAGCCAGGTCTAATCAAGAGGAACTCAAGCAACGCAGACGATCTTGTTTCTCCGTCCAGTCGACTGAATGAGGCAGACGATGCTCTACGTGGCACTGCAGACCGAAGGAAGAGAGTCTCGCAATGTTCACAGGCCCGCGCTTCTGACGGGCTGACTGTCGCCGAGTGCACGCCGTCCAGTCATCGGTCACCGCGGCCTCTCTCTTCCTTGTTCACTTCAACTTTGTTCTGCAGTTTGCTCCGTGCAGGACTTTCTCAACTAGATGGAGCCTTGCCCCATGTCGCCACGGTGCGGTTCAGGGAAGAATGTCTCTATACTTCTGCTGTTTTCGTCTCCTAACAATGCTTTTAAAAACAGGTCAGAACGTAATGCACAACAATAGTATACCAGGTAGGTATTCGTTCAGTCCTTGGCACATCATCAACAGTTGTGAAAACGTGCTTCATTCTACCTACTCTGCCAATATATACGTTCCCCCGACCCAGACGCGCACCCATAGCTCCATTCAGATTACCTGGTAGGTATGAATGATGATCGCATAACGGCATAACGGCATATTACCTTCTCAGCTCACAACTTCACCTTTCCGGCCTTCAACACTTCCCACTCCTTCTGCGAGAATGGCTCGTAGCGATCACTGTCAGGTCGGAGGTAAAACACCCTCTCACCTCCAACTTTATCCGGGTCCACGCCCTCCAGCCTGAGCACGTGTTTCTGCTGTTTGTTGTTTCCTGTCGCCATGACACTCGCAACAACCCGCAGGAACACAGGCACGGCGTACTTGGGCAGACTTCGGCGGGCGTGCGTAGCTAGACTCTCCAGCACGGCGTCGCCGACGGGACTATCGTCTGTGGTGACGTCCTTGAGTAGAATGGCCGCACACCCGGCTCGTCCTTCGTGATTGGGAATCGCCACTCCATAGACATTCGCCTCGAGAATGTGAGGGTGTTGACCTAGGACTTCAGACACTTCTGCCGTGGACACATTCTCACTTCGCCAGCGGAATGTGTCTCCTATGCGGTCGGAAAACCACAGAAGGCCATCCTTGTCGAACCTGACGACATCGCCGGTGCGGAAATATGCGTCGCCTTTCTTGTGCACGTCCCGCAAGATCTTCGAGTCGCTGGCCTTCTTGTTGCCAAAGTACCCTTGGAACTTGGCGCCAACGTCCTTCGGATCCGCAATCTTGTAGAGCAATTCGCCTGTCTCGCCACGGGGAACTTTGATGCAGAACCCGGTCTTGGCATCACGTCGCGGAGTTTCCGTTTCCCAGTCGACTTCGACGATAGACTGCATGAAGCTCTGCATAGCCTGCATAAGAATGCCGGATTGACCGATAGCTCCTGACGAGAAGGTGTTGCGAGACAAATTAAAGCTCGCTGACACGCCTTCTGTGGCTCCGTAGAATTCGGCAATCGTTGGGACTCCAAATCGATCGCGGAATTTGTCCCATACGTCCGGCCTACAGCCATTTCCGAAAGCTAGCTTCACCTTGTGTTTCGTCCGATCGTCTGGACGAGGCGGGACGGCAAGCAGATAGCGCAAGGTTTCTCCAACGTATTGGATCTTGGTCGCTCCGGCTGCAGCGACCTCGTCCCAAAAGTTGGTCGCCGAAAACTTGTGGCCGAGTACTAGTGTAGAACCAGAGACCAGGCAGAGGTGAAACCCCAGTTGGAAAGCCGACGAGTGGTACAGAGGCATAGCCGTGTAGTATCGATCAGGGTCTGATTTGTCGACCGGACGGAGGCCGATCCATCTCGCGATGAAGCCTGAGCCCCAAGCCGTCCTGTCCCAGGGGACGATTGCGGCCTTCGGGAGACCCGTGGTGCCTGAAGTGAAAATCAAGACGCACGGCGATCGTCCAATTGCTCCTGCGCGAGCCGAGTCTGGAGCCCGATAAGGAGGAAAGTATTCGAGAGAAGATTGCAAGCCTGTCGTCAGAACGACCACATCGATGGGCAAAGCATTGTTGCGGAAGTCCGGCGCAGCGAAAGCCTGTTTTGCCTCGGACGTGAGCACCCTGGACTCGATTTCAGGATCGACAATGATAAGTCTGGCCGTGGATGTTTTAACACTGTGGATAAAAGGACCCGAGGTCAAGTTGTAATTGATAAAGGCCGGAAGAGCGCCCAGAGACCAAATCGCCAGATTCAGGAAGACAAACTGAGGGCTGTTCATGAAATCGATGGCAATGATCTCGCCTGGAAGGACTTTGTGGACCGAGTGTAGCCATCCCGCGTATCTTAGAACCGTCGTATAGGTGTCCTTGAACGTATATTTCTTTCCTTGGTAAATGAGGAACAGCTTGTCAGCGACTTCCGGGTTGTTGGCGTGGCCTTCGAGAAGGTAGAACGAGTTCGTGCGATCGGCTTTCACTCGTTCGTTGAAGGCTATCTGAGAGGCCGTCAAGCTCTTAATCAAGTGAAGATCGGGCGATATTCTCCATCGTGCATTGAGGTAGGCAAGGCCAGCAAGGGCCGCAGGGACAGATAACACGGTACTGGAAACTGATACACGGGATTAGAACCGGTGGTAAGCCACCAAGACAGCTGAGCGCTCAGCTGATAGGAAACGGTGCTCACCATCCATGATTACGGCGTCGCAATCAGTCGCTTTCAGTGAATCGTGGACATTGCTGAGAGGAGATGGAAGAATGACAACGCAACTGGGCTTGTGAATGCATAGTGAATAACAGGACGCCGGCAATTGATAGATCCAACTTCCACTTGTACTTGTGCAGCCTCTTTAGCGAAGGTCCACGACAGCTTTGATGAGTTGTAACTTGTCAGTGCTTCTGACTAGGTGAATTAGGCCTCACGGATAACGGAGCATGCGCACGCCATGTGGCCCGCCAGCCGAGGCACGTTGAGCTTGGGGTTTCTGGGGTTTAGACTTCACCGTATAGATTTGCATCGTCGGGATATGTTTGGCCGTATTGCGCTGATATCCCGCTGCCAATGACTACCAGTGCTTTGATGCCGTCCTCACAGGAATGAGTTTCACGTTGCCTAGACCAACGTCAATAAATATGCCTACCAAGGTATGTGCTACCTGTGCTTTGCTCCAGAACCCGTGGGGTCACACGTTGTGGCCCTGAAACCGTTAAACGCACAAGCATTGTCCAAGGCATGGACGTTTATGTTGAGCGGCCTGGATGCTGCGAAAGAGGTTGGAAGGGCGACTCGAGCCAAGGGAAGACCACAGAATGCGAACGCAGAATAAAGGAGAAATCTAGACATACCTGAGTAGTGCCTCTAGTAGCTTGGCGCCCTCAACACCCAAAAAGCGCTGAAGAACAGTTGTCGCCTCGTTGTCTCTCCATCGTGTGCCAGTTCAGTCTTCGTTCGTGCTCGTGCACCCAAACCAAGGCCCGACACAGTGATGAGAGGCTGAGGTCATGAAGCGGACGACCAGGGACCCATCACTATCACACAACACAGACGGTCAGGCCGACAAGCACTCCGGTCCGGTTGGGAGATGAATCACCAGACCCGGCTACATGCATAAGGTGACCTCCCTCAACTCACTTCACACACAGAGCCTAGAACCTTTTCATCTTCCCAGACCCATGCACCGTGGTGTCGAACAAGGTCCAGAAATGGCGCGGGCAGCCTGGGCCATTTCAGAATATATTAGACCATTTATAGGGGGTCTGTTTGCTTCATGCATGGCGCCTGGCGCCTCTTTGTTCTTTGGACTGACAACCGTAACTAACTTGACGAGTTGGACGATCATACAAGAACAAGCCTTTTCAGAATCACATCACCGAAAGTGAGTGGCATTTTCCTGCGAGGGAATACTCGTATTTTGTCCTGGTTTATTTCCCCCTGATTTTCTTTTGGACCTTGTTCAGTTCTTCACTTGGGCTCAATTTCCCTTTCACCAAACCCTGGGCACCGGCCGGTACCCGTACGTTTCGAAGGTACTGCACGGGTTACTTTTGTGACTCCTGCACTGCCCGACGCGAGACATCTTCATCTTCACGCCCCAATAGCGGCAATACCACCAATAACAACGACGACAAGCAGTCGAATAAACTGCAAAATCTTTTTGGACTCTCGGGGTCTTTCTGAATCCTTATCGTCGTCTTTCACGACCATCCCCGCATTTCCTCCTCGGGATCAACTTAGTAAGAGGCACCCTTACCTCAGCACCATCAATCAAAACGCTTCGGAAGTAGATCAAGGCGAGGCGATTTGTTGACGAGAGATTCCAAGAGAAACAAAAACAAAAACGCCACCTCTCAAGTCTCAAGTCTCAAGTCTCGAAACCCCTCCCAAAACTCCAAACTTTCCGAAAAGATCATCAGTCTTGCCAGACACTCGACGGTTCCATTCGACGTCAAAAGTCCTCGTTCAACCTCGATCTGAGTTCTGTACGCCTTTTTCGAATACCGCCTGCTTAGATACCCAAAGGTAGCTGCTTCTGCGCCCCCCAAAACAGAAATGTGTTTTACTCAATACACCCGCGACGAGTGTAACGACTGCGACACGTACCATGAACGCATGGTGACTCACCGGCCCTGCCTCAAGTCCATCCGTACGGGTCAGTGCAAGAGATCCTTCGACTACAAGACGATCAAACGGCCCAACGAAGACGTCGACAAGTGCGCCAAGTGTCTCGAGATCCGCACCGAGGCTGTCCGCGAAGCCACCATGGGAGAAATCAGAGTCGATCTGACTCCGTTCTGGAGACGCATGGAAGTTGCGGGAGGTGGAGGTGGAGCTGGTGCTGGTGCTGGTGCTGGTGCTGGTGCTGGTGCTGGCGGCGCTGGTGGTGATGGAGAGGCGGCTCTCGAAAACACCACTGTGCCCGACTTTGCCGCCACTCTGATTACTTTTCATCATCCTTGATCACGTCAAACTGGACCACTGGACATGATCCGTCGAATCCTTACCACTCTTTCGTAACGAAGAAACGAGGCATGGGTGGGGACGACGGTCAAGATGACTATGTACTAATCGAGCGAGCCCAAAAGTTTACGTCTCACAAACGCAAGGAAAGGACACCTGAGGAACAGCATCCCAATTGACGTCCCGAACACCGCTTTGAATATCGTCTCCTTTTCTTCTTCTCTCCAGACCGTTCGCACTCGCAATTCGCAGTTTGCAGTTCACTTGCAAAAACAAACCCCCCCAGAAAGGACATGCCAGGCAAATGAAATGCATGACCTAGAGGGTCCAGCAAAACATTGAGCAGAACTGCCTTTGCTGATAGATATCAGGGGGGCGAATCATCCACGGTTATGACAATGACGACGACGATGAGCGATGAGCGATGAGCGATGAGCGATGAGTAATGAGCAATGATGACGATAGAGACACACGATCAAAAACAAAACGAAACAATCATGATCTTCACCGATCTTTTCCTCTTCATTGATTTGAAATCTCGTTCTCACTTCATAATAACGTAATTATAGGAGTAGTAGTAATAATAATAATAATAAATAATAGCAGCGATGGGCTTTTTCTCTTTCAGTAGTCGAGGAACCTCCATCCATGGTTCCCGTCGACATTGTTCCAATCTTCATTATCAAATGCTCTCTCCCACCCCATCATGACGGCGAGAACCCGACAGGCATTGCTCGACACTCCGCAAATCACCTTGTCACTCCTCGCCAACATGGCCAGGTCGAGCAGGTACGCTCGCCCCAACAACTCCCTCAGTTGCAATGCCTCCTTCGTCGGATTCGTCTTGTAATCTCTCGCGTCGTTCCCCGTGTCCGGGTCGTGGCGGTTGTGTTGGGATTTGGAGATTTTGTTCTTCTTCTGCTCAACACCACCCCCACCACCCTCTCCTTCTTTTTCTCCGACAACCGGCCGCGCCTTCGTGGGTTTGGGACTGCCGATACGTTTCTGTTCTTTGACATGCTCAGGCAGGCCCAGGCCCCAAAACACATCCTTGAAGAAGCCTCCTTCCCATCCTAGCCCGCCACTCCCGAGCTGCCGCTTACTCGCCAACGAGATGCGCGTCTGCGCCCTTACCGCGCCCTTCAGCTCGACGTGGTCAAACATGTCCGCGTCGTCGCTGGCCAGGATAACCTTCCACCGCTCCAGAGCCTGACCGACCAGTTTCGTCGCGCTGGCCATGTACCGCTCAGGCGGCAGGTATCCATGCTGGTAGGCAAACTCGAACGGATGGCAATCTCCGCGCCGGATCTGAACCCCTACCAAGCCGTTCTCTTCGTCTCCCTTCTCGCCCCGACGGAGGTGCTGTGCGCGACTGGACACGTAGTCGGCGTCGTCCGCGTTGAGCCGGAACAGCGCATCGTGCCCTTCCCTCGCCATCTCGTAGATGTCTCGGTCCGAGTACCGGTTGTGGAACGCTTCGCCAAACGTCCACGCCGTCGTCGCAGCTGATACAACCAGGTGCCTCGCCTGATGTGGACACGGCACTCGTTGATTGGTCGGCGGAGGACGGCACTTTGGCGTCGGCTTTTCCGCGAAGAAGGTGCTGTAGTTCCCATAAGGGAAGTGGGTGTCGTCTATGAAAAAGTCCCGTCCCTCCCGCTCGGCCAGACTGTATGACACCCACATTCCCAGCAGTGCCGATCCGAGCCCTGCATCTGTCGCGTCGAGCACATATGTCAGCGTCTTTTCACACACCGGCAATCGATGTTCACCCGGCAATGGGCTCGAGACGATTTGCTCGGGGAGAAATCGTTTGGTCTGCGCCTCGACGACGTCAATGTAATGCGGATCGGCGTCGTAGTAGCCTCCGATGCGATCCTCGGATTGTGGCCGGCCGGCAACGTGCCGTGATACATCCTCAACCTGCGAGCAGATGTCTGCGTAGTCTGTGGCTGGGAGAGGAAACTTTAGCCTCTGTGGGATCCATATCGTCCAGTGGTGTTTGCCATCATTGTCGGTCAGAGCAAGTGGTGTCGGGTGGTCAGGGAGTTCGGCGGCTTCGACGATCTCGTATGTCTTTCCCAGAGAGGTGAGGAAGGTGAGATCAGCGAGATCTCGGATCTTCTGTTCGCTGGGCGCGAACAGACAGTAACTACTAATGAGGATGGACAGGTAGATCAACAGCCGCACGATCTTGCGAGAGTTGAGCTTGGGTGGCTTCTTGCCGTGGCGCGGAAGTATGGACGGCAGCGACGGTGACGGAATAGGCGTTTGGGGCAGAAAGGACTTGAGGGACAGATACTGATGGGATCCGCCGACCTTTAGTGGTTTGGGGGGGTTAGCTCGGCTGGATAAAAGCATCTTGCTGCGTTGACGGTCGTCATGGTCTTGTTGAGGGCGTGAAAGAGTCATTCAGTGGATGTGAGAGCTGCATGGAAGTCGGATTGTCGAGGGTCTTGTGCTATGTAAAAGTCTAATATATAGAGAAAAAAAGATCCGGTCGAATGTGGCAAGACTTCGTGGCCTGCACGGTGTTGCTTGCCGATGCCACAATTAAAGAAAAGATGTGAGGAAACTCCGGAATATGCAACGCAGGATGATGTGCCCTGCTTAAATCATAGCAAGAATCGGCCTGGGAATAATGTCCTGTCTGGTGGACTAGAGGTGGGATGCAGGAGGCTGAAAATTCGACCAGTAGGCTGAAGAAAAGGTTTCGTTGCAGCCGATGCAGGATGCAGGGAAACGAGTCTTGGAGATGCCCGCAAGAGACTCGAAGGTCAAGGTCTTTAAAAGAGACTAGAACCGGCAGTCAAGAATAGAAGAAAATGGGACAAGCCCAGGTTGCAACACGTTCGGCCAGGCGTTGTTAGTTGTGGCTATACAACAGACCCGTCGAGACTGAGATCGTTGTGTGGAAACACAATGAGAGTCGGAAGAGGGACCGAAGAAAATTGAAAGTTGGCGAGAGAGGAAGAAAGAAGAGGAGAGAGAGAAGAGAAAAATGGGCCATTCCGGACGTACATGCGTCGGTCCACAACGAGGCCTCTGAAAAGGGATCCGGTGATGCTCTCGACAAGTCAAAACCCAAGGTCCTCGTACTCAGTGGCTGGCGGGATTCCGTCGTCAAGGTCACAGCTACATACGTAGGGAGCTAGCCCCCAGGCTAGATCGGTTTGCAACTCAACAGATCCGACATGGTGACGCTGTGAGAGGGCCGGATGTTGAACAGGTACGAGGTACTAGCAAAGTCGGACAAGGCAACGGGGAAAGCTGTCAACGCAGACGAGGGTTGGCGGCTGTCTTGCTAACAGCCCAAGCGAGGAAACGGGCAAAGATCTGATGGCAGACGGAGTACGGAGTACGGAGCACTGGGAACATGATCATCCAGAGAGGTCCAGACCAACTGTTGAACCCGTACTCTGTACAATGACGAACCCCGAATCTGAAACACCGACAGCTTGTCACAGCTGGCAGATCAAACCGGGTCAACACCCAAGCCTCAAACCCCCTGGCCGTCCCGAAGATCCTTTTACGGCATCCGTCCTGCCGCGTTGTTGTCCCGTCGCCGTGGACCGACTAACTACTCAGTTACCGAGAACGAGGACGATGGCTCAGTCCGTAGAGGATTCTAGGGATCCCCTGGGTCGGGCAAGCCACAAACAAGCACGAGCGATACGAAGTGATCTCTCAACAGCAGCAAAAACCCTCTATTTAAAACAACGAATGGATTCAAACACTCTGGACGAGATCCGTCGCCAGTCTCGACACCCAGACAGAGAAGACACATCAGGTACATATACAGCTACTACTATAACACTTCTATCAGGGTATATTTGATAACAGGTCGCCCCGTCATCCTCCGTGTCTCCGGTCCTCAACACAAAAGAAAATCAAGTGCTGTCGAAACTCCTGTAAAACTAAAAGTCAAGGTCCGCCGAAGGGAAAATCCGCCAAACAAAAAGCCAAAGCAATCATCATTAACGCACATCAATGTCGTCCTGTTAATCCTGTAATAAATCGCTCTGGCCATTGATTGAAACGAAGAAAGTACAAATTGTCATGTCGTCACTCGTTATTGTTCGATTTTGCTTCAGTTCGAGCTCGTGTTCTCCAGGATCGAGTCACGCTCCCTCAACGAAGCTACCATGGCGCCCATGGCTGGGCCTCCATTGTGGCCAGCACTAGACGTTCTCCGTGAATGCCGTTGTGAGGAAGACCGCAGCGGTACGGTTGCCGACGCCGATCTTCCTTTGCTCAGCTTGCCGCTCTCCACCTTGTCCCGAATCATTTCATCGAGCATCCTGGACATTTCATCCACCGTCTTCTTTTTCTTATCCGATTGTTTTGAAGGCGACAAAATAGCCCTCGGGCTCGTTGCCAGCGGCGACCGCGGTCCGCTAGACGTCTGTTGGCTTGGAACTGTGATGCTGCTCAACTGCGAGCTTGAATTGCTATTGGTGCTCTGATGGCCTTCCGCGTTTCGACTCTGCTTGAATTCACTCGAAGACAATTCCGGGGTCAACTCGGCAATATCACGCTTACGCACTGCCGACCGCAGGGCAGATACCGTCCTCTGCAGATCTGAAATCATGGCATCCTTCTCGTCAAGCTGCCTGAGCAAATCGCCCTCGTCGCCAGGAGTCTTGTTGAATGCCATGGACACTCGGGAGTGGCTTGACCGACGAGCTTGCAGCAACCGTCTTTCCAACGTCGAAATATACCGCGTTTTGTCCTGGAGGTCCGCCTGCAATGCCCGGACCTGTGCCTGGAGCGTAGCCCGGCCGTCGCCATAGTCTCCAGAGGCTTCTTCATCCTCGTCAGGAATACCTGAAAATGAGAGGTGCGCAGATCCAGAGGGCACGTTACCCATAGATGCCACCGAGGGATGTCGTTTCAGGCCCTGATTGACCCCCAAGGTAGACTGGCTGGCCGACGATCGCACAGATCGGGAACCTGCAAATTCTGTACCTCCGGAGAGACGTGAGTGCATCCCCAATGCCGAGACCGTACCACTGTTGACACCCGTTGACTTGGAACACAGAATTAAGCGGTTGAGATGTTCGATACGCTCTTTCAGAGCGGTTCTAGCAAGCTGCATCTCGAGCATCTGTTCTTCATGCCGTTGCTCGGCCTCCTTTTCCAACGCTCGCTCCTCCTTCTCTGCCGCCGACTTCTGCTGTCCTTCCAATTGGGCGCGTAGGTTCTGGATCTCGGTCCGATAACGCTCGAGTAGGCCGGCGTTGACTCCGGTACCGATCTCTTCCGCTGCCTTTTTGGCGTTGCTGACAATATTGTTTTTGGCACGAGCTGCAAACTTCAGTGTGTTCAGAGTCTCTCCTGTGTGGTTGTTGCCAGCTACGGTGAGACCAGCCCCAATTTGGATCGTGCAGAGAATGGACACCAAGGAGTTGCCGGACAGTGCTGGCTGGAGAAGCCGGGTCAGTTTGCTATCTCGGTAAGGCAGATGCTTTCCGTCCTTATCGGTGGGATTCCCATTCTTGTCCTTGTTTCCTGACAATTTGGCGATGACTGTACCCAGTGTCAAGAGAGACTTGTTGATATGCGCTCCTTCGGTACGGCGTTCCTTGTCTTCAGCTGCTCTTTCAGAACCTGCGAGATCAATCAAGCTCAGCGTTGAGACTCGGACACCACCGGGTAGCATTGCTACCCGCTTGCCGTTTTCATGCATCGCACCAGAACCAGGGACTCGTTCTCGGCTCTCAACGACAATCTGTACCACTGCGTGACTTCGCGAGCTGCGGGAATTGAACTGTGTACTCCCAGTCCGTCGTGCAGTATCTCCACGATGGATAACTCTCAGCAGCTGCGTTGGACTTTGAACAATCTCCTCTTTCAATGGTGTAGCGTACACGCCGCGCTTGCTGTCCTCGCGAAGTTTGATCTCTTCTTGTTGAGCAAGCGGTCCACTTCCTATCGGTTGGGCCAGCAGGTCGTGTATCTTCTCGTTATAAATCTCGAGATAGCTGACTCGTAGCAGGAATTCTCGATGTGGAGTCTCCCTGATGTAAGAGAAAATATCGGTAATTGCCAGTGGGATAACACCTGGACTGGTCATGGTGCCCTGCATCGAGAACGTCTTGCCTGTCCCCGTCATACCGTAGGCAAAGACTGTTCCGTGATAGCCTTCCATGACGCGCCGTACCAATCTTTTGGCGGAAGCATCATAGACTTTGGCATTGTCATCGTGGGTGGTGAAGACATTGTCGTAGTGATAGTCACCGCCTTCTTTGCCACGATAGGCAACCAGGCTTCTTCTCCCGTCTACCATCCATTCACCCTCTGCTTGCCCATTATTTGTGTTTCCAGGATCTGGGCGAACACGTACGCTGACAATGACATTGCCCTTGGACTCCTTTCCTTTGGAATTCCGTTTCGAGTCGAGGACCGCCTCTTCAAGATCTTTGGTGCGGCCCCTGCCATCTTCGTCACCGTCTTCTATTGTGGTGGCAGTTGTCGAGTAGGAGCCATTCGCAGATGAACTTCTACTTTGCGAGGGAGAATGCACGCTTGACTGGGCATCCGATGTTCTTTTCCCCGCTTTTGCAGACACAGTCATTCCATCCCCAGCCGAGTTTAGCAGACTTGGTGTTTGGGAAGAACGGAAACTCGGAGCCGTACTTGCTCGGGGGGATTTGGAAGTTCGTCTCTTGACCGATGATGTGGAGGCTATCGATGCCGACGTTGGTGGTCGCGAGTTATTGGGTGGCTGAGGGAATGAGCCGATACTAACAACTTTGCGGACCGACCTGGCTGAAGGGATGCCAGTGGATTTCTCGTTTCCTTTCGTGGCCGCAAGGTCAGAACTGAAAGCCTCAGGTTGCGAGGTAGGTAAGATGGATGGTCGTGAAGGCGCCTTCAGTCGCGAAGGCGGCTGTCCGAGACTTTTTCGCGGCGTCTTGCCTGCAGTGGTCGGTATGGGAGGGAGAGCACCCGTCGGCGGCTCGGCCAGCGGCCGTGAGGACAGGACGGGCAGAGACATGTTGATTACACAACCTGGAAAGAAGGGCCTTTTATCGATAGAGTGACGAAGTCCTTACGCGGGGGGCATGAACGGCTACCGGCTTCGTACTGCCCTATGCAGAACAGACTTTGCGATAGAGAGATGTTCTGGTCTTTGAGTGAGGGTCGTTGAGGATACGGCCAGAGGCCAGACGTCGTTAAAACACAGACCGTTGTTCGTGTCGATGCTTTCCGTGTTGACTCAATGCAACACGCGGCTCCCCCGAGTTGGAAATTCTAATAACAGGTGCAGATCGAGAAGCTGGAGTCGCATTGGTGATCATCACATCAGGTAGCCGCAGGCCGGAGTGAATCCTTCTTTGATATTCCACCAACTGTAGAACCCTCAGCCTGTGTATTCGGCATGAACTGTTCGGCGCTGTAGAGGGCCCTTGAAAAGCAATTGGATACGCGCTGGGTGTTGAGGAGGGCGTGAGGTCGACCAAATTCAGAGCAAGGAGGGACAGGGTGCGGGAGGTCGTTGACGAAGAGTGCAAGGTACGCGGAGCCTGGAAAAGACCACTTCTCGCAGTGCACACCATTCAGATGGCTAGGATCGGGGTAGGTCGATAGGGACCGTGCCGGCGTCCCCGCTAAGATTTTAGCTCCCTTGCTGATGATGCTCGCTATCCTAGTCGCCGGTGTGGCTGTCGCAGCAGCTAGCGACAGAAAGGCTTAAGCGTCGCGGCCAGCTGCAGGCACCGGGACAAGTAGATTGAAGGGCCGCGAGGGCTTTGCAGCAGGGGAATTGGACTTTCGCGGCAACGGCAGGCATTCTCTTCGGTGCCCAAGACTAAGAGCACGCCTAGTGAGCCTAGCGTGCCCACCCGCCTACAGGGTTGGTCCTCGGCCAGCGCCCCCTCGTCGGGAACGGCGCCCATCAAAAATGTGTCAAATTGCTTTCCCGCAGGGGTCTCCCTCTAGCAGCCACTCGTCTCTGCATCTTCAGCAGAGGCCTCTGCTACCACTCTCCACGCGTTCTCCTCGACGCCGCCACCGCTCTCACCAGCTCCTCTCATTGGCCTCGCACCCTGTTTTACCAGTCGAAATTCACTTCTACAAAGGTGATCATCACAGCTTGTCGTGTGGCCGGACTGTGAGAAATGTCCAGTCTAATAAGCTACACCTCATAAGTCTGCAATGGTTTCAACCTCGAGAAGCCACCAACACCATGCCTATTCAGTATAATGGCGCGGTTCTAAGAGGACGTTCAGTCTGCAGTCAATTTGTCAGGGCCGTATGTGTTCCTGCTGGCTGCCCTTTGAGCTCGATTCGCGTCGTCTTCCCCCGCAAGAGAAAGAAACAAATTCAAGCGTCCTTCTCCCATCGATCTCGATGATGCACGAGGGACGCAGGACGCAGTAGCAATGAACATGGGAGTACGGAGTACGGAGCTTCAAAAAACAGGGCGAATATCTGTGATCGTCTCAGGATGGAGTCTGGTCGGCCCTTCTAACTAAAAACGCAGACTTTCAACCATGAGCGAAGGAGAATTTTTACCCAGCCCTTGTCAACGCCAATCTTGTGTGGCTTCGACCTAGTCCTTTCCCCGGCCGCTCCCCTGGCCGCTCTCCTGGTAATCCGCTCGGTTGGTTATGGATCACTCACACTGGGAGCACTCTGCCTCAGAAACGAGAACAACCTCATCTCGCTCCGGCGCCGATCTATACTGCTTTCAGCATCCCGTCACGGCTTCGTAGGACTGTGTTGTTGAGCTCAAAGTACAGACTAAAGAATTCAGTCTATCCGCCCAAAAGACTGTACTCGTACCAGTCCTTGTGGAAGCACCTAACTAACCCTTCTCGTATGATCGGCCTAAGGCCAGGTGCGCCACCAAAGGTAGACTGTGACAAGTTACCGAGTTACGGAGTACAAGACAGGTGAATGCTTCATGCCACTTCTGAAGGTGACTATGGAGCTTTCACAATCCACAAGATGCCAAGGAAGCAGTCTACAATATGGACTATGCGGACAGAGCATTTCTTGAGCTAACTTGCTTGCCCTCCTATGCGTAGGGCTTCCTTTCTGACTAGGCTACTCCGTACTCGTAGCTGGTTCCAAAACTTTGGTAGCCTTCTTCATCTCAGAGTTCCACTCGCACGGGAGCGAGCAAAAGATGCCGGCAACGGTCACATGTATTTGAGTGATCGATTACGTCCGAAAACTCGCGGCTACTCCTCTTCTCTATCCGCTAGCGGAGCCCTGGGCATTGGGTACGTGAAGAAATCCAACACTGACCATCTTGCGACAGCTGTCTTCCGGCGCCGTCAAAGCCGACGACCTTGCTCAAACTTTCCAAGCAATACGGGCGCTGGAGTCCGGTATCAGATTTCTTCGTAGATCCTGGATACAAATATATGATCTTCTTGGAACTACTCGTAGGTGAAACCTAGAGAAGATATTCTTGACTGCCGAAACAATTAAAGTGATAGTGGCTGCAATTCTTACGAATAGCGTCTCGACGATGCAACTTTCCGCTCGGGGATTTCTATAGACCTTACTATCGAAGGCCCAACTAGGATGCTCCTCGTGCTCCCCCGCGAGCTTTCCAATTGAACAACACTCTTCGGAGGGATCCTTACTGGTCGCACCCCGACGTAACCATCATAATGCCTCAGTATTCATGAGCATCACTGAGACAGAACCGAAACTCCCGAGACTTCACACCTAGCGGGTCCATGGCAGCACAGTCTAGGTCCAGGGTCTGACCAACCCTTGTCAGGGTGCGAATGCAAGGTACAAGGTACAACCCCCAACAGACGTCCAGAAGTCTTATCGCACGTATATTGTATAGAACCTGGGAGTTAATGCTGCTGTGGGACATTTGTACCCCGTACGGGGAATGTTGCGTCTCAAACTTCAATATCCTGATCGTCCGATATGCTTCGCCATAAGCCATACAGCAGTGGCCAATTCAGGGACCATTACCCTACAGGCAGTCCAAGGCACTCCTTCCTGACGCGGGAGCAGACATGGATTTGCAGAGTTTGCTTTTGACTGACTGAGAGATTGTAGCAATGCGCTTCAAATCAAGAACAGTTCCGGTCCAACACCGAGGCCGGCCTCACTATGAGATGTTTGGTACTTCTTTTTATGCCAACCTGCTGGTCACCCATCCCGCAAAGAAAGATCCAGAACCGTGCAAACTTTTGCAAAGCAATCAGTATTCGACCTTGGTCTTCGTTCTCAAATATGGTGTTACATTGTACACAGTCCAAACGACTACACGCAACAAATCTCAGCGTGCCCTGGCCATCCAATCAGACTATCTCTTCTTGTTTTCTTCGACTCTCATCTTATGCAGCGTCTCTGCTCTCCGCCGCTCACCACCGTGCACCTTGTGACCTCTCTTGTGCTCCCAGAGACCTTCGACTGCCTTCAAGACGACGCCACTGCCATAAGTGCCTTTCAGAGGATGAGCCTGCTTTCCCTTGATAATGTAGCCATTCTTCAGCGTGAACCCCATGGGCTTCTTCAAGTCCGCCGTGGTCTGGCCGGGTGAGAGCGCATAAGTCGGTGATCCGTTCGGGACATTGACAATCAATTTCTGCATCCCGGGGCTTCTGCTTGTCGACACTGGACCCGCCAATGGTTCGCCTGTTACAGGGTCCTTTTTCAGGGTTGGTACTTCTACGACTCTCAACTCTGCAACGCCGTCTTGCACGTATTGAAGGTCTCCGCCTATCCCGTAGTCGCCTTTTCGAAACTTCTCTCGCCATCGCAGTAGATATCTTCGCGTCCGAGGTGGATCGATTCCTCTTTCCTTCAGTTGTGGCGACGACAAAGTGAATAGCTCATCCCATGACCCGATCTTGCTCTCGTGCTTCGACATGTCGCGGCCGATTAGTTTGAGAAACGTGGATACGTCGGGAACGAATGGCGTGGGAGGTGGAACGCGGCCATTTTCAGGAATGCCACGGTGCAATTGACGGCGGCATGGCTGGCATATGTAGGATTGTGATGCAGTTGCTGGCGCCGACGGACGGAGGAGCGAGGTGAGGATCGAAGAGGTTTGGCGCGGCGGTCGCGCAAACATCTTGAGAAATTTATCGACTATTGTGTATGCAGAGAGTACCAGAGTAGTAGGGTAGTTGTACTTCGAGCAAAGTTCCGTCCTCACAAGCTCCCTGTCATGAGGCGTGAGCGTAAACAAATTTAATGCTCTCGAGGCCACTCCCGAACAAGCTGCAACTTTCAAAAAGCTGAACTCCGCAGATTCACGCCAAGACAAGGCTGGAATACGCCAAGAGCTCAGCCTCGTTGTGCTCTGGCTTTGATGTTCACCTTCGACCGCGAGATCATCGTGAGGTCACTTACTGTTCTCACATAGAGGTCTTCTCGTCGGGTCTTACGTTATCATCGGGGTTCAAGTTAAAGTCTGTCGAAGACGAGTCGAGAAAGTGCCGGGTGATATTTGATGCGAAAGGAAGGGCCTTATGCCCTCACTCCCACTTGACCACTCTCCTTTCATCACAACATCAAGATGGCGCCCGTTTCTAATGCTGTGTCGCCGCTTATGCCGCGGTCCCCTTCTAATATCAATGCAAATATGTCACCATCTAGAGCCAAGCTGCTCGCTATGCGAAGCACAACGTCAAAACCGCACACTTTGCATGCGGCGCCACCTCCTTCAAAACCAAGTGCTGACTTCGATATGGCCGAACAAATGAACCAAGAAATCAGCAACAAGTATGTCAAAGGTCCGTCAAACTGGCTGCATGCCTCGTCAACGGTGTATTGATCTGGTTAACAGGCAAGAAACTGGGTGAAGGCACCTATGCCATTGTCTACAAAGGACATTTAAGATCAGATCCGCACAAACTAGTGGCAATTAAGAAATTCAAAGTCGATCCTTCGCAACAGAGAGAAGGGCTGAATGTCGACACCATACGAGAGATCAAGTATCTGCAAGAAATCTCGCATCCCAGCATTGTTGCCCTGTTAGATGTGTTTTCTTCGAAGGACCAAAACATCAACATGGTCATCGAATACTTTCCCAACGGCAATCTCGAAGAGCTCATCCGCGACAAGACTGTAAGTTACGGAGCTGCGGACGTCAAAGCCTGGATGGGCATGCTCTGTCGGGCCATTTACTACTGCCACTCGAACTTCATCCTCCACCGTGATATCAAGCCCAACAATTTGCTCATTGCCGCCGATGGAGAAGTTAAGCTTGCAGACTTTGGTCTTGCCCGTTCGTTCGGCGATCCAAGATATCAGATGACTTCCAATGTCATCACATTGTGGTATCGCCCTCCAGAATTACTCTTCGGAGCACGACAGTACAGCGGAGCGGTCGACATGTGGAGTATCGGCATGGTCTTTGCGGAATTACTTATTCGAAGGCCTTACGCTGCTGCGGACGTGGCCAACCAAGAAGTTCTGGCCACAGGTGGTGGGACCGTCGCACAGCTTGACAAAATCTGCGAAGCCGTGGGAACTCCGAATGAGGACAATTGGCCTGGAGTCTCCAAGCTGAGGGACTATTTTGACTTGGAGAAGAAGATTCCCGTTCGGGACAAGTCGTTTTACATGGTCATGTTCCCAACAGCAGGGTCTGTTGGTGTTGACCTCTTAATGGCGATGCTGAAGCTGGATCCACGAAACAGAATCACGGCCCAGGGAGCTCTAGAGCATGAGTGGTGGCAGTTTGATCCAAGACCAACTGACAAGGAGAATCTACCCAAGCAAGGGGGAGGTGCTTCGAAGATGGCTGCAGCAGAGGCTGCTGCCCCCGGGGCCGTGATGGACGAGAACAAGTTCAAGGGTGTAGCCAAGAAATTGGATTTTGGAGCCGCCAGAAAGTGAAGCAGGATGCCATGAAGCTTGATGGATGTTCTACTTCACACGACAGGATTCTACCGTCGTCTTTCATGCCTCCGGGGAAGTGCAAGATTGCCCAGATCTCTCATGGACACATTGTCACTCAGAGGGCTCATCTTGAAGGAGCCCACGACGCCTAGGACGCAAGGAGTAAAGAACTTCAGTCCGACCGTCAGACGAATTTGGCCCTGACAACGCTCTCGAGTACCCAGCAACTGATACCGAGGCAGGGTACTTCGCTCGCGCGCTTCATGTCGTCAAGTCACAGATTGCAGCACCCGGGGCGCCGATGTCAAGTCCGTCGGTGTCGAATGACGAGGATAATGGTTCACAGTCGGCGTCTCTGGTGCAGAAACGGTACGGCGGATTCATATGTTGGCTGTCGTCGCCGCGACAAGACGATACAATCAGTCACTAATCACCCAAACTACGAAGGGCGAGAAGGGGAAGAACTACTGGTGCCATGCTGCATGAGAACTGGACCACACTTCAACGCTGCGAGAACGATGAGAAGGGACAGCTGTCCAGATTTGCAAGGCATGCTGCATCGGAGGAAACTGCTACGAATTGGGCAATGTTCAACGACATATATCCTCGAAATCAAAAATGACAAAGACGCGCGGAGTAATGCTAGGGATGGAGGGATGCCCGACTCGTTATGTCTACGTGGCATGAAACATACACACACACACAGAGAGAGAGAGAGAGAGAACGCGCGACGGAGCAAACGATACCGGAGGCCGCTTTTGGCGGTGGCGTGTCGTTGCTCAGTTACTGGCCATATAAACTAGTATATGTATGTACAATCAGAATCGATGGATACCGACCCTCTCTACCTAGATACTCATCTCGCAAGTGCTTTTTCTGGGAGAATCCCAACGGCCTTCCAAAAATCCCGTGAGTCGAGCTTCTTCCCCAACTGCGAAGTCGGTCTAGGCAACGCGTTCAGCTTGTTCTCGTCCATCAGTTCCGCCAGCCACCGCCTGTACTTCGCCTTCTCGACCGCGTTCTCGACGTTGGCCGGTGCGCTTTCGCGACTTGGGTCGCCCATGAACTCCCAGACCAGACCCCACCAGTCGTAGACGCAGCAGTCTGTCACGATCCATCTCCGGCCAAACAGCCTTGTGGTGGTGGTGGTGGTGCTGCTGCTGCTGCTGCTGTCGTCGTCGTCGTCGTTCGACGTGTCCATGTCCGTGTCCGCCTTCACCAACGCGACGATGCCGCGCGAGACGTCCTGCCCGTGGATCAAGTGCAAGGCGCCCTTTCGGGAGAGCGCGTCCTTTGTCTGTGCGACCCTGCCGACCCAGTTCCTCGGGTCCCTGCCGCCGCCGTACAGCCCGGAGAGATTCAGCACACAGCCTCCCAGTTCGATGAGCTCGTCCTCGGCCACGCAACGTTCATTGGAAGTGTCGACGGGCGAGGAGGAATCGTTCCAGTCTTGGCCGGTGTATATGCCCGTCGAACCCAGCTGGATCCATTTCGTGAGGGCGTGCTGCTGCTGCTGCTGCTGCTGCTGCTGCTCGCCCGGGCGTGACGGCGGGTGAGTTTCAGAGTACAACTGCTGCAGCTTCGACGACAGCCCTCGGCCTCGGAGTGGAAACGTGACGAGCACGTATCTGGCCGTCGGCAGCTTCCTGAACTGCTCCGGATCTGCGGTCTCGCCGTCGAACTTGAACTGAATGGTGCCTTCTCGTCCCGTCGTCGTCGTGGCTGCGTGTGTGATGTCTGCCTGTTTGAGCTGGGGTTGGAGGAACTGCCATGTCCAACCGGCGCCCAGGACCAGGAGGGTGACTTTTTGCGACGGCGACGAGTTCATGCGGAGCGTCATGGCACCAGGCTGCCCAGTCGGATCGGAAGGGCTATGTAGGTGGTACGATTGTTGCTTCACACTTGATATATCACCTCTCTTGGTTATAACTCTGGCAGAATTACCAATTTTTAACCTTAAACAACAGGACGAACCTCTCTCGCGGCTCCGCCTACTTTAAGAATTTATACAAGTACTCTCAAAACACACAGACCTAAGTGAAGAGTAACAACGGTAACCGTATCTGTCAGAATTGCCCTTTTTTCCCACGGCGGTTGTTTCCAGTCATGATATCATCCAGAAGAGCATCCAAGTGGGCTTTTTATTTTACTCTGAAGTTGAAACGTCGCGCCGTTGAACATTGAAGGACTCCAGAGGCCTTCGTTTGAATTCAGTTAGATATCAGTCAACATCATGTATCCTCCGTGGACTCCAAGCCCGCGCATATCGCTCGCCTGTTTGACCGTCCACCGTGTCTGCCTTACCACACATCGTCGTCCGACGGTTTCGACCGACCCCCATCCGCATTAGCGAAACGGCGTCCCCAAATACCTAGGTACGTCAAACCGCGGCCAATAGTCCTGCTGCCTCCGCAGTCGTGCGAGAGGGGTTGATGGGGACAAAAGGTACAAACTACTGCCTGTAAGCAGCGACATAACGAAATACTTTCCTCTTATGTACTGGTGATACGGCAGTGCTCAAAGAGCCGACGCGGTAGATGGATGCCTTCGTATGAATACGATGATCTCTCAGTCAAGCTGACACTTGACTTCCAAACTCGTACAAATTCCACTTCTCCCTCCCTGAAGCTCGAGCGGACTCCTCCCTCGCTCTCTATTGAGAAGTATTTTACCTGTCTACCATCTAAAGGTACCTAGGGGGTGCTCATCCGAGGCCCCGTGGCACCAACCATGGAATCTGCCCAAGTCAATCTCGGTACGCCATGCAGCCAACTCGTGGCACCATCACTACATGGTGCGGAGGTTCTCCAGATCTCAGCGGCAGAGGTACACAACTACAGCTTCCCGCCGGTTCGAGGCTTCAACATGCCGGGAGTCTCGGACGTCGCCTTCTGCAATGTCACCGCATCGCTACGACATACGGGGGCTGATGACACGGTCTACGTTTACGTGTGGCTTCCGCTCAAAGACTGGAACGGCCGGTATCAAGCCACGGGGGGCGGCGGGCTCGCGGCCGGCATGGGTCCGCTCCTTATGTCAGGGCAGGTTGCCGACGGATACGCCGTGTCGTCCACTGACGGCGGATTGACCAAGAACCAGACGGTTGACCCGCAGAGCGGGTTGTGGGCGTTGAGAGACGACGGCAGCCTCGACGAGGCTCTCTCGCTCAATCTGGCTTGGCGCTCGATCCACGACATGGCCGTCGTGTCTAAGGATGTCGTCAGGCAGTTCTACGGCACCGAGCCCAAATACTCGTACTGGAACGGCTGCTCGCAGGGCGGACGCCAGGGCTACGCCGCGGCGGCAAAGTACCCGCACGACTTTGACGGGATCCTCGCCGTGGCTCCGGCCATCGACTTTGTCGACATGGTGCCCTCAGACTACTATCCTCCAGTGGTGTTGCGTAATGCGGAAGAAGTGCCGCCCGAGTGCATCTTCCCAGAGTACCAGGCGGCCATCATCGAGGCGTGCGACACCCTCGACGGCGTGGCCGACGGCCTCATCTCCAGCCACGAAAGTCTCGAGGCGTGCTCCTTCGACCCGGATACGCTGGTCGGCAAGACCATCACCTGCGGCGAGGACTGCCTTGACCGCGACCCATTTTTGGGATGGGTGCACGTCCCCTGCCGCAAGACGAGCGAGTTGACCATCACGCCGGCGCACGCGGATATCGTCCGCAAGATTCTCGCGGGGCCCCACACGACGGCTGCTGACGGTGATGGCAACAGTCGCCGTCTCTGGTACGGCCTGGCGCCAGGCGCTGACTTTGACGTGCTCGCGCGCGTCGCGTTGATCGACAACGGCACACATCCGCGGCGCGAGGTCGTCCCCTTTGCCGTCGCGGAGAATTGGCTCAAATACTTCGCGCTGCAGGACCCGAGCTACGACATGGCCGCAATGACGCACGAGGACTACGTCGCGGCGCACGAGCTATCCGTCGCGCGTCTCGGCCCGCTCTGGGGAAACCAGAACCTCGACCTTGCGGCCTTCAGGCAATCCGGGAACAAGCTGCTGACCTGGTTCGGCCTGGCGGACCAGTACATCACGCCGTTCGGCATGATCCGGTACCGCGAAGGCGTCGAGGAAAAGTTTGGCGGGCCCGACGCCGTCGACGAGTGGTACCGTCTCTTCTTCGCGCCCGGCGTGGGCCACTGCGCAGGCGGCGTCGGTCCGAACCCCGTCAATCCGCTGGGGGCGCTGGTCTCGTGGGTCGAGCAAGGGAAAGCCCCTGACGTGCTGGCCGCAGCAAAGACGACCGAAGACGGCGTGCACATCACGAGAGACCTGTGCAGGTTTCCCAAGAAGTTGGTCTATGCAAAGGGAGACGTCAACGAGGCGAGCAGTTTTATTTGTTCAGAGGAAGAGGAGGGGGAAGAGAAGGAGGGAGGGAAGGGGGGAGAGAAGGAGGAAGAAGGAGGTGGTGATGGTGATAGTGATGGTACCCATCGCAAAGAGCGACATGAGGAGCTATGACAGGTAAGAACTGTCGACAGAACACTTTTCTCTCGCTCGCTCTCTTTGCCTTGGCTCCCTCCGGGAAACGCCTTTGCTTTTTTTTACAATCAATTTGTCATGTGTGCTCGATGCTTATCAAAAGCGAGTGAACCGGTACTTTTCATGACCTATGAGCAGCGAAGAAGGAAGCTGCCGAGTCATTACAGGCGTCTAATGGACGAGCCACACTGGTCAACTTCAAGCAAGAAATAGTTCCCTCGAAAAAAATATCCATACCTATTCAAAAATGTATCAACGGATCCACAAAGCCATTACTCTACCACCTCCCTCCCCCCCCCCTCCCCCCTACCTACCCCTAATACCTATGTAACTCCTTCTTTGGGTCCTGTTGTACCACTGAAATCAACACCAAGTACCAGATTCTGCAGTCTGACACCACGCACTCCCCAATACTCAACGCAGTCAATCATACCATGTCAATCTTGCCTTCACATCTTCCATGTTCTGCTAAAACGATGTTCGAGTTGCCTCGCCTCTTCTTTACTGAATTCTTCGTGGCGTCGCACGGGACACAGTCACAAACCTTCATCCCCACAGCTCCTCTTGTGAGGGTACAAGGTCGGGACCTCCATACTTGGGCCTGTGCTCTAGATTCTTGATATCTTTCTTGACCGTCACCAAATTGACGATACTCGCTTTTACACCATGGGGCTCGCTTTGGGCCTGTTCTGCTTCCACGTCCCTGCCGATGGCCTTGTAGTCCTGCAAGACGCCGGCGTAGAATCCTTGACCTGCTGGTGCTGCTCCCGCGTGGCCGTTCCATCCCTTTCGCGATTCAAAATAAACCTCCTCGGACTCGGTCTCGATGTCGGTCGTCTCGTCAGCAGCTGAATCGTCGTCGGTAGTAGAAGTCGACTCTGTCGGCGATGATGCGGTTGCGGGTGACTTCTTCGTCGTCGCTGCATTTTCTCGGACCCAAGGGAAAGTGAAGTCTTCTCTGGGACTTGCACGCCGCCTCACCGGCTCTTGAGATGCTGCGCGGCGCGAGAACTCGACAGAGATACGACGGCGACTGAAGGGCTCCCGTGAGACTGCTCGGCGGGTCGTGGGTGTAGGCGACAAGCCACGCCGACGGGATGGTCCACGAGCATGTGTTTGGATTGACCTTGGGTCAACGTTTTTAGACCCTTCGATGATCGAGTCGCCATCGAATGCTTGTCCGTTGGTCGCAACTGGAGTGTCGAGCTCACGGGAGCGAGGTCCCCGTGAATGGGCACGGAATGCACCCGGATTGGGAGAATCAGGGCGGCACGCTCTCGGTTCTTTTGAACGAGCACGTCGGCTCAGGAGGTCTGATGTGTTGACTAGACCAGCATCTGGTTCCCTTGACAATGCGCGCCGTGACTGTGTATCGCGAGACAAAGCTCGGCGGCGAGGAGGAGAACTGGTTCGACGACCAGGTTCGCGTGATAGCGCTCTCCTGTGAGATGACTCCCCACGTCCCGCTTGACGAGAGACTGGCTCTTGCGAAGTTGACCTGCGTTCCGACATCCAACGACCTTCACTGGCCGGTGGCTCCGGTGGTCCTCGGGATGCTGTTCTCATATATGCAACATCAGTAAGACTTGGACCACGAGACTCTGAGCGAGGACGGTCTCTGACTGCACTTCTAGAGGAAGCTCGTGGTATTTGAATGTCAGAAGTCTCGATAGGACTATTGACCCTAGACGGTGGAATAGGGGCAGGCGTAGCGGACCGCGTGCGGCTTGCAAGGGTAAAGGTGAGCCCTGCCACATCAATCACCTCTTCGGTTTCGACAGGAGTTAATACAGCTGCATCGAGATGCGTGGCGATCGGCGTGTTATCCATCGGAGTGGCATTATTGCTCTCTGAAAGACCATCATACTTCTCGGCCACAGGGCTGAGAATGGAGGTGGCGGAGGCTGGCAGACTCTTGGTTGGAGGAACAGAGGTCTGGATGGGTGGGAGTCGACTCGTTGCGTAGCCTTTTTCGGGGAAAGCTGCTCTTGTGAAGAATGTGCTAACATCGTCATAGACCGGTGAGGTTGTCAGCAAAACAGGAGACTGCGCACACGGTTCTTCCGAAGCTGGGCGGGATTCCGCTACAATGACTTCGTCAATGTTGGTGGAAATGGACGCCAGCGCTGGTCTCGCCTCAGCCGTGATGACTTTCTCAGATTGTGAAGCTGGTACGCGGACAGCATGGCTCGACGTTGAACGACGGTGTTCCTTCTTCCGAGACCAAGGCAAAGGGATGGTGATCGTGATAGCATGTCGGTCCTTTTGAACGAATGGCGGCGTTGGTTGCCGGATTTCCTCATAGGCAAGGGCGGCCATCTTCAACCCATCCGAACTTGGATCGGGTGAAGTGCTGACCAACGTCTTTTGGGAGTCGGGACTGCCATGAGCTTGATAGACTGGGTTGTTGAGGTCATTGTCGGGATACTGCTGAGCCCATCCACCATCATGAGGAGCCGAAATAGCAGTGTCGCCCCACCTCGCATGTAGTGGCTTGCCAGCGTCTGATCGAGACCGGGATGGTCGACGTCTGGAGGTCATCAATCCTTCAAAGACAGAAGCCATGGTCGAAGTGGTCGGTCATCCAGGAGCAGGTCGAGACAAATTGGTGTTTTAATGATTGTAACAAAAGAGACGCTTGCAACCAAGAAGTAGTGGGCGAGATTGCTCCGTTCTTTGCCCGGCCAGCAGACAAGGTACCACCGAACCCGGGCGGCTATACAGGCGTCGGAATTCGAACCATGAAAAGGAAATCAATAAGATAAAGGTACAGTATCCAAGGTTGTTCTTTTCAAGGGTCTGAAACCTCGAGTGATGGAAAATATAGCAGCTGATGAAGTGGCACACGAGGCAAAATGTACTTTGGGAAGACCGGTCATCCTTACCTGAACAGTATGCACGGAGTATGCAGTACAACAATAGCAAAGCCATAGCTCTAGACGAGGTCTATTTTCGCCAGCATGGGTGATGCGATTGAGATGCTGAAGATAGAACTCCTTGCGAAGGAATGGTCGATGCGGCGTTTCGCAACAGGGCTTCATTGGCTTGCAATGAGAGATGAGACGCATGAAATGCAGGGGACCCCAGGCGCACGAGGCCAGGGTGTGTGGGTAGCGAACGAATGAAGCTCATTGCGAGGCTTGTAAGCGCCGGTATTGACAGCAAAGTCGACGCGGTGGTGGAATGATGTGCATGGGGGGAGGAGTGGGAGATGATCAGACAGTCGACCAGCATTAGTTATAGGTACAATACTCGTACAGGTACCTCGGTACGCGACCCGGTCTACCTTAGGCCGGGTTTATAGGCGTTCGCAGGCTGTCATTGGGCATCCTCTAGGCACCTCCCAGGACTCGATTGGGGGACCCCACTGGCCAATGCGCCTTCTAGCTGCTTCCCCGGCGCGTCCATTGGTCACCGTCTATTTTTATGCCTACGTATGTACGACTACCAAGCGCCTCAACAACAGTCCAATCACTTCAGTCAATGCTCAGCGCCTGGTGTACTCAACTTTGCTTAGAGGTATCAGTCTAAAGGAAAGGAGCCTGAAAGATCGTCTTCACACGGAGTAAGTAACCTCGCCGTTGACCGTGCACAGACGTTCCACGGGTCAGTTGGGAATTCGGTGCCAGAAGAGCAACGCGATAAGGTAGGTACTTACTACTGGCTACGGAGCGGCCGGGGGACTAGGCTGGTATCTTAGCACGCGACACCGTGGGAGGTTCTTTTTCCAGTCATTTTCCATGACACTCTTCTTTCTGAGCCCTTGCTTGCGAAACTCTGACCAAGTGCCCTCGCGATACTCCCGCAAGCGCTGGAACGCGATGGTTTGGAAGGCTTCGACATGTCCATAATGGCTAGCTTGACCTGGATTGAAGCCACGTATCCAATACAAGGCTGCCTTTGTTCACATATCTGGCTTTCCTGCTGGAAGGTCTGCACGATAGAGAAGACCGAGCTTTCCAAGAGATTCGGCTATTAGGGGATATACGGCTGATCCTTCCTTGTTATCGTCGCATAGGTCGAGATAACCACGGGGGGCCAAACTGCGAGGCGCGATGGCTAATGCTCGACCTAATGGTGTTTAGCTTCAAGCATCACATAGTCACATGTATAGAGATTCACCTTGAACACTAGAATCAGTCACAATCCTCATCACCGCTCCAGCTGCATCTTCGACAGTGGCGTATTCAACGTGGCTGACGTTCAAAAGCTGAACGAGATCATCACTCAAGAACTTGGTGTGGATAAAGGTAGGCGCAATATAACACACGCGAACGTTGTGTTGAAATTCCGTCTCACGCAGGGTCCTGAAGATCCCTCGTGCGCCCCATTTAGAGGTTGTGTACTCGACACTTCGCGGAATGGCGATGAATCCCGCCAGGCTCCCTTGCAGGATCAGTACTTGATCGAGGTCATCGCCCGTGTTCGACGCATTCTGTCGACGAAAGTAATGGAGGGCAAGTTTGACTGTGTAGAGAACGCCGGTAAGGTTGATACTTATGACCTTCATCTTTGGTTCTTCCGGTTCTATATCCTCCACTATGAGGTTGTCACCCTGTCAGTACGTCGCACAACGAATGATCAATTGCCTCAGTGGCTTCGACTTACCATTTGTCGAGAAGATCGAATCTATCGGGGCTGCGATTCCAGCATTGGGAATGACGATATCAATCCTTCCAGAGGGCGAAAACGAGGATGCTTCCTTGAATACTGCCACTTGATCTCTCCAGCTTGAGACGTCACACTTGACGAAGCGGACCGAGCTGGTAGCAGGGCTCAATAACTGTCTCGCTCAGTGGGAGGATTGTAACTAACCTGCCAAGTTCCTGGGCTAATCTTTCTCCATCCCCTTCGGCGACATCAGCAATGAGAACATACGCTCTACACGATATTTAGCTCATCCTCCAGCCTAATGAAGGAGTCCACAAACCCTGCTTTCGAGAGAGCTCGAACATAGGCCTCGCCAATGCCGTTGGCTCCTGACAAGAGTGTTATCAGCGAGCAATCACCACAAATTTGAGCGTAACCTACCGCCAGTCACAATAGCCGTCTTTCCTTTGACATTGTTGGTGTCGATGTCAATATCACAATTGATTGGGCCTTGGTCGATGTATGGCTTCATAATGCTTTTACTATATAAGTATGTGCAGTCGAAGTAGCAATGCAGTGTAGGCTCTGGGGTTAAGGTATCTCAGCTCGAAGCAGGAAGGGACGACCAGTATATATACCGTCGTCGTTTCCAGCGTTCGGAAAAAGGAAGAAAGTGATGAGGCTTACACCTCCACCTCGACCTCGCATTTCACGCAAGCCTGAACTAGTGCTGATACGAATGTGGTGGGATATATGGGTGTCTCATCTCGTCGGTGACCGAGCCTGAGTCCAAGCACTCAGATCGTTACGGCCCGACACTCACATGCGTCGGGCGTCTGAAGGATCGAGGTCTAGCTGGGAAAAGGCTAGGTGGGAGAAGAACACAGACACTCCTGCCACGAAGAATGTGTCTGCCGGGTACCCGGAATCTCTAGACTGAAAAGCTCCGCCGAGAAGAAGTGGCTCGAAACGCTTTTTGAAGAGACGTCTGCTGTACTGCTTAGACACCTGAGGTAGTCCATTTGCCGACTTATCCGCTTCTTGAGCCCACCCGTGCCCTCTTGACGGAGAGGCCGGTCAAGAGCATCGTTCCTAGCAATCAGAAAGTGGGCGGATGATAGATGTAACGAATTCAAGAGGTCGTTTACAGTGATAACGAAAGCCACGTCTCTAGGATGCCGCACGTACAGTAGAGGTCAGAGTACAGTTCCAAGTTGGTCCGTGGACTTTTTGTCTGCTTACTCAACTTACCCCGGATTATTTTTAATGCCTGCGTGTTTCAAAATTTCCCATTCCAACTACGAAAACACAGACAACCACGACACATCACGAGCTATAATTCTCTTTGAGCTCCAGCCATCGATTCCCTTGTTGAGAGCAAGATCTTGTTCGTCGATATCTCAACCCAGCATGCCACTCCTCTCTTCCGCCCTTCTCCTTCGCACGCATTCTCTCACCCTCGTTTTGTTCGCATACTATCTCCTGACCTCACCGTGGACGCTCGTGTCTTCAGCTCCGATATGGCTGCTGGGCGAATCCATGTTCGTCCGCGCCCCGATCTACGCCCCCGATCACCTGCATCCGTCTGATCCTGGATCCAACCACCACCACCAAGGAAGAGACCTCCGGCCACCGCCGGCCCTGCTTCAGAACCCTGCCAGGGGGCCCGGTACCATCCCAGCCCTCACGGGAACCGCCGCCGAACGCGAACTCTTCGCTGTCTTGGCCGTGCTCCTCCTCGCCTACGCTCTCATGCAGTTCATCTTCGCCGGCGACTTGACTCTCATCCTCCCCTCCGGGCCCACGAGTACAAGGGGAGGCAGCAAACAGGGCGCCGCGCCCCCGGCGGGCACCACCCCCATGGCAAGCTCTGCTCGCCTCGCTAAAGAACTGTACACTCTCCTCACGGCACAGTCACGATGGCTCACTCTGGCCGGTCTTCATGTCATTGCGTCCTCGGCTCTGGTGTTCTGGATCTACATGTTTCATTCTCGTGAAGCACCGACGCAATCGGGAGACTATTATTCCATCTCCGACTTGCTTGCGAACCGCGTCACCTTCACGGCCGGTCTAGCAAATATGCTCTTCTGGGGGTACTTGTGGACCACGGTGAAAGACGAAGGGAAGGAAGTCGGTAACCTACTGGCGAGGAGAAGAGCCATGGAAGAGGAAGAGGAAGAGGAATGAGTCGGTCGCAGATTAAGAAACATCTCTGAAGCTCTGAAGATGATTTACCACTGCTCAGCTCATATCAACCGTGGCAATGACAATGACCATGACCATGCCAATCCAGGATATACATTACGGGTGGGAGATATCTTCTCATGCTGAACTTGCAGTCACTTTTCAACCGGCCTTGTCACTGTCAAGGAGACACTCTTGAGATTGCCCTCTCTTGCAGCCCTCTATAGAACCGCAGCGAGTCCAAGGAAGGCGGCGCCCACGACACCCAGTCCCACGCCTTGTACGCTCATCCTTCCATCTGCGGCATTACCTGCGGCTGAAGCCGTGGCAGTAGTGCTAGCACTGGAGGCGGCGCTACTCTGACCTGCGGACGCGGAGGATGCGGCGGCACTAATAGAGGAGGAGGTGTTGCCCAGGACAATGGAGCCTGAAGACGAAGCTGCCGAGGAGCTGCCGCCGCTGGTGGCGGTAGTGGTAGCGGTTGCACTTGCACTTGCAGCGCCACCGGAGCTGCCAGTGGTTGCGGTCGAGGTGGAGTTTGCAGTACAGCCAGCAGAGGCGGGCTAGTTGCAGGAAACGTTAGCCATCTAGCTGACATGGGCATGCAAAAGAAACACTGCCATGCCCGGGGGAACATCGCAAACGTACCAGTAATGTCGAGCCTCCTACAGGGTCGCAGATGGAATGCGCATAGGCGAGCGCAGCCTGTTGATCGCTGGGATCGCAACTGTTGAAGATACAGCAGCTGATACCGGTGATGAAGGATTTGGTGGTGCAGATACCTGTTATATTTTTTGAGTTGTCAGTCGCGAAATACATTTTATGTCCTTGAGAGTGTTTCTCTTCTCCCTCTCCGTCTTCAAGTATCATCTGAGTCCGGATCTTCATTCGTTCCGGCGCAGGTAGCGTCGTGGATGAACTCAAGGTCTCTTTTGCGAAGGGATGTTATACGTACACGATGGATCCAAGTTGCACGAAGCAGGCAGAGAATCAGTGATGCATGCGTTTGCACCTGTAGATCGAACCGCCCAGGTCAGTGAAAATGTCCCAGAACGACGAACTGACGGACAGAATGACGAGGACAGGTGCCGGCGCATCTTCTAACTCACAAGAGGGGATCGATGGGCTTGATTGCGCGGACACAAAGCCAGCCAGAACGGCGGAGAATGCGACGAGGTCGAGACGCATCTTGTATTGCGCGCGCGCGTGGGCGAAGACAACAGTGTGGACGGGACGATTGGCAGGATTGGGAGATATCCGAGAAGAAGGGCCGCCGAGATGCTCGAGTTGCAGCAGCGAACAGGGCGACAGGCAGATATCGAGAGAGAGAGGGGGGGGAGGGGGAGAAAGGACAAAAAGGCTACAGTTACTTGTGCCGTGGTAGGTAGAAAAGCGAAGTTCAAGACAACAAGACCGGAGGGGGGTTACAAGAGTGAATGAAGCTGCCGAAAGCATGGACCCCTTCGAGCTTAGGTACATGAGGTACCTACAGCAGGTACAACCAACCGTAGAGTTCAGGAAAGATACAGCAAACCAGTCAGTTCAGGTGGCTGTCCTCACCGTCCCCTCGGCATCGGCCTGCATCACATGTGCATGGAGGTAATGCGCGCCGGGCTCGATCTAGGTTCAAGTGTCGAAGCTATCAACGCCCGGTGGCTTCTTACGAACAGGCGACGAAAATACGAGATTCACCGGGTGGCATCATGGACCAAGGTACCTTTGTCCTCCCGGCTGCACAGACCCAACCTGCCTGTGTTCTTGGCTTGTTGATAGAAAACAGACACCACGACCCTCCCGTCCCTGTAGTCAATAGAATACGTGTGTGGACTGAAGTGGCGCGGAGAGAGAACAAAGCTGAGCACCTGGATCGTTCCCCGCCATTTTGCATCTGCCGTGGAGACGACACGGGTTAATATTTGTACTGTACATACGGAGTACAATACTCCGTAACTGTATGGGCTTTGGGGGCTCACCACAAACGACTATCCTAAATCAGTATTAGTTAGTTCACTTCGGATCATTGTCCTCGTAGACACTCCCTGGTACTGTAGGTGAGATCCCTGGGAACACACCTACGACTGTCCACAGTACTCGAGAGGCCCCATGCTTACCTGTAAGTGAACACGACAGTTGGACTCTCAGTCCCCGAATCCTCATCACGGAGGGACAGAGTTCTCGTATCGTGTGCAGTAGTTGGTTACGGATACGAGTTCCCCAACCCTTTGAATCTCGGGAATCTTACAGCACACTGGTGAACCTTGAACCTTGAATGTTGAATCTCCACATCGCATCTACCCTATTGGACACTGCGAAGTCACTCCGTTATTCGTTGCCAGAGACCAACAACCTGCACTGACCACGTTTTTACTCGGCAGCAGCAGCAGCAACAGCAGCAGCGGTAGTGAGGTCCTCTTTTCCGTGGACTCTGTACTGTTGCACTGTAGTACTGCCTAAAGGGTGTAATGAAGGGCCTCCTAGATCCTTGCATACCCAAGGTAGACTGGATTTCCGAGACAATGGTACGAGTATTAGACGTTGAAAAACGATACAACAATCCAAAGGATCGAATCACGAGATCATCATCACATTATACATCAAGGTATATATGTATATATTTACCCAGGTAGATTCTCAATCATAACCCCGTTGCCCGCCTGACCGAGGCATTAGACCTCGTAGCCAAACCACAAACCCTGCTTTCGTCGACGCTCGCCCTTTGAGAAAGGGGAGTGAATGATGAACACAAACTCTCGTCAGGACGAGATCCAACCAAAAAAAAAAAGCCAACGCCAGGTCAGATATCCAATATCTGTTGTGTTCACCAGACATATCCCCTGAAATGTACTCCTGTAGGGACATTCCATATACTCCATACCCCGTAAGAACCGTATCTAGGCATCTGCCCCGGTGTCATGTATCAAAACACCAATCATTCTGTCATTTCCCTGTCTTTGTCTTGTCCTTTTTTCCATTTCTCGTGTCTCTGTCTATCCGACTTCCTTCCTTTCCTTTCTCTCCCACTACACGATATTGATGGTATACGTGTAATCGCTCGCAAACCAATATCCATTCGTATGGTCCAGTCTCTCTTCGTAATTACTCATCTCGGCCTCTCCCTTCATGACACTCCGGAAGCGGTCCCAGTTGATCTGGTCGTACCTCGAGACGTCAAAGGCGCCTATGCGTCTAAACTCGCCTCTCTTCATGGTCGCGCAGAGCAGCAGGCCCTCGACGCGGTCGACGACGTCAATGATGGGCAACATGTACACCTCGAGCATTTCCGTCAGCATGCCCGAAGACGCCTCGGACAGCTTCGGCAGGCGGTCGTCGAAGCTCGCCGACTCGAGCTCGACCTGCGCCCGGGTGCACTGGATCACGCAGGGGGTCTGGCCCCAGTAGTCGTGGGTGCGCCGCAGCAGCCCGCGCGCCAGGAAGCCTCGCACCTTCATCCGGGCCCCCGGCTCGACCAGCCCAAAGTTGTCGTCGGCCCTGCACCGCACGTCCAGGTCGATGACCTCGACGCACGTGTCCCGCGAATTCTGCGCCGGCTCAGGGTACTTGACCTCGCCGTCGATCGAGGCCCAGGCCCACGTCGGCGCCCGGTACTTGGTGGGTCGGCGGCCGCGCTCGACGCGCCACAGCAAGCCGTGTGGCAAGTGCGGCTTCCACATTCCCGCCACGTAGTCCTCCTCGCGAAGCCGGTTGCGGGCCATGTACTGCTTCGCCAGGCCGGCGATGGCGAGCAGCTTGTCCGAGCTGTACGTCATGCGTTTGGCGCTGTACATGTTGACCAGCTGGTGCCAGTTGCCGTGGCGCTGGTGGTGGACGCGCTTGCTGAAGAACTCGACGCTCTCGAGGCTGCTGGGCGGGCCCGAGTTGGCCGGCATGCCCTTGGGGAATACCTCGCTGCAGCACATCTGCTGGCACTCCCAGAGTAGCTCATTGCGCGTAAAGTGCAGCGTGCGCTTCGCCAGGCACCGCTCCTGGAACGCCCAGGCGCGCCGGTTCAGCGGGCTCGAGTCGACCAGGTCGTGCCACAGCGTGGACCGGAGGATCTTGTACGTGCCGTTGTCGATGCCCATGCCGTTGACCTCGACGATGCACGGGTGCAGCGCCGTCACGTTGCGAGTGTAGACGAGCCCGCCCGCGTCGTCGCGCGAGCTCGTCGCCGAGATGTTGAGCGACGCCTCGCTGTACACCTTGTGCATCTGGCTGATCTCCTTGAGCACCGCCGCCTCATTGTCGTGCATGATGCACAGCGCGTCGACCCAGAGGTACCGAAATCCCAGCCGCTCCGTCGCCACGGCCGCCTCGGCGATGGTCTTGGGCAGGCTGGACACGCTGACTCCCTGCCGCAGCGCCGGGAGCGTGCCCTTGTGCAGCCGGACCGGCTTCGACGAGCCCCAGCAGTGGCTGAGCGTGACGTACTCGCTCAACGGGTCCAGAAACATGCCGTCGACGAGTTTGACCCCCGGCGCCCCTTTGGGTCCCCGGACTGTGACATCCAGAAGATGTGTCGGCTTCCACGCCGCATTGATTTCCGACACAGAGCATCTCATATGGTTGAACATGCAGTCCTGGATCCATTGCCGGGCCAGGTCGAAGCTCTCGTTAGACGCCGTGCTTATGCTTTGCGGATCGATTGTTCGCACGCCAGGCTCGACAGCGTCTGTCCGAACCAACAAGGTCTTCGTGTCAGTCTCGAAGATAGGATAGATGGAGATGTCAAGTTTTCCATTTCTGGGTAGTTAGGCCGCACTCACATTTTGGATTCATCAATATTAATTCAACACCCAAGACCGATTCGCCTCGCTCAGTTGCGCTGTCTGCTCCTCCTCCTGCTCCTCCACTCACCAGCGTCGAGCGCAGACTCAAATTGGCACTGCTTCCGTTTGAACTCTCTCGGTCCATGCCTCCAGGCCTCACGTATCGGAATTTTAGGCGTGCTTGATCCCGTGCGATCGGGCTGATCCATGCAAATCCCACGCTCTCCTGGCTTGAGGCGCGTCTGAAATTTCGATACGCTTCGGGATCGATGCTCATGAATACGGTCAGGCACAAATGGCACTTTGACGCTCGTGCAGCCAGAGCCTCAAGGTCGTGGTGCCCAACCTCACCCGAGTCGCTTCGCATTGTGTCGGGTCTGAAAATGGACTGACATGCCATGCATAACGTGCTCGGTGTTAATTGTTCTGTTGTCGTCACTGTTGGTGTCGATGCCGACGTTGAAGCGGGGTTATTCGCCGGCATATTCGTCGCCATCCCAGCTGTCGTCGTCGTCATTGTCGTCGTTGTCGCTGCTGTTATCGTCGCTGTTGCTGTCGCTGTCGCCGTCGCGGTCGCGCTCATCTCTGCGCACTACTCCCGGGATGCGTCGTCGATGTCGTCGATAAGGCCGTTGTCGTACCCAAACTGATCCGACCTGGTACGGGTTGGGGTTGATGCGTTGACTGGATTTGTGTCTTTTGGCGTGTTCGGAATGGTTAGTTAGTACACCGTCCTTCTAGTTCGCTGGTACAACGGAGTGCTAAATTACCCCCCCCTTTCGTAGCGATCTCCACCATTACTTCGGTACTCGTGAGTGTGTCGTGTTCTTCTGTCTTGCGTGGCGACTGGTACCTCGTATGCGATATTAATGGTTTGTTCGATTGACTCCGTAGAGAGCGAAAGGCGTGCGCATTTACTGTGCGAGAATCATTCGTGATGTAAGGTACAGTATATGGTTGATGCGTGATGCGCGGTGTGTGACGTGCGACAGTAGGTAACAAGGTGACTTGTCCGGCGTATCAAACTGTCTTACCGAGTTCCCATGTTCGGCAATGCCCAACGAGAGAGAAGGAAAAGAGAAAAAAAGGTAAAAACGAAAACGCACGATCGAGCCCTTTGAAAGCCTACGAGGGCTAACTAACGTACACAGCACACACACGCACACGCACACGCACACACAGACAGACACACAGATATAGAGTTTCACGCGGGTGATGTCAATTCGTCCATTTCGAGATCACCAAAAAGATTACAATTTACAGACACTCCTCTCCTCTCCTCTCCGTACCACGGTTCTCCGTAAGGCCACTAGTCAGGCAAAGAGAAAGGAAAAAGAAAAGGACGCCCGTGGACCGCGGGGCGTGGGTTTAGCTCCTGATTGTTGAGATCCTCACCACGATCTAATTTCCGACCCGGCGCGGCGAGACGAGACGAGCCTGACGACCATGCAAAGGCAACTCACGAGTCAAGTCCACGGTCCCCTCGTCACGCGCGAATCACACCAAACTGGCACCCCAGAGACCAATCAATTTGAAGCGGCTGTCCTTCTGGGGAGTCGTTGATTTCGACCGCGGGACCGTACCTACTCTAGGGAGGAAAATGACGAGACCGATGAAGCTGCAAGAGGGTGAAATTTTTGGCGCCGCAAAGGAACAGAAAGTTTCAAAATGCTACTCCGTAAAATGTATCAATTTGATACGCGCCAGCCCCCCCCCGACGCCCTCGTCAGTCGTCACATTAGACAACCCCTGCTAATAAATTGCTTGCCAATTCATACATATGCAGAGTCCCTGCGACACGCTAATCGGGCGGGCTCTGAAGGCAAGGAAGGTGGCTTAAGCCACTCTCCTCAACGGCGGGCGACTTTGTCAAATGGCAGCGGGCAAAAATGGCCAAGAGCCCAATCTTAGGGGAAATTTAAAAGAATCGTGGACACCGTACTGCGTAAGGCTGGCTTTGATCGTGCTCAGCCCCTGACCGGGATCCTGGCGCCCCCAAAGCAATCGATCGTCCAGTGTGATATGCCGTTGACATACATACAAGTACTCCGTGCAATACATAGACAAAAAAGAAACAGACTGTGCCATGAGTACTTAATAAACATATTATGATATTTGTATACGGAGTATGTGGAGTACGCATGCCATATGCTTAACATTCGGCAGATACCTCGAACTAAGGATTCAACTCACGGAATTCCCCCGTAGTGAATCGAGATCACACGCAATAACCTCATCTTCGTCATCGTAGTTTGGTCAGCTTTAGAATGTCGTGCCGATGGAAAAAATCCCGATTCTTCTTGCCAAACACATACATTGGCACACTGAGCAGACACAGCGCCACTTCGATACTGGCGAAAATGATGAATAAATTGTTGATCCGGATCGCAAAAACCCAGTTGTACGCATTGTAAGCCAGGACAAACGAGAAGATGTTTTTGAAGATGAGGAGATCGGTGAATGCTTCCACAGCGAGCTCCCGATGCGCATCGAGAAGATACTGGGCAGAGGCAATTGCACCCATCACCATGCTGATGATGATGAAGGCGAGGAAAACCACGGGTACAATCCAGCCATACTTGGCCACTTCATTCGCCGTGATGCCAAAGCCGTAGAGTCCTATGGCAGAAAATACCAGCGTGGGGACGACCAGTAAGATGCGGAACTCGGGTTCATACTTTCCCTTGTTCAGACGGATCATGAAATTCGTGACCAGTTCGCTGTACAACCCGGCAAGTAGCAGGCCGATCATGCTCCCAACAAATGCGCCCGTGTACATCTTGCCGGCGCGTTCTTCGTTGAAGAAAAGCGGTGGTCCTAGGAAGATGAGTGATAGGATAACGCCCACCATGACTGTCCAGCCGATGATGACGCCCTGGATGAGGCATGCCCATGCAACAGCTGGGTGAAAAAACAGCGGAAACGGCCTAATCAGGAGTCTGAAGAACGATTCATCGGTTTTCCGTCCGTTGAACGGCATCAGCGTCTGGACGTAGGATACTTTTCTGCCGGGGCTTTCTGTGACTGACATTGAGTGCAGGGGTTTCTCTCCGGATTCTGGCGCGGTGGCATTCCGGGAAGGCGGAAGAGTTTCTGTTGACGAGTCCTCAGCCAGCAAATCAAGGTCAAGCGCATGTGCTCGTCGATATGCCGTCTCAGGCACAAAGAAGAACAGTAGCACGAAACCGAGGGCCATGAAAATAGCAAGTAAGTAGAACTATGACCAATTTCTGTCAGCTTGAACACCAAACACAACAACACCAAGTTAAAGCAGAGTATCAGGGACCATGGTAGATTACATACACTCCACTCCCAGCCGATATGCGCAGAGATCATTCCGACAAAGACCGGCGTCAAGAATGCTCCCCCGAAGAGACAAGTGTTTGTAATGGCCATGCGTACACCACGCTCGTGAACAAAGTAGAGATCTCCCACACAAGCGTTGACAAGAGCTTCAAAGGGTGCCAATGCAACTCCTTGGAAGACGCGACTCCACAAGAGGCTGGCATAGTTATGGTTTGTATGTGTAGAACCACCCCATGCGGATGTCGCAACCATCAGGAGAGCGCCCAGTAAGAAGAGATGTCTCTTGCCCCATACTCTAGCGGATGCGACAAACAGCCATCCAGCGACACCAACTCCGACCAGATGGTAGGCCGTGAGCAACGCAGCATCTTGAAAGGTCCTCTTGAATATGAGCGCGATCGTCACCGAGTCTGCGGCCAGCAAAGGGGAGGCGGTGGTGGCAAGGCAGGACACGAAACAAAGGATCCCAAGGATGAGGTCGCGATGCCAAAGAGGCCAATTCTATGCTCGTCAGTTGTCTTGCACCGGGAGACCAGTTGGACTGGTCAGACTCACCAATGGGTCGTTTGGGTCGTTCGAGGGCTGAGGAACCAGGATAACGCGCCCTGTTTTGTCTCTCTTCAAGTGTCGAGCAGTCTCCAACAGGTCTGCATGTCGTTGCTCTGACTCGTAGACGTAGACTGTGCCGGGGACGTGTTCGACGCCTGGTTCCAGGATCCCCAGAGCCATGCTTAGCTAAGACGGTGGATTCGTTGTGTTGAATAGCGTGGCTACTCGCGAGTTCTGATTATCATGGTGATCACATGCCCAACAATCTGCTGAAGCGAAGAGAAAGCGACAAGTCAACAGGACAAATGGAAGAATGATACTGATGCGTTGACGACCCGAGAAGCTTTGGCTTGGTGTTGTCCCAAGCCACCGACAGGAATGGTGGTCTAAACTTTTGGGTTCCCCTCGTTCCCAGTAGAATGGGACGCACCTCCGAGGCATGAAGTTGCTAGACATGCACCCGTCTTCTCCACTGCCACTGCATCCCACGATCCTTTGGAGGTGGGCTAACTAGTACCCCGTCTTATCTACATGTCCCGACGTATGCAGTGCACTAAGACGTGTCCGTGTAGACAAGTTTAGAGATGCCGAATGTATACTCCTCTGTATTGCGACACCTGAGACCTCCCAGCGCTATGTAAAGTCGACCCAGTTGACTGCTCTGGACAATCTTTCTGGCCAGGCACTGTTGCTACAGTCCCGACAACTACACTCAATCATTGCTGTGTTGTAGGACTTGCCACTAAGAGCAGCAGTATTCTCAACTTCTCATTACTTCCCTTTGGGGTGGCCATAATGGAATTCGTTCCATTTCTCACCAAATTTCGTGAGAGGTTCCGGACGTTGGTCGTGGCCGATGCCTTCTTTGGCGAATCCTTCAGGCACACTTGTGCCTGCGTTGTCTCTCATCGTCTCATCGGCCCGACCTTGGATTGTACCTCCGTATGCCTTGGTGTGCGTGGATGTAGCTCCTCCATTCTGATACGCTCTCTCAATATTTCGAACACCGGGTGTCTTGAAGAACTCGGGCCATCTCGCTGGCAACGCGAAGTAAAGCAGGCCCGCCGCCACACCACCGATCGCAAGTCGACGATTCATCACTCCCATGACAGGTGAGATTCCAGGAAAATTCGGATAGGTAGACTGGTCTGAGAGGTCGAGCTGCTTACAGTGAGGAAATTGGAATAGGATTCAATTGAATGAGTAGTTTGTCGAAGCGGTTGAGACTGATCTAGTATAACAGACAGCCCTAGAATGCGTGAAAAGATCTGGGAGACGTATGTGCAGAAACAAGAGTAAGCTAGAACATTTTAACGAGAAAGATTCATGGAACTGAGCTCCGCGAGCTCCCTCATACAGTTCCTGTATAGTGCAGAAGACAGCCGACTACCCAGACTGAAAGGAAACGCGGGTTATGACGCTTACTCAAGGCCTCTTCTCGTAGACGATGGCAGCGAATACTTGTGAGTGGTGTGGATGGGGGCATCTTCCGAACTCTGACACTCGCTTTGACATCTTTATGACAGAGGAAGGAGGTGGAATTCACACAGGCTGAGGAGATGAGGTCATTGACTTCCCCGTTTGGCGCGCCAAAACCGCTACGGCCAAAGGTGGTGTCACGTGCAGGATCTTTCTCAATGCCAGCCTGATTGGCAGCGGGCGAAAAGGCAGATAGGACAACACGCCGACGAGGGATTTTCAGATGATAGGAACGCGAGTGTCATTTGGGGACCTTCCACGCTTGCTAAGCCCCTCATCAGTCCGCCAGAGCTAAGGCTATGTGGTATCGTAGGGGACGAAAAACAACAAACAACGATTTCTTTCGACGTAGAGGGGGGAATGGTAGTGGTAAGGGGAAATTTGACCCTGCTCTTTAGGGATTGCTTTGCTTTGCCTGTATTCGGCCTTGGAACAAATCACTTCACACGCCATCCAGTGCTAAACCCGAGAAACCCCGCTCACAAGCCTGCAGTGCAGGTCCTGCCATTCAGTAACAACCCTGCCGGAAAATATCAAGAATCGTTAGGCGAGAGTCGACAGATATCGAGGGAATGCACCGTTCCTCTCGTAGGGTCAAATCTAAGAAGCAGGTGCAGCCTCTGCCTTCTCAGCACCCTCAGCTGGTGGGGCAGCTTCAGCAGGCTTCTCTTCCTTTGATGCCTCACCCGCTGGGCCAGCCTCACCTTCACCGCCGTCAGATGATGTCCACAATGTCAAGTTGTCTCGGAGCAATTGCATGATGAGGGTGCTGTCGCGGTACGACTCCTCAGACAGTGAGTCAAGCTCAGCAATGGCATCGTCGAAAGCTTGTTTGGCGAGATGACAGGCGCGGTCTGGAGAATTCAAGATCTCGTAGTAGAATACACTGAAGTTGAGCGCGAGACCAAGGCGGATGGGATGTGTTGGAGTAAGCTCAGTTTGTGCGACGTCGGTGGCGTTCTAGACAAAAGATCAGATGGGTGTTCGTCCTCGCGCGGACCGTGCCAGCCATACCTTGTAAGCCTCGTGGGCAGCAGTAGCAGCAACCTTGCGCTTCTCACCAGAGGCAAACTCCGCGAGGTATCGGTGATAGTCGCCCTTCCTATTGTCCCCTGTTAGACATATTCCGGTTGGCGTTCTGGTAAGAGCCTACATCTTGTGGTAGAAGACCTTGGACTCTCCGGATTCGGCCTTGGGAATGAGAGCCTTGTCAAGAACATCGAGGACATCTTGACAGACTTTCTCGAGTTCGCTCTCGATCTTCTGACGGTACTCGCGGATGATAGCAACGTGCTTCTCTGAGCCCTTAGATTCCTCCTTCTGTTCGATGGAGGAGATGATGCGCCAGGAAGCACGTCGGGTTCCTACAACATTCTTGTAGGCAACGGAAAGGAGGTTTCGTTCGTCAACGGAGAGCTCGCCGCCCATCTAAGCCATGTTAGACCGGAGATGTTGATAGAATTTTTCTTGTCTCAACCCACGTTGGCAACCTCTTTCATGTACGAAACCATCTCATCGTAGCGCTCGGCCTGCTCGCAGAGCCGCGCGAGGAATGTTTTACTGATGTATCGTTAGAAGGAATCGAAGGTCGGGTTGGATGGATTCCAATGTACCTTTCACGCTATTGATCGCAATCCCGTCAGCATGGAGCCTTATCATTGAGGGATTTGAGAGTGAGGTTGGACGGTAGCGGTTGGGGCTCAGCCCGGAAGGCAGCAGGGAGAGATACTCACATCAGTGGCCATTGTGCAGACTACAGAATTCTTGAGCAAGAGATGGCAGATGGGACGAAGACTCGAATTGAGATAGGATTGGTGTTGGAAGGGTTTGTGAGATGGAAACTGAAGGAGGAGTTGATTTGTCTGGTGATGGAAATAGGAAATGGACGCAGTTTGGAAGTGTGAGTGAATGAGTGAGTGCACGAGTGAATGGGGCTTAGAGGGAAGCACAGCTGCTTGAAAGCAGAATCCTGGCTCACCAGGCCACTAGGCTAAGCCAGATTCAAGTGCCTCAGTCTCGCTCTCGCACTCTCACACAACGCGCCCATTGTGCAATCTGCTTCTCTGACTTGTCAAGCCCTATGCTGTCACTCTGACCTATCACCCTACGTTTGATCTGTCTGGTCCAGTGGGTGGCTTGACAGTTTCAGACTCCCTTGTTCCAGGATCCTTCTCAAGGCTACAGCCGCCCAAGCGAGCCATGCCTAGGTAACTACAATACCTGCTTCAGTGAGGCCAGCCCACACTTCCAATCAGAGCCGCAACCTCGCGGAACAAGATACACAAGCGACACAAGCGACCAGAGTTGCCATTGACTACCACATTCATCAGGCCCGTTTGCAGCAAACACGACTCGCTGGGGCACATGGCTGATCTTCACGTGCCACCCGAAAGACACCGGGACGCAGGTCTGGGAAAAGCCACGTATCCCAGTGACGTTGATTTTCCAGGCCCAAACAAGCCTCCGCAACGACGCCGAGTCAAGGCTGGTACTCGTACGGGTCACTAATTTAAGGCGTTGAAGCAGCACGAACGATCTCAGGCTCCCGGCACAGTTACCTAGTCCAGACCTGCGCGAGAATGTAATCGTTTAAGTCTATTTGCTTACGGAGAGACGCCAGACCTAAAACGCCTTTTTGAAGCGAGATCTCCTTATATCTAAATTCAAAAATTATGTTGTCTAAAACCGCAATCGGAATTTTGACTGTAGGTAGGTACTTCCGAGAGGTATTACCAGATTATTTTGTCAAGAAGTCTGAGGAACTGAGACAACTCGTGAGTACTCGAGTGTATGATCCCCTCTTCGAATACCATTTATTGAGCCATCAACTCGTCCTGCAATCTAGAACGCCCATCTGGTGGTGAGAGACTTGTGACTGGCCTCGCCAAATGGCCAACCAACAAGATCTATATTGAGCTGGGTGCTTGCAGCAATCTGTTCCGCCTGCGCCTTGAGCTCGTCCACATCCCAATTTGCCCACACAAACTTGCCCTTGAGAAAACGCGCTTCTGGGCTTGCCAGCCAAACGTGGAAGCTGGCTGGTAAAGCCACTGGACTAGTGTCAGCCTTGTCATGTATAAGGCGCAGATTGTCACTGAGTTACCTTGATCTTCTATCCCAATGGCTTTGACACCTCCGGCAGCCTTGTTCATGTCAGTGTCCACAACACCCGGCTGAACGTGGAAAACGCTCATTTCCGGGTTCGCAAAGGCCACTGCATCCCAGAGTCGGTATTGCGCCAGTTTTGCAACACTATACGAAACAAACTTTGGGGCGAAGTTTATATGTGCTGCAGATGAGTTTACCTCAATTGCCACAGCATCTTTCGAGGCGTGGCGAAGAAAGGCCTGTGCAACATATAACGACCCCTGAAGGTTAGACTGGATGCCCTCCAAGAATGGTTCGGGCTCGACGAGTTCAAGAGCATCAATGGGACCAATGGTTGCCGCAGCGTGAACCAAAATCTCCAGCTTTCCTTCTCCGACAAAGTTCTTGAAGGCAGCATCGACCTCACTCTTGTTGGTGACATCGGTAGAGGCGACGAAAACATCAACGCCAGGGAATTGATTCTCGATAGAGGCCTTTGTGTCGAGAAGGGGTTCTTTACGTCTACCAAGAATGGCGATCCTTGACGCCCCTGCTGCTGCAAAGTGACGAGAAGTCTCGGCACCAATACTACAAATATGTCAGTACAGGTCTTGATGAGACTGGTCGACACGCAATAGCAGGGGGAAAAAGGGGGATTAATTGGGAATGGAATTGGCACATCCGACAAGAACAGCAATTCCCAGTTGAGTCCGCTTACCCGGTGCCGCCCCCTGTGATCAACACCTTTTTTCCCTTGGCTGAAAGCTCTGGGCGTGTAGGGGACAAAGATGGATATGTGTCCGTGTGCCACTTTGAGGTTGGAGACGGGAACGGAGCAGCCATTGTGAAATCTAGGAATCTGGATGTACTGGAAGTTGTTGATTCTGGTTTACAAGGTACATGGATTTGTTTTACGGGTGGCAGTTCTTATACGTGAATGGACGCTCAATGCCGGTTAGGCTATTGCAATGGGATGATTGTACATTGCTCCTGCTGGAAATGCACAGCGTCCAAAAGGCTTCGCATATCAGACTTTGTGACAATGATGCTGATCAATAGAGCGCAAGTGACGCAAGTTGTACCTACAAAATGTTCCTTGTGATAAACAGTACTCCTTGAGTTACGAAGACTCCCTTGGACGTTTACCTTGGCGGTACAAAATGTCCCGCGCGGTCGGAGAGCGAGATGTATTTACGCTGACAAATGCGAGGATAGAGCAACAAAATAGTATCTTCTTGCCTTTATGCATCGACTATAGTACTTACCACTTCACCTGTTACGGTCAAATTTGAAATGGATCAATCTGATGTTCATGCTGTTCTACGGTGCGAGCAATGCAACAAGCCGTTCGACAAACGTAAGTCATACGCCTGTCGAATCCGTTCATCTCCTCGTACGCTCTGTATGCTAAACAGTGCTCTTTCAGAGGCAACGCTGAAAAGGCACCGATACTACTGCCGCTCTCGACAAAATGTTGATGCTATTCGCACTCGATCTTGTCAATCATGTGTAAGAGCCAAGGCGCGCTGCGACACCACACGACCGCAGTGTTCAAGGTGCAGTCTTAAGGAGACCGTCTGCCTGTATCCTGAAAGCACCTCCAGAGATGCTGGAGCAAAAAATCCGCGTCATATTGTTCCTTCCACTCGCCAGCGCACGTCAACACCGCCATCGGCGACACAGCGGTCTCCTCACGATCAAGGCCACCAAGGTAGAAGCAATGGCAGTGACATGATTCCTGATGGCGGACTCACTATCCAAGACCCGGAATTCGCAAGCCTGGGAATCGAACCACTTACTTGGGACGATTCAAGTATCGATTTCAGCTTTCTGACTTCGCCGAGGAATGACAAGACCTTCCAATACCCGAACCCAGCTTCTTCGCCGTCGTGGCTCTTTCGTCAGTTGACACGAGAGGGCGATGGTTCAAGCGAAATACAGCGACATCCGATGTCACCCAACTTATCAATACCTTCTGCTCCATCCTTCTCTGTCCGATCAATTGTTCATCGGCCCAGGAGGAAAGCTGCGACACAAAGAACTGCCAGCCTGATTCTACATATTCTCAAATCGTATCCGTTGATGATGATGCGCCATGGCTCTCTTCCTCCTTTCATACATTCAGGCATAGTGTCTTCTAGTGCCGATAGTGATGACATGAAGGCTTTGAACAATTGCGTATGCCTGGTCCATATGATGAGCGCAGGGGTCCCGGGAAGTCGTGAATTGTTCTGGAAGAATGTAAGCCTTGAATGTGAACGATTCTGTGAAGAGGTAGGCTTGGTCATATCAAAGAACTCCAACATCAGGGCTCAACCAAAACTAATGGTGACTGCAGCATTCGATGTACAATCAATGGCAAGCGCTTGGTGCTCTCCAAGCCCTACTGATTTACCTTTTGTTCAGGCTGGAGGAAGGTGAGACTGATCAAAATAATATCGACTCCATTCTCGTTACAACAGTCATAGTAAGACTCTCGCTCGCTTCCCTGACTGGTCTAGGTCCTTGGTCCTAATAGCACACTGAAGGCAACATCTAAGCATCTCAATCGCATCCGCAAGTCGGCGCCATACACCTACGATCTGGAACAAAGCTGGAAAGATTGGGTTTTTGAAGAGTCCGCACGAAGGTAGGTCTAAAGTCCTTATCCCTGAACGCATGTTGATGGATCAGAATATGCGTGGTGTACCAAGTCATCAACATGCTGGTATACTTCGAACCTGCAGCGCTGTGTGAGTTGGACGGCGATCTCCTCATCGCACCACTACCGGCAAGGAAACAGCTCTGGGAAGCAGGTGATATGTTGGCGTGGAAGGCAGAAAGCGAGCGAGAACCAGGGATTGATATTGCCTTCGGATTGACTACAAAAGGGGATCTGATCCGAAGTGGTCAAGACATGACATGTTCTATCAATGAAACGGCCGTGGTGCACAAGTCTAGATACATCAGCACTCTATCTCACAGCACCGCAAACTGGGAGGAGTGGTGCTCTGGTATGGATGGACTTGGGGGGCTTATCATGCTTGCTGCTTCATTGGTTGGACAGTGAGAGGATGGAATCTTCAGATATCGTCAATTCGACCTGGCGGATTAAATGAGTAGACATCGCCCCTCCAGCCTCCAGTAGGTGTAGCAAAGGCTTTCATTCCGGGTGAAATCTGCAGCTTTATGAAGGGATTTCAAAGCACCGGCCACTTCCCTTGGCTGCGCGTCCAGTCACGGCAGTCGGCGTCTGGAATTTTCGATCACAAACTACGGGGATCATAGAGTCCACCGTGTCCAGACTGCAGCAAGTGGGACGTTAGCAAGTCACTCTCTTCAATGTACAAGTATATTTATTAGATCTCGCATTTTCCGGACGATAGACAGGTGTCTCTAGGTTGACTGAACTTGGGCCAGATGGATGTGAAGCTGTTTTAAATATTTCGTTGTCAACCACGTCGAACGTTTATTTTTCGCAACCATGGAACAAGCCTACGTCCACGCCACCTCTGAGGTGCTGGGCCACTTCAATGTCACCGAAGCGAAGGGACTCTCTTCGCAACAAGTGATAGAGGCGCGAAAACGGTATGGGAGCAATTGTAAGTCGTGTTATCTTGCCAATGAAGAATTGCAGCCTAACAAAGTATCCAGCTTTACCAGAAGAACCTCCGACGCCTTTGTGGCAACTCGTCCTCGAACAATTCAAGGATCAGCTGGTCTTGATCCTCCTCGGTTCTGCCGCGATATCATTCGTACTTGCCCTGTTCGAAGAGTCGGACGACTGGACCGCGTTTGTGGACCCGGCCGTGATCTTGACAATCCTGATTTTGAATGCGGTCGTAGGCGTCACGCAGGAAAGCAGTGCCGAGAAGGCGATCGCGGCTCTCCAGGAATACTCTGCAAATGAAGCAAAAGTCATTCGAGATGGTCAAGTCCAAAAGGTCAAGGCTGAAGATTTGGTGCCCGGAGACATTGTCACCGTGGCCATTGGCGACCGCATCCCGGCCGATTGTCGACTCGTGTCCATACACAGCAACAGTTTTGCGGTTGACCAAGCCATCCTAACCGGCGAAAGTGAGAGTGTGAGCAAAGACTGCAGGGCGGTTAAAGATGCGAAGGCTGTGAAACAGGACCAGATCAATATGCTTTTCTCAGGGACAACTGTTGTCACTGGACATGCTTCTGCCGTCGTTGTGCTTACTGGAAGCTCTACCGCAATTGGCGATATTCATGAAAGCATCACCTCCCAAATATCCGAGCCGACGCCTCTCAAGGAGAAATTGAATGACTTCGGCGACACTCTTGCGAAGGTTATTACGGTGATCTGCATCCTGGTCTGGCTCATCAACATCCAACACTTCAACGACCCGTCTCATGGCGGCAGCTGGGCAAAGGGAGCAATCTACTACCTAAAGATTGCCGTGTCTTTGGGTGTTGCCGCGATTCCAGAAGGTCTAGCCGTTGTCATCACCACCTGTCTTGCTTTGGGAACGAGAAAAATGGCTGCTAAGAACGCCATTGTCCGAAGTCTACCATCGGTCGAAACTTTGGGAAGCTGCAGTGTTATCTGTTCTGATAAAACAGGCACCCTTACGACAAACCAGATGAGCGTCGAGAAAGTTGTTTATCTGAATGAAAGTGGTAACGACCTCGATGAGATTGAAGTCAAAGGTACGACTTTTGCTCCGATAGGCGACCTCGTTCAGAACGGCAAGAAACTGCTAAACCCAGCAGTTACCTCCAGCACACTGAAACAGATGTCGGAAGTTCTAGCTTTATGCAACGAGTCTTATTTGTCGTATGATGAGAAGAACAACACCTACCAGAATATCGGCGAGCCGACGGAGGGCGCTCTTCGTGTGTTGGTCGAGAAGATCGGCACTGACGATACGGCCACAAACGGCACCATGAACGCACTGTCTGCCGCCGAGAGAGTCCACTTTGTCAGCAAACACTACGAGTCCAAGCTTCCTATGCAGGCCGTCTACGAGTTCTCCCGTGACCGTAAGAGCATGTCTGTCTTGGTCGGCAGCGGCGAACAGCAAAAATTGCTTGTCAAGGGTGCCCCCGAGTCCATTCTCGAGCGATGTTCGCATGTCCTCCTTGGCTCGAATGGTCGCAAAGTTCCAATAACTAAGAAGCATGTCTCACTCATATCTGAAGAAGTGGTCGACTACGGCCGAAAAGGTCTCCGCGTCCTCGCCCTTGCCAGTATCGACAACGTCGGCAACAACAAGCTGCTCCATAACGCTAAAACCACCAGCGAATACTCCCAGCTTGAACAGAACATGACGCTGATCGGTTTGGTCGGCATGCTTGACCCTCCACGTCCTGAGGTTGCCGCTTCGATTCAAAAGTGCAGGGAGGCCGGCATTCGTGTCATTGTCATCACCGGTGACAACCAAAACACTGCCGAGACTATTTGTAAGCAGATTGGTGTCTTTGGGCACGATGAGGATCTTAGAGGCAAAAGCTATACAGGCCGACAGTTCGATTCACTCAGCGAGTCCGAGAAACTTTCTGCAGCAAAGACAGCATCGCTCTTCTCCCGGGTAGAGCCTACCCACAAATCTAAACTAGTCGATCTGCTGCAAGCTGCGGGTGAGGTTGTTGCCATGACAGGTGACGGTGTGAACGATGCACCAGCGCTCAAGAAGTCGGACATTGGGGTCGCGATGGGCACGGGGACCGACGTCGCCAAGTTGGCTGCTGACATGGTTCTTGCTGACGATAATTTTGCTACTATCGAGGTCGCGATCGAGGAAGGCCGTACGATCTACTCCAACACACAGCAATTCATCCGGTACCTCATCTCCAGCAACATCGGCGAAGTAGTGTCAATCTTCCTCACTGCAGCACTGGGTCTACCAGAAGCTCTAATTCCGGTACAACTACTTTGGGTCAATCTCGTTACTGATGGTCTGCCAGCTACTGCACTCTCTTTCAACCCCGCCGACCACGATGTCATGCGTCGTTCTCCACGCAAACGTGATGAGCCGTTGGTCAGTGGCTGGCTGTTTTTCAGATACATGGTTGTTGGCACGTACGTTGGCGCAGCCACCGTGTTCGGCTATGTGTGGTGGTTTATGTTTTATTCTTCCGGCCCCCATATCTCCTTCGCACAGTTGAGCAACTTTCACAAATGTTCGGCTACCAATCCACTCTACGCGAATGTCGATTGTGGCATCTTCGCACCAAACGCTATTTCTAACCGCACGGCGTCGACGATATCACTGTCAATTCTAGTGGTTATCGAAATGTTCAACGCCATGAACGCGCTTTCGAGCTCAGAGTCTTTGCTCACTATGCCATTGTGGAAGAACATGAAGCTGATCTACGCGATCTGTCTATCGATGGCACTTCACTTTGCTATCCTGTACACCCCATTCTTGCAGACTTTGTTCTCAATTGAACCTCTCAATCTAGCTGAGTGGTCAGCCGTCCTGTGGATCTCGGTGCCAGTGATATTCATTGATGAGGCGCTGAAGGTATTTGAAAGAGCGTTCTTCCTGAGCAAGACTGAGGCGGCAGTTGAGGCGCATAAGAGCGAAGGACCTGGATCTGTGGCCAATGGAAAGGTCAAGGCCAATTAAAGAGGCTACAGGGCAGCCTAATGCATCGATACTTATGGATAGATAGAACCGTTCAGACGTAGAATCTGTATGATAAAATGAAAAAGTTGAAAGAACGACATACCCGTCTTCCCAGCGAAATACTTCTCTCAAATGCAACAAGGCTGTCGACAAGGCTGTATGGATAATCTCCGGAAGATGCTTATGGTAAAGAACACATGCCGCAGCCTCCCTTCGGACAATGTACACATGACAAAACCGAATGGATCGCGTGGACAGGCGGTAATAAATTGGCTGGACCATACATTGCAGCCTGGACGCCGATGTTGTTGTATTGTTACCGTACAACCTCCTCTCTGTCCCCTTTCAATTCAGCCAACCTGGCACAATGCAGAAGTCCTTCATAGAGCGCATATTCCCACACCCCTCCACCAAGAGCCACCAGCACTTCGCCGATGATGACCTGGAACGACCTGGCTCGTCACGGTCGCCGCGCCCGATCGTGCTGCAAGACTCCGTTGCGCCCTCCTCTCGCAGCCGCAGCCGCAGCCGCAGAGGCTCTTCGTCGGCGTCGGCGTCGGCGTCGGCGTCGGCCTCCCACTACCATGTCCCTTCGCAGGCGTTGAGTTCAGCGTCCCTCGTACGACACAACGACCCGTTTCTCCCGGTGGAAAGAGCAGCTCGAAACCTTGAGCGGACGCTCCAAGACCTGCTCGATGTGCAGTCCGACGGGCTTGCGGCCGGGTTCGGTGCAGGATCAGGGCACGAGTCGTCGTCGGTGGGCAGTCCTACGCCGACGCCATCCGTTGTCACGTCCTCTGGGCCCCATACGTCGAGACCGAGAACGATGCCCATCAGGCAGCCCAAAAAGAAGCGACTGACGCTGAGGGACGCTCGGCGTGGGCTCTCGCGGTCGCTGGCCGAGTTTACGGCGCTGAAGGACCACGAATTAAAGATCATAGACGGCGAAGTGCTGGCGAGGAACGACGCTCTCAGAGAGGCCTCGGACCTGGAGAGTCGGAGACAGCTACTCGATGCCCAGGTTCGGAAAATCCAGAACCAAGCCGTGGCGGTCGACCTGCGCAGAGAAGCACACCAGGTCGAGCAGGAGATTACGGAGTTGGAGACAAGGTTGCTCGAGCTCAGAAATCGGCACAGGCATCTTCTGGACCAAGTCCGCGAGCACGAGAGCTCTCAGGACTCGGAGCTGAGTTCGTACACGGAAGCTTTGAAATTGAACGAGAACAGCATCAGGCACTTTCTCCGCCTGCCTCCCGTGGCGCAGGGCATCGGAGCGGGCGGCGTGCAGGGCATGTACGCTTTCAAGCCTGAACGGCGGACTCTGCAGATGGCGCAGGACCAATGGACGAACGATTTGGATTTGTTGAGCGCGAGAAAAGCCGACGTTGCGAGGGAAAGGCAAGCGCTGGACGAGGGTGGGAAATTGTGGCATGAAGTTTCACATCGCATTAGAGAGTTCGAAAAGGATGTCAGAGACAGGACGAAAGGTCTGACGCGGTCTCGGGCTGCGTTGGATGCTGTGGAAGGTGACGGCGGATCGACGACTGTGCCAGTCGATGACGATACCGGAATTAGCCCAATTGTGGAAAACATGTATAATCTACTCGACTTTCTACAGGATGCGTTGGCCAAGGCTGAGATTCAGGGCTGGAAACTGTTGATATGTGCCATCGGCGCGGAGGTCGCGGCGTTCCGAGAGGCGCGAGATGCTCTAGACCCCTACGTGAGCTCGACTCGTAACGGCGATCTGGACCGCGGGATGACGGGTCCCCCGAAGGGATTCGAAGAGGAGGATGGAGAACACCAGGACGAGCCGCGTCGTGATCTGTTGGGTGGTGACGTGGATGCGCACCCGAACGGCCGTGCAAACGCCTCGGATCTCGAGGCGCGAGACAGGACGCAAAGTCCAAGCGAGGAGAGCAACCACAGCCTTGAAGCCACGCTGCGTCACTTCGGAAACGGCTTGGACAGCAAGAAAGAGGGAGCAGACGGAGGGCACCAGGTTCTGCATACTGACAATGAAGGTGCCGTGTCTGGGGACGATGTCGTGCCTGGAGGAGGAGGAGGCGATGCAGCTGACAATGGCGGTGACAGTGGCAAAGCTTCTTCAGAGTCTAGATTGCAGGCCGATGCAAAGGTGCTTTTGCGAGGCCATACGTCTGAAAGCGAAGATGACGAGCCAGGCCCGGAGTTTCTGCTCTCGCACTCCTGAAAACAAAAAGCTTCAGAACCGAAGCGACATGTCTGGGCCGTAGCAGTTGTATTACTAGTGATTAGTGCCGTCCTGTACTCAGCGTTCGAATTAGCGATAAACATTGAATATCATGGATGAGCCTGGCAGGATGGTTTTCTGCGCCTTGGTAGGTCCTTTACTGGGTTGACCCGACTTTCGTATCGAGGTAGGTTACAGCGACTTCAGCGTACCAGTATGGTTCGTCCTGGATGATGTGGTACAAACAGTCCTGTTCGATAACATGTGTTTGTCTTGAGGCTGAACAGCGAATGGTCGAAACGCATGTTTTATTTGTATATAGGCAGGTAATATAGGCAGGGCATAACCAAGCATCGATCAAAGTTCACGACGTCGAACTCACCCCTTTTTCATACAGCCTCCTTCTTATTTCCGTGCTACTGATCTTACTCTCGAAGTTCTGCTTATCCTGTCGCTGTTGCTGCCCTTCAGTGTCGTCGAGACCAACCCCTGCGTCCAGCACGTCGACTTCAAACACTTCGAGGGCCTTCCATCCCTTCTCGAGTCTTTTATCGTTGACGGCCTTTCCACCGGCACGCGTCTCGCCGGAGATGACCAGTGCCGTGATATTTTCATCTGTAATTGTTGGCCCAAATGGGTCGGAGATTTGTGTGTAGTTGATGGTGATGTCCCCGCCGTAGGTGACACGGACGACTTTTCCATTTGGTCCGGGCTGGTCGATATGTTCTGTCTTTTTGATCGACGCGATGTCCGCGTGGAAAACTAAGATGGATTCAATAAACTCTGCTGCACGCTGCTGGCGGGTCGCCCATGATTCCACGACTGCTCCGTACTTCTTATTCACGAGGAGCTCGTCGCCCGTAATGCCTACCGTGATGAGACGCGGCGTTTTGACGGGAGCGGATGGGTCAGACGGCTCAGCCACAAGCACAGTGCCTGTAAGGAGAAGTTTGTGTCCGATGTGTAAGTGGTCGAAGGTGCCTCCGTCTGCGACAGATTTGTGGATTGTCACAGGGCCATCATCTGTGTAGGATGACACTGAGACGCTTGGGTTGTTGACAGACGGGCCGCAGGGTAAGCGCTGAACCGGAGGGGCGATGCCGCCTTGCCGTGACTGCCAGGCTGTTACGAGGGCTCTGAGGTGGGATTCCCCCGTCTCGCCTTCGACGGTGTAGAGTGTCGTGTACTGGCGAGAGGGAGTCGATGAGGCAAACGTGCTGAAGTCAATGATTGGGCCGGAGAGATATTGTTTGCCTTGCACAGACGGGGAAAGACTGCTCAATCGCGGCTCCAGGATGAATATCCGTACATCTAAGCCTCCAGGGAAGTCTAGTTCGACATTCGACTGGGCGGCAACCGAGCAGATGAGACTGTAGGTGTGTGAAAAGAGCGTCTGGAGCAGGGGATAGCTGGCGGAGCGGGATATGTTAGGGCTGACTGGATAGGAGGATGGGAGCACCAGAGCGACATCCAGCCTGGGAATTGGCGAGGCGCTTGTTTGAGCGAGCTTCGGGAGAAGAGTCTCAAGAGTCAACTTGTATGCTGATCTCAGGGATGCCGGGCTGGACGGCAGCTGGAGTGTCGGCAAAAGAAGGAGGTCCAACGGTGATTGAGGTGTTGGTGCCATGCTGAATGACTGCGAAGACCCGGTCAAGGAAGAGTGAGGATAGACAAGTTTATATCACCATAGATTGTATCCTTCTATGTTGAATGTGTCCAGCCGTGAGGAGTGTCGCCAGTGAGTAGCTTACGTAGCAGGCTCCCTGTGATGTTGGACGCTGATGCTTGCCACTGGTCTACCGAGGCAGTGAGAGGGCGTGCTCTGGACGACACAGCTCGAGCGTCTATTATGGTGGTTGTGAGGATTTCGTGTTAGATGGTCAATGCAATGAATATCTTCCTACCCAGTAGTCCAAGAAACCAAGTTCGAGCCTGACGTCTGGTGGTGCCTGTGGTGGTTGGTTGAATAGACGAGGTGCGAGGTGCACTCGATGTTGTGGTTCGTACAAGACTTTCTCAGCAACCACAAACTCGCAGCGATTCGACATCCCACACCTGCTGCTGTAACGGCTGTCAGGCTGATAGTCACGACGACAACTTTGTGATTATGCCATTCCACATTCCTCGCCATCAACACACCCTCTCCGACTCGTCTCCCACCTACAACAACTACTACAGCGCTGCCAGTGCCATCTACCAGACTGGCCAAACTCTGAGCTCCGTTGGCGCGCCGCACACTCACTGGAACGACGACTCGCCCTCCACGGCCTCCGAAAGCAAGTCCTACCAGCCGCAGCCAAACACCAACGGCGATGGCACCGTGATTCCCTATCGTCCGGCACCGAATGCATACCCTGGCACACACGCCGCCGCACCGCCCTCGTCAGACGCGCAATCAGGTCACTATTCACAAGGCTTGCGACGGTCCCTGACTGTCGGGCGACAAGGAGAAGCAGAACATATGAACAATCAACCCGGCTCCGCGATGGGTGACATCCACCACTATGGTGCGCCGCCAGCTTATGGAGGGGAACCGCTCTCTATCAATATTGAGCCTTCTACGCCCGGCCATCCAAACAATGTCGTGGGGAACACGATCCCAGGCACTCTCCAGCCCGGTCTACAGAACAGACCTACAGCGCTGAACACTAGCAATATGGCACCGACACTCCCTACCCTGCCCCAAATATCGACTCAGATGCAGCAGTCGCCTTTGTCTGCTAGGCCCATGACCCTCAATCACACCCACAGCTACTCGAGATCGAGTCCTGGTGTGATGGATCAACCCAGATACAAACCGTTCTCAAACACTCCTGAGCAATCGAAGTACCCGTCCGCAACGCCTGCACATCTCTCGAGTACCCCCCAGGGGCCGCCGTCTTATTCTCCTCTTGGCCTGGCGGACATCAGGCCTCGCTCCGATACGAATGCCACCGACATCCCGTTCAGCCCGAATATCGCGCAGGAAGACGACAGTCGAGAATACCCGCAGAACAGCAACTATATTGCACCTTGGCCGATATATGCAGTGGACTGGTGCAAGTGGCCTCCGCGGTCAGGCGGAGCTTCGTCAGGGAAGGTGGCCATAGGAAGTTATTTGGAAGATAACCACAATTATGTAGGGTGTAGATTTCCGCTGGATCGAGCGTGAAGCTGACTTATTCAGATACAAATTCTAGAGACCCAACGAACACAGGTCGACCCAGAAAACCCCCACGGTGAGAGAGGGCTGGAGTTTATCAAAACTGCGGAGGCCACACATGCATATCCGGTAACTCGAATACTATGGGAGCCACCTTCTTCGAACAAGCAGACGACTGATTTGCTCGCGACATCCGGCGACCACCTGAGATTGTGGTCTTTACCAAACGACCAGCATGGATACCAATCCAATTCAATTAACCGTCCGCCAAATGGGAAAACACCTCCACCACAAAAGCTGTCGCCTCTAGCCCTTTTGTCGAACTCCAAATCCCCTGAACATACTGCTCCAATCACCTCTCTGGACTGGAATGTGGTTCAGCCATCATTGATTATCACCTCATCAATTGACACGACTTGCACAATTTGGGATATTCCTACCCTGACGGCCAAAACACAACTCATTGCCCACGACAAGGAGGTCTATGATGTTCGCTTCTGTGCTAATAGCGTTGATGTGTTTGTGTCGTGCGGCGCCGATGGAAGCGTCCGTATGTTTGACTTACGAAGCCTTGAACATAGTACAATCATCTACGAGCCGAGTGAAAAGCAACAAGAAAAGAACTGTAAGTTGACCATCAATGCACTCGATTCTACGGGGTGCAGCAAGGAGAAATTGGTTCACAACTAACTCTTCTTCCCAGCACAACTGTCTGACCCCCTTTCAACGTCTCCGACACGGGGCCCTGGGTCTCAAACGCTCTCCTTCCCACCTCCGCTTCTGCGTATTGCCGCTTCACCTCATGATACTCATCTCCTTGCTACCTTTTCTCAAGATTCGAACGTCATTCGCGTACTGGACGTGCGGCAACCTGGCCAGGCTTTACTTGAGCTGAAAGGGCATAGTGCTCCTGTAAACTGCGTGGAATGGAGCAATACGCAGCGGGGCTTACTTGCTTCGGGCGGCGACGATTGCTGCGTATTGCTATGGGATCTTTTGGGTTCAGCGGGCAATCTTCCCACGGGCGTCCCAACAGGGGCTTCTGGAGGTGGCGGTACGGCTCAAGAGCGTGGACCCTCGGCAGTGTGGGAGTCACGGTACGAGGTGGCCAATTTGAGCTGGGCACCGACTATGGGAACTCTCGGTGTCTGCGGCGGAAAGGGGTTCTGGGGCGTACAGCTATAGATGTTCCAATCCGACCATTGGCATCGATGAGCGATCTCCGGGAATGCTCCGTATCGGTCTGACCCCTTCCGCCTCTCTAATGCTACTAGTTGACGAGATGGCAACGAACGCCATGACAGGACCACAACAATCAAGTTGACGGCAAGGAGCCTGGAAGTGCGACGGGTCTGCACGATGCGATCAAGATGAAGTGCCGGAAATTTGTGTTCGAGCTCATGAATAACGTGGCAGCTGTACGGGATGTGTAGAGTTGGGGCGCGCACGGAAAGTAGAAACTACTAGTCATAGCGCCGGCGTTGCATTCAACAAATCTTTTGGCCAACAAACTTCACATCCGCTGTGTTGAATACCGGGTGTTGTCTTACGATAGGGAACTTGCTTGTATCTACTGTATGCTAAAACGTGACGAAAGGAAGGTTGATAGGTGATGTTGGCTTCTGCGGGCCATTGTTGGTATTCATATAGCTAGCTCCTGTTTACCTAGGTAGGCTTTACCTAGGTAGGCACGACAGGTATAGTCATGAGTTCTGAAACCATCAACATTACCCTGCCGTCAGAGAGGATGGATTGGGAAAGACAATACAGGCAGATGACTCAATCGTATGGCGGCATCTCTTCCAAGCATAGAGGGGAAAGAACTGCCCAGCGTCTTCTGCTGGCGTTAGAGTTGTGCGCGCGCGTGTGCGTAGGCGTGTACGTGTAGGCGTACGGGTGCACACCACATGGTGCCTTGGTACAGAGTATCGGTATAACAGATGAACGGATGAATGTCCTGGCTTTTGCCCCGTATTTTACATCAACAGACGCCAAGCACCCAGAATCAGCGCCGCGGTACCGGTACACACACCCCTATCATGACGGGTTAGCGAAAAAATGTTCTCGTTAGACAAAACGTCTCCCTTCCCCCGGCCGGGGTTGGTCTCGTGGCCTCGATGGACCCGGGTGAAGGGTGAGTAGGTGGAGGGAAAGGGAAAGGGTGACCACTCACATCAACCACTGTAGCGTCGAGAACTTGACGGCCTCTACACGTTCTCGGAGACCTGCGACTTCTTGCTCAATGCGGGCTTCGGTCTCCTTTATCCTCATCTCCTGGCCGTTGGCCTCTTCTCGTATCCGGCCCTTTTCGAGGTTCAGGTCCAGCCGGACGCTGGCCTGGGTGCGCCCGATCTCGTCCCTCAGCCGGGCGCTCAGCTTGGCCAGGTCGCTCGAGAGCCGCTCGTGGCTGGAGCGGGTCAACTGGGCCTCGGTGCTGTCGGCGTTGGACAGCTCGCTGCGCAGCTTCGCAAAGTCGACCTTTTGCGTGTAGGTGCTCCGCTCGGCGTCTTCCTTGAGCACCATGGTCCGCGTGAGGTTCTGGATCGACTCTTCGATGACGTCGTTCAGCACGCGCATCATGGCCACCGCCTGCTCCTCGCTGAACCCTTCGTCCTTGAGCCGTTGGACGAACTTGAGCGTGTCGAAGTGGTGCTCCTTGTGGCACGCTGCCGTCGCCGAGAACGCCCGCCGTGCCGGCCGGAAGGTCGCGACGTACACGCCGTTGTGCCGGATGGGGGCAGAGTCGGTGGGAAGGGGTGGGGTCCAGGTGCGAGAGCGAGAGCGCAACGAAGATTTCGAAAGCGCAGCGGGCTTCGAGGCGGTAGTGGCGGCGGCAGTGTGTATTGAGCGAGATGCCGGTGCATGTCTGACCGAAGAGTGAGTCGGCTGCTTCAAGCTCTGTGGGAATGAAGAAGAGGCTCTGCACCGCACTGTTCGTGGCGCTGGCTGGACGGAAGACGTGGTCGACGTCCAGGTGAGTCGCGGCAGGAGAAAGCGCGGCACTGCCGCCGGCTTCGAGCCCGTTAGAGACGACATCGCTGCGATCGCAAGATACTGCAGTGGCGCAGAAAAAGGCCAGGCAACACTACAGCGTCCAAGTAACTGTAACCGGTGAGGAAAATGAAAGGCAGATATAGAGGACAATCCAGGTTCATCAATGCGCGCCCACAGGACGCAGTTGAACGTCCGGGGAAAACAGGCGGACGGGAAAAGTTGAGGGGTGAGATAATTTTCAGCCAATCACGGTTCACGAGGCTGAGCTGAGCTAAGCCGCTCGGGAGACATCACATGTTGGACACAGGCCTCAAGTTACAGTGTAGCATATTGCGTACAGTGTAAGGAATGTATGAGGACATATCATGGCTTCCCTTGCCTGGACCGGCACCAGCGACGAGAGGTATGTCTGTATCTCGATGCTTCGGCAGGCAACAAGGCCATATGGCGATCTACAGGAGATGAGTGCGGGACTGCTGGGCCATAAAACTACACTGGATTTATTTCCCGCTACAGAGAATCGTAATGGGCACAACGCCATTCAAGGCTTATTCTCGTAAGGCACACGCGTGATAAGCGAGTACACTTAGCCAAGGTGTGGTTTCGACTTCTTATAGTAGAATATGTAGGCTGCGGAAGTTGGTCGTTTCCTTGCACATGGCGGAGAAGTCTGAATCCATCCATTTGACAACACACTCTGTAACCACTTCGGCTGGGACAAATAACGCCATTGGACATTCATCCACCGCAAAGATGAGTGCGCATTAGTTTGAGAGTGTGTCCCATCATGCAGGAACGATTTCGTGAATCATCTGCGCCTGGCAGTCAATCATTGGTCCACGAATCACCCATATCGATCATCTGCGTCATTTCGCTACATGACTAGCTACATCGCTTTTCTGGTTCCTTCTCAACGTCATGCCTGGTTGATGATCAATTCCCTCGCCGTGTGGTAGAGGCCAACACGGGCATGGCGCCCAACGCTCCCTGGCCACCTACTGTACCACAGAACCCTCCGCGTCAGGGCCCGCCACTCGACGGCCCAGACTGCGAACGCTACCACGCCTCTCTATGGCGCACGACTAATGTATTAGGGCGACGGAGGTGAGGAGGAAGGCAGGCAGATGGATAGAGAAACCCGGAAGTGGACCAGGGTTCTTATAGACGTCAAAAGCAGCGGCGGCCCCGGCCTCGCCACTGTGCCGGACACGAACGGGCCGAAGACGGAATTCCCGGCAACAAATTGTAGAAGAGAAGACTCTTCTTGGCCTGGTCGTTGAAAGGAAGACGTAGAGGCCCCGGGTAGGGTACTTGAACATGAGTTGTAAATGCTTGCCACAAGTATCGCAGGGCATTCAGAATGCTTCCCGAGTCGTTCGAGGTAATCCTGAATATGAATACAGGGTACGCCTTTGACGCAAATTGCAGCCGCCTACAAGCACGATCCCTCGAGTGTCGCTTAGAAAGTTACATCAATAGGTCCCATCATAGCGACATCGTTCCCAATCACTCCCTTGTCCACCCTTTCCATTATTTCGTCTTCTTGCCTTCTCTGGAACTCCCCTGTCGCTTCACAGCTGCACTCGGTGGGGACTCGGCTTCCTTCTTCTCTTGCTCGAGTTTCTCCTTCTCATGGAAATCCTTCAGCGCGCGTTCGTCAACACGCTCCGCGTACCACTGGCCAACTTGTAGGACCAAAACACCAACGAGCACCAACGCCAAGATGGTGTTGCTCGCAGCCAGGACTTTGAGATTGTCCTCACGTCCCACAACGCTGTCGACCGCATCCGCGTCGTAACCGGGCGTGTCCACAGCGTCCGGCACCACCCCATATGAGCCGTCGGTGACGATGCGGAGACCTTTGACAATATTGGCGATGTAGACAATGACGGCAACCATGTAGAGCACCAGGCTGCCTCCGTCAAAAAGCATATTGGACTCGCTAGGCTTGTATAGCTTGATGATCAACCCCAAGAGACCTGCAGACAACATGATGTGCAGGATGCGCTGGATGAGGTTCGGCGCATTGTGCAAGAGTTTTAGGTGTGATTCGATGGCATCAAAGTGCGAGTCCGGGGTAGGCAGTGAGGACCAGAGGAGAGGATAGTCGTAGGGGAAGAGAGAGAAGAGAATGCCCAGGAAGAAAGAGACAGCTGTGGGCGACTTTGTCAGTTTCTTTTCCTCATTGTGTCTAGATGTGATACTCACGGCAGATGATGAGAAATGTCGCAAACGGATTGGAAGGCATTTTCGCGCAAAGTACAGGCGATGGTCTCGATGTGTCTGCGGAAAAGTAGAGGATGAAACTGCAAAAGAGCTTTTGTCTGGTTGTATGTCAAGCTGCGGCCGAAATGTAGGTATCCAATGCGACACACGCCAAAAGGCTTCTGGAGAATCTCACTCAAGACAGTGCCCCAACCTATACACAAGAGGAAGGGGAATATATAGAGAGATCGCCTGGATGGAAAAGTCAAGACAGAATAATCCAGCCAAGACAAGGTGTTGAGATTGTACAAAAACCTCCGTGGTATTCGTAAACCACTCAGGAGCTCAGAAAAGGCTGGCGTGTTAAGCTGCGGATAGTGGTGTTGCATCTGCGCTTTGGTGGTGGCGGGGGCGATAAGATAAGGGGCTCAGAGCTTAGACTCACTAGACGGATTTACCCGGCCACAGCCCATTTGCTCAGACTTTGTGGGAGCCCGGTTCATCCAAGGACTCGGTACCTCAAGTGATTACAGCATTTCATGTCTACAGTCGCGACGACGCATGCCAGTTCTCTCCCTCCAGGCCAGTTCGTACCTGTACTTGGCACGAGACGCTGAGGCTTTGAGTGGCTGCATCAGTGTCACCGAGCACTCGCCTAGACCATAAGATGATATCCACCAGTCTCGAAAGGTGAGCAACGTAGGTAAGAAGCAGTCAAGCATCTCAGGATCCATCAGCAATAGGTGCAGGGCGGTAACAGCTTGACAAGAACACCTCTAGGACGTCAAGCGCCCGGGAATCGTTGCTCAACATCTTCTTGCCGTGAACAAGCTGTGGTTGCGCTGGGTTGATCCGTCTACCAGGTCCTACCGCACCATCAAACCATTAACGGACCACGAGACAATCACGTCGCCAGATTTTGTGCAGGATGGTCAACTTACCGGAATCCTTCTCTGATTTATTGGCGTTCTGGACAACTCGAATCAGCACCACTCCCAGCATTTAGACGACCAGCACTCGAAGGATTATAAACATGCGAGACGAGGACTTGAGAACTGTCGATTGGCCTCGTACCAGGTCCTGGTCATCACAAAGTCCCGTTCCCATCCAATGATGCGCGGGAATTGTGAAGGAAGGGAAGGATTTGGTCTCCCTGAATCCCATCATCCTGGCGCTATGGCACGGCCCTCCGATTGGTAACAAAAGTTAATTGCAGAGCAATGGAAAGGAAGTAGGCCACGCTCCCCGGCTTTTGTTGGCCGTGTCTTGTTTGAAACAGCTTGCAAGGTCACACGTCACAACATGAAGGCGCTCATCATCAAGCAGCTCTGAGACTTCTCAAGATCGTGGATGTTTGTGGCGCTACTATGCCCTTCATGGCGGTATTGTCTGGCATCCTGACGAAACAAGATTACTGTTCCCGCCCGAGGCGCTATCCCCCGGATCCACCGACTCTTCGTGTTGATGCAAGTCATCGCCCATGTACAGACAGCGCTTGTGTAGAGACAAATGCCTGCCCAGAGTCGCCGAGACCTCTATCCGATTGGATACCGAAGAGCCGTCCACCCGAACATTCCATGCGCAGACGAACCATGGTTCATGGGGAGGCCGGTCCCTTAGCGATTGCCACAGTACTGCGGCCAATGCTTGTGCGGCATCGCACTCCGTTAGGATCGATGACATACCTCCTTGACTGACTGGACATAAATCCTGTTTAGCAGTCGGTGTTGCATAGTCCTCACACAACTGTGTCGACCTGTGTGGGAAATTGATATCCTGCTGCTGAAGCATCACATATGATTGGGCCTTGAGACGTTGCCTTCTGAGACATACCATTCCTGTTGGAAAGCAATCTGCTCAGATCCAGATTATTGGTGCCCACCGTGACGGCGCGCGCTCTGGCAACGTGGTCGACGCAGAGAAGGCAAGCGATAGATCATTTCGTCCACTGAGGCGGTCGAGAAGCTGTAGCGCCCGATGCAGGCCAGGACGTGATGCAAGATATGCGAAAGATCAGTGCCGCGCGCTCAAGGCGAGCATATCGGGAATGCCACACCTGGCCACCCAATCTGGTCCTGCGCCGTAAAGCTGCAACGAATCAGAAAATCAAAGGGCATATAGCGGCTAGGGCGTGTATCATGGCGAACAAGCAAGCAAAGCAACAGAGATGGCCAGGTGGTCAGCGGTTTACCAGCTGGGTAGATAAAATCCACGTGTCCACCTCCAGTACTTCTGCACTGTGCATGTGAACGTGGACTACCGTCGCTTTGTCTCTCTTTCATTCAAGTCCTTTACTCACCAAACCACACCATTTCATGCCTGGCGCGCTTTGCAAGCACCACGGATGACCTAAGAGCGGAGGTCGAGTCTCCCGGAACACCCACATCGTCTTCCAGCAAGGCTCTTCCGCCTATCCGCGGGCTGGGAAAGGAAAAAGCAAACGATTTCACACCTCGAAGCTTACACTTGCCAGCTGTGTTGCGGTGCCTGCTGTGGTTCTCGCGAGTCACAGCTGCAGGCCCCCACGGCGAATCAGCATACGCCGCATCAACTAGCTGAAGGACAAAGGCACGTCGGATGTGGACAAGCTGAAGCCAATCGATTAGCTGCCAAGGGCTATTCTTGTCGTCGTCGAGGGCAGATCCATCCGATCCACTTCCCATTCCCCTTTGCCGCCGGCGGCAACAGGAGCAAACTCGACCAACGACAGGAGTCGATCCCGCACTCCCCCCGGGCGTCCCGCTGTTTTAACGCCCGCCTTCCACCTATCTCGACGGTCGAACACCATCCCTCCCTCGGTCCTCTCTTCCACTCGACACCATCCTGTCCTCCTTTCACCACCATCTGTTCCCTCGGATCCTCCGTTGTTCTCTTCTGCGGCCATCATTCAGTGTCTTTCTCAACCAGGCGCCTCCGGACCAACCACTCTCATTGCTCCAATTCTTCGCCGGCTGGTCCTGCACACGGATCTTGTTCTCTTCGTACCATTTACGCGCCTGGCGATCTCCAGTCATAGCTTGCTGCTCACCTGCCAACTACCTACCGGTCTACTGCATCTTGACTTGCGCCGATAACTGAGCTGGTCTCATCCTGGACAAGCTGGTTGGGGGTTAGTAGCAGCTACAGCGGTGCGAGCTGTGCCTCCCCAGAAATAGATCAGGCGTCGCTCCGTTTCTGTCTACCATCTTCTTACCTTTCTTCCCTTACGGAACGATCCTCCCCTCCCTGCGCCAGTTTCCGTCAGGCCTCATCCACCGACCTCCCCGTACCCGCGACGTCAAAAGGCTTCAAAGACCGACTCTCTCGTTGTCGACGTCAAGATGCCTGCCGTGACGAGACCGGTACTCCCTCCTCTCCAGACCCCAAAGACGGCCTCGTTTCCCTCTGAGATTGTCAACACTCCTGTGTCATGTGTATCGGCAATGATCAAACAGGAGAGTGCTGGAACTCCCATCACCCCTCCAGTCGCCTATACAGACTTTCTCAAGGCTCTGACACCTGTGCTGGCGAGTCCTCCTACAACAGGAGCTCTGCACAGGTCATTGTCCGATGAGTCGACAAGTACCAGAAACTCCATGATTTCCAATGCCTCCACTTCATCCAGTTTGTCCTCGGCCAAAAGCGAAAGCCGCAAGTCGCCAGCGGGCTCTGTACCACCAACGCCGAATGCTCGCCACAGCCTCAAACGGCTTCGCATACCTCACTCCCCAGCCTTTTCACCCAGCACGAGTGGCCCCTCTCCACGCACTGCATTCAGCGGTATGAGCGCTGGCAGTATGATCTTTTCCCCCTTCTCTCCAGCGGACTACCGCCATTTCGACTCCCCGAGGAGTGCGTGCTCCAAACCAGTCAGCGTGCGGTCCGTCATGACAAGAACGGTTGTGTACAAAAGATCACCTCCGCTGGAACCAGCACCCAAGGGCAAGAAGCGCAAACTCGACAGCTCCGATATGCCTCCTCCATCGGCCACAAAAGAACTCATGGGCATCTCGGTAGACAAATTCCCCTCCACATTGATCGACTCGTCATCCACCGTTGCGACCCCGCCTGAAGCACTGAGTGCTAGTACCCCTACTACTGTTTCTACGCCGACAGCTGTTGCATCATCATAATGGTCGCATGTCCTTGATAAAATCTTGGCAACACATCGACGGGATCATCGCAGAGGCTAAAATCTTGCTCACGATGTGACTCATTGCGAGTCTCTTAACGAATTGCCCCTCCATTTCTTTTGTACATGATACCACACGAGGTTCCGCGATGGCGCTCGGCGTACGGGTACGACGAGTCACGACCTCTTGCTGGAATGAATACGTCTCTATGAACTAGTCGGAAGTCTTTTCACCGACTGATTGTGCCAGAGGTTGGCACGGCGCAGATCCTATGGATCAATTTCTTTGACATTTGCAATTATGGAGCATGGGTTTGTGGTCGGACATCTGAAAAGCATTGCTCTCTGGTTTCGAATCGGCTGAAAATGCGCAACCGGTCTATTCTACGAAATGGAGAGATTGATTTGGAAAATCTCGAGGTAGTACAAGTCCTTGATTCACAACCTCGAGCGTAGGAGGAGCGAGAGCTCCAACACAGAAATGCAAATGGCATACTTATTCTTAATCCTTGCACTCGGATGCTATTTTCAGAGTGCTTCCCCAGCACTTCGGTCTTCTTTGCACGAATCCGGGCGCCGTATGACGAGATGCAACGCAGGAATAACGTGGCCAAGACCCGCATCTAGGGGCCTCAATGACCATAGACGAGACTGAAGCTGGGCTTAGTCGACGATTCAGCTATGGGGATAAGATGCTAAGCTACTGTCCATTCGCCGATGGTTATTTATAATTACGTAGATATGCGACGGAGGTGTGTCTCCCGATCCTCTCTTGTAAAGAACGACGCACTGAGGAATGTTCTTCTGTTAGCCTCTTCATGAGCCTCCCCCTGGTGAAATGACCTCGAGCCGGAAAGGCAGATGAAGCAGTGGGAGTCCGGGGGACCGACTGGACGACACGAGATGCTGGGCCTTTTGGTTTAAGCCCCCAGTACGGAGTAATAGGCCGCGCCTCTGACATAGAAAGGTCGATATCTTCCTCCAAATACAAGGGAAGTCCTGGAAGAGACCACTGCACCTTTCGGTGGGACACGTCTGTCCGCCTTTCAACAATTGCTCCAAGATTGTCAAACTCAGGGGGTGTTGACAATGTATCTTTCCTGCAGCAATCACCGTAGATGGTACAGACTACCGTCGCTAGTCGAGTCAAACGGTTGGGGATCCGAGATAAAGCAAAACATAGGAAGACAAGGGTGGAGGGGGAAGGAGGGAGTCGCGCACCTCCAGGACCGGATTAAAGCAGCGCGACGGGCATCAATTTCCTCTCCCCCCCTTGACATCACCCACCCCCTTCTTGGCTTTTGTTGCCTCGTGCTGCGTGCCAGCGCACAGGTGGCAGGATCAGCAAGGCTAAAACGCATCTCCGGGCTGTTTTGAGCTGTTCGGAGGCTTCTAGCGTGTCTCAGGATGGTGGTGATTGGCTTCAGTCTCCAGCCGACACACAAGTTTCGAAATGCACCAGGAGGCGTCCACCCGTACCGCAACGCTGGAACCGTGCTACGGGAGCACAAGTACTTTCCTTGTCCAGTAACCGGGACAGGGATTGGGAGATTGATTGGCTCTGTCCGGCGTCGGATGGTCGATGTATCCAAGCTCGTACATGGGCGCTTACTCGGGAACGCTCAGCCAGTGAATCCGAGAAGGGGCACGAGGGTGTTGGGAACCGGTGAGTCGACGATTGGAAGAGACGAAACCGTTGCAAGGGGCCCTTGGTCTAGCCTTGCTGTCGACGGTGGTTTGCGCAGCCAATTGGTATCCGGGAAACGTGTGGATCGCAGGGGGCCGGCGCTTAATCGCAACTTCAATCTTTCCACTCCGAGGCATTCCTCTTTGTTTCTTCGAAAGTCTGTTACCGAGAATCACACCCTCAGCACTTCTGCAGGTTGCATTATTACTTCAGGATTACATCGATCATGCAGTCTTCTGCCTTGGAACGGAAGTACCTTTCCTACCCCGGAGCTGCAGTCGCGACGTGTGGTTGGTTCACGAGCAAGAGACCGGCTGCAAGCATAAGCGAGTAATTCGGGACCCACGCGAGATGCGTGTTAAAGGTTTGAGGGGGGTTTTGGCTCTCTCCCAACACTGCGCAACAAGCTCACCATGCAAAAGCGCCTGATGGCTCGGTTGCGCGCAGAATCATCCCTCCTGCAATGGTGATGTGGGTGTCAACAGGGAACACGGAAACGGACATTGACACGGTTCATTTCCAGCGTAGTACTGGGCCTACATCTTGTTTGGCGTGTGACCACTTGCTTTTCATGGCCTCCTAGCTAATGCCAGGTTTACCTTCCGGAGTACTGATGAAGCAACACCAAGCTCAAGATTCTAAATATTGCACGTGTCTAACCAGTCGTGGACTCGGTGGCAGTTAGTCCTGGGGGCTTGTTTCTCCCTGCAACTCGTGCTGCCGACCAAGCCAGGAGAACCCGAGCAGGAAGAAGGACATCGTTTGGCTCTTGTCGAGCACAGGAGTCTATTTCGCCGTATGGAGCAGGTCATAGCGAATGTGAAATCAAGTTCTTAACCTCGTTGGAACTCTACCAGTCCAACATGGCTAGTACTGCAGACGGATACATGATGACCAGATGATGCAGCAGTCAGCTCGACTGGACACAACCCTTCTCGGTGTCTAATAACGGTTGGACTGGGTGTTCGACGGGCCCTTCTGTCTGGAAAGCCGGTAGCTTGACAAGCAATGTTATTCGGAGTCAAAGTATCGAGTAGCAAGCAAGTTTTGGGATGGAGCAGGGCCGCTCAACGGCCGACTTCTCTTGCCAAAGGTAAGACGCTGCCGCCAGACAGAAGTCCGCATAGATGCTACACTCTGCACTTTTTCGTGTATAATGCCACGTGCCTTTCCTCGTACAATTTTCTAGTTCCTAGAGGGAGGGGTTGATCGTTTGCAGACGGAAGCGTGATGTCCGGACGACCCAGGTGAAGCTGCCATGCGGCAGGGCCTTCTGGAGCGGTCTCCGACTGAGTTCCCATCTCACTCGCGCGAGAGCAGACATTTGCGTGCGACGAGGTAGATGTCCGCCATATATTGGGGTATAACACTGCAAATGAACCCACAAGCAACTACGAGTCGTCGTGTCCTGCCCGGCTTCATCCCTGCAATCTCAGCCTGGTCCAATCCACCAATGAAATGCGTCCCTGCCCGGCCTTGGCATTTGGTTGCGCTTTTTCGGTTCGGGACCATCTTCAACTTTCTTCGGGGTCGGTCGACAAGCTACAGAACGACGCTGGCACTCTGTAACGACACTCACCTCTTCCTTCATCCAAGCGGACGACCTGGCCGGCAGCTGGACTACTGTGCAGCACCAAAGCCTCCTCAGGTACCACCGCCAGTTGGCCACTTGATACACCCCGAAAGTTTTCCCTACCCGAGTGAACGAACCCGCGTTCGAGCAGCTTTCTCGGTCTCGACAATCTAGATCATCGCGCTCTCTGTCCCTCTCTACATTTCCTGTGCCGAACGTATCCCCAATCATCTGAAAATCATCGAATCCACGGCCACAACTTCTATTTTTCTTCACTCGTCCTGGTCCGTCGGGGCCACACACACTCCTTAAACCACAAAATGTCTCTCGTCCACCTCGCCAACACGTGCTCACATCTCCAAAATGCGTCTCGCGCCCGCCTCGGCCTGACGTCGATCCCGGACACGAAATTCCACCTGGGCCTCATGCTCGCCCTCCAGAACAGCGGCTTCATCTCGACCGTGGTCCGCGGCGGGCCCGAACCGCCTCCGCCGCACAAACTCCTCTCACACCCGAGCTCCTCGGACCCGAACCACCCCGTCGAGCCCGTGACGCGACACAACATCTCGAGCCGCAGGTTGTGGCTGGGCCTGAAGTACTGGGAGAGCGCGCCGGTGTTGTCCAAGATGAGCCTCGTCAGCAAGCCGACGCGGCGGATATGGATGGACGTCTCTGGGCTGCAGAAGATCGTCCTCGGCAAGACCAGTGGCTACGTCAAGGGCCTGACGAGGACGGGAGAGTGCATGTACGTCAGCACGGATCGGGGAATCATGGAGGCCAGAGAATGTGTCGAAAGGAAATTGGGAGGAATGTTGATTTGTAGAGTGCGATGAAGTTGTGAAAGAAGAAAACAACTGAAAAGCCGTGAGTGGGTGGGAGAATGGATACAGCGTCTTGGGATTGGCGGTTGCGGTGTTGGGTGCGTTCTTGTGCTCTTACTCGACATCGATCTATGACTCCCTATGACATTGAGATGTTTTGCTGGGGACCGATGGTGAGAGAGCAACAAACAACCCCTGAATGGCCATGGTCTTGAGGGACGTCGTGGTTTTCCTCGGAGGCCATCACCGGCCAGTCAAAACTTTCGACAAGGGCGGTTTATCTGAACGAATGGACTTCGACATCACATCGCAATCACAACCCCTACAACCCGTTACGCTCGTAGCCGGGTCTCGGAGAAAGAAGTTCTTGACTGTACGAAAAGCTTACCTTGGGAGTTCTCCAGCGCCTGGACGAGAAATGGCTACTCAGTCCAAGAGGAGGAAGGGCAGGAGAAACATGGGACGAGAGAGAACAAAGAGGAAGGGAGGAGAATCCGACTCAAGGAAACAGGACTCCCTCAGGGACAATTCACACTTGCTCTATCGCCAGCACCATCAATCACCATTACCATCGCCACTCCTCGACTGTTTTTTTTTCCCTCTTGGAAAAGAGCCCTAAGAAAGGCTATTGACCATTGACTAATGCACGCGGTCGAAGGGTACTGGATCTCATCCACGTCTTTCTCAGTCTCAAGTCTCGGTCTCGGTCCCGATCTCAGTTTCAATCACCGTCCCGTCTCTATCCCCATGTCCACGTGTAGATTCAGGTTGAAGTTGTAGGTGTAGGTGTAGGTATCGGATGTGAGTGTACATGTACATGTATAATATATAACTGATTCATCGTACCAAAGGTTTGGCACAGGTACACCTAAACACCTAGGTCACCAACTTTCAACGCTTGTAATATACCTGTAGGTATATTCACAACTCGTCGTTTGACACGTACTTAAGTTAGTCCCCTCCCCCTCCTACCTACCCTCCCGGTCCTACTATTTGAAACTCTCGGTTTTACCCGCGTATCGAGCACAGCGAGCAACCCGACCCCCCCGTCGCCGCCTCGTGCCAGTAAAGTCCATTGTCGGTTTGACAAACTTGCAAGGTCCGTGGGGGAATGAACATACTCAGTACCACCGCTTGGCCAGTGGGTACCGAGAAATATCTCAACACCTCGAGACTTCGAGGTACGATGAAACCCGAGACCGATCAACCAAACCGAGCGAGTTACTTTCTCTGTCGTTCCAAAAGTATCTAGTATCCAACCGCCCCCCGCCTCCCTTTCTCTCTGTTCCTTTTAATACAACGAGATAAAAGAATGAGGCAAGGATCGGTAACGGCGGTACCACCCACCGCCCAGCAGAGCCACCAAAACAAGAAAGAACATCACAACCCAACGTGCACATAGGTCTTCTGCTCTGCTGATTCCTCCTCCAACCCCCATTTTCTTTATGCAATGTCTGCCTGTCCTTCATCTTCGATGTCAAGGGAGAAAGAAAAAAAATTACATTGATCCTACAATAACTTCTGTGGAGCATCTGCAAAGTCAGGCTCAGAGCTGGTCAACAAGTCCTCCCTGCACGAAACTATTCGGCTTGTTCTTCAGAATCAGTCTCGTAGTCGAATTCCGCGGGACAAGGGGCTTCTTCGGTTCCTTCCTCGTCCTCGTCGATTGCAGTCAGTACACCAGCTGCCGCGGCCGCACCGGACCCGGTTATTTGTCGCGCAGGTGTTTCGGGTATAGGCTGAGTGGCAGTACCAGTTCCGGCACCGGTAGCACCTCCAGTTGTCCTACCCGCCGCGGGAGCCGTAGGAGGTTCGACCTTACTGACGAGGAGAGGAATAGTCTCACGCTCCTTCTCTGGCTCAGTGTCAAGAACAACCATCACACCTCCTGTGGCTTGCTTGACGGGCTGGTATCGTTGATCCGGGAATGTCAAGTACTTCACTTGAGCCGGAAGCACTCTCGACATGTTGGGGATGTCATAGCCGACCTTTTCCTTCTCCGCCTTCTTCTTCACTTCAGTGGCTTCTCCTTCCTTCTTCTTGCCCTCGTCCTCCTTGGCTGCTGACTCATCTGTGTCCATTTTATCACCTTTGTCAACCTTTGGTGTCACTGGCGTTGCCGTGTCGACGTCCATGCTATCCCTTCTTTGCTGCTTTTCTTTCTTGGCAGCACGTCTCCGCGCTTGAGCAGTAGTACTCAGTACCGCAGTCTTGACCTTCTCTGGTGCTTCGTCTGCCTTTGTGACTTGTTCTGGAGGATAGTCGAAGAGACTGGGTCGAGTGTTGCAGTGAAATTTGAAGACTGGCGCCTCCAATTTCTGGTCAATAGCAATGACGGCAGTAGGTGTCAGCGACAATGACAGAAAGTGGGCAAGTGGGAACCAGTACCAGTACTGCGTAAAGACAACAGCACCGACAATTCCCAGCATGTTCAAGTTACCGGTCTGTGTTTGAAGGCTGATTGTGCAATTTCGGCCGCCAGCGTCAATGATACCCAAAGCCATTGCACATCCAAACTTGCACATGGCGTCTTCATGTCGATCGGAGATGATCTTGAGCATTTGCTTCCGAATCGAGACGACCTTCGAGTTCATGGCTTCATTCTGCTGCACCAAGACCATGGCAAGGGCGATCAGAGCCCCCTGCCGGACGAAATCGGTAGGGTCCTTCAGCATGGGCTCCAACAGATCAATAGCTTCGGCAAGGCCGGTGCCGGCGCAAGAAATACCCAGAGCCATTGCGGCTCCATACCGGACATGAGGATTGTAGGATTCTGCAAGAAGCTCCACCATTCTAGGCACACTGGTGTGCTTGCGGAAGAGGATGAAGCCCAAACTCAAGACTGCGATACGTCGAACATCGTCGCTGACGTCACTAACAGCGACGTGCAGCAATTTCCGAACAGCTTTATTGCTGCCAGTCCCGACGTAAGCCATAGCAATAGTCAAAATACCTCCATATCTCATGGTAGGGTCGGTATCGTTGAGTAAACCTTGAATGAGTTCATCGGCACCTTCCTGGCGACCGTACATGATCAATGCCATACCAACCGCAAGACCGCGAACAATCTTCTCGTGCTGGGTGTCGTGGGCGTGTTGAATCATGTCAGACAAGACTTTGGTGTTACCTGAGCCCAACATGACGAGACCCATAGCCAGACCGACGGCTTCGCCGTTGATGGCAGAATCGGCCCAGAGAACATTCCGGAGATCCTCGAAGACAGACTCGTCTCCGGATGCCATTCCAGCAACACCCAAGCCCAAAGCACCGCCATGCTGCACGACCTCCTCTGTGGCTTCCTTGAATTTTTCCCGGATGAAGTCGACAGCTTTGCCTTTGTGGTTGGCGCATAGCAATCCGTAAGCGTACAGAGAACCGCCCTGGCTGTAGGGAGAATCATGGGAACTAGTTACACCTCCAGCCTTTGGCAGGTAGGGACTCAGCAGTCGGTGGACCTGGTTGATATTCCCTTGGTGGATGACTCCAAAGACAGCCGTAGCAGTGAATTTGGACCAGTTGACCGCTTTACCCAGCCACTCCAGGTTCTGTCGGAAGAAGCTGTCGGTCGCTGTTTTGGCGTGCATGAAACCGGCACACAGAGTCACTGCCGAATGGTATATCGAGTACCGGGCCTCTAAACTATCTTTGACTTTGGAAAGTATAGAGTAATCGACACGGTTTGCTTTGTGGAGGAACTCAACGTTCAGGTGTATTGATGTAAGTCCGTCAAGAATGTCTCTAATTTTCTTGACTGCGTCTTGTTGTTCAGGAGTAATCGAAGGTTTGGAGGGTGCGGGTGCGCCTGCCGAGTCTTGCAATTCTTGCTGTAGCTGGTCTTCTGCCTTGTCTTCCACCATTTTGTCGGCACTTGATGGGTCTGAATCCGAAGCCTTGTCCTCTTTCGGGAGCATCTCTGCCAGCTCTTCTCGAACCTTTTGTAAAAACTCTTGCGTGCTGTTGTCGTACAAGTCAAAGGAAATCTGGTAAGCAACTGCTAATGAACGAGCATCTCCCTTGTTGACCAATTGCCGCAGGATATTGGAAGCCAGAGAGTGTTGATCGAGATAGACGACACACTTGGCAATAGCAAAGTAGTCTGGAGACGGGATGTCGTTGAGCAGTTCGAGGATCATCTTGAGTATTTCATTCCGCAGACCTCGCTCCTGCACAACGCTCATACAGATCTCGAGAACATAATCCATCAACTCTTGACCGGTTTTTGTAGCTTCTCCGTTCTCTTTGGTTTCATCCTCTGCAGCTCGTTGGATGACTCGCCGCAGGATGCCGAGGTTTCGTGCCTCCAGCGCAATGCCAACGACCTGGCGGTATCGCTTTTCCTGGAAACATTTCTCGAAGAGGGACTCAACGACACGGGTCAATGCCTTTTGAAGGCCACGTTGCTGAATGAGGGCTTCGGAAGAGTCATCGTGGAGGAGGTGAGCTCCGGCTTGCGTGGGATCGAAAGTCACCGTGTTCTGTCGGGAGAGCAGGGACTTGGACGGCAGGACGGACTGGGAGAAAGGGGTGACTGGAGATGTCAAGCTGGCGGACATGCTGGCGGCACCATCCCCTCCTTGACCGAAAGCATTGTCGAGTTGAGGTGGCGCTCCAGCAGTGGCGGCGGCGAGGGTCGGATCTCGGATGGCGGACAAGGTGATGAATGTGTCGACACATTTCGAAATGATTGTATCTTCATATTCGCCTGCCTTGTCTAGATTGAAGTACTTTCCCGCTCCCAAAGCAAAAGCCGTGCTCTCGTTATATTCTTGCAGGTGGTAGTACACTTTAGATGCAACGATAGCAGCGAGTTCTCGGTCTGGGAAGTCTTCGTCTTCGTAGAGAGCCTCACTAAAGAAGCAGTGTCAGAAAGTGATGACCGTAAAGCTTGCCCTCCGATACGTACATCGCACCAAGAGAATTTGCGATTTCCGTCCACAACAAATCAACCTGGCTATCCAGCTGCTTCAAAGCAAAGCTTTTGAGCTCCGGATCAGGTTCCGACAGGAAGCCGACCAGGCCGGCTGCCGATACTAAGCCTACCATAGTCGCTATATGCAGATCGGACAGGTAGAGGCGGAATCAATCTTGCTGGGGAGGGCTGTTGTTCACCTGTGCCCGTGTGCAGGGGTGAGAGGTGCGCAACGCAACGGAAATGGTGGATCGAGCACCTCGGTGGATAGGATGGACACAATTGAAAAAAGTCTAGTGTACAAAACAGAGTAGATATGAGAGGGAGAGACCGTCGATGGCGAAGGGCAGCAGCGGAGGATGAAATGAGGTGTTTCGCGCAGAAAGGTGCAATTGACGTGTCTGCGATGCGGCTCGGGATGCGTCAGTTTGCATGCATCACCACGGTGCAGCCTGCCTGCGGCTTTCTAGCCTTGCACGTGACACGAGGCCCTCAGCGTCCTCCTACAGTCCTACGGAACAGATATTCGTACCCATGTCCAGATCGGTCCACTACCAGTACACCGTGTAAGTGTCATCAATCCTATTTGTATGTCCCGATACAACCGACTAGGCTTGAAATACACTTGCTAATAACCGAAATGTGAATAGTATTACAAGGGTATCCATATGATTAGAGCGAAGCTTCCGTCGTGGACCAGAACAATCATTGCGCTCCTACGACTCCGACCCAGTGTCCGTCCGCGTGGCATGTTTTCAACTAGCAACGCTCATCGTCTCACTGACCCTTGCCGACATAATATCCTCACGTTGTCAAGAAATCCCTTCACCATCTCTTCATATCTGCTAGGCCGACCCTCACGAGCGTTTGCCAGCTGAATTCGAATCTGCTCCGTGCTGATCTCGACTTCCAACTCATGCTCCTTTTCAACCCTGTTGGGGTAGCTGACCTGAGTTAGATCGATCTGGTATGCCATGTGTCTGTAGCTCATACGATCCTTCTGACGATCGCGACCGCTGTCCGCCATCTCCGTGAGCCAATTTGGATCCCCATCCCATGGAGATTCTATGGAAATCGAGACTCTATAGTCAAAGTCTGTGCGAGGGTTGTAGACATCCACATCCGCAATCCGCGACTTGATGATCTGTGCCTTGACCATTCCACTGTTCTCGTCAATGGTCCTTCTCACACGAGGCTTGTGGCGAGGATTGAGCCAGGTAACGATCCAGGGAGCAAGGTTCTTTCGTCCATCATCGGTCAGCTCGTAGAACTCGTCATATTCATGTGGGTGGCTGTATCCTATAACAGCCCGACCCGACGTCTGCGACTCGCGCACAGATTCCTCAACGAGGTTATTGAGGAACTTGTTCAAGAGCTCATGCTGAATCTGTGGCCGAGGTTAGTTCACAACATGAATCATCAAAGAAGCAAACCGTACCATATTCATAGAACTCATAAAACTGGTCTTGCCTCGATACCTCTCGCGGCTAAACCATGTCTCGGTATCGACAGGCAGACTCAGGCGATGGTTGGCGTGTTCATCATAGATGCATCCAATCTTTGCTTCAATCTCAAACACTGCACCACCCGGTGGCGGGGCAGCTTCTCCAATCACCGAATAGATCCAATCGCACATTCTACGCGTAAGATCCTCATATGGGGTGAGGGTGGTGATTGAGGGTTCCCAAACACTTTCGACCGGTGGAGTTGTCTGGGCGGGAGGTGCGCTTTGGAGCCGGGCTTGTCCGTTGGAAACATGCGGCTCTGTCTTGATGACAGGATCGTCTCTTCGCGGCACGACCACCGGTGGTGCTTTGATGAATTTTGGGGGCCTATGTCTTGCGCTTTGAGCGTGCAATGGAATGAAATCCCGTCGCGGTCGCTTTCGGGGCGGCTGTGGTGTCGAAGCCAAACTCGATATGTGACTCGCGCTTCGCTTCTTAAGCCCGGGCTGCCCAGCAACCATAGGGCTGGCCTGGGGAGGCAGAGAAGAGTGTGTCGATGGTGGAGTCGTATTCAGATTATTCATGGCTCCTGGATTTGAACCCGGGTACTGGGCTGCGATTCTGGAGTCAGCAGGCGTAGACACAGACTTTGGCGTGGTTTCATGATGTTGCACCTCGATGGACCTGTCAGGTGTGCCTCCAGACTGCGAATTGGTAGACATCGGGAACGTAGGCTGTGCACTCTGGGGGCCTTCTGAGAACAACTCTTGGTATCTCGTTCCACTGGACTCACGCCGTGGAGGTGGCTTTGGGATTGTTTTGGGGCTGACACTTTCAATGCTCCTTTCGCGTTCCCGCACGTCACCGGAGTACGTTCTTTGTACGCTTCCGCTTCTGGAATGGGACGCATGAGCGTAACCCCCTTGATTGTATTCTCTGCTGTGAGTTGAGCCAACTGAACTCACTGACAAACGTCTGTAATTGTCCTGGCCCTGAGAAATGGGACGGTTTGGGTGAGGAGATGGCCGAGTGTAAGAGGACGGCGGGCCGAGTGGTGTTACAGGGGGAGGATGAAATTGAGCTTGCGGTGACAGTGTCTGCGTATTCAGGCGCACATTGTCATTGGCAGGAGTGAATTCCTCTCGCGGTGAGGGATGGGTGAAAGCGGTGTGAGGGCCCGGGTTGAGTTGCGCAGTTGCAGAGGTCGGTGTTTGGTGGTGAACGGAGCCAGGCGTAGAAGGGTAGAGAGCAGAGGGAGACGGCGATGGCACAAACGCTGGCTGTTGATATGGCACAGGAGGCGCAACACCTTCACGGGGAGTGTGTATCTGTCCATGTGGCCCTGGACTCTGCGCATACATCGATTGACCTGTTACACTTGGGGTGAACGCCGGAGCAGAGTGCTGCTGGTGGGGGGACTGTATGGCGAAATAGGAGCCATTGGCGGATGACCTGTAGTCGGACGAGGGCAGAGGCTGTGGATGCGAGGATGTTCGTTCTAAAGGATCGTAGGCCGGAGTGTGGACGGCCACTGCTGCTTGATCGTAGGATGATTGAGGCGTGTGAAGTCGGGGCGGCTGTCGCTGCGACGAGGAGTCATTGAGCATCGATTTCAGATCCATTTCTGCCACAGTTGGACCAGAAACACCAGATGGCGTGTAGCTGTGTAACAGCACTTTGACCTTGCCATCAACGGGCTAGGAACTAATGCGATTGTAATCCATCGTGGCCTTGTTGTGTGGGAGTCGACATCGCACAAACACGGTTTCTGCAGGAGAAAAGAACGTCCATTGCGCGCCAATGCCACGTCTCCGCACTCAAACCATTACCTCCTGCACGCCGCAAAGGGCATTGTTACACATATCAATGCATGCTTTCAGAGTATCTTAGTGTCATGTCTATTCTTCTTCCTGTTCTATAGTCTTACATATCTTAGCATAACCAAGGGTATCAAAATCGAAGACTCTGCGCTGTAGCCCACTTCCGCCCCGGGTCACGTGAACGCGTCAAGCCAATGTATGCAGCGGACGAGTTCAAAAACTGTCCACGCCCATCATCACGCCTTGCTACCGGTGTTGGTCATGAGCAATGCTTCATTCAGGAGCTCATTGTCCATGCCGGCTGATGGAGAGAGGAAAGGAGTGGTTCGAGGGGTTACGGACAGTGACGCGACCGGTTTGACATGGATACTTCCCAGGCTGACATTGCGGCGAACTCTCAGAGGCGTGACCGTTGGTGAGCTGTTGTCGCCCATATCAGGACACCCTATACTGAGACTCCGTTGTCGATAGAATGCAGGACGAGCGGAACGCCCACGCCTCGAGCGTCCTCTACTGGTAGATCTCTTGGCCTCACGAGCAGCTCGAGCTTCAGGTCCAAAGTTCGCACGGTCTCTCAACGTGTAAATTGCTCGAATCAGCGCAAGCTCAATCGCAACACAATTCTTGATGCGACACATTTTCGGCCAGGTAGCCCTTTGTCCAGCCATAGTGGCGTCCATCATGAAAGCCGGGGTTGGATTCATCATCATGTGAAAATATTCGCTATATTTGATCTCGGGTAGGATGTTGATGTCGCCAGTGTATTGCTGATTGAAGAGTGAAGCCCATCTGTACCAATTTTGTGGCACGCCTAAGTCGGACAGCTGTTGTGCACGATGGATGATCTCCTGCCTGACAAGAACCTTCGCCTTCTGAACAAGACTCTGACGTGGGCTCCGACTTGTTGGTTGCACCCCATCAAATTTTTCCTCGGCATCAAGCAAAACTCGAACATGGGGATTCACCTGTGATACAATGAAGAAATTGACGTTGAACATTTCTGACAATTTCCTCATAGGAATATCATGGTCGAGCGATCCATCCACAAATGTCTGCTGGGCATTTTCCATCCACAAGTTCGCAGATTTTGTCATGGGATCCTTCTCGTAAATGCTGACGGGGGAGAAGACATTTGGGACTGCACAGGAGGCACATACTGCAGACCAGAGCAATACATCTGGTGCAGTCACGTAGTTCAATAGCCGGGGTTCTGCACTGCTGGCGCTTGACACGCAGATGTTGAGGACGCGACCAGTTTTGTAATGGGCTTCTCGGAAGGTGATGTCGCCCAACCACGACTTCATAACTCTCTCCAAATTTGACATTTCGAAGAAAGCGCCGGTACGCGCAAAAGTGCGTGCTCGTTGCAAAAGCCACGTCACCGAGGTGGTTCCAGGTGGATCGAAACAAGCCAGGTCGGAATTTGGAAAATGCTCCAGGATCTCAAGCATGCGATCGTCAGTTGAACTTCCCACAATTGCTGCCACGATACTGCCAGCCGATGCTCCAGAGATGATTTCGGGTAGGAGGTCGGCTTCCCAGAGCGTTTTGACGACTCCAATATGTTTCATGCCGAGCAAAGCTCCTCCTGACAATGTCAAAGCTGATCGACCAAAGTACTTGAGCGCGTCTTCGAGTGATTGCTGGTAAAATCTGACTTCCGTGGCGGGCAGTTGATAGTGAACCGCCATGTCTATAAATTTATCGATGCTCCCCAGGACGGTGTTTGTGTAGTCGTCTATTAGGGCCTTGGTGCCAAACCACGAGTGCTTGTATAGTCGAAGCATGTTCATTCCTCCCAGATCTCTGCTCAAGCCGGTCCTTAACACATGATGTATCGCGCTCACATCTGACATGGCGACAGCTTTCTCGAGAAGGGCCATTTGAGTCTCGATGACATCCGGGTTATAACCAGGCTCGACAGACTCCTTCTCTTGCTTCCATTGTTCGTGCCCTTGTACCTGGTCCAGTGCAACGGTGCATCTTTCATATTCTTCAAGTGTAGTGGCCTCGTTCATGCGTCTCGTCAGGGTCTGAGTTGGGCTCTCTGGGGGTCTTCTACTGAACCTCGCAACACCCTCGGCCAATCTGCGAAGTTTCTTGCTTGGTGAGCATAGCTTGACGACGTCGGCGTAGATGCCGACGCAGGACCAGAACAATTGTGTGCTGGTGTAGGTCGGTACAGGAGATAAAAGGACTGTCATGGTCACCACGATACGTGTGCCATGAGAAGGAAAGCAGTCAACGGCTCGTACACCTTTGTTAGAAGGGCAGAGGAGGGTCGCTTATGGGAGTGTATCGACTGAAAGACCGGTGAAAATGGACATTCGTGTCATAAGGTGTCACCGTGTCACCGTGTCACCGTGGGCAGGGAATCTGCAAATAGGGTGGTCCGGAGGCAATGATGACAGTCTGTATGAAGACAAAAGAATAAACCTACGCCTGTGTGATTGCGGAAAAGAGAGGATTGAATACCCGGCGAGACAAGGAGCGAGATTCGACAACTGAAGCAAGAGTAACAGCGATTACCAGTTGGATCGCAATAATGATGGTCGCATGAGCACGAGCAAGTCGAAACGAACATGTCATGTTCCCGTTTGGGCGCCGGAGCCGTGGCCAGGTGGACAGTGCGGATGACGAAGGATGGAGAGTCAGTGGTCAAAGGCTGATTGATTGACGGGCAGATGGTTGATTTGGTGGTGGTGTTGATGGCCGTTTTGGTGGGGCTGCTGCTTCTACTTCTTCCCGTTCTCGTTCTCGTTTCTCGTTCATCCCTGCGGCATTGTCCAGGCCGACACACCCAGAGAACCTGAGAGAAAAGGAACCACCAGCCTCTCGATTCCGTCGATGTTTGTCTCATTGTTCTCCACGGGCCATGCATGGCTTGAAGTCTGACAGAGCGCGTGACACCCCTGTCCAGGGCCCAAATCAAGACCCTGTCCATTGATCCTTGTTCCTGCACCGTCACATGTGCGACTTCTTGAGATTCTGGGCAAATTCCGGAGAAGGCGGCTTATTTCTTCTTCGAATCATTTGTTCGTACCTCGTACCCCGAACCCTGGCGACCTTGCATCTGCAAGATCATGCGGCCGCCCGGTGAGCCGTAGCCGTCTTCGTTCAACCTCGCCTTGTTGACCGCTTGTTGGAAAGAGGCGATGGCTTGTTACTGACACCTCCAGACCAAAGTATCCAGATGGCTTTGCATGCATCGACGAGAGGCCCTGTCACTCTTTAGACTATCGTCATATCTGCGGCCGGCGATGTGTGCTTGGATCCCGGCCTGTGGTCATCTCATACTGGTGTCCCTTAGGCCACAGCCTCGTGGGCCTTCTTCACAGGTTCCCCAACATGACTGAGTATATGTGTAGCATATGTCCCCCTTCAACACACTCCACCTTCGTCCATCTCAGGCTCTAAACCTTGATCGTGTTTGTTGGACCTGTATCGTCAATACCCTCCGTTTTCGCAGCCTTCCCATGCTGCGTTATCGACCTCCTCAACCATTCCGTAAGTCCTTGTTGGAGATGAAGGGCGCCTTCAGCGTCCTGCCAAAAATGGCCCGTCTCAGCGGCGACGGTGAAAAATTGTGACCCAGGCCGAGCCGCTAACTCTTCTGTCCATCTTCGCAACTTGCGGTACGAGGTAAACAGATCCTTCGTTCCATAGATACAACAGCAAGGATGTATGACAAGTTCCTGATACTCATCCGTCACGTTCGCGTTGCCACCTGCGGTCCTTTGCACGAACTTCAGCTTGGAGAACATCGTAGTGAACCCAGCAACTGTCGACAGCAATGGCGATACCAAAACATACGCGATAGCTGGAATGGTCAAAGGCAGATCTATGGCTGGGGTCGAAGGCTGTGCACCTGGCGTAGGTGGAGGGCTCTGAATGCGATTGTCCCTCTGACTCAACTTTCGCCGAAGCTTTTCGATCCCTTCCCTTACCCTCTCCCCATCAATACTCCTTCTGGAGGTCTCTCGACTGATCTTCTTGGACGCCGCGTCCGAATCGTAACCCCCCATAGTCACATTGCGACTATGGCTCCGACTGTGACGCGATCCGGGTGACCCCATCTCATTCGGACGAGTGTTTTGATCGGGGTCATTATGACTTGGTATCGACAAGACCATATCAACAGAGTGCATGTCGAAGTATGCCTTGAGGTCTCTTCCCAAGTGCCTAGCTCGTAGATCTATCTCGCTCTCCATCGAGCCTTTCTCTGAGTGTCTAAACATACTTGCCACAACGTCGACGGACGGCAGGTGGGCTGCTATCATCGATCCATAAGAATACCCTCCAAGGATCAGAATGGGTCGTTGCGGTTTCGGGTACGTGTCTGCTACAGCCGCACCTTGACTGGTCTGCATAGGCAGGAAGTCCGAATCGATTCTCGAGGCCGCATTGTCCACACGCGACACATCGCGGACGATGGCGTTGATGTAGCACAACACAAATCCATATACTGAGACGTAGTCTCCAAGCTCAGCCTTTCCCGACCACGACGTTCGCCCTGCCGAGCCCGACGCCCCTCTTCGAACCACGTTATTTAATTTTCGCCTCCCCTGTGTAAGAGAGGCGGATTTCCAATACGTACCTGAAATTAAACGTCACCAACACAATACCGTATCTCAATAGACTGCGGCCGACCAGGCCAACTACGGGGTCGTCGTAACAGCCTCCAAGTGGCGCGTAGGGATGGGCAAATATTGCAAAGGCTCTGCCAAATAACTCGCTGTTCTGTTCACTTCGTCTCGGGTAGTAGATTCGACAGTCGAGCTCGAGGCCGTCGTGGACACTGGGTATTGCAAAAGAGCAATTGGCCTTGGGAAGAGCCATTGCCTCGCCCGTGCCTCGGAAACCGGGGTTTGGCCGTTTACGTCCGCAGATGATCGTCCGCTTGAGTTCCTGTTAACTAGTGGAATCAATGCGTTTTAGTGATAGTAAAAGCAACAGCAACAGCATCAGTCCATGATGGGGGGATTAGCAGAAAGAGTCGCTGTATGGAAGTTGAGTTGTAGGTAACGAAGATTGCCTGGTTTCAGAAAGAACAACGTCTGACATCGGTCTTCAGCACCGGCCCCCTACATATAATCACCTCGGTATCATCGTCAGACGTCGCACGTTTTCCTCTCAAAGGATGTACCGAGCATTTCATGTGAACTTTCCAGATATACCTGGGCCAAAGGTACAACAGAGCATACTCGGTCCGCAGAATAAAATCCCCATGATACCTAGAACCTTGTCTTCTAGAGTATATGCAAGACAGCCACATCCGTCGCGAACAGCAAAGGGAGGTACGGGAGTCTCACGTATGATATGATGGGAGAAGCGAAGAGCAAGGCCATCCTACCAAAATAATATGACAGAACTAACTCCTTCACTCATAAATATATAGATCATCTCGAAATATCATCGCATTATCATTTCACGAGTGGTCGTCATGATCCTTTTGCCGGCGAGCCCCTCTGACTTCGCGAAGCCTCTGCTGGTGATTAATATCGCTAGCACTTTCCATGCTCCTCTCTCGACCCCGATCACGATCCCGATCTCGTCGCCGATGACTTGTACTTCTATCTCTCTCCACAGGACTAATTTGCTCAGGGCCGATCTCGGCTGTTGAGTCTCGAGCCCTGGCTTTGCCCTTGGACGAACGACGTCTTGAAGCGGACGGTCGGCCTGCAACGTCGGTCATTTCGCTGCGACCTTGGCGCTTGGGTTGAGAAGACGACCCTCTCTTCGAATGCCTGTTGTCGCGTCGATCGTCGCTCGCATTGAGGGCACCACTACCCATGGTTGAAGCCACAGGATACTCAAACCCCTGAGTATGGTGCATATGCTGAACACGCGAGAGTTAGTATAGGTATGACGGCGGCTCGGACGAAGTGGCAATGTGCGTACCTGATGAGGACCCCATAGATCTGGTGTCGGTCCGCGCGTGGAGTCCTTCTCACTCACCACCGGTAGACCCGACATGGCAACGCGTTGCGACTCAACCTTCCTGCGGTGTCGGCGTTTCAACCAGACGAGTAACCAGGCCAGGAGAGCGAATCCGACTATGAGGATTGCGATCATGAGAATCCATCTCCAATGCGTATCAATCCAACTCTTATTTGAACCAGATGTGCCCCCACCGACGCTGCCGGTGCCTGTCGAGGTGGGTGACGGGGTCGAGGTGCTCGTGATCGTCACTACAATTGTACTTGTTGGGGTTTGCGTGGATGTCGTTGCCAGAGGGTCGATGCCCTTCCCAACTTCGGAGCAGAAGCCCTGGAACCATGTTTGGAGCTCGCTCCTATCCGATTCCGCTGTGCATTCGGCCGTACAGATAGAGTCTGGAGTGCTATAGAGTGCGGCGAGCAGGGAGCTCTGACAGAAACAGTTTTCATACGTGAGATCGTTCGTGGTCGCGACGTTCGGCGGGGTGCAGGTGCTCTGGGCCTGCAAAAGCACGGCGCAGTTGACAGCGCAGGCGGGAAACGTGCCCGAGCCAGACGTCGGTACGATGCTTTGAGTAACACTGAGGCCAAAGAAGGTTGATATGGCGAGGAGGGCGATACGTGGCGCTTCCCTCATTGCGACTGGCCGACAGGTTCAGAGGCAACCAGCTGCGCAAGGTGCAGATTTTGCTGTTGGTGGTAGTGAACGAGAGTATGTGTATATTTTATCCTAAAACGAGCGCTTTGAGATCATTGTGATGGCATACTCGTACCTAGCCCCCCGAACCAACGAGCGGAGTTGCTATAACTCGCGACGTCTGTAAGGCATCAGAAGAGAGAAAACGACACGCGCGAGTAGCATGATGGGACCGACGGGAGGGTCGCAGCGACTATCAAGCCACGTCGGAAGAGAGAGCGGGGGATTGGCTGAAAGGAGAAATCAAACTTCAACCCTGTCAAGTTGACGCGAAGGTCGCTAGATGGGATTGTTGATGGATGGCCGCAGAAGTCTTTGACAGGGGTTCACTTGGAGGTGGACGTGATCATCGTACAGTACCCGTGTAATTGGACGTGTGAGAAAATTTAGCTGCCGAAGTTGCGTAACATGACCAGGTTCGTGAGGACCGCCATTCGAGATTGTGCTTCACATAGAAAACAAGCCCATTCGAATGCTTCGTAGTTACTCAAGGCTCTTAAGGCGAGTATTGAGTAGTGGCCCTTGTCCCTGCGCTCTGTACTATACCTATACTACTGTGTACTACTGCAAGGCCACCCACATTCATATGGAGCCGTAGGGGAGGCACTACAGGCAAGGGGTAGAGGGGGCCACTCCCTACTACCGACTAGTTGCCGTCCTACAGCCATGAATGCCTACATTAATAGGAGGTACCTAGGTAGCTAACATGGGTACTGTATCACATACGACGTGTAGGCACATATATAGTTGTTCTGCAGAATACGGAGTACTTGGCTCCTTTTTACGCTGAGAATAGCTAGCGGTCAATACAGAAAGTGCCTCAGCAATACCCGACTGCTCACTACCCCCATGAACATTGCCACCGCCGATATTGAGACATCTTTCGCCGTCCGTCGCTAAACGCAATTGTAATGGAAGTGATGTCACCCGCCGGCCTTGCGAAGTGCATCAGATGCCAGATCCCATGCTCAGTTTCCCATCTCTGGCCACGTCCGGTAATACAAGCCGATATCACTGTCACATCATAGATGATTTAAGGAGATAATAAAAGGTATTACCCCTGTTGTCCGATGTCATTGGAAAGGAGAATATCACTGAAATAGTTTTCCGTTATGCCTTCCTGTGGCCAGCTGAAATTCTGCAACGTGGGGACGTCGACTAATTCATCAGCAAGTGACTCCGCAGCAGTTGTCACCTGTACTTTGGTCAGCTTTTGTAGATGGCCATGGGGGGAGCCAGATCTCATAATGACTACCACAGGAAGGGCAGTATTTACCTGGGCGGCATCCTGTAAGTTAGCATCCCATCCGGTGCTTTCCACGCCAGGGAAGCCGAGGGCATTTTGCGCCAGGGTCGGGTCGTAATGATAATCATCATGCCGCATCTTGTGAGGCATCGCCTGACCTTGGAGGTGCATTTGCGGCTCCGTCATTTGCCATTGCCCAGCTACAACAAAATTTCGATTATCGATTCTGGGCGGTGCTGCCGAGTGGGTGAATGCAGCTACATTTTGCAAGGGAGGATGCATTCCAGCCGCGTCACCACGGACTGGGAACTGGTCACCCGGACTATTGGCTGAGCATACCCGCTTTGTTGATGCTTCTATAGCCGGTATATCAAAGTCCACATTATGCGAAAGACAGCGGACAAGTTCCTAGGAAAATTAGTCTGACACTCACACTGGTGGTGGCAAGACGCGTCTCACCTGCAAAATTCCAAGGCACTGCTTCGAGCCTGTCTCGTGGCACGTCGTTGAAGCCAGTAACCGGATACCACTTTCTGCCTTGCGCCATGCCTCGATTGGGTTCTTTGGACCGTCTCGAGTTGCAATAAGGAAAATCAGACATGCCACAGAGAGAAAGATCGTATATATGGAAGTCCATGACGCCGGAGGCAATAAACCAAGTTGCAGTATGGCCTCAGATCGAGTGATCGCCGTCGAGGCAATCCTGATACACGCAAGTGCTCGCTGAGACGCCTTTTGGGCCGTCGGCAGGCCATCGGAAGATTTGGCTAGGTAATGTAGGAAAGGTCGGTAGAGCACAATCTTGCCGAAGAAAGACGTCATCTCCAACTCGAACTTGAGCCTAGAGTTACGAGTCAGCAATACCGGGGAAGGTGATTAGCAAGATATGGTGCACTGACCGTATGAAGTCGGGTGAACTATCGTCTCCTTTGGCCAGGAGCTCTGAAGTACTCTCTCCCCAAGTCCGAAATTGCGCCTCGATCTCCTCCAAGCTTCGAAGACTGATTGAAATTTTCCCACTTCTCCCAGGAACCTCGTTCGTTGCGGACGGTAATGGATACAATGCTTTGATGGCTTTTGAGATGATACGCATGATCTCCAAGTGCTTGGCAGAGCCGCCGAGGAGGACGGCCTCACGACTCGGGAGCCCTGACGTAGCTTCATGAATGGCCTCATTTAACGTCAAGTCGATGGCAGGATCGACATCGTGCAGATCAAGCAGTGCTGGCAGACCTAGAACTGCACTCAGGTACATGTCCAGCTTGATAATAGTCCAGAAGATCTTTCTTCTGGTGTCGCGGTCTCGGCGAGAGATTGTGGCGTCATGAGTTGATCTGTGATGTAGACCTAGCCTTAAGGCGGACGAACAAGCCAGGCTCAGGAAAGCATGGGCCGACGCCATTCTAGCTGTGGAAATAAGGAAGAGAGTGTAACACAGTAGAATTTGCAACGAGCGAAGGTCTCGACAAGTGGTAATATCAACCATCTTGCGCGCTGCGAGATAATGCTTCATCCTGTATATAACCATCAGCAGAGCATCCACGGACCAAGGTCGAAGCAACTCTTACGCCTGGCTGACGGCCTGTCGGCACCCATGTTTCTGGTGTTCTGACTGGCTGAACAGGTAGCCGAGGCCCATGACTAGCAAGAACAATGGTAAGAAAGCACGATCGTCACGGTTGTACTGGACAGGGTCCTTTGTATAGATGCGATCCACCATTTCATGAAAAGTCGGCTCGTGCAGAAACAGGAAAATTGGATAGGCGTACGCCAGAACAACAGATACCAGCGCCGCAGCTGTCGCACGATGAGGTAGCAAAGGGGCAATCGGCGGCGCGATGTCGAGAGATCCATCCGTAGGAAGAGGAGCATCGAAGAGCAGCGAGATCGCAGAGGGAGATGAGTTGTTCGACTTTGGCGGGGAGCCAATCTCATTGCCAAAGAACTCATGCAACCGGTGTAGAAATGCAGCTCCTGAAGGAGCGCCATAGAAGGGGGCAGCCCAGGGGTCGTCGGATTCGAGGCGACCGTAACGACTCATCATACTGTCCAGCTTCGGGCCTTTGGCCTGTTCGTCAGTGGGCGAGTCTTCCTCAGCTGGGTGATCGTCGGGAGCCAACAGGCCACCGTCGCGAGTATTGAGGACTGCGTCGAGGTCTGCATCTTCAATGGACAATTTCCCCAGTTTGACCTGTTCCAGTTTTGCGCGAACAATCCGCAGGCGATCCTCGAGAATTCTGGCCCTGAGACGTGGGTCGGTATTCCGCGAAATAGTCGAAGTATACGTGCACACTGCCAGAAGTCTGTCAACCAAGTGCGTGGGATCACGGCATCATTAAGCAATAAATATACCTACGTCTCTCGCTCTGCCGACACGGCTCACATGGAGTGAGACCGTCGCATCTATGTTAGTCGGTCAATTACCGATCGCAAAACACGGTGACACGTGGAAGCCAAGTGCTTACTTGACTTTACGAAAGCGACACTCGTCGCATGCCCTCACTGCCCGTTTACGGCGTTTGTTAGTCGGGGTCGAGTGTGCTTCGCTCTCGGTAAGCTGCACATCCTGGGACCTGTCCTCAGGATCTGGCATGATCAGTCTGGAATCTTCTCCGGAACCATGTGTGTAGCGAACTGGCAACGGGCCCTCAGGTGAAGGGGAACGAAATTTTGCATAGAGAGTCCTAGGTTTGTGAGGAGTGAGGGTGATCTACGGATGAAGATGGCCGAGCATCCGAAGGACGAGAGAATTTGTAGCCCGTACACGACTCGTCAACAATGTACCGGTGGTGACGTATCGCTAATCTACTATCTCCATTTAAACGGGCACTAATCAAACTGGAGGCGGATTCCAGTACGCCAGGTGGAAGAGGTGCCTGGACCTACCTAACTAGAACATACAGTTATGTACTCCGTACTCCTCGCAATACCGTATCATTCGCCCCCCACAAGACTTAACCCTCCCTAGCGCCGCCTAAAATTAGACTGTCGACAAGTCAGTGGTCAGTGGTCAGTGGTCAGTGGTCAGTGATCGCTACCTGGATTCATCACCAAGACACCCACCGTAGAGCTGTATCCGTCAACCTGTGAAGCTCGTCCTCAATCCCATCAAGCAGTCAAGATATGTCGCCAAGTCGTATCACTGCTCTCAACAATACCGCCATCTCTGTCGTGAACCCACCACTATGACAGGTCAGCGCAGCGGAATGCCATCGCAGACTCGGCTGGTACGGAGTCTATTCCATGATCTCTCCGGTACCTGGCATCTCAGCCGCAAGCTACAGAGTGGACATCCATCAGAGCCGTCGGGTCGGTGCGAAGGGAAAGCCACCTTCACCCAGACGCAGCCATCTCCGGTCCTGGACGCAGACGGAAAGCTGCAACTTGCCGATGCAGAGCTTCTGTACCATGAAGAAGGCGAGTTCGAGATGGACCTCCCCAGCGTAGGTCAAAACGCGAATGTGCCAAAGTTCCCGTTCTCGCGCAAGTATATCTGGCGTCTGAAAGAATCCGACGACGAGGTGACGATGAGTATCTGGTTCACCAAACCAGGGACCAACCTCGTCGACTACCTATTCCACACGGTTGATATTGTACGTGAGGACGACGAAGGCGATGACCCCAAAAGCCCCGTTGTCCTCGAAGGCTCAGGAGGCCATCTCTGTGTCGACGACTACTACAGCAGTTTCTATACCTTTACTCTGTCATCAGAGGGTACAGCCACCAGTCTTTCGTCTTGGACCATGACACATGAGGTCTGCGGTCCCAAGAAGGACCAGGTGATCAAGACCGCCTTCACCAGACCGTTACAGAGAGCATGAGCTATTTCGCTCCCGGAGTTGCTATTAACATGATACACTTATTTGAGTCTCTCTGCCGGAGAAGGCCTTCACTCCGGGTTCGCTGAATATCACTCAGGTGCTATCAATCCCATCAGCATCGCTAAGACTAGATCTCCGACGGCGAACTCGCACACCCATTGGCTGTAAGCGGGATGAACCCTCTTTATGCTTCATTATAAAATGTTGTCGATAACCTATCTCAACAACACACCCTACTCTGTTCTCCAGGCAGAGACATTATCTGGATTACAGCGCACATTAATATATTTTAAGAAAAAATTCCACAGCTCACACGGATATATGCAAGATGGCCAGCGGAGACGTTGAACTACCGACTCCATTCGCGGCGATTCCCCGCCGGTCTCTCCTCCTCGGCCCATCGCCCATCCATATACTCGGGCGTCTCTCGACTGCTCTCGGCGACAAAGTCACCATATATGCGAAACGTGAGGACCTCAACTCCTCGCTCGCTTTTGGCGGGAATAAAACTCGCAAGCTCGAGTACCTCGTAGCCGACGCACTCGACCAGGGATGTGACACCCTCGTGTCAATAGGTGGGATCCAATCGAACCACACCCGGCAAGTCGCTGCCGTCGCCGCGCATCTTGGGCTCAAAGCTGCCCTGGTCCAGGAGAATTGGGTACCGCACAACGACCCAGGATACGACAAAGTCGGCAACATCCAGCTGTCCCGGCTCATGGGCGCAGATGTCAATCTCGACCCGTCGACTTTTGGCATCGAACACAAACAGACGTTGCAAAACCTCACGCAGAAGGTGATCAGCGAGGGTGGTAAGCCGTACTATATCCCCGCTGGTGCATCCGACCATCCACTGGGCGGTCTAGGTTTTGCGCGCTGGGCGTTCGAAGTACGCGACCAAGAGACGCAATTGGGCACCTTCTTCGACACGGTCATCGTGTGCGCCGTTACGGGCTCGACCTTTGCCGGCATGATCGCCGGATTCAGACTGCTCGAGAAGCTCGGGTTGTCCCCACCGCGAAAGGTCATCGGCATCGACGCCAGCGCAAAACCGCAACAGACGTTTGATCAGGTCCTCCGCATCACGAAGCAGACGGCCGCCAAGATCGGACTCAACGAGGACGACATATCGGAGAAGGACGTCATCCTCGACACGCGCTACCACGCCGGATGCTATGGCATTGCCGACGAAGCCACACTCGAGGCTATGAGGTTTGCAGCACGCACCGAGGCCTTTATCACCGACCCTGTCTACGAGGGCAAGAGCTTAGCTGGGATGATGGATCTCATCAAGCGCGGGGAGATCCCCGAAGGGAGTCGAGTGCTTTATGCGCATTTGGGTGGACAGATGGCACTGAGTGCATACTCGGAGATACAATAGCAGTAGGACCAGTAGCAGTATCATCATTCATTCGTTGTGCCTTGTCCGGCTACCCTGCTCTATCTGTGCTCCATTACCATTGTGCCATGTCGAAATCGATGGTATCCTGATCGGCCAGAGACGTGGGCATGATGAAATAGTTATCCGGATCGAGGAATCGATCGTACAGTTGCGTCGTGAGCAGGGTGTCTTGCTGCGCCGCGTTCCGAAGGTTGTGAATCGCCGGGCCCATTTCGACTGCGTTCTGCAAAGCGAAGTGGTCCTGGGTGTCGGGCGTATGATCCAGCATCTGTTGCAGGTCTGATCTCACGGCCTCGCTGGATGACATGGTCAGGTCTTGCTTATCGACGAGACTGCTACGATTCTTCTTGAGCCCAGCAAGGAGAAACTCAAAGATCCGCATGCCCCAGAACGCGGGTTCCCAACAATCACGCACCTCGTTGAGGACTATCTGGCAATTGTCCAGTGCGGCTTGGCCGAGTTGTGCGATCAACGACGAAGACCTGCGAATAAGCCGGAAGAAGACGATCCCCGCGACGAAGAACGCAGGGAACACTTCTTGTGGAAGAGAATGGACCATGGACCTGGTCATGAGGCTGAGCGATGTCGAAGCAATAGTCTGCGCTGCCGACTCTGCGATTTCAGACGTCGGCGACTCCATGTTGGCCAGTCCAGCTGAAGATGCCGCCCCAGCGTCGCCGCGAGGCAGGTAGATGAGAATAAGGTGATGGTGGTACAAGATCTTGAGACACTCGGAAAAGATGGAGCTCGACCCACCATGATCTGACCAGGTGATCACTGCAGGCAATTCATTGCGCCACTGGCCCAGGAGATCTCGGAGCACCTGCGGTGTCGTGGAGTCAAGGCCCACATTGAAGCGCGTGTTGACGATACGTCTCAAGATAAGCGAGAGTTTCGCCACCTGGATCTGATAATGCACGTAAAGTCGAGAAGTGTCGTCAGAGTCGGAAGAATTGGTTGTCGTGCCGTCTTCGGGACCAAAATCATCAAACGTCAGCATGGGTCCATCAGAGTGGCTCATGTTCACTCGGAAAGGCCGACCGAGAAGGGTGCCGCAGTATGCGTCTCGTACGGCGATCATCCACCAGAGCCTTCGCAGCAGACCTTTGTCCTGGTGGACGTTGGAGTATCCTGCTGTACGGTGGATCCCCAGTGACTCAGCTATAGTTACAGCCACTCCGACCCACGAGCAGGGATTCCAGTAGCCCTTCAAGTCGGGGCCCCAATAGGTCAGCATCACTATGGATTGTAAAAGAACGACGCTGTTTGTTTCGTAGCCAACGTCGTACAGCACTTTCGCTTTGTCGTAGAAGAAACGGCGCGCCGCTTGCCTAGACTTGAACCCGGCTTTTTTCAATATAGATGCATCGCTGTAGGTCGCTCCGATGAGACACGCCGATTGTAACAGAATCCAAGGGAGGCTTCGCGAACGGTGCTGCCGCATGAACTCAGATCTGTCGACTATGGAGCATAGCGGGTAGAATTTGTCCATAAAAACTTGAATCAAGGCGTCGAGGTACTCGTTCGTAGGTGGTGTCAAGGCTCCTTTGGATTGCAGATAGGTCAGATCCGCAGCTGTCAGATGCGACGGATGACCAGATCGACTCGACGTAACAAGCTGGCTGGTCTCGACTGCGTCGGAGGACTGAAGGCTGGACTTGTCCCTCTTGTCAGGCTGAAGTTCCTTCAAAGCAAAGGTGAGAGGGGACGAGTCCCCAAGTAAGACCAGTCCGTATTTGCCAACCAGCCCATCGGCGTCTCGACCTCCTTGCCGCAAGAAGTTTTCAAAGCCAAGAGCCAGGGTATTGCTCCTCGCGGAAGCTGGTGGTACCGTCGTCGGTAGATGCGTTGTGGATGAGCCTCCAATAGTGCTAGCCTCTGGAGATGTACTGTCGACTGGGGTGGCCGCTGTTGAGGATGCTTGTGGTGTCCGGGATCGCGCCTTGGCCGAGCGCCAGCGATCATAAGTGCCTCGACGCGAAGAGATGAAAGCGCAGCCGTGGACGCCGTCAACTTTGCATCGAGTACATGGTAATCCAGTCTGTGCCGCGTCGCATTTCACCTTTCTCTGGTTGCAGCGTTGGCATGCCTTGAATGCTCTGACTCTTTGTCTAGGCTTGTCCATCGAGGCTTCAGAAGCCATGTTGATTCGTGATTCAGCCTCAGATTTGTGTCACCATGCGGTACATCTACGGCTGTATAACACTCGAAAGGGGCCCGAACGGCTTCAACAGATCTCTTATGCTTTAAGAAGGGCCATCTGCATTGTTTGCGGCGTCAAGGGACAGCATTGGATTTTGTCGGTCTTAGCCGACAAAAAACTCTGTCGGTTATATCCTACGCTTCACGTGACACGATGTTGAGCGAATCCTCCCGACCTGAAGCTTCGACTGGGAGACTGGAAGCTGAGTTGATAGCTAAACGGGCTCATCTTGTTGAAAGCGCTATCGATGCTATGTTTGTTCTGACGATAAAGGTGCACTACCCAGAACGCCCACCATCCGGATCAAGGCAGCGTCTAAATGCCACATGCTCAGTGATGGAATAACCGTGTCGACTGCTCGATAAAGCTAATGCCCAGGTTGTCTGCCGTATCTAACACTGCAGAATCATTTTGGCTTCCGAGAGGTGCCGCAACATATTTGACACCAGATCTCGCTGCTCTGTAGACGTTGTCTACGAAAGGGAACTATCGCTTGTTAGCATTGAACCAGATGCAACGGGAGTATAGCGAGCTTACAAAGGCGTCGCTGGAGACGGCGACTTCGCCCAGCTTGTCGAGCCATTGTCTTCGCTCTTCTGGAGTGAATGGCTTAGGCACAGCTCCTTCTGCGAAGTTGCGCTCGTAGTCTTTCGTCTCGAATTCACTCTGCGGTGGAACTTGACCTGAACACAGCATGTCGATCGCGTTGGACTTCTCTGGCCGTTTCACGCCTTTGGCCCACTGTATCGACAAAGTCCGCTCATGGAAGCGCATCCACCAATTATCTGCCTTGTCTCCGGCCAATCGCGTACAGTGAATTCGACTCTGCTGGCCAGCACCAAGCCCAATGACTTGACCATTTAAAGCATAGCAAACCGAGTTTGATTGTGTGTATTTGACAGCAATGGTGGCAACTGTGAGATCTCGGAGGGCAGAGTCTGATAGTTTGGGGCCATTCTTCGGGCGGATGACAGATCTAAATGTCTCGTTAGGGGAGATTTTGACGTCATTGCGTCCCTGTGTAAGCTGGACGCCATACACAGTCCGTATTTCCTGAGCCGGAGGCTCATAGGTGTCGTCCATCTGAAGGACGAGATACTTGCCCCCCTTCTTCTTCTTGAGGATTTCTAGGGCAGCAGGCTCATACTCCGGCGCGATCACGCCGTCGGAAACTTCTCGAGAAATGATCTTCGCCGTCGGGACATCACACTTATCGGAAAGAGCTATGACATCGCCAAAGCTAGACATTCGGTCTGCACCTCGGGCACGAGCATATGCTTGGGCGAGTCCTGAAGACTCGATACCCTCGATGTCGTCTACCATGTAGACTCTGCGTTCCTTCTCATTGAGAGGGACACCGATAGCAGCTCCGGCTGGAGACACATGTTTGAAACTCGCAGCTGCGGGGAAGCCCAGGGCCTGTTTGAGCTCTTTCACAAGGGGCCAGGCATTCAGGCAGTCTAGAAGGTTGATGTAGCCGGGAGATCCCCCTAACACTTTGAAAGGCAGATGTCCGTTGCGTACGAACGCAGCCGCAGGTTTCTGGTGGGGGTTGGCACCATAGCGAAGCGACAACTGTTGAACGCCATTAGAAGCGTACTGCTTGCGGAAAAAGTCGGAGATAGCGGTATCGTAATCGGCCGTGTGCTCAAAAGCCTTGAGGGCATACTGCTGACGGGTTTCTGTCGTGATGTCTCCCGTGTCGAGTTCTTGCAAGAAGTTGGGGTAGTCTGCCGGATCGCTGAGTATCGTCACTCGGGTGTGGTTCTTGGCTGCAGCTCTGATTAGGGTCACGCCCCCGATGTCGATCTCCTCGACCGCCTCGGGGATGGTGACGTTGATTTTAGTAACAGTGTCCTTGAATGGATAGAGATTGCAGACGACGAAGTCGACCTTGTTAATGTTTTGGTCTGCGAGGTCCTTTTCGTCGGAAGCAAGGTCTCGAGCCAAGATACCTGCATGGACAGCAGGGTGAAGGGTCTTGACTCGACCTGAAAGCATCTCAGGTGCATTGGTGATCGCAGATACGTCCCTGTACAGTCATCAGTGATCTGAACCAGAACAGTAGCATTAGTAGAGGCCTTACTCGACAGGGAACCCTGCTTCTCGAATCAACTTGGCTGTGCCGCCGGAAGCCAAAAGGCGAACATCGTTCTTGATGAGGCCTTTTGCCAGGTCAAGGAGACCTGTTTTGTCATAGACAGATAAGATAGCTAAGGCCGTTAGTCTGGCTTGCTGGACAGACATGCTAGAGGCTGGCAAGTATGGCATACCAATTTTCTGAGAGGCCATCTTTGTGGCTAACGGGATTGGAACACACAAGGAGCCGGCACCTGGCAAAGGAAGCTTGTCGCGGTAAGGAAAGACGGATGGATTGATGGCAAAGTGCTCACGGTGCCTCCACACAAAGATAGCAGGTGTTCGGGGATTGTACAAAGTACTAGGATGTCGTACCCCAGAGTGTTACGTTGAGATCTCGAAATTTCTTCAATTCCCATCTACGTGATGCTCATGGTGGGGGAGGCAACGCTGAAAAATTCCCACTTAGCGATCTGCTGGGCGGCAGTTTGTCCGAAGCGAGACTATGCTATATCGGGGCTAGTGCGGGACATGAGGCCGCGGACTCTCTGGTTTCAGCCTCGTCGGCCAGTGCAAGGTACGATGCAGGGCACGTAAATAAAGTGCATTGGGGTTATCCGTGGTTCTCCAGATGCTCTGGGTAAATTCGGGTTCTGCAGAGCCAGATATTGGCGCTGTCGTCTGAGGCAGCCATGCTCCCCTGCTTGGAGCTGTACAAAGCACACTTCCGGGAATCGAGTCGTGGAGCGGATGAATTGGTTTTGTAGGCTGTGGCTCCCCGTTTGTGAGAGTGACAGAGATACAACAAGTAGATAGTAACGATGGAGCGGTGTTACAGACTGCCCAGATACACCCACCATCTTAGGCTTATCCTTCGCTCACTACCGATGCACTGACTCTCACGGATGCTGACCTTTGTGGGTGACACTACACACCTTGTGTTTTGGTTGGAGTCGGACCGCGCCTAGCTTCACTTGCGGTTCAAGTTACCTGTTGCTTTGGCTTCACAACGACTTGATTTTTCTTTTCCACCCTTCATATTCATCTCTCTTCCTTGCGTGACCTTCACATTCATCAAGTCTCTCTTGCTCTATTGTCGCGGTTAGAATAAAACTCTGAATAGCCTCCACACGTGACTCATGTCTGCCTGGTCCAGACATGGGTTTTCTATCAACCACACCGTCGAGCCTCTGCACTTGATCTGTCTATCTCTGCTCCTCCGCAGAGCTGTTCCTCCCAAGACGTATTCGTTAGGTTTGCCATCGACCACTTCAACGTCATACAAGATTCTTCTCTCGACAACATCATGACGTCTCCCAGAAAAACTCGCAGGCCAGTCCAGCCTAGACCTAAACAGCCAGCAAGCGTCAAGCCTCAGCATCCCCAGACCATAAACCCTATTCGACAGTATGTCCCGTCTCGCCGACAACAATCAGCAACCAATGCAACGCCTCAGGCTCAAACTAGCACGCAACCAACGCCAGCTGTCAAGCCCATCAAGCCTTTTCCATTCTTCAAACTTCCCGGCGAGATCAGGAACAGGATCTATGACCTTGTCGTCCCCGATACTCAAGTTTCGGTCACATCAAACCATCCTCAGAAGGAGTACAACCTTCTCAAAGCACAAAATCGGACTGCTAAACAGGTGAAATGTCCCCGCCATCGGTTATCTGGAAGGTTTCAAGGAGAAGCTGCGCCAGTAGTAATGCTTCTCACATGTCGGCAGATGTATGAAGAGCTCGCTCCAATCATCTACTCGAGAACTACCTTCTCCTTTGACAGCTTCGTCATCATCAACAAACTCCTCAATCGAGTTAAGAATACACTCGTCGCAAACATCGAAAGACTGGAAGTGACCCATAAAGGATACAGTGAGCCCGCATTGATGGCAGACCGAGAGTGGAAACTCCGCCATGATGCACGGTGGGCGGCGACCTTGGGACGTATCAAGGCCGAGATGGAAGGACTGCGAAGGCTCAAGCTCGACTTGACCATCTATGACTGGCCATGCTCACTTACCATTACCGAAAAGTGGGCTCATCCTCTTCTCCATCTCGCTGGTAACGGCCTCGAACGCGTGGACATATCTCTGGAGCATGATAGATTCCACCAGATGAAATGTGCCACGGTAGCGAGAGAGCTGGAGAGCAAAATGATGACGCCAAAGGGTAGAAAGATGAAGATCCGTGAAGACAAACGGCGAGCAGAAGAGAAACAAAAGGCCAAGAAGATCTTGACAATCAAGCTGCCGCTGAATGATAAAACCACAAGTGCCAATCTGCCGCTCAAGAAAGTGGTCAAAACGACTGGTCTGGATGGATATGCTCAAGCTCAGCTTCCCGTCGCAACTTGCAGCAGCAACCCGTATGAGTTACCGGTATGGTAGGTCTCAGTTGACACCAAGCATTGTCTTCAGTGGCGGTCAGGAATTGGACATCCCTCCGGAGATCAGGTAATCAATCATTGATATGGTTCAGTAGCAACAATCAGGACGCTGGCGGAATGTACTTAGAGTCCTGCAGAATACAAAGGCTGGACACACACAGGGGGAGAGAGAGAGAGAGAGCTACGCTCAACTCAGGTGTAGCCATTGCTCACACCACAGATACCTCATGAATCCAAAATAGAACATAACACTTCATTGTACGCATACCAAGGACTTGATCGCTACAAACAAGTGAAAGTGGCCAAAAATAGAGATCACCAACCGGGAGATGCCCAGGCACGCAGACCGGGGTAGGATTGTGTGTGATAGCCAACGGCGTGCCTAAAGTGGCTCCGGAGAGCGAGTTGCCGCCCGGCGACGACGCGACTGGCATTGCAATATGGTTGCTGATCAGCCGAGACCCTTCTCTTGTACGCGTGCATCTGACTTGCGCATCCGGTGCAGACGGCGGAAAACTAGCAGCAAGCCATCACGAGAGACGTCCAGTGAGCACAGCGAGAGCGAGGCGAGCCCTGTAGCGATGCCGGGCCCGTCAATATTGATTCGTTGTCCTCGGGCGCTTCGATAGCAAGCCTCATCCAATCATTCGCCTCGCACCCACTTCATCACCCGCGGCACTTCCAATCCTCATGCATCTTCGCTCTGCTTCATCCTCTACCAACCGCCCGTTAATCATGCAGCTCGACAGCTCAAGCGCCCATCGATTCCCCATCTCGGCAGAGTGTGGGAGGGTGTGGCCTTCAGTATACCAAAGACAGAATGGCATTACTACCATGGCTTCTCCTCTACAGACATCGACCTCTCTTCCACCTTCTCTTCCTCCTCTCCATCTCTGCCCCTCAGCCCGTGCCTCGATATCTTTCTCACAGCTCGCGCAGGCTTCGCAGAGCGGTTTTTCGTTGCTTCCTTGATAATCTCTCCTGTGCACAGCCTCTAGGCCTCGAGACCGGTACGGCCCTGCAGTGGTGTTGAATGCCTGATTGCGCAGAGCCTCGACCGATACACCGACCGCAAAGCGCCTATTGGCACCAAACTTGTTTTACTCCGTGGCAGACCACAGAGTCAGAGCACCAAACCACCATCGCTCGGGCGAATTACACTCAACCGTGGTCTCGACCATTTACGAGCGGCCAATAGCTCAGTCACATTTCCCCAAGCGCCTCTGGTCAGCACACCCTGCCTGGGAGGTTACCTATTACTCGGCCTGCGTCCCATTCACCCATCTACTCCCTTCTCATCACTGTCTATACAAGTCATCCCGAGCTGGTCCTCGACGACATAGCAAAAGACGACAAAAAGTATATACCTCCACGGTGGTCGACTTCGCATATATCTCGAGCTACGTGTCGACCGTCTCACGTCAGCATTTGCCGCTACTTCCCCAGCCAAGTCCGTATATCGGGATACCCTTGTACTACCATTCACCGCAACGAGGAAAGCCTTAAACGAGAGCGATGTCACCATCCCACTTCGAACCAGTATCGCCCATCGATATTACGGCCAACACTAAATCTTTTCGACCCGCTGCCATCGAAGACTTGGACGAAAAGTCTGAAGTCAAGGCGACGACTCGATCCCTCCGAACGAACTCGACTGCATCATCTACGAGGTCGACTAGGAACCAGGCTCGAAAGCCTCGCTTTGCAGAAGCGACGTCCGTCTTCTCGCCAGCCTCTGGGCCTGGTGAATACCTTTCGCCTTTCGCAGACCCCAAGATGGAAACCAGCAAGCCTTCAGATGTTGGCTTCGGCTACATCTCAGACAATCAGCCCGTCGAGCAATTTGTCACCGTTCGAAGTGACCCCAATGGCGCTGCAGGGGCGCCTCTCAAGTCTGCCTTGAAGACGCCTGGTACGTCGAACAGACTCTTGAATCCGCTGAGCCCTACATTCCGCGAAGAGCAACTGCTCGAGAAGGAAGAAATGAAGACCGATGAACAACAGGCCAAAGATCTGGTATGTCGCACGCATGATTGTAAACACCTTGACAGAACCTGGACTAACCATCTGCACAGAAAGTCAAAACCCGTGTTCGCATGGCAAAAATGGTCCTTCGAGGCGTCAACTTCTCCTGCTCACTGATCGTCCTCGCGATGCTCAGTACCGTACTGACCATTTTCCACGCCACCAAGTCCATCCCCCCACGGAACAACTTGACGGCATGGGCACCCAAGCAGCAGATCTGGCCGCAGATTGTCGTCCTCAGCATCGCCTGCGTATCTCTCTTGTTCTCGATCATTGTCATATTGGCGTACTGCCGCGGGGGCCACCGGCGAGCGGAGAAGGTCGCTGTCTACTATACCATGTTCGCGGTGGGTTGGTTTCTGTTCAGCATCGTCATGTGGGTGGTAGGCGCAGGCATCCTGCATGGAAGCAAGGCCAACGGCGGCGGCACCGACCTCTGGGGCTGGAGCTGCAAAGATAACAAACGTCGAGATCTGTTCCAGGACGACGTCCACTACGCGCTTGTCTGCCGGTTGCAAGACTGGTCGCTCATCTGCTGCATCATCGAGGTCGTGGTCGAGGTCATCGTCATCGCCATCTACGGCATCGTCTTCTACCGATTCTGGTCGAAGAACAGGCTCAGGAAGTCCATGGACGCTCGCGACCGGGCCCGCACCGACTTGTACCTCGCTCAGCTGCGTACGCAGTCGGCACCAAACACACCAGGCTTCGCCAGCATTCAGACCCCGAGAACTCCGGGCTTCCCCTCACAGTACCATGCTCCGGCGACTCTCAACTCTCCGCGAAGTATAGACGGCCAGGGACGTTCGCTGTCCCCGGTGCAGTTTGCAAATGTGTCACCGCAGTCGAACACGACAACGTCGCCGTTCAGACTGCAGGCGCCCCCTATCCGCGTACACAGCGCCACGCCCAAGTTGTCCTCGACCGAGACTTTCCAAAGACAAGCCCTGACGTCGTCACCACCCCCGCAGCCTCCCATGTCGCCGCCACCGGAGGAACGAGTGCACGAGCACGTCGGCGCCGCGCCGGGAGAACAGACGTACGACGCCGTACCTATTCCTGGGGCTTATGTCCCGCCGTCCCAGCAACAGCAACATGGAGGACAGTCTCCACCCGGCCAAGCTTATTGATCCTTCTGCTGCTATTTGTCAGTGAGGGGACAAGCCTACTTGTAGGATGTCCGAATATAGGACGGGGATTTGGGGCTTTTCTTTTTCTTTGGAGTACGGAGCCAGCCTTGCAGGGAAGAGGGGGCGCGGGCGTGGGAGACGGAACCAAAGTGCAAGCCCGAGTACTCCATCCAAGAGTTACCTATGACAAGGAACAGGGATTCATCCGGACTTGGACTTGGACGTGGTGTCCCTCGCCGGCGGATATCGTTGACCAGTTTATCTGATCCAGGGCCGCCGGTATGCCTCGCGAAAGCCGGCTTTTTTTCTTCCTCTTTTCTTTACTCTCTTTTTCCTTTTTTCCCCCGGTTCATATCGATATCTATACCTAACTATCTCACATCAACATAAACATCAACGTCGACACCCACGTCAACACCAACACGCCGAATCACGCAAGAAACATCAACTATACCTTTCTACCGAAAGAAGCATTAGGTGCAGAAAGAAGATTGCAATTAGCAGTGGCATCAGGAGCGGCGACAGCACCAGGAACTAGCGTTGGCAATTGTGTCACTATCTACCCTACCGAATCGAAGTGAGGAACTGAGGCTAGTTAGAGCCATGACTGTATGTATCTATGTGCACATAGCATGGTTGGAATTTAATTCTCTCGATGAAACCTCGTCCAAGTCATCGGACCTTTGTAGCTCGCCAAAGTTGAAGCCCTTTATCGATGTGCAACTAACCCCCGAGGACACAACAGCATTCGAGGATAGTAAGTACGTAGGTAAGTGTCCCAACGACATGCTCATGACCATGATCATGATTACGTTGCTGCTGGACGGGAGTAGTCTGCCATGTACGTACAGAGAGAGTTTACTCCGCCGCACCACACCGCTCACCGCTCAGCACTTAACTTCCTTGGTTACAGTGTCCTGTCCTGAACCACCACGGCGCCTTACTGTGCCACGCAAAAAGCTCCAGGGCCAAGAGGGGGGGATTGTTTTCAAAAAGGCCAGTTCCCTTAGGGGCGCCCTGCAGCTGTGATAGGGGAGGTTGGGCAGGTAAGTAGACACCTGGAATTCCTAATTAACTAGTTAAGTTAGTGTTCCTCGCCGTTTCATAAATTCCTAATAACGATGGCCCCAGTCCCAAGACTCACCCCACTCACTCACTCACTCCGCCGGGGATGCTCAGGCCTTGTCAGACTGAGGGGAGTGACCGCGCACTCAGTTTGTACTCTCTTGCGCTCATTAGCCTGTTCAATATGTTTGATCAAAAATTTTATTTTTTTTCTTTCCATATTTTCCAATATGGTTCAGAGTGAATCTGAATTACTTCCTTGCCGACGACAAGATTATATCTACCTAGGTAGGGACATAGCACGACCCTGTTGTAAGTTTTTAAACTACTTGTTTGTCCATGTCAAATTTCAAGTGACGATAAGAGACGAAAGGATTGGCAGATTTTGGTGCCCGGAGGTATTATAATGTAGCCCAGCTTTAAACCTCCCTCCTGCTTGGCCCATGTCGCTGTTTTTATCCAACAACTTATGCCGAAAGATATAGGGACGTCGCACAGGACATCACACAAAAAGAAAAAGACAAAAACCCCCAACAGAACAACCGGATACCAACCAGTATTGGTTTGGAGCCTTTAAAGTGTTCACATCAACCTGCCGTAATGATCATCCTGTCTTCTCCACTTCATGGGACAATATGACTGATGTCGTTGGGAGTGGCCGGTCCCGTTGAAAGAAAAAAAGGAAGGCAAAAAATGCATCACTTAGTATTTGTACACGTGAAATCAGCGCGGGTCGAGCTTTTCTTTAATTGCGCTCACATCAGTCCACCGTATGGATCGTCCTGCCTCTGCCATGGATGCGGGTTGTACGCACATCGGCGCTGGTGGTGATGCTCGCCGCCGCTTCCGTGGGTGAGCCAGAAACCCAAAAATCGTTTTTTGGATTTACCCGCCGTGTCGGCCGTCGCAGACTTTGCATCGCGCAAGGAGCTTGCGGACCTGGTTATGGAGGATGTCCGCGGCGGCGTGGCGGAGTGGTTGAACATTGCTTTGGCTTGCGCGAGCCGGGCGAGGTGCTGAGTGTAGTCGGAGTCGATCATGTTGCGAGAAGAATCAGAGTCAGGGTTACGTTCTGTCCCTGTAGAGACCGCCGCGCCGTTGGTGGCCAAACACTCGTGGATGAAGTCGAGAATTGAGGGCGCGCTGTAGACGTGTGTCGGAGTGTCGCTGCCCAGAATGCGAGAGCTGATCATATTCTCAAGAGCGGCGCGGAGCCAGTCGTCCTCAGGGCCATAGGTGGGTGTTTGGTAGAGGACGGATGAAAGTCTGGGGACAAGCTTGCATGGCACCCACTGGTGGCGAGCCAGGTAGACTCGGATGACTGGTTGGAGGGGTTGGTCCCGGTTAGAGGACGTAATGGACGTTTCCGTCGTGGAAACTTCGTCGGAACCCTCACCGTTTGAGGATGACTCGACCGGCACGGGATAGGGCTGTTGACGGAGTTGGTGGTTGTGCATGTCGAATAGGATGGTGTCGCTTGGTGGTGGCTTGGGAACCGAGTGCAGTCGGAGAAGGCGTGGTTTCTGTTTGAGGTGTGCTGCGGGTTGTGATGCATCTTCGCTGAGGGGAGAGACGAGGATGGACCAGTGGATAGGCGACGAGGCAATAGAGGTGTCTTCGGCGGCGGGCAAGAAGCCCAAGATGGAGATCTTGGACATGTCGAGTGAGAACGGTGATATCCTTATCCTTGTTGTTCAGATCCTGTCAAGGGCCGTCCCTGTTCAACACTTGGTAATGCAATCTGTGCTGCCCAGAATACCAGCAGATCGGTCTTGGAAAACTCAATAAGATCGGTTTCCAAGACTGAGATCGTCTGTCATGTGAGGTAGTCCAAGGCTCAATATAGCCGGATACGCTGATCCGATGAAGGGAGTGTCGTGGAAAGCGACAAAGTATCGAGTATATATCGCCAATACGAGAGAGTCGCTCAACCGAGTGACATAAACTTAAGGCAGATGTCTCCGGGAAAATGGTGGACTGACGCAGGGCGAATAATGGGATGATGTAAAGGATGTTGTTCTCTTACCTCTCTGAGACCTCCATTCATTCCTCTGTGGCTGATGCGGGCAGTTATATAGCATGACTCGAGTCCTAGTTAGTCCCGGATCATCGTATGCGCCAGAACGGGGTTTGTTTCGCTGAAGACATGAAGCACTGACTTCAAAATGGCGCATGAAGGAAGCAATGAAACACTCATGGATGGAATCCGGCATTTTGTCCGGTTGAAGGATTACACAAACGATGTCTTTCATTTGCAGGTATTTTCTAGTCGTAGATCTTCCGTAAATCTCCTTCCAATCGCTGCCCACCGTGATGCTGACTCACCCATTCCCCGAGAGTTCGCCGGCGCCACTTCAGGGCAAATACCAGACTCTTACACGGCGAGTCTCCAATGGCCGTGTGGACTCGGAAAATAGTATCCAAAAGGCCCCCATAGGCAAATCCGACATCATGCCGGTGGAACGCTCGACCGTAGTGAAGCATGACGGTTGATGGCATCAAGACCTCGGTCCACCGAGACAGCCCTACGCAGGACATGACCAGACCACGCCGTTGGAGTGCAGTCTCACGTTAGCAGACAGATCTAGGGAGACGAAATAGCTACATCTCCTGCATGTCCCGAGAAAGACAGGACAGATGGCGAGGTCTATAGCCATCCGGCTTGCGGCACATGAGAGCAACGTCGACTAAGTGGGTGAATTACATGCCCACAACTCCGCGAAACAAATACGGCCATAGAACAGAACTGAAGGGTATCATCTGCTTGATCCTCGTTGCACCAGTGTGTGGAGTTGTGTTGTACAGCGAAAGTAATATGGTATTACACAGCAAGGTCATTCTCTTTTAGCAACCAACGCATCCTGACACGTCGACTTTCAACTGAGAGTTATGGAATGACTGTAACCAAAGAGTGGAAGTGCTCGAGCCTCAGACCGTCGATGCGTAGTTTCCACCTCTTTTCCGGTTGAACGCTCTCTGGTCCTTCAGCCAATTGCGATATCCAGCCACGCTTGATATCTTTTCACCATAGAAGTCCGGAACAGGATTGTTGGTGCTCGCGCCGCTAGGATTGACCCGGTGCTTTTTTATCCTTTCGAAGAACGCTCGTTCTTTTATCGTGAACTCTGGGAGACGGCTCCGATGAAGCAGTTTCCATAGTGAATTGCCAAACGCCGGGCCAATGAGCCACCCAAGAAAGGTTGCGCCAAACGTTGCAAGTCCCATGCTGATAAAGGGATCTGTTGGCACCAGTTTTGTAATCTGGTCAGCCAGGTCTGGTAGTTCCGAAAATGCGGCGATCGCACCACCCGTAGACACCACCGACGTGATTATGGAGGAGGTCAGGGCATAACGGCGTCGAGATTGGCGGAGTCGGAAGAAGGCATTCCAGTCGAGGAAGTCAGAGGACGGTCGCGGAGAGTCGGTGGAAGTCGATGCCTGGCGTGTGCGGCACAGCGAGGGTGTGAAAAAGGAGGCCGGTGTGCTTGTCGAAGACGAGGGAGAGACCGCGAGTGTTGCGAGCTTGGAGGATGATGGTCGGTGAGGTCGTGCTATGAGGGCTGCTGAGGACAAGGCTCGCTGTGACCGTGTCGACACATGGTGTGACTTGAGTAGGGTCGGTTGAGATTGTGTAAGTTGCAGGCCAATCCTAGTAGACCTGGCAGCCATCGTAACGATGATGACAGATGTTTGAAAAGGTGAGCAAAAATACACCTGAGTCGCTGAGGACTTGGTGGTGATGACAGTAGTGGTGGTGTTGGTCGTGGTGGTGCTTTTTTCGTCAAGCTGCGATCGCAGTTAAAGCTTCCAATCGGGGATGGATCTGCGAGGAAGACGCAGCCACAATAACTTCACACCACAATTCCCCGCCAAGCACGTACAAGTATGTACTCGTGGTTGCGAGAGCAGCCACAAGGGGAGGTGATAGTGATAATACTGGCTACCTCCAGATGCGCTGACAATACTGAGCTGTGCACGTAAGCGAGCAGGCCATCACAGATTCTGGAAGATTGAGATGGTGAGGCCCGTGCCCTGGTGGTGAAGCGGCAGTTGGCACTGTGTAGAAGTCTCGTACTCGCAACTTTACCTACATACTAGTAACTTAGGCTCACTAGACCGGAAGCTATTGACAGGCTTTCGGCGACTCCTTGTGCCATGTGTGCTTGATGCGGGCGCCGTCCTGTAGGGTCCTTCGGGCAGCTATGGGCATCTCTATTGGCCGGCGGCCACCCCTAACAGCCTACTGAGAGGCCTAACTACCTAGGGAGCCATCATACTCCCGGCCCTTGTCTGTAAGACTGGAAGCGGCTTGCCAGCCTAGTGAGCCTGCGCCGAATACAACACTCGTCCGCCATTCCCGACCTGATCTCTCTCGTCGTTTTCCAGTCTCTGCAGACTGTCGTCGAAGACCATGACTTTTGCTGCGGCATATCAGTCCAGGCCGTCTCGAATGCATGTTGTGCCTGTCGTCCGCCTTTGCGACTCTTGAACTCGATCCCGATTTCGCTTGGTCTTATCTCAGCCCGTATTCTCGTGTACAGAAGATGCCGTTGCGAATCCTCCCGAGCCTCGAAGACTTACCACCTTCAAAAATCCTATGTTGATGTAGAACCCTTGCGATCCCGGTGACAGATCTGTTCGCCATGCCGCGGCCGAAGAAAGCCGATCTGGATGGGAGAGAGGTGAAGAAGCGCTCGAGGAATGGTTGCTGGTAGGTGACTCGGCCAGAATCTTGAGATAGGTCTGCTTATACATAACCCGGAAACAGGCCTTGCAAATCGAGAAAGGTCAAATGGTATGAGTGTCCCTCGTGGCTATTGTTCGGCGCATACCCATGTATGATACTGACTGGCTACAGCGGAGAAGAGAAGCCCGCTTGTGCCAACTGCCAAAGGCAAGGCGAAGCATGCGACTACAGTATCCGACTGAACTGGGATGGGCGAAGCAAGAAGAAAGATGATGGAAAGCCGGGTGCGCAAATCATGACCTTCAGCCAGAATCAAACAACGCCGCCGACAACCATATTACATGGCTACTCCAATAGTATCACCAGTCAAGCCCTCGACTCGGACATGACCTCTCGCGTTTCTGACATGCAATCGCAACTACCTCCAAACTACCTCGTTGAACATCATTCGCCAAACCCCTCAATGACATCGGTCCCTCGCTTCTCGAATTCTGTTCCAATGCCAGCCGCCGATCCCAATGCTTCCAGACTACCTCCTCCACCTATCTTGAGGACACCTCGGTGGACTGAAGGCGCAACCCATCCCGTGGGGCCCGAAAGCGTACCTGTACCCCCTCTACGACATACAATGTCACTTCCAGCATATCCCTCGCCATCGGAATCAGGATTTGGCAGCCCGAGTCTCAATGGGGGAATGTATCACTTCGGTGGGAACCCTGCGCCAATGCCTCCGCCCATGCCAACGTCCAATCCAATCAACTATCAGGAATCTGTCAATTCGCCCTATCACCCTTCCAAAAGAATAAAATTGAGCCCTCGGACGGACAATTTTGGTAGACCGGCGCAAAACTTTCAACGGGCCACGTCCTATGGCCCTCATGAGACCGAGGAATTACTCCGAGTTCAGTTCAATCCGAACACGCCTACTTTCATCCCCTCTTACCTCAACAATCCGTTGACTCCAGCAACCTCGGCATCACAAGCCACGGATGGTGATGACCGACGTATCTCAGTGAGCTCTTTGCTGTCTGAAGACCCTGACACGGAAGACTCAAAGACATCGAACCCTATCGAACAGACTGTGGTGGCCGATGATCAGATTCCACGGCGCGGCTCCCTTCACCAGCGAATGGTCTCATACACGCAGACCGAAACCTATGGAATGGATCGTGGAAATCCTGACCTTGATATCCCTAGGAACAACGACACCATGGCCATCTCTGGCAATTCACCTTCAGAACATAGTGATTTCGACTCGTGGTTACACGACGCCGACCTTGGGGTACCAGAATTCGGGTTCGGACTTGTGAGTCGGGAGACAGTGTTTGCCAAAGGCGGCTATTACGCTTCCCCAGTTCCCATCAAGATCCCTCGAAAATTGGAACCACTACCTCGAACACTCTCGGAAAACCCCATGAACTTGCTCTATTTTCATCATTTTCTCAACCACACGGCTAGAATTTTGGTGCCACATGATTGTCCCGAAAACCCTTTCAAGACAATTCTTCCAAAGAGTAAGTCGCAAACGGAACGTGAGCACGCTTCAACTACTTATGGTTTATAGTGGCCGTGGAGAACACGAATCTTCTTCACTTGTTACTAGCATACTCTGCATGTCATAGAGCGAGGCTTTTAAACCATCCTGAGCCTGCTAATCGTATTGCTCATTGGGTTCGAGATGTATTTCCCTTCCTACGACAGACTTTGGACAACGTTTCGAACACGGCTGTGTCCAACGCCAATCTGGCCACCGCAATCATGCTGTCTTCTTTGGAGATCATTTCCCCCTCGAGTTTTGGGGTGTCCATCCCCTGGCAGAATCACTTGAGTGTTGCCAGAAGCATTATACGTGCCCGAGGGGGCCCAAATTCGATCTCGAGGAAGGATCCAGTCATGTACTTTTTGACTCGATGGTTAGCATATCTGGATGTGTTGGGTTCCCTGTCTGGCAGACGTAACGGAGAGCCTCTGTTTGCAGGCAATTACTGGTCCAGCTCACATGAAGATAGCACTTCGGCAAAGGAGTTGTCACTGACCGACGATGATGGAGACGATGAAGACGACTATACTATTGACTGTCTGCTAGGCTTCACCACCAGATGCGTCTCGATCCTGGCCCAAGTGGCTGTCCTGGCAAGACAATGTGAGTCGGGCAGGATCGATCCAGAGACTGGGCAGATCAACGAAGCATGGAGGCCGGCACCCGATATCCTAAAAAAAGCCGAGAAATTGCGACAGGATCTTGAACGTGCTCGGAACCACGAATCCATCCAATGCCACCATAGCCCTCAAATGACAAAGGCCCACCTGTGTGGCTCTCGACGCAACTCAGCTTATGCAGAGATGTCAGAGAAGGACCAGGAGGAAGCTTTTGCGACCAATTCGGCGTTTCATTGGGCAGGGCTTGTGCACTTGCTACGAAGAATTCACAATCTGCCCCGTAGCGATCAGGCAGTGCAGAACGCAGTTCACGAAATTGTGAAGGTTCTGCAAAGCATTCGACGAGAAGGGAGTGCCGAAGCCTGTCTCTTGTTTCCCATGTTCACGGCTGGCGTCGAGGCTGAAGACCAACTCGACCGTGCAGAGATCCTGAGCAGGATCAAGGCTTCAGAAGGTCTTGGGATGTGTCAGGTCAGTCACGCTCGCAAGATCATGGAAGAAGTTTGGCGGACTGGAGTCAGTTGGGAGAATTTAGTGACAGAAGGCTTCTTCGGTTGATGGCATGCGGCTTACCGGCGTGTATTTAACAGACAAGAGGACGGCCATGTTGACGTTATGAGTATGAAGGCATATTTGATGTTTGCGTCTTTGCATTTGATGAGCGTTGGTGCTGGGGTATCTTGGGCTATATACACTTCTACTTGCATACCTTGTGACGCGAAAATTCGATCTCGCCAGTCTTGACACTTCTTTCTCGGCGATCATTAATATTGCGCTGGCTCCCCTTCTCTTAGTTGTACCTGGACGTCGCTCCTCCGAGATTCGCACAGTACAGTACGTAGCGTTGCTTGTTAGTGGCGCCTTGTATCCGACAAGACTTATGGAGACTTCCAGGTCCTATCTAGGTACGGAGTAGCGAAGCCGAAGATCTCTACCTATCAAAGCACTGTACCCATACACGATTGTCGTTGAGATACGAGACAAGAGCAATCAATATAATTTGGCGCTACCTAAGCTACAGTACGTCAGCAGTCAGCGCTTGCAACAACAAGTTTTAGTCCGGTCCATCTTTATATATTTACCTACCTCCGTACGGAGTACCTCCTTCTCCATACCTGGATCTAGGTATCTAGACTTTGCATCACTGTGCTGTCCACAACTACAGTACTCGTATTCGAGCCATTCCCCTTTTCTTTCTTTCTTTCTTTCTTTCAGATGTTATAGTCTGTGCTTATTGCATCCCCCCTGTTTATTCGTGGAGTACTACAGAAACAACATCGAGATCTTCTACCTTGCCACAGATCATACCAAAGGCGTTTTGACACCTCAGCCAGCCACTCGGTTCAGTCGATCACGCTTTCTACGATACCCGTAATCACCATCACATCACCACCGCACGATCTGTACCTAGGCAATTTTTCCACACGCACGCAGACCCCGATCTGACGAGCCACCATCAAAGCAAGCAACATGTCATCCACCGCTACGCAGGCCATGGACAAACTCATCCAGCGGCACCCGCTCCAGCGCATCCATTCGCCGTCGCGCGGATTCTCGGCGATCGTGCACCTGGTCGGCCTCGCCAGCTTCGCGTCCAGCTACAAGTACCTCGTCGAAAACCCGAACCACATCAACCAGGCGTACGGATGGCACTTTCAGTACCTGACCATCATAGGGCTGACGCTGGCGACGGCGACGTTCGCTCTGGGCATCGCGGCCGACACGACGCTCTCGCGGCGCCTGTTCGCCGCCAAGAACGTGTTGTCCATGTGCTCGGCGCCCATGGAGGTCCTGATCAGCGTGCTGTACTGGGGCCTGAGGGCCGTCGACCCGCGGCTCGTCGTGCCCGAGGACCTCGAGCTGCCCGTCGCCACGGACCTGGGCTTCCACCTCGCCCCAACCGTCCTGCTGCTCCTCGACATCCTGCTGCTCAGCCCGCCCTGGACCGTCACCGCCGCCCCCGCCGTCGCGCTGAGTGTCGCCATCGCCTTCGCCTACTGGTTCTGGATCGAGTGGTGTTACAGCTACAACGGGTTCTACCCGTATCCGCTGTTCGAAATGCTCGAACAGACCCAGCGCGTGGGCTTGTTCACCGCCAGCGCGCTCATCATGGCCGCCAACACAATGATACTCAAGTGGCTGTATGGAAGGGTGAATGGGGTCGGGAAGACCGGTGTCTCGGAGAGGCCCGGCAGGGTCAACTAAACTAAATTATATTGATCGACCTGTTGCTGGTTCCTTGTCGTCAAAATCCCAACAAAGAATTTGGACCTGGTTGGCCTGGTTTGCCTTGCCTTGTAGTAGTAGACCCGTTCGGGGCAGCTTGCATCGATTTCTTAATTTCCCCGGCTGGTTGGATTGGATTGGATATGCCGGACATCCTTCGACCCTGTCAAAGATATCAAAGATCCTAGAAAAGAGGAGAATTGCAAGCCGTGCTCGACTTGAAACACCCGTTGAGAAGGAGAATGGGTGGCTTGCGTTCACTGTTCAGCGCCAGCGAGATCAATCCTCCATCTCAACAATTCAACAAACCTCGTAATGGTACGTCGTTCAGCGGAGAAAATCCGAGGTATGTAGAGAGAAACAAGAGAGAGACTTTCTAAAGTCTCGCTTCCTCTAGCTGCGATGTCCAAATGGACGCCCGAAAATGCTCATAAGCATACTTACTTGCATACCGTCTTAATCTATGGATAACTTATGCTCCTGGCCGGTTTTTATAGGCCCATTTCCCTAGACCCAACAGCCTCAAGGCCAATATGCCAGCATGCAAGATACAATTGATATAGCTTTTTACACAACAAGCTCCACAAAAAAGGATATCTAAACCGAAACCACATCACTCTGTATATGTTCCTAGAAGAAGGCTTGCAGCCCTGTAATGGCCCTTCCTAGAATCAAAGCGTGGATGTCACTTTGACCCTCGTAGGTCTGCGTGACAAAAAGGTTCGCCACGTGCCGGCCGATGTGATACTCGTCGCTCACGGCGTTCCCTCCAAAGACCTCCTGGAGTGTCCGCGAGTGGTGCAGTGCGCGATCGCAGTTTTGCCTCTTGATCATACTGATCATCTCCGGAGCCAAGCCGGCCTGGCTGTCCTTCACCCTTCCAACTTGGATCGCGGCGAGTAGGCCGTACGCCGCGTCCGTCGAAGCGTCGGCCAGCTTCTTCTGGATCAGTTGGTACTTGGCCAACGGGTTGTTGTTGAACTGTTTGCGCTCCAGCGCGTACGTTCGGGTACGCTCGATGCAGTCTTCGAGAGCGCCGACCACGCCAAAGGCGATCCCGAAGCGGGCCGAGTTTAGGCATGAGAACGGGCCCTTGAGGCCAGTCACGTCGAGCATGTTCTCCTCCGGCACGGGACAGTTGTCGAGTTGGATCATTCCCGTTATGCTGGCGCGAAGACCGGTCTTGTTCTTGAGGGCTGGGGTCTCGAGGGTGCCGGGAGGACAGGCGTCGCGCTCAATTACAAACCCTTTGATTTGACCGTCGAGTTTCGCCCACACGAGTAAGAGGTCGGCGATGGGAGAGTTGGTGATCCACGTCTTCGACCCGGAGAGACTGTAGTAGCCTTTCTTTGTGGGGTGAGGTCGTGCGGTGGTCTCCATGGATCCTGGATCCGAGCCGTGATTCGGTTCGGTCAGGCCAAAGCAGCCTACCAAATCGCCCTTGCCGAGTTTCTCGAGCCAGCGATCCTTTTGTGCTGGGGATCCAAACTGGTCGATTGGACCCATGACGAGGGACGATTGTACAGACATGCCGCTCCGATAGCCCGAGTCGATGCGTTCGACTTCGCGCGTAATCAGTCCAGACGCGACGGAGCTCACGCCTGGGCAGCCGTGGGTCTTTATGGTCGGGCCTAACAGGCCTAGAGATCCCATTTCCTGGAGAATAGATCGATCGTAGTTTTCTGTGCGGTAAGCGTCTAGGACGCGTGGAAGAAGACGATCCTGGCAATAGGCGTGGGCGGTCTCTTGAATGCTGAGTTCTTCCTCGGTAAGAAGGGTGTGTGACGCGAGAGGGTCATCCCACTGGAAAGATGCACGGCTTGAGGCAGAGCGGGATACTATTAGGCGTGACGATGCCAGCCGGCTCGCTCGTCGGGTTGTGGATGTGAGAAAGGACATATTGGCAGGGAGCGTAAGGTGACTCTGGGGGAAAATGGGAACTGAAGTCTTGTAATGAAGCAGAAGAGAAGGGAGAGGAAGCAAACGTATGTCAACAATATAAAGGAACCGGATTTACTGGAGAGGCTCCGCCTTGGATCTTACCTTGAAGAGGTGAGTATATTTTGGAAGCGAAGTCGCATACCGGTTGAGCCCATTTCATATTACCGAGGGTCCTTCCAGCACAGAGTAATCACTCAACATACGTTACTAGCAATGGATGCTGCTGTGTTTAACGGTAGTTAGCTGGAAGGCGAACATCTAGATGATATTGCCGTTATAACCGTTGTGAACAGGGTCATGTAGCCGACGGTCCCGCTTCAACCCGGGAGGGACAAGTATGTCAGACGGCGCTTTTCACGGTGTGTATCCGGAGACCGTTAATAAAACGCTGTGTAGGTTCTGCTGGTGAAGCCTCGCCTGATGTTTGCACCTGCTGTTCTGTAGGGAAGCACTGATGTGTCTGGGAGGCATCGTGTCTAACGTACCCTTTTCCGTCTGGCCAGGAGCAAGTGTTGGGTTACGGACGGATTTGCTGGATCTTCTGGGTTGATTCTTGTATGCCGAGTTTCGTGATTCCACACATGGCTGGAGGCCTACAAGTTGAGGCATGTGGTAATGAATTGGGCCAACTTGATGCGCGATGGCTCTGCAGGCGAATGCTGAATTACGTGAACAGATGGCTCGTAATCGCCAATCCTCACAGTTTCGTTGGCTGCTGTGGTGCGAACGACGAAATGAAGCCACCCGGAACAGTGGAGAGACGAGGGCTATTCCTGTTCCTGCATGCCTAGCGATAAGCTTAACTCGTTTGCCGTCTTCACTGGTTGGGCCTCTGCTGGCCACACTAACTTAGTTAGCCTGTCCTCCAACAATACGCCTGGCTGCGCCCTGGTCCTCCACCCATCGCCTCTACAACCACGAGCATTGCGTCCGCAGGAACTTTTTGTCGATGTCGCCCGCTTGATTGTCTCCCTTCCCTCCCCAGATCTTCCTTCGCGTCGGCGCTCACTGTCCTCAAGGATAGCCTCGAGCCTTTCGCGTTTCGATTCCCTTCCCTTCGTTCTTTTCCTCACGTCATGGTTCAGCGGGTCGACATCACCATGAACGGAACCACTCGCGTCAATGGCATCAATGGCCACTCCAAAGACTCACCCTCCTCCCGATCCTCCCGCAAGCCCTCCTCACCTATGGCGCCAGCTTTCATGACCTCTGCTCCTGGCAAGGTCATCGTGTTTGGCGAACATGCTGTAGTCCACGGCAAGGCCGCAATGGCTGCAGCTGTGTCCCTCCGATCCTATCTCCTAGTCACGACACTGTCCAAATCACAACGCACAATTACTCTCGTTTTTCCAGATATTGGGTTGGACCACACTTGGAATATCGAAGATCTGCCGTGGCATATACTATCCAGCTCCGCTCGCAAACCTCGATACTACGACATGGTCACCACTCTTGATCCTGAGCTGGTGGAAGCGATGCAGCCACACATCGATGAGGTGTCCCCCCATGTCAACTCGGAAAAGAGAAAACGTCACCAGGCAGCTGCTTCGGCCTTTCTATACCTATTTCTATGTCTGAGTAATCCTACAGCTCCTGCTTGTATATACACTCTCCGGTCGACGTTGCCCATTGGAGCAGGACTAGGATCCAGTGCCAGCATCTGTGTTTGTATCAGTGCGGCCCTTCTGAAGCAGATACATGTACTGTCAGGGCCTCATCAAGATCAACCAGAAGAAGAAGTTGATTTACAGTTGGAAAGAATAAACAAGTGGGCGTTTGTCGGAGAGCTCTGTATTCATGGGAATCCCAGTGGAGTGGACAATACGGTCGCGACCAGGGGAAGGGCTGTCCTTTTCAGACGGGTTGACTACTCAAAGCCCCCCACCGCCACACCAGTGAAAGACTTTCCAGAATTGCCTCTATTACTCGTCAACACAAAACAACCTCGTTCAACGTCCACCGAGGTGGCAAAGGTGGCCATGATGAAGAAGAAATATCCCGCCGTGACCGAGGCCACATTGGACAGCATCGATGAAGTCACAATGTCGGCACATTCTCTTATCACGTCTGATGACTTCGACCCGAGATCAGAACAGAACATCGAGCACCTTGGCGATCTGTTCAGAATAAATCATGGACTGCTCGTCTCGCTGGGCGTGTCTCATCCCAAGCTTGAACACATCCGTGAATTGGTCGACTATGCCGATATTGGTTGGACCAAACTCACCGGTGCTGGAGGAGGCGGTTGCGCCATAACCCTGCTTAAACGAGGCGTCAGTGAAGAATCTCTCCGCGATTTGAAAGAAAGGTTTGAAAAGGCTGGATTCGAAGAGTACACGACTACTCTTGGCGGGAGTGGCGTGGGTATTCTCTATCCTGCCGTTCTCCACAATGGGTCAGAAGAAGAGGGAGGTGATGAAATCGACCAAGTGAAGTTTCTCAATGCTCAAGGAGAAGAGGGTATTGAGAAGTTGGTTGGAGTGGGTGGTCTCGAGCGGAGGCCCGAATGGAAGTTTTGGCATTGACAGTAATGTGGTACTTTCATGGTTGTCTTATCAGCGGCGGCGCTCTGGCATGCATTGATGTAATGATGGAAATGGATCCGTTATAATTCTGAAGGCAAGCAGTCAAAAGCTTGATGTCTTGATAGTTTACAACTTGTATATGCTACCCCGTTCTCCGTGCTTGTAGGAACATTGGGCCTCATAATCCGCCGTCACGTGCACCACGAACATCTCGCCTGAGGCGGATCAGTCGTTCCTATTGTTCTTCACATACCATACCGTCACCACACAGAGTTCAGAGATTCGAGTCTAACCAAGATTGATCTCGATGTCGGTCTCTATTGTCCCCCTCACTTAGTCTCCTTGCACAAATCGCTCAACAACCCATGTTGTTATCTTATTTGGGACACTAGGCCGGCTCAAAAGGATCATGACCGTACCCTGAAACTAGTCACCATCTTCGGTCCTCTTTGCAAGGAGATCTCGCCTCTTGAGTGGCGTTTTGCGACTATGTCTAACAAGGCGTCCAAATCTAAATCCAAATCCTCCAAATCAAGGGAACCGTACTACGCGGTCTCGCCCCAATGGAAGGATGTCACACCCATCCCTCTGATCGATGGGCCGCCCGGACAAAAAGATCCAGGACCGGCCCTTGCTACCATCGCCTACTCGCCGCGTTACAGCGAAGCCATGTCGTACCTCCGTGCCATCATGGCCGTGAATGAGTTCAGTCGTCGTGCTCTCGATTTGACCGAGGACATTATCGGCATGAACCCGGCACATTACACCGTCTGGCTTTACCGGGCAAAGACCCTAAAGGTTCTCTGGGAGCTGGAGGGAACCTCCGTCGAGGACGGTGTCAAGGTCGAACTGGAGTGGCTCGATGGGATCAGTCAGCGGGCTTTGAAGAATTATCAAATTTGGTAGGTGCGGGTTTTTTCATCTCTTTTCACTGGCGCTTCCGAGGTGCCCTCTGTCCCTTTTTATCGAAGCGGATGCAAAGCTTCACATTCCCACCATCTGTTTTCCTACGTTTACAAGACGAGTCTGAAACTTGACGGACGGCTGATGGGAAGAATGTCTTTTTTGACTGTCTAGGCACCATCGCCAGCTTCTCCTGTCCCTAGTACCAGCCATGCCAGACGCCGAACCCGAGTTCCTGGCACACATCCTTTCGTTTGACTCGAAAAACTACCACGTCTGGACGTACCGCGCCTGGCTGTGTCGGCGGTTTCCCGACCCTCTGCTGAACACCGAGATGGAACTCGACGCCCTCGACGCCCTGATCTCCGAAGACGTGCGGAACAACTCGGCGTGGAATCACCGGTACTTTGTCGTCTTCGGTGCCGAGGAACTCCGCGTGATCGAGGAGCAGGGCGGAAACCGCAAGGACGTCCTTGCGAACGGGTCCCTCGTGGTTGACGAGGACGTGGTGGAGCGCGAGATCAATTACACAAAAGACCGCATCGCTTGGGCCCCGCAGAACCCGAGTCCGTGGAACTATCTCAAGGGCGTGGCCAAGAGAGCTGCGATACCCATCGGCGAGTTCCAGGTGTATTGCGAGTCGTTCGTGGGCGGGCGAAAGGCCGATTTAATGGGTGACCAGGTGCGGAGCAGTCATGCTATCGACTGGTTGGCAGAGATATACAAGGAACACGGCGACCTGCAGAGGAGCAAGGCTTGTTTGGACGCACTGGGCCAGAAGTGGGATCCTATCAGGAGAAAATATTGGGAGTATAGGGCTCGACAGATGGGGGAGGTATGAGAGCTCACGTGTATTGAATCCACACGAGTTGAAAATGTCCCAATTCGCCAACAGAAAATTGGGAGAAGTCAAAGCTACCTTGATATTGGTTTGCAACAGGCATTGGTAGGATGACTAGGTATGTGCAGCATCATCATTATCGTCATCATAGTACAACGTTCCTCTACCTTGCCGATCTTCGTATTTCTCCTTTTTTATTTTAACGAGTCTGGCCCCTGCGTTGCGTGCGTTGCGTGCGTTGCGTACGGGAGCCAAGCAGCAACCACATACAGGTCCGTATGTACGCGAAGGTAATTGAGTGGTATCATGCATGGTATGTATGTATTGCTTTTTTTCAAGTGCTAAACTCGCTCAATCTGAATCGTCGGAATCGCTCAATTCTTGTAGCCTTCCTTGCTCCATGGCCAGTTGCACCGGGTTCGTGACGTTGGCGACACCTGTTGCCTTCAGCCTTTCAAATAGCACGAATAGCCTCTCGGCTTCGCGTTCGGCTTCTTCCCGACTCATCTCGGGTACTTGCACCGCAGGCTCTGCGTCGATTCTTTGGCCAGTTATCGGGTTTACGGGGACTGTTCTGGACGGTCCGCCGTTGCGATCCCCGGGGTTGCTACCACTGCGGCCCTGCTGCGGCACCGTCTTTGCGTTGTCAGGGATGGGGATTTTGTGTGTCATGAGGTAGCCGGCCGCGTAGCCATAGCCAACGTTATGGACGTATTGACTTGCGTCCTTGTCTGAGAGTTCAAACATCAATCCGGATATTGCTTCGGACAGGTTGGTCGAGCCCGTGGATGTCGTCAACCTGAGTAAATGAGAGGCAAGAGACGATGATTTCCCCAGTGGTTGGTCCCGTTCGTTGTCGTCGGGCAGGAGGCGGTTCTTGAGTTTCGCTCGTAGCTCAGGACTCGCGTTGACATTTATGTTTCGTAGTGTTGTCAACAGTGGGACTATGCTTGTCTCCAACTCGGTCGGCGGGTATGTTGTCACTACCGAGGAAAGGAGGTCGAGCAATTTGTCAACGCCCGATCCGAAGGCCGGATCTTGCTCTGGAGTCTCATCAAAGTCAATGTTGGCAAGGGCATTAACAACGAGACCTGTGGGAGGTTTTAGCGGCGGTGAGGAGCTGGGAAGTTGGTCGAGAAGTTGGAAGAGGGGCCGGATGGCTGAGATGAACGATGTTCGGTCGTTCAGTCCTGCACCACCACTTGTCACGTTGAAAAGGAGTTTCAGTGTTTCTTGGAGCGCGGGAGAGTCTGGATTTGCCGTCTGGGTCGTTTTGGATTGATCGACGTGCCGGTTCAGGAGTTTTGTGATTTTATCCGCGAGCTTGTGGTCGTCGAGTAATGTCTGTAGGTCGATTCGAGGGTCATACGTCAGGAGAAAAAGGATCCGAGAAAGCAGAAATTCTTCGTCGAGGTTGGCATCTCCCAAAGCATCCGTAGATTTCTTGTCTAGGCCAAGGCTTATTGAGTGCTGTCGAGTGATTGGGAGTAAAAGGAGGGCATTGGCGATACACCTCAGTGCCTCTTGACGGACGCCGGCGGGATATTCGCCAAAGGCATAGGAGCCCAGGACCTTCACCCCTGCTTCATTGTAAAGGGTTGAGACATTGCCTGCATCTCGTCCTAGAACTTTGAGTCTATCGAGGGCTGCCCGGATCTGCTCATTCGATGACTTCTTCGCTTCTAAGTCATCTCTGAGTTGCCCTAGTAGTTTGATGGCTTCGGTCTGCCTTGTCGAGTCGGGCATTGAATGGGTGGGCTTCTGTCTCTTGCCCGGCGGCGATGCACTGGGACGTTAGTAAGAGATTGACAACCGATGATAGTACTTCTTCCATCACCCAGACGCTGGTTGCAAGTATCAATCAAGGAAGAGTTGAAATTGAGTGGAAGGGATATGGAATACTTGGAACCCATTGGAAATAGCTCGGTCTGACCATCATATTTTCCCCCAAGGACACTTCAAGGGACTGCACCTCCCCACAGGTAAAATGTTTTTGCGCAAGACAATTGCCCAAGACGACTTTGCTTCTGATACTAGAACCATGTATACGAACGGCACAGAACATACGAATTGGTCAAGTCAAATCCCGCTGTCAGATCGTGGCCTAAGAACTCCAGACTGTCAGACGTGCCTCTGCGTCCTAGACAGATCGCGCCTCGTGCGCTCGTCGGCTTAAATCCGGGACGCTGGTCGATGCGGGCGGCGCGTAAAGACGCGTTGAGTGTGTGGCTGGACGTGTCGGACTGTTCGCTATATCTCGCCTGGGAGCCCAAGTACCTCGTCCTCTTGCTACAGCCATGTGGTCAACTTCTTTGCAGACTTCGAAATCGTTACATTGATATCCTTGGGAGTCTGCGGGCAGCCTCATGATTGCTTGGGTGTCGTGACGAACCTCTGCCTATGACATCTACTCCTTCCGCACTCTGATTGCGTTCCTTGCAATCATGTCGATGACCAGTGCCCTACCTCTCAGTCCTCCATCCACCTCTTCTCGCAGAAAACCATCCCTCCTGAAATCTCTCATCAGTGCTACTGGAACACCGGAGTCTCCTGCCTCCTTCCCAGGATCCTCAAACTCTGGATCCCGCAAACGCGTCGAGTTCTCTCCCTGGACGAACACCCACGAATCACTACCCGCTCCTCAACGACTCTCCAGTCTGCCTCGAACAAAACCCATCCGGTCTTCCTCCGAATGTCAAAACAACCTGAAATCGATCCTTAAGCCTGTCTCTGCGGGAGAGAATATCCCACAGTCGAGGAACAGGCCGCTAGAGGAAAGCCGATCCATGAACGAGATGATGGAGAGTATTGTGAACCAGCTGTCGCAAGATGACAGATCAATTTCAGTAGATGCATATCGGACCTTGGCCTCGGTTATCCGAGAGTACGATGAGATCCCTGAGGAAGCGGTCCTAAAGAGCAAGATCACCACTATTCTCAAATATATCAAGCGCGATCTGCTGAGACAGGCGAAGCCAGATGAGTCGCAAATTGCTGACACCAATCTGATGACTCAGGCTTTGAAGGTGCTCGTCATATTTGTGTGGAACCGGGAATATGCATCTCTCCTATCGGACGAACATCGCGTTTTTATCTTGGATCGCTCCATCCAGGTCATCGTCGAGCATTCCGCGCCGAAAAGTGTCATCATCCACTACCTGCACCTATTGGCAACGCAGGACTTCCGCCCAAGCCTTGTAAATTCGAGCAACCGCGTGCCACGTCTCTTGGAGGGAATGAAAACACTTCCGGAACACATCAAAGGTAATGGAATCGTATCCGAAAGGCTACTAGTGTACCAGAAACTCCTAGAGCAGGCGAAAGCTGTCATGAAGTCGAAAGCCAACTTGTGGGTTGAGGAACTCCTGACCGGCATGACGAATCCATTGAAGGACATCCGTGACAAGGCCATGAGCTTGGGCTTGAAAGCTTGCCTTGTATTTCCCGTCTCAGCGTCGATCGCATCGACCGTACGATCAGTGCTGCAACGAGAGCTCGACGCAGAACGAACCTTTAGTTCTGCCATGTGTCGAAGGCTTGAGAAGATGGTGTCAGCAAAAGACGAGGTTTCTCAGGTTCCGCAGATATGGGCTATTGTCATTCTGCTGAGCAATGGTCTTGATACGCGCGTTGACAATTGGGTCGAAATGAAGGACTGGCTCAAAGTCATTCAACGTTGCTTCAATTGCAGCGAGACAGCCATCAGACAACAGTCAATATTAGCCTGGAACCGGCTTGTCTATGTTGTACGACCTCACGAAGCCTCTGAAACCTATGCTTCCATGCTCGCAAAGCCATTGGCCGTTCAGTTAGAGCGATCAGGACCCGATAAAGGGGTCAAGGGCACACGAACTACAGCCGTTTCCAGTTATTGCAACCTATTATACTACGCCTTTCGACCAGCCGCAACACACAAGCAGTACACACGCGTCTGGAACGAATACATCGTTAAGGTGATGAAGAGCTCTTTCTTTGACAAGAACACTGCGAACCCCGACCTAGCTTGTCGAGTTTTGATTGCGTTGTTATGGAACTCAAGTAAGAGCACGAAGGTCTGGAATGAAAACCGAGCGCTTGAGAGCACTCCTGTCGAACCTGAAGAACTCCCCACCATCGACTGCAAGTGGGTTCGAGCCAGGAGTGCCGCTATCGTCGAAATGTTTCGCGTCCTCTTTCGATACAGCTCATGGGGAGCGTCTGGACAATCGGACAGAGCATACATTGCTGTAGCATGGAGTCATTTCCTGAAGGCAATTCGCGAAGCCAGCAGCAAGGAGATCAAACCTTCTTCCGAAACGAAGCAAGCCATTGCCACTGTGGTTGAGTTTCTGTCATCTTTGTGGCCGGAAAAAAGTTATAAACGAGGAAGTGCTCACGCATTGGATCATGCACTCAGCGATGCTCAACTCCGACAGATCACACGAAGCGCTCTGCAGGAGCTAGGTTGTGCGTCTCTGTTAGGCGCACTTGGGGCTCTCCAATCTGGAAATGGGAGACCTCAGGTTCTTTCCGTGGTCTTTGATTCCATCACTTCCGAGATGAGGAAAATGAAGGATCATGAAGGTAGCCGCCTGTGCACTCAACCCCCCAAAGCTGCGCTACAGACTTTGCCTGGACAATATCAGAAAGCCCTGGAATTGATCAACACGTGGACGATGGAGGAAATTCAATCGATAGAGAATCGCCAAGTTAACATGTTGGCCGAAACCATCGAAACCATCGTCCGCCTCCTTAACAGCATGCCTGAGCCAGAGCTTTTCCAGACTTGTCTCTCTTTGAGCACAACATTGGAGGTGCTACTAAAGGACGAGAAGCATTACTTTGACAATAGCCAGGCCTCTGATTTGACTCAACTATACCAAAACTTTTCCAAGGTGGTTGCAAGTGTGCTTATCAAATTCCCTCCAACAGAAGTTCTCACATTAGACGGAGTTTTCGCGGCCTTCTTTGAAACTACCAGTGACACTGTTCTGGAGAGAGCTGGGGTGATCTGGGATAGGTATCTTGCGGTGCATGACAACATTACACTAGGACCGCGTCTCTCGGATGCCGTCTACAGTCTCGCAGACCCCGAGTTGAAGTCATCAAGTGATACTAAGGGTTTAGAAGATAATAGGAATTGCATACCATCACCGTCACAAGCACCTGACATCACAAGAGCTCAATCCCCAGAAAGAGATGGACCTCCGAGTCGACAAAGAGCAGAAGTCATCTGCGGGCCGTCCCCCATTTTGGGTAGTCAGGGCTATCAACAAGTCGTGGCACGGCATCCAACAGCCCAGGCGAGCCCGACAAAGCCATCTTCCAGACCCCGGTCAAGACATGACGACTCTCAGATCAATTTTGTCCCGATCGAATCATCTCCTCCTGCAGACACCGAGTACGATTCTCAATCTCTTACCGCACACCAGAAGGAAGTTCGCGACAGACAACGTACGGAGCCAGCTGTGGTGTTCCCAGATTTGAGGTCCAGTCCAAGACCACAGAGTCGATCGCTGAATTATGGGGACTGCGAGTTTGCACGAAAGGCAGCTGCATTAGATGAACGACCAACAACACCCACGCTACCGGCAAACCATGACCAGGAACCAGAGATCATGGCTTCCCCTACTCCTCGAGCTCGACATTCCACCAAGAATATAAGTGATATCGAAGTACCTTCGTCGCCACCTTCAATGGGAGACCAAGCTGGTGATAACTCAGCGTCGCCCTTGCAGATACCCATAGAGGAAGACAATATGGCGGTTGATTTGATGTTGCAGCCGGAGGTCATCGACAAGCCATCAATTGTCGTTAAGGATCACGTCATGACTGATGAGTCTGCCGTCGAGGTTGCTTTCAAAAATATACCCAAGGGGTCTCCTGTACCTGATGCTCTTAAAACTGGACCACTTGATGCCGCTGAATCTCAGGCGTACCCTCCGTCCACTGTTGATGAAACACCAATACATGTGGACGGTGCAGGTCAACCAGTGATTGCCGGTCAAGCGAAGAACGGGGCGGATAGCGATGAAATCGACATGCTCAGTGCATCGCAACTCTCCCAAGATCTTGATCGGCATCTCAGTCAGGTTGTTGACGCAGGCCCTATGGAAACTATTGAGCTCTACAAACCTCAGCAAGAAGACAACACGGGGTCCGACAAGAAACAACGCAACACTCGTAAACGTAAGACTGTTGATTATACCCTCACAAAGACAAAGAGGAGGAAATCCAAAGCATCCTCTCAAGCATCCTCCGATGGGACAGAGAGCCAAGTTTCGTCCAATGCAGACCCGAATAATACCGATCTGCGCGACTGTATTGAAATTACACCTTCAGAGGAACCGGAGACCGGTTCTCGGGACGCCGTCGTTGAAGAACGACGGCCCGCCGTGTCAGCATCGCCACCTAAGACTCGTCGTGGAAAACACAGAAAGAGATCCCGGCTTTCTCGGTCACAAGAGTCTCGAAATTCGCAAGTCGAGGTTATTGTACCTGCGGCTACGTCAGCAGTGGCTGAAGTCAAGGAGGCAACGGCAACCGAAAATGCTGGAGTAGATGGCGGCTTGAAAGAAGCTCAAGTAGGGGAACATCACGACTTGGCAATGCCAGAGGCCGAAAATGTTGAAAAGGGTGATATCGTTGAGGAGGAATCGGAGCCTCTCTTGGCTCCTTTGCTGGAGATGGTTGACGAGTCAGCTCAGCAGTCTACTGAACCGAGCATCGTGTCATCATTGCAAGGCATCTTGGACCAACTCAAGTCTTCGAAGCCAAGTGAGGTTGATTTACGGATGGTCGATGATCTGTGCTTTCAAATTCGATTTCAAGCGCAAGTGGTTGCTCAACAGAAGGCGACTTGAATGCGGACGCACAGGAAGGCGATAATTAAGTCGATGATCTGGGATGTGAGCACTGTGAATGAGGGGGAGGATTGGTACGGTTTCATTGCATGGTAGACGATACGATATTAGAGTGTATCTTGTCATTGATCATTGAAGACACCTAAATTTCTTTCATTTCAGACGATGTAGCGAGCATGGTATCTGTACAATCGTTGATGTCTCGAGCCCGGAGATTTGGACGACGGCGAGTGCTAAACCCCGAGGCGGGAATGGTTTATGTCGTGCATCTCGGTCTCCATCTTTTCTCGCTCTCCGTTGCGCCAATTCCCAACCACAGTCACAATCCAGTCACCAACTTTACTACCTTCCCTCGAGTCATCCTGTCGATAGTTTTGTGCCATTGTCGCTCATTTCGGTCTCTGTTGATCTCCCTCTAGAGTGTATATCGACCGTTCCCTCGGCGTCCGATCGTGCATTTCCGTCAAACATGGCTGCGGCAGTCAAAGCTATCAATGCGAAGATTCGCGCCAACCCAGTCCTCGATTACTTTTGCTCAACACGTACGTCGTACTCATGTCTGCGCCCTTATTTTACTTTCACGCAAACGAATCCGTTGGGGAGAAGAGAGTAAAGATGTCTTTATCTCTCTCTACACCAGCGGAATATGGCCGAACAGACTCTGAAAGACTAGCTGACTGACCCTGACCTGTGTGACTCAACAGATTTCTGGGGACCAGCCTCAAACTTTGGTATCCCGGTCGCAGCAGTCCTGGACACGCAAAAGGACCCCGAGATGTACGTCTGATGTGTCCTCCGTTTTCTTTACCCTTTTTCCGAGTGCCTCCTCGGTGCGATGCGGTGCGGTGCGGTGCGGTGCGATGCGGTACGAAGACACCAAACGACATTGTAATAGTCGCGCAGGCACCTTTGTGGCTGCTGAAGAGATGGACACGTACAAGAAAGGGCCGCAACGCGCGTCTGTCAACGAAATCTGCTAACATACGGTCGTCGATCGATAGTATCTCTGGAACGTTCACGGGCGCGCTGACGATCTACTCTGCGACCTTTATGCGATACGCCCTCGCCGTCACGCCCAAGAACTACCTCCTCTTCGCATGCCACTTCGTCAACTTCAATGCGCAGTTGACGCAAGGGTACCGTTGGTACGATTACTGGTAGTACGTATACACCTTTTCGTTTTCTGTTTGTTTTCACCTTGTTGGAGGGGGAGGGCTGGGAATACACCGACATAAACTATGCGTACGCATCTGTTGTTCGGGCGAAGAGATGGCGGTTCAAATAAAGTACAAGAGCTACAGCCTTTGTGGATGGACAACTCGAAGGTGGCTAGTGTGGACTGTATGCCACCCAGTGGACCAGGAGCAGATGGTGATGATGGAGCAATTTTGCGTTGGAGACCAGCGACTGTTATGTCTGTTTGTTTGTCGCGTGTCTATTTACCCGAACCCGGAACGGTGTTTTGATCAAGATTGAGATGGGGGAAGCAAATACTGACAAAGATGACAGCCGAGGTGGTCAAGACCGATGGGCCCAGATCCGCGCCGAGCAGAAGAAACTCGCAGACACGACCGAGTCGATAGCTGAGTCGGCCAAGGACAAAGTCAGTGCCGCTGTTCAAGAAGCCAAGAAGACTGTTTCGTAAGGGACGTCGTCGTCGGATAGAATGGGAGAGGGTGTCGTGTGATGAATCGAATGGTGGGGCGAGTCCCATGTACTTATTTTTGTGATGTGCCCAAAGTCAACGGCGGTGGTATTCAGTGCCCTCTCGCAATGACAATTCTGGTGAGAGATCAATGGAGATGGTTGAACACTGCTGGGACTTGAAAAGGAATTACCACAGGACTGAATGCGCTGTGGTGGTTCAAGGAAAGGGAGTGATTTGCTTTTCTTGACTTGACGCCCATTGGGACTAGGTACATACAAAAAGAAGATTTCACAGGATTTTGATGAAACCCATCGACCAATAAATGCCTACATCGACAACCGTGGCATTGCCTCCTCCCCTTGAATCTTGACCATGAAACGAACAACATTGCAGTCACTTCTGAAAGATCAACAGTAGAGTATAATCAGGACTGACGCTACCCAGCAGTAGCACTAGCCACTGGTGTCAATGTGATGGCAGTTGTACATGCTCGTCCTTTCATGTCCCCTTTGTAAAACTGTTCCACATGCCCTGCAACATCCCGGGGGACCCGGGTGTCTGTTCGGCCCAGCTCGACTTGCGCTCGTCGGCGCCGCCGTTGCGCTTGTACGCGTGTAACCCTGCGAATTTGGTCTCGGAACTCGCGCTGGACTGTACATCACCGGCCCCCAGGGAAGCAGGAGGTTTTTAAGTTAGCCGTCCGCGGTGACTGGGACTGAATGGGTTAAAAAAAAAAAAGAAAAAGAAAGGGTGATCGAAGTGAGTGCAGATGCGCGGTGGTGGTGGTGCCGAGAGATACACACGACATTGTAGATTAGAAAACTTGGAGAAAAGGACTGCCGACAACACTCACCCTTCTTCTTCCTGCTGCTCCTGCACTGGCTGCCGGCCCTGTGGTTTCGGTAGATACCTTGTCGGTGGTGGTGGTGGTGGTGGTGGTGGTGGTGGTGCCACTTCCGTTTTCGTCTTTGAGAGACTGCTTTCCTGAAGTCCCGGACGAACCGGAGAGCGTACGTGGTTTGTACGCTGTCTGTTTCAAGAACATGGTCGATGTCGGAGTATTGATGTTTTTCGACGAGACTTTGTTGAAGAATTTGCTGGTGAAGGGGCCCAGAGAGAGGTGTCCAAGATCAAGTACTCGGTGCAGTAAAGGAGAAAGTATGCGGAGGTAGCAAAGAGAAGGCACCCGAAGTTTGTAACGACGAATGATAAAGGTAGAATGTAGGATGATGAATGAACCCGCTCAACTCAGCTAGACGTGAGGCTGGATTATATAAACGGGGAATACTACCCTTGAGTACCTGGACACTATTTCTTGCGGAGAGTGATGATATCAGTGGTCCTGATTGTACTCGTACTGTACCGGGCACATGTGAGAGTGAGAGGGCAAAGTCAAGACGTCTCTCTCCTTTGTTTGCGAGGCGATCTCGAACAATAATGTGGCTCTGCGTAGATCGAGAGAAATAGATCTGGCTGGGATAGACACGCAAGGGTTCAGGAGGGTAGATATAGATGGTGACGTAGTTGATAGCCCTGTGCGTGAAACTTTGTAGAAAGGGTCAAAACCACACGAGAGGTTAGAGTTGGAGGTAGAAGTCCTCGTCGTCGTGATATGGCCGTGCGAAAGAATCCTTGTAAGACTTGTGTTGTGGCTTTCGTGATGTCTGTGTGATGGTGAAAGAAGGAGGAGTAGGAGAGGTGAGACAGAGTAGGAAATGAAAGAGTCCCTTGTCCAACTCGCTGAAACATCAAGATAGGGCGGGTGATTCGCGTGTGGAATGTCAAAGTATCCTCGCTGGTAGATGAATAACTTACCACGAGCACACCCCCTCCTCGAGTACAATCAATTGCGTTAGCGATCCGAGCGATTCATCCTAAAGGAGGTTTGGTAACTGGCACCAGGCTCAATCGAGAGTGAGTATCTTCGAATGACAATCACAGACATGATGGCCTCGTTCACGCTATTCGTATTGTACAGTGGGAAGCAAAGCACAGACCATTAGGGCCTCCAATTGAACAAGACTCCGTATCAGGAGAGAGGTCAGCGTAGTTGGTGCAAGTGAGAAAAACTGTAGTTGTGCTGTAGGTTGAACCCCGCAAATCACTCAAGCTTTCCCAGGGGATCAATTGACAAGGGATCTGTAAGCGAACAAGTCAGCCATCTTGTCAAGTGGTCAAGGCAGGCTCCTCAGCACGGTATCGTCTGATTCGCCTATTGATTCTTCGGATAGTAATGGAATCGATCTGGTTGGGCTAAACAGTCACTTACGCGTACGAGGAGAAGTTCAAACGAAGGCAAGAGAGAGAGAAGTGCAATATTTCCAACCCCGCATAAACCTCAAGAAGCTGAAGGAGGAACATGTGAAGGACAACGCGACTACTACTGTTGGCGAATTGAGCGAGAATCGATGCCTAGAACCAAGTGTTAATATACAGATAACAAACTCCTGATGCCATTGATCAATCGACTTGACAAGCCGGTAGCCTACCGAGTAACACTGACTAAGGATACGAGTACTCATTTCACACTTGACCTTTCATACGTTCTTCTATTCGACCAGAATTCCCTCCTCATGCTTTCTGAATCTTGCAGACCAGATCAGATCCAGCAACTGAATCGCCTTCCTTGATCAGCAGCGATGCAACTTTGCCAGAATGGGGTGCACTGATAACCATTTCCATCTTCATGGCACTCAAGACTGCAATTGGATCTCCCTTCTTGACTTCATGTCCTTCCTTGGCCCGTACTTCAACCACAACACCGGCCATTGGTGCACCAACTTGGCTGCTATCAGCAGGATCCGCCTTGGGCCGGCTGGTGTTCTCGACCGCAGCTTTGGTGTCATCGATGAGGATCTGGCGAATTTCTCCGTTCACCTCGTAGAAGACTTCACGTTGGCCGGTTGCCTCCGAGAGGGGTCCAACAGCCAGCAATTTCAGGATCAGGACTTTCCCTTTTTCCAATTCAACGTGGAACTCCTCTCCGATCTCGGGTTTGTTCAAGAAGTACCTTGTAGGCAAAACGGATAGGTCGCCGTACTTATCGACGAACTTGCGATAGTCTTCAAAGACCTTTGGATACATGATGTAGCTGGCAACATCGGTCTCTGAAACAACTTGGTACTTCTCTTTGAGCGTCTTCTTTACTTCATCAAAGTCAACAGGATCAATGTACAGTCCAGGACGCTTGTCCATCTTTCTACGGCCGCGAAGAGCATCAGTTCGGAATGGTTCTGGGAAACCGCCGTACGGCTGTCCCATATAGCCTTCGAGGAACTCCAGAACAGATTCTGGGAAATCGAGATCTTTGGCTTTGGCTAGGACATCATCGTAGCTGAGCTTGTTGGAGACCATGAATTGGGCGAGATCGCCTACAACCTTGGACGTAGGCGTGACCTTGACAATGTCGCCAAGGAGAAGATTGGCTTGTTCGTAGGCTTTTTTCGTCTCAAGCCATTGGGTCCCGAGACCAAGTTGAGTGGCTTGGAAGATGAGATTAGTGAGCTGACCTCCTGGGATCTGATGCTCATAAACGTCTTCAAGAATTAGTATCTTCGACCTAAAACACGATTGATCTGTGCATACCTGGATCAGGACCTGTCAAACCTGCTTCAAATGGTGAATAAAGCAGCCGCAATTGCTGCCAATATTGGTCAAGAGCTCTGACATTGCGAACATCTAAGCCGGGATCATATTCGGTTCCTTCCAAGGATGCCAGAATGGCGCCGATGCTTGGTTGTGCTGTAGTGCCACTCATCGCGTCAGTGGCAGCGTCGACAGCGTCGGCACCAGCTTCCGCACAGGCCACCATGGATGCAACGCCAGTCCCGGCCGAATCTTGAAATCGTCAGCGGCTACTTCAGTAAGCGTGAAGCCGTGGAATTTACCATGCGTGTGGACGTGGATTGGAAGATCAGGGTAAGTCTTGCGAATCGCGCCGACGAGGAGACGCGCTGCCTTTGGTCGCAGTGTACCTGCCATGTCCTTGATACCAAGGACATCGATCTTCAAATCGACCAGCTTAGCAACGAAATCCAAATAGTACTCTAGGTTGTACTTTGTCTTCGGGTTCTGATGATTGTCAGCAAGCGAGACGAGGTAGGAAGAAAAGCAATCGCAAAAAGAGCAAAGATGCAGATGAATTCAAGGAGTTTAATGCAGAATGCGAACATGAACGAAACACCAATGACGACCTTGTATCGAGCGAAAGAAGGCGTCCAGATGCTCCAAAATTCCAGAATGATCAGAGCTCAGTTATGACGCTTCAAGTCAAGACGTTGAGAGAAGTGTGACCATCGTCACCAGGGCGTTGAACAGGATGTATCGGAATCGGGGAGTATGAGACCAAAGGCAGGGCTAAAGAATGTCTGGGGACGTCGATGTATGCGCCAGATGAAAGACCCTGGCGGTTAGGTTGGCTCGCCAAAAAGCTCGTAACCATATGATCCAAATCCATTCGGTGGTGCTTGGCTGGATGTATGAAGACCAAGTCTGTGAAAAAGGTCCGGTGTAGCTCTGAGTTCCGAAAAAGGGTATGCCGGAGCATAGGCCGACAACATGCAAATGAAACATAACGCAACAGAATACTTACCAACACTGTAGAATCGTCAGCAATGCTTCAGAGTGGAGGGCATCCCACTTACTGTCTCCACTGATACAAACTGTTCCTTCCGCTACACCTCCGGCCTCTTGCACTGCCTTGATTCCGACTGCAACTTGCTCGATATCGTTGAGAGCATCAAAAACTCGGAAGATATCAACACCGTTCTTCTTCGCTTGTTTTACAAAGTGGAACACCGAATTATCCGGCTGTGCGCGGTATGCCACGGCGTTGCTACCTCGCAGAAGCATCTGGAAAGGAATATTCGGAACCAGCTTCCTCAAGTTCCGTAGTCTCTGCCAGGGGTCTTCGAACAAGAAGCGATAGCTTACATCAAAAGTTGCGCCGCCCCAGCATTCGAGAGCGAAAGCGTTGCTCAAGGCGTAGCTGGTTTCGCGGGCAATGTTGCACATGTCGACGGTTCTCACCCGGGTGGCGAGGAGAGACTGATGGGCATCTCGCCAGGTCGTGTCCATAATAAGACAGCCCTTGTTTGCGCGGATAGCCTTGGCAAAGCCTGCAGGACCTTCTTTGTCGATGACATACTTCCAGCCCTTGGTGCAAGGTACCGTGACGTCGATTTCCTTTCCACTGGCATCCAGAATTTTCGGCATGATGATGTCGCCCTTGAATTTTGACTCTCCGATCTGACCTTTGATGCTGCTACCGTTCACGGCAAGGTCTCCAAGGTACTGTAGGAGTTTCTGAGCACGGTTCTGGCTGCCGATCAACTTGAAGAGCTCTGGGGTGTCGTCGATGAAGGTGGTCCAGCACGTGCCGTCAATGAAGACAGGATGGGTCAGGAGCGAAGCCAAGAAAGGGATGTTGGTCTTGACACCGCGAATGCGGAACTCGACGAGTGCTCGAAGCATCTTGCGACGTACGATCTCGTAGGTCGAGCCATGGCAGGTACATTTGACCAGCATGGAATCGTAGTGAGGGGTGATGATTGCACCAGCAAAGCCGTTACCGCCATCAAGACGCACACCGTTACCACCGGCTGATCGGTAGACTTCAATCTTGCCAATATCTGGGGAGAACCCGTTGGATGGGTCTTCGGTGGTGATTCGACACTGGATGGCAAAGCCGCGGGTAGAGATGCGGTCTTGAGTCAGACCAAGCTGTTCGAGAGTGGCGCCTGCGGCGATCTGGATCTGTGCTGCCACAACATCGATTCCTGTAATCTCTTCGGTGATGGTGTGCTCGACCTGGATTCTGGGGTTGATCTCGATAAAATAGTAGCGATTCTGTTGATCGACCAAGAACTCGGCCGTGCCTGCGTTACGGTAGTTGACTGACTTTGCAAGCTTGACGGCATCGTTGAGAATGGCGTCGCGGACCTCCGCTGGGAGATCCTTAGCGGGAGCAATCTCCACGACCTTCTGGTGTCGTCGTTGGACACTGCAGTCACGCTCGTACAAATGGACGACGTTTCCGTGGTTGTCACCCAGCAGTTGAACTTCAATATGCTTGGGCTTGTCTAGGAAACGCTCGACGAAGACAGTGCCGTTACCGAAAGCCGACTTCGCCTCGGAAGTGGCACGCTCAAAGGAGTCCTTCAAGCTCTCTTGGTCGCGGACGACTCGCATACCGCGGCCACCACCACCGAATGCGGCCTTGATGATGATTGGAAAGCCATACTGGTCAGTAAAGGCTTTGACTTCTTCGTATTTGGCGACTGGGCCCTCGGTACCAGGAACGCAAGGGACATCACATTTCATGGCCAGTTTTCTCGCAGAGACTTTGTCTCCGAGGGCGTCAATGACTTGGTAAGAAGGACCAACAAAGATAATGCCGGCCTCCTCGACTTTCCGCGCAAATTCGGCGTTCTCAGACAAGAAACCGTAGCCAGGATGGATCATTTGGACGCCATGGGCCTTGGCAATTTTGATGATCTCGTCGCCAGCCAGGTAGGCACCGACAGGAGTGTATTGGCCTCGTTTTCCAATCTGGTATGCCTCGTCCGCCTTTTGCCTGTGCATACCCAGCCTGTCCTCGTAGCTGAAGACTGCCACGGTTTGGAGGGACAGCTCATGCGCAGTTCGGAAGATTCGAATGGGGATTTCACCGCGGTTGGCGACCAGGAGCTTCTTGAGCTGCATGATGCTGGAGTTGGCTCTCAGCCGCTGGTGCACAGAGTGCTCGAGATGGTGAGCACCATCCTCGCGGTCGGGGGTTGCTGTACCGGGCGCCGCCATGGTCAAGGTTGAGGGAGCCTTGCTGCTGGCAGAGGCAGCTATCGGCAGAAGCTCCTTACGAGCTGTTGGGGGAGAGAAGTGCTCAGGACGGAGCCCACAAGCTTGAGCTGTCTGGCAAAGAGGAGGGAAGTATTGTAGGATAAAAAACGAACACAAGGGCGGATGGATCGGTCGGTGGATGGGGAGACGATAAAAGGAATGTTGGGTTTGTTTTGTCGACAGATGATGTCGACGTGGGGACCCGTCTCCGGATGACAGGAGGGAACAGGAGAGCTAGTTCAAGGCTACTGCAATAAGGATATATCTCAGATGGGGTTGGCCAGGAACAAGCCAGGAAAGCTATAGGGATGTAGCCCGCTTTCTGGTGGTGACTTTTTGATAAGCTGCAGGAAGAGAGGGGAAGAGATGGTGGAAGTGGGACAGGTGGACGGCGATGAGCAGGAGCCCTTCGGTGCTCTCTGTCCGGAGGGGCCGTGCCTTGTCCTCTTTGTTGCTCTACGAGCTACTCCTCTGCTCCTCTGCTCCTCTGCTCGTCCAATACACCGAACGACTTCGGATTCCGATCTTGGGAGCGGTATCGGGTTGATTTCGGTGCAGGGCTGGCTGCCTCTATACAGCCGAGGATGCCAGGCAGGGAGGGCGAGTGTGTTTCACAATCACAGTCCGTGATTCCCCTCTGGATCGGAGATGATTCATCTGCCTTACTCAATCCGACCACCAGGAATTATTCAATACCTGTAGCTAATGGCCCAGGATGGAGTGTGACGGGGAGCGATGCACAGCGCCGTGTTGTGTGGTGGGGTTCTTGCTGGGCTCTTCTTCACATGGCTCAACCCTTGCGAGGATCGTGAGATTTAGTTTCTCAGACAAGCCTTTTTTTCTTCTGTGCAATTTTTTTCACAGGAGTCATAATTGTGAATGGTCTGCATGCAACCGGGGTTGATTTCATTGCTTTTTGCTGGACGGAAAAGCCTCATCTGTCTCGTCGTCCTCTCTTATCGTTACCCTGTCCCCAAGACTGCAATAGACGTCACTCCATCACGTCACAATATTGATCCCAACAGCACCAAGAGATAAGGTCCTGACGGGCCACTCGTGTCGAATGAGTATTGCAGCTTGATGTTGGTCAAGGATTTCAAAGATTGATTGCCCTCTGCCGCATCGGCGGGCCTGGCAGTGGCAGCCTTTAGCCCACCAGATCTGGCATCCTCTACTCGATCACTAGGCCGATCTCACTTGGACCGATACGTCCAGTAGCGCATGACGAGGCCAATACCCAGGACTCTGGATTCCGGGCCTTGTATTCCCTCGGAGGTGGTACTAGTTAACTAACTACGCAGTACGGAGTGCGACAAGCACACACCCAAGTGACATCTCCGTCCTCGCGTTAATAAAAGGTCTTCATTCGCTTATCTCTCACAATTGATCAAGTAGAACTCTGAAATAATTTTGTTTTGACCACTACAGCGCCCGAGGCCGTGAATGGCAGCCACCGCGCCGCTCGTAGCAAGGCCTGAACTAGCTGAGCCTCCAATCCCCATGTACTCGTGCCATCTTACAATTGAACTTCCGTAAATAATGCAGAAAGTGATTATCTCCCGATGCCTCGTCGCCCACATCAATTACTCTCGTCCGGCACAGGAGATTTGCTGCCTCGTATGTATTGATCTTCTTCCGAATATTTGTCGCGCAGGCTCTCCAGGACCGCGTCGTGGCCTGCTCCGATACCACCCCGTCCCCACCAACACCGAATCTTCCCGACAGCTTCCCCGGATCACCATGGACTTCCTCCTTTAGAAGGCCCGAGGAAACCCGGTGGGCTGGGGTGTAATGCCGTTGGTAGCTGCATATCCTGTGGGTTGTGGTGCCATATTTGCTGGACCTTGTGTCAACATCAAACGGCTACCAATGATTGGTGTAGTGGCCTCGGTCTTCTGTTGACTGACTTCCCGCGACTTTCGTTCTTCGTTGTCCTTGCGAAGTTGCTCGATGGTCGCCGCCTGCTGACTCATGTAGCTGATCATGAATGGCATTGTGAAGTCGCTCAGTCCATGACGCCATGAAATCTCCATCACTACATGGTATGGGATTAAGTCGTAGCAAGCATAGAGCATGCCAACGTAGCACTCGCGGCTGCCAATGTCGACAAACTGGACAAGGTTAGCTCCGATTGAGTAGTTCCTGCATAGTGTCAAACTTACGTATCTTAGTAGGTCTTCTACCACTTCTGGCTTGCCCGAGATGGCGGCAGTTTCGATCGCATCGCGGAACAGCTTGTCCTGCTTGGAGAGTGCAATCGACTTCTCCCATCTCTTGTTCTTGCGGTAAATTTGTGCCGCGATTTGTCGGAAGAAGACGAGTTCGTGCTTTTCAAGACGCTGAGCGAGCTCGACCGCATCATAATTATCGTAGTTCTCCACTGAGTCCTTCAGAGTCTTGTAGTCCTCCTCTTCGATAAGGAGATCGTGGATGGCGTTATTGACAACACGCTTGTTTTGACCCTGTACATTGAGCAGGAATGGTTTGATAATGGGGATGTTATCCGACTTTTCAAACATACGCACAACCCGATTGACGTCAATGCGAGACGTCAGGGCTTGCAGCAAGTCGGTCAACAACAGTGGCTGCTCCTGGAGGTAGTGGTTCAGGGCCCGATAGTAGATTTCCAAGTTAGCCACCTTGACAATGATGTCTTTGAACGAATGATGTTCCCAAGCATCCGCGGCCCGTTCCATCATGGCCAACGCCGCGTTGTCCCATTCGTCGTAATGGCAGTAAAGGAAGATCAACTCCGGCCAGAGATGTGCCTCTTCGCAAGCACGAATCATCTTGGGGATGTTGATGCGCGACCAGAAGAGCTTGAGGTGCTCCATCACCCGCTCAGGGTGGTACTTGGAGAGAGCAATCCCAAGCTCGGTGAACATGCCCATGTGTGCTCGTTCTAAGCCAAGACCAGCTTCCAACAACGAAATGAGCTCCTCGAAATATCCTTCACGCTCATATTGCTTGACGAGGTCCTGGAGCTCTTCTGCATGGACGATGAGGTTGAGGCCACAGATTTGGGCAAGGCGGAATTCCTTCTTGGCCACACAAGCTTCATTGACCTGCTTCCAAACTTTGACGCTATTAGCACGTCGAGCACAGTCGACGGCATTTTGATATTCGCCGAGGTGTACAAGAGTGGTCGCCAGCTTCGACCAGTTGGAGATGCTGGTGTAGAAAATTTTGGCAGCCTCGTAGAGGCCTTCTTCGTAAGCCTTGTCACCGCATGCTTCGACATCCGCAACGTTCGTAGAACGCAAGAAGTCCTCAAGCTCGGGCAATTGATCAAGACGAGCGTAGCTGAAAGCCAGAGCGGTATCGATCGCTGGTTCTCGCTGAGTCTTCCGCGCCATCTTGAGAAATTTGATAAGATCCTCGTCTTTGCCAGCGTGGGTAGCGGTCTCGATGACTTCGTTGTAGTTGCTAGGATCATTGGCTTTGATGTATGACTCGATAGCATCGCTCACTCGCAGGCCATCGAGCTGTGCCTTTGCGACCTTGCTCCAGACTTCGGGGAGGTCAACCTGCTCGGCATACTCTTGAGCACGATCAATGCTGACAATATGATCAACGAGCACATTTGCAGCAGAAGTGTGGTCGTTGACTTTCTTGTAGATTTCAAGAGCCTCCTCATACAAGCCTTGCTGGATGCACATATTGGCAATCTCTTCAGTATTGAACTCGGACAAGCGGTGGATATAATCCATTAAGCGAGACTTATCTGCTTTGGCGGCCGTAAGCATGAGCAAATTCTGCAAGCTGCTGTTATCACTGAACGGAGATGGCTCTAAAATGATCTTCTCGAGCAGTTCGATGAGCTCGGCTGGAAGATCTGCATCCAAGAACGCTTTGACGGCGACCGAAACCTTGTCGGGCTCACTAGACTCAGGCACTGCTGTCGCAATGACCTGGTCAACAAGAGATCGTCGATGAACATTGTTTTCAGCAAGGACAAATCCCCAAATTTCTGGGTCGGCTCGTTCCAGCAGGTAGCGAGCCTGAGCCCGGAACATGGAGTTCTCGTTTGTGATATTGATGAGCTCAAGATCATTCTGCCCCTTTCGGTATGCGATGTAGGCAAGATTAGGATCCCGCTTTTCACAATATTTGCCGACGGTTAGCGTATCATAGAAGTCATTCTCTTTCAGAAATTTCTCCGGGTCATGGTTGCTGTCAATGTAGATCTTGGCCAAAGCATTGTAGACTGCAGGTTGTTGATTTCCCTGTGCCAAAGTTGACTCAAGGAATGGTAACAGAATTTTGAGTCGATTCTGGGACTCAACTTCAGCAACCAGCTCATCCATCGGCACAGCAGATGCGTCCACGGAGGACAACAAGTTCTTGATGACAGACTCTTCACAATCCAGGGCGAGTAGTGCACCGACCACAGCCGGCGTACGGGCTGGGTTCACACGCTGGACGTACACCTCGATAGACTTGTATTGTTGGTTGCGGTAGAGGTAATTGATCAAATCCTTCACAAAATTGAATCGGTCACAGACGATGATCAAAGGAAGTTGTTCCGCCAGTCGTGCCTCGATCAGGAAGTTCTTGACCTTCTCAGGATTGTAATGGTTGTTTTCTCGGCAGATTCTCTCGACTTCTTGGAATTGTTGCATGGCGACAGCAGCCTCAAGGTATTTGAAGACAACTTCACCGTCTTCGCTGAGATTGACAATGCTTCCAAGGTAATAGTAAAGACCTTCAGCAGTGCGGTGCTTTTCGAACAAAGAGATAAGCCTGCTCGAACCCAGAAGGTCGGAGTATTTAGTGGCTAGCTGAACCACGGCTGCTAGATTTTGGCGGATGTTGACCTTAAGCATTTCATCCATGCAATCGAGGGATTGTTCAACACTCATGCGGCCAAAGTACTGCTGGAGCCACTCAGGGTTGAGCTTGTCAGTCTGGACAATGATGCGCTTGATCGATTCCGTGTCATCTGTGTTCTCAAGAGCACGTTGAAGCAGGCCGGCCTGTTCACAGAGTCGAGAAATTCTAGTCTTGTCGTAGTACGAAAACATCTCGTTGCCGAGAATGGCATCTGCGACTTGCGGGGCGTTGAGCAGGTTCATTTCCAAAAGGCGCGTCTGAAGGTGACCTTGCTCGGGACGATTATCTTTCAGAGCATCGAGAAGAAAAGCAGTCGCTTGCTGAATCATATTCTGCGACATGAAGACATCAACAACTCTGTCAATGTCAACCAAGGGGCCCCCTTCGTTGTTAGCCAACTGAGTGGCAAATTCAGCACCCTTCTCAGGGTTTGCTCGAACAATGTGTTGGAGCAAGCTGGTGAAGTCTGGCTGGTACCCTGTTTCGCGGGAGTATGGCAAGATCTCTTCGAAACGGCCGGTTTCAGCAAGGGCTGCCACAACCTTGGGGGGAACATTGGACTCTCGGTAGATCTTCAGAGCCAGTTCCAAATCGTGTAGTCGAACAATATCACCCAACTCTTCTGACGATTCCAATTTGCCTTCGCTCATCCACTTGTCAAGCAAATTTTTACGGTTCTGAGCCAGGACAGGCTTGATCAACTCGACACTTTCGTACTTGTTGAGCTTGCCCTTGTCAAGCAATTTGCCGAAATATTGCAAGATGACCGATAGCTGTCCCGGCTGCTGAGGGACGTTCTTGAACCGATTGATCGTTTCGGCGGTTCTCAGGAAGCCTCGTGGAGAATCCGCAGCAATTTGCGCCGCCTCAGCATAGCTACCTTGAGAGAACAAGGTCTCAAACTGCTGTTGGTACAAGTTATCCGCTCCAGGAAGTCCGGCCCTCGAAGCCAACTTCACAGCCAGAGCGGAGTTTGCCGGATTCTGCAAGAGATATGGGATAATGGTATTCTCGTCGACACTCACAGATAAGACTTGGCCTTTTCGGTTGATTCCAACGATACCGGCGGACTCGGAGTCCGGGCAGGTGACGAAGATGGTCTCGCTTGAGATTCGGTTCATGAAGATGCATGTGGCAGTTTCCAAGTCGTAAAGGTGAATGAACCCATACTTTGTAATCATGTAAATGATGCTGTACTTCTTGGATACCTGCATGGCGACTGGGAAGTCGTTCACAGCCTCATCAGGGAAGTAGACATCAACCGCTCTCTTGTTGAAACGGGTATTGCTCTCGCTGGGATCAATTTCAACCACGTGCAACTTACCCTGGCCAGCAGCGTTGCGGACAGCGAAGGTGAAGAGCTTGTGTGGAAGCGGGTTGCCTTCAGCGTGGAAGGTACCGAAAGCTGCGGCATGACCCTCAATGTGTTGAGAAATGCCACGGTTTCGTGAATAAAGCTGCATTGTGCCTGCGACTCTTCCTTCTCTTTGGGAGATACCCACAATCACCATCCACTGCTCATCATCACTGACACGATAGTTGATAATCTGGCACCCGTTGAGGTTGGCATTTCTTTCGAATAGCTTGACGGGAGCGTTCTGGGTAGGGTCAAAAATATCCCAGTGGTAAACCGAGGTGTCAGTGACCAAGCCCAAGCTACTCTCGCTGTACCATTTCCAGAAGACGACGTCCTCGTTCATGATTGTAGACTTCAGCTTTGCCTTCGCGCCGAGATCGAAAACTTGAATCGTTCGGCCCTGGGCTTTGAGGGCCAGAATCTCGCGGGAGAAATGCATGATGGCACTGTCAGCGCTGATAGCGCGTTTGATGACTTCATTGTTGTTCTTGAGATTTACAATTATGACTTGAGGCTTGTCTTGTTCATTAAGTTTTTGTCGTACGCAAACAAAGTGATCCGATTCTAATGTCTGCAACACGCGTCAGCATACCCCGGTTCCCAGGCTTTGGCAAATTACTTACACAAGAGTTGAAGGATATTGACTGTTGCTGTTGTTGGAAAGAGATGTCAGTATGCCGCAACGTATCCCAGTTGAGAGCGAGCAAGGAGCGTCTACAGTACGAAGCAGGAGGATGTGCCCACTTACCGCTATCTCTAAGTTGGTCAACTACAAGACAGCGTTAGCATGACCGATATCGATGGAAGAGCTCGTCCAACATACCAGAGCAACCTCAGTAAACTTGATAGGAAGCGCCATGATTGCGACCGGCCCCCTGCGGCCACATGTACTCCCCAAACGAAGCAAACGACACGCAGGCCGACGGGTCGAGGATATTCAAGGCACAAAAGAGCGTGGTTGAGAACAAGAGAAGAAGCTAGACCACCGAGCCGTGACGAAGCGGAGGAAGAAAATGGAGAGGTCGTAGTCGTGGTGATGAGATTGTTCAATCGTGAGCTCCTGGAGACACCTTTTGGAAAGTGAACACCGGCGCAGATTACTATGGGGAAACGCTTGCTTGCCTGCCTGCGCTCTCTGACTGCCAAGGTACGTGACCCAGATCGGGAAAGAGGGTGATGCCGCCCTTAACCCAGGGCTTCGCGCGCGAGCCCCTGTCTCTAATTGGACCTGGTAGAGGCTGTGATACCAGCGCCGGCTTTGATACTTCTAGTTAATCAATTAATTCTATTCACGCCCGCTATCAACTGTAAGACGCTTCTGACGGCGGACTGAGAATAAGGGGACTGTTCAGCCTCTCACCAGCGGTCGCCTGCACTACGGAACCCGACGATAATCTACTATCGTGCCGGGAAAGGAACTTAAGCAGAGATACTGTTCATTTTCTTTCACTGGATCTTGATTGCGGAAGGGACAAGGGCATTTCAAAACGGGATCTCCACCGATGCACGTTCATGCCACATACTCGTGGTACCAAAGGACGACCAATTATTTATTTAACGGTTCAAATGCCCAGGACAAAGCCCTTGCAAACGTTCGGTCTCCATTGTGAGCGGCCTCAAGAGATTTTCGCAATCGTGCATGACCTTCCGGGCCCAGGTCGGTGAGGTACGATGTGTCACCTTGCTCAACAAATGACTGTGAGATAGCTGCTGTCATCTCCAGGTGACCTTGGAATGTCAATATTTGATTTGAGTCCAAGATCAAAATCTCTGCTCTCACGCCAAGCTGCTGAGATCCTTCAGGAATAACGGACACCACGCGCTTGTGAAATTTATGTAGCCGCTGCACCAAAGGTTAGTGGATCAAATCGTGGATATCGGAGATAGATAAGAAAGCAAATGGGACATACCAAAGCTTGCTGTCCCTCGAAAAACTCTCGCCCTCGTGGAGTTACAGGGATGTTTTCGACCGCGATCTACATCCCGTGTGGTCAGCTGAGGCTCTAATACATGGCTTACGGTAACCCCTTAGTACTGACCAATGTTCCGCCCTCTCGAAAAGCGACGGTGCCGCCAAATGCTCTCGATATGACTTGGTCACCCCAACAAGACCGATGACCCTGATATCGGGGAAGTTGACGCAGTCTTTGACCCAGTCCACGACCTTTGCGACCCATGGATCTAGGACAGCTTTTGAAAGATCCCAGGTACCCCCAGTCAGAATGACAAGATTGAAGTCCGATGTCTTGGGGAGATCTGCTCCCTCGATAGCTTCGTAGTGCCGTATATCTGCGTCCGGCGCAGAGATGAGGACCGATTCGGAAATCCGATTCAACATGTCAATTCTCCATTGCGATCGGTACTATAGTTCCTGATGGTAGCCACGCGCTGTGATGAAGGTAGTCTGGTAATCATGATGTTGTACTTTTGGGACAAAGAAATATCAGGAGACCAGAGTTGTCGGATACAATAACCTCTTCACAGTCCAGCAGCAGAGTTGGTATAAGAGACTGCCGAAGCCTCCAGTCGCCAGGACTTGAATGAACTTGCTAAAAACATTGCCGACATGATACCGCACGGTTTTCCGATACGGCTCCGACAGGCCCCACCGACGCCGACACCACCCCGACAAAGATTCATGGACTTTAAATGGCGTAAAGGGCCCTCTCAGACTGGTGAAGCATGTGTAACTTGGTTTCGATCGTGATCATGGCCCTGCCCTACAGGTGGTGGAAACTTCAATTTCTCAAAGACCCTGGTTTGCTATATTGCTTCCCCTGGGGTTCAGGTAATCTAAAGACGGCAGTCTACTCCCTGAGACAATAAAATTGTTTAAATTGACCTTGCACAGTGTAAATGCAATCTTTTACGCACCCTAGATCTCGAGAGACGCCACGTGGAGATTGATGCTTCCATTGATTTCATTCGAAAAGGGCGGTACTATTTGTCAAGACTTTCAAAGTTGAATGGCCACTGTACATCGTTCAAATGAGCCAAGTCAAATACAAAGGAGCTGTCCATATGGAACCCAGAGCCAGCTGTACTTGGCCTCGGCTCATGGACCATTGTTCTGACCAGCTCTACAATAATTTGGTGAACATTTCGTTACGCAGCCCTTCGAGGAGGCCTATCATCGTCTCGAATTGGTCGGACGGAAATGAGTCCAAAGAATCGTGACCAAACCAGTGAGTGCGGCAGATATCCAAAAGGGTTTGATAGGAGTCCCGGTATATCTGGGCGCTTTGCCACCGATCCACGAATTTCGAGAGAGTAACAAGACAGTCGTCCATCGCACAAGTCACTTCTGGTGATGTGAAATCGACAGAGCGTTGATGGTTTGGAGATGCCCAAAAACAGTAAAGAAGTGATATCCCCGTACGAAATTGGTAGAGAATCTTGCACAGAAATCGTCAGTAAGGGCCACCACAAAGATCAGGGAAGCCTCTGTGCTTACTGCTGTCCAATTAAATAGCCAAAGAACCCCTTCCTTTTCTCGCATCAGCTTGAATTTTCGACATGCGGGTGCTGCGGCGACAAGCATTGTGAGGAAACTGTCGACACCAGCGAAAGCTGATATGTCCTGGAAGAGAAGACACATGGTATAGCTGTAAACTTTGTGTATACAATTTGGACGGTACACTGCGAGAAGCAGTTCCTGGTCGGCAAGCGTACTCATTGTGTTTTGCTTCCATTCATCCGAATCGGCTTTCAGATCGTCCCGCCATTTGGCCTTAAATGGACGATCGAAGCACAGTTTGCGAGTGGATTCATGGAAGAATCGGATCTTGGCTTGCAGGCGACGCAACTGGAATAGATGCTCCAAGGGTGAAGGGACATCCAGCGACTGTGGGCCAACGTTACCAGTGCTGATGAATACCTTCGGACAATCGAGTTAATAGCGTTCAGATCACAAGCGGAAGCAGACAATTGTCAAAGCTTTAAACTTACATTGTCGTCCATCGAGCTTAGTTTCGCTGATTGAGGAGGATCCCATGCGAAGGAAATGATCTCATTCAAGTTGTAGCAACACATGATGGTGTCTCGTTTGACCTGTGGATTCTGGTCTTCCACCTCTGTCGTGATCGAGGGAAGGCTCAAAGAGACGGTACCCTGAGGTTCCTCGCGGGTGCCGCGTCGACTTCGATATCTGCGCAGCAGGACAATGCTTTCTCCAACAATTGGTAGACATCCTTGGCAGATTCGCTGTACATGGAGTGGAGCACCGACAAGAGAGATGCCTGCGTGCGAATGACAGGGCCGTGTTGCATCGTATCGCCGTGGAACTTCAAAAAAGCACTCGAAAAAAACATTCTTGATCGGGCGAGGCGAGGGCATCCTTCGCTGAAAGAACTGCAGACCAAGGCACCAATAGAGCTCACCACGTTTAATAAAAACTCTTTATATCGCCAGCTCAAATTCCGGCATGCCTTGCGTACCATAATCCACCTGCGAGCTGAGTCCTCATCCAGGAAGGGATAGATCTTATGGATATGCGCAAGGTAGACGTTTGCGTATAGTTCAAGGTGCCAATAGTCGCTAATACAGTACGGTCCTGGGAGGGCTGTAGTGTGTTGGATGGTGGAAGTTTTCGCTGGCCGACTTACGTCCTCCAGTAGTGTCATGTTCAGGTCCGATGGAAATTGCGTTGGGAATGCTCCGCTGCTGTTTAACATGAATCTCTTGGACAACCAACAGTGAACGGCTCCCTCAACTTACATGCACTCTTCGCACTGTATTGGTTTCCCGAACCCCGGTCTGCCATTCTGCCCGAGACCCGGGGTATTAATAGTGAAGCATAGCGAGTGTTGCGGCGAATCCGGCCGAGGAACTCCGGTCATCAGCGGAGGCGAACTCCCAAGCGACTTGAGAAACTGGTTCTGTATTCCTCCTATTCCGTACTTTTCCAGCTCTGATACCTTTTCTTCTAGCGAATCAAGGTATCTTCGTGGCACGATGATGGAGTCGTTCGAAGTCTGTGATTTACTTTGCGCACATTCTGCCCCCGCCTTGCGACACTGACTGCAAACAGGTCGAACATTGTCGCACTTCTTGCGATGACGACACCTAGAACACGCGAATCGCAGAGTCTTGACAACTTTACTGTCCATCCTCGCGATGTCTTGCGTCTTACATACCATCCATCGCGTGTTGATTGAGGGCTTTCATGAGACTGGCATCGAGGAAATCTGGCTCAGGCTTAAGACCTTCTCGACTATAACCTTCCGTCGGATACTCGGACCCAATGAGGTGCAAAGGCTGCGTCTGTAACCGCTGTTGGTCGGGCTTATCAGCGTGAGATAAGGAGTCAAAGCCCGACATGTTCGGGATAGTCTGTGACAGAATAGTCACGCATTTAAAGACGTCTTATCTTGGATCTGTGGAGGTGCTCCTGAGCATTTCCGTATCCAGCAGGTGGAGATCGGCCTTCCGGCAATGATGGGCCTCTAGCTGGCAATCGTTTCTCGGCTTCTATTGGTCGAGCAGGCGGCCCGGTATTTGCTTCCATGGGCGCAACTTAACGGTTCCACGGGTACTACAATAGGACAGGGCATATCTTGTAGTATTGTACAGTACGTGTAGTGAAGCAAGTAGCCGCTAGCGACGGCAAGACCCACTCACTGCTGCGGGTCTGATGCCACGCCGTTAACACTGACTCTCCTGGCCTAGCTAATATGCAACATCTGTCTCACTAGCAATGGCCAACTGCGGCGGGCATACGAAGAAGCTCACGGTCATGGGCGTTATTTTCATCGCGTACTGCGTTGCCAACATCATCGGTTCACAGGTGTTTCTCGCTCGCTCGGCCCCCAACTATTCCACTAGATACAACGCAATTTTGGGCTTCGAAGTCGCTGCCCTTTTATGCCTGTGTATTTACGGCGCCGGTTGCTGGTACGAAAACAGACATCGCGACCGCACAGAAGGCCCTCTGCCACCTGTGTCGGATGTTGACATGTTGGGAGATTTGACAGACAAGGAGAAGAGAGGTTTCCGATATATCTACTAAGCGCACAGCGACACAACCATTGCTCTCTGTTTCCACTGTGCGGCCGTCTCGACTGAATACTTCATAATGTGCCACTTTCAATTCTATGCTGTTAGAAGAAGAGATTTGCCCCCCTATGCGTCGTTTAGATCTTTACATGTCTTGTTATACATCTATCATTGTTTTACCTGTTTTACCTGTTTTACTCACTTCTCGACTGATTTGACAGTCGCTCTTTTTACTCATATCATGTATCCATCCCATAGCAGTCTTAAAAGGGCGTCTTGAAGCACGTAACTTGGACGGAAGCGGTTCAATTACCAGCCGGGTGCTTGTATGCTGTCTTTGTTGTCGTCGTTGTTGGATTGATCAAGCCTCCCGCTGTGATCTTAGCGTCGGGATCGGATATACTTGTTTCCGACTGCTACACTGGCTTGTATGCTTCTACGTACATATAGCAGCGATTTGCTATTTTTCAGTTCATCAATCAATTCTCTTCACGCCGCTACAACCACACAACTCTATCATCACGTGATCTCGTATTCGTACACCGTGCCTGCCGCCTTCGACCTTATCGGGGCCAGATTGCATGTGGCTTGTGGCTTCAAATAGTGCTATGGTTCCGTCATTAAAGTTTTGCCCATACTATGTGTGTATCTCTCAACCAGCTGTACCTGTCCACCATATTTAAGTTACCAACAATCTACGGAGTACTGAGTCCATCGTTCGTTCTACGACAAGTGATGAGAGCGTTTCTTGCACCTAGATATCTGAGTAGGCATACAGCATTGCCTCTGCGGCAGACACATCCGTCTTCATTGCGTTTCTACTCATCACCGCCAAACCCCAAACGACCTCCACCAGGTGGGCAAGGAGCGCAGCTAAGTTTCCTTCCCTTCCTTGGTCTGTTCCTCCTTAGTTCCGGCACATACATATTGCTTGTGAAGCGAAGAACCGGGCAACAAGTGAACGAGAATCGCCGAAAAGCTCACACCGAGAGCTGATCGAAGACCTGCTTCAAGATGGCAACGATCGATCCCACCTCAGGCACGTCCCCTGTGACTCAACCAGACCCTCCGCTGGCGTCCAGCAACGTCTCTCCTGTATTCGACCCTCAAAAGGTCACGGTTCTCTTCATCCTCGGCGGACCTGGCGCTGGCAAAGGCACACAATCCGCCAATTTGGTGCGGGATTTCGGATTTGTACACCTTTCGGCGGGGGATCTGCTGAGAGAAGAGCAAAATAACCCGGAAAGCAAATATGGGCAACTCATCAAGGACTACATCAAAGAAGGGCTCATCCTGCCAATGGAAGTTACGGTCAAGCTTCTGGAGAATGCAATGCGGGCAAACTTGCAAGATGACGGCGCAGGCAAATTCTTGATCGACGGATTCCCTCGCAAGATGGACCAAGCTGTCTTTTTCGAGCAAACTGTATGCCCTTCCAAATGTACAGTCTTCCTTGACTGCCCGGAGGAAGTGATGAGGGCGCGGTTGTTGAACAGAGGCAAGACGAGCGGCAGATCGGATGACAACGAAGAGAGCATTGTCAAGAGGTTCAAGACATTTGTCGAGACGAGCATGCCGGTGGTGGATCACTTTGCCCAGGAGGGTAGAGTGATCAAGGTATCTGCGGATGCGACAGTCGACGAGGTGTACGAGCGTCTCGTCAAGGCTCTAGAAGAAAAGGGCATCTCGCCAGCGCAGCCCGCCCCGGAGCAGAAGCACATGCCGACCGAAAGTTCATGACGCCCTAACGCGGCCAACGGCCCTCATCGCTGAAGAGGGCTTGTTCGATAGCATCCGATAAGCATGGTCATGGACTCTATATCCTTTTGCTCCTTCGTCCTTACAGCATCGCCGAAACCTAACTCATCTCCTGGGACGGTCACTACATGGCGGGAACACTCTAATGTTCTGCAGAATTGGTAGAGGTAATGATCTCAAGTCGAGACCAATAAATATCTTTCCACATTGTTATCTACCTCATGTTCAACTGCTGTCTCCGGAACTCTCTTCGCTTGAACTATCGAAGCCTCCGAATTCCTCTTCATCGTCTTCCATGTCATCCTCCATCTCTGTTGGTGGTTGCATCAGAAACGCTTTCATACAGGTAATCCTGCTGCTGGTCGCATATATCCCGATCACTTTGCCTAATTGTACTGGTTTGAGGCTCTTAGTCGCGTCCATCAGTTCGGGTGTAGGAACGTGTATTAGCCGGATTGTGCCGTCACTGCTTGCGGCGACGATAATCATGTCTCTCGCCGCCGGGGATGCATTATTAGGCAGAAGAATGATCTCGAAGTCTTTGATACGGGTACTAATGCCCGCAGACGTGCCACCTATCGAGGCATAGCAGATTGCATCTGGGATTGCACCATCATTCGACTTCTCTCCATTGGTCGTAGATGTAGCGTTGCTGGGGCCGTAGAACACCACCCTGCCATCTTCCGTCGAAGCTGCTAGTAGTGTTACTTTCTCGTCGGAAGCAGCAGTCAAGGTGAGATAACAGATCTGGTGCAGTTTCGTGAGAGGCTGAGGCAGAATTTTGCACCTCGGCTTGGAATCCTCGCCGAAGACGACGGCGCCGCGTTCAAACGACACGGCAAACTCGCTCCCATCAGGACTCCATTGTATCCGACGACCTTCGCCACTGCTGTACTTGCCCTCTTTCACGCTTTGTAGAATATCGCGGCTGAAGTTCAGGACACCGGCTTTCTTGCCAGTGACGAGGTTCCAGAGTCGCATACAGCGCTCGCCCCGACCCACGCTGACCATTAGCTTCATGCTGGGATGAACGGCGAAGTCGTTTATGCCTGCCGGGGTGGCTCCAGGAGGTGCTGTGTCGCCACTGGGTTGGCCTTGGACCTTTGGCCTTGGTGCTTTGATCGTCGAGACTACCTCGAGGTCACGCAGTCTCGTCACGGAGATGGTGTTGTCTTCTGAGCCGGCGAGCAGTTTCGATCTTGTTGGAAAGTAGAGGCACGTGATGTTGGATGAGTGCTGGAGCAATGTTCCTAGCTCTCTGTTTCTCGGGTTTTCTGAGATGGTGTTGTTCCCAAGCGTGGGCATAGGGATCTTGTCGTTCTCCGAGACCGGTGATACTGCAAGGCTGTACACATTGATCTTCTCGTCGGATCCACCCGTAGCGAGATAGACACCTTGGGCATCGGACAGGCCTGGCTCTGGTAGCGGTGAGAGTGCCAGACATCGTACAGCAGAAGCGTGTGCATTGAAGAGAAATGTGTCTGCAAATTGGACTGCTGCAGTTGAGTCTGACGCGGACAAATTTGATATCGAGGCGGTAACGCCGTGCAGGACTCGCTCGTAGGAGCCTGCTATGATCTGGATAACCGGTGCGGTTGTCTTGACATCGATGTGTCCATGTGTTTTGGGTACTTTTGAGGACTTTGGATCCCCATTCGGAGCAGGCTTAGACAGAGCAGAACCATTCGTGACAGATTTGCTGGTGCTGGAATCTGTCTCCCTTTTTCTTTTGCCCGCCATGTGAAATTTTCTTGAGCCGAAGTGAAAAACTAGGGTCGAAGGAAGATCTGCAATTTGGACACCGGAACACCAGAATGCTTCAGCGCACGAGTACGACCAGGCCAAGTCGTAAGAGGAGGCACGAGCGTGGACCGACGGCTCAAAGCAAGATCCTGTTCGCACGGATGGGAGAGGACCTGGTTGAAAGAGTGATATTGGAGGTTTGCCTGTCCAACTAGCGGCAACGCCTATCAGAAAAATTTTGGCTTATGGATGAAGTGAGGATGGAGTAAGGCTCACTAACTAGGTTCACTAGGCGAGGATTATTGGGCAGGGAGAGGCACCAAAGAGAGGCACCAGGGAGGGCACCTAAGCATCCCTGGGTAGGGCTAGTGGTGAGGGATGTCGCTGTAATAGCGCCAGTTGCGCAGAATGCCCAGTAGTCCCTGGTCCCGGTGGCCTCTCGCTCGTCCCCCCCCTTGCCCGTACTTTGACCTCATGCAGCCTCCAACTCCCTCCATTCTCGCTGCCCGCCTGCGCCTGCACTGACTCGCTGTGCTCCCAAACAACATCTCATTTGGACACATCCTCCAGCCAGCTCGCCATCTTCAACAGCCTCAAATCCACCACAACGCGCCCAAACAATTCAATTCGAGACGATCATTCATCTCCAGCTACTCTCAACTGAGTCTCCTCCAATTTTCAGCAATTAATTCGATGACTTTCAACCGCTGCTGTGACTGATGCAATGCACGTCGAGCAGTTGCGCTCGAAAAAGTCTGAAGCACAGTCAGTAAACCTTTTTTGAAGCGATCCATGTGATTCCACGTCTTTCAAGGACCATGCTGATATATTATGGTGAATTATAGAAGATGTTTGTGGTCGAGGAAGCGAAAGTTGTCTGAACTCTTCTCTGTCGCCGCGTATCCTCTCCTGCCCGAGGACCCGGCGTACAACCAAAAGTTACAGGCTTTCCAAGATGCAAATGACCTAGAAAGGTACACTTCCCGTGTCGCTTCCCTGTTTCAAAAGTTACTCTGGCGACTGCAGCAAATATGCTGCCTATCTCGCTTGCTTTGGCTCACTCTTCTGCAGCGGTCGACTCTTCAATGAAGCGACACTCCCACCGAGAACCCATATAACCCTTCTATCTCGACAGACGAAACTCTCAGCTCCTGTCACGACAGTAGTTTCGATCGGCAGCCCTCTCTCACAACAATCTTCCCTTCCTAAGAGCAATCTCTCGTCGCCGTCACGTCCTAAAGATGGCAACAAGGCTACGATCGCAGAACCACCAACACTCCTCCGGGAAGAAGTCGATCAAGAGGCCCATACTGCACCGCAGCAAACAGTAGATGGAGGAGATGATAGTCTTACTAAACCAGAGCAGAGTTCTGCGGTAGCAGTACCGCAACAAGAAGCGCCTGCCCTCGGAATCAAAGAGTCTATTGTCAATGGATCGTCCAAGTCGCCTACGCCGGTACCGCGTCCAAGACCGCCTGAAGAGGGGACAAACGCCTCTTCTGCGGAAACCAATGATGCTGCAAGAGACGGAACTCCCACTGTCGCGACACTCGAGCCTCCCATTGAGCAAGGGCGCAGTCGAAGCCCTCCAGTCCTCGCGCCTATTCCTCCTGTCGCCGAACCGCAATCCTCCCCAGCGTCAACAAATGGACCGGAGTCTGCTATCACGCCTGCTCCAACGGCAGGCTCACCCGGCACGAGCCCCGGCGTGGATCTCCACCCAAGTACAGCAGATGCACCTCAGCAACGGAAAGAGGGTCATGGTTTCCGCACGGATTCGGAGCGATCACCACTAAATAATGGTGACATGGACCAGCAGACAGTATCTCTAGAATCTGCTGCCAATGCAGACACGAGCGAATCGATCGCGGAGGACGGTACCGTGTCCAAGAAACCAAGCGTGCGTGTCGATACTACCGATGTCGAATCCTATTTTAAACCACGACCGAATACCGGAATAGTGGAAAGTCCTGCTCAGATGACTGCTGCTGGTACACCGAAACGTGGACTTTCAACCACCCCGTCGGGACCCGAACCTCCAAAGCGTGCGACCAGAATATCTTCCGGGGTATTGCAGAAGAAATCCGTATCGGAAATCCTTGGTGAAACCCCCAAAGCAACCACACCCCAAGGCGATTCTCCACAATCAACGACGCACCGTGACTCATTTGGCATGTCAACTTCGGATCCCCGAATTGGTGACCGTCGCGATAGAGAACGAAGCCGGCTGTCAACCGTGGTTTTCGCTAAGCCACCGAAGTCATCTGCTGACGATGGGCGGCTTGCATTGGAGCGTCTTGACAACCGTGAAACGCCAAAGAATGCTCCGAAGGACAGAGATTATCTGTATACGCTATTTGAGAACAAGGCCCATTCTATGTCACGGCAGACGTCTATGACTTATCTTATCCAAAACGCTCACAAGACTTTAACCACAACCGATCATCTCGTCGAATATGAGTTGTCGGCTGAATGCAGAATCCTGAAGCGCCTGTATCAGCTACAAGAAAAACAACGATGGGCCTTGAGACAATACAAACGAGCAGATGAAGCTCCAAGGCCCACCTCCCACTGGGACTACTTGTTGGATCACATGAAATGGATGCGGACAGACTTTAGGGAAGAGCGAAAATGGAAACTCGCCGCCGCGCGAAGTCTTGCAGAAAGCTGTGCGGAGTGGGTGGCTAGTTCACCTGAGGAGCGTTCTCGCCTGCAGGTAAAGGTTCGACCACCAAAGATCTTGAACAAGCAAGAAGAGCCTGAGGATGTCGACATGGAGGATCTTCCAATCCCTGACGCTTCTTCACATCCAACTCCGGAGTTGATGCCCTCAAATGAGGATGACTCCATCAGCGATGATATTGCAGATCTTCGAGATCTCCCAATGACCGTGGCCCCCGCTGCTCTCTTTTCTCTTGGTTCTTCCGAATTCAACTTCCCTGTCGATCATACACCTGCTTTGGACAAGCTTCTGAATGAGCTGCCTTTGTATCGGCCATCGGCCATCGAATTTGAGGTTGCGAAGTCGAACCTAGCCGAGCGCCTGGACGCGAAATGGAAGACGGATATCGTACCTGTGTCGAGGTGGGCCACCGAGAAGTTACCAGTCAAAGACTACCGACCGCCTATTAAACGGAGTCGATATGAGTACGAGCTCGAAATGTCGCCAAAGAAGAAATCTGCGCCTCTTCCAGCTGAGGATAGTAACGTCGCGTTGTTCATGCCAGAGAACAAGCCCATAAGGGACAGGATCCATCCTGGCCATTCGTTCCGTCCTCCATCAGAGCATCCTATGCCCACTCAAGCATTCTTCGAGACCAGGAGTTCTTCTCAGTGGACTCACGCAGAGGACGACGAGCTTAGGAAACTTGTTAAAGATTATTCGTACAACTGGTCGCTGATCTCAAGTTGTCTAACTCCTCGGGGTTCGTACACGTCAGGAGCTGATCGTAGAACTCCTTGGGAATGCTTTGAGAGATGGATTGGTCTGGAGGGCCTTCCTGCAGACATGTCCAAAACTGCCTACTTCAAAACCTATTCCGGCAGGATTGAGGCTGCTGGTAGGCATGTGGCGGCACAAATCGAGGAAGCCCAACGAAGAGCGGGGGCGAATGTACAGATTCCTGTCAGAAAGAGGACGACTCAGCCAGTCCGTGTCGAACGAAAACGGACACAACGACATCTCGCGATGCTCGACGCTATGCGCAAATTGGCCAAGAAACGCGAAGCTGCCCTCCAAAAGCAGCAACACCAGGCCGACCTTGCTGCAATGCGCAAAGTCAATGATGCAAATGTTCCCAAGCCATCTTATAAAACTCCAGCTGAATTTTCGCAACTCAAGCAGGAACGGGAAGCGAAGATAGCAGAACGACAGGAGATATACCGACAGCAGCTAATTGCCCACCAACGTGCTACCGCTCAACAGCAGCGGAGCCAGAATTCTCAGCCCAACACCATGCCAAATGGTATGCCTCCTGGCGCCCCCAATATGCGTGGACCTCCTTCCGCTGGCGGTATGCCCGCAATACCAAACGGCGGTATGCAGGTGCCAAACGGTCAACCTCGCCACCCTATGCTTGCAATGCAGCAGAATATGCAGTTGGCTCCTGGCATGGTCGGACCGAAGCTCACACCACAGATGCAGGCCCAGATGCAAGCACAAATGGCGGCCCGTGGAGCTGCGACCTCTCCACAACAAATGCGTATACTTCAGGAAGCAAGCCGTGTTCAGCAGGAGCAGTTGATGCGACAAGCACAACAGGCACAGAACGGCGCACATTCGTCGCCTAACAACACGAATGCTGCTCTAGCGGCTGGAAAAGGTATCAACAATGCGGCTTATATGGCTGCGATGGGCAGTGCCAATGGCGTGGGGTCTCCGGCCAATATGAGCCATGCATCCGCATCACCTCGTCCTGCGACCGCTAACTCCGGTCAAGCTTTGTCAAGTGGCCACATTCCTGTCCTCACGCAGATCGCGAATAAGATTCGCGAACATCACCCGAATCTTTCAGATGACGATGTTAACCGCCTTGCTTCACAACAGATCACCCAGTATCAGCAACAGGCTACCGCTGCTGCGGCAGGACAGGCGCAAAAAAGGCATCAGCCTCACAATCAAGCAGCCTTGAATGCTGCCATTGGTGCTGTCAACGCTGGCAACCATGCCTCGAATGCAGCCGCTGCGGCAGCAGCTGCTGCTCAATTCGGACAGTCGATGATGACCCAGGAACAAATCCAACAGTACAATCAGCGGATGCGCATGCAGCAGGCACAGCAACACGGGGTCAGAGGCATGCAGGGTCAAATGCAACCAGGCATGATTCCCAATGGAATGAGCAACTCTCCTGTGATGAACATGGCTCGGCCGGTCAGTCAACACACAAACCAGGGACAGATGAGCCGGAGTGCAACTCCGAGGGATCAGCGCGGCAGCAGCCAGAGCAACATTAACGTCAACGGCGCTGGTGGCGGCGCAGGATCTGGCGCTCAAGGAAGCCCACGTCCGGCGCCAGCACAACAAACTTGAGCGAAATAGTTCAATTGATCTTCTTGAGGCCTGTTTAGACAGACCTCCCAATGTACAAAAAAGAACTTGAAAGTTTCGATGCGGTCGTGAGAAACGAAAGAATACCTGGCTATATAGTGTGGAGTTCAAATTTGATGTGAGCTACTTGAGCACAGAATAGGGAACAGAGCAGCAAACCGGCACGAAGCTTCAGAACTGCTGTGCCCTTTTGATTCTGAAAAGAGAGGGCGACAGATTCGCAGTGATAATTTTAACGTTCTTCTCCGTTCAATCATCTTGTATCGGATATCATATCTATTTTATTGCGGTACGATAGTGGTGCTGGCTGATGCTGCGTGGATGAGTGATCCTGGGACGGCCAGGGGTGTCATAAGGGTAAGCCCCGGTGTACATGGTTCGTGCGTGCGTCAGTCATGGAGTGAGAAAGAACATGGACTTTCTTGTCTCAAAGCCTTTGTTGATGCGTACCCGAAGGAGCGAGGTCACTCCGACGTATCTTTAGTGCACAACATTTGCCTGCCCACCTTCGCGTGATTCCACGGGACGCCATGTGCCTCTTTTTAACACAACCGTTCGAAGCTCCGCGCGAAGCCCACGCCATTGACATATGCAGCACTGCCGACGGGCACGGCGAAAGATTCCTAGTCTCCACCACCCACGGCCTCGACCTCCCTGGGACCCTGTTGGTCACGGTGTTGGCCGCCTCGGCCACCGCCACGACCACCACCGCCCTGCCGTCTCTGTCTGTCACCGCCGCCTCTTTGCGCATGGCCCTCGCCATCTCCAAATCCGTTCATGCCAGAGTCGCCGCCGCCAGGTCCCTCGCGAGCGAAGCGTTCCTTCTCGGCCTTCACCACGGTCAGGACGCTCTCGAGACTGCGACGCCAAACCATCAGGCGTCCTTGGATCTCCGCCCACTGCTTCTCTCCGAAAACACGGTAGGTTGCGCGCTGGACGAGGAATTCTTGCTTGAGCTGACTCAGCTTGCCCTCGACGAGACCGGTACGGATGGCATCAATCACCCACATTTCCACATCCTCGCTCGGGACTTGGAGAGCTGACGCAATTGTGGAGTATGGCACGGAGCGAGTTGTCGAGGAGGCAGCGATGCTGGCAAGAGTCAGGAGGCGAATCTTGTTGGTCAGGGCCTCAGCGCTCTCTTCCGGAATGCCCAGCGACGCCAAGTCATTTGTCTCGAGGAAATCGGTGTATGAGGAGTAGTCATCCGAGGAGAAGATCTCGAGAAGTTCGAAAAGGTTGTTGTCCGACTTTCGAATCGCCTGGATGGCATCGTTGACGGTCAGCGGGGTGAAGTCTGTCACGTTCGGGTTGATGAGAGCGGTTCTCAGCGTGCGTTTGGCGAGATCTAGGGCTTCTTGCTCGGCCGACGACTCGGGTGGGATGGTCTCGAGCGCATCGAGCAGATATTTGTAATGCAGATCATCGTGGCCAGTCTCAGATGCCACGTCGGCCACGGTCAGGTACAGGGTACGGGCGTCCTCGTCGTCCAGTTGCCAAGTTGATAGCCAAGTCGGAATATTCGTCTCCAATTGCGGTATTAAGGCCTCGAATATCTGTGCAGAGGCGGAGGATTTGATGACTTTCAATACAGCAAGGAAAACGTGATAACGGGCGTCACTGGCAAGAGGAAGAACGTTGAATATGGTCGTAAGGGTTTGGAGGGCGAGAGAGGAGCCGAAGGTAGGAGAGGATGTAAGGGGCTGCTCGGACAGATACTGGCATATCCGCGCGAAGAATTGTTCGGAATTTCGTGACTGGAGCGAGAGGCTGATGAGGAGGTTATAGGCTGCGGTGAATTCTGTAGGGATGTCATTATCTATGCAGCATCAGTTGACCGGGGCGAGATGTCCATACCTCGTTCAGGAGCAGAATTCAGGATCGAGGCCTTTGTTACAATCTTTTTCAGCACTTCATCTTTTTGCTGTTGTACCGACGCCTCGTCCACAGACTCTTGCGATTGTTCTGCCTCGCGAATTTGGTGTAGGTATTGCGCAACGTCCGCTTGGACGCCCGCTCCTTCGTCGGATTTCGCGAGGGTGTCGAGGTACTGCGCCAACTCCTCTGCAAGCTCGGAGAACGATCCTTCGATCAACAGGGTGTTTGAAGGGCCCGGCATGACGACGGTATTGTAGCTGAGACGATATTGACGAGGACGGTGTTGGTAGTCTCGTTTATTGCCTGCGCCTGCGCTGCCGTCGACGCTTTGCTGCTGTGGGAGAAACTTCAAAATCGTGGAAATCTTGGCATCGGTGCTTACATAACCACGAACTCGGCGCTGGTCCACATTTTGCTACAGTACGAGGAGTCCGAGAGCAGTGAAATCTTGTGAACGTGCGCTGTCTGCGCTTCAGCAGTACTAGATGTCCCGCGTGTCAAGTTGGAAATTTCCAATCAGATGGTACGCGCGGTGAATCTCAGTGCTGCACCGGGACATGCACAGGCTTCCTACCCATCTCATCTTCTATGAACACCCCCAGCCCGGCAAAAGCCCGCCAAAGACACTCGTCCATGTATTGATGAAAGTCGTATCCAGCGGCAGACATAGCTTCCGCAGGTTTTCCCTTTGCACGGCTAATATAGCTCTCCTTGACTTGATAGTAGTCTCTCGTCCGTGGCATGCCCATGAATGGATCGTAAGGCGCCTTGGGTTGGGGCGCGATCACCGGCTTCAAGCCCTTGATTAAGCCACTTGGATCTGCGGCATCCTTAGGCACATTCTGTCGTTTCACTGGTCTTGTCGTTCCAGGATCATTTGTGGTTTCGTTGGTATCCGTTTTGATACCATTTGCGATGGCATAGTCCTTCAGCTTTCGTCTTGTAGCTTGGACGTCGATCTTGAGGACTAGGTTCATGATGAGCTCTTCTTTCAGTTCGAGATAATCATCGTAGTCTCTTTTTGTTTCAAATTCCTCTTCCCGACGGTCGAGACTAGTGTCAAAAATTAGACAGGGTCCTCAAAGTGACGAAGGAATGAAAAACATACGTCTTGCCCACATTCTTCCGAATTTCCACTTCGCGCTCGATCTTGAGATCTTCAAAAGTCTGTGGTCGCCATTCTCGTTTCCAGAGATTCACATGGCACCCTGCTACGGGGCATTCGGCTTTGCCACTGGAGAAGTTTCGATCTACACAACCTTCACATATTCGGTGATAGCATTTCGTGTTGATCTTGAACCGCAGTCCGGGATGTGTACGAGGGTCACTGCCACAAACAGGACATTTGTTCGCTCCTAGGAGTAGATCATCAGCTACAGAGATTTCCCTCATGATTGTGTAGAGCCCATAGATTCTGCTTACCAATAGAATCTTCGTCGTCCATCATGTCAGCCCTTCGCTAAGATTCAGGGAGGGGCACAAAGGGAGGCAAGGTGCTCGAAGGTGAGGCCATCAGAGTGCATGCATAAGCATTATCCAGTATCACACAATTCGCGATATACGAATGCTGATGAGCTGGGGTGATGGAATGTTGATCACAATGTCACCGAGATGGCCTCGCAAGGCTGAGCAAAGTATGTGGTTGCGGCCTGATTTCAAATGACATTCTTTTTCGAAGGTGGCGTTGTCTTTTCATCTGCACTGATTAAAATTCCAGCCTCATGTTTCTTTACAATTCCACGAGAGTACAACACTAAGAGCACTATCCGGTATCTAAACGTTGACACAAAGCGCGTACTCAGAGGTATATTTGTCCCACACAATGGACGAATCTGCTTTGTCACGTATCGAGCAGCAAAGGACGGAACTTGAGGCCAACATTGCTAAACTCCGGACATCGCTTCGACACTGGCAAACCCTGGAAATAGATTACGAGAGTCTGAAGGAGGAATTTTTCGGCTTGTCAGAGGATTCTACGGTCGAAAAGTGTTTAGAAGCCGCTCGAGATGCGAAGCTGGAATTGATCGACGAGAACGAGATTCACACGCTTCTCAAAGATAATCACGGCAATCCTCGCCAGCCTTCTCAGCTAGTGGGCCTCCTATCAAAGCGCATTGAATATGTCGATCGAAATGTTCAAACGGTTCGAAAACAGCTGTCCGACGCTGAAAAGCGAAGAAACGCCCTGTTACTTGCGGAGGAACCTGATCACCGAGATGATGCCGGACTGCCGTTGGCCGAGATCACTGAAGAATTAGATGAATCAGGACAGGTAGTGTCAGGAAAGGTCGATATGCCTGGGTCAAGCGCACCACAATTGCTGGACGTATTGAAGAAAGCAGGCGTAACAGAATTGAAGGAAACAGACGGCACTATTACTCATGCCGAGGCGACGGGCCCTTCTCAAGCTGACCGTGTGGGTGCTGAGGAAGGTGAACAAAACGAATCTGCGGTTGTCGCACCGGCTGCCGATACGTCGCAGACAGTCAACGTGCCTATTAACACCGACGATACCGAAGAAGAAGCTCAACTGCGTAGGGAAATGTTGGAGTATTCTCGAGGGATGGATGAAGTTGGCGCCATCGTGGCTGAACTCGATCTCGAAGATGATGGCTCAGACATCTCCTACGATGATCAAGATGACACGTTCGAGCTCGACTCTGATATGGAGTATGACGACGATGACTTCGAAGACAATGAGTCCGAAGACGACAATGGGAAGAGCAGGAATCGTTTGACCGTACCGAGGGCCTATCGGAAAAAGATGGAGGAGCTACAGGAAAAGCTTGGCTTGAAGAACGTAGGACCAGGCTCTGAAATTCCCGGTCTCGATGAACAATCACGGCCATCCGCCGCTGAAGCTGCAAGGAAAGCAGCCCTTGCACGGCATGACCAGTCAACGAAGAGCAACCTAAAGTCCAGTGTGAAGCAGGACGACACATTAGCAAAACCCAAAGTAAGCAAGAAGAAGGTCGCATTCTCATCCGAGTTAGATATAGCACCTTCTGAGCCCTCAATCTCGACACGCTCGAACCCTGAAACGTCGCGGCAAGAATCAACGAGCACTTCTGCTGGAAGACCAATTACTGATTCTGTGGTTGAGAGACAACCACAGGCCGAAGACGCAACTGGCCCCGATAGTGCACCAATCCCCCCCAGAAAACAATCACGTTTCAAGAGTGCACGACAGGCGCAGCCTCCAGCACCCTTACCTGCGGCCCCCAGGGCAGCGCTTTCGGAAAATGCTGAAGCTCAAAGCAACAAATCAGATCATCACCCTCCTCCGTCTGTGATCATATCGAGGGACCTTGTTGAACGACCGTCGCCCAAGACGACCCATGCGCCTGACCCAAATGATTTCTCAGAAGAAAGCCACCGACGTGAGATCGCGATGGAGTATCAAAAACATCGCATGAAGCGAATACACGCCCAAGACCGAGCCTTCGTTGGAGATGGCGAAGACGACAATTACGGTGAAATGATCACTTCCGGTAAAGGCAGAGGGCAGGAAGGCGCCACTGGTGGAAGGGTTAGTCGATTCAAGGCAGCGAGACTTAATCGGTAGGAGTTGATGCTCATACATCCCGGCGACAAAACATTTGGGCACATGGTTCGGTATGTACAAAATCCAATTCTGAAGCGAAGTTTCTCGGAAAGCACATCGGCACATCAAATTATGCGGGTCTACACGAGAATAATTTTGACAGTTCGAGGCTCGTCGCATTGTCTTTGTTATTGCTGGAGCTGCTGTTGGTCGCTCTATGCGTCCAAGGAAGTTTGCAGTTCATCCCATCTGAATCTTCCTCTCCGGCTGGCTCCCAGATGAAATTTCGTTGGGCTCTCTGACGCCTCCTCCGTTGCTATGGACACGGCGATTCGTTTCACCCTACACAGTTGGTATTTCTTTGCGTAGTTCCGTGGTTCATCAGTGCGACTGACCCTGTTTACTTCGATCTCACCGCTAGACTTGTTTGCTTCGTACATTGGGAGCGTGTACGAAAGATGACATGCTGACACTATCTCCGCACAATCGAGGTACCATGTGTGCCACGAGGCGATTACTAATTTCCATTTGTACCATAACGAGATGCATCACCAAAGCACAAGTCGGCGAAGAGCTTTGGGGCTGCTGAGAGTCTGTACCTCTGCTTCTGGCTTCTGTTTCTCTTCCACCGTCCTCGACGCCGTTGTCTCCCCTCAGCGACTCCTTCTAGCTGCATTGGGTGTAAATTGTGACTAACGCCGGCTCCGAAAGCCCACAGGCCCCGCCGCTCCCCGGGCCCATATAATCCTCACCATTTTCCTTGTTCTTTTCTTCTTCAGGCATCTACCCTCTGAGTCTACCTTACACCCTTTGTGCGATACAGGACAGACAGTGTCGGGTCAGCATGGACGCAAAAGGACGCGAATTGGATGTGATAACCCCATCAGTGCGCGCACAAGATGTGCCCATTGAAGCCTGTCCCGTCGACCGCCCTTCGACCATGGACGACACTGTGGTCCCGATCAAACATCGAAGCAGACTCCGCATCACCATGATCCTGACTGCTCTATACCTGTCTCTTTTTGTTGCTGCACTGGACGCTACCATCGTTGCGACTGCGCTCCCCAAAATCACGGCCGACCTGCACTCTGCAGCCGGCTACGTCTGGATCGGGGGAGCTTACCTGATTGCCAATGCCGCGGCTTCTCCTATCTGGGTGAAGTTTTCAGATATCTGGGGTCGGAAGCCGATATTCCTTGTAGCTCTGGTCGTCTTCTTTGCCAGCTCGATCATCTGTGCTGCAGCGGTTGACATGCAGATGCTTATTGTTGGCCGCAGCTTTCAAGGTGCCGCAGGTGGCGGTCTCATATGCATGGTCAACGTCGGAATTTCGGATCTATTCAGCGTACGCGAGAGAAGCCTATGGCTTGGTCTCTGTGAGGGCATTTGGGCATTCAGCGGAGCTGTGGGACCTCTTTTGGGGGGTGCCTTTGCACAATACGCATCCTGGCGGTGGTGCTTTTGGTGCAACTTGCCCATATCAGGCGTTGCGTTCCTGTTGATCGTTTTCTTCCTCGATGTCCACAACCCACGTACACCAGCTATGGAGGGGATCAGAGCTATTGACTGGTTTGGATGCTTATCTATTCTGGGCGTCACCGTGATGCTTCTTCTCGGTCTCGATCTTGGTGGAGCAGTTTATCCTTGGGGCTCTGCAAAGGTTATATGCCTGATCGTCTTTGGCGCGTTGATGGTCCTGGTGTTCATCTACAGCGAGAAAAAACTGGCCAAGTATCCCGTCATACCTCTATCTTTGTTTGGCACGAGGAACGTTGCCACGCTTCTCGTCACATTTTTCCATGGCATGGTAAGAAGTTTCAGCTGAGAGTGTCAAGTTCCGGAGATGTTGACTCTTCGCAGGTCTTTATGGCGCCAGAGTACTACCTTCCGCTGTACTTCCAAAGCGTTATGGAGTCGTCCCCCATCAGATCTGGTTATCTCCTAGGGCCACTCATCGTTGCCACGGCTGTTACCGGTGTCCTGAATGGCGTTTTCATCCATCGTACTGGCCAATACCGTCCGTCACTCTGGATCGGCTCGGTACTCTTAGCGTTGGGAACTGGCCTCTACTTGATGCTCGATGCTGAGTCAAGCGTCGGCATGGTCATCGGATTCGAGATCATTGGAGGAATCGGATCCGGTCTTTTGTTCGAACCCCCATTGATAGCAATTCAACAAGGCGTGCACCAGGACGAAGTTGGTACAGCGACTTCGACTCAGTCCTTCATCCGAAGCATGGCTCTGTCCTTGAGTGTTATCGTCGGTGGCATTGTGTTTGAACAAAGTATGGACATTCGAAGAACAAGCTTGATCGCAGCCGGCCTCCCACCCTCTGTCGTGGAAAAACTGTCGGGTAAAAATGCCGGGGCCAACGTCGATGTCGGACGCAATCTTCCGCCGATGCAAGACCGTGCTGTCAAAGATGCCTTTGCCTGGAGTATCCGGAATATGTTTATTATGTTCACTGTCCTTGGAGCATTCAACATAGTGGCAAGTTTGTTTATCAACCATACCAAATTGTCCACGGAACATCGGGAGACTGTTACTGGCCTCAAAAGCAAGGATAAAGCGCCATCAATATCTTGATCCCATCGAAAGACATCCATCTTAATGGGTTACATCTGCACCTCAACTTTGTGGGCGTAACTCAATCGACGCTGACGTGGAAGCCTCGACTTCAACATCATGCCCGAGAGAGATTTTCCCTAGCACTGTCCTAGGGTAACACTTACCTCCACACCACGTCCCGTCCGGTGATGCTCAAGCACCGTCAACAACAGCACTCCTTCTTTTTCGGAGTCGAATCTTCGGGCTCTCGGTGATGCTTACGCACCGTCAACAACAGCACTCGATCATTCCAGAGACTGACATTCCATCCATGCGCGTTTTCCAGATGCACAATGGAGATGGTGAGCTTTCCACCAACCAAACCAGCAAATTCATGTCACGTAGTTCACTTAAAACACCAGACAGACCTTCGGGATCACTGTTTGCGGTGAGCTTCGCACCGATATCAACAGCACAAACTTCGCTTCCATGGCGAATCGAATCAAATATTGCATATCGCCACTTGTAACACTCGTATGCATTTCTTTTCTTTACCACAATGGTGCTTTGATGTCTGCTGTCTATCCGGTACAGTATCACCTCTCTTTGGCAACTTCTCCCTGTCTCACGCACATACACAGTCTAACTCTAGCTCGTGACAAGTAAAAAGACTCCAAAAGGCGCAATCTTCTCAGACTGATCGCCTTCTCTCGTCATTTCATGTGGTTGGAGAGGACGGACTTCTTGTCGATTCAGTCCCCAAAGTGGTGCAGGGTATTGGGATAATGCATTTGGGGGCCGTAGATGGTGACATTAGGCGGTGTCAGAAGCCGCTTCCCGGGTCCTTTGGTGTCTACTACGGGAGCGCAAATAGGCCAGTCCGAAGCATCACCCAAGCTTACCTGGGGACCTGATCAATCTGCATGAACATGACTATTTTGCACTATCGTAATTTGTTAATTTCACATCCCAGTCTAGAGACATGACTCCTCGACCTACCAAATGATTTGCTTTGCAGTTTTGCCTCGATGCGTCCTGTCAAATTGCTATTGTCACCCGCACAACTCATAACTGCCTGTCGCTATCGCACACCGCTCGTCTCGAAGACGCCGGTGTCGTTCAGAGTCAGCATCAGAAGAAGCATGGCGAGTCACCAGAAAAGTAAGTTCTATTCGCCTTTGATCCGATCGTACAGGGCTGAACCCAGCACGCAGCTCAATGGGACCAGGATATCGGCCCTCCAGTGTCTTTCCCAAGTGCAGCATCTCGACCTGGACGGGTTGAACTTACAGGCAAGACAGTAACGCTGCAGCCGTTGGCACCGAGACATGCTCTTGATCTATGGCCGGAGATCCAGGATGAGAAGACTGGCCACATCTGGACATACATGGGTGATGAGCCGTATCGAACACTTGAAGCTTTCCAGAGAGCCGTCACCACCAAATCCGAGTCTACGGACCTGGTCTTTTCTGCGATCATAAATAACCAAACCCACAAAGCTGTCGGATGGGCTTCCTACATGCGTATCGATCCCACCAACCGTGTGATGGAAGTCGGCAATATCCTATTTTCACCATCACTGCAACGAACCAAAGCTGCCACGGAGGCCATGTACCTCATGATGAAACACGCATTCGAGGACCTAGGCTATCGCAGGTATGAGTGGAAATGTGACAACCACAACCGGCCCTCGAAACGGGCCGCACTACGCTTTGGCTTTACCTTCGAAGGTGTGTTCAGACAGCACATTATATACAAAGGAAGGTCAAGGGATACTGCTTGGTTCTCCATAATTGACACGGAATGGCCCACGGTCAAGAATGCATTTGAGAAATGGCTGGATGATAGCAACTTTGACGATAATGGCACGCAGTTACACCGCTTAGAGGACTTCAGAGACGCGATGCCTGCGCAGAAGGGACCTATCACTCTTGAGGGGATAAGGTAATTGATAGATGATCGTAGATACTTCATAAGAATAAAGCTTCGCTACTGACACAGAGTCGAAGCAGTGAGAGATTCCAATAATTGTCGCGCCTGAGCGCTAGCTTTAGCCCTATGAAACAGAAGCCTAAGCTGACTTTTGCATCAAGCAAGTGTAAAGAGTGAGACTCGGAGAGAGCTTCAGCCCGACAACGCGGTTAGGGTTACTGAGTGAGCGACTCGAGCTCAGATGAATAGATGGCTAAATTCCGAAACGCCATGGTATTGGTTCAAGGTTTACCATTGTCGTGGCTATTCATTGTGATGCGCAATTGTTGTTTGCATTCACACAAACAAATAGTGCAGCTGAGCATGGCACGGGTACCCACCCGCGCCGGACGAGCAAAAGGTGCAGCGGCTGAAGAGATTGTTGTCCCCGTTAGGAAGTCAATAGGACCTCAATGATGGACATAGATGGAAAATCGCATGTCAATCTACCCTGGAGCCCGAACACAATAATCATTCTCGTCGCATATATGAATGACAGAAGGTGGCAAGTTGCAACCCTTTATCCCTGCTGATTCGGGACTAGTCCGCTTTTGGGTTCTGGTCTGCTCCTCCGCCCAAATTTCTCTGACCTGGCAAGAGCCACCACCGTGTTAAACCAGCTCTTCATCCTTAACGGCCTCGCATTGGGACCTGGCTGATTCTCTCTGGCTGCTGGACAGTCCAGAATTGATTACATCCGTCTCACATTCATCCATCAGGCTGTGGTCAAACGGCAATGTCCCTGAGGAAATCCACCCGCCTGTCCGCAACTCCTTCGTTGAACGTCACCACCAACGGAGCACCGTCAAATGCATCTGGACCGTCATTTGGCCAGTCGACAAGCAGAAGCCCTACTGGCTCAACTTTTGGTAGTCAGAGCGTCAACGATCCGTCCACCTCCATCAGTGATCCCGACGATTACGGTGAGGCTGCACGGGAAGCTCCACAAACCATGTCGTCAACAAAAATTACAACAAAGTCCTTGACACGACTCGATGATGATTCAAGCCCCCCGCACAACAATAGACGTGCTTCAGGTCGTCTTCGAAAACCGACCGAAAAAGCTCAGGCTTTAAGTGGGGTGAAGCCTGTCTCGTCGCCACCTTCGGACACCATTGTCATCAGCTCCTCTCGGGCCGCCGAAGAGCATTCTCAGTCTCAAAGGCATTCGACACCGCCTCAACCAAGAAAAGAGGTAGCACAGGAACCTCCCCAGGTTGCAGAAATTCCGGAAACCCCAACCATCACCAAAGCGCTCGCTGGGTCGCCATCTTCAGACAGCCTAGAAGAAATCCCCAACGCCGATGCCACCAATAATGATTCACCCTCAAGGAGGGTGTCACAGCGCGAACGGAAGCCGACGGCAAAAATTCTGGAAACCAGTTCGACGCCAGCACCACCGGCAATTGCTACCACCATCGCTACAACCAGCGCCACCTCATCCCCCGCGCCACAGAAACGTCTGGCGACTGAGATACCGGATCCGCGACCACGGAAGTCTGCTCGAGTCTCCCATTCGGGCGCCAATGTCCCTTCCAAACTTCGCTATTCGTTGTCTTCCAGCGCTGAAGAAGAAGCGACAGTGGCCGATGACCAAGCCGAGATACCCGAGACGCCGGCCAAGTCGAAGATTATTATTTTGAAGTTTAAAAGACCAACCCAGCCCATCGAGGCACCTCCCAGAAGAGAAGCAAAAAGGGTCGGTCGTCCACCATCAAAGAGACTCAAACGGAAGACTGTGGACGATCCACCGACCATCGACGTTGCGACGCCATCTTTGCCAGCCGTGCCACCCCGAAATACATGTGACTTGTTTTGTCTTTCGCCCTCTGCGCGCATTCTTGCATTTGCAAAGATTGCCCTACAGATGCCGGAGTCAGATGACGAAGAGGGAGACGATGTCCTGCCGGGCAGCGCGCAGGACTGGCACGTATACACACATCATTGGTGCCAGTGCAGGAAGCCACCACCCTTGAAACCAATGCGCACTAGTTCGGAAGAGCTCGCACGGGCGCTGATGCCCAACACGGTTTCAGACGGCACCAAGCAGAACCCTGTCGATTTGACGCAACCGGCGGCTTCTCCAGAAGTCGAACTACTATCGGCGCCGGTCAACACTATTCTTCGTGCGACTGATGCCGAACGACTGTCAAAGCTATTCGGTCCTCCTGCGGCTGAAACTCCGGCTAGGAGTGGTGGCCTGACGTCAAGTCCATTGACAGAACACGGGTTTTCAAACTCGCAAGTCAGGTCCTCTGGCCCAAGCCGAGCCGGATTGCAAGAGAGTGTGAATACTTATTGTTCTCCGTCGCTACCTGAATCCACCTCGGCGAAGAGGAGTTACGAAGACCGCATTCGCGAAGACTACGAAGCTTTGACGAAGATCAGGAAGATGGCCGAGGCGATGGGGGTATCGTGGGATTTTAATATGACTTACGACGACATCAACAATGCACTCATGCGTTCCGAGGGGCATTCGGCCACAAAGACATCCACTCACGGCCTATCTGAGGGTGTGTATGAAACTCGAGACATCTACGGACAGAATGCTGGTTTTGGTGTGCTTTACCCACCACTGCAACACCGCTCGAATGGATTGTCCTCGGTCAATGGCGTACGAGGAAACAGTCGGGAAAACATCAAAGAGTATGGTACGCCTGGGAACCTGGAACGTCAAACTGAGGCAGTATACGGAGCCACATCAACCGAACGCATTTCCGGAGATGGAGGTGCTTCTAGCTCTAAAGCCCGCCGGCAGTCATCGCCTCCTCGACCCAAGAGCTCAAGATTCAGAGTTGACCCAAGGGGGCTGAGAGGGGAATCGCCAGGGCCGGGAACGATTATTAACATTGATGAAAACAAACAAGGCTCTAGAAAACGAGCCAGGAGGTCAAGAGCAGCAGCATCAGAAGTACCGGTTGAAAACAGAAATTGAATTTGGGATCGACTTATCAAAGAAGAAGGCAGCTCAGCATAATGCAAAGGGGTGTGAGTTTGACAAAAGTACAGGACGAGCGATTTTTTCTTTTGTCTTGGAGACATTAGCGAGCCATGGGTATGGCCACGGGCATGGGAATGGACTAATTATTACTCCCGGGCGTCGAGATTATGGGACCGAACAATAGGAAAAGGGCATGCGTGCATAGCGGAACATGACAATAATGGGTGTCTCGATACAGAAGTATGAGGTCCGGGTCGAAGTACTGGGCGTTGATTTATACATTGGGCACCAATAAGAAGGATGTTTTTTTCGTAACAGGATGGCTTCTTTTCCCGAAGTATGGCGAGGGTACGGGATAGTAATAGGAGGAATCCAAGTGCTCCAAGTCCCTGAGATGATATAGTAGGTATGTACTGGTCGAGAATGAGACTTGATCATGTACATGTCAAGGTGCGCATTAGTGACGGTGTGTGATCGAAAAGGAGAGAATAGAGGGTGAAGTAATAACGAGAGTTGCATTCTTCCTTTTCCGTGGTGCAAGTTCTGTGTGAACATACTACCCACCTTCGGTACCGTAGCTGTCCGCAGATATCAAAGCCGTAGCTGGATACAGCACCTGGTACCCGACTACCCAGTGACACAACTGCACGTTTTCTCTCTCGTGCATGTCCTTGTTTAAATCGTCATTGGTGGAAGAGCGTTCTCCGCGTATCCCGTACGTAACTCGTACCTACGAGTAGATGGAGGACCTGTACCCTGTACTCCGGAGCCTGCACCTGGGGTCTGTGAAGTAGATGCCACCGTGGATAAATATGCCCCGTACGGACCTTGGGCAACCGCTGTGCTGTACCTATGTAGGTGGTGTGGAAATGTCCAAAGGGTACTTCCCAGACCTTGTATCGTTACAAATCCCTACAGGTAGGTAAAGGTGCAGGTCCAGGTCAGGTAGTCTAAGGTCCGTAGGACCGACCTCGGGATACGACTCTTGTGTCGTCGACTTTCTTATGTGTTGAACCCTCGTACCGTGCTTTGAGTAAGCCGTGCTTTGAGTAAGTAGTCTCCCAGTCTCCCAGTCTTTCAGTCTCCGAGTCTCTGACAGGAACGACAAGCCTTGGACAGGTGTCTGAGCATTTTGTTAATAGGTGGACGTGACTTGGACCTGCGACTGGTGGACCAGGGCTCACTAGGCCAACGTTAGGGGACCCCTGAAAAAATCGCGCGCCTTGAAGTTAGTTGATACTCCTTAATCCGTGGTTGGCTCTACAGTCACAAGCTGGGTGAGGTGAAATGAACTGTGTAGGCCCCACAAAATCGAAACTTGTTTTCTTGGGGCACGTAATAAGATTGCGCCCGTGGGTTGATGGCAAAGGCGAACTAACTAGTTCAAGGCGATATTGTTGGTATTGTTGTTTTCTTACGAGCCACGAGGGAAGTTGATAAACCGAGATACTGACGGAGGTCACTGACTCACCGACACACTGTACGCGAATTACTCGCGTAAGGGTACTCTGGAGATCACTGCAGCGCGCGTTTTTCGTTGTTGTTTTTTTTTTCCACAGGAAACAAGTGTACACTACTTCGCCCCAGGGGAGACGCGTGTGTTTTTTGGTCGTGTAGTTGACCTCGACTACGGGTGCTGTACATACATCCGCCTCGACGACGGGGAGAGAAGAGAGACTGTGTGTTTGTAATGCGTGGTGGATGATTTTTGTACAAAGAAGACGACGCCAAAAAGAAAACTCTTGAATCCTTCCGTGTCTTGACGGGACTGGCGACTTGGAGAACAACAGCGGCGAATTTAAGCAACCCGCTCAAAAAAAACGGACCATGGCAGAGGCTGAAGTTGTGGTCAAGAAGAGAGGTCGCCCCAAGAAAGTGGTGGCCACGCCGACGGAGGCTCAAGCAGAGGACCATGGAATCGTCACCAAGGCGACGCGAGGTAAGGAGTCTTCTTCTCCGTCGTCGTCTTCGTCTCCGTCTTCGTCTTCGTCTTACACAACGTCAGCGACCAAGAAAGTAGCAACGGCCACTTTGCCAACGTCAACGTCAACATTAGCAGCAACAGCGACAACGACGAAAAGGAAAAAGATTGCAAAGGAGTCGCAGACGTCAGTGCCTGAGCCAGAGTCGGTATCTGAATCAGCACCAGAGGTCAAGACCACGTCGACAAGGAAGAGAGTATCGAAAACTTCGACTCCCGTGGTCTCTTCAACTTCGACGTCGACTCTGACTGAGACTCCAGTTCAAGCCACCACCGTTGTCGAGTCTCACAAGTCTGAGGTTGACAATGTCAAAGCTTCAAAGACGTCGACTGTGACCAAGGCGAAAAAGGTGACCTCGGCTTCGTCTCCATCTGCAACTTCGACTTCGGCTGTTTCGAAGAATGCAAAAGCCAAGTCTCCTGTACCGGAACCAGAGGCAGTGGTCAGGGGCAATGTCGGCGTGGGTGTGTTGGTAGAAGCAGGAGAGACGGTCGTTGTGGACCAGCAGCAGCAGCAGCCGCAGAAACAAAACTCCCCATCACCGTCATTTCTAGCAATCTTACAACAAGCTCGAGGCTTCACTGATCGTTCCAAGGAATTGCATTCGAACATTTTGGAGTTTATCGAGTCGGTTGAGATACGAGGGAGTATCACATCAACAACGAAAGACCACTCACTGCACGACCATCATCAACAACAGCGACCAGCTTCTCCTCCCGATGACATCGTCTCGTCACCATCACCGTCACCGACGCAGAAACAGAAATCGTCGTCATCGTCATCATCATCAACACTTCCACGCCACCTTTTCCCTTCCTCGACGTGGCCCAAATATACCATCCCGCAATCGACCATGACTGCACTCGCTGCTCGTGGCGTTAGTGGTACGCATCCTTACTCGTCAGGTCAACGAAATCAGCCGAGCATGAAGAATGTCACTGCAAATGCCGGTGCAAATACAGGTGTGGGTGCTGGCACACAATTACCCCCTCGTCCGCGCCGCCCCGTGGATCCTAAACCAACACAAATGCCACTGGACCAACTTAAGAAGGACCCCAAGTTCCGAAAACTTTCAAGCAGGTGGACGAAACTCATATTTGCATTGCCCGTGGCTATTGTTAGTAGCTATGCGTTGTGGGAGAAGTGTAGGTTTTTTTCGCACTACCTGTCATCTTTTTAGCTCTGACCTCCCCTCTCGACTTTGATATGGATCGACTGACACATCACTCTTTGTTAGATAATGAGCAACAAGCGTATCAAGCTGCTCTGGAGGCCAAGAGGAGTCTACACGGCACTGCGGCCACGGATCTAGACCCTGTTAAACCTGTACTGACGGGAACGACGAAGTGAGTGTTAGAGAGGAGACAGAGTCAGAACACTGAGTGCCCTGTCGATATCTGCTCTCACGTCTCAGCGAAATAAATATTGACCTTCCAACTCATTCCCCCCTCAACTGTTGATGTATGTATGTACGAAGAAAATGCGGTTCTGTGTTCATGTCAAGGGTGAAAATATGCATGAACGAAACGGCTTCTTGCGTTCGTGTTCAGTGTGAAAACAATATTCTCAACTCTACGAGGCGTCGACCATGGCCACTCAAAAAGGCAGCATTGAATGCTCGCCTGTGTAGCTAGTGCTAATGTACTTACGATTCCAATGCTCTTGCCGTTGAATATATCACAGGTGCAAGCTGTCCTCAAAGCTCTCGCGTTGACGCAACTCTTTTCCCGATTTTAGACCGTTTCATGCAAGGCCACTTGGGCTCAGGTAGAACACCAGTCGTTCCATGCTATCCCGGCTCTTCGCCTGACTTTCATTTCATAAATCTCTTCCTCAATGATCACGTCAAGACTCATGTTCTCGTTCAAAGCTCGTGCCCAGCTTTTCTCACAATTTACTCTCAAAGGAGCAACCACCTTCCCATGCATCACCAGCGTCCAATTTCGTCCACGAACTTACCGCGCCAGGCTCTATGCATAGGTACCTCTTCCATCCATCCTTGGGTTCAAAGTCGCCCATGGCTTTGATCTTGTCTTCCCATCCGTTCCACACCGTAACATCAGGTAGGGCGTCTCGAGTCACGACGAAACTGTCTGCTCCATTCTCCGTCACGACCAGCGGGACAAGACTGCCGTCCTTGCCAGCTGGCGGTGTGTAGACTCGATCCGTTTCGCCGGAGAAGGAGAGAGACGTTGCTTCTTCGGTGAAGGTCTGAGCGGATCGGACCTTGTCGATGTACGGTGACGAAGTGAGTCCGTTGACTGCAGTCTTGTGGATGTCCTGTGTACCAACAACCCGGGTTAGTTATTGTTGAGCTGAGCATCTAAGAGGAAACAAAAGTTGCGGCAAGCATTACCTTGACGGCCAGGTATGTGTGGAACAGGACTTGGAAGTCGAAAGGCTCGCTGCCCTTGTTCTGGACGTGCATTTGGCACTCTAGTTTGTCCTTGCCCAGTGTGACACTGTAGACGAGACCGAAGTCGTACGGCCACTTCTTCTGTACCCCTGGGTCCAGCATCGAACTGCTCAGACCAAGGTCCAACTTCACGCTGCCGTCGGCTTTGCGTCCTACGTTCTCGCTCGTACTCTTTCCCAGGAACTCCCAGTGGCTGGTCCTCGCAAAGCCATGCTGTGGTAATTGTCCTGTTGCATGATCCTTTGGCGGGGGGCCGAAGACTGGGAAGACGAGAGGGATACCGCCGCGGATCGGTTTGGAGCCGTCGAGGACCGCTGCGTCAGAGAGGAAGAGCTGTTCTTTGCCATTCGACGTCTTCCATGATGTGACTGTCGCTCCGTACAGGTACACGGTGACTGAGTCTCCCGTGGGCAGGCGAGCCGTCAGGATATTGTCACTGAGATCGACCACCGGCTGGGCCATTGAAGGAGATACGGGGATCGAGGCGGGCTTGTTCTTGCGCTCCATGTGAAGAGCACGAAAGAGAGGTTATTATGTCCGGGTTGTAGGGTTTCCGAGATGTAATGAGAGGGGAACGGGAAGTTAGTGAGCAGGACCGGATTATGTCACGGACGGAGGAGAAGAAGAGAAGAGAGTCACAAAAAGGTTAAGAGGATGATTGAATATTCTGTCACTCAGGAAAAGGTCCCAGTCGCTGCCAGTACGGAGAGTATGTGGCATTCCTCATTCAATCTAGTGCATCGTATCTGACGCATCTTGTGCTTCTTGAGGCATGTTTCACCGTGAGCTAATGATTGGCCAGCCTTGCTCAGCCTTGGCTCCACCGACAACAATAAGTCTCAGCCTTGTCGATGCTGTCATAGACGGGAAATGGAGACGGAACAAAGAGTGCACTTCCTATTCCTACCTGTAGCACCGCTCACCCGCAGACACCAGTCTTTGTTTGTCTTTCTGGGACTCTAACCTTGTGCATAGCGAGAATCCGTTCACGGCCATGGGCAACTCTTCGTCCAAAGTCGCAGGCAAAGCTGCTGCAGGCGCAGCTCGCCGCCAGTACCCTTCTACATCGTCCATCGCCAACTCCGCGACCCAACCACCCACTGCTGCCTCAAGGACGAACCCCCATCCAGCCTCGTCCAAACCTACCGCTTCAAGCCAAGTACATCCAAGTCCAGCCATGTCTCCGCCAGTGGACGAAAAGACGCAAGCCATTGAGCTGGACGGAAGAGATCCGCAGTTCGGTTCAAGACTGCAGAGAATAGGTCCTGTCAAACTTCCCTCAGGTGTGAGACCCGAAGAAGCTTTCCCGACCTCGAGCGAGCCTATGCAGCCGGCACATAACCTTTTCCCCTCGACACAGAACAATCCCGCCGTGATACTCACACAGGCACGGCAGAGGATCAACAAGCAGTGGGAATTTGAAGGGGAAAATGGTGGACGGCCGAGTTTCCCTGGACGAACGCTGCTGAATTCAAAGGAGATCAAGGAAGCGCTAAGAATGCGAGACGAGGTAGGAAAGACGTCACAAGAGGTCGAGAAGCAAATGAAGCTGAAGCCTGGGGTTCTGGATCAACTTGTGGCTAAAGGAATGGTTGCAAATGCCTGAGAATCTGAATGGTTTCTCCTGGGCCATGCATCATCCCCTCCCTGTCTTTCCACAATTGCAATACTGGAATGACAAATCCATTGAACTGGCATGGTGCTCAAACGCTCCGTTCCATTTCGCCAAAGGCACTGATCCAGGCGTACTCTCGCATTTAACGCCACGCCCGCGAGATCTGGGGAAATTCTTTGTGCACACTACTTCTGTCAAGAAAAGCTCGCCATTCCCAGTTTCGGAACGCCTCAATATCGTCACCCAGCGAACCTGGCAATAGTACGAGGTGAGTGAGTCTTTGAGCTTTTCGACATTTGGGAACACTGCTAATTTTAGTTTTGTCCGGTATGCAGCCTGGACTATATCGTCAATATCTATATATATGTATAAGTGTATCTCGAAGCAAGGTACCATGTCAAGAAGCGGCCACTCCTCTCCTTGTACGAAAATATTCATCCATCTCCAGAAGCACAATGATGAGGTTATCAGCACACTTTTTGTTCCTCACAACGCTTCATTCGAAGTCTTACTCATTGTGTGACTGACAATGGATGAAAGGGAATGTGTTGGTGTGTTATTCACAGCACAATGCACTAGATCGGGTCGCCTTTGATCCGCGTCTCCATCAAGGCAAGTCTATCAAAGAACGACAAGTCGGTGAAATATAAACCCCCCTGTCGATATGCGACATCCCTTGAAGTCTTTTTCACGACTTCTTTACGAACTGAACAATCCTGAACCATGTCTAACGCACCGGAAATGCTTCCACTCACCTTTGGTGTTGAGATCGAACTTCTCTTCGCCGTTAACTTTGACATGCTCCAAACCCGTCAACCGTTAACGCCACTTCTCACTCTTCTCAGGGAAAACCTTCGGCCTGACCCAAGAGACCAACTAGTCGACGCCAACACTCAATGGGAAGACAAGCTATTATACGCCGCTGGCATTCTAAGAAAGAGAGGTCTAGAGTTTACTGTACATGATCCTCCCGATAACAGACCTGACGATGACGCAGAATTTTTCAGCAATTGGATGCTCACCTCAGAGACAGCGGTCCCAACTCCAGTTTCTAAAACCCAGGTTGCGAAGTGGTCGAACCTTCGTATCCTGACTTTAGACGGTTGGGATTTTATGGGGCTGGAGCTGATCTCTCGTATTCTTGACGCCCCAAACCCGCAGGCAAGCAACGGTGAGTCCGAAAGTTTGTCCCAAGTCAGCCGTTACCTTGAACTGATGACAAAAAGAACCTCGGCCCATCCGCATTTTGAATTCCTGGGCCATCCTGAAACAACGAGCATCCATGTCCACATCGGTCTATCGCCTTCCGCAACAGGCCAAAGGGCGATCCCTTTACACGTTCTTCGACATTTGGCATGGATCATCTTGACTTTCGAAGACACCATCACACTACTTCATCATCCTCAGCGTCACGGCTATCACCGCACAAAGAGCGAAAGTCACGCCCTCCCAAACCGTGTTGGATATGGCTTCCGCTTATATGAACATGTCCATCAGTGTCAGCCATTTGATCCTGTCAAGGCCTTCTTCTCGATCTTCAACTTTAGCATCACCGATGAGAACGAAGGTCTCGATGAACTAAGGCACATTGTGTGTGGCACAAGAGCGTGGTCAGGGGATATTTCCTTCTACCGTGCCTACTTTGTCAACTTCTGCAATATTGTGCCGTCGGATCCATGGTCTACGAAGACCACGGTGGAATTCAGGCAGCATCACGGCACTCTGGACCAGAAGGACATCAGTGAGTGGATCGCCTTCGTCACGGCGCTGGTCAGAGCGGCAGAGAAGAAAGCATACGAAGTCCCAACCAAGGGTGCGCTAATCCAGGAACTGCCAGGCTCATTGGATGGCGCAACTGTCCACGACTCGCCTCGACTGGTGGAAGAACTGTCAAAGTACGCAAGTATCCTGAAAACCCCAAAGCGGTCACTGAAGCAGCTTTTTGACCTTCTGGACCTTCCCATCGAACGACGTCAGTACTGGTGGGCTCGGGCCGTGAACTTCCAAACTCTTTTGCGCCAGGGTGGATTTCGGTACAAACAGTGCCGCCTTCTTTCATTGTGTAAGGAGCCGCGTCTCCGAGATTGCGAAGGCTGGCGAGAAGGAGAGTTAGACGATCCTCCATGGGATCTGGAAGAAGGAGATAGCAGTGGTGACAGTAGCGGCTTGGGGATAAGCACTCCACGGTCTTCTTTTGAGTGATTAGTTTGGCCCTGTTGGCCATCTTGATAGTCTCCGAATTTTTTGAAAAGCAGTTTGCTTTTGCGTTGATCTTTGGGCTTCCCTTGGTAGCGCTCTTCTGATATTATTATTGTTGTTTGTTGAGGACGAACAAATGTGCCTTGGATTTAGTATAACATTCTCAGCTATGCATTACTCGTCACGAGAGCCATTTATGACAATCTTCGTCTCTTACTTCTCACCCACAACCACCGACGTACAGTCCACTACAGTTTGTGACAAAGAATACCAAAGTACCGAAGCTTCAAAGGGAAGGCAGTTCATACGAGACGAATGTACATTCTGGGACTATGTGAAATATATAGACCTTTTGACCATCCATTAGACCACTTCAATCTCAAGTCGTTCGGTTTGGTCAATTTTTGACTAGTGTCTTGTCTTGAACGGTACCACCGACTCAAGCTACAGCTTAGACGCCCCTTTCCCGCCTCGGGCGGTGACGGTCTCAATCTCAATCTCACTGGTGCATAATATCAAGGTATCCTCGAGCGCGGGGACGCGGTACTTGAGGTTGACGGCCTGATAGTCCTCGCTGGCCAACATGTCGGCGAAGTGCAAGATGGACGGGTACGACGCGAGGGCGAACTCGTCCCAGCCTTTCTGGTGGCCGGCGCCCTTTGTTGTCGTCGTCGTCGTCGTCGTCGTCTTCGTCGTCGTGGCGGCGGCGGCGGTGGAGGAGGAAGAAGAAGAAGAGGAGGAGGAGGAGCCGGCAGACGACACGATGTTTCCTACAAGTTTGGCGTTGCCGCCGCGTCGAGACCCGATGCTCTCGGCAAACGCCTTGCCGTACTGCAGGTACGAGTCCTTCAGGCCCGGTTTGAAGGCGAGGAGGTTGAGCATGGACAACGGCGACGAGCCCGCCTTTGTGTCCTTGAAGGACCGGATCCACCCGAGGAGCTCCGACGACATCTCGAGCGTCTGGGACGACGCCCCGAGTCTCGGCGTGTCCAGCGCGCCCGTGAGCGGCGGGACGGACGACGGGGGCGGGTGCAGGACGCCGTCGTTGGTCGACGCGAAGTCCTTGGTCAGGCGTGACGGGATGCCCGCGACCGCGGACCAGTGGCACGCGATTTGCGACGCCAGCGTCTCCGGGAGCGCGTCACTGCCGAGCACGATCAGGAGGACGTCCCATGGTCGAGACGGCCGGAGGAGTGTGTCGGCTTCGATCTTGGTCGGCGTGATGATCCAGCGGATCACTTTGGAGATGGTGAGTGGCTGGACCGCCGTCGATTTGAGAGATCCCACAAAGGAAGAGATGGTGGCGGTTGGTGCGAGCGAGATGAGGTGTAGTGTCGCGAGAGGCATGTCTGTCTGTCTGTCTGTCTGTCTGTCTGTCTGTCTGTCTGTCTGTCTGTCTGTCTGTCTGTCTGTCTGTCTGTCTGTCTGTCTGTCTGTCTGTCTGTCTGTCTGTCTGTCTGTCTGTCTGTCTGTCTGTCTGTCTGTCTGTCTGTCTGGATGAGTGGTCTTGTCGTCGTAGCGGCACCTCTACGTACTGGGTATAGGTAGGTAATAGGGAAGAGACGCGACCGGAATGAGTAGGGATCTGAGATGACACTCCTCTTTTGACGAGGGAGTAAAGAGATTTGTAGCAAGGCCGTGGAACAGCAGTATCTAGGTGACCTAGGAGGAATATAAGACAGTCACCGTCACCAGAATGAGGGTCGGCTTCTTTCTCAGTTACCCGACGCACGGTACGAGAGCGAGAAGATTCGGCTCTTGGATCGATTTACGGCCATGTTCTTTTGTCGAACCGAACAAGTTGATACGCGGCGCCCGTCTCCCAGCCTCGGCTGTCTGGAGAATACCTCCTCGTCTTGAAAGATGTGGAGATCATGATAGAATAATCACAACTCGTATTGTACGAGTTACGTGCGGAGTAGAGCCCGATCCTGATCTAATCTAATCTCCAGCCTCGTCTGGGGACTTCGACATGTACCGGAAACTTTTTTTTCTTGGGGGTACCAGAGACAAAACGACCTCTGCCCGTACACGACTCGCATTTCGGCAACACGACACAAATACCCTGCCTCACTCACACTAGATCCCTTCTCCTCTTGTCCACTTGCAGTCTTCTTTCTGCTGTTGTCTTGACGAACCATCTCACTTCGACAAGGAAGGCACCATGGCGGGCCTCAATCCTCTTCCACCGTCGCACGTCCACAGCACCGTCCGCCTCACGCACGCCCAAGCACACACCTACCTCTCTTCGTTCCTCGAGCAGACGGAAATCGACGCAGCGTACCGTCCGGACTCGACACTCACCGAACGTGGACCTCAGGCCGTCAGCACCGGCTCCAACCCGAACCTCACCCTCCACCACCTCAAGCGCATCTTGCAAGGCATAGAAGGAAAACAAATCATTTCCACTCTCGACCTTGATCATGCTGACGCTGACGCCGTGGGGGCCACCACCACCAACACCTCATCCCCAACCACCAAACGTACCAGGGAGGCCGCCGATGCAGACGCTGACGGGGACCAATCTAAAGGTGCAAAACGCCGTCAGTACCTTTACGAGTCCCACGAAGGCCGCACAGGTCCGGCAGACGATGAAGGTGACGAACCAGCGGTGACGACCACCGAGGACCTGGATGGCTGGCAGGATGCAGAGGAATATGCCCTCGCTCAGACGGAGGGCAATCTCGATCTGACAAACGAAGATCGGCATCCTGGCGCGGACCTGCCTGAGCCCGCCAACCCAGAGGAAGAAGCAGAACTTTTAAATGTCGAGGTTGAAGACGATGCTGGTTCCGACGCAAACACAAAATCACAAAAGCCAGCCGTGAGTAAAAAGGACAAGGACGAGAGAAGAAAGTTGAAAAAGCAGCGCAGAAAGCAAGAGAAGACAAAGACTGCAGAAGTCAAGAGAAGACAAGCCGCAAAAGACTAGAAGAAGGCGTCATTTCTCCCACATGATCATTCTTTTCTACATCTTCTCCAGGAGCGACAAATGGCTTCGCGTCGTCCATTGTCCAACTCCATGGAGAAATGATCAGATCAGATCAGCATCCAAACATGCAGCTTCTTAGCACGCATGCGATCTGATGCGACCTCTCAAGACTGGTAGCCGCCAAAGGGGCCAATGTTGTCCTGCTGCACCTATCTGTCAAGACTGCCTGCAAGACAACCCAGATCGAGACAAGAGGATGGTTGGCCACAAGGCCTTCGCAATCAACTCGTTCATACCTCATTCTAGCTGTAGACCAGCAAGATAGAGGACACTTCACAACTCTCGGTCCTTTGCTTTCACAACCTCTGCATCGACTACTTTCTCGTCCAGCTCGACAATCTTGCCATTGGACGATAGCTTGGGGCCTTTCCAACCTAAAGCTGCTAGTCTCTCAGCCAATATGGGATGGCTGTAGTGATAGCTGGCATACATCCAGTCTGCGTCCATTGTGCTGAGATTCTGGACCTGGAGTTTGATCAGACTCCTCGCAAGTTCCTTTTGAAACCCAAGGTCCAATGCAAATTTATCGGCCTCGAACTCGAACTTGCGAGAGAGGATGTTCATCAACAGTTTCACAACTGCGTCCATCGGAGCCAAGGCGTCAGAGAAGAGAATGAATCCGATGATGATGGGGTGGGAGTCGTGGAATCCAAAGGCCGAGTACAAGGAATGGTTGTCAATGAAGACGCTAAACAGGGCGAAGATGTAGAACATGTGGAACTAAAGCATGGTTAGTCGAGGAAATGGGGCCCTCCTGAACCTCACATACCTGTGCGATAGCGAACAGTTTCGTGGTATGCGACAGACTCCAATGACCAAGCTCATGACCAAGAACTGCAACAACCTCTTGTGGTTCACTCTTCTCAATCAATGTATCGTAGATGACAATATGTTTTTTCCATGGAAGACCGAAAAAGTACGCGTTGCTGTGTGCACTCCGTTTGCTCCCATCAATGACGTACAGCGACTTTAATGGGAACTTGAGTCTCGATGCAAGTGCTTCGACGCCCGACTTCAGCTCACCCGGTTCGAGAGGTGACAACTTGTTGAAGAGTGGCAGAATGAAAATTGGATAGATTGTGATGCCGAAGAGCTGGACAGCAATCCCGAACAGCCAGAGGTAGTAGAAGAATCTGGTGCCTGTGACCTGAATGATCTTCAGGAATGCACTGAGAAGCGGTGTACCGAGTGCGACCATCAGCGCCTGACCCTTCAGCATGTCCGTGAGCCAGAGTTTGACAGTCTGTTTGTTGAAGCCAAATTTCTCCTCCAACACGAAAGTTCCATAGTACGAGACCGGTAGCGAGAGGGCTTGGGAAATCAAGTTGAACGTCAGGAAGAAGAGAACCGTGTGGGAGATCTCGCCGGAGAATCGTTCAGGGAGGAAGCGCGTCAGCCAGATGCCAGTCAGCGACCAGAGTTTGGGGAGGATATCGTATTGAATGAAGAGGACGTTTTGGATCTGAGAATACAAGCCTGAGACGAAATCGAATCTCGCTTTTGCTCGACCATATGCCTGCGGATGAAAGAGTGGTCAGTCGGCGCACATGTGTGAAAACAGCGAGACAGGGTTTCTCACTTGGCTCTGGTCGAATACATCTTGCGAGATTTCATCTTCCAGTGTCTTGGGCGGCTTCTTCTTTTGCAACACCTTGTACTGTCTCAAGGACAATAGCCCTTCGAGAACATACTGGCCCAGGGAGAAGCCGAGGATTAGTCGTTTCCAAGGGAATCCGGGCCTGTCCAGGAATGCGGCAAGTCGCTGATGTATGGTTAGCGCAGGCCGACCATCAATGCCTCCCAAACAGAGTACGTACCGTGGGGAAATCACTCAGCATCCGTAGCAGGGATGCCATGATACAGATCTCGAGGCCAGTTGAAAGTAGGAGAACTTGCCAATGAGATAGAATTACACGCTGTGGTGTCGAAATGCACGAGGGTATGCTTTGGCCTTGGGTATATGTTTCCCGCGTACGAGTAAGTAAGTACACAGGGTCAGCGCGACCCGAAATGGGCAACTGCGGCGAAGCAGACGAGACCTCTAGCTCATTTTTCCATTCCAGCATATTTCGGCGATCGTAAACTATTGCGAGGCTCAAAGCGCTTTGAACAAGGCTAGGGAAGCAAAGCACAAAAGAAACTGGTCCTTGCTCAACACCACCATCGCCGCCCACCGTTCGAATCGTCACCTCTCCCTTCTTATCGTCGTCCGTTTACAAAATGTGCCGCATATGTGGACGGGTGGTCAAGTGCATCTTCGATACGATGCCGTCCCGAGTACGCCATGTTCCGGCGAGAAGGTGAGCTGCGCTCCTCCATACCTTACCTATTGTTGTATTCTGTCTCGCCGGTAAGATCGGACTAACCTGGAGCCATTACCAGGGCCTTCACAACGATCCGGCGATTAGCAACACCTAGCACATCCATAGCACAGTCCGCACCGTCGCCAACGCTCTCGCTGGCACGAGCATTCTCTGCCATGTCTCTCAGCACCCGTACACCCATAAACACACCCCTCTCGGGAATGTCCACAGTACTCAGTAGAAGCACTAGTGGACCATCAATATCGTCCTCGTACGGTACACCTGGCCCCGGATCGTCGTCGAGAGGATTTTCCACGTCTGCGGCTCTCCAGGGTTATCGGAGACGCTCAGACACATATAATCCTTCCAGACGTGTGCAGAAGCGGCGGCATGGTTATCTGGCTAGACTGAAGACAAGAGGCGGGCAAGCAGTACTGAAACGGAGGAAACTGAAGCGCAGAACGTATCTCAGTCACTAGTCGAGACGTGGAAGCAAAGGCAATACCTGCGACGCCAACCGTGATCGCTGATGCCGTTCGCGGTGAGCCTTGAGTTTGTGTTGGGTTCGTGTCAGCTGTAGGCCATGTTCAATGTACAAAATCCAGTTCGAATTATAATCACGAAGTTTAAAACATGCAAAAGCAAACTGGATTCCAAGCCAGTCTTGCTAATGGAAGCTGAAGTTATACGAGAAGCATTCGGATTTCATTTCATGCCGTTTATTAGCGGCTTTGTATTTTTTATCTATATCCTACACCTGAGGCTGCGAAGAAGTCTTCTCCTCATCCCGCAGGTGCGAAAAGCTCTGAGCCTCAAATTTGGGCTCTTCGACGACTTTGCTAGCCTCTGTCTGCATTGGGCTCAAACCCCAACGCTCAAACATGGCCTTGTCCTCATCCCAGCCATTGCACTCCGTGGTCAACATCTTCTCGCCTGTGAAGATTGCATTGGCTCCTGCCATGAAGCAAAGCATCTGCTCGCTCTCTGGCATGGTGACTCTTCCTGCTGCGATTCTGATGATGGTCTTTGGCATGACTAAGCGTGCAGTCGCGATGCATCTGACCATATCCTCCAGCTTCACAGGATCTTGCCCGAACATCGGTGTTCCCTTGATAGGAACAAGTTTGTTGACGGGGAACGATTCTGGGTGTTCAGGCAGCGTGGCCAGCGTATGAATGAGTCCTACGTGATCGGTGCGTGGAGTTTCGCCGAGTCCAAGAATGCCACCACTGCAAACGTGAATACCTGCTTCACGAACATTCTCCAGTGTCTGTAGGCGCTCATCGTAGCTTCTGGTGGTGATGACATTTGGGTAATGTTCTCTTGACGTGTCGACGTTGTGGTTGTATGCCGTCAATCCGGCTTCTTTCAACTCCTTGGCCTGCTGCTTGTCCAGCATACCGAGGGTGACACAGGCTTCCATGCCCAGCGATCTGACTCCTTTAACCATGTCGACAATGTTCTTCATACCTCTTGTCCGACCACGCATGTCTCGCCAAGCGGCTCCCATGCAGAAGCGGTTGGACCCATTAGCCTTTGCGATCTTTGCTGCCTCGATCACCGAGTCGACTGTAGAAAGCTTGGTGGCTTGTAGATTGGTCTTGTACCGAGATGACTGAGCGCAGTAGGAGCAATCTTCGGTGCACCCGCCTGTCTTGATGTTCATCAATGTGCACAATTGTACAGCCGAAGGCTTATGGAATCTGCGGTGGACGGTGCCCTGGAGGAAGAGTCAGTACATGGAATGTCTTATGTTATACGCAACAGTCCACTCACAGCAGCAAAGGCAAGTTCCATCAGAGGAGTCTGATGTATTTGGGAGATCTCTTCCTTGGTCCAGTTGTTGCGAGGGCCGGTTGCGTTGACTGCTTGGTCGAAGACAGAGCGCGACTGCGGCGGCGGTGGGGGGGAGGACTGAGCCAGGCCAGGACCGCCTCGAGGCACATCATGGACGATGCTGTAGTACCTCACCGCAGGCACCTTTCTGGCGCCTCGAACAACACAGCGACTCATGAAGGCTGGATCCATGGCGAGAGGTCGGAGTGTCAACGGGATTCCAGGTGATATGGTTGGCGGGGAGGAGCAGAAATGCCTTACTTGTACCTGGGATTAGTGTGCTTGAGATCGGACAGGCGAGAGCGAAGAGCGATCGATGGGCGGCGGTAACTGGTGAGGGAGGGGCTAGTGAGGCCACCGATGGATCGCTGCGCTGGTGGTTGAGCTCCCGCGTCCGTCTCCGCTGCCGGCGATTTGTGCTGTGCCTGTGCCTGTGGGCTTTTTTTCTGCTGAGAAATTCGGTGATGCGTTTTGGCTTTTTGCTGGGCCTCAATCAGCGTCTTTAGGCGGGCGATCGATCCTGACAGTGACTCCAATTGGAGGCCAATGGACCGTCTCCGTTCTCTCGTCGTCGTCTTGTTCTGTCCCTGTGTGAGGCCGGCCCGTCCATCCTCGGCTTCCGAGGCACCAATACCATAAGACCTGCTATCTTAAAGCCTTGCAGAAATTATATGTAGGTATTATACAGAAGCTCCGCATCTTGCCCGTACAATCTCCAGCTCCCGACTGCTCGGCACAAACACGGCTGATTGCTTCTTCTGTGGAATACAGGTAGCCATATGTCCAGCCAGGCCATATCGTCTTTAGTAGGGCAGCCCGCTATCCAGCATCAGTCCATCTTCGCATAATGGCACCTCTGGAGCCTCAGCCAGCAATCCAATCGCCTGGCTCCCTGGTATCCGCAGTCACATTGTGCTTAGCCCTTCACTCTTGCAAGGTGCCCTCCGAGCATTCTGTGTTCATGATCGCTGCCTGGACTAATGACTGACCATCTCCCCCTGATTCAAGATCACTACTGATAACTAGAGCTTACGCTCTTTGTTCCCAGCTGTCTTTGTACTCGAATAGATCTACCTATCGTTTTTGCATATGTTGTATCGTCTTTTCAAGCAAGCATCAAAATGCACGTCAGACCTGGGAAGGCACAAGACCTCCCGGACTGCGCAACCATCTCTCGCAATGCTATGTTCGATGACAATTTGACTGCATATGTAGCTCCTCATCGCCATAATCACCCAGAATGCTTGCGTCAAGGCATTCTCCGAAGGGCCAAAAAGAGATTCTATGGCGGTGACACTCTGTGGGTTGCTGTAACGGACGACAACGATGCCGATTGGGACGGGCATGAGAAGGTCATCGGCCATCTTTCAGCAAGCTCGACCCGTGAAGCAAATTCGAAGCCCTCGGCGTTTTCATGGAAAGGTAAATGGCTCCTCTTGAGCCAACACCGCACTGGCCGGAAGTGCTAATTGTCACAGGCCTGGAAGTGCGACTTCTTCAGCTCGAAGAACTCTTCATCTGGTACACAAATTCAGACAGATCGATTTCGAGGCGCAAATGGACCGAGTTCGCATCAGGAAAGTGGACAGGATATCAAGATCCCTTTGCCAACTTCAAAGAGTACTGGCACGTCTCCCATCTGTCCGTAGATCCGGAATATCAACGACGCGGCGTTGGTACGGCTTTGATTGAGAACGTGAAGAGGCTTGCTTCCAAAGACACCCTACCCTTGGCCCTTCTTTCAAGCGTCCAAGGGAGATTCCTGTACCTGAAAAGTGGCTTTCGCGAACTCGAACAACTCAATGAAGGAACACTGTACGCCTGCCATCTCATGGCCTGGTATCCAGACTCTTCTAAATGAGTCGCCCGAGTGGAGTCGAAGGAGCAGGTTGATTCTGGCGCTCGTTCTTCTATGGTCAAAGAGATTTCGTTGCTCTCCCAAGATCCGCTGCTCGAGATTAGGTGTACTTCCCGCATCCAACTCTCTCCCCGAACCCAGCAAAATTCTCACACGCAAACCTGGCTCGCTAGCAGATTGACTCTGAAGAGCGGTACTGACTTGCGGTCTGCGTTTTGGTATTGATCGAGGTCTAGCATGCTTCGGGCAACATCTGGAATGTGAGTCTGGCGCATACTTCGGAATTCCCATTGCGGGTCATGCCCTTGCAAATAAACACCCTCAGGTCCTCACATTAACGGAAACTCTCTGAGATGAGTCAGTCTCCCTGTCCGCCAGAATGAACACTATTAGTGCTATATATATACAAACGCTCCCTTTGCCTGATTGCAGAATGTTCGTCTACGTTTGCCCATAACTCGTCTTTCGAATACACGGTATACGAACAAATATTCGACATCACGACCATCGAGAAGGGTTTATAAACTCAACTATTCGCGACGGCTGTACTATTCTGAGGTATAGAAAAGCCTCCCTACTTTTCCAATCGAACCTACGACCCTCGCAAGATGCCGTCCTCAGTATACACCTTCAACGACAGCCAAATGCCTCTCAAAGAAGCAAAAACGGCCCGCATCACCACGGATCCCGACACCTCGCTTTCCGATCGGCCAAATAACTATACAGCACTGCCAACTTCTCGGCTCTCCCGAGACGGGGATGACAAACCTCCAATTTACGCCACAACCTTTGGCATAGAGCTGGAATTCTGCCTGGCATTTAGGGAAGAGCTTTTACGTACCATACTTCAGGAATACCACACAGAAGCAGATATTGTCAAGACCTTTACTGCCCATCAGCATGATAACCTCCTGGGAAAGCTTGCTACAAACCCCATTCCCAATCCTGCTTTGGAGAAAAGGTGGCAGTATTCTTCTTGGGCACTGCATGTTCCACAAAACGATCCCGGCTGCCAGAAGAGCCTGCATCGTGAAATGTATGCCAACCTGATGACTGGAGACAAACAATACCTCCGAAGATACGTAATGGAGCCCCTTCTCATGGCACAGAAATGCCTGAACACGGCCTGTCTCGACAGCAACGTGGTTGGATGGGTGGAACCCGACCGAGATTATCCTGCAGACCCTTCTAAAGCAGAGATACCTTTTCCTGGAGCAGACAAAGACGTCCTGGTGCGAAGTGCCGTAGCAGACTATTCCAAATGGACTCTGACAAACGACTACACCTTGGTGGGGGCATTGAAAAGCCAACTAGGAAACACTTTGCAGAAACGAAACATACCGACACAACAAATCTCCAACTGGGATAGCACAGGTGTCGAGTTGATCACTCCTATCTTCGAATTCAGAAACAAAGAATCGGCATTTCAAGAAATTGAACAATATCTCGGTGCTTTGAGTTCTCCAGACATTTTTATGATGGATTCTGTATGGGCAAGCACGCATGTACACGTCGGCTTCAACTTCGACAAGCCAGCAGATATGCCCATCCTATTGTTGCAGCACCTAGCCTATATCCTTGTGTTGCACGAGGACCTCTTGTCAAAATGCCATCCCAGAAGCCGGTGTGGAGTTGAGTTGCCTGAATCCGTCCCCGAAGAGCCCAGCTGCGATCCACTCGACGATTACTTCGATCCTGACACACCTCTACCGCCTGAGCCAACCGAAGACGAACAGGAGAAAGAACATGAAGATGCGGTCCTTGCTTGGGAGGCCCAATACACTGGAGCCGGTAATGTCGACTCCAACTATTGGTACCTCCATGACAAGCTGCTAGCTCAGGCCCCCACCGACCAGCACCCCAGCATTATCAGGGACTGCATCTTCAAAGAGCACGGCAACGTCCTTGACCTGGTTGAGAACCTACAGCGGCCCATTCCCGACAAACCTGGAACAGTCCACCGAGGATACATGTACAATTTCGCCAATCTCGTGGTCATGGAGAACAACACAACATCGTGGAAGCCCATCAAGCCAACTGTGGAATTTCGCCAACACGCATGCACCACCGACATCGGCGTCATTCAACACTGGGTCGACCTCTTGGAAGCAATTGTTCGGAAAGCGGAAGAGTCGGCCGCTACCACGACAAATCACAGTAGAGAGGCAACAAATACAACACGTACATTTGCTGAGCGGGCGGCAAGCAAATACTCACGTACCTGCACAACATCGTGGCCATACACAAACATGAAGGATTTCTGTGTCGACTTTTTGAATCTCCACGAAGACGAGGGAGAATATTGGCAGACACGATATGACCAATATAAGGACGACAGGCCATCTAGGACTGTGTCCAGATAGGCTGGTACGTTGAGGTGCTGGGTGCAGATTTCGTGGAGGACAATCGGATGCTAGGAGGAAAGATGCTGTTTGGACATGTTTGGATGCTTGATTTATGTGAAAATATTAGGAAAGACCATAACGACAGGATAGTATGCATCTCTATGAGTGAAAGGTTATGTACTTAGGCATTCTTACTGGTACGACGAGGCTCGAGAGAGCCACAATTGGTTCCCCAGCATAACTTCAGCCTTGCCAAACTTGGTTGACAGCCTTGTCGGCACGTGAGTTCCGAGTGAGCCACTTAGACGTCGCCGGTGAGTGGCCGTTCTAGTGGGTCTCGTGGGCCTCTCTCTGTCGAAAGATCCTTCTCGTCCCCAGACTTTCCCACCAGGCCGCGTGTGGTAGTCATCCATCCATACCTGAGAGTTTTTTCTTTCGATGAACTTCTCACCCGTCTCCATATCTTATGGAATGAGCAAATAGCGATATTGCTTGGCTGCCATACGAGGTGATCTACTCACGTTGTAATATGCTTGCTCGATCCTCTCAACCTCATTATACGTGAAGGCATCTGTCAAAGCGCCCTGGCCTCGAGACTCGGCTCCGTCGGATGACCTCACCGCCTAACAAAGCGTCTTTCACCTGTTTGGATGAACATGTAGCCGACAACGGCGTCTCCCACGCCGCTTCTTTTGCGTCCGACACTTCTGCTAGTAGCGTCGACGTTGTGGGAAAGCCACAGTACTCGGATCCTTCGCACAATGAAGCGATAAAACAGACGGCCAAGACATACGTTAGGCCGAGCCTGGCACCGAGAATTTCAACAATTGCTCGTCGCCATTCGTTCATCGATGAAGAAGAAGATCCGGTGGCAGCGACGGTTGCTGTCAACGCTGCCTCGTCTACATCCACCAAAGTTGAAGCAGTGACATGGTCATCTCTCCCTAAGAAGGGTCAATTGGCCGTGCTGACCATTGCCCGGTTATCAGAGCCGTTGACAGAGCGTTCTCTTGCGGCATATATGTTCTATCAGTTGCGCTCCTTTGACCCAAGTCTACCGGATAGCACCATCACACGCCAGGGAGGGTTGTTGACAGCATCTTTCGCCGCCGCTCAATTTGTGACTGCCGTCTGGTGGGGGCGTGCGGCCGACACACCATGGATCGGGCGAAAGAGGGTTCTTCTCGTTGGATTGTTCGGTACCTGCGTTTCCTGTATTGGCGTTGGCTTTTCCAAATCATTCGCCCAAGCTCTGTTCTTCAGGGCTTGTGCTGGATGTCTGAATGGCAACGTTGGTGTCATGAGAACCATGATCAGCGAGATCATCAAAGAGAAAAAGTACGTGTTTCGATGCAGCAGACTCCTTAAATACAATACTAAATCCGCCCATCACAGATATCAATCGCGCGCATTCCTCCTTCTGCCCATGTGCTTCAATATTGGTAAGTTCCTGCTGACCATGGTTATGATCGACCCATATCTAACAGGATAACCCAGGTGTGGTCATCGGTCCTATTCTTGGAGGGTTTCTGGCCGACCCAATAGCTTCGTTCCCAAATGTCTTTGGCCCTGGCTCTGCCATTGGCGGTGACAGCGGCGTTGATTGGATGACTACCTTTCCATACGCGCTACCTAACGTCGTCAGCGCATTTTTCATCCTGACATCCGCTATATGTCTGTTCCTTGGCCTCGATGAGACGCACCCGGCTCTGAAGAACAGGCCAGACTACGGCCGTCGGCTGGGGAAGTTTCTATTTCGTCTTCTCTGCAGGTGGCGCGGCAAAGGGGTCGAAGAGTACGAATACACAGAGCTCTCGGACCACCAGATCGAGTTACAAGATGCAGCAGCAGCAGCAGACTTGGAGGAAGAAGCACATGAGCCACGGACCAGCGACACAGAATCGCTCCGATCAAATCAACAGCCCCACAATCCAGCAAAGCCGTTGCTGAGACGCATCTATTCCAAGAACGTCATTTTGACGCTCCTCTCTCACCACCTTCTCGCATTGCACCTCTCGGCCTTTAACGCCCTGGTCTTCCTCTTCCTCCCCGCTCCCCGCTCAGACAACAACGAGGCTCGACTTCCGTTCTCCTTCGCGGGCGGACTAGGTCTCAGCTCCGAACGGGTCGGCCTTGCAACGGCCATCATTGGAGTCATTGGCTTCCCCCTGCAGATCGCGCTGTACCCGAAGCTCAACTCCAAGCTGGGCACACTGCCCAGCTACAAGTTGTTCCTCCCCTTCTCGATCGCCTCGTACTTTCTGATGCCATACCTTGCCCTACTGCCGGACAAGGCGTACCTGGTCTGGCCTGCCCTGACGGTCGCGCTGGCACTGCAGGTCATTTCTCGGACGTTTGCGTTGCCCGGCCAGACGATCCTCGTCAACAACTGCACGCCTCATCCGAGCGTCCTGGGCACGATTCACGGCCTCGCCCAGAGCATCTCGTCGGGGGCCCGTACCGTGGGTCCCACGCTCAGTGGTTGGCTTTTGGGCGTGGGTCTCGGCAACAACTGCGTCGGCGCGGTGTGGTGGGGGATTGCGGCCGTCGCGGCTCTGAATTGGTGTTTGCTATGGCTCATCTATGAGGGTGATGCAGGAGCCGCAGCCGCAGGGGGATAACATGAATTTTTGAAATTATATATAGCAACCGCATGGGACAATGAGTTATGATTAAATAGATTCTCCCGGACGTTCTCAGATGATGATGATGATGATGAATTTTCCTCCCTTTTTTCCCGTTTGTTTCGCGGCCCAAATCTACTACACCTAGTCTCCAGACCATTTACACGCAGTTGGCGCAGTGGCCAACTTCAACCGCTTTTGGACTTACTCTTCACTCGTTATACCCAGTGTCTCTATCTGGAATGGTTTCCGTCTGCATTCGTCTACTTTGTCGACGTGGAGTGAATGACTGAAGATATCAAACCAGACCATTCAGCATGGCATCGATGTCAAGAAGGACGCTGTCACTGTCAGAGGCTCTCAAGTGTCGAGCACGCGATCTTGGACATACGTAGTTTACATGTGTATTCCGTGTATAGATAGTATACATAGGTCCTTGTTGGATACGAGCAATGCTCTACGTTAGAAGACGGCAAGCGTGGCATCTAGAGGGTATCAATCGCTATTGAAGGTGGCTCTAACTAACTAGTAAAGGCTGGAGGGCCGAAGCGATCTCGGCGCTTCCTACTAATAATGGTCCAAATGACCACCACGAGCGCGAATACACCAGCCACTGCTGCTACGACAATACCCGCTATTGTTCCTGAACTCGGGGAGGAGGAAGAGGACGAGGAGCTTGTCGAAGATTGTGCAGATGCTGTTGGCGTTGAAGTGGTCGTTGCAGCAACAGATGCCGGGAAAGGGATCAGTCCAGTTCCACTCCACATTACCTGTGCCGTAGAGATTAGCACGTCTAAATTCACCACGAGGAGAAAATGAAAATTACAATCAACAGAGAGAGAGAAAGAGAGAGAGAGAGAGATTCCTCACCGAGCACAGCTGAAAGAGAGGTACCTGACCAAGACTCTGAATGTCGCCCACACAGCTCTTGCCGAAATCATACTCGCAGCGTGAAGCAAGCGATAGCATAGAGCTGTCGGTGCAATAACACGATGACATTGCGCTATATCTCGACAAGTTTGTCGAATTGCCCGTGTAGATGTTTGCACAATTACTGGCCTCGGAATAAAAGGGCACGCAAAAGGTAGTGTAGACATCAAAACAGCTTGACTCAAGTTCGAAAACAGCTGTAGACAGCAACGTGGGTGCAGCAGTAGTGGTACTCGACGCAGCCGCCGTAGAACTTCGCGTGCTGAATACGGTGGAGGTAGGCGTCGTGGTCCCAGTCGCAGCAGGCTGTGCGTTCATAGTCACTATGACGACGGATGTCGCACCGCCACTGGGGAAGAAGGCTTTCAAACCCTGTATGACGGTAAATACGGTGGAAATCAACGTCAGAATCACCACTATAAAGGCAAGTCTATTGCGGATAGTCAATTGACGCGGTCCAAGACCCGAAATGTGATCACCTCGAGACTTACAAGAACGTCCACCAGGCGTAGGAATTCCGCCGATCTCGATAGATCAGTTTGATGAGCTTGTCGGGTTCGATATCGCGCAGAAAATGCTCGAGATACTTGATGGAAGGCCACAGATACTTGAATTCCTGTTTTGACCACCGTGCAAGACTCTCGGCGGCGCGACCAGCTGCATTCTCTTCACAGTACTCCTTCAACACACTGTCATGAGGTGAAGAAAGGTGAGGACTAGCCAGCAGATCCTTGAGGAGCTGCTTGTTCTGAGGCCCGAACAGCAGGTAGTAAGACTTCAAGATCTCTTCGCCGCGTTCGCGCCGGAAACCGAGTGAACTGTGATGAGAGAGTCTTGTTTAACTCAAGGTGCAACGAAGGCGACAAGAGTAAAAGGGGGCAGGGAGGCTGGCTTACTCGAGCGCCGCGTCAGGGGTATCGTTTTCCACCAACTTCGGCTCCAACAGATGGCGGGATGGCATGCAGAAGAGATACAGTTCATTGTTCCGTAACTGCATATGTTCACTGCAGTTGAAAGTCCAACGGAACCGCACTTGGCCGATGCGATTGATCAACCGGGCGTTCAAACGACTTTGAAAGACTTCTTCGTGTGGATCGGCCGAGGGCGCTTCCACCCACGACTCCAGCGTCGGCAACAGTCCTAACACATCTGCAATCGACCAGATGGTGAAATTTCCATCGTGATCAAGCTGGTTGTCGTTCAAGGCGAGATTGCTATAGCCTATGAAGCCTGCCTTGACCCTGCTGAAAAATACGGCTCTGATCGACTGGTTCTCAAAGCGCTCGTGAAAGTCCTCTTCCATTATCCACAGGGCAATAGAGCTGACCACGTCGTTAATGCGCTCCCTTCGCCAACGGGCCTTCGCGAACTCGTCACTGTCATCTAAAGAGAAAATAGAGCGGAGATGGTCTTCTTGTGTACGCAGATATTTGCCCACCGTGTGATTGATTCTTTCTTGGTGGCCGAAATACTCGACCGCCGTGATGAACAGTTCGACGAGGTTGCCCAGGTGCGGCTTCCCATCTGCACTGCTTCGCATAAGCCGAGTGCAGATATACTCCAGATAAGGGTCGAGCTGGTTGTTGTCCGTGTTGGATCGCTCAGCGGCAGCATCGCCGTATTGCAACGCGTTCAACAGCCTTTCGCGAAGCCGTGCATCCAGATGGAATTCTGCTCCATGGTTAGCATCCATCATCGGCAGCAAAGGGATCGGCATTATCAGCCTGCACCATCGTGTCCTCGTCCACTTTTAGTGAGGCGCTCTCTGAGTAGATGTCGACTCATTGCATGCTGAGAGCTTCGAAAGATCGCTTGGGCAGTAAGATTCCAATATTAGCCAAAGCAGGAGCGGCTGCAACGGATTTCCAGATACTTAGATCACAAAGATCAGCAAATCCCTAAGGCTTCTTTTTAGAGAGACTTCAGTCTCAGCCTGACCAAATGTGCCTTGCTTACAGGGGTGTGTGTGCGTGTATGTGTGGCCGAGGCGACCGCATCTATGCCATACGGGCGAATTGAGTTCCACACAACACTTTGCCCATGCAAGCAAGACGAATCAGCATTGGACTGGAATCCTCGAAAGGCGGCTTAAGAAGGCGAGAGAACGACCAGCTGAGGATGTTAGTCTGTCTGGAAAACGAGGCCAAAGAAACAACACCAATGAAGTCCAGTCGTGGCTGAGTGCTAGTCACAGCCCGAGCAAGCCTCACCATCCATCACCCCTTTGATCAGACGAGATTGTTTCCGTATGACTTCTTCGTTCCCTTAGTTGCAGAGACCATGCCTTGAAAGGGTGCGCGCGCTCCAGCCTCGAATCAGGTAGTGATGGCCCATGGGTGGCGAAGTATGGAAAGCTCGAGGACGATGGTGTCCAGGCTTGCCATGTCGTCTCCCAGCGAGTCGCTCTTATCTCTCGTGCACTCGTCCTCGAAAGTGTTGTTTCTGTTGTGATTCTTGACTGGGCAGCGCAACGCTCAATAGTCTTATTCGATCAACATGTCCGCTGTGACCGCGACGGAGGCTCATGATGCCGCAGACAAACGAGCATTCAATCAGGCTGAGGCTTTCACAACATCGTTGGCGCATGTCCTAAGAAGTGTTCTGCGCCTAGTCATTGCGATGCCTCAGCCCCCGTACATACTCTCTCTGCTGTCTTTGAATCTGCTATGCGAGAGTATTCGGGTAAACTCATCCGTGATAGCATACTTCAAAGATCTTGGGAATCTGTCGGTAAGCACGATTCAACCTGATCTTTCAGTCCTGTGATTGATTAAGTTCCATACTTTAGAACACCTTTTCCCAGTGCGCATACTCGGACAAGACTTATGGTCCCAGGCGGGTTCTGGGGGCTGTTGAAACCCTACTGCCCGAGAAAAAAACTATCGACCTTGGAGATTGGTCTCTCGAGACACATGGAACATCGAACTTTCCCAGAAAAGCAGCCGCTGAGGTTTTATCAGCCATTCCCGGCTCTCAAGGCTTCTGTCTCTGGCCCGACGGCAGCCTTGAAGTCATCATGCTCCCGGGTAGACTTGTCGAATGGTACAGAAAGCCTTGCCTTCCTTGCCTCGCCGGTATAAGGATTCGCTTGTCCCAATTGCAAATTGCTGGACCTGATGATGACCGAGATACGGCGGCGGCGGAGAGGACAAGACGCCTTTTGATTCACAGGCTCTCTGGACCGACGGCTACAGCCGCCACTAGACCAAAGAAACTGGGCGAAGTCAAATCTCACCGTGCTACACCAAAGAGATATCGGATACTTCGATCGCCTAATATCCGGAAATGGAGGTTTCGCAACAAAGTGAACCACCTATGCAAGCAGATAGAGCTTTCAAAGAAGGCTCCGTCGCACCCCATCTTGGAGTCGGAGTCCAGGCCGGGCATTACGGGTGTAGCTTTCTCGTCTCCACGTACTCTAGAGATTGATACCCAACCTTTGCGAGAAGAACTAACACGAGGGCGCGAAATCTCCCAGCTTCAACGGCCCAAATACAGAGATGCAACAGTGAAGGTTGTCAGGTCATCTGAAAACAGCCGACATAACGGAGGCGGCTCACAGACCCATATTTCGGCTGCGGAGAGCGAGGCTGAACCCGTCCCTGCTCCAGCGGCACCTGAATTGAATGGAGCAGCCGGTGCTAAAAGAACGGACTCGGGAACTCAGGAAGCAAATGGCTTCGTTCAAGGGCCAAGAATGGGTGCCATATCCCTCGCAAGTACTCCGCCAGAAGACGTGCCCCTACCACCAACACCTCCGCCAGCAGAGTCGCCTGAGGACGCCGTGGAGCCATCACCATCTCAAGAAGTCATGGCAACACGCTGGATTGCGTCTCCATGCAACATCAGAATCGGCACCTCAATCAGTACGGCGGGGGTCAAAGTCCGGCAGGCTAACTCGACAGAACAGTTCGTCACAATATCTACGCACGCTGCTTACGAGGGTTGTTGCAAGAAGCCGCTGCCGTATTGCAAACCGAAGAGCAGAAAGATCTTCAGCAGAAACGCCAACAAGCCGCTACCTAATTTGGTCGGCGTATTGGTACAGGATGCCAGTAGACAAGATGTTGAGGTGAAATGCCCTTGGCCAGACAACAGCATGTGGCTTGACTAATCTGTCCAGGTTGGAAAAATATTCGAGAACACAGATGTTACGTTCGCTGCGGATGATAGCCTTGTTTTTCCGAACGAGTTCCCCAACAATGTCTCGTTAGTCGGTCCACTATCATCTACAACACGCCTTGCACATCGGGCAGGCTTGGTATGGAGCGAGCGCATAAACCCCGATGGCGTGTCGCTACGGATCCTAGGTGACAATGAGCAGGCCGAATCGTTTGCGGTTGGGACTTACTTTGATAGCCCTCTCCCGGTCAAGCACGGCAAGGAAAAGTTGGAGCTATCCGCAAGAGATATTCACAGGTCGCTCCTCTACCGTCGCAACGGAAAACCTCCCCAGGATGCTGGCAAGTTTCGTGGCGCGCCGGTCGTGCTACGTGATGCAGAAGGAAAGTATAAAGAAGTGATTGGGTTCGAGGGTTTCCATTTCAAACCCATGCATGCGCAACACGAGAATCTGCGGATGGACTCAAAGGACGTCATGCAGAGGATCATCACTGGCCACGTCACAACCATATACGGCGCCATCAAGCTGACGAGAGAATTCAAACGAATATGGCAGATTGTGGATGAATAGGGATTCTTAGCATTCAAGGTTGGCCTTTTTGCTCACTAAGAGACAGTCCGGGGTAGGATGTTTATGAGACTCGTGGACGGGACCATGATGCGCTAAGTTGAGTGTTTGCTCGGCCATGGATAGTCACGACCATTTGGCCACGGCGAAAATGCCAGATATAGATATCGGCCACAGGGTCTGTATCCGGGGAGCAGACCCTACAATACCCGTCGCGACAATACAATGTTGACGTGCGTTCCTCTTGACGTTGATCCCTGGGAGATTTCTCGTGGTGGAACAAGGTTTCAAGATGATCCTCTGAGGTAGACACACTGAAGTAAAATGCCTCACAAGGTCCACTTTTGGCAAGAGAATCATGACAATATCACGGAGCTGGCTACGCTGTTCGTCTTGCAGAAGAACACATACCCCAAGAATGGGCACGGCCTTGAGAAATCGGTAGATCGATGTCATCGTCGCCTGTATCACTCGTCTTAAGGGAGTCCCCAGAGGCGGCATTGACATGGGCTGCCTGAGATTTTGCTCTCTCAGGCGTTGAGTTCCAACGCGCAGGCCCTGGGCCCACTTACGGCTATATCAAGATGCTCCTGCACTCGTATGACCCTACGGATCCATGGCCAAGTGGAGAGACGCCTACAATATAACTTGTGTACATCAGAGAAGGACAGAAAGATCCCTGGGACTCATCGAGCATAGCGGAATCTGCAAAAGCTGAATGTGGTTTCGTAAAGGTCGTTGTATTGTCCCAGAAAGATCTAGAGTTACTTCTCCTCTTTAATGTTTTTGCATATTTGTTTGCAGAGTCTCTCTCTCTCGCCATGATGGAAGTTCCATATTACAGCCCACCCCGTGCAAAACACAAGCCCGCTCAAAGCTTCCCAATCTCAAAAGCAATCCTTAATCAGCTCATTTCAAGTTCACATACACATCATAGCACTTCCGGACCATGGCGGCGTTGTGCAGCTTCGAGTCTCAGCAACGTACCCACCTGCGAAGAAGCAGGCCTGGTGTGCGCAAACCCACCAGTGACCTCTTCCCGCTTCTTGACACGGCCGAATAAACACGCCCAGAGATCCTGTGAATCTACCATCTCACCGCCATTCTTGCCTGCAGCAAGCAGTTTCGACAGATCAGCAGCCTGCAGTTCCATCGAATTTGCTGCGTCTATAGCATTCTCCTGCAACGACGTGGAGGGTGTCGCTGTGCCAGAAGCTGAAGATGACGAAGTGGCCTTGCTTTTCTTCCCGTTTCCTTTCCCTTTTCCCGAATGCTTACCGTCGGAAGTGCTCTTCAGATGGGCCAATCGTCTCGCCACGGAAATTTCGTAGATACTCTCTTCGACCGTATCGGCAATCAAGTACATCCACACCGTGGTAGGTCGGTACTGGCCAATTCGATGGACACGCGCAATGGCCTGCAGCTCGATGGCCGTGTTAATCAGGGGCTCGCAAAGAAACACGTGACTTGCCACCACGAGGTTCAGACCGGCGGAATGTGCTTTGGCATGCAAGAGAAAACACTCGATCGAAGGATCGGCCTTGAAGTTTTCAATCCCGTTCTTGGTATCGAACCGCGTAGACGAGATCTTGTACTCTGAAAATGCCCGGGCAAGGACGTCGATAAACTCGCGATACTGGGAGAAGATGATGGACTTGCAGCCTGGATCGTGCTCGCGGAGCCACAGGATATGTCGACACAGAAAGTCGATCTTACTGCCAAAGCTTGGGCCACGAAGATCGATGTCCTTGATCTGGTTCAGCATGGTGGTGCTGATATCTGAATAGATTGACTGGTCGTGAGATCGATCGGGACCGGAGGGAGAATTCATCAGAGAGGCCGACGAAGGGGACTCGGCCTGCACCGCGATCTCCGCTGGCTTGTACGCTATGTCGTGAAAGCTATTCGGATGTAGCGTGGTCTTGCAGATTGGACAGTTGCGATGTTGGGCCCACCATGTAAGCACACAGTCTTTGCAGAATTGGTGGCCGCAAGACGTCATGGTTCCAACCTCAAACTGATCAGTGCAGATTGTGCATACTCTCGGCGCCGAAGACTTGGTCTCTGTCGCCTTCATGTGAAGTAGGTACCGTAATTTGGCCGACAATGAGACGAGTTTCTTCTGATGTTTGGCTTCTTCCTTTTCGAGGTTGGCATAATGGTCGTCCGACATCGGCTTTCCGATATTTTCTTCTTCAAACGGCGCCACGGTATCGGAAATTCTCTGGAGCGCACGATAGTAATCTAGACGGCTATTCATTGTGTCGCGGAATTGGTTGACTTCTTGTTCGAGGCTGGTGAGACTTTTCGTCTGGGCGGTGTTCAGTTGTTGCATGTGCTTTAGCACGCGCTCAAGGATAGCAGCTTCATGGCCTGCTCGAACGTGACCGTTTCCCTCCTGCCACTGCAACGAAGTGACCATCTGTCTGACTTCTGCAATCAGGCCTCGCAGGCAACCAAATGTGGAGACCTTGACCCTCTTGTGTTCTCGCTCTGCAAGCAATTTGAGCATCAGCTCGGGTGCAGGCCCTTCACCTTCCTTCGCGGCTCGGAGAAACTGCTTCATCTCTTGTTTGATAAGCATGTTCTCTTGCCCGGTGAGAGCTTCGCTCCGGTCCGCAGAGAGCGCTCTGAGTGCCTCCATGTAAGCATACATTTCATCCTGATGCTTCGTAGAGCTTTCATATTCGTCACCCTGCAGCTCGACTCCCTCATCTTCGTCAATAAGGGCTTGGCTTAGAAAGTCAGCCATCTTCATCCGCAGTTCACGTAACTGTTGGGCTTGGATGTTCATGGCTTCACAATAAGCATCGATCTTGTCAAAGATTTTGCGACTCTCGATCCCACCATACCCATCCGGCGCTCCGAGATCAGGAATCGCTACGGAGCCGCTGGAAATACTGCTTTTCACCGTCGTAATCAGCTTGTTGACGTGACGTAGGTTCTCCGCAAGGAGTTCGCCACGTATAGATTTGGCTTTCTCATATGCTGTGGTTTCTTTCTTTTCGTATTCTTCAAAAGCCTCGCTTCCCTCGGTTTCAAGCTGCTTCAACTGGAAGGAGATGTTTCCCATGAAGAAGATGGCAATATGTTGTACTTCCAGCGCAGATCGTAGCCTAGCGCGCATGGTGGTCAATCGAGCACTAGTCTCTTCATTGTCGTCGTCCTCTACCTTCAGGGTTTCAGAAGTCTTTTGTTCTTGTTCGAACTGCTGACGGCATTCCTCGACGATGACGCACGCTTGCTCATACACATCTTTATAGACTGCTTGAGCTTGAGCAGTGGCTTGAGAATTTTCAAGAAGTTGTCCCCTGCGTATCATTGTCATCAGGTGAGTTCGCTGAACACCACGTACTAGGCCCTCTTGTAGATCGATCATTACGTCTAGAACCTGCTCAACCGTCCTCAAGGGGCCATTATGGCTTCTGCCTAGAGCACGACGATTGTGACCGCCGACCTCTGGGTGAAGACAAGTCTGTCGCAGACGAGTAAGCCATGTTCTCATCTTCTCAATCATCGTTGGTGATTCAGGGTCCCAGTCACCGGTTTGTGGTGCACCTGTTCGATCAAGATCGCAATCCTCACAAAGCTCCTGGAAAAGTTGAGAATAGTGTTGTTCTTCGATGGGTGTGAAGGGGATCGTAATTGTATGCCTGCTTTGAGGGGGCAGCCGCAAGTCTTCTCGAACAAAATCCTTCGTATGCCTCATAGCAACTTCGCCTAGCATATCTCTGAAAAGCGGCCGATGATAGCTTACCAGATGGTCCCACAGCCGAGTCGAGTACGACCATGGAACGCTGCGAAGAAATAGGAGCAGGCCATATAGATCTCTGTGTCCCTTTCGCAAAGGAGTGCCCGTGACTGCCCAAGCATTGACCCTAGGAATGAGGCGAGCAACAGTCGCTGCTGAAGATACACCGCTCTCAACCATCTGGGCTTCATCGAGACAAACTCTCCACCACGAAATCTGCGTGAGAGGGCTTTTTAGATGTTCATATCGCTGAGGGTTCCGGAGTTGGCGACCAGGCTTCTCACCCACATAATGAACCTCTTTAGCAATAACATTGTAGGTGGTCAGGACCACGTCCTGGTTTAGAAGCTCCTCGATGAGTTTGTCTCCCGCTTTCTTGTAGGTGCCAACACCTGGGTAATAATACACACGTAGAGAGGGAGCATGTACCTGCAGCTCCTGTTTCCATTGCTTCAGGATCGTAGGGGGGGTGATGATTAGGGTGGAAGGTGATTGACGCAAACCGATCGTGCCGCGCAATGCTGTTGGTCTAGGGTTCAGGCCGATCAAAGATATTATCTCCAACGTCTTTCCAAGGCCCATCTCATCGGCCAGAATGCCACCTTTGATAGGGCCGAATCGCTCTTGAATTGAAGACAAGTCGGTTGAGAGCAGCCCCAAAGCATGGTTGACATAGCATGTGACCCCGTCCGAGTTCTCAGCCCTATCAAATCCTTGGGGTAGAAAGTCCGCTGGAGGATCAGGCAGCAGCTGGGGCTCACCGCTAGACATCAGATCAATGCCTTCCCTGCGTAAAAGCCATCTCACGCCACGACGCTGGAAGGGAAATAACGAAGACTCCAGGAACGGGACATTGATGTCTGCAGATGCTTCCTCTGATTCTTCGGGTACGTGGACGCTATCATAGAATTGACGGGGTTCCCATGACTCAAATAAAGGACCTGGTGCGGTTTTGGGAGGGACATAGCGAGCGAGGATAGCGAACAACTTTGGGTCGACCTTGTCCCTCAGCGAGACAGTATCTTCCCACAGAATCAATGTGTTCAACTTAACTCCGCTAGCAGTAGTCTGAATGCTAGAATATGCACATGCCAGTGGCGGGGCGGCAGGATGTCTGTATCTCACAGCGGAATCGAGATGTGTCGAGTCTAGCAGTATCTGTCTGTCCGTCGCACCCAATGGCACTTTCACTCGCGCCTGTTTCAAGCCCCTTCTCTTCCCCACGCTCAAAGTGATCAGAACTTGTTCGTCCGAGTCTAAAAGAGATTCGACAGTCACGGGAAGGGGAAGGTCGTCCTCATGTAAATCTGCTGTCTCGAGATCGGTGTCGAGTACGTCTAACGTGACTTGCGCGATCGGGCTATACGTCGAAAATGGAGGAGGTAGGACGAGCTTGGCAACGTGATAAGTCTTGCGCCTTTTGGGAATAGGTTCATCGCACTCCTCCATGGCGACAACTAGTGAATATCAGATGCAATACGGTAAGTTCAAACATAAGATAGATTTTGAGGCAAAAGTGCAGGCGGCGAGCCTCAATGGAGAATCGATAACGATGCGGGGAATTTGCAGCCTTGTCAGCCTTGTCGGACCCTAGCGCGATCACGTGTCAGGCTGTGACATAGTCTCTCTCCCCAGCCTTGTCAAGAAGCCACTAAGTCACGTGTCAGGCTATCCTCGGGTCTTCCCAATGTGCAGTGAGTTTATCGAGGGTTTCCGAGGATCATACTCTCAGAGATTCCTCCCGGAGTCATGAGCTGAGCTTCCCAATCAATTACTACCTGATTGATGTCAGTCACAAAAGGTTACCTCTAAGCGTGGAGACGCTTCTCGGTTGCTACAAGGAACACAACTGATCTTTGGCCACCTCATATCCCACGCATCGCCACGCAGAATCGAGAGCTGACTTTACAGTTCTGCACAATCCCGCAACAATGGGGCAACGAGATCGGTCTCGCCCACTTCAGCCTGGGTCATCTTTGACGATGCAGGTCCAGAGCTTAGCACCCATCCTAACCCGGCTTCATTTCGCTCCGGAATCATGAACCGACAAATAAGGCCCGCATCCAGAAAATCAAAGACGTCATGAAATTGACAGGAAATCAGCCAATTCTCTGGTTGCAAGAGAACAATGTACGATGTTGATGATAATACAGAGAGGGTGATGCCAGCATCTCTAAAGGCTATGCTCTTGTATGCAATGCGCTATTTACACTACTCCACGCGAAGACAAGAAACCAGCGACGCTGGAAAAACGTTGATTAAATGGCCCTCCATCAGGAGAGACATCAACCTCATTTAGTTCTTCAACAACTGGACTAGCCACGATACTCCCATATTCTTGACAACGAGCTAGTGACTAAGTACCCATTTGTTGCATGAGAAGCCGCTTCATTTATTGGTTGGAACGGTCCATGAAGATCTTGTGGCAGGGGATCTGAGGAAGAAGGTCGTGCACCATGAATCCTTCGTACTGATATCCACACTAGGGAAAGACGAAAAAAAGGTATCTCCACCAGACGAGGCGTTAATTATTCTTATACTCAATGTAATCCTGGTTCCCTGTCTCCCTGGCTCCCGAACAGATGTTGTCATACAGACTTCACACTCTCCGCTCTTACTCAAACTTGACTCGTGGAAGCAGCTACATCGTAGTTGAGGGAGAAGATGAGTACAGATGTACGCAATACACACTACAACGTCGAGCGCAACGTCGAGCGCCCCGTCCTTCAGAAGGGAGTAGACAACGATACTAGCCTTGACACAGACGAGAAGCGAGTTCCGAAGCAAACCGTTCCTATCTACAATGAACTGGAACTAGCATCGGAAAATGATCTATCTTTGGGTAGCATCCTCAAAGGTACAGCCGCTAGACCACTCACAAACTTCGAGAAAAAGGCGGCTCTGATCAATAGGTAAGCTGAAATCTCTCTCAAGCCGCGCAAGAAGCGTTCACTAATACCTCATAGAGAGCTCGACAAGTTTGGCATGGGAAGATACCAATGGTGTATCTGGTTCCTGTGCGGCTTCGGTTATTTCCTCGATCTTGCGTGGTCCCAGGGTGTGGGCTTGATCGCTTCAGCAATCTATCAGGAAATGAACGTCGCTCCCAACCACTGGGGTAACATCTGGTCATGCGCCAATGCTGGCCTCGCGGTCGGCGCTCTGACCTGGGGCATCCTTGTCGACATTATTGGAAGACGCTGGGCTTTCAACCTTACCTGTCTAATCACGTCGGTCTTCGGCCTCCTCCTCGCAGCGCCCAAATACAACTACGGGGCCATTTGCGGCATCTACTTTCTGGCTTCCCTCGGGCTAGGCGGTAATATTCCAATCGACGCCACGATTGCTTTGGAATTCCTTCCCCAGAATCGTCGGTCCCTGGTCGCCCTTCTGTCTCTGTGGCAACCAGTTGGCGTCGTCGTTGCTTCCGCCGTCGCTTACGGTACCACTGCCAAGTGGCGATGCGGGAGTACCACCCTTCCTGCCTGCAACACCGTTCCGAGCGGAGAGGCTTGTTGCTCAGTCTCAAGCAACATAGGCTGGCGCTATACTCTCATCGTGCTGGGATGCATGACCCTCTTCGTCTTCTTCATGCGATACTTCATCTTCAAGTTCTACGAGTCGCCCAAGTTCCTCATCAGCAAGGGCAAGGAAGCCGAAGCTATCGAGGTGTTGCACAAGATCGCCAGGTTCAACAACGCTCTGCCACCCACCTTGACACTGGAACAGTTCCAGGCCGTCGATGCTGAAGCCGGACCAGTCGCTCCCGCGGCCACGACCGGGAATGTTCTCAAGAGCTTCGTGAACAGCTTGAAGCACCTGAAGGGGCTTTTCACCAGCAAGCTACATACGTTCATCTTCGTCTTACTTGCGATCGCGTACATGGGCGATTACTGGTCTTTCAACTTGGCCGGCTCATTCTTGCCCATCATTCTGCTCCGTAACAACGTCTCAAGCGGCCAAGATAGTGTGACCGACACCTACAGGCAATACGTTTACATCTATCTTCCTGGAATTTTGGGCGCGGTTCTCGCACTGTTGACGATCCAACTCCCGCTCCTCGGACGAAAGTGGTCACTTGTGTTCTCTGCTTGCTGCCAAGGCCTGGCCATGGCTATGTACACCCAAGTCAAAACGACAGCTGGCTACGTGGGGCTCAACGCCCTGGAATACCTTATGCAAACAGTAAGTAACCGTCCAGTCTTGTAGAGCACGTTAATTGAAGGGGTTGCTTACAATGTTCAGTACTTCAACGCTGTTCTGTATGCATCAGCACCTGAGCTATTCGACACGACCTACCGTGGCAGCGCGACTGGCATGCTATCCTGCCTGGGTCGGCTCGCTGGTATCGTGGCACCTTTCGCTGGTACGTCTTTTCTCTTTCCCTCCACCCCAGATTGCCCTCGAGCGTACTAATCGATTTCTCCACTAGGTGAGAAATATGTCGCCGATGCCAGCTCCGGGGTTTTGTGGCTAGGAGCCGGAGGTATTTGGCTCGCCGCCTTCGTAATGGTTTTTCTACCAGTTGAAATGAGGAACCGACAGATGTTCTGATGAACGCACAATGATATGCGTGCGGAGCAGAAGACGGCTACACGCGTGCCCGTTGCTCCATTGTCGTTCTCCGTGCTCTAGTCAAATACACAAAGAGAATGAGTGATTTGTTCATGCAGGTCATCCCTCCACATCCTCGTACGGAGTACGTCTCACTTATTCACATTTGGGGGTGCTGGCACCCGAGCTCTGTGCTGAAAACACGATGGGCGAAGGCGTATATAATATTATTGCCTCCATTAGGAGATTAAAGATCACCAAGCTATCAAGTTTCAACGGCAGGACAGTGGTCACGGGACGAGCATCAGTAGGCAGCACAATATCATTTTCCTCATCTTTAAAGGAGGGAACCTCTGGGGCAAGCGACCACTTTGTATAATGGGTTCGTGAAAAGTTTGCTGATATGCGAAGCGCAGTGTACTCCGCCGTCTGTAGCGTGCTGCACTCTATGCACCGTGGTGCCAGACAGAAAGATGAGACGCTGTATGCGCACGCATCAACATGAAGGCGAAGAGCGCGAGGATTGAAGGTATGTAGACTCAAACGTCCACAAGAAGAGACTCATAAATTGTGAAATTCTCGCCGTTGACTGTGGTTCTCGACAAGACCTACTCGCCTGGAACTCGGGGCGTCTAGGACAATAACCCACGGAGTCTCTCAAGGCGTATATGTACCTGGCGCAATATCTTGGCGAGCGACATAGTCAGGATAAGCCATCGATGGGTGTGTTGTGATCTCGAATGATGTCAACACTGCCTTCAAAAAAGATGCACAAGGCGAGTGAGCTTAAAGCTGAGTGAGAATTGTAGCATATCTTCAGCCTCTAGCGTGATTGAAGACGGAAGAGAAACAAAAGCTCCCAATGATTTTAATTATTCCATGTAAAAGCTGGTATCATTCAAGTGTTGTACAGTGTCCAATTCCATTTCCATGCCGTGAACTAGCATAACGCTCTGCGTCAAGCTGCTTGATGTAAGCAGAACTTTATCAACGAACAAAAACGTCCTTGCCGATTCCGTTAATCCATATCCATGTCGCTGGCATCGTTATCTTCGGCCTCCGCACCGACTGAGTCGTCATCCATGTCTTCGTCGCTCCGTTCCGCGAGTAGATCTTGAGTGATTTCATCGTTGAGATCTTGGCCTGTCCGAGCGACCGCGGCGCCTCTTCTGGAGCGAGTCAACGTTGACTGGGATGGTGACTGGACCTTGCGACTCTTCTTTCGTGATGCGTTGGTAAGAGCTGGAGCAACTGATTCTGAAGCTGCAGTCCCAGCGAATTGGGGACGATACATACGAGCATGGTAGATTTCGATGTCTCTGTCACCATCCCAGACCTCGAGCCTCCGGCTAGTTCGCCTCATGATTTTCATCCACATCTCGGCCTCTTCTCCGTGATCATCAGGTTCATAGCCGGCAGGAACACCTCGATCGGTATCGAGGGGTTGTCCGACCCATCGGCGCCCTAGCAGGCCACCGAAGCTAACTCCTCCATGCTCTTCCGCTTCTTCTTCACTGTCATACGCGCCGGGAAGCTCATGGACCCGTCTGGCAACCTTCAATAGCCATTTTCCGCCCTCTCTCAGCTGTCGAGATACTTTCAGCGTCTCTTTGCGTCGTCTTCTCAGAGCCCATTCAACGCGACGTTGGCGATGCTCCTCGAGTTCACGTTGGTATCCGGTTCGAGCCCTCGACTTTATTGTATTAGATCCAGGCTCACCAGGGCGGACAGCGAGTATGTCAATTTCTTTCTTGTTTCGATGAGAGCCATATTGGGAGATCGCTGTGTGATTACCATGACCAGATTGAAAGGGTTGTGGGGTACCCCGTAACCGATCGACGGTGTCTGGAGTACCTCCATCTCGTGCCTTGGCGAGGCTCTTGCGACCGTCGGTCTGCCTGCCGCTAGCACCGCCCCCTCTAACTCGTGAAGGCGTGTTTTTGCCTCTCACACGCTTGTATCGTCCGCGACCTGGATGCGGATCAAAGACTTCCCAGTCGTCATCAAGACTATCGGCCTGTCCACCAAGCATGCTACTCATGATCGGCCCATGGTGGGCTTCCGGGGTCGCAACGCCGGGACTTGCTCGTGAGTCCACGTCTGAGACAAAAGAATCATCATCACCATAGAGAGCGCCCCTCTTCAACCGCTTGACGGCCTTGTGATCGGGATTTCCGGGGTCCACCATTGTGAGAGGCGGCTCGTTCGCAACTTCCAGCATTATTCGCCTTCTCTCTTCTCGCATTCTGTCCCCGAAGGCAAGCTCCTCTTCAGGGTCCTCGTTCTCTTTGTCTCCTTCTTCTGGAGTAATGGTGACCAAGTCAGGAACCAAAAGAGGCACTGTGTCAGCGTCATTAGGGTCCTCGCCCTCTTTATATTGACCCGGGCCGTAGGGGTTATTCAGGGCGTCTGCTTTCGTAAAATTAGATTCGAGATACCACCACATGAGCCATAAAAATGCCCGAGCTCTGCTTTCAGAGCTGATAGTGTGCCGCATGGCTAAATCGAAGAAGTCGACTTTATCTGTGAAATGAGATTCACTGATAGTGGGTGCAGACTGTGAGAGGACAAATATGAGGTTGACTGGGTTTGTCCGGGGAACCGGTTTGGCTTTAAGGGCTTCCAGAGTCCGAGGTTCATCGGTGTCTTCGCTGGCGCCTTTCAGGATACTCTTGAGTCTTGGTGCATCTTGTAGTGACTTATAATCTCTTTGACTCTTGTAAGCTTGCAAAGATGGGATGGAGTGGTAAGTCCTCAGCTGAGCTCTCATCTCAGGGAAGAAGTTCAAAGTCGTGTTCATGCGGCCAACATTCACCAACAAGCAGATCATGGCCATGTTCTGCGCCGCTTGTCGATCGATCTGTAGTCGGTCTTTGAGGATCTTGCTTGTCTTGGAGCTCCGCGCCATGCAGTCAACGTAGATGTCGAGAAATGTGCAGCCTAGTTTGCCATCACTCAATCGGGTGAAGACTGGTTTTGTGTCGGCAGTGACGCGCGTCAAGAACTGGTACTGAATCTCCTTGCGGTATAATGGCTCGCCATCGGGTTTCTTGATGTGTCTGATCTTGCTGCCAGAGTAGACGGACCCAACCGTCCCGTTCGCTTGCCTTCTAGTTCCGACCGCAGTCCCCACAGTCCTGGCTTCGGACTCGGGGCTTGCCTCAGACTTTTTGGTCCTTGAGTGGGATACAGACACGACGCTGCCTTCATCTTCTGTGGCTTCCTGAAACTGTTCTTGTATCCATGCCGCAGACTTTCTGGGCTTCGCTTTCCTGCCAGTAGACACTCGCGAACGGGCAGTGCGCCGTACACTTGTAGGTGTTGAGATGGATGGAGCGTCTTCTTCCAGCTGAGACTGCTCCTGTTCAAGCTCAGTAACGTCTGGCTTTGTTTCTTCCGCGGGCTCGTCGATAGTATCGGCGTCCGAAGGCGCTCCTGAGGGTTCACGAGAAGTCATCGTATTGGAAAGGTCGGGGGGCTTTTGGGGATCAGCTGATGGGCATTTTATGGCCTGATATGATTGCAATCAGATTTCGCGAAGGAAACAATGCTCATAGGGAAGGAAAGAAAGAAAGAAAGATGGTGCTAAATCCAAAGTGGTTGCTTCAATTGTCAGTCTTCATGCGACGTCTCTCGACTCCTGCCAAAACGCGCCAAGCGGCTCTCGGGTAAGCTGCCTCTTGCGACTACCGCCTCTTTACCTACCATATTACTAACTAACTTGGTACGAGTGAACACGTTCTTCCTCAGATACGCGTCAGAGAGTGTGTACCAGGTATGTCAGAAATGAAGCTGAATTGTAGAGCAAAGCCAGTCAAGGACTTGCAGAACCCTCAGTCCAAGTTAGCTAATTTCATTCTTACTGCGGTTGAGAATGCAGGGAGCTTGATCCGGCGGACCTCACCGCCTGCTCTCATACACCTGAATCTCCCTTCCGACACCCAACTTGTCTTGAAATCAGTCCATGAGTCCGGTTTAAGGCACTTCTAATCATGATGAACTGGATTTTGGGCGAGAACTTCTACGAGCGTTGCCCTCGTTTGAGCGGAGTGAAGGCACCGTAGGAGGCAGAATGAAAATTCTCCGTCCCACTGAGTGTTCATCCATTCCAGGACGGCAAGTTGGAGGACTTTGCACCCATCTTCGATAACCTCATCCGTGACAATGTGAACAACGCCTACTCCGATGACTATACCGAGTATTTCCTGCTTCCAGCGGCCGAGGAATTGACCGATGCTGCACCCTCAGCTCAGGGATTGGACCGTGCAAAAGTAGTGGAGCTCTTTAAATGTGCGGCATGAGTCTATCTACCTTATGGTGTTTTCTTAAATCCCCCATTCGCAAGACTGAGTATTGGGACTATGCACCTGTATCGTTCCATTCTCTCCCTGTGCCTCAAAATCCCAACTCTGTTATCTTTCGCCACATTCTCGGAATGAACACCTTGGCCTCACCAATATGCTTGGCCGTCCAGGCTGTCGCGTTTGCAGCTTCGGCCTCTTTCCCATCGAAAGCATGCACATCATCAACCTCATGAATGGTAAGATACCTTGACGGGTCCCCTTCGGTGATTGGCATTTTGGGCCCAAGAACATATCTCAGTGACCTGCGATACCCGGGCAACCTGCTCAAAAGGTCCAGATGCTCCTCGCGATACCAGCGATCGAAGTCCTCTTCGTTTTCGGGCGTGGGCTCCATCTCCACGGTAAGTAGATATGGTGGAGCAGCTTTGGTCCTGCCCGTCAGCTATGCACATAGGCCGACATAATAGCTTTCTGCTGTCACGATAGTGAAGAGGAGGGGTAGAAAAAGTTCCAAGGGGAAACAACTCACAATCACCAATCTTGTTCGGGTCGTACTCCTGAATGAGTCTGTAATTGCGCCCGTCGAAGTCACCTATCTCGCTGGTCGGTTTCTGTGCGGGCCACATGCTGCTCGAACTCCGGACTTTCTCAAGATAGTTCTTGGACTTGAGCGGCTCTTCAAAGTCCGTCTGGTACAGAGCGAGGAACGAACGAGGGTGGCGGTCCTTGGGAGCGCCTGCAAAGTCGTGGCTTTCTTGGTAGAATGCTGCACGAGTGGATGTGTGGCTGTTGACGAGGTCAGGTAGCTAACGTGATACAATCACATCTCGTCAATGATGATCTTGTCGGGATCAGGTGTATGTGGGCATGGAAAGGAGTAGAAAGGAGTGCGCGTTCTTACATGCTCTTCCGTGTACCATTTGATCCAGAGCTTGTCGTCGACTCCGGACGAGGGCTGTGGTCGAGAGTTGACTTCGAGCAAGTACTGAGAAGGCATGTTTAAGTGCCGAGTCGCCGGATTATCTGGACGGTGGAATCGTCAAGAGTAGGATCCTATCTGGGGTATGTGTGATGCAGATGAGCTCGGCAGAAGGAGATATCAACGGGATTGTTACAATAGCAGGGTATCTTCGCTCGGCTGGATCTTGGCCACATCGGACCTGCATGTGCAGATATATATGTACGGTACGTTCATGTCCACTTATTACAAATGCATCTCTCCATTGAGGCCCCGCATCGCATCTCGACCATCTCGCTGAGGTCGCCCTCTAAAACACTCATCTGGGGGTTGTGCCTCGGGACATCCATCAGCCACCATGCGGAGAATGGGAACCGAATTCCGCCCTCCGTGCGTACTATGAGTTTATTTCCCAGCTTCCAAGGCCGGTGCGAAGATGCCGGCGAGACAAACTGTCAACATGGTCAACGAGACGACTGGCCTAATAAGAGCATCTCGTGACCAGATACCCTGGGCATACTGTATGCTCGTGTAGCGCTGGTGCGGCATGAATTCCCCAGCTCTCAAAGATTGAAGTGGGGTCTGTGAGAAAAGCCTAATCAGGATGCGTTCTATACAGATGTACCCATCGAAGTGGAAGCGAATCGTAGGCCGACTTAGATAGAAAGCTTACAAAACCTCAAATGAACCTCGCCGGGATCAATTACGCCTCTGGCATTTGGACTGCGAGGGGGAACCATACGGAGAATGTTGGCAAGGCGTCCGCGCCGAATGCGGAGATTACGACAGTTTGTCATTGAAGAACGATCCGTCGAGCCCTTCGTCGAGAGATGTGAGCCTCGCCTTGTTTGGGAGTATGTTTAACCCAGGACAGCTATTTCGGGCATACCTTGTTCAGACTTTTTGAGCAAGGGTTGAAAGACGGCTGATTCAAGGCACAAGGCCGTGCCGGGCGGCTTGAATGGAATTTCAGCAAAGTCTGGGTAATTGGAAGGAGAGTAGGGTGGGTGCGACGAAATACGTCTTCTGAATTGAAAAGACTCAAGGGTTGGGGAAGCAGAACCCAACGTCGTTTTAGGGCGACGTCTATGAACCGTTCTGTAGAAAGTCTAGCCTTGACAAGGGCTCGGCTCACAGACGGGTGTTTGTCGTTAAACGCACCACCTTCTGAGGGTTAAGGAGGCACAAAGGATCTAGTGCGAGCTTGAGTCTTCGCATAGTATCAACGCTGTCCTTGCCCAGTTCGTCGACGAGTCTATCGCGCTTTTCGAGGCCGATGCCATGCTCGCCGGTAATAGTGCCGTCCATTTCGATCCCTAGTCTTTCAACTTCCAGTACGATCTTCTCTGCCTTCTCTTTTTCGACCTCGTCGTAGAATATAGCTGCGTGGACGTTTCCTTGAAGTAGACAGTCAGCAGCGGACTAATCTTCACCTGGGGCGTGATACTTACCGTCTCCAACATGACCACAACATGCTCCTACCAGACCACTCTCCTGGATCTTTCGATTCGTAATGTCAATGATATCTGCTAATCGAGAGATCGGAACGGCATTGTCTGTACCAATGAACTTGTCGCCAGGGTTCCGCTTCAATGTCATCAGGCTCCACAGCATAGTTTTCCGCGCGTGCCAAAACGCATCGGATTCGGCTTCGTCTTTGCCGAACTGGAAACTGAGACAATTTGACTCCTTGGAGAGAGCACGAACTTGTTGGATCTGTTCCTGTACCACGTTCTCGCTTCCAGAGAACTTGAGGAACAGCGAAGGCGCCTCCTTAAAATCTTTCACGCAGTAACCAGAATTGTTGATGGCCTTCATCGAGATTCCGTCGAGCAGTTCGAGAGCACCAACGGGTACACCCTTCTGGACAATCTTGACAGCAGCATTGACAGCGTCGTGGTTGGATGGGAAAGCGGCGACCGCCACTCTGACGTTCTCGGGCTTGTTCGTCAACTTCAGAGTAGCTTCCGTAACTAAACCCAAGGTGCCCTCCGAGCCGACAAACAATCTCGTAAGATCGTAACCGGCCGAGGATTTCTTCGGCCTCCTTCTCGTTTTGATCACCGTGCCATCGGCCAGAACCACCGTCAAGCCTATCACCCAATCTTTGACTGTACCATAGCGATACGCGGATGTGCCGGAGCATCCCTGGGAGATCATGCCGCCGATCTGCGCCCCTGGTCCTGGATCCGGAGGAAAGAATAGACCCACTTTACCAAGCATCTCGTTCAACTCGACGTAGCCGACACCTGGCTGGACAATAACATCCAGATCCTTGTCGTGGACTTCAATGACCTTGTTCATGCGTCGAAAGTCAATGCAGACCTCGCCGTGGATCGCAGCGAGTGTGGATTCGAGACTTGTCCCGCCTCCGAAACCGATAACGGGAATTCGCCGATGATGACAGATCTTCACGATATTGCTCACATCCTCCGTTGTCGTAGGGTAGACAATAAGGCATGGTCTGTCGAGATCGCCACGGGGGGCGGGGGACCAATCGGTGCTAGATCGTGATATTCGAGCACCCAGATCGTCGTCTATGCCGTCCTTGCCCAAGAGAGCGATAAACTCGTTCTTGGCATCATGGATGTTCTTGTCGGATAGGTTGTATGACGGAGCTGTGAGGGAAGCAAGCGGTGTTGTAGAATTTGTGGCTTCCGGTGCATTTCCGAGCAAGGAGAGGCCGTCGGAGTAGAATAACACCGTCAGAACTGCTCCGGCACCGATAAAGACTCCTCCAAAGAAGTGTTCAGATCCATCGGAGGTCTTCTTATTTGGTCTAGACAGCTCTGAATCCTGTGATATTAGTCGCCTGAAGTGGTAGTGTGGTAGAGTTTGCAAATGAGATACCCTTTTCAATTGAGGTCGAGCTAGAAGCCTGAAAAGTCTAAGCCGAGTCATTACTTCAAGAATTATTATTTGTCAGAATTCGCTCGGAAAGTCTCTCAGATTCCCCTAAGCACGCTGGGGCGCTTGAATGTTGAACGTAGAGCTTTTGTTGTCTGTGTGACGGGTAGAACCTGAGCTCGGAAGTACAACATTCCGCAGTAATCTAGGCTGCATCAGTTTTAGCTCAGCCTCGTTTAGGTACCCATGGTAGCTCAGACCTGCCTATAGCCCGACTTCACTCCCAGTTTGGGGGGTTACATTCCTATCTAGCTACAATGATTGGTACGTGATAGTATGTACATTGGAATAATAGTACACCGCCATCAATGGTCATCACAATTCAATCCAATCTGACAGCATCTGGGACAAAAGTCAGCTAGAGCCACAGAATTTCTTTCGGTCGTTTATACTGAAGGTGGTCTGGGTAGGCTGGCTTAAGGTAGGCTCAAAAGGAGAGACATTCACGAACTATCAGGGACAATCATACTCAGAGAGTCGGTGGTAGAGCACCACAGAGTGTATCAATTGGACGGCAAGAGACCCAATGCTTGAAGTGCTGCACCATGATCTTTGGACCACAAGAACTGCAGCCAATCCCCGGCTGTGGGGTCCTAGATAACCCGTTCCCGAGGGGTGCGTTGGATGGTTTCCTTGGAGCAGTTGAGGTTGTTCTCATCCTTGATGATGGCATCCAGGTCAAGACCCTTGAGGACAGGCTTCCCCTTCAGAGCCGCCCTTCTCTGGTTGACATTGACGATTTTACCATCGCCCTTGATTGTGCTGTTCTTGGGAAGACTTGGAGAGTCTGAGGCATTGGCGCGAGTAGGGCCCTGGCGAGTCTCCCTGGTCTTGGACCGAGGGTGCTTGGTCGGGTGTGCGGAGTATTGTCATGTCATGGTTTCGTCGTTGTTTCTTTCCACGGATGTGAACTTTCATGAACGATGTCGAGCCGCAGAATTGTTCCCAGGTGCTGAGCTCCGTTCCACGCCTCGTTATATACCTTTCAAGTGTCTTTGGCCTTGGTAGAGGATTGTTGACAAGTGATACCATTCAGGCCTCCGTGGGCGCAACCTCTCCCTGTCGAGGGCCTTGCAAGTTGCGCGGATCCTACGCCTGTACACGGGAATACCATCATCTGTTGCGACGATCGAACGATCCTGGACCTTACGAACCTATGAGACCTCCTTCAAGATATTGAGCAACACCTCTGTTGCACATTGTCTAGTTAACAGTATTACCCCTACCAGGTGACGTCGCCAACGGGAGGTCGCCATTGTCAAGAGCATGCTGGATGTCTACATCGGCGACGAGGCGCTGCAGGAATCCTAATTCTTCAACGAGTATCTGTTCCCAGTACGTGTACGAGTGAGTGAGATGTTGTCATAAATGAAAGGGTGCGAGTACAGCTATCGTCTCGCGAGCTGAGTTCGCCGTGGCAGCTCCCCTATCGCCGAGGACCTCATCACGGCATATTCATGACACGCCAGTACTAGTAGTAATAGCAACTAGATGATCGATCAAAGAGTCTATCCATGGGTCATGGTCGGGTATGCCTCAAAACCGCACCGGAGCGTGGGCCAGTAAGGAGAGAAAGGGGGGTCTGGGGGCCTTACCCTCATCCTCCCGTACATCCGGACATCTGGCTGGGGTTCGTGACAATGGCCTTTATTCCAAATATCTGTACTCCGTAGCTCTCGATACTTCCACGTTGGGCTATCCCTTCGCATCCACTTCCTAGTCGGCATGACCACGGCATGACTGACTCAGAGTTAGCTTTCATCTCCCGAAAATCGTCGCCGACCTAGCGAATCTCACTTGGAACCCCGCGTGAATCCTTTGGCCAGTGAGATATGTACGAAGGTCGGTTTTAAGCTTCTGCTAGACCCAAATCGACCACCAGACTTCGGGTTTCGGGCCTCCGTTTGTCTTATAAGGCCTACCGAACTCACGGACCGGGACATTCCATCTGTCTCTGATTACTCAACAGTCGTCATATAACACTGCTTATGGCTTTTCAGAGGTCAAGACCCAGGAGATTCAGGGCGAGGATACACACTCGCACATCAGTGCTTGTCCAATCAAATACTCACCTGGCAACTTGCGAATACGGGACATCGGGCTTCGGGTCGCTGTTGACTTGCTGACGCCTACCGTGCCTCAGAACCGTGGATGCCAAGTACTGGGCGTTATAAGGATCTGAATCCTAGAGGAGTCTGAGTCTATAAATGAGGACACGGACAAAGTGAGAATCTCAGTCTTCAAGCCAGATTCATCGCAAAGATGACAACAACTACTACTACTACTACTACCCGCCACAACCAGCTCGTTGACCATCAGGGCCCATCCCCCCGTCGAGGTCTCAAACTACCCCAAGCTTGACGATAAACAGGCCGGCCACCTACGACATTTTCATAATCTGGTGTCGCAAATCGACGGAGAGTGGAAGCATTTCGGCTCTCTGGAAGGTCAGCAGGAATGGGACGACGCGTATCGATATCAGTTAGCCACGATGGCATACGCCACAGGCGTCGCGCACTATCATCGTCTTCCAGCGATGAGGACTGCTTTCAAGTCCCTCCTGCGCCGCATCATCCACAAGATGCTCCGTCGTGAAGTCTGGGGTTACTGGTTCACCACGAGTCATGGAGGCAAGCTTCTCGACCCTGACCTCAAGGAGCTTCGAAAGCCCTGGGCAGACCCTGTCATCAAAGAGAACATCATGTACTCGGGACACCTTCTCCTGATGACCAGTCTGTACGCTATGCTCTTCGATGACGACGAGTTCGAGAAAGAAGGCAGTTTGACCTTCGATTGGAATCCGCTGTTCTGGGGAATGGGACCAGAAAAATTCTCGTACGACAACCGAAGCTTACAGAAGGTCATCTTCCAGCAGATGGAAGACAATGACTGGGTCGGGGTGTGCTGTGAGCCAAACGCTGTCTTCGTCGTGTGTAATCAGTTCCCGGTAGGTTCGGCCATATTTCGGTCTGCTCCTGGGGAATCCGGTGCTAACATGAAGTGCTAGATTATCGCCATGAGGTACAATGACAGCAGGGATGGCACGAACAATGTCGAAGGCGTTCTTGAGAAGTATGAGGCATCTCTTGTCGCAAAAGGCATGCTAAACGACTCCGGACTGTATCCGAGCTTCTTTGCTATAAAACAACGCGCACCGCGGCCGGCCAGACAAGGTGCTCATACTGCTTGGTGAGTGTTGACATTCTCTCTCTGGACATATTTAGTCAGGCTAACGTATCGAAGGGCAAACGCGTACATGAACACGTGGAACTCCGAAAAAGTCCATTCGCTGTACGACAGTCAAGTCCTCGGGTTTTTGACGACGATCGGCGGGAAGACTCGTTTGCAACCTACTCGCGTCTCCAGCGCATTTCGACAGCTTGTACTAGAGAAGGGCAAAGATCCCAACAGCGAAGAGACACTGCAACAAGCCCGTGAGCTGTCCCCTCAGTTTGTCAGTCCTGCTTTTCCATTTGAGTCGGTCAATTGGAACGGATTCACGCAAATGCTATCTGAGCTCGGAAAAGAAAAGGAGCTCGGTGACTTGCTCGAGTATGCAGACTCGTATTTGAATCCGACATGGGAGGATGGTGGCCTCTACTATCCGCGAAATGATGCACTCATGGACAAGGAAGGGAACCTGATCCATATGGAACCACACTCAGGTAACTCTGGGATAGGGTATTCTCGGCTGAACGTTAGAGATGGGCAGAAGAAGATGTGGGAACAGCCTTGGACTCGCGAGACACTGGCGAATCGGCCGTTTGTAGACGACATCGGCTTCGCTGATGGAGTGGATTTCCTGCGAGGTGTCTGGGATGCTGAGGCGCACGCACTGGTCGTCACTTTGAAGAGTTGGAGTGGACAAAGCGCCGAGGTTTCGTTCTCTGTCAAGCATCTTAGGAAGGGAGATTGGGCTGTTTATGTTAATGGTGGATTGCAGCATACGACAACGGTCAAAGGTTCGGGGAGTGTAGATGTAAATGTTACCGTTGGGAACGATGAGGTTGACATTGTCGTCTCGGAGATCTAGAGATCGAAGTGCAGAAGAAAGTGGCTGGATAAAGAAAATATAACGACGCCTCCGGGGCGCGAGCAGATCCGGAGTTTCTCACAGATTCACTGCTTCTGCCTCATCTGTACGATCATTGCAGAGCCACCAAAAACTTCAGGATCGATATCATGACTTCGGGCATCCTCACAGCGTCGATGGCCTTGAACAGATTGAATCTCCTTCACACCCGGAGGAAATAAAATGCAGGTAAGAATATCGAGTGTTGAGCTTCGACCGGAGTTCAGCAGCCATGAGCCAGTTCTACAGACGTCCCCAGCCACCCTGCAGCTAAGACCAGGAACACATGCAGGGCTAGGCTCACTAGGCCCGCCACGAACACTTGAGCACTCCATGCCGTTGGAATCTTGGTCATCAGTCGAGCCATGCTGGGCTATCGAAGAATCAATCGAGCCTGCATTATAAAGATGGCACAGAGATGCAAATTTACCCGATATATCTTATCTACGACAACACTGCGCGGACGTCAGAGGCTACCAGATCAATAGTACGGGGGTCAGTAGCTCGAGCATGGAGCAGCTTCAGGCATCTGCGCAAGCTTAGGACCAGCATCAACTTTGCGTACGGAGTCCCCCCTTTGTCTTTAGGTGGTGCGACCGATGGTCCGAGGCCCCCAAGTACTTGCCGCTACGTAATCGTCGCTTGGGTCCGAGTCACTACTAAAGAAATCTAGCTAGACGCCGGTGACAGTGAGGGCGGAGCTTGATGAGCCTACTAGCCTTGGACAGTCTGGGTACTTGCATCAGCGCCCACGCATGCAGCTTGTCGATGATCCACTGTCTGACTATCTTCAATCGAGAGCCTAAAGATAGGCATCGGTACGACCGTACGAATGAATCGTGGTGGGCAGCTGTACCGGGCTCGCTACGCTCGGTGCTGTGTCTCAATTCCCAAGTCCCCAACTCAGCCAGCAGCACCATCGCCGTCTTGCCAGGGCTGTTGCCATTTGCAAACACAATCCCTCATTTCCCCAACGGCAGTAACAAACTGCATGACATGGAAAGCATGGGCAGCTCAGTGATTCGACGGGCTTTGTACTTCCAGTCCTGCACCGGCAGACTGCACCCTAGCGTCGACCGCTGGGCTTCGATAGGCCTATGCCCCAAGCCACGTTCGCGCTGATCTGGTCTAGCCAGCCCATCGTGTTCCATCGACCGGGATGGTTGCGACTCCTCTTTTGCCCGGGCCATGATATCAAGGTTCCGAAACCAAATCGGTTGTATCCGACTTCGTCACTACGCAGTACTCGTACTCAGTTGCGAGCCCAACTGGCTCTGAGGGTGATGCCAAAGACATGTCTTCCAGTTGTTACCCCCAATCCAAAGGAAGAGGCCGTCGGTCGGATTCCACTCCCAACTCCACACAGCTCACTTTCCATTCCATTTCAAAGCCCAAGCAACACCTGCCTCAAGCCACCTTGTGCGCCCACCAGTCAGCGTCCGTTCCGGGGTGTTGTTCTCATCGAAGCTATACGAAGTACCCATATTGCCGCCCACCTCATCACTCGTACTCGTACGCTCCATTCCAACTAATCGTCGACGCGGGAGATCTACATTCGACCAACCGGAGTTCCTGACTCGGGCACAACACGCTGAAGAGGCATAGAGCCAGCCCGTACACCATCTTCAGGAAACCTCGACTACGAAGACAGCCGGCCCCGGCCGGATTTACTAGCTAGAAGTTACACCCTTACATTTGGTGTGCCACTATCGCCGCTGTAGTCATTGGCGTCAATGCGCCCACGGGTCATTGGCATCTTGACCCCACTAGCCAGTCTCAAACCTCATTCTTGCATATAATCTGTCTGAACCCTTTTCGAAGACGACCTTGAATTTTCATCTGGGCTTCCGCAACGGCTTCAGTTCACCCTTCTTGTGGATACTTACTGAAATCACGCTCGTTACTTGTGTTCCAGGCACACATCAGACAAGTTCACTCCCTGCGAGGATCACCCTTCAATCTCTCAGCTTACCTGTCACTCTTTGGAGGCATACTTTACGGGAAGCAAACGCAAATTTGGTCAAGTGGCCAGGGTCAAGCGTCACACACAATTCTCACGGCAGTGTTTCTCGTATTCACTTCGCCACCAAATACTGCCTATATAACTCGATCTTTCACATCCATCAAATAACCCTCTTCAACCAGCCACGTCAGGCCGCGACAGATCGGGACCAATTTTGCCTCCAGAAAGTTTCAAGAGCTATCAAAAAACCTCACTCTTATTAAGAAGCGGCCCCATTTCCGATTAAATACAGATATGTAAGCTTTTGCTGCCTTGTCCCCCCTGTCAAGTTCGTTGTCTCCTGACGCTGACTGTGCCTTCTCAAGTCGCGCGCAATGTATTCTTCCATATTCGCCTTGTGCTTAATCTTGTCGTTGCTCGATCTTACTTCGGCAACACCGATCGTTCGGAAATCGCTCAATCCAAACTATCTCCAGAAGAGATATCCTGTCACAACCAGCAGTTTCGCGACGGACAGCGAATGGCCAACCAATGTACTTTTCCTCGGAGCAACTCAGACCTATGGCTTCTGGGTTCCCATGGACGGCTCTTGGTATGATCTCGGGGGGATCACATGCCTCGGTCTTCCAGCCTATGCCGAGGGTCCTTGCAATGGTATGACTATCAACGCGGTTGGCGTCGTCGCAGGGGATGGACCATGCAGCTTCCTCGGCAATGATGGTTATAGCGCTACACTAGCTGGCGATGCTGGAGATGGTTGGTTCGCGGTGGCACCGCCTCAAAATATCATCTCTGCCAAGTGTGGTTGAGCGCGCAGGTGAATAGTTCTGTTGGTTCTACCTGAGCTGGGCGCTGGCGGTTTTTTACTTATCGAAGCGAGCAATGCGGTGCCGATCGACAAGACGCGCCTTTCACGAACATAGACACGTTTATGATGTACGTTTAATACAATCTTCGGAATGCATACCAACCAAATAACATCGAGAAACCTTGCATCATCATTCCCCCGATGTACGACTCTGTAAAGCGCCCTAATATGTAAAGAATCAAACTGGGCCATCTATCTCTCCTGAAACATCGACAGTTGGCGATGCGAAGCCTGGGGCTTTTCCCATCTTGACATGTTGAAATCTGAATGGGGTGTGAACCGTTGATGTCGGTGCCTTAGCATTGTCCAGAGAGTCCTGCGTAAGGCCCGACCTCAGCCTCGTGGACCTGGTGCCGAGTACTCAGTAGCCTTCCCCGTTATGTCGACTACCGGGCCACAAAAATGCGACGCCATTGATGGTAGCATTGAGGTCGGTGTTAAGCAAGCTAAAAGGGACCCTAAACAGCAAGTCATCCTCAATGAATTCGTGATGAATACGCCTGGTCACCTTTCGGTAGGTCTCTGGGCCCATCCGTCCGACTCGGCCGACAAATACTCAACGCTCAAGTTCTGGATTCACCTGGCACAACTCCTGGACAAGGCAAAATTCCGCGCCATGTTAATCGCCGACACCTTCGGAGCGTCCGATGTGTACAAGGGACCTTTCAAAGTTCAAACCCTCATTAGCTTCTGCCGCGCAATCCCCTGTCAACAACACGCTCTATTTGATTCCTGCGATGGCCGCTGCCACGGAGGCCCTTATGTTTGGCGGGACGGCAAGTACAACCTACAATGTACCTTACGCCTTGGCCAGGAGGTTCTCGAGCGCGGATCCTCTGAGCAACGGCCGCGTTGCATGAAACATCGTGACGTCGTATCTCGACAGCGCAGCGCGAAACCATGGACTCAATCAGCAGGTTCCTCACGATGAGCGGCACGCTATCGCCGATGGATACATGGAAGCCCTCTACAAATTACGGGAGGGAAGTTGGAGAAATGGCCTTCGATAATAGAGACAACAGAGACGAAGAAGTAACAATCTAGTGCACCAACACCCCGCTGGGAAGCAAAGGCCTTTATCCAGCCGTCGCAGCCATTTATATCTTCAATTTCATCTTCTCACTCGATTGCTCCACCACGGCTTCGCGAGGCTTATAAGCATATTCGTACCACTTCTCGTGGTATTCCCGAAGATCAATATCGTCAGGATTCTGCCTAAGATAAGGCGTCATATCCGATTCCTTGTCCAAGTCGTTTTTGGTAAAACCACCGCCGAAGTAGGCGTACCTGTTTCTCTGCCGAGACTTGTACGTGTATTCGTAGTCCTCCCATCTCGGATCGAGTCGAACTTGGGTGACGTGATGGGAACTGCCGGGCCATGGCCCGTGGATTCGCTGCCCGGGGATGCCGCCTGTAATGGTAATGGAATGGTAAGGAACAAGTTCAAAGCATTCGGTATATATATATATATATATATGGCAGCTGGAGAATCGATGAATTCGGTTCAAGAGTTTCGGCGGAACGTACCAATGTACCACGACTTGCAGTTCTCGGAGAGGACCGTGGTCGCGAAGAAAGAATCAACATACTCCATGAAATCATCAGTCGCGGCCTTGGAGGGCACAATCGTCTTGATTCCTTGAGACGTCATCTTGCGCAGCACCTTTGCTATGTAAGTGACGGCTGTCTCGACGCTGTGGTTCAGCGTGCCAGAGAGGCCGAAACTGTTTGGCCCCAGGGTGAAGAACAAGTTGGGAAAGTAAGGCGCCGCGAGGCCAAAGTAGCTGGACGGGGACTTGTATGAGCCGCTGGGCTTCCAGGCTTTGTTGAGATCGATTCCGTTCGCGATGATGGGGAACGCAGGTGCGAAATCCGTGTTGGCCCCTGTCGCGCAAATGATGGCGTCGACATCGCGCGACACCCCGTCAGTGGTCACGATGCCGGTCTTGGTGAATCTCTGGATGGGAGTTGAGATGTACTCAACGTTGTCCTGGGTGAGTGCCTCCAGGTATCCCGGGCCAGGAGTTGGTCGACGGCAGAAGGGTGGGAAGTCAGGTGTTACCTTCTTGAGCAGCTCGGGACGGCTCTCTAACAACTTGGCCATCCGTTCCGTGATGTCCTTTTTAGCTTTCTGGTGCGCATTGGTATTCCCAAACACACGGAAGAAGCTTCTGTAAAAGCCGCTTTCTAGTTCTGTGCGGAACTTGTAATAGGTTGCGTCGTCTTCGAAGGATTTCAGCTGTTCCTCGGTGAAGTAGACAGGGTCGTTCGAGCGCTCCTCGATGCCAAAAGAGCCAAGGACCCAGGTTGGGTTTCTTGCATAGTGGTCGATACGTCTGGCGACCTTCTGGAGTTGCGGGAGCACTTGTATACCGCTTGCGCCGTTGCCGATGACGGCAATGGTTTTACCTGAAGCGTCCAACGTACTGTCCCAGTTGGAAGTGTGACGAATATGGCCTTCGTATTCGTCGCGCCCCGGATAGTCGGGAAGCCTGGAGAGGGAAGTTAGAACAACCAGCAGTCAAACGACCAATCTCTATGCCGCGTCGTTCGCCTGCGCCTGCCATCAATGACTTACTTCCAAGCATTGAAAATCCCGATGGCGGCGATCAAGAAATCAAATCTCTCTTCTCGAGTAGTTCCTGACTCCAGATCTTCGACAAGGAGCTTCCACTGAGAGTCTGTGCTGTCCCATTCCGCCTGATGGACCTTGTGGCGAAGCTTTAGGTACTTGTAAACGTTGTATTTTCGCGCGGTTGCTTGCCAGTATTCTCGGATCTCTTCGCCTTCAGCGTACTCTTGGCTCCATTTTCGGTTTGGCGTATATGTTGATTGGTAAACATTGGCTGGAATGTCACTGGCGAGGTTCGAGTCAGACTTTAGAATCTGCCGTGAAGTGGTCCTTGGTCCCAGCATCATTCGACGTTGGGTAAATCAATGCTTACCATCTGACACCTGGATAAGTGTTTTCTAGCCATGTTCCACCCTGAAGGCTTGAGTTAAACGCTTTTAATCCGAGTGAAACGACCGGAACTTACTTACCACATCAGCGTTCTTCTCGAAGATGGTCAGATCTATGCCCGGAACTTTCACCGGCAATAGGATTGCCGCATTGATGCCACTGAGACCAGCTCCTGAAGATCGTCAGCGAAGGCCTCTCGGTCTATGCGAGTGCCATGGCTACCCACCAATAACCGAAACCTGCGGAAAAGTACAGTCAGTATGCAATTCATAGCTATCCAAACAAGAGTGGGTGGTCCTCACCCTTGGCGTCGGGGAGTCATCAAGCGCTCGACTTTCGATCTTAAAGCCAGAAGGCTTGTAAGAATCTAGGTCTGGAAGAGCTGGAGACGTATTGTCTTGGGATTGGTAGCGGAGTAATCCGCTCTCCTGGATAGAGCCCATCTCGAGGATGATGTTCTTTGCCGGATAGTAGCAACAGAAACCGAACTTGTTTTGACTCTCTATCTGCGTGGTAGTCGAATATTCTCTTAAAAAAACTCCTTGTAGATACCAAAAAGAAAAGTCTAGGCTACTGTTCTTACCACTGAAGATTGCATGGCGAGACTCTTGTAAACTGCGAGATAGGAGATGCCTGTGGAGCGTAGGCCAATCATCGCTCGGTTGCGCAATTTGTTATCCATTTGACGCTCGCAGCGTACTGTAGGCTGTCTCTGAGGATTTCGAGGTCCACGGCGGATATATGCAGCCCATAATCATAGGAGAAATAGCAATTCCCATGTGGAAGTGGTACTTCACAAGCATCGGACAGTGAAAAACCGAGGTTGTTGTCGTCTCATTCTACTTCTATGACTCGGTAAATTCCACCAGAATAAAGAACTACCAGGCTTCTATTTATGTTTCTTAGTGTAAAGATGTGGATTTTCACCTCTATCACTCCCAAACGGGTAGTATAAACTTCCAATTGAAATCGATTTTGCCCCCGAACCGCACAACTGACGATGGCGTGACGAAGCCTTGAAAGCTCACAAAGGAAATAGCCCTCCAAAGAGCTGATACCTATGCCCACTGTCTTTACGCCTCTTATTCACTCATCGATTGCCCATACAAGTTTCTCTCGGTCTGGAGAGACTCGCTCTGATCTGCCTCAGCATATCCATATACACAGCATCTAGCGGCTGAGATGATCCATATCAACCAATATTCAAGATTCTGTTCGTGATGCTTCACGTTGTCTGGCTTTCTGTTGTCTTTCTGTTGGATATCCGGTATAAGGCGGCCTTAAGAACACGGTCTGGGAAGAATGAATTCTATCGACGTGGAAAAGCGAGGTTACGGTCCCAGAATCCTAAAGTCCTCTCTTCTTGAACATTATTGATATCACCGGCTACATCATTATCACACAGATATGGGCGTCTACGTCAACACCGGAGGGCTCACATTGCTCTCTCAAGGTACGGGGTATGGACTCCTTATTGGACTCTCTATTCTCTTTTGCGGGGTCATTTTGATTGCGGTCAAGATACAAAAGGCTTATCTCAAAGAAGATTCCGGAAAGTCTGAGATGTTCATGGTTGCGAATCGAACAGTAGGGACGGGTTTGACGGCCTCAGCTGTCTTTTCGTCTTGGATGTGGATCAATGAGACGGTTTTCGCTTGCGTTGTCGGTTACGCATATGGAATTGCTGCACCAATGGTACGTTATCACCTCTATCCGTACTCTTGATTTTCACGACGCACGCTAATCGAAGGCATGAGTACAGTGGTACGCTACAGGCCTCGCCTTCCAAATTGCTTTGATGGCTGTCTTGGGTATCATGGCCAAAATTCGAATTCCTTTCGCCCACACATCTCTTGAGATCATTCGGGCTCGATACGGACGTCTGGGGCATGTCGTTTTCATCGTGCTGAGCTTAGCGCTGAACATATTCGGATGTTCAGCAATGATCTTGACAGGGTCTCAACTCATATATGGCGTGACGGGCATGCATATTGCGGCATCAACCATCTTGATCCCTGTCGGCGGTACGTTCAGTGTGTCTGTTGTTGAGGATAACAAAGTAACAATATCCAAGTGATTCTTTACACGGCAGTAGGAGGCTTGAAGGCGACATTCCTCACCGATTACCTCCATACAACCATTGCCCTTGTTTTGATTATTTACTTCACCCTGGCAGTCTTAACCAATGGACACATTGGTGGGCTGTATGGTCTTTACGAGAAGGTCCTCGCTACTGCAGCCGACAATTACGTCCCAGGAAATTACCAGGGCTCCCTTTTGACTTTCAAATCTAAGCCTTCCATCATGTTCGGCTTGGTCCTGAGATTCGGCAATTTGGCTCTCGTTGTCATGGTGAGTATGCTCGGTAACACTCTACTCATAATCTTGCTAATAGATTGTCGTTCAGGATACGGCGTTCTGGCAAAAATCCTTCGCCACAGAGATTGGAGCGACCGTGCCGGGATACGACCTGGCAGCATTGGCAATATTCGCAGTTCCCTGGGGCCTTGGGACTGTCCTCGGACTATCAGCAAGAGTGATACAGACACTACCCATTTTTCCGACGTATCCGAATCCTCTGACTGAAGTTGAAGTATTCTCGGGCTTGGTCATGCCATACACGCTGAAAGCGCTGCTTGGAAACGGCGCACTTGTAGGATTCCTTTTACTTGTCTTTATGGCATTGACAAGTACGGTCTCTTCCTCGATGATTGCTGTTAGTAGCATCTTGTCGTTTGACGTGTACAAGACCTACATCAATCCAGGCGCCGGAGACAGACAAATCGTCCGCGCAAGTCATCTTGGTGTGATATTCCATGGGTTATTCATCGCCGGATTCTCTTTGATTTTGAACTACGGTGGTGCAAACATCAACTGGCTTGCCTATTTCCTTCCGATCTTGACTTGTCCAGGGATAATGCCACTGATACTCACCCTCTTCTGGTCCAGACAGTCCAAGCTAGCAGCGGTCGTCTCCCCTCTCATTGGCCTGGCTACGGGCATCTCAGTCTGGCTCGGAACAGCCCTATCAATATATGGAGAGCTTAACATGACAACAACCCAAGCCCAGGCACCTTGTCTCTATGGGGCGATAACGTCCTTGTTTTCACCTGCACTCTACTCGATCATCATCTCTTATTTCAAACCCGAGCAATTCGACTGGAATGTCTTCATCAAAGTCGGGCCGGTGCAAGATCGTTCTTCCGGAGACTCTTCCTCTAATCTATCTGATGAGGCTGCTCAGGGCGTTGAAGAAAAGACCGCTGTGCACACAAACTCAAACGTCATCTCCAAAGAAATCCTGGATCTTGAATCGATCACACCCAAAGATGGCACCGAGGCAAAGGGAGTGTCTCATGCCGTCCCTTTTCCGGCCAGAGCAGACGACCTATCCCAGTTGGAGCATCCCTTTGACGCAGAAACGCTGCGGGCACTGCATCGTTGGTACAGGGTCGCATGGGGGATGCTGATCTTCACCGTGCTCATTACGTTTGTCGCCTGGCCAATGCCGCTCTATCGAAATTACATTTTCTCAAAGAATTTTTTCGCTGGCTGGACGACGGTGGCGATCGCCTGGCAGTTTTTTGCTTTCTTCGTCGTCGTGGTCTATCCCCTCTGGGATGGTCGCCGTGCGATTGTGACAAGTTGGCACGGTATGCGCGCAAGCTTCGCCCAGAGATTTCGATGATAGACATGGCAGACAATGCTTCTGCCGGCCAAGTTGCTCGGCAAAGTCATCGTTCAAAGGATCTCTCAACTCAGCGGTTTGGATTTGGAAAATACAGCGGGGGTTGGTTTGGTTGGAGGGTTTTGCGCTTGAGTAGAGGGGAGAGGAACTGGAAGACAGAATCCACCGCCTAGATTGAGCGGACCGGATGAGACCTGGGCAGACAAGCGAACTGGCTCGTCGAAGCTTGAGCTACAGTGCCTTTCCAAACAGTATGCCGCCGCGTGGAGCGATATCTGAGCCAGACGCAACTTGTACAGTTGCAATTACCTACACGTTTTACTAGTAAAGATGTAACTGTATATGAAGAATCTCAAGATAGATGCAAAGTCAACATTACCTAGCTGGAAGCTGCACGGATCAAAAAGACGCTAGCAACTCAGCCAAACGCCACCCGCGACAGACTTTCTAACCAGCACTTATAAACCCTTGCATCGGTACTGGTGCTGTGCTGTAGCCTGGCCATCACGTTATGCCCAAGTGAGCTTGCTTACAGCCGAGCAAGATGGTCGACTTCAAGGTGATGGATGCCCAGAAATGGGTCAACAAGACGTATCAAGGCCAGCAAGGCTACATCCGCATAGCTGAAGACGGCATCACTGGGTGGGACACCATCCACGCTCTTATCCGAGCGCTGCAAATCGAGTTGGGCATTTCTGGAGACGCTCTCTCCGATAATTTTGGCCCGCAAACCTTGGCCAAGTTGACTGCCAGAGGCGGTATCCATGTCGAAGATGGATGGGGCCTCAACCCTTTCTTCATCGTCCAGTCAGCCTTGTTCTGCAAGGGGTACGATGCCGGTGCGATAGATGGCCAGTGGGGGGATCAGACGTCAGCCGCCGTTCGAATCTTCTATCGGGACGCAAATGTGCCGCTCCCCGCCCAGAAGGTGCTGTCACCGAACTGGACCATCAGGGCCGGAGAATGGATAGACGCGAAGATGGTCAAGGCCTTGCTCACGATGGACGCATATGTCAAAGCCGATCTTGGAACAGACGGGATCCGAGAATGCCAACAATGGTTGAACAATCGCTACTATGGTCGAGACGCCTTCACCATCGTGCCTTGCGATGGCATCTTCAATCGCACCGCCCAGAAAGCGCTGCTCTACGCGATTCAGTTCGAGATGGGCCTCAAAGACTCCGAAGCCACTGGTACCTTTGGACCCAAGACCCAAGCAGCGCTTCGCGCTAAGACCATCGCGTCTCCATCGGCAGGCCCTTTCGTCAGCATTTTCTCCATCGCCATGGTCTTCAACCGAGTATCGATAACCCTGCCGCCCGTGGAGACCTTCTACGTAGGAGTGACGGACAGGTGGTCGGGGAACCTGTCGGACGCCGTGAGGGCATTCCAGAGTTCCTCCGAGCTTGCACCCACTGGAGTCGGTGATTTCGCTACCTGGGCACAGCTGCTCGTTTCCACGGGCGATCCCAACAGACCAGTCATAGGCTGCGACACCACCGGCACCAATTCCGCTACCGGTGCCACTCTTGATGACAAGGTAGCCAAGTCGCTCGCAGCCGGAGGCTTCTCGAAGATAGGTCGCTACCTGCAGGACTACCCGGGGGGGAAGAAGAAAGAGCTGAAACCGGCAGAAATCCTGGTCCTGCTCCAGAACGGCTTCACCATCTTCCCGATCTGGCAGATGTCGGGCAATAGCGCGGCGTCCTTCAGCTACGACATTGGGAAGGAGCACGGTGCAGCCGCACACGCGGCGGCCGCTCGTCTGCTCTTCCCGAAGGGGACCACAATCTATTTCGCGGTTGACTATGATGCGGACCAGAACGACATCACCCGTGCCATCATTCCTTACTTTCGGGGGGTCATCTTGGGTCTTGCCTTAGAGGGCGACTGGTACAGTCACGGTGTCTACGGCACGCGAAACGTGTGCATCGACGTGTCTCGCAAAACGTTCGCTCGATGGAGCTATGTCTCAGGCATGTCCACCGGCTATTCTGGCAATCTTGGCTTCCCCATACCCTCGAACTGGTCTTTGAATCAGATCCAGGAGATCAAAGCGCCGGGCCTGGCACTAATCGACATCGACAGAGTAGCCTACAAGTCCAATTCGGATCCAGGCGTTCGTGTTATGAGAACCAAGACGCTTTCTGCATCAGAATTCATCAGCTATATCGGTAAACTGTACGAGCTGGCCAAGGCTGCTTCACTCCTGAAAGTTTATAGCCTGTCCGTGCTCGATTTTCTCAGACAGCGGAAGTATAGCGACTACAGATTCGTTTTCGTAGTCAAGGGTGATCTTCTGGATCATTCCTTCCTGCGGAGAGCAAACGATGAGTTCGAGCCTGGTGTCTTCTTCATCGATCCTCTACCGGCGCAGACTATTTTACACAGTGACCACCTCGGGTACACGGTATACGGAGTGTTCAAACACCCATTTCCGCCGATCGTGGAGGATCCTGCCAACGCCAAAGTAGACGTTAGTCAAGGAGATGTGGCGGGTTGGTTAGGGGACTGGATCCAGCTGTACGGTGCTTGGCGCAAACAGTATCGAGTGGCATTTCCGGATACACGACCAAGGCTATTCTGTGCCAGGTATCTTGCAACGGGCAACAGATCGCCCATGGATCTTAGGAATTTCATCGAAGATGTTGATGGCTTCCACGTTGGCAACAAGCTGAGGAAAGAGGGAGTGAACTTCAACCTCGCCATTGAGATCGCAGCGTACTATGGCAGCAGTGCTGCACCATCTACTCGATTTACCAGGTTCTACAAAGAACGCTTCAACGGGAACATAAACCACGCGATTATTGCAGCTAGAAATGGTCTTACGCCTAGCCCCATCAGCAGCCCGGTCATTCGCGCTGGCATCTTCATGATACTCACCTCTTATTACGACGAGGTGGAATATGAGGGAGAGTCTTTCATGCCATGGAATTGTTCGCCTGACCTTTTGGATGAGCTCTGCCAAGCCTTTGGAGACTGCATGGTACGCCTAGTGAACGAGGAGAAGTCCAGAAACTGAACGCGAATCTCTGTATTTGGAAGCTTTGTGGTCTCTGGTTAAGATATGTGAGTGCATGTTGGAGGTGTAATGCACTGTACGCAATGAAGTGCCCAGAAAACGGTTTTTGAGAGGGACTTCTGCTGGCTTGAGCCTGAAGAACAACCGGTCGCAACCTCCAAGAATGCATGGAAGGCTTCATCAGCGTTGGCATGTTGTCCGTCACTCTGCGCCGTCATGTTGTGATGATACCTGCTGCGACTGTTCACTTTTTGCACTTGGCTGCAGGTCGAAACCATCGGGGCCTCTGCAACATTCGCCTACAGCGCAGGCTTACTGTTGGTACTCTTTCAATGCGATGTTGATTCTGTCGATACTCTGCCTCTCTGCAGACCGAGGGTACGTAACAGCATCTGATCTTTTGAACGATTTTGCATGCTGCGCTGCTTTGACTTCCGGCATTGGTCATTCACCATACACCCAATGTGCCTCTATCGCGATCTTGCGCAATCCGACGTTTTCTCGTTCTCTTGACGAAGAGATGACATTTTGGCCATGCCCAGAATTCTATCCCACCAGGTAAAAAACGGTGCATAAACTCCTTCGCCTGTGCGGTGATGCCTGGCGTGTCCCCTCGACCCACTCGCCCACCCTCGCGGTAAGAACTTGTCATAGCCCCAGCGAAGGTCCATACCGCTGTGTACCTGAATGAGCAGCGTGACGAATATGGGGATGAATATCGTGCGCGTCACGACATGACTCTTGATGATGTTGAGACTGAAATTCGCAAGAAGGACCAGACACAGTCTTTCAACAATGGACAGCTGGTTCGTCACTTGTGGATGGATCTCGTGGTGTTTATGGTGAGGCAGATGATGTCGCGCCAGAAATGGGACATGATGGAAACAGAGATGGCACAAGAAGAACAGCATATCGTAGATGAAGAAGGACGCGGCGAGCTCGAGCACCAAGCGTCGTGATGTGGGTGGTACGGGCGGAAGGGCTCTCCTGAGCTGCAATGGCGTGGACCGGGTGAAGTTGTGAAGCGTAGGGAGGAGGAACGAACCCGATATCGACTTCAAGGGCGCATCAGCGGTAGTGTTTATGCTTCTGGAACTTCCCGTTGACATCAGTGTTGCGGTGGTCGCAACCGGCGCATAACCTCCAGAGACGCGGATGTCGTCGACTGGCGTATCCGCGAACTTCTTGATCATGGTCAAGTCCAAGAGCAGAAGCGGGCTGACGTAGCGCAATATCTCTCCCAGACGCTTGGAGGGCCGTTTCATCTTGGGCAGCTTGGGCATCGTCAGACTGTCTTCGTCCGGTTGACCTGTTGTAGATGATGTTGTGTTGGATCGCTTAGATTTAACCCGGAGCGTGCCTGGTCTGACGTCGATGCGGAGCTCAGGATTATGTGCAAAGTGAGTGGTATACTTGGGTTCGATGATTCCGTAACTCACGACGGTAACGATGGTCTCAAAGGTCGATAACTGGTAGAACGTGGATGAGTAGAGGTAGTTGTACAGCGTTGTCAACATGGGTTGGTAGAAAGTCGGGAATATCACTGCTGTAATCAAGACGATACCGCACGCCATTTGAAGAGAGCAGAGGCGCACCAATAGCCTGGTCGCTAGTTTCACAGACTTCATCGTGGCGGTTCTGGAATGGTAGAGATAAACAGGGAACTCGAGAGCGTAAGAATGTATTGATGTGTGGAGAGATGGAAGAGAAAGTCGAGGTGCACTAAATGGGATGCCCGGGTGGATGTGAACAATATATACCTCATTGTCTTAGCATATATGCCATTCATCTGCGGAAAGGCTCGACATTCCACGTATTTCCCTTTTCCCTTCAGGGCACCGCGTATTCACTGTACTACCTGCTTCGGTAGATTCATTTGAGGAGATCGCTATCACGGCGCGCAATGCAACTACGGTCTTCTCTACCGCTTTGTAGCACCGTTAATGCTCTTCTCCTCCACAGGTGACGTCTATGTATTTATAGTCAGGCTCGTTACTAGGAGAGCTACGGTCAAAGCTGCCAGAACAACGCCGAACGCTGAGAAAGCCAGCTTTCTCCTCGTACTGATACGACCGATAGAGCCAGACATTCCAGCTCCGTCGTCCAAGGACCTCCCACTCGCAATGTCTTGCTTGACCCGTCGTATACCGAGTAAGAATCCAGCTCCTCCAAGCCAATACCCAATAGGGATCAATATGGCCAGGATATCTCTGGTTTTTTCGAGGTATGCGGGAGAGCCAGGCTCAAAATTTCTCAATGCCAGACCGATAATCTGAGGAGCACTGGAGTAGATGAGCACAATTGTGCTGGTGTAGATGGCTAGACAGAACGTCTTGGTCCGAGCCGGGAACAGAAGTGCTAGGATGGAAGCAAAAATTCCCAGCCAAAGCTCTGCCGTCAGATACGCAGCACTCATGACTCCATAGAGAATGCGAACCCCGACTTCCTCGTCTCCACCAGCTAGTTTCAGGCTGAAGACCATACATATGACAAAAGGCGCAGAGATCATTCCACCAATGCCGGTGAGGGATAGAACTGCTGCAGCGTGCTCGGACACCAGACTAGAGATCACACCTCCAAGCACAACCGCGACCGAGCCTACCACACCAACAATAATGCCGTATCGCGAGAGCAATTCTGTCTGGGTTGGATATATCGAGGACAGATACGAAGGCATATACCACCCGAAGACATTGCCAGAGAACTGTCGAGCTCCCGACGCCAATGTTAGGATCCAGAAGGACTTCATGGAAATGATCTGCTTGAGGGCCAACTTGAACATGCGATGCCCGTGCTCAATCCTCGTGCCATGCATATCCTCGGTATCATCCATTTGAGAGGCTCCCGGCAAGAGTTTCCCAGCGGCGATTTGTTGGCGGGTGGGTTCTCGGAGAATGAGTCTCGTTATGATAGCCAGGACGATGCCTACGATGCCGATAGCCTTTAGGGCGCTGTTCCACGGAGTATCTGTCTTATCAAAAGCAGTGGCAATTTGACCGCTGACGGCCTCTCCAACATAGACGCCAATGTAGAAGATGCTTCACAAAGCAATCAGCATTAAAAACTGGAGGTGTCCCATGGTCTCTCACATACCTCTCGCATACAAAGATCCAGTTCAGAGGAACAAGGTCACTGATCAGACTGATGCTGAGTGCTTCAACGGGCGACTGCCCAATACCCATGCCGATCCTTGCTAGCAGAATTTGCCAGAAGTTACGGCTTAGCCCCTGGAAGAGGACGCATAGACTCCACCATAACGCTGCAACCGAGAGCACCCAAACTCTCGCGCTGGTATAGTCTGCGATGTACGCCATCGGGATAGCGAGAACGGCATACAAAATACCCACAGCATAACCTGAGAGAATGCCATATTGAGTTGAAGTAAGATTCAGGGATTCAATAACCTCGGCTTGGAAATATGACAATACAAACTTGTCATACTGTGCTAGAAAGTAATTTAGGAAGAGTATTAGTATAACTAGTGGGACGTAGATAGTTCTAAGGCCACGTCTGGTGAAGCTGATCGGGGCCTCAGAAGGTAAGTCGATAGTAGAAGTGCTCGTTTCAGTATCCCGGAAGACAACTTTCTTGTCCCTGGCAGTGGCGGAGTCTGCCATATTGAGCATGCGGGTGTTCAAGGCAAGACTGCGACATTGCGCTCGTTGGGATTTGGATTTTATATGTCCGGAAGGTGTATCCAGTCCTCAGATAGAAGAATCTCAACGTTTGGTTAAGGCCTGCAAAGGCACACACGTGTCAGCCCATGAGCGTATAACCGACATGCCTAGATCGGCCGGATTCAGCAACACTTGACGAGATTCGGCCACTTGGGACGCTATCCCAGACTCATCCAAGGCGATGACGCTGAGACACAGTGGACGCTCGATTGACTGATGCACGCATCGACGACGGAAGCGAGTACGTGAGCGTATTCGCCAGACTTGCCATTCCGGACTAAACGTATCATGCCGTTGACCTCTGCGATGCATCCCATACGTCTACAGTACCGGAGACCATGTCTATATTATGATCTTATCATTGACCGCCGTGGTGCCAAGTGAAGCATGCCCCTCCTCATTGCATGACTATTACGCACGGTCAGCGGACGCCGAAGGTTTGTAATAAGGCCGGATCAAGCAACGAACATCGAACAGTGACGATGAACACAGCCCTCCAGCATTGAATCGCGACAGGATAAGTACCTTCTCTTGCCCTCGACCCGAGTAAAGTTGTCTAGATACAAAGAGATAACAGCCAGTCAAGGTCTAGAGTCAAGCATAACATACCATGTCGACTTTAGACAGTACCATCTACATCTTGTACAACGCCAATGCTTCTTTGCTTGGTAAACTCAACTACGTCTGTCGGAAATTCACCGCGTCACCCGATTCAAGCGCGTGTGCAGCGTGCGACTTGACTCACGGCGGGCTCCATCTGGACGAGTCTGCTGCCTGGAAGAAGACAAAAGCTCGCATCGGCGCCAACGTCGAACAACTCCATCGTGACGAGTCGACCTCCGAGGTCCGCGACTTCATCAAAGCGAACGCTCTCAAGTACCCTGTCGTTTTAGGTCGAGCCGGAACATCTCCTTTTAAAGTTCTCCTCAATTCCGAAGACCTTTTAAAGGTATCAACCAACCATTCAGCATTTCTCGCTCTCCTTGAGCAAAGGGCAGAGGGGGAAAAGATCCCTCTCGTGATCGAGAGTCAGCAGTAATCGAAAATGTTTGACATTCAGCTAAGGAAGGTCAAGGACCGTACCTTTCGACCGGCAGTACAATTCGTCCCGGAGGTGGTCACACCTGGACACCTTACCTTCGCCGCCTTTATCGCCGGACTAGGAGCCTGCATGTGTGCGATGGCTACCGATCCGCGAATGTCTACCTGGGCGGTTTATCTCTGGTTGATCAATCGTATACTTGATTGCCTTGATGGAGCGGTTGCGCGGACACGCAACCAAACTTCTGACGCGGGAGGATTTCTGGACCTTCTCTCGGATTTTATCGTCTATTCTCTGATGCCGATCAGCGTTGCATGTGGAGAGACTCGACGAGGGCTGGCTCCCGAGAATATGTCCAGCTTGTGGCTGTCGATCTCTCTACTTGAAGCGACGTTCCACATCAATAACTTCATTCTCTTCTATCTTGCTGCTTTGTCATCACAAAAGACAAATGATGAGTTGACTGCTGTAACCATGAAACCTGCCCTAGTTGAAGGTTTCGAGAGCGGTATCTTCTTCACTCTCATGCTGGCGTTTCCTAGCCTGCTTCATTATCTCACGTGGACAATGGCAGCCGGTGTTTGCATCGGCATCGCGAGTAGAACTTGGCTGATCTTGGACGCCTTCGCAGCCATGAAGATTCAACCGGGCCATATAAAAGTCTGCTGAACATTTTTGCTACAGTCTGTACTCAATGGAACAACAAAGCAGCAACAAACTCACCATCCCACGTTCTTCAACCATTCCTAGAAAGTCGAATTGGAGGCAATCAGCGAGATCTAGTCGTAAGCCTGAATTAATTGCTCACCGAGCAGACAAGATGCCAGTCCCAATGCACAAGCCAAGCCAGTCGAGCGGCAATGATAGGCCAGCCTGGATGGCCCCTGGATGCAGGGTCATGACTTTCCCATTTAACTTCGTCGTACCTACACATTTCTTACCTTTCTAACTCTCCCTCTCTCCCTTGTGCTCATCTTCTGATATGGTCTCCCGGCTTACACAATCCTTTTCGTTTCATTCTTCGCCTGAATCATTCATCTCCGCTCGCCTTGGGGAGTCTACAAGGTCAGATGGGGACGCGTTACCGTTGGCGAGCAGAATCGTCCGAGCACAGATTCTAAATCGTGAAGTCCACATCGTCACCAGTTATCACGTCTGCAAAGCCATCCTATGCCACCAGCCTGGAGCAATCGAATCGGTCGAGGAGGCCTCGCTAGGCCGTTTTGATGCAAGCAAATACGATAGCGAATACGCACACGTTTACGCACAGGGACGTACAAGTATCAGCAGAGGTGGAGTCTCCCCACAGCGAAGCCGCAAATGCACCGTCCATGCCAAAAACAGAGGCAGAAGCGATGACAAGGCCAACTTTTTCGCTGCACGAACGGCGTATCGACAGTTTATGGGCGACTTTTTCCCTGGTTCCAATCTCCTACTCGAAGATGGGTTAGCTCACAAAATCCACAAAGCCAAGTGGCGGACGAGACTGGATCATTTGCCTCAAAGCTCGGTCTCGCTGATTCGTCAAATCACCGAGTCTCGATTTCTTGATCAGCTTGTTCGAGGACGAAACCCACAGGAAGTCGATCTATACGCAAGTCTGAAATCCTTGGTTTGGGATATTCTATTCGGGGTCTTCTTGTCGATTTCGCGAGACGGTAATGGTCGTAAGTTCAAACAGCTCGAAGAACTTCAAGAAGCGCTGCTGAGAGGGCAATTCTCCACATTTCCCGTCAGCATCTCGACACCACTCTGGTCATCAACACGGAGCCGAGGCCTCCAAGCTGTCGAAGAGCTTGAAAAGAGTCTAGCCACGATAGCAAGAGATGTGCTAGCTTCGAATGGAACCTCCCGGTCTTTCAATGCTTGCCCTTTTTCAGAACAGTTCCGCGGGACAAGCTTGTCATCGGACGATTATCTCGACACTGAGGATATCGTCTCACATCTCCGCCTCTTCACTAGCAGCATAGCCAATAAAGCGCTCGCCTCCCTGCTCACCGCGTTCATTCTGAATTTGTTTGTGTGGAGACCTTCGTCTTCAATGACAAATACGGACGAGCAAGGTTCCGATACCAGTGTCAGCCTCGCAGAGCTCATCCGGTCATATTCAGATCCGCAAAAAAGAGATGTCATGTTGAACGCTGTTCTTGCAGAAACAGAGCGACTGAGTCCACCCGTTGTGGGGGTGATGCGAAGAGTGCAACAGGATGTCCTCATATCATCTGCTGATCGAGATCAACCAGATGAGTACGAGATTCCTGAAGGCCAAGACGCATGGTTGTACCTATCAGGTGCCAATCGTGACCCCGACGTGTATGATCGAGCGGGTGACTTCGTCTGGGATAGGTTCCTGCCCTTTTATTCGTCTTCCAGTAACGATGCCACCAGGGCAAACGCAGACTGTCTTGGGACAGACTTCCGACCACCCCTGCCATTCACATTTGGCGACGGTGTCAAATCCTGTCTTGGTGCCGAATTTTCGAGGCAAGTATGCCTGACGGTAGCCAAGACTCTCGTAGATGAATCGATTATGATGACTGGTCGCATCGAGGAAGGCGGAGTCATTTCCTGGCTGGGCTGGGAACGTCGGACGAGCCGTAAGGACGAAGTACAACTGATGGCAAGGGATCTGAAGCAATTGCCGACACAGCGACCGAGACGTGCAATCAAAGTCCAGATAGGGCGACTGAACATGTAGCAACCATGATAGCTGGTGAAATTGGAGATGTCGGAGCTTTTTGTTCTCATTCTTGCTTCGATTTCCTGATTTCCGTTATTTCTCTGCGCAGAAACTTGAACGTCCCATTGATCCACCACAATGAATTGACGACGACTATAGTTGTGAATCCAACGTTACACTGCCATCGCAGCTGCCACCATGCTTTGAAGGCACTTATACCTTGCATTTCTCCCCAGGTTCTCATAACCATGTAAAATACTCCAAGTCGACAAAGAGCAAAAAGAAGTAGATATGCGCATGTCGTGACTCGAAGTGCCGAAACGACGTCTTTGCGACCATTTTTGGACGGTTCTTGTTCGTTGGCTGAATCCTCTCTTACTCTGAAGTTCAAGAGGAACCATCTCAGCGTGCCTAGGGGAGAGGAGGCGTTCATGAGCATAAACGAGACAATAATCAGAATGCCGACGCGTCGCCCTGGGTTATATACCAAGGTATACTGGAGCCAAATCAGGAGCGACACAAGTACGATGTGGTGTACATAGAGGTGTGCATAGTTCAAGAGCTGTTTTCCCTTACTTGCCGAGGCTGGTTTGGTTGCAACATCGTTTGATAGACTTGGTGATGGATGTGTTGAGCCAAGCCGTGGTCTCTTGATCGAGGAGCATCTGGTTCGCAGCAGTATCAACGAGTCGACGATGAGGTAGGTTAGTTCCATTGTTGTGAGACAATTCGCAAAGGTCGACGTGTGGGTGATGATGATCAGGTCCGAGTCCTTCGAGGTTTTAGAATCTGTAGGAGATGCGTACACGACCTTCAGCTCCCTCCATAGACAAATAGTAGTCAAGGCGGTGATCAGGATACAGTGTATGAATTGCACCACTTCTCTCCTCGCAGCGAGAAGCACGCTCAACGTGTTGGCTCTTCTATAGCGTGGCGATGTAGAAATCGGATTGGAGAAGACATACAGGGAGATGTAGAGTAAGGAGCTTCCGACGAAAGCAGATAGAAGAGGCCTAGAATTAGAAGCCATCTGACACAGCTTATTAATATCGTGGTAGAGCTTAGAGGTGGAAAGCTTCCACCAAGACCCAAAAATGCTCTGATTAAATAAATACACTGTCTACTGTAGGTACCAAATACGAAGTACGAAAATGCTCCACAAGTCATTATACCCAACCATAGCAATATCGCGGTCCTAAATAGACCACCGTACTCGTATACTGTGAAGTGAGAGATGGTCTCAAAGCGATCGTCAGAGCGGTCATCAATATGGCTACGTCGAGGGCAACGTGAGGGGACCATTGCCGACGCTGAAAACTGCACAAGTATATTGATTCATTCATCTCAGAGGCCGAAGTCGAGGACAAAAGGGTGTTCCAGATGAATCAAGGTCGTTTACACAGATCATCCACATCCAATCGGCTCAGAGTCGCTCGCTACAAGACGAAATTAAACCCACGTCTCAGTAGCTTCGGTCGGGGGTTGAAGAATTTCGAGGAGGGTCATAGAGCACGGGAAAGTTAACGACTATCAGGCCAAAACTATAGCCACCGCCATATGCAATGCTTTGCCACTGATAGAACAAAAAACCCTCTTTGGAACGTCCAAACATTTCAATCATAATTACTCCTGTAACCGATACCACTGCTGTCCGTGATAGCATGACCCCTGCCACCATGCTATTGTACATCAAATGCAAAAATGGGCAAATCCTTATCTGCTGTCCAGTACCGTAGAACCACTCGAATCAGGCGAAAGTGCTTTTCCAAGCACACATTTCGCCTTTTTGGTTCTATTAAGTGACTTTTTTCACGGCAGGCTTGGTTTGAAAGCGCGGCTCGAGCACGAGTCACAATCTCTGTCTCCCTACACAGGAAACCATTTGGTGGTTCTCTTGCTTGGACCAAGAGAGCCTAAGCATAAACTCGCGTGCTTGCCCTGTTCCCCACTGGGAGCGATTTGTCGTGATGGAAAAAATCAATCCAACTGTAACAACTGCTTCGCAAAGCAGTGTGGTGGCCGTATCCTTAGGCAGTGTCCATGGCATCTCCATTTGTGCCATTGCTGCCGTTGACGCTAAAGCTGACCTGTCCACTGTCACCAATGAACTGTTTCTCGAAATCACTGACAAGTTTCATTGACCTCGTAGGATCATAGAAGAGCTTGTAGCTTCGCTGAACATCATCGATGCTGACCTCTTTTGCTTTGCGCTTCTGGCTGAGTAGCGTTGAGGTGGTGATGATATTGCTTGCGTACCTCAACCCTGACTCCTGTCCGATCTTGGTGAGTAGGGCCAGAGCATCTGCCGACAGGTCGACTTCTTCCTCCTGAGCTCGGATGGCTAGGATCTGAGAAATCTCCTCTGACGCATAAGGTTGCGTGCTGATGATGACCACCCGATCCAGGAAGTCTAGTGGAAGTCCGTGGGGCGAGCTATACGTCGTCCCCCGTATCCGAGTGTTTCCTCGGTTGCTCGCCATAATAACAATGGGCGCAAGGTCTTCCTCCAGAGCACGATTGATATAAGAATAGCATTCAATGTCCAGCATATGCACTTCGTCGATGAAAAGAACCCCAGGAATAATTTCAGCCTTGCCTTCTTCTTTCCACTCGCCCACCTTGGTGTTGATTTGATCTCTCACCTCGCTTCGAATTTCTCCAGTGTCGCCAGAAAACAGTGCAAGGAATCCTTGTGTTCTTGAGTTGATGACATCAATCTCATGGAGGCTGACTGTGTGAACAACTTCTTTCCGGACCTGAAGTTCGCCCTCTGGGCATTGGACAAATTTCGTGTCGGCGCCCATGGCGTCATAATCTCTCGATCGCGTGTACGATCTACCTAGCTTGGTGATTTTCCCAGACGACTTGTCGATTGAGATAACATCCCCGGCCATGACTCTTTCCTTGGTCATCGAGCTAATCATCTTGGTGCCCATGTCATAGACCGTTTCCATATCGGTAGTCTTGATTGTAAGTTTGCCTTGTTTGTTGCCCTATGTTCCAGTCAATTGTAGCCCCAAGATAAAGCGTTCCTCAATACGCACCCCCGAAACACTTCTGTCAATCTGAATTTCTACCACCTCCCCTTCAATGATCTCGCTTTCTTCCTTGATTCTCACACCTATCGACTTTCGAAATGCTTGTGTTAGGGCTTCGGTTTTGGACATCTCTAGGGAGAATATCTCGGAGGAGGCGAGCATTGTGAATGGGACATCAGGCCCCAAGGACTGTGCCATCGCCATGGCAATTGCAGTCTTTCCCGTGCTTGGAGGCCCAGCAACAAGAACCGCCCTGCCGGCAATCTTTCCCTCTTTGACCATTTGCAGGATAACGGCTGCGGCTTTTCGTGCTTTCTGTTGACCGATCAGGCCTTGGGATGTTCCGCGGGGCTCTAGGGTAGCTAGATCGACTCCAAGACCGCGAATGTGAGAATGCGCAGCGACGAGATTGAGGCCTCGAACCTCCCGGCTCTCGGACACAGTCGTTATGGGCTGCGGACAGTTAGCATGCGCGCAAGAGGTGGCGTCGTCTTACTGACCGCGGCCATGTTGGTGGCAAGTACTAGAAAACTGCAGGTCTCCTTTGTAGCTGACAGTTGTAGAGAGATGAGACATATACATGGTGTTGGAAGTGCAACTCTGGTGCCATTAAATTTCGCGAGACGCGTCGGCAAACTTTCCCAATGGGCCAACAGTCAACCCCAGGTCGCCCCAGCATCTGTATAAACGGTGTAGCGACGGAGGTCCAGCGCTTCACGAGTCGCTTTATTCTCCTCTCAGTTTACCGTCGTTACCCTTGTTATGTTCTTGCGGTCTATCTAGTGCCAATCTTCACCACAGCCCGCCTTTCACAGTTGCCTTAGGAATTTGCCGCTGGTTAAACGGTCTCTTACCTTCTTTTTGGGCCCCTCAAAACTCCCCTCAGCGTCTGCCGGGTTTCTGAAACTCGGAGCACAAATACACTCGATTGGCGGCTTCGGCGTGCTTCTCGTGACTCGTGTCACCAGCTCTCTCGATATGGTGTCAGGCAGAACATGTCGGTCTCAAGTCGTGCCGGGGATGCGCATGTAAACCCTAAAGATCCAAGACTCCACCGGCGGACGGTATTGCACGAACCCAGCAACATAGTGTCCAGTCCTGCACTCGAGAAAAACAAATCCGCCGTCTTAAGAGATGAAACAATACCAGAGACAACTGTCCAACATGGAAATGGTAGCACACCTCCAGGACCCACCACCACTGATCGAGAAACAGCGATGATGACCATGATATCTAATGCAATCGATGGGAGGCTCCTGTCACGCAACAGGGAAAATGCAGAAAGGTCTTTGAAAAAAGTCCGTGCGGCACATGAACGTGTTCAACGCACCCATTCACAATACCCTCTTGTGGTGCATCAATCGGCTCAGAGTTTGAAGAAGGCTGAGGAAACCTTCCAAGCTGCTCAGCAAGAGATGGAAGCACATCTTGCTGCCGACAAGACTCGATTAGAGGACTTCCTCCGTATTTTCGTGGATGGCCCCGCGAAACGATCAACTGAACATCAAGCTCAGCGCGCAGAGCTGAATGAACTTCGACAGGAACTCAAGGCTATGCAAACACAAATCTCATCAGGCTCTAAGAAGTCAGAGCTCATGTCTGCTGAACTGGCCAAGGTCACTACCGATTTGACGAGAAGCTCCTCTGAAAATGACGAGTTGAAGAAACGCGCCTCGCATCAGGAGACTACCATCGAAACGCTGACTCTGCAATTGAAAGAATTGCAACAGTCCTATGACGGGCTCATCAAGACTTTCAAAGACAATTCCGACACCATGCGGCGCGAGATGGAGGATGCTTTCAAGAAAAGTACCCAACTTCAGGGTAAGGCTATGAGAAGCGATCTGGGCGCGGTCGAAGATAGGGTCTCAAGGCTCGAGAAGAACGTGGCCTCACAGTCGGACAGTCAGTCGTGCGACGCCGTGGCGGTCCAAGACTTGCGGACGGAACTTAGTCGCCTTCAAGAGAGTTGCAAAACTAGGGATAGGGTGGTCAATACGACAAAGAACGAGGTTGAGAGTCTCAAAAAATCTACAGATGTTCAATCGGAAAGGATTCAGAATTTGTTCGGACGAATTACAGATCAGCAATTAGAAATTCAAGCCTTGCGCACTGACGTTGATCAGTTCAAGTCCGAGGTTTTGAACTCCCTGAACGATCATCGAGTATCGAGTCTTACGAGCATCGCCAAGAAGATCGACGACAGTATAGAACAGCAAAACATCGAATTGGAGCTGATCAAAGCCTACAATGACAGGCAGGCAAAGGAGCTAGAGCGAATCGAAAAAGACCTGACTACGAGTGTCCAAAAAGGTCTGAAAGAGGCGGAAGAGTCCCTGAAAGCATCCCATGATAATGCCATGGCCCTTGATCGCATCGACAACGAACTAAAATCTAAGGCAACGGCCTTCGAAAAAGAAGTACGCGACATTCGGAAGTCCCCGCACCCAGTGCCTCAAGCTTCATCAGCGAATGATTCAAGCACTGCAGGCCTTGCCCCTAGAATTCAACAGCTGGAAACGCTGACTAAGAAGCAACAAGAAGACATCAGTGTTGTCTCCCACAACTTCAGATGGTTGGATCACCGCTTCAACAATCTCGAGACCAGTAAGCTTCATCGCGCAATCCTGAAGTCTCTTGATCCACTGCTGCCCAAGTTTGAGCAAGGGTTAAGGGCTGTCGCCAAGCTTGAAGAGGAAATGCAACAGACGCAGGCCACGATTAACGGCATCGTGACTAAGCTCGAGGGAAATCTGGAGCAACTCCACTCAGATTTTGAGACAAGATCTAGGGAGACCAAAGAAAAACAAGACAATATGAGGGACCTTCTCACGGAAGCCCAGGGTGCGCAGATTAGATCTCTCATCGAGACGTCCAAAAACAATGAGCAAATAAGCGCCCTTACTAAGCAGCTGGACGACATCCGGCGCATTGTACAGAGAACTGAAAATGTGATTCAATCAAGCCCAGACACCGATGGCATGGGCCTTTCAATAAAGGGGAGTCACGAGCGAGCTACAGCGCAATATACAAGATCTAAAAACGCATATGGTGGTCAGCGCGAGTCACACCCCCATTTTCGGCCTGATCGTGAGTATGAAGGCAGGGACAGTCCCGATGAACTCAATGACGACAGTTCAGAACGAACACACTCAGTTCTCCTTGAGCAATTCCAGGCAACTGCAACCAAGTCTATCCAGTCCCCTGTACTACGCTCACCATTACCGTCCCCGATGAGAGGTCGAGGAGCCCGACATGGAAAACGAAAACATTCAGAGACCGAATCTCCGAGCCGCAACGACCGCAGAAGTTAAGCTGAAACCTGCGCATTTGATGCTGAAAAGTCGATGATGCCACCTTTGTACAGATATTTCGCCCTATCGTGGGCAGGATTTTGAGCGCTGAAGCCCGCATGACTGATGTTTGAAGTACGATGATACCCCTGCAATTGCTATTAGATAGTTTTGAGGACCAAGAGGAGTACCGCTGCGCTATGTGAAAACGGAGAATGAAATCACAACATCTCGATAGCAGTCTGATATCGCTGTTGTCGCTGTCCTTGCCGTATCTGGCACCATGTCCCTCTGTGCCTGTACCTGTACCTGTACCTGTAGACAGCGGTGATGCCGAGCCTTGCCAAGATGATTCCCGTATGCCCAGCCTTGCCAAGAGGATCTTAGATGCGGGTTTGCTGACAAAGGCCAATGGTGTATTCCATTTCAGGCTTAGTCTTGTGCTGTTCGAGTTTAGCGCGGCGTCTCAGATCTACCAAGTTCAGTCAGCAAGCACTAACTGACACTCTCGCCCCCAAGCTCCTCCTGTGCGCAAAACATTAATAAGAAGAGGTCCAAGATTTCCGCCGACACGATCATCCCAGACATGTATCTGCCATCTTGTTGTTGACCGGGGATTCGACTCCACACAGACGATGCTCGCGTAGGCCGCGAGCTGTCGATATTCTTCTGAGCCTCAGCCAGCGAACTCATTTGCAAGTATGGACACACCTGACTCCGCCGTCAAGAACGGAGCGGCTACTCCCAACAGCCTGGGGGATGAGAAGACCAAAGAAGGACACGAACACAGCCACCATAATCATCTTCCTCATCTCCATATACCCCACGGTCACGGCCACGGAAGACGTTTTCTTGAATTCGTGCATCCTCACACCGGCAAGACGGTTCACGTCTGCCACAGCCCCGAACATCTCGGTAAGTAGAAAGGTTGGCGTATCAGCTCTTTCCGGCCATGTATCTACATTGTAGCTCACTATGGATTTCGTCCCTCATAGAACGGAAGCGCAGCGAACTTCTCCGCGAGAAAAAGGTTGAAGAATTCGATGTCATCCTTCAGGGGACCCCCGAGCACCTCGAGGCGGTGCGTGATCTTCACGCTCACCACCAGTCGAGGAGGGACGAGCTTCGAGACCGCCACGGCGAATTGTACACTGACATCGAAACCGTCAAAGCCGACCTAGACGCACTCGCGGCCGAACTACATCATATCACCGCGCACGCCGTGTCTCTGGACGCGTCCTTTGACCGGTACGGGTACTCGGCGCACCTACGCACCAAGGACGACGACTCCGAAACGATGTCCGTGCACACCAATGACCACCCGTCTGCCGTGGAAAGGCACAAAGACCGCTCCGCCGAACCTCTTCGATTCCTCAAGCGGCCCGTTATTCGCCAGTACTTCCACAAAGGTCTGCTCTGGCGGTCGGCAAAGGCGGGAGAGGTGGCATCGTTTGAACTCTTCCTCGACCTCGTCTATGTCGGCGTCATCGACATCGTGGGCGAAAAGGCAGTCGAGGGCGCCAATGGCTTGTCCCTCTTGCACTTTGTCATCATCTTTTCCATAGCATGGAAGATCTGGGCCGACCTAACCATGATCATCAACCACTTTGAGATCGACGACATCTTCCAACGGATCTATGTGATCTTCTACCTTGTGTGCCTATTTGGATTCACGACCAACATTGCCTACGCATTCGAATCGACCTACACGTCCGCAATCGCATTTTACCTCACACAGCGCCTCTTCAATGCGGTATGGTTCATCTACGTCGCCTGGATCCTACCCACGATCCGCGGCTCGATGGTCCTGCTCTCTGCCCTGATAGTTATCTCGTCCGCCTTCTGGATCGGGAGTATCCATGTCCAATGGCCCGGCCAGTTATCGCTAATCTTCATCGCCATCTTCATTGACATTTTCGGCAACATCATAGTGATCTGGTTCGTCAAGCAGACCCAATCGGGAGTTCTCAGGGGTGTGATGAAATATTTTGAATTCTCGCCCGCTATCAATATCGAACATCGTGTCGAGCGGAACAATGCTTTTGTGTCACTGGTAAGTCCGTATCTGTCTCTGTGTCTAGTTCTGGTCTCTAGAGTCTCTACTACTTTTCACCGGCTTCTCCGTCAGTGTTGAGGTGTTGAAGGCAAGTCTTGACTAACCAGACACGACACTTGTTCGAAATGACAGGTCTTTGGCTACTCCATTTTAACTATCTTGTTCCAATCGCACGCCTCTTTCGGCATCAATGCATTCTTTGGTAAAGGAGTCCTTGGTCTCATTCAAGCATTCATGTTTAATTGGTACGTTGCTCTCCTAACCTCACAACAACTTCTTTTATTACTCGAAACACAACGTGTCGTTGTGCCTCTATCTTCCCCAGTCACAGCGGTATATAACCCTACTCCGTCACAAGTCAAGCCTTGTCCCAAAATGTCAACCAAACAACCGTCTGAGATTTATTACATGAATTTTCCTTCACCTGACCTGACTCGACTTTTCTAGGATCTACTTCGAAATAGACGCGTACCACGTCCACGTGCACGCTATCCGTCGACACTGGGTTTCGGCGAGTCTATGGGTATCGGCGCACCTCCCCTTTATAATGGGCTACGTGCTCGCGGCGTCGACGCTCTCCCGGCTGGTGCTTGCGCACGACTCTGCCGATGCGGACCCGGAGTGGCTGGGCGAAGGATACGCCGAGCGGTCTGAGTCCGAGGTGCCGACAGCGTTCCGCTGGTTCTACTGCGGGGGGCTAGGCGTCGCGCTGATCTGCATGGCCGCCATATCGCTATCTCACATCCACAAGCGTGTCAACACCAAAGGCAAAACGCGGCTCCGCAAACGGCCGCGTCTCGTGTTCCGCGTCTGCGTCGCCGCCGTCATCATCTGCCTCCCACTCGCGAAATCGCTGTCGTCTCTGTCGCTGATCTCCATCACGACCGCCCTGGTCTTTTCCGTGCTCGCTCTCGACCTGTTCGGCATGAGCCGCAAGGGCGACAAGTTCTGGACAGGGGGCTTCTGTCCGCACGAGAAGAAAAACACCACCTACACGGCCCAGTGTCGGCTAGGGAAGCGGCGCAGGAGGGAGATTGAAAAGGCGATGCAGCGCGGCGAGAAGGTTGGTCTGGCGGACCTGCTCAAACGAAAGAATTCGAGCATGAGCAGTCTCGAGAGTGAGGAGACTTTGAGGGACGAGGAGTGGCAGGGCGGGCATTTTTAGGTCATACCCACCCACCTACCTACGTACGTATCTACCTACCTACGCGCATCTTGTGTGGTTGCAAACTCCTCGTTCTTTCCCATTTTCCTCCTCCTTACACACGTATGCTACTCTCTACAATGTGGCGTGGCAATACCTGTACCAATACTCCGCCGCAAAAGGATGGTTTTAAGAGAATGGAACTTGAAAAATAGATGAAAGAAGCTTTGACCAGTCTAGAAGCTGTTGGAAGATGACTCGTATGAGCACATGCGGTATCTAGGTTAAATCGGCGGAGCTTGGTGATAGACGCTTATGCAATTCAAACCACTTCCGGCAAACGTTGCTGAAGTTGATCCCATACAGAATCTTGTCTCCTTCTCCGGTTCATAATTCATTCGTCTCCAAAGCTCCCACCCTGGGAGATGAAACGAGGGGCAAGGTCACGTTGGGGAGTTATTATTCATCATTAGTGGAACAAAGGAGAGTCAATCCACGTCCCCTCCCCAGGTGAAGCTTTTCGTGAAGTGACGGGACGGCTCGTAAACATGCTCGTGAGTCTCGGGATTGATATATTCGAAGATTCTGTGTTTTTCATGTTAAGTACCTAAACAAATCTATCCTTTGAGGTCTGTTGTTGTACTCACGAGGCTGCCCCAATCGGCTTTCTCAAGCGGTAGAATTCAAGGGTGACGTCTTCTGGCGTTGAAGCAGTCTTGCATCCATTCTTCTCCATATCGATGATGAGATGGTATCGTCTATCGTTCACTCCTCCTAGGTGCACATAATGGTTTGTTGTCCAGTCATAATCCGCTTCGGCAGTGGAGCAACCAGCGAAATGGAACAAGTCTTGAGTAATTTTCTTGTGGTCATCATGCCAGTGCTCGTGTGCGCACGAATTATAACACGTTTGGGTTTGCTCTTTGAACCTGAGTTCGGAGCCATGAAAAGGCTGGTAGAGAAAGAGACTCATTTGAGAAGGGCGGTGGAGTTGATATATGCATCAACTGATGCCTACATTTACGTCGTTAATCTATTGCGGCTAGAGCATTCTCGCGAAGAACTTCTGTAGGGAAACCCTTGATTTTTAGGAATAAAATGTCCATAAACCCACCAAAGGCTTAGGTGATTTTATTCGGCTGAGTGGGAATTGACGGCTCCTCTGGCGCGTGTATAGCTATATTAGATGGTCGGAGAACAAACGCTGTAAGCACCCATGGAGCAGAACAAACCTGTTCCCAACACCCTCCGGGTAGTCTTTCTTCTCGACTGTCCAACCCTCTTGAGTTTCCTCGCCGGGTTATCAGGATTGTCGCCTTTGGTTATCGTTGCTGACCTCTTCTGAGGCGGCGTGTTGACTCACCGGTCTGTCCTTTGAGCTCGACTGTTACCGCCCAATCGCATCTTCCCACGTCTGCACTCCCAAGTCGCGAGGGAAAGGGGGTGTGAAAGATGACATTATTTGTCCATAGGATGCGACAATCATGCAACTGATCGCCTCCGGGGCCATTTCGACCGGCATGGACGTCTTGTCGCATGGAATTGGCCAATCTTATCTATTGCAAAAGGGGGCAATGGGGACACCGGTTGCTGGATTCCCAACTCAGGCTGCAGACTGAGTCGAAAAGATCAGCTGGCCTGGGCAGCGAACGTGGATGAGGCTGAAAGAATCCGTCATATTCTACCCCTCCATCCGCTGGTGATGATTCTTCAGTACTTGCGACCCTCTACAGTCCTTTCCCGTCAGTACGTCTCGTTGATATTCACTTATCATCGCCGCATCTTGGATCTAGGTCAATTAAGATTAGCAATACTTTGCACAAAGGATTTTACTGATCGCGGAGAGCAACGTACTTCGAGTTGAAAGAATCATCTTTGCTTGGTGGATAGCCTCCGAGTGTACGTTCTCATTCTAGCAGAAACCGCTTCGGCCATGGAGAACGACGCCACTTTCAATTCTGGCATCGTGTCTGGCCTATTATATCCGCTGTTAAGAACCGTGTTCCAACCAGAAGAGGACCGACACCCGTGGCGAGGGCGTCGCCAACCCTTCGACAGGCCACTCCTTAGGCTCTGGGACGGCCAGTCAGGGAGCCAACCTGATCCAAATGGTCGTATGAGGTCAAGAGAAGGTCGTGGACGGCTTGACAGCTTCAGATCTCGAAAAGATTCATTGACCATTCACATTAATCACCGCAATTGGACACCAACTCCTTACATCTCATTCACAGACTCGTCTTCCGAAATCGAAAGCCTTGCAAGATTGAGAACCCGACGAGGTCGAGGACCCTTTACTCTAACCGTTATTGACCCAGATAAACGTGTACGAAATGGCTTACCCGTGCTGAACGTCCGAGACGAAATGGAGGAATACAATGTCCCTGACCCTTACGCCAGTGTTGAATACAATGATCACTATATTTGCTTGTGGGAGGTCACAGCCGACGAGTTCGTAGGCAATTGGAATTATAACGACCTTATCATACATAAGAACTGGCTTCAAGAAATTATCATACCGGCCTTCTGGCGTGCTCGGCAGGTGATGAGGGTTGGGGGCTTGTCGAATCTCTTTAACAGGCTTTCTCGTAGGTCCAAATTATAAAGTGTGATCAAGAAGGTCAACTGATATCTTCAAGTTTCAACCGACGCATCCGATTCAACCAATTTCTCCCACGAAGGGTTCCAGTCATCAACCGAAGAACTCGCCTGGGACTTCGATGACGAGCTTGAAAATGAACACAATGATTCCGATGATGCACACTACCCTCTCTCGGATAAGAGTGGGTCGGATAAACATGACGAAGGGGAAGAGGCTTAGTGCCTCCGACGTTCTGATCAAGAAGGAGATTGGTGAGACTCCTGGAGGAGCTTGTGGCAAGCAGCAAGTGGGGCCTTAACTTGCCTCCAGTTGAATTCACAAGAATGTGTGACCGTGTGTGTGTATGTGTGTGATAGAGAGAGAGAGAGCGGTAGAGAGTGAGAACGCGACCGGAATCGGCTTGACCTCCCGGAGCTCGGGGCAGACTTTGCTCTGTTGTGCCGCCGAGGTTTGGTCGAACTGCTCATGCCTCAGCCCGGATAAGGAAACTGGGTGATGCCGTCCTTGTACACCCTCGACTCGCGCGATCAGGGGTAAGGGATCACCTTTGACTCACCTGCTGGAGGGCCGAATCGTGACGCGACGCTAAGGGGCACCGTGGCTTTCATTTAAGGATCACGGGTAACACTACCGGTCCGGCGATAAATCACCATGGCGGCAATCCGGCACTGATAACATCGACTGCGGGTTCAAAGCAGCTCATACTGAGCGAATAACATACTGACGGAATTTGCTCCTATCTGTAGCGGCTGAGCGCCAGTTGCCCGTGGCCATCGTGAGAACAGTGGCGCCTAGATATCGTGATGGCTGGTCAAGCTCGTTGATATACTTCTGCTCGCTCTGTGTCTGAACCCATCTTGACTTACTGTCAATCTGTCATGGCTATTAGATTTCTCAAGGTAGGGTTTATGCTGGACGCTGAGGGTCTTTGTTGGACTAGGCTGAGTTGCGGGCGATGTCAGTCACCGTCTTTACAAGTCAAATACTCACGCCTAGCGCCTTAGCGCCTCCGGCGGAACGCCGACGCCCTCACGTTCCTTACAAACCTTGCAACACCATGAATTCACTCATTCTTGCCATTTCATAGTCCTCAGGATGGAGGAACAGGACCTCGCCAACGCAAGGGCGTTGGCCTCCGACGAAGACGTCCTCGATCGCCGCCGATGCCCGGAAGAGAACCTCCTCCAGCAGGATAAAGAAATTTTCGCTCCTTTACCATATAAATAGATAGAACAGCGACCTCCTAGACCTGGAGGTCAGACTCGTCAATACATCACATTTAGCCCCCAGACATCGCCTAGAACTGAGTGTTGCACAACAGTCTTAAGCGCAGTCGGATACGAAGGTCACGTGGTGTATCTATGTAAATGTGCAGTTTGAGAGGACGATATATATCTTGCGCCTGAAAGCCCATGGCTCTTCCAGTATGGCCTCTGTAGTTGTCCACCCACCAACCCGGCCACTCAACGCCGAAGCGCACCATGATAAATGGAATCTTGAGGGCTTGCGCACGTTGTCACGCGAAGAAGATTAAGGTCAACGGCCTCGTAAATGATCTGCTGCATGACTAATAGGCATTTAGTGTGATGGGACATTGGTTTGCAAGAATTATTTCGATACTGACGCACTACATACACTATATATTAGGCTTAGACGAATCGAGTATATAGTAGATTCAATATCTTGCGCTCTAACTAGTCCTAGACTCTAAGGTGTTGAACAGGCTGAGTTGCGGGCGTGTCCGATGACCGTCTTTATAAGTGTTGCTCTCTGAGCGTCTATTAGAACGTCTGTCCGAGGTTGTAACAGGCTGATAGCTCGTCTCTTTACTGGCCTCTCGGTGCGCTTTGAGTATATACTCGGCAATAGAAAAGGTTGCCTCTTCAAAACCCAGGTGAACAACTCAGTGACCCTCTACTTGTTTTTATAGACAAGCTCGTTGATCTGCAGGGTGGGCGACAGGCAAAGCTGCTGTGCCAAAAGGGTTAAAGGCTTCTTGTTCGAGCCGAGCTAACCCATGCTGAATGATGATGCGAGCTGATGCTGATAAGACTATTGCTGAGAATTTGACAAGACTGGTCCAGGAACAGCCAAACGGCTCCTATCTTTGTCTCTTCCTTGGCGGATGACCCAGAGGAGCCCTCGACACACCGGCGATATTTTGCCGTGTTCGATGGAGTATTTTGACAACCTACATTGAGAGTGGGTCGGCACGAGGCGGGAATTTATCGCCGCGGCGATAGGACTACGAGTGGGATGACCTATATCACCTCGTTCTTATCTTGGGCAAGGACCAAGAGCCCCACCAGAAAGGATACATGAATACCCTTTGACTATCCTGCTTCGAACACTGAACAACCAAATCTTCCAGACACCACGACTGCACCACCCAGAATGGATCCTCAAAAAGAACTTGCGACTGATGCAAAGGATGTTGTTACCATCACTCCGGCCAGGGATGAGATGCTACTTCAGCAAGGTGACCTCAAATTAGCCGCCGGCTACGATGATGACATTGGTCTTCGCATTATCCATGAGACTGGCAATGTTAGCATTGACCCGACTGTCACACGGCGTGCATTGCGCAAGATCGACACTTGGGTGCTCCCTCTCCTGGCGTAAGTTGCCCGTCAATCTGCGCAAGGCTCGATTGCTACAATCTTCGAACCATCAACATGGACGAGGCTGACTCCATCTCTAGCCTCACAACAATGCTCCAATTCTTGGACAAGTCGACCCTGAGTTACGCGGCTATCTTTGGACTTATCGAGGACACTGTATATCCACTCACGCCAAGGACTCGCATTACCCAGTCGCTAATTTTCGCCTCCAGAACCTTCATGGAACCGAGTATTCATGATTGGGCAGTATATTCTACTTTGGTAACTACCTTCCACAATGTGGTCTGTTGTCTCCTGTGCTGACGTTGCAGGCTATTTAATAACTCAGCCATTCGCTGCCCACCTGCTGCAAAAGTTCGCCGCTGCAAAATGCCTTGCCGCCAGTGTGTACGTTGTCTCAATCGATGCCCTTATCAACTACAATCAGCATATACTCATTACCTTGCGGAATAGGTTTTTCTGGGGAGTTATTCTCTTTATGCATGTGGTATGCGACAGCTGGGCCAAGCTCATGGCGGTTCGTTTCTTCCTTGGTATGGCAGAATCAATGTAAGCGCCCAAGGCGATCCTTCTGGGGCAGGTCGGGGTTCAATGTCGCTAATTGACAATGACAAAAAAAATATAGTGTCACTCCGGCTTTTATCCTCATCAGCGGCGCATGGTATGCCAGACAAGACCAACCGTTACGCATGGGCTTCTGGTTCTCCTTTAATGGCATTGCTCAGATCTTGGGAGGTCTGTTGTCGTACGGGTTGGGACACATACATGTGGGAATCGCCTCTTGGAAGTGGATGTTCCTGGTCACCGGAGCCATCTCGGTGCTATGGGCGATTGTTCTGTGGTTCATGTTGCCAGACAACCAAGGTACAGCATGGTTCTTAAATGACGAGGAGAAGTATGCCTCGATCGAGATGGTTCGTCAGAACCACACGGGCATCCACAACACCAAATTCCGCCGCGAGCAGCTTGTCGAAGCTCTATGCGACCTCAAGACATGGGCATTTTTCTGGATGGCTCTGATTTGGAATATTCCCAACGCCATGGTTACTGTGAGTTTTATGTTTGGGCCAGCTGGACTGAGAATATGTCAAACTGAATTGTTGCTAACCGTGACATTAGTTTGGCAGCCTCGTCATCAAAAACTTCGGGTACGGCGTGCTTGAGACGACATTGGTGAGTATTGTATTGGGTTCCGTGGTTGTCCACGCTGCTGATAATTTCCGTTTCCAGCTTGGGATGCCATCCGGAGCTCTCGAATTCATCCTTATGTTGATCATCACCTGGGTATGTCTCAAGGTCGCTAACACTCGGACATGGTGCATGATCACTGCCCTGACTATCGCTCTTGTCGGGGCAGTCATCGTCTTTGCGGCTCCTTACCACAACAAGGCCGCTCTGCTTGGTGGATTCTATATCGTGAGTGTTCCATCACTTTCTGGTCTCTTGGGTCCAGCTGCTGATGAGGATCGAATGATTCCCATTCTTCCAGATGTTTGCCTTTCCCACAGGTTACATCTTGCTTTTATCCATGATCTCTGCCAACACTGCCGGGCACACGAAGAAAGTAGTCACAAACTCGCTGGCCATGATTGGATATAGCACTGGAAAGTGAGTGTTTTTCCCGACGCCTTGCTACAGCTCTGTTATCCCTGAGGCGTAGCCATGACTGACTAGTATTCTAGCATCATTGGACCACAATTCTTCAAACCATCCCAGCAACCCCGCTACGGTGAGTGCCTCTTCGTTTACTACCGGCTTGCCGTATCTTTGAATACTGAACAAGGTTCCAGGTCTCGGTATTGGAGCTTGTATGGTCTCCTTTGCAGTACTGATCGTCATGCTCATCAGCCTCCGTATTTTTCTGGTATTTCAGAACAAGCGGCGTGAAAGTACGAGATTGCAGCTGTCTGAGCAGGCTGAGGATCATACAATGACCGAATTCGACTTTAAAAATTTGACGGACAAGCAGAACCCGCTCTTCGTTTATGCGTACTAGGACTGGCGTCACGGTAAGATGACTTGCTTGCCTAGGGCAGAGCGATGCTCGGTGATGCAAACCACTGAGTTCAGCATGTTGAACAATGACTTTGAGTGTGGATGGTAAGGGAAACAGACAGTACATCTGCTGTAAGAGACAGATAGAGAATATCGACCTATCCGTCTTTTACGGGCAAGAATCGCAGGAATATAGTGCGTTAGGGAGAGTAATGGAGGGTTCTGTTGTTGTTGCGCTAGTTGATCCTGTAGTATTCCTGTAAAGTTAACGTGATGGCTTTCGTGGTCTTTTCAGCTAAATACTGTAAGTTGACCATGATATCTGGCGATTGCTATTAACACATAAGCTGCGTTTACGTCGAGTCACGAAAGATAGTTCTTGCTGCATACCCAGGGCTCGTTAAGATGTGATGACTCGGTCTTACGAACCATCACAGGCTAAACTGGAACATCCTCCATTCAATAATACATGTCTCAAACCCACACACTCATATGATAGGAAGAACCCTCTTGTGGCGCCGGCCATTTCGACTATCACGCGCTGGGGCTACTGTAGGAATCGATCAAATTCGGCACTAGTTAGACGCCATACAATACGGCTCGTACTTCTCCGACAGTGGATATAGTCCCGATGATAGGCAATTCGGCGCCTCGGCGCCGCAACGCCGAGGAGACAGCGGATCAATACCAACCTCACACAACCTTCTCATTTCCTTGACATGATTTACATAGTACGAAGTACTACATGGTATAGTCTTTCGTACCGAGTATATAGACAGGGGAAGTGAGAGTCAACGTGAGACCAACTCTGTGCGTTAGTAATCTCGACTATTACTGCCGCTGACCGAACCAGACCCAAACCAGCGTCCTCAAAGTGCCACGGAAAGTACATTCACAACAGCCAGCCTTAGACATATATCAGGTGTTCCATCACAATGGGACTACAAGAGCAGCAAAAGGTTGCGGACGAAACAATCACGAAGGCATCTCCAGAGCTGCGGGATATAAATTGGGATGTAAGTTGTCCCAGCATACCAGCACTCGACTTTGGCCGTGATTGGTATCACGTTGCATCTCGACAGGAGAACTAACACGACACAATGCACAGCTACACTCGCATCCCGAGGTTTTATTTCAAGAGCACCATGCACACAAGGTGTTGACTAATTTCCTGGAGGAGCGAGGGTTTAAAGTCGATCGCAGTGCCTTTGGGCTCGAGACAGCCTTCAGAGCCTCGTATGGACCCGAGGGGGCTCGTGCCGTGGCAATCAACCTTGAGTACGTAATGCTACTAGGAAGACGTACTCACCCAGTGTCCTCCGCTTTATACACTCCCCTTCTCGCATTTCATCTGACCGAGTTACTTTCGGAACAGATATGACGCCTTAGAGCAGATTGGGCACGCTTGTGGTCATAACCTGATCGCTACGGCAGGACTGGCAGCTGCCATCGGGACGGCCGAGGCTATCAAACAGGGCAAAATCAATGGACGTGTCGTCGCCATCGGCACACCCGCAGAGGAGGGAGGCGGAGGGAAGATCAAAATGATTCGTGCCGGAGCGTACGATGACATCTTCTGCTGTGTAATGGTCCATCCCGCGTAAGTACATACTATAGTTTTGGTGGTTGACACGGAGCAAACACGCCTATGCGTCAAACTGTAGGCACCGTGCCTGCTCGTGGTGTCTCTGGCGCTGACGAGAGGCACGCAGGAAGAAGGACAACGCATACGTGACTTCGATGTGCGGGTCCGAACTAACCATCGAATATATCGGCAAACCCGCGCACGCAATGGCGGCGCCGTGGGACGGCATCAACGCCCTTGATGCCGTGACTCTGCTACAGACCAGTATCGGGCTGCTCCGACAGCAGATTATGCCCTCGGATCGCATCCGGGGCGTCGTGCTCCAGGCTGGACAGCGCTCTGGGGTGATCCCGGCTTATGCCAAAGCACGTTACTGCGTACGGTCCGCTAGCCTGGAGAGATACAGTGTCCTGAAGCAGAAGTTCATCAATTGCCTGGAAGCCGCGGCACTTGCGACGGGCTGCGAGCTGAAGACGGACTGGCTTCCTGCGTACTGGGACATTCGGACCAATGAAGCGTGAGTCGTGTAGCTTTTCCTCTTCAACATAAATACTACCAGGATCTTTGGGGCTCCCCGGCTGACACACGACCTATCGAACCACACAGGCTTGCAGCCAAGTTTGTCGAGCACATGGAGCGGCAAGGCGTGTCGTTTCGCTCCGCGTACGAGCAGAAGATGGACCAGGATTGCTTCAGCACCGACATGGGCAACGTCACCTACGTCGTTCCCAGTATCCATCCCACGTTCGAGGTATGTTCAATCTTGTGTCTGCGTCGCCCGAACCCCCCAGGGACTGACCATGAGCATCGCAGATCATAAGCCCAGGAGGCACGATACACACAGCCCACTTTGCGGCTGCGGCACGGGCTCAAGACGCGCATGATCGAACGCTGAGGTGTGGCAGGGCTATGGCTTCAACAGCGCTGCAAGTGCTGATGGACGATGACTTTGCCGCAGCAGTAAGGCGTCAGTTTGATGCTGAGGACTGGTCAATTGCTGCCGATCCAGCCCTGGCTTAGGTAGAGAGAATGGCTGAAAATAGGCTCCTTTATCAGTGATTGTGCGTGTAACAGGTAATAGGCTGTACGCAATCACCCTTGCGTGCTGGCAAAGACCATAACATTCTATCTTCTGAGCACTATAGATCAATATTCCGAGTCTCTTCCGTAACCCGACAGAGGGAATCACGACTAAAGATGATGTTTAGCTTATCCGAAATATAGTACAGAAGTATATTGAAAACGATCGTACTATTATCCTTATAGTTCTCTCTAGTAACGTCGATGTTACTATCCAGGAAAACCTGAGGCTTATGGAGGATTACGATGAGGCTGTTAGGGATCGGACTATTGAGATAGGCAGGACGTATAAATGATCAATAGTATGTATTAGTCGTACCCGACACCCTATGGCAATACACGACTTCGAGTATGTGAGAGAAGAATGCTTCTCTCATGCGGTAGATGAGCTATCGGTACCTAACGGTTGAGTTGGTCTCGGCATTCATGACACTTCGTCAGTTATAAAGTTATAGTCAAAGGGGCGAGGAGGGGCCTGGGTCAAAAGACAGAGAATCTGGCAGTCGACAATGTCATGTATTGGTTGTTTGGTCTAAGTGTCTAGTTCTGACGGCGCAGGAGGAAGTCAATGTAATCTATGCTTGTGCTAAATGCGGCAGGTGCACCCCCAAAGCGCGTCAAATCAAGCAAAATGCCCCGAGGGCGCACCTGCGAGGAGGTATAGCCGCTAGAGGCTATAGAAATCGAAAAGTGAAGACTAGAGCCTAAACGCTTAGAGGCGAGAGGAACGCCGTTTTATACTTAGGGTCGACGTGTCGGCGAGAGAGCAGGGAAGCATTAGACCTTAGAACTAAAGGTTAAGACCCCTTCGTAGGGATCCAATAATGGAGTCCCCCTAGTCATCGCAAATTACGGAACCAATCTTAGGACGGGCGTACAGTACCAGGGGAACTACAGTAGACATCAAACCGTCGCTACGACGGTGTGTAAGAGGGTGAGTAGGAGGGTGAGGAGAAACTGAGAAGAGGTGAGTCGCGAGCATCTGGTCTTAAAAGTGGCACGGTCTGCGTGAGCCCGCGGAGAGTTCAAAGCGGTTCGACCATTGTTCGAGCTGCGCTGATTGGCCAACTCAAAACAGTTCGGAGCGAAACCGGGCCGTTCGGTGATGCTACCCCACGACTCGCGCCGGTGAAAGCGGTCGAACACTGAAGACTTAAAAGAGAACGGGATTTGTACACATATTTTACCCATTGGCATACGGAATGAACACTATTCCCGTATGACTAGATGCTGCAACTCAACTGTCGAGCACCTTTCCGGGGGATCTTTGCCCGACCGGCCATCAGAAGGTACCACTTTCAAAAGCCGCTTTCGGAGCCTCGGACACGGTTTACCGGCAAGACCATCGTCGTGACTGGTGCCAACTCTGGTCTTGGGTTCGAGGCTGCGGCCAAATTCACCGCCCTAGACGCCTCTCGCGTTATACTCGCGGTCCGCGATATTGCAAAGGGCCAGCAAGCCAAAACCGCCATCGAAGAACGTACGGGCATCCGCAATGTGTTGGAAGTATGGCCCCTTGACATGGAGTCATATTCAAGCATTTGGCAATTTGCTCACCGCTGTACCGAGGATCTCCGCCGGCTTGACGTCGCCGTCTTGAACGCCGGAGTGTTCAACGTCGGCTACGCGACATCCCCACAGGGATGGGAAAACACTATCCAGGTGAACGTCCTATCGACGGCGTTGTTGGCGCAGTACCTCCTTCCCAAAATGAAAGACACCGGACAGCAGTCCGGCACGGGCGAGCCGCCTGTCTTGACATTTGTATCCTCTCGGCGTCACGAAAAAGTTGTGTTCCACGAGGACGAGCTGGACACCCAGACGATCCTGCAGTCACTAAACGATCCTGAAAGGTACAATTCAAGTCGGCAGTATCAAATATCAAAACTCCTCGTCATGTGCGTGATGCAAAAGCTGGCAGCCATCGTCGGATCCGGGTCAAGCAACCACGAGCCTGACGTCGTAATCAATGCTGTCTGTCCGGGATTCTGCCGATCAAACCTAAGTCGAGGACACCAAGGGCTGATCGCGGACACAATACGGCTCATCCTGAATACCCTGGTGCTACGGACCGCGGAGGAGGGCGCTAGGAGTTTGGTATCAGCCGCAGCACTTGGGGTGCAATCCCACGGCCGCTTCTGGTACGACGATGAGCTTTACGATTCGTAGGTGAACAAACAAACCCCTGTCTCTCCGAAGCTTTACTGAACCAAAACCAATACTAGGTCTCATCCACTGTTATCAAAGGATGATAAAAATACCTTTGTTGAGAATGTATGGGAGCGAATTCAGTCCGTGCTTGCGCAAGAAGACCCTAACTTCAGAAAAGTCACCAGTCTCTTGTGATAACTGAAGTCTGTAATACGAGCCCGGGGATTGCCGACTCATTCGATTCTAGTATGATCTCAGTGAGGCCTCATAGAGGGATCTAAATTTCCAAAAGACATCGTCAAGTAACATCAACAAGGACCACAGAGTTGCCTGCCGCGAAACAGAATCTACAATAATCACCGCAACTCTACAAGGGATGGCTGAAATGCAAAATTGGAAGGTCATTCTAAAACAAAGCCTCTGTACACGAGACTACGCACATCGATGGCAAACAATACGGAATTCACACTCGTGACTGATCAGTACTTACTGTAGGTCGGAAGGTCTCTCAATGAAATTCAAGGTTCGGGTTGACATTTCCATGACTGTGACCAATGAGAGGTAGTTAACCGGGGTGTTTTTATCAAAAGGCACTAAGTGACCTGACTTTGAACTTTCTTTTATCTGCCACAAGAGCAAACGTACCATTAGTATAATTATAATTTCTGAACATAAAATTATTTGTCGCAATCGACCACAGGTTGTGGAATACAGGGCTTCCCGTCCGCTCAGCCGTACTTAAGCCACAAGCCGATCAGTTAGTACTACCGTGGGTGACCAGGTGGGAATCCTGATTGTTGATTGTTTTTGGCTTTTTGCTTTTTCTCCCTCCTTTGGAGGCTCTCTTTACATTTATATTTGTTTTTTTGTAAGTCGAAGGAGTTGAGAGAGAGGTGTAATCCATAGTGTATAATTCCATATTTTATAGGAAAAAATCCCCGGACAATCAGGAAATATAATGATGATGACAGTGATGATAGCGCTAGTGATCCGCAGCCAAAAAGTCGAAGATACAACCATGTACAATTAATGTCACACAAGCCTCGAGTCTCATTGTCATGAGCACAACTAGGACAGGGTTCCAAGGAGAAGTTCAGGAAGCAACACTCACCGAAAGATTGCTCCAAGGAGACTCATCTCAATATACCTATAGCTTGGCGGACCCCTGAGCTTCGCACTTTGTCACGCAAGCTACCCGCACAAGGAACTTCTCTTCCTTTATGCTCAAGAGTCTTGCACTGGGGCGCACCCCTAGATACACAGGAATACTTCAACTCCTTCGTTGTGTCATCACTCTGCCTGTTCCTCGAGGCATTCCTAACAGACCTCGGGAAAGTCGCTCGCCATTCGTGGAAACTGATGATCAGCGACGCGAGCCCGGGGTTTGCGAACCCGTTCAATTCTAGTACACAGAACACACAGACCAACTCAGAGCTTCTCCTTCACACCTTGTCATCTCTCTCTTTTTTGAACTTCTCACAATGACCATTCAGCATAGACCGAGGGCTTCGCAAGCGATTTTACGTGTCGAGTCTCGGTCGTGCCAGGTGTTGTCATCCACGGCGAGTAAAAACTGAGTGCGCCGTTTGGGAAGTCCACAACGGCACGTACTCTGAGGTACGGGCTGATATCGGTACAGGTCATTATGTTGGCGTATTGACGTACCCACACCGTATTTTGCGTCGTATCATCGACAAGCTTACAGCGACAGGTGCCCATGTCCGGTCCGCCCGAGATGCTCAAGTGCGTTCGGAACTTGAGCTGCTGGGCCGTCTTGTCCGAGCCGAATGCCGGGCTCTGGATGACCTTGTTCACGTCGTGGATACCTATCTGCTCGGTGGAGAACACGTGGTTGTTCAGGGTCAGGCTGAACGCGATCTTTGTACCGCGGCCGACGTAGTCGCATCGGGCTTTGAGCCTGTAGTATCCATCGTTCTCTTCTGATTCGGTCCAGTAGTCGCAGATGGAGCCGTGGTCCCAAACCGTCTCTAGGGGAGTAGTATGAGGAGTCGTCGAGTTGGAATATTGGGGTGTCGGGCTGGTGTGGGGCGCCGGGGCCGGGGCGGCCTGAGTTGACTTGGTGTGAAGAAGACAAAGCACTACCGCGACTGTCGATATCAGACTTGTAAACCGAGAGGGAAACTTCATGACGATGATGGCGGCGATTTAGTCTTGGTTGGGTAATTGCAAAGTGTCTTGCTCTGTATACTGTGGTTGTTGAAGATGCGTCTGAGACCACTGCTTTACAGAATCACGCTCCCCCAGGCTCGCTCGATCTATTTAGCCTTCTACTCGTAGGTACTCACTACTCGCTACTTCAACCTGCAAAATTGGTTGAGTTTCAGACCACCCAAGTATAATGTCGAGCCTATTTCGGCTATTAGGTATATTTGGCCGGCCTGTGGCGCTTTAGCGGTCTTTGGCCTGTCGGCGCCAAGGAGAAACGTTGCTTAGAGAGGCAACAATTCCTATCTGGAAAGGTACAGTACGTCGCGGACAGCTGTAATACGCCGTCCTCTAACGTGGCACGACTCTAGACCCTTGGCAAGTTGTAATGTATGGTACGCGGCACACCAAGTGACGCGCTAGCGTCCCAGTGAAGAGTTAAATGCTTTCGCCTGCGTCCAGAATCGGTCTGAGTTTACTGAGGCGAAACTAAAGGGTCCGAGATGCAATTATGCACGACTCAAATGAGAAAAGGTTCTCATGCGTCACACAATTCTCTAGTTGAAACCCAAAAGCGAGGTAGAGCTTGCCAAAGAGTCTCGTTGCTCGTGTTGTCCGGGATTTGCCAAGGACAACGATGGCCATCCCAGAGCAAGGCATGCTGCCGCAACTCGGTCCCTCGCCATCATCTGCGAGAGGACAAAAACAACCGAGTCGCTACACGCGGACTGACCCTATCGGCACAAACACAATCCGTGGCCGCGATAGAGATTCCGCAAAGATATCCATCCACAGCGTCAGCATCAAGTCCTCGTTATTGCCTCCCTTCCCCGACGAGGCGTGAGGCCCTTCTTCATCACCATCGGTAACATGTCCAAATATCTACTTCCCTCTCAACCTATGTGGCTTCCTCGACCGAACGCACCTGCGCCTAGCAATGCCGCTCTCAGATCTTTCGCCCTTCTCGAAACCAACGGCATGAGCTGTAGAGCAGGGTCTCTGGCATCACGCTCTGCAATCGTCATGTACAGACTTTCAAGCTTTGCAATAAGCGACGTCAAAAGCGCGGGAGCATGCTGTGCTAAATCCGCTATCTCGGGATCCTAAAGAGTATTTGTCAGCGAAGTCATAACATGCACGCAAGCGCCATGACATACCGAAACGTCGACCGCATTGAAAGCTGCCAAGATCCATTCAAGTCTCCGAGCAGTATTCGTGCCCAGAGAGTTGCCAATTGTGATAGCAATCGAGAACGCAATAAGAGGTGATACATCCGTAGCAAGATACTCAGGCGTGTAATGAATGAAGAGTTTGTCGAAAAGCTCAACCGGCTGGCCGGATTGAAGCCATTTGATAGAGCCTTCCTCGTAACGTCCATCATTCATCAAGCCGGTGATCTCGTCAAACTCAGCTTCCTCCTTGGTCTTCTGTTTAGGCATGCTCTGGTGACCAAGACTTTGTGGCGATGGAGTCATACGCGCCGTTGACACTTGAAGTGATCCGCCAGGGGTGCTGGTCTCTCCAAGAGCAGCCAGTTGACGCCGGTCTTTCAAGATTTGATTTTGGAATGCGACCTGAGAGTTGGACATCTGTTGCAGTGTATCTGTGGTAGCCTGGAGAACTTGACCAAGCTTTTCCAGCCGATCCATGTCATGTTGCCTAGCGGTCTCTAGCTGGTGGATCTCTTTGCGAAGCCGAAGCTCGACATCAGATGCGGCTTTTTCAGCTGCAGACACCGCAAGCGTCGTGAATGCCGGCACAATCTGTTTCTGTAGCATTTCCACAAGCTGCACCTCCGTCTGCTTCGAAATTTTCTGGGAAATTGTATCTGCAATGGTTCGGCTCATCTGAGGACTCTGCAGAGCCGCGTTTATAGCAATCGGCAGTCGAGCACCCAATTCTTGCGGCACCAGTGATTGAAGGGATTTCTGAACGGCGTCTCCCACCTGGCTGCTGACAGCTTGCACAGTGGCACTAGTGACAGCCGGGACCATGGTATGTTGCATCTGTGCAGTCAAAATGCGTGACATGGCTTTGTCAACGTTGTTGGTCAAGGTGGTAGACACCAGACGCAAGAGAGCCTCTTGACGTGCAACGTTCGACGAGTCCTGCACGACTCGGTCATTCTGGATGTTCTGGTACAAAACATTCATCTCTTTACGGAACTCTCCCGCTACGCCACGCTCCACCTTTTTGAGCTCTTTATCAAGCCAGTCACCCGAGATGCCTACGGAGACGGCTTCACCAGCTGCGGAACTAGGCTGTCTGGCGGAAGGATCCTCGGATGGTGTGGGGCCTGGCTCAACAGCAGCCTGGGCAGATATAGGCGGCTGCTTGGTTGGCGAGGACGTGCGTGAAGATGGCTTGTCGGAAGCACTGAGCTCTGTGGAGTGTCCTGCCTTCTTTTTGCTCTTCTTGCTCTGCTTGCTTGATGTGCCCTCGGCCGATACTGGTTCAGCTTGAGGTTCGGGAACGGTGAGGGATGCAGAAGCAGCTTTAGGTGGTTCTTGCCCTTCTGACTGCGCAGCTTCGATACGCTCAGCAGAAGTTTCAGCCTTCTTAGCAGCCTTCTTCTTGGACGTCTTGGAGGACTGTGGTGGTTCTTCAACGGGAACCTTACTTGATTGACTTTCTTCAATGACACTTCCAAGTCGCAGTTCCTTCAGACTGATGAGGCCTTCGTCGGCTGCGCTAACACCGTGTATGACTTTACTCTCCGCATTCCAGCCAAGATCTTCCTTGTTGATGGTTAAGCAAGTCACGCCTTTTGAGTGGACCACATAGAGTTCGAAAAGCGCAGCTTTCTCGTCGATTGTCTTTTTGTCATCCGTCCCTCGGTATATGGGCAACAACTCCACGCTTCTAAGTTGACCGCGTCCAGAGAACGAGATTTCACGGATGCCGCTCATGCAGGCCGTGGATTCTGGCTTGGGGAGTTCCGGATCTTTCAATGCAATGCGTTGAACAAAGGCAGCTTGCGAATAAGAGGAGCTAAGCGTGTATCGAGGAGCCGAAAGGTGGATAAAGAAGAGCGAGTTTCGGGTAGGGTGACCGACCACAATGATGCCACTGTTGGGATGATAGTTGACGCTGCAAATGCCGTCGGTCTCGTTCTCATGAGGAAAGTTGATCTCCTGGACGGCTTTTCCGAGAGCAATATCCCAAAGCTGCAATGTATGATTCTGTCTCAAACCGACCAGCACGTACCGCAAAGCACCCCCCTTAAGATAGGGACGGGCCTTGTCCACGAAGAGCACCGATGTAGGCCATGATTTTTCTGCGGGTGAAGCTGTAGACAATGATAGCAGTGGCGTATCAACAGTGAGACCGGCATCGTGAGCAGCAGTTGCATTCGACTCCTCTATCAACTTGCGGATATCCCAGAACCGCAACCTGCCAGTCTTGTCCAAGGACACAATCAGGCTGTCGTCTTCACTGAAAGTGAAATCCTTGCCGGCCTTACCGGTGGAGATCTGGAACGCTCGCTCGGAGAATAGCTTGTCTACGTCGACACGACGATTGCTCTCGTCAACACCGTAGCGTGGAGAAAGAGCAGTTGCAGGCCAAACCAGATGGATTGACTTTCCTCTACCAATGGCAAAGAACTCCGGATGTCTTGAGCTTCGCTTGGCACGGGTTTTGAGAACACCTCCAGCCGTATTCTCATCTGCTGGCGGGTAAGGAGGGAAAATGAGGCTCTCAGACTCAAGCTCATTCTTCTCAAAGAGATCGTTACCTTCCTTTTGAATGGTGGCATAATAGACGGCTCCGCTGACACCCGTCCCAAGAACGGCCTGCTCGTCAGACACAGGTCCATTCAGTGAGGTAGTACAGAAAGCGACATTGAATATGCGATCATGAGAATTCTTGAAAACCTGTCGATCACTGCCATCATCCTGCCGAATGATTCGCATGCCACCACTCTTCACGAGAGCATAGGTGATATACTTGGCCGTGGCCACTGCGAGGGAACGGTCAAGCTGATCAAAATCCTTTTTCAGACGTGAAATCTCCATAACGCCGTCATCGCGAACTGATACATCAGATGGTTTGTCCAACTTCATGGAGATAGACACGAATGGTTTGATCGGGAAATTGTAGACAGGAACGACCCGCTCGCCGGGTTCTTTGGAAGGGGATTCTTCCGCATCTTCCCATTCATCCCCACCATTGGGATCTCCTTCAGTTGGCTTGTCGGCAAGATAGTCGTGCTGAATGCCATTGCTCGGCTCCACTGCAGCTTCAGGCTTGACGGAAACTTCAGCGGTGTCAGCAACGGGAGGCTTCGTCACCCCGAACAGTCTTTCAAGTTGCTCTCGTTTCTCCTTCTCGGTCTTCTCGATCTTGATCTCCTTCTCTGGTACGGCTACCGAAGGCTCTCGAGAAAGAGTGCCCTGCCTACTCGTGGATGGTAGACGAGGTGTAGGTGTTAGAATCTTCCTCTTCGCAACTTGCTCTGGGGTAGCCACCGGTGGAGCTGCATCCTGAATGGTATCATGAACAGACTCTATGCTCTGCACTGGGATATCAGAAGCACTGAGCGCCGGAACAGGAGTCCTCGTCTTCGGGGTCTGCGAACGGGAAGCCTGGAGCGCCTCGAATGGATTGACATAGGTGAAGAGCGGCTTGTTCTCGGCACCAGACGCGACCGCTGGCTTCGAACCACTCTGCTCTTGGTCTGCGGTCGCGGCTGGGGATGCTCCAAACAGACGTACAGGAAGACTGACGGCGTCTGGAGTTGGGAGATTGGGTTGTTCGGGCTCAGGCTCGGATTGTTTAGGCCGAACTCTTTCCACAGATATTTGTCGGCCTAGGTTCCCCGGCTGGGCTTTGCTGAGGAGCTTAAGCAGAGCGTCCTGGGATGCATTCTGAGCCGTGGCAGGCGGTTGCAAATCGCCGCCTCCTCCTTGATCTTCCAAGTTGAATGGGGACTTGGGGGCGGCTGATGGTCCAGCTGGAGGTGGACTCATGAATTTTGCCACAAGATCGGAAGCTGACAGCGACGGACCGCGGGCGGTATTTCCTCCTTCTTCTGGTTTTGGCACACCGTTCTGGCTGCTCGCCGTCTGAGCGACGACAGGAGCAGGAGCAGGAGGAAGGGCAGGGGAGGTCGCCTCGACATTGGCTGAAGCTTGAGACGAGGCTCCGAAGTTGAGCAGATTTAGAAGTGATTGAGCTGTGACGGTGGGGCCAGCACCTCCTTGTGAAGGCAAAGCAGCTTGCGAGCGAACGTTTCCGAACGAAGCAAAAGGCGGCGGCGGTGTCGAAGGCAATGGCTGGGCAGTACCTGCAGACTGAGGAGGGAACCCGCCGGTGCTGAGGCCATTGGAAGCTTGGGAAGGCGCAGGCGAATCGCGAGCCTTGGGCTTCAAGTTGGCAAAGAGAGCTTGAAGATCGTTGTTCGACATGTTTCAGCCGAGCGTAGAAGGACAAGCCCGCAGAAGAGCTCACGAGCCGGTGAAAGCAACGATGAGATGAGCAATCAGGCTTAGAGGTGCAAGGTACAAGAAGGCTTCCTTTTTCTGGGATTTCACACCCAGAAAGTGGAAACGAAGCGACGAATGAGTGGCGGCACAGAGAGTGCTAGGATGCTGAGACGCAAAGCTACAGACGCAGCTTAAAGTAAGAAGTAAGAGCGATTCAACAGGAGGAACGTGGAAGCCAACCCGCGGTGCAAAAGGACGATGGTACAAGGGTGTGAGGTAAAGTGAGTAAAGGAAGAGGCTGCGGAGAAACGAAGCCGCGTCAAAAATCTCATGGTGACATCGATTTATTTTACCCAGTGAATGAGTCTATGCAATACGAGTCCGGATAATTGATGTTACTACTCCGGGTTGGTCACCAACTTAAGTCCGGGGGGGGGCTTAACTACAGTTTAGGTTACTAAGGTACCTATAGACTCCCTAATGCCCCTAAAGCATTTAACCTAGTTACAGAGGTACGGAGCAGGAAATATGGTATATACAATGCCCTCCGGAGTACGGATACATACTAACCGAATCTCACATAGGCATCTATTGTACTTCTTTCAATTTATAGTTGAAGACCACAGACTGCTTTTTGTGGCCTCAAGTAAATTCGACCATGACCACAGTCGCTGCTCTTTATGTGGGCGAAGCAGTCGGTGGCAGTCACTCTGTCGACTCGAGTACAATTAAGAACAATGAAGGGCTCGTAGCGAATAGAATTCCTGGCTTCTTGATGACACCGGTAGAACGTCGGGGGCGACAATCTTTCTCGCATCATCTTCCAAACTCTCCAAAACCCTCGGCCGCAACATTCCGTTCCGCCTGAGAAGACGAACCACCACGCTCTCAGATTTCCCTGTTGAACATCGACCACACCTGAGTCTCCTCTACTATGAATCCGAGACCGTCCCATCGTCTCTGAGCCAGGCTCCGTTCAACACCTCGACGAGTACACCGTCAGGCGAGGGAGATAGGATTCAATTGGATCCGATCGCCTGCGAAGAACCACTCAACGCATCGAGATCGAAAGCCTTACCAGTACCATTACCGACGCGGCCCTGACGCCTCCAACAAGGAAAGGAGCAAAAAGACCTGTTCGGCGGGTACTCACCTACCTACAGCTTGTCACTGCGCACGGCATTTTCATTCCTACCTCGAGTCTCCAAGTTGCGACGCAGAGAAACAACGTATCCGGCCTGCTTAGGTGCCTGCACAAAGTACCTGAGGTACTGGTGAGATACGCATCGAATGATGTACTGCTTGCGAAGGTGCGTTGTTGGTTTCTCCACCCTCTTTATTCATACGTAGAAATCTCAGCACCAGCAAGTACTGACTTTCCAACGCCGGCCAGCTACCTCCCACTCCTCCTCCTCCCGCTACCACTCTCGCTGTCGCCCGTCCACCTCGTCATCTTCATCGCCCTGACCTACTTCCTCAACCGGCCGTGCATATACTGCTCGCTCCTCCTCGTCATCCTGTTCGCGACGTCGTGCCACTGGTCGAACCGATGCTTCATCAGTCTCAGCCAGTATGGCGCCGAGAATGACACTTCGTCTTCGATCGCCTCGTGGTTCATACCCCGGCTGTACACGACTCCGCCCACGGGTGTGGTGCCTGGGCAAACGAGCGATGTTCCGGAAATGGGGGCATTCCTCTTGGACGTCGCCAACAGCACCGTCACCGGCGTGTCGCAGGCGCTGAAGGACTCGGCCTCAAACTTGGCCGAGGGTGCTCGTTCCAAGCTGATCACGAGTCACGGGCCGGGCTCGCTGCCGGTGGACGTGGGAATTGGTACACAATGGCTGCGGCAACTGCTCGGCCGCTCGGAGTGGACTTTGCCTTATGTTGAAGTCAAGATTGCTTTATGACGAGATGTCCTCAAACTATACATTCTGTGATGGGCCGTTACTGTTGAGCCAGGCAGAAAATGGCAGCGTTTCAGAGTCTTCATCTGACCATAACCGTAGCTCCAGAGTTGTACATGATTGATGTTGGTTTTATTTATCGTACTACTCTCGCAAAATGTTCTGCTATAGTGTCAAATTACAGCTCGCTCGTGAGCAAATCGCCGCTCATTATGGCTCGTCTGTCGGAAATCGCAACGATATGGCGCGAACCTCCAGCCCAAATGCCCCCTTGCATATTTCGAAACACCAAACGCTGCGTAAAAGTCGTCAAGGTCTAGATCGAGAGGCCCAATTCGTAACCTTTGATCAGTGCCACAGCGGGTGAGCATCAATCAATTCCTCTGGCAGCATGCGCCAACCGCATGCAACAGCTCCTAGACGCACCCCAATGCGTCCCCAACATCTGTTTCAGAGGAGCCTGGTAACGTCCATGTCCATCTCGGGAAGTGAATTAGGCCCGCGATCATTGGACCGGCCAGTCGTCCTCCGTGATGGACGACCAGAAGACGAAGATTGCCACCACGCTGAGTAGCGTGAAGAGTGTTTCGAAAAGGGCACCGTTGACCTTGCCATCGGTTGGGTTGCAGATGTGGACAGAGATCACGTACATGAAGATCTGGCCAATGGCGAACAGCAGGGCTGCTGCACCCAGATAGAGCATAGGCTTGGTCTCGCCCAGAACCCTCAGTACCAGGATGGATTCGAGCACGAAGAAAAGGAACATGAACACCAATGGCGCCAATTGGTAGAGCACATAAAGTGCGATGTTGCGGTGTGAGTGTGCGGGTGACAACGAGTCATCCCAATAGCCGGTCCACGAGAATGCCGTGTCGAGCGCAATATATCCAGTCCCGACGAATAAGGCGAGGGAGCTCCCAGCTATCAACCCGAGCGACAAGGGCGTACCGTCGTCGAGAAGCTGATATCCCACAAACGCATTCGTCAATAATATCCACGTTGTTGCGGTTATAGCCGCAATGTGAACGGCAGTGAAGCCCTTCCGTACATCGTTGTCCAGCGGGAAGCCGCCCATTGTGAATATTTCGCAGATCTCGATCACCAAGAATCCTAACAGAAACAGTTGCATTTCTCTTCGACCGACTGCGGCCGCCTTTCGTTGGGCCCGCAATAATAAAAACAAGGTGACGAGAATCGATACGCCGGCGAGTAATATAGATCCTAGGTTTGCCAGGTGTCTGCCATTGCTGAGAGAGATTCCGCGCAAGACACAGCCTCCGCTTCCGTCGACGTTGACATATTGAATACCGGGTGGTTGATTATTGGCTGTAAGAATCTACACAGAATTAGCTGGACATGGAACAGTCCCCGGGACGAGAAAATACTCACGTTACATATTGGCAGGAATGAATCGGCACAAAAGTCCTGCAAGTAAATGTTACTCAGCTGTTCCACGGGCCCTGTCCTCCATGGTATAGTCTTACTTGGAATTTCCCAAACTGTGTGCTCCCCATCGCTAAAGCTCCTCAAGGTCACTGCCCCCCCTGCAACTCTCTGCAATGTGTGTGCTGATCGCGTGTAAGAAGCTGCGCTGTCACCGTCGCGAGAGCATGCGCTCGAGGGTGGCGGGTTATTGATGAGCGCAAAGGGCTTGAGGTCGGAGAGGTGGGCGAAAGGTGAAATCGGCAGCGAAGGAGGCTGTTGGGCCGGCGAGAATATTTTTGGAAAAAGAGACTCCGGAAGAGCAAGAAGCGTGGTCACTCGAGGATGTTCGAGGTGTTCAGGGTTATTGGCTGCCGGAGCTGCTGGTAGCAAAAAGTTGGCAGGGTGACTAGAAGTGGATTCGAGTGGCAGGGCGATTTCCAGGAACCTTGTGCCTTGGTTTTGTCGGCGACGGACCCAACGCACGCCACGTTGTCGCGGTGTGATAATTTTGGAGATGAGTGTCGGGGATCAAGTGAGCTGCTGAACGAGGCGACGATGCCTGCAACGCTGAACCCAGGTCGTCGTACTCCGTATTCTCAGTATGTGTGGTAGAGAAGGACGGGAGGATTGAGATTGGCTTGGGAGCACGAGCGGAGATTGAAGGTGCCTTTAACTCTGCTGCTGAGACTGGGACGCTTGGACACGCCGCCCCCAGATGGCCCCGTTTCAATTTAGATGCTGGACAGGGAGAAGATGATTCGAGCAGGAGACTCGTCTCTATCGCATCCGACAACGACCCGTGTCGCCGGCTATAAGTTATTAGTGACCGAGTTGCTACAGTCAGCACGAGCAAAGACTTCCTCTACGGTTATAATGGGGTGGCAGGCGATCTCGTGCGATGCACGGCACGCCTGCTGATCAAGTGGTCTCCGGTAACTCTAAATATACACTTGCAACACTGCTGCATGAACTCTGAGCTCGTCAGTCCAGTCTGTAGACCGTATGCGATGCTGGCGAACAAGGTGGCGCAGCTGCCCAGAGAATCCACCAGCTCATCAACGATCCGTGAGCACCGAGTCCTTCTTCTGCTCTTCCGCGTGCCTCAGTATGAACATCATTCATTTGACATTGACTCATCAATCGTCCGTGCTGATTTCCATGTTTGTCTGATCCGACAGCATTATTTCATGTCCATCGCCGCAAAGTGAGGGAATTCGAAGAGGTGCCGTCGCCTGTACAACTCCAAGTCAATCTCGGCACAGACACAAGCACAAGTATAGATCTACAATACTATCTCTTCGCGTATCAATGTCATGCATACTCTCTTCCACTATGAGGCTGTAGAAACATGCGCCAACGATGTGGGCCTCATGGAAATTGCGTGGCCTGCTTCGCGTATCCGTTGATGCCCCCTTAGACAGGGTTTAAATATGCAAGATCCTGGGTCCTCGCCGGCTTCGAGAATCCGTAGGATGAGATCTCCTACGGACACATTTAAGAGCAAAAACTGCTCCCGTATTCTCATGGCCTTTGAGAGTAAAATGCATTTTGGCGCCACTGTCTAGACTGAAAGCCTTACCTTCAATTTCGTTGTTTCCTCCCTCAGTCGCATAAGTTCCATGGTCCACGGTAGAAGAGGTTTCAAGGCGAAGTCAAATGTCCTCGGGGAGCCATAAAGGCCTCGAAATCAGTAAGCGCATGAGACAAACCTTCCTACGGTCTTAACAAGATTTCCAAATGTCCAATGCTCCTCTATGGGCTCTTCTACGTGGCACACGGAAAACAAGGTGGTGCGACCCAGCAATGGCTCGCTAAACTTTCCTCTCACAGAATTAAAGTTAAGCTTAAAACAAGCGTTGAAATCAGCTTTGGTGGCCGCATGATGACGATGCCTTTTGCATATTCTCGCTGGGCCGTGACTCGATCGTTGGCCTTTGGAGATCTCGGAATCTGCAGCGGGCGTCGAATTTATGCACAATCCATGAAACCTTGACCCATCCACAGCCTGTTGCCTTGACCACTTATTCCGTTCCATTAACCGCCATCACTCGAGCTCTTGATAACCCACCCGCCCAGGCCGTTATCCCCTCGACGTTCGTGTCGTCCGCTTCAGCCTCACATGCGCCATGGCTCCTTCGAGTCAGTCACGGCCTCGACGCGCTGCACGGGTGCGATACAACGAGGACAGTGACTCTCTCGATCTCTCCGACTTCGATACGAGACCTCAGCCACCACGGGCTGCTCGCCGCAGAATCCAGACCTACCGGGAAAAGAGTAGTGATGATGAAGATACACTGGAAAGTTCGTCGGACGACTCCGACTCCCTGTCAGAGGAGGTCTTGCCGCAGCAAGGGACGCGATCGCGCCCCAGAGCAATACACAAGCCCTCTGCGAGACCCCAAAAACGGAGAACTCAAGTGGCTGGAACAAGAGCAGTCGGAAATCCCTTCAGCGCATACAAAAGACAGAAAACGGGGGCGCACGAAGTCAGCCACAGCAAACCCAAGAATGCCGTCACAATTTCACTGCCACCGAGTGGTCGCATCCCCCCATGGCAACAACTTCCTTACCAAATCCTTGTGAGCATCATGAAATATGCAGCATATCCGCTGTACGAATCCCGGTCTCGGCCCAGGGCCTCAATACACTGGCTCTGTTCGTTGTCGGTCCTCTGTCGGTCTTTCCATGATGCTTGTACAGCCGCCTTGCTCCATAATCCTCCCCTGTATCCCGATGTTCGAGCTTACGGTCTCATTCACCTGTTGCAACACGACCAGGACAAGTTGATGACAAACTACCGCAGAAAAATACATTACCTTGATATCGAGGTCAAGCATCTTCTCGCCAGGAAGAGTGGTATTGCTCTAGAAGATCTGATATCTTACACGCCTTTGCTACAGGGCATGCGATTGTATTCTACGTACGACGATTGGAGAACCGAGGTATGGGCTCAACCAGGAGTGCGCAAGATCCACTGGTCCTACCCACCGGAGCTATTTGATCTCCTTGACAGTAACAATATTATTCTAAAACAATTTGAGTGGAACGGGAGGTTTCCTGGTCCGACAGAAGTGTTGGAAACAGCACTTGCCGTCCACTCAAGACCGGCTTTCAGCAGACTGCAGGAATTGTCGCTTTTGAACTTGACTGCTCCCGAGAAGTCAAGTGACGTCGACATTGCAAGTTCACAAAGTGTATTTACGCGGGCTTTGGAACACCTCACGTCGTTGAAGCGACTGTCCCTCACCAGCTGCGGTTACTTGGATGAATCCACTACCCCCATGCTTCCAATCGGACTCGAATACCTCGAGATCGATAACTGCGCTGAGCTGACTTCAGCCGCGCTCGAGCGATACTTGCAAGTCGGCGGCAGCACCATACGAACCCTGAAGCTGTGCGACAATCAATCCATGTCACTGGGTTTCATGGCCGACTTGAATACCATGTGCCCTCGCCTGCAGGATATCGACGTGGACATGCTGTATGTCGACCCGACGTCATATCGCGATCGAGACCCCCTGTACGACGAGCTCCTTCCGAATGGGCCTCCGACGTGGCCGTCCAGCCTCGTCAACGTTTCGTTTGAGAATATGCGTCAACTATCAGCCGAGGACGCCGAGGACTTTTTCGACTCGCTCGTCGAATCTTCGCGGCACCTACCCCACCTGAAGAGACTCAACATCAAGGCCATCCTAAAGAATGCCAGCTGGCGGGATCGAGCACAGCTGCGGAAGATATGGCTGCCCAAGCTCCAGAACGTCTTCCTCAACAGATCGAAGCCCTCTGCCCCCGGGCCCGTCGCCATCGCGGCTGGAAGTCACACCAAACGCCCGACCCCCTCTCAGCGACAGAGCAGCAGGATCGCCGAGAGCCTGAAGCGGATGAGCACAGGAGACGATACGGGCGATAGCGACGACACGTCCTCCCTTGCCATCCAGGGTCGGTGCGACGTGGTCAATCTACAGATCTCCGACCAGAGGCCCGCCCAGGACCAGTTCCGCGAAGATGACTTTTTAGACGACGAGCCAAGTGACGACGATGAGTGGATGGGCGTGGATAGAGAGCCGGTCTTGACTGGGTATGCTTGGTGAAACCGTAACTTGGGCAAACGAGGTCCCTCACTTAGGTACCTAGGTGCTGTACCGGTGCCCCGGGTCTATTGGTGTACGAGGTTAGAAATTCTGTACAGTACTGACCCATAACTCTGGCGCAGTTGGATACGAGACAACGCTTGTTCATATGTCGCAGTCCACTGGCAGCTGTCGTTGGGTTTCGGTTTCGTGGGCTTTGGGGTTTTTATTCGGCCTCGGGGCGTTTATCCTCATAGGAAGTAATATGTTCCGCAAAACGATGAATTGCGTCGATGATGGTGATAATGATGATAATGATGACGGTAGTAACTTGCATCTCCCTCTCAAAATCGTAGATCTCATCTGGAAGCGAGTACCATTATCCTGGTTGGCAGACTTGGAATCCCACAGCGCTGCTCAGGTTTTTGCTGCGCCCTCGCTTCACACTACCTACCGCCTTTCCACATCATTCATGGTGGTGTACCTGAGACACCGATGTACGAGTTGTGGTCGCACGGAAATGACGGCTGCTGCACACAACAAGGAGGGAAAAAGGCGCAGACCTAAGAGTTCGCAAACATGGTAAAATACCTGGTAGTCTGAAATATGTTTGTTTTTTTTTCATAGATTGAGATTTACCCCTTCTGACAAGGTAGGTAATCGCACTGGTCCTTGGATATTTACAAGTTTTACACCACCACCGCCGCCGCCGCCGCCTCACAGCCCAATCAACCCAGCTCGAAGCGGCCAATCTTTCATCGCTCGCTGACTCGTTTATTCAGTGGAACAAAGCTAGACTGTCAAGCCAATATCCGAGGCGAAGGGAAGAACGAACAAATCTCCCACCGCCGACACGGAAGCCTTGGAGTCCAGGAGACTCTTTGCAGCCTGCGACAAGTTAGCACTTGGGTCACGAGCGGGATGTTCGGACCACACTTACAGCTTTGACCTTGTCCGAGGAGACCTTGTCGATTGCGGCACCGATTTCATCAATCTGGAAAGGCTTGCCACTCAAAATCAAACCGGTGCCGGTGGCTTCGAGGCCAGGTTGGGTCAGTTGGCCGGCTTCGAGAGCGCGGAACTTGGCCAGCGCCGTAGCCTTCTTAATATCTTCTTCCGCAATCTCACCCGAGGCGACCTTCTTGATTGCGTCCACCACCTCTTTGCTTGCCTTGGCAACTTGCTGGGCGTTTCCGCTGATCGTAACGTAGAGCAAGCCAGCGTCGGACCAGGCTTCGTGCTGGGTCGAGACCTGGGCGCCTGGCAAGTCCTTTGCAGCCTTGGACAACAGAGAGAAGCCTGGCGACCACTTGATCGAAGACTCTCCTCCAAGGAGGGCCGCAAGGACCGCCAGCTCCGGCTTGTAGGAAGAGGCGGTGGTGAACGAACTCGAGCCGGGGAAACCCAGAATCATGGCGTTACCAGAGCTGTGGGCAATTCTTTCTTCACCTCCAAAGTACTTCGATGGCTGGCTCTCAATCTTGAACTTTGAAGATCCCTCCGAAATGTCACCAAAGAACTCCTTCACCCACTTGCCGAGCTCGGAGTGACTGGCACCGTTGGCCACCACGGCGATGTTGTTCTTGGCATACGCAGCACCGCTGAACTCCCAGATGGTTTCGGCGTCGAGATACTTGGTGATGGGTGTTGAAGAAGTAGGATACAGTGGTTCCCCCAGGCCCCGATGGAAAGCGACGCCGTAGGCTGAGTTGAGCGCAAGTGACGAGGGACTAGCAAGATGACCCTTCTGCGCCAGCTTCATAACATGGAACACCTCTTCCTCGAGCTCGTGAGCTATGAAATTGTCAGAGAAAGTACTCAATGCAGGCCCATCCCTACCCACTTGTGTATCGCGTCTTCGAAATAACCTCTCCCAAAAGCTCAGTAAAATAGGGCAAGTCGTCTCGAAGGAACTTGGTTCGGAGGACGAGATTCTCGCGAGAGTGGTATGCCGATGTCTCACCACCCAGCAGTTCCGTCTCTCGAGTGATTCGCAGGGCCGACCGTTTCGAAGTCGACTGCAGCTGGAGTCAGATCTTGTTGTTGCACTTCATGAATTGCAAGCACCCACCTTGAAGGCAAATTTCTCGAGGGCATCGGTGAGGCCAGGGAGCGGCTGGTATCGAGTGCCAGCTTTGGCGACAACGGTCAATGTCGTTGTCGGACCCGGCAAGTCTCTGCTCGCATATTTGACTCCGTTGGCCTCACCAGTCTCATAGCCAAAGCTTCCGGAAGCTGCTGCAGCCAGACCTCTTCGTTGCAGAACGGGGACGGGAAACTGACGACGGCTAGCTCGCAAGGCCCTGGAGCCTAGCGAAGCCGGAGAAGCCATTGTGTAGCAGGATGAATAGAGGTGATTGATGTCGGAAAGATGCAACTCACCAGGAGCTTCAATAATGCTCGCATGAATTGAGAACGAGCTTGAATCTGCCTGCCGCTGATTGGCTGCCGCTGCCAAGACCCGAAGACCCGCTGCGACTCCATCTTCAAACTTCTACAGCATCTTCTTCTCAAGCACTTTTCTACTCTGCACTCTTCCTGTCTCGCCAGCGACGCACCCAAATCCGGCAGATTCGTGTCTCAAAACCGCCCAGACGAAGCCACCCTGTCTGCCAAAGCCCGCAGCATGCTGTGATTTACATCTCTCTGCCGGTTTTGGGCTTCCCGCGCACAACCACCACACCGTCCTGCGCCGCCACGTGACACCACCGGCGGGACAGCCATGGAGGTAGCAACCGACTTTCGGCCTTTCCATGCTCTGCCTGACTAAACATTCTGCAGGAATTCTCCAGGCTGTGCTGTCTGATTGTCAAAGATGTCTATGGCGACTTTCTTGCTGTCAGGATCCTGACCTCGACGCTTGCACACCTAGCTAACTGCTTGCACAGCAAATCTTCCAGCAACTCATCCAGCTTGGACGCCTTTCGTCAACCCAAGTGGCTCAGAAATGTCGCCTGCCATTGCGCCAAGTCAAGACGGGGCTGGCAACCCTGATCCAACTTCGTCTTGTGTACCATCACACCAGTCCCGATGGCCTTTCGACCTATCAAGCCAACACTCACAATGCCTACAATCTTCTGCGCACGGGAAATTTGGCCGCGGGTGCCCAGCGCAAGTTTGGGCCAGCCGCTGCTGTTGTTGTAGAACACCTTGCAGCTCTTGGATTCGCCACGGCACAAGAGCTCGAGGACACGATCTGCGCCGACAAAGACTTCAACAGATCCGAGGACCACGAACCCCAAACGAACGGAAGTTCAGATGGCCACAAATCACAGGATCTTGACTCCACTCGCAGCCGTTTCAGAAAGGTGCTTAGGCTCTTGATCGACGAAAAGTACATTGTCGGCCTGCGTGACGCTCATTTTCAATCAGTCTTCGATGCTCGTCGAGAACTTGAGCGTCATCTTGAAAGCAGAGGCTTGCTACCTTCCAGTAAAACAAAGAAAGCTCAACCAGTCATTGATGAGAAGGTGAATGTCGACCTAGAGCAACTGCTTGATCCGACCATATCTGCATCGAGCGTTCTCCGCGAGCTTCAGTCAAGTCAGCAGCAGAGTGTAGGTTTTTATTCGTATGCTTCGTTTGTCTTGACTAACGGCACCAGGTCACAACTCTACTCTGTGTCGACTACTCGAACGTTGTCTCTTCGGTTCGCAATGAAAGAATAGCCTCAACAGCAGGGAAAATCTTCGGCAAAACCCCTGCCCACATCGCCAAAGCAGCTTGCGCACAGGTCGAGCTGAATTCAAGCCCGTTCAAGGTTCGATCAATCGACGAGAGAAATGACGCCGTGCAGCGACTCGACGTCTCCTTGATTGACGCTCAACTCTCGAAATTATCGAACGGCTCGGGCGAGCTCGAAATTGAACAGAGCTCTTCCTACAACGGCCACCTTGTAAATGGCTATCATCATCGTCGCCCCAATGGCACAAGACATGACCCCTTCATCGACCAACAATTAGGCATTCTTGCAGAAGGTCCCTTTCCTTTCCTTACGCAAGATGTCAGTGGCTCTTGGCTTGTGAACAAGAAAGACCTAATTGATCACCTGCTCGAAGAAGAGTTGATGCGCTTGATGGGCGAAAGAGTAGATCCACCGGCCTTGAGGATCGTTCGCATGCTCAACGACAAAGGCAAGCTCGATGAGAAGACTCTCCAGGAACTGGGCCTGTTGGGGGCCAAAGACCTTCGACAGTGTTTGTCACAGCTTCAGGTTACGGGATTCCTTGAGTTGCAGGAGGTTCCCAGAGATCCACAACGACAACCCAACCGGACGCTCTTTCTCTGGTTCTACGACGCTGAGCGTGTCCGGAAAGCCTTGTTGGGAAAGATATACAAAACCATGTCGAGGCTCTACCAACGTATGCATCTCGAGCGAGAAAAACTTGCCTCTACTCTAAGCAAGGTCGAACGAACCGATGTGGAAGGGAACATCCAAGATCTACTCCCAGATGCAGAGCTTGAACTTTTGTATTCGTGGCAGCAGAAGGAAGGCTGGTTTCTAACCGAGCTCAATCGTCTGGACGAGTCGGTAGCCATTCTGCGAGACCTCTGATGGAGGACAACGGAATTCTTTGCAGCCTTGAACATCATTGCATATTAGCGGCATGGTAGCAAGCGCGGCGTGACTGGACCTCAACTGAATAGTGGGGATATTATGATTTCTACTCAATACTGGAAGAATTTGAACATCTACCTGCTCGCTCTACAAGTTCTAATGGCCAAAACCAGGTGACTCCGACATTCTTCCGGTTTAAATAGACTCGTGTTGGTGCTATGAAGAAAGACGCTAGCGTTGTCATCTTACTTTGCGATTGATCTGAAGTCACCACGAGATATCTCCCCGATGTGTGTAATGGGTGATCAGAAGAGTGGTCAGTAGGTAGTTGTTCACCGTGCTTGACCCCGACGTATATCGACAGCCTTGCGCTCCGTGGACGAGGCTGCATTTATGATGCCGCTTTAAGAACTGTCGATCGGCAAATTATCGGAGCTGCGGCTTGGCGTCCTGAAAGCTTTCCCGAGAGTTGCAGCTTGAAGCTTTGCGTAGTGTCAAGCAAGTCAGTATATCCAGGACATCATACAAACTTCTGTCGTCAAAATGGCCTTCGCTTGGAAAGCTGCAGGTCTTACGTATGCTCGCTCCGTGATCTCCGTTCGCACGCAGTACTAACCCTCCCAGCTACAACCGATACCTCGCAATTGCTGCCCGAGTCGTCCGAAGATCCCTGAAGGAAGGACCGAGATTACAGGCCGAGAGAAGAGGAGAGATGGATTTGAGATTTGCAAAGTGGCAGGTCAGTTGTATTTCACTAGCTGTCTCGGGGATGTAAGACTGACCGCAGGGGACAGGGTGGAAAACAAGGAGACAACCAGAGCCTGGGAGCTGCCAATGCTGATGCCATGGCCGAGCACGCTACAAGCGAGTCCAAATAAGTCACGACGATGCGCTAGAAGAGTACACGGCAGGGAGGAAGAGGCCAGGAAGTCGATTCTACAAAACCTGTACATAACAGAAGGAAAAGGACTTGATTGCAAAATACTGGATTGCGAGCCCGGAAGGCGCACGATGCATCAAATTTCGTGGAACAACTGAATTTCTGACTTGGTATTCGTGACTTTTCGAATAGACGTGTAGACGTGCATTAATTGTGCTGCGAGGTGGTTTCTTCGTGGCTGCCATCGTGAAGTTGTCGAGCCTGCTGCAAGGAACGCAAAGCCACGACAGCGGACTAGACAAACTTCTCGACCTCGTCCCCGCCACGGGGTACATCTTCTCTTCTTTGCATTCGTAAACTTCGACAAGAAACAAACCCTTCAAGGAGGCCAGCCAGGGACAGCACAAGGCCATGGTCCAACCGCAGATCGTACACCCGAATGTCCAGGTCAATGATATAACGAGACAATTCCGCCAGGCTGTGTCAAGTTCGTTGGGTCTCACCTCGCCTCGATCGCTTTCTAACGAGTCATAGCACTCCGACCAGGCGGGCTCGTCAAAGATGAGCATTTCACCCTGTTTGAGGCCGTCAGCGCCTTGGAGGTAAGGACCACGGGGCCTGCTAAGCACGACTTTTTCAGCTCATTGTCGAACACAGATTGGAGACCCGAAGATGGACAGTGGCTCTGTCGCCTTCGACCCAGACAGTGAAGCCGAGTACGACTTTTCAACGACACATTCTCCTGAAGAGATCATATGGCTGATGGACGAGCTATTCTGTCGCGAGGTAGGCCGCCCCCTCGAGCGTATCCCGTACCAGGGTGTCTTAGATGCTGTAGGTTGCCTGGCACAAAGGCCATCCCTTGTCTCAGACACTCTTCACCTCGTTACATATCGAGCGCCTGTTGTGGCCTGAACCAAAACGACTCACGGATGCCCGGTTCTTCCCCGAAGGATCCTCAGCGGCCCCTTCATCTTCCTTGCTCGAAAATGTCTTGCGGCCGTTTTGTCTTGGGATGATCAAGGCTTGTGATCTTGTTCTGGAGATGGTCATGAATTCGCATTACTACGAGGTAGATTGCCGCCGACGAAGCACCTGGGTTATGTGGCAGCACTGACAAGATGTCAGGAAGAGGACTTTGCGACCCAGATATTCAACACACCATTACTTCACATATTTCAAACGGACGAGATCTTGAGCGAGTTACAAGGAGCCGAACTCTTCTTGAAACAAAGCGACCTCGACGGCGATATGAGAAAGGCGTTATTGGTCCGAATACGGGCCAGGAGCTCCTTTCTCGGACTCTTCCAGGAGTCATCGACCTCCGAGCGTCCAACAGCTAGTCATATCAACAGATGCATCTCCCTTCTCAACGAGATCGAAGCCACCACCGACCTCGGCCGCCCGGTTACCGCTGAAGCATTCACACCAAAAACCCAGCGTAAACTCGCCAGTAGCGTCCCTCCGCGTCCCATGGTCGCCATTGCTCGTGCCATATCGTTTCCCTTCTTCCGCCAGCTGGTAAGCGATATTTCCGCCGCATTTCATCTCCTCGACATCTCATTCAGCGCCGACCTTCTTGTCGCATACCACCACTTTATGACGCAAGAGAACCAGCCCGCCGTTTACGTGCGTTCCCTAGTTCAGGCGTTCTTATACCTGGACAACTCTGTACTGGGTCACTCGACGTCCAAGGAGTTCGTTCTGCAAGACATGCGCACGCTTGTCTTTCCCGTCCACCCTCTTACCTGCAGTACTCCCAGTGAGATATTCACCGATGAACAATTCGACACCAAGACCCAATTCGACATGTTTGTCGAACGCACGGCCGAGTCCTATCTGAACCTCTTTCGCGCGTTCTGTCTCAACCGCCCGCGCGTGCGCCGCACCATGTGCCACGCCGTGCTGGAATGGGACCAAATCCAACTCGAGGCCGAGGATCTCGACGGCCTGATCCAGACCACCTTCGACGAACAAGCCATACCGTATGCCGAGTCTGGTGACGACCAACCCACGTTCTCCTTCAGCCTCAGCAGCTGGGTATACCACTACAAACTCATCCAGCTCCGCACCATCGTGCAGATGGGTTTTGAACTATCCATTTACGCTCCGCACGAGTTCAAGCTCATGTACTGGTACTTGTCGTTTTTATGCACTACACACATGTCCCACCTGGAACGAATCAGCCACTTTGTCTCGTCATCTTTGTCGACAACCGCCAGACCATCGCAGCATCGCCAACGGCAACAGCAACAGCAACAGCACAATCGCCAGCGCCAGCAAGAGACGATTCAAAAAACCCTGCGCCACCTCTACAGACTGTTCACTTGGCTCAAAGCCACTGACTCTCTCGCAAAGTCTCTCCACCGGGTGTTTGTCATCCTCGATCGGCAAAAGTTACTTGCGAAACCCGCGTTCCCTTACTCCTCAGACACTCTACGGTACGAAGTACGTATGCGGCCGTTCCGACACCTGTCCATCCCGCAGCCCATCACCGACGACGTCGCCCGGCAAGCCTCGTCGCTGGACGGGCTCAGCGACGAGGAAATTCTCGAGCAGGCCGCCGCGATGAACCAGATCTCGAGACGAGCGTGGGAAGAAGTCCTCAAGAACTCATGGCATCTGGACCCGTTGCGCCCCTCACAACAAAGGGACAGGGACAAGGGTACGGATACGGGTATGGATGTTAAGAGCCCACCGGCACCGCAGCCGCAGCAGGAAGCCCAAGTGGTCGAGCACGAATGGACACGGGACGTCAAAAACAGCATGAAGTCGTGCATCGGCACGGGCATCGCCCTCAGCGCCTTGACGAAAGCTCTCAAGGACGGCCGGGGCACCATTGACCCCGCAAAGATCAAGCTAGAGTTACCCGTCATGGGCGACCGCGAGAGATGGCATTTTGCCTGGGTGGTGCCGCGAATCAGAGCCGTGACGTGAACCAAGGGCAGGGAAGGGGGGAACAAAATAACAAGAGGGAGAAAAGAGTGCGCGCAACGAAGATCATGTCATTATCTCATTCTCCGTAGAAATACGTACCACAATGCATATGTACATACCTACCTCGCACATCACATGGTGCACCTCGCACACTGTTGGATCCACACGCTCATCTTGTACATACCTGATAAGTTTGGGTCGTTTCCAGTCGAGCGTCCAAGCGGCATTCATCCAATTCATTCACTCATCGGCACATATTGCCGAATCCAACGGCCCAGGTCGGAACTGGGTAGGTGAGCGAGGTCTGTGTAGGGAGTTTGGGCAGCCGACGTTCTGATACCCAGGAAACAGACAACGGGCTTCTGGGAACCCCCCTCCTTCGCCAGCCCTTTTTTTTGCAGGCACAGGGTTCATACATCCATCTCAAGGTACCAGCTGCCAGATACCGGCTGTCAAAAAGCCGATTTTCCACGGGGACTTCATTGTACAGCATTGCTCAGGACGCCAAGAATACATGATCATGAACCATTACCTACATACGTAGGTACATGAGATATGTGTCGGGTGGACAACATCTCCTCCAATTGCTTGAACGCTTCAAAACTTCCACCACTTCAAACGCTTCACGGCAACAGCAACTTACTCAGCAAGTGCAAAGCGGTCTTGGCCCGTTCTCTGACATTGATGTCTGCGTCGTCCTCCAGCTTTCTCATGTGTGTCACGTACCCATACCGTTGTAAATCCTGCGCGCGCTGCCTGCATGCGGCACGTTCACTCATGTCATCTTCATACGTCAGGTTGATGGAGATCCAGCAGACTTGGGCACGAATTTCGCGATCCTCATGCCCAGAGAAAGAGAGGACCTGCTTCATCAGAGCCTGTTGGCTGGTGATGAGGTTGCGCCATTTGGTCTCGCAGGCACCAATGTGAGCAAGAATGTAAAGCACTTTGATGACAATCGTGGTCGGTGCAGGCGTCGAGGAATTTTCCTTGCGTGTTGGACCCGCGAGTGTGCGCGGACGAAGTCGATCGAGCATAATGCGGAAAAATTCGTCCTGGCCCCATTCATCAAAGATGTACTTGACGAGCTCCGAAGCATTGTCGCCGCAGAACAAGTTGCGGAGCAGATCCAAGACTTGGGCTTGTATCTCCGTGTCATCCTCTGGAGTATGTCGCATATCAAATCCGGTTTGGTCGAGGCCTGCATCGCCAACGGACCTTCCGGGAGGGAGTCGGCGGCTGTCGCCAAATCCTCCGCTCATTACTATATCGTTGGTTTTTTCGGTGCCAGAAGATGCCCGTTGGTAGCCTGAGAGAGGAGGATAATCTCGCTCAACCAAGCCAATCACTTCACCCTCAGGAATGTCGCCAGGGTTAGTCTTGATCAAGAGTTTGATCCAGCTGGGACCAAGTTCATCAACCACATCTTGCTTCAGCTTCCTGCTGGAGTTGCAAACCAGTTGTTTCAGAGCCCATAGCGATTCAAAACGAAGCCGAGCATTGGCAGAATGTGCTTGTTCACACAGCTTCTTGACCACATTCGGATCTCCCACGCTTTCTTTGACCGGACTGAAATCAATTGCCAGGTTGGCGAGTACCTGGGTTGCGGCAATTCTTACCTCGGGGTTTGTCGAATTCATGAGCTTGATAATTGGTTTCGTGACTTCTGCCTCAATTATTTTGGTCCTCAGGGCTTTAACTGACCGCGTCAGCACTCGTACTATACCACAAGCCGCCATAATGACAGGGGCAGAGTTGCCGGTGATCTCCATCTCGGGATCGTCGATGTTTTCGATCTGATATAGTTCCAGAGACAGGACGAGATAATGCAGCACCCCTTGGTCACAAATCGCTCTGCGGTAATCGTCGTCAAACGGAGCAATCGCCGCCAATGCTTGTAGGCACCCTTTGCGATACTCCATTTCCCTCCTGACCGCCGGACTTGGAGCAGGGCCTCCGAGCTTCGCCGCAGGTATCGAGACATCTGCGTGAGATCCGTGGGCTTTGCGAGGTTGCCACGGCTTTTGTTTCCGTCCGGATGGGCCCTCAAAAGTTGACTTGAGACCTGTCGACAGGTTTACAATAGCACGGCCTTCCACGGCCACCGTTTGCATGGCGGGATCGTCCATGATCAGCACTGCAAGGACAGCAGGTACCTCCTTTGCATAATGCAAACCATTTCCGAGATAAACTCCACTACCTTGCTGCAGGGAGTCCGACTTGAGCACATCGACCTCGAGCATTCGCGTGAGAATCGGCACCAGCAAAGAAGCAAATGACGTCCCTCGTTCCTTCTTCACAAAATTCAGACTGTACAGATTGACAAGCAGTTTTGCCGCGAGCATGCGCCTCTTCCCTTTTGAAGCACGAACCATATATAGGAGCCAGGAAATTACCGAGCTCTCCTCGAGGTCATCTGGATCCTGCTCCGGACTAGGCTGCTGGAAAGTAGGGGTAGCTGGGTGGAATGATGCTCGACGTTTTGGGATGGCGGCAGTAGACCCCAGGGGTGGTAGGGGCGGAAAGGGTGAATTCGATTTCTCGAGTACCAGGGTCAAGGGTAGAAGAGCATCAAAGGGGCCTTGCGGGCGTGAACGAGGCACGGCGCCCCCCGAGAAATAAGCAGCCCCCGATGGAGCTCGTCGGATATCAGATGGGGCAAAATCGTCCTTGATATCTGGAAAGACGGCCTTGATGGAAGGGTCGGTCAGGAAAGTTGCTGCACGATCTGAAGACCGCTCGATGAAGAGGCAAATAGTCTCCAGCACGGGAGAGAGGTGGGCGAAGGACGGTGCAGGATCGGGAAGAATGGAAACGTCGCCATTGTCGCTGTCCAAGGCCTCGGTGTCGGGGGGAACCAGGCCCTCGGAAACCACAAACGATGCCAGACGCGCAGCCAAGATGGTCAGCATACCATTATCGACCAGGGCTCGTTTATGTTGCTCAGATGACAGGGTTTTGGCGAGCAGGGCGAGCATTGCATCACATGCCTGTTGCGAGGCAAGTGTTTCTCCAGCAATCCCAACAACTCTCGTGGTGCTTTGGATGTATTGTTTCGAATACAACAAATCTGCCAGTCTGCCATCTTGCGGCCATTGACCCGGGCTCGAAGGAGGCATGTTTTCGGCGACGGCGTTGAGACATCTTAGGATGGTAAGAACAGTTTTGGACGCGAGAGGTTGAAGAAGGCATCTGAGGAGACTCTGCAAGATGTCTGTCTCAAGAATGGGCTGCACGAAGGAAGGGCCTTCTGCACAAAGTTGTTAGTGCCAGCATTTGTGACCAGTGTAATTTTCCGTACCGTGAGCAATGACACACAGCACCTGGGCGGTATGAGTCAAGGTCAGCTCATTTTCATCGGTGCGTGGAGTTACGACCAGGCCGGCCAAGGACTTGTCGAGCAGATGGATGAGGCCGTTGTGAACAAAGTCGGCCTTGCGCGAGGAATGGCCGCTGAGCTCATATTTGATCTTCTTCAACACCTGCGACACGGCTGCAGGGTCGGTGGCAGCGTGCAGATCGGTAAGAGGCTGCAACATGGTCGTTGCGCCCTGCGAGGAGAAGGCCATGCGAAGCAGAGATCATGCAGCAACGATGGGTCGAGACATGGTGCAATGGGGGTGTATTAGAGTATGTGAGCAAGTAATGGCGTTAGGTGATTAATGGACGGAGTAGGAGTACGTAAGGCATAGCAGAGTGGAGGAAAATGGGAGGAAGAGAAGCGAGTTACTCCGTATAGGGCTCCCTGGGCGAGGCTGACGAGGCTGCGTAGTGGCGTCTTGGGGGCGTCTTGGGGGCGTCTCGGGGCATCGCAGGGCACCGATCCAGGTACCTTGGAGCGCCTAGAGAGCCCCGCGTTGAGGCTCACCAGGCCCCCAGAATGCGAGACGAGGCTCCCTACAATTTAGAGCTGCGAGGACTCGTACGGGAGCCCTGCTTACCTCCTAGAGGTTCTGCTATAGGCAGGGACCTTAGGTATGAAGGTAACCTACCTTAGGTAGCTATGAGCTATGAGCTATGTCCTCTATTCCAGCCTCGCCGTCCTCGTCCACACAGCCAACTGCTGCTCCAGTAGTCATCAAAAAGGCAATTATTGGTTCGCTGCGGTGCAGGGCCGAGATGTCTGGCGATAGGCGAATCTCTGCCGCGCATTTGAGCACGCGGCTCGGTCTGTGTGCCGATCGATATTTGACCTCGTCCCATTCTTGCTCTCACATTCTCGACTGGTGCAACTGACAGCCTCAACCTCTGGACAACCCGGCTAACACAACAGGCCTTCTTCGCATTGACCACCTTATTCAATCGACTACGACTCTTCTGCTTGCAGCATTGCATCCGTCGTGTCTTCGTCGCCGGCTCGCTCTTCCGGCGTGCGCTTTGGCTGTAGTTCTTCCATGCGATGAAGGCCTTTTCGCTGGCTCGCGCTTCACGACATCTTGACATGCCCAAGTACTGGCTTGCAGCTTCAGCTTCGACATAAACCATGCTAGCGACCTCTCCGTCGCCTTCTCTCGCAGCGTGCCATCACGACCCTGCAGCCTTCTCCCCGCGGCATGCGGCGCAGTATGAGCAATCTTCCTATGCTGCAAAGTCTGCCTCTGCCTCTGCCTCGTCTCGAAAGCCCCGTCTCACCCCTCCCGAGACCTCCTACAAGCCTCGTCGGTACGCCAGCTCGAGATCTCTTGACAATTACGGCGCTCCTCCACCCCAGCGTGTCAAAATGGTGGACGCGGGAACCCAATACTCCCCGCCGGAGCCCAAGGCGCCCTCGCCACGGAGCACGCATGTTCCCACGCCCACGATAGCAGACTTGCAACTCTCAGAAAAGGAAGAACTGAAGTCTCGAGCCTCAGGCCGGGATCGAGCCGCTGCACAATGGCCCGCTGCGACTCGTCCACCAGACCCTGCCTCTCTCCCCAAACCAAGCGGCACGCCCGCGCAAGGCGCACTGTCCCAGGGCAAGCGGTCCGCCGAGGGGCCTGCTGCTCAAAGCCCTCCTGCCACTGCCAACGGTGATGTGCCGGCCCCCACGGACTCTCATTCACCGGTGAAGAAACACCGCCCCGATGCCCCTCCAGCACGGATGATGCCTCTTCTCTACGAGAACTGCAACACGCGCGATCTTGTCGTCCTGATATCGTCGATGCTGATGGAATTGATCCGGTACAACGACGCCATCCCCTTGCGCGACGGACAACTCACGCGGTTCCACTCACGCGCGCCGCCAGGCATCTCCGTCCTGGACTACCTCCAGCGTCTGACGACACACGCGACGCTATCTCCTCCCATCTTGCTCAGCGTGGTGTACTACATCGACCGGCTGTGTGCCTTGTACCCGGCGTTCACGATCAGCAGTCTGACGGTGCATCGGTTCCTCATCACAAGCGCCACGGTGGCGAGCAAAGGGCTGAGTGATTCGTTCTGGACCAACAAGACGTATGCGCGGGTGGGCGGAGTGAGCATGAAAGAGTTGGCCCTGCTGGAACTGGAGTTTCTCACTAGAATGGAATGGCGCATCGTACCCAAGCCCGAGGTCTTGGTGGATTATTACAAGTCGTTAATCGAAAGGAGCGACCAGTATCAATTAGAGGAAGAACGAGATTGAGTCGAGAAAAAACTCCCTCTCTTTCTCTCGGCATGAGCAGCACCCACCACTCCTTTATGATAGTGTATACTGTGTCTGCCGCGTCTTTTATTTTTTTTTTTTCTTATAATCTTTACGAATGTTATGATGATAAAATACCACGTCCACAGCGCTCGAAACTCTCGAACCGTCGGGCTAAGTTTACTAGCTGGCCTGTACGGAGTAGACGGGGAAAGCCTATAAGATTCTTACACCTGCGGTACCGACTTTGCCTAAAGAGCGAATCGAAGGGAGACAGACGCTCGAGGTTTAACCATGCACGTTAGTTAGTGTCTCGTGCCCAGATGCCATCCATTCGCATTAGGTATTGCCTTGCCACCTAGGTAAGGTACTTTGGGTAGGGTATGGACCTTTTTTTTTTCCATCTCCCCTCTGGATAGCGGCATCGTGTAAAATACATGGGTCAAAAAAAAGGAGCGAGTGAAGGAGAGAAGGCATGAAACCACACAACGCTCACACTCTCTAACGCTCTGACTCTAAACGTTCAGTTGTTCAGGCCCGACTCCTATCGCTTGTGATACTCGCGTCGTAAGAAACAACCAATCCCTGCCCGACGCAGTCTGTAAGGGAGGGTTTGGGTTCACCTCATGGAAAAGTGAACAAGCTAGCCCCTTCTCGAAGCGGCCTGCTTTTCCAACTTTTCAATCATGTCGACAAACTTTGCGGGCTTGCGGAAATAGACGTGGCACGAGTCCTTGACCGTTTCGTTGGTCTGGTGGTCGTCGACAAGGTAAAAGTTCTTGTAGTGTTCGACGTGCAGCGCGGCCCATCCGACGAAATACTGCACCAGCAGCTCGTCGCGCGCCTGCACCCGGTCCGGAGCCATCGGGGACTCCTCTGCAGTAGCGGCGGCAGCGGCGCCGTCCGAACCCACCACGTAGTTGTAGTCGTCGTCGTGGTGGTAGTCGTAGCCCGGGAGATCGCAAGGGACCGAGACCAGGAAACTGTGCTCCTCGCCCGGCTCGTCGCCCGCGAGCAGCCACCAGTCCGGGTCGTCCTGGGCCGCTGCGTCCAAGTTCGCGTGCGCCTGCGCGTCGAGGCGATACAGCACCTCGAGCATACCGAGATAGTGCTCTTGCTCTTGCGCCTGTGTCGCCTTGGCTTGCTGCTCGTCGTTATCCTTATTACAGGGGGGATGTTTTGCCTCGCGTGCTAACTGGGCCAGGCGTGCGAGAACCCATTCCCTCGCGTTCGGCACGAGTGCCATCTTGTGTGTCTGCACCTTACCACTCCCTCGCTTCTCGAACCATTTCATCGCAACCAGCACTTCGGCAGGGTTGTCCAGCATGCTTCTCTCGGTGATGAACAGGACTGTGCCCCGCGTGAAGATCCTGCCCAGAGCCTCGCCGCCGTCCGTGGTATACCCTTCGTCTCCAGGGAAGGAGACGTTGAAGCACGTTATGCCCTGGTACAGGTGTGCGGCGAGGTTCTTCATGGTGTAGTAAACCCAAGTCCCTTGACGGAAGAGCACAATACCCTGCTTCGACGAAAGCTCCGTCCTGAATTCTGACCAGGCGTCTTTCTCCTCGTCAAGGTAGATGGCTCGCTGCTTCACCTCGTGTTTGAGAAGCCAGTTCTCCACCGCTCGTGCTTCGGCGGGATGAGACTTTGCAAAGGCAATATAGAAGATGTGCTTCTTTCTGTCGTCGCGGTCGCCCAGACCAGATCCTAGGTCCTTGAAGTTTGCTGGAAACACCAGGGCGGACCCTGCCGCCATTGTGTCAGCTCTGTTGTTAACCAACCGTTCGTACGAGTCGCGCCGATAGCGGCTCGGACTTCTAGGTGTCCGAGGTGATCTTGGTGATCGTGCACCGAAATACGGGGATCTGGGACGAACTGTTGTTCCGAGCGATTCTTCAGTCTTGTTCACAACCAAGTCCCCCGAATCTCCCAATATCGGTGCCCCGGCTTCTTGGGGAGGAAGTCTACGAATAGATGTCGATGAAGTCGGCGCCGGAGCTCCAGGTTCGACATTGACATCTCCCTTCTGGGACAGTAGCCAGGCCCCCAGGTGTACATCATGCTTCTTGTTCTTGACAAGTAGATGGAGACGAGAATCCAACCCAGGCACTGGTCTCGCTCCGAGAAATCCCCACGAAGGTGCCTTACATGAGTACAGAACCACCACAAAGCCAGGGATGGCAGGTCCTGGAAATTCCCAGACAGCGCAAATATCGTGCGTCTCTAGGTGCTCTGCCAAGCTTGCAGCGCCAGATGCCGTGTCTTCGTATGGCTGTATCGCACCCAGGCCGATTTCACTTGATAGCTTCGCGTTTGTCATGTTAGTATTGTAGTCCTGATTCGTCACCACTTAGAAAGCAAAGACTCACATTGGATGCAAAAGAGGCGAACTGGACTTTTGTCATGACCCATTTTTCTTCAAAGTGAACCACCAAATCAGGCCCCTGCTTGAGATTTGCGAATTTGCTAACCAGCCAGCCTGGGAGATGGAGAACCTTGAGGTGCCCGACGGAATGCTTGCCATAGTTTAGAATAACAACCAACTCTCCCCAGAACCAAGTCCTTCCATTTCTAGCAGTGATTAGTCTCCCAGTAGGTCCACTCACGGTTGTTGGAGTGGGCACTGGTACCCCCGGTACGCGAGACGGAATAGATGACGGTCGAGCATGATTCTCTCCGTCATCAGAATACCGCCTTGGAGGTTTGGCATTCTCTCGTCTTGCCATCGATGCTATATTGGAAGTGAAAGGGGTTGGTTGCGAAATAGCCCTGGCGAGGACGGGTCTCTGTGGTTTTATCTCGGAAGCCGAACTATGAGGATGAGATTCGGTGGAAAGAGGTGCGACTTCCGTAGCCACAGACTCATCTTCCGCGACTTGTTGAGAGGCTGGCTTATGAGAGGGGATGATCTCTTCCCGCCTTGGTACAGCAGAATAAGCAGAGCTAGGGAATTGCGTCCGCGTAGGGTCATGTAGTCTGGGCTTGGAAATATCGTGAGGCGGGCTGCGGGAGCGATGCGTCAGTGTTGGGGGGGGTGGTAGGTCTGTCTCGAGCGGCGCAGTCGGGGACGCTGGTCGTGGAGTACGGATCTCTGAGGGTTTCTGTCGGGCGTGTGCAGTTATCAGTCTCGGCAGCGCGCTTGTTTCTTGCAGACTGTTGACTTCCTCTGAGCGTGCCGAAACGGATTGAGGGATATCATTCTCAGCGAAAGCATCGCCTGTCTGGTCCGAAGGTGTCTCAGGCACGAAAAGAGGCGATTCATCGCGCTCATCGTATCTCTTGTCTTGATGCTGAACGTCAATGACCCTCTTTGGCAGATCAAATTCGCCGGGGTCCCTGAGATCAAGTTTCGACATATCTGGAGTGACTTCACGCCTAAGACGCTTCTGGTAATTGTTCATGTGCTTCAGATTGTGGAAACGGTCACCAAGCTCGAAATGGTCTTTCTTGGTGTTATTCAACGATGTCTTGCGGGGGCCCTGTTTGGGAATCCTGTGTGCAAAACCTTTCCTGGATCCAAACGTCGGAACGCGCGATAACGGAGCATTCGTACTGAGCTTTTCAGGCAGTTGCAGATCTGTCGCTTGTGTAGTTGTCTGTAACCTGGGTCGCTTCGCCGACGGCTCGTTTGAACCTATCGAGGACATATGTCGTCTTGTGGGTGCTTTTTGCGGCGGGGTGACTCTTCTGCTAGTAGACTCTATTGCAGACTCCAGATTGTCATCATTGGCGGCCGTATTGTCTTCAGAACGTGAATCATCTGTCTCTCCGGCCAGTTTCTGTTCCTCAAGTGCCTTCATCTTGGCCTCCACTTCCGCGACTTCGGCTTCGCTGGGGTGGTTACCGTTGGCCCTCTGGGATTGCCATTCAGCCAGGGTCTCCTCGCCGAAGTTCTCTTCAGGCTCCCAGGTACATTCTTCATCCGGGTAGCCCTCCCATTTCACAAGGTACTGAGATGTTCGGTCTATAGTTCGTGAAGCCAAGATCCGCTCCACCGGGTACTCGTCAATGTCATCCTCCGGCGGGTTCAGACCCCCGGGACTTGCCATGTTGACGGTCTCGGCAATTTAAGACACGACAAGGAGAGAAATCAGGGGATCTTGCAAGCTGGAAATAAAACAGACTGGAGCTGGGGAGGAGGCGACGAGCAGAAGGGTGAATTGAAGACCGGCAGAGAAGGAGTGGCACTGCAACTACCGTTGAGTCGACCATTATCGCTCAATTTCGCGATACCACGGATCCAGACACCACGATCAAGCGTGTATTCTCATATTAGATCTCAAGCATTTCGACATCGCATGTCTGCTGAGTTTTGTCCGTCTGGAATGATAGAAAGCCTCGCATACTCTCTTGCCTGGAGCGGCAAGAGGCGGCCAATAAAGCGGCGTCCCGCGGCCAAGAACAATCACGTGATCCGCCGGAACGCCGTGGTCATCAGATTGCGCTTCCAGACAATTGATGAGGCTTCATATGTGGCCAGACGCAAAGCCCTGACCAACCTACTCCTAACGACGTGGCCCAACGTCACATCCACCCTTCAAGTCGACTACAGTCACCGCGGCACGGCGACCTTTGAAGTGCGCTCCTCTTGACGATTCGCACGCGTCCCCCCTCGCCGTCCTTAACATCCTCGTTCTGGTTGCCTTAAGAACCCCCTCCTCCCGATCCCAACATGGCGAATGACGAATACGATTTCTTGTTCAAGGTTGTCCTCATAGGAGACTCCGGCGTCGGTAAATCCAACCTTCTCAGCCGATTCACCCGAAACGAGTTCAATCTCGATTCTAAGTCCACCATTGGCGTCGAGTTCGCAACCAGGTCGATCCAGGTCGACACGAAGACGATCAAGGCTCAGATCTGGGATACTGCTGGGCAAGAAAGATACCGAGCCATCACGTCCGCCTACTATCGAGGTGCCGTCGGTGCGCTCCTCGTCTACGACATCAGCAAGCATCAGACCTACGACAATGTGACCAGGTGGCTGAAAGAGCTCCGGGATCATGCGGACGCCAACATTGTCATCATGCTGGTCGGAAACAAAAGCGATTTGCGACACCTGCGGGCTGTCCCGACCGAAGAGGCGAAGCAATTTGCGAGTGCGTGCCGCCCTCTCTCCCCCCTCCAGCCGAGCAAGAGCTTTCTCTATTGACACGTTCCCAGGCGAGAACAATCTATCCTTCATCGAGACGTCTGCCCTTGATGCTAGCAACGTCGAACTCGCGTTCCAGAACATCCTAACAGGTAAATACATCCCCTTGACCACTCTCTCCGCCCACCGCCGCTAAGCAGAACAAATACAGAAATCTACCGAATCGTGTCCAGCAAGGCCCTCGATCAGGGTGATGCAGCCCAGGCACCAACTGGCGGTGTGAGGATCGATATGACGCCGTCGGGGACACCGGATGCGAAAGGCAACAAGTGTTGCTAGGTCTCAATCCACCTTTTCACGAAGTATCAGGGAGCAATGGCGTCGTCCGACAGACATAAGGTTGATACATGTATCGATGTGAGCATGAAACTTCCAGTGGGGGCTTCATTTTTACCGATGGGATGGCTTATGGTAGTGAGTTAATTCGGCAGCGCAAAGAGATTTAGAGAAACATTTCGCTCTCGCCAAGTATCCCTTCTTGTTCTTCCTGGGTGTGTGACCTCGGGGGCGACCAACAGAGTCGACAATCCATCCTCAAGGAGGTAATGTGCACATCTGCAACGGTATGGGTAGCCTAAGGCAGATGTAAGGTATGGGTATGGGTATTGGTAGCGCAAGGTAATATCGAAACAGTGGCTGTCATTTTATCTATTGCTTTACGTCTCACTCGGGAGTCCATCCAGCACAATCCCTGCCGTCCCCTGCCAGATCGCCTCCCGGGTTGATTGCACGTCCACCCCCCGAGTATGCAACACCGTCACCCAGTCGTGGAACAACATCGACCCAGACTCAAAGAAACAGGGGTCGCCCGTGTGCGTCTCGATATACTTTTCCACGTCGGCCTTGGACACCGCGGTGTCGTACAGCCACAGGATCTGCGCGGGTGAGAACTTCAAGAACGACTGCACCAAGTAGAAGCTGTGTATGTCACTGCCCCAGCCCAACATGTGTCTATGCCGTAGTTCCTGCACCGAAGGCTTGGTCCTGTCCAGCACCACTATATCGCGAGAGCTATGGAACACATCACTGTATGACCCCACAGATCCGGGATAGCTACGGTCGAAGAAGGAGGTATGCCCGAATGCGGGAGGAGCGTAAAAATGAACATGTCTGGTATCGTCGGACATTCTAGACCATACCTCCCCGTCTGTAGGGCAGATTTCTGTCGCCAGTAGTTGTTCCAATGTGCAGCGTAGATCCTCGAGCTCACACAGTTCGTCGGTGGGCCATGTGCGGAGCAGTTGCATTCGTTCGGCCGAGGGCATAATGTCAAAGCGCGGTACACGTCCAAAACGGCCGTGGAAAGCCTGCGTGTAGCTCCAGAACCGGTACACAGCGCGGCGCAGTCGTCGTGCTTCCACGGCGTCGAGGAATCTGCGAGACATGCTCTCCGCCTCCGTCCAGCGGAAGCTCGGGTATAACATGACAAGGCGTTCCGCGGTGCGGCCGACGGCAGCAGCTTGCGTCAACAGGGCGAAGGACAGCGTCGGGCTGCGCCGAACATGAAGCATTTGGTTGTCGTTTTGGGTCAGGAGTTGTAGTATTTCATCTAGCGGGCCCATCTCTTTATCTAGCGCGCCGAAAAACAGGGAAAGCTTTTGTGATTTGGGAAGAAGGTCGTGGAAATAGTGGCATGTCAACGACAGGTTGATGATGTCGGACACCGAGGTGAGGGATTCGTAGATGTGGACCATGATCTCTGGAGCGAGGTGTTGCATGGCCATGGCCTGTCAGATGTTAGGTAGCTGTTCCGTGTTGGCCTCGACGTGAAACTCACGACTGACGAATTCAGATATCAGACGGGCTGGAGAAAAACAAGTATCGAAACAACGCTCGGCAGCTATCTCGCTGCCACGAGTCCTAGAGCCTCACAGAATTGAGACCCCAGCATTGGGGCTATCATGGATGAAAGTTGACTGGGGAAGGCTGTCGGCGGAGAGCAAAGCAACGGGGCTCTCAACTCGAGAGCCAGACCACGGTGCCTCCATCGTGAATCGAGATCAATGCAGACTTCAACGATAGAGTGGAAAGTGAAGGAGACAGTGGATGGATCGCGGTGGTTGAGTTGCCTCTTGTTCACACCGCCCAGGCGAGAAGACGCAGTCCGCCAATCAAGAGCGGCAGCGCCATCGCGGTCACGTGGACCCTCAGCCTCGTCAAGGAGGTTGAGAGCACAACAATAGTCGAACTGCTCACGCCGGCGATGCCGCTTTTTAAGACCCGATGCTCGCGACTCACCTTCTTCTCACTTCCTTGTCACCCTCACGCTCATGCTCTTACGTACCATCGCGGCGACGATCTGATTTCTACGGCAGTTTCTCTATTACGCTCAGTCTCAAGATAAATTCCATAATGGACGATAATCAGGGGGACTCCATTCTTGGATCCCTACGAGAAAATGGTACTTATATCAGGACACAACCATCGTCATGATCTCTGCAGATTCGGGACTCCGCGCCATGGATCCGAAAGCATTGTTCTCCCCTGTCCAGATTTCCAAAAGCTGCCAGTGGGACACTCATATACCTCAAACTCTTGCTCCTTTACCTCACAAGAGTATCCAGGAACTGTGGGGGTGACGTGATATCCGTCCTCGGTGATGTGCGCGGGTGCTGCAAATGCTTCGTGGAGATGGTCGGTGTACTCGAGTATACTCTTTTTGCCAGAGACAGCAACAAAATCTATCGTGCTGATATGCGAACACAATTCCACCATTCCAGCACCCCTTCAGGAATAACCTCGAGTCAGCAGAAGCTCTATACGGTAGCCAAAGACTCCTCCCACTTACCCTGAGTGAGGCACAACAGGAACTCCGAATTTGGCACTCATAAGTAGGACGCTGAGAATCTCGTTGACACTGCAGAGCCGGAGCGCGTCCAGTTGAACAGCGTCTAATGCTTCTGCCTGCAGCATTTGTTTGAACATGACGCGATTATTAACATGCTCTCCAGTGGCGACTCCAATTTTATAAGGCTTAAGGGCTTTGCGGATTCGCGAATGTCCTAAAATATCATCTGGAGATGTTGGCTCCTCGACGAACCTGAAAAAGTGAGACAAATATCCGATCTGAAATCCAGCCGCACACCTTACCAGATGTCGAGGTCTGCTAGGGTCTTCATATACTCAATGGCTTCGTCAACGTCCCACAATTGATTGACGTCAACCATCAAGATTGCATCTTTTCCAGCGACCTCACGTACGAAGCCGAGCCGCTTACGATCCGACTGCAGACCAAGTCCGGCCTTGAGCTTGAAGTGCTTGAATCCCTGAGACATTGCCAATTTAAGAAGCTCTCGAATCTGATATGAAGTCAGCTGTGACGGACGGGTACGGGTACAGTTTCCGAACTTCATCGTCTGAGTGACCCAACCAACCTGCAGAAGTGTTATAGGCTGGAACTGCCTGGTTTTCCAAAGCTGCTCTCAGCCGTTCAGACTTCGATGCTTCTAGCCGCTTCAGCATCTCGATGCCTTCGTCAGGAGTCACCACGTCGGTGAGATATCTGAAGTCTATGCAACGGACAAGTTCTTCGGGCGAAAAGTCGCAGACCAATCTCCATAGCGGCTTTCGCTCATGTTTTGCCCAGAGATCCCAGATTGCATTCAAAACAGCACATGTAGCAAGTTGGAGGACCCCGCGCTCAGGTGACATGAATCGTATTTGACCAGAAACCATTTGCCGTTGGGTCTCCCCCATGTTTGACGTTAAGCTGGAAAGCTTTCGCCCAACAAGCCGTGGCGCCAGGCTTCTTATCGCTGTGCACAGCACTCTACAAAGTCACCAAGACGTCCCTGGATGCCAGAGACAACCACTTACTCATTGCCTTGTCCGTTGCTGAAAGACCAACCAGTCCCTATGAGCGCAGTATCCGTGTGATACTGAAGGTAACCGAGAGCATTTTCGCCTGCTAGATTCATTGGATCTGAGCCAATGTTCTTGAGTGAGGTCGGCCATCGCAGGTCCCTAACCGTGAAGGATACGATTGTTGGGTCGTCTGTGGCCATGTTCATTCCAGATTCGTATCGTCGATGCACGAGAGAGCATTTCCCGGCGAAAGCTAAGCATGTTCAGCCAGTGCCAACCTATTCACTAGTTGTGGTCGGAATTATCGGAAAGATGGTCGGAACATCCAACGAAGATCTTGGGGTTGCTACTCTTGCTTATAGTATCCGTGCGGAGAGGCTTTCCTGGCCTAGTCGGAATATTTGGTAAAACCAACCAGACAGAAGGTCTACATGCGTGAAATCACTCTTGTGAGACATGGCCAATTTGACTTCAGCGCTCCGGCCGGGCGTGTATGCTCCGGTGTTAACACCCTTCACAGATGGAACACAACAAGACGTTGACTTGCCAGCATTTCGAGCCGCGGTCCTCAGACTGGCAATGCTGGGCGTCGGGTTAGTCTTGAGTGGCACATTGGGGGAAGGAAACCTGCTCTCGAGTCACGAACGAAAAGCTTTGGTCAGGACAGCAAGAGAGGTATTGGAAGAGAACGGTCTTTATCGATCCATACCAATCATTGCTGGAGCAGGGGCGGCGAGCCTTAGAGAGACCATCGACATTGTTAAAGATGCTGCCGACGAAGGTGCTGATGCTGTGTGAGTTGAATTCGCTCTTGAAAGGAGCGACTACTGATGAGCTGGGCCAGCATCGTTGTCGCTCCTGCATATTATGCGTTTGTCTTTGGACGAGACAAGACAGCTTTGAAGGAGTTCTTCGTCTCCGTCGCTGATGCTAGTCCGGTGCCGGTGATGCTGTACAATGTACGTCTTGTTTCGGAGAGTGCCGGGTACCATCCTGACCCTCTCGGCATAGATTCCATTTGCCACTGGAGGCATTGACCTCGACGCTGACTTCCTCATCGACATATCGTGAGTTCAATGTAGCGAGACATGAGTGGATCGGTATACTGATTCATTGTGGCATCAGAGAACATCCAAATATTGTGTTCGTGCTCCAGCAAAGGTCGTCGATTTTCTTTTTCTGATTGGTTCCCAACAGCGGTGTGAAACTCACCTGTTTCAACATATCCAAAGGCCACCGAGTAGCACTGCATATTGACTCACTAGAATATCGGGAAAGACATAGACTGCCATTTCTGGTTCTCGCAGGCTCCACAGATTACCTGCTCCCCGCAATAGTCGCCCGGCATCATGGCTGTATTGGGGGACCGTATGTCATTTTGCTTTCCGTGTCGTCTGTTGCTGACTGCTGCAGAGCCAATCTGTATCCCAAGGTCTGCTTGAGGTTATTTCAATTAGGTACAAAGGCCCTGGAAACTGGTGACCCCGAAATGTCAGGCATAACTAGTCCAGCCAGCTGCAAGGCTAACCCCCGAGCAGATTTAAGGAAGCCCAGGAATTGCAAGACTTGGTGACAAAGGCAGATTCGTATATTAATCGGGTTGTGAGTGAACTGGCCCTGCCAGCTGAGACGAGGAAGCTGACGGAGTTCAGGGATTTCTTGGAATCAAGTCGGCCATGGACATTCATGTAAGTCCTCAGTATGGGAAGTTGAGACTCGGAGGTAACTTTCGCCGGCCGCTGCCAGCTGCTACGGAATTTGTGGTACAAAACATGTCAGAAGGCCTCCTAGAGGTATTCGAGAAGGAGAATGCTTTGTCGTGAACGAATTTGTGGAGCCTCTGCTGAGCAGAGCTAAACGGACCAAATAGTGAAATGAAGAGGGCTCTTTCCTGCAGGTGAAGAGCCAGGGGGACGCACTCAGGTCAATATCAAACTATCGGTACCTTAGCGCTTCGATGAGAGAAAGTTGCTGCGTAGTAGTCTCAACGTTGTAAGAACAAGCTTGTCCAGGCCAGACACCGTCGCGGCTGACCTTCCCTCCCCCTTCCCTGCCCCTTCCCTCCCCCACATGCGTCGGGCTCTTTCCGAACATGTTCTAAAACGCTCGAACCTCAAAAACAATTGTCGCTCTTCTCCAAGTGTCAACATCCGCCTTCGGGCGTGTTTCGTCCTGACCTGAACCGCTACGTGGTGACCGTGGCTAGAACGATCATGTCCGTGGAGGCATCCGACAGTCCCCCTTCGAAACGCCCTCGAGGAAAGTATGCTTCTCGAGCCTGGTAAGTCATCAACATCCGTCTACAAGATCCACAGGGCTGCTGTAAACACCTTACAAGTATCCAGTGCCGTCAGAGCAAATTGAAGGTAAGATCTGACTACCTTGCTTTGGCTTTATTGCACCTTATGACGCTGCCTAGTGCTCTGGTCAATGTCCATGTCAGCGGTGCGGCCAACGAGGACTGTCCTGTCAGTTTTCGCAAGACGTCGACTATACGACCCTCGGCCCGAGCAATGAAAACAGTCAGCCTATTTCTACCCGTACCTCTTTGTCTCAATGGACTCGGCAGTCGATGCCAAGTTCCACATCCGTGGAGCAGAGATTAACCAGGCTGGAGGAAAAGATCAACGCGCTGCTGTCTCCTCAGCGGGAAGGCAGCGTCAGATCAAATGAAGCTGCAGAGAGCCCGTTCGAAGTTATCGAGGATTACCAGGGTAGGTGTTGCGCGCTGCCTGGAAACAGACTTTAATGTTGTTCCCACGCAGGTGACACGACGTTTGAGGCCCCGTTATCAGCACTGAATGCAAACCTGGACTCTATGAAGGCACAGCTTGGCTTGCAGGATTGGACACCGGACCGGACACCCGGAACCATAAGAAGGGTACGGGTGGGATCGCAATTTCTCCCCTTCCCAAGCACATCAGACTACCAGAACTACATCGATTTCTTCTTCGAAGACATCAACCCGTGCCACTCCTGCGTGAACGAGTCGGACTTCAAGCAGAAGAATCACAATCTCGCACGCGGCGCTTTTGCACGTAGCGACGATATCTGCTTCCTGGCCTTGAACTACATAATTTTTGCGTGCGCGGATATACTCCGCAATGTTGATCCGGTGCACGAATTAACTTCGGCGCCTTGTCCTGGATGGAAGTGGTTTTTGGCATCCGATGCCCTTTTACGCAAACGGAAGCTCAGCGGAAAAGCAGATTTATGTCTCATTCAGTTCTTAATCTACGAGGTAGAATGGGAAGCTCCAACTAGAGAGGTATGCTAATTTATTTATAGGCGTTTTACTTGGTACACGCTGACAGATCAAGTGCCGCCTATAGTGCAATTGGCATTGCGTGCAGACTCTGTTTTCAAATGGGGCTTCACGATGAGCCGCGCTGGGGCAAAGATCACAATCCTTATACGGCGCACATGCGTCAGCGCGTCTTCTGGACTGTCTATTTTGTCGATCGTCGCATATCTCTAAGCTGTGGACGTCCGTATGGGATGAGAGACTCCGATATCCGCGTGGACAAACCTGCATGGCTATGTGACAAGGTTGGTGGTTGGATTTCGTCCCCCCACAGCGCATGACACTGAAAGCCCGCGTATAGATGCTTAACCCAAGCAGTCCTCTTCCGGAACCCGATCCCGAAATGTCGGCAATCATGTATCTGGTTTGTATGATTTCCTTCGGAAACTTGGCTGGCGTGGTTTGGGACACAATGTTTTCTGCCAGCGTGGATGGGCCCTGTTCCGAGGCCATTGCGTTAGTCGACGCAAAGATCAGACACTGGACAGACACCACTCTCCCAACCATACCGCTCCTACCGCGACATACTTCACCAACGCGACGCCATCTCAGACAGCAGCTTTTGGTCAACACGGTAAGCTTGGAAAATGCAGTTCGCTCTACCACTTAACTAAAGTTCTTTCCGCAGCGTATAAGCCATTTGCGACTTCTACTCCATCGTCGAGAAATGGTATCGCTCAAGTATAGCGCCAGTACAGGTCTTCTTTGTGGAACCCTAGCCACAGATATCGTCGAGCAGATAAAGACACACAGCCACGAAATCAGTGAGCCAAGCTCCTTTCGCTTCCATCTTGCCACAACAGTTGGGGGAGCTATCCTCATTCTCGCCACTCTTCTCTGTCGGGATCTATCTGAAATTGGCCTGGAGTCACACAATACTGAATATGCAGAAAGCTTTCATGCCGCTGTTGCAATGTTGAGGGAGTTGTCTCAAGTCTTACGTGCGGCACGACGGATTCTCGACGATCTGGAAAGTGTACTGACCTCCGTGAGATCGATTCTTCTTCGACCAGCGACGTCACCGCAGAACGGCGCTGCGAACTTCACCCCGTCAGCCTTTGATAATGTATTCACCTACTCTAATCCTGGTCTAGCGCACCAGGATCACTTCGCTGAGAATATTGGATCCCAAGAGATCGCGGGAGGTGGGATTGCTTCTTTCAATTACGATACTTTTGCGAGCCTGGACAGCTGGGACGCTTATTTTCAACAGCCTTCAAGTGAATATGGGGTCCCTTGGATATGAAGGGATAAAGGAGAAACACCTGAGAGCCCTTCAAATGTGCTATTATGACCTCATCTAAGGCAAACCAACGCGCCAGTCTGCTCCTTCCCCGTTCAAACCAAACCTGGTGCTACTCATATCTTTCACCGTCGTGCGACGCATATCTCGCGGATATCGTCCTTCATAAGAGCCTCCAGTTGCACGATGCAGGACGGCAGTATTGTCCCAAATTATCATGTCACCATTCTGGATCCACTCCGCAGTATATCGGTATTTTGGCTGCGAAACATGGGCCAGTAGCTCCTCTATAAGCCTGGTGCTTTCTTCTCTGCTCATTCCCTCAATGTGATGAACATATGATGCGATATAGAGGTTCTAGACGTTCGTCAGTAATGATGCATGCGACAAACAACAAAACTCATGCATACCATTCGGTCAGTCCACTCATGCTTCTGCACAAGCAAGTGACGGCTCAATGGCAAGTTCTCTGGATTAGTGTCTTTGAAATATTCCGGAACTGCTTTCTTTCGAGAATGAAATAGCGAGTGAGCAGCAACCAAACCCTCAAGCTGACGTTTCCGATCGTCAGACAGATCATCGTATGCAGTTCGAGAGTCTGCAAACTGTACCCGGGTCTCAGCTGCAAGCCGGCCTCTACAATGACGGATAACATACCTCAGTGTGTCCTCCAGTGCCAGCAGGAGGAATCCTGTGGGCTAACAACAGTGAGTGACCCGCTCGCCTGCTATTGAACGAAGAGTCTGTATGGAAAAGCTCATTTGCCTGGTCCCGGATCAGCAAGTGCTGTCAGCGGTGTCCGGCTTGCCACCATTGTACCTTGTTCCCAATTACTTGCGCGGCCGACAAAGGTGCAACATCCCCTGTTTGAGGGTCGATATTGCCAGCATCAAAGAGTTCAGGGTATGCTAGTCTGTGGATCCTACCAGCCTTCTGGTATGGTCGGACGTCGTCAAGCTCCCCAAAGAAACGAGAAAATCGGATATGTGCTTCGTCCGATAAGTTTGTCTTTCGACAGACTACTACACCATACTAGAATTGTCATCAGCCAGAGCCGCTCTGTCGGCTTGTAGTCACCTACTTTATCAACAAGTTTGCGAATCTCTCGGTACAGTTCTGGAGTGACAGGTTTGTCCCATTCCACACCCTGCAGCTCACAAGCATATGTAGGGTGCAGAGGAACAACTCGAAGGTTGAAATCCGATATAATAAAAGGCTCTGGGATGTGGCCTTTGATTTCCAGTGGCACCCAAGTTGGCGTCGGCTTGATCGAGATGACGGCTTTGCCGACGGCCTCGGTGGCCGTTGTCGTCGTCATCTCCGTTGAAGCCCTTTTGAACGAACTAGGATTGATGGTGCAAGAATGGCAAGGGACCTAGCGTGTTGCCCTCGTTCAAAATACGACATCTAATATATGATGGCGACGTGAGAGCCGCGTTGATTGACACTCTGAGGGTGCCTCCCTCTCTGGCAATCACCCTCACTTCGGAAACACAGTCTCCGCACAGCGACAGAGAGCTCGGAAATTTCCTAGCGCAGTGGTTCCACACACTCTCTCGCTAAGGATGGACTTCGTCTTAAGGTCTGCCGACAGCATGGATTCGGCTGTTCCCCGTGGGGAAGCATCCCCACTCAAAAACAAGATACGATATCTGTGCGGCCTTCCCCAGATCAAACAATAAGAGGTCAGGAAAGCGTCGGACTGAGGTCAAATTGCAGCAGCCTCATTACATGATACTCGCTCGAAGTGTGCCTCTACTGAAAAAGCAAACTTTTGAGACATTGAATCTCTCAAAATGGGCAATGAGTGGGAGAAGCAGACATTTGGTCAATTTAGAAGTGATGAATGCCCCTTTTCTACGTGAGACTTGCGCTGACCCCGATAGACAATACAAACCCGTCCTGGTGGAGGGACCCTGGTCTTCGAGTGAACGTCGTACATTGTATCGGACTCTACTTCTGTGTCTTCTATCTCGGATATGATGCCTCCCTTCTAAACGGGCTGCAGGCAATGCCGCAATGGAAGAAATACTTCCATGACCCTTCTAGCAGCTTTTTGGGCCTCATTTCTGCAAGTCTTTTTCTGCGTAGGTGTCTGTGTATCCTTCTTGTCGGAAGGGAAGCTTACTTCAATCAAAGCTGCCACTCTAACTCCCTACATCAGTTCTGCCATCAATTCGCGATGGGGACGGAAAGCATCGCTTGCTGTCGGATCGGTCATTCTTATCGTGGGAGCATTCGTCAACGCATTCTCCCACAGCACCGGCACTTTCATAGCGGGACGAGTCCTCATTGGTGCCGCGGGTCCCTTTGGCAAAATCACTGCAATCGCCCTTCTCCAAGAGATTGCACATCCAAGGCTGAGGTCGATCTTGTCAACTTCCTTTTACTGCAATTACTACATCGGGTCCACTGCAGCAGCCTGGTTCTGTTTTGGGTCTCTACACTGGAAGGAGACTGACTGGTCGTGGAGAGCGCCTTGCCTCTTCCAGATATTCGCGCCATTGATGGTGTTGATTCTGCTGTTCTTCATCCCGGAAAGTCCCCGCGTGAGTAGACCCGAGTCTGTAGCTTGCGACAGACATTAACTATGCTGTTAGTGGCTTATTCACCATGATCATACGGACAAAGCGATAGACATCTTGGCCATATATCATGCCAACGGAGACCGGGATGACGAGCTAGTGCAATACGAGTACAAAGAAATCTGCCATGCTATTAAACTGGAACAAGAAAACAACAAGACGAGTTTCACCGATTTCCTCAAGTCGCCCGGAAACCGCAGACGTCTGCTCGTTTTGATCACCATGGCCACCGGAACGGTATGATGCCGCAGTCCATGTCCTCCAGAAAATATGCTGACTGTGGGGGCTTCTAGAATTGGATCGGCAACGGCATCATCACCTACTACCTCGCACCGGTCTTAAAACTTGTAGGAATCACTGACCCTGCCCAGGTCTCCGGCATAAACGGTGGACTAGCGGTGTGGAATTTGCTCCTCGCCTACTTGGGTTCCATGAATGCTGAAAGGGCAGGGCGAAGAGTATTGTGGCTAGCGTCGACGGTCGGCATGCTCGTGTCTTACATAGTTATGACAGGACTCTCGGGTAGCTTTGCCCACACTCAAAGCCACGCGGTGGGTATTGCAGTCGTGCCCATAATGTTCGTGTACTACGGGTTCTATGACATTGGATGGACACCTTTACCCTGTGAGTTGTGCTTGGATTTCCAAACTGCAGTCACTGACAACATTCCAGTTTCCTACGGCGCTGAGATTCTACCATACCATATGCGGCTCAAAGGACTAAGTATCATGCTCTCCGTGCAAAGTATTGCTCAAGCATTTGTGAGTGAACAGGCTTGCATCGCTAAAAATTGCGACCTTGGGCTAAGTCAAATATAGAATCAGTGGGTCAACCCGCTTGCGCTCGCCCACATTGCATGGAAATAGTAGGTTGCCGATGACTTGATTTACAACGCGTTAGATGCTGACAGCGTGCAGCTATATTGTCTATATTGTCCTCATCGCCATGTACCTGATCCTCATCATCTTGTTCTTCCCGGAAACTAGGTGTGTACATTCCGGCAAAGAACAGTAACCCTTCACGTACTAAATAGTGCTCAGACGTTTGACCATCGAGGAGGTCTCGGTGATCTTCGACACCGGACGTCTTGGCTCTGCCAAAGCCGCTGTCGAGCAATTGAGGCAAGAAGAGGCAGAGATCAGGGTGGTCGATAGTACAGACTTGAGCTTGGAGAAGGCAGATGCCGCGCACATGGAAACAAGCCGACCACATCCTCAATAGCCTAGATGTCTGTTTGCTGAAATTCCGGGGAGCCACCCAGTGGGAGCCGGATGAGAAGCAAGCAGGACGTTGGGTTCAATGACGGCAAACTATGATTGCTTAAGTCTTGGGTCAGTTCAAATAGCGGACACTCAGGTCTGAAGTCCGACAGTGGATATGGGCCTTGGGAAGGTTGTCTTGAGTGCGAGGATACTTGTACAGGAGTTTCCATATCCTTTCCGACCCGTCTAAACAATCCCCGGGTTTCTCACAACTTATCAACATGTGTTGTGATTGTTGAAAAGGAACTTGTCATTCTTCGAGGAGGTCCTCAAGGTCTGTCTAGACTAATAAGCCGTTCTCCTCTTTGGTCTCGCCAACCCCACGAGTTGCCACAACAAGCCAAAGTTCCCGCTCGCCTTCCCCAGATTTTCCTATTGGCAAGTGGTTCCCCATGTCTTCAACCGGAATCTGTGCCCTCGTCCCTGCGTCTTCCAACTGTGCTCACTGTCGCTGGGATTCCAACCATGACCACAAATAGCCCTACAAATCTTAAGAGGATGCACGAATATGCGGCCACTCCTGCAGCAGCCAGCTCGACAGCTGCGAAGAGTTCGAACAAGCGAACGCGCATCGAGCAAGCATGCAATAACTGCAGAGCTTTACGAAGAAAGGTTAGCTAGACTGCACCTGACCCCTGCCGATCGGACTGACACTGGCGCTTGAGTGTAATGCAGCAAGCCCTTGCAAGGCATGTGCAGACAACAGCCTTGTCTGCACCTACGACGGGGACGTCCAGCCTTCTGAGCGCCTTACTCTTGCCAAAGCTGTAAAGTTAGTCTTTCGAGCCCCCGGCGTGTCCCTCAAGTGACATTGGCAGGCGGATTGCATACCTCGAGGAGCGACTACGGCTTTATGAAGGGTCTCCAGACGAGGATGGAGTGTCTCAGCTGTTTAACGTCGATGTCTTCAGTACCAAACGGACGACGCACAAACCAGAGGATGACATGGATCGGGCACTGCGAGGCATCAACCGATTGACACTAGACCCGACAAGGCTGCCCGAATTTTATGGCGGATCATCGTCGAACATGATCATCAATGCTATTGAGTCTACTGAAGACGGTCCAGATACCGACTTGGTCGATGCCGAGGACCTGCACATCCCAGAAAATCGAGCGCTTCTATGGCTTGGGGGCCCGTCCCAACTATCGTTTGGAAAGGCGTCAGGCTCGCTCTTACCACCAAAACCTGTAGCGGAAAGATACGTAGCTTGTTACTTTCAGACGGCGCATCGCATATTCCCGATCCTGAATCGAAGGCTCTTTGTCGGAACTTTCAACGATTACTACAATGGTCTACCGACAGAGGGAAAGGGTTACGAATGGTGGACGACCGTTATGTACATGACTATCGCACTCGGCCATCAATACAGCCTCATTGACTCGGACCCAACCCTCCGGGGCCAAGCTCTTGCGTCGCCACAAGACGGGGAAGCTTGTTTTCTGTTGGCAAAGTCTAGCCTTGTGAATGTACCTTTTGCAGGGGGTGATATATCTGCTGTAAACAGCCTGATGCTTATGGTCAGCGTTCCCCGCCATCTTGAGTGTTAGCTAACAAGAGGATCAGTTTCTGTGGCTATACAATCAGCAAAGGTTACATGAAGCATACGCCGTTCTTGGCCTGGCAGCAAATGTGGGATACGGTATTGGACTGCACAGGGTTTTGAAAAATGATCCGGACAACTCAGCACACATTGTCGGATGGTGTTCAACTTTCTGGTACGATGGTCGACTTCGAGCTCTACATCGTGCTAACAGTTTCAGGTGTCTTTTTACATATCAACGGTATTGTGTTCCTGTAAAGCCGTCGTCATGACACTCTTTGACCTCTCGAAAGGGAAATAATGGCCGTAGTTGGACGTCCATGCACTATTCAAGCACGGGAAGTCGACATCACGCCATTCAACATGGAAACGTCCCCAGTCGACCTGCAGTACTTGGAGAGAATGGTGAGGCAACCGGAACGAAACTATTTTGCATGTTTCTAACTCCCCAGCGACAATTTACATACGTAACGTGGGACACTTGGGATCAGGTTTACTCACTTGCGTACAAGCATAGCAGCATAAGCGACCGCGGAAAGGCGCTCCAAAGAGCCGATGAAACGTTCCAGACGTGGTTTCGGAGCTGGTTTCACGAATGCCCATGGACTAAAGAGCCTCACGGACTCGTTATCCGTCTTCGTAAGTCGAGTAATAGCGCAGCCCTGAGGAAAGCTAATGAATCAGGTTTTCTACATATGAGGCTGCTACTTTATCGCGCATTTTTGAACCTCGTCGTTGAAAAAACCCGGCGACATCAACGTGTTGTGGAAAGCGTTCTGGATTTGGCCGCAAAATGCGTCGATATCTCGTCAGAAACCATCAAAATCGTCGTCACATCGATGTGAGTGTTTAATTCCGACCGCCATTTCTTTTGTCGTACTCCTGTGCCCTCACCCGAACAGAGAGGTAGACACTTTTGACTCCTATCAAAGACGTGACATGCCAATCTTGAACACACTGCCCTAGACGCTTTCTGCACCAAGATCGAGTGCTAATTGCTGTCCATCGACCAGTCATCCCGGTAGCAGCGTGAGTGGCACTCTGCAGGGCATACTTTTCCACGCCCTTGAGTACCTCTGGAACGCCGCCGTCACACACCTTCTGTGTGCTGCTTATCCAGCTGTGCAAGCTACTTTGGTCTCAAAAATTACCTGCAACGTTCCAGAAGATCTTCGTGCAGCTATTGGCGTATTCCGTGTCCATGAAGATGCGATGCCCTTTTCGCGCGCGGCTGGAGAAAAGATCACCAATTTCCTTGACAATACTGTAAGGAAGCAGGGCTCCCAGAGCCAGGCTAGCTCTGCGGTCGACGCAAGCGGAAACTTTTCGGATGACCACGCTACCTTCGACCTCCCGGATCTGGACTTCAACCTTGACCTTCCCGTACAATTCGCCGCGCCAGGCGATAGCTTCGGTCGCTCGATTAGGTCCCTCGATACTCTTTCGAGCCAAGGCCCGCAATGGGATTTTGACGAAGATATGTTCGTTCTGCAGGCAGACACTCCATTCTAAGACTCGGAGTGTGCCCTCTTCCCATTAATAGCTCCGAACTATAGCTGTCGAGGTCTAGCTCCGAAATTACTTGGTCTAGTAGAACAACTCGGTATTAGTCACATAAATTGCATATGGGCGCAGATTCTATGTCCCTCGCGACAAGGACAAAGGAGTGGTCTATACAGCACTAACTAATACCTAATATCGAGTCTGAACTAATCCATTCTGCGGTTCGTTCAGTCCCAGCGACTCGCCGAGAGTCCACACCATGTCCAGGGTGAGGTGCGAGAACCTCCAGGCACCGTAGCCATCGGCCGTAGGCACCCTTCGGAACGATGAGTAATAGTATCCAGCCTCCATGAAATGCTTCGAAATGTCCGATTCGTGTAGCCCATGGGTCGCGAAGCAGGTGTACCGGGCATGAGCGACAATATCCGACTCGAATTCGACGACGAAGTTGCTGGCGACGTGCTTGTTGGCGTCAGCTCTGATAGTCTACCTCCGATGGGGGGGGGGGCCTCGAGCTCCTTCTGTGTTAAATAGGCCGCGATGGTGGGGGACTCACCAGCATCCGAGTGAACCTGGATTCCGCCGCCATGGCGAACTCGGCCAGCCCTTCTTTGCCGACATGCGTCCCGAACGGGTAGGTCACGACGCAGTCTTCGGTGAAGAGATTGGCCCAATCGTGCGCAACGTCGGCGTTCATCATTGTGGAGTCCAAAGTGTACGCGTACGAGGAGCACAGGTCGACAACTTTCTGCCGCTCATACATGTACAGCAATTTGTCTTGCTCGGATTTATGCACTTTCAACGAGGATGGATTGGCCTCTAAGTCGCCATGGACGCCGTTCCTCTCGTCTTGATTCTGTGCCGCACGCAGCTCGCAGGCCGGGTTCTGTCCATGTCTCTGCCGTTGTTTCGCCAGGAAGGTCGGGTAGCAGAGGGGGTGGCCGCAAATAGATAATGCTGGCACGGGACTGCCGTCTGTTGGTCGATACGTAATTGACTTGTTCGCCATTTTTGACTTCGAGTCCGCTTTGCACAGGCGGTGACGATTTGGAGGCTCGCCTTCAGCTCGGCGTGAATTTGTCACAGGAATGGACCAGGTCTCTGACGAACGAGTGTCTTCGGACCAGTGAGATCGAGTGGGTACGATGGTCAGGAGGGTGCGTGCGGCCGCTTCAGGGGCCCTTTTATATGACTTTGCCATGCCGACGCATCAGGCATGAGTCGAGCCTGAGGAAGCAGCTCTCGCTACTTTCGTCTCGGTTCTGAACCAAGAACCACTGCGCGTGTGTTTGAGATCAGCCCACCTGTAACCGGCAATGTGCTCTAACAAACCATGATTTCCAACTGGCTGAAACCAAACCACTCGCCCCAGTCGTGGTCTGCCAGAGGCGGTTCCTTGCCCCGTAGTGAATGTTAAGAGCCGTGTCGTGCGGGTCTCGTTGGTCCATGTTTTCCTATTGGTTGACCCCACACACTCGAGCTCCGAAGCCGAAATACGTGGGGAGCTCATAGACTGGGGAGACTGGGGAAGAGAAAGCATGTACACACCTCGAGTCAAGAGCATAAAAAGGCGTCGGTAGCTCCTCGAGCACCATGGAAGATCGTTCAGTGCAACCGTACTCAGCAAGCAGTGGCCCTAACGTTCTTTTTCCTCCAACCGTCCAACTTCCAAGCGATCAAGAAGCGCAGCCATGAAAGCCCCCAAGACATACAACCCCTATTTCATGGCAGTGGTTGCCACCTTCGGAGGGGCGCTGTGGGTTTTCAACCGCCATTCTCGCTGATGATGGGTGCTAACTGCTGCGCGTAGAATTGGATTTGACGTATCGTCCCTTTCCGCCATTATCGGCACTCGACAATACATCGAGTATTTCGACAACCCGCACGGTGCGATCCAGGGTGCCATTGGCTCCTCGCTGGCCGCAGGCTCGGTGGTTGGTGCTGCACTCGCTGGTCCTGCATCGGACCGTTGGGGCCGCCGAGACACCATCTTTGTTTCCTGTTTCTTCTGGTTACTCGGCACCAGCATCCAGGCGGCCACCGTCTCTACTGGAATGTTGATCGGCGGCCGCATCTTGAACGGTGTCACAGTCGGAGTCACTTCTGCCCAAGTTCCCGTGTATCTGGCCGAGATTGCGAAGAAGGAAATTCGCGGAGCTCTGATTATCTTCCAAGAATTTGCCATCGAGATCGGCGTCCTGATCATGTACTTCATCGGCTACGGCACCTCTCACATTGCGGGAGCAACGACGTCCTTCCGACTTGCCTGGGCCCTGCAGTTGTTGCCATGTCTGGTGCTGATAGCTGGTCTTCCTTTCCTGCCCCGATCACCCAGATGGCTCGCCAAAGTCGGGCGTCTCGAGGAGGCCTACGATGTCCTCGCCAAGATTCAAGCAAATGGCGACCGCGAAGACCTTTTAGTAATCGCAGAGTGGCAAGAGATCACACAGACTCTGGCTGCTGAGCGCGAAGCCCTTCGTGGCTGGAAGAAGTTCATCAAGAACGGCATGTGGCGCCGCACCCTCGCCGGTATCTCTGTGCAGGTCTGGCAACAGCTCACTGGTGCGAATGTGCTGATCTACTATGTCGTTTACATATTCCAGATGGCGGGTTTGACGGGCGATATCAACTTGATCTCTTCGGGAGCGCAGTATGCGGCTTTGATCGTCGGCACGGCGATTGCTTACGTTGTCGTGGACAAGATCGGACGCCGACCTCTCTTAGTTCTCGGAGCTCTAGGCATGGGAACCTGTCAATTTGTCGTCGGTGGTGTCCTCGGTCAATACGGAACCTATCTTCCTGACGGGCTGAACGGCAATTTGAACGTCAGGGTTTCGGTGACGGGCGCAGCCAGTCACACCGTCATCGCCTTCTCCTACATCAACATGTTGCTGTACGGATTGACGCTCGCACCGGTGCCCTGGGTTTATTCTGCTGAAGTGTGGTCCCTCGAGACACGCTCTGTCGGCATGTCAGTCGCGGTTGTGTGCAACTGGGCCTGCAACTTTGCGCTTGGGCTGTTTGTCCCCCCCGCGTTTGCTAATATCAGCTGGAAAACCTTTATCGTGTTTGGAGTCCTGTGCTTCACAGCAGCAATCCACATGTTTCTGCAATATCCCGAAACTGGACAGAAGACATTGGAGGAAGTCGAGGAGCTGTTCCAGAAGGGAGCCAGCGCCGCTTGGAAGACCCGTGTGGGCCATTCTCACCTTGACGAGAAGGCGGCGGGATTGCAAGAAAGCGATCAGAAAATTACCACTTTGATTGAGAATGTCAATGAAACCCCCGAACGCAGTCATGTTTAGCCACGGGAGAGCCCCGCAGAATACTCTGCTACAAGACATCCATAGAATACCCGGATGCTCCAGCTTTTCAAGGGAATGGACTCGCATGTATTGAGGATCTCAGGCGACCATGTATAGTGTCAAATACTCGCCTCCAGGGCAGACGATCGTTGAACAATACGAGATTCGTCATTCAGATATCGTTTCCACAAGATCCAAAGTGCCCGATACCTGTCCCGATTCCCGGTCAAATAAACCATGTCCCTCTCCCAGTAAGATGTACATCGAGTGAATGTCCGGCATACGGAGCGAGAAGACTGCGCAGTACTCGCAGTACAGTCCCATCACCTCAGGTGCGGTCGGCCTTGTTCCGAGGACTTGAGGTCGTGATGTCTTAGGGTATCCGCCCCACTTTCAATTAATCGGAGCACCAGCAAGTATTTACCAGCCTTCATCTCTGGCCGACCTTGGATTCAAGGAAGGCTTGAAGAAGGTTTTCCCCTATACATTCGGTAGCACGAAAGTGAGGGCGAAAGAAGCAAAAGCAAGGCTAGAAGCATGTCACTTGAGAGTTTGCGGGTTTTCCCATTGGATTATACCACCCTCCACCCTGTTCTTGGAGGCCAACCACCAATTGGAGATCCTGGAAGACAACTTGACCCCAGGTCCGAATTTCTGAGTCGGTTTGCTCATGATATTCAACTATTTGCTGTGTCCAACCGCTCACATGCGGAGCAGCCAATCGTGCCAGAAGTGCTGCTTTCGAGACATGGCCATTTGAGGGGGTCCACTTGCTCTGAATGGGTTTGCATTCAATCCGCCCCACAAACGGAGGGCATGACAGAGAAGGCCTCGAAAATGCCCAGGCGAGTGGACGGCTCTCGGTCACTGTGCATGGAAATGCGCCGCAACTTGTTTGTATCAAAGGACAATAAATTTGTGTTCATCCGGGACGCGTCAGAGCAAATTCAGAATCCCTACGAATTTCGAGAAGAGCTCTAGCATCTGAAAGATCTGCTCCGTCTGCTTCACCTGTTCGGTCTTTGCAATGGCAGCACCGACCAGAGTTCTGTTTCGCGGCGGCACAGTCCTGACGCACAACGATGATGATCATGTCGTTCCCATAGAGAGCGATCTCCTAGTAGAGGGGAAGAGCATCAAAGAAATATCACCTGGCATTCAACTTCCACCTGGGTCTGATGTCAAGGTGGTGGACTGCAAGAACAAGATTGTGAGCCCGGGCTTCATCAGCACTCACCAGCATCTGTGGCAGTCATTGTGCAAATCGCTCTGGAGCGAGTTCACCATCCTTGAATATTTATGTCTCGGTAGGTTGGGGCGATTTTAGTTATGGATCTCGTTGGGAAAATCGTCGATGTACGCTTACGTATGGCTTGTCAGGATTGTTCGACAACGCTCACCATGAGCCGAACGACATCTTCTGGGCCGAGTTGGCTGGCGCGCTGGAGGGCATCGATGCGGGAACTACCACAGTCATGGATCACGCACACTTTCACTACTCCCCTGAGCATTGTAGGTCAATCATTGTCACAAATAGGGGACGGTCGAGTCGAGCCTAATCTAACTTTCGATCAGCCGATGCAGCCATTGCTGCGCTCGAAGCGTCTGGCTTACGCGCGGTGTTTTGCTTCTGTCCCAGCTCGCGACTGCGGAAGCATGAACCCCTCGATGTCGACGGCGACATATTCTGTGACTGGATCATGGATAAGATCCAAGTCCTGGCTCAGAACGCGCCTTACGGAGACGGCCGTATCCAGATTGGATTCGGGCTGGACGAGTTTCGTTTCGACCGGGCGACGACAGTGGAGTTGTTCAAACGGATCAAGTCTTTTGGAATCAAGCATGTTACAACACACTATTTCCGAAGCCCAGCAGGAGGCAGGCCTACCATCTCTTTCTAATTTCCTATACAGGGATTAACGTCTGGCCAGTCATGCTAACTTCGTTCATAGCCAAGAATTCGAGACTCGCGCTGTTCGATGAGTACGGAATCGTCGATCCTGACACCCATTGGGTGGTGTCCCATGCGACCAACCCGATGCCCGGCGATGCCTCGCTCCTTAAAAAGCACAACATGTACATGTCCTCTGCGCCGTCTTCAGCAATGCAGATGGTGATGGGTCACCCGACCGCCCTGTACCACCCAACAGAGGACTTCTTCTCGCACGCCTCGGTCGGCGCAGACAGCCACGCAATCTGTGGCTCATCCCTCGCCTCGGAGCTGCGTATTCTACTACAAGATGCGCGTGCGCAATTCAACGACTCGCTCGTCGAGAGCTGGAAGTCCCCTGCCAAACTTAACCGCAGTGTGGAAGATGCGTTCAACCTTGCCACAATCAAGGGCGCCAGGGCGCTAGGTATGGCTGCCCAGATCGGCCAGCTCAAGGTCGGTATGGCGGCCGATATTGTGGTGTACGACGGAACCACGCCGGCGCTGTACGGCGGTGCGCAGACGAATCCCGTAACCGCGATCGTGATGCTAAGCAGTCCCGCGGACGTGGAGCTGGTCCTGGTGGATGGGATCATCCGCAAGGAGAACGGGAGGCTCAAAGATGTACAAACTGCTCAAGGAGACCGGAAGTGGCGCGAGGGGGTGAACGAGACTCTGGCCTGGGCTGACATCTCGGCCAAGTTAATTGAGAAGAGCAAAGTGATGAAGGACCGGATTCGTTCGGTCGACGAGAATCAGATGAGAAAGAACGTTATGCAGTTTCTGAATGTCGATCCGTCCGTAGTGGTGGAATAGCCAGGTACGACATACGTTCTCACAAGTTGACAGGTATCGGCATCCTCACGTTTCAGTCCATATGGCCCGTTGGTCCCCCAATACACTCCCACCACCATGTGTTTGATGCAACATTCCACTCTTTCACATAGTCTTGCCTAGTTGGCAGGTCGATCTCATCTGCAGATCCTGTTGGAACCTTCGCCAGCCTATCGGGTACTCCAGGGGAAGAAGTCTAAGCGTGTATCTTTCAGGCTAGGCTTTCCAATCCATCAGCCCCGAAGTCCATTCTTCACGTGAGTAAACGATAATGCCTTTGCGTGGTTCATGAGCACACTGAATGGATGGATGGATAGATGAGGCGGCAGAAGCCGAGTTCTCAATGCTGAATCTTGCGCCGGGAGACCCTGGCGGCTTATCTCGTCCTGGTCCAGCAGTCATATTGCTTGCGGAAGCCCCAGCTGCCCCATCCAAGCCAGATGGCTCCAAGGAGACGCCAGCTTCGTCCGAATTTTGTCTGGAGCAGCACACGAATACCATCCCCAGATGCGTTGAGATCGAGACTGTTGGTAATTGCGACCGGGAGCGTTGAGAGGGTGACGAAATGCCCCTGGTCCGAAAACAAACAAACTGCCCACAAATCATTTCACGAAACATTCCTCAATCATTCACCGGTCCTTCAAGAAACAGGGACCGATCATGCATGTACAAATCCGCGATCGTTTCCCAATGCTATGAAACTATTATCATATATAGAGCCTCGCTGGCAAAATCTCTCCCTCCCTATCTCTCTTTTCCTCCTTTGTGCTAAAAACGGCGACCCAAGTGCCACGGACCACACCTCACTGGAATGCGACCGGGTTCGTCTCATTGCCTCCTTTGTCACACCGCTGCTAAGCCCCTACTTCTCCAGACTCAATCAGTGAAACTCAGATCATCCATCCCGCCATGTATCCAGACTGGCCCGAATCAGATGCAGACTTGGTTCCCTTGCCCCAGTGCGATGGACCCAAGTTGAAGCCTTTCAAGTTTTCTGGTCCACGAAAGATCGAGTTTGTCGATTATGTTGGAGGAGGGGCACATTCGCAAGTCTTCAAAGTCAAGATTGAAGGAGAGATCTATGCTCTCAAAGTGGTAAGCCGAGACCCCTTTTCCTTGTTCCCACTCTCCCTCCCTCTCTCCTTCTTGTCTTATCCTCCTCTCATCCTCAGTATGGGGAGACATGTACACGCCTTATGACTCAAACAAGCTGGCTTAGACTAATGATTTGGTTGCGTCTCTCTAGTTCCGATGGAACGAACCCGCGGACTTTCTTCCATTCGGTGAGTGGCCAATTGAGGTTGCAAAATGGAACGAAAATCATGGCGAGGACCTTCCAGCGTTCTCTGCCTATAGTGAGCCCTTCAATAGCGAATGTCGGGCGTACGGCCGTCTCCAGGAATCCGGATACGAGGAATTGGCAATACGGGTTTTCGGGTACGTTCTTATCAACGAGGAGGAGGAGGAGGAGATGATGCATCTTGTGGAAGTCGAGGATGACCCTGACATCCAGCGTGAAACCTGGGGGAATGATGCACAACGCAAACGCTTTCCCGGGAAGAGGACTGGCCGAAAACCCCCGTTTCGAGCCATCGTCAAGGCTTTTGGGAAAGTAGACCTCGAGAACCCCCTCAAGCCGTCAGTCCTAAAAAAATTGTTCAGGAACTTGCTTCAACTGCATCAGTTGGGTATCGTCGATCTTGACATCGTGCCTGGAAATCTCGTCAACGGCAGGCTTGGAGATTTCAGCACGGCCATGACAACTCCGAATTTCATCATGACACCTGAATTGAATCCGTCCCTCTCGCCCGAGCAGGTGGCTCTCCTAAGAGGTGAAACTTTCCGACTCTGTCGTAACGACTTTAAACTCCTCAACGAGGAAGTGAAACTGTGGAACAAACAGCAGAAGGCAGCCAAGGACAAAATGTCATTCCCAGAACTCGAGCAAAAACCACGATACAACCTGAGAAAACTGCCCTTCCGTGATGCTCGTCCCTATACCTTCGCCGACCCTGGGCTGTACGATTGGAAGAAGTCATCGATGGCGAGTGGGACGGGGAACACTTCAGTGGCAAGCAGAAAGAGAAAGGCCCCGGGTGAAAATGTGACACAGAAACGGCTCGATCCCTACCCTGCCAGATGGTATTACGAGTGTTCTGACGAGGATCGCCGCGTCGACTACCAGTACAGAGATGGTGTGATCTTTCCAATGCCTAGAAAAATCCATCTGCAGATGCCGAAGCCCCAAGTGCCGACCGGCGGTGGCCTCTTCGGTAACCCTTTCCCGAGGTTGCGCGAGCGAAACGGAGGCTGAAAGAATCTCTGTTCCCATCTACCTGGGTTGTAGGGGACGTGATGACTATACAGTTGCTAGTTACAGGAAGTAAGTAGGTGGCTGGTGCCTAAACGTGGTTGGGATCGGAATGATCTAGTCTGACACCATTGAGATGGTCATCACGCCAACATTGCATTCTCGAAATTGACGGCACGTAGGTGAAACATCCGGTGAGAGGTTTAGCAAGCATAAGAGTGTAACACATTCCATGACGAGGCAAGGGAGAGAGATTCGAAGGCGCGACTGAAGTATGCTAATACCGGTAACTGCTCAGAATTGAAATACATTTCGTAGTATGCTGATGCACCTGTGGCTGTTTGACAATGAATGCCCCATCGGAGGGTTCACAAGAATGAAAACTTTCTCTGTGCTTTTTCCTCCAGCACATCAATCACCCAGCCAAAAGGAAAGGAAAGGAAGGGAAAGGAAAAACTCGACGTTGAACTCCAAAAGGGAAGAAAAGAGAGAACCAGAAGGGAAAACAAGACTCCTGGTTGACAAAACTTTCCACCACAACTCAGTGCAAAGCCATGGGTATAACCAACTTCCAACAGCATCAACAGAGCAATTTCTTCCATGTCCTTCAAGCAACTAATGGCTCAATTCCTGTTACTGCTTCGTTAGCATCATAATGGGTGGAGCGTCCGTTGAAAGATAACATACATTGCGAGGAGACAGAGGGTGAACAACGCAAGGTCTGTTGTGAGGCCCTGGGTTACGGACCACATGACTGGCATGAATCGAACATCGAACTTCCTGTCAAGGCTGAATGTGAACTCACATACCACCAACTCCTTGTCAGTCTGGAGATACCCATGTCTGATATTCCCAAGCAGACAGATGTTCGCCAGCTGGCGTAACGGCGCCTGAAGTCCCCGCGAGAGGCCGTTTCCGTTTGCGAGACCTTCTCGTACCTCACTGCCACTCCAATGCTTGCTCGTCTTTCCTAACCCAGCTAGAATGTTCAGCGTAGCTTGATGCTGGAGCCAAATGGCATGTTGAAAGAATGGCGGTCCGTTGTTAAAGGGAAATTTTGCATTGGCGTGAGTCTGGGTTGTATAGTCGCTCCTATATTGCATGTCCAAGTGGAGGTTCAAACGTTGGCGGGCATGAGGTATAGTTTCCTGCAATACTCTTTCATTTCGTTCAAACAAAGGATAGAGATTTCTCTGGGAGTCGACTTGAAAGCCGTCTGGTAATGGGAATCCAGTTGGGTGAAGCGGCGTGCCCGTCAATGACTCGTCGAGAATCTGTCCAAGTTCGCTGTCGATATTCTCCAGGTTGAATTCTTCCCATATTGTAATTGTGCGAACTTCAGGCCAGTTTGCATAGGCCGTGTTCATAGCTGCACTGGTCACGATGCAATCAATAGTCGCGGTTTTTGGGCGGGTGAGCAGATCTCGAATCGTGGCCCGGCCATTGTGATTGTCGGCCATCGTTGTAGTCAGTGGGCAGGTGGGAGTAAGGCGCTCTGGGAAGACGGTTGAGGGAGATGCTTTGGGAAAGATGGTTGAGGAAGGCGCTTTGGGGAGATGGTTGAGGAACATAATGGCAGACGTATTGAGGTATAAATGTCCAGGCGGCTCACCAAAAACCACAAGCGGTGCTGAGTGACCCAAGACAAGCAGACCAGTTATCCCTCAGCCATTCGCCACAGGAATCTACCCGGAACTGAGCAGGAATTGCATCCATTCCTTGATTTGTGTCGCAGTCGCAACACACAGGTCGCTTTCCCGAGACGGGTACCCGATATATTCTGTCTTCAACGGCAGTGCTGCTGGAAGCTCTTCTTCTGGTAGGTTTATGGACCTGCAATGTCCCAGGCATTGCCATCACTACTACCTCTATTGGCCAGTGGTCAGCAGAGAACTGAGACTTCTGTTTGATTGAGGCCACGCCTCCCACATCGATCGCTCGATTTGAGCCCATGGGAAAATCGATCACCAGGAACGCAGCGCTGTCGCCACGTCTTTGCTATTCTGATTTGGCGGGGAGGGTCGAACCACCCAGCCCGGATCGTGATGTTATCAAAGAAATCGCGGGCAGGGACGCCAACCACGGAAATCAGAGTGAGATCAAACACCAACCAAGTTTTTTTCAAAGTCTCAGTGCTGGACGCGACTGCTGCAGGCGTCCCCGAGTTGATCGTCACCGATCTGTAATGGAGCCAATCTCGTTCCTGACGAGAACATGTGTTTGTGTTTGCGGTAGGCAGCGCGAACAACTGGCGCCGGTATCTGCTCGGCTGGGCCAAAGACAAACATGTCTCTGCAAGAAGGTGGACTTTCGATATCTCACCGCTGCTCAGCTGAGCCAGAGATAGACAGGTCTCTACGAGGAAGCGGACTGTTCTGCATGCGGCCGCCGCTCTGTCTGCAGGGGATTAACTGATGACCCGTAGGATCGCCAGCTCATCATGGTCTCGGAACATAAGAGACACGGTAGGGGATCAAGGTGGAGGGTTACAAGCAAGTTCCATTTGCAGGAAGACAGCATTTCCTGCGGAGGTCTGCAGAGTGAATAGCCCCTGTGCGTGAGTCGGGCAGCCACACGTCAGGATATGGATAGGCAAGGCTCCGAGACGTTGGTTTCTTCCCTTCAGGGTGATCCATTTGGTGGTTGTGGGCAGCTTTGCAAGGAAAATGTGCTCATTGCGGGTGGTGGCTGAAGCTGAGAACGGAAGACAGGCGGTCAGTGTGAGCAATGGTCTCGGAAAGACGCAACTCCTTGCAATCAGAGAGTACGTCGGTCTGTTGGAAGACGACAACAGACATGAAAGATCCTGTGTTGCTACCGTTGACCACGTCACAGCAGAATTCATCTACCTTCTAGGATAGTGGGAGCCACCGAAGATCCGTTGTCAATTTGTTCCGCAAGCAAGAGATTGGCGCTGATGTGCTGAAACGATGCAAATTCGCGCTCAAGCCCTGATCATCGGTCGAGATACAACATCCATTGGGAAACATTGACTGGAATGGCGGCGATCATACGAAGCCTTGCTATAGTAACGATGAGCCAGGGAAGATTGATCATTGGTGGAGGCCGTGGATGAGAGAAGGGGAGGTTCTTCTGGATCTACTAGTTAGTGAGTTAGCTAGTTAGTCAGTGGGTGTCCCCCACTCAGAGTCGGTCGACAGATAGAGGTATTGGGGGCGATGGTGGCGCCCGTCCACAAGGCTGTCAAAGTGTCAACCTGTCCAAACTGCAGCAAAAACCCGTGCGTACCCTGTGTCAAAAATCCGAATTCCCCTGGCCTTGAATGTCCGTTCCAGCACCAGCCAGCGAGCCTGTGTGTTACGAGTCAGTAGTCAACTTTGGGCTTGAGCATCCTTGAGTCACCCTCCCTGAGCCAATCCGCAGATCTTGCCCTGCGTCCGGGAATATCGGGAGCTGCGGGGAAAAAGTTTCGAGAAGCAAGACTCTCGAGCTGCAATGTGTAGAGTGTGTTTAGGTCGTGGACTACTTCTCGGTGCTAGCGAAAGATAAAACGCTTTTGCAATTTTTTTCATTTCAGAAGCTCTTCGATGTCCCCCAAGTACCGCGCTCGCCAGAAAATAAAACACTCCTTAGATAGCCCCGGTAATAATATATATCTCTAATGAAACTGACGAAACGTAGAGCCCATGGGCTTTGTCTCGCCGCGAAACGACAATCGACGCGCGAGCGCGGGGGATTGTAATGCATTCCCGATGCAGGGAGCAATGGTGAAAATCAAAACAGACCCAAGCGCACTCCAATGTTGAGGCACTACGCTCCCCTCAAAAGGTCATGACATGACATGCGGTATACACAGACGGAGTGGCGACGACGGCACCACACCCTTTGACTGGAACGGAAGAAGACTGACGGCTGGGTAGGCGATTTAAGCCTTGACGCCCTCCTCGGCATCCTCTTCGGAGACGAGGCCATGTTCCATTGCATGCTTGATAACTGGATAGGTGAGAAGACCAAAGTTGCTTCTCGGGTACATGACTTCCTTGACGTGGACTCCGTGCCTGAACTCGTCTGGGATCTTGCCGTGGCGATCGAACGAGTGCAGAAAATAGGATGCAGACCAGTCGTTCTCCCATTCTGCAACCTTGCTCCGTCGGTTCCAGCGCAGATACGGGTCCTGGATGGTGAAGTCGACGGCGTCATCTGGGAAAATGTCGCTCTCGTTGTGGACGGCCCAGAGCCTCTCGACGTCCTTGTCCACCCAGCTTGACGGGGCAAAGGCCAACATGTCCATGATCAGGACCTCGGACGGGGTGCGCACAAGTCGCTCTGCTACTCTGGTCAGGAGCTTGCAGCTGTGAGTGGTCCAGCCGCCATCGAAGATCTCGTTGGCCTCGGATCGGAAGATGTCGACCATGGCCGTCTTGGGTGCGGACAACCAGCAGCCGTTGTTAATGGCGCCGCCGTGCTCACGGCCCACAATGTTCTTGAAGCCGGACCTTCGAAGCGGGGTGATGTCTCGGAGAGGGAGGACGTCAAAGTCCATGTACAGCCCGCCGAATTCGTAGACGGCGTCCATGCGCACGAAGTCCGACTTGTGTTGGATCTCTACGATCTTCTTGCCGTTGCCGGTAGCCACCGTGGGAGCGCGTACGTGGCGTACCTTGACCGACTTCAGGCTGAGTATACGCCTGGTCCATTTGTCCCTGGGGTTGTCACTCTGGAGGACCTTTTCGATCGCCTCTTCCGAGAAGTCCGTGTGCAAAAAGATGGTCTTGGGTTTGAGGTAGACCACGGACGAGTACACCGAGAGGAAGTGCTTGAACTCGAAATGGAATTTGGCCCGCTCGTGCTTCTGCAGTTGCACGTAGTGCACGTAGTTGGGGATTTCGTTATTCAGGCTGACGGATATAGGCGACGAAGGGAGCATATCAGCATGTTGTTGGATGCTGTCGGGGAGATGGCTGTGGGTGTTGAAGAGGAGGACGGCGGCGACCGCAGCGAGCAACAGAGCCAGATATGCCTTCTTCCGTAGCCGAAAGCTCTGTAACGGCTGTGAAGCAAATTCGGCCTTGTCCATGATGGCGTTGTCTGCGTTGGAACTGAGATGGGCCGGTGTAAATATGCTTCCAGAGACCAGGCCTTGTTCGAAGGGTAGGTGACGAGCAGGGAGTTTCTTCAAGGTAGGGGCAGCTTATAACAGGCCTTGGACATACATTCCCCTGATAACGCGACTCACCTGCCATCTGGTACGTACCTGAAGGTTGACAGGTCTGGATACCAGGTACGTTAAGACAACATACCGAACAGTCCACTTTCCACCCGCCTGTCACTGACGTGTTTTGGCCACTTACCCACCGAAAGGTACTCGATCGTCCATCCCTACACAAGCAGGACTGGCAGTTACAGAGCGCAAGCCGGAACGCGTAGGCAACGGGGGAAGAAAGAAAGAGCAGTTGTTGCTGTGCGGTCAGTGCAGCAATCCACCGAGTTAGCCTCCGAGGGACGTGGAAAAGGACAATGGCTGGGCACACTTCTAGATAGGCTTTGGGGCTGTTTACCTGCAGCACAACTTACAGAGAACTGTACCGCCAGAGGTCCGGGGTGAGCACGTAGCGGCCGAGAGGGAGGGAGATGTTTCTAGCCAGTAAGGAGTTCGTCTCTAGCAGGGAGATGTTTCTGGTCGGAAATGGGTTCCTACTGAACTTCCCCTTTCTCTCCTCGTGGCCGGATGCTCAAAAGCACCAACCAACAGTCGCTAAAGACGGCCCACCCCGACCACCCACGCACGACCCTTAATGTGACCATCACCCACGTCAGTCAGCCTTAACGTTCATGTCACTTAAGATGAGAAGATGCGCGTCCTCTTCCGGTTTCGCCAGCAAGCACATTACGCTCGCCGTCGGTCCTGCAGAGAAGTAGAGGGTCGAGCTTTTCTGTCACAGTGTAGTGGTCAGGAAATGCCAGAAAATGCCAGAAAATGCCAGAAAATGACAGGAACTGGACAGTGCTTCCGCCAAGTTCAAGGGAAAATTATCATGTCATTAAGCGTTATTCTAAAAGTCAGAGATACATATCTATGCTTTAGGGATCTCAAACAAAATACATTTCGCTCAGAAAAGATTTCGCGGTCATTCTCGTCACTTTTTGGAAACGGTAGCATAAGCATATGCACTTCCCAGAGTCATTACCACGCCGATCAGATCGACCATGGACAAAGCGCGATTCTCATGATACCAACTTAGGCCAACAATGGCCAGTGTTTTCAACTGACTGATGACGTTGAATGTCAATGCTGATGTGCGCCCAATGACCAGGAATTGAGAGACGTTGAGTAGTGCCGCAATGAAGCCCGACACAACCAAGGCGTTGATGCTGCGCATGTTCAGTTCTTGGACAACTGGAGCCTTGTCGACAAAGCCGCAAAGTAGTAACAGTAGACCGCAAGCAACGGGTGCTTGATTGAGCAAGAGTTGTGGCGGAGAGACCTTGAGGTCGACCAACTTCTTCCCGATCCAGATCTGATAGAGTGCCGTGATGGTGAACGCCGCTACGGCAATGCAGGTGCCCAAGACATTCGAAAAGATGGAGGCTGATGTGATGAGGCCAACCCCAAAGCACAAAGTTGCAATTGATATCAAGGTCGCCGCGGAGACAGTCTTGCCCAGGAGGACGTAGTTGAGCAAGACCACCGTCGGAGTCGTCATAATTTTAGCCAGTTGGTAGAAGCTCACGCTGTTGAATGTGAGGGAGAGATTTCCCAGGATTAAGAACCCTGCAAAGAATGCTGCAACCGAGAAGACTTGCTTGAACGGCAGGAAGACCACCGGAAACATCTTCAGCAGTCGCCCAGCGACATAGAGCACCACAAATGAGATGAAGAAGTGGTACGCCGCAATTGATATCTGGCAATGTCGAAGCTGTTCGTCACTCAGCACGCTGGGTAAATCTCGAGTTAGTGAATTCATCGCTAGCCTCAAAGAACAACATACATCTTGTTGACGAAGACGATAGCAATGGTCGAAGCCACGTTGAGGAAGACGCATGAATAATCGACCAACGCCTGTCTGATTGGAATGTGTGGTGTTGTCTCGGCTCCGGTCTCGTCGAGCCACATTGGCTTTTCGCTGAACTGTGCCGCCGTCTTGTCCAAGGGCTGCAAGTTGTCCAGAGAGATCAATCCAGCCTCCTCGTCCTTATGTCCCATGACGAGAGCCGGACTGTTGCCTGGCAGCGTCGGCGAGGAGCTGGTCGAAGACATGTTGTTGGCGAAACAGAAAACTCAGGACCGTGGACAAGCGTAAGTTACCTTATGCCAGTCGTATGGTGGCTGGAGACTGAAGAGTTGAGTCGCGAACGGCCCCTTGCTTTTCTTATACGGTCTGAAGTGTGTCAACATACCGAGATCTCTGGAGGCAGGGGGGATGCTGGGTCATGGAGGTGGCCATGGCTTTGATGGCTACCCTGGAATGACAAGAGACGACCTCCCTTCTGATGTGGCTGATCCTATCCGTGCTGACGCGCAAGCCTTATTTTGGCAGGGTCTCATTGCTTGTCGCATCTCCATAGGATGAAACACCAAAGAAGTCTGTTTTCCTTCCAAAAGCCTGATGGTCGAAAAAAAGACAGTTTGTGACAAGCAGCTCCGTCAGGCTGGGATTGTCAACAGCAGCCTTCTGTCCTGCCGATTGTACCGGTGCTCGGACTTCTGAAGCCAAACTAAAAGTGAACACGAACGCTTTGATACACGCTTTGATAGCTCCACCGAGAACGATTCTCCCGGGAATCGTCTTTTAGTTGTCGGGTACGACCGCGCTTCGATAGCCCTGCAGTGGATGATTGACCAGGCCTCACAACCTGTGGCCAGGCCAGGCGCACATGAATAGCAAGAGTGACAGGTCTTCATCGAGGCTCAAGGCTCTCGTTGCCACGAAGTGGCTCCAAAATCAGGTGGTGTCGGTCAAAACACTGCAAATGAAGTTTTCATAGAAATGCCCACGAAGGAAAGGAAACCCCTATTGAGAAATCTTGATCCAGGCGAAAGATGTCTGTCCACCTACTGTAGGCGTTGCAAAGGATTCCAGGCCTAGCGCAGAGGCACCTTGGGAGGAGTGCGAGCTAAAAGACGCATTTGACGTGAGCCGTCTAGACGCACTGATGGTTGGTGGGGGCTTTTAAAGGGGCGAGCTTGGTAAGGTCCAGGGGCAGCACTGACGCCGACGCCACCGACTTTCCGTTAACTAACTTACGACACGGAGTACGCGTTACAACATGGGATCGTCAATGAACCTCGCCTGGTACCTGTTGTCCCAGTAGCACGACCACCCAGCCCAAAGTTCTCAGTCCTTAATGAAGGCATGCACCACAAGGTGCTCATTTTCATGGGCGGATGCTGACATCTCCAACAACGCGGCGGTCGGAGAGCCTTGAATTGAAGGCTGGTCGACCTGAGCGGTGCAGACTGACGATGCGTCTTCAATACACGCTGCCAATCCCCGTGGGGACACTCTGGTGTCCTTGGAGGAGCAAATGTTGTCCCCTTCACAAAAGCTAGTCGAAGCACACCCAGTAAGGTGAACCCATGCAGGTAGGAAAAGCCCCACGAAAAGGCCACCAGGTTGGGAGTTTGAGCGCCGACCGCACGTTTCGATAATGCCTAGTCAATTGTGACCATTGTTAACTACAACAGCCAATGTCGGAGAGGGGACTAACTTAGGTCGCATGTTCAGGGCTGATACACGAGCAGAATGCCTGAGACTCTCGCCCGGAACCCTGGCGACTCCCGCTGGAATTTCTTATCGAGGCCTTCTTCGGCAGTTTACACATCTATCGGCTAGTTCCTTTTAGACAGGTAGGAGACGGACCGGGGTTCAACGTCTGGAGACGAGCATTCCACTAGCTCTGCAGCTGACAAAAGCACGCTCGAAACATTCATACTCTCTTCGGTGTGATTGTGGCTATCATAGAGCGCGAGAACTCACCTCGTACCTGACATTGGAAGTCCATTGGTCTAACATCCCGGCAAAGCGAGCGAGAGTGACATCGAAATGACACAACCAACGACCAAGATCGAGGGATTGCCAGAGTTAAGTCGTCATATTACAACTCACAACCTGGAGGGCAAGGCCATCTTCCAAACGCCAAATCCTGACGATCTATCCACGTCGGCGTCGACACCGGCACCTCCGATATCGACAATACCGACGTGGACCAACTTTCCCACGGGAGGCTTCGGTCTAGGTTATGCGACCGAAGCTCTCCAGGCGGATTTCAATCAGAATGCGGATCTCGCCACATACTACAAATACTTGCACCAACACCCGGGGGTAGTGATTCAGGGCGGGTCGGTATTCAGGGTGGTTGACATGGCACCTGGTTCATCGTCGCCAATGCACCGCACTGTGTCTCTCGACTACGGCGTCGTGCTGGAGGGCGAAGTCGAGCTGGAGCTGGACTCAGGCGAGAGACGCCGCCTTCCTCGCGGGGACATTTTCGTCCAGCGGGGCACGGCGCATCGGTGGCACAATACCAGTGACCAGCCAGCCAGGCTGTTGGCCGTGCAACTGGACAGCAAGCCCATTGTCGTTGATGGAAAGGGAGTTCTGTCTGAGGACTTCAATGTTCCCGCGGCCGCATAGGAACATTATCCCCCCAGACATCCGTACCCAGGAGTTGCAGGAGCTCCTCGTACGAGTGCGAGGACTATCAGTCTCTCGCCGGGATAGAGGGGGCATAAGTAGTCATTCGGGGGTTAAGTGGGTACAGAAAACCCCCCCTCGAGAGGGCGCGGACAATTGCCGGCGTAGTTATCAACCCGAGTAGGAAGCTATGTGAACTTGTCTTCAACAAGCGGCTTGCAATGGCCCCTCCACCTCATCATCATTGATCTAATTCTCCTTCCTCAATGAGCACGTCATTCGCCCTCTTGACCACCGCTGCCCCTCCATATGATCTAAAATGCCAGCAACCTAGTACAGTTTCTCGCTGCTTCTGCACATTTCAGCTCTCGATCTTTTCTACAATTGATGCAATCATTGCTCATACCTAGGAGGACCATCTACAACTCGCTCTCTCGCACCACAAGACTTCGATCTGCTTCCCGTAGAATTATTTCAGACAACATGGCTGTTCGATCCGCTTTCGACCCCAAGGACATGGTGAGCGAACACCGAGGAGCAAGGAAACGCCCGACGGTACTCACTAACCCTGCATGCTCCAGGTCTTTCGACACCTAGGTCCAACTGGTTTGAAAGTGTCTGTTCTCTCGCTCGGTAAGCTCGGATCGGCCTCTGCTTAATAATGGAAAACCTCGTTGACCGTCTGGAATAGGTGGTTGGTTGACCTACGGAGGGACTCAGAAGGGAAACATCGTGAAGGAGTGAGTCGCCTTCATGTCGTTGGTGAGATGACTCGCTTAACACTTTTCTCAATACAGATGCATGCAAACCGCCTGGGACCATGGCATCAACTTCTTCGACACTGCTGAGGTTAGTAGAGAAGCCACATGCCGAGGACAATCCGTCACTCATCACAGAATGCTCTTGCTGACACCACCTTCAGGTCTACGCCAATGGCCAGTCCGAGATTGAAATGGGCAACGCGCTGAAGGAGCTCAACTGGCCTCGTGATGAATACGTCCTGTCCACCAAGATCTTCTTCGGCACTGGTCGCAAGGAGCCCAACACTCGTGGTCTTTCCCGGAAGCACGTTGTCGAAGGGCTCAAGTCGTCCCTAGAGCGTCTCCAACAACCCTATGTCGACATTGTCCTGGCTCATCGTCCGGATTACGCCACGCCGATGAAGGAGATCGTCGAAGGCTTCACCCAGGTCATCTGCAACCTCAACCTCGCGTACTACTGGGGAACCTCTGAGTGGTCGGCGGCCCAGATCACCGAGGCCACCCTCATCGCGGAGAAGTACAATCTGATTGCTCCGATTGCCGAACAGCCACAGTACAACGCCTTCCATCGTGAGCGCTTCGAGGTCGAATACGCCCCACTGTTCAAAGAGTACAAGTATGGTACGACCATCTGGTCTCCGCTTGCTTCTGGTCTCTTGACCGGCAAGTACAATGACGGCATTCCCAAGGGATCGCGATTTGATAACCACAAAGACTTCTTCGGCAGCACGATCGAGGCCCTCCAGAAACCCGAGGGCCAGGCCAAGATCGAGAAGGTCAAGAAACTCACCAAGATTGCCGAGCGTCTGGGTGGGAACATGTCGCAACTCGCGCTCGCGTGGGCCGCAAAGAACGAGAACGTCAGCACTGTCATCCTGGGTGCGACAAAGGTGGAACAGATCATCGACAACTGCAAGGCCATCAAGCTGTTGGAGAAGCTCGACGACAAGACCATGCAGGAGATTGAAGAGATCCTTGACAACAAGCCCTCTCCGCCAGCTAACTTTGGACGGTCGAGATAGGCGCAATCCGTTCTGTCTCGCATCAGACATGGTTGATACCAACAGAGGCCGCTCCGAGCTGGTAAGTTCGTGCAGCGCACAAAAGTAGCTAGAAAAACCGGCCATAGAGGTTCGAAATTTTATCAATCTTTCGATCAATGAGTCCAGGCTCTCAATACTTCCCCTTTGATTCAGGACACACCTTAAATTCACTGATATGCCAGAGTTACAGGCTGATTGATGTTACAGTCACTTGGATTCATTGGTTTCCCACCCTTCCCACTGATTGTTGTTGCGGAACGGTTCATCATGACATTCATCTAAACCACGATTCACTCTCACTCTTCCTTCACTCGCTCACTCACTCACTCACTTACAGCAACTGAAGTGGTGTCACCTAGCAACCAACACCAACAGCTTACGTTGCCATTTCGGATCCATACGCTTGATCATACCAAACATAACTGCATATACGGAGACCACAGGCCTCATTGTGAGAATGCGAGAATGCGACACGACCACAATATCCCACTCACTTTATCCTCGTCCGAGTATATAACTAAGTACCTTCCAGTGGCAGCCTTCACTCATATGAGCCATCAACTTCTCATCTCTGCGTGTTTCCGAAGCATCAAGAAGCATGCCGGTTTTTGAAATATCAGCAGACTCTCCTGTCCGAGGAGCCCCGGAAGGCTCAGACAGCGGCGACCTCGTTGACAAACTCCAGGACGTGCCCCGTGCGATGGCATATTACGATGCACCGCGGTTTTCACTGCCGTCATCGCAGCTCCGACTAAGATTGGCGAGGAGATTGCAAGCGAAGCGTCCTAGGCGCAATAACACCGCTGCTGCTCATCACCACGCCAGTGATGATCCGGCGGATCAGTCGACAGTGGACAGGGCGACACCAGCAGTAGCACCCCTAGATTCGTCATCGCCATTGCCATCGTCAATACATTCAAAGGTGAGGCGACAAAGATTGGTCAAACGTAGCCATAGCCTTTACAGTCGACCCGGGGAGAGCCAAAGATCCGAGGCCGAGATCGAGACCGAAACCGACCTCGTGGATGCCGCAGCAGCTCACAGTATCTCCGACAAACGGATCTTCGTACGCACCGAGATAACCATCTCTGAGTCTCTGGAGCTCGACTTGGCTCCCGACCGGAGTCACATCCCGCGGCTGGTAACGCGCATAAGCGGACCAGAAGTCGGCAACGCTGTCTCAGGTTCCCGTTTGTCGTCTGGGGAGCCAATCTCCGAACCTCATCCAAGTCCTACGGCCTTCGTGGAGAGCATCTCACGGCAGTTCAACGACGGTGGGCCCTCTCGACCGTCGTCTTCGCCGTCATCGTCCTCGCAAACACCCTCTGCCGATGATGAGACAGGAGGATCTGGTCGTGGCGCAGCGGTTCTTGGTGTGAGAACGCCAACGACAACGTCGACGAGGCGCTGGACCAAGCGACGGTGGTCGATCGCGTCACAACCGACTTTGTCCTCGTCAACTGCTACCACGCGTTGCTCGTCGAGACATCGGGAGAACGAGGGGTCGTCATCGTCATTATCGCCAACACCTGCTCCCTCCGCATCCCGCCTTGGAAGTGAAGTCGCCGGAACCACTGACGAGGAACACGCGACGCAAAGCAAACCAGGAACTAGAACCCGGTTTAGATTTCGCATTCCGGACTTTCTCCGTCCGCTGGACGAACCTCTGCCTCCTACCCGGACATACGACCTTGTGTTGCGACGTGATCTCTTCTCCCGAGCCCAGCCAGGCAACGAGGTCCCTCTGACCACCGTCCAGAATGGGTCGAGAAAGGCCCAGGCCAAGGCTGTTAGGGCATCGGAAGCAGGTCTTGCTCGCTCGGGCAGCTGTCCTGTTTTGCCGCCATTCACATAAAGAGTCTGTCTGTCCGTCTGGCTGTCTGTACAGCGGTCACGACGGGCAGTGGCACTTGGGACTGGCACTTGGCACTGGTAGCAGTATGTATGTACCGTAGTTGGCGGTCTTGTACAGGATTCCACAAGTCCCTCTATCGAGTACAGCCAGTGCCGTTGAGAGATTGGGGTTACAATAGGGCGCGTGGTGAAAGAACCTGGGGGGGGAATGGAGGATATCATGACATGATGTGATGAGTTCCGCGCTCCTCCAGCCTATGCGCTTGGTGGGTTGGAAGCTCTACGCCAACTAGCCGACCTGCCTATATAGTTAGGCCGTGGCCCTCTTTTTTGGTTTGACATTTCGCATTTCGCATTTCGCATTCTGGCATTGGTTCTGGCGCTTTGAGCTCCCAACCACACAACAAGGATCGATCAAGTTTGGGGATATGGATGGATTATCCACTGGGAAGCAATTTTGACTTGGATACAGCTAAAAGGATCAAGTCACTTTCTTTTAGATGCCTAAGGCCAGTCATACCATAATGTGCTGGCGGCACACTTGGTTCGTTAGTTAGCTAGCTGGAGATATGTGTGTGGAGAAGATATGCACCTGACATCTCGGATGCCTTTGTTGATACATAACTGCCGTTATTCACCCGGTAGTTGACGACCAAAAGTGCAACTCGCCAACATGGCTTTTACCTACACGACAGGGTGGTTGCGCAATCTCCAAGTAAAGGTTTGATGCAATCTCCCATTGATGAAGGACCAATCTGTCCCTGCTTCCCGTCACAGATATCTAGCTAGGCACACCTGGCAGATCGATCTCCGTAGCAAGCTGTACAACTCGGGTCGCGAGTCCTTATTTCCCCTGGATCGGAATTCACATTTCCAATGGACTTCAAGAATCTCCACTGATACTTATGGATGTGGAAGCACCAATGTCTTTCGGACACTGTACCCTGCCCTCCAAGCATGCCTGCCTATTCACTACCAGACCTGCTTGATGAAATCGTCCACGTCCTGCAGAAGAGTCTCCGGCTGCTCCATGGCAGCAAAGTGACCGCCCTAAGAATCACAAATGCAATGTCAGTCAACCTTTGCTTGACACCCTCGTCGGCACCACAATCAATCGCACTTGCCGTGACCCACCCGAGGCCAGTGACTACAGCTGACGGGCAACGGGATAATAGTCATGCCCTGTGCACAGCTTACTTACCTTGTCGTGGTTTCTGAACCAGACCAAGTTCCCCGTGGTGGCAGCCCAACTTCTCGGAGTCGGAGCGATCTCTTTCGGAAACCAGGAGAACCCCATGGGCTTGCGACAGTAGTATTCTGGGTTCGCGTGGTTCATATAGCGATCAGGCCCCTTGTTGTAGACCTGTGCGTATGCTTCGTCGTCCCATTTCACAGGGGCGTGGACGACTTCCTGGCGGTAAGGGTAGAGACATCGTGGAAACGTGTCGGTGAGCCAGTACAGCGTGGCGGACGCGAGGATGTCGTCTATCGATGGAGTTGTGTCGGTCCAAGTAAGGAACTTTTCTCCGATCCTGTCGATAGTGGTCGAATTAGGAATGCGTCTCCCGAGCAGCCTCGAGGAGGTTTGGATACCTAAGATCGGTGGACGAGTGCAGGGCTGCGGGTGAGTGTAGACTTACCACGCGAGGAGAGCCAGCGGGCTGGAGGACAGAGTGAAGCCGATTGTTGCGGTGCGTGTGGCATGCTCAAGAGCGTACGCGGAGCCAAATTTGGCGAATTGATCCCCCGTTTCGAGACCTCTCTTTTCAAACTCTTCAAGCGGGAGATTGCCGTGGATGGCTGGGTCTGGGTGCTTGACTATACAAAAGTTGACTGCCTACTGTTAGAATTTTGCACCCGGGAAACAGGGCGCTTTCACTGTCGGGAAATTTGCGTTCAGCTAAAGAGGGGAGGAGTGTCTTACGATGTAGCGCTGTTGAGGCCTGGGTCAGTAAGTTTGATACTTCCGAAACGGGACCTTGATCCAGGCTACACGAACCTTTGCATGAGTCGTACAAGGCACACATGATCCTTGCAGTATAGCTCCCTATGTCTCCACCTTGGAGAACATAGCCTCCCTCGAAACCGAGTCCACACATGAGCTTGTGCAGGAGTCGGGCTGAATCTTCCAGAGTCCAGTCTCTGTCCACCGGCGGAGTCGACGAGAAGGCGTATCCCGGGAGGGAAGGCACAATGACGTGGTAGGGGAGCTCATCGGGAGCATATCGTTCGCGAAGAAGGGACAAGATGCCGAGAAACTCCATGAAATTTCCTATCGTTCCCCCCAGGTTGGCATGATTGGGTTGACACTGGTTTCCTGGCGTCTTCGAAACGTACCTGGCCATCCATGAAGGAACATGAGGGGAGTGGCCCCAGCTTTCTGTGAAAAGAGCCCAGCAAAATGGATTTGGTGTACAGAGCCATCATCGTCGGGAATCTGTGCGATGAAGTTCGGGAAGGAATTGATGCGCGACTCGACCGAACGCCTGTCCAGGAATATTTTCAGCTCGAACTCGGATCGATTGAAGTCTGGTCGTCAAACAGCAGCCCAGGTTTCACTTACCAGTCGAACGTATTCTGCCAGTGGTCCCTCGTCTTGGACATCCAGTCGTAAGTCACGCCAAACCTGCCATTCGCACCGGTGTTCTCGTACGTCCTTGGGCCAAGTTTAGATAGGCGCAAGAGGTCATAAAAGGCCTTGAGGTCGGCTTCGGGCACTTTGACTGTGAATGGAGACACTTTGATGGAAGGTTTGTGTGGGAATATATGGTTGTCGGACATTTTGTACACCTACTGTGGGAATCAATTGTCGTGGATCACCCAACACTATTACCACGACTTTGTGGGTTTAAGTATTATTTATATCTCGCATGTAGGCATACTGTTGAGGAGCCGGTGGCACATTATGTAATCTGGTATACGCGGTACGATGTCGTATATATTTCTGAGAGCCTAGGTTTTGTATAACGGACCAATGCGATCGGAGAAGATCTCGCCCCTGTTGCTGCAGCTCGCGTTCTGCGGGTAAAGTAGACAACGTTGCCGAATCGTGGGCATGTTCCTGGTTGCGTTGATCGAACTGCGATATTATAAATCGTACCGTCGGGGTTCCGAGCCTCATTAGGCCCAGATCATCACACGGGCCAAGTCACGCCGAGTGGTGCATTTAGCTCGAGGCAAGGGTTTGAACTAATACCTCGACTCGCCTCGCCTCGCATTTGCTTCACGAAAGACGGAGTTCGTAGCGCTGGTAGTCCAAGCTCGTCGCGATTTGGACCCAGCAGCCTGGCGAGCATAAGTGGAAGCGAAAACAATAAGCACAATTCCCAAAAGAGAGATCATTCGTCATTCGTCTGGCTCGCATCACAGGAGAGCACGGGATCTGCCTACACCCTCACACTCTCACCCTTGAATGCTCATTTCTTCCTCATACGCTGATTGTCTTGAACACTCCAAGACCACTTCCTCCGGTGACCATAACCGTGCCAGGCATTTGCGGGTGCCAGTGGAGTTCTTTCCCATCTTCGACATGATGGATAAAGAGCAACTGAGGAGGCACCTTTTCGGCGCCTTCTCCCAGTCCTAACCCTGCCTCTCTGCCGTATTCCTCGTCATCCAGTTCAACAGCAAGGTCCCACAAAGTCGCCGTGTTGTCTGCACAGGCCACCGCAACCACGCTGTCGTCCGTGGGGTGCCATTCGATTGAAGTAATTGGCTTCTTGTGGAAGTTGAAATCGGCCACAGGGCTCGGCTTGAGCTGTGGGCTTCCAGATGACTGCGGTTTCCACTGCCTCAGATCCCAAACGGCCCACTGACCGTCATCAGCGCCTGTAGCAAGTAAATGAAAAGTCTGTCGTGACCAAGACATGACGTTGACGTCGGTATTGCTGATCTTGACATCTACAGCGGGTTTTCGACTCTTACTCCGGGCATCCCAGACTTTGACTGTGCCGTCCGAACTGGCGGACGCGAAGACGAATTTCTCGTTTGGCGACCATTGGAGTTCCTCGACTGAACCTGCATGTCCTACGAATGGGCGGTCGTCGGTGGCCCAACCACCGCCCTGGGTCCGCTGCGTGCTGAAGATCTTTCCCGCGTTGTCACCGGTCAAAAGTCGCCCATTGGGATGTAAAGAGCTCGGTGCCCAGTCGAGAGCATAGCCTTCTGTCTTGTGCATGCGTAGGGTACTGAGAGGTTTGGATGCATTTGGGGCGATCGTCGAGCCTGGATTCGACAGAGACTGCAAGTATGGTGTGATGTCGTGTATCAGAATCTGGCCATTCTCGAGTGACGTCGCTGTAAGCGTCTGTGGCATCTGAGTCAGGTCGGGGGATTCGTTCGCAGGCTGAAAACTTCGTATCCTGTTGGTTGTGCTAGGTAGAGGAATGGATCGCGACTCAAGCACTGGATCTGAGGTGACCTCGTCATCCGAATCGTCGTCGTCATCTTCAGAATCCGATGCGTTTCCTCTGTCCATCTTTGCCAGACTGCTCAATCTCAGTATGTATAACTCGTTCTCCTTGGCTCTTGAAGACTCGGCTTGTGTGCCTGCAACTGCGTATACTGTTCGTGGATATTGCTTCCTTTGATCTCCCAGGTTGTCCTTTACGACATCAAAGGATAGACAAGGCCAGGTCGTGGACAGGGTATGAAGCATTTCGTAGGTGGAAGGGTCGGGGCTCAAAGTCATTCCTGGCTGCAATATTGACCGGCCTGGTATGAAGGTCTCCTCGGTTGTGTCCACATCCATGGCATCTTGCGACTGTTCTGCTTCTCTTTCTGCATCTGGCCGACCATCCACACCGGCTTCCATGATTTCGTCCTCCGATTCGAATTCATCTTCGAATTCATCCTCAAAGTCCAGAGCTGGCTCGCCATTGGCATCTGCTTCGGGCCGCTGACCCGCTTTGAGAGATTCCAGGGTTCCCTGGTCGTCTACCGTTCTTTTGGACATGGTGGGGGTCGCGTTCTTGGAGGGTCTGAGGGAGGAGGGATGTACGGCGTGTGAAATGTGTAGCGCAGAGGAATTAATTCTCTCTGCCCTCCCAAATTTCTTTTCTCTTATCTTATCTGAACGTGATCTCCGTAAATGGTTAGCGCTGGCTACTGACTTGGTTGGCGGCAATGGCGGACACGTGACAGCAATGTATACGACGAGGGCCGTGATCCCTGCACACGTTTATTTAAGCACACCATTGTTTGTCAATACATTCATTCATTCCACATCTGGCTTCAAAGGTTCTCCTAAGGTAACAGGTAAAACGCACACACCACCATTTGGGTAGCGTCCATTCTAGGCACCCCTAACTTCGCGATTCATGCCTACTGGGTGCGTATTCCTTACCTAGAGTACAGATAGACGTCTGGTGTAGAGACAATCATAGCATCACTGTGAAATCATCACAACCACAGTGAGTTGTCTAAATTATAGGTGTGAGTGACCTTAATCATAAATGTACTTAAAGTGACCTAAATTCTAGGTGGGAGTTGCCTAAATTATAGGCGTGAGTGGCTGTGTCTTAGGGCTGTGCAAGTGAAAATTGTTCCCGATTGGGGAGGCTACCCGAGTGTGTGCGTTTTACTCACCTCTGTGTGCGTTTTACCTGTTACATTCCACTAACAACCCATTTTCGTATAGATATGAAGAGTTATTGACACTCTGTTTGCAAGGTGGTTTTCGCCTCTGCGCGCCACCAGAAAGACCTCGGTTCTGAGTCCATACTTGTCCCTCGAAAGACTTATCGTTGTCGTCGTTGGTTCTCAAGCAGAGAGGCTGGTGGTATCTTAGGATATTTGTGACTGGGGTTTATGCGAAGTCCAAGGCCACTACAGCCCGTCCGTTGAGGCGCACCTGAGGCCCAAAAACATTCAGGTCGCCTGCTAGCAACCCAAGGCAAAACTCATACACGAAAATGTTTGGGAGGATTTCGGATGCTGCCATGTCAATGTTTCCGAGCGAGGTAGCTAGATCTGCAGGCTGGTTGTTCTGACCGTTATAAATATTTAAACCTGGGGTGTCGTTTTGCCGCGCTGGCTCACAAGCGGCGTAGCTGCAGCTGTGCTTAGGTCGTTCATATGTCCAGAGATTAAATGCTCCTTTCGTCTGAGCCTCCTCTGTCACATTCTTTAGCTTGCGTCAACAATGTCGCCATTTTCTGCATTCTGACGATCCATTCTTCTTATCGATGATGGCAGAAGTCGCTGGTGGCTTGCGGGTAGAATACAGGAATCGGAGAGTCTGGTTGATGCGGAAAAAGGGCGTCAAATCCTTTCTCGGGAGGGTTTCATATACTTTGTTAGTCTCCATGTGTCGATTATGTATTCAGATAATCATGAGCTAAACTGTATACGGAGATTTTAGTGATCCGGTTCTAACTTCAGAAATGTCCAAAATTCATCTTACTTCCCAGTTTTCTTCCCGAGCTTTTAAATTTGCCATGTGACTCCGTCAATAACTACGAGTAATTTATATCTCCCACTTCCTCCGAGAACCAAAGATGAGATGAATGAGTTGTTCCCTCTCGACTACCTCCGCCAGCCCCTCGAGCAGGAACTTGTTTCAACGTATTACGCGGGACGGGCCCACCACTTCTAGTGAATTGCAGACCAGCATTCAACGGCTATCTCAAAGTGCGAAATTATCCTTCTAGCGTTACTATAATAGACTTGAACGGGAGGTATATGGACTAGTCCTCGTCGGAGGACCTCTCACCCATATCTGAGAGGATCGTGGAATTTTTATTCTTGCGGCTGGCGCGCCCATTCGTCTTCTCTGCTTCCACAGAGACAAACAGAAGGGGCATCTTCATCACCGGAGTGGCTGCGAACCGAAGAGAATGACGGGCGAGTGTTGGTCGTGTGGGGCGTGGTGGAGGAGTAATTATTCTTGTCATCGTCGATTTTGTTGGTGTAGATATATATTGAACTTCATCGTCTTCTTTCTCTTCGTTGGTGGCGGCGATAGCGATAGCGACGACGACACGCCCTTGTTAAGTTGTAAAAGTGACTCAGACTTTGAGCCACCAAGGGGCATCATCAGTTCTGGTGATGATGACGAAGACGGTAGTCACCATTCTTCCACGGTGCTCTCCAGTGGTGGTTGTGGTTGCAGAGAGGGATGCTGTTGTTATTAATTTCGGTCAGTTTGATATGAGTGGCAGAGCGACTCACCTTCAGCCTCCCAGAGTTAGAGAGGCACTCTCCAGCCCAAGCCATTCCTATCGGTTTAGTTCCCCATCCAGTCGCTATGCTGTGTTAGCTAATATATTGTGTACAGTGAAACGTCAAGTTACTCGCCGAGCCAGCGTCGACTCTGACTTGCAAGTGACAATCAAGCTCTCACAGCTTCAGAAGTACTGCAGAGATACTAACGCAGTCCACAGAATTACGTCAACGCTACTGCTTCCGATCTCGTTCTGCGGGAGATGGAAATCACTTCGCCTTGAGCATCTCAATGCAACAGCGGAGGAGTTTCAATGGGGGATATCAATAACGAGCTTTACGATGAGTCTGTCGGTACAAGGGTCTGTCAGTAACCCTCTCTGGGCAGAAAAGGCGAGCTGCGAGACTCGAGCGCGTAATGCTTACGCTTGGCCCACACATTGTTTGACTCCAAGCTCTTGACAAATCCGTTTCTTTTCTTTCCAAGTTCGTGGCTAGGACTTTGAGCTGTTGCGGGCTGAGCAGTGCCATGGCAGTAAACACGCTGTGGATTGATTGTAAACGCATGTCGATAGACTGATCAACGATCCCATGCTTTCGGGAGAATTCGTCGGCTTTTGAGCTCGAACATCGCAATGACCGGTCGGGGTTTTTCTATCGTGCGGCTGTGATCCAAAAGCCCTCCGGAGGAGTACTGATTGTCGTTGCAACCAATTACGCTCAGTGGATTTACCGTTCAGATATGATGATTACAGTCCACCCTTCTGCGATCTAGAGCAGTCGAGATTGGCAGACGCAACAGTGGAGGAAGATAGCTTTCGTATAGTGATCACTTGGCTTCGGCACGAAGAACTCAGACTGCCGTCTGTCGAGTGCAAATCCAGTCAAGATGATACGGCAGGCCCGTCGACGCATAGTCTCATCAGTTTTCTATACTGTCTGCCAAGTCGTTATTCCCGGTTCCGCGCCGACCATCTATTCTGATTGGTGAAGTAACTAGTATGTCAGTGGTGTTCTCCACTTGGCGGCCCCGTGTCAGCTAATTAGGAATTGCCTTATCTTGAGATAAGTCTGAGTGATTGATAGTACTCCACGGTTGTAGAAGTTCCCCAGATTTCCCTTGGGTTTCCACACCTCGTTGCGTGTCAGTGACGGTTCGACAATCTCATAAGATAACCGAGAGTTTTGGGCTATCTGCTGAAGGGCATACATCACAGAAACAAACTCCCCACTCTCCATGAAGCTGACTATCTTGTAGCAGTGGGTGCGTGCTGAGAGAGAGCTGGAGCTTCTCAAGCTCGCTTTGATTTTATCACTTGATATCAGGATCCGAACAGTGTCGAGCTCCCCTTCACCGTACTAGTCCTGTTCGAGCACTGCCTCGGTGTAACGCATATAATATATATTCGAGGACAACAGTCTCTCCGTACAGGGTTCTATCCCTTATAACGTATGTGCGTGACCTTTGTTTGTCTGCTCTTTTGTCTACATCTTCAACTGCCCCAGCGCGAAGGTAAAGACCATCTTACCATCTTACCATCATGGACCGAAGCGAAGCCGAGAAAGGGCGGGATGTCATCGAAGCGCGCAGTGCAGCTCCGAGTCAAGACGTTGGCCACGGAAGTTTGTCAGAGAAATATGAGGTCGACACCCTCCACAATGACGAGGCCATGAAGGTGCTGGCCACGTACCAAGGCAACCCGGCTTGGGACACCCAGGAGGAAAAGAAGGTCAGGATCAAGATCGACAGGCGGCTGCTGCCAATTCTGGCCGTTACGTATGGTCTTCAATATTACGACAAGACGATGATTGGGCAGGCGGTAAGCTCTCCCACGAATTGTCCTTGCCACGAAGGAGACACTCACTTGCGTCGTTTTCTCACAGGCACTCTTCGGGCTTCGAACTGATCTTGGCCTGACGACGGGGAATCGATACTCTATGTCATCGGCCATCTTCTATCTAGGCTTCGTCGGCGGATCGTATCCAGCTGCTCAATTAGCCCAGCGATTCCCCATCGAGAGAGTTGCTGGCGGGCTGGTCCTTCTCTGGGGCATCTGCTTCGTCTTGACAGCTGCGTGTTTCAGCTGGCAGACGTTCTACGTCCAGCGGTTCTTTCTGGGTTTCTTGGAAGCTGGAGTGAGCCCAATCTTCATGCTCGTGGTGGGCCAATTCTACAAAAAGAACGAGCAATCCTTCAGGATGGGGTAAGTTCTTAAAGATGTGATCATACATGCTACTCCTGCCAAAAGAAGCCACCGCTTACTGATTACTCCCCCAAAAAGTGTTTGGTACGCTGCATCAGGCTTCATAACGCTCGTGTCTCCTCTGGTAAACTACGGTCTTGGTCATATCCAAGGTTCGCTATCTCCTTGGAGATATATGTACATTGTGGGCGGACTAATCACAGTCCTATGGTCTGTTGTCATCTACTTCTTTATGCCACCTGATCCGATTCGCGCCAAAGGTTTCGACGAGCGTGAGAGATATATCGCCGTTGCTCGCCTTCGAACCAACAACAGTGGAGTGCGCAACACACACTTCAAAATCCAACATGTCCTGGAACTGTTTCTTGATGAGAAGTTCTGGCTTATATTTGCTCAAGCATACTTGAGCATGATTGCTTCAGGACCGGTCAACACATTTATGCCTATTATCATTTCTGGATTTGGCTTCAACACCCTCAACAGTCTACTGCTAAACATCCCTGCCGGAGCCGCTGGCGCCATACTCATCCTCGGGGCGACGTACACAAGCTACAAATTCCGTAACATGAGGACAATTGCAATTTTTGTCGCTGAGCTCTTTGTTATCATGGCCTCGGTGCTTTTGTGGAAGCTCCCTCGGGATTCAAAAGGCGGCCTCCTCTTCGCGGTGTACATGATGACAGCATACAGTGCTGGATGGGGTGTCATTATGGGATTGTCAATTGCCAACTCGGCTGGGTATACCAAGCGAGTTGTAAGCTCAAGCGCTATTCATGTCGGCTACTGTCTTGGTGAGTCTCAACCACGCTAAGTTAATGTCAGCTGCGACTGCTCTCTGACCTATCTTCTAGGCCAATTTACGGCACCTCTTTTGTTCAAGCCTAAAGATGCTCCGGAGTATGCTCCAGGTTTCATCGCAGTTCTTGTAACTGCCGCGGCATCAGCAGGTCTAAACCTACTCTACCGTTTCGTCTGTGTCTGGCAAAACAAACGGCGAGATCGTGCCGGCATTCTCGAGGCCTTTGATCACGCTTACGAAGATGATGTGACTGATAAAAAGGTATGCGTATAGCAAAAAACATCTTCCTTCTCATACACAGCCCGTAACTTGCGATTTGCTAACTTGGAACCAATATATAGAACCCTCAATTCAGATATGTCTACTAGTCTTGGCTAGCCCGTACCAATCTCTAAGAACAAATCGCCCAACCTGTGGAAGTGACAGTTGCTGGCCCAAGTCACAGGCTGCTAAGTGCGTGTTGGTTTTGCAAACGGCTCTCACGGAGGATCGCGGCTGGTATACTGATTGTTCTTGTTTCGTTTCATCTGCCGTCGTTCAACGTGTCATAGCAATGGGAATGTTGTCTCCACCGCCCACCAGAGGGGCCAGGTCGCATCATGTTCCATAGAATGAATGTATTGTCGTTCGAGAGCAGTTTTATAAACATAGTAAATATGTTGATGCACGAATTTTACCTCCCCCTTCAACCATCTTCACCTGGGACGGGGAGCCTGCTAGTATGAAAGATGAGCCACTTGACCCATTTTGCGGCGGTGAACGACTTGATCCATTGCTGAAACTAATCCACGCTCTCCATCTTTGAAATATGTAAATACTGACCAGAGTGATTCTTGTACATTTCTCGACATCCCCACTACTGTCTTTAATGACGATCACTACGACTGCGGATGTTGTGAACTGACACTTGTCACCCGAGAAGGGACCAGTGCGGCCCAAGAAGTCTTTGCAGTCTGCATATTTACGTCCGGTTTGCGGGATCACAATGGTCCATCCGACTGTATGTAACAGCACATTCCAAAGTCGCCCACGGCGAGTGAAAAGGGTCATTGGTGACGGTGGGCCCTGCTGCAGGGTCGTTCAGTTGTCGAGGCTATGACCTATGGAGTCAAACGCGGCCTGCATCAATATCGACGACCTGAAGTGTGTCAGCTTCCCCCTGTCGCTATACTCGGTGGAGCCTAGCCAAATAGCATACCGACGAGGTAATGAAAGAACTCTTGTCGCTGAGTAGGAAGAGTATAACGTTGGCCATTTCGACAGGATCGGCTAGACGTCCGAGCACGTTGGCTTTTCTCCATTCGTCACGAATGGACTCTGGAACACGGCCGACCATAGGGGTGTCTGTGATACCACTGTGGTCTGCAGTTAGATAGATGCCATGCTCACCACTGGCGGCAGGTAAGTAACCGAGTACCGAGTAAGTACTTACGGTGCAATTGCATTGACTCGAACCCCATGAGGGCCCATCTCCCTTGCAACAGACTTGGTCAGACCACTGACTGCCGCCTTGCTGGCAGAGTAGGCCGCGTTGCCAGGTGATCCAATCCTGGCTCCGATGCTAGAAGCATTGACAATCGAAGCTCCTTTGGGATTCCTGTGCTGTAGTTGGGCGCGTAAAGCGTTTTTAACTCCCCCCAAATTAATCCGGATCACTCTGTCCCAGTCCTCGTCGGTTTCCTGCTCCAGGTTGACTGTTCCTCCCCCAGAGATACCGGCTAGATTGGCACCACCTTGATTGAACAGATTGATCAGCTGCTGTCCGAACAATGAAGCGGTACCTGGTGCTCCATTTGGGTTGACGTACCATCGATTGGGCCAAAGGCATCTACAACAGCCTTGGTAGCTGAGTTGACTTCTTCCGAAGAGCTTACATCCACTTTTATAGCGAGAGCTGAGCCTCCGGAGGCCTTTATTTCGGCCTCGACATCGAATATGCTCGAGTCGATATCGAAAAGCGCGACTTTGGCCTTTTCTGCTCCCAGAAGGAGAGCCGTGGCCCTTCCAATCCCACTTCCCGCCCCGGTCACAATTATGACTTTGTTCGCGACGGACATCTTTCTTCAGCTCTTCACTATGATAGCCTCTGGCCGCGGGACAGGATCTGTTAGGGGCCGGTAGCCATACTTTAAGGAAAGCCGCGGTAATGGCAGGGCCTTGCTTCCCCCACTATTCTAAGCGTGTATTGTGGTATATCGCCAGCATATGGTGTCCTTGCTATCCATCAAAAAGCCGGCGGGCCTAATACCCGGGGACGTGGGTCCTGGTGATAGGCGACGGGTTCGGGGCAATGGTTACAAGGTCCGAAGCCCGAAGCGCCTGATTGTCCGAGAAGTTTTGGCACCACCCTTTAGGCTTCATTAGGCACCCAAAAGGAAGGTCCAGATAAGAAGTCCCAGGGCATCCCCCACCCCTTGAGAACTCTGAGCCCAAAAGGAGCTCATTTGAAGACCCCCCTCGCTACTATTGTTGACCATTGTGAAATATCCTGGAGTTCATATTCGACCCTCTTGTGTATATATCCTGATTTCCCTGGCTTCCAAGATTTCTTGTCCAAGACGGACAAAGATTAGCTATTCCGATCAACATGGCGACGAACGTGACGACCACTGTATCGTCCCCTGTGGACACGGGCAGCACAAAGATTACCATCTATACCATTGGAGCCTTCGTGGCGCTGACCGCCTGGTTGATTCTCAAAGACCGATCTCTGAATCTACCCGATGGGCCTCGGGGCCTTCCCCTGGTGGGCAACATGTTCTCCATGAACGACGGCACGTTACTGCACCTCAAGCTCACCGAATGGTCTCGTCAGTACGGAGACTTTTACTGCTACATGCTTGGTCGAGCGCCTGTTGTTGTGCTTAACAGCCCCCAGACCATCAGCGACCTTTTTGTGAAACGCGGAAACAAGTATTCTTCGAGACCGAGGGTTTCGAACCAGGCGAGCATCATCACGCAAGACGCACGTATTGTGGCGATCCCATACGGAGAGCAGTGGCGGGTAAGTCTGATATTCCCTGCCGGCTTTTGCTTGTCTGCCATTCATAACGCGGCCATATATAGAAACACAGGAAAGCGTTCCACGAGCTTCTCAACATGCAAAACGCAAAGATGTTTCTCCCTTACCAGGAATACGAGAGCAGACGAACGTTGAAGAATTTGCTCGAGGCGCCGACTGGGTTTTGGCGAGAAGTAACCAGATATTCGGCAAGTGTGACTTTCTCCCTGCTGTAAGTGTGTCCGACAAGGCTCCTTCGCGAGAGAACCCATTTGACTAACTACCTATGTGATACCATCAGCCTAGGATGTCGCTTTGATTCTGCCGATACGTTGATCCCCCAAGAGATCAACAAAAGAATGTTGAAAATGTTCAAGGCCATCCGACCAGGGGCCTGGCTTGTTGACTGGCTCCCATTCCTCGACTGTCTCCCCGACGCACTGGCCCCGTGGCGCAAATCCGCCGTCGACCTTCGAACCTCGATCATGCAATTCTTCCTCGTCTTCTACAATGTCATGAAGGAGAGGGTTCGCAACGGAACCGCCCCCGACTGTTTCTTGGCCCGCCTCCTGGAGCAAGAGGGCTCGGTATTTGATGAATCGGAACCGCCCCATATGATTGGAACGACCATGGCAGCCGGGACAGACACCACCGCGACCACTCTTCAGTTCTTTTTCAAGGCGGCTATCCTCTTCCCCGACGCGATCAAAAAGGCACAAGAGGAGATCGATCAAGTTGTGGGACCACACCGCCTTCCAGGCTGGGAAGACCGAAAGAATCTTCCGTACATCGAGGCCGCGATCAATGAGACGCACCGATGGGCCACAGCCACGCCGCTGGCTTTCATCCACGCCACGAGCGAAGCGGACGTGTATCGTGGGAAGGACATTCCCGGCGGTACGATTGTGTACAGCAACATCTACGCCGTGCACAACGACCCCAACGTCTTCGCGAGGCCCGAAGAGTGGATCCCGGAAAGATATCTGCCCGCCTCGGACAACAGAGCAGCCCCCGAAGCGAACCATGCGGGCACACACTACGCTTTCGGAGCGGGTCGTCGAGAGTGCCCTGGTAGGCATGTGGCAGATGCAAGCCTCTACATTGTGATTAGCCGTATGTTGTGGGCGTTTGACATCGTGGGAAATCCAAAGAAGCCGCCCCAGCCGGGTTACTGTAAGTCATCTATAATATATAGAGCGCTCCGACCCTCAGATTGTACGACCGATGAGCTGACCCTCCGTCTCTAGCGGGAGCGTTCCCTGTGTTTGGCCCTGTGGAGTTTGAAGCGACTGTCAAACCACGCAGCGATGCCGCTGCTCGTTTGGTCCGTAATGAAGCAGAAATCAATCGTCCAGCAGACATGGAAGATTCAACGGTCTACGACGACCTTGTTGCTAAATTGCCGCCCTTGCCCTAGTCTGTCAGCCAAGCCACAACTGTAGCTATAGCAAGAACTCCATATAGGAGGATGAGGTAGATATGAATTCCAATCACACCATTAAGGTACTTGATCAATATTTCTATCACCTCGAGCACAAGAGAAGTATTCTATAGCGTGAACTGAGGCAAGAAGTGTAGGTTGGAAGGCCAACTTCCCTTATCATAGAGAGAGAGAGAGAGAGAGAGCTACGTGAACCTACCTTGATTCAGACATGGGCTGATAGACTGAGATTAAGCCTTCCTGGACTCGCAAAAACCCACTTTTGTAGGAAGTCATCGAATCTGATGGTCGTTCTTTAGGCCTGGCTAACGTACTTTTTTTCCCATGCTACTCAGTAGTTCTATGTCATTCGTTCGAAAGTATATGAGTTGGCGCATGAGAACCTTACAAGCTCGAGGTTCTTAGCAATTCCACAGTTCGAGAAACTGTTATGCTTTCCTATAGTCTGCTTCCCACTCCAGTACATTGCAGTTCCCCGAATACGCTTCTGCGAAAACCAGAGCAAGACTTGGCCCTTCTGATACAACTCACATCGACTTCAGGAAAATCTACGCTCCTGGTTCTGTGAGATGTGTAGCCATGTCGGCACCTTCGACCTCCCTTATAGTTCTTCCCATCCCGAAATACGTGAAGCGGTTCGGCGTACAGTAAGTCAAGTGGTAGTCCTCGTATCGAGGCTCCTTGAGAACCTCGTTGAAATGCCAGGTCGAACCTACCGACGGCCCAATGACCGGACCGTCCACTTTTCCGTTTTTAAACCTATAAACCAGCCCGTGTCAGCAGAGGGTCATTCGAAAATCCAAAAGCAGAGACGGCCAAGACTAACCAACTGCGACATGTACTGCTCCACACCATTTCTTCCATGATTGCGTTTCTGTACTCGATGAAGTCTCGCATAGCCTCTTCCGTGGGTTCCATGCTGGACACATTCTCGGTCTGCATCTTCACTATACACTTGAATGCATAGTCAATTTCAGTCTCTACTCCCGAGATCAACGAGCCGTTCGCAATGGGGCTGTTGGGACCGCCAGTGACTACGAGAAAAAGATTTACCCGGTTAGGACACATGGTTGAGTTCCTTCCAAGAATCTGACAAGGACTTACTGAAGTAGTTGGGAAATCCGGGCGCCGCAACAGAAAGATAATGCAGGGGTTCATCTTTCCAATATTCGGACAGATTTCGACCATTTCGACCAATGATTGGGAAAGGAGGACGATGCGAGCAATCGAAGCCCGTGGCACAGACGATGGCATCCAGGTCAAAGTGCCTGCCGTCGATGAGGTCGATACCGGTCTCGGTTACCTTGTCAATTTCACAAGTAACGACGGTGACATTGGGCTCCAGCAGCGACTCGAGGTAGCCCTCACCTGGGGTGAATCTGACAGAGGTTTAGCATGTAAAACAACGCAGCGCCGTCTGCAGCATTTTCTCGAATTTTACCTTCTGCAACCGACATGAAATTTCGGGATCAGTTTTTCACACAACTCTTCGTTGCCATTGAGGCGTTGCCTCATCAACTCTGCATATTTGGCAAACACCTGCTTCTGCATGTCGGAATTCTTGTAGTACAGAGGATAAGTCGCGCTGCCGAAATTCTGCACCTTTTTACGATATTCCAGAAAGTATTTCTTGTCCGTTTTGAATCTGTCCATTTCTTCCCGGGTATATACCGTAGCTCGCCCGTCTGAGGCCAATCCCTGACTGAACTCCGGGGTGATCCAGTTAGGAGACCTGTTGAAGCTCACGACAGACTTGCACACTGTTGACGAATCAGAAAAATGATTGAGCTTGATAGTAGGGCTAAGGCTTACCTTTCTGCATCTTGGGAACGATTTGAATACCAGATGATCCGGCCCCAATCACGGCGACGGTTTTGCCAGTGTAGTCCCAATCGCTGTCCCATCGAGCAGAATGCAGGAGTTTCCCTTTGAAGTCATGCAAGCCTCGAATGTCGGGCCACTTCCAATTACTGTGAAGGAACACTTAGCCACGCATAGAAAGTGAGGGTTGGTGGACCTTTTCCATACTTGAGGACTCCATTGCAGTTGAGAAGCACGTGGCAGAAGTCTTCGATCACGGTGCCCTCTTGGTTCTCAACCTTGACGTGCCAGCCCTTCTCGGACTCGGACCATCGAGCTTCGACGACACGGTGTTGAAGTTTGATGTACTTCATGCAGTTCCACTTTATCGCGCAACTTTTGTAATAGGCAAAGATCTCTGGACGTTCAACGTAGCTAGGGGGTTTCAGGGTCAGAAAACGCTCAGCCCATCTGGAGATAGCTTTCCAATACTCACAATCGGGACCAGTTGGGATTTCCTTCCCACGAATACGTATAACCGTGGGCTGGGATGTCACAAGCGCATCCGGGATATCGATTTTCGTACCAAGTACCCCCAACGTCGTCGTTCTTCTCGTAGATGATGATTTCGACATTCTCAAGATCCCTTTGGTACTTGTATGCCGCTGCAATACCTGAAAGACCGGCGCCTATGCAGATCAACCGTAATTTGCGCTTCGTGTGCAGAGGTTGGTTAAGCAGCACAACTCCACTGGTGCTGACAACGGGTTCTGCTGTCCCATTCGTTCTTGCGAAGCCGTCAAGAACCATTGTGGTGGTTTAATGATGAGATGCACTGTATTGTGAGACTGTACCGTAAAAATCTCTCACTAAACTGAACAAGAGCTTTCTATTTCATTCACGGTCCCGGATATTAATGACTGTCTGATACAACGATACAACGCCAATTCGTGCCCGTGACTCACTACTAAGGATGGGTTAGCAGTCCATCCGCCTTCGTCAGCATATCAACGATATCCGGAACAAGGATGGGGTGCATCAGCACCCGAGACTCCTTGACTCCATCCTCTATTGACTGTCTTGCAAAGGCCGCAGAACTTCTGGCTATCAGGCCAAAGGATGGGGACTGACGGTAGGCGGAATCTGATAGGGAGGTGTATGGGAGCAGAGTACCAAAGCCAGTCGAGAGCATAGGGTCCACCCGAATGCTCTTCGTCCAATGCGGTGCCACGCTCGGGGCGGAGTCGGGATTAAGACTGGCACCTTCTCCACAAACTTCTCCAGGTGGCGAGCCCGCCAGAAGCCATCGAATAGTGAGTGTACAGTGTCAAGTATTGCCAAGTTGGACTCTGCGATAACAATCATCTCCCGAAGAATGGGGCTCCAAGGATCGTAGCAGACCGGGACATTCGAGATTGCTCTCTGGACTGGCGCTCCAGGCGGAGCTGCGGAACCAATTCTCACTAAAAACGAGGCAGAGACTTTCCGACTGCCTTCATTCCACTTTGCTATCTTTACCGAGGAATGTAAGCGGTTGTACGTTATCGCTGATGTGAGGATTCTTGGGAATATCACGGGCTCTGGCATGCCTCTGATTTCCGATACTCCTCGACGAACTTTGGACGATTTCTCCCAGAGGTTCTAGACGCGCCTTTAGTTGGCGTAGTGAGCTAACACAATTCCAATCGGCGAACAAACTGGCACAACCGGAAGCACGAGCAATGACGATAATGTGACAATGAGTGTATCTCTACCTGCCTGCTCTTTTGATTCTAGCTACCTGGCAGCATGACGATTGAGTCAAGTCGATGGTGCCGCTGTCTATGCCACAGCGGCGATAGGCGTTGTCTGTGCTTGAGCATAATCCGGATTTCTACCAAGTAGCCAGCCCATACCTTCAATCTGCTCCCTTCGGAACTTCTCGCTGCCCTTCAAGAATGGAAAGAATGCCCAATGGGCATGTGGGAGACCGGGGTAGAGATAGAACTTGGTCTGGATGCTGTATTCTTCTCGCAGGACACGTTCGTAGATGAGACTATCGTCGCGCAGAGGGTCCATTCCGTCGATTTGGAAAAGTGTACGCGGAAGGTCTTGATGTCCACGAGGGTGGTTGAACGAGGCGTATAGTACACCGTCATCATCGTTTGGGGCGTATGCGCTCATAAACATGTCGAGTGCAGCGACAGGTAGAACTGGTGCTTTTCTGTTCTGCTCAAAAGACAGAAACCAGTCCTTGTATTTGTCTGGAACCTTTGAAGGAGGGAGGAGCGTCGGGACTGCGAGATACTGGCCAGTCAGAGGCGGAAAAAGTTTCTCGTCGCGGGCTAGATGAGCAACGACGGCTGCGAGGTTTGCACCAGATGAAGTTCCGCCCACGACGAAGCCCGCTGATGTATCTGCACCCCAAGATTTCGCATTGGCTGCAGCCCATCTCAGCGCATCCCAGGCATCCTTGGGTGCATGGGGGAATTGGAACTCTGGTGCAAGTCTGTACGCAGCGGAAATACAAGTGGCTCCAAAGGCTAAAACGAAGTTACGCGCTGTTTGCTCTTCGCCTTCAGGTTCCCCAGTGCAAAAGCCACCACCATGGAAGAGAACGATAAGTGGACTGCCGCTGGACGGTTGAGTTGCTGGTTGATATAGTTTGGCACGGAGCTTGCTCCCGTCCTCGGTAATGTACTGTAGTTCGGTCTGCTTGACGCCAGCCGGTGGGAGACCCAAGACCTTTCTGCTGGCTTCATTGCGCTGGAGGGAGTTTTGTTTGAAAGCGACAATGTCGCTGAAGTTGGGAGCCGGTAGATTCGCTTTTGCGAGAAACTATAGAGTGTCTGTGAGATGTGAAGTTGAGGCCTAAAACCCTTGCAGACTGACCTCATGTAACTCTGGGTCAACTTTCGCCGTGGCCAGAACCGACAGCCTATCTTGGTATGACATGTCTCAGGGCTTGTCAACTGATGACTGTAAGCTTAGTGAGAAAGAGTTCTGCACCGGAAATTTTGCCTGGCTGTTATTGACCTCGTCGGACCAGGGGATCGTTGCCAACGTCAGAGAGCAGGCTGAAAGAGCTTTGGTTGCGAGACTGAGGGTAGACAGGCGAATTGGATCAGGACACCGGTGGTAAATGAACAACTGTGATCTGGGACCTCACTTTTGATGGTCTCACAACCACGTTCTTGCCTTTGACGCGATGGAGGTTGAAAGCCTGAACCCTGAATGCCGCCCCACCCAGGTACATGGGGGACGCGCATTGCTCCCCCACCACTTCTTCACCCGAGTGATACTGCAGCAGTCGAACAGTCTAATGTGGAAGTGCCGATGACTCACATCTTCCATGCCTTAAACACATGAAAAGGACGCTTCTGGGGAAAGAGGTGGAGACCGACTCTGAAACTCTCTCTGGTCTCTTTCGTAGTCGCAGCCTGGTTCGATTCGAAGTTCCAAGCAAGGTTGAAAATGGCTTTCTCGGCCTATACTAATAAGCCAGTCGATACTTCGGTCAGGGTGGACATCACGACACTTGGAGACAAAAGTGTGGTCATTACGGGAGGTGAGCACAGCCGTAGTCGGTGGCCTCCAGGGCTTCTACTCGCATAGAGACTGATCCGACTTTGAGTATAGGTGCTAGTGGTTTTGGCGAGAATCACGCTCGTGCGTTTGCCGCGGCAGGGTAAGGGGCGATCCAAAACAGCGTGGCTGCGCGTGCTCAGGAACATGCCTTGTGTAGGGCGTTTGTGACCATCGGCGATATCAATGAGGATAAAGGCCGCAAGCTGGTTGCGGAGCTCGGACGGTGAGTGTTCAATCCTTGCGCCTGCGGGTTCGCGCCTGCGGGTTCATCAGCGAAAAGATTTCGTGGCAAAACAGTGTGCAATGGGTGTTTGGAGATAGGGGACGTATTCCATCACAAGGTGTTGTTTATGGCTTCACTACAATGTCACCGTGTCTATGTTTGTCAGATCCTACGGTACCTTTCGCTTACTCTTGGTATCTAAACGAACTGGATGCACACAGGTCGATCTCATCAGCAGAGATGGTATCAATGGTGCTGACCGCAAGCCGCTAGCAATGCTCAATTCATCAAGGTCGATGCAAACTCCTGGGAAGATCAGTTGCATATGTTCAAGCAGGGCGTTGCCAACTCGCCTGCGAAGAGCATTGATATTGTCGTCATCAACGCAGGGATCGCTGGGCCAGACGAAATATTTGCAATGGAAGGTCTGCTGCCCATCTCCCCTTGTCCATCGATACCACATCCACCGCTGTGTCTCACTAGCTGACCGTAATCACCGCAGATCCTGCAGCCGAACCCACTAAGCCGACTCTGGCGATGCTGAACCTGAACCTGATCGCTTCTATTTACACATTCAAACTAGCTCAACATTATCTCCGCCTCCACCCCGTAGGACCTGCTCGAGACCGGTGCATCATCATCAAGGGTAGCATTGCCGCCTACCTTGACCAGCCTGGGTCTTTCTTGTATCAAACATCCAAGTTTGGCCTCCGAGGCCTCGTGTCGTGTGCAAGGCGCACTTCCTGGGCAGAGGGAATCAGAGTAAATAGCATCGGACCCTGGTAAGGGTGCACCACAACAGTCCCCATAGATGAAGCTGATAATACCTGCTGTGCAAGGTATACCAAGACCTCGCTGATGAAACCCCACATCGTCGACATTCTGATCTCAAAAGGGGTCGAATTTGCAGACATCGCTGATTGTACAACGGCTGTGTTGAGGGTCGCCTGTGATAAGACCATCCATGGTAGTGACCCCGCAAACAGTCTCGAGGAGCACTTGCTGATTTGGTTGACACAGGCCGGTCTCTGGCAGTGTTGCCGCGTTCATTGGCGCCCAACGGCTACATCGACACAGAGTTGGATGACTTCGAAAAAGAGCCCTGGAAACCCCTTCAGAGGGTTATGCTAGAGGCCTCTATTCGTGCGGTGCCTGGTCGTTGACGTGGGCGGAGCCACTATTGTCGACGAGAGATCAGGATAGGTCGCCTCGCAGACATGCTCGTTCGGGAGTGATTTGCCTGCCTGATCAGCGAAGACAAGCTCTGAACACTGATAGCAGGGAGCGCCCAAACACACGTCCCGGTCAATAAATCATAGCCACTGCTTACTTTGCTCGATAAGCATCAGCCACCTGTACCGACTCATGCAACGACATTGTGATCCGTTGCCACAGGATAGAGCACAGATATAATGCCCAGAAGGCTGAATGTTGTGATTCTGCGAAGTTCGGACTGCAACGACTCGTGTCGTGGGATAGTTGTTGGTAAGATCACTTTCATTGCATCGAGGAGAAAACGAGTGAGGAAGTACACTGTAGTGTACATGTATGTGGGTACCGCGTAGAGATAGCCCAGCTACCCACGTCAACTCTGGGGTTGTAGCGGCTTGAAGAGGAGTCAATGGTCTAACTAGAGTAAAGGAGCGACCTGCCGCGATATATATAATTATACGTAAGAGCATATAAGCCAATGTAGCAGCTGGAAATAAGTAGTACCGAACCCGGCGCTAAAATCTACAATCTGGCTGCTCTTATCGCCTCCTCCACGTCTTGTATTCGAGCTTTCTCGTCAGCAAGCCGCCTGCCGCCTCCGTCAAACCGGAAGTCCTTCGTGCAAAAAGGAATCCTTCACTCCAGGGAATCCTGGGCTGGCCCTTCGACTCTCGAGACGGCCAGCGACAGGGATTGATGGCTAGTGGTGACCTTGATCATGGAGGTCCCAGAAATGGAACTCCCTACGATTCAAGAAATCAACCAGCAACTCGCAAAGCGGCGGCGTAAGTCTTACCCGAAAGCATGTTACCCGTGTCGCTGTCGGAAAATACGCTGTGATCACATGAATCCCTGTGGGAATTGCGTCAAACACGAACAACCCAAGCTCTGCGTATATCTTGACCAGAACGGACAAGCGCGGAGGCAGTCCAGTTCTGCTCCTTCGAGAGCGTCAAATGCATCGACCAAAGATCGGGTGGCCGCTCTTGCGGATCTTGAACGGAGGATGCAAACAATTGCAGAGGAGGTAGTCAGACGCCTGGGTTCTTCTGGGCCAGCTCAAGAACAGACGCAGCAACTGCAGAGAGGTGGAAGGAGTGCCGGTGCGACGAGCACGCCTCTGGAGGTACCTGGGTATCATCGAACGTCACCGCGTCATACACCACCAGCCACTGTTGCGGTGGACGAACTCGGTCCATCCGTACACGTCGGTACCGAGTCACTGGCGTCGATCCTCGTTGAAACGCTTAGATCGGGTCATCCCAAAACGCCTGCTCCTCGATCAGGCGAGGGAACAGGTCTATCCCGAGATTCGGCATACGAGACAATGAAACTACTATACATGACTGATACGGGCTCGACACACCCTTTCACAAGTCTTTGGAAGGCAGGAGCCACGGTGGAAGACATCTGCCTCGCCCTACCAGACGACGAAACTTTCGAGCAGTATGTCACTTCTGGTGTAAATCAAGAACACTTCAAGCTGATACCCACCCTCCATTAGGTGTCTTACTTCTTGGCAGCAATCAACGAACCTCATCTCCCCGTCGCTTCCCTTGGTCGACTTTGCAGCGGATGTCAGATCCTTTTGGGTCGAACGCTCCAAGGGCATAAAGAGAGAAAGCGAGCTGCGGTCTACTTCGTGGCTTGCACTACTGTTCTGTATTCTTGCTGGAGGATGCTCTTACGGAGAGGTTCACCGGTCCGAGATGGAGCTCAATTCGAGAGTCTTTGGTATGTATGCCTCCTTGCATCTTCTGTCGTGTGTTCCGAAACGGACTGACTTACCACCTACACTCATACGTAGTCTGTTGTGCCTTTGAGCTCCTCCGGCTCGACAACTATCTGCTTCAACCAACGCTGGAAAATGTCCGCGTACTCGCCGGGCTCGCCGCAATTCTTCGAGTCCAGGCTAATCCTGCCGCTTCCTGGTCGTTGCTAGGTAACCGGGCCACTGCATGCTTCGGTGGTAGGATTCATTGCTAATACTGCTCTCAGGGATGGCTATTCGCGCTGCGCAATCCATTGGTATACATTGCGTACCGCCACCGACCGAGGAATCTTCCGACACTGAGCGCCAATCTTGGCTATTGTGGTATGAGACAGACCTTGTCTTGGCAAAGTCTCCATGTTTTCCGCTCTCCTATAAACACGCTCTCGCCACTGACTCTCGACGCACAGGCAAGGTCTCGTATGGCAGGACACCACAATCTCGCTGTGCTACGACCGGCCTCCATCTGCATTCGTAGATGGCTCGGTGCAGCGAATTCCACGGCCTCCCAGCCCGAAAGGATATCCATATCTGGAGAGCTGTTACGGACTTGCTATGGTGATGAACGACATCTACCACGATTGGACACATTCGCGGCGGACCGGTCTGCGGACGCTCCCGGCGGTGCGCTTCCAAGTTGCCGCCGAGCAGATCCTTCTCTGGGAGGCCTCTGCCGAAGAGTACTTGCGGAAGCGTGCCAGCTGCAAAGATGACCAGCGTCGCCTGCTTCACGACGTATTCCAGATATTCGTCAGCTTCTTCGTCTTCCAACTCCATCGGCATCATCTGGCTGCACCTACCCTGTTCGCAGATGGTCTCCAGACTGCGTCTCCTTCGGGGACGGCGGAGTGGGAAAGTCGGGAAGGCTCCGAGGCCCAAGAACAGGTGTGCATCAGTCGTTGTGAGACAGTTCTCTCCCGATTCATGTCTCTCCGGAAGGCAAACTACCAAGCTAGCCGTCTTTGGATCATCATGCACATCTGCCTTGGTTGCGGCTTTTATCTCGCTGGACAATTGAAGAGGAACGTAGAGCAAGAACAAGTTACTTCCTCAGAGCAGGGTAAAAGGAAGGCGCAACTTCGCCTTTTGCGTGACTTGGCCCAGAATTTTGAGCACGAGCTCCCTTGCACGATGCATCCGCAGGACATGGACGTTTTGAACGCGCTCAGACGCATCATTGAGACATGAAATTGAAGTGGCTGCCCATGGCAGGCTGTGTTCGACTTGTCTCTGATAATGAAGGCGAAATCATTCAATACCAACATATAAAAACGGAGCCTCTCGATTGTGCATCCACGTTCCATTGCTATTTGGCATATGATAGTTGGGAAATCCTATTTCTCTCCCTCGCTCACTCTCCGTGACTACCTCTACCTCGTACAGAAGGCTCGGTGTCTACTACTACTAAGCGTGGTCGATAGGAGACGGCCCAACTCCAATGTCGATGGTGTAGACGTAGAGCGGCTTCTGGATATGGTTCGAGCCGTTGTTGAAAGGTATACCGCGGTTGAGCTGCGCCGCAGGTATCCACAGCTGCCCATAAGTGTCTATCCACATCGCGTCGACCCAGAGCAGACGAGGGTCCTGGACAACTGTGTACGGTAAAAAAAGGGGGTAAAAAGTCAAGTCAGTCGTCGTGAATTGTGCCAAACGTTCAACACCGAGCTCACATGGAAACCATGGGACAGACAAACCAATAATACACACACCAAAAAAAAATAAAATGAACGCACAGAATGAGGGTGAAGGTGAGGGTGAATGACCAAAGTGACTCGAATGAAACTTACGTATAGTCGAAGTTCCGTTTGGGGATATCTTCAGAATTGCTTGCCGGTTCGTATCGCTATTGTAGATGTTTCCTTCGGCGTCGATGGCGGTGCCGCCGGTGGAGGGCGTCAGAGCGTACGGCTCGGGATACCGCGAGAGGACACTGGCGAGGGTCGAGTTGTAAAAGGCGTCGTTGAGGTATCGGGTTTCGATCCGGGACAATCCACCTGCGCAAGGCTGGTAGTAGTAGTGTTTCCCGTCCGGGGAGACCTCGTGCTGGTCCGCGTAGATGTAGAAATAGCCGCCCGTCGGCCCGCGGAGCAGCCCGCCCTCGGCGGACACTGGCATGAATCCTTTCGTGGTCGGGTCGTCTTCGAGGAGTCGCCTTGCCTCGCCGGTGGCGAGATCGAGGACGATGATCGCTGGCGCCCCGGCATCTGTAATATACGCGAGGCCGGCTGACGGGTTGAATCGTAGATCGTCGATAATGCTGGTGGTCAAAGTGACGTCTGTTTGCGGCAAGTAAGAGATGAAGGACCGTTAGTACTACTAATGAATGGTTTGGGTTTGGGTTTGGGTTTGTGTATGTGTCCGTGTTGATTATTGTTGGACTGGTTGACTCTGAAACCTGTGTTGAGGATCCCAAAAAATCAAAAAAAAATCATCAAAAAAATCAACTCACTGCCGAGATTGTACACTCTGGTCACCTTGTTCGTGGTCAAATTGACCTGAACAAGTTTTGGACCCTTTGGTAAAATGACCGGTTCTCCAATGCCCGGCGATCCAGTGTCTACCAACCACAACGTACCATCTGGGCCGATGCGTTGAGAATTGGTACGTATGAGATGCGTCGCCGGGTCCTTTCCCGGCCCGTACGAATTCCATTCTGCATTCGGGTACGGCGTTGGGTTGCTGTCGTTGTGCCACTCGGCGACTTGAGGCCCAGTGGACCCATCGACACGCGCATAGAGGACGAACAGACGGCCGTCTGGAGCCGTGCTGACGCCGTTGACTGGGTTTTGCAACGTCAGAGCGACTTTCAGTCTTGGGTCTTCCGCAGCAGAGGTCGAGAGGGCCGCCAGGTCGAGAGGGCCGCCAGGCCGAGGAAGGATGAAACGAAGAGCTTCATCATCAATAATCGTCTTGTCGGCAGCATTCAAAGCCGTCGTGAGGCTAGTTAATTAGGATCCGTACGGACTTGGACTCAAGAAATGAAGCTGCGTGTTGATATACAGTATCTCGGTGCAGGCCTGATACAGCGAGAATGTAGAGTCTCCTCCTTTGAGTTGAGAGAGAGACACACATTGTGATATATACCTAGTTAGTTACTTCGTAGCATAAGTCCGTTCAGGCCATACAAGATCACGCAACGATTTAGCCTTCATGACGCCATTCGAACGCGAGGTATTTGACCAGGGGGCCTCATCACACGACAAAGGCAGGACGAGAGACATTATGAAGCGGTGTGTTGCATGCAATGTGACGTCGGGCAGGGACGAGCAGGAGAGTGGGAAGAGTAACGAAGACCCTGCCAAATGTTCTGAGTCCTTATAAGAAGTACCTGGGCTCCGGTGGTGGGGTTAGGAGAGTTCTTCAGCCTTGTCCCCTCCTCCCCAGTCTCCACCAAGAGCCTCGTCTGTCTCCGGGTTGCTTCCTCGGCTACTTACTAATAAAATGTTCTCCCCGGTAATCTCTCGGCTCCTTTGTGAGCCCCTCTCGCGAATCGTGTCGTGCATTTGTAAGAACTCAAAATCTCCTATACACAATCCGTAGCTATAAGAATGCTGACGCCGGAAATCGAGCTACGAAGCTGTCTTTTCCCTTCACCGAAACCGCCCGGCACGCTTGGATTTTCAGAACGACAGCACTCGCTAGGGAGCCGAGCTTGAACCCACCGACACGATGTCAGAACTGCCGACCACGACCAGGAGCTGGATCCTGACGAACAAACCGACCAGTCTCCCGACCATTTCCGGCGACGAGCCGACTTTCACCCTGCAGACGCGCGACCTTGCACCCCTCGAGGATGACCAGGTCCTGGTCAAGGCGTTGTACCTCAGCAACGACCCGGCGCAGCGTGGCTGGATCAGCGCCGACGTGCCCAAGGACCGGCTGTACGTGCAACCGGTCGAGGTAGGCGAGCCGATGCGAGCGCGGGGGCTGTGCGAGGTCCTCGACAGCCGATCCAAATCCATAGCCAAAGGCGCCCTCGTCCTGGGCGTTTGCAACTGGACCGAGTTCGCCGTCCTGGACGCCGCCACCGTCACGCCGCTCGAACCGCTTCCCAACGGACTGAGCTTGACGCACTACCTGGGCGCGCTGGGCACCACGGGCATTACTGCCTACTACGGCCTCGTGGTCGTCGCGGAGGCAAAGAAGGGCGACAAGGTGGTTGTGTCTGGCGCGGCCGGCGCCACGGGCAGCATGGTGGTTCAGATTGCAAAGCACATCGTGGGAGCCAGCAACGTAATCGGTATCGCGGGCAATGACGACAAATGCCGCTGGGTCGAGAGTCTCGGTGCAGACAAATGTGAGTGTTGATCTGTCAAAACCCACTGTCGCGTCGCCCCCTTTCCCTTACTACAAGCAAGCAAGCAAGCAAGCAAGCAAGCAAGCAAGCAAGCAAAGCCAGAGACTCCAAGTCCATTTGGGCCGTTTGTGCCGCAGAGTTTTCAAACCTTTCTAGGACATACGCTGCGACTTTGTCTGTCTGTCTGTCTCTCTCTCGGTAAAACTAATCAGTGAAACAACAGGCCTGAATTACAAGTCCCCGACGTTCGCAGAGGACCTCAAGGACGCAACCAGGGACGGTGTCGACATCTACTTTGACAACGTGGGCGGCGAAATCCTCGACTTGATGCTCGGCCGCATGTCCATGTACGGGCGCGTCGCGGCGTGCGGTGCCATCTCGCAGTACAACTCCTCGGAGCCGCTGGCGCTGAAGAACTACTTCCAGGTCATCTCCATGAGGCTGCAGATCAGGGGCTTCATACTTCTCGACTACCTACAGAAGAGGGCCGAAGCGCTCCAGGTCTTCAGACAAGCAATCCAGGACGGCAAATTGAAGATCGGAGAGGGCAACCAGACGGTCGTGCCGACAAAGTTTGAAGACGTGCCCAAGACGTGGCTGAAGTTGTTCTCGGGTGACAACACGGGCAAACTGCTCACCAAGATCGAATCGTGAGGATGTTCCTGGATGAAAGCTGGAGGTGGCTAAAATTCTCTTTTTGGTCCTACCATACCGGACGCAGACTGCGCATTGAGAAATGTACTACCTACCCCGGGGTCCTACTAGTTCTGAGATCTAGTAGGAGGATATCTGGACCGCATTCCAAATCATGTCATCTTCCTCGACCCCCCCCGGTCCCAGTTTTTTTTTTTTAAAAATAATAATTTTTCTTTACCATGGGTACACGCCGTCCTTGTGTACAAACTTGCCAACGTCGGCGTCACGCTTCCCCTCGACGATGGAAAGAATGGTTTGTCCAGAGACCTTGGGATCGCCAGCACCACCCCATCCGCTGATCTGTTCCTCCGTCCTCCCGCGCAAATGCGAGCGGACGAAGCCTGGGCACACCGCGAATGACTTCACGTTGAGGCCCTTTTTGGCGTTGATCTTCGATTCGTAAATCATCATCTGGTTGAGCGCGGATTTGCTGGCGCTGTACGCCGGATAGTCAAACGCGAGTGTCTTTTCCGAGTCCGCCAGGGACAGGGACCCGAGCCCACTGGATACGTATATCGAGTACGGGTTCTTTGATTTGAGCAGCAATGGTTTGAGAGCCTCGGTCAACACCAGAGGTCCGGTGACGTTGGTTTGAAATGTCCGGTCCATGATACTTCTCAGGCTGCCGTCGGTGGGGGCTGCGTAGATACAACATAGATAGATGGGTTAGGTGGGTGGGTGTGTCAGGAAACGGGGGAGAGGGAGATGAGACCCGCCTACCTATTCCAGCATTATTGATCAGTACATCCAGGCGGCCAAACTTCTCGTCGATGGATTTGGCGAGAGCATCGACTGACGACTGATCTGAAACATCGATTTGGACGTCTGTCAGCGTGCCCTTGATGTTCCCGGTCGCCATGAGATCCTCAACCGCCTTCTTTCCGTTCGCGGGATTCCGACTGCCGACCAGGACGTGGTAGATTGACGATGCCGACGCGATGACCCCTGCAGTGGCGAACCCGATGCCAGAGTTGGCACCTACGGCGTCATCAGCAAAAGCAGGCCTGTTGACAGGCCGGTGCGACTGTGATGCGATGGGCGTCGACTTACCGGTTATGAGGACGATGGTTGCTGACGCCATGATCGGTCAGGTAAAAGTCGGTAGATGATGCCTGCTCTGAACAGTAAATATACCAGACGGTGGGATTCACGCCAGGTCAACGTCGAGAGAAATAGCACCGACCTCCAGTATTTATATGAAGCCGTGCTCCGTTCGTCGTGTTCAGGATACGGTGGAACGGTCGTCGATCAACAATCTCTCCACTTTGAGGAACTCTAGGTCCGATATGTCCTTATTATGTCCGCAAATCCCGTTCATCAGCAATTTTCTTCAGGTTTTGGTTTTCTTTGTTCCCAAGCTCGGGGTGAAAAGTGTCTGCCTTCCGATCGTGACAAGCAATAGTCCAGGAGTCTGTGGTGGATGTTGTGAGAGGTGAGTGAGAGGCCATCGCTGTCGTCGTCCGTCGTCAGCGGGAGTGGCGCTAAGCTCAGAGACAATGGTAGATACCCCCACCCTCACAGCCTGGCCTTAGCCTGCACTTTTCACTCTTCAGAATCGTGTTCAAAAGGTGAATCTCATACTCGGTGCTCCGGAAGACACTGCTTCCGAGATCTTCTACGCGAGCTCAAGGCACGAATGTGGCATGTAATACACTGAGGCCACCACCAACGGGCACCTACCAACCCGAGGTCTTTCCACTCCAACACCACGTATCGCATTCGTCCTCGGTCTCCCAACTCGACCTTAACCATGAGGCTAGGTATAGGTAAGTCCGGTCATGAGCCGGTCAATGTCCAGATTCGCAAGTACAAGCTAACTGCTTTTGCCTTTGTCATCATCTCATATTATTCGTTAAATCATGTACCTAACCCACGGTACTGTCCACGCTTTAATCTATTCAAGGATTAACAACTCGCCAACCAATTTAGTGGTTGTACCACCACGAGATTGCGTAGTAAGGGTCACGATTTATCCCCCATAAAACCGTATAGTGATGTTGGTCCAAGTAAACGAAGGGCCCGGCTGGGATCAAAGCAGCCGCCAGTGCGGCACAAAACAAGAAAATAATCCATTTGCCTTTGGGCGCTTGGTCCAGAAACAACGCCGTCGATGATCCCACCAGTGTCACTACCGCCGTCAATAAAGGAGCATGTGTCCCCGCCAGGGCAGCACTTAAGAATCCCAGGGAACAAAGAAACAACGGCAGAGTGTATTTGTGTGCTGGGACCCAGTGCTTCAGAAAATCCTTCTTGTTCGTCTCGCGCCACAGCTTCGTTGTCTTGGGCCAAAGTCGTCTCAACGCCTCTCTTTTCGCCTCTCTTTTCGCAGGCCATTCTCTTTTCTTGTCGAGCCACCACAGCCGAAGACTTGCACCACGACTAATAGGGAGCCACTTTTCGTCCAGCATTGCATAGGTAATTTGTCCACCCTTGAGCACTTTGCGGATTTTATCGTGCAAGTCCTTATTGGACATGGTATCCCTGCCATCCTCGTCAATATCTTGATTGATGCAGGTGGCCAGATCCAGAACAGCGCGATGAAGGCCCATGGTTCGTCCTGCTCGGTCAAAACGTGAATTTAACCACGCGTCTAGCCAAAGAATATACATGCCGAGACACCAGACGCTAAAAGTAAGGATGACGATGAACAGCACCAGGAACGAGAAGCCCCACTTGTAACTTGTGTCGAGTTGCTGGCACTTCCCGTGCAAGTTCAGCTCTTCCAGGTCATAGCTGTATTCACCATCACTGAATATAGGAGATGTGCTCGTGTTATGAAAGGGATAGTCGCCAGAAGGAGTTCGCCAGTTGAATCCATAGGGCCAGTAGTACCACTTCGTCTCGTTCATGCTGTCGAGCCACTCCTCGTTCCAGAAGATTGCACTAATATTCAGAGTCGGTGGGTCGAGATGGACCAATTTTCCGCTATTGTTGAATTCCGAGCTGACATTGTTCATGCCCAGAAAGCCATATTTGAAGCCGTATTCGGAAACATGCTACACATTAGAAGTAAGCTCTAGGCCTGAGAGGCGTTGAGTTCCTCGACAAAGCTGGAGAGTCCGAGGGACGCGCAGTTCAAGGAGAATCGGAGGGCAACGGAACGTACCCAGTAAAAGTCGCATAACCCCCACGGGTCAGCAGCATCTTGCCAATCTGGAACGGTACTGTTGTCGGTACTGTTGGTCGTTTCACGCGGGTACCACGAAAGCTCACAAGCATCGGCGTCACCATATCCCAAGTGCACAGTGTCGCCCCAGTCGGAACGACTCGTTCTGACCATGAAATCCTTCGTCAGACTGCCATTAATGCGATGCGCGTCGTGAATGATGTACCGCACTGTGCTGAAGGACGAATAAGGCTCCATGCTGCCGGATGGGAGTTGAACATATGCGTCAATGTTGGCAGTGTATCCGGCCATGGCGCTGATCAAGGTTTGGAACGAGAGCACAAAAATGCCTGATATAATCATCCATACCATGGCGAACCTTGCCTGAAGAGTTCGATTCGTGGCAAAGTCGCGAGTGAGTTTGAGCAGGGAGACCAGACTACCACTCTGTAAGGTGACTGCCTCAAAAGTGCCATACGTCACGGGCGATGACTCCATCGATCGAACGAGTGCTTTGGAGTACACAATGTATGAAATCCAGACCATGAGCGCCTGACCGCCACGTCCGAGGATGATCTGCAAATCTTCAGTATGGTACTATGGTCAGAATCATGAGAGGTCCACCGACATCCCAAGAGACAGTCAGAGCTTTGGCCGCGGAAAAGGATAGTCGACCGAAACCCAGTGTTATCTGGAAAAACCCCGAAAGGGCCCAGATGTTATAAGTGCCGTAGCCGACCGAGAATCCAGAGTCCCTAAAGCGTGTTAGTCGAGGGGCGTTCTGGATAGATCATGGTTAGACGACGAAACTCACGGTTGGCACGCGTCCGCATCTCGATATCGCTTTTTTGAGGTAATGACTGGAAGTATAGACAACAAGCCGCCGACGAACAGTAATGGCCACAAGAGAATACAACACTGGTAAGCATGGTGTCGAGAATTGGCTGCTCCCAGCTCTCTGAAGCCTTCGGTAAAGAAAGTCGTCGTATGAAATCGAATGAATCGCCATAAGTATTGGGTAGAGAGGCGATGTTTTGTTCCTTGAAGACTGTCGGAAACAGGCGTGTAAATTCCTCTCTGGTTCTTGGAATCCAGGAGTGTTTTCAATGAGGATTGATCGACATTATCGTCTGTGGGTTGCCCACTTGCTGGCTCGATATCATCCAGCTCAACTCCGACGTACGCCGCTGTGCTCGTGTAAGGCATTGTAGGAATCGCAATCGAAGCTTAAAGTTATTGCGCACATCAAGAAAGTCGAAGCCGGTGAAAGGCTGCGACAGGAGAGAATGAGGTTGAGATGTGCTGGACGACTGAGTGGCGGAGTCCGTCACCAGGTCTCGTCCTACAACCCTTGACTGTTTGCTGTACTAGTTTCAGCCACCGAGGAAAGCCTCAATCGGACGGAGAGTTGTCGCTCCCTTCGCCTCTATAATAGACAGGAGTCGACGTCCTAGTGCTCGGGTTCGGACTCGTCGATTCGTCATATCCGCCCCGAAAACATCGCTAACGTTGCATGTCCGTATGACTCGTCTGAGGCTCCTGAAGAAGTCTTCGTCGAGTAGAGCCTCACGGAAGTAGACGTTCGTGCAGAGCCTAGCTGTGCAACGCACCAAAAGCCGGACGAGGGCCGGGTCATTCTGCCCCTTGTCAGCATACAGTATGTATTGTAAACGAATACGCGCAGAACAAAGAGCCTAACTATGGTTTTTAGGGCTTAGTTTCAAGGCCAAAACATTGCAAACAGGGATCTGAAGCACCTAGTCCCGGGGGCCAGAATACAAATTCACCAGTCGAGGACGCCTATTGACCTTCAGCCTCATGCTTGGCCGCTCGAGATTGAGTCTTGCAGGTCATGCTTAGGCCCAATAAGATTTTGGGAACTGCAGAAATGGTTGTACCACGGCCCTGAGGAGCGTTGTTTTCTTGAGCTACTTGCATCGTGCCTGTGCTCCATGTGATAATACTTCGAAATCCCACGGACACTTATACACCTGCATCCGGACCATTGGCACTCAGAATGACATCTGACAGCCGCTGATGTGCCGATGTAACATCCAAGCGATAGCTGCTTGTCCGTATTGTCGACCTTTGTTCGCGAGGAGCCGACACAGTATCATATTGTGTTTGGGCCTAAATTCCGAATTAGACTAAGTGTTGGACTAGGCTGAGTTGCGGGCGCTGTCAGTGACCGTCTTTACAAGCCAAATACTCTCGCCTAGCGCCTTAGCGCCTTCGGCGGAACGCCGACGCCCTCACGTTCCTTGCAACTTTTGCAACACCATCAATTCACTGTTTTTAGTCATATATGACTATATTCTCGGACTTCACAAGGAGGCTTTCTCCCCGTCTAGAACGTCGCCCGATAGAACGTCGCCCGAGGACGGCCGATGGCTCCACGCGGCGTGCTGTGTGACGGCGAGAAAGCCCTCCCTTGCAACGCTCCTTTTGCCTATATAATAGATAGAGATCTCCCTTCGAGAGAGGGAGGTCAGACTCGTCAATACATCCCATTTAGCCCCCCGACATCGCCTAGAACTGAGTGTTGCATAATAGTTATGAGCCTGGTTCTCGATTTCGCTTGAGACACTTATTAGTTAATACTCTGGTAAAGCCTCGTCATCACAAGACTGTTTAACTAAACATGTCTAAATATGTCAGGTCTCTACACGTATTTCACGCCTTAAGTATTCACACAGTAAGAAGTATATCTTGCTATACTTCCTTTATCATAACACTTAATATATTGAAACTAAATCTCGAGCCTTAATCAATAAAATTAATCATAGTCACCCTTTTTAAGTCCTTGGATTGGGATAACTAGTTCACTTCCATTAAACTATATACTAAACACTAAGAGATATAAAAATATATTGACCTTAATATTAGTAACCCTTTTACTCCAAAATATTCACTTATTCTAGACTTACAGGACTTATATCAAGATAACTAGATCTTAGAATAATAACGATTAAATCTTCGCTTTATAGAGTGGTAATAAGAGTAATAATGTAAGTAATATAAAGATAAACTTAAGATCATTTATGCCCTAAGTATTTAGATTATAGAAATAGTCTCGATTAACCTTATAGTATACCTAGAAGAAGAACACTCTTCTTACATAACTTTTCGATAGCTTCGCTAAAGCTTTACTCCCATTAATCGAGCTAGAGAACTAGATATTCTAGCTAAATAAAAGAATATTATTAAGTCTTTAAGAATTTATTAATAAATAGATAATTAGCTAGATAAGTGACTAAAGATCTATAATAATACTTAATATTTAAATATATTAATCGCCATAAAAAGATCTTCTATCTATAAGTTTTTATAAGCCATTAAAACACTTAACTTAATCTTCTTTATAATGAAGAACATCAAGATACTAAGTGACAATTTTATCTCTAACTTTTATAAGTTAGTTAAGTTCTTTCGCTAACTTAATAGCCTTAAGAAGGACTTAAAAAAAGGAAATATTCTCTTATATAACTTCTTTATAACTCTAGAAGATTAAAAGACTAAGAATTAACCTTTAATATACAAGATTTACAATGTTTCTTAGTGATATACTTAATATCTTTATATTGTTAAGTTAATAAGACTTTAAAATTAGAAACCTAATTCTATAAAATAAACTATTTATAAGGAAATAAAGAAGAACTCTATTTATATAAAACGATTTAAGCGAGCTATAGAAAGAGTCACTAACTTAGTATCTAAGTTTTTCTTCTTCTCTGTAAAAAAACAAGAAAAGAAGATAATATTCATTATGATAATGATCTACTTAGGGTCTTTATACTTAAGATTAATTAATAAGAGTCTATATAATAAGTGGATTCTAGACTTAAGATTTAATATTTATATATACTGACTAGATACACTAGGCTACACTTCTTAATATTCTTCTCGCTTTAATAAGACACTAACTTATGATATTAATAAATATTTAATCAAGTTAATTAAGATAATCATTATTAATATAATGTCTTTTATAGAATCTACTTATATTATTCTTATAAATATTCTCTATATTTAAGGCTTTATAACTAAAGTGATCTTGTTATTAAGAATAATAACTAAGAATATTCACTTTATAACTAACTTTTCTCTCGAAATAAAAGAAATATTTCTCTGAAATAAAATCTCTATTAAGTATATATATAATTATTATAATTACTTAATATTTATATCTTATAAATATATAATATTAGTAATAATTATATAATTATATAAAAAACTCTTATATTTAGTCTTTACTTAATATAGAATCTTAGAACACTCTAGCTTAAACATTATTAAATATTTATTAGATATTATTAAGAAAATATAAGTCTTAAAATAAGACGCTCTTAGTACTGCGAAATATAAAATCTATATACTTATAAAGTCTAGATAATAAATCTCACAAAATCTTTATAATAATGAGAAATAAAGAGATAAGTTATTAGACTAAATAGCCTTTAATATAGTTCACTTTACTAAAGAATAAGTCATGAATTAATATATAAACCACTTATAAGACTTTTATATCTATATAAACTATATATTTATTTATAACACTTATTTCTAGGTAGAAGAACTTATTCTAGACTAGTTAGCTATAATATAAATATAATTTTATAAAACGCTAGTATTCTTATGTCTAGATAATAAGATAGCCCTTAATAAAGAATTCTATAATTAACTCTATAAACTAGAGATCACTATTAAGCACTTAGCCCCTTATATACTTGCTTAGAATAGCGCCACGAAGCGCTTAAAAGGCATTATTATATAGATAACTAGAGCTCTCAAGATTCAGGGCTATCTTTCTTACTTTCTATGGCTAGAACTAGTTAAAATAGCTAGTTATCTCATTAATTAAATATTATCTAGATCACTAAAATAAAAGACTCTTTATAAGGCTCTTTATAGAAGAAAGCTAATTCTTATATATCTTTACTTAATTAAATATAAGGTGTTTATTTATAACAAGTAAGTTTCTAGGCTCGAAAAGCTAGAGAATAAGGTAATAGTTAGCTAGCTAGTCGGCTATAATACGAGAAATATATAGCGTATTTAGATATTTATAAAATAGAGAATTCTTCGCTTTAGAGATATAGTATTTTATAATGATATACTATATAACTCTAGTGAAGTATAGATCGCGAAGTAACTCTATACACTTTTATAAGAACTTATTAAAGTCCTTAATATTAAAGCCCTTATTCTTAGCAGCGAAGTTAACAAATCCTCTCTTAACTAGAATCTCTTTATAGATCTTAATGATTCTGACACTATTCTTATTAATTAAAGATTATCCTCATTATTAGAAGAAGAAAGAAAAAAGATCTAACTTAAGAGGATAGAAATCGCCTTACTTACACTATATATAACACTTAAGGCTAGTATAGTATCTAGCGCGCTTAGTATTTAATAATCTAGAGTTATAAACAGCTTTTAGCTTAGCACTATTTTATAAATCTCTATAATATAAGAGACATTATTAAATCTCGCTAATTAGTTAGTTAGTTAGTTAAGCTCTTGTTTATTGTCTATTTTAGCTCCTAAAAGGACTACATAGACATGAACTTCGACTTCCAGCTGCAAAAACCTCTGTATATTCTCAGAGGAAAAGCTAACTTATTGCTATGCCGTTACGCTTCTTCTGCGAATCATGTGCGCCATATATACGCCTTAGCTTTGCTCTCACCGCCGTCTTGGCACCGCACATTCTCTTTCAGAGAGCTATTGCTTTGTCTATAGTAGCCGCACAATTGTCTGCCTATTTATTAAGCCCTTATAGCTTAAAGTGTGGAAGTCCTTCACGATAAGGGCGATATACCATAGTCCTCTCAGTCGACTCGCCGACATTACTACTACGTTTTCCGTGCTGTTCCTCTGTAGATCGCTTTCCTCGAATGGCTTTGCCTCGCTGAGCTGTCTCTGATAGTGCTGCGACATTGTAGAGACTCTCTTGCGTTCCTGTTACTGCTTGTTTGGTATTTCTATTCTTGTGTAGCTTCTCTTGAGGTATCCTTTCCGTGCCGGATCGTCTTCTGAGAGTGTAGTTGTCGCCCAGTTTCGTTGGCCCTCCTTACGAGGGTGCGTGGGAACGCTGCTGCGCTGGTTAAGGGGTGTTCAGGTATATCGTAGACGTCTCGCAGGGTAAACGACAGGTAAACGCAGGGAAACTAGTTCTGGTTTCCTGTTGGTTTGCTCTTTTTGTTCCAGCAGAGGGACCGTTACCCTGCCTTCTTATACTCGAGCGTTCTAGCTATTCCATCCCTGCGTCGCGCCTGCGATGAACCTGTAACCCTCGATCGTTCAGGGGGAGAGAGCGCCGCTCGAAGGCTTATCGTGTAGTGTTGGTCAATAATTAGTGTGCGGAAGGTCGCGAATCTTCCAGCAGGGACCTCATACTCTTCCTTCCACTCCGCGACTCGCCTGCGCGTCGCACTCTCACCACCTGCTGCGTCTCTATGTTGGCTCTTCTGTTCACTCAGAAGGTTCCCAGGCGCTCCCACGTGGAGGTACAGAGTCCGACTTTAGCGCCCAATCTCGCTAATTAGATTACGCCATTTTTGGTAACTACTTCAGATTCGATAATCACTATCTAATTAGATAACTTATATAATAATACTTTTATGATCTCTCTATATTTAAGTGAAATATTAGCTAACTTAGATAAGAATAATATTCTTTCACCTTATGAGTAATAACGATAATAGCTATTTAGATATCACTAGAACTACACTATATAACTAGTAAGCGACCCTTATAATCTTCACTTCTTTTATATAGTATTTAATAAGACGCTAAGCGAATAACAAAAGATTTATAGAGACAATCTTTCTTTCATACTATAGACTTATCACTAAATATTAATACACCCGCACAAGCGCCAATTTAAGGCGATTATAGATACAAAGTAAAGTCAAGTTCTTTAAAGCAAAATAATTAAGAAGGTAGAATATCTAGACACGCAAGAAAAGCAAGTTATCTCTCTTATATAGGTGTTTATATATAAGTTCGATAACGATAACTTTCTTACTAAATATAAAGTATATATATATATTTAAGGCGATTTACAATATTCTCAGGATAATATATATATAGTAATCCTTACGCTTAAGACTTTTCGCGCCTTTATAATCATTATGGCGTTCTTTAATCTTAAAATCTAGCAGGCCAATATTATCAATATCTTTCTTAACTCACTCATGAAAAAGGAGATCTATATCAAGTATCCTCAAGATTATTCTAGGCTAGAGAAGATTCTGCGCCTCTTAAAAACGCTCTATAATCTAAAGAAATCTTCATTATTGTGGTATAATATCTTTATAGCGACGCTTAAGGATCTAGAACTTATAGAGATACTTAATATTAACTATCTCTTTCAAGATAAATAAGTTCTAGTCTTCTTTTATATTAATAATATTATAATTCTCTATTATAAAAGCAAGAAAATTATATTTTACTAATTTATAATTAAGTTATAGAAACACTTTAAGTTTAGAGTCATGAAAGATATAAACTAGTTTCTTAAAATTTATATTCTGCGAGATTATAACAATAAAACTATTCACTTATCGCTTAACTTATATATTAATAAAATCATAGCCAAGTTCTATATTAAATAACTTAATTATTTACTTAATACTTCACTATTAACTAGTGAGTTATAACCTTATAAAGAATAAACCTCATTATAAGAGATTTATATATATTAATAATGTATTAAATCTATCTTATTCGCCTTCTATATAACTAGGCTAAATATCGTCTATACTCACTCTAAACTAGCTTAATTCCTAGTTAATCTATTAAGTGCGCACGTCAAGACCGTGAATAGAGTTATTATATATCTTTATTACACTAAATATTACTTAATTATATATAATAGTTAGTTCACATAACACTTTCTATATATATTAGACATCTCCTTTATAAATAACTTCAAAACCAGGAAAAGCTTAAATAGATATATTCTCACATTATTTAAAGAACCCATTAACTAAAAGTTAAGAAAGTAAAAGATAATCATAACCTCCTCCATCAAGACAGAACTCCTTACTCTATTAAACACTGTAAGTGAGATAATCTAGTGAAAGAGAATATTCTTGAATATTAATCTAGACCTAGAATAGACTTTGCCTCTCTTGTCAGATAATCTCTAAATAATTTGACTGCTAACAAAGAATGAGAAGTTATTAATATGGCTCCATTATGTTAATATTTATCGATATTGGCTTAGACAAGAGGTCTAACAAGAACGAATTAACCTTGATTGGACGCCGACTAACGACATAATTATCGACGGCCTCACAAAGCCCTTACCAAGACAGAGACATGAGATGTTCATGGAGCAACTCAACCTAACTGATATCCAGGAAATGCTATCCTGATGAATTTTCACTAACGACGATGGCTTCATTCCCTGAGGGGGTGTGTTGGACTAGGCTGAGTTGTGGGCGCTGTCAGTGACCATCTTTATAAGCTAAATACTCTCGCCTAGCGCCTTAGCGCCTTCGGCGGAACGCCGACGCCCTCACGTTCCTTGCAACTTTTGCAACACCATCAATTCACTGTTTTTAGTCATATATGACTATATTCTCGGACTTCACAAGGAGGCTTTCTCCCCGTCTAGAAACGTCGCCCGATAGAACGTCGCCCGAGGACGGCCGATGGCTCCACGCGGCGTGCTGTGCGACGGCGAGAAAGCCCTCCCTTGCAACGCTCCTTTTGCCTATATAATAGATAGAGATCTCCCTTCGAGAGAGGGAGGTCAGACTCGTCAATACATCCCATTTAGCCCCCCGACATCGCCTAGAACTGAGTGTTGCATAACACTAAGGCCTCCCATGGGAGGAGATCTCCTAGCCCTCTAATCATGCGCCAGGGGTCGGGCCCATGCAGTAGGTCACAGCATGCATGTATCTTATTTGGGGATTTTGAGGCTGTCGCCTGGTCGAGGGCGGAGGTTCATTTTGCCGACTATCACATTTTCGATTTTACGACATCCCGTCTGTCGCTGAGGGATCTCGACCCATGAAGACTTTGAATAGTCTCTTGCTAACCATGGGGCCAAGTCTCTTATCGCTCCAACCTCCATCTTTGTTGACACTCTTCCGCACATCTTCGAGAAGCAAGTTCCCGTGCCGATCGAAGCCCTGTACGAGTTTCCTGACACTGCCAAATTTGTCAACTATGCCGTAAGCCATGCTTGGCGTGACACGTTGAATCTCCTGCAGCATCTTCACAAAGGTGTCCCTAGGGTCATCTCCGGTGCGAACTTGGCCACCGTCCATGCAGAACGTTGCCGACTTGAGATTGAAATCGAGCTGAGCCTGTCGATACGGCCTCGTCGCAAGATGTTGGGTAAGAGCAGAGATCTGTGAGGCTGTGGTTCCGGGTGAGGTCGTATGATGGATGAGGATGGGCTGGTGTGCGAGTTGGAGGTGCAAGAGGACCTCTTCCGCCACCTCAGGCGTCACTGAGGAGAGGTCCAGGGTGTTGGTAGGTGGCTTCTTGCGCTTGCGATGCCTGGCTTGAGTTGCCCGCATATTTCCGGCCTCGAATTGATCAGCATCGGCCATCTGAGACCTAACAGCCGCGGTGTAGGCTCGATTCTTCGCATTTGCGTTTTTCTTAAGCCAACCACTCAATCCCTCGATAAGGTAGATGGGAACACAGCTGCCAAAGCGATGCCGGATGCTGGCGACGTGCTTGTCCAGATTGGATTTCATGCTGGCTTCGTCGATTGGCTCGGCGGTCACTGCTGACTTCGGGATGCACAGCATGGCCGCCAATTCTACCGCAGTGAGATGAATCAGCACATGCTGCTCTGGGACAACTCGGCTTGTCGAAAGGGGTTCCCATCGGCCTTCCTCATCGTTGTAAGCGGACTTGACTTTGCGACGCCAGGTGATGATATTGCCATATTGCATCTGCTCTGGGGCTTTGTCTGACAAGTCCAGTTCTGGGTCGGAATAGGTTACTTCTGCTCCCAAATTTTTCATGTATTCGTCCACCTGATTCCCTACACTCGTGCCCTGCAAGGAGCTTGCCATGTCGACAATCATTTCGGGCACGGCGTCCTTTTTGTTGGTTCGTGATTTGTTCGCCTCCGCTAGGTCAGCTGCTTTTTGCTTTTCCTGAGCCCTTAGTTCTCGTTCAAGCTTCTTGCGCTCTCTCTCGGCCTCTTTTTCAGCATCACGGCTCGCCTTTGCTGCAGCCCTCTCTGCGGCTTTGGCAGGGTCTACTTTGTTCGAGCCTTTGGCAACATTCTTGGTGGCTGCTTCTGCAGGACTTGAAGAGTTCTCAATATCATCAACCGGTAACGACCTGGTGTTTGCCGACCTCATTGTCGCCAGCGCTGTCGTCTGCGATCTGTGGTGCCTGTGCCTGCCACCTGCAACGGGTTCTTGGGAGAGAACGGCTAGTAAGTTGGCTGTTCGGTGTGAATATTGGCGCTGTGTATCGTCCGTTGGGCCAGAGCGGGACACATTGACGTCTATATCACAAGACTCATCCAATATGTCCTCAAACACTTCGAAGGGCCGAGGCTTGCTTAGTTTTAGATTTGCGCTATGTTCACCTTCTGGGAGCGACGAGGTGAAAAGAATTTCATCTACCGCCTCGGTCCTGCACAAGCCAGACGGTCTGGACTTGAGTTCGCCATTTGCATCGAACTTGAGCTCTGGCACAGAAGAGGTCTCGGAGGAGAGTTCGTAGACCGGCTGTACAGTTCTCTCTCCGAGAGCAGACGGCTTACTTCCTTGCGTTAAGATTTTGGGCAACTCGGGAGTCAACCTTTGTTTTTTCGACGGTCGGTCAATCGCAAAATCGATGGATCCAGTGTCATCAAAGTCGTCCACATCCTCGAAAATTTGGGTTAAGACTGTCGCAGCAACGGGGTTGCAAGCAGAGTCTGAGCGCAAGGGCGCGGGTGGTGGCGAACTTGACGATAAGAGGTTTATGACTTCGGCCATCTTCGAGCGTGGGACGACATCAGCACTGGCAAGGACATGCAGATGCTGGGATGGAGAGATCAATGGAGACAGCGATGTCGCCAACAGGTCTACAGCGAGGACTCCAGGGAATGAATGTATGTATGATGATCGAGGGCGGCAGCGAGACCATCGCATTTGTTCCAGACTGGGAAAGGGCAAAACAATCTTGGCGCGTCACCACTTTTTCTCACGCGTCTGGGCAGGAAAACTACATACTTGGACATGTAGCTCGAAAACCTCACAACTGGTGATTCCTCGAGTAGTCGACTCTAGATACTACGGCCAAGAGCAGCAGAGTTGTCGTTTGTACACTTTGAATTTATCATCATGTGTCTATTCAGGGCTCCGCGGCTGGAAATAATTTGACCGCCTCGTCAGCGTCCGAGTGCATCCTCCGAGCGCGGGCAAACTCGGTCACTCGTCTATCTCCACGACCATATTTCGCTTTGATGATGGTCGCAAACAAGGCCGCGGCAAAGGCCAGCACAAGCCAAAGGCCGAGCACAATATCTTTTCTCTCCAGGAATTTGCTTCTCTTCTCCTTGAGCATCCGGTCCATCTCGAGACTGAATTTGCTGGCCATAGTGGGCCGCGAAAACTGCTCACGAACTCGCTCCTTGCCGCTCTGGCCGAGCTGACGAAGGTCTGACGCGCTCATTGTGCTGACCAGTCTCATGATCTCGGTCCAATCCTCGAGGTTGGACACATCGCGCAACCAACCAGTTTTCCCGTCGACTATGGTTTCAAGGGGACCACCGGTGTTGGAGGCCAGCACTGGAACTCCATGTAGCATCGCTTCCACGGGTACGATACCAAAATGTTCATTTGTAGGAGTGTAAAGCAATAGCTGCGCGTTGTTGAGCAGCGTCTCCTTGAAGGGGCCGGGCACAGATAACAGAAACAAGACCTGGATGTCATCAGGAATGGCAAGTGCTGTAGGGGCTGTCCTCGCTGTTGCTGTTGCCAATCCTAGACTTTCAGCTAGCTCAACCAGTTCTTTGTGATACTGAACGTTTTCAGCCACTCGCTGGTCATACCCACCAGCCAGTACCAACCGCGCACCCTGACGCTTTTTGGACGATAAATTGTGATAGGCTCTAATGGCGACGCCTACATTCTTCTTGCGCTCAAACCTGTTTATACTGAGGAAGATCTTGAATTTGCCGTCCCACAGTGGCTTCTCCTGCACCGCAGCTTGACTTGCTTGAGCTGACACGTCAACGCAAGGGTAGATTACCCCGACCGATCCGGCCAGATCCGGCCAAGTTCTAGCAGCCACCGATTTTGTGAAGGTCGAATTGACGACGATCTTGTCACTTGCACTCATGCTCCAGCCTTCCAGCCAGTCAAAAGGGAGCCTGTATATGGATTTGGCCAAGCCAAGCAGGCCCGCTGTGTGACGATCTGCTAGGAGCTGATCGGGGAAGTGGCAGTAGAACAAAGTGCGTTGTTGAGAAGGATACAGCCATCTCAGTAAGGGGACGCAGGCAGATAGCTGGTCAACCACAAAGACACTCGGCTGCAGCTGATCCAGCTCATTGCTGAAAAGTGAGATGGCGAGGACAAGGTGAATCTGACGGAGGATGGCAAGAAGAATGTGGAAGCGATTGAGGAGAGTGGGAGGGAAAAGGCTGTTGCCGCGAACTCGGACATCTAAGGTGCCTATACTCACAAATCTGTCAATGCTTTAGCCAACATCGTAGCGGAAGAGAGAGCTGTGGCTGACCATCTCGAGCTTCTTCGAAGCAATGTTGAGGATCACAGTGGGAAGTGAAGATGGTGACTTTGTGCCCCTGCTCTTGCAAGCCCACAGCAGCATCGACAATGAGACGCTCTGCACCACCGATACCCAGATCTGGATGGATGAAGATAACGCGTCTGTTGGATTCTGTTGATGCCTTGGAGACCTTGCCAGAAGATGACATGGTCGACAATGGTCATGAATCGCAGGGGGATTGGGCAAAGGCCGTGGGAAGAGTCTATGGTATGTACCTTGAGTTCTTGACCAGGAGGCAGATTGCGCCCACTCTCGGCTGACCTTCCACTCTGAGGCACGCTGCAGAGCAAGGTACTAACACTAATGCGAATACGAATACGATAACGAACGCCTGGGGAGAGGCGCCTACAAAGAGGCCACACGGCAGTATGGGATATCCCAGTCTATTCCGACCGATCCTATGACTATGCTGATCCCTGAGCCCTGAGCCAACTGTCTTGTTGCGTAAAATATTCGTCCCAAGGCTTGGAGCTATCCCGCCGAGCAAAAGCAAGGAATGTGAGATGCATTGGCGTTGCGCGTCTTTGTCTTGTAAACATGCTCGGCGGTGGCACCAAAGTCTTGTTCGTCTCCTGGGTCTGACGGTCGTCGATGTCTTGGAGGTACACGGACAGCTCAGATGGTACTGAATCTGTGGTGGCCCGTCGTCGTTGATGGATTTCTTGGACTCTTGGTGCATCCCCCAAGGTTCAAGATCCCACAAGGGCAATTTCCCGCAGCCGATGCCTGGGTTCGAATTGCGAGGGCAGAGATGGCTTCTGCGCAGAGATCCCATTGGCGGCGACGAACTCGACGAGTAGAAGCGCAGGTTGCATCGATCATCCCTGTCAAACCATAATGCACCAAGGTTATTCCAGATTGCGCTATACGGGGCTCCGCGGTGGTGAAGGCGCGAGAGATAAGAATAAGCTCATTTGTGCAATACAAGTAACAATGTCCGCCGCAGCTCCGGCTCGTTCGTTGTCGTTTCTATTGTCGTCTTCACGTCGACCTCTTTGACCTCTTCCGCTTCTTGACATTCGCTTCTTGCCCTCGTTGGCTCTTTCTCTCGTTGGGAAACTGCGCCCCTCGTTTCTACACCATTTTGTCCGGTTCAACGCCCGACTGTCCCTCGCTCATCACACTTTTTAGATCGCGTAATTCCAGCACTTCTCGATCAGTTGGTGCTGCGATAGCTTTCGCCATGGCCCAGGTAAGGCTGCTATCACCTCGATGTCGATCGCGGGACTGATAAAAGACAGTTCAAAGCTATGGTCCTCGCGCTCGTCGCGCTATTTGCCTCCTCCGCCTTCGCCGTGGCCCCTCTGGTCGTCAAAGGTGCGGATTTTGTCAACAGTATCGATGACACTCGCTTCCAGATCATCGGTGTCGCGTAAGAGATGGACTCTTGTACCGCGGTGGATGTCAATACTGACCTGCTTGCGATGCAGTTATCAGCCCGGTGGTTCCTCCGGCTTCGACCCTGCTTCTGGTGTCGACCCCCTCAGCGATGCTTCCGTCTGTCTCCGTGATGCCGTCCTCATGCAGAGACTGGGTGTCAACGCTGTTCGTGTCTACAATCTGGACCCCGATCTGGACCACACCGACTGTGCCAACATTTTCAACGCGGCCGGCATCTACATGATCCTCGACGTCAACAGCCCATTGCCCAACCAGTCCCTCAACCGGGGTGCTCCGTGGGAATCGTACAGCGAGACCTACTTGGAGCGTGTCTTCAAGGTGGTCCAAGACTTTATCGTTTTCAACAACACGCTGGGCTTCTTCAGTGGAAACGAGGTGATTAATGAAGACTCGGTGCCTCAAGTTCCAGCCTACATCCGAGCCGTGACCAGAGATATCAAGGACTACATCGCGGCTCATTCCGACCGCCCAGTTCCCGTTGGGTATTCGGCCGCCGATGTGCGCCCGCTCCTGATGGGTACATTCAATTACCTGTCTTGCAGCCTCTCGAACGAGACCAGCTCCAAGATTGATTTCTTTGGTCTGAACTCGTACTCGTGGTGTGGTGATGCCACGTTCGAGTCTTCCGGCTATGATGTCCTGGTCTCGGACTTTAGCAACACCACCATTCCCATCTTTTTCTCCGAATATGGCTGCAACAACGTCTCGCCCCGAACCTTCACCGAGGTTCCCGCACTGTACGGGCCGGAGATGACGGGCGTCTTCTCCGGAGGGTTGATCTACGAGTACAGCGAAGAGCCCAACAACTATGGCTTGGTGAACCTCAACAGTAATGGCACCGCGTCACTTCTCGTCGATTATGATAATCTCCGCAAGCAGTATGATGATCTGGACATTGCCTCGTTGGAGAAGGCCAATGCTACCGCGACCTCGTTGACACCCCCGGAGTGTGCCAGTAGTCTCCTGAGCGGTGCTAATTTTACCCAAGCCTACGATATTCCCGCGCGCCCCGACGGCGTGGACGATCTGATCAAGAACGGTGTGGATGGCACCTCTTCGGCCAGCAACGAGGCTGTCACCGACACCAAGCCCACCCAGACAGTCTATGCCACCAACGGGCAGGTGATCACTGGCCTCGAATTGAATGTTCTGGAGTGGGACCAGAGCAACTTGCCGGGCAATAACACCAGTGGAACTACCCCAGCGTCTCCATCAGGATCAACCGCCTCGACATCCACCAGCAGTGGCAGTACACCATCGAACACGAACGCAGCTCCGCGGGCCGACACCATCAAGTTTGGTTCTCTGTTGATGGGTGCTGCGGGTGTGGGCATGTACCTGCAGTTGTAAACCATCACCCGCCTTGCAGCAACGACACGTGTGACGTTGTTGAGAAGACAAAAGTCTATTTCTTCTTCGAGACTCACGATTCACTTCAATGGACATATTAGGGTTGGACTTTGCAGGAGCCAAGGTCTGTGCAGAACATAAGAAAGATCCATGCTGCCAATGATTTCATGAGCAGAGAGAAAGAATAGATACTCGTAGTATTGTACGGAGCACTCTCAAGGCCTAGTATTCACGTGCAAGGAGGCTTAATTGCCACAGTAATGGCTTGTCTCTTGCTTTGTGTCCTCCGGTCTCTGATCTCATGCCTCTGGCCTCTTGTATCGCTTCCCCTGGTGTCTCCGGCTAGAAAATCCCAACTTGGGCCCCGTCGCAGCTCGTCCAGGGGAGCAGGGAGGGCGCGTACCAGGGTTCAGGGTCTCGCGGATGATGTGATGGTCCAGCGACCGCGCAAATCTTGCTGGGATCGTTGCTCCTCTGGTGCATCATAGACATGCAGCCTGGGACGTGCTGTATTTCCCCGGTCCCTCTCGTGGTGCGTGCATCGAATAGCATCGTGATGATGTGTCAATGTCCCCGGTGTCGAAAAAGTCTGATCGCCGTCTCAGTCCTTGGCGCCACTTGTCGTCGACATCGAGCCAATGGCGGCGCGGGAAGATCTGCTGTGGCTGAGGCTCCATGTCGTCATGATGTGGCGAAGCAGCTGCTGATTGGCGGGTGCCCTGTTTTTCAGCTCCCCTCATGATGCAGCGATCGCCGCCACCACGTCACTGCGCCGCATTCGACATGACAACAAGACAAAAAGCATTTTACACCAGGTTACGAACTCAACAACCGCGCACAGGGGAATCTTGTCCCTGTCCAACCCGCTTTGGCCCCAACCTACAAAGACCCCAGCCTCCCTCATACTGCACTTGTTCTCATCTCCCTATCGAGAACTTCCATCCGACAACCAGCAACAGGCAACTCTGCGCTCATTACCCTTCTCCCCCTCCCCTACCACTCCCTCGTTCACACAAACACACAAACACACAAACACACCACAATGGCCTTTGGTGGCGCCCTCCTCCGCTTCGGCCAGACCGGCCTGCGCATCCTCGAATTCGCATGCGCGGCCATCGCCCTCGGCATCTACAGCTACTTCCTCGCGGTGCTGTCGAACCACAACATGAGGATCCCGACGTGGGAAAAGGCGGTCGAAGGCATGTCGGGCGCGGCGTGCCTGTACCTGATCTTCTGCATCCTGCTGACCCTCTTCCTCGGCGCGATCCGGTTCTTCGCCTTCATCGCCATCGTGCTCGACGTCTGCTTCGTCGGCTGCTTCGCCGCCATCGCGTACTACACGCGCCACGGCGCCAACTCGTGCCGGGGCTTCGTCAACACCCCGCTCGGCCGGGGCATCGACAACCAGTCCGCCCCCGGCGCCGGCGACTGGGGCTACGTGTGCAGCCTGAACACGGCCGTGTTCGCCGTGTCGCTGGTCAACGTCTTCCTCTTCCTCATCACCGCCGTCGTGCAGTTCCTCCTCGCCCGCCACCACCAGAAGGAGAAGCGCTTCGGCCCCAGCCCCAGCAACAACTACACCAGTGGCACCGGCCGCCGACCATTCTGGCGCCGAAACCGCAACAAGGACCTCCCCCGCGGCACTCGCGACGCCGAGATGGCCTCCGCTGGCGCCGTCGCCGCCGACCCCACTCACACCAACAACTACCACCACGGAACGACTGTCAGACCCAGCCACGAGACCGGCATGACGGGATCGACCGTGAACAACGGCGGCAGTTACCCTCTCGCCACGGAGCCCAAGTACGGTCAACCCGGTTACGGCAACACTACACACGGCACGAACTATTAGTTGACGAGCAGACGCTGCTCATGTCAAAACAAACAGCAACCTCTCCATCGAGGTGAATGGACAGCAACACATGCATGTACGAGTATTTTAAAATCAAGGAGTTAGCCCTCTGTTACGAAAATCAAAGTGAGGGGAAGATATCCGAGGGAGAAGGTGTATTGGGTTATTTCATACCTCGCGTGAAGCAACCCTCCTTGCTTCACGGCCCACGGTCGAATGTATGATCGCATGATCGTACCAACGGTGTCATCTCCGACCGGCAATCTATGCAGGCGAGATGACATGAAGATAGACGATGCATGACCGTGGTCACATGAAGGGAAGGAAAGAGAAAATCGGTGACAACCAGAATGCGCAAACAGGGTTATTTTACGAAGGTTGACGATAGATTATCACCAGGTATTCACAGCATACCTACCAAACTACCTCATGTTAATTCGGCTTATCAGCCACAGCTAATTAATACATCCATGAAAAGAAAATGAATAAAGTGATAAACCTGCTTCTTCGAGTGATACGTTGGAACATTACCAGCGTCTCGTGTATCTTCTTACGACTTGTTAACGTTATATCTATTCGACTCGGTGATTGGACGTTCTCAGTGAAACCCTCATCAATCACCGAGTGTTGTAACCAATTCTGTCACGTTTCGAAGTGCGACTGGCCTGAATTGTAGCTGATCGTGCTCTGCACAAGATTTAACTCGTATCTGTCACCAGCCCCAAATATGAAGCATCCATCCACTCAAGATCATCGGTAAATTCAGCTTCCGGAAGCGGCATGTCGTGCATGTCCCCCTCTGGGGCGATGTTGGATTCCTCTGGACAGTCACGCTTCCACTGTGCCATGTCCACGCCCTCGTCAAAGTGCCTACCGACGTGAGCCAACCGTTCATCCACACAGCTACTCAGGAAGCCACAGAAATAGCACGTGAGCTGGACGACGCTCAACTGCGTTGTATGCCTGAACCTATCTTGTGCTCCCGACGTAGCTGAGCCTTTCAGTGCAAAGGACCCCAGGTCAGCTTTATGCCAGCCGCGAAGGTGCTGCACAAAGTCCTGTTTTCGGTAGAAGGTGCGTTCGGTTTCTGGCCTGGTCCAACACCTCAGTGTATTGTGCCACGGGCAGTACACGCCTTTCGCAAATGGGCTTGCACCGCAAAAATCGCAGGATGCGCCGGGGCCCATCTTCTCGCAAATCCACGATTCCTCCAGCAAGTGTATAGACCTTTCGTGTTTCTTCCATATCTTCTTTTGAGCAAAGCTCTTGTCGCAGAAAGTACAGTGATACTTCCCTTGGGGCTCAAAAGCCTGCGTGAGCGATGGGAGCATATTGAAGGGTTGTTTGCTGCTGCTGCCCCATCGCCTCCGTCCTCGTCGACTACCCAATGACGCGTAGCTGGAGCGGGATCGTGCAGAACCAGCCGTAGATGCCGACGCTACAGATTTGGTCTTGCCTTGGTTTAGGATAGCCGTGGACAAAGTCGTGGTCAAATGTTCAACATTGCGTTCAGTGTCCAGCGAGTTCAACAGATGACTATGGTGTCCAGTCTCCCAACGGCGGCTCGAAAAAGCAGCACTGATTTCATTTTCCCACCAGCTCGATGTACCAGGTGTCAGAGACGGTTTTGTACAAGTCTCTGCTTCTCGCACAGAACCCTCTGGTCGAGCGAGTTTCTCTTGTTCCTCAATAAGCATCAAGGTTTCAGTAGTCCAATTGGCCAGTTCGTGTTTTATAGCCTTCACCACACTGCAGTCGATACCGTTTAGGGAGGAATGCAGCGAGGTACCCGGCTGGGTCTGTGACCACAGTGGACGCAAGATCAGCCACAGCGATGTTCTGATCTTGTCTAAATCACAGACAGGGTCCAACGAGGAGTCAAGGAGGCCACTGATAATGCCAGACAGCAAGTCCAGAGTTGTGTCGTCTAGTGAATAATATGCTTCCTCCAGAGTCCTCACAGACATCATCATTTGAGTCATTTCGAGCTCCAACAGCAAAAGTAGCCTCAAGAATGCCCTCTTCTGGCCAAGTGTAGAGTCTCGGACAAAGTGGCCCTTAGATAGAAGGATCATGTCGCATTGATTCAGTTGCCGATCCCAGAACACCTGAAACCTTCGCTGACTTGAACATGTACCTTGCTGAGAATTCTGGGGCCGGACCTCCTCCGGTAAGTGGCCAAACCACCACTCTATCATGGAGGGAGCATCTTGAGCTCGGTCTATTGTCGGACTGCTCCCGCGACCAGAACGGATGGATAAGTCTTCAGGGGTGCAGTTATCGTGACCGAGGTCGGAATCAGGCGCAGATGACGCTGACACATCCAAGGATCGTGCCCCTCTCTTGGACTCGGAAGCCTGTGAGGACTGCCTAGTAGACGGGTTTCGATCTCCGGGACCAGTGCGCATAGGGCGGGCTGTAGTAGGATCCTCGTCGAGCTGTCTTGCCAGCGTGTCTATGGAGCTGGAGCAATTCAGCATGGCATCGAGCTTACGTTGGCGAGTTCGACTCAGCCAGTCCCTCACTTGCTGAATTGTCAGGCCTGTTGACGCTGACAGGTCTGCTGCGGTTTCCGCACTCGCGTAGGGGCAGTCAAGATGCTTGACCAACCAGTCATGTAGAATCTTGATCTGGCGTGGGCTGAACTTGATTTTTTTCTGGTTTGGAAAAGGCATAGCTTTGTTATCGGAACCTTCCGCAGTCGTACTAGTCGTGGTTTGATTGGGTTGAGGAAAATCAATAGCATCATCTGGCTCGATGGGTGCTGAAGATGTAGCTATTAATGCAGACATATCATGTCTGGCGTCAATGGTGTCAATGGACCGGACTTTTTCAGTTGCGAATCCCAAGTCAGGGACTGGGTCCTGAGAGTCATATGCCATGAAGCTGTCAAAGTCGAAAAAGGATGTGTAGTCCAGGTGTTGATCTAGATCATCAGCACGAGCAGGGACTTCGGCACCTGGGAATGGTAAGGGAGCATCGGAGACGGGTTGTGAATGAGTGGCTCCTGCTACGTAGGAGCCAGTACCATGCTGGTCGCAAACATTGATTCCATCGCCGGCGTTTCTGCTCGAGCCTAGATTAAGCCCTCGCCGCGCCCCACTCATCTTGTTCCGCGAAGGAATCGAGGTCGAATTGACTTGACCTCGGGCGTGCGTAGGTCAGTTGATATCTAGTCAGCATAGTCGAAATGACTCTTGAGTAAAACTGGTATGAACTGTCCCCCAAATGCTGCAGTAGATTTGGAAAGGTGGTTGTGGAATGACTTCGATGTTGTCACGGTGAGGCTGACCAGCATTGAATTTCACGGTGCACGGCAAGGCACCAATCAGATTGCAGCACCGTGAATGCGAAACAAGCACCGTGTTGGTCTGCAGAGCGTCCAATGGTAACGCATTCGTGGAATCCGAGGTTCGACTGTACCTTAGATCATATATACATGGGATTGAGGATCAAGGGGACAAAGTCTTGACAATCAGGGTGCAGCGTGACGTGCTCAAATCATATTAGTAGGAGCCATGGAGGCAACGGCAGCAGCTCATCTCAGTACATCGCACTTGCCATACAGTCTTCAGCCCCGGAGTATCGAACAGAAATCGCCGTGAAATTCCCGGTCAACGCATCCTCAAGGTCTTCGCAGAAGTGGGAATTCTCGCTGGCAGATGCCCGAAGAATCGACCACTACTTCTCGATCATGTCACACACTCATCTGTCTCCCGAGGCGGTAGTTGGCATTGCCTTTGGCATCGTCGGGACAATATTAGGATTGCCCAGCATATATGTGGCCTGCAGGCATAACAAAGTTGAGAGGCGCGGACGAAGACATCCCGGTACAGCCACCTCATAAGATGGGGCTTGTCATGTCGACTAATGCTGATGGTCAACAGGAGCCCAAGCAGGTCAGATACAACTGCATAGCCCTGTGGCCAGGAGGAGACGATCGACGCTGTTCTGGGCGTACGAAGTCACTAGAGTGGTGAGAGTACAGGACGAGGTGCTGGAGTCGTGGGTTTGAAGGCCGTGGTGATCGTACTCGTGGGTGCAAGGAAACAGAGGTTGATCAAGAATGGGTTGAGGTGTCCGCGTCATCGTGAAGAGAGTGGTACATGTCGAGATTGGTGCGTATAATTGGGAGTGCCATGTTCCGTGTACCGTGCAGGGAGAATCCAGATATATTCAAGTAGGTAGAGAATGAGGGTGACTACCATGTACTGACCTGATGTAAGATGCTGTTATCTCTAGGCGGTTAGAAGGACGCGCTGCCTTAAGAAGAGGCTCATTAGGCTTCTGATTAGCGTGCCCACAGACCAGTTAAGCCCCATCGATAAGCCTTTCTAGCCTGGAACTGCCGCTAAATTCAATGACTGCGGGCCTGCGGCCACTGCCGGAACCTATATCGAAGCACTTCCTCAAGAAGTCCATCTGCACTCTTCGATCTTCGTTTCCTCACACGTTCAATACTACCAGAAGCCGTTTCACCCCGTTCAAAAGAGGAAAAAGAATCGAGAACTTCAGTCCCTTGCACCGCCTTCGAGATGGTTGTGAAAATGCGGCTCCAAGCGAGGCCGCCTCGATGAGCCCCCGAAACTCCCATACCACCCCAATCATCAAGACTTGCTCAACAATCATCATGCCCTTATCAAAGCGACCACCACCGTACGTAGAGGCGGAAGACCCCAAGAGGCCGCCGCTTCGATCGTCTCAAACCGAGGACCTGAATCACCACTCCATACCCGGCGATGAGATATCCGTGGACGAGCAAGCTGCTGTCCTGCAAGCAATGTCCCTGGAGTCACCACCAGGAATAGTCCAGTCACCAAGCAGCTATTCTCCCACATCTACCGAGTTCAGTCCTATAAGCCCCATCATAGCATCTGCTCCGACCACACCCTTGACACCAGCTACACCGACATCAGCAACGTCGTCCAAGTTCAAGTCGGTTCTGCAAGATGTTCGGTATTTCGCTGGTGGCCTGATCGCCCACCCTTATGAGTCTACCAAGCACTATTCCATTCTACGCCATTCTCACGGCTTGGTCTACTACAGTGGCTCCACGACTAATCTGGCCATCACCATCTTTTCGGACAGGGAGTTGCCACCCGATCGGACATTATGGCTGCAGCGCAAGGGTTTCTCCGGCAAAACTGGCTTGAAGATTGGCGGCCTGCTCGGCGCCCGGAGCACATGGATCAATGTGACTCCCACGGTCAAGGCGACCCCCGAGCAACTCAATCCGACTGACGAAAGGGCATGGCAGAGGGACATCAAGAAGTTTCTCAAAAAGGCCCCCAAGGAGATCCGTTCCCACCGAGTTCGCGAGACCGATGTACTCCGAATACCATGCGAGGCAGACGATGGCTATCTCAGGGTCGTCCTGTGTACGGCTGAGGGGAAGAAGGTGTTATGTGGAAGTCCCATATTCCGGCTAGCTTCCTCGACCACGGAATTCAGCACCCTCCGGGGGGCCTCGATCAAGACCATGCCGCTAGAGATGGGCATCAAAATCGGCCAGATCGTTGGGAACAACATCCTGTCAGCCACACTGACCCCTATCGCTGACCAGGCCAAGTCAGCGGTCACGGGTCAGGTGTCTCGGATCTATCAGCCCGGTTTGGCGGTGCAGGAAGCGGCGACCCTTGCATACGACAATAGCGGCGTACAGGACAAGATTGACAACGTGAATGAACAATATGACACTGCCCGGGAGAACGCCTACAGTTCCGTGCAAGAAGAGACGTATGATGCGTTGCAGCGACCGGATATCGTGGGCCCCGACACAGGTCCAGTGGCGCCATTCCCCGTTCGCTTTCACGGCAAAGTTGTGACGGGCACGGGTCGAAGTAGATCGATGTTGAACATCCCTACGGCGAATTTGTCCGGAGTGCCCGAGGACATCTTGGCGCGATACAAGGGTGTCTTCTTCGGCTGGGCAGCCGTGAGTTTGCCCAAGAAATTGGCTGCCGAGACTGCTGTGCCGAGTGACTGGTTCAAGGCTGTCATTTTCATCTCGCCGGACCCCGACAGGACGAGGACGGTGGTGCACAAGAACAGTGCGAGGGTGTATGTGCTGCATGATTTCCAGGGCGTTCAACTTGTTGATGCAAAAGTATCGGTGATGCTGATGGGGTATCTGCGAGCAATGCAGGATCTGAACCCATATGAAGAGCCCGACGTTGAATCTATGCAGTTTGACACGTACAAGGATATTGCCGTTACGACAGCGAGTCTGAACCGACCGGCCTGGACGGCTGAAGCGACCCTGGAGCGTGTAAAGTCAGCGGCGTCCAGTCGGACCATGAGTGAGCGGTACGTCGATTTCCGACAAAATACTCAGAGACAGATGGATCGAGTGCCGGTGAACAAACTTGGGATCCGGACCGAGGGAGCTGCGTTGAAGGACAAGTTGATTGGGGTTGGGGGCGTGTGGGTGCCGAGAGAAGCATTGTCATATACCACGTAGGTAGTGGTAGACATATGCAGAGGCGGTGGGTAATAATAATGTGTATCAGGTACTATAGCTAAGTAAGTACCTTATCGTCATTATTTTGGATGTGTGTGTCTGCCTCCTACGAGATACCTAATGTACCTTACTTTAGTATCCTGACTGATGGACATGCCTTAGATAATCCTCTGTCGGCGTTACAATGATCCGGGTCTCTCGCTCCTGTCGGCCAACCTTCCATTCTGTGGTGCTAAGTCACTTCCCCAGATTCGATCTAGTGCGATACTTTTGTATCTCATGATAAGTTATTGATAACCAGGCCGAGATTCCTATTGCGGTTTAGCTTACTCTGTCTCTCCTCATTTCGCCTCCTTCTTTCTTTGCCCCTCATTTTTCTCTCCCTCTCGCACCCCTCGGACTTTCCCAATTCAGGAAGCCGAAGCATCTGATCATCTTTCTTCTCAAGCACCACGTTGACGGGTGGCATGTCCGAGTGCGAGCATCCGGCATGTCCTTTTTCGAGTTAACTTGAGGTTGTTGTCCGTTCTGGCCCTCGAGCGGGGACAAACACCTGGTTGGTTGTGCGAGTAGAGTCTCGCGAGTTCGCTTCCGTCGCACGGCCAAAGAGGTCAGACAATCAACCCACACACGGAGAAAAGGGGAGACGGGAGGGAGGGACTTGTCCGGTTGTTTGCCCGGTGATGCCGCTGTCCTTTTTCTATACTCTTGTCTCTTACTGGTAGTCTAAGCGGTCGGATATTGTACTGTACAGGTACTTAAGATGGGATTGCTTCCAAGTTTCCTCCCTGTGTCGCATTGACTCGACTGGTCTTTTCTCATCTTCCCTCTCTCCCTCTCTCTCTGCCTTGGCCTCTGATTCTATCACCACCGCTAGCTCCGTTGCGGCCGCCGCAGACTCATCATCACCTCTCTCTCTCTCTCTCTTTACTTCGGCATTCTCACCTCCTGTTATTAATCGTGTAATCATACATCGTCGGTGGTCATCCAGCTAAGCTACTGGATATACACGGTAGTTGAACACTCGCTTATAAAAGGGACTCGTGTCTTTCTCCAACATCGCCAGCACACACAAACTCTCCAACCACCTCGGCAAGTCTCACCACCACCACCACACCCAGACACACACAACTCATTATTGACATCGTCTCACTGGCGTCTCACACGCCTAATCTTCCCACCACCCAAACGCTCAACTCATAATCAAAAACCATGTCAACAATGAACGCGGTCCGGTTCTACGGGCAACGAGACATCCGTCTGGACCAGATCCCAGTCCCGGCGGTGAAACCAGGGCAGGTCAAGATCGCGCCCAAGTTCTGCGGCATCTGCGGGTCGGACCTGCACGAGTACCTGGGCGGGGCGAACCTGATCCCGGAGGCGGGCAAGCCGCACCCGATCACGGGCGAGACGCTCCCGCTGACGCTGGGCCACGAGTTCTCGGGCGTGGTCGAGGAGGTGGGCGAAGGGGTGGCGCACGTCAAGCCGGGCGACCGGGTCTGCGTGCAGCCGATCATCTACGACGGCGACTGCCGCGCGTGCCGGCGAGGACTGGTCAACTGCTGCGACCGCAACGGCTTCGTCGGCCTGAGCGGCTGGGGCGGCGGGCTGAGCGAGCACATGGCGGTGCCCGCGAGCTGCGTCAAGCCCCTCCCCGACAACATCTCGCTCGAGGTCGGCGCCCTGATCGAGCCGCTCGCCGTCGGCTGGCACGCCGTGTCCATCTCGCCCTTCAAGCCCGGCGACTCCGCCCTGGTCCTCGGCGGCGGGCCCATCGGCCTGGCCGTCGTGCAGGCCCTGAAGGGCAAAGGCTGCGACAAGATCATCGTCAGCGAGGTCAGCCGTCGCCGGAGGGAGTTCGCCACTGAGTTCGGCGCACACCACGTCCTCGACCCCACCGCCGTCGACGTCGTGGCCGAGGTCGACCGTCTGACCGGCGGAGAGGGCGCCGATGTCGGCTTCGACGCCGCCGGCGTGCAGGTCGCCGTCGACAGCGCCTTCAAGGCCATCAGGGCCCGAGGCACCCTGGTCAACATCGCCGTGTGGGAGAAGAGGGCTACCTTGCAGATGAATGATGTCGTTTTCAGAGAAAGAGCCTATATGGGAGTGTGAGTGTGCTCCCTTTCCCTTTCCCTTTCCCTCGCCCTTGTCGTTCTGCCGTTTCCCATATCCCTATCCCATTTCTTCCGCCCCACACAAACAACAGTCGAGTGAGCTTCTAAGAACAAAACGAATGCTACTTCGAAAATCGCAACCCCCAACGCTGCTATATAACCCCCCGTAGCTAACACAGAAATCGATATTAGTGCAACGTATGCCCTGGGCGATTTCGAAGCCGTCATCGATGCCATCTCGTCTGGAAGGATGAAGCCAGAAGGTATGATCACCAAGAAGATCAAGCTGGACAAGGTGGCCGATGAAGGCTTCAAGACCTTGATCGAGGACAAGGATAACCACGTCAAGATATTGGTCGACGTGGGCGCTGGGATATGATTGTTTTTGGCGCGGGAAGGGAGGCGTGTGTTTCCAGCTGTGTTGTGGGACTTTGAAGAACGAAGGACGACGAGAAGTGATGATGTGTGAAAGTTTACCACGGTCGAAGCGTTGAAAAATCTTTGCATTAGCGCATCAAGTATCTTTGTCTACACATTCGGTGCTCTCCCTCTCCGTCTACTTGGACTCGGGGCCCCCCTTGGACATTGGGGCAATCCACCGGGAACTTGATCCTGTATCTGAGTAGATGATGATCAAGTCCGTACGATAATTATTGACATTCGGGAGAAGAGCGTTTGGAAGCGAGTAGACTGTGTTTGATCAAGTATCTGATTCCATGTTAGGCGAGAGTTGGTCCGACAATCTGTCATCGCGTCGACGACGTTGAATCCAATCCAATGAAATCTAGTTTCTATCCAATCATCGTCGTCTCCAGTGCTACCTCACCACACTACTACAACCATGCCAGGTATGCGCGCCTCGCAATGGCATCCTCCGCGATACCATTTCAACCCCGTACCAAAGTCCTCGGTTAGGTAGGCAGGCTCAGGCCTCGTGTCCGATCACTTCGGCGGCCCGACTCTCCATTTGACCAGGCGTCCTATTCCGGCCCAACCTGTTCAAACTCGACGCCAACCGACCCTCGACGTCGAGGGTATGGTCCGTGACCACGTGCCTGTCGATGTTGAAATGCCTGATCGCCGCGGACACGACCAGTGCAAGTCCGGCCAGGCCACAGAAGAAGCCAAACACGCCGCGGAGCCCGTATACGTACGCACTCACCAAGACATCCGCACGCCGTGGCGGTGACATTTCCACCGCGGGGCGCATCAGGTGGCCGAGGACATCCACAAACGTCTCCTCGGCGCCCTGTGGGCTCGCAACGTCCACGGGCAGGTGGAGACGTCGCAGCTTGATCCTCATGACGTTCTGGAACACCGAGCCGCCGATGCCGACGCCCAGAGCCATGCCGAAACTCCGCAGAAAAGCGTACATAGCGGTGGCCGCGCCCTCGTCTCCCGCCATGCACACCGCCTGAGCCGCCGTGTTGAGCGCGTTGAGCAACAGCCCGTGCCCGAGACCCACCACGACGAGGCTGACCGCCCACACCGGCGCGCTCGTCCCGGCGTCCCACACGATCGTGAGGCCTGTGCCGAGACCGACCAGCGCCCATCCCGTCCAGATGGCCCAGCGGTACGTCCCTGTCCGGCTGATGAGACGACCAGTCACCAGGGCGGCGGGGATGAGCGTTAGCATGACGGCGAGCATCGACACGCCCGTCCGTATCGGCGAATAGGACCGGACGGACTCGAAGAACAAGGGGATGTAGTATAATTGACCGTAGAGCTGGCGGTAAACACACACGGGGTTAGCGACGATTTGCCGTTGGTGGGTGCTAGAACAACAAGAAACAAGCAGAGTTCGGGGAATGGATGGAAGCTTACAAGGAGTCCCTGGACAAAAGCACCAGCGTAGAGGGCGAATGACGACCGAGATTGAAACAGCGAATGGCGCAGAAATGGTTCCTTTGCGTAAAACCTCTCGTAGACAACCGTGGCCACCAGACCCAGGAACCCCACGACGAGAGGGACCACAACCGCCGCGTCGGACCAGGGGAACTGGGTGCCACCCCACGATATGGCGATGAGAAATCCAGTGGCTGATGGGATAAACAGGAGCGCTCCAATCCAGTCGACTCGTGTGAACATCTCGCGCAATGTAGCCGAACGAGGTTTGAGCCTGACCACGAGAGGGACAAGGGTTAGGCCGACCGCACAGAATGGAAACATCAAGTAAAAGACCCAGCGCCAGAGACTCGGAGTTGCGAAAGCCCCGCCCACTAGAGTGTACCATGTGTCAGTATATCCTATCCTCATACGGGGTCCTGGGTTCTGATGAACCTGGATCGACAGGGGGTTGTTGTGCAGACTGGACGCCATGCAACCTACAGACTGGTCCAATACACGTCCCAATTGCCCATGCTACTTGTCTGTGAAGCTCTGTTAGCAGATGTGACATTGCGGCGGCCAATATAGGGTTTTCTGTGGGTGTGCACTACCTACGTTATGCCGACATATTGTGGACGGGATCTCAGAGGAACAATATCGGTAAAGATGACAAGGGAGAGGATGATGATTCCTCCTCCACCAACACCCTGGATTGACCGACCCGCAAGAAGGACTCTCATGCTATGTGCCACGGCACACAAGACGCTGCCGGTGGTGAAGACCAACAACGAGGCAAACAAGCAACGCGGCCGGCCGAAAATGTCACTCAGCGAGGCAATGAATGGCATTGTGACTGCACATGTCAGCAGGTAGGCCGTGCCGACCCAGAGGCCCTGAGTAGTGCTAGTGTTGAAAGCTTGAATGATGGTCTAGGGACGATTTTGTCAGAAGCAATGTCGCCTCGCGTGCGGTGCGGTGCGTGCCTTACCGACAACGATGTGATGATGATGGTGGCATCGACGCTGACCATCAAGGAGATGACGGCCAACGTCAACATGATGGCGAGTTCATGTCCAGACGGCTTCCATGGGGGAACATCACGGATTTCTGTCTCTGTCTCTGCCGGAACACGGCCGTCTCCGTCGATGCCAGCCATCGTACGTGGGATGTGTTAGGTGGCTTCGCGCGTTGGTAGAAACAATCAAGACTTGGAAGAGTGTAACCACATGAGTCGAGTGATCTAACTGCACACAACACGAACACCATCTCTGTCCCCGGTGAAGTTGCCAGCGCGATAACGCTAAGCTGCTTAAGCAGTCGGCCTGCTGCGTGTCTCCTCCGGCACCAGCAAAGATAACGGGAATTCAATTCTGGTCACTCCTGCGGTGAATACCAAAGACTGAGGCAGTGCAGTGAAATCGGGGAACAACATGACGGAAACGGATGATCCTCCCAAAACCAAGACCCATCAAAAGGACATGGCGGCTATGCCGGGTAGAGAGTCCCAGGCTCATCTGAATGCCACAAGCGACTTGGGGACCGGGCATAGACATGCTGATATAACAATATTGTGCAGACCCCCAAACCACTAACACCCGAGTGACGCTGTTCCTCTTTGGGAGGCATTACACGAGCTGACCCGGGGCGGTTGTTTTTCCGGCACGAGCTAAGATCTGCTCCAGATATCAAAAGCCTCATCTGGCAAGGCCGATGGCCATGTCTCCTCATGGCCGCGTTCCCCGAGGCAATGAATGGAGTTGATTTGAGGAGTTGATTAAGAAAGGAGAGGAGAGAAAGGCACTCGCTGAACAAAGTGGTGAGATTTCGCGATACCATTTTAGGCCAGACGAGAGGTCCACACCGCCGCCCAATCACAAGGCTTGAATCTCAGCCTCGTCGAGGCTTTGATACGAACATACCCAGGGCCATCAGTGTATCACGACATCGGGTATAATACGAACAGTCCACCTCTTGGTCGTGAAACTTGATTCTCCAGATACACTATATAGATCTGGCTACATCGACCGAGTACCACCCGTTGCCATGCTTCGTAAAAATCGATTGATTGGTACCTGGTGACTTTGCAATTCCAGCATTGCGTATGCTGTGTCTCATCATTGCAAGAAAGGGTGATATCTCGCGGCACTATGGCGGGCCAACACAGAAGTCTGGAATTGCGATCTCGTCGTCTTCGAGAGAGCAACGACGGTGTCCTATATAACGCTGACGATGGTCATCCTTTTGACATTCCTTCTCCCGACACCATACTTCAAACTCCTGAGCGATCTCCGTCACCAGAAGAAACTGCGCACGAACCAATGCCCGACACCCCCTCCGACACCTCGGTCACAGAGACTAGCAAACCACAGGACAAGCCCGAAGAACCAGAAATGGATCCTCGCAATAGCTCGAGCAAGAAGCCACAACCCGCCCCAAGGTCGACAACATCATCCTCTCGAGAGCAGCAACGACCCTCTCAGAGCCCCCAACGTGCAGACAGGGCCAACGACAGGACTTCGGAAGAGCGGTCGACAGCATCACTTGCCGGTGTACTCGCCAACCGGGGTGAGGCACTGCCTTTGACCATGTTCAGTGGATTGGTCGACGCATCGCCAGAGCTAGACAAGAAGCGAGAGTCGGAGTTGACTTGGGTCGAGGAAGAGCCTCAATCGAAATGAGAGTTCCCTGGAGGGACCTGATACCTCAGCAACCTGTGATACCAAAGCTATAGCCATAGCAGGCTAATGGGAGAGAGGTGGATGTCTTCATCATCGACAGTTAACATGGACAGTCTTATCCGCAGCGATAGTTTCGTTCTCAGTGTTTGTGCTTCTCGTAAAGTAGTAGGCGCGGTTTGAGTATGTGCTGCTGTGCCACCAATACCAAATCGAGATGAGCACAACGATGTCTGAAGTCGACCCATGTCATGAAGAAGTGTTCGCAAACTCGGCAAGGAAATGTGATGCGTCTGTATCTGACACAAGTGCGGTTCTTGAACCTCTTGAACCGACGTTGCTCCAGAATCAGTGGGTTGCGGATCGGTAGAAGATATTCAGACTTAATGAGAATTTCCGCTTAGAACAGAGGGGTTCGGACACATGTGCAAGGAAGACGGGATCCAGCACGTGAACAGTGGTGTTGGTACGTATACTTTCCCCTGCTTTGAGACGAGCTGGCCGCGTTTCTGTAGCACACCGAGTATTTCCGATTTGGGGCGCTGAGAACATCAAAGCGAGCGGATCACTTCTGCAGATATTGGCTGGCATGAAATGTTCATCCGTGTAGCCTGCCACCTGTAAGAAAAAGGTCGCACTAATGCTCGTGAGACCTCTAGGGAGTTCTGTCGGAGGCTGGTCACTTTTCCTTGTGGGAGTCCTTCTTGTGTTCCAGCTTTTTCAGTTCTTCTCGTAGTATCGTCTCTAATCCTTCGTTTCTTCTGGTCAACAGCATGACATCGTCGGTCTTGATGGTGGTTCTGCCGGCATGTTTGGCGAACGACTCAAGGTCAATGGCAACATTTCCTAATTGCTCATGTTAGCAACATCACCCTGCGAGCGTTGCTCGGGATCTGATTACCAATCTGCGCCCAGACTAACTCCATCAAACTCCCAATAAACTGTGGCGTGGCATTCACACCGAGGTTGATGCTCTCTTCGTCAACGATCTTGCCCACCTGGAACCACAGAGCGGAGCGTAGTTTCTGGTGGTGAAAGTCAGCAATTGTTTGGCATTCTGGGAGGTGGACAGGTTCAGAAATATCGTCATGTAGAGGCAACCTAACGTCACATACCTTTTGCAGAGTCTCTGCATCTAAGCCAGTTGTGGACGCCATGGTTAACATGTGGATGTTATCGCAAACGATCGATGGATTGCTACGGAGTACTTGTTACTTGACGCGTTGGAGACGCGACCTGCGGCGCTCATGTTCCACCGTAGGGATATAGGGTCGATCATTTACGAGGTATGTCACACGCGGCGAAGGTCTTCGAGACTCCGTATTCCTTCCTGCTATTAATACCTTAATGCCATCATTGTACTCAAAAGTCTTGATGTTCTTATGATTCTATATACATCTACTCATATAGACGATGCTTTCGCTGTTAACCGATGTGACGCTTCGGTGATGCCGGCCCTGTCGACTGTAACACAACAGCCTGACCTCCACGGCTTGATGCCGCGAGCCAGCCACATCCAGAAATAGTGGTCTCTATCGCTCATCGCGTTGATCATCTCCTTGTATTTCCTGATCTGATGTATGCTCTTCTGTCCTCTTCAGTCGGTGGGTTCGACCGATCGAACAATCATCCTTACTCCAAATGCACCCGCTTGAAACCATGTCAAAAGACAGTGCTGAAACAGGTGGCATGCACACTTCGGTCTGATGTGCAAGTTATCGAGAGCCGAAATCATCTGCTGATCTAAGATAGCTGTTGCTGCAGATAAGTTGGCAACAGGAGATATTGTAGAATCCGCGCTGAATACTGCAACCTGCATTTGAAAGTTGGTCGGATAGAAAATTAAAGTCCTAAACTGAATGGTCTTAATTCTTTTCATCCTCCGGAGAGGTATCTGCCACGTCTTCGTCCTCCGGAGAGGTGTCTGGTGCATCTTCGGGGTGGCCGATCCCAGCCGCTATCTCGTCTCGAGTCAGTTCGATGTCAGGATCATAAGTATTGAAGAATTTGGTTGCGCCAGTCATAAGCCTCTGTAGGTTGAGTCGAGTGGAAAAGACGAGCCTTTCTGATTGGGGTTTTTCGAAAAGGCCCTCATGAACAGTGATGTCGCTGTTTTTGCTGCGTGGGCCTGCTGGTCGACTGACGCCGACCAAAGTAGGGAACGATGAGATGCAAAAGGTCTGAGTGTCTTTCCGTTTACAAAAGCCATCATAGCCCCTAAACACCAAAGTCAGTCGGGATCCTCGAACGCTAAAGCCACAAGAACGCGAGGAAGTCCGCACTTACCAGTCGACGGGTCTGTTAAAGGGCGACATGCTCATGTGAAGGAGTGCTTTTCGAGCTCCGGCAAGTGAGACGGCCAAACCTGCAGTACATACTAAATTCCAGTGATTATGTCAGTCAGGTCTCATCCACTAGGTCGATGACGGTGCCGAGCAAGTTGGGAAAGGAAACTGGTCAAATCACGGGGCTCGACTTACTGCCGCCAGAAGAACGGAATACAATTCGTGTGTCGTTGACAGCATTGTCTGGATGATCCCACTTGGACATGTCTGGGTTTTCCATCCAGTACTTTCTGTGTGGTACCGGTTCGACTGTTGGATCATTGGTAATGACCCACCGCCGCGGATCTGACTTCATTGTGAATTGGGCACAGTGGCCCACCCACAGCATATCCCATTTGTCGCCGTATGGGGATCTTGAGACCGCGTCCTCTTCCACATCTTGTATATACCTCGCACCACGAGCCAATTGTGTTAGTTGTGCGCGGATGCCGACATCCCAGTCGGCATCGTCCTCCAAGATGAGTGCTGATTGGATGTTCTCCTTAACGATCCTAGAAGAAGCGGTGAGATGCTAGATTACGACTGTTGATTATAGGATGGATGCCTCCTACCTTTGTAGCACGTCCAGGTGCGCCCGCCAGCATCCCACAACATTCGGCTTTTGGCTCATTTTCTGATTCGTCAGCTTGCACGCATTGATAGAGTGACTGTCGATAGCTAAGGGATATTTTGAGAGCTAAATAGACTTACCCAGGGCAAAGCCTTCTTGTCGACCTCGTCTCCTGCGACACCATCGACAAATTCCACATCGAAGTTTGTGAGAGAAGCTTGGACGGCAACGCTGTCCCGTTTGTCACTTCGTGATGGCATAGAGATTGCGAATATTTTTTCGAACTGTCCCCTCACACGAGGCATTGATAAGTGACGGAACCCTAAGAATCAAGGGCGGAGAGCAAGCCTACCCCAAGGGTTCTGTTCGATATATCGTCGAGAGACCCGGTTGAACCCATAGGCACCGTCTCTGCTGACGCTGACGCTGACGGCGACGACGGCGACGCCCGCAACTCCTTCACCGACAATTCGATCTCTCGCAGATATGCCTTGATCGAACTCCACTGCTCTGAAGAGGGCTGTGAACTAGTGGAGGTCATGTTTCTGAGCCTTTGAAAGTATGTGGTTGTGTGTCCAGTAACTTCATTGCTGCGATCGATACTCGCCAAGGTTAAGAAGAGGACGAGCGCAAGCGCAGTGATTGCACCACAGACAACACGCTTGTTGCTGTAGAATATTGATGATGACATGGTAATGATGGGGCCCTGGTGGTGTCGTTGTTGAAAGTCGAACTACTGGTCACGCATTCGAGTCTCATATCGTGGTTATAACAGAGTCTGGGGCCAAATCTCTCGTTTCTTGCACGCGACACACCCCCTTTCGTGCTCGGCGTTGGCACACGTCGGCTGCCTTGACACATGATTTGAAGCTTCGGCTCTGGACATGATAGATTTGACAGCCACGTCAAGCCTCCCGCCTCGCGAGACTTGATATGGCGGGCCTTTTGAGGCTCCGGCTGTTAGAAACATCCACCATTCTCAAGACACGGACCCGAAAGACCAACTCGTGGGGATACAGGCAGCGGATTACGTGGGCTATATCTTGAATGTCTTGCGAACCACCGTGAGATACCTGTTGTTCATCGATGTGCCGTGCTTGCGGCTGATAAGGAGGATCCGCCGAGCCGAATTGTACGTAAATATGACAGCTAAGCCTCACTAGCGGTTTTAACTCTTCACGGGGCCGCTGGTAGTGGCTGATTTTCAGCACTAACGGAGGCGCTAGTGTCTAGTGCGGCTGATAATGGTGCTAAATCGACGTGCTCAAGGGGGTTCATCTGCGTCGCCCAAATCTCGCCATCTTCACTGGCAGCTTGGCGCAGCTTGGCGCGCTCTTTTCTGTAGACGACGTTCGTTTTCCCAGGCCCCTGTGTCTCTCATCTCGCCATTTTCCGTTGATGGCAGCAGTGAGATACCCGATTCATTCAGGAGCACGAGCGGACCAGCTAGACCTGCGATGCTGCCTCCGCACGGGAAAGTCGCCGCCAAACGCTAACAACGGCGTTCCTCGTTGATCTCCCCAGATTTCGCTCTGGTGTCTCCATCAGCACCTCTCGAAGTGTTACAGCAACGTGGAAAGGGACACACAGAACTAGTGTCACAAATCTGGGCTAATCAGCGTACTCCACGATCTGGCCGTGCGAAAATGTGAGCCGAGAGAGTCTCCTGACGGGGATCATGGAACTTGTCACAACATGGCTTTGCTTGTTTCTCAGATTTCATCCCGTTCCCTCTCCCACGGCGAATTTGACGGCCTGGGCAAAACTATCTGACCTGCCTTAGTTCAAACCTTCCACGTTCAGAAAGAGGTGAGCCGAGATATTCTGCCTAAACAAGGTGGCGTAGGCAGTGTGTACATGGTGGATTTCGAACATTCTTACGGATTTCAGAGAAGCCGATTATAAATGTTTGGACCTGGTGGTGTACCCTAGACGACTCGAAGGTGCAACGGGGAAATGCCTCTTATAGCTTGGGGAAGCCTTTACGACCCAGCCTCTCGCCCGGACGTACAGACTCGGGCTAAGTTCTGACCAAACTGTCCACCCGCCTTGAGTCGCCATGTTCGGCCATCAACATCAAGGCAGATGCCATTGATAAATTGGGCCGTGTCACCAAACAGAAACACCGTGGCGTCTGCGATTTCCCTGACAAGACCAAAGCGTTGTTGAGGGATGTTTCTCCAGGATTCTTTCCGCGCGTAGATAGCTACCAGCCGATCCGTGCCCTCAGTTCCTGCAATCGCGCCCGGTACGATGAGGATAGAAGTCACCCCTTGTGCACCGTTCTCAAGTGACGATACATCGGAGATGGCATTCACCCCTGCTTTGGCAGCGCATGCATCAGCCCGGGCCACTCTAGCATGTGGTAATCTGTCGAGCTCGCAAAGATGATCTGACAACCGGTGCCTTGAGGCGCTGTCGCTGTCTAAGGTGAGATTCAACAGCCCCTTGGAGATGCTTGAGGAGATAACAATTGCAATACCTGACTTTGCATCATCCTGATGCTGCTGTGCGGAGCCCGGGAGGTGTGGACTGTCGCTTCGACCGTGACCCATGAAGCGATGAGATCGATGTCGATAACAGCCTGAAATGCATCGACTGACATGGTGTCTGCCAGTCTTGGAAGTTTCCTGCCGTACCGCATGCTCTGTACAAATCGTTAACGTTGTCACCGCTCAGACTTGGTCTTTGGAGCGACCTACATGACAAAGTCGATACTGCCCAGTTCTCTTTAGCACATCGATCGACAGCAGGCTTGAAATTAGCAAAATTCCTCACGTCAACGTCGCCAATACACAGAATGATACTTGGTTGTTAGGCGATGGTACAATGCCCTGCGACACTTTGGCTCGGAAGGCTGCAAAGGCATGGCTGTACGGGACAGGCAAGAAATTACTATCTATGCACGTGCAAAGGTTATGCATATCCATGCTCGCGCTGTCCCGCATTCTGCTCTATGACTGCTGGAACGAGACGGTGGGACCCAACCACAGCACATGTTGGATGTCCCAGTCAAGGCCAAGGTCAAGGCTCGTTCACTTGTGAAGGCAAACTAAAGTCCGCATTGTATCGCACGCTGTTTGGAAAAAACTTCATTAATTGCGGAACGCATGACGGAATAGCTATCATTACTCAACCCTTTGCTACCAGTGTGCTCTTGGAAACCACCGTCTGTGCCAAAGACGTGATAGGCACAGCTGCGAGAATATCAAACACCGTCACATCTGCCGAGGCCTCCTTGGTCAACCAATTCCGAATTTCGACAGCCACAAGAGAATCAACGCCGTATGAGTGCAGCGGCCGACTGCTATCAACCTCCTGGGCCGATGTCTGCATCATGCTCGCAACCTTCTCTACGATACCCTGTGTCGCGGCTTCATAGGCTCCTTCGACAGAGACTGCACTAGAAAGTCGAGCCTTCAGCGATAATTGTGCATCTTCACTGTTCGCTGCACCACCTTCTCGGTGCCCTGTCCACTCAAGGACTGAGAAGCGCGGATCGTCATAGTAGAACGGTCGTCTGATACCAGCAGCCGCCACGCCACCTCCGGTAGCGAAGCCCGTTAAGATCTGTGCCTCGACGCTGTCGTCACCGGCGGTCTCGCTCTCCATGATCTTGCGGATGAGGGCGTGCAAGTCAGTCTGACGGATACCAAAAGGCTCTTCCCAATCTTTGAGGTCGCGACTACCGGTCGCACTTCCCGTGGCTAGCACACCAACATCTCTCATGATTCCGAGATCGATCGAGACAGCCCTGAGCCCCAAGCTCCGCCGGTAATGGGCAAAAGCGTCCTCAAAGGCGCCCGCGGCTGCATAGTTAGCTTGGCCACGATTACCAAAAACACCTGCAAAGGAGCTGAGGATGATGAAGAAATCGAGATCGCGAGGGAGGGACTGATGTAGGTTCCATGTTCCTTGTACCTTGGGCTGGATCGACTCTGTCCATTGTTTGTGGGTCATGTTTTCGAAGAGAACATCCCGCAGCACCATTGCGCACTGGAAGACTCCCTTTATCGGCGGCATGTTTGTCCGGCAACGGTCAATCACTGCTTTGAGCTCAGATCCATCGGCAATGTTGCAACTGTACGCCGTGACGGTGACTCCTTGCTTCTTCAAATCTTCTAGCAGAATCCGTGCTTCTTCGGATGACGGACCTGAGCGAGACAGGATGCAGATATGCTTTGCTCCATGATCGGCAAGAAGGCGGGCCAAGCTGTTTCCTATGCCCCCAAACCCACCAACCACGATGTAGGTGCCATTTGCCTTCAATCTCAGCTCCACCGAGGGATTCCGATGAACCTTCACGACAGAATCGGGAGTGAAGGACAAAACAAGTTTGCCAATGTGCCTACCACTTTGCATTAGGCGGAATGCATTCTCCATATCGGAAACAGGGAACGCGGTCAGAGGGAAGACCGGCCGAGTGACCTTGCGCCTCAGGAGGTCAAAAGTGCCTTGTAATATGGTTGCCATCAGCTCGGGTCGGGCATTGGTCACATGCTGGAGGTTCAGGAACGAGAATGTCGCGTCCTGGATGAATGGCCGCATATCAAGACGCGTGTTGCCCAAAATATCCTTGAGGCCTATTTCCACGAAGGTGCCAAATGGAGCTATGCAGTGCCAGGTTTGTCGCAGTTGCTCTCCAGCTAGGGAGTTGAGGATGCAATCCACGCCGCGTCCTCCCGTCATACGCTTGACGGCTTTTGCGAAGGAGGTGTCGCGGCTATGGAAGATATGGTCATCAGGAATGCCATACGTCTCTTGAAGCAGGGCTCTTTTGTCCGCTGATCCTACAGTGGCAAATATTTCCATTTCGTGGTGCTGTGCGAGTTGAATGGCTGCTTGTCCTACGCCACCAGCGGCAGCGTGGATCAGGATGGATTGACCTTTCTGCACACGCATGATGTTGATCATGGCATGATAGGCAGTAGCGTGGACTAGTGGCAAACCGGCACCCTCCTCGAATGTTATGTCGTCCGGAAGCAGTTGACAGAACATGGCGGGACTACGGTAGTGGGTTCTGTGTGCGCCGTGTCCGAGGCACGAGACTCGTTGTCCGGGCTGAATGGAGGTCACGTCGCTTGCCACACGTGTAATGATGCCAGCAGCCTCAAATCCAAAGAGACGGTCAGGAATCTGACCCATGGCGACCATGACATCTCGGAAGCTAGCGGAGATCAGCATATGCCCCAGTGACGAACATGTAGACTGGAAGATGAAACTTACTTGATGCCTGTGGCACGCACTTCGATCTCGACTTGCCCAGGCTGCAGGTCTGAACATGCAGACTCGTCAGACTCGAATTGAAGTGAGTCCAGCATACCAGGAGCCCCGATGTGGATGCGTTGGGGACCATGACATTTGTTCAATGGCATGAGCTCAACTTTCCCCCCATGAAGATATGCCGATAGTTCTTCGTTGAAATTTCCATCCTGGAGTGCACGGCTAACGTGCAAAATGCCTTCTGTCTCGACAAATTCGGTTTCGGCGCTAGCACAAGTTGTGAGCTTGACAATGTGAGACGCAAGACGGTCTGGCAGCTCTAGGGACTTTGACATTGCCTGCAGTGTGCGGAAACGAAGGCTGGCAGACTCATTTTGGACACTGCGCGCAAGACCCGAAGCCATTGAGGCTGTGGGCTGATCATGGGAAGTAACCCAGAGAATATCTGAGGCTTTCAGGATGATATTGTGCAAGAACAGAAAGTCGTCTTCGCTCATGGTCGGGAGCAAAGCTTGCTCGACCTCAGCGAGCACGATGAATTTTCTGGTCGTATGCGCGGCAGACTTGTCTCCCCACTTGATGAGGCTGCATTGATAGGAAGCTTCGCTCAGATCCAAAGCGATCCTGGAGCCGAGAGCAGCTGAAACCCGAGTAGGGTCTCGAGGTTCGATGATGACGACGTCCTTGTCGGGAGCTGCTATGTCGGAAGCCGAGCCGGCAACTTGAGCCACAATGAGACTGAACTGCTGGATTGTCTTGTCCTCAAAATCAGGAGTTTCCATCAAAATGTCGAAGCCAGCGCGCTTGAGGGGCGATGTCCTGTCTGATGCTGCCAAATCAGCATTATCAGGCGTCCGACTATTCGCAACGTCAGTATTGTAACCTAAAATCGGGAATATTTGGCGGAAGCTCACCTCCACCAGCTCTTCAAACAGCCCAAAGCACAGGACAGCTGAACCCCAGGACTTGTGGTCTCGATCAAAAACAATCGCCCACCCGGGTTGAGCATGCGTTTGAGGTCTGCGAGAACAAATTCTATGGAATCAGCGCCAAAGAATGCCGTTGGAGCAATGACGATGTCGTATTTCTGGGCTTCGGCTGCCTTCTTCTCGGTTGTGTTGAGATCGTCAACCACGAATTTCAAGGCAGAACTCCACGGTTTTAGCGTCTCCTCGGCCAAGGTCTTGATTGCTTCGGTGGGACAGGCATATGTGTAGTTGGTGAAGATACTTTGTCGCTTATCGAGTATCTTGGCCGCAACACCTCCACTTGCGCCACCGAGCTCCAGGATAGAGGACGCCGGTTGCGAGAAGAGGACCATGTCCACATACTAATGCATTGTTGGTTACCATTGAGCTCGAAAGAGGGTGGGATGGTACTTTACATACCTCAGCAAGCTTGTTTGCACAAGCTCTCACTCCAGGAGTGTTCCAGAGATAGCGATCTACAAGGCTCTCCTCGACCATCAACTGTTCCGCCTTGAGTTGTCCCAGGAGGATTTGTGTCAAGACTGTAGAAGTCAGGTAGAGCTTCTGGTCGTCGGAATCCACCGAGTGGAATTCCGAATTGACGTCCTTTGCGATCTGGACCCGTAGGTCATCGCCGAATGAGTGTTGGAGGGGATGGGTGCCGGCCGAGATGAGTTCTTGCTGGTGCTTCATCCACTCGTACAGTCTTCGAAGGTGTGCCTCTGGTGCCACACTACTTGGTTTCACCCGGTCTACGATCTGTCGCATGAACATCAGAGCTAGGTACTCCGACTTCTTGAAATGTTTGGCCTCTTCATCTTTCATGCCGAACGTGCCGATACGATTGACAAGCTCGACTTGTTCTGCATTTGACAAGAGATCAAGACACGGCTTCCAGACCAGCTTGCTACATATGCCGCTTCCTTTCAACTTCTCGTCGTCATCAAAACCATCAATCCCAGAACCGGAGAATGCAGCACAAGTAAAGCCTCGGACGGTGACCAAGGGCTCCCTGATCATGTCGTCCAGCATGACCATGTCAGCCTTGAGCTCCTTCATGCCGTGTTTGGCAGCGGTTGAAAACCCCTTCAGAAGTGAGCCTGCCTGGAATGGAGTATTAGCTGCGATGATGACTTCGTCAATGGCGGTTGGGACCATGGCTTCCTTCAGGCCTTCGGTGCCCCCTTTCAGTGCAGCGAAGGAAAGGTGAAAGATTGCATCGAGTGTAGCTGGATGAATGATGTGCGGTCTACCTGCTTGGACCGCCGCGGCGATCGAGTTGGTGTTGGGAACTTGAACATCACAGACGCTTTTGCCAGCTGAGTGTGCAACGCTTGTCACACATTGAAAAGTCGGTCCATAGACAAGACCTACAGCGGCAAGCTCTTTGTAGAAGTCGTCTGAGGCCTCTTTGGTGACACAGTCCTTCTCCATATCCCTGAAAGTAGCCGCCAAGGTTTTGTTCTCGAGACTGATTTCGGTTTGTGCGGCACTGTTCTCGACGGTCTGGTACTCGACAAGTATCAAGCCTGTACAATTGACTTTGAGTTGGGTGGTTCCCGCTGGACAGGTTGAGATAGTGAACTCCAACCAAGTCGACGAAGCGCCCCGAGTTCCTGTTTTGTGCGGTCTCAGCTGACAGATACATTCGATGTTTTCTCCTTCTTTGAGGACGACTGCTGAAGAGATTATGACGTCCCGGAGCCTGAAGTCTCTGACTTCGCGATTGATATCACTCATCTGTCTGGCAGCTTCAATGGCCATGACGAGATAGCCTGCGGCAGGATAGAGGATTGAGGACTGGATCTGGTGGTCTTCGATCCAGGGCTCTTCCTCGATGCGAAGGAAACCACGCCACAGGGCTTCATCGCTATTGAGTGACGGGTATGGCGCTCCCAGAAGGCCGATCGATGGGAATTTGCGCAGGCGAAACTCTTGTGCGAGCCGAGACTCCCCCCAGAAAGTGCGTGAGTGATTCCACGCATATGGTGGAAGGTCTGTGAGCATTTGAGGCTTCGCATCTTCACCGGCGTTGTTGATCTTTTCAATGTCGACAGCTACCCCGAGGACAGCTAAATCTCCACAGCAGCTAAGTGCGCTATCGACGGCGTGTTGGCCTCGTTGAAGCACGGATCGGTATTCAATTCCCTTGAAGCCCAGACTATCTAGGATTTGATTGACTGGCCCACGAAGTGCTGGATGAGGCCCCAGCTCGATGAAGATATCGACGCTTGGACTTGCGCAAGGTCTTCCTTCTGGATCTGTTTGCACCAGAGCTGACACGGAGTCTGTGAAAAGCACCGGTGACACGAGGTTCCTCACCCAGTTCATGGCTCCGAGTTCTAATGGATCCGCGAGATCTCCGGTGACGCTCGAGAACATTTGACGACCCTGAAAAGACTCCTGAGCCTGCACATCGCTCAGCGAGTGCATGTACATGGACGCGATCGTCTGCATATGGGGCGAATGGTAAGCAGTGTTGACCTTGAGCTTGCGATGGAAGACGTTTTGCTCCTTGAGTAGAGCTCCCAGCTGGTGAATCCCCGTAGCGTCTCCAGAGACGGTCACACTTGATGGTGAGTTCACGCAGGCTACCACTAACTGTCCCTGCGTCACTTGAGATATGTACTCTTGTGCTTGAGCCTCAGAAGCTCCAACAGCCATCATGGCTCCTGAGAGCTCTGGAGCAAGAGTTTTCAACTGTGATGACAAGACTCCACGATGGAAAGCGATCTTCCACGCGGCTTCCTTGGTGATGGCTCCAATGCAGTAGGCAGCTGCAATCTCACCGCTGGAATGGCCGACAACAGACACTGGTGTTATGTTCCATGAGGATAAGAGGTCGACCAATGCAACCTGAACAACAGTACAAAGAGACTGGCTGTACTCGGGAAGGTCGATGTTGGATGTTGCGTCGTTTTTGAGTAACTCTTCGCTTGCGTTCCAGTGACAGCCTTCCTCCCGACACAAATAGTCACCGGCAGCCTTGACACTGTCTCGAAAGACTGGGTACCGGAGCAGCTCGATGCCCATTCGAGCCCATTGAGCTCCTTGGCCTGTAAACACAAATCCAAGTCGTGGATTTTCAGCGATGGGCCGTCCTGATGGACTGGCACTATCGGCGGCCTCGAGTTTTTCGACGAGAGTATCGATTGTTGAAGCAGTTATGTATGTCTTCCAAGGATGCTTTGTCCGCTTGTTGCTCAAGGTGAAAGCCAAATCCCGAAGCAACGACATTTCATCAATGCTGTCTGTGCTGGTACGCTTCTTCGATCTCAGGTATCGTGCTGTCGACTCCTTGAGCCTCTTCAAGCCAGATTGATCATGTGCACTGAAGACGAACAGCATTTCTTCGAGAGGCTCGACCGAAATTTCTTTGACATCTTTCTCATCGTTGCCGTTGAGATGAAGTGCCTCGGCAAGTGTCTGCTCTGGAAGCTTCTTCAAGGATGGTCTTGCATGACCTGGAACAGCGGACAAGATGCCCGCGTAGCGAGGTTCTTGCAGGTGATGTTCAACATCTTCAAGGACAGCGTGGGCGTTGGTGCCACCATAACCGAATGAGTTGACACTGATCCGGCGAGGCCCCTTAGCTGGCCAAGCCATCTTCTTTGTAGGTACCATGATCTTCCACTTGTCGAATGGGATGGAAGGATTCGGAGTCTGGAAATGCAAGTTTGCTGGAATTATTCCGGTTTCTAGTATGTAGACGGATTTGATGAGGCCTGCTAATCCTGCGACAGACTCTAGATGACCGATGTTTGATTTGACAGAGCCAACTATGAGTTTGTTGCGCTCGCTGCGCCCCTTGCTGACTGTGCGAGAGATGGCTTCGAGCTCCACTGGATCTCCGGCCTTTGTACCAGGTCCGTGGGCTTCGAAGTAATGCGTGTCTTTGAAGTCGATGCCAGCAGACTCGTAAGTCGTGCGGATGAGCTCGGCTTGTGCATCCGTACTGGGTACCGTAATCCCCTTGGTCTTTCCATCCTGGTTCATCCCGGTGCCTCGAATGACGGCTCGTATATTATCGCCGTCACGGATCGCTTGGTCGACTGGCTTTAACATGAGCGCAACAACGCCTTCGCCACGACTGTATCCGTCACCACTTGCGTCAAAGCTCTTGCAGAGCCCATCTGGAGAGAGGAACTGTTGCCGTGTCAAGCCTATGAACATCATGGGATCTAGCAAAAGATTTGTGGCGCCAACAAGAGCCATATTGGACTCTCCCGTGCGGATGCTCTGACATGCCAGATGTAGAGCCACCAGCCCAGATGAGCATGCTGTACCCATGGTCACGCTCGGTCCACGAAGGTCATAAAACCACGATAGCCGGTTCGACAAGAGTTCGGCCCCTGCCCCAGTCACAGCATACTTTGGCGCGGCGTCTGGATCTCGAAACAAGATCTCTCGGTAGTCATTTGTGAATGCTCCGATGAAGCATCCGGTTTTGCTGCCAGCCATCGAGTCCAGGGAGATACCTGCGTTCTCAATGGCTTCGTATGACACCTCGAGCATCATTCTTTGCTGAGGGTCAATGGCTTGCGCTTCATTCTGATTGATGTTGAAAAAGCTAGCATCGAATGCCGCAATGTTCTGCTTCAGGAAATGGCCACCTTCGACATGGGATGTGTTGAGACGCTTCTTCAGTGGATCATAAAAGGCGCCTGTCTCCCATCGTTCTGGTGGCACTTTGGAGTATTCCGCTTCATTACGATTCGTCAGTTTCTGATTTGCAGGTCTTCAGTCCCAAGGTTTATACTCACATCTTGCTTTCAGAAGGCTCTCCCAGAACGAGGCGGGCGTTGACGCCTCTCCAGGAAGTCTGCATGAGAGACCAATTATTGCAATCGGCACATCTGTGGGTTGGGAGGGAACATGGCCTTCCGAGTCTGAAAGGTAAGGCATCTTTGTGCAATGGTGAAACTGTGTGTAGCTACTATGTGGCAGCTTGAGGAATTTGGAAACAGCCTCCAGTCCTCCAGCTCCTGTGAGCGTGCTGAGGGTGATAGGTTTGCTTGTTGTCAAAGCGAAGAGATAGCCTTATGTCTGATGATGAGCGCTATCGGCAGATGATCTACCCCTCTGCACTCTCTCGATCCTGACTCTGGAGGGTGGTCTTGTTCGCTACTGGAATCCGTATCAATGCCCCTACACTACTCTGGATTGTTGGGGTGGACGCCTCGTCTACCGTGTCTGATATACCATGTCAGAATCCAGAAAGGAGGGGCCACTAGTCCCGGTGGTCTTCATGGTAGCGCGGAGTCCACTCTCCCGAGCCTGTCTTACTGTTGACCAACCTCGATGAAGATGTGCACATCTGGTGATTCGCTATCTGACTGTCCTCGTTCGAAGCCCAACTGACCTGCTCGAGACATGCCCTGTTGCACACTCCAATGGCCCCAGCCAAAAGTAGTGTGTTGGGACTGAGCTCGGGTCCAGCTAGCCTTGCTGATATCGAACTATCGCCTGCACCTGGCAGGGAGTGTGTGCCACTCGAGCGGATACCGCGTACCTGGTATCACGGCTTGAAATGACAAGCCTGTATTGGCGATACCGCGTGTCCGTACTGCTTATGTTTACCCACCTGTGCATTACGGCTAGTACTCTTACAGCCTAGTCGTATCAGACACAGACATCCCTCTTCCGACAACTTCAATGTTACATTGCTGCAGGTCATCATATCCAGCGCACATCCATCGATATCAATTTCCAAAGGACCAGCTGGGATTCCGAGCGGGCCTTCACCAGCAGCGGCACGGGCAACGGACTAGTGAACGGGCGACATGTGCTTGAATTCTGACGAGAGCCGACTCCATCTACCGCGCAGAATCTGGCAGGCGGATACGCCGAAAGACTACGTGCTGCGTGATCCAGCGAACTTTGTCGAGCCTTCAACTTAGTGGAGGCCATGGACGACCCGAGGTGAGAAGTACCACAGCCATTGCGTGACTGAAACCTCGCGACGCTTGCCGAACTGGCCGAAATGATTATGCTTGCATACACACCAAGGTATGCTCTCTTGTTTGTCAGCCGCCCAGTACTATCTAGGTCGATGTTGATGTCGGGGAACAGCTGTTTATACGCCCACGAGTGATCTGTGGTGGCGCCAGCCCAGTCACGGGATGCCTACCGTTCAGTTCGAAACCGGTGCGAAGATACATACTCGATCAACAACAGCCATTGAAGACCGTTATCCAAGCCAGCTTCATTCAGCCTGACGAAACAGCTGACCAACACTCGCTGAGAACAATCTCATTCCGCGCTCGCTACAATGAACGCAGAGACTAGTCTTGCTGGGACGACGGTGCTCTCTGAATCTCCGCCATCTGATCGCTCCGAGCAGAAAGAAGTCTTGAACAAGCAGCAGAAGCTGGAAGATGTTCAAGTTGGCTTCTTCCAACTCTACCGAGATACTACAAGGGGCGATATCGGTATCCTGGCAATATGCACTCTGCTGGCGATTGCGGGAGGGGCCATATTGCCCATTATGACAGTACGTATGCTTCTCATGCTTCAACCGTTCCCAGCCAACCTAAAAACAGGTGGTGTTTGGCAGCCTTGCCGGGAAGCTCAATAGCTTTACACAGCATCTACATCTTGAAGACACATATGTCGGGGAAACCATTGAGCAGATTCGACTTATCTTGAAGTTTCGTCGAGATCTATCGAGGCTGACGCTAGACTTCGTGTATCTGGGGATCGGTGAATTCTTTGCCATATTCCTCTGCACCTTTGGATTCGCCTTTGTCGGCGACAGGACGGCGCAGAGAGCGAGACAGAGGTATCTCAAAGCTGCACTGAGCCAGAATATGGCTTTCTTCAACAACATTGGTACAGGAGACCTCACCACCCGAATCACAAACGATACCAACCTCATCCAAGAGGCCATCTCTCAGAAAGTCTCCAATACCATTACCGCCCTGGCTACGTTTGTCACGGCTTTCATCATCGTGTTGGATGTTGCTTGGCGACTGGGCCTGGTGTCCCTGTCTTCAGTGGTGGCAATGACTCTTGTTATGGCTTCCATGTCAAGGCTCATGCTCAAATATTCCAAGAAGTCCCTGTATTCCTTTTCCCTAGGAAGCACCATCGCCGAGGAGGCCATCAGCGCCATCCGAGTGACTGTGGCCTGTGGTGCTCAAACGCAGCTTGCCGAACGGTACAGAAAACACATGCGTGATTCCAAGCGTGCCGGCACACTGTCCAAAACTTTTTTGGGCGTCTCGATCGCTGGCATGTCTTGCATTATCATGCTGAACTATGGTCTGAATTTCTGGGCAGGCTCTATTTTCCTTGTGCATGGAGAGATCCAGGTCGACAAGATTGTGACTGTGATCTATGCTACCATCATTGGAGCTTTCTCGTTGGGATTCCTCGCACCAAATGTACAAGCATTTTCATCTGGTATCGCGGCTGCCACAAAGTTATACGCCATCACCGATCGCAAGTCTCCAATCGACCCATTTTCTACTGATGGGAGACAGCCAGACGTTCATCCTGATGCATGGTCCGTTGACTTCCAGGACGTAAAGCTGGTTTACCCTTCCAGGCCGAATGTAACGGTACTGGACAATTTCACTCTACACATACCGGCCGGCAAGACAACGGCACTGGTTGGTCCTTCGGGGAGCGGGAAATCCAGCATCATCAATCTTCTAGAACGTTTTTATCCGCATCTGGACGGTCAAATCTTGGTCGCAGGGCATGATATACAGCAGCTGAATGTTGGATGGCTGCGTGAAAACATTTCTCTGGTTGATCAGGAACCCGTCCTCTTCGACACGACCGTCGAAAACAATATTCTCTATGGCCTTGCGGGATCCAGACTAGAGACACTATCACGAGAAGAGAAGTATAGTCTGATGATGATGGCAGCTGAAAAAGCAAACGCTCTTGAATTTGTTCAACGCCTGCCTGGAGGATTCCAAGCTCGCGTGGGCGAGAGGGGATCTCTACTCTCCGGAGGTCAAAGACAGAGAATAGCCATTGCAAGAGCCATCATTCGGGATCCCGGAATCCTGATTCTCGATGAGGCCACGTCTGCGTTGGACACAAGCTCGGAGTCTCTGGTCCAAGATGCGCTAAACCGAGCGTCGCAAGGCCGGACGACGATCGTCATCGCGCATCGTCTCTCAACTATCCGCAAGGCAGACAATATCGTGGTTCTTGCAAATGGCAAGATCGTTGAGCAGGGAACTCACGCCAATTTGCTGAAGAAACGGAGTAGTTACTTTAGCCTCGTGGAAGCGCAACAGATCCGGATTGAGCCCGACGAGAAGATGGAATTCGCAGATCCTCCTACCTATGGTGACCACGAGAAAGAAGAAGCGGCCCACCCGGCTCACAAAACACCTTCCAAGACACGGGTGATAACAAGTCTTGACCAGCCAATGCCATATCCGATGCCCAGTCACGCTCACACGGACAACCAGACCACCCGACAGAAAAAGCCGAAAGGCGTTCTGTCGTTCGTTCTGTCCTTCAACAAACAGGATACAGCTTGGATGGTACTCGGACTGATCATGAGCATCTTTGGAGGCAGTGGCACACCCACCTCGGCAGTCTTCTTCGCCAAATGTATCCAGTCCATGTCGAAGCCTCCCCGGTTGTACCACGAACTTCGGCATGATGTCAACTTCTGGGCCGGCATGTACCTATGGCTCGGTGTGTTCTTGTTCATTGTCAACGTGATCCGCGACCGGGCGTTTGCGAAGTGTTCGGAACGGATGCTCTTCCGGGCTCGTGACCTTTGTTTTCGGACGATACTGAGACAAGAGATGGCCTTCTTTGAACCCCCCTCTATCATCGGCACCAACGCAGCCTCGGGCACAACAACGACGACAACAACAACAACAGGCAGCCTAATCTCGTTCCTCGCAACCGAAACAACCAACATGTCCGGCCTGAGCGGCCCTGTTCTGGGCACAATCCTGTCCATGTCGACATGTATCATCGCGGCCATCGTCGTCTCCATCGTATTCAGCTGGAAGTTGGGGTTGGTATGCACATCCACAGTCCCGGTCCTCCTAGGGTCGGGCTTCCTACGCTTCTACATGCTCAGCTACGCCGAAGAGAAGAGCAAGAGCGCATATGCACAGTCAGCGTCGTATGCATGCGAAGCTCTCTCGTCAATGCGCACCGTGGCGTCCCTCGGCCGCGAAGAGCACATCCTGACAAACTACACGGATCAACTGAGTGCGCAAAGCCGCGCCGCGCTCAGAGACCAGCTCATCTCCGCGGCGCTGTACGGGGCATCTCAAGCCTTGCCGTTCTTCTGTATTGGCTTGGGTTTCTGGTGGGGAGGCACGCTCATGAGCCGGCGCGAGATCAGCCTGTTCCAGTTCTTTGTGTGTTTCAGCGAAATCGTCTTCAGTGCCCAGACGGCCGGTTATATGTTTGCGTCGACCCCAGACGTAGCCAGGGCAAGGACGGCGGCTGCGTCATTAAAGGCCATATGCGACAGAAAACCAACCATTGATCCGTGGTCAGACGCCGGAATCCCACTGCAGCACCCAGGGGCGGTCACTGGGCAAGTTGAATTTCAGAACGTCTTCTTCACGTACAGCGCCGGCAGTTCTAATTCTAGTCCCGCCGCGTATGGCCGCGAGCAGTACGTCCTCAAGGGGGTGAATATCAAGGCTCTCCCAGGACAATACGTCGCATTGGTGGGTGCGAGCGGCAGCGGCAAGTCCACGTGTATTGCCCTCCTCGAACGCTTCTACGACTGTTCTGGAGGTCGGGTTCTCATTGACGGCAGGGACATCCAGGACCTCAACATCAACCACTACCGTTCTCACGTCGGCTTGGTCAGCCAGGAACCCGTCCTCTACCACGGAACCATCAAGGAGAATATCCTATTGGGGACAAGCGGAGACATTTCCGAACAGACGCTTTATCAGGCGTGTCGAGAAGCTAACATTTACGACTTTATCATATCGTTACCGTAAGCATTTCCTCCCCCCCCAAACTACCATTACTTTGTCCATGCACGTCCGTGGTGCCTGGCCATTACCATGGTCAAACAGTACACCTGTTGGTTTTGTTCAAACTTTGAACTTGCTTATCGCTGACTCTACGGACCACGGAACAGGGAAGGATTCGACACAATGGTTGGATCCAAAGGGGTCCTGCTCTCCGGTGGTCAGAAACAAAGAATCTCGATAGCAAGAGCTTTGATCAGGAACCCATCAATCTTGTGAGTGCGGCGCGGTGCAGTGCAGTCTCCCTCCCCCAAACCAGTCTAACCACCTCCCTCGGCCCCCTTCTCGTCTCTTTTTTCCTTTTTCTGACAAGTTCTGAACCCCCCACGTTGACAAACACATGTGAATGCAGACTCTTGGACGAAGCAACATCGGCCTTGGACTCTGAATCGGAAAAGATCGTCCAGGCAGCTCTCAACAAGGCGTCTCAGGGCCGCACCACGATCGCCATCGCTCACCGTTTGAGCAGCATCCAGGACGCCGATCACATCTACGTGCTTGAACAGGGCCAAGTCGTCGAGCAAGGGACCCACTCGTCTCTGATGGATGCTGCCGGCAGGTATGCGGAGCTGGTCAGAATGCAGAGGCTGGGTGCCTCCTGATGGGTCCCTATCTAACGAACTAGTTTCTTTGATTCTCTCCTTTACAAAATAGAAATGGATAGAAAGGGGTCGGTGCAGGCAGGCAAGCAGGGCTATACCTCTAGATCCACCACATACACATACGGTAGACACACATACATACACGCCTGCATACATGTCAAGGGCTGAGACATGGTCCTTCATGATGCATGATTATAGATAGCGATTCGTGATTTCTCTCCACTCAATATTCTCTCTCGCTGACACTGTCCCCATTCTCGTTCCGGTTTCGGTGATGACGCAAAGAGTCAAGAATTTGTCTATGAAACCTTTGAATGGCTTGGGGCCGGAAACCGTAGGTGGTACAAGCTGAGACCGGGAAAAGCCGGTGTGAGAGTGGTGAAAGCGTAAGGGTCTGAGACCGTAGATCATCATGCGATGCAAAGGTTTGAGTGAGTGGAGGATTTCAGGAAGGTTTGAGTGAGTGTGTATCACGAAGTTGAGCTCAGCCTTGGGAAAATGAAGCCACAATGGATGCATCCTACGAGCTGCGAGAGAAAGAGAGAGAGAGAGAGAGAGATGCCTAAGCCCTAAGGCACCTCCTACGTTTCCTGCTTGGGAACGCCGTATTCTGACTGGTCTTGTTTCACAGAGGGGTTCCACATCCAGGGACATACTTATTTTTTTTTGCAGCAGCAGGATGAAGAACGTCCCCTGGCTTGATTACAATATGGAGCAGCACGGTAAACGTGTAAGATTAAGCAGGGACCGGCTGAGACTGGAATGGTCACCAGTCTATGGCTGATACGGATCGAGAGACCACCATCCAATCTTGGAAACAGAATCCTTCTAGGTGATAATGATTACCGGTGAGGTTGCACAAGGTTCAATCGTTCTTGATACTCCTGCTAGCGTCGGCATGTACCTCTTGAGAGGTGGTTGGTCCCGTTTGAGCCGGCTGGTATCGGTATGGAATGACGGTATGGGACTTTCACCTGTTTCAGTGTAATTGACATTACATCGAGACCGTGACCGTGACGGTACACGGGGCATATCAGACGAACCAGGGGGGGGGCCGACGCTACTGCTGGACGTCTTCGATAGATCAAACGGCGACGACAACCGACTGACGACAGTAGGCTACCATCTTGATTCGGCGTCAGTGGCGACGAAAGGCTGTTTCCACCATCGTAAGCGACACTTTCTGCTTTGAGCCATGGCGATCGTCTCACAGTGTTGCATTCGCAACCAGACGCTGGATTGATTGGATGTCTGTATCGTACTGATAGCAGCAGCGACTTGCATCCCCCTCCCCCCTCGACGACGACACGTGGGACTTTGATGTGATACCCGCCCCCCCCTCCTCGGTGAAGCCCCAGCGCCGTCGATGAATAGTCCGGTGTGACAATGCATCCTTTTGGGTCTCGGTAAAATGGTTGGGACCACAGATCGAAGATCCACGCCAGTTGAGTTGATTGACGCATAGGATTCAGGATTGCAGGTACGCGCGCAGGTATATGCCGCAGGACCCACACCAAGCCGAGCATTCACTGCCGTTTGGGCCACCTGCAATGGACATACTTCCTTACGCAGTGGTAAGTAGAAGATAAGCAGTATATCTTTGCAGTTCGGCTTGGAGGAGCCAGACGCCCAATAATTTAGCATCAAAGTCGAGTATTCGCCTGCTGAGTTTGTAGCTTGGCCGAATTGGAACTTGCTCGACCTTAGAGTTCTTTTGATCGTTTTTGATCTCGTTCCCTGTTCCCACGGCAATTTGACTTCAACTTTCCCCTCGCCAGAAAAAAACTATTCAGTCCAGTCCGGTCCAAATATGGCCTCGCCAGACCATATTCAGATTGGCAACCTCACAGGAGTGTTCAAAGTGGTGAGCAAAGTCTTCGACCCTTTTTTCCCCAATATGTCTCCACCGCCTTCGACGGTGAATCAAGAGAAACACAGAGAATCTGGACCGTGGCTGACTATAGGTCTGGGTATTTTTGTCGATGAACAGAACAAGGATCTATCGGATGACATTGCACCTCTGTTGGAGCTTGTGAGTTGACTCTTCGAGAGTGGCGGTGGTGGTGGTGGTTCCACCCAGGCGTCGAATCCCCACAGTCAAGGTTCTCATATTGACGACTATATTGGGTGCGTGCAGCAAAACATCAATTGGTTGATCCGGAAGATGATGGCAACTGGAGCCCCGACGCTTGACATCAAGGAGTATGTCGACAGCGACGGGGGCGGAAAAGCAAAGCTCGAAATCACCCTGTCGGGCCCGGCCGGCATCAAAGGCTTGGACCACAAGGTTTTGGACTGGGAGCCGGTCAAGAAGAGCAATGGTCCATTCGGATTGGTTGAGAGTAAGCAAAAACGCACATGTCTCGTTGTCAATTATCGTTGATTTCGACCGACTGTTGCAGGTTGCTGACGCTGACGCTGACACCCCCTTGCTTTGCTTTCTTGATAGATCGTGGTCGGTATTATTCCGGCAAGGTCGAGCCGGTGAGCTCACCCCTGGCCGACGAGGTCGTGGAGTTCCTGAATGCCGAGACCCTTGCAGACGGAAGCCCCAGCGCCTGGGCAGGAACAAGTGCCGATCAGCACTTGCACACTGCCATGATCAGCGAAGGAGGCGGCTGGATCTCAGAGCAGACGTGGGGGTTCGAAATCATCGATGGCCAGCGCTACCATACCAGGCGTGGTATCGTGTCTAAGCAAGGGGGGGAGACTAGGCGAGGACGTCTGGTGTACGACTACGTCGGTTGAGGCCAACGTACAGTACGTGCGAGATAGAGGAGGGATGGTTGGTTGTGTGATGGCGGTGGAAGCAATGGACCAAAAGCTTTGATTGAGAGCGAGTGGAGCTCAACAACCCACACACCCCATACATACTTTGCTTGCGCTTGTGCTCCCTGACACGAACCTGCTGTACTCGCCCTTTGTCTCGAATGGAGCAGAGGCATCCGCCAATCCGATAACTTCCCTCTTGGAAACAAGATAAGGAAGCGTGCAGGAAGTACACCCCCGAGAGCGAGGGAAATACACTCGCACAATCAGTATAAGCTTCTGAGTCATGAGACGGTTCCTGATCCATGACGACATCCAAGACAGATGGACTGATTCTAGAATAGTAACAGTGTTTGTTTCCATCGAAAATTCCCCGTAGGACGATGCGTCGGTGTGCCAAGTGACTGACTGCATGGAACGATGGAAGCCCTAAAAGTGCCCGGCCTGGGCCCTGTGGAAACGACGGATCGATCCTCGTTGAAAACACACCAAACAGCCCATGTCGATCCTGAGAATGTTGTGCATGGACTAGGTCAAGCCTCACTGAGAAGTGCCGCCGCCGGGGCGAGAACGGACGCACGGCCCGTCGATCCGCTGGTTTCTTGATCCGTACGAGCATCTGCGGGCTGTAACTTGAGCTCTCCATTTTAATGATAACATGGCGATTTTTTTTCTTAGCGCTGATACCACGAGAAACAAGAAGAACATGGGTGAGGGAGCTCAGAGGTCTGAAGGAATCAGGATCTGCGGTCGCCGGTCGAACGGAGATGCCAGTCTAACCAACTAGGCGAGAGCCCAACAAACACAGTTTTGGCCAACCGCACATGTCGGGTACTACAGAACATGCCTATCTGACCATCGCCCAAGCGACATTGGGCATCATCTAAGCGATATTGGCATGGCATGAAACAAGGATTGTACAAGCAAAGGCCTCAAGCCCAGCCGGGGGTGGTGTTGTTCTCCGAGGAGAAGGTGCGTTTTCTTCAGCCGTCGCAATTGAGTTACGACTTATGAGGCATCACTAGCTAGCCAGAAGCTTAGGTGCTGCTCGTAAATGCACTCAGCGCCCAGGAGTTGCGTAAGCTGACCGGTTCTCGTAAGGCTTTCCGGAGCCACCTCTCCTAGTCCGTATAGTTTCTAGCGGGAGTGTCCTTCGGGTGATCACCACGCTCGTAATCGGCTGAGGGTCCTAGGGATGACTGATCAACGAAGAGGCGGACTGTGGATCAAGACGAGACGAGACGGAACGAGTCACAAAGGGGGCCTAAGGCTGTCTCTATCCACAGGGCCGTTAACTAAATACCTAGTGTCCGTGCAATGTGCTCGTACCACCACCCACTCCACACAACAAACCAACATGTTTCCATGTTCGATGCAACTCATCTTGAGATGGACTATTGACCAGGCTAGTGCATGTCATGACTAAAAATGCATCCAGAAAGGCTTTCACATGCGTTGTTCCATCTCGAATGTGCTACCTCTTCTGGCACAAGTAAGAAACTCAAGGCTGCAGGACGCGCTGCCCAATTGATCAATTTAGTCTGTGGCTCAGACAACCTAGAATCCTACCGTCTTATCTGATATCACCACCACACGGACCAAACAGGAACGATCTGCAGCCGGACAGTTTCCTATGAGCATGAGCGGGGGTACTTACAGTAGCACTGAGCTGTCAGTCCCCCCCTTATCGTGCTGAAATTAACTTCGGTCACAGGTCAAAGACCACAACGTGAACAAAACTTCTTGAATAAATCGAAGTTCTGTCTCCTTCAACGTACAGATAACCATGAGTCGAAGGCCCACTACAACAGTATCCAATGACTCAAACATGGGCCATGAGCCCCTGGAATTGAGGCAAACGGGGCAGATGGAAAGTGGGCACTGTCACCGGCCGGATCTGGGCTTCACCTGCCTCTGTGTATTGAACGTACTGTGATGTCAATGATACACAGGTCTCCACCACCGTGTCGACATGCAACAAGAGTACTGTAGCTGCCATGTGGAGTGGAACAGATGGCGATGAACAGCTTTGCCCTTTGTTAAACGAGCTCCGGGTGAACGTTCAGGGGTGCAGGGGCCGCAGGGCATGGTAATGGCTCGCAACAATGTCCATGTTTGCCTGCTTAGCATGCAGAATTGCGTAGACAGTACTTACGACAAGGAGGCCTGAACGTTGGGCATGGCAGTATCAGCTGGTTCTTTTTAACCTTGGCCGCCGGTACTGAAGACGGTTCCAGTTCATGGGTGTTGGGTTGACAACAGAACCTCCTTCCCGGTATGCGAGGAACGATTTCAACAGCCTTCCAGAGCCTCGTTTGGTTCCCCTCCACGATACCCAGCGATATTGAGAATGTCAGTAAAGTCGGCCCAAGTGGCACCGCCACGAAGTGTTCTGGCTGTGGTGACTGTTGGGAGATGGAGTCATGCGTGTGAGTGCCCTTCTGGTTGACAATTGCTTCCGAAATCGAGGTTGACCAAAGCAGTTCCGCTGCTGGAAGTATGCTGTGTCCTTCATTCTCGGGGCCACCAGGTCTCTCTAGCCTGTTGCGAGGGTTCGCAGAACATGGTCGAAAAGTATCCCTTCATCTCTCAAGTCTATGCAGTCGCACGACGAATCTCAGCCGAAGAGGACAAAGTATACCACCGTCTCCTCGAGGACAGCGACATAAGGGACAGCCAAGGTCGCGCCGACATGCTCAGGGTCCTGAAGTTTATGGAAAGCTTTTGGACTGAGACGCACAAAGCCTTGGATGTTGTGGTTCAAGCACATCGCCCAGATCTCATATTCGGCGATGTCCTAGATTTCCAGGCTTGCAAAGATGTTGCGGACAAGTACTCAATTCCCCTCGCAACCATGCATCCTCAGATCCCTTTCAACCTGGAAGCCCCGGGATACATGCCTGGCCTCCCTGGGTTTCAGCAGAAGTGTCTTACCAGTGAGCACGCGTCGATCTGGGATCGTCTCCAAGAGCAGGTCTTTGCTGTAAAGATGCTGTTCTCGATCCGCCATCACATCGCCTGGCGCAGGCGTATGCGCCGTGAAGCCGGTATGCCTGCTGCAGGCCTGGTACGGAAGCCAAGTCACTTGCACTTGGTCAATGCCTTCTTTGGCCTGGACGTCCCCAGGCCATTGCCGCCGTTGGTGGTGCCTGTTGGCCCAGTTATCCAGGAACATTATCCTCCCTTGGACCCTGACACGGCCAGTTTCCTCGAGTCGCATCAGAGAGTAGTCTACATCGCCTTCGGAACCCATGTGACCATGGGTGGTGAACGCTTCATCAACATCGTCCGAGGCGTTCAGTTGGCGTTGGCGGCCGGCCATATCGACGGGGTCCTGTGGGCCCTCAAGATCGCCGAGAGTGCCACCACTTCCGCCTTCGATCCTGACATATGCGACATCTTGCAAGGCCGTAATCCAAGATGGCGTCTCTTGCCTTGGGCCCCTCAGCGGGCTATACTTGACCATACCTCCATCGTGGCTTTTGTATCTCACTGCGGAGCGAGCTCGGTGTATGAAAGCGTCTTCCATGGTGTGCCTGTCCTTGGAATGCCGATCTTCAATGATCAGTTCAAGCAAGCAAAGTGCCTTCGCGAAGCCGGAGTAGGGCTCGTTCTTGACAAGAACAATTTCACTCCTCTTGAACTATCGACGAAGCTGGCTGCCCTTGTCGCTGACCCGACTGGCACAGTGAAAAGAAACTGCCTGCGGATGAAGAGAATCGCAGCTATCCAGATCAAGAAGAAGTCCCTTGCTGTCGATCTCATTGAGGAGGTGATATACGACCATGAACTGAGGTTCGACTGGAGTGAACATGATCCTGAATGGGATGTGAACGCCCCAAAGATTACCGCCACTGGCCAGAGGGCCAAGCGTGTGCTTAGACCTGCGCATCTCGAAACAGCTGACGCGAGGATGTCATTTTGGAAAGCCCAGAACTACGATTTGCTCTTGGTCTATGCACTTGTACTCCTCTCTCCAGCGGTGATTGCGGGGACTGCGTGGAAAGTACTTTCACGTACGAATTGAGATATTGGTGGTGCTTATCTTACTGTGAATTGTCCAATGTAGTCAACATGGTGAGTCCCAATTTTGGCTATGAGATGCGCTTGAATGAGATCCTGGTGAGCCAGTAGCGGTTCACACATACCAACAGATGTGGCAGTACATGGGACCACAAGCCTCAATACTTCCTTCCATGATTGTTCTCAGGTCAATTTCTCAATTTGATTTGTGGAAAAGGCAACCTGGGCTCAATCAAACTTATGTTCGTTTGTCGAGAGTTTGCATATTCTCAACAGCGGCGCTAGCAGCCGTGGAGTTGTCTCGTTCTGTATCTGCCACTCTGCTTCTTCGCAGCCGGCCGAGTAAGAAGCCGCTTCTCTGGACACCTTGTGTGCCCTCACGATCTCTGAGATCTCTGAGACTGTGCTCCGGACGAAGTAGCGTCCCGGGATTGAAGAAGACAAATATGCCAACACAAACCACCATCAGTGCAGCGTCAAGAGCCAGGAAGAAGGGCTCGTGGCGGGACAAGTAACCTAGCCAGCCTTCCGCAAGCTGGACGGTCCGATAGACACATCGAATATACAGACATACAAAGCTCAGAAGCATCGAAGCTACAAGAGTTATCTCGTGATTTGGCCATTGCTGTTCGAATGACCTCGCAATGAATGCTACGAAGCAGCAGAAGAAGATTGTCATGGCGGCCAATTGAAACCCAAGCCCTGCCACTACGATGTGAGTGCCTTTCTCCGGATCACCCTGCGTGTCGAACTGGTGCGACGCGATTGCCGCACCGGCAGCCTGTATGAGGAGAGCAATCACGTCGCATGAGCAGAAGATATAGAGATAAAGCCGTGGCGGGAGGAGCGAGTACTTTGCGCCTCTTTGAACACTGAGTTGACCCAGCATGATAAACAGTGCCGCTGTGAAGAAGACAGGCGAAACTACCAGTGTGACAATCTGCATCAAGAATGCATGGTTGTTGTAGGGGCATTGCGAGGACCATGTGCGCCCTGCCCACCCAATCAGCTCCCCTAGGGCTCCTATGGCGAGTAGGTAATTCGCCCATCGGCGGCCGAGAACACTGTATACACAGTGTGCGCTGAGGGCGAGGCCGAAGAGGATGCAGTAGGTGATACCAGCGGCCAGACTGGGCTTGTAGCCATAACTGGGAAGAATAGATGAATTGTAGGGTGTGCAGCCCTGGAGGGCGCCATTAGGGATGGGTTTTGCAGTTGCCATTGTGGATTTGGGCGTGGATCTGGCCTTCTGGCTCAACAAGAGGAACAAGGGGCCTTCGGCCACCGTCGAAGTCGAATAGGGGTATGAGCACAAGGGCACAGTAAGATAAGCCCTGGGACGGCGAAGGAAGAACAGCGATACGTGTGTAGTGTCAGAGAGAGAGAGAGAGAGAGAGAGAGAGAGAGACCCCGACTGCATGGCGTCTGGTAGCAGAATGAGACTTTGGTCGGTGGTCGGAGCATAATGCCCACCTGTTCATAGGTCTTACTGTGTTGGAAACACTGGATCCACTGAGCGCGTAGCTGCATAGGGTCGAGAATAACGTCGACCACTCATCTTCCGTTGCCCGGCGACGTGTCCTCCCTCCAGTGGCATTCTGTTCGAGAGAGTAGCTCAATCCCACGGTCCCGACATGATCAACTGGACCCAGTTTGATCAACATACCGCAAGGACAAAGCGCAAAGTGGGGCTCCAAAGGTTCATCATGGCTATGAAGTCCATTGCGGGTGATCACCGGTGATCCTGGTATGCAAGGGGCCAGAGGGAGGTGAGGTTGGATGGGCCCCACGGAGCCTGTGTGATAGTTTGATAGTCTGATAGCTGATTGTGTGATAGATCGTTGATAAGGCGTACTCACATCCACATACCCCTTGGTCTCGTATTGTAATGTCAGTGCGTATTGTAATTTCACCATCGACCTATTCACATGTCCTGCAGACAGACCACATACCTCAATGTCAATGCACTAGCATTTTTGTTGAGAACTCTAGGGACAGGTGAAGGATGGGTGCAACAGCATCCTGTTGGAAGCGGGCACCACCCTTGTGCTGACCGAGAGCCATGGTAGTAACCACACATCGCTAGCTGTGGGCACGTACGTGGGTCGATCCAGAGGACAACAGCCCGCTTTGAGATAGACACGGGAGAAGGAGAGATGTGGCAGGATGGCCAGAACGACACGAGAGAAGATCAATGGGTGTAACAGGGCTAGAATGATGTCTCTTGGCGAGAAGTGAGACAGGTCGGAGACACCCCGTCTTTGTCGAAGGTCGAGTTCGACCTGGCTCAAGGTGGCAAGGCCGTGAACATATCTCATCTTCATGCCGCTGAAACTCTCTTCCTCTTCCTTACCTCAGGCTGAAGTTGCCAGGGAGAACAAAGTCTGGTCATCCAAGATGCATCCAAAGCACGTTCTCTTCTTCGGGGACGAAGTCGTATCCCCCTTGCCTGCTCTACAGAATCTGCATCGGCAGGCCAGATCATCACCAACACTGCAGCAGTTTCTCTCAGAGGCTGCCAGAGTAGTCAAGTTGGAAACGTCCTCGCTACCTTCAGAGCAACGTGAGCGTTGGCCGGAATTCGATACCATCATCGACCTTGCGGAGACATGGGCAAAACAAGAGCTCCCCGGTGGAGCGGTAAACATGACACTGGTCTGCATCAGCCGCCTGGGAGAACTCTTGATGTAAGTGCCAGCAGCATCTCGTCTCGATGGAAGCTGACTCGGTTTCACAGTCATACTCTTGCCAACCCAGAGGTGTTGGGAACAGACAGACGGGAGACCTACATGCTCGGTCTTTGCACCGGTCTGTTGCCAGCCGCTGCAGCATCCGTAGCACGTTCCACCGCAGAGTTGTTCGACATATCACTGGTGATTGTTGCTCTCGTGGTTCGATGTGGCGCTCAAGCCACCCATCGCTCGAGAAGCATTGAAGATGCTCCTCAAACAAGCACTTGGGGATATCTTGTCACTTCGTTGCCGGCTGATAGACAGCGAGAGATCATTGCAAGCTTTCATGCAGCTCAGGTACGATGATATACTGCCACAATCCATACTCTGCTGTCGTGCTGATGATGCACTAGTCTGTACCTCGACATCGTTCAGCCTATCTCAGCGTTGTTGCTGATCAATGGACGACACTTAGCGGCCCCCCCTCAACGCTGAAGCAGCTATTCGCATTTTCCGAAGAGCTGAATTCCGCACCACATCTGCCATTGGCGATTGGGGGAGCGGTGCATGCTCCCCATCTTCCGCAGCTCGATCTTGACTTCATTATCGGATCCTCGTCATTCCACGATTTACAGCCTTCACCAAATGCTGTAATCATTAGCACTTCCTCATTGCAGCCTTACCGGTGCGCCAATCTGAGACAGCTGCTTCGTGAGATGCTCATGGACATATCCCAAAATACTTTGCAAGTCACCGATGCCGTGCAAGCTGTTTTGCAGCGGCTGAAGCAAGACTCGCTCGACGTCACAGTCATCGGACCTACCACACAAATCACCTTGTTGAAGAGGTTGTTGGAAACAAATCGTTCGGCGTACACATTGCACGAAACTGTAGGAACAGCCGCAACTTCATCTGGAGAGAGAACCTTCTGTCACGACATCGCCATTGTCGGATACTCTGGACGCTTCCCTGGAGGTAAAGACATGGAAGAACTGTGGGAGACGATCCACAAAGCGAAAGATCTCCATAGTGAGGTATGTTGACGACACGGAGTGCGTTCTCCTTTCAACGTGCTAATGACAGCCGCGCAGATTCCAAGCTCTCGCTTCGACATAAACGACTACTATGACCCCTCTGGCGTGAAGAAGAATTCCCTTTCCACCAAATACGGTTGTTTCCTTGAGAACCCCGGGGAATTCGACTGCCGGATGTTCAATCTCTCACCCCGCGAAGCTTTGCAGATGGACCCAATGCAACGCTTGTTCCTGATGACGACGTATGAAGCCCTGGAGATGGCCGGCCAGGCACCATACGGCGAACTTCCACAGGGAGGCCGTCGTGTTGCGAGCTTTTTCGGCCAGACGGCAGACGACCAGAAAGAGATCAACAACAACGAGGGCACCGACATATACTATGTCCCCGGTGTCGCTAGAGCATTCTCACCAGGCCGCATCAATCATCACTTCAAGTGGACAGGTCCGTACTACAGCGTCGACACTGCTTGTGCTTCGAGCTGCTCCGCCATCATTTTGGCGTCATACGAGCTCAATGCCGGGGCTTGCGACATGGCCGTTGTCGGCGGAGGCTCAATTCTCTCCTCTCCCCGACCCTACTCTGGCCTCAGCAAAGGTGGCTTTCTGTCGTCTACGGGAGGCTGCAAGACCTTCCAAGCCAGCGCGGACGGCTATTGCCGTGGTGAAGGCGTCGGAGTCGTTGTACTCAAACGTCTCGACGACGCTCTTCAGAACAACGACAACATATGTGGTGTCATTCGCGCCGGTGCTAGGAATGCCAATGCAGGAGCAGTGTCCATCACCCACCCCGACACGACGGCTCAGCAGAAATTGTATACCCAACTCTTGCAACAGGGAGGTCTAGCGCCTCGTGACATCTCTTATGTGGAGTTCCACGGCACAGCCACCCAAGCAGGGGACACTGCAGAGATGACCTCGGTTGCCAACGTGCTCGGCAAAGACCGACCCACCTCGTTGCCGCCTCTGTATGTGGGCTCAGTCAAGGCGAACTTGGGCCATTGCGAAGCGGTACGTTCATTGTCCATGTATGTCCCTAGTATGCGGAGATTCAAGCTAACGAAACATTGTAGGCTGCCGGAGTGACGGCACTCATCAAGTGTTGTCTCATGTTCCAAAAGGACGAGATTCCTCCACAGGTCGGCATGCCTGCAAAGCTGAACGTCAACTATCCACCTTTGAAACAGCTGCATGTTGAGATTCCACACCAGTCGGTGCCTTTCGAGCCAAGCAGCACCAGCGACGGCGTTCGCAGAATACTGCTGAACAATTTTGATGCCGCGGTAAGTAGCATCCCAGGAGTCGAGTGCAGGCTGAGAGTGAAGCTGACGATATGCGATCCAAGGGTGGCAACGCGAGTCTGATCATTGAAGACGCTCCGACAAAACCACAGAAGGATGAAGATCCTCGTCGATATCATGTCGTCACCCTCTCCGCGAGGAGCAGCAACGCATTGGCCAACGTCAAACAGCGATTTGCAACCTTCCTGTCCAAAAATGTGCTCGACATTGCCGATGTGGCATACACGAGCACTGCGCGACGAGGCCATGACATCTTTCGCGCCGCCTATGTCAGTTCCTCCGCGGATGATCTGCTGAGCATGGTCAAAGGTGATTTCGCTACCGAAACCAAGCGAAGTGTGGATAACGCCCCAACGGTATTTCTCTTCACTGGCCAGGGCGCTCAATATGCTGGAATGGGTAGGACACTCTTCCAGCATTGTCGGACATTTCGCGAGTCTGTCTTGGCTTCGCAGAAACAGGCCGAGGCCTTTGGCTTTCCGTCTTTCGTGGATCTGATAGCAGATGACATTGCCGACATGCAGAAAGCGTCAGCTTCCCAGGTTCAGCTCGCCATCGTAGCACTTGAGATTGCGTTGGCCAAGACCTGGAAGTCTTGGGGCGTCACTCCTTCCATCGTCGTCGGTCACAGTCTGGGCGAATACGCTGCTTTGTGCATTGCAGGTGTCCTGTCGGTGAGCGACACTCTCTATCTGGTCGGAGAACGTGCCAGCCTCGTCGAAAAGAACTGTTCAGCTGGCACGTATGGCATGCTCTCTGTCAAGCTAGGTGTGTTGGAGCTTCGAGAGAAGTTCACCGATGGCCTGGCAAGATGTGAGGTTTCGTGTATCAACGGCCCCTCCAGTACCGTGGTCAGTGGCCAAATGAAGGATGTCGAGGCACTGCGAAACGAATGCGACAGAGCAGGAGTCAAGACAGACATGCTGAAAAATGCATATGGCTTCCACTCGGCACAGATGGACGCTGTGTCAACCGAGTTCGAGCACATGGCACGCGGAGTCGTCTACAACAAGCCTTCGACTCCTGTTGCGTCAACGCTGGAAGGCAAGATTGTTCTCGAAGCAGGAACCTTCTCTGCCAACTACATGGCAAGACAAATGCGTCAACCGGTCAACTTCTTGGGAGCAATCAATGCTTGCCGAGATACAGCCACGGTGGAGAGCCAGCCTTTGTGGCTTGAAGTCGGCCCAAGTCCAGTGTGTCTCGGTCTCGCATCCGCATGGGTCGAGATTCCTGCAGCTCAACGTCTGGTTTCTCTCAGAGCCAAGGAAGATAACTTCAAGACCATCTCGACATCGCTTGCTTTGGCGTACAAACGTGGCGTTGCCGTCGACTGGAGGGCCTTCCATGGCGAACATGCAACCACACTCAGCGTGGTGAACCTGCCTACATATCCGTTCGATGTGAAGGACTATTGGACAACATTCAAGGAGCCTGTGACTGCGTCTTTGGACGAACACTTCGCCAACAAACATGACCAAGCCTCTAAAGTGCAAGGCTTTCCTACCACAACTCTTCAGCAGGTTGTATCGGAAACGCGTTCGGCAAACGAGATGTCTGTTGAGTTCTCATCAAGGGTATCGGAACCGCACCTCCTTGCTGTCATGCAAGGCCACGTTGTGAATGGCAGAGAAGTCTGTCCAACTAGTGTGTTTGCCGATATGGCCATCACTGTTGGACAGTACGTTCACCAGAAGCTTCATCCGGGCGCGACTGTCCCTCCGATCTCTATCGAAGATCTCACCATCACGCAGGCGCTAACGTTGATTGACCGGGGAGCGAAACAGTCGGTGCACGTTAAAGCCAAAGCCTATGCTCGGTCCAACGATTGGACTGTCGCAATCTCTTTCAACTCTGTGACCCAAAACCACGCACAGCATCATGGTGAATGTATCGTCAAGTACGGTGATGCCGCTGAGTGGCTGGAGGGATGGAGCGACACTGCCTATCTCGTGCGCAGTCGAATCGAGTCGATTCGTGACACGGCAAGAACAGGCAAAGGCCAGAAATTGTCACGCCGATATGTGTACAAGCTGTTCAACAATATTGTCACGTACAGCGATCAGTACCAAGGCATGAGTGAAGTGATTCTGGGACCTGAAGATGACGGTGTCGCAGTGGTCAACTTCAAGTCCGTACCCAGCGGTGCAAAGTTCAGCTGTGCCCCTTACTGGATTGATCCCCTGGCCCAATTGGCCGGGTTTCTGCTCAATGGGAGCGTCGACACGCCTGATGATATCGCATACTTCTCTTCCAGCGTCAAGAGTATGCGGATCCTTGGTGAGCTCTCGGAGTCCACGACGTATATGAGCTATGTCCGCATGCGACAATCGCGACGAAAAGGCATCATGACGGGCGATGTCTACATCTTCGATGATGAGAAGGTAGTTGGGGTATTTGCAGGTGCCTCTTTCCAAAGGATGCCCAAGAAGATACTGCACACCATTCTTTTTGGCCGGGAGCCCTCGCAGCCTGCAACCCATGCGCCGGCGAAAGTGTTGGAAAGGTCTTCATCAGCGTCTGACCTTGAAATCTCAGCGGATGCATACTACAGTTCTTCTGGCACTGCCACCACCAGTGTGAGCACGCCGTGGTCCTCGGACTTGGAAATACCGGTCTCTTCTGCCGCAACTTCTGATGCTGGCGTTCTGGATGTGGAGAGCATTTTCGTTGTCGCCCTCGATACCATAGCTCGAGAGACTGGGTATCCCGTCGAAGATATGCACGAAGACACCGTCTTTGAGGACATGGGCGTTGACTCGTTGATGAGCGTGGCCATCATCGACGCCATCAAGAAGGCAACCAACATCACTGTACCTGCTGCATTCTTCACTGTCCACCCGACAGTCGGAGCGATGAAGAAAGGATTGTTCGAGATGACAGAGTCGACGCCCACAGACGGTGGAAAAGTCCCGGAGCCAGAGAAAGACGTTCCTAAGCAAAAGAAAGAAGTCACTGTCCAAGAGAAACAGGTCGAGGATCTGGCTTCGCCCAACGGGAGTGCTTCGCCTCCCACCACGTCACCTGCGGCAATATCTCCAAACGCTGCGAGTGCGGCACCGCCCCAAGCCGCTCCCTCACAGCCATTGGAAAAGCCTGGACCAGTTAAAGAGCCGAAGAAATATTTCAGCAATGTGGTGTTGCTCCAGGGACGACCATCGTCAAAGTTGACACCATTGTTTCTTCTGGTTGACGGGGCCGGAAGTAGCACTGCTTATCTTCATTTGCCTTTCTTCCCAACTAGGCTTCCGGTGTACGCGCTTGAGTCACCGTTCCTTCACTGTCCAGAGGAATACACAATCTCCATCCACGAGATGGCGCAGTTGTTTGTCCAAGCAATCCGCAAGACCCAACCGAAGGGGCCGTACATGCTCGGCGGATGGTCGGCCGGCTCCGCATACGCGTATGAGTCTGCTCACATCTTGTTAGATGCTGGTGAGACGGTGCTTGGGTTGATCCTTCTGGATATGCGTGTCCCCAGACCCATGCCAGATGGGATGGAACCCACGATGGAATTGCTTGACCAGGTAGGATTGACGGTCGGTATCAAGAGAGCCGGAAAGGCGTTTGGGAACTTTTCCGACTCCCTCCGGCAACATTTACTCAGCACGGTCAAGCAGCTCATGGTGTATCATGCTCAGCCCATGCCCGAGGGTAGACGACCGTTGAAGACGGTGGTGATCTGGGCTCGAAAGGGCATGATTGATGTCATCAAGGAGCAGAATCTGGAGATTCCAGAGTGGGCGGAGGATGTCGAGCATATGGACGGCAATGTGATGGAAGATGAAGGGCTCGGCTTGGTGGCATGGTTCTATGGAAAGAGAACCAACTTCGGGCCTAATGGTTGGGACAAGCTGTTGGGAGAGGTCGAGGCGCACGTCGTCGATGATGCTGATCATTTCAGTCTTGTGACTCCACCGGTTGTTCGTGAGACAGCGAGGATCATGCAGGATGCGGTCGCTTCGTTCATGAGCAAGGCCTGAGGACAGTCTCTCGGAGACATACATGGTGGATTGGACATGATGTGAAATTGTGACATTGGTCAAGGTAGGAAGGGGGATCGGCCGGACAGGGTTTCATAAATTAGTACAGGTATAGAGAGCAGATTCCATCCTCTGATTCCATAAACTCCCATATCGAGTCCTTCAATTGATGCGTTGTACTCCGCCACTCCGGGGACATAGTACACACGGCGTGTGCCTGGCGCTCACTAACTTAGGCTTCGGTGACGCTCCTCTACCCACTGGTCCTCCTGCAATCGCTCTCCGTGAGCACTTGGACGACACATTACGGGTCTTGCCGCTTAGTATCGGGGTGTTTTGGGGGAAGGGGGGTTGTGCCGAATTGGTGACTGAGCTGGTCCCGGGTCTCCCTCCACGAAAGTCATGGCAACATTCACGTATGAAGTGTTCACCGAGGCCACCAGGCGTAATGGTGATCCGCGTGCGTAGTAAGACAGTCGTTAGATGGGAAACTGACGGATATTCGACGGGTGATAAAGATCAGGAACCCTCTCTGCGTCCCAGGTTTCTGACATTCGGGACGCCTCAACCTTCTCCCTCTCCGGGGGGGGAAGAGGAGGGGCTCGCTAACTAGGCTTGTTTCGTTTCCGGGACCCGGATCCGAAACCACTGTCCCACTATCCAGTGTCCTGGTGTAGACACTCCTGACCGTCCGATCCGGTGCGAATGGCGGGGTCACTTTCGTCCGAGTGGGATGTGGGAATAGGTACTCTCTGCACTGTAGAGTCACCCGTCCGTCTATCATGCATGGCCTTCTTCCAGTGCCAACCCGAAAAGCGGGACGCCGGTGGATCGAGCAACACCCCCCGGAATACTCGTGGCTAACTCAATGAGGCTTTGAGTTCAGTTTGTTGCCGAGGCTCCAGGAGCCGCAGAAGCACATTAATAACTTGCAGTAGGAAATCAGTTCGTTTGTGACAGGGTTACTCCGTGGAAAACACACGCCAGCTAGAAGACATTGAAGTTTCCTTTATTGCAGTTGCTGATTATCCTCTCTTGCGAAATTGTGTTTGGGCACTTCAACACCACGATAGAGAGAGAGAGCAGATTTCGTGTTTAGACAGCTTCAAGAAGAAGAAGAAGAAGAAGAAGAAGAAGAAGAAGAAGAAGAAGAAGAAGAAGAAGAAGAAGAAGAAGAAGAAGAAGAAGAAGCGGAAGCGCTGAGAGATAACGGTTCTTATCGTCGGACAATACGCCATATTCAACCACAGGGCGCAGAACAACGACAATGCCGGAAGAACACCCTATACCCCGAAAACTATGGGAACACCCCAACCCACAGAGCACAGAAATGTACAGATTCATCAAGGCACTCGAAGCGCGGCAGGGTCGAGCGTTCCGCGACTACCACGAGGTGTACGACTGGTCATGCACGAAGCGTTCCGACTTTTGGAAATTCGTGCTTGAATATTTCCCTGTCGTCTATTCGGGCACAGTCCCCGACCAGGCTGTCGACGAGTCCGCGCGCATGGACTCGATCCCGAAATGGTTCCCGGGCGTGAAGATGAACTTTGCCCAGAACATTTTGTTCTCCGGGACGCGCGACGGGAAGCCCGTCGTCGACGCGGCCAAAGCAGACGACAAGATCGCGTGCACGCAGGTGCGCGAGGGGAGCTTCCTCGAACCAATCCGCCATGTCACCTGGAGAGAGCTGCGCCAGAGGGTGGGTTCGTTGTCGCAGGCCATGAAGGCCCGAGGGGTACGAAAGGGAGATCGGATTGCCGTCGTTTCAAGCACGAGTATCGACACCCTGACGGTCTTCCTGGCCGCCACAACGCTAGGCGCCATGTTCAGCTCCAGCAGCACGGACATGGGCGTCAAGGGCATCCTCGACAGGCTCTTACAGATCAAGCCTAGGTATCTGTTTATGGACGATGCGGCACTGTACAATGGCAAGAAAGTCGATTTGCGGCCCAAGATGAAAGACATCGTGGCTGGCATGGGCGGCGTGCCTGAATTCCAGGGTATCGTGGCCCAAGCAAGGTACGAACACTCTCCGGTCGACATTTCTTCTGTTCCGCGAGCCCAGACTTGGGCGGACTTCCTGTCTGCGGCCAAGTCGTCTGCGCTTGAGTTCGAAGAGATGAAATTTGCCGATCCCTTTCTCGTCGTCTACTCGTCGGGAACGACAGGACAGCCAAAGTGCATTGTCCACGCCATCGGCGGCGTTGTCCTCAACGGGCGCAGGGAGGCACAACTCCATCGCCAAATTGGACCAGACTCGATACAATTACAATACACCACTACAGGTTGGATCATGTATATGTCCAGTGTACTGGCGCTACTAACGGGTTGTCGGATGATCATGTACGATGGAAGCCCATTTGTGCCCGGGCTCACCGACTTTCTCAAGCTGGTAGGACAGGAGAAGGTGACACATCTGGGCATAAGCCCAAGATATTTACAAACCCTTCAGAGTGGCGGCATCATCCCCAAGAAGGTGACCGACCTGAGTAATTTGCAGGTGGTAACCAGCACAGGCATGGTGCTTTCGGAGCAACTCTTTGAGTGGTTCTACGACGAGGGATTTCCACCTTCAGCCCAGTTGGACAACATCTCCGGGGGGACGGACTTGGCCGGCTGCTTTGGGTGTGGCAATCCTCTCCTACCGCTGTATTCGGGTGGTTGCCAATCCCGTTCCCTCGGAGTCCCTGTGATGGTGTGTGAACAGACTGTCGAGAGTGGGAAGCCTGTCCCTGTCGAAGACGGCGTACCGGGAGAACTGGTGGCGTGGGCGGCTTTCCCTACCATGCCCATCACGTTCATGGGAGACAACGGACCCAAACGATACTTTGACAGCTATTTTGCGCGGTTTGACAACGTCTGGACCCATGGCGATTTCATCATGATCCATCCCGTGACGAAACAGGTCATGTTCTTGGGTCGTTCAGACGGCGTGTTGAACCCAAGCGGTGTCCGTTTCGGGTCGGCTGAGATATACAACATCATCGAAGCGAAGTTTGCGGACAAGATCAGTGACAGCATCTGTGTCGGACAGAGGCGACCGCAAGATACCGATGAACGAGTTGTTCTGTTCTTGTTGATGAAGCCTGGACATGAGTTCACTCCCAAGTTAATCAGAGAGGTCAAGGAGGCTATTCGGAAAGAGACCAGTCCTCGACACGTTCCCAAGTTTGTGTTTGAAACCAAGGAGATTCCAGTGAGTCCTTGGGTATTCCCAACTTAACTACGGTCGGATGCTAACGGATGTGTGACAGACAACGGTCAACCTGAAGAAAGTGGAATTGCCCATTAAGCAGATAGTATCCGGCAAGGTCATCAAACCATCCGGAACACTTGCGAACCCACAGTGTTTGGAGTATTATTACCAGTTTGCAAAGGATGAGAATCTTGTTGATCTGGCCGAGACAAAGGCGAAACTGTAGGATTGTGGTACACTGCGTACCTGGATAGATGGCTTGATACACAGGCATTGCCAACCATCCAGGCCGTGGGGGGAATGCTCCCAATCACCCGACCACAGGGTGTTTCCAGGCCTGGTATGAGATGTAGGACTGATAGACAGATACAGCCAAGGACAGAAACCCAAGCAGCACTGCAAATAGCACCCCAATCAACGTTGCAAGCATTACGTATCGGGCACCGCTTTTCCGTTCCAGCCATTTCTCAAAGAGGCCATCTGGAGAAGGGTTCTCGACCTCTTCGTACAGCTCTGCCATTCGAGATCCGAAGTAGCGGTATGGCACTTCTTCTTCGCCTGGGACACGTAGTGAGCTGTACTCGAACTGGAGACACTCCGGATCAAAACTCTCTTTCGATATCAAAGAGCGCAAAATCGCCCGGGATTTGGCATCCGAGTGTCGGAAGAGCACTTTTTGGATCGAATCCAGGATTTCGAGGGCAATCTGCCGTGGTACTGCGCATCTATCAGGTGAGTTAGCGCTCGCTCTGGAGGCGCGCCATCGGCCTCATGCTTACACCTTCAGCTGCTCCGTCATGGTAGCATTCCGATCTTGGCCCCGTGTACATCGCAGGTTCTCTTTCAGAAAAGCAGCGTGGTGAAAGATCTGCACGGTCCGCCGCTTCCGGTCAACCAGTAGATGATTCCGCAAGTCGTCGGTGGCTTCGAATCTCAACTTCGCCGTCTTCATGACCTGAACTGCTGTCAGATTCGTCTTGATGAGCGTCTCATCGGTTTCGACCTGGTCGCTGCTGGTCGGGCCTCCGGGCAACGGCGAAGGAAAGCAGCTCTGCATGAAATCGCAGAAAGTGGTCTCCGCTGGCCACCCGTGGAACGTGGCTCCGTATTCCACATATCCCAGCGACCTGTTCTGGAGCTGGCAATTCACCATGGTCATAATCCGAACGGCAAGGTCGATCGCTCGATCACGATCTTCTGTCGCCACCCCAGACTTGCACACGGCATGATCGGCCAGGTGTGTCTCGACCAATTCTGCCCGCGTCAGGTCCGGGTGGCAGCGAATCGTCTGCATAAGCGTGTGCAAGTCGTAGTGGGAGGTGAGTGCCCCGGGAGGGAGGTTTGTGTCATATTTGCTCACCAGCCGCTTGTAGAAGTTCAGATACGGACCAAGTTTCTGTGTCTGCTGGAAAGAACAGTCATGCCACTGGCTCTGACAAGGAGCAGCGCAGCTACTATGGCTTATGTTGCAGGCTGGAGATGACCACAAACATCGAAACAAACTATCCAGATGGTCCTTGGAACAATATGCCAAAGGCATTGTTGGGACGGCCATCTTCTGGTTCCCGAGATCTGAAATCTGACCGAGAACCTTCATCGTCAAAGAAGTGCCAGCAAATCTGAGGGCAAAGCTTGCTATACATACAGTACATATCTGCGCTCCCCTCGCACTACGCTGCAGGAAGGCTAGACGCTGGGTGATGCGAAGTGCGCCCGACCTACATGAACCCAGACAATTGGTCCGTCTGATGTTGTGGCTTCAGACGAAACACCAGGCGGTGTTCGACTCAGCCACTGGGACCCCTGCAAGTGGTCGACTCGACGAAATCACCTCGCTGCGTCCTAATGAGGTGGCTAGGAGAGTGAGGCTATGTTCGTTGCAGGTAGGATACAGATCAACAATCATCCGTTCTGTCAAGTCAGCATCCCCCCGATCAATTGTGCATAGCGAGAAAACACTCTTCTGGGTCAGTGCTTCAATTTGCCTTCGCAGATCTCCAGTCCCGAGTCGTCTACTACTAGATGTTCCTTCAGTCGTCCTGATGTTGAACACCAACGTTATGACAAAGCATCTGCCTACTGAGGGGTCGAAAGCTGCAGCAGAAGCCATCGACGCGGCGTTGACCTCCACTGCCGAATGCTCAAACAGTGACGGAGCCGCGCAGTCTCCCGTCTGCCAGACTCCTCGCTACGAGCATAAACAAAGCCTGATCAAAGTGCCAGATTCAGGTTACGGATCTACCATCGACTCACCAGAACTGAGCCAAGAGAACGGAAGCACATCATTTCTCAAGGACAAAGCGAAAAATATCAAGAAAAGCTTGTTTCCAAGGGAAAAGAAGGTATTGAAACAATACAGCAGGACTCTTACGACAATTGAGCAAGCCCGTTTCGCTGATCTACGGGTCTTGTTTGGTTATGCGCTATCAGAACTGTTGCTCAGGCAGAAGAGGAGTTCGGCTGCAGTCGAGATGAGAATTGCCGTCATGGGTGAGACGGAAACATCTGCACGACCGTTCATTCTTGTTGCTTGCCAAAAGCCAATCCTCAAGCTTGTCAAACAATTCTTTGCGCAAAAAGACATCAAAGACGAACTTAGTCCGTCGAATAAGATATGGCCCAGATTTGAGGTACTTATCCGAGAACAGTTGGAATTGTTTTCCGGGCATGGTCCGATCACTGCATGGACGCAATGCGACAGCGCCCTAAACCCCGATCCATACTCCAAAAAGTCCATCCTCATCATGATGGAGGAAGGCTCAAGATTTGCAACCCTCGGAGGAACGTTGCAGGCCAAGGGACCCGACGGTCAGATCCGTCAGTACGGACTGACTGTGGGCCACTTCGAAACTGCTCTTCATGATTCTCCGGAAGAAAGTTCTGTTGAACAGACGGGCTCCGATTCGGTTGACGTGCAGAGCGAGAGTTCCCTGGAATCTCAGGACCAGCGCCAAAATGTGGTTGACGACACACTCGAACCAGGTTGCTTACGCGATCCATTCGCGCCTGACGATGATGACGACGATGACTACGAGATCGACGGTTGGCAGACGTCGCCTGACGCTCCTCGAGTAGAGGCACAAGAGCATCAAGAGCCTACTTCATTTGGCGAGTATGTTGGCGCGGTGTTCATGCACACTTTCACAGACTCCATGCGTTTGAAACCTGACAACAGAGACTGGGCTCTGATTGAACTTTCAAGCCAGTACTGGGCGGGTGCGTTCGCGTATTCGGATTTGCCGCCGCCTCCCCCGCCTATCAGTGTGGCCAAAGAAGATAGCATCGCCGCAGGACAACTCAAAGATGTCACCGTGGCTCGAGCAGGAGCATGTGGTATCCGCGGCAAATTGTCGAAACAGGAGAGCACTATCATGTTCGGGTCCCAAGGTGCGTTTGCTGACCTGTACACGCTATCAGGACTGGCAGCTCCAGGTAAGGAAGACATCAACGAAGGAACAGGAAGAACACAGTCTGACCGTATCATAGGCTTGAAGGCGGGCGACAGCGGTGCCTGGGTTTACGACAGCCAGACTTGTGAGGTTTACGGCCATGTGATCGGTCAAGGCCTCTTTGGCGACGTTCTGGTGATGCCCATGCACGCGATCGTTAGGGACATTCAAGAGTCGCTGGGTGCCAGTGGAGTGTGGCTGCAACCCCTTCCATTCGAGCAAGTCGTTGGTGCAGATAGCTACAACGTCTTGTTCCCGACCCCATACTTGGTCGGTGGCACCAGTACTCAGGCCACCAACATCAATCATCACTTCGACCTTGCCACACAAGCTTCCTTGATCAGAATGTATGGCCACGAGCTGGACTGGTCTCTATTCACACCAAGTCAGATGGGCTCCTCGCACAATATAACGCCAACGGCGCCTGTCATGACTAGCAAACGACAAGTCAACGACTCGGCGTACTGCTCACCAGAGGTGACTCCGAGCAACTCAATGAACTCGACACCTCAACGCACTCCGACCGCATCTCTGAAGCGTCACCATCCGGTTGAATCAGAGCCGGCAAGCAAGCGACTTCGCCGGTGATGTCGAGAACGTCCCAGAAGTGGCAAACGACTTCTTGCCTTTCCTAGGACGTCGGGGGCCAAAGCACAGATACGGGTATTGGACGTCACGGTAGCCCTCTGTGCCGTGGGTTAAGAGAGAGAACGTAGGGAAATGGGATTCTTCGTGCCGTTGTGGACATGTCATGAAATGCGTGCTGCCCAAGTGAGTGCGAGTGGAAGACATTCAGAGGAGGATCGACATTGGAGGGGGGGGGGGGGAAATCGGCGTGGCCGCCTCCCAGATGAATAGCACAACATGAGCCACGCTTCACATTGTCATTCACGGAATATATGGTATCCAAACCCTCACCCGCCGATACAGTGGAAACCTCGAGTATAGAATGAAACAGCCAAGTATAGCAAGCATGCATACCTAGTTTCGTATATGTAGGGAAAATCGCCCTCTTCGAGTCTTCAGTAAGCGCGGTGTAACAGCCTCCGACCAGGGAGTTCAGGAGTACTGAGGTCTCACGTAGATACTGCTCCTGCGATACATGGCCAAAACCACAAGGCGACACACAAAACAACAAAAGGAAGAACAGACCCGGCATCGACTGGACACCGATCGCATCTACTCGTCGTCTACGCGCCCACGGCCAGAGATCAGACAATATGCACTTGAGGCTTTGCAAATTCGCCCGTCAAACTCGCGACGCGTCTCCACTTTTGACGCGTCTCGACTTCGCCTCCTCCATCCACCTCGTCCACCTTCTGCTTCTCGCTCTCTGATCGACCTGGGTCAATTTACCAGTCCTGCGTCTCTTCAAGTGATTCCCGGACAATCTGCACTTCACTGCCAACGCGGGCCGCCCGCCAACGACCCAATCGCTGCCTTGCAACCGGAGCGTGACATTCACATCTCGCCCATTGCCTGCAGTAGTCCATCGCGCTACCATCCCATCGGCCTCTCCACGCCGCCTGTCGACCTCCTTGTCAGCGTGTCCAGTCCAGGATCTCGTGTCTGCACCAGCTTCGCGTCCAGAAATACGTCCTGCTCCAACTCGTACGTCCTACAGGGTCTGAGCTCCCTCCATATACCCACCTCTCCATCACCCGTCCCCTTTCTTTTCCTACAGTACGTCCACCTCGAACTTCCTCGACATCTTCTCTGCAGTACTCGTCCTTCTTCTCGTCATCCTCTCGTCATCCTCTCGTGTGTCTCGTCCGAAAACTTACAGACCAGCATTGACAAGGACCGTCTGCAGAAGAAAGAAGAAACACCCCCTCCTATCTTGGAAAATGGCAACGCTCGCTGCCATCAGCACACCAGCTCGTCAACCCTTCGGTGTCTTGAGCGACTCCAAGGTCCGAAGCCTGCAGAGCCTCAAGAATAGACAGAATGGTCAGTTTCCTGGTGGTGTAGGCACAACCACAACAAGCCGCCATACTGACACACTGTGCGTAGCCATCACACCCAGTTCGGCGCCCTCGCTCAAACGTCGCGCTGCATCTCCCGAGATGGGCTCAGACAGCGAAAATATCGACCCCAACATCCTCGACTCCTTGAACAAACGCAAACGCTCCATGTTCGACGACGACGTGTCCGCGTCCAAAGCCAACCGATACTCGTTGACGGTCACCTCGACCACACCCAGCACATCCACATCCACGTCCACAAAACGACGCCTCGAGACCCCCAATCCACGACTCGACACATATGTCAGCAAACCCTCGAGCACCGCTCCTTCATCTGCCCCTGCCAAGGCAGCAGCAGGGCGGTCTCCCACACGCCACCGCTCGAGCTTCTTGAAACCCAGTAGCAGACGCCTGAACCTCCCGTCCTTCTCTCGCGGCACACCGGCCCCCGCCCTCAGCTTGTCCGCAGCACTGAGCGGCACGAAGAAATCATCCACCTCCCGTCACAAGGTCCTGCAGCACTCTCGAAGATCGTCGCGGGGCCAGACGATCCAGTCCAGCAAGCCGCAGTCATGGTTCTTCGACATCTACGAAGAGACAGAAGAGACGCAAGACTACCGCATGAACGAGTGGACAATGACACAGAGCGCGACCGGCCTGGACATCAGTGACGACGAAGGCCGGGCATCTTCCAAGAAGACTGAGAAATTGGACAAGGGAAAGGAGAACGTCGATCCCGGCGAGCTGCCGTCTGCACCTGTTACGCGGTCCATGGCGGCTGCTGCTGCTGCTGCTGCCGCGGCCGCTGCGAGCGAGGAGAAAGACATCATGGCCACCGACGACAACGACGAGCCACGCACCCCACTAGCTGATCTCAATCCCGCCAACTTCTACGCCGACGGTCTCGACGCGACAAGTGTGGTTCTTGTTCACGACGATGAGGACGCAGAGGCCGAGACGGATATCGAAGAGGACGAAGCCGCAGACGCTGCACAGGTCGCCCCTGCGGCGTCTCGTGACTTTACCTTCCAGGCCTCAACCATGACCGCCAAGGTGCTCGAGGAGCTCGGCACACCGTCTCTCAACGAGATCTTGAGCGCCCCAACACCATCATATGGCACCGAAGGCGCTGGAAAAGTGCCCTTCGTCGGAGCAGGTCTCGACCTTGACGCCGCCACCGACAAGGTCGACGCCTCGATCGAGATCTGGGAGAGTGAGAGCGCCAAGGATGAGAATGAAAAGGCCGACGTCGACGTTGACCCCCACATCCACGTCTACCGCCCTGGTACTCCTGGTTCCATTGGTGTTGGTGATGAGAATGTCTTTGCTTTACAAGAGCTGTAGACTGTTGTGCGGGGTTCCCTGATCCCGTCCATATTGCGACCATCTGTCGGCATGACGGTGTATCACCGAGTCCAATACTCACCCTCTTACTTCGCACTTCCCACATCTCTGACATTCCCTCCAGAGAGCCCTTTTCCTTCCAGGGTTTGATGAATCTGTAACGGCCTTTTCGTCTCTGTTTCCCTATTGGCGTTCGACGTGGCTGCATTTACAAGGTGCAGGTTGACAACTGGGTTTCATCCTCGGGCGTTGGGACTACGAGGAGTCCATCTACGGTTTCAGTTTCTCGATCTTATTGCAAGTTTCTGTGCCGGTATACGGGTAACAGTTGGTTGGCTGGTGCTATTGGCGGGGATCCTGTAACGACGTTTTGTGATTCTACGCATTTTTTGCTTGATAGGTCCCAAATTTGCAATTTCCAGTTGTTGACCCGATCTTCGCGTCCTCCTCCTCCTCCTCCTCCTCCTCCTCCTCATCATCATCATCATCTTGTTCTTCTTCTTCCTCTCTCTTTTCTAGTGTGCGCCCCGTCTCGACTCGGTGGTTCGATCGTAAAGAAGAATACTAGGGCCCAAAGAAATCCAGGTCCCATTCTTGCTGCAGGTCTGAACCCACACTGAGTCCATTCCCAGTCCACGTCCAAGCGTCTGGCGTCACATTTGGCATTTCCGCCTGTGTAGGATGATAGTCAACCATATCATTTCCCCATCCCCATGCCAGTCTCGGGAAAGCCACCACATTGTCCAGTGACATGATCATGTGGTCATATTCTGCTGCGTCAGCTGGGCGAGCTGATTCGGTAGGCATGGGCATGGGCACGGGCATGGGCATGGGCATGGGCGTCGAAGAAACATCAGCACCCTCCGACGTAGAACCCACAGGGACACCGTTGAAGCCGATCGTACTCGTACTCGTCTTCGTCCTCGGACAGTCTACAAGACACCGTGGTCCCCTTTTGCCCGGCGCGATCTTGATCTCTCCGAAGCACGGGATGGTGACTTTGCAACTCACCCCAGTATCGAACCCGTACGGGCACGGGCCGCCGCTTCGGTCTGGTCTCGCAGCGCGCATGAGCATCTGTAATACCGGGACGGCTTGTTTAGAGACGGCGTTGCTGTCACGAGCGTCTTGAGATGCCTGTTGAAGAATCTTGGTGGTGTTGCGAACCACGTCCCAGGCTGCGTCATCTTCGCGGGTCGGTTTGGAGCCCTCTCCCTGGTATTGCGTGATAAGATGTAACGTCAACAGTACTGACATGATGAATGCTTGAAAGTCAAACGTGGTGCAGAGGTATGGGTCCAGTGCGAGATCGACACGGAGGACTTTGTACGTCGCAAGCCCTTGCAGGGATGACCCAACTGTCGTGTCGTACGAGTACTGATAAAGCCCCCGGCCTGTCGATTTGAGCATGAAGGGGAGATGCAACAGGGCCCGAATGAAGTGCTTGAGCGTGTGAGCTTCGAACCGCTCGAGGTTGGCTTCGCGACTGTAGACGCTTAGAGCCTCTGAACTGAAGTCCCACCAGCGAGGGTCCATTCGGTCCATTCTCTTAACATGTCCTTCCAACTCTTGATCGATTTTGAGAGTTGTCAGCCATGTGTCTTCCGACAAAGACTGATGATTCCTATCGATCACTTGGCTGACTATTGAAGCCATGAAGGAATAGAACTTATGCCCATGCTGCTCGTCGGCAGTCGATGCTTGTGGGTTCTGGGTCCACAGATACGAGCTGGGAATGCCATAGGGGAGTCCCAGAATCATACTCAGATACCGGTCCCTGAAACAGATGCTTTGCCATAAGTGGGCGTGACGATATTCGGCGCCCTGGGGAGTTAGATCAGTGGACCTAATCAAGCTTAATCCACGATGCAGACCTTCGCTAACGGCATATTCGAGAGCTCTTCGACAAATATGCCAGGACTTGCGCAATTTCCCAATGTTGCAGTAATATCCCGAGAGGAGGAGTAGGCATTCGAGGCCCTCGAGTGTCCTTGCCGCTTCATCGTTTTGCAGCACAAACCGTTCTATAGCAGGCAGAACTTGTGAACTCAGGTTGACAATAGCTGCCGGATCGTCGAATGTGGGCTTTTGGAAGATGTCTGGAGAAAGCCGTTCTGCGCTGATCAGTGTCCAGAGTGTCACTTTTATTGTTTCAGTAGGATCAGGGAGAGAGAGCTTGCGAGAAAGTTCGGTTCTGATATCCGTAGGAACATGGCTTTCAAACAGCTCAGGGAATCTATGAGGAGCGCGACGCCACCAATCCTGACTTAGATCGATGAGAGTGTTAAGGTCGGGTTCTACGGGGAGGAGATTCAGAAGTGAATATCTTGTAGGATCGAATGTTGAATTTGTTTGACTCGATGGCAAGGTCTCAGACCGGATTGAAGTCTCTTGTTGTTGATGTACCCGAGTGATGATACTGTTGTTGAAGAGGCTGAGGACTGCACTGTCTTCAGCGCTTCTAGCAGTCGACAACTCTGTCTGTTCTCCTATCAAAGGACCTGTCATGCCACATCAGGTAGGTCCAAAGCAGGCCGCGTTGCTTTAGTGATGACTTACCGGGAGTGCGGTCTTTAGGGGAACCTGCCCTCTGGTTGCTTTCATCACTGGAATGCTCGGAGGGCACTACTGAATTCTGCCCTTTGAGGGAGCTTTCAATAAAGGCCTCAATCCGGGCAACTCTTTCCCGTAGGCTGTATGCTGAAGGATCCCTGTGACTACCAGGGCTCTTTCCCGCTCTAGTAGGAGCTAGAACAGCTTGAGCTGGGACCTTGCCTTGCTCGACACATGTAGCCCCCCGAGCATAACATTCTTCGCACTTCTTGTTATCTCCAGTGAAGATGCATTTGACCTTTCGGCGTCGACCTAGCAAAGAGATCGCGTTAGTCTCGAGAAAGCCATGTCTCACCGGGACGGCTTCACATTCGTAGCAACTCTTGGTACCTCGCCTCAGCTTCGGAAACGAATTCATGTCTCACGACCGTAATGCCGCGTCCGAAAAGTGGTCCGATTGCCTTCCCTAGAGGGCGGTGGACGTGCACTTCGGCACTTCAGCACTTCAGCACTTCTTGATGCTGTGCTGTTGCACCGGAGCAATCCAGCACCGAGAAATCGTCCTGCGACGGTGATAAACGAAAAAAAGAGAACTGAATTCAACGGCTGAGAATCTCGTAAGCGGCGTTCCTCGGAATCCGAATATTCGTCCGGCGGGCCTGGCGCATAATTACTCACCATCTTGCTTTTAGGTAATCAGTGATTCTAGGAGTGACTATGCTGCTGCACTCGACGTAAAGACTGCAGAATTGTTGTCCGCTTCATAGAAATGCACAATTGACTGGATCTTACATACTTCAAAACTCACCATATCTCCCCCAGAAGACTATACGTGTGGCTGCGTCAACAGAACCACATATTCGACGTCTACCACTTAGGTCAATGTCAAGAGCCATGGAGATAGGTGCAGCTCAAATGCGTTCAGTGAGTATTTGGTGTTCCAATAATGGAAGCATCATGCTTGTGATCTGGGTAGATTTGTAGGTTTATGAATCCGACATTCCTCGTTCAAAGACACATTTGAGAAGCCGCAGGGACGACAAGCTGCAGCGATGAAGGCTTGCACTCTCGGGTGTTTATGCCTCGCCGTATAATTTCAAATGTACGGCGAGCCATATAACGCTAGATGCAAACCGGGGTGTCGCCAACAATCACACATACACCTCAAGTCTACATCAGGCAAAGCCAGATGCAGTGTCCATTTATCTTGCCTATGGTATCACTATGATAATCCTAGGCTCTTGCTTAAACGCTACCTTCATTCAATCTCGAGAAGTCTGTTAGCAGTATCGATCACCGTCTCCCTCAGTGATCGATAAATCTTGTCCCCGAATACGCTCCTAGTGTCCGAATCGTCGATTCGGTATGGGTGTTCCGTATCTTCCTCCTTGCTGGCCACCATCGCCGCACCGGGGACTGAGGATAGACGCTCTCTGAGTTGCGGATATTCCTCTCTCAGTATCTCCAACACCGTTCCTGCAAACAATGGCTCCGGATTGGCCAACAATATCCTGCGATTCTTGTCACTCGCCTCAGTCAAGGCTCGGACATGCAGTATCGCGAGATCTCGGACGTCGATGTAGGCACTGAACAGAGGCTTACCATCGGTGCCGGGCCTCAAGAAGTTGTCGTAAAATACATCCGAGCTCAAGTTTGTTCTGCCCTTCCCGAATGCCTTCTCATCAAGTCGCTGTAAGGGTGGGCCTATGATAAAGGGGCTTTCAATGGGTCATTATCTCGGTCAACGATGCCGTGAGCGGCCATACTGACGATAAAATGACAGAGACGGTAAAGTCAGGTGTCTTATCCTCCACAAACTTCCACAAAGCCTTCTCAGCCAATGTTTTCGCGTACATATAACTCACGCCCCCGTGCTGTGCCTTGCGAGCTACGTCGGGATCGACCTGTTGATGCACACACGGAACATCAGCTGCGGGCCCAGAACATAGGGTGTGTTACTGCTAATACCTCATTCCAATCGTTGGCGGTCAAGGCTTTACCAGAAAACGGCTTTGTGACATCGGTGACCGACACAACACTGCCAGTGAAGCAAAAATGTGTGAGTGCCTTGGAATAGGTGAGAGCGGCATTGAGAAGCTCCAGGTTCCTAAAGACAACTGTGAGTATTGTCACGGAAAAGCTCAGAGAGTGACTCCTCACCCCTGGACCGCAGGCCGCAAGAAGTCCTCGTCGAAATCCTTGCCACTTCCATCCGGTACAGGGGATGCAGTATGAATAATGTAATCAAAACGTGTTTCCTTGAGGATCTGGTCGTATGCGCCGGCAGCTGAAAGATCTGGCACAACGACAAGCTTGACTTTGGATTTGAAACTGGGATGGGCTACGAAAACATCCTCCGCTTTGGACTGAGTGCGAACGGTTCCGGTGACTTCATAGCCATTCTACTTATGGTCAGTGAAACCTTCATAAATGCCTGAGACCTCTTCAAGCTTACTTCGACGAGTTGGCTCAAGATATGTGTGGCTAGGAAGCCATTCGCCCCAGTGAGGAAAACTTTCGGCATGGTTGTTTTACTCTGCAAAGATCAGTCAACGATGGAGAGTGAAGAACAGCCGAATGTGATTGACTTTCGAACCTATGCCGACCCTTTTTATGTCCTCAAGGCAAAGTCATTGCTGCCAAATCTCTGCCCTTCGAAGACCCTGGCGATCAATATGTCCCGGAGCAAATATCGGCATCGGAGTACCCTCAACGTCAGCTTTCAGGGGCCGTGGTCGGACCAAAACTCGGCAAGATCACCATCAGCGGTGCGGGTATTACCAACCTCCAGGCTTCTTGCGCCTTTCCTCTGGGACCTCCTTAAAGACATTACAAATATGTCTCCGACAGTCATCGCACCTCGAGTGCTGTCTACCCAGAGTCTGAACCTCTTGCTTATCGCTCAGGACTGCCATCGGCAGCCTTGTCTTGCCTGCTCCAACTCCGCGGACAACATCAGGATTGTGCTGAGCAATGTCACAATCCACTCTTACCGTGCGTTGCAGCTGCAACGGCATCATGAGATATCCAGTTTGTCCATAAATATTGCTATTCTCGTTTGTTTCTTCCACGCTGCCTCAGAAAATCTGCCGCATACTCCCTCCGGTTGTCCGTCACGATGTATTCATCAAGCCTCTTATACCCAATCACCCTCGCCCTCGCGGTCTTCGCAACACTGAGCGCAAGTGCAGCGTTGAAACCCTTCGACGATTGGGCTCATCAGCGCGTCGCCCTCGCGAACGTAAGCATCCACTTCCGCTACGCGGGCAGCGGACCTCCGATCCTGCTCGCCCACGGCAACCCCCAGTTCAGCTTGACATGGCGCACCATCGGACCCCTGCTGGCGCAGAACTACACGGTGATTGCCCTCGACAACCGCGGCGCAGGCGACTCCTCCATACCCGCCGACGGCAACTACAGCGTGATGGCCTCGGCCATTGACGCCAAATCGGTCCTCGACTTTCTCAACATCACATCCGCCTACGTGGTAGGACACGACTTTGGATCCGGCATCGCGACCGCACTAGCCACAATGTATCCAACCCTGGTGCGTCGATTGGTTGTGACGGAGTTCGCGATACCGGGGTTCGGTTTCGAAGAGGCCCGCAACCCAGGCCCGTACTGGGATCTCTACGCCAACTGGCAGCTCGCGTTCTTTTCGATCCCAGACGCCGCCACGTTCTTCATCTCCGGGAGGGAGAAGCAGATGCTAGAGTGGTTCTTCTTCCACGGCAGCTACTCCGGCCCGACGAGTTTCCCAGAAGACATTGTGAATCGATACACGAGCTCGATTTCCAAGCCCGGATTTCTGAGGGCGATGGTGGGCCCCTACGACATACGGGCCATCGCTGCAGCCGCCAGTTTCTTCCAGGGGACACTTGGCCGACAAGCACTGTCCGTGCCGACGCTGGCCATGGGCGGAGAAGCGAGCCTGGGCCCGGCAGGTAAGTCCTTGTGGGCGAATATCACGACAGACTTGGAAGTGGATGTTGTTCCGAAAGCAGGTCATTGGATCGGTAAGTCGAGATGACTGTTTTCTAGTTTTCGGTGACTTTTTTTTCTGTCTCTTTCTTCTCCTCTTCCTGCTGTTGTCAATCCCCACGAGCTAGAACGCATTCCTTGTCGACGTCCATTGTGCTCACAATGTACTATTTATAGCGGATGAGAACCCAGCATGGGTCGCGGCACGAGTGCAGAGCTTCTTCGAGCAGGACGAGAACCCGCCGCTGCCCACGATCGACCTCTCTTATCTTGACGACAAAGTGACGCTGACAGTCGGCTATTTCGGGACATTGGGCAATGCTGCAAGGGCAGGCGGAGGGTGATAGAGGAAAAAGAAGCCCTCTAAAGCCATGCTAATATCACTGCAGTCTACTTAGACATGTCGTCTGTTTTCAGGATAGTGAGGTGATATTGTTAGAATAATAATAAACTCTTTTGAAGAAGGTTTCCTTCCGGCCACTGAGTATGACGAAGACACAGAATAAAAGTCCCCCCTGACGCCTCCTGTGAAATAAAACCATCGCAAAACTACACCCTCATACCCGTTACGGTATGCTCTCGGAGTCGTCGCCTGTCGCCATCACCGTCAGAGCTGCGGTCCGCTAAGTCTCATCATCTTTCACCAACGCAGATCCCAAAACGTCCGGGTCACTCTCGATTAGAAGAAAACGTCTCTTGTGGTATATAGAGTATATTCTAAGCGCCTTCGCACAGCGTCTGTCTGGTCCACTCAAGAGCCCGGCTGTGGCGGAGGAGGAAACACCTTTCTCAACATGCTCTCCTTCTTGCGTCGGTTGCCCACGGCGGAGCTTGATTTCGGCGGGGGCGCAAACTCCGTCTGCACATTCAACCCGATTTCCTGCCTGCGCGCGTGTTCGTGGCTCGTGCGGCGCTGCGGCGCGTCGGTCTCCCCCATGGGCGCAAGGGGAGGAGGATACAAGCGCGTCTGAACCTGGGAGTGCGCGTGGCTCTGCAGAGGCGGGTGAGTAGAGACGGTCGGCGTGCGTGTCTGGATGTGCGAGAGCGCGAATGATTCCCCGACCGGTTGTTGGGCGAGGAGCAGAGGCACACCTGTCGCGGGGGTCAGCGGGGCGGTGCCGCCGTACGCGTCGTCGACGGTGCGCAAGTATTCTTGCGCGCGGGCATCCGAGGTGTTGGACAGATGGTGTTGGTGTGACCTGCCTTGGTTGCTCTGTTGTTGACGAACCAGGTACGTTTGGTAGGCCTGGTGCGATTGCGAGTTGAAGTCGAGTGGGAATGTCGTCATCTCTGCACTGTCACGCTCGTCGTCGTCGGACAGAGACGAGGAGCTATCACCTTTGCCCTTGACGTTTATTGTACCGTCGAGAGACTTGTTTGAAGCAGCAGCCGTCGCCGCCTCGGAAGCGCGCTTGCGCATTCGACGTCGCATGTATTTCCGAAAGCACCAGAAGCATGCAAAACTGAAACCGATGCCGCCAAGTACGCTGGCGACGATGGCGCCTGTGAGACCGGCGCGTCCGAAGGAGGAGATCTTGGTTGCCTTTGCCGCAACGGGCACGGTGTTGGGACAAAGGGTCTTGGTTTGAACGTACAGTCCTTGCGGGAGGGCAGAGGCCAGTTGGAATGTTGGTGGGTGTGAGTCGTAGTTTGCCATGAAGTAAACGTTGGACAAAAATGCAGAACCCAGAAGGCTGGGGCTGGTGGCTGTGCTGTTGCCGGAAGAGGTGGACAGAGGGGCGGCAGAGATAGGTGAGTTATTGGATATATTGCGGAGCCATTCAGAGTTGTAAGTGAGATTTAATCCACCTTCAAGCGTGATGGTCAAAGTGCCGTCGAAATCAGATGGAAGACGAAGAACGTCGAGTGCATCATTCGAAGGACTGGCTCCAGTAATGTCAGCCAGCTTCTTGGTGACGCCGGCTGGAAGACTGAGTGGGTATTGTGATGTCGTGATGTAGGCATCGAATCCGTCCAGAAGTTCTGTCTTGCTCCCATTTCCAGTATCGAGCATCATCTGCGTGACAAGCACTTTAAAAGGACTGTGGTCCGCATCAGGGTTCGGCTCGACGATGGTGAAGTTATATACGTTTCCCCCAAAACGTCCAGAGTCGCATCCCCCGAGTGTTAACGAGCCGTTCATGGCTCCATTGGACTGAGCGTATGCAGCACCCGTGTAGAGGCCGAATGAGCGAGAAGAGATTAGCTTGAGGTCATAGAGATGGCGGAGAAGAGTGCTCGAAGGGCCAAGGCCGACCAGACCGGCGGGACCGAACCATGGTGTCGTTTTCGCGGAGTAATTCGAGAGCACTGTGATGGGAAAGTTCGAGATTTTGGTGATGTTTGGAGGTGACGGATCGAAATAGTGAGTGAAGAGATTGAAGGTGTCGAAAGCAGTCTCGACGACGGTGGCGGGTATTGATCCCAGCTGGTCGAGTCGCTGATAAGATGCTGCGGACGAGTACCTTGAAGTCTTTCTAAGTATGCATGACACGAAAAGAATTGGGACGTACCTACGCATCTGAGAGGTCTGGCGAATAAAAGCCGTGGCTTTGATTGTTGCAGTTCTGGAATTGACTGTTCGTACAATAGTCCAAACTTCCTACTGTCGTCTCATTGTGTGATAATGACGGCCACTGAGATAGGTTTTGTGAGATCGGGCTACCGATTCCTGTGAAAAGCCCATATTGGAACGTAATTCCGCCATCGACTGCTCGATTATGAAAGTCGACATAAATGGGCTCGATGCTGCAGTTGTTCGCAGCCACGACTGACATCAATAAAACCACTCCGAGAAGAGTGGTCATGGTGCATTGGGAACTGAAAATTGCCGATGTGTAATGGAGGTCGATATGGCTTTGGGGTTACAAAGCGCGATATGAACAAGTAAAGAGAAAAGAAAATGACAGCAACGACAGCAACGACAACAGAACACATAGAGAGCTTAGACAAGGGAGCAAGGAAAAGATATGGTCATTCAGTCTGGGCCTGAGTTCCATCATCCGCCCGCGACAGGCACACAGAGAGAGAGTATCCTGCACCAAAGCGAGGCAAATCCTGAAACGGCTGGGTAGCGGCAGACGCCGTGCGGAGACGGGGGTAATCTATCCTCTATCCAAGAATGTTGAGCAAGGTCCGTTCTCGTCATTCTCTCAGGTCTTTCCAAGGTCAACCAAGCATATGCTATGGGGTCAGATGGTCGAGATTTTGGTGGCCGCTTGGGTGAGGCCTTGTAGAGGTTCATCCTAATCCAAATTTAGAAGCCAACGTTCAAGCTGGCGCTTGTCGAGACCCAATCGCCAGTGAGCTTGGCGCTGACCAGGTATCGGGCCAGAACATGGGCCAATCATGGTAGGCGACTGGTACTTTGCATAACCATGGCCTCGACTGTAATTGGCCATGGAGTTTGCTCGAAATAGCTGTTGGTACAGGTATCCAAGGCGCCCTTGTCCTGCACAAAGCCGTTGTCTGCCGCTGATCCAAAATTGGATAGATGCTTGCACGGCTACTTTGTCCCAGATACCACTCCAATTAAACATCAGTGCGGAGTATGTGATATTGATGACGACGAAGGTAACTGTGGACTTGCAGCGAGGTATGCCACTACGGAGATTCATCCTTTGGGTTTCTTCCGGACCATTCCAGCAGAGAGAAGCATCGCCGAGGACGCAGAATTCGAATCCACGGTTTTGGGATCTGTAAGGTTCTCGTCAGTCTTGTCGGCTTTTCGTTTCTTTCGCACCGATGTCAGCATGTTGATCGGAGTTGCGTTTGCTGTTTCGGGTTCGTCGGGTTGAACCAAGACGCGTTCCCCTCGAATACGCAGCCCAAATGTGGAAGTGCCGGTCAGCTCGAGGGCCTTTCCGATCCAGGACATAGTACTCTCGGCGGCTTTCTCCTCACCGGCGAAGTCTATTTGTAGAAGGTGATCCATCAAAGTCTGATATTGACTAGGGTTGAGGACAAGCTGGCCTTGTGTTGCACTCGACTGCTTTGAATGAGCCTGAAGAATGTGTTCTTCTACCTTGTTTCTGGTATGTGAAGTGCTGTGATTGTTGGAGGCACCAATTGCAGATTTGAACAGGGAAGGCAGTTCTTGAGGAACAGGACCGGGTGAAGACGAAGGTGGCGAGACCAGTTTGTTGATTTCATTACCCACATCGGCCGAGGGAATCTCACCAATTTTCTCTTCGCCATGGTCTTGAGCTTGCGAATTACCGGGGGTCGGCAACGGTACATTATTTTCGGATGTCGTTGCAGACCCTTCTTTGTTGAGCGGGTCTAAGGTGGCCAGGGCGGCATGAATCGTCTGGCCTGGTGAGAAGACGAGCCATAGAAAACCAACCAATCTTCCAGCAGAGCATTCCTGGCGATAAGACATCATCTCCCAGAAGTGGTCGAGAGTTTTAATACTTCGCCAGTTTCCTTGATTGTCGACAAACTCGCCGTCTAGATCGTCTAGAAATCGGGATTTGGGGTCGTCTGGGAAGCGAGGTACCAAGTGCCGCGGGGGTCGCGAGGCATCTGCTACGAGCAACTCAACTGGGTAAGAGTTGATCCATTTGGGAGAAGATGTCGAGTCTCGACGGCTTGATGGCGGGAAGAAAGCTTTGGTCTCTCCTCTGTCGCATCCTGGCACGACCAGATGAGCAGATGATTTGAAAGGGGGATCCGAACTATCGCTGTGAAGGCGTAGCACGGGATCCAATACTCTACACCACCACTTGATAAGCTGCCGGTCATCCAATACGTGTTTCCCAGGATTTTCAATGCTGCCTGGGAAAAGATATTGATTCTGTGATCGGGCAAAGAGCGAGAGCACAACCCTAGATCGATTGAGTCTCGGTTCCAGTAGATAATCCACAAACGCCGAGATGATTGTTGATACCACAGATGGGAATCCTTTCGAGGCTTTCAGTCGTGAAGAGAAGCCGGATGAATCGGCCTTGGACACAAAGAGTGTGGTGAGGTTGTCCCTGGTGAAAATGAGAATTTCAATTGCGAATACCAGAACTTCCTTGACATCATCGTGCCCAGGCGAGGAAATGGCGAGAAAGTGTGACTCGCCGGTGGTATGCTCTTCGGTGTCGCCCGGCAGAGGTGAGAAAAGTGCATTGGTTGAAGTTGGCTCGGAGGACAGATAATAGGCTTTGATGTCTAGATCCTGTGGGAGGGCGGATGAAAGCCTCGATACCAGAGCTGTGGACTCCATAGCAGCATGGTAGCTATGGTGTAGACGCCGCCTACGATGAGCACCCAAGAAAGCTGGGACTCAGCAACCACAGAAGCCCGAGAGATGGGAGCAGAGAGAAGACACAGGGGACGCGCTCATGAAGAACTTGTCCAGAAATGGATTAGTGCAGACTACCTGGGACCAATGACATGGTGCTCCGCTCCAGCCTGGCCGTCCCAACGACTGAGAACGAAGGGACACGATTGCGTGAATGAGACAGATGAAGACGGCGGGTGCATGAAAGGTATGAGCCAGTCCAGCGACGTGAGGCACCAGCTACGTGATCGATGGATAACAAGTTGTCGAAGACACTGACTTGAACGTGTTCTGAGGGACAAGACGAATGTGGTTAAGCGTGTTCGGCAGACCTTCCCCAGCTCTTCCGTCGCATTTTGATAAAGACTCGATTTTCTTCCAGCCATCAATATCAAAGCAACAAGACCAGGCCCCATTGCATAATCCAGGAGTTTTCACTCACATCTACTACCTGTCTCTGATTTGCACGATCTCCTCAAGACAGCCCAGCCTTAGTCAATGTGCTGAGGACAAGTCACTCGATGAACTTTGGAAGGTCTTGACTTGGGGGCAAGCTGCGAACTGCAAACTCATTCGTTGCTGAGTATTCCTCCTTCGTGTGACCAAATCCATCATGCTGTAGCTGACCACCAGACCGTTTTGTTTCCTACTTGTCTTGCTAATGTGTCATCTATATGCTCAGTTCCGACAAAGATCCACTTCCCAAATCGCCTCCGCGCGTAGACGATGTTTCAACCAAACCAGAGGACGCAGAGGACGGTGAAATCAGTGACCACGCTATCTCTCCGTCAAAATCCCCAAGCTCTACACCAGATGACAACAGCGCAGCCAATCCTCCGCTGCCCACTGGTGAAGTCCCTCCGCCACTGCCCGATGAGCCACCGCCTGGTGCGCCTGAGGACGACGGGTGGGAACCTGTCTGGGACGATTCAGCGCAAGCCTTTTATTTCTTCAACCGATTTACCAATGTCACACAATGGGAAAACCCAAGAGTGCCCGAGGCTCGGGCGACAGGACCCCCAGGAGTGGGAAACTATGACAGAATGGCAGGGGCAACAGATCCCCCGCCGGCAGGCTCTGTTGGTGGATACAACCCGGCCATACACGGTGACTATGATCCAAATGCCGACTATGCGAAAGTCCATGAAGCACCGTCAGCTACAACAATCCCCGGCTCTGGTGCGCCTGGTACAGACCCAGCCGATGCATATGCCGCCACTGGGTACTTTAATCGGTTTACGGGGAAGTGGCAGAACGCGGACCTCAACCCTGACAAGCACAGTGACGAGCAAAAGAGTCGGAGACAGATGAATGCATTCTTTGATGTGGACGCGGCTGCGAACAGTCATGACGGGAGAAGTCTTCGAGCTGAGCGAGCCAGCAAGAAGCTCACCAAGGCCGAGCTCAAGGCGTTCAAGGAGAAACGGCGGGAAAAGAAAGAAGAGAAGAGACGAGCCTGGCTGAGAGACTGAGCGAGGCGTAAATCGACTTGTTTGGAACGGAGTGCTGGGCCTTGGGCGTTGAGGATTATCGCAACACCGCGATTTGGCCTGTACATAACTCGTGTAGCGATTGGACATGGCTTGCATAATACAATGACTTGACCATATTACGCTTGTTCATTCTCATTCATACTCTTACTACGTGAAGAACGATCGCTGGTATACACTGCTCGCCTCTGTCCACGTCCCGCAGCATCAGCGGAGCCGTCCGGAGTGGTCGGTTCCAGTCTGTCCTGAACCTTGAGGACAGAGTTCTACACATCACCTCAATTTTCCTGACCACACAAATACACCGCCTCGTTGTCCAACTTGACAGTGTCCCTCGTTACGATTTGCCTTCCGTCATGCTGTATCCATGTTCGCCGAGACTGTTGCGCTGGTCTGCAGCGGCTGGTACATCTTCATAGCCTGCGTCTGCGCCATCGGCTACCTCAACCTGTACCTCACCCTCTCTCCCTCGTCGCAGAACAACACACCCTGGCCTGGCCACGGTCTCTAACGCATCCTTCCCAGATTCATACACTACCGAAAGGTTCCTGTACGCGCCGCCGTCCTAGCCAAGGACAAAACAGACATCCCACATGTCACCGTGATTCGACCCTGCAAGGGCCTCGAGCCGTATCTCTACGAGTGCCTCGCGTCGACCTTTCTCCAAGACTACCCTCCCGACAAGATAGACGTATACTTGTGCGTTTCGTCGCGCTCGGACAGCGCCTACCCGATCCTTGAGAGGGTGGTCCACGACTACCCCGACCGCAACGCCAGGATCTTCATCGAAGAGGAAGACGATGACGCCGCGGGACCGGACAGTTCCAGAGCCTACCTTGGCCCAAACCCCAAGATCCGGAACATGAGCAAGGCCTATCGTGAAGCCAAGAGTGACCTGATCTGGATAATTGACTGCAATGTCTGGGTTGGTCGTGGCATCTGCGCCCGCATGGTCGACCGGCTGTGCGGCTTCACTCAGCCAGGACTGCCTCCAGCAACACCGTACAAACTGGTCCACCACCTCCCCATCTCCGTGGACGTGGACACATACTCGAAAGGTCGGCCGCGAACTGATTCCTCAGCGTACGACGAAACACCCACGACGCCCTTGCTCGCGAACACAGGCGGGAGGCGCAGCAGCGCGCTCACGCACCTCAACCGTTACGGAGGGCGTCTGGAAGAACTATTTCTCTCGTCGTCGCACGCGAAGATGTACGTAGCCATCAACATGGTCGCCGTCGCTCCGTGCATAGTAGGTAAATCAAACATGTTCCGCCGCTCGCATCTCGACCACCTGACCTCGGTGTGCGCGAGGGTTGAAGATGCTCCTGGGCCCGCTGGGGGAACCACCCCGGTCAGCGCCAGGACCGGCATCGACTACTTCTCCAGCAACATCTGCGAGGACCACCTCATCGGCGACCTCCTGTGGAAATCCAAACTACCTCGCCTGCCAGGCTTCCCAAGCCGGATGCGCAACCACGGCCTCGTCCTGGGCGACCTGGCGATCCAGCCCATTGCCGGAATGAGCGTGGCCAACTACGTGGCGCGGCGTGTCCGCTGGCTTCGGGTTCGCAAGTTCACCGTCCCCGTGGCCACGCTCGTCGAGCCCGGCACCGAGAGTTTCCTGTGTTCCGCGTACGGCGCATTCGGCGCCACCACGTTACCGTCGACGCGCCCATTCTTCGGGACGACATGGACATGGTGTGCGCTCTGGTGGCTTGTCAGTATCACGATTTGGGCCGCGGTCGACTGGACCGTCTATCTCCTCTTACACTCTGGACGGACCGTCGACGACGCGGACGACGGTCAGAAAGTGCCGGAATTCGTACGCCGAAGCAAAACCAACTCTCCCGCGCGGGATCTGACTCGGGCACGACGTCCGTTCAAGGAGTGGCTTTTCGCCTGGCTCGGCCGCGAGGCTCTCGCGCTCCCGATCTGGACGTGGGCGATATGGGGTGGTGTAAGTGTGACGTGGAGAGACCGTCGGTTCTGGGTCGGGCTGGACATGAAGGTTCATGAGATACATGAGACGAGCACGGCGACGACGTCGACAGAAACGACAACTGCAATGCCTCTCGGAATGACTAATGGGCATACGAACGGGAATGGTCATATGAATGGGAAGAAGCGGACTGAGTAGATACCGTAGACGACATCGTACCTACGTTCTCGGGATCAACCTATTTCTCGAACACTTGTTCAACGCTTCTTACGATCAATTCCTTCCTGTTTCGTCGAACGAGTCGAACCACTACTTATGATGGGGACGTTTCTGTACAGATGTAGACCGGACTCGGAAACCGCCTAAATTGTGCTCCCTATATTGTAATTATGCATCTCCGTATAGACGTAGGTAGTGGTGGGTGATGATATGCGCTCACCTACGGTGCTTCGACAGGCAACTACCACCCGTTTACGGATGGATTAGATACGTGGTAATATCGATTCCGGAATCCGTTGCGGCGCGCTCCCCAGAGTTCCGCGTCGATTCGATTTCTGCAGACCACCGATTTACCTCGTTGGGTGGGTACTTTTGCCAATTTCCCTACTTGACTATCCATCACCTATGTAGGTGGTAGGGAGGTAGGTAGTACGTAGGTAGGTAGTACGTAGGTAAGGAGGTAGGTGGTAAGTAGGTAGGGCCGGACCTGGACCTGGTGTTGGTGCCCTGTAGCCACCCCCCCTCCCCCTGATGCTGAGGTACCCGGTGGTGCCAGGTCCGCGCGTCCATCGAAAGCGTTGTCTGGTGGACGGATTCCAGAACGATACAGGAGTAGCGTGTAGAGGGTAGGTAGGGTGGTGAGGGATCGGATTGGTGAGTTGGACAGGAACATGGACAGGGATAGGAACACAAAGTCCACCGTCGCCATCTCCCAAACTTCGATACAGAAACAAGCTCCCTCATGGAGATATTTGCGGCGAATCGCTCGCTCGGGGGCTGAAGTATATTTAAATATCCATGGACACTCGCAGCGAAATTCCTCCAGTGCGCAGCGGCGAAACAGAACGTAGGGGGGTTCGTTCCTTTGCAGACAGTTGTCTGAACCAGCACTGTCTTCCGAGGTATGGCACTCATCCACTCATCACGGACCTGTACCGGTGCCGTGCCTGGTCATTCTCCTATGTACTATACCCCCTAGTAGCGTGTAGTGTTATTCTTTGTTCTTCGTTCATGTGCCTGATTTTGCTGAACGGCAGGAACACTGCAGTTTTCGAGGCGTGACGGCAGCCTGAAAGCCATGTAACTGAACGGCACGAACCACGGGCTGGGTTTCGTTGGCCAAAAGCGTCAGGTCAGCAGATGAAAAACCAGTCACGAATCAGGGATCAATGAGATAAGACAACGGCAATTCAACACAAGTAATCCGCACTTACCCACTGCATATTGACCTCGTCGTGACACGCGGGTTCCGTGATGGCCTCGAGTTCAGCTTCTCCCGTCACCACATTCCCCAGGCCGACCTTGTAGTACTTCAGCGTCATCGTTCCGTCTTTCCAGCGATCGACACTGTCGAGCTTGATACGCACGGTCTTTCCGGGGTTTCCTTGGGATGCCTTTTCGTCGAGTTCGGTCGCTGTTTTGGCGATCGCGTACGCGACACAGCTGTTCCAGTGGCCTTCGACCACCTTTAGGTCCCTCAGGGCGTCCAGGGCGCTGTGGCGAAGATCGCGCGCTCGACACTCGGTAGCGAGGAAGAAAAGCGGCGCGATGAATCCCAGGTGCACCTTCAGAACAAGATCGTCATTGTGCTCTTCGTGAAGCAACTCGGTGTATCCTCCCCGCAAGAATGTCCGAATCTGTACAAACATGATTCGAAAGTCGGCCGCGGCGCGACTGTAGATCTTGTCGTTTTCGGGTGGGAGGCTCTTCAATATCAGCAGAGCCATCCGGTGATGAGCCAGCAGCAATAGCTGCCAGTCTTTCAGCACGGGATCATCTAGTTCGTACGTCACTTTCCACTGCCCGAACGATGTTGCCCAGTCAGCGACGTATTTGCGCACGCCAGGAGCCATCGACGACAAGTGGTTGGGCTGCCCGAGCTCGAGGAGGAGGACCCAGTATAGTGCCTGCTGGAGGAACTTGTTTGACTGGTCCAGGTCTCGAAACACCTTGGGCATCTCGGGCAACGAATACGTTGTTCCTGCGTTCGTCCCCTTCTCAACGCTGGAAGTCTCGGTCAGCCGGTAATTGGCACTCTTGAGTATGAAACCCTCAATGACTGGTTCTATCAGCTGACGGACTTCTGGCGACAGGTGTGCCTGCTTCGTCTTGCTCTCCAAGATGATTTTCTGGCCGGATTTAAGATGTGTCAAGCCGGCAGCGGAAGCACCCATGAGAAAGTCACAGTGGGCAAACAGAACGCAGGCCACAAGAATGATTTCGAGCGGGAGCTTGCCGTGATCCTGATTGATCTCAGCGATGGCTTTGGTGTAGTGGAGCGTGAAAGACTGGTTTTGCCATGGCGTCCGTTTAGTAAACTCGAGCCATTCGTGAAGGCTGCTGATGGCTGCTAAACTGTGACGGATGCACGCATTCGTCTCACTCGCCTGGATAACCAGTCTGTTCCAAAACGTCCAGGCTTGCATATTGATCTGGTTCACCATGCTTTTATCGTCGATGATAGAGTCCATCATTTCGGCAAAATAAGAGGCGATTCTGGGCGCGGTACACTCGAGGAAGTATTGGGTGGGCCGGTTGAAATCCGAATCTTCGAAGAAATGGATCGTAGTTGCTCTGTGGAAGTTTGAAGTGACTTCATGGCTGACTGGAACTGCATTCGGCCGGGGGTCGAAAGCCGACGACGGCTTGGGCTGAGTATACCCCTCGCAGAAACGCCCGGCTTTGGCGCAACGTTGGCATCGTGGATGACCTTCATCGCCTGTTCATGGGTAAGTAAGTATGGCTCCTGAGTACTGTCTTGCAGCGTGTGACAAGGGGAAGCGAAGGTGATGAAAGGCTGGATGAACTGCTTCAGCACCCGCCTGCAGCGTATCCATGACGTTGGCTGCGTCGACTCGCACAGACATTGTACTTGCAAATACATTGCCAAAATGGACCTACATTTGACTCTTCGACGCCTGTTGCAGCACAATTAGCCAAGGCACCCAACGAAACAACACCAACGTGGTGAAAGAGTGGCGAGCATGATGCGCACGGCGTACCTGCAGGTAAGACAGCCGGTCCTAACCTTGTTGTGAGTCCGCTTTAGTCTTGTGGGCGATCGATCTCTGGGTTTATCAGGAGTGGTTTCTGGTGAGACGGTTGATGGAGGTGTCGTGCTCTCTGTTCGCCCTCCTTTCTGTATCGAAGCCGGCTGTGCCTTCGTAGGTGCAGCGACCATGATGTAGGGTCTTGCCGGGGCATTGAAATCCACGTAAATGAATCTGACGCTTAGATCAGACGTCACGAGGGTGCTGATACCTGTCCTTGCGGTCAAGACTCTGGCGGGGCTGGGATGGTGAAGGATTGATAGAGCTGGCTCGCTGAGCGGGGATTATCACCCATGAGACCGACGAAGGCATCAGCAGGATACAGTAGTGATCAAGTTAGCAGCTGAGTCGAACGATACTATCTTTCGGACTCAGTTAGCCTGTATCACGCGTGGTGCGTGGTGGAGACGCTGCTCAGCCGCGTCCTTCAGCTCCTTTGCTGGGATGGTTTTTCCGCTGACGACGGCGTGATTGACTAGCTGCGTTTCCCTTTGGGCGACGTGTAACCGCTGAGATGGGCTTGAAATACCAGGTGCAACGGTCTGGGGTTGAGGAGGCGGGTCTGTGGATGGTGGGTGGGCAAGACAGGAAGCATCGGCCCAAAGAGATCGAGAAGAAACCCTCAAGATGCGTCGGGTGAGGGAATATGTCAGAAGGAAATCACCGAGAGTTATTTCGACTTCGTCTCACGTCCAGAAGTTCTGTAAGGAGTTCACATATTCTCGCAGCCCTAAATGCATCACCCCGGGCTGGCGGCCACGCTAAAGTACAGTAAGCTCCTCCATCGACCACGACAGATAGTTACCGTTGTACGTACTTGTGCCTCTCCAGGCCCGCCGTAGGTCGGTCGACGAGATACTCGCAGCGCCCATAAACACACGGCAGCAATCGGTCCGTTCTACAGGCCACGAGGCTGACACTGATCGAGGCCCGAAACAAAGCAGTTATCTAACTCTGTACGTCGATCAGCCTCCGCTAGTCGTAAGTTCCCCCCCAATCTACACACGGTCACTGACCGCAAGACAATGGACTCGGTGACCCTGAAAGTAACAATGTAGGGCTTATAGCCCGGTTTGCGGACTCGCTGACCGATGATGTTCCCATGTCCTGGCTCTACAACTGGCATGCAGGAGTCAGACCCGCGAACGACGCTCACTGACAATTCGCGTGTAGCAAAAGCCAGTCATTACTTGGCTTGCAGCTGATGCGGTGAAAGAGGGATCAGGGCGAGGCGGTTATGCCGTGATCAGGACTTCCTGACCGACAGTAGCTTAGACACCGGTTCCGGGCATGATACAGTGAAGACCACGAGCTGGAGACGCCGAGGGCCGTCTCTGAAGATGTAGCAAAGCATCCAGGCTGCAACCTGATGGAAAAAAACTCGCCATGTTCATTTTCACCCATCCAGAAACGCCGAAAGGTGCGTAAAGACGCTTCTCAATGCCTAGACAGACCACCAGAGCCACAGCAAGCCTTTGAGATACTCCACAATCTCTTCTCCGCCCAACTTACTCTCACCATACAGCCTGTCGACGAAGGTGATGGGACACTCCTCGACCTTCAGCCCCATGGCCTTCGCTCGGACCATCATCTCCATTTGGAACGTGTACCCCTTGGATTGTGTCCTCTCGATCACTGTCACCAGCGCCTCCTTCTTGTACAATCTGAAAGAGCCGGTCAAGTCGCTCACACCGGGGTTGAGGAGGAAGTCGGCGAGAATGTTCGCGCCGCAGCTGGTCAGCTTTCGTTTCGCATCCCAGCCATACACTCCTCCGATCAAGCCGGGTCTTGACCGGTACCGCGTTCCTGTGACGATGTCTGCGCCGGTCTGCTTCTGGATCCTGACGAATTCGGGAATGAATTTGGGGTGGTGGGAAAAGTCGGCGTCCATGATAATGACATAGTTGCCACTGACGAAGTGTAGACCGTGTACATAGGCTGTTCCCAGACCCAGTTTGCCGGCCCTGGGTTTGAGGACGATGTGGTCGGAGCCGAAGGACTTTTGCAGTTGTTTCGCGCGTTCGAGAGTGCCATCGGGGGACGCATCGTCGACAACGATGATCTCCCAGTTCAGTTTTCTGTAGAGCAAGGATGCAGTGTTAGAAAAAGATCTCTCCTTCACGTGTCCGTCGTCGCCCAAGGCTCGAATGCGAACAACTTACTCTTTGGTGAAGACATCGGACAGCATCTGCACCAACACTGGCAGATTCTGCCGCTCGTTGTAGGTGGGTAGAATGACCGAGTATTTGTCCTTGGACGCCATTGTGAGGTTGTCAGGGATTGTGTGGGAAGAGACCGAGTAGCAGGAGGTTCACGATGAAGAGCGCAGGCCAGAGAGTCAAAGAACGCGACAGACTGTCAAACACCGCGACGAGATCATCAATCTATCATTATCAGGGGCTCCGATGTTTAGCCGCGGCAGACATTCGACGAACTACAGTATCATCAGTATCATCAGTATCATCAGTATCATCAGTATCATCACCACCATCACCACCATTACTACGCCCACAATACCCCTTCACAGTCAATACCAGGTACCGTCATTGCAACAGCCTGTCGTTGCATGGCGAACATGACTGCGACCTCAGAGCGTATTTCGACCAGGACCCAGTAGGACCCTCCGACACCAGCATGGCTTCTTCCCACCACAGCCGCAAGCCGTCGAGTCGGGCTGCTCTTCCTCGACGCACAACCAAAGGACCATTAGATGCGCCTGGCGACCTTGTCTCCAGCATCGAAACAAGTCCGACACCGCCCCTTCCTCAGTCAGCCATACAAAGCCCAGGCGATGATGCTCCAAGACCACCAGCTGAGAATAGGACTGAACGATCCTCGACGAACCAGGCGTCTCGGACGTCAAGCTCCACGGAAACGTCCGCAAGCGAAGAACGAGATATGTCTTTTCTGCTCGACGCATCCATCTACCATTCACTGTCGCAACTCGAGGTCCCTGGGCCGTTCCGGAAACCCTTCCTCCCAGGTCCGACGACCGACACCGTTGAACAATCGCTGGAGCAGCTAGATTCTCTGCTCTCCCAATGCGACTATCTACGTGCCGCGCAACTAGCAGGCTCAATCCTCACCTCAGGGACCCTACGACCCACAGATGCCAAAACAGTCTTCAGGTTACTAGCTGTCCGCTATTCTTGCCTAGAGCTCTCTGGCAATCTGCTCCTAGCGGCGCAAGAAGCCAAGGCACTCGAAGATCTGAGCTCGACATTCTACTACGACGACCCAAAGCCTTGGGAACCTGCCAATGAGGATACGGATATGCCACGGAAGGTACCCCATCATATGATGCCGTTCTCACTTAGAGTCCAGGCCTTGCGACTACAGAGCATTGGTTTTTCAGACCCTCGCCGAGGTGTGACGACGCTATATGATCTCGCCTTCGAATGTAGAGAACATCTATCTGCGCCTGGACTCTCTGCAGAAGACCACTCAATCTGGAACGAGAGGCTGCAGGAAATCTCAATCCGGATCGTCAATGCTTTGGTTGAGATGGGTGAGCTAGAATGTGCAGCTCGCACTTTGGCGACCATGAAGCCTTCAGACGATAAGGATATAGCTCTTTGGACATCACGAATGTTCTTGCTCAGGATCAAAATGGGCGATGTTGGGCGAGCACATGCCCTGGCTGAATCCAGCACCTTGGCGGCTCCCGACAAGCTCGCCCTGAAATCCTTAGTTGCCGTTGCCGAAGGGCGATACGAGGAGGCCTCTCGTACACTGTCAGAGTGTGAAGAACGAACAGATCCTGGCTTGAGAGCTCTCGTCAAACAGAATCTTGCGGTTGCCCTTCTTTACAACGGCGAGGTGTCGAAATCAAGAAAGATATTGGAAGAGCTGATTAATGAGGGCTACTCTTTCCAGACCTTGACCATCAACCTTGCCACGATATACGATCTCAGTGCAGAAACGTCCCGCGATCTAAAAACGTCCATGGTTTCCAAGATCGCCAGCGACCCGAACACGACCGGTCAACTCCGCTCGTTTCTGAATGCTGATTTCAAGTTGTAGCTCAAGTGACTGATCAGATGCACGTGGAACCCATGATTCCATGTCGATAGTCAAAAGCTTTCAATAGTCCCTTCAGATGTGACATTGCTGCAAACACAATGAGGATATGAAAGATCTGATGGGAGCTCCCCAACGTGTCGAATTTGCCAGGATACCATGATTCCGGAATGCGGGCCTACGACGGTCAGAAAAAAGCATGCAATCAGAGTGTTCGACTTACAGCATAAAGAGCAGCACCCGCAATGTACAAAGCACCCTGCAGGACCAACCAAGACAAGCCAATCTGCTTTTCCATTGCTTCCATGCCGAAGGTCAGAAGGCCGTCCAGCACCGGGAACACCGCAGACACACCCATACCGACGAACATCAAGGCCCTGTATGGCCGCCACGCCGGCGTTCGAAATTTTGGGAGCACCGATGTTGTTGTACATGCAATGCCTAAAGAGCAGATCTGACTGCGGTCAGTCACAGTTTATTCCCAGAAAGGGATATATCGCCCACCATAGTCCAGTAGACCCACTGTCTATCGGGATTGCACCAGAAACCATAGTAGACACTTGGGATGAAGGAGCCCGCTATCAGTACAGAGATGCCAGCATAGTCCAGCTGATTCCACATCCGAGCCACGGCGGGCGAATGGTTGGAGACAGTATGAAAGGCAGCGCTCATCCCAAGACAGAAGGCCGCGCCCACGAAGAAGCATCCCAGCGCAATCACATCTGCCGCAGATGCCTGCTCATAGCGAGGCTCGAGGATCTGGTACAAGACGATGCCAAAGGGAAGGGCGAGAGCACCCGGGACAAGATGGGACCAGATATTTACGCTCTCATTGTGCCAGTAAAATATACTTTGCCATGATCTCGCATAGCTGTAGGATGCGCGTCGATAGCTGGCGTGTATATGATGATTGTCTTGTTGCCAATGGGGGAGATCGCTCCAGTGAACCAAAGTCCGCCACATGTCGGCGGTGTGATGAGCTGCAGAAGGTACATCCTCTGGACCAGCCTGTGCGGGCTTCGAGTGTTCGGTGCCAGACATGTTGGAGGGCGAGGATGGTTCCAGTGTAGTCAACCAATGCAGTGAATTCGTTTGGGACGAGGTTTCTATATATCCAGATAAAATGTTGAGTGACGGAGAAATAAATAAATGGCGCCGATTGCTCCATTCGATCGACGGTCCACAGGACCCGGATTCGGAATGACCACGACACGCCACATTGCGACTTCGTTCTCTAAGAAACATCACATTGTATTTGCGTCAACCATCAAATACCGTCTCAACAACGTCGCCGGATCAGGTCAATTGGCGTACGATGGCCGGTAGACTGTTGCCGCAATCACTGAAGACGCCGACCTGCTGATATCTTCCTGAGCAATGGCCCAACATCCGCCGCCGCCAGCAGGGCGAAAGGCCTCGACACCATGGGACAGATTGAGGCCTGTCAGGCAAGATCCTCTGGAGAGCATGGGATTCGTATCGAAGGGCGACACCCGGTGAGCGAAGACGAGCTACGATTGCTGAGGCTCACTCTAATTTTTATAGCCTCCTCGACACGAAAGCGCAAGAAAGCTTCTACAACAAGATCGTCGCACGGTATATGCAGTTCTGCACGAATCACTCCAAAGATCTTGACAATGCGTTCGCTTCGTTGTCGCTTGAAGACAACAAGTCGGCCTTATCCGGTGAGGCAAGGCAACCTTCACCCGGCCATAGTCACAGGCGTGTTGTCTCTGCACGTCCAGAATCAGAGGCACCCCCAGGCACCCAAGAAGTCAACCCTCCGACGCCGTCGCCGTCAGGAGAACTGTCGACCATTTTACTGGCATTGCGTAAATTGCGAGAAGGACTACTGGCTACCTCGACGTCGGCACCTTCACCCGTATTCTCACAACGAGTCCATGTCTTCAACATCAGGACTGCGATTCTGGCCTTCCACCCGCCTGGGTACTATCCATCGCTATTGCACCTTCTCTTCGTGTTACACACACCTACGTATCCACTCCCCAAATCGGAACTGATCGAGATGACCACGTACCTCATTCTTGACACGGCAATCCGACAAAATGATCTTGGCCAGGCATTCGCGCTGAGATACAACAGCAGAGTCAAATTTGGCTTCAAGAGCAGAGTTGTTGACAGCATTCTACGGGCCGTCGTGATGGGAGATTGGATCACGTTTTGGCGTGTGCGACAGAAGGTGGATGGATACGTCCGGGCCATCTTGCACTGGCACATCGAGGCACAGCGCAAGCTGGCATTGAAGGCCATCGGGCGGACTTATCTTGCCTGCGACATCAAGTACATCCTGCAGAGTACCGGTGGAGGCGAAGTTAGCTGGGAAGACCTGGTCCAAATGGAAGATGTGGGCTGGGAGCGCGATGGTGACAAGGCTGTGATTCGCAAGCCCAAGGCGAAGCCACGTGGATAGGTGATGGTGATGACGCGAGCAGCGAGGAGTGTCCGATCTCCGTGTCCCTAGGGTTTCGGAGGTCTGGAACATGCATCGTGGTCGAGGGCGTGGAGTTCTCGATCTGCGGTTGATGCAGCCACAGAGCGTCGGTGTCAAAAAGCGCCCAGCCACTTTGTGGCGTCCCCAGCCTCGTCAGGTTTGAGCCAATCACACGTCTGCTCTCTGGTCTTGGCGCTTCTGCGGCTCCAACTGCGCTCCTCCAGCCTCGCGCATTTCCCTCCAAAACACCATCAACCACCGCGAACGAGCGCGCAGTGTGTCGCATGCATATGCATGCACCAGGATCATGGCCAGCCTCTGCTTTTCCTCGTCGTATGGGTAGGTACATGTGAGACATTTCCTCTCGCCATCTTCCATTCTTTTCATCGTCTCTACCGAACCAACAAACCAGTTTCCCAAACCAGTTTCCTAGTTCTACCAAATACACTCGTTAAGAGACAGTCCACATTGAGGGTACAAACCTCAGGCCGTTCGAGATGGCGTCCAGACCAATGTTTTCTTCAATATCGTTTGCTTCACTGCTGATTGCTGCCCATGCCCTTCCTCTGTTCCCAAACGCGATCGAGCGAAGGCATCCTGCCTCGTATTCAGTTGTTGCAGTTGACGGTGGTAGCACGGGAGGAGATGGCGCGGCAGCAACCACAGTCACCGACGCTGTCACGCACACCCAGACGGTCATGGCAACACAGCTGTCGACCATTGTGGTCACCGAATCCGAAACACCATCCACCATCATCTTGACCGTGACCGCCCCTTCTCCGACCACTGTCACCGAATACCCTCCACCATCCGTCGAGGTTGTGTCCGTCACGGCTACACTCACCGAAGAAGTACCAGTGCCCGTCACAACCACCTCGACAGAATCGAGGAGTTCAAGCACGACTTCATCAACCTCAACCACGTCGAGTACACCTAGCACTACGACCGAATCTTCTCCAGAAGCGACCGTCACCGTAACCGAGTCCACTTCGCAGGCTTCGGTCAAAACATATGATGATGGAATGTGGCATACCTGGTACTTTTATACTGAGACGTCTGCTAGCATTCTAAGCCAACCAAGCTCAACTCAGTGGGCTCCAGCGAGCACATGGACCACGTCTACACCAACACCATCGACTACCTGGGGTGGTACTCCTGATATCTGGTGGACTCCTGAGCCTTCCGTAGAGGCAACCTGGGCTTCTACTTCCACGGAAAGCATCTTGACCCCTTCTTCGACGTCCGAGACGACGTCAGTCAGCTACACTTCTACAACAGAGAGCGCACCGACCACTACCTCCTCGGCGACTTCTGAGTGGACTTGGACTCCTTCTCCAACCACCACCACCACCACAGAGAGCGCGTATTTTGCTGGGTTTACATCTTCTACTACCGATGGCGTCTTTACTCCTGCAACGACGCAACAATCTAGCACGACGGTGGCTCCTCTACCTACCATCTCATCCACTTCCGAGTCCACTTCTGCTTCCGAAACGTTAGATCCGCTGTCAGCGGCTCTCTCATCATTCAGCTCACTGGCACCAACGGGGACGATGGGCGTCTTTGGATCCCCGACGGGTGTTTAAGATGAGAGATCTAAAAACAACTGCCCTTCGACAACGAAAGAGCGTCGATTTTTGTTCAGCAAAATCAGCTTGTACTTATTATACCCAGCACCTCTTTCTGTTCTGTTATGTATTGGAGCATTTTTAGCATGTCGACCAGTTTACGACTCTTTGGGACAGGATATCAACGCAACAGCGAAAAAGCGGGAGGCCTGGCATATATATTAATGGGATGGATGTGGACAATATGATGGAATAAGAATGGATTACGGGTCATCCAGGGCTTTTACTCTGTACGGTTTTTGGGTGGAAAAGAGAAAGGGAATGATTTAGCGCTGGCGTTGGATGGTTTTGTTTTGTTGTATGGCTTGGCTACACAGACGACAAGTTACGAATACGTACTCGATTAGCAGAGTGCGACCGAGATGAGATCTAACATGACATGACAAGGAATGAATATAGATTAGGTACAGATATATGTTCTGTCTTTGTTTTTGACCTGAAGCCTCGTATTCGTATTGAATTCCCTCCACCCACCCGACATCATGTCTGTCGGTTAGTAAGGTGTGTAGGTAGGGAGGTATTGTAGGTAGTGTCCAGTGTGCCGCCCGAAATCGCGCCAACTGGACCCCGAAAGGCGCGCACTTTTCTATCCTTTTGCGGTTTGGCACACCGGGTTGATTACAGACGAGAATGACCGGGCGAGGGAGGGAATATGAGTCACACTATCCGTGTGTACTACCTACATAGAACATAAGGACATTCTATCTCTACCTAGGTACAGCGCGAGCATCATCGTACAACTCTATTTTTCTTGACCACTTACCTAGTTACCTACTGTTGACAAAGTACTCCCCCCCATACAGATAGTATGAATTGACAGTATATGTTGTGTTCACATCCAGAGCCCTGTAGGGAGTGAGTGAGTGAGTGAGTGAGTGAGTACAGGTACCTACCAAACAAGATACTGTGATACCACAGCGTCCGCGACATTGCTTTACTGTGTCTCTTCTAGGTTCCTGTGTAAGGTATCTACATCTATCTCTGCAGTCGACCAGATAGAGATACATTTATTGCCCTGCCTTACTTACCTCGACTTACATCGCCTTACCTCTGTCAAAACCCCCCCAAAAAGATACTCCTTCCTGCCAAACCATGTCATCATCATACCATAAGCCAGAAGGAGCTGCCACACCCCCGGCGAAGATGATCAAGCGAGAACCCAGCACATGGCGCCAAGCGGTCGCGAGAGTCGATCCTATAGGGACGGCCGGTTTCTTGCATTGCGTCGTCGGTCTGTTGTTGGCCGTTGCTGAGAGGTGGTGTCACCTACGACTGGTCAAAAGCGAGGATCGTTGGAAAGTCTGATATTATGCGCAGTAGTTATGCGCGTCGACTGCATTTGCGTCACTGGGCGCTGAGTTGATTACTACCTCCACGCCGTCCACGAGTCATTCGAAATGAATCGGCCATCAAGTCTTGTTCGACATGGGGATGGGCTTTGGCATGCAGCAGGCGTCTTTGACGGTGCAGACGGTCTTATCAAGGTGCGATGTGGCGACCGCCGAGACATTGATGACGTTCAGTCAGACGCTGAACGGGTCGATCTTTGTCAGTGTGGGCATCAACCTCTTCGACAACAGGTCGAGTCACGGATTGGCTGGCATCTCGTTGATTGACATTGGTGTGGTGGTGAAGTTCGGCGCTACAGAGTTGAGGGATATGATTCCTCATCGGCTCTTACCACAGGTTCTGGTCGCATATAACACTGCTTTACGCATCACGTTCTACGCAGCAACGTCTTTGGCATGCGTCGGCATCATTGGAGCGGTGGTTGTGGAGTGGGTGAGTGTCAAGAAGGACGAGAAAAGGTAAGAAGCTGGAAAGACATCAACGAGACAGTCAGCCAGGATTCGAGGGCCAAAAGCTTTAAGGCATGCGTCAAGGTCTTTCAACATACTCCCACATCTTGTTGTCGTCCAATTCATCAAGAGGTTGCACATGGAACGTCCATCAAACCACGACATTGGGAACTTACCGCATTGGGATCTACGGTGGGCTGCTGTGATGACTAAGCGGGACATCCACGTCTAACAAACTTCGTCCGAGTCTTCGCTCTTCATCCGCTTCCATGAGATCAGTATGAACACAACATGTTCCGAACAGACTTGATCCCACTACTGCTCAAGGTCTAGTATATCCCATATGAATTCCGCGTGGCTTTGTAAGCTTGGTCGTAGGTGAGTCTAGAGCTCGGAAGTTCCTCATGACCGCCAACACCAGTCACGCCATTTGCCTTCGATATTGACAATATGCGAGTTATTACCCACATCGAGGATGTCCAACCCACGCTTGTGGGCAAGGCTGGACTGGGGCCGAACCAGTGATTGCCATGCATCGGATCCTTATCTTGAGCTATCCCTCGCCTGGGTATCGATTCGCAGAACAGGACACGCACCAACAAAGTCTGAATGTCTCTACAAGGATAGCCGACCCTTCAAGGTAGGCGACTATGCATTTAGTAGCAGATGGCAAGCGAGAACAGAACCTCTCTGACCAACCGGCTTCGAATGGGGATAACATCAAACAAGCCACGAATGGCGAACACAAGCTTTAAAATTCCGCACAGGTAGGTTTTGCTTGTCTTGCTTGTGTTTATAGACCCCCGAGCTACTTTGTACTGTGCTGTCATGATAAATCTTCGCCTACTCAAATCAAGCTTCGTTCAGTTCCGACCCGCACTGCTTGAGCAATGGCGGAACAAAAGACCTCGCATCCAAGGAGCTGGAAGGGTTGGCTGTGGGATTCTGCCGATGTCTCGAAAGAAGAGAGATTGTTCCTTCTCAAGGTTTGAATACTATCAGCCTATCAGGCAAACATCTCGCTTTCTTTGATCTGACGCATGCTTCACAGTTGGATGCTACCCTCTTGACCTTCGGGACTTTGGGAATGTTGATCAAATGGGCAAGTCGCCAGTCTTTGGCTTTGGCACTGATCTTACATTCTGCGTCTAACGGTTATACCCCTCCGTCTACAGATTGACACATCGAACATAACGAACGCATTTGTCTCGGGAATGAAAGAAGACCTCAATCTATACCAGAATCAATACAACTACATTGTTGTCTCGTGGACAGTCGGGTACATCATCGGTCAATGGGTATGTACTTTTCAAATACTCCAAGCTCCATGTCACTAATACACAACTTAGCCGTCCAATTTCATCTTGACTCGAGTTCGTGCTCATAGTAAGTGCTGTATCATTGTCCTGGATCTCCGCCGAAGTTCATGCTGACCATTTGTTCTCGCCAGTCTGGATCCCATTCCTTGAAGTCGGCTGGACAATCTTCACGTTCGCTCTTGCTGGCGCCAAGTCATATAGTGCTATGCTCGGACTACGATTTGTCGTTGGACTCTTCGAGGCAGGGTACTGGCCTGCCCTGTATTACATCTTGGGCAGCTGGTACAACAAACGTACGTCAAGCTTATGCATCCTTCATTCCTCTTGGTGTACAGGATGAACGTCTGGACGCTAATGCGCATTCAAAATTACAGGTGAATTGGGAAAACGCAACGGTATTCTACAATCTGCAGTCAGTATCGCGCCCATCTTCAGTGGTTTCCTCCAAGCTGGAATCTACAATGGCCTGAACGGTCATGCGGGCCTTGCTGGATGGAGGTGGCTCTTCAGTGAGCAATGCGTCACACCCCGGTTCATGCCACCCATACTTATGATTGCGCAGTCATCAATGGTGTCATATCGTTCCCTATTGCCGTTCTCGCCTTTTTCTGTCTGCCGGACACACCGTTCACCGCGAAGCCGGGCTGGCTGTTTACTGAACGTGTAAGTTGAACACCTTGTCATAGAAATGTACCAAGAGTCTAACGCAATTCCGTATCTACAGGATCTGGAAATTGCTCGAAATCGCATGTCACTAGCGGGACGCGCACCTGAGGGCAAACCATATACATTCGAGGTTATCCTAGGGTACTTGACGAGTTGGAAGACGCTGCTCTTCACTTTGATCTTTAGTAAGCTCCAAGTCTCCCAAATTGTCCAACCAGGGAGACGGCATTGCTGATATCTACCTACAACTGCAGCAATGCAACCTTTCGGAACCCAACCTTTCACCGCATTCGTCTTTTGGCTCAAAGCACATAACAAGAAAGGCCAGCCTCCCGTGTACACTGTGGCTCAAATCGTGAGTTTTCACCACTCCCTTTTCAGACAAGTCCGGTAGTTGTTGCTGACCTCTCAATACAGAACGAATATCCAACAATCGGCAACGGATTCACGGCCGCATACTCTCTCCTCGCCGTCTGGATCAGTGATGGGCCCCTCCGTGGTCGCCGATGGCCCATCATCCTCTTCTCGAACACCATCGCAATTGTTATATTTGTGCTTCTAGCGGTCACGCCTGTAATGGGACCATTTCAACATCGTGCTCCTTTGTACATTGTCTCGTCGATCGGTGGGGCTTGTGTACCGTTGACCATGGCGTATGTTTGACTTTTACTTAGCCCCCTCCTTCCCCTTTTCGACTCTTCGTACTTGTTCTAACCACTCTCAACAACAACAGGTGGATGGCAGAACTTATCTCCAACAACGCTGAGCAGAGAGCGTTCACAGCTGCATCAATGAATACGCTACAATGTGAGTATCGCGAAACTTGCAATCGCATCTAACCTGGATTTTGTCCGCCCTCGATCCAGTGTCCACTTTGCTAGCAAAGGTTGTATGTTTATGGATAGCTCGCTAATATGTGTTGTTTGATGCAACAGATACATTCTCCGCGTGGATCCCACTAGTATGGTTCCAACAGGTCCATCAACCGTATGGTATGTTAGGTCCCTGTTTCTGTTATCCATTTTCCAGTCCCTGCCTTGCATTCTCTGCTTGGTGTTTGGTATGAGGGTGTAACTAACTCAATACCCCCCTCTGCTATAACAGTCACGGCTGGAAACAGAGCTGCAGCCGTCGTGGCCGGGTTCAACATTATTGTCTTTACGACCATTGCGATTCTAGCGCACAGGGAGAAGATCCGCAACAAGAGAAATGGGCAGCTTGAGACTGAAGTTTCGAGCGTCGAGTCTGCTGCGGCGGACTCTACCGGCGCTGAGGTGTTGAAGGAACATCATGTTGGTGTTGAGCATGAACACGAGCATGGCGGAGAGAAGAAAGCGTCTGGGTTGAAAGTTGTCGAGTTGTGATGCTTACGAGAGAGAGAAGGTGGGGGAGAATGAGATATTTTGGATGATGTATCATGTGTGATGACGGTGTGAGGATCGAGGGAAGTTGGTGGCTTGTGAGTGTGCAAACGTCCAGATGTGCAGGAGGAGAGGAAGACGAGTGTGTGAAGGTAGTTGAAAAAATGTGCAACGCATGGACGCGTCCACCCGCGAGCCTTTCATTTGTGTCGCTAATAGATCGACGGAGGCTGTGAGTCTGATGCGTCAAGGGCAAGGTCAAGGTCACGGCCCGGCACGAAAAGCAATACAATCGATCGATCCAGCTGGTCGAAGATGTGTTACATTGAGCGACGCTGTTGTTTGCACACCTGAGAGACGTCCACTGTATCACTAATTGTAGGAACGTCCATGATGAGGTACACCTACCACGATCACCACAATGAGGCTTCTCCTCTCATGCGAAGAGACAGGGGCATGTAGATCTCCTGACCGAAACACGTTGCAGGTGCGAATAAACCTCCAAAGTGATATCTTCGAGCCAAACCTTTGAGTCTCTAGCAAGAACTGCGTGAGGGGGGAACGGCAAAAGGCAAATCAGGTCGAGGACAGCTATTTGAAGAGTCAAGTCAAATAGCGTAGTTCTTCTCGAAGTATGAAAGGGCGTCGTCAGGCGGCTCAACTCATACGCCTGAACCTCCTGAAGAACAATATTAGGGACCCGATGTGCAGTAAGGGAGTTGGACTCTGTAGTATGTATGTATGTATGTATGTATGTACATAGGTAGGGACATATGTATTGCATCCTGTGCTGGTGAGCGAGGTCAACACCCGCCAAGAGCACCAGGCTCAATGCGGAATAGTGCCTGTGGCCGTCTGTCATTGGTCCGCTGATGCTCCTGCGCTTGGAGGTCGATTGCAGTGGCCTGGCGTATTCACATGTACAAGTCCGTGCTGCATGAGCTTCACTATGCGCCCGTCGCAACGCTCGTAAAGAGGCTTCTTGATCACTCGCGACGCTCATACACTCTCTTCGTCTTTCCCGGCACCCTGCTTGATCGGAGTTGGTCGTAGAACAGCCCATCCGTCGCAATGGCCGCGGCAGGCCCAACGGCCGTCGAGGACCAGGGCAGGCTCCTGGAGGAAGCCTTGGGTGTTGTGCGCCAACAGTCCCAGCAGATGCGGCGATGTCTTGAAACTCCTGGGAAGCTCATGGATGCTCTTAAGTGCGGGTACGTTCACCAATTGCTGTCCCTATGCCCTGATGCTGACTGGATACGCCATTCAACAGTTCAACCTTGGTTTCTGAACTCCGGACACCAACCCTTGGACCCAAACAGTATTACGAATTGTACATGGCGGTCTTCGATGCGCTCAGGTATCTTTCTGAATATCTACGCGACTCTCACCCGGTCAATCACCTCGCAGACCTTTACGAACTTGTTCAGTATGCAGGCAACATAATACCAAGGTTATACCTAATGATAACGGTCGGGACGGTCTACATGGGCGTTGAGGATGCACCAGTCAAGGAGATCATGAAGGACATGATGGAGATGAGCCGCGGAGTCCAACATCCCATCCGAGGACTGTTCCTACGGTACTACCTCATGGGCCAAGCGAGAGATTATCTGCCCGCCGGCAAAGAGGAAGGGCCTCAGGGCAACCTCCAGGATTCGATCAACTTCATCCTGACCAATTTTGTGGAAATGAACAAACTGTGGGTCCGTTGGCAACACCAAGGCCATTCCAGAGAAAGGGAGCAGAGGACGCAAGAACGGAGAGAACTAGAACTCCTCGTTGGAAGCAATCTCGTCCGCTTGAGCCAACTTGTCGATCTAGAAACGTACAAGGCAACTATAATCTCTCCGCTGCTGGAACAGGTGGTGCAGTGTAGGGATGTGTTGGCGCAAGAGTATTTACTTGAAGGTATGCCGAGGGAGTTTGACAGTGGACACACAGACTAATCATGACTGTAGTGATCACCAAGGTCTTCCCCGACGAGTACCACCTGCACACCCTAGACCAAATGCTGTCGGCAATTGCCCGACTGAACCCACATGTCGATATGAAGAAGATTGTTATCGGCCTCATGGATCGCCTGTCAACTTATGCGCAAAGAGAGTCTGAAAGCTCGTCCGAAGAGGACAGACGAAAGGCGGAGGAAGAAGCGGCTATCCGTATGTTGGAGAAGATTGACCTGAATCAAGACGCGAAGCCAGCGCCAGCTGCCGAGCCAGCGTCTCCCAACACGAATGGCACCGAGCCAAAATCACCATCAGAGTCACACCCGGTTGAGTCTGAACCATCCACCCCTGCCACTCCGGCCACGAATGGGGACAAGACTGCAAATGGTGTTGGGGACGTGAGGTTATTCGAGATATTCTACGAACAAGTGGTAAGCCTTGTGAAGACCAGAAGCCTACCAATCCAGGATACGATGGCTCTCTTGACTTCCCTCGCCAACCTCGCTCTGTAAGTGACGCACTGTGTGCCGATTGATACCCTTGACTGACCATGCGAAGCAACATTTATCCGGACAGATTAGAGTATGTCGATCAAATTCTGGCATATGCTCGCGATAAGGCTGCCGAGTATGTCGATTCTGCTGATCTTCACTCCGCTGCTACACAAGCGAACATGCTCAACCTCCTGCTATCACCAATTCGGACCTACTTCTCACTCTTCACCGCGTTAACTCTGCCGAACTACCTCCCTCTATTCCAATCACAATCCTACGCCACCCGTCGTGCCGTTGCTGGTGAAGTAGCCAAAAATATTCTGCGCAGCCGGATCAAGATTACGACAACGCAGCATCTCGAAGGTGTTATGTCTTTGCTGAAAGTTATCATCAAGGAAGGAATCCAACAACCGGGAGGATACCCTGGGCTGAACCGACAGAGGGGAGGTGAATCCGACGAGACGGTCGAAGAGCAGGGATGGCTCGCACGGATCGTCCATTTCATCGCTGGTGCCGACAATGACACTCAATTGAAGTTGCTACAACAAACGAAGAAGGCATACGACGCTGGCAACGAACGAATCAAGTACACCATGCCAGCGATTATTACAGCCTCGATGAAGCTCGCGCGGAAACTGAAATCACGAGAACACTTTGATGACAACTGGCAGACCCAGTCCTCAACCTTGTATCGCTTCATGCATCAAACCCTGTCACAACTTTATACCCGGGTCAACCCAGGAGCCGCCGAACTATGTCTCCGTCTTTTTGTTGCTTGCGGTCAAATTGCCGATCAATGCGGATTTGAAGAGTTTGCGTATGAGTTCTTTGCCCAAGCTTTTACTGTCTATGAGGATAGCATAAGCGACTCGAGAGCTCAGTTCCAGGCAGTGTGCATCATTGCTGGCGCGTTACAAACAACTCGAGGCTTTGGAAAGGAGAATTATGACACACTCATCACAAAAGCAGCTCTTCACGGAAGCAAATTGTTGAAGAAACCGGATCAATGTCGGGCGGTTTATCTGGCCAGCCATCTCTGGTGGTGCGTTGAGATACCAGGCAAGGAGGAAGATCCAAAAGATGTAAGTCGACGTGCTGGGGATTTGTAGACGAGATACTAACAGCGAAACAGTTCTATCGTGACGGCAAGCGTGTCTTGGAATGCTTGCAGCGAGCACTTCGTGTTGCCGACGCCTGCATGGATGCTGCGGTATCGGTGGAGTTGTTTGTCGAGATTTTGAATAGATATGTCTACTATTTTGATCAACAGAACGAAACGGTGAGGATGACGATGTTTCTGTTTGACCTTCGTATGCTGATGACAGTTAGGTGACGACGAAATATTTGAACGGCTTGATTGAGCTCATTCACTCGAACCTATCGACCTCCAATGCAGAGGGCAATGCCCAGACTATGGAAAACCCCAAACGTCACTTTTTCCGAACGCTGGACTACATTAAATCGAGGGATTTTGAGGGGGTGGTTACCGAAGCGCGGCAGTAGGTTGAAGGATATGATCGACCTCTGTCAACGGCACGTCAAGGTTGTCATAGTGAGAGAGCAATTGTCGACGGACTTCTTTTAAGCGAAAAGTTTTCGGTGCACAGATGCTTGTCTAGAAATTGAGCAATGATGTTACATTTCTGACAGACAGCTTGTTAATAGTGTTTCCGACCAGCTAATCAATCTCAGAATGTGAACGGGTATAAGAAGAGGAAGATGGAATTATTTATCTCATCATCGTCTTATCCTTCAAAAGGTCGTCGCTTGCAACTTTTTCAGTCTTTGTCTTGACGTGTCCCTTGCAATCCCAGGTCAAATCCACCCCAGATGTGGTCCGTACCGATGTTTGAGACTCACGCCAGTCACGGTACCTCAGGTCGGTAGGTCAGGTACCTCAGGCGCGGTACTCACTCGTTCATCACGCTTCTTCTTTCATTCCGGATCATGTAAAAACGGTTTGGTTGATCACTTTTGACTCAAGTTCATATTATGGACCGACTCCCCCCCCCTTTTTTCCTCTCGGCACCTTTCTCACCAGGCCTCACTCACCAGCTAGGAGGAGCATGCCGACAAGAGACGACCGAACTTTCCGAAAGCGTTCTCTCCCTCGAGGCAAACAGACGAAACGGCGTCCGCAAAATGTCCCTCGAAAAGATCTCGAAACAAAATGCCCCGAGGCCGAAAGAAGACCCTCTCGTGTGGGGAGGAGTCAAGTTGGACGAACGAGGTCGTCGTCCGGCGGCATGAATGAGGCCGGGCCAAGCAAGCCGAGGACGTGTGTGTGGACAATCCTCATGCCAGGGGGCAGGCAGGGCGACGAGGACCACGAGGACGAGGGGGGAACGTGACGAAACGGACATCGAGATTGTGGACGTCCAGCCAGGTAGGTAGGTAGGTGGTTAGGTAGGTAGGTAGGCCACCTGTATCCACATGGACATGTTCAAACAGTACACACATACGTACGTGTGTATACATACATACATCTCTCTATCAGGTACAAAATGGACTGGACACTAGCGGGGTACTCGTGCTCCTGGCCACCGGATACCTTCTTACCTACCCGAGGTCTGCAACACGATACAATACACCCCGGCATATGGGGATCTGCTGGTACTGACTAACTACCTAACCTACATAGGCAGTACTCTGTTGATACCTACCTGATGTTTGAACCCCTTTCATTCATGTCTTGTTCTCGGTCATTCAACTTGAAACCCATCATCTCATTACTACTCCTACCGAGTACCTTCTCGTACAGGAACATTCGTTCCCTTCTTTTCCATGCGTACCCACGTACTCGAGATAGATATACCACCAAGGCATAACTTATATACACATAATCAATACTTCCACTGAACATAGTCACGAATTTTGCACATATAGCCCATTATGAACGACATCATCCATCGCCATTTGCTTGCCCATGGGTAACAATATGCTCGTAGCATTACCCATACTCTCCTGCTTGTGTGCCATAGCAGCATGGTACTTGAAGCCAAAATTCAAAAGCAGCGCACAAGCCAGACCAATGGCCACCACAAATGGTCCAATGGCATTGTCAAAATCCTTACCACTCCTCTCGGTGATCAACTTGCTTCGCCACATGTAAACGCCCCAGCCCCAGATGGCCGCAAAGACGGCAAAGCCAGTATACACCAGCGACAGGGCCCGGGCAATGTTGTTATTCACACCGGCAGCATTGTACAAGCCCATGGACAAGGTGGCCAGGAGGACCGCAATATGCTGCCATTTGATGAATGTACGCTGATTGGCGAGCCACACCTTAGCCTCGACTTTCAGTTCACCCTGATCCTTGATCCAGAATCCTGGCTCCTTGACTCCAGGTGGCAGTGGCGCATTCTCCCAGGGGTTTCGTTGGCGATGACGGCGAGCGTAACGTGAATTCGAGAAAGCAGGCAGAAATGATCGCAAGCCACCTTTGGACGCGGCTTTGCTATCACCCCGGACCCCGTCTTCATCAGAATCCCGATCCTCAGCTGTAGCGTCGAGGACAACGGAGTGTCTCAGCCTAGATTGAGATTGAACGGACTGTGAAAGGTGACCCGACAGTCTTCGGTCGGGGAGCTTGCCAGGCGACTTTCCAAGCGATCCGTTCTTCCCTTTAGGAGAGCTGGCGAGCTTGGAAGAGGCCAAAAAGCTTCCCACAGCCATTTCGTCCTCGGCTCGCTTTTGTTCACGTTCTTGTTCTTCTTGATAGGCTACAACAGGATCCCTTCGGATGTCCGTCTCAAGATCACTCAACCAGAACGGGAAGCTGTTGACGTAATCTTCAAAGAGTTGTGCGACACCATGCACAAACTTGGAGAATTTCTTCTCTTCCTTGACAAGATGGGAATTCATCAGATCGTGCAGCCAAGCATTGTTCCTAGTAAATTTGGAGTCTTTGACCTTGATCTCAAGGACAGCATGGGGGAAACGAGCGATTTCTCCCTTCTTGATAGCAGAGTATGGGTACTCCATGCCATCCTTGTCAATATCCGATCTATGCCAATCCTCCGGGTCGCGGCATGGTCGATCCTCGTCCAGGGCGTCCTCACGGATGAATACTAGATCCGTGTCCAGAGAAATTCTGATGCGGTCGTCACCTGGAATTTGGAAGGCTGTACGAGTATAACTTGCTCGCAAGACTGGTTCGAGGTTCTTCTCCTTGATAAAGGATTGAATCTCCTCGACGTTGGCTTTGAACTCTGCTACCTCCTGGTGATCAGGCCCAAGTCTTTCTTCAAACTTTTTGATCTGCTTTTCAAGCTTGTATTCACCCTTCAAGAACGGAGTGATATATTTCTCTTTGATAGGAACTCTAGTATCGCTGCTTTCTGTATCTTCGCCAACAGTCTTTTTCTCGAGGATGATCTCTGGCTTGTCGTTGAGAAGTCCCGTCCATCGAAGTCTCAACGAATCACCAGCGCTCGTAGCTCCAACCTTGCTATTGTACAGATCAAAGGCCGGGTTGTCAAAGTAGATGGACGTGAGAGTCGGGTCATTCTGTGCCGAGTCAACCACCTTGGAAGACTGCGGATTGTAGACAAGGACAGGGAGGCGACGTAAAATATGCGTCTTGACCTCGAGGATGTTGTCGGCATGGACCCAGTATTTGTGGGCGGTGTAGACATCTCTGGGTTGGACATCGGCGTCTTCCTCGTTGCCTGATGCTTCCTCTCCCAAAACCTGGCGGGCCCAGGAGTACATCGCAGAGAGACGGTACAGTAACGGAGAGTAGTCTTCCGAGTTGAACGGAGTCTGAGCGAGGCGGACCTGCAGGAGAGGCCGGACGCGATACTTGAGTCCTCTCTTTCTGTCGTGCTTTTTGGCCGCCTTCAGAAAACCGGTATAGTTTATTCGGCTGAACTTTCTAAGTTCGTTCAGCTCCTTCGAGATAGCGTCCAGCTCTTTCAACATGTCCTTGGCCACGGTCTTCAACTCTTCGTCTGACTTTCCTCCATCTTCCTCGTCCGAGCTAGGAACCTTTGCCTCGCAAGCGGCGGCTCGGTCGCGAATGGAGTTGAAGGTGTTGACCTGGTGCTGGTTGACCTTCTCCAGTTGTACCTCTGTCAATTCGTGGACGAAGTTCTCCTCATCTTGCTCGGTCCAGCTTTGCCCTCTGCCGGTACGAGCTCGGCCCTGAGGCGAGGCTTCGTCCTCACGCAGTAGTTTCTTTATCTTGTCATACTCGAGGTACTTGTCCCTCCACGGTGGGTAAATGGAGTTGGAGAGGGTTTGGCCGAAACGCATCGTCGACCAAGATAGAGAGTCTCTTCGCTCTGGTAGTCAACGTTCCAAGATTATGGCTTCACACCATACACTCGCCTGAATTAGATCTTGAAAAGGCACAGGATATGAATATCAGTATAAAAATTTAGTAAAACGAGAAGCTCCCATGTCGAGCTCCAAGCGACATGGTTTACAGTTTCCTTGTTCTGCGCATGTACTGTAGTTGCAGAGCGACGACCAGCAGCCAATAGAAGGGCAAAGTGCCTGACACGTGCATTCTCTGTCTTCATCGCCGGGCGGATGTTTTTCCGTTCCGCGGCGAGGCTGCGAGGCTGAAGATCTGATCTAACTCGATTAAGGGCTTACTCGATACTGCATATGTACTCCATACTCCGTCCATATCGGCCTCGGCACTTCAGATGTATCTCAGGTGCACCACCGCAAGGACAGTCCGCTGATCTTGCTGGCCTAGAAACATATTTAAAATGCCGGACGACTCCAAAGCCATCATCAAAGCTCTAGAGAGCGTTTTGGTTCAGCTCCACGAAAACCCGTACCCTCATGTCCCCAATCCAGAAGGATCTCAGAAACGAGCCAGCGTCGCAGCCATAATCCGCGTGCGCCCGGCCTTCGCCCCTGTCCCTCCGTCCAACGGCTCGATCATCGCAGTCGACCAGCCCGACTCCTCGCCGCCGTCGTCGATAGAAGAGTTCTTCTCGCAAGACTGGGTGCAAGATGGCGATCCTGAACTTTTGTTCATCAAACGCGCCGGTCGTGCAGGCGACAAGTGGTCGGGACACACGGCGCTCCCCGGCGGCAAGCGAGACCCTGAGGACGCAGACGACCTTGCGGCGGCGATACGAGAGACGAGAGAAGAGATCGGACTGGACCTGGAGACGGCGCATTGTCTGCATGCAGGGAACCTTCCGGAGCGACTGGTATCGTCGTCCTGGGGCAAGGAAGTCCTGATGGTCCTGTGCCCCTACATATTCTTGTTGACGGGCAAGACGGTACCTGCGATCCAACCCCAGCCGACTGAGGTGGCGTCGGTACACTGGGTTCCTCTACGCGCCTTGTTATCCCCGACCCTGCGAACACGAGAATCCGTCGACATATCGAGCCGGATGGCGAAGCACGTCGGGCCGCTCGGCCATAAACTCATCCGCTGGACCATGGGGAAGATGTTGTTCAGTGCCGTCAGACTGCTCCCAACGGAGTCCGTCTACGCCAGCTCGATACCGGGCTTCATTCCCACGGAGGGCGGCGACCACATATCCACTGTTTCGGGCTGGGCACAGGCACCGTTCGGCGTGCCGTCGTCCTCGCAGTCATTGAGCTACCAACAACCCATTCTCCTATGGGGACTGACCCTCGGTGTCCTTGCCGACTTTCTCGACATGCTCCCTCCGTATAATGCAGTCAAACTGTGGAAATACCCTACTTTCACTGTGCCCGATCTTCGTCTCATTGTCTGGATCCTGACACGTTCTTTCCGGAAGCACTCGGCAGAGATGTTTTCCTCGGGTTCGTGGCCCGGCCAAAGACGTCGACCGAGTCAGACGGCCATCGACGCAACCACAGAGGCACTTGCAGTTCCCACCTCCGGGCCTGTGAATGTCACCGAGGCACCACAGCTGGGGCTGAGGAAACCCCGACCTTCCTTCGACAAGAACCGCGTGGGCATCGGCGGATTGGGCGTAGGTAAGGATCCTCAGCACGCTGTAGGCAAGCTGTTACACGGTTATTACGAGCGTGTAAATGTTGCCATTGCCATCTTCCTGGCCTATCGCACCCTGACCACGGCGGGACTGGTGTATTGTGCCTACAGATTTTGGAAGAGACGAAGAGCTGCGAATCTTTGATGTGCATGAGCATGGGAAAGACGCAGGGAGTTCCTGAGCGTAACAAGGGTTTCTAGAGTGCTTGAGCATGGTTTCACAAGTCAGAGACTTTTTTGGTCGACCGTTGCGCATGACAGTGACGGCAGATTATATCGTGGCTGGGTGTTGCCGGGTGTTCTCCTTGAGAACACCACTAGTCCTCGTTTATCGGGTAGACTTGTTACTTTATGGTTACGAATAATATCGTGTGTCTCTCGGACACGTTTCACCTGGGAGCCTAAAACCGTTACGAAAAGTGGCAGGTAATTCACGATGACAAAAGTCTCGACACCATGCCAGGATATCTAATGAGCACGTATACCACGTATACATGGGCCGCAGGCAAGTAACGAGCCCTCACGGTTTTGAATGACTATAGATTGATCTACCGCGATAGTACGTACGGCCTAGCAATATCCTGAACCATTGGAGATCCTGTAAAACGTATTTCAGACGGCAGCGCCGAGGTGAAACTTGGGCGCAATTATCGATTGAAGGACTTGAGTCGTCAGTACACCTTGGATACCCCGACAGAGTTGTGTGTCGATCCAAGTCCGAGTAGAGTACTCCATGATAAATACCTCGAGTGCAGGTAGTGTATCGATGCAAGTCTACCCTACACACCTATCTAGATCGTCTGCACCACTCAGAACCGTAGGATCTCTCTTCTCGAAGTCAAGTCACGCCCAGGTCATCTCAAACTTGTACTTGGACTCGTAACCAGTGATGTACCCGAGGCAGGTATGTGACACGATGATATCGACTCTCGACCCAACGAGGAGAGAGTACTCTCTGTCTTCATACATGGTTGGTTTCCTTCGTCCTCGTCAGGTGAGTTCATCAAGCCTCAAGCCTTTTTTAAATTGTCGCAGACTGACGTCGAGCCTTGGAGGAAAGAGAAAAGAAAAACCATGCCCATTCTCTCCGAGGAAGGGTGGCTTGTCTCGGCTCTCTGTCGTTCTCGACTGGGCCTGTACTCGATTCCTCGACAGCTCGTAGACTCGTGCCTTTATGGTCTGTCTGGTGAGTGGTCTGGCCAAAGACGCCCAGTGAAAAAAGAACGTCACAAAAGAGGGAGCGTTCTGTCCAGCGTAGCCCCTGTCTGAAGGAAGACAACCACTCACTCAAAACCCCAACGATCCACAAAACGCATGATTCATTGACTCCGGACCCGCCACCTCTGAACCCTCTTGGTATGCATGCCAAAAAGCCTTTGCCCGTGAGCTATGTGACATTGACCTTGACCAGACGAGTCTTCTCTTCCTTTGGCACTTGAGTTCTCGACCGTCGTAGGACCCCGGTGCCCGAGCATAGGAAATGACATCAACATTCAAAAGGTGGTGGAGGAGGAGGAGCATGTGGAGAGTGGACAGTGGTCATTCAAGTCTCTGTTCCCATTCTTAAAATCTCGATCAATCACCGACCCGGAATTGCTGCGGCGACTCGGTAAAGTCAGGTTCACTTTTCCTGATGGTCAATGACGCCCTCCTCAAGCCCAGCAAGAATGTCCAGCTGATACAAAGGAAAGAAATGTCCAAAATGGAAGAAAGAAGGAAGGGCAATCACATGTCATGTCTGTGATGGACGCGTCCATGCATACATACCTCCCGATACGAGTAGCAGTGTCCACCCAGGTACGTACCTCGGTAACCTCAAGGTTACGTAGACGCAATGTAAAACATTTCTGTTTCTCGCCCAGGGTACCTAGATAGGTAGGTAGTTAGGTAGGTATGGAGGTAGGGGAATTGACTGAACCTTGTCAAGCAACATCTCAGGCTCTGAGTATGGGATTGGGCAGGGTTGGACTAAAAATCTGGAGGTGTGAAGAACAGTTATCACAATTCCAGACAGAAGATACCATACGGGTAAAACCCCTGAAAGTTCCAGCTTTCAATTTCCCAAAACGCCCACCTTCCAGCGCGTGATGTACTTCGTCAAAGAGGCGTTTGACCTCATTGCACCGGCGAGAAAACAAAGAAGAAAGGATCTCTCTTGAGCCACGAGATGGACCGACGAACAACAAAACATGAGACGCGTCGCCCGGCAGGGGGGGGAGCAACTTGTTCGCCTGCCGTTTTTGACACCGCGCGCAGAGGGTTTTTCATCGAGGCGACGAAGCGGTACAAGGGCACGCACGGTAGCCCGTGTACGATACGAGGACACAGAACATTCCGTCCCTGTCACGGACCGAAACAAAAAGGGGGACTCTGTGCCTCGTAATCGAAAAAGTCAATATCCCTAGCAATGTATCAGAAGAAGACGTGGGCTTGTGACACGACACGTTTGGTAGCAGGGAGACGGAATCGATAAAGTTTCCAACTTGCAAGGCGTGACCACTACAAGATGTCAGGACCCTTTTCTCAAAGACGCACAGACCGAACCTTGCAAGCATGGAGCTAGTTTAACTGTGCGACTCGGGCTATGCGGAGCAGCGAGGACGAAGTCGAGACTTGGATCGTAGAAGATGCAAGGGGGGAATCGCCGTAGAGGGGCCCATGGTATTGTCAATTTGCCATGGAAGGAAGAAGGAAACCTTTTCCGCGTCCATCATTGACCAATGATCAGAACTCAAGCGAGATTGGGTTTGGAGTCTAGAGTGTCGATCCGGATCCGGGGCACGATCATACATACGTCTTGCCCAATACTCGTACAAGGTACATGACCTTTGGTGACATGTTCACGACCCTGATGGGCTAACTTGACAGCCCTGGCTCAAAACCTTATCCCCAAGTTCAGAAGCTGCCGGGATGGAGCTGTGCAGGACCGTTTTGGGCCATCGATGTACTGTAAGATGACATGGAGTGGTTACACAGCACGTTCCAATGCAGTAAGGGATGGCCCAATGAGCTCAGGTGAATTACGTCGTGGAACTACATTCCGGTGACTGATTCCAAGTTTTCCTTCCCATGTTCTGCCTGGATGGACGTGTGACCCTGAGGACCAAGACGTGGACTTCTTGGCCCATGGGGTGTCGGTGTGATTGAGTGTGACCAGGGAGAGGCCGAAACGTTGAGGCTTTGGTAGGTTGAGACTGGCCAGTTCTCACGAGTCATGACAGGAGTCATCGGCGCAACTCAGGACCAACTCGGGACTTATCAAGAACCAAAGGAGCGAAGCCTGTGCATGATCGTCCAGAGGCCTTGCCATTTTCAGGACCCGGCCTTCGGATTCCGCTTGCATGGGAATGGTATGCACAGCGTAAGCCCTAGAAGGCCGGAGCGTGAAAGTCAAATACTTTCCGCGGGGCCTTACAGGGGGGAGAGAGCTTGTTGTCGTTGCCGCCTGTCAGCGGGATGTGTCTGCATTTCATGTGAAAATTGGGAATGGTCGTATCAATCAATGCACGCTCCTCGTAACCCTCGGTTCGTGTTTGTGAAAGGAGCACCTATGGCTAGTCTCCATGACTGGACAAGGGTCGTTAAAAAAGTCGCGAATGCATGGTCCAGAAACTGCGGTCGTGCAAAGTGTGCAGAATGGGTAAGAATGGGTATACATCAGCAACAAACTAGACCATAGGGCTTTCTTCGTCTTCTTTGATGGCGGTCGGCCCAGGTGAATAGATGCTGACGCGCAGGAAAAAATAAGCGGAGGTGCTGGGGGTTGGAAGATCAAGCCGCGATTCCTCCCATGCTCTGATTGCTCCAACTAGAGCTCAGGGTTACAGTCGCAGAATTCTTTTTAGGATTGAGCTCCGGAATGGACCACATTGGAAATAGCCTCCGTAGGTGATGGGGTATTGGTGATACCATGGGAAGCATTTGTAGCTGGACTGGACAGTGACGGTGGGATTGGTATGCTCCAAAGATTTCCATTGATTCAAGGACGCTTACTTTCCTTTCACCCCGAGTTCTGCATGACCCGGGCCCAAATGAGACGTATTGCCTTTGTGGTCTCGCGAGGACTCAGGAGCACAGGCCGTGGCGAGAAAGGTCGCGCTCGTAACGGTTGTCACACATCGTTTAAGGACTCAGAGGGCTCTGCATGGGTCGACTACCATGAGCGGGGGATCGGAGATTTTGAGGCACAGTTGGTCGGACAAGGTTGTTGTACAACTGTGACAGAGCACGGAAAGCCGTGCATGCACGAGTCGCACCCGATTAGTTCCCTCTGGCCTCATCAACTATCAAATGAGGTGCTCCTTGGGTACGAGGAGAAAAATATGATCCCTCCATCGGGAGATCAGGAGGCTTTGTCTTGTCACTAATCATATCGCAAGGAGGTTTTCCTCCTTCAGATGCCGCTGGAGAAGAGCTAGGTAGGTAGGGAATATGAAACTGGCCAACAGCAGAGGCAGAAAAGCCAGGGGATCTTCAAGGACTTGTCAAGCCATCGTTCCTTTTCTTTACAGCAGCTTGGAAGTTGGCGTATTGCGTTGATCTTTCTTGTAGCGAGAGCCCGCATGTTGTCCGTTAGCTGATCTCTGTGCGAGATCGTCCGCATCATACTGTACAGTATCGTGACTCTGAGTACGTACAATCTTGAGAACGCGACCTTACAGTTACTGCCAGATTAAAGCATTTGTGGGGTTCTTGCGAAACGCCCATCGCACTGTAGCGGCGACCCTTAAAGGACGTCAGGCCCAGGGGGGTCGACAGTCTCAATAATCTGGGTAAGGTTAAGGCCCGCGCCGTCTCAAGCTTCCAGGGGAGATACTTACTGTACATATGTACGAGTATGAGGACAAATCAAGCCGTAGGCTGGAGCAAACACAGCAGAGAGCGCGACCCAGTGGTCTCCACAGCAGGAGGAATGTTTCCACCGCCTAAAGGCATCCTCTGCATTAATCTCTCATAGGGAAGAATGCGCAATGATGCCGTCGATGACGAAGACCTCTTCAGCGCAATCCGAATCCTAGCCCGTGTCTTGACGCGCTCCGAGGTCAGTCTAGTGTCTAGACAGGAACCCGTTCGGCTCTCGAAGGCCTCCATACCCCTGCCTTGGTGGAGAGGGCGGTCAATTCTTGCTCATCACGTTCCGCGGAT